CACTTTTGCGTATAATTGTGCATCTCGGAGACGTATAAGCACTTGCTTTATATGCTCCGTGTGCTCATCTCTCGATTTCGAGAAGATGAGAATATCGTCTAAATAGGCGATACAGATGATATCAAGAAGTCCATGCAAAGCAGTATGGATATACGACTGAAAGGTAGCAGGAGCGTTAGTTAGCCCAAAAGGCATAACCGTATACTCGAAGTGGCCGTACCGTGTACGAAAAGCTGTCTTCCATTCGTCGCCTTCCTTGATTCGGATCCGATAGTACGCATCCTGCACATCGACTTTTGAAAAGTGAGTAGCGCCAGATAATCGGTCGAGGATCTCCGAAATCAAGGGTAAAGGGTAACGATTTTTAACCGAAACTCGATTGAGTCCTCGGTAATCAACGCATAACCTTAATCCTCCGTCCTTTTTAGGTACGAAGAGGATTGGAGCGCCAGCGGGGCTCTTTGAGGGTCGGATTCGACCATTTTGGAGATTTTCGTCTAGGTATCGACGTAATTCCGCCAATTCTGTTTGCGAAAGTGGGTAAATTGGTCCAAAAGGAGGTGTTGCTCCAGGTGTTAACTCAATGGAGTGGTCAGAGTTCTTAAAAGGGGGTAACGTCTTCGATTTCACGTTCTCGAAAACGTCCCGAAACTCCTCCAATTCAGGTGGTAACCCTTGCGGATCCACCCCTGAATCGTCCTCGTTTTCGGGTTTATACACCTCTTCGGGTAACTTGACCACAGCGAAGACACATACTTCATTTCTGCACTTTTTGGCGAATCTCCAAGGCGTTTCGATAATAGTGGACGATACTGAGGTTTCGAACCACCACATACGATTCGCAGGTGATAAGTGTATCTTCAGGTCACAGAGAGTGGTCATGGATAATAAAACAGGGCTTCCTTGAGGTCTCGGGTCCCTATCGACAGCGACACATACTCTCTCGAAGGTTTTAGTAGTACCCCTTGAATCTTTAATACTGAGGGGAACCCTCCATACTCCATATGTGGGTACAAGGACGTCCCCGATAGCACGGATCAAGGGTTCTGTTGTCTTGGCTTGCTGCAGATGCTGACTTTTTGCAAATTCGTAGCTAACTAGGTCGACTTCGGCTCCAGTATCGAGATCCGCATGGGTCTCGGTGCCGTTTCGTAGCCGAATCGGGATGAATAATCGAGTTGCTGTGCCAAGTTGGGGTAAGGATTGGGTCGAAGACGGCTGGCCATCCTGCTCGACCCTCACACTTTTCCCGCCTTAGCCGATTGCGCTTTTACAGCGTTTGCAGGATTTTTCTTGCACTCTGGGCTGTTGCCATAGTGGTCAGGACTCGAACAGTTGATGCACTCCTTCTGCTGGGTCTTGGGATTCAGCTTCCAAATCCAGTGAGCGGGGTGTGTGTTTGTAGAGTCCTTAGGTGATTCAGTAGCGTTTCTTCTAGGAATCCCCCTTGGAGCTTGACGGGGTCTTCCTCGGAAGTTACCTCGGCCTCTCTTCACTGGGGTAGGTGCTTCCGTATTTATGGTGGAATTGCTATTCTGTGCCCTTTTTGGGTTTTCTTTTGGTGTATGCCCTTGGGGTTTCACCTTGTTTTGGATGATGGTCCAGTGGCGATTCGCTTCTGCAACCATATCCTTAAGGGTTTCAGGCAACTGGCCTGCCCGGGCAATAATGATTGCATCTTTGAGGTTTCGTTGAAGCTTTGAGTAGTAGATCTGAGCACGACGCTGCTCGGAAGGCTTCTCGAAGAAGCGTTCTAAACTTAGTAGATACTGGTGGAATTCGATAGGTGTCTGGGTTGGGCGCTGCTTTGCTTCTTCGAATCGATCTTGATAATCGATAATGCCAGTGGACATATTGGCAATAAGCTCATCTGTCCATTCCTTGAAATACGTCCACGTATGGGTAGCGTATCGGGCTTCATCCTCATCAAGTTCTTCGATGTGTGTAAACCACCGTTGTCGACAGTCTTCGTCCATATTGAAAGAAGCAGCGATAATCTGGGCATCTTCGGTCTTGAATTGCCGTGGGGCAGCACGGAATATCTGTTCGTGATTTTTGAACCATTCCTGCTGCTGTTGTAGGCTGAAGTGAAGAGTGAAAGGTTTTTTCAAGTCCGGTAGCTTCAGATCCTTTTTATGGACGTGTCCACTTCGGTCCGAGTCCGAATCGGTTCCTTCTCGGGGGCGTTTCGAAGTATGTTTTTGGACTTGTTTCTCTAGCTCTTCAATTCGCTTAAGGAGACGGGCGGTCATGAGCATGTTCTTCTCTTTCTCCCTAAGTTCTCTAATTGTGGGGTCACTCAGGGATTCGCCTATGGAAGCGAGCGGTTCGAGGTCCGAATCGTCATCGTCTCGAGGTGGTTCCGTGGTGGAGTCGATCGGGGTTGGATCCACGGTCGGCGCTAGCTCCACCGGGTCCACCGAAGGTTGTGGGTTACTGCGAGTAGTACGCACCATCTTTTCTTCTCTATCATATCAAAGAAGAATCAGAATTGTTAGGGTTTATGGATAAGATAGAGGGAGAATAGATGGGTTGTAAAAAAGCAGTAATCAGATTTGTATCAAAACTGATTCTTGAAGGAATCGTAGGTACTAAGAGAGAGATGGGCTTTATACCCCGCACTCTCTCGGCAAGGTCAGCTGAGGTCACATGAGAGAACTTCCAGATACTCCTTGTCAGTTTCGTGACAGGTACCCCCGGCCCTCAGCCCGACCCGCACCAGTTGGAGGGCCGGTACTACCGGCCCTCGGCGGACCCTCAGCCCTCAGAGGGCCGCCCTCGAGCGGCCCTCATCCGCCCGCATTTCATCCCTAGACACACAATCTTTTGTGCGAAACGCGCCCCACAGCTACAGCAGCCTGGACGCCCATTGGTGGACAGCAAATTAAGCGTCTCATTTCCACGGTTCGATTGAACCTAATTTCTACTTACGTACATCGTCGGTTACCCGCTGCGCGCTGAAAAAGCGTGGTTTTGCGGCCCGCGATGGCGAAAAAGTCAAAAAAGGGGCCGACCGCCCGGCCGACACCTCAAAACGTGGCAGACTGGCCCGATCCGCCAGCGATCGACAGCAGCCACGATCTACGCGCCACAGCAGCAAAAATACAGAAAACAGCCGTGCTATGGAAGTCTGCAACAGACGAGAACCGTGACCCCCCACCGCCAGCCAAGCTGCACGGCTTCTTTGACGCCGTGATCTCCCTGGCGAAGAGGATGACGGACAGCGAGCTGCTGGCGGAGCTGCAGCGCCTGCGCGCGATATTCGACGAGCATGCCAGCAAGCAGGCCGACCTGTATCACAAATTGCAGGCGTCTATCGACACCCAGGCCGTCGCAGCTGCCGCCGCTGCTACTGCGAACCCTGCTGGCTCCCGCCGGCCAATGGATTACCGAGCTGCACTTCGCAGCAATACCGAATCCTCTCTTGTCTCCGGCTGGCTGAACAGAGCCCACACCAACGGCACACTCTCCACCAATGGCCTCAGCACCGGTAGCGCCCCTGCACCGCAGCGGGTGCTACGAGAGGACCTGCAGCTGATCATCCGTGGCACAGAACGCTCTCTGGTCGATCCGCTACGTCGACATGCGGAAGAAGTGGTCCACCGGGCCAATCGGACGATCAAAGACGTCTGTGACGAAGCCAAGATCGCTCCGGTTGAGGTGTCTACCGGCTTTGTGCTGCCCAGCGGCGACGTGCTTCTCCGTTGCGACAGCGTACGCGACGTCCGCCAGTTGACTGACCTCTGTAGCCCGCAAGATAACAGCTGGTGTGCCGTCTTTGGACCGAAAGCGCACCTTAAGCGAGAAACCTTCTCCGTTGTCATGCACGGCGTGCCGATCAGCTTCGACCCCTCCGCCCCAGATGCTGCGAAACGCCTGCGTTCACAGAACGTACGCCGCATCCCTTCGACCGCTAATATCATGCACATCGGCTGGCTCATGCCGGCACGTAAGATGGCCGACCTCCGGAAACAGGCCACAACCTCCGATACCACCACCGCTAAGCTCGTGATCGAATTCGACGACCCAGACGCAGCAAATCAAGCAATTCTTCTCGGCCTGGCGCTGCAGGGGCGGGATCACGACTGCCAATTCTTCGACGGCAGCCACCGGCTGCAGCAGTGCTTCCAGTGCCAATCGTACGGTCATATCGCCCGTAATTGCAGAAGGGAGATCCGCTGCGCGTACTGTGCTGGATCTCACGACTCCAAGGAATGTGCACATGCCCGTAACCGCGCGTCTGCCAAGTGTGCTGTGTGTATCAGGCACAACGAAACCGCAGTTGAAGAAGCTAAGGTCAAAATTAACCACTTTGCCTTCGAACGAGAGTGCCCTCGGCGTGCCGAGCAGCTCGACATGATCCGTATCAACCGTCTCCGGGGCCCTCAGCTCCACCGGACGGCCACAGCCCCTACCCCATCAACGTCAACATCCCCAGCTGCCCCTACCCCCGCAGAAGCATACTCCGGCTCACAAATCGGCAAAGCGGCCCGTGAGCTAGTCAATAGCGCACAACAGGTGCTAGAGCCCGTACTACAGCCCGCAAGAAAGCTCGAGGTTAGGATCCAAGGCCGGTCCGCTAGCCCTAGCAAGCGCCGCCGGGCCCCGTCCTCGAGCTCAGAGAGTGAAGATGCCCCTTTGGTCCCCGCAAGCCGTATTCGGCCAAAAACCACCACAGTTAACCGGAAGCTGGTCACGTACGGCACCCCACGGCTAGTGCAGCCCATGCAAAAGCAGTGGGAAGGGCTCCACGCCCCGTCCTCGGATATGGTGGAGATCCTTACGCCGGACGTCACAACAGAGAATCTGGAAGATATCGGCACGCAAACCCGTAGACGCAGCAGGCGTACCGCCAGCGAGTCCTCAGACGAGCTCAGCCAAGAAGCCCCCACACAATCGCAGAGAACTGGCCCTATCACTCGAGGCGCAGCGAGCGCGCAATGATAAGCCAAACGCTGAAAATCCTGCAGGCCAACTGCCGTAAATCGAACGATACGGTCATGAAGCATCTCTTCGGTGAGGAAGGGGTGCGGAAGTGCGATATCCTGGCTATCCAAGAGCCTGAGATATTCAATTGGATGGAACCCGAGATGGGCGTCCATTCGCAGACACTTGGTGGCCGGTTTCATACACTTCTCCGGCCTACACCCACAGCCGTCCGCGAGGAAGCAGCACGCACGCAGCCCCGTGTCTGCTTCTTCGTATCGAAAGGGATCAACCCGAAATCGTGGTCGATCAGACACCACAGCAGAGACGCCAGCACGCTGACCGTGGAAACCGGGGCCGGCCAGCTGCATGTGCATAATATATATCTTCCGGGGAAGTTCAACGACCCAGAGCGTACGCAGGAGGTGAAAGAAGGTCTAGCCGCGCTCTGTGTAGCCCTACGCGGCTACCACAGTGGGCAGCATGTCGTGGTTGGTGATTTCAACCTCCACCACCCGCTGTGGTCGACGATCCAGCAGGCCCAGCTGCCGGACGACGACGCAGACGACCTGATTCGCATAATGGGTGATTTTGGCCTAGATCTACTCACAGAGAAAGGCACAGTCACATTCGAAGGGCCTGTCTATGGCAATATTGTGCGTAGCACGATCGATTTAACGTGGACCGCGGCGTCTCTCGCGGACCGTGTGATTCGCTGCACTCCATGCCGCCAGTGGTGGTACGGAGCCGACCACGTGCCGATTCTCACTGAATTCGACGTCCGTACCTCGCCAGCAGGGGTTAGAGAGCGCCAGGACTGGCGGGCCACGGACTGGGAGGCCTGGTGTAAGGCCCTTGAGAGATATATCACGAAGCAAGGGTGGAGCATATCGGGTCCTGGCTGGGTGCTCGATACAGCTGAGAAAGTGGACGAAGCTGTGAAACGGGTGATGGACGCTGTATCAGCGGCATCCAAAGATACTGTCCCCGTACGGAAGATCCACCCCGGACGCTCATATCCCACGTATACGCCTGCACTCGCCCCGCTGAAGCAGCAGGTGCGTCGGGCACGCCGCACATGGCAAAGTAGCCATAACGAAGAGGATCATGAAGCTTTTCGGCAGCTGCGGCATCAGCTCGGCCGAGAAAGCAAGAAGATGGGCCGTCAGGCACACAGAGAGAGAGTGGAGGAAGCCACTACGTCTATCGACGGATTTTGGCGGTTAGCAAAGTGGGCAAGGTCGCGGGGGGTCCCCCGGTCTTCACATACCCCCACACTCCGCGTTGGCGAACGTGAATTTACCACAACGGACGAGAAAGCAGCGTGCTTCCGCACAGCACTTTTCCCACCGGCCCCTACCGCAGATCTCTCCGATATCGACGGATATACGTACCCGGACGCCGTGCCGATGCCAACTACCGTTTCCCCAGCAGAAGTCGAACACGCCATCCGCAGGGCAACCCCGTACAACGCCCCGGGCCCCTCTAGCATACCGAATGCTGTGTGGAAGCACGGGTTGGACGTACCAGGATTCTCCACCTTTATCACGGCCATCTTCAACGCCTGCATTATCCTAGGCTACTGCCCACGGGCGTTCAGAGATAGTATAACAGTCGTGATCCGGAAGCCAGGCAAGCCAGATTACACTAATCCGAACGCATGGCGGCCGATCTCGCTGTTAGAAACCCTCGGAAAGGCACTCGAATCGATTATCGCTACACGCCTATCATACCTTGCAGAGGAGTATGGCCTACTGCCAGAAACGCATATCGGAGGGCGTGGCGGCCGTTCCTGTGACCATGCTATCCACATGCTGCTCGAAGCAGTATACGACGCATGGAGAAAGGACCGGCGGGTCGCTTCGCTTCTCACGTTAGACGGTAGCGGGGCCTTTGATAACGTCTCGCATATACGACTGATCCACTGTCTACGGAAGCGACGCATCCCGGAGATTATCACAAACTGGCTGATCAGCTTCTTATCAAATCGAAGCACGACCCTCTTACTGCAAGAAGGACGCTGTGCAAACGAACCGGTTGCTACCGGGATCCCACAAGGTTCACCACTATCACCAATTTTGTATCTTTTCTACAACTCAGACCTGATCGACGATATCCACGCAGCTGCTCCCGGCCGGGTGCTAGTGACGGGATATATCGACGATATCTGCATCCTTGTGTGGGGCGTTTCCCCTACTCGCAATTGTCAATTTCTCTCCGAACTACACGCTGTTGCTGAGACGTGGGCGAAACGGCACGCATCTAAGTTCTCTCCATCAAAATATGGTCTTATTCACTTTTGGAAGAGGGGTGCTGGCGCGCTGCCCCCGTACGGCGTCCATCCGCAGCAGACACCCGCCCTTACGGGCTCTGTCACGATTCAGGGCGTCGAAATCAAGCCGGTGGCGTCCCTCCGCTATCTCGGGGTCATTCTTAACGAAAACCTCACAGCCCGTGACCACCTACTCCGCTGCCGCAAACGAGCTGCAGTACTGACCGCGGCCCTCCGTTCTATTGCTGGCATGACCTGGGGGGTCACGACGCTCCACCTGCGTCGCATGTGGACGGCTGTGCTGTTTCCACAGATTAGCTTTGGCTGTTCTACGTGGTACACGAAGGGGGCCTACCAGGCGAAGACGACAGAGAATGAGGTGAACCGCGCTCTCGAATCCATGCAGTATCAAGCCCTTTACCGTATCGCCGGCGCGTTTCGTACGACGTCCCGGGCTGCGCTACAGATCCTTCTCTATGTCCTACCAGCGCCAATCGCGACTCAACGGCTAGCAGAACTCACATGTCTCCGTATTCATACCCACCCACTCCGCACTATCTTCCGCAGACGTACGCCAGTCGATAGGGCAACGCTACGGCTATACTGCCAAGACAGCCACCGCAATCTCGGACCTATCCAGAAAGCTATGACTACCCCGCTGCAGCGCCTTGAGAAGCATCTCCAAGACCGTGGAATCGACGTGCACGACCTTGAGCTGATCAAGCCGTACGCAGTGGCCCCGTGGTGGCAGCCGCCAAAAGTGCAGATCGCCGCAAGCAAAGACACAGCAATCGCGCAGCATAACGAAATCCTTAGGGCCGCTGGGCCCTACGGGCCTAACACCGCAATAGCTTATACCGACGGTAGCAAGCTCGATAACCCAGCAGGCGTAGGGGCTGCTGCCCTCACCTCCGTGGGGAGAGAGGTGGCGGTGCTACACCCCACAGATTCGATCTACGTGGCAGAACTCCACGGAATCAAGCTCGCACTCCGTCGATTCGACACGGAGATAAGCTTTCGACAGACGTGCGAGGGCTTCCGCGCAGAAACAGATACTACCGATACTACCGATACCACCGCTACTGCTACGATCTTCACAGACAGCCAGGCTGCGATTCTCGCTTTCGCACGCCCGCGGCGAAGCTCAGGCCAGTACGTGCTACGAGAAATCGCGGAGCTACTGGACCGAGTACAGCCTGTATGGCAGGTCCGCATCAACTGGCTACCCGGACATGTCGGGGTAGCCGGCAACGAGCGGGTCGACCAGATGGCCAAAGAAGCAGCCGAATCCACAGCCACGCCTACGACGACACCACTACTCCTTACCGCAGCCAAAGCCACCTTACGTGAGCAAACGTTAGAGGCGTGGACACGCGAGTGGACGACCTCCGCCCACGGTGAATACGTCCGAGACCTCTTTCCAGAGCCCACAAAAGCAGTATTTCAGCTCCATGAGCCACTCCGCAGACCCACTAGCGCTGCACTTATCCAGATGCAAGCAGGTAAGCTGGCCCTACCAGCATATCTGTCAACCATCTCCGCCTGGCGGGACGAAAGGGTAGCTCGGGCACTCGAGAACGGGGTGCCGGACCTAGACCCGTCGGCCTGCCACCACTGCGAGCGTGGTAAGATGGACACGAAGCACGTGCTGCTGACCTGTCCCCGCTTTGCTACGCTCCGCGCCAATACCCTTGGTATCGACCGCCCCCCGGGCGTATGGACGTCCTGGCTCACTGAGCCAGAGCGCGCACCTAAAGCAGCTTCCTTCATACTAGCCACACGCCTTCTCGGCCAATTCCGCCACCTACCAGAGACATACCACACCATAGCAGCCGCGTAGCGGCCACTCATTCCTTGGAGTGCCCACGGGCCTCCAGAAACCACCGATCCACTAATCTCCTAGGCCCTTCGGGCGCCTAGGGGCCACTGCGTTATTCGAAGACGGAGGGATAACACACGATCGAACACCATGGGAGATGCTTGCGGGGACGTCTCAGGCCTGCGCACGGTCAGCTGATCACTTTGCTTCTACCAGCGTTAGCGGTATGTGAGTACGGGTAAGGTTAAACTGCGAGACACGATCTGGCGAGCGAAGACGGGCGCGTTGAAGGGGTGCAAGTGAAGGAGAGAGGTTGAGCGTACGCGGAGAAGGGGCGTGCCGAGGTTTTGGTGTTTGCACTGTTTGGCTATTTTGGTCTTGGCGGACCTGTTTGCACTATTTGCCTTCCTTCCCCCCCCCCCCCCCCCCCACCCTATCCGCCTACCAAATAGCCTACAGTTGCATCCGATTAGCGTTATTACCACTTGGTGATATAGTTGTTCCGGCTATCCTATAGTGCCCTACTGGCAAATCGGGCCAAAAGCCTGACAGATCCATGAATGAATACAAAAAAAAAAAAAAAAAAAAAAAATCCGCCCGCATTTACATAAAAAAAGTTGACCTTTCCTAATTTAGACGCATAATATTGCTCAGTCATCCTAATAGATTACTGTTTTTCAACACTGTTCTGGTTTCCATCTTTCATTTCTACTTTATTTCCTTATTATTATTAAGAAATTTTAAGAAATCAAGTAGTATTATAGTATATAATGATAGGTAATATAGATATTATTCACTTTTAGCCTACTATTATAAAGATAGGGTTGGTAATTTTGAATATTACGAAGTCTATAAGTTGAAGTTATAGAAATATATATTTATACTTAGGGTATATAGTGTATCCTCTATAGGAACTTAGTAATACTCTCTTTAAATCTCGAATGCTAGTATTTATGATTAAAAATTGAATCAAAAGGTGAAATTACGATAACTACTTAATATATTGCTAGTAATTACCATTAAATTATATATAGTATAATAGTAAAGTGTTAGAAATTATGATTTAGTAGAAGAGTTTGTAGAAGATTTTAGGGGGGGGGGCATTACGACTACCCATTTTTTGAGGGCGGATTATTGAACTAAGGGCCGCCTATATATTTCGAGGGCTTTTCGAGGGCTTTTCAAGGGCGGCCCTTAACTAGCGCTTAAATTCTGACTAATAGGGGAAGGTAGTAGTAGAAAAAGTGGGTTATAGTATGATAGATCATACTATAATTACTATAATCACTATGATTACTTCTCTTAGAATAATCATAACGCGACTAGTTAACTTTGCGTGCTTGAAACTATGGTTTATGTATATCTGTTCTTATTGCTGCTAAGTCCTTCTTTTATTCTTCCTCTTAATATTACTCTTATTAATAATATCTAATATATCTTAGTTCTTAGATATCTACTCTTTATCTATTTACGACGGCGATCTAGTAGCTAACGACCCTTTTCACCCTTTATTAAACGAGCTACTCCCTACCCCTAAGGATACTATATTAAACTCTGGTTTTCTTACGCTAGTCCTACTATCTCTAATTCCTCCCTTACTCTAACATATTAGTCCTAGTCGTTCAATAGCGTTTGTCCTATTTAATAAGATGTTAAAAGATGACTTTATGGCATAGTGGCTATAGGCTTCGGCAGGACCCAATTTTGGACCCAATCTTGGCAATGCCAAGGACCCAAGGACCCAATTAGGACCCAACTTTTTGCATAAATATGTATAAATCATCCAAAATAGGAAATTCTTGGCGTTTTTATGTATTTTTATGTAAAAAGTTGGGTCCTAGATTTAAAATCATTGGGTATTGGGTCCTAACCTTGGACCCAAATTGGGTAATGCCGAAGACTAAGTGGCTAGAGATAGACTTTAGAAAGATAAAGAAGATATATTAGGGTAGTAATCGGATAGCTAAATACTAGGAATACTTTGATGAAGTTATAGACGTAAGATCTAGGAAACTAGGGGCAAAATGTCGGAAATGCTATAAAGTCCTAGATTACCCTAGGTATAGTTGATATAGAATAACTGCCCTTAATTGGTATATGGCTAGACTAACTTGCAAAAATTCTACTACCTAAAAGGGTAATATTAAGGGACTTCTAGCTAGACCTCGCCATGACCCTCAAACGGGTCCAAGGTCAGGACCCTCCACCCGACCCTCACGCGGGTCGGGTCCAACCTCAGGGACCCTTACCCGACCCTTACCCGCAGAGGGTTGCTTATGGCTCACCCGCACTCACCCTCACTCACCCGCTTTTGCATAAATTTTCTTAACCTTTCCTAATTAGGACGGATAAAATTGATTAGTCATATACATAAATCATACTTACATACAAAAAAAATTGCATAAGACAATGTTTGACTTGTTTGCTCACCCGCGGGTAACCCGCGGGTAACCCTTTGCGGGTGAGAATAATACTAGAACCGACCCGCGGGTAGGAGGTCAGGACCCGTCACCCGCGAATTAGAGGGTCGCGGGTCACCCATTGCGGGTCACCCGCGGGTCATGGCGAGGTCTACTTCTAGCTACTGCGGTATATTATTTTAACTATTCTATAAATAATATCTGACTTTTACTACCTTATTAGATATAGAATACTCTAACTAAAGTAACTACCTTTATATAAGAAGTATAGGAGCAGAAGCTTTTATAGCTTCTTACCCTCTCCTATCTCCCCTTCTAGTTTATTAAGTACCCATAATTTCGTGAAATTATTTTATTCGCCCGGCTCGCCCTAATATAGCTATAGATTCTATCTGCAGTCGTGATATATTCGCGACTATAGCAATCCGTTCAGGAACAACAGAAGTCTATTCTTCAGAAGCTCCCTCTAAATATAAAGCTTTCGATTACCCTTAATTACCAGACCTCTCTATTTTAATAGGCTTTTATAGCTATCACTAGCTATTTTCTTAATTAAGATTAGCAGTACTAAGAAGTCCTTCTTAGCTTTAAACCGCTATCTAGATCCTATATAGGTATAAATCTAAGTAATATTATTTTAAAGATCCTTTAGTAGTATAAGATTATAGATCGAGTCCTTATAGTCACTACGGATAATACATTAAATAATAATACCATAGTCGTAAGTATCTAAGAGTCACTATAGGCGTTAGAGCTAAGCAGTAGCTCGATAATTATACGGATTCCTTATATTACCTATATGATCTAACTTAGCTTAAACGACCTTTTAGGGAAGATAAAGGTAATACTAAAGAATAATAGTATAGAGATTAATTGGTCGGATGATCATATTCGAATCCTTCGTATAAGGCAGCAGAAGAGAGAAATTATTAATACGCTTAATAAGGTATATAGTCTAGAGATGCGTTTTTATATATAAAAATTTTGATTCTTTAACTTTTTCTTTGATCTTTATACCCTACTCTCTATACTCTAAGAGATAGGTTTTTATACATAAAAACCCATTCCTCTATCCCCTACCCTCTATCTACCTAATATATTATCAATTCAGATATTATCTAGTAGCCTAAGAATTTAGGAGTTAATACTTTCTATAGAAATCAGTAACACTTTTACATACCCTCTCTATCTATCTAACTAACTTTTCTATTAAAACTTAGGTCCGAAACCTTACGGCCTATATCAACGCTAGCCCATAACGACGGGAGTCTTTCTATAATCTTCAGACTAAAGAGCTAAGGCTTATTCTAATCTAGGATATACAGACTCGCTAGAACTCGACTTTTCTTATGCTTCGACGTGCTAAGCGGCTTTAATCGGTCTTTAATAAGTTCTACTCTTAATATAACCAGGATCACTTTATGCTAAGTGCAGAAGAGTAGAGATAGATTAACTATCTGCTTTATATTACCCAGCCCTTCTTCAAATTCACCACCCTTCTATGTAAGACTAAGGACGTGAGTATTTATCTGGTTTTCAGTATCTATAATAAGCTTTTTAATCATCTTAAAAAGGTAAAGAGTGCCTTAAGGAGGAAGAAGGTAATATAGAAGCAGCTTATGCTTCTCTCCCTAGAGGTAATAGAGAAGAAGCTTTTATATTACTATAGTATGACTAATAAGATTGATAATAACCTTTACGCCATCGGTACTATCCTCTTACTATAATAGAAGCTCGACTTCTTTAAAGATAAGGATTGGGACAATCCAGATATTGACTACTGTATAAAATACCGGAAAAGCCTTAAAGACTACTTTTAAGCCTATAAATAATACTATTCAGAGACATAATTATCATCCAGAGTCTAACTATCTATAGATACTAGTATTTCAGAGCTTAAGATAGAGTATAGGGCAGAAGACTCCTATCCTTTATTTACCGGTGAATATGATAAGATCAAAGAGTATCTAAATAGTAGTAAGTTATACTATCTATACACTATCTATACTATTTAATTATACTAAGATAGATTATACTATAGGTATTATATATACCCCTATATATACATTTTAGAGAGACCATCAGCACTAGTTCCCTACTCTTATAAATCTTACACGAGATATCCTTTCAATACCAGCTATAGGTATAGGCGTTAAGCGGCTTTTTAACTCCGCTCGGGATATCTGTCACTATCGGCGTGGCTCTCTAAAGCCATCAACTTTTCAGGATCTCATGATGTTCATGTGCACATCGAGATTTGAGATTGAAGATAGCCATTGAGCCTTGATCAATAAATACCTTTCATCTAAAGAGAGACAGGCTAGCTAGGAGGAGAAGGATATATCTATCCAGCAGTTCGAGCCTATCAGTGATAATAAGGAAGATAATAATTATGGTCATGATAGTGATGGTGATAGTGATGCATCTTCGCTAAGAACCTAAGTTCTTAGCCTAGCCCAGCCCCTTATTAAAGTTGAACAGAGCCAGCGGACTCTAATAGAGGATGAAACTAGTGGTGAGCCTAGCTTACCTAGTATACAGCGTTATTTAGGGAGGGTTCGGCAGCGCTTAACACTTCTTAATGGATATGAAACTGAGGGTTGGAAGCGCCAGAAAACTTCGAACTAGACATATATCTAGTAGCTGCAAATACCATTCATAAATCACTTATCTCACTTATCTCATCTTTTTTATCAATCCATAAGAAAATACTACTACCCTAGTCAAAATCAGTAAGAGTAGTGTAAAGTAAATACCTAAAGATACAGCTGAAAAACTGCATAATTTATGCGAGTATGGGTCTTCAAAAGTATATGTACTGTTTGTCCTGTTTGTCGGCCCTCAAAAAGCCCGCGGGCGGCCCTCATGAGGGCTAGTAAAAGACCAGCCCGCCCGCGGGCGGGTATGAGGTCTAGTTAGATACTCTTTAATCTTATTATATTTACTAGTTAGTAAAAGATAAGAGTCTTCTATCCTATACTTTATCTTAAGTTTTAAAATACTAACATCTATAAAAAATTTAGACTCTAAATAATAATTATATCTCTAAATAACTTTATTTATAAGATTAAAAGTAGTTTTGAAGACTTTTATAGTATTTTATATAGTAGTTAATATTTAGATTATTCTAATTCTTATTTTTAAAGAAGTTAAGTTTTTATTATAGTAAAAAGATAATATTAATAATATAAATATTATTATTAATCTTTTTAATTATACTATAATAATATAAAAGCTTTTTCTCTATTATCTCTAAAGAAAAAAATATAAACTATTTCTATACTATTTTACTTTCTTTAAGATATTCTTTATCTTTTTAAGATAATTAAAAAGCTTATTAAAGATATTAAAAACTAAATAAATACTTATATTCTTAGTCTTAGATAGGAAAATTTTAAATTTAAAGAAAGGCTAGATAATATAAAATAGATCGTTAATCTATCTCTACTCTTCCATATTTAATATAAAGTAATCCTAGTTATATTAAGAATAGAACTTAATTTTTTTTTTTTTTTTTTTGTATTCATTCATGGATCTGTCAGGCTTTTGGCCCGATTTGCCAGTAGGGCACTATAAGATAGCCGGAACAACTATATCACAAAGTGGTAATAACGCTAATCATGCAAAGTAGGCTATTTGGTAGGCGGATAGGGTAGGGGGTAAAAATAAGGTTGTGGGGGAGTGGGGGAAAACAGGAGGGAAGACAAATCGGGCAAACAGATCCGCCAAGACCAAAATAGCCAAACAGTGCAAACACCAAAACCTCGGCACGCCCCTTCTCCGCGTACGCTCAACCTCTCCTCTCGCTTGCACCCCATCAACGCGCCCGTGTCGCTCTCGTCGCTCGCAACTTACCCTACTTACATACCGCTAACGCTGGCAGAAGTGATAGAGAAGAAGTTAACCGCAGCGCAGGTCCGAGCCGTCCCCGCAAGCATCTCCCATGGTGCTCGATCGCGTCATCCCTCCGTCTTCGAATAACGCAGTGGCCCCTAGGCGTCCGAAGGGCCTAGGGGGTTGGTGGATCGGTGGTTTCTGGAGGCCCGTGGGCACTCCAAGGAATGTGTGGCCGCTAAGAATAGAACTTATTAAAGGTTAATCAAAGCTATTTAGTATATTAAAATATAAGAAAAATTAAATTCTAATAAATCTATATATTTTAGATTAGAATAAGCTTTAGCTCTTTAATCTGAAGATTATAGAAAGACTCTTATTATTATAGACTAATATTAATATAGATTTTAAGATTTTAGATCTAAACTATAATAGAAAAGTTAGTTAGATAGATAAAGAGAATATATAAAAGTATTATTAATTTCTATAGGAATAATTAACTCTTATATTCTTAGACTATTAAATAATATCTATATTAAAAATATATTAGATAGATAAAGAGTAAAGAATAGAAAAATGATTTTCTATATATCAAAATCTATCTCTTAAAATATAAAGAGTAAGATATAAAGATTAAAGAAAAAATTAAAGAAATTATATTTTTATATATAAAAATATATCTCTAAAGTATATATCTTATTGAATATATTAATAATTTCTTTTTTCTATTATCTTATATAAAAGATTTATATATCATTATCTAACTAATTTATCTTTGTATTTTTTTTTTAGTATTATCTTTATCTTCTTTAAAATATATTTAAGCTAAATTAGATAATATAGGTAATATAAGAAATCTATACAATTATTAAGCTATTGTTTAGCTTTAATAACTATAACAAGTCTTAAATATTTATAACTATAGTATTATTATTTAATATATTATCTATAGTAACTATAAGAATTTAATTTATAATCTTATATTATTAAAGAATCTTTAAAACTAGATTATTTAGATTTATATCTACATAGGATTTAGATAGTAGTTTAAAGCTAAAAAGGACTTTTTAATATTATTAATCTTAATTAATAAAATAGCTAATAATAGCTATAAAAGCCTATTAAAATAAAGAGATCTAATTAAGAATAATCCAAAGCTTTATATTTAGAGAGAGCTTTTAAAGAATAGACCCCTATTATTTTAAATAGATTACTATAGTTATAAACATATTATAATCATAGATAGAATCTATAGCTTTATTAGAGTAAGCTAGATAAATAAAACAATCTTATAAAATTATAAATATTTAATAAACTAAAAAAGAAGATAAAAAAGAATGAAAAGCTATAAAAGCTTCTATTACTATATTTCTTATATAAAGATAGTTATTCTAATTAGAATATTCTATACTTAATAAAATAGTATAAAAATTAGTTATTATTTATAGAATAGTTAAAATAATATACTATAATAGCTAGAAGTCTCTTAATATTACTCTTTTAAATAGTATAATTTTTATAAATTAGTCTAATTATATACTAATTAAGAGTATTTATTCTATATTAACTATATTCAGAGTAATCTAGGACTTTATAGTATTTCTAATATTTTATCTTTAGTTTTTTAGTCCTTATATCTATAATTTTATTAAAGTATTCTTAATGTGTAGCTATTTAATTATTATTCTAATATATCTTTTTTATCTTTTTAAAGTCTATCTCTAGCTACTATACTATAAAATTATCTTTTCATATCTTATTAAATAGGATAAATACTATTAAATAATAAAGACTAATATACTAAAATAAAAAAGGAATCAGAGGTAATAGGATTAATATAAAAAAATAGAGTTTCATATAGTATTCTCAAGAGTAAAAAGTAACTTATTTAATAAAAGACAAAAAGGGTTATTAGCTATTAGATTACTATTATAAATAAATAAAGAGTAAATATCTTAGAACTAAGATATATTAAATATTATTAATAAGAGTAAGAATAGAAAAATAATAATAAAAAAGACTTAATAGTAATAAGGATAGATATATATAAACTATAATTTTAAATATATAAAATTAACTAATTATATTATAATTCTTCTAAAAGAAATAATTATAATAATTATATTATAATATAATCTATTATACTATAATCTATTCTTTTTACTACTATCTTTCTCTATTAGTTAGAATTTGAATATTAGTTAAAAGCTACTTTTAAAAAGCCCTTAAAAAGCCTTTAAAATATGTAGATAACCCTTAGTTTAATAATCTATCTTTAAAAAATAAATAGATATAATATCCTCCTGAAACTCCTCTATAAAATCTTCTATAAAATCTTCTATAAAATTATCTATTCTATATTTTACTATTATACTTTATATAATATAGTAATTATTAGTAAAATATTAAATATTTATTATAATTTCTATCTTTTCATTTAATTTTTTATTATAAATATTAGTATTTAAGATAGAGGATATACTATATATCTTAAGTATAAATATATATTTCTATAACTTCAATTTATAGACTTTATAATAGTAGGCTAAAAGTAAGTAATATCTATATTATCTATTATTATATACTATAATATTATTTAATTCCTAAAAATTTCTTGATAATAATTTAGAAATAGAGTAGAAATAAAAGATAGAAACTAGAATAGTATTAAAAAATAGTAATCTATTAGGATAACTAAGTAATATTATACATCTAAATTAGGAAAGGTTAACTTTCTTTTATAGATATAGGCAGATAAGGGCCGCTCACGGCTAGCCCTCTAAGGGCTAAGGGTCTACTAAGGGCTAGTAGTACCGGCTCTCTAACTAATATAGGTTAGGCTAAGGGCTAGAGATACTAGCCCTTAAAACGTTTTTAATAAGATCTAAAAGAGAGTATATAAGAGAGAGTATAAGATTAAAGAGAAAAAGAGGGGTTTTATCTAAAGAAAGTCTAGATAAAAGTACGGATAATAGGTATTTACCTATATCTTATATATCTATTTGTATACAGAAGCGCCCTAACTAGCTAATTAGCTTTTATATAATTAATTAGGTGTTTTTAGTTATTATTTATTAAATTTTATCTATTAAAATTTATCAGATTAATAAGGGTTACTGATTTCTATAGAAATAATAAACTCCTAAAATTTCAGGTAGTAGGGTTTTTATATATAAAAACCTATCTCTTAGTAGTAAAAGTATATATTTTATTTATAGTAATTAATAGCAAGAATACTAAAATACTGCATATTTTTTCATAAATTATGCCTAAAAAATGAGCTCCACTTTCACGGGCCTTACAGGCTTTTCTTAGCGGGCCTATCCATAGACAAATCACTTTTTGTCTACCTAGATAGGCCCGCGGGCTGTCCACACAGGCATACCCACGGGCCTGCTAAAGTCTATGCTGGTCTTCTCCTATTATAACCTGACCAGCCCATACCCTAATAATCTATCTATAAATAGGGATATTTTATAAAAATGACATAGAGAAGATAGATAATAGGGTAGGTAGTATATATTTTAACGAAAATAGGGGTAAATTATAGAATTAATTTAGGTAACTTAGTTGTTTATATTAAAAATCAGGTAGAATTAGGCAGTAATAGGCCGAAAAAGCCTATTAGGCTAGGCTTAGGTAGGGGGTCGGCCTAATAGGCTGGCCTATGCTAAAGTCAATATATAAGCTTATATAGAAGCTTCTCCGAGGAGTTTGTAGAAATAATAATAATATAGGTGAAAATAACGTAGTTATGAGTAGTAATAAAAGTGGCAGAAAAAAAATTCTACCGATATACTAGTGACACTTTTGACATTTTGACATTTTCCTAATTTAGAAAAAGGGGATTGATAGTAGCATAAAGGACAGTGACGGTAGAAATTCCTTATAATAATAAATTGGCGTTTTGGAGGCAGTCGTATACTTTTAAAAATAATATGGTAGGGTGACCAGGCCGACCGTGAAATAGTTAACTACGTTATCGCCCGTGCTTAGTCATGCCGGATAAGACACCGCGGCTCTTATCGTAATCTTTTGTCGAAATTCTTCATTTTCACATATTTCCTTTACCATCTTCCCTATTGTCCACCTCCCGATATTTCCCACCTAACCACATACGAAGTCACGATGGGCGTGCAAAGGAAAGTTCGCAAATTTGCCGTCACCAAGCGAGCAATCTCCCAACGTGATGCTCGTCTGTTCGTTTCTTCTCTCTCCTGCTTCAGGCAAGTCGATTGGATTTGCTGCTGACATCCTCTAGCAAAGATGACAAAAGCGATAAGAAAGGCAAACCCACCAATGATGATGTAGTCCGAGAAGCGTATGTTGCTCAAGACTTCACTGAAATTTAGATTAAGCGTCGCCCCACTAACAATGTTGTCTCTAGACCCCAGGCCCCTTCATCGCTCTTTTTTCAATACAATACGGCCCTAGCGCCGCCGTATTCCGTTCTTGTTGATACCAATTTCATATCCCACACCATTCAGCATAAGCTGGATGTCATTCCAACCATGATGGATTGCCTCTATGCCAAGTGTATCCCTGTTATCACTGATTGTGTGCTGGCTGAGCTGGAGAAGCTGGGCCAGAAGTACCGCCTAGCTCTGCGTGTCGCCAAGGATCCCCGGTTCGAGAGAATCAAATGCGACCACCCAGGTACCTATGCTGATGACTGTCTTGTTGACCGGATCATCAAGCATCGCGTCTATATTGTGGCGACCAACGATCGTGATCTTAAGAGGCGGATTCGGTAAGTCATATTACTCTCCATTCTCACTTGAGAGCAAAGCAGAAACTGCAATGGGGACTTTTGTCTGACCATGGAGTGCAGGAAAATACCCGGTGCACCTATAATGAGCGTTGCCCGGGGAAAATATGTCATTGAACGACTACCGGATGCTCCTGAGAAGTGAGGACTCTATTCACGTCCTGATATTTCCTCACGTCCTGATATTTCCACACGTCCTGGGCCAACCTCACTCCCCCACCTTCTGTGATTGTCGCGAAGCGGAGCTGTCACCACATTTCATTGAAGGCCTCTCTTAAGGGTCCAACATGCACTTTAGTATCATCACCGCGTCCGCAGACATCAACCTCTCAACCCGAATCATCGCCAAGTGCCTGGACCAGATCATTGGTCCTAAGTCCAGGTGGATCTGGCCAATTCCTTCATGTTGGCTCTCATCATACCGTACAGCGAATGTCCCAAATGGCACCCGACGGTTCGAACTGTTCTGTGGACCTGGGGTTTTGATCCATCATAGTCTTAATTTTGATTGTACATAAGACAGCCTATTCCTCACCCCTGTGGTGGTATTATGGGACCCTAGAATTGATGTCGTCTCATCCATGGACTAGCAATTTCTTTTCACCTCTAACATTCCCATGCATATCACTTGTTGCCGGATGTATTCCCATTATTTCCGGTTATAAATTATGCAAAAATATTTGTATCAGGGCCTTTGATCGGACTTGAGTTTTTATGTGGGTTTTTACCTCTATATCTACATCTAAATTATACTCTACATGTCCAAAGATTAAAATCAGGCAAAAATCTCATGAAACTGTAAAAAAAAGAGCTGATACTATCTATGTATATATACACGAAATCTCTTATCTTGCGGATCTTAAGAAGCCAACAACTCCACGGCAGTATCCCACCAGTTCAGCGAGACGTTTACCTTCCCGTTCCTGTTCATGGATCCAAGATGCAAGGGCTTCTTGCAAGAGACGATATTCTGGTTCATCTCGGCAAGAACAGAGTCCCACCGTATCAGCATGGATCTTCAGAAACACCGCCATCCATGCGTTGACCAGTTCAAAATCCCTTCTCAGCCTGAGACGAATTGTGAGAGCTCTGACGAAACTGGATAACTCGGAGAAGCCGTCGCGCGCCCGCGGGTCAAGAGAACGAATCTCCAGGTCAGCTCGTGCCGGGGATAGGGATTTGAGATGGTCAATCAAAGCGTCATAATCCCCAGAGTCGTGACCGGACCTGAGGGATTGGGTAATAGTGGATTCAGAACCAACCCCCCTAGTTGGCATCTTGGTCACCCGAGATCGCTCTGCCTCAACGTTGTGAGAAAGAGACCCAGCTTCGGCGATCTCGGCAGCAGTGTCATGGACCGACCCGGGGCGCGCATCACCGAGCAAAGAGGGAAGGAAGAATGGTGCCTTCTCGGGGGCCTTAGGAGCTTCCTTGGGCCGATTGCGTTCCTAAAACGGCGTTAGTGTGAGGATACAGAAAGTATTTTCCAAGGGAAAGCGCCGTGTACCTTAATAGAGTCAAGATGAACCAATGCCTGCCATTTGCTCTTAGGAACCAGACTGAGAGTAAGCATATCTTGCCGCAACTGTTCACTTGTCAGCACGGGTCCTTCTGCCTCCTCTGGCTCAGGGGCCTCCATAAAAGCTGCCTCGACAAGACCCGCGCCGCTCTCGCCAGATGTTGTTGGCACACCAACATCCTCAATGAGATCCTCGTCCAGATTTTTGGTGGACACGGGCATGAACAGGCTACGGTTACTCCAGAGGCTAATGCCGATGCTTCCAGCATGTGCTGTAGCCAGGAACTCTCCAGTGGATGACATCGCAAGTGAGACACATGTGTTAGAAACGCGAAAGATGTCGATGAGATGCCCAGTGGGCAAGTCCCAAATCCGTACCACGGAGTCCATAGAAGCCGCAATGATCCACCGGCCATCATTGGAGAAAATGAAATCATTTACTTGACCCACGCAGCCCCAGAATTCACGCACTAACTTGTGGGTTTCAAGATCAACCACACGAATAGAGAGGTCGTCGCAGCTGAAGGCGACAAGTTCGCTGGTCTTGCTGTAACGAATTCCAGTCACCGCTGCCATTGGATTCCAATCCAATTCATCAATTAAAGAGCCCGAGAGCAGATCCCAAAACTGAAAAAGAAATGTAATGTAAGTATGGTCTGCACGAAAAAGGGGTATAGTTCGAAGAAGGCTTCACCTTGACCTTGCCATCCAGGCCACAACTGATAACGGTTCGGTTGAGATTATCAATCATCAATCCAGTCACTGACTTGCTATGTCTTGCATTTTCAAGGCGCGAGGAAGCAAATACCGAATCGCTACCTCCCTGCACCTTCGTGGCGCGAGACTTGGCCCCCCGGGACGGGAAGCTCTGCCTATGTTGCCCAGATTGCAAGTTAAACAAATCGATGGATCCCCCTGCTGATCCAATGACTGCAAATGTTCCACATTGGGACACAGCCACGCTCTATAGAATATCTCGATCAGTCGAAATCCGGGGGTCCGGGGGTTTGGGGGATGCAAACATACCTTCACTTCCGTTCCATCACTTGTTGCAAATGCCCAACGACCGGCCTTCTTCTTTCCCCAGAACCAAGTACGCGCATACTTGTCCCCTCGATGGCCGGTAACGACGCTCTCCCATCCGGTGGAGTTGGAAGATTCGGTGTTAGTGAACTTGGGGTTCGACCAGATGGGGCCTGAAGTGGTGATGCCCATACCTGCATCTCGGTTTAGGGAACAGGCAATACAAGTTACCTCAGGGGCTTTGAGAGGATCGACCACCGAGCTTGATGGATCGGAGGGACCCAGTTTCTTCGACTTGCGCTCCACACTACCTTGCGAAATCTCGGCGTGCTGACTATCCTTGCGTAAGCTCAGTCCCCAGAGACTGCAATCCTTGCTTGCACTGAGAAGCCACTTTCCACCAGAGTCGGATCCATCGGAGGCGGCAGGTAAGAATTCTAGGGCGCTGACGGCAGCAGAGTGCCCACCTCGTACATGGAGTGGCCGAGGTGTCGGCGAGAAGGGTGTCTCGTCAAATATCCATGTTTTCAAGGCATTGTCGTCTCCCGATGACACGAGTACTGGCTGTCCGTCCAAGAACTCGACGCGATTCACACCCGTGCTATTGTCTCGGTTTGCTACGCGGTGAGCTCCACGCAGGATGCCAGCCACCCGACCTCCATCGTTCAAATCCCACATGGTAATATCACCGCTTCCACTCGCGGCAGTAGCCATGACACCGGCTTTTCGGCCATCGTGACCTGCCCCTAGACCATCACTGCGGAACGTGATCGATGTTACCGGAAGAACGCGTGCCGAGGAAGTCCGGAGAGGCAATACTAGCTGGCCCGAGTCAATGTTGTAGACCGACAAAGCACCGCTCTTGTGGGCAATGGCCAGTAGAGACAAAGCAGGGGTTGGATGGATCGCCGTGACTGGTCCGGAATCCGACGATGGTGTGGGTAACGTGTGCAGCAGCTTCCCACTCCGGATATTCCAGATATCCACGGCCCCATCCATACGCCCAACGAATATCTTGTTAAGATATGTTGGCATGTTACACAATAGTCCTGTGTAGATGGGTTCGCCCGCAGAGCCTGGGTTTCCTCGCGGTCGTAGACTGGCATAGTGTTCCCAGCTTCCCGTCTTCCACACTTCAAGACCACCTGTCCAGCAGCCAACGACCCACGAACCGAACACCACTAAGCGTTCAATCGGGCCATCTAAATTAGGGCTCTCCAGAGACGCGACACGTTTACCACGCTTGAACACCCAAACCCCTCCAGGGGAACGGGGACGTAGGTAGCCCCATGCAGCGAGTACTTTATCCTGCCAGGCACATGTCGCCGTGATGAACTCTGGGGTTTGTGGCCGACTCAAGAAGATCAGGTTCAAGCCCCGTCTCAGATCATAGGTCTGTAGCGTATGACCTACCGATGTCGTGATCTGATAAGTTGACTTTCCTAGGCGAACACTAGTGAATGGCACTGAAGTCGGAGACACCAGTCCCAATGTCTTTATTAAGAAACTTGTTAGTAAGAGTACCTTCAGAGGGAAATGCTGGGAGAAGATCAGTCCTATGAACATACCCGGAAAGGAGCAAAAATTTTGGACCCCTCACGCTGGTTGGCTACCCTCTTTTCTTTGCTGAGAGTTTTCTTCTGCCTCTTAGCCAGAGGCAGATCGAAGGTATCATTTGTCAAGGCCGGCATGATGATGTGGAAAGAGGGTAGCCTTGAAGATGAGCTAGTACGATATTTTCGATTTCTTTTTTTTTTCTGCCGGGCGGAACCCCTTTGGGGGATCCGCATCTTCAAACGGAGTATGGAGTACATGTAGCTAAGATACTCCTTATATGTAATTTGGATTATTCATTGTTTATGTGGATTTTTACTATTTATTGGCACCTTGAATATATTCTACCTAGGTATCTACCTACGTATCTGACTGGGTTTATATTTTTCAAGAGCCCTAAATGTATGACTCTAGTTATATAACTGAAATTAACATTACATAGTAATACATATATAAAGGCAGAAAAATAAATAGAAAAAGAACAAGATAAAGGAAAATAATAAGAAATAAGAAAAGAAAAAGAATGAAAACGTGAAAATCAAAGCAGCATAAACTCGAGGAGATCTTATGAATTTACTGAAATAAGATGTTGTCTTTAACTTTCGCCAAAAATGTTCGGTTTCGTGCATGAACTTTTAGCTGCAACTCTCCGCCTAGATTTCCGCAGTTCTTGTGAACCCTCTTCCCCACATCTACAATTTATCGAAATGCCTTCAGTTTACCCATCCATGCAAATCTAAGGGTAATTGATGGTATTGATCTCCGGAGAGAATCCCTCCCCTCCCCCCAAAACTCCCCCTCTAACTTAATCCCGAATCGATTCCTCGATCCTTCCTTCCCATATATTCTGGCCAACCGCTCGGTGTGATGGAACCAGACAATTGCCAAGGGAGCGCCTCATCTGCTGACATGGGATCGTCAAAGGGTGTCTTCGAACAGATCTTGGGTTCAGGCTCCCCGCTGGCCTCCGTAGATCCGGAGCAGAAAGAGATCCCGCCAACGGAACCCTTGACTTCAAACCGACATCATGGCCAGCATTCACCCATGAAGTCTAGTCGAGTGGACACGGCCCCGGATGCTCGTTCGGGCCCGCGCTTTGGCAATGCCAACCGCTCGTCGAGCCGCACCCCCCGACGATTTAGCGGAAGTACGGCGGCAAGCTCTATCAGTGAATTGGAGCCCAGTGGGACCAAATTGTGGAGGATTGGCGTCTGTGCCTTAGATGTGAAAGCTCGCAGCAAGCCCAGCCAGAACATTCTTACTCGGCTCCAAGCCAAGGGTGAGTTTGAGGTGATTGTTTTTGGAGATAAGGTGATCCTGGATGAAGAGGTAGAGAACTGGCCAGTGTGTGATTTTCTCATCGCCTTCTTCTCGGATGGATTTCCCCTTGATAAATCCATCGCCTACGCCAAACTCCGGAAGCCAATCTGTGTCAATGATTTGCCGATGCAAAAGGTTTTATGGGATCGAAGATTGTGCCTGAGAATTCTAGACCAAATGGGAGTTCCCACACCCCAGAGAGTCGAGGTGAATCGCGATGGTGGGCCAGTTCTGGAGTCATCGGACCTCGCTCAGCACATATACCGGCTGACAGGTGTCAAGTTGGAGGGCCCCGAAGATGGCACGGGTGGCGGTGCTCCGAGGACCCAGCAGGTATCCATGTCGGAGGATGGCGAGGCGCTGATAGTGGATGGTAAAGTCTTCAGGAAGCCCTTTGTGGAGAAGCCCGTGAACGGGGAAGACCATAATATCCATATCTACTTCCCCAACGATCAACAGTATGGCGGTGGTGGACGGAGGCTTTTCCGAAAGGTCGGGAACAAAAGTTCGGAGTACGATGCCAGCCTCTCTGTGCCTCGCTCCGTCACGGAGACTGAGACAAGTTACCTATACGAGCAGTTCCTTCGGGTGGATAATGCAGAAGACGTGAAGGCGTATACAGTGGGCCCCGACTTTTGTCACGCTGAGACACGTAAGTCACCCGTCGTTGATGGGCTCGTCCGGCGAAATACCCACGGTAAAGAACTACGCTATATCACTCAATTGAGCAAAGAAGAAGCTGCAATTGCGTCGAAGATATCGAACGGATTCGGTCAGAGAATTTGCGGCTTTGATATGCTTCGTGTTGGGGATAAGAGCTATGTGATCGATGTGAATGGCTGGAGTTTTGTCAAGGACAACAACGATTACTATGACAAATGTGCTCAGATTTTGCGTGACACCTTCTGGACCGAGATGCGCAAGGTTGAGGGCTCGATGGAGCTTTCGGAACCCCCTTCCCCGGACCTGGGTCAATCCAGAAGAAGTACGGCGGGCTCTCATCGACAAGCATTGAAGACATTGCTGAAGTCACCAAGTACATCCCGCCTCTATGGTAATCAGCATGCTCCTAGATCCCAAGACGCTCCCCCTTCAGATGTATCGACCGGTGCTCCTTCTTTGGCATCCTCATCCGGGCTAGAGAGCGCCGAACCTACCGTGAATTTGAGCAGCATAAACTCGCGAGAATGCCATTCAGACCCTCGTGGCTATAGTCCTTCCAATACAAAGTCACCGGCTGTTTCCCTTCACCAAGCCAGCGAAGGAACCTTGCCGCCCCTTCCGGCTTCGAAACACTCCTGGAAACTCAAGGGAATGGTAGCAGTGATCCGGCATGCCGATCGCACGCCCAAGCAAAAATTCAAGTTTACCTTCCACAGTCAGCCTTTTGTGGATCTTCTGAAGGGACACCAAGAGGAGGTGGTCATCAAGGGAGCAGCGGCGCTCTCTAGCGTTTCCGATGCCGTGAAACTGGCATTGGAACAAGGTCTCGAAGATATAGACAAGTTGAATCTTCTTCGTGTATCCCTGGAGAAGAAGGGCGGATGGCCTGGCACAAAAGTGCAAATCAAGCCCATGTTCCGGAGGCGTAGGCCCGAGGAAATGCGGGATCAAGTTTCATCTCCAGTATCCCCATCGGCACCAGGCAAAAACGTGTCTGAAGAACCCCCCTCGCCTATACTAAGTGAAGCCGGGCAAGACGGCGAGGCATTGCGCGGCTCCCAAACACGCAGCGATTCGATCTCCGGCCCAACATTCTCTCGATTTTCAGCCGTGGAGAATGATTTGATCTTGGATAAGCTCCAGCTGATAATCAAATGGGGAGGGGAACCTACACACGCAGCACGCTATCAATCACAGGATCTGGGGTTGAATATGCGCGATGATCTTAAGCTGATGAATAAGGAGGCTCTCAATAATGTCCGTCTTTTTACCAGCTCCGAGCGCCGAGTGAGCACAAGTGGTAAGTGGGATCTTTCCCTCTGCGGGCTCGCCTTTTTCTCCGTTGTAATTCTACTGACAAGATTGGTTAGCTCAAATTTGGGCTTGCTCCTTTTTGGACCAGAAAGAAATCCCAGTAGACCTCATTCAAGTTCGAAAGGATCTGCTTGATGACTCTAATGCCGCGAAAGATGTCATGGATAAAGTGAAAAAGAAGCTGAAGCTGCTCCTGAGGGAGGGATCTGCCCCTTCACAGTTCACATGGCCCAAGGATACTAACATCCCAGAACCATCTGTCGTTCTTTCTACGGTGGTGGAATTGATGAAGTTCCATCGCAGTGTCATGCGTCATAATTTTGCTAAGTTGGATCCCTCATTGCAGAGTGCCGAGGACCCCAGCCAGCCTGATTCTCAACCCGACCAACCCCATATCGCCAATGTCCAAGGGCGATGGTGTGCGGGAGAAGACCCCCGCCTCTTCAAAGAGCGATGGGAGAAGCTATTTACCGAGTTCTGCGATACCGAAAAAGTGGACCCTAGCAAATTGTCTGAACTTTACGATAGCATGAAGTTCGATGCCCTGCACAATCGACAATTCCTGGAATGGGTCTTTATGCCACCAGACAGCGACCGGGATGATGATGATAAGAGCAGCGTCAAGAGCAGGAGTCCAACCAAGTCCGATTCAATTGCAGAAAGTAAGAATGGAACAGAAACCGGGAATGAGAAACCCGAAGAACGTCCAGAGAACCCTACACTCGCCCAGCGCTTTGGCTTGAAAAAACGATTCCAGGCACTCGAGCCTCTACCTCACCTCCGGGCCCTGGACGATTCCTACGACCATTATTTCAAGCTTTATCCTGGCTCCAATTCCAACAAATGCAAGATGGATGAGCGTCTGTCCAAGCTCCGGGAGCTATACAAGCTGGCTAAAGTTCTATTCGACTACGTCACGCCCCAAGAATATGGCATCACGGACAGCGAGAAACTTGAAATAGGTCTTCTCACATCTCTGCCCCTTCTCCAAGAGATTGTCCGAGATCTAGAAGAAGTCCAGGCTTCTTCCGATGCGAAATCCTTTTTCTACTTCACCAAGGAGTCACATATCTACACACTTTTGAATTGCATCCTCGAAGGTGGCATCCAGACCAAGATCTCTCGCAGCACCATTCCAGAACTCGATTACCTCTCCCAGATCTGCTTCGAACTCTACGAGGCCCGGGACAGCGAGTCCGACGTCAACTCATACTCCATTCGTATCTCCATCAGCCCCGGGTGTCATGCCTTCGATCCCCTAGACGTGCAACTCGACTCCCGGCATGCGATCGGATGCGCTCCACGACGCAGTTTGACGGCACATCAGGATTGGAAAGAGGTGATTGAGACCCTCAAAGCAAAATTCGACACGTAAGTCTCCACTTTCATACTAACCTGGCCTGACCTGACCTTCTTTTCTTCCATACAGAGTCAAACTTCCCAAGTCTTTTATTGCTGTGAATCTGAGTGACAAACATGTGTCCTCTCAACCTGGAGAACAAGATAATTTTAGCTAGAGCCTGGGTTGATATGGTGTTTTCCGTTCCCATAGACTGTACCTATATCTCTCTATTGTACAATCTTGCACATTTCTATATTAATTCGAAATGATTAAATACGTTTGCTTCTATTAAATGTATATGTCACCGTTTTTGAGCCTTGGTCCTTTTTATGCACTCTGACACATTGGGGTCCACAGCAACCCCACCAAATTGGCTTATCGATAATAGATCCGATACAACATGGTATTTACAATCCACACCCTACTTTCCCAAAAATGAGCCCAACTTCATTTGACTGGACCACTGAGGTGTGTACAGCCGAGGCAAAGGGGGAAATCTTGCAATGTACCTCTCATACCGGAGCCCAAGGGCATATCGATTTCATCAACATCATCGGGGTTCTGTCTTCTACCTCTTCGTCCAGGTACCAGGTGCTATTCTTTGTGAGACCAGAAAGTGAAAATGACGAGGGACTCGGGTACCTGGAGACAACAAACATCCCATCACTGCCGCCTTCGTTGTCATCGTTCGTTGTAACGCTTCCAGATCATCTTCGACACCTCGAGCCCGTGCAGGTCATCATATCAACCCTATCGGGCACAGGAACAGCCCAGACGGTGTACCGAGATATTTTGTCACCATTTCTCTCCCATCTAAGTATCAAACATCAGGTCCACGAAACGCAGTCCACGCAGACGATCAGCGAATTATCTGAATCCCGATTCCTAGAGCGCGCCTGCTCGGGAACCCCTCAGACCATCATTCTCCTTTCTGGAGACGGGGGTCTTGTTGACATCCTCGATGTTTTCTACAAGTCTACTCGGGCCATCCAAGTGCCCCCGCATATCGCTCTCGTCCCTTGTGGGACCGGTAATGCCATGGCGAGCTCTATTGGACTACGATCAGGACCAGCCTCAAGTCTCAAAGCATTGCTCTTCGGTCAACCATTTCCCATTCCCATCTTTGCGGCGACATTCTCTCCCGGGAGTCAACTCGTCGTTGATGAGGGGCGTAAGAGGGTGCCTGTAAATTCTGAACCCGATGCTTCTCATTGCACCATCTACGGCGCCGTTGTGGCAAGTTGGGGACTACATGCCGCGCTGGTTGCAGACAGCGATACAGTGGAATATCGTAAATTTGGGTCTGAACGGTTCAAGATGGCAGCCAAAGAACTTTTGTACCCTTCAGACGGCACCGAGCCTCATCGATTCCAAGGCAAGATCACTTTTCTGAATGCACATGGTCAGGAAGAAAAGATCAAGGATGACGAACATATGTACGTCTTAGCTAGTCTTGTTCCCCGACTGGAGAAAGACTTTCTCATCTCACCGGATTCGGAGCCGTTGGATGGGCAGATGCGACTCTTACGCTTCGGTCCCCTCCCAGCGGAGGAAGCGATGCGCCTTATGACGCTAGCTTACCAAGGAGGTCAACATGTGCAGCAGAAGATAGTCACTTATGCAGCAGTTGAGAAGATCCGAATCGAGTTGCAGGAAGACATAGAACGATGGAGACGAGTGTGTATCGATGGTAAAATTGTCGCGGTAGACAAAGGGGGGTGGATGGAACTACACAAGGAAACCCGACAACTTCTACAGATCGTCAAACCATGAATCTGGACATGCACATACGTCACTAAGTATCTTTCATGTCAAAACATATATATCTACCTCTAGGCTATAATGTAACTCTGTATATCTTGTATATTGATTTGGTCACGCAATGATCGACCGCCGCAATCTGCCATCCGCCGAACCCTACCAATTACATATTTCCCCCATTCTTGCACCTTTTTCTAAATGAAAGCAAATCAGTCATGCTATTAAAACTGCAAGATCATATCCGCTTCAGATAATGGACCCGGCCGCTTTCGATGTTAATCACGCCTCGAACGTATTCATCTTCACAAACGCCAGACCGAGCGGTCGCCGATTCCCGCTCCAAGGGCGCGTCCCGCTTCTACACCCTCGCTGGGTGGCGTCAGAGCCTGGGGATTCCAAATCTGGCTCCAGAAATGTTGTTGACTTATCAAAAAGGCAGTGTACGAGTTGGAGAGGTCGTCAGGTTCGTTCCATCTGGGTCTCTTTCTCTCGAACCTCCATGGTTTTAGCCCGCTTGCTTCCGGGGTGAACCATCCGCGGGTTCATGGACGAAACCGTGAAGGCTGACGAGCGTAACTCAATAGATACACTTTAACATATACACCAGCAGCCGATCCCATTTTACCTCTCCCCGCACAACTTTACGTTAGGGTGAAAAATGCCTCGGCCATTCCATTGCGAGCCGCATATCTCCATGGACCGTACACCCTCTACGCATCCTGCTATCCATCTACATTCGACCCCAACAGCAAATATAATGAACAAGAATCGGACGGCACGCCGCAATTTGAACCGTATCTCAAAGCCGGTGGAAACTGGGATGCGACTATCAAGTTACCAACATCCTTCGGAGGCTCTCACGATCTCGCTGCTCGTCAGCCGGAGCCGAATGGCCCTTCCACGGTGACTTGGATTATTGAGATTGTGTCTCAGGTGATATTCTCCAATAGCGCAGCTGTTCACTTTGAACTGCTTGTCGCTCGTGACGCCAAATCCTTGGAGTTTTTCTCGTCCAGCGGGACGTCAGCGGCCGCAATGGGCCCCCCCGGCAAGCTACAGGATCACTGGATGCCAGAGACCAAGGGCCTGCAAGTAATGGCTACGACGGGGGTTTTTTCGAAGTCTATAACACTACGTGTGGATGATACAAGCAGCCTGTGGAACAGCCCACCGTTGCCGTCAAAAACCAGTCCGGTTGAGATCGACTCGGGGATTGGAACCCACCCTGTTGAACCAGAAGAGCCAAGGCGTGTGGCCGAAACCCCCTCTATTCCGACAAAGAAGCGGATTCATTTGGTTGTTGTGACACATGGCTTGCATAGTAATTTAGGCGCAGATATGCTCTATCTCAAGGAAAGCATCGATGCAGCCACGAACAAAGCCAAGATGAGAAAGAATCAACGGGATATCAAGGAAGATGACGAGGACGTCGTTGTTCGGGGATTCTCAGGCAATGCGGTTCGCACCGAACGTGGCATCCAGTATCTTGGAAAACGCCTGGCCAAGTATGTCTTGTTGATGACATACCCCGACCAACCCTATTTTCCTCTGAAGGGTCCTAAGTCCAAAACATTCCCTCGTCCTTTTAGTTCTCGAAAAGGTGAGGATGATCTCTCCTCGGATCCTCGTGGTTTTGTGGACCAAGGTGGCATTGCTTGTGAGAATGACCATGCCTACCAGATCACCAGCATTAGTTTTATTGGACACTCTCTTGGTGGCCTGGTTCAAACATATGCCATCGCATATATTCACAAACACTCTCCCCATTTCTTTGAGCAGATCAGACCGGTCAATTTCATTGCCCTTGCAACGCCCTTTCTAGGCCTTAGCAATGAGAATCCCATGTATGTTCGATTTGCCCTGGACTTTGGCCTGGTTGGTCGAACAGGACAGGATCTTGGACTTAGCTGGACGGCACCAAAGGTACGAAGCGGCTGGGGTGCCATTATTGGCGGGCGAGGTGACTCAAGCAAAGACCAAAGCAGCCCCGACCCAGGGTCCAAGCCGCTCCTGAGAATCCTGCCCTGTGGACCCGCTCATGAGGCTTTGCGGAAGTTTCAGCATCGTACTGTGTACTCGAATGTGGTCAATGATGGCATTGTTCCCCTGCGAACCTCTTGTTTGCTCTTCTTGGACTGGAGGGGCCTTGATCGCGTGGAGAAGGCGAGAAGAGACAACGGTATTGTTGGAACCATGGCGGAATGGGGCTGGGCAGAGTTAACTGGAGCCAATTCCAAGTCCCCCCAAATTGCTCGTGCTGGTGAACTACCCAGACTGGCAGATGTTGCTTCTTCATTGGATGAGCATGAAACCCTGCCTCAGGAAGACCCGTCCTCTCCTGCTCAGAATCAATTTTTGGGATCGACAAGACATCCTTCACAACACAGTCAAGTGCCAGATGTCGGACCCAAGGAGAACGTCTCTGAAAACGCCTCTTTTGGTCCTCTCAGCACATTCTTCTCATTGTTCCGTGCCAAGGAGACCAAGCCCCACCCGCGGCCGAAGCATACCAAAATCTATAAGCGTAGCCAGACTCTCGCGTCATTTGATGCTAACGAAGGTTCCGTTCCATCAGTTAGGGGACCTTCCCTATATGAAGATGAAGAGGGACTGCATACGCCGCCGAAGACCACCTTTTTTGAGTCGGCAGGCGACTTGTTGATGCCGCCTTTGCCCCCCAGCGAATTCATCCTTGACCCTTCAGCCCGCCCGCGAACTATCTTTCATGATCGAATTTATCATCCAGACGATGTACCGCCCCCTTTACCCGTGAAACGACGCACTATTGCGTTTAGCTCCTCACAGGATAAGAGCACGAATGCACCCCCTGCGGCTACCCAACTCCCGTCCAAATCTGGGGTCCCCACCAATCTTGGGGAGAGCGGATTAAAGGTCGAGGAGAAGATTGCCCGTGCCTATCACCGCGATTTGACCTGGCGCAAGGTACTTGTGCGCCTCGAGCCCGACGCTCATAACAACATTATAGTACGACGTATGTTCACAAATGCTTACGGGTGGCCTGTCGTGAAACACTTGGTTGATACGCACTTTGGGCATACCGAGGCCGTGGAGACGGATGATGTGTTGCAACAGAATATTGAGCGGGCCAAATCGCCCGGTATTGGACCGACAAGCTCCGGTGACGAAGTTGAAGGTCAATGTGACGAACATGACCACGACCACCATCAAGATCCAGAACAGACACCTCGCATGGGACCGGATCAGCTTCACAATTTTCCGGGGCCTCCACACCTCTCGGCGCATCCCCATGACACATTCCCATTCGAATATGAATCACACAAAACGACGAGCACCAATGGACAGTCGCACGATACCGAGGTTTCTCGACCGGATTCAGCGCGTTGGACAGATCGCCAGGTTGATGAAGATGATGCTTGTGAGTCTGGGCTCGACGAGACAGATGAGACTGGATTTCGTTGGTCCCCCACATTACGGCCATGAACGCCCCTGTGGATAGAGGATTGTACATACCATTTCAAATACCCTGTAATTAATGAAGCCCGCCTGTATTTACTAGATATTACATGGAACATACAGTGTACCACTAGTAATCTAACTGGCCTTGGATGTAACTCCAGAATTCTTCCACAATCGCCTTCTGTCCTGCTTCGGGGGCTCCTCGAACTGCCAGATATCTTCGCCCATCTAGACGGGCCTCCCATTCTCCGGGATTTCCATCAACTATGATACCCCCGGCCTCAGTCAGGATGACCCAGGCCGCACAAACATCCCACTCCCAGCATCCCCCCTCCCAGTACAGGTCCATGGTGCCTTCCGCGACAGCGCACATGTTGAGAGCAGCTGATCCCAGACTCCGCATGGAACGCACCATCGCGCCCCCGTCCTCTTTGGCCTGGCCAAGTTTTGTGAAGGTACGAACCTTGGTGTCCCAATTGGGCCCGCTACGATCGGATCCCCATTCAATGCTGATGAGGGCATTGGCCAACCCGGAGAGTGGCTCTACATTCTCACCCTTCAAAGGCAGACGGGTCTTCTGGTTTAGAAATGCGCCTTGACCTCGAATAGCGGAATGCAAGGTCTTGGTGAACGGGTTGTAGACCACACCCACAGCGGGAACTCGCCCCACGGCAAACCCTAGAGAGACACAGGCATAGGGGAAGCTGTGTACAAAGTTCACGGTACCATCAATCGGATCCACGATGAAGGTAGGGGCATCGGTCAATGGCCGACTTGGATCGTAAGTTTCCTCGCCATGAAACCTATGAATGAAAAATGATTAGCGGAACTTTTCTCTTGAGAGATTGTTAGACCTCACTCGTAATCGGGATATTTCTCCTTGAGTGATGTGGATATCATTTTTTCCACTGCTCGATCATATTCCGTGACCAGATCGGCACCTGCAAAGATACCATTAGTACTCTGCTTATATATAGAATGTCGTTCTGTAACAAACTGTTCTTTTTAGATCCGGTGCCGCTGGTTTCCGGCAGAGCATTTGTGATGATGTCGCCGGCCTGGTGAGCCAATGACACTAGAAAGTCATGAATCTCGTTGAGATTAGGGGTAGTCATTGTATAGAAAGGTAATGTAGACAGAGAAGAAATAACTCGATAGAAAGTAGTTGACCTCGGGAAGAAGAGGGGGGAAGAGACGGGTCTCACGCTAAGGAGGTAAAAGATGGAATTGAGGGGCAAATACATTATGCAGTAAAGTGAAATATATTCCAGGTTCAAATTTCTACATAAAATATATACTTATATCTATATGTTTCATAGCATGTAGGTAGTATATATCTTTCTCTATATCTATATGTAGGTAGTATTATGTCTACATCTATATGGATTTATCAAAATGGATAAGAAACCGAACTTTGGGGTCGTTCCTTCCCCCACTTGGAGAAAAAAAAAAGTTGAAAAAAGTCCAAAATCGAACTCTTGTACAAACTTCCCCCCCCCCCCCACCAACAAACCGTTCATATAAACCATGCCTACAGAAGTAGAAGATGTATGTATATACCCTTCTCTATCTTATGTATACTTATGCTGACTTCCATTAGCTTGTGGACTTCCTTCACCATGGCAATTCACAAATCCGCCAAATCGGTACGATTCAATCCTTAATATCTTGACCCTGGCTCATCAGATGTTATTACTTCGACAGCCTGTGAGAATCTTGTCGGATACTCTATCGCCCAACCGAGCCTATTCAAACGGCATCAGTTACTTCCCATCCGGGATCTGAAACTATTGACTCGGGATTACACTGTATGCCACCCCCCCACCAACGCTCGATTCCAGCAACTGATCACACATCCTACCCTTAGCCCATCGCCAAAAATGTATTGACAATCTTAGTCAATCTCTCGGCCGACGAGGAGATCTTGAAGACCCTGGCGGAGGATGACGCATATATCGAGACCCTATTGTGGAAATTGACGGTTCGTGGAAACCCTCCCACTTCCACAGATCAAGAGGGAGAATTCGAACTAAGCACTCAATGCGTCTTTACAGAATATCAAGGACCCAAATGTCGATGAAACTGCCATGCTTCTGGCCAACCTGGTCAAATCCGATCATCTCCAGAAATTACATACGCTGAAGCGCAGGATCCCCCAGGGCGTCTCGACTTCGGAGAATGCCATTGATCAGTTGATGGATTGCTTTGTGAAGGGCGCAGAGGGAGGTCTCAATAAGAACGCCAACTACGATTATTTGTCCTACTTCTTTGCCGATCTGTCCCAGACCGAGCAAGGACGGGCCTATTTCACCACGCGCCAGGACTACGATGGAGTTGTCCCCATCACAAAGCTGACGGTGTTTACGGAACACAAGAGTGACATTCGACGTAAAGGAGTCGCCTCTACTATCAAGAATGTGGCCTTTGACATCGCCTCTCATCCCATGTTGTTCGCCGAAGAGGAGGCCAATTTATTGCCCTACCTGCTCCTGCCCATCGCCGGTCCGGAGGAGTTTCCCGACGATGAAATGGCATTGATGCTACCTGATCTTCAGCTGCTACCGCCGGACAAGCAGCGTGAAAGTGACCCGACCATTCTCACTACCCACCTGGAGACCCTGCTACTATTGACAACCACCCCTGAAGGCCGAGCTCAAATGCGTGCGGTACAGGTCTACTCGTTCATTAGGGAATGTCACCTTAATGTTGAAGATGAGGATGTCCGGGAGGCGTGCGACCGACTCGTGCAGGTGTTGATGCGAGACGAAGAAGGCGAAGGAGCTCAAACCGACGCCGATTTGGAAAAGGCACAGGCTCAGATTGAAGCGCCGCCTGTAGATGAAGAGGAGAAGGTGACTGAACTGTTTTAGAGAATCTTTCCAATGATATCCAATGAATATATAGATGTATATACATGCATGACCTATATATACCTTCATACTATCAAGTACTGCATATGGTCATGTGGACCAAAGTGGGGCCGGATAATTCCTCAACTCGCTTGAAGCTACTGCACGACCTAATCCCAAAGTGACCGTCTATTTCATCATCGCCCCTCTTATGGAGTAACTCAGGGAGAAAAAGAAAGCCCTATCAGTGCGAACCCCACCATCACGACGGCCGATATCCCGCTACAGACGCGGAAGCTATCTTGTCCCAACTCGAGGGGCGAGAGGCTTCCCGCTGAACCGGACCAAGTGGAGGTGAATTGTTGCTGCCATTGTCCTAATTCCAATTCCAATTCCACTTCCAATCCGCATTCTGATTGTAATTCTGGATTGTGCGATAACTGTGATAGGCGTGACAACGATGGAAACTGCGACTCGGACCTTGCCCTTGACTTGGATTCCGACGTGAGCCTCTCCGCTTCCACGTCCATTGCCCAGCGCTTCCGCGCCCTCATGTCGCGTACTCCTCTGATCCGGTCGTCACCCGCCCTGGGATCCACCTCGTATGGTGCCGTACGAACTCCTCATGATTCCGACGAGGCCCATCTGCCAGGGCAGAAGAATGTTCGCAGAGGGCTGAATGGAGGCGGATCGCCGCGAACGAGTCTTGAGAATGGTGCCGCGGGCCCATCGAGAGATGCACAACGGTCCAAACAAAAGCGCTCGCACTCATCGGGCCGAAGAAGCAGTGGCTGGTATAGAGAGACCCACAATCGACGACCCTCATCAGCTACCTCAGACGTGGGCATGGGTGCCGATTCAAAATTCTCATTCGCGACAGGACTAGCGATGCCTGGAAATTCAGTGATGCAGGATACTCCTGTAGCTTCCCCTTATATGACGAGTGATGAGGAAGATGTCGTCGATATCGAGGATGAAGACTCGAAACCTGCCGAGGAGGATCCTCCAGACAACTCTCCGTGAGTTTCACCAGCTCCGTTTCTTGGATGATCAAAGCTAAATCCGCGGCTAATGTAGCTATGCTCAAGTTCGAGCAACGGTCCCGGCGACAGACGACATTACTCTGTCGATCAATAGTAGGATTACCCATGCCGTGATCAGTTTGGATCGAACTAATAGAGATCAATATAGCCCCTCGTATGTGGATTCTCTCGCTGCTCTTCTCACTTACGGGCTCCGCTGCGAATCTCTTCTTCTCCCTTCGGTATCCGAGCGTGGCCATCACCCCAATTATTGCGCTGGTTCTAGTCCATCCATTGGGCAAGTTCTGGGATGTTGTATTGAAACGGACTGATGATCCGCTCGAGGTGTTTGAGAATGGAACTCTCGACCACCGGGAATATCTGGCTGGCGAGATTGATCTCCACAACTACTCGTGGGCCTCCCGAGCTCGACTCTGGCTTGCCCAGGGTCGTTGGAATGAAAAGGAACATGCATGCGTCTACATCAGTAGCAATGTGTCCTTCGGATTTGCCTTTGCAACTGATGTTGGTGCCCATCGTCTTTGCTTCCCAGTGTAATTTCCAGGCTGACATGCAGCTTTAGGTGATTGTTGAGCAACATAAATTTTATAACCAAGAAGTCCCGATTATGTATCAGTTGTTGCTGATCATCTCGACTCAAGTCCTAGGATACGCCTTTGCCGGGCTGACCAGGAGGTTCCTTGTGCGGCCATCTGCGATGATCTGGCCGGGAACTCTCATGTCCACTGCTATGTTTTCCACCATGCACAAGACCGCCAACAAGAAGGCAAATGGATGGAGTATCTCCCGCTACAAGTTCTTCATTCTGGTGTGGGGAGGGGCCTTCCTTTGGTATTTCGTCCCGGGTCTTCTGATGCCTGCCTTGAGCTATTTCAACGTGATTACTTGGTTTTTTCCGAAGAATGTTGTTGTCTCTAATCTTGTAAGTATTCTTCCCCCCTTCCCTCCCCTCTCCTCTCCCTATAATTTGTCGCATTTGCAGGATTGACACTCAGATGTGCTAACAATTCTAGTTTGGAGTGGCCTCTGGTCTTGGGATGTTCCCTGTGACATTTGATTGGGCTCAAATTGCATATATTGGATCGCCTTTACTCACACCCTGGTGGGCTGCGGCGAATATAGTTACCGGCCTGGTGGTCGTCATCTGGATCATTGCCCCTATCTTGTGTAAGTTACGACTCTGTTTCCTTTTGCGATGTACCCTGCTGATGAAAATGTGAAAGACTTTAAAAATGTGCTATTTTCGGCCTTTATGCCGATTCTCTCAGCGGCTGTTTTTGATAATGAGGGTCATCCATACGATGTGAGCCGAATCCTGACTTCGGACTTTGTGTTCGACCAGAAAGCCTACGAGGATTACTCGCCAGTCTATCTCCCCATCACTTATGTGTTGTCCTATGGGGTTCAGTTTGCGGCTCTGACCTCCCTTGTGACCCATACTGTGTGTTGGTATGGCAAGGATATTTGGCAGCAAACTCGTCGGGCATTTGAGGAACGTCGAGACCTTCCAGACCTCGATACATATGAGCCCCTGCAGAGCGAAAACGGCCACTCGCAAACTCGTCACAGCCATGATATCACCAGAGAATCACAAGAGGCTCTTCGGGAGATGCCATTGGGTATGGAGGACGTCCATTGTCGCTTGATGAGGCGTTATAAAGATGCTCCACTCATATGGTACCTCGTTGTCCTTATTACAATGGCCGTCACTGCCATATATACCGTTGAACAGTACGTTGACGAACAACCCGGCTCATGCTTCCTTGCTATCGCAATACTCACATTTTTTGACAGCTATCAAGTCCACCTGCCTTGGTACGGGCTGCTTCTTGCACTAGGCATGACAAGCGTGTTTTTTATCCCGGTTGGCATCATAATGGCTGTAACTAATCAACACAGCAGTCTCTACCTTATCTGCCAGCTCCTCTGTGGTATTGTCTTTCCCGGACGACCCGTTGCAAACATGATCTTTGTGACATACTCCTACATCAGCTCCGCCCAGGGTATTAAATTCTCATCCGATCTCAAGCTCGGCCATTACATGAAAATTCCACCTCGCATTCTGTTTGGTGTGCAAATGGTGGCTACATTGGTGTCTAGCTTAACACAGATTGGTGTGCTGAATTGGATGTTCACCCATATCCCCAAGCTGTGTACTCCCCAGGCCTTGAATGGCTTTAATTGCCCAATCGCTCGAGTGCATTTTAATGGGAGTATTCTGTGGGGTGTGGTGGGCCCGCAACGATTCTTTGGCCCAGACGGCCTGTACCGGCCCCTAGTGTGGGCATTCTTGATTGGTGCCGTGGCCCCATTAGGTGCCTGGGCCCTTGGTCGACGAAGCAAGAAAAGCTTTTGGCGCAAAGTCAACTTCCCCATTCTGTTTGGAAGTCTCAGTTGGATTCCTCCCGCGACAGGGTTGAACTTCTCCACCTGGGCATTGGTATGCTTCATCTTCAACTACGTGATCCGGCGCCGTAAGACGGCCTGGTGGGAGAAATATGCCATGACCCTCTCTGCTGCGTTGGATTCAGGACTCGCATTCGCCGTGGTGATCGTGTTTTTTGCGCTCGTTTACCCAGGTTGGGTTGCTGGATTTCAATGGTGGGGGACAGAGATTTACAAGCAAGGCTGCGACTGGATCGCCTGTCCATATCGACGTCTGGAACCAGGACAGAAGTTTGGTAATTGAATTTTCCTTGTACATTGTGACAAGCATATGAGTAAATGAATGAATGAACAATGTTTAAATCTTGATCTTGACAGGACTACAATATATGCCTTGGTACAATACCCCTGATTCACACTACAACATTGAGGGTCATGAGTGTATTTTTCTATGATATTTATAGAAGCTAGCATTGAAATCAAATCAAATCAAATGTTGACTAAGTTATCTAGTTAATAATAAATAACTATATGTTTTGTCCAGAACAACCACAATGACTAAGCTACCCCGTGACCTTTCATCATCATGGTCAGCCTGAACATTGAACTCCACAGCTTCTTACTTTCTTCTCTTCGGACTATTTAGATTCTCGCCCCATCTCCCTTGCTCGGCTCATGAATATCTCTTTCACTCAAAGAACCTATTCTCACGGTTATATTGGAGAGCATCATGTCCACGCCGACCAACCCCTCGAATGGGCGCACACCGACGGCGCCTCATGGAGCTCCTCCCATGAGAATCCGTCGCCCCAAAGCCGCCGACCCGTTACGTCGTCCAAAGAGAAGACCAGTGAGACCAGCGGGAGCTATTCCACCAGTTACTTCAGCCATCAAGACTCTTCCCTCACGCCCCATGATCTCCAGCGCCCAGCCGCCATCGCAGCCAGTGGAGCGGCCCCGAATCGCCCCTGTGGGAGATGACCACTCCGTGAATGGATTTAGTGGCCCTCTCCTATCCGACAGATATGTCGACTACCCGGTGGTCACGACAAAGCGAGCCTTGCGCGAGGGACTGAAGAACCACATCGCTCGCTTTGCCGCCAAGCGGGTTGTCGACCCACGCGATGAGTCCCAGTTTACGCGCCCAGTGAGGCTGCAGCGCAGAGACCCGCGTTCTCGAAACCAGGACCACAATGCGGAAAGAATGGTGGGACCAGATGGACAACAACTTGATGAAGCAGAGCGAGAGGCGCTTGACGCGAGGAGAGCTGCGCGAGAGAAAGAGCGTGCTGAGAATCTCGCCCAAATCGCTCCGTCAGTCGGATCAACCGCGAAGCGACCAAATGCCCCGAAGCAGAAAACTCAACAAGTCTTCAAGTCCGATATGACCCCGGATGAGATTGCGAGAGCTCGGATCAAATATGAAGAGGCGCTACCCTGGCACCTTGAGGACTTCGACAATCGTAATATCTGGGTCGGTAACTACGAAGCTGCTCTATCAGAAACCCACGCAGTGTTTGTCCTCGACAATGGCAAGATGCGCATGATGCCTGCGGAAAAGTGGTACAAATTCAGCGCGAAGAGTCATTTCAAGACTTTGACAATTGAGGAGGCAGAGAAGTTCATGGCGAAGCGAGTGAAAGACCCGCGTTGGTTCATGGAGAAACAACAAGAGGTGGCGCAGCAAAAGGAGTTGGAACAGTTTGCCAAGTCACGGAAAGTTTACGCCGGAAAGCAAGGCGTTCTGGCTGGACGAGAGGGCTTGGAAGCCAGTGAGATGGACTTTGAGGAAGACCGGTTTGCAGACGACGAGGAACATGACGACCTCTTTAATGAGCAGGATGAAGACACCAAGGCGGCTGAAAAAAGGATTAAGGACGATCAGCTCAAGGCGAACGTCTTTGACCTGAAGGAAGAAAAGGACTACGAGGAAGAAGAACAACGCGAAAAGCGAGAACGCGAGGCTCGCCACAAACTTGGAAAGAAGATGCGCAAAGCTCTGAAGAAGAGAGAGAGGAACTTTGATTACAGTAGTGGTTCAGACGCGAACCCATACAGTGATGAGGAGGTAAGACTTCTTTCGTCTACTTCTTTTACCAAAGGCTTTCAAGACTTACTGGTTGCTTCTAGAGTTCCGACGACAGTGAAACCGAACGGTTGAAAGAGGAGGAACGGAAAGCCGAAGAGGAAAAGAACCAGAAGGAATCAGCTGCGTCTTCAACCAAAGGTGCCACTACGCCGTCCGGCCGCCCAAAGCATACCGACCCCCTTAAGAAGTCCACCGCATCTCGGAAGCGACTGGGCTCACCCGGTGCCTCAGATGCAAGTGGCACTGACACTTCACGGAAGAAGGCTAAGAACAAGCATTCATCCGCTCACCAAACACCCCAGCCCACCTCAAGGCCAATTTCGCCATCTGGAGTGCAAGTAGGTAGAATCCAAACACTTGTTGGAATGAGAACCGCGATTAACCATGATTATCTTCATCAGGCTGGCAAGAAACGAGTTCGCAATATTCCACTAGGCTCCGGGTCTGGCAGTGACGTTGAAGCTGCAGGATCTGGTGCCGAGATGAGCGAGAGTGGAAAGTCCAAGAAGTTGAAGCTGAACCCGCCCTCTGGTGGCTCTCGAGGAGGTACGCCCCAAGGATCCCGGGCAGCCAGTCCTGTTGCCGGCAGTCAAAGCTTTTCTGGAAGCCGTGCAAGCAGTCCCGACGGAGTTCGAGGCAAGTCATTATCCATTCATCTAATTGATCTAAGTATGCTGACTTTACTGGGACAAAACAGGCCAGGGACGTGTATCGACGCCTGGACCACTTGGAAACATATCCTTCCCAACACCCGCAGAGATTCATGCCGCCATCCCAGCCAGTGGCATTACCACCGTTGAGCTTCTGAGGATTTTCCGTCCTCGTATTGGCGAATCCAAGGAGATTCACCGCCGTTTCATTGGAATCGTTAAAGATGTCAGTGTCTACGGTAAAGAAGATCGATTGCTTCGACCTGGTCCCTGGAAGGGGGCGTAAGGTGTGGAATGGGGTTGGGTTGGGGAGTTCGCTACATTCGAGGCACACCAAGTGTATCAAAACAAGTCTCATATTTAGCGCTGCAGAAAGATTTTATTTGAGCAGAATCATTTGCTTCTCAAGTCAATGATTGAATGAACATATATTACTGGTGGTAAATATTTTCATGTACCCCGGGATAATTCAAATTTAAAGAAACGGAAATGGAATAAATAGTTTATGAAAAATGAAAGACTCATATACATGCAATTAGAACAACTCCGCCAAGATTCGAGACATATCACATCAACGACCAAGACAAAACAAGGTCTTTCTATCACGAAAACAATGAACACATTAGGACGAGAAGGGGAATCACAAGATACATCATTAAGCCGCACGGGTAGTGGTCTCGGTGCCTTCTTCGTACTTCTCCCAGTTGGCCAGGATGGCGGCAATACGGGGAGAGTTGGTCAGGCGGTACACATCCTCGAAGTACTCCTTGGTGATCTCGAAGGGACGGGCAGTGACGTTGGGGATGTACTTGCCAACCAACTTGCTAGGATCAATGGTGGTCTTGTTAATTTTCTTGAGCAAGAAGGACCGGAAGGGCTTGACACCAGAGCGCAAGAAGGTACTGTGGAAGGGCACATCAATACCCTTGAGCGGGATGGTGGCAAAACCACGCTCCAGTTGAATGGGTCGAGGCTTGGCCTCGGTCTGCTTGACACATTCTTGGATGATGCTAACCAGATGATCCTTGACATCCTCGAGGGACATGCTCTCCATCAAAGCGGGGATGTCAATGTTCTGGGCCTTGAGGAAGTTGAGAAGGTTGGTGAGACAGTCGAGAGCGCGAAGCTATACAGAAATTGATTAGTATCCAAAGACCGAAATTACCCGAATATAGGGGAAAGAACTTACATCACCAGCGGCCACATACTGCATGTTGGCCACGTTGTAGTTGACAATCTCCAGCAACCAACCAGTTGCCTCGGAGATGTTCTCCACAACATACTGCAGCGCCTGTTCGTTGAAGGTCTTGGAGATACGGCTAGGGTTGACAGCGCACATAGAATAGTTTGAACGACCCTGCTCGTCACGCTCGACAGCGACCTGCATGGTCAGACCACGGTAGAAGACAACGGATACCAAGCTTTCAATAGGCATGACATCTGCGAGAGCAGCCAGGGCCGAGTATTCACCAAGGGAGTGACCAGCGAAGCTGCTGTCACGCTGAACCAGACCCTTGGAGCGCATATCCTCAAAGCTAGCTTTCTCCATCAAGGTGAGTGCGGGCTGGGTGAACTGGGTGGCAGACAGCAGACCAGTAGGGGACCGGTAAGTGTACGAATCGGTGGTCTCGTCAATGCCCTTGAAGATCTTCTCGGACTTGATGGAACCATCGGCGTTCACGGTCTCGAAAGTCATCGCCATGTAGTTTTGACGGATGGCCTTACCGCGAGGACCACCAAAGTAGACGGTCAACTCCTTGGGGTTGTTCTTGACAATGTCAATGATAGACAGACCGTAGTTCTCAATGAAGTGACGGTCGGCGCGGTCCCAGACCTCCTTAGCCACGGGGCTGCTAGCATAGAGCTCCATACCCATACCCTGCTCCTGAGAGCCCTGGCCGGTGAAGACATACGAGGTGACGGGTTGCTCGACCTCGGCCTCACCCAGGAGAACCTTGTCCTCGGTCTCCTTGTTGCTGGCCTCAACCTTGATGATCTTACGACCAGCAATCATACCGACGTGCTGAAGCTTGACAGTGATCATATCGTTGGGCAGGACCATGCCGACCAAGGACACGTGGAAACCACGGACACGACCAATGTTGTTTTCAGCAGCCCAGGTCTCCACGAAGCTGCGCACGGCAGCACTGCTGTACATGCCATGGGTAATGGTACCGGGCAGGTTGGCGTAGCTGGAGAACACACGGGAGACGTGGATGGGGTTGTAGTCACCGGAGACACGGGCGTAGGTCTCGTTAGATGCCGGAGCGCGCAGCTCCAGGAGAGTCTTGCCGCTAAGCGGGATAGGGTTCTCAAAGTAGACTGGCTGCTCGATCGAAGTACCGTTACGCTGGAGGTAGTCAATCACGGGGTTACCGTGAGAGGTGCCCGCCTCATAGTCCACAGATGCCACTTGGATAACCTCCTTGGTAGGCAACTCCAACAGGACCTGACCAATGGTCTGGACGTTGCTGAATATAGTCTGGTTCTTGAAGCGAATCAGACTTTGCAGACGGAAAGTCAGGGTCTGGCCCAAGAGCTCAATTTCATTCTCATCCATACGGAACCACTCCTTGGAGCGCAAGATAGCGACATCGCGGCTGGTAGCCAGGTGGACCTGCATGGGAACCTCGTCCTTGCGCTGGAAGGTGTTCTCAAAGTCCGAGTACGCACCACGGTACAAGAACTGGCTAGTGACGTGCATAATAGCCTTGCCCTCACGCTTGATGGTACCACAAACCTCTACCATCTTGCCAGATTCCTGGTTGATCACGGCATTGATCTGGGCAGTGGTGTCGAGGACATCACCAACCTTCAGGGGCTCAGCGCCAGGAACCATTTTGAACCCGTTGGACAGATGGACCAGCTTCAGCAGGTCTCCATCGATGGTGCGGGGGAAGATAGGCTTGGTGATGGCCTTCCAGCCAGCCACGATGGCGAAGTCCATAGGCGCGTAGACCTCCTTGCCGGGACGGTCAACAAAGGCTTCACCGGTGTTACCGACAGCGTGGACAAAGTCAGCGACGGCCTGAGAAGTGATGGTCTCGCGACCACCGCTGAAGGTTGCGGTGGTGGGAGTGTCGAAAGGAACATCCTTGTTACCAAACCAGACACGGTAGTAGAACTCCTTGATGCGGTCATTACGATCTCCCATAACCTCGCGCAGGGGGGCGTATCCGGTCTCCGGGTGGTAAGTGAAAAGGAAGGTCAGAGGGACAACACCACCCTCGGCAGTGCGGCCTTCAAACAGAGTCAGGCTGACCTGACCGTTCTCGTTAATCTTGGCCTCGACAGTCTTCACAAGCTTGCCAGACTGGTAAGGCTCGCGGACACTGATGACCGACTTGGCAGGGTCATTGGGGTTGGTGATTTCCACAAAGAGACCGGGGGTGGGTGCCACAATCCGCTTTAAGGGGTTGGTCTGGAAACGATGACCCTGGACGAAAACATCGGCCATGAACAAGGCATGACGCCAGGAATAGGAATCACCGGCCAGCAGACGGAGCCAACGGTCCGAATCGGGCAAATCAGCAGGGGAGGATGAAAGACGGAAGCTGGTCTTGGTGGCCTCTTCAGAGACAGTCAGACCCTCCAGCTCAGATTCATCTTCGACGCTGACCAGATTACCACCGAAGTATTCGATGACAGGAATCTTGCTCTTGTCACCGCCGTACACATCGCGGAGCAGACCGGCAATGTGACCGTTGTGAACACCATCGAGGATATCCTTGACGGGCTCATCGATGACGTTAGAGAAGCGAGCAGCCATAGGGCCCTGAAGGATACAAGTACGACCAACATCCTGATCGACGACAGCCTCCAGGTCCTCGCTCTGCCACAGGGAGTCCTTCTTGAAGAAGTACTCGAAGTTCTCATCGAGCGAGGGAACGAAGGGAACAGGCTTCTGTCCACGACGCTGGCACAGCAGCAGGAAGTGCTGAACATCTTGCGCGTTGATCAGCTGGGCAGCAGCTTCGGGGTATGCTGCCAGGATATTGTCTACCGCGGGGTAGGGGGTGTTCAGCTCGGAGTAGTTTTGGAGCAGCGAGGCCTGTCCTTCAGCAGTGGTGAATCGCTCCTCCACACGGCGGAGGAAGTCACCAGTGAGACGCTTGAGGGAATCATCAATCCATCGGGACTCGTGCTTAACGTACATCAGGTCCACCATGCGGTGAGCCACCTCAGCGTAGGTCATGTCCTCCAGGTCGACAGTCTCGCCGGCGGCATTGCGACCAAACCACACCTTGTGGAAGTCATCATTGAGCTTCTTGATGATGTAGTTGCGCTGCTTCTTGAGCTCAGGAACTCGCTTGGCCTTGTCGAGCTTGAAAATCTTCTGGTCCATCTCCTGCCAGAACAAGACACCACGGGTGGCCAGTTTGTGGATCGGCTCACCCATTTCCGACAGGACGGTGATCACACCACCGGTGGCTTGCTTATAGGTCTTCTCCCACTCCGAGTCGTCGACGCCAGGAGCATCGGCAATGGCCTTCTTCGCGTTCTTGGAAGTGTGGGCTTCCTTGGAGATCATCATGCGGCTACCAAACAGACATCCGTCGAAGGGCATGGGAGGGTAGCCGAATTTGGCGGACCAGGTACCAGACAGGTAGGGGTAGGTATCCTCGGCGCCACCGAAACCACTACCAGCAACAATGACGATGTTGCTTTGCTTACGGAGCCGGCTGTACATCTGGAGAATCGGCTGGTGGAAGTCCTCGAAGGAATGGTGGCCACCGCCACGGCCACCAGTCCACTGCATGATGATGGGGAATTTGGGATTAGCCTTGGCAATGTTGATCACCTGCTGGATAGCGTCCACCGAGCCAGGCTTGAAGGCGATGTGCTTGATACCAAGAGTCTCAATATATTCATTGGCAACCTCAATGGAAGGCACACCAGCACCAATGGCCAGACCCTCCACAGGCACGCCGTCGGCACGCAGACGGCCGATCAGGGGAATCTGCCAGGCCATGGCGCGGGGGTTGACGTAGATCAGGTTGATGGTGATACCACGGCCGGGAGGAATGACCTTTTCGATCTTAGTGATGGCCTCAGTCATGGTCTTAGCGTTGTAGTAACCACCACCGGCCAGCTCGACGTGGTAGCCAGCATTCATTGTAGCGGCCACAAAGTCCCACGGGACAGTGGTGGGAGTCATACCAGCCACCATAACCGGAGGAATGCCCAGCAGGCGACTCATCTTGGTGTCGACATAGGTCTGACCGGTGGAGGTCTGCACGAGACGGGGCCCGTGTTCCTTGACCCAGTCCACAGCATACTTCACCGAGTGTTCATCACGATCGAAAAGCTCCGGTTTGTAGCCTACCTCGGCGTTTGTGCCGTCCATCTCACCGGCGAGGATGACACGAACACCGGTACCGTCCTTGTTGCGGTTGGTCAGGACACCCAGGCCAGAGATACCGCCAGGGCCAAAGTCCACAATGTGGGTGGCACCGGGGAAGACGGTGGCTTGCTCCCAGTTAACTGCATCGTGGGTGATCATGCGGACCAGGGAGGGCACGGCACTCTTATCACCCAGCAGGCGCAGGTCCTCGCCGGTCTTCGTGTTGAAAACGGGGATGACCAGAGAGCTGGCGGGGATGTCAATTTCCTCCAGATCTTCCAGGATCCGGTCATAGGCGGAGGTGAGGTACTGGCTGTGGAAGGGAGCGGTGATGGGTAGGAAGCGGTTGACGAAGCGAACCTTGCGCTGGGTGAACGGAACACGGTTCTGGTCCAGGCCAGTAGGAGCCTTGACCTTGCGAAGACGCAGGTTAAGACCGTAGAGAGAAATTGGGGGACCGGTCACCACGAAGTTACGGGCACTGTTGACCAAAGAGATGGCAATGTGGCGATCCTCGGGCAAGTGCTGGTTAGTGGCATCAATGTGCTCCTGGACAGCAGCCCGTGAGAGATCCCGAATGGACAACATCGGGGTGGGAGAACCCTCACCATTCTCAATTGAGTCCTGGAGCACTGAGGGGGCCAGAGAGGTGCGAGGGTAAGCCTGCTGGCTTCGCAGACCAATCCAGAACAGCATGGTCAAGGCATTCTTCGCCGCCTGGGCAAACGACTCCCAGCTGGTGGCTGTGGCAATGGCCGCAGCGGTCACCACACCCTGTGAGTGACCGGTAGTTCCCCGAATACGCTCGAGGAGGTCACCGGGCTGGCGGCCCAGAACCTTACAGGTCACCATGTAGTGGGCAAGCTGGACCAACCCAATCAAAGGCAGGCTGACGGGAGCCGAGACCAGGTAATCAATATCGGGCTGGGAGTCCCGATCCTCGAGCCATTGGATGATATCTAGACCCTTGGGGTAGAGCTTGGTGGCCTCCGGTTCCCGCGAGAGGGTTTGCAAAAGCTCAGCCGAAGAGGTGATCAACTCCTCCACAAAGGAGGGGTAGGTAGTGTAAATGGCCCTCAGCTCGTCAAAGTACTCCTCAATGTTGCCCTGACCACCAAAGACCGTGTAGATACCAGCAGCATCCTCGGAAGCCGCCCGGAAGAGGGCCGAGTCATAGGGCTTGGTGGGCCGGCCAGCGGCAGCCCGTCCGGCGTAGTAGGCCTCCACGACCAGGTTCTTCTTCGCGACAATCCCGGGAAGGGCAGCAGCAACGGCGTGAACATCGTTGCCCCGCATGAAAGCCCGCTCAAACTCATTCAGAATGAGCTTCAGAACCTCCAAGTAGCTGCCCTGAGCATCATCCTCACCTTCTTCCACCTCGTGGGACACATGTCCGATATAACGAGCCACAAGCTCAGCCACCGAGGAAGGCTCATCATCCAGGGCCAATTCATCTGTGGGCTCGGGTAAGGAGGCTGTGAAGCTGTCTTTCAGCTGCGAGGCATGGAAATGAAGGGAGGTCGGAACGAGGAGCGAAAATTCGAGGGAGCCATGTGAGAGGATAAGAGGACGCAGCGATTGAGAAGATCGAGGGGTGTTGATACCGGTCTGAGGACCGGTTGATGTGCCGTACATGATGAAGTTTCTCGGGGGAGGTTTTCTCTCTCTCTTTCTCCTCCTTTACTTTAGGGAGGTGTTGTTGATCAATTCCCAGAGACCCGACGGAACTCACAGACAATAGAAAGATTCTATTACCACGAGTGTATAAGCTTGTGTTCTTGAGTTTTTTGAGGCCAGCAGAAAGAAGAAAAATCCAGAAAACACCGGAGTGGAAGAACTTACAAGTCCTCAAGGTTAGGAAGATCCAAAGAAATTGGAGAGATTAAATTATTAAAATGCAAATCCCAAATGATATCAAAAAGAAAGAAGAAAAAGAAATTGAGGTTTTGCGGGGAGGAAGAGGAATGGAGGTAGAAATGGAGTAGGGGGGGGGGGGAGGGGAGGAAGAATTGAGGGGAAAGAGAGAACTTTTGGTTTAAAGAACTCGTGATCGTGATGATTGTTCCTTCCCAAGTAATCAATCCTTTTCTGTTCTGTTCTTTCCTAAAGAAAAAAAAGATTTTTCTTTTGGTTTTTGGCTGTTGAATTGAATTCGACCCGAAACAGTTTAGGGCGGTGAGTGATTCCCAATCGGTGTTCAACAGTGAAATTGATTATTTCGTCTTAACTCTTCGGCCGGAATTGTGTAAGTATTTACTGTATTATTGGAAATTCATATAATTCCAATGGTTCAAGTGGTCCTCAGCTCCCCTAGTGGATCCTCCATCGTATCCATTATTCATCTTTGACTGGCTCAACTGCAGCTAGTATTGGGGAAACTTTCCCTCAGTAATGGGTTGTTGGGAGCTTCGACTCCATTCCAACCTTGTTGATTGGCCAGCTCATGTTATCTAATCATGTCAGGTACCGATCCGGCTCGACTATAGCAGTGAGCCCCAACAAGTAAAGTAACCAACTCAACTGCCCATCCCTTCCATCCGGTTGAAATGATTGGGGTCACTTAAATCCCCAAACACCCAAAAAAAACCTATATACCAGAGTTTACAGAGTACATAGTATTACAATAATCTATAGGATCTCTAATTTTTGTGGTATTGAAAATACTCAAAAACCTTACAGATAATGGTGAAAAGGTTGAAAAGGTTGAAGATGTCCTATTGCAAAATTACATAAATTACATCAATTACATTAATATGGTATCCGGTATTACACCGCTCGCTATCATCTTTCACTATCGATACTTTCCCACTCTTTTTTTTCTTGGACGTTCCTGATCCTAGTTCTCTCCTCCAGAACTTGGTCAATTCTTCTTCCTTCTTTAATTTCCCTTTTCGTGTTTTGTATAATTCCCATTTTCCTCTTTCCCCCTACCTTTTTTATTTCGAACGCCTTTGTGTGGGCATTCGGGCGACTTGTTTCCATTGAACGCCCTCCAGGACGTTGCGTCCTGCTCTCATAACCTTACCTTAATTGAATCCTCGATACCCCGGAATTCCGATAAACTGAGACCCCCCATTTACACACACACACACAATGCGTCCGGAGATTGAACAGGAGCTGGCTCACACCTTGCTGGTGGAGCTGCTCGCCTACCAGTTTGCCTCGCCCGTCCGATGGATTGAAACTCAGGATGTTATCCTCGCCGAACAACGCACCGAGCGAATCGTCGAAATTGGACCCGCAGATACCCTCGGAGGAATGGCCCGCCGGACTCTTGCCTCCAAATACGAGGCCTACGATGCCGCTACCTCCGTTCAACGTCAAATTCTCTGCTACAACAAGGATGCTAAGGAGATCTACTATGATGTTGACCCCGTCGATGACGAGGAACAGGCTGCAGAGGCTGCTCCTGCATCAGCCCCCGCCGCCGCATCTTCAGCACCCGCCGCCGCAGCTGCGGCACCCCCACCCCCAGTGCCGGCCCCGCTGCCGCCGTGGCAGATGCGCCAGTCACCGCAGTAGATGTGCTGCGGTCCCTGGTGGCCCAGAAGTTGAAGAAGAGCTTGGCCGATGTGCCATTGACTAAAGCAATTAAAGATCTGGTTGGAGGTAAGTGCGATTGGATGTTTCAAATGCTCATGGGGGCTAACGTGGCTCTTTTCCCGTCTCTGAATAGGTAAATCCACATTACAAAACGAAATTCTAGGAGACCTTGGAAAGGAGTTTGGCTCCACACCCGAGAAGCCAGAAGACACTCCACTCGATGAGTTGGGTGCCTCAATGCAGGCCACCTTCAATGGCCAATTGGGCAAGCAGACTTCATCTCTGATCGCCCGTACAGTCTCGTCTAAGATGCCCGGTGGCTTCAACATCACAGCAGTCCGCAAGTATCTAGAGACTCGGTGGGGCTTGGGCTCGGGCCGTCAGGACGGTGTGCTCTTGCTGGCGATCACCATGGAACCGGCAGCCCGTCTCGGCTCCGATGCCGATGCCAAGGCCTTCCTCGACGATGTGACCAACAAGTACGCTGCCAGTGCGGGCATCAACCTCTCATCCCCCGCTGCCGGTGGAGATGCCGGTGGCGGCGGTGGTGGTATGATGATGGACCCGGCCGCCATTGATGCGCTCACCAAGGACCAGCGCGCTCTGTTCAAGCAGCAGCTGGAGGTCATCGCCCGTTATCTGAAGATGGATCTGCGTGCCGGTGACAAGGCATTCGTCACCTCTCAAGAGACCCAGAAGGCACTGCAGGCTCAGATCGACCTATGGCAGGCCGAGCACGGTGATTTCTACGCCTCCGGCATCGAGCCTTCCTTCGACCCCCTCAAGGCCCGTGTTTACGATTCTTCCTGGAACTGGGCCCGTCAAGATGCACTCAGCATGTACTACGACATCATTTTCGGCCGTCTCAAGGTTGTGGACCGCGAGATTGTGAGTCGATGCATTCGTATCATGAACCGCTCCAACCCCCTACTCCTCGACTTCATGCAATACCACATCGATAACTGCCCGACTGAGCGCGGTGAAACATACCAGCTCGCCAAGGAGTTGGGTCAACAGCTCATTGAGAACTGCCGGGAGGTTCTCAATGTTGCGCCTGTCTACAAGGACGTGGCCGTTCCCACTGGTCCCCAGACTACCATCGATGCTCGTGGAAACATCGATTACCAGGAGGTTGACCGTGCCAGTGCCCGTAAATTAGAGCACTACGTGAAGCAGATGGCTGAGGCTGGCCCGATCTCCGAGTACAGCAACCGTACCAAGGTGCAGAATGACCTAAAGAACGTCTACAAGCTCATCCGCAAGCAGCATCGTCTTTCCAAGTCGTCACAGCTTCAGTTCGATGCCCTTTACAAGGACGTCTTGCACGCCCTTGGCATGAACGAGAGCCAGATCATGCCCCAGGAGAACGGACAAGCCAAGAAGGGCCGTAACGGCCTCAAGCGCACTGTGACTCGCCCCGGTAAGGTGGAGACTATTCCTTTCCTCCACCTGAAGAAGAAGAGCGACCACGGCTGGGACTACAGCAAGAAGTTGACTGGAACCTACCTGAACGTGTTGGAATCCGCTGCTCGGGACGGTCTCTCCTTCCAGGGCAAGAATGTCCTCATGACTGGTGCTGGTGCTGGTTCTATCGGCGCGGAGGTTCTGCAGGGCCTAATCAGCGGTGGTGCCAAGGTCGTTGTTACCACCAGTCGCTTCTCTCGCCAGGTCACCGAGTACTACCAGGCCATGTATGCCCGCTACGGTGCTCGTGGATCCCAGTTGGTTGTGGTGCCCTTCAACCAGGGTAGCCAGCAAGATGTCCAGGCCCTTGTCGACTATATTTATGACACCAAGAAGGGTCTGGGCTGGGACCTGGACTTTGTAGTGCCCTTCGCTGCCATTCCCGAGAATGGCCGAGAGATCGACTCCATCGACTCCAAATCTGAGCTGGCTCACCGTATCATGCTGACCAACCTGCTGCGTCTCCTGGGTGGCATCAAAACCCAAAAGCACGCCCACGGCTTCGAGACCCGCCCGGCTCAGGTCATCTTGCCGCTGTCACCTAATCACGGTACCTTTGGTAACGATGGCCTCTACTCTGAATCCAAGCTTGCTCTGGAGACCCTCTTCAACCGTTGGTACTCGGAGAACTGGAGCAACTACCTCACCATCTGTGGTGCGGTCATTGGCTGGACTCGTGGTACCGGTTTGATGAGCGGTAACAACATGGTTGCCGAGGGCGTTGAGAAACTCGGTGTTCGCACCTTCTCCCAGCAGGAGATGGCTTTCAACCTTTTGGGTCTGATGTCTCCTGCTATCGTCAACCTCTGCCAGTCCGACCCTGTCTTTGCCGATCTCAACGGAGGTCTTCAGTTCATCCCTGACCTCAAGGGCTTGATGACCAAGCTCCGCACTGACATCATGGAGAGCAGTGACATTCGCCAGGCTGTCATTAAGGAGACTGCCATTGAGAACACCGTCATTAATGGTGAGGATAGTGGTGCCCTGTACAAGAAGGTTGTTGCTGAGCCTCGTGCCAACATCAAATTCGAGTTCCCCACTCTCCCTGACTGGGAGACTGAGGTCAAGCCCATCAATGAGTCTCTCAAGGGCATGGTCAACCTCGACAAGGTTGTCGTCGTTACTGGTTTCGCTGAGGTCGGCCCCTGGGGTAATTCTCGCACTCGTTGGCAGATGGAGGCTTATGGCAAGTTCTCTCTGGAGGGCTGCGTCGAGATGGCCTGGATCATGGGTCTGATTAAGCACCACAATGGTCCCCTTAAGGGCAAGGCCTACTCTGGCTGGGTCGACGCTAAGACCGGTGATCCCGTCGATGATAAGGATGTCAAGCCCAAGTACGAGAAGTTCATTTTGGAGCACACTGGTATCCGTCTGATCGAGCCAGAGCTGTTCAAGGGATACGATCCCAAAAAGAAGCAGCTGCTGCAAGAGATCGTCATCCAGGAGGATCTCGAGCCCTTCGAGGCCTCCAAGGAGACTGCCGAGGAGTTCAAGCGCGAGCACGGAGACAATGTCGAAATCTTCGAGATCCCCGAGTCTGGCGAGTACACCGTCCGTCTTCGCAAGGGTGCCAACCTGCTTATCCCTAAGGCTCTCCAGTTCGACCGTCTGGTCGCTGGTCAGGTCCCGACTGGTTGGGATGCCCGCCGCTATGGTATTCCCGATGATATCATCGAGCAGGTGGATCCTGTGACCTTGTTCGTCCTGGTCTGTACTGCCGAGTCTATGCTCTCAGCTGGTATCACCGATCCCTACGAGTTCTACAAATATGTCCACCTCTCTGAGGTCGGTAACTGTATTGGTTCGGGTATCGGTGGTACCCACGCTTTGCGTGGAATGTACAAGGACCGCTACCTCGACAAGCCTCTGCAGAAGGATATCTTGCAAGAGTCCTTCATCAATACCATGAGTGCTTGGGTCAACATGTTGCTTTTGTCATCCACTGGTCCCATCAAGACTCCTGTCGGTGCCTGTGCCACCGCTGTTGAGTCCGTCGATATCGGTTACGAGACCATCGTCGAGGGCAAGGCCCGTGTCTGCTTCGTTGGTGGTTTCGATGACTTCCAGGAGGAGGGCTCCTACGAGTTCGCCAACATGAAGGCTACTAGCAACGCCGAAGATGAGTTCGCTCACGGTCGTACCCCGCAAGAGATGTCTCGTCCCACCACCACCACCCGTGCCGGATTCATGGAATCGCAGGGCTGTGGTATGCAGCTCATCATGAGCGCTCAACTTGCTCTCGACATGGGTGTGCCTATCCACGGTATCATCGCTCTGACAACCACCGCCACTGACAAGATTGGCCGCTCAGTCCCTGCCCCTGGCCAAGGTGTCCTCACCACTGCTCGTGAGAACCCTGGCAAGTTCCCTTCACCTCTACTGGACATCAAGTACCGTCGCCGCCAAATGGAGCTGCGCAAGAAGCAAATTAAGGAGTGGCACGAGTCCGAGCTGCTCTACCTGCAGGAGGAAGTTGATGCTATGCAGGCTCAGAGCGACGAGACATTCAATGCCTCTGAGTACATGAACGAGCGCGCTCAGCACATTGAACGTGAGGCTATTCGCCAGGAGAAGGATGCACAGTTCTCCCTGGGCAACAACTTCTGGAAGCAGGATTCCCGCATCGCTCCTTTGCGTGGTGCCCTGGCCACTTGGGGTCTGACGGTTGATGACATTGGTGTCGCCTCCTTCCACGGTACCTCGACTGTTGCCAACGACAAGAACGAGTCCGATGTGATTTGCCAGCAGCTCAAGCACCTTGGTCGCAAGAAGGGTAATGCCGTGATGGGTATCTTCCAGAAGTACCTCACCGGTCACCCCAAGGGTGCTGCTGGTGCCTGGATGTTCAACGGTTGTCTCCAAGTATTGGAGTCCGGTCTTGTCCCCGGTAACCGCAACGCCGATAACGTTGATAAGGTGATGGAGAAGTTCGACTACATCGTGTACCCCAGCCGTTCCATCCAGACCGATGGAATCAAGGCCTTCTCGGTCACCTCCTTCGGTTTCGGTCAGAAGGGTGCCCAGGTTATTGGTCTTCACCCCAAGTACCTGTACGCCACCCTTGACCAGGCTCAGTACGAGACCTACAAGACCAAGGTCGAGTCCCGTCAAAAGAAGGCCTACCGCTACTTCCACAACGGCTTGATCAACAACACCATCTTCGTCGCCAAGAACAAGGCTCCTTATGAGGACGAGATGCAGAGCAAGGTCTTCCTGAACCCCGACTACAGGGTGACTCTTGATAAGAAGACCTCTGAGCTGAAGTACTCGGCCACTCCCCCTAAGCCCGAGTCTTCTAGCGAGGCAAGCACACGCCAGATGGTTGAGTCCTTGGCCAAGGCCAACGCAACCGCGAACTCCAAGGTCGGTGTGGACGTTGAGAGCATCGATGCGATTAATATCGACAATGAGACTTTCGTTGAGCGCAACTTCACCATCGGTGAGCAGGAATACTGTCGCAAGGCCCCCTCTCCTCAGTCCTCATTTGCAGGACGATGGAGCGCTAAGGAAGCTGTCTTCAAGTCGCTCGGTGTGAGCAGCAAGGGTGCCGGTGCCGCTTTGAAGGAGATTGAGATTACAAGTGACGCCAACGGTGCTCCTGTGGTTAACGTAAGTAACACATTCTTGTTTTGAGTCCGATGATCAGCAAACGCTAACGGTAGATTTTTTTTAGCTCCACGGTGCAGCCGCTGCCGCAGCCAAGCAAGCTGGTGTCAAGTCAATCACTGTTAGCATCAGCCACAGCGATACTCAAGCTGTCGCCGTCGCTGTTTCGCAGCTTTGATTCTGAGATTGTCATTGAGCGACTTTTCTGCGTTCACAAATACTGAGGAGAACAACTATAGCCCCCCTTCTTCCCTTGGCTTCGTTCCTCTTCTCTTTTCTCCCCTTTTCGAGACGTGATGACTGTGATTTACGTTTGTGTTTCTTTTCCTCTAGATTCGAGCCAGTTTCGTCTCCTGGTTCGTTGGTGTTTATAATGGGAGTAATGATATGCCATAATTTCATTGATTTCAAAATACTTCTACGTACAGAACTGTGCAGTACATGAGCATAATTGATTTACGGTCTTTTCCAAATTGACGATCTATCTTGAGTAAACAGTGATGGGACATTCTGTTTCAAAGCTATGTTGTATATGTATATCCCACTCATCAGTACATATTGTACTTACGTATACGGTGAAATTGGGATATTATTGTACGTAGACAGTATGAGCTGAACAATTATTTGAATTTCAGAACTCAGGCAGGCACACAGAGCGTTGAACGTGCAGACAAAGGAACGAAATGTATATTTACATTTACATCAACGTACATACATAGAACTTTATCAGTTGGTCACCGATGCACGATTCAACGGTCCCCAATTTGCACGAGGGTTGAGTTGATACCGAACCAGACGCTTCTTAGAGTGCGCAGCTGAGGCCTCACGACCCAGAGCTGGATCAAATTTGACGTCAAGAGTGCTGGGATGAGGGCGCTCGGAAGTCTGAGTGGCAGACTTTTCCTTCTCTTGGGCAGGTGCAGGCTCAGATTCGGGCTCGGGGATGGTATTTGAAGTCTCTGAGGGTTTCCAGCCTTGTCGAGAGCTAGAACGGTAGAGAGAAGCCTCCACCTTGGTGACCAGGTCACTGACATCGCGACCAGACTCCACGGCGGATAAAATATCCTGCTTCAGCAGTGATAGCCATTGGTCGCCATCGGAGAGCTTGCGTAGATTCTCACGGCTCTTGGCCATGATGGCGGCGCCGGGGGTGCCCGGCTTCAGTTCCTTGATAGGGCTCTCTTGACGGATCCACTCACGCATAACCTCCCAGACGACACTCCACGGTGCGTCGGTGCGGACCGTATTGGGTTTGGCATGGCTGCGTGTAGAGCGGTAACCAATGGAATGGAGAGCTCCGCGGAATTCATCGATTGGAGCGGTGGAACAATGCAAGACTTTTGAAAGGGTGCCAAGAGTCACGTAGAAGGGATATGGGTCTCGACGAGTCGGGTCCATCCGTGGGATAATGGCCGGATACTCGGGTTGGTCATTTGTCTCGGTGGCCTCCGGCTTAGGGGCGTTCGAGGAGCATAGGGTGAGGTCCAAATCTTCCTCTAGGGCCGTGGTCAACATACCCTCAATTCGCGGAATGGTTTCATATGTATTGGGGTCGAGTTTAGGAAGAAGGCCCAGAATTTTCTGAATGAAATGCGGGTTATGCAGTGGTCCGGCCCACATAGGGCCAGCAATATGTGTCTTGAAACCACAGTGTTCGCAGTTCGTGTTAGAAGTGGGCCCCTGGGCCAATCCATGGTGGTGCAACGTGTTGCCCTTGCGGTTGAGCTTCTGCTTCAGCGAGGCGATTGGCTGGGTCGACCAGGCGCCGCAGCCCGAATCACAGTTGTAAACGAGCATCGTGTTGGCACCAAGGAACTTCACCTGCGCTGGGGAGCGGTACACGCGCACAAACACGCGAGCATAGAAATCGATGGAAAGTGAAAGCAGTGGTTCAATGGCCAGGCCATACTTGCCCGCCGACATAGCCAGACTGTTGAGAATCAGTCGTAGTCCACCCTCATGCGAATGGGAGCCTTTCATCGGCATGCCGCCATACAAGGAAAAGCACTTCTCCGCATAACCGGTCGAGGCCCAGATACTAGCATCGGTGCAAGTTACGCAGAGAAGACCACCATCCTTCACACCCTGAACTGCTCCATCCAAAAATGGCGCAGCAGTTCCATACGGATCCAAATCGATAACGTCAAACTTCTGGACCGAGGGCAGCCCGTACATATATGCCCGCGCATCGCCGAGGTTGGGTTGAATGCGAGATTCAAGCTTGTTGTATTCGATATTTATCTTCATCGAGTTGATCGCAGAGGGTGACAGATCATTCGCCACCACCTTGGAGACCATTGGTAGCTCTGAGGCGTACCGAAGAGCACGTAGGCCTGTGGCAGACAGGGCATCCAGGACGGTGAACGCCGGCGAAGAAGATGCATCAGATGGCGCGTCCTGCTTCTCTGCTGGTACAGCAGAACTTGGCTTCTCCACCGTGGCCTCCGACTTTACCTCATTCTCTCCCTCCACCCGCTTGGATGCTGGTTCTTCCGCATCGTCCTCGCGCTTCCGCTTTTTGTCGTTGTCAGTCGCATTCCCCGCTTTGCGCTTCTTGAGCTTCTGGGCCTCTTTTTGTTGCTTCAATTCCAGAGTATGTTCTCCAAAAGCGCGAATGGCCAGCACACTGAGGTCACGGTTGAACTGCTGAATCGGGTTATAAAAAACAGCCTGAGACTCGTCCTCAGCCTTCAGATCTTTTTTCGTTCCCTTGGAGGCGGCTTCCTGCGCAGGGGGGTTCAAAATATGCGCAAGTCCCTCTTTGATGACATTGTACTCCTTATCATGGTATTGCACCCGGGTGCTGCGGGATTCGGTCGAGCTCATGGCTGTCGGCGTGGAGTGAGAGAATGATCGTAATGGTGTGCGAAGGAATTTGGGGTAAGTGGGGCGTTTTGAATTAAAAGCGCATAGTGGGAGCCAAGTAAAAGTCGACTGCACAGATCTGGAGTTCATAGAAAGTCTCAGTCAGTCAATTCATGGAAGATGAAGTTAAAGTTGAAGTTCCAAGTTGAAGTTCATTCGGAAAAAAGATTCCTCGCACGGACCAAGTGGGTTCATCCTATACAGGTAAAAGGCACAGAGGATCAGTACAGATACATTAAGTAGAAGTATTCTCGTAATTATTATGAATTAAAGCATCATTAGTAACATCTAGGAGTAAAGTACATTACGTGCATCATAATCCAATCACAACCAATCCCCAATGATTGGTACTTGACTATACATATCATTCCATCCTTGGGCCTCCCAGCCAACACCTGCGCCAGCGCGACCAACAATACCAAGAGCACCGGCAAGCCAGAGGGCAGCACCAGCAGCTGCAATACCATTGACCATCCACCACATCTTTCGCTGTCGCTTCGCGCGATGGTGGTTCTCAGGATAACCTAGCAATCCCTCCAATGAACCCTTACTGGTGTGCTCTTTCCGGGCAGTTGTAACTCGCCATCCCATCCAGGTTGCCCAACCACCAATGAAGTGCCATACACTGGCGGTAACAAATACCAGGTAAAAGATGTTCCAGAAAACAGGACTGCGAGCCACGCCATGAGCAACATAGCCCAGTCCAACGCCAGAGCTACTACCTTCCACCATGAGTGGTGTGATGCGATTCACTACAGCATGGAATCCAATCAGCGGGGCGAGAAGATATCCCGAACGAGCCTGGAGAGATATCCGAGGCCACCAGGCGAGCAAATTCCGTTGTGCACGAGTCTCCGCACCGTATAATCTTGCACGCCGTGAGGAACGAATATTGCGCAGTGCGATACCAGAGACAATATGGGTGATTATGGGAAGAGTCAGGACGAGATGTTCCAATCCTGGAGCCTGGTAGACTGGTCGCGTGAGCAACAGATAGGGCTCACTGGCGGGCACCGATTGGGTCACGAGCGGAATAAGAGCGGTATTGGCGAAATGCAAGACAAAGAATGCTGTCGGAGGATATGTGGAGTATTTCTGGAGACCGGATACTGTATGTAATAAATATCAATCGGGGGAATGACTTCGGGGTTTAAGGTCAATCTTACACAATGCATCCCATCGATGCGGTCGAAGACCTAATGAGGGAAGTGTAAAACCACATGTCCTTGGAGGTTTATCTCCATTTGGCTTGGGCAAGTATTCCGCGGGCTCAACATCCGGAGTCAAATCGTCCACAGGTGAAGGGTCCAGTTCTTGCATGGACAAGATGGACTTGGCGTCCATATCCACTGGTTTGGAATCTCGGAGATCCATTTGCGTTTTCAATAGTAAATTGAAATGAAAGAAACAGAGATTAAAAATTATAACATTGTCAAGAGTTGAGAGGAGAGAATGAAAAAGTTGGAAATGTTGGGGAAACGCCGATCCCGAATAGCAAAAACACAAAGTCGCTGATAGGTTGAACCTTCACTCACTTTTATCACTTTATTAACTAAACCATCATGCCTCCGGTAATCTTCCTTCCCAATTCTTGACAATGTCCTACTAATAATATTACAGCGTGGATTCACTAATCCTGCTCCTAAGGTCCATACATCAACTCCCCCGAAGTCTTGAAGTCTATAGCTAACTCATCTCAGACCGAGTCCGCGCGATCCGCCCTCAGCTCCTTCACATGTAATTTGTGCAATAAATCCTATTCACGACACCCTGAATATGAAGCGCACATTGGATCTTATGATCATCAGCACCGCAAGAGACTCCAAGATCTGAAGCAGCTGTCGCGCGATCCCAATGCTGCAGAGAAGGCACGACGCGCAGAGCGCAAAGCGGATGCCGAAGCCGGGCTACGAGTCATCGATGCACCTATCGCCAGTACCAGTTCCAGTGGGACAACCGGTGGAGGTGGAGGTTTCAAGAAAGGTGGTTTCAAGAGCTCTTTCGCCGCAGTCAAGGGCTCTGCGGCACCCGTGTTGAAGAATGTCCTGGGTAATGATGATGAAGATGAAGCCCAACCAACCCATAAGAATGGGCAGGGATCGGCAGCTTCCAAGTCGCTCACGAATGACATACAGGATGCAGAAAGTGATACGGATGAGGAATACGGACGAGATAAGCAAGGATATTATAACCCTCGTCATCCTACTGACTGCCTTCCTGGATGTGCGGGGCTCCGGTGAATCAGCTATCTGCTTTGCTGCTTTGCTGCTTTGCTGATTTGCCAACATTTCCAAAAAAAAACCAAAAAAAAACCCCTAGTCCCGTGTATCGTATTTGCATTATGAGAGGCGTTGGACGAGATACCACGGCGTGAGATTCTGTTATTTTACCATTTTCATTACTGGAACCTATCAAAAACAATAAAACTGACATTTCTCTATCAATCTAAAGTCAAGATAGTGGGGAGCATTTACGCTGGAATCAAAAGGCGACTCTAGGAAGATAATCGTACATAGGTTTCCAAGAATCAGCCTAGGCGAGAATAAATAGTGACATGATGGAACAAACAAAAAGGGAAAAGGTGGGGACAGATGAAAAGGGTACTAGGCACATGGTTTTATTACTGTTTCAACATTGGCTCCACTTACAGTCGCAGGAGCTTGGCGGCCTGGCTAACAATGGTGTCCTCCTGGGGGAAGGCCATGTTTTCCAGTCCGAGGGCGTAGGGGGTGGGCACCTCAGCACCAGTGACACGGACGGCGGGGGCAGTCAGGTAGTCGAAACCGTACTCCATGGCCAGAGCCATGATCTCGGAGGAGACACCGTACATGGGGTATCCGGACTCAACAACCATAAGGCGACCCGTCTTCTTCAAGGAGGCAATGATGGTCTCGACATCAAGGGGCTTGACGGAGCGCAGGTTGATGACCTCGGCGTCAACGCCGTACTTCTGCTTTAGCTCGGAGGCGGCGGTGAGGGACTGGCCGACGCAGCGAGAGAGAGAGACGATGGTTAGGTCCTTTCCGGGCCGCTCAATCTTGGCCTTGCCAATGGGCAGGACGAAGTCGCTCTTCTGGGCGGCCTCGCTCATGGGGAAGGCCTGGCCGTACATAAGCCTATTTGCAAATATTCCGTTAGTTCCCGGTTCCCCATACTCAATCTCCAGGCCAAACAATATAAACCAAGGACAAGACGTACTCGTTCTCCAGAACAATGACGGGGTTGGGGTCACGGATAGCGGCCTTAAGCAGACCCTTGGCATCCTCAGAGCTCCATGGGCAGACAACCTTCAGACCGGGAATGCTGCCGTACCAGGCAGAGTAGTCCTGGGAGTGCTGAGCGGCGACACCGGCGGCGAAACCGTTGGGACCACGGAAGGTGACGTTGCAGGGCTGGATACCACCGGACATGTAGTGAGTCTTAGCGGCGGAGTTGATAATCTGATCGATGGCCTGCATGGCGAAGTTGAAGGTCATGAACTCGCACTAGAGATAAGGGACCGATTGATTAATACCCATTCTGCCCCGGGTTTCAGCTTCAAGGGTCTCCGGAAAAATACTTACAATGGGGTGCAGACCAGCCAGAGCAGCACCAACAGCAAGACCGGCGAAACCAGCCTCAGTGATGGGGGTATCAATAACCCGCTTGGGTCCAAAGCGGTCCAACAGGCCGCGAGTAACCTTGTAACTGCGAGTAGAAATCCAAGTTAGGATGTTTTCCTAGACCGAAGCCGCGGCCATGCTATCACATTGACCATGACAGACATGAGATGGGGCTCTTACGCTCCGTTGTACTGTGCGACCTCCTCACCCAGAATGAAAGTCTTCTGGTTGGCCTCCAACTCCTCCGCCAATGCCTCGTTCAAGGCATCACGGACAGTAACCTCCTTCACACCGCCCTCTGTGGCATATCCTCGGGCGCGCAGAATCGATTGGGCGCAAGCAGACTGGGCAAAGGCCGGACGAAGAGGGGTGGTAGCCAGGCGCGAAGAAGCCAGACGGGCCGCTGGGCGGAAAAGTCGGGAAGTGACCATGACGGAAATTCGTGTATGAATTCAAGAAACGGAGGAACAAGGAACAATAGTAAACAAATCCGCAAGGCCGAGACGGGCACCCTGAGCGTAAAAGTAAATTAATTGAGGTTGGGGAGAAAAAGGGAAGGTCCGCGCTATGAATCTTTGAGATTCAAATCGGAAAGATGTTGGGCGCTGACTCAGCCAACCTCACCGGCAGCTCCTTCCGTAACCGTATGAGCTCCTTTCCTAAGAACTATATCACTTTTGATCCATTTACATACTTTATATTATCTATTCTCTTCCTTATCCTCCTTCTTCTTGTTCTCCTTCTCCTCCTCCTTCACTTCTATGAGGAAGTTTCAGGTTTAATCAGCTTCCTTCTCACTTCCGGCTCCGGCTCGGGAAACACAATCCCAGGATGTTGTTGTCCGTGTTGCCCTGGCTCTTCCCGTCGGCGCTGGCCGCTCAACCATCCGCGCCCAACCCTATCCCCGCTCCTCTACGTGATCTTGAGTTTGGCCAAATTAATTTTCTTCATACTACTGATACCCATGGCTGGCTGGCCGGTCATCTACAGGAGTAGGCCGGAGCTCCTCCCCTGTTCTTAACTCCCAACTAACAGTGGATGTGTTACAGACCATCCTATTCCGCCGACTGGGGAGACTATATCTCTTTCACGACACGAATGCGGGAAAAGGTTGAAGCGCAAGGTCAAGACTTACTGGTCATAGATACAGGTGATCGGGTTGAGGGAAATGGTCTCTATGATTCATCCCAACCTAAGGGAATCTATCTCTCGGAGATAATCCGTCATCAACACATCGACGTGTTAACCTCGGGAAACCATGAACTATACCAACACAACACATCCAATAATGAGCTGCTGACGACCGTACCAAACTTCCGAGGACATTACCTCTCATCAAACATCGATATCTATCACCCCATAACCCATGAGCTGGTTCCACTCGCCCCACGTTACAAGAAATTCACCACTAAGGTGCAAGGGATCCGCATCGTAGCATTTGGCTTCCTCTTTAATTTCAACGGGAATTACAATAATACCGTTGTCCAACCAGTGGAGGATACCATTCAGGAAGCCTGGTTCCAGGAAGCGATCCAGGATAAAGATGTGGATCTCTTTTTAGTCGCCGGGCATGTCCCGGCTCATTCACCGGAGTACCGAGCGATCTTCAGAGCGATCCGCAAGATCCACTGGGCCACACCCATTCAGTTTTTCGCTGGACACCAACACATCCGCGATTATGCGCAATATGACTCCAAGGCTGTGGCCCTGGCCAGTGGCCGATTCATGGAGACCATCGGGTTCATGTCCATTGATGGTCTCTCCACCAACTCATCAGCGGCTACGGGCCCCGTGTTCAAGCGACGGTACATAGATAACAACCTTTACTCTTTCTACCATCATACTGGACTGGATGAAGATTCATTCCCTACTGAGAAGGGTCTTGAAGTGTCCAAGATGATTACTGAGGCACGGAGTGCTCTTAATCTGGATAAAGTCTATGGCTGTGCACCTCGCGATCTATGGATGTCGCGTGTGCCATACCCACATCCAGACAGTATCTATACTTGGCTAGAGACCGAAGTGCTGGCTACTTCATTGAAAGATGATTGTCGCCGTACTATCCCTGCCGTTGCCATTTTGAACACTGGTGGGATTCGCTTCGATATCTTCAAGGGCCAATTTACCCATGACAGCGCCTTCATCATATCCCCTTTCACAAACGACTTCCACTATGTGAAGGACGTTCCTTATGACAAAGTCCAACTTATCATGGAGGTACTAAACAAGCAGACAAAGATCTTGGGGGTTTCCCATAACAAGGACCTCTCCATGAGCGATCTTGCATCCCCTGATCAACAGAACATTGCAAAGCAGAACCTGGAAAGTCAATGGCTTTCCACAGATGCTAGTTCTCGTCAGGTCCCTCTGGTCAAGCGTGGGGATGCCAACATAATCCCTGGGTACACGACCAAAGACGACGCCGGTACAGATGGAGACGATACCATTCATTCACCCATCAGTGCCTATCAAGTACCTAACTGCATTCAGGCACTCCTGTCCACCAACGAAACAACAGCACCGGAGACGGTTGACTTGGTCTACATTAACTTCCTTGAACCCTTCCTGGTGTTAGCTGCCAAGTATGCTGGTCTTGGTGTCGATTTCGGCAAGGATAGCGAGGTCTATATGCCCAACACTACTATGTCAGACCTGATTCTAGACTACGTTGAGCAGAATTGGAAGTGCGAGTAAAGCCATCTCCGCATCAAAGTTTAAGCGCAAGGTCCGGAACTATTAACAAACATCTTGTAAATATATCAATGCAGGCTTTAACTTGTATATCATCGATGTTGGCTGCCCGATGGCAGATTTCCCTGATCATTGAAATATGTAGATATGTTCAATTACAATATGATACATTTATGAATCATTTCCTTCACTCATCGCCTCCAGTGTACGTCAGCACACCCTTTCCACTGCGATATCCACCCAGAGTGCCTTGCACGCTGTTTGCTAGCTCGGCGCCCTCGGAATTCCAGTTCCATTTGACGTCGTCCACGGGAATGTCCTTAAATCGGCCCGCACGGGTCAGCTGCAGCACATCCTTAATGGTGTTCTCCTTCAGCACCGGGTTCTTATCACCCCACTTGCTGACCCAGAAACCATCAAAGGTAATGTTCTTAAAGATCAACAACCCGGAGGGCAGAGCCACAGGCTGCTTCGACATAGCACCGTAGGTGACCATGTGTGAGTCTGGTGCCAGGGTCTTTGCAAGTGCTGTGGCATTCTTCCCACCAACGCAGTTCAAAGCCAGACGAATCGGCTCCCGTCCTCCACGGGTGGCTTCCTTGATCATATCCCGGAAGGGACCATTCAGCATTTCCTCCTCAGTCACAGCGACCGTAGCGCCGAGATCCTTGAGTTCTTGCTTAAGCGCCTCTGTCTCCTCGGGCGTCTTGCGCTGACGAACAACATTGATCGTCTTAATTCCCCACTCACGACAGAGCTGAATCGCAGCACGGCCAACACCGCTGTTAGCACCATTCTGGATCAACCATTCCTCGCCTGCGCGCATCCAATCCCACTCGCAGAAATCACGGATCATGCGGTATGCGGTCACCGGGTTGACACTCACGGTACCAACCTGCAGCGGCGTCAACCCATCCTTATTCTCGATGCGGATAAGCTGTGACTCTTCCATCTGAGCGTGTGTGCGCCAAGTACCCTGACCAGTCTTCTTCATAATGACCCAGTCACCCTTGGACAGACTCTTGACACCCGCGCCGGTTGAAATCACCTCAAAGGCACCCTCGTTACCGCCGACAGCGGACGGCTGACTGGTACCAAGAGTGGAGACAAATGGAGGTTTGCTAGGGTATACCCCTTGGATCTGGTTGACATCGGCCGGGTTCATAGGAGCTGTAAGGAGACGAAGATTGACTTGGGTGCCATGAGGGGCGGAAATGGAATGCTTATGTAGACTAATTCGCGCGTTAGCCATTTACCATCGCCGGAGAAAATCTAGACCAAATACGTACCTGAGAACATCCTTGGGCTCGCCGTATTTCGAGTACACCAGAGCCTTGGATTGTGTGTAGCCATACACGGAAATGGATCTTCGGCCCTGCACGGGGAGAGTGGAGCTAGCACATTGAGCTTTACCCGCCAGGCTTGCGGCTCTGAATAAACCAGATTGCCGGGTACCGTGGGTAGAAGCTCGGAAAACACTGCGCGAGAACATGGCGGATGTGTTGGTGGGAGAGGGGAAGTATGAACAGAGAGTTGAAGGAAGAGGATTTGCGGGAAAGCGGAGATGACGTCTTGTTTCGGTGATTTCACTCGGGCCGAAGGAGCTACAGTGAACAATTACAAGCTTGGAGCTGCAAATGTGTTTCTATCTTGAGATCTTTGAGTTGTTGAAATATCGAAATCTTTCTGTGGAGTTTATGATCCTCATACTCTTCATATCTCAAGTTAACCGATCTTTGTGGGTGGTTTTCCTTCATATAAGCTTCCTCGGTTATTTCCTGTTCTGCAACATGCCAACTACATGTACACCAACACCTTACCTGGGTAAATAACAAATAACTCCTGACTTCGAGGCAAAATCTGTGTGTCCACAAAAAGCCTATCTTTATACTTCTGGTGCAGAACTTCGTCTAGTTCCCAATGTTATCTAAGATATATCCGACATATATAGATGGGTGCATTATGGTACATGATAACGATAAGCGATAAGAGATAAGCTCCTGGCATTCTCCTCGATTTGCATATCCAACCCGCTCTATGTCAACTTGCGTCTCTTCCTCAATGTCCCTTTTACGCGAGGCGGAGAAGTGCATAGCTAACCAGCATGCTCATAGCCTCAACGCCTTCATAACCCTATTGCCCCGTGCGGGTCAATGGTTGGATCGCGTGAAGGAGGCAGACCGGCGTCGGGAGCAAGGTATGTCGCATTCAAGCGATCTGAAAACATTATAGCTCATGTTTTTGATTGATAGGGAAAAAGAAATCTATCGTCGATGGTCGTCTCATTGCGATCAAAGATAATATTTGTACGCGCGAACTTCCGACTACCTGTGCCTCGGGCATATTGGACAAGTTCACTAGTCCGTTCAACGCGACCGTTGTCGATCAACTGGAAGATGCCGGAGCTATTGTGGCCGGAAAGACCAACCTAGATGAGTTTGGGATGGGCTCGCACTCAACCCACTCGCTCTTTGGCCTGGTCAAGAACTTGCGACGCGACAAGGATGACCAAGATCTTTCCGCTGGCGGGAGTTCAGGTGGAAGTGCAGTGGCGGTTGCAGCTGATCAATGCTATGCGTATGTGATTGGATATCCTTGAATGATAAGTAAATACTGACTCGGGTTCAGAGCACTCGGAACAGACACTGGAGGCTCTGTCCGACTCCCGGCGGCGTATACTGGAGCAGTCGGTTTTAAACCTTCGTATGGCCTGATCTCGCGATGGGGCGTCGTTGCTTATGCCAACTCCTTGGATACCGTTGGAGTCCTGGGGAGGAATACTTCCAGTGTTCGGGATGTATTCTGTGCGTCGATCTTATCCCTAGGTGAATAATCATGAAGCTAATACTTTCATAGCAATCCTCAACCGCTACGATGAACGTGATCCGACCAGCGTTTCCAGTCTATCCAGAACACGCATCAACTCACACCTTCAAACACCAAAGCTCGCTTCACGATTAGTTTCAACTCCCCTCCGGATCGGAGTGCCATTGGAATATAACATTTCCGAATTAGCACCGTCAGTGCGACAAGCCTGGTTGATGTCCCTGGCACATTTGCAAGAACAAGGCCATACCATTCACCCTGTCTCCTTACCAGCTACCAAGCATGCACTATCGGCATATTACGTCCTTGCCCCAGCTGAGGCATCCTCGAATCTGTCCAAGTATGACGGCGTGCGGTACGGCACTCGTCATGGACCCGACAACGATGGAACTCCCGAAGGCTACCTCTACTCCAATACACGGGGTCGCGGATTTGGTGCAGAGGTGCAGCGTCGCATTCTCCTGGGAACTTTCAGTTTGAGCGCCGATGCCATGGACAATTTCTTCATCCAGGCACAGCGGGTACGCCGACTGGTCCAGCAAGACTTTGATTTTGTATTTCACGCCAAAAACCCCCTCGCTACCACCAATCTAGACGTAGGCCGTCCTGAATTGGAAAATGTGGATGTCCTCGTATGTCCCACGGCGCCATCCCCTCCACCCCGCCTATCTGATATCACAGGCACTGCCGGCTCGCCCTTGAATGCCTATATCAATGATGTGTTTACCGTCCCTGCCAGCCTAGCGGGCCTGCCTGCTATCTCCGTGCCAGTCACTGTGACTGGATCTAATCAGGACTCCGATGCGGATGGGGTGGCCGGTATCCAAGTAATTGGCCAGTACGGAGATGATGAGCTGGTGATGCAAGTTGGAGAGTTACTCGAAGGTCGCCAGTTTGACTCTTTATAGGAGGGTCCTGTATTATAGAGAAGTAAGAAGAGTATACCCGCAGTTGGTCTCTGGCCAAATCATACAGAAAATCAATCATCACAATAAAGTAAGGTTACTTTAGCCATCATTAAATATCATTGCTCTTGGTATCAACAGAATTTGATTATAAAGCCCCTAACGCCTTGCCATTTCCAGATAAAGCTCGTGCAAGACACATCGAGCGTAAGACTTGCGCCGTCCCATTTCCTTGCTTAGATCATCTCTATGTCCTCATCAGCTGACCCAGCTGAACGTACGGGGATCTCCACGGCAATCCTAGGTGTCCCGGCCGTCCCAACGCTCATAGTTTCATCCGCAGTCGAGTTCCCAATATCATCCCCATTGACCAGACTGGCATGATGACCATTCATAGCCGGAGATGCGGCACCATTAGTCGATCCAGGGGTCGCCGCAGAAACTTCGAGATCATGCGCACCACCAACTTGCAATACCCCAGTGCCGCCTCTTATAGCACCGGAAGCGGCATCTAGCTCTTCATTATTGTTATCGTCAATAACTTCGCCGTCGACACCACCCCAGGTGAACATGGCGTCAACCTCGTCAACGATATCGGCAACCACATCCTCGACGATCTGATCATTGTAGCGGTCGCCGATGGGCCGAATGGGCTCTCCAGTCTCGGTTTGCTCGGGCGGGCCAACCCACCACGGGCCCTCGAACCGACATTCTACGGCACCGCCGCCATAGCAGCTGACGGTCGGGTAGTAGCCAATCGTCCCATCGTCGGCATTTTCACGCTCGCCAATTCCAAGATTGTTTGTATTAACAAGGCGACTTGCTGGGGGAAGAAATGCATACAGCTCTTTGAAAGGGGAGCCCATCTTCACACCGTTTTTGTAAATTGTAATACTGGATCCGGGTAATGTACGTAGAGATGGGTCGTCGATGTTGTAGGGGGAAGGGGGTCCAAAGGCCGGCGCATCCTTGAAGTTGAAGGCGTAGTCACGAAGGTATTTTGTGGAGAAGATGTTGGCCTGCTGCCAACGGAAGTCGCCAGTTTTTGTGTGGAAGGGAACACGATCTCGAATGAAATTCTGAACAATGGGAGGTTGACCCGAGCCATCGCCATCCACGGCAGGATCATAGGTACCTTCGACAATCTTTTTGTGTAGGTAGAGTGGAGGAAGTGTGATGAGCATACCGATGACATCGCCTTCGTTGATAGCTTCGCCTTTTTGAAAGAAGGGCTCACAGCGCATGCGATTGACGACTTCACCATTCACATCACGAATGCCGTAGCCATAGCAATCCACTCCAACATTGGCATCGAGCTCAGCTTCACGCCGCGCAAATCCCAGTCGAACATGACCACGAGAACCAGAAGAAGGAGAACCATTCACTACCCCGCTAATGATCCGAGCCTCATAGTAGAAGGAGCCTTCCCGGGCACACACATTCGCACGTGCCGAGTGCCAAGCATCACTAGTAGTCACAGCCCTGCCATCTTGTGTGAAGCAGATCGCAGGAGGCGAGTCCTCGAAACTGAAGCGGGCGTGATAGGGTTGAAGGTCGGTCTGGCGGTATTTGATATGAGGAAAACCCGAGTCCAGAATGGCATGGGTATAGCGGTACCCATTTTTATTGGTGAATTTATCAACCAATTCATAGAAATCCCAGCTCTCACCTAGGACTTCCGATTTCTTTGTGTTCAATTGGTTGAATTGGCGTGGTGGTGGTGGATAGTAGTCCGAGGAACGTTGTTCAGCAAGAAGCAATGGACGGGAAAGTTGTAGACTTGTGCTGGGGCGAGCCATGTTGGCTGCCGTGGTGCGTTTTTTGGGTGGAGGAGCACCTTCAACATCAAGACCCTTGGCTTCACGTTTCTTGCGGCTGTCCCGTTTGTTTCGCTTTGTGCGCGCACTGTCTCCCTGAACAGATGCGTTGCTACCTGGCGCAGGGGAGGACCGTGGATTCAAATCTGATAATGCGCCATTGAGAAGAGGACCATTACCGGGGGTTATGATGGGAGAGTTGATGTTGGAGGAGGGTGCAGATGACCCAGGAGCTTGACCAGACATTGTAGATCGCAGCTGAGTGGGCGGCTAGTTTGCGGCTGTTGTAGCTAATTCAAGATGGCATAAAGTGCGTCTGGGCGAGATTCATGAACTGCTAGGAAGAAAAAGCTTGTCAGCGAAAGAGAACGGGATGGATAGTTATCTAAAAGAATTGAAGGGTCATTTTTTATGAAATTGAGCTGTTCAGAACCAAGGAGAAGAGAGCACTGTAGCACAGACTCAGTTTTGGTGTAGAGCGTAGTATTCTGCTACAGCTCCAGGGGCACATGAACATAAGATAAATGAAACAAAATTGAGGTCTCTAACTCACAGTATTACCCCCCCAGGTTCAGCTTCAGTTTATTCAAGGATATAACAGTGGGGAGAAGGGATAGCAAGATACGACTTGAGAAAGTAGCGCGCAGATCAGATCAAAGAAAGCGACGCAAGACGCGGCAGAAAAGTGACTGTCAGCCGCAGGGCGGTGGGTCAAACAAGGCGGTGAGTTATATACCGCCCAGCAGAAAAAAATAACTTGAAGATCACATGATTCAAAATTTAACCCACAAGTGTTGCTACATCTGGTCCAACAACTCAGCAGGACTTGTTTCATATTGAAATTCAGATTACAAAAAATCTGCATAAAGCCTCATCATGCCCAAGGCAAACAGCTCCCGTGCCGCCGCCGCCGCGCGCCGGCACAACCCTCTGGCAGACGATATCTCGTCCGCGGGGCACTTGCGGACACAGAGCAGCAAGAAAAGCAAGCGCCAATCCCAGGATGAGGAAGATGGGGAGAATGGACAACGTTTCATCGATGCGAAGATGTCGCGCAAGATTTTGCAGATCGGTCAAGAACTAGCCGACGAGGATGCCGCTGAACACAAGCTCGCCATGGGCGCCATGGAGCCAAAGACCAACGCCGCTTTCGAATTCGATACTCGGTTTGAAGAGGAAGCATTGTCGGATGATGAAAACCTTCAAAACGACGAATGGGTCGACGATGAGGTCGAGGAACAGGAGGTTAATCCGGATGATCTTGAAATGTTCAACAACTTCATGCCCGGTCATGAAGACGATCCTATTTTCAACCCCCGCGAACCCGGCTCATCGGGTCAAACAACAAACCTTGCCGATTTGATCTTGGAGAAGATTGCCGAACATGAAGCCCGACAGGCGGGAGAGACCGTTGGTGGACCACATATCCAGGGCGGTGGAATCCCGGAGGACGCTGTCCAGATCCCGGCCAAGGCTATCGAGGTCTTTGAGAAGTATGTGATTTGCTGAAAGTTTCAATAGGTCTGAACTAACAAGTTTTAGGGTTGGCACGATCCTCTCTCGCTATAAATCTGGCCCATTGCCGAAACCGTTCAAGATTCTCCCCTCAGTGCCGAACTGGCAAACCCTACTTGATATCACCCAGCCTGAGAGGTGGACCGCCAATGCTGTCTATGCAGGCACTCGCATCTTCATTTCATCCAAGCCTCACGTGGCCCAGGAGTTCATCAACACTGTGCTGCTTGACCGTGTCCGCGAAGAGATTCACGAGACTAAGAAGCTTAATGTCCACACTTACAATGCGATGCGCAAGGCTCTCTACAAGCCCGCGTGCTTTTTCAAGGGCTTGCTCTTCCCACTGGTTGCCAGTGGCACATGCACCTTGCGTGAGGCCCACATTGTTTCTTCAGTGATTTCTCGTGTCTCTATCCCTGTGCTGCATTCCGCCGCAGCTCTCCTCCGCATGTGTGATCTGGCTGCAGAGCAATCCCTCCGGTCTCTGGAAAGCACTGGCTCAGTGAACACTTTCATCCGAGTCTTCTTGGAAAAGAAGTATGCTCTGCCCTACAAGGTTATTGATGCTCTTGTGTTTCACTTTATGCGTTTCCGCGCGGCTGATGCATCTGAGGATGCTCTGATGGATGGCAGCTCCAAGGCCTACAAGCTTCCGGTTCTATGGCATCAGTCCCTGTTGGTATTCGCCCAGCGCTACCGTAATGATATCACTGAGGATCAACGTGAGGCTCTTTTGGATCTGCTGTTGGTTCGGGGTCATAAGGATATTGGACCCGAGGTACGGCGAGAATTGCTGGCTGGCCGTGGCCGTGGAGTAGTTGTCCCGGACCCTGAGAGACAGAATGCTCTTGATGCCGGTGATGATACTATGGATGTGACCATTTAGATTGCTGTCTGATCTTTTTTCTTATCTCTTTTGTCATACTCCTCCCCTGCATATACCACTGACGAACCTGGTCATGAGCACGTACTTGATGGGATGGCGTTTTGATGTGATTTTTCTTTGTGGGATTGCATATATTCCCCTGGTTTCTTTTAGATGGATAGTTCTATGGTGAATCTATAGAACCAAAAGCATTGATCTCATTTTTCTATACACTAGTGTTCGTACATCGTAAACGTTCCAAGGACCGATTCTCCTTTTGACAAAGGCACCGCTTTTCGGCTGTGACTGCTTCGTCAAAAATCGGATTTTAGAACTTTGTGAGCCATCTCTCACTTCCTCTTGTCGCGATCCCACTAGTTCCTACTCTCCCACAAGTCCACCCCTTCTATCCTGTCCTAAAAGTAAGTCTGTTACGAAAAGTAAGTCTGTTACGATTTCTCCGGAGAATACGTGGTTTGACCTACGGGGTAAAGATAGACTCAACTGACACGTTCAAGATGCCGTGGTCTGGAAACGATGATATGATGGGCCTAACCAAGTTGGAGCTCAAGACGCTTCTCATAGCAGTGGGACTCAATGCACGTGAGAACAAGCTTACTGTAAGACAAGAATAACTTACTCCTTTGGGGCTCTGCCAATTGACTAACAGTCTCAGTGTGACATGGACACCCTCGCATTGCTGATTGAAAAGAACTCGGGGACGATTGCTCGGCGTCATTTGAGCGACGGTACTAGAAAGCTTAAGCACTATGTTACTAAGCTTGAGGAGGAGCTAGAGGAGGAGTCTAAGTAGCTTTAGCTTCCTTGATCAGAGTCATCAGACTTGAATTCCGTATGTACTTGACATAGCGTCTCAAATGAAACAATCAGTCTGATAAAAAAATTTAATCATCTTCTTTCATCTATGGCTAATCAATTGACTCATATCATGAGCATTCCTTTGTCTAGAAGATGACATGAGGCTGGTGCGCCTTGGGGGAAAGTCCCATGCCTTTGTACACCGTCAAATTAAATAGGATATGTGCATCATTGCACATTTGTATCTTCGGAGTATTCGATAAACTCTCTCTGTTTCATATGATTTTAGTTCCTGTTTGAGAACAAGATAATTGTGGGTCTACATGTCAAAGAGAGATACTCCGTACACGTGCTCTCCTTACTGTAGACGGACTCCGCCGGAGAATCCAATCTTTACCCGTTATACCGTACTACAGAACATCAAGTCTGTACCTGAAATGTGGGGTTGTGGCAAGAATGATCAAGCCGAGTATTGGCCTATCGCTGGAAAAAAGCATCGGTTTATTTATTGCGCAATGTACAGAGTACAACAGTGTCTGTCACTCCAAGTAGGAGTGGATACCAAATGTAACGGATCGAACTTTCAACCCCTCGTTTTGTTCCAGGTCGTTCGATCATCTTCTTGACGCCAATCTACTTGCTGACCCCTTTTCACTGCATTCCAATCCCAAGGGACGGAAAATTACCGGTGGAAAGTCCGATCAGGCCTCCTCATTCCCGCTTTGTTGCATGAAGTCTGGATGCGCCCAGATCCACTTGGTTTCTATCTCGTATGGCATGACGATATCCCAACCTTTGGGGTGACCTCAGACCGGATGGGTTGTACTACCAGCCTTTTCAGCCCCGAATCCAACGTTGGCGAACGACATGTAAGGATAGGGTAAGAGGTTGGGGGCCTTGGTTGGGGGCCTTGGTTGAGGTATATCCTGTACTCCTTCAGCTAGAACAGTAGGGAATACTCCGTAGTGGACTCGTACAGGACTCGGACTATTCATAGAAAGTGGAAACAAATCAGAGAAAGTGGAATCTAGGGGCGCAGGGGCTGGTTCTATATTATGATTGGTGGATTCCTTGTATTTTCTTGTATTTCTGGTATCATACGTGTCACACGCTTACGACGACGATCAAGGGATACTTGATGTATCATACTAAACATTATGTGGATCCATGTACCACATCGTTTTTGCCCCTGAAAGTCCCCCTTTGTCTTAAGGTAATTCCGGTATTCAGGGATGGACACGCTGGCCTCTACTTAAACCACCACATCCGCCCACCTTGGATCTTCTTCCTCCCAAGAAGAACACCTGGCCTCTTGAGTCTGACTCGCTGACTCAACCCCCAATTCCCGGATTCTGTCCGGTGCCCGTGATGACAACGTGGCCTTGAGTGTGTAATTCATACCCTGACAGGGTCACTTACCCACTCGATCCCATTCATCACACGGCACCATTATATCCTATGATCTACGATATGTCAGACACCACTATCAATCCGCTGGATCTGCCAGCATCTCCATCCTCGGAGATGTTGACTGTCTCTCCCGCTGATACCTCATTGGATTCTCCGGAACCGGAGGATCTGGAGGAGGAGAAGAAGCCAGCGAAGAAGAGAAAGTCCTGGGGCCAGGAACTTCCAGTCCCAAAGACCAACCTCCCTCCACGGTATGTACACTAGTGCTGATAAAAATTGGTGATATCCATCTCTAATACTCTTGACCAGAAAACGTGCCAAGACAGACGATGAGAAGGAACAACGACGCATCGAACGGGTTCTCCGGAATCGCGCCGCAGCACAAACCTCGCGCGAGCGCAAGAGACTCGAGATGGAGAAGTTGGAAACCGAGAAGATCAGCATGGAACAACAGAACCAGTTCCTACTGCAACGGTTAACCCAGATGGAGGCGGAGAACAACCGCCTATCTCAACAGGTGGCGCAGTTATCCGCCGAAGTCCGTGGCTCTCGCAGCACCACCCCCAAGGCTGCATCTCCAGTCACAGTCACCGAATCCCCCACCCTCACCCCGACCCTGTTCAATCGGGAACGGTCAGAGCTCAACATTGAGCGCATCCCGTTCCCCACCCCCTCCACCGAATACTCCCCCACCCTCAAGCCCTCAACTCTGGCTGAGGCCTCCGACGCGACACAACATCCTGCAGCGGTGTTGTGTGACCTGCAGTGTCCGTCGCTGGCCTCGAAGGAGCTAGAAGTGCGCTCCCTCTCTTCGACCTCTCGAGTATCGACCCTGCAGTTTCAAATGATGCTGCAGCTCCTCTTTCTGACGATGACTTCCGTCGCCTCTTCCACGGTGACTCACCCTCTGAGTCAAATCCTTCATTCCCTGAAGACGGGTTTGCCTTTGGCGTTCTCGACGGTGGAGATCTTTCAGCATTTCCCTTTGATTCTTTGGTTGATTTCGACCCCGAGTCTGTCGTCCTCGAAGGCGTCGACCCGACCGGTCTTTCGGATGAAGCTTCTCATCAGACTACTAGCTTGCAGCCCAGCCTTGGCGCGTCCACTCCGCGATGCGACGGGCAGAGCATTGCAGCTAGCGGTTAGTGAGCAAAGTTTCCCGCAGACCGGGTCGGCCGACGCCCCGGAGGGTCGACCGCGGTGGGAGTCGTTGTTGACCATGGCCTGGGCAATCGATCGTCTCAGCCAGTCTCAACCCCGACCTAATATGAAATCCGGACGGCGACGCAGTTACGGAAAGAGAATCAATCGGAGTACACGGAGTTCTTGGAGTTCAAACATTGGAGAGACAGCGTCTCTATTGGGCAAACAATGAGGTCTGTTGTGATTATATGTATACTAGCTTTATAACCAAAGCCTCAAATTGACTGGCTATTTATCATGATTATAACAATAAACATTGTAAACACTGGTACTATTATCGCTGCCTACAATCCAACAGATAGATAATAAAAGGTAGAAATTCCTATACTTAACTTGATCAAATCGTGTTGAATAACGCTAACAACTGAATGCGGTCAGTGACGTTTGCCACCAAATCCTCCCCTCTCCAACCCCCATCCCCCAACTCCCTCCAGTTTCTCCAGTTTCTCCAGTCTCTCTAGTCTTGATTTCCTTCACCTCTCATTCTCTACATTTAACATCTGGGGTTTTCAAACAGACAACATGGTTCGCAAAGACCCTATCTTCGAAGCCCGCACAAATGTCAAGGTGAGTGGCCCCCCGCATCGCCTGCATAAAACAACATAACTAAACCATATCAGCTTCACTCCAACCGCCTCAAGAAAGAGGCCATCCGAGCGGAAGCAACGTATAAATCCGAAAAAGCCAAAGCCGACAGAGCAATGAAGAACCGCGAATTCCAAATCGCCCGTATCCACGCCGGTTCCGCAGTCCGCGAAAAGCGGCGCCAAGTCACGCTGAAGTCCGAAGCCGCCCGCGCCGATGTGATAATCAACGAACTCAAAGCCGCGCAGAGCACACGCGACACATCAAGAACCTTGGCGCTGGCTTCGCGCGGTCTGGATGCAGCGTCCAAGAGCGTGAACCTCGAGCACCTGATTGCGCATGCGAACAATTTCTTGGCGCGGTCGGAGGATTTCAAGATTGCTAGTAGTGCGATCGAGGATGTTGCGCAGGGAGTGTCGATGCAGGAGTATGGAGCGGAGGGAGAATCGGAGGTTGATCGGATGATGGAACAGTTGGCCGATGATGCGGGGATCGAGATGCGTAGGGCTTTAGATGCGGAGAAGGCTCCTGAAGCGGAGGTCAAAGAGCAGCAGCAGCAGCCTGCTGAAGTTGAGGATGGGTTAGAGTCGAGACTGCGGGCTTTGAGGGCTTTGACTTAAGTCTGGTGTTCGATAACTATATATCCATGCTCTTGCTCCTGCTCTTGCTCATTGTCTGCGTGCATCCATACATTACCTGGATATAAGATTGTTCTGGGTGGCGCTCATGGCGACTTTACGAATTATGCCTTTGAAGAATGCGGGTTTATTTCTATATCGGCTTTGATATTGTCATACATATTAATCCTACCAATCCTATAAGGTTACAAACAGCCTATTACCTAAGTAATGTTGCCTTGCCAAGACTCGGCCAAGTACCGATTGATTGGAGCATCCATCGGCTACTCTAACTTCTTTTTCCTCTTTTTCTCGGAGCCTCGTCTAACGCCAAGCAAGCAAAATTAGGGTCTCAGGGTCTCAGGGTCTCAGGGTCTGAATCTTCCTGCTTTGCAACATGATACTACTTTGAAATAATTGACCTAGTAAAATCAATCATCTATTCACCATCCATCCCTCTGTTTCCAGTCTAAGCGAAGTCCTATATTGGGATTGATGGCCGAAGAGTCCCGAAACTAAAACAAACTAGCTAAACATCAGACCCTGATTTCCACCAAATCGTCTTCCTTGAACCAATCACATCCTTTATACAAAGCCTGGGCTTCTTTAGCGTTGTAGGCGAGATACACTCTAACCCCAAATTAGAATAACGTAGCTTTTGCTAGCCCCCAAATATAGGGTCTTTAGCGTGTGTTCCAAGGCAAATTTGGTTCATAAGGCCTTGAGGCGCCTGCAGGGTCTTCAGGGTTTTCTTTTTTCTTTTCTTTAGGGGAAGCTTTCTATACCAATTCAGGGTCATTTTCATAATGGCACCTTTACACTCGTTTAGTATTCTGTCACTCGTTTTCACTACCTTCCTTCCTTCCGTTCTCGCAAAGCCATGGATTGTCACCGAGGCCTATGAAGAGGTCCGTGTGACTGGGTATGCATATGATGAATACCAGGAATCCTATGTCCCGACGGTGACCACCTCGATTGAAGAGATCAGACCGACAGAGTCTCCGTTGCCTGAGGCTGTCTCGACCATTACCTCTGTTGACGAATTCTCGTCAGTGACCATCATTCAACAATTGTACCCCACCAACGTGGGCACGCCGGTTCCTTACTACTATGACTACTATAACTATGGTACGGATGACACCGACCATACCACTGTCTACGTGATCAATATCACCTACTCAGCGGCAACGGCATGTTCAACCCAATGGACCACCACAACCGCGGTGCCTGTGTACCCTCCCGATGCCATCGCGAATCTCCTCCCCACAACCGCAATGTCGACTTCACTCTCCGTAGACAACTCGAGGCCCTTTGAACCAACAACCTACACTGTGGACTACATCTGGATCGAACCAACCCAGATTCCATCCTCTTCATTGAGCTATCTCAGCTCGGTATATGCCCCAAGCACCCAATACGATGATAGCTGCTACTATTCCACGGGCAACAGCTATTGCGAAGACTGCAACTATTACGACTACGACGACTACGAGGGAAACTGGTTCTTCGACCCCTGGTACCTCGGCGGCGGTATCTCGCCCTTCGCCTTAACGATGATCATCCTCTTCGGCTGGATAGGCGTTTGGCTAATCGCCGGCTTCATCGAAGCCTGGGTCCGTTTCCGCCGTCTTTGCCTCGGCTGGCAAACGCGTCGTGGCATCCCCCTCTGCTGGGCCTTTACCGCTCTCCCGATCTCACTGCTGTTGATCATAGGCTTCCGCAAAGGTTTCCGATCTCGCAGCGAGACTGACGCGGCCGAATTGCGGAAGCAGTGGGATAGTCTGGGATTCTGGAAAAAGCTGAAGCTGTTCTTTGTCTGGGGATTCCGCTTCAAGTACCCGCCTATGTTGGGTGAAGCGCCGCCTCGTGTGAAGGCTAGTAAGCAGCCTGGTCAGAAAGGTGTTAAACAGCCGCGGGAGTCGCTACTAGGTCCGGAGCCTATGGCAACAGGAGCTGCGCAGCCGAGGGGTGTGTCTGAAAACACGGATCCGGAGATGGGTGAAGTTGAGAACAACTCTCGATCTTCGGGTCAGGATGATCAGCCTACTTCAGGTGCATTGGATGGACATCACGCGGACATCAGTCGGGCTGAGTAGATGGACTTGTATGTTGGTGTTCATTGTATAGACTCGTCTTAATTAGTGTGTTGTGTGGAAGTTCAGTGGTTATGTACGATGTTGATACTCATGTCCACTTTTGATATAATCAACTAGTATCCTTCCCCTGTGAGCTACATAGTGTGTGAAGTACATACTAGCCCGAAGTATACATTGTGTATTCATCATTCGAATTGTTCAGTGATCTATCGTTTATTCAAAACTGTAAGATCCTACAGTGTTAGGGTAAAAGAACCGTGATGATAGAAAATAAAAAAACCAAAAAAATAAAGCTTGGTCCTGAGGTGTAAAAACAAAAAAAGAACCGAACGCGGGGGTCGAACCCGCAACCTTGAGATTAAGAGTCTCACGCTCTACCGATTGAGCTAGCCCGGCTGGGCTTGTGAGAGGTAGTTGTATATATTGATTCATATCCTAAACCTTACTGTACTCCACTAAGTACTGATCACCCGAATACCCGACGCTCATGCATGTACTGGGCGCGTTATACATCCGCACACTCCTGGCAGACATACCCATGGAGGAGTCGGTACGACCCACTCCTGGCCAGCATGGAAAGCAGCCCGCATGTTTAAATTGCCGGCGTAGCAAGATCCGCTGCGCCCGACCAGAGGGCCATGACCGCTGTGAGAAATGCAGACAAAGCGACGTGGAGTGTATCGTTCCCAGTCACCAACTCGGCCGCCAGAAGGGTGTAAAGAAGTTAGTTGTAAACTGAATACTACATGATGCATGCTGATTGTCCTTCCTAGCAAACGCAAGGGGCTGGAGAAAGCTATCCACCAGATTGAACAAGCCATTAAGCGGCCCAAGCTTGATGCGGTTGGCCCTTATGATAAGGCTATTTCAGACTTACAGGACCTACTCAGTCGGGTTCAGGGCCAACTGGCAAGTGATTCAGACAGTTTTGCAGCATCGGAACGCCCCCCTCCACCTGCACATGATAATGTAGATGAGAGTTTGGCTCTCGATGATGCGGAGAATCCGTTGCAGCTGCTGGCGCGGGCTTCAGATCTGCAGCTCTCGCCTACAGAATTGCGCCGGGAGTTGAAGTCTCCCCAACCGCCGTCAGTGCCGAAAATATCGCAGAATAGTAGCTCTACAGATTTCAGCGCGAAATCTTTCTTCGTCCCTACGCGGGCGAACTTGGACGTTGGACCGGAGCTGGATCCTGTTGATCTCGGCTTGGTCACGTTCGACGAGTCCGAGAGTTTGTTTTCTTTGTAAGTTTATCGTGTCTTTCTCGAATGCCTCTAATATTTCTAGTTTTTATCAACATCTTGCTCATACGCGATGGGGACTGGATCCCTTCGTGCACACTGCGGAATTTGTGCGGGATCAGTCGGCCTTTCTTTTTACGTCAATTCTGGCTACAGCCGCTCTGTTTCTACCATCCGCCGCGGCATTATCAAAGCGACTGGGCAGGCATTGTAAATGGCTCGCTAAGCAGGTGATGACGGAGAGGTACAGATCAGTGGAGATTGTTCTTGCATTCATGGTGAATGTGCCTTGGATGGCACCTGGTGAGCGACTCGGTGATGATGATACGTGCTCGTATATTGCCATGGCATTGACCGTGGCGCTGGATCTATCTTTGAATAAGATCGTAACACCGTCCTCCAGCTTTGATCAGAATCTTTTGAGCCGACTGGCTCGAGCTGACTGCATTGACGCAAAGAAAGCATTGCAAATGGATGGATTCGACGTTGATTCCAATTCTGAATGGGGTCGTCGATTACTGCGAAGGCGGGAGAGAACTTGGATAGCGTTGTTCGTCGTTGAACGAGGGTGAGATTGACTATATTACTTTCAATGATCTCATTAATTAACCAGTCACAGTGTTTGTCTTGCCCGTGGAAGAAGCTACACCGTCCCTCCAACAGCACTTCTCGAGAATTGTGATGCGTGGCATCTTTCGGATATTGCAGACCGACGAGACGGACCTATGAATTCCATGGCTGTTCTGCGCAGAGATCTTGTACGTCAGGTGGCAACGAGTTTGACCCAGCTGACCATACTAGGATGAATTATTCAGAAAAGTCAAGTCCAGCTGTGATATCTATCGAGTCGTCGACACCGGATCTGAGGCTGCCCAATCGTACGTCCCTCATCCGGATGATTTACCATTTGCTAATATGGGAAAGAATTAAATCTACGATAGAGAGCTTCTACGATCGATGGTATAAGACATGGGCGCTGGCGATTAGCGAAGGCGGAAGTAAGTATGGTTTCCGCCACTGAAAAGCTTTAACTCACAACAGCAGCGCGCTCCCTTCCACCTTATGTTGAGATTCTAGTGACCCACACCCAGCTTTCAACCTACGGTGGTGTCATCAATCATCCCACTGCACCCCTTGAAGTCAAGCGCTTCTTCCGAGCGGCCGGTCTATCGGCTGCACTGAACGTTCTCCGAGCCGCTATCCAAGGAGAATCCCGACTCAAGTCCATGCCAAACAACACCGTCATCATGATATCCTTCGCCGCATGCTCTGCTCTTAGCCTCAGCGTCACCCCTGGCGACAGTCGATCTAGCTTGGCGCCTAGCGTGCGAACCTTGATAGAAGAAACGGCCGGGGTTCTGGAACGCATCGGAGCTACACCCAGCCATAGAAATGGCGCTTCTGTATTATATGGGCGATTTCTGCGCGAACTTATTCGCCGGGGACCTACCATTCCCCTCGGGCAGATGGAAAATCACGACCCCTTGCTTCATCCCCCCTGGAGAGACCCGTATCTGTCCCTCAGCCAGTCACCGGGGACCTGTGGACCGAACCTATGCAATTTTCTGCTATGTCGGATGGACAGATTATCGATGCGGTCAATCGGGCGGGGAGTGCCTTTGGGGCGTCGATACCTGACGTGCCGGTGGATGATATGCTTTGTTGGGATTGGTTTGATTTTGCCAATACTGATTTTGGGCTATAGCTATCCCTATTTCCTGTATATGATTATGATTTTTTTTGTATATATGTGAATGCTGATTTGAACCAATATTGTATTGGGGACACTTGCCCCTGATGTTGCCCGAGTGGAGTCACAGCCTTGGGATCACGTCATCGTGGACCCTGATTTGAGACGCTTGTATAAGCTCCAAGCCCCAACCCAAGTCCTATTCATCATGTTTATATACTCACATTCTTGAATATTTACTCTATACCTCACTGAAAAAGCTAAAAGATCCCAAAACAGCTCAAGGAGTGCACCAATCCCTCAACCCAATGGGCATTGACATCACCCTATTAGCCCCCGGTCCAGCCGGTACCTCCATGATCGGCGAAAGCAGCATTGACGCCGCTGCCCGACGAGCGTACGCGCGGAAACAGTGAGAAGCGGAGAAGAAGCTTGAAGAAATTCCTGATCCCACCGAAGACAAAGACAAAGATAGCGCGCAGTCTGAAAAGAAGTAGGCGCAGAGCAGTGCAGAAAATGATACAGATGCATTGGGATTAGCGTCTAATCAGGTTACGAGTGGAGAGGGTAGGATTTGGGGGACTTGGAAACGAGTGAGAGAGACTTTCGAAGTTAAGTATGTCTATGACGTTTATATCTTACTTAAAGTATTTTGGCAATTTAGATACATAGAATTGAAGTTGGAGCATTAAACATCTACTCAAAGGCCAGCGGAAATAAAAGTAACACCGAAGAGTCAAGTTACCGTGTAAATCTTGAAATTCGGCAGCAAAATCTGGGGAAAGAGCGGGGGGACGCTCGGACATAAATGTGGACGCCGATAGTTATTGTCATTTTTCCTTTTCGCACATCACTCCATTCATCCTACAGCATTTTAAACACATCAGACAGTTCTTAGATATCATGGAACCCAAACCTGGAATCGTGCAGTTGGAAGAGGCCAAGCAGGGCTTGGCGCTGGATCGATTTGGGGATCAGGAGCACCAGGAAAAGCTGACTCGTCGCTTACTGCTAAAGCTTGATTTTCGGTAAGTATACCTCTTTCATTATCCTAACTGTGCCATTGGTTCTTGCTCTAGGGGTGAACAGCTAATCGATGGACAACAGGATCCTTCCTATGCTATCTCTCTTGTTCCTCTGCTCGTTCCTCGATCGCACTAATGTCGGAAATGCCAAAATCATTGGCTTGGAAAGCGACCTCAATATCACGGACCACCAATACGACATTGGATTGACCGTCTTCTACCTCTTTTATATCTGCAGGTGGGTGTCATGTGCCAGATATCTATAGCAATGAACAAACACTGATTCTGTAGTGAGCTGCCGAGTAATCTCGTGCTGAAAAAGGCCTCCCCGAGGATCTGGCTACCATCCCTGACCATTATATGGGGAATAATCACAATGTGTTTAGGCTTTGTACAGAATTATGGCGGGTTCGTGGCAGTCCGCGCTCTGTTAGGCATTGCGGAAGGTGGACTACTACCTGGAATGGTGAGTGATCTGCCAAACTTAAGAACGCGTCTGATACTTGCAGGTACTGTATTTGTCGTCATTCTATAGGCGAACGGATTTGGCCCTCCGCATTGGTCTGTTCTATACCGCTGCGTCGTTATCAGGTGCATTTGGAGGTGAGTACTGCATCTGCATCTGCGGACTCGAATAACATTAGCATTTTGTTCAGGTCTTCTGGCCCGTGGACTCGCGGCAATTGCTCCCCGAGGAGGATTGGAGGGTTGGAGTTGGATTTTTATTATCGAGGGTCTTCTGGTGAGCAAAGACATCCATCTTCACCATCATACCGTTAACAAGATAGACCTTTGCCTGTGGTGCGCTCAGTTTCCTTGTTCTTCCCAATTCCTTGGACTCGGCTCCATTCCTTACGACCGAAGAGAGGGAGTTTGGACGTGAAAGATTGATGTTGGATAATCCTACCAGTGCTGAGGGGTATGTATCCAATTTTCTGAGAAGACTGTGCTAATTCTAACAGAACTCTGGCTGCCGAGGAGCAATCATTCATGTGGTCTGAAGTACGACGGGGCATTTTATGTGTGCAAGTGTGGCTGTCTGCATTTGCATACTTTGCCATTCTCTCTGGTCTTTATTCATTCGGTCTATTTGTGAGTTTCCAACTTAAAATTCAAGTTCAACTGCTGACTTTATAGCTACCAACCATCATCAAAAACCTCGGATTCGCCAAAGATGCCAATGATGTCCAACTATGGTCGGTTATTCCTTATGCGGTGGCAACGGTCGTTACAGGTAAGACACCCTCCCAGACCCAGAGTTCCAGCTGACGATCTAGTCATCGTGGCCTTTATATCGGATCATCTACACCTTCGAGGTGTGATTATGTTATTCACACTACCCATTGCCATTATTGGATATGCTATCATTGGCAACATCGATTCTCCACGTGTTCAGTATGGCATGACCTTTCTCATGGCTACTGGGCAGTATGCCAGTGTCCCCTGTATCTTGGTGTGGATTTCGAACAACTCAGCAGGCCATTATAAGCGAGCCACCACATCCGCATTGCAGTTGGCCATTGCAAACTGTGGAGGGTTTGTTGCAAGTACGTTGACCCAACTTTCTAAGGCTATTTTTAGACTAATATGTAGCAGCTTTCAACTATCCGAGTACAGATGGCCCGCAATTCCACCGAGGACATACTATTATCCTCGGCTTACTCGTGTTTGCCTGGTTTATGTGAGTAGAAACCTCCCCTACTTGGACTGTACTGACACATGAGCAGGATCCTCTGCAATGTGCTCTATTGCGCCAAAGTCAATCGCGATAAACGGAACGGCAAATATGATCAATACATTGGGTACAATGATGACCGGAATCCAGCATTCAAGATGGTGCTGTGATGAGTTCTAGATTTATGATTCAGATGATTGGCCATGTCGAAGAATCCTACTTTCAAATCCACCAATTTGAACTTCACCAATTACGAGATTCCAATCCTCTTGGCCCCATACAAATCATCCAACCTTGGAACCATTGATTGAATAGACCAAAGAGATTAATCACGGTATATATGGTTATCGTAATGTAATCATTCATTACTTACCCAGAGTAGCCTAGGCTCGGATGTTACATCTGAATTTGATGTTGAATGTCAGTGAATATCAGATCTATTTTTTTATCCAAATGCTTAAGATCAAGTTCAAGAATCGGTTAAAATAACATAAAATATAACATAAAATACTTATAGCATTCCTTCAATCGCTTTACCTCGTTGAGAGAACCAAGGTCTCAATCGTTCATTCTAACAAGCTTGTAAAGAATCGTGTCCAGCTACTGAGTCTCCTCATCATTCTCTTGCGCCCGTTTGCGCTGCTCAGCTTCCTTAGGAGCAAAGGTGAACAGCATGCCAAGATCATAAACAATCTTACAGCCACCCGCAATCATGAACGAGATACCGAACATGTTGTTCCGGGCCAGGATACCTGTGATAAGAGGGCCGAGACTCTGCGTGGTGGTTTTGACCACGTTGACCGCGCCCATAATGGCAGTCCGCTTATCGGAGGGCAGGGCTGCAGCAAGGAATGCACTTCTCGGGGCCACATCCATGCTCTGGGAACAGGCCCGAAGAACAAGGAAGGTTAGTGCCAATGGGAGGTTATTAGGCACAGAGATGAGCAGGAGACAGATAGCCGATGGCAGGTGAGTGAAGACCATGGTCTGGATTGTTAGCTAGTAAACTTTCAGGTTAGTCTGAAACGTACCTTGACATTACCGATGCGCTTGGCGATCGATGTTGCGACTAGCATCGAGGCCGCGGCAATGCTGCTAGTGAAGAAGAAGATAGTTCCCAATTCGCCTTCGGGTAGGTCGAACTTCCGGTGGAAGAAGTATGTCATCCATGACCTGATGGTTTAACCATTAGCACAGGTATAAACACAGCGGAGAAGAGAACCTACAGGGATGCCAATCCAGATGCAAAAGCGTCCAATCCGAAGAGGATGAACAAGCGAATGACCAAAGACCACAGATCGCCTTCGATGGTTGACCAAAACGACTTCTTCTTTGGGGCCTCCTGCACAACAGGGCTGGCCAGGAGCGGGCGGGTTTCCCCATTTTGCTCCTGTTCCTGCTCCTGTACTTCTTCCACAGTAGCCTCGACATCACGAGTCAGAGCCAGGGTCAGAATCAACTTGATCAAACCGACAGCTGCATAGACAAAGAAGATAATCCGACAAGAAGGAATAAACTCCCATCCATGCAAGGACTGCAGCGAAGTGATGATCCAACCACAAACAAGCTGACCAAGAGCAGTACCGGCGGTACCGACCAGCGAATACCAAGCAAAAACATCACTCAACAACTCATGCTTCGTAAGATGGGCTAGAGTCGACTCCTCCACAGCACGGAAGGGGCCGATTTCATTCCCACTGCCAAAAGTCAACATCCGGGAACAAAACAGAGAATGGAAATCTCACATACCTCGGACTAATAACACCAAAAACAGCAGCAGCCAAAAGAATCCAATAATTGCCAAATATCGCGAAAATCACACCACTACCCGCCATTAGAATCGATCCCAACGAAAGAACCGCCTTCCGACCCATTGCATCAGCGAAAAGAGTCAAGAAGAAACTAATCACGACATCTCCGACTAAGGTCAGGGTCATGAATAGACCGATTCGATCATCAGAGATACCAATGGCGGATAGATAAGATGCGAGAATTAGCGTTGAGCCGCCGTATGCAAATAGTCGCACGAAGCGCTGAGCGCAAAGGAACTTGACGTCGCGTGGCGAGTGCCACATGGTGATGAGACCTAATTCATCAAGGGCGTGCTTTATGACGCGAATGACGCGTGATTGTTCCATGATCAAGGATGGAGAAACAAAAGGAGAGATAGAAACAGAAACAGAAACCTAAAGATGAGGAAGTTGTTAAGTCCGAGCGGAGTCAATTTTGCCGTTTTCCAAGGTTCTGGTGGAGACGTTTTAGGCTTCAACATTTGATTGGAGAAAAAAAATCGCCGATGGCCATTAAATATTTATATACACATGTGCATCCATTGATCACTCAGTCTTCGGTGGCCATTTCACTCGTCGTTCAGCCCGAACATACAAATTATTTGGTCGTATCAACTGGAACATAGGATCATACTCAATCGGCCCATCACTCTCTCGAGTAAACTTATACCGATAAAGAAGTTTCGGTAAGAAAACCTTCACCTCCTGCAAAGCAAAGTTGAATCCAATACACATTCGCGGTCCAGCAGCGAAAGGAATGTATGCAGCCTTGTGACGGTTCTTGACCTCGTCGCGATCCCAGCGATCGGGATCAAAGCGCGCAGGATTATCCCAGACGTTCGGGTTATTGTGGATGTGGTGGAGAGCTGGGATGACGATGGAGTCTTGGGGGAGTTTGTATCCACCAGGGAGAATCATATCGACCTTTGCTGTGCGAGCGGGTTGGTAGGAGGGATTGTGGCGACGTTGTGTTTCTTTGATGAATTTGTCCAGGAAGGTCAATTTGTCGGTTAAATCCGCTGTGATTAGGGTGTCGGCATCGATGTCGTGATCGATTAGCTCTTGCAGCAGGCGATCTTGCATGCCTGGGTAGTTGACGACGGAGTAAAGGAGCCAAGAGAGGAGGGAGCTGGTTGTGGTGAATCCAGCACCAGTGGCTACGACCAAGGCTGACATCAAGCTTGCCTTGGGCAGTTTCTCGCCCTTGTTGTCTGTGGCACGAATGGCATAGTCTATCATGGTTAGCATCTTATCAATTTTTGTCTCTTCCGTCAGCTACTCACCAACCATATTGGAAGCCGTGAGAGCTGCATCCTGAAGGGGCAGGTCTTTGATACCACCACGGGCTGCGTTTTTGATGGATTCGGTGACCATTTCGACGATCCGTACTCGTGCGTCGCGCAGTTTCTTCGGATCACCAAATGGCAATTTACCGTACCAGTCACCCCACGCCGACACCTTCTTGTTCAGAGTCAACGATTCCGCAATGCGGTACACCAGCTCGTGAGGCGGGGCAGTGGGAGAGGTAAAGTGGTGAAAGTCGATGCCCAGCACCAGCTTACCAACTGCCTGCGAACCCAGTTTCAGCATGTACTGGTAAACATTCCATGCTTCACCTTGCTCGTCAAAGTGATCAAACACAGAGAAAGCATCCTCGACAGTCTGCTGCATAGTTGGCGCATAGTGACGAACGGCCTTGGGGCCAAGAGCAGGAGGAAGGAACTTATGAGCAGCACGCCACTCGGGGGTGTCAGTATCTCCTAAGAAGACACCGGCCTCCTTGTTTTTGATCGGGTACAAGGGGTGTGACTCGTTGATATTCTTGGTGAAAAAGTCCGACTCAGAAAAGACAATCTGTGACAGTTGAGGATCGTTGGTATGATAGATTGTACGGCCCATGTTGGTGGTCTTGAAAATTGGGCCATATTGATCAAATAGGCGTTGATGGTTTCCTAAATGATCGGGGTAAACTTCGAAGAAGTTTCCCACAAATGGTAGGCCTTTGGGACCCGGAATTTCTCGCACAGGTTTGCCATCGATGGCGATAGCGATGGGGTCTTGACTTGTGAGAATCTCCGATGGAGTAGAGAGCTCTGCGTCTTCTGTCTGGAAGGAGATACCTATGTCGAGTTAACCTAGAACGGTAATTTGAGTTAGTCAAGACATACCAGTGGGCTCAACGATAGCAAACTGTCCTGCAACCCAAAGTTGAATTCCAGCATAATCGAGAGTTGACTCCAACTCGACATTACGAGCGGAAGCACTGGGCTCACCCAGCAAGTAGAACTGTTTTACCGACATGTCAAGTATGAGGATTCCAGGAGAAAAGACTCAGAAAGACTCGACTCGAACGAATATTTATAAAATATGCAATTCGCGCATATCCCTTTTGAGCCCTAAGACTCCAATGTAGAATAAATCCCGTTCCATAGTAAACTTCAATAAGCCGATTGGCTGCCTCGGTACTCTTGAGGTTTTAGATATCGGTCCCACTATGATGATCTAATTGAGCCATGATCGTCCAAAAAGACCCGCTTTGATAGGCAATAATTCAGGAGATCCACGCTTTTTTCTCTATAATCTCGGGATAAAAGTGGATTCGGTCGGGTTCTCGACGTTCTTGAGTCCTTTCAATCAATGCCGTCTTGCCGATTTTGTCGGGTATAGGATTCTATACCGAGGCATAGAAAGTTTGTCAATTATGTGCGCTATTTGTTTCACATAATTATCTGTTGAACCAGACGCATTCCGTTTTCAATTGTTTATCGTTCAATTTTTGTTCAAATCATGGCTACAGAGACACAGCCCAAGGCTCAATGGCCAGCTGAAGCTGAGCTGCCAGAGTATACACTCAAGGATGTGGCAGCGCACAACACGAAGAATGACACATGGATCGTCATCCACGGACAAGGTAAATCACTTTCAATCGTTAAAAACAAGATACTGATTGGATAGTGTTTGATATTACGGAATATCTGCAAGATCATCCAGGCGGTGCAGAGGTGTTGATCGAGACTGCGGGTACAGATGCTACCGAAGCCTATGAGGATGTTGGCCATTCCGAGGATGCGCGTGAGATTATGCAGCCCTATCTCGTGGGTGTCCTCAAGAATGCCCAGCAGTATGTCCGTCCACAGGCTGTTCGGGTGGTATCACAGAAGGAGCCAGAGAAGAAGTCCTCCAGAAGCAGCCTTAGTCTGGTCACCGCCTTAGCTGTGATGCTGCCAGTCCTTTATGTCTGCAGCCGGGAAAAGCAACGCATCAGCGCCCTCCCCCAGCTACTTCCTCACCAGTTGAAGACTTTCCGTCTTCCTCGGGGTGGCTTCGTGAATGGATTCCTTGCAGCAAGCACCATCAGTGGAGTGATCGGGATCCTAGTCGCGCGACAAGCCAGCCGATTCACCAAAATCGATGAGGGCTTCATGCGCTATCCTCCACGCATAAAGGCCAAGAAGTTCATTCGCGCTGATCCCCACTTGACTCGTGGATTCCTCGAACCGCAGCAATACCAAAGTCTCCCTCTCGTGAAAAAGGACCAGTTGTCCATAAACGTCTACCGCTTCGTCTTCGCTCTTCCCAATCCCAATGGCGTCCTCGGTCTCCCCATCGGCCAACACGTCGCCATCAAGGCAATGATCGACGGCAACACTGTGATACGCTCATACACCCCAACCTCCAACAACCTCGACCGCGGCCAGCTCGAACTAGTAGTGAAATGCTATCCCGAAGGTCTCATCAGCCAATACCTCGCCGGTCTATCAGTGGGCGACGAAGTGGAGTTCCGTGGACCCAAGGGCGCCTTCCGCTACCACAGCGGACTCTGCCGCAAGATAGGCATGGTGGCGGGCGGCACAGGAATCACCCCAATGTACCAGGTGATCCGTGCGATCTGTGAAAACGACACCGACACAACGGAGATTAGTCTGATCTACGCAAACCGCAGCGAAGCGGACATTCTCCTCCGCGAAGAGCTGGAGACCTTTGCCCGTCGATACCCGCAGAACCTCAAAATCTGGTACATGCTAGACACCGCACCAGAGAACTGGACATACGGAACGGGACATGTGGATAGCAGCGTCCTGGAGGCGCACCTCCCACCACAATCACCCGAGACGAAGATTCTGTTATGTGGGCCTCCAGGGATGATAACGGCAACCAAGAAAAACTTGGCAGGACTCGGGTTCACCAAACCAGGCCCAGTATCGAAGATGAGCGACGAGGTTTTTTGCTTCTAGATAGTTACCAGCCGAGGTAGAAAGTAATAATTGAATTAGTTTTCTAATATTGGTCTTGTTCGTACTTCGGTGGAGTAGGGCGACAAATCGGGTTGGAGATATAGCTCATCATATCGGCCGTCAGTCTAAAAAGCGTTAACGCACCCAACAGAATGGAATAACTTCGACCCGCTTTACTACTTCACCGAGTTCTCAACTTGAGGCCGAGTGGACTCGGGCCGAGATGTTTGAGCAAAAAGCGTCGATGAACCGAGGCTGTTTCAAACGCGTTGGACGCGTCAAAGTGGGTATGCCAAGCGAGTCATCCTCACAACCTCGGCATACTGTATAGGGGGTGAAGGATTTTGTCATCTCATTTCATTAACCCTTGAAGTTTTTGCATTTGAGGTAAAAAGTTGCTATAGGCAGAGATCATGAGCATGAGAATCACTAAGACAGGAAAGTCCACGTGACCTGAAAACGCAAAACATGGAAGTGATTAGTCATCGCACGGTTCACATCCAATCAACATCAGCTTGTACAGTGGCGTTCCATGAGTTTGAGATCCCCGTTCACCGCTCTTCCATCACCGCCTACTATAGATAGCATACCGCCTAGAGAATACGCTAGCAGAACACCCGATATAAGACGCGCTGATGCACATTGAAATTAGGGTATGCCAGACAACGAGGAGACGCCAATTTCGTTGATTTTGTAGCTCAGGAAATATAAGCCAAGATTTTATCTGATAGGCTAGAAAAATCCGCTGTTACTATGTCTCATAGGGTCAAACAGGTTATTGATAGTGAGGGTTGGCATACTAATTACTGAATATGAGGTTTTATCTGGCAGAAAATGCGGCAGAATTACTTACAGTGGGTCGGGGGGTTTCAAACTCATGGAACGCCACTGTACGCCAGCAATTGTCTGACTTTGAATGGAAAAATGGAAACCCCTTCAAGACTAACTCAATTGCTATTGGGTGAAGTGAGGGCCATAATAGGGAATATGTGATTGGCTGGTTTCTTGTATGATCGATTTGTAGATCCCCCGCACTTCGGAGTTCTCCCTTTCCTCCCCGCCCTTCCATAGTAACTCAGAACACATCATTTGATTTATCATTGATAAGATATCTCATCATGCCTGTTACATTTTCACCATTTGCTAGTAGACGAAGTGCAGTGCACAGTATTAATGGAATTGTTGCTTGCACTCAACCGTTAGCAGCAATAGCCGGCCAGAGTATCCTTCGACGAGGAGGCAATGCCGCCGTAAGAACAACACCCCCGGTACAGAGTCCATGCTAATGATTCACAGGATGCTGCTATTACCGTTGGTTAGTCGCTTCCCAATAACATCGATCCCAGCTCACCATATGCAGCTGCATGTCTCAATGTTACCGAGCCCTGGTCCACCGGAATCGGAGGCGACATGTTTTGTCTCTTCTACGATGCACAGAAGAAAAAGGTCGAAGCAATCAATGGGTCTGGAAGAGCGCCTGCCAGCATCACTCTGCAGGAGGTCCGACGAAAGCTCGGCATGGTGAATAATCAGCCCGGTGGCATTCCACTCACAAGTGTTTGTGCTGTCACGGTTCCAGGGGCGGCGGCGGGTTGGATTGATACCGTGGAGAGATTTGGGAGCAGGAGACTTTCACTGAAGGAGATCCTGGAACCAGCGATAGAATTGGCCGAGAAGGGGTTTCCTGTGTCGGAGATATCTGCCTACTATGTAAGCATCTATTTGGAGGTCATGGGATGAGCTGACAGGTACTTGGCAGTGGAAAGTCAATGAACAATCCCTTCGAGACGCATCCCCTAACTTTAAAGAGATGCTCAAAAAAGACTCTACCGCAACAGATGGGGTCAGGGCTCCCCGGGTAGGAGAGATAATGAAGATGCCGGCTTTGGCGAATACATTCCATCAGTTGGCATCCGAAGGCAAAGATGGTTTTTATTCTGGGCGGATAGCCAAGGCAATTGCAAAAGTCATGCAAGACCTTGGAGGGTATCTCTCAGAGGCGGATCTCAAGTACCACGCAGAAAGAGGCAGTGACAGCGTGGATCCGGTATCATTACGCTTCACACCAGAGAGCAAGCAGAGTATTGATATCTGGGAACATCCACCAAACGGCCAAGGCATAATAGCACTCATGGCACTTGGGATGATCCAAGAACTCGAAAAAACAGGGACCCCGATTCCTCCCCACAACTCAGCAGAGTATTTGCACCTGCTGATAGAAGTCTTGCGAATCGCCTTCACTGATGGTACATGGTGGATATCCGACCCTGATTTCAACACCGCGCCAGACCTGCTTTCATCCTTGTATCTCGCAGAGCGCGCACGTCTGTACAATCCCAACCAGGCATCTGGAGTTCTTGATCATGGCAGTCCTGCGCTCCGATCAAGTGACACGGTATACTTTGCCGTGACGGACGCCCACGGGAACGCCGCATCAGTCGTGAATAGTAATTACCACGGTTTTGGAAGCGGTATCATCCCCGCAGATTGTGGATTTACACTTCAAAGTCGGGGTGCGAACTTCTTACTCGAACCGGGGCACCCCAATGCGCTAGAACCTGGGAAACGACCATATCACACTATTATTCCGGCTATGGCGACAAATCCTGACGGATCGCTTCACTCGGTGTTTGGGGTTATGGGTGGTTTTATGCAGCCGCAGGGTCATGTGCAGGTCTTGATGAATATGTTGGTGTTTGGGATGAGTCCGCAGGAAGCTCTGGATGCGCCGCGAATGTGTCTTGGAGTTGGGACCTCTAGTGATGGATGGAATGTCGATGTCGAGGAAGGGATAAGCTCGGAAGCAATTCATGGGTTGCGGAGGCGAGGACATCGAGTTGAGGTTAGAACGGGGTGGCAACGGGATTTATTCGGTAGAGGGCAGATCATTCGTATGGAAATGGAGGATGGTCAAAGGGTTTTTAGTGCAGGGAGTGATCCGAGAGGTGATGGCATGGCAGTTCCTATGTGATTGCCCCATACTTCTGTTATTTGTGTGTCCTCAGATACAAACTTCATAGCTTTCAGGCTAGCAATGTAGGCAAAGAAATGAAACAAACTGTGTCGGATACTTATTCCAGTCCTAAGTGAATCACAGTGACGATTTCGCGCTGGACATGCAATGATGCGGTCATGGCACCACATGGCGGCCACATGTTCCAGTTAGAATCGAGTCTAAAACAATGACGGAGGGAATTATTCTTAAGCAAAGGAAACCTCGAAGTTGATTGAAATTTGATCAGTGGTATTGGTAGGTATTGAAAAGAGATGAGACATCAAGAAAAGAAAGGACCAGCCTCGATCTCTTATGTATATCAAGAGAAAGTGAAAAACCAAACCAACTGAAGCCCAAAGTCATGAGTAAAAGTCATAAGTCTATGTCTATAAGCGGAACGCTTATCCGCTGTAGTCAATGGTGACAGCCAGACGGACAGGGCCGGCAGAGAGGTTACCACCAATGCCACCAACATCAGTCTCAGCGCTAGTGTAGGCATTATCAACAGTACCAGCATCAGTGGTGATAGAAGAGCAGGTAGAGCCAAGGGCATCGCAAATCTGCATACCCTGAACGGTGAGACCGGCATCCTGAGCCTGGATAGCGGAAACATCAAAGCCGGACCAGTTGTCGTTGGCAGTAGAGCCGAAATCAAACTCGCCCCAAGTAGAGGCGTAGGCACCATAGCTGCTAGTAGGGATTGAGGTTCCCTCAGCAGCAGCCCAGCCACCCTGAGAATCGGCAGCGAAAGCGTAGTACACGGTCTCTCCAGCCGAAAGAGTGAAAGACTGGCAAGCCTTGCCGTACCAGCCATCCATAGTACCGTCAGAGCTGTACTTATTCCAGATAACGACAGTCCAGTCATCGGTGTTGTCACCAGTGAACTGCACGACATACTCGTAAGAGCTAGCGTCGGAAGCAGAGACCTGGATGATGTTGCTACCGTAGGGGTTTCCGACGTTGCCTTCGTAGGTATCGCCGCTGCTGGAGGAGCTGGTGCTAGCGCCGAAGCCAGAAGTAGAGTAGCTGCTGGCAGAGGGGACGTCGGTCCAGGAGGAAGAAGCGGCGGCGGTAGTGGCGGTAGCCTGGCGACGAGCGTTACCCTGAGGAAGGGCGAAGGCGCCAGTGGTAAGAGCTGCCAGCAGCATGAAAGACTTGGAGAACTGCATTTTGAATGTATAAAGGATAGACTCTGTTGAACCGGAAAAAAGGAATGACAGAAGTGGGCCTTCTAAAAGAGTGTGAAGTTTGAAAAGAATGTGGTGGTGTGATCAAACATCGGAAAGGAAGTCCGAGGGACGACAGGAGGATATAAATACCTTTGGACCGGAAAGAATCAAATCTTTGCCATTCCCCGCCACTTGGCTTCTCGAACATGGGTATCCAGTCACAGGCTGTCGTACTTGGTACCTGAGCGAGAAACCCATGGGAAGGAGCGCCAGGGCTACGCATACGTCAAGGAGCTGCGCAAGAGAGTGGGGTGGAGAAGTAACATGCGACGTGTAAAGGTTCCAGAAGGGCCGGCACCTTGGATTGACGTGTGAACTGCAAGAGATAGTGGAGAAAAGAGTAGAAAGAAGGGACTGGATTGGCGCCAAAATCGGGGGTAGACCCATTCGCGGTTCGCCTCGAAGGGTTTGATGGCTACTGGTAGTTTTAATTCCCAGGCAGAAGGATATGCGAGCCGAACGAATCCATCGTCTGTGTGTGTTCTTGTGGGGTTGAGTAACCAAGGAACGGAAGTTGATGGAGATGGTATGTTGACCTTGTCACTCAAATCGAATTCCAGTGATCCGTTTTCTGAGATGTCTACGAGTTCAATCTTTAGTCTTGGAAGTACAACGTGGGGTTGTTGCATAGCTCTGTATTATGCTAGAAGCCAGGAAATCGAGAAGGCGTAGGACAAGATTATTGGGATTCAAAACCGTTAAGCCATATACCTCATAGTGGACATGGCAAAAGTTTGTGGAAAATTAAACGTGGCTTAGGGGAATTAGCACAGTGGATCCCATGGGCTGATTCATGCGGATGTGCTCCGTTTACCATGTATAGAAAAGTCAATTGCGCTTGATCGAACTCGTGCTACCTGGTATGTCTTGGTCATTATAATAATTCTAAGTATATGTGTCACGTATAGTACATACCCTAAGTGATACTGTACTTCCGGTTTAATGTTCATAGAACAATTGTAAAGATCAGACGAAGAGATAGAAATGGAAAAACTGGAATTTCCACAGGACAAAAGTTGACTTTTACAATTCCATGGATTCGTTACACTTGGTTCAGGGCAAGGAACAAAGCAGTATGATTGGTTCGGATTTGAACTCGGTGGAGAGAGCTGAACCAATAGCAATACAATCTCGTGATCAGGGCTTAACCCTTCACCAATCACAATGAGCCCCTGAAGAACCAATTTTCCCATTCTTTCCTAAGAGCCATGGGTGATCAATTTGTACCTGAACTCTGTGCTTTCTAAAAAAAGGGTGCAATTTGGCAGATACTAAATGCCGACATGCAAACGAATACAGATAGAACACAGAACATAGATTAACATAATGTCAATGTCTCAGATGCTTTACTAATACTTGGTCTAGCCTCATGCCAAGCTATGCGGAACCACAGGCCTGGTCTGGACACTGACAACTCCACGTACGGGGCCACGTACGGGGCGGGGCCAAGAGTTTACAGGGTTACGAACCCTGACCTTTTTAGCGGACCCGGCGCTCTCAGGGTGCGAAATGGATCCTGCCCGGACCTTCGTCCCATTGAGGGGGCAACTGCCTGCTTTAATGGGAAGTTTTCATCTAGAGTTTGATCAGGCCTGGACTTTCCACGCGCATTCTTTTTGAGTTGACGATCGCGGTACCGATCGCAAAAATACTGACACTCATTATCTCGGCTATTGCAGACTTTTCGTTGGATTTGGATATTTTCCAAACTCTAGGTGTGAGAGCCACCCCTAAATTTCATTAATAGGAATTAAACCTAAACACGATATTCGACCTGTGTAGTGATGGCCTTCTCGCCATACTGGCCCGACGTATCCTGTCCAGTGAGGGCCTGGATCTTCTCACTAGCCGCTGCTCCACCAAGAATAGCCCCCTCACCATCGAACTTCTTGACAATCTCCTCCAATGGAATCTCCTTTGTCTCAATATAGTATTTCCACACAACAAAGATTTCAAACAGCAAGAAACCACAGTACACAATATAGTACTTCCAATGGATGTTATCCAAGGCGATCGGGTTGACATACTGGTTAAACCACAGACTGAGATCGACGCAGAAGAACATCAGAGTCAGACCCTTGGCGCGGAGACGGTAAGGCAGAATCTCGGAGGAGTAGGAGACGAGCATGCCGCTGAAGCCGATATTGTATGCGATGTAGTAAAGGAAGATGAAGACGATCACGGTGCGGGCTGCATTCTGGTTGTTACCACCGGCATCCTCGGAGACTTGGAAACGAGCCAGCGCAATAGTTGTGGAGATGAAGCATAGGAGCATGCTGATACTGGAGGTCAGGAAGAGCTTGCGACGGCCAAAGAAGTCCACGAAGAAGCAGATTCCAGTCGCGGATACCACGTTGACAGCGCTGAGGATCAGATTGATGGTGAGCTGGGTGTTGCTGTTTGTGATTCCAATCATATTCAACACCTGTCATTGTCAGTTCCCATGTCATCTATTAGTCGAGTCAAGAGTGCGTACCGTAGGCAAGAAGTAAGACACGATTCCATTGCCAGACCATTGAGAGAAGAAGCCGATTGAAATGAGAATGATCGAGCGGTGGCGATTACCAGCAGTCGACCAAAATTCAGACCAGCTGTTGTTCTCGAGCTCTTTCTCTAGCGCGATAGTCTGTTGGATCTGATCAAACTCCACGTTCACCAAGGCGTCATCTTCATCGCCCTGAGCGTGCACGTAGGCAAGAACTTTTTTGGCTTGTTCAAGCTTTCCTTTGGAAATGAGCCATCGAGGAGACTCGGGAACAGTCCTAATGGGTTAGTTTAAATTCATTTCAAGGAGAGGCAGACATACCAGATAAATACTAGCTGACATATGGAGGGAATACCCTGGAGAAGACAGGGTACGCGCCATGACCATTGACTTCCAACGATGTGGTTTGTGCCTGGGTCCGTAAGAAAATGCAGCATTTATCAGATCAGGAGACTTACCCAGAGCGACACAAGCACCAATTAAGCTTCCCACATACCACAAGGAGTTATAAATGGAACTATAAACAGCTCGGTGCTGGGGGTGAACCAACTCGGTCACCAGTAGAGGAGAGCATTCCTATGAATGTCAGTATACGGCTCCAGAAACCGGAGTGACTAGCCCACCTGCGCAATGCCAAGCCCAAATCCGAGAACAATGCGACCGACCACAAACAAGGCGATGTGGTAGCCAATTGAAACCATCGCAACACCAAATAACATGATAATGCAACCAGTCACCACACCAGCACGTCGACCCGCCATATCCGCAACGTAAGGTACGACAGGAATAGAAAGCATCGAGCCGATGGCCATAGACGCGGCAAGAAGACCAAGAGTCGCACCGTGGGGATAATTGTAAGCTAGAAAGGATGAGAAAAGGTCTGCTTATCAGGTCTGCTTATCAAGGAAAGAAACCTACATTCATTCCATGTAGCCATCGCCTCCAATCCATTCATCAGCGAACCATCGTATCCTGTGTTGTCAGCCAAAGACTCAAGCAGTTCATGAAGGCAGGCTACTCACCATTAGTAGCGGAGGTGATCATCGCAGCCCAGAGTGTGAGATAGACGAAACGCATTCCCTTCATTTTCCACCAAGTCACCTTTGGCCATTGCTGACCAGCCAGCTCGAATGTATCTTTCCCCATAGCTGTGAGCTTGATTAAAGTGGATCCAGGAAATTACGAGCTTAAAGTGACCCGTTTTTTATGAAGTGAGTTCCAACTGCAAGGGAAAGGAAAGTATTTAAAAGAAAGAAAGACTGTCAGATAATAAGCAACTGGCAGAAGTCTGGACTAGCGGCAAAATAGGATAAATCCAGGGTCTCGACAGAGGCGGGGGTAAGCTTGTGGCTCTACCATCTCAGAGATGATCAAGGTACCCCGTACTGAGGAACTTCATCCCCCTTGTTGAAGATCATCCGTTCAGGCTAAATTATCGAGTCATAAGGCGTAGTAAGGTTCTGTTGTCGGCATCTGTGACTGACAGGTTTGGCCATGAAATTAGGAAGTTAGGAAGTTGAGTAACACAAGGAGTTTTGAAGCGATTGGTCATGGAATGAAGAAATGGAAACGATACGAGAAATCAAGAGTTTAGCCCAATTTAGGTCAAGCTCCTTAATCTTTGATTGGATTCCCAAAGCCAAGAGGTCATTAAGACTAGCGACCAGGCCCCACTTGCTACCTTCCCCGGATTCTGTAGGGCACGGCAGAGTCTCCGGAATGAATTAAGGCCACCATTCATATGAGAGTTAGGAAAATTGGAAATCACTTAAGAAGTCAAGTTTCAGTAACTAATTGCCACTTGTTCGCAGAATGCGCTATGACTATTTCCTGGAGTGGTTGCGCCGCGCCTGAACCCTGACTCTTTGAGCCTGAATTTAAAAGTATTGATGGCTTTAGAGATCAATGAACCAAAGTAGAAAAGTATGGCTTTATTGACGGGTAAATGTGGAGATGAATGCTCACAATGACTCTTTGCTTATTTCTCACGTTCTGCGGTTACAGGGAGTTTATCCCTCGGTTGGCTGATTCACCCGCTTAGTCATTGAGTCAAGTCCCTTTAACCTAGAATCTAACCTAGTTAGAGTGTACGGTATAACTACTCTGTATAAATACTGGGAAGATAACGAGCCAGCCAAGGGACATGGAAAAGCCTCATACAAAAATGTCCAGTGGATCTACAAGCTATCCATGGTCATGAATCGTGGGGAATGTTGACGCAAGGCCCTTGTAGCATCGTGGATCTGCCCTACGTCTGTGCCATGGGCCCAGTAGACAAGTGTCAAAGCGTATGTCTTCTCTGATTGGCTTGGTGTTAGTGATGAGGTAATGATTGTCGTGTTCATGCTCCCATGCTCTCGGCCCCTTGCAGAGATGCCCGTGGTGGGCAGAGTCCATTACCCCTGGTTAGAGCTGATCACGGATAAGCGAGAGCTCTTCAAGGTAAAATGGTAAATATGAGAAAGAAAATACTGGGAGTATTCCATTATTTGAGTATCAATGGAGTCATTATCTACTACGGGCTGAATCGATATTTCTAGCACTTAATACCGCAAGACATTCAACACGATTTGCACTGATTCCTGCTACGTTACTTCCAAGGTTGCCGATATCCGATGCACTGTGACCTCAACTGACCTCAACTGAATCACGACTCTGGTGCTGAGCTTTGGATCAAGCAAGGAGTATCAGAGCTCTGAATAACTTTGAATCTGGGCAATCTTTTTAGCTCTGTGCACAGCAGCAGAGGCTGGGCATCATCATGCCCCAGAAAACAATATAAATAAGACACAATAGCACCTCAATCCGAGTCCAATCAACAAAGCACTCATCTTCCAACACTTTCAACTAAATCCATTTATCTATAATCATGCACTTCTCTCTCAAGAGCCTCGGGATGATCTCCCTCTTCGTCATAGCGGTCTCCGCCTCCAACTTTGCTCAAACCTGCGAGAACATCGAAAGCTTCGGCACAACTCTCCAAGCTGATTGCCGTGAAAATGAGAACGGCTCTCTTGCTCCCAGCAGCATGGATCTTAACCAGTGCATCAAGAACAACAAAGGATCCCTCAGCGTAAGTCCTCTTTCCCATGGAATCAACATCATACTAACTCTACTCTAGTGCGGAAAGAAGTAAGTCCAATCAGCAAGGCTCTGTGCCCCTTCTAACCTATTCCAGTGGAAACTACCAAGGATCTTGCATTAACTGCAGCCTCCGGGGCAACACCGAGATGGAGTGCATGTGCCGCAATGTGGCTGAGGGCCACAGTTTTGTTCGCACTCAGATTGACCTAAGTAGGTTGAGATGCCCTGTCGCTGAACTTAGACTAACATGACTCCAGACAAGTGTATCAGCAACAACCACGGACAGCTTGGCTGCTAAATCGAAGGGGATTTCGAGGGTCTGATGACGGGAATGGAAGCCTTGGATTGGAACTGCTTATGAATTATGATTATCATGCGAAGACGCTCGTTACACTTATATTGCGGTACGATCTTATATCGCGGTACACGATGTTTTAGTGATTAAATATATCGACTACGTTCGCAGTGGTGGTTTAAGAAGGGATATGATGGAGTATTTTGAAGAGTCGAAATGTCGACATAATTTGTATCTGGGTATCTGAAAAATTGCGCCTTGTTGCTTTTGCGCCAGGAAAGTTTCGTGTTCGTATGTGCTGGCCTGCTCATAAAAGATATGCAAAGACCTCAAAATCCATGGTCTTGAAAATGCAATGAAGATGCTTTTGATGACTCAAGGATTGGCCTGCATCGCCTCCTTGTCTAAACTCAAAGTTAATAACTCCAGCTTCTGGAAAATTCGAAGTGACTCGTCGAGAATGTCCTGCTGTTCCTGTGGAGTCAATAACTGGTCGACATGGACGATCAGTTTCCGAAATTTGGCCTTGACAGCATCATCATCATCAATATGCCAAAAGGACAAAGGAGATGGTGTTCGGCTAGCTTGAAGTTCAGCAGCCGACAGATCCCAAAACTCTGGGCCAGCCTTGACAAGTTGCGATTGGAGTTCACGGCCTCCATACAGAATAGCCGAGTACAAGATCCATATCCAAGCAACAAGAAGATGAGGGTTCCGACCAACATGGTCATGGATATACCTCCGGATCTCCGACCCAGGATTTGGCCCACTCATCAGCTCCACACTGGCGGGGTCCACAGATTGTAAAAATTGGAGATCGGTCTGCAACGCCCTTGTCCTTAGAAGTTCCGGCACGTAAAGCACACGCAGCAGGGATTTCATTCGCTCAGGCGAATCAGACGCATCGAATGCATCAGACGAATCGGGGATGCGATCCACCGATCCCTCACCGATCCAATCTGCCGGGTCCCCCATGAATGTGACCCACTCTTCCTCTAGTCCATAGAAGATTTCGGCGTAGCGCGAGATTCCCAAAGCATATAGTGTCGGTCGGGAAGTTTGAGGTGGTAAACAGAGACTGATTCGAGAAAGGTTCATTCTGTGGATGGCTGCATGGGGTTCCCTGTACGTTGTTAGAATAGGGTGCACGTGAGAAGTAGAAGTGAGACCACTTACTTGATCGCTTCGCGAAGCTTCACTAGAAGATCCACCTCTGTCATAATGAACGTGCGTGTGTAACCTGCATATGTATGGGTATTGAAGAACTCAGACACTGACTCGTGCAGCGATCGGCAAAATCAAGGCAGCGAATCACGTTGCCGTTGTTCGGACCGCAATTTCCTTAATCCGAGAACCTTGGGAACTGGGTTGAGTTGTTAAGTCATTGATGTCCGTTGTAAGCAGAAATGAATGAGAGTGTAAGATGTGTGGGGTGATATAGGCTGATTTTTCTGATTCTGATTGTTCTGATTATTCTGGTTGATTTGGCTGTTCTGGTTCGATTGGTATTTTGTCCAGGGTCCAAGTGACGTCATCGAAATTGACATGCATAGGGATATACATGCAACATATTGATATTTGCAACGCTTGGCGTAAAATGCCAGTCTCCCTGTATATTTAATATTTGCTAAATAAAATTGTTGATATCCCGATACCTGACCTGCCATTGCCAGGCCCGAGATACATTTGAGATTATGTTGTGTCGAATGCAGTACAGTATGTATGTTTTCAAATTCAATTGTTTAGTAAGTGCTGAATAATAAGCTATTCATAAGAGCTTAAAGATATGGATATAAATTAATAAATTTTATGGAAGTAGGTGGTTGATCGATTCCAAAAATAAGCATAATTAAGGTTGTTCGCTGACAGGTACATGAGTGGGGAACGGAACCTCAAATTATGAGAATGTAGTATCATTCAGTTCAATAATAAATGTGAAAAGACTCCCCTCAAACTGTAATTATAGTAGTGGATTGATACGTCAGTACATGCAAGTTGATGGCCATGTATTTAGCAAGCTACAGGAAAAGTGATGAGTGCCTGCCAATAATACAACTTTTTAATTTTTCCTTTTTTCCAAGGTGTCAAATTGTTTGTTCACTTGAAGGATGGTCATCTGGTCCTGGAGGCGTGTCCTAGTGGTTGTTGTTTACTATTTAATGGTTTTTGTTTTGATTCCAAACTCTCTTTCCTTCTTTCCACTTTGCCTCACTTGACTCCCTGCTTGCACATTCAATTGGCTTTTGACTTTTTGTTCACAAGTATTTCATACTGTTCTCTGCTCTCTGCTCTCTGCTCTCTTTCCTCTGTCTCCCTGCTTTCCATTACTTGTTTACAAGTTTTCATAACTAGTATCTCCCTGCTCTCTGTCTTTCTATGTTCAATTCTGACATCCAGCTTTACAGGGGTTTCGTCACGATGGTTCTTCCGTCAATCGTGTATCTGCCTCTTCAGCTTCGGCTGTCACCCACAGTCGGTATTATGAAGGCCGTGAAGCCAGCTGGATTCTGGTTTCCCGGCAGAGATAAGTATCCTCGCCGTCAACTCAGCCCCATCCCCGGCTCCCGACGCACGGGCTATGAGGCGATTCAGCGACCGCAAATGAGCCACAAGGCCTTACTTGCCAAAATGGAACGTTTCCGCAAGCTGGACGCTGAAAAGCTTGAGTTGCAACTTCCCCATGTTGTACGGCGAAGGGTTGCACCCTCCATTCCTCCTGCCCCGGTCACGGGCATTTTGATGACGACCGCAAGAAGGCCTCCATCTGCTGATCGTCACGTCTCGTTTGGAGAGACAACGGTCCATGTGGTTGAGCGTTAGCAGGTTCAGCGAGTCCGAAAACCAGTCTGGCATCCGAGCCCCCCTCCCGATTGCGCGTTCTTCCCCCATTTCCTTTCTTTCTAGCCCATGCCACCGTTTGTTTTCGAGCTGATGGGAGTGGTTCCTGCTCCGCTGATGATGGCAGCTAGATTGGACTTTCTTGTTACTCCTCGGATACGCAAACGCATACGCAAACGTCGTCACACGGAAGACCCTCTTATGGTGTACGAGTCGCAAATCAATAGTAAGTTACCTTGGCATTTACTGATGAGCCCAGCTAAAATTCTACTAGCCAGCTTTGAGCTGGCCATCAGTACCACGCTCGCACTTTTTCGCAGTGCTGCTGATAAGTAGCCAACAGGTAGGTTGCCAATTTTACTGACTTAGCTTCCAATGAGACCATGACCGGATACTGCCAATTTTCTACTGCTTGTGTAAGAGTGGCGGCTTGTTGTTCATGAGCCTCAGCCCCATCCCCCACGATGTCTGTCCCGACTGGACCTGCATGTTTCCACCGCATTATATTCCAAGCGTTGGTGTCTCATACCATATTGAGCTGATGTACCGTAGTCACATCATAATGGCTACACTACCGTCTGCAAAGTCGGATGGTACAGGGAAGCTGTGGTTCAATGAAACTTGCACAGGTAGCACAATTAGGATACACTATAATTTCAATTATGAACATAAGTCTGTTTGACCGAGATGGTCAAGGTTTGTGCTGGAACTCACACCCATCTTGCACCAAGGCGAATAGTGAGCACAGATGGGACATTGGTGGGTTACTTCAGGTAGCTCCGATATTTGATAGATTTGCCGTATGACAATCATTGATCGACTGCTTAGAGCAGCTCGCAGAGATCTGGACAAAACTGGAAAACAAGCTCGATGCTGACACCGCACCGACGATCAACGAGTCGGGATATGTGCTCTCGAGTGGCCGTTTCAAAGCACCGAAGTTGATGAAATTTTTGGAACGCTCGAACGGTACCGGAATAAGCTCTCTATCACCCTGGAAATTGCTCAAATGTATCTCATCATTATCTATGGCTATCCAGGTACCTCTGCCGTGACGTTCTCATTCTGAAGACTTGTTCAGTCCACATACTCTCGACCGCTCTCAATCTGTGAGTCTCTTTCAACTACCCATTGCCACAGGCGCAGCCTTCAATTCCCACTCTGGAGAATATTTTGTACGAGGTCACTCAGGGACAAGGATTGCCCTCTTGCAAGATATCATGACATATCAGGAAAATGCAAAAGGCGAAAGCATAATTGGCTAAGTGGCGTGGGAGGGGGGACTGGCAAGTCGACCATTGCCCGAACGATTGCAGTCCTTCGCGCAAAAGGGAACTCTTGGCGCTAGCTTCTTCTTCAAGACAGGCGAGCTGAATCACGATTTCCTCTCAACTGGTCACCAAAAGGCCGTGTGTTGCACCTCTGGTTGAAGCGGCGATCAGTGAAAACCCGACAATTCTAGCAAAGATCTTAGAGAGCAGTTCATAGAACTTTTCCTTAAGCCTCTGAATGCTTGCAAGATGGTCTCAAACCAAAGAAAGACATATGTATTCGTGATTGACGCACTGGATGAGTGCGATAATGATCGCGATATCGGAATGATTATTCAACTACTATTGAATGTTGAAGAGTTGTCATCGGTTAGTATACAATCGTTCCTAACTAGTAGACTGGAGCTGCCGATTCTTCGATTCGGCTTGAACCTAATCAAAAGGTGCCATGAGAATATTGTAGTTCGTCAAATTACCGAGACAACCATCAAGAAAGATATAGGCCTGTTTTGAATTTTGGGTTTAAATTTTCGACTCTTTGATGGGCCAAGAAAGCGTTACTCTTTTCCTGTTTATCTCTTGCAAATTGATTGTCACTGTTTCTATTCAATCAACTCCATACCTCGGCATAATACCTACTTATAATAACACATTGGCTTTAGCTGCAATTTGCTATATTTCTTTCGAGCTACTCTCAGTGGCCATCAGTGCAGTGCACACTTCGGTATGGAGTAACCCGTATGTGTCCAACTAAAAGTGACCCATTCTCCAAGAATTGGCCAATCAGAGGTAGCAGCACACGTACCCGAGTAGTAGAGGGTTGGATACGCTGTTCTTGCCTTTGGACTATCAGCGAAATTCAAAACCCCACTGGATCGCATGAAATAGTTGAAACGTATTTGGAATCTGTTAGCACCAGAAATCCCCAGTCCCCATTTCCAGGTCATAGGAAGAGTAGAAAACGGACCCCAAATAGAGTTCTGAACTGGTTGCCTATTTAGGTTAGCGTTTCGCCGGATCCGCTGAGCTGAGATTCAAATGCACAACTGGGCAACTTCCAAGCCTCATTAGATTGCAAAAGTCAAGTTGTCCTTGAATAATACGCCTACACATAATTTTACTTCCAAATGCTTATTTTAATCTTACAGTATCACGTGGGGATATTTAGGGTCTTCCCTGAATATATAAACATCAACAGTCCCGGTCTTCCAGGGTATCATTTAGACGAAACCAAGTGAACCAAACCTCGCCTGCAGTCCAGCCCTCCTTTGGAAGTCACCAGAGTACAAGGTCTTAGCTAGATAATCAAGCTATAAGCACCACATCAAAGTCCCAAAATGTGCCTCTTCCTCCCCTTCTTGCTTAAAAAGAGGAGAGATGAGAAGCGTGCAGCAGCCACGGCCTCCAATGAACCAGCACCACACCCTAGACAAGACGGGAAAGACCAGACATACGTGACGGCCCCAGTGCCACACGAACACGAAATGAGGAACGTTGGTCCAATTAGGAACAACTAGCCCGAGTCAGGGTACGAGCCAGCTCACTGTGCATGTGCAATCTGTTGAACGTGGCTGACTGTTTAATAGGAGACAAGCCATCGCAGCAATGAAGCCAGGAGTGGTCGAACTTTGGAAGCCATCGAGGTCATTATATGTTTAATTTCTGTTTGTGAATAGAGAGGTTTCTTGTATCTATCGGACAATTCTATTCCAATGAATTTCCACAATTCATGTCCCAGGAATCAGATTCTTTTTATGCCCATTGCGTAGAAAACGCACCATGACGAGAGCCTGTCGAATACCCATACCATTTCCAATCATGGAAAGAGTGTTTATAATCCACTCTCTAGTCTGATCATCTATATGCTCAACGTCGGCCCCAATAAACAGAGGCCATAGCAGGCGAACTGCACCCCCGAAGCGAGCTTCATCCGATATAAAATGGTACCGTACACTAGCGCAAATATCATTAACCATCTGTTTGCTGATGGATACAGACTGGAGGATGGTTTGTTGACACTCTGGTGATTCCTGTAAGGCCCACAGATGCAGAGCCATGACTCGAACCATCTCGTGGAGGACAATGCGTGTTTGACGGTAGTGGTTCCACATTGAGGCGATATTGACGTTATGGTAGATGTGGTGTGTATCGCCACGCATGGAGAAATGTGTCGGATGTCCGACCGGGGGCCGCGGCTCGCTGATAGTGGTGTACCGCCAGCCAGGGCCGAGAGACATTTCCCATGAGCGTAGGTTTGCATCGAGGTGGAGAGCTTTCCCGATGTACAAACCTAAATTCTCGACAGTGTATTTTCCAAGGGAGGCATCATTGACCTCGGCAGCGAGATCATTGAACTGAATGAGTATATCGTGTAAAAATTCAACTTGAAGGGTATTTTCGTCAGCTCGGGCTCTTGCGGCTTCCGATATTGCAACGATTGTGGGCGAGTTGCGAATGGAGTGACGAAAGAAAACGCCACTGATTGCCTGGATATGACGATCAGAGGCGAGCATTGTGTAATATTGGGGACAGTACTTACATTCTGCATTCGTATTGATGTGAACAACTGAGCCCCTGTGTCGGAGTTTAATTGCTCCACCCCCCTCAGCTCCAGAAGCCTCATTCCACCTTGAACGTGATTCACCCAGCGATCCATGATCGCGGACCCCCATGTGGCCATATCCTGGCATGCCACCATCTATTGGACGATTAGAAGGGTCGGGCATTTGTCAGACGAAAATCTCACCTCATACATAGACAGCATCGTTACAGTTGCCAAAGTGGAGTTGGCCTTGGCCGAGACTGGGTTTTGCAATGCTCTATTGAGAGAAAGCAGGGCTATACCGTACTCTTCGCCAGCCAGTCGCCGTAGATTTGGTAAATTATGGATTCTCGACATGGTCGACAGCCCTATGGCCTTCATGGCGGCCTGAAGCCCAGACGAGGGGTCCGTGCTTAGCACGTCAGGCAAGAAAGATAATAAGCCACGATCTTGGGGTGTGCCAACGTAATAAGTGAAAATGTGAGATGTGGCGTGCTCATGTATTGAGATCGGCTCCTGGATTAAAGGCAGCGGCGATGTTGTTGCAGACCTCGATTGGACCAGGTTCCGAGCTTGAGCTTTCACGGCAACTTCCTTGCTCTGGTCGTATATTCGCAGACTTTTCAGGTCTTGATACCCACCGCACTCCTTGTTCGCTCTCGTGCATTGCGAACACGGGGTTTTCCGATCGCACTGTTGCGGTCAATGATTTGTCACTCATGGCCTAAGACTCACGCACCACCAGACGCCGTTTCCGACACCATGCACAGCACGGACTGGGTTTCCCTCTGTAAACCATCGTATAGACCAGGCTCCCAAAGGGGTAACAAGTTCGGAGAAGCGACGTGGATGGTGGGGCATCTGTTGCCTTTAAATCCGCCAAGAGAATACAGGGATGAGACGGATTCGGTCTTAGCTGCAGAAGGCGGTCGTGATGGGGCTGAGCATGGGTTGTGATGTGCGAATCAGGCGCAGTCATTTTTAGCCCCCACACTCAGCCTTCCGGTTCCATGTGGAGATCCACTTTTCCCTATAACCGCGAAATGCTTATTTTGTTCCGAATTGGATTCTACTTTGGGTCATCATCAACATTGGTCTGACTATATATTGATGTTGTCCCCTGTTCTCATGAGATCTTTCTCCCTGTTCAATTCAAGCCAATCCTTAAGATACATCCAAAATGAACGGAATCTTCCCAGCCGACGTCGCGGTCTATCTCGTGTTCTTTCCAATTGTATCCTATATTTTCATGACCCACAGATGGTCCGGTTTCCTACCATGGTATTATCTCATCGTCTTCTGCTTGGCTCGAATTGTTGGCGGGGCGCTAGGAATACATGACAGCAACAGTCTCGCCGCAAACATAATCCAAAGCGTTGGCGTTTCACCTCTACTTCTCAGCGTTGATGGATTGATTCATGAAGCGTGAGTTCTAGAACAGAATTTGATACACTGGTAGCTAACATGAGAATAGTCGAGTCTATCGGTATCCATCCAAAAGTCAAATTCTCGGTTGGTCGGTCGTAATCGCTACAACAAGCATCATGGCTGCAGCCATCGCCCTCTCCATCGTGGGCGCCTTGAACATCTACGAAGGCCACCCCAAGCCGGACAGTTACTCGTTTTGGAAAGCTGGGACAGCCTTGATTGTCGTGCTCTGGATTCTCCAAGTTTTTTGGTCACTGTTTTCAATGCTTCCCCACAAAGATAGGGCTCAGGGATTAGCGGGTCAAGGCAGCACAGCTGTACGTATTCTCTAGATACACCCGGACTTCATACTCATCTTTTCTAATGATACCTCGCAGCTTCTTCAGGGTGCCTTTATTGCACTGCTGTTCATCGGCATCCGCGTTATCTATACCCTCGTCGCTGTCTGCACTCGGAAAAAGGATCTCAGTCCAGTGACTGGCTCAACTGCTGTGCGCGTGGTACTCTTGTTTCTCCCAGAGGCTCTTGCGACATTGACATTGATTGTCGTGGGCTTGAGAACAAGACATCTTCGAGACCTCAAACTAGCGACTCGTTATTAGGCCACCTTGAAAGCTTGACATCCACGCTGGATGTTCTTATACAATCAACCCCAAACTTGACGAAGTGTGCAGAAAGATTTGCACTTTACGAGCGGTTTAATTATTTTTGACGAATTCAAGTTGTTGTTTTGTACATATTGTAATTTATTGTGCGCGAACTTCTTAGATTTACCAGACTTATCCTTGTGAATGAAGGACATTTTCCGTACCGAAGGTTCCTGTCCAGAAGCGCTCCCTGTCGTGGAAATTGCCAAAACATCATTTCTATGCGGCTCCATAAGTTCCATTTCCGAGAACCAGATTTATTACCATGTTTGGCTGTCTGTTTTCTCCCCAGTACTGGATATAGTCAGCATCTTCCTGATCGCTGAAGTCCATGAGATCTAGTGCATGTACCCAGTCACTGGTTTGCCGGAGAAAGAAGACAGACTTGCTGGGTTGTAAAGCGTATTGAGCATCACCTTCCAGTCAATCAATGCCGGCGATGGCTTCTTCACAAGCTTGATGATCTGCTGCTGCCTTCTGCTGACTCGCGCGCCGTGGCCAAAAGCTGGATTTGGTATAGATTCCGCTCGGACTTAGAGGATAGTATAATGGATAGGTGATCGGGTGATAACAGTCAGGCACGGGCGCGCATTGCCGACAACAGATTCAATTAGCAAGAAATTTGTATCTCGAGTTTTTCGACTTCTTACTATGCCTGGTGAAATCGCAACATTCAATTCTCTTAAAACCTATGCTAATTATTAGAATGAAAATTGATTATGACTCTATTTAGATCAAGTGCCCTATTATAGGTGTTGTACATGGAAGTCATGGGTCACATTAATTGTCCCAGGAGGAGTAGAGCTCAAATTCGAGTGAGAGTCCACAGTATCAGATGCAACAAAAGCATTTACTCTCTTATCTGCTAGATTCCTCTGTGATTCACTTCCGTGTGTAGTCAATATTTGCGTTTGGACAGGCTCATGATCGAACCGATTCATCGGGTAAATATTCCGGGCCTGTGAATCTTGGAGTCGTTCAAAGGTTTGAGAGCCAGAGCCGCTGTATCCCTTTTGACCGCTTGAGAAGAGACTAGGAGCCACGCGAGCCAGGATTGTTTTGAGAAGAGGCATATTTGCGCAGATTATGGCAAGTTCAGGCTCGATGACAGTCCACATGACGCCCATTTGAACGGATTCCGTGATATTTTCGAAGTCGATTGCCATTAAGGATACCAAACGGACGATACTGATGATAGAGACCCTGTAGTCATACAAATTTCGCGGTCAGTAATTACTCAGAAATCCGAACTGTAGCAGACGAAAACATGTAGACAGAAGCATGTATACATACAGTAGACCCAAGCAAAAGACACCGCACAAAGAAATCTTCTTTGCAGTGCCGAGTTGAAGTTTCCAGATGTGAGGGATGGGGAGGGCCATCACCATTAGATCCGTAATCAAGTTCATCACGCCTGCAACAACGTAGGTCGCATTGCGATCACCACAGGTACCAGAAATCGAAGTATCCCAGTTGTACTTCAGCGGGCGACAGAGTAGGAAAGTTTCGAGAACTACACTGGCTGACCAAATCCACACGATAGTCATTGTAATGGTGACTTGAATCTGGAAGCTGCGCTTGCTGCCAAAGATGCGTGTATAGAAGAGCATAATTGATGTCTTCACTAGGGCGAGAACAATTCCATAAAGAGCCTCGAGAGGTAAAATTGCCTATGGACACATTCGTCAGTATAGAGATACTGAAGCTGGCAAGCTGGCATTGGGTAGTAATCTCACCTTCAACGTGAAAACCACAGATGATGGCTCGATTTCGCCTGAATTTCGGCCCGCTCCGCCAATAATGGTGACTGTTCGTGTGTCAGTCAATCTAACCCTTTTTTGAAGACGAAGACGGAGAGCCTGGGAACATCTCAAAACATACGAATATATTCGAGTGCAATGTCGGCATACACAATAACCTATTGGTTGTGAGCACTGTAATGGTTTTTGCATAAGAAAATCTTAGTCAAACCTACCAATGCTACCAAGATAATATATTCAGACGCTCCTGGACTCACTCGTCTCATCTTCAGCGCCAAAAATCGCAACGCGGTGGTGAACGTCGCCAGAGCACCCAGTACCGTTACTGCGATAACTGGATTCCGGCTAAGCGGTGTATCCAGCGGGTATGTCACAGTCATTTTGAATCACAATTCCCAGGATTACTATTCTCTCCTACCAGTACGGAGTACGAAGTAAGGAATTAGAAACGTCGTCGCAGTGATTGACAGATAGAGCGATAGGGGTCGACATTTAAACATTTAAGCGTAAGCCACACTCCATCAAGAAACAAATTTCTTGTCATGACCCACAGTATAATTAGCGGGAAAGGAATGTGCAGTCTGTACATTTCAAGTCGCGTGCTTAGTATGTGGGTCTTTATGCATTGTTTTATTGGTCGCTTGGTGGTTTGGTGGTTTGTGGATAGGGGCTGCAGCCCAAGTACACAATTTTGGGTGTAGATCACTTGGTCTAGATGAAAGTTCACGACTAAACAATGGCTTTCCAACATTTGAATACGAACTTCAACTTTATTCACGTTCTATGTACAAGTTGACGGCTCGGAATGGCAAGGCATTCCCGCTCCGGACCCCACACGGGAGACCCCACAATTGCACCGAAATTACTCTGTGATTCTGATAGGTTCTTCATCCTACTCTTATCCGCTGATCTACCAAAATCTTCTCCCTCTTGTCCTTGTTCTCGCACTATTCACTACACGCTATTTTGAACTGATGGGACTAGTTTCCACCAATGGCCAATAAAAAAGTTCAATGAGCAGTTTACTCCAACAGATGTACGTAGTAGGAAAATGTCCTTCTGTTTTCAGTTAGGCTTCGGAATGGACATGTCAATTGGGGATAGCGAAACCGTTTCTCGGCGATTGAGCTTGTCGCTCGCACTTAAACAATGGCTTCTCTGTGATCTTCGCGCTCCCCGCGAATCATTTGCTTATCCCTTTATACTTCCACCCCCTGAGCCTTGGAAATCATGGCGTCCATCGATACCTCGTCACTTGCCGACTTAAGCAAGGAATATGATTATGTTGTTGTTGGTGGCGGGACTTCGGGCTTGGTGGTAGCCAGTCGGTTGACCGAAGATCCCTCATGCAGCGTCCTCGTTCTCGAAGCAGGAGCAAACCGAGTTGATGACCCACGAATTGCCGCTCCTGGTCTGGCAGCAACGACTTATTTTGACCCTGACTTTGACTGGTGTATCACCAGCACACCACAGGCACGCATTTACCCTTGGTTGTTTCACGTGCTGTTCAATCCCGCTGACTTGTTTATAGAAAAACCTTAATGGACGATGCGTTGCCGAACCCCGCGGACGAACACTTGGTGGATCCTCAGCAATCAACCTTGGAATGGCTATTTACCCTAGTCAATCCGATATCAACCTCTGGGAGAAGCTTGGCAACGACGATTGGAACTGGGATTCGCTGTCACAATATTTGAAAAAGTCGCAAACCTTCACCCCGCCCTCTGCCGAGATCAAGGAGCAGCTTTCATTGGATTATATCGATCCATCTGTTCAGGGTGAATCAGGCCCACTTCAACTTTCTTTTGGTGAGGGGCCGTTCCCTAGCTTCCTTGAAGCATGGCCCAAGGTATTCCAGACTCTTAATCACCAGATTAGCGGGGATCCAATGTCGGGAATCGCCAAGGGAGCGTTCTGCAACCCAGGCACTATCCATCCGACGACCAGAACCCGTAGTCATGCTGGCGTGACTTATTATAACTCGGAAGTTGCCAAGCGATCGAACTTGAGGGTGATCACCGAAGCTTTTGTGCATAAGGTTGTTTTAGAGAAAGAGGGCTCACAGGATGCTAGGGCCACCGGTGTGCAGTTTACCGGCAAGGATGGAATTCAGCAAATTATTTTCGCCAAGCGAGAGGTTATTATGGCTGCGGGCGCAATCAAGACCCCCCATCTTCTCGAGCTATCTGGTATTGGCGACGGCGCTCTTCTTCATTCCCACGGTATTGAACCCATTGTCGAAAACTCCAATGTTGGAGAAAACCTCCAGGAGCACGGCTTTGTTCCGTTCAGCTGGGAGGTTGCCGAAGGGCAGATGACCGGAGAGGCCCTCCGGGATCCTGAGATCGCCGCTGCAGCCATGGCGGCTTGGCAGCAATCTGGGGCTGGACCACTCGGTCTCTGTGCACTGGCATCTGCATACATGACTCTCCCAGAGCTTGCAGATGGTGAGCTGAAAAAGCTTTTGGATGAAAACCTCCAAGACCAAAACCTATCGCCAGGATTAAAGGCCCAATATCAACTACTGCGGCAGATGTTGGAGGACGAGGTTGAGCCTAGTGCACAGTACACCCTGGCACCTTTCCAAATCCTCCCTGACAAGGGCCCAAGCCCAAAGGGAATTTTTGGCATGACGGAGCCAGAGAACTTTGTTAGTATCGTTGCCGTGCTCAACCGACCATTTTCTCGCGGAAATGTCCATCTCGTCTCCTCCGATGCGAAAGAGAGCCCCAAATTCGATCCCGGGTTTTTCTCACACCCTCTTGATTTGGAGCTTCACTCGCGCCATGTTCGCTGGTTGGAAACTCTCGCTTGGACCGAGCCTATGGCTTCCCTTTTGAAACCCGACGGTCGGCGCTTGCAAAACTCATCTCGCGACATAACCCTTGAGACCGCCCGCGATCTAGCTCGCGAGAGAATCATCTGTCACTACCATGTAGCAGGCTCCACTGCCATGATGCCTCGCGAAATGGGTGGTGTTGTGGATTCTCGACTGAAGGTTTACGGCACCCAAAACCTACGTGTGGTTGATGCTGGTATCTTCCCTTTGATTCCGCGGGGAAATATTCAGGCTACTGTCTTTGCGGTTGCTGAGAAGGCAGCTGCAATTATTGCTGCTGATTTTAAGGTTTGAAAGTCTTCGCATAGACTCGAATAGAAATAGAAGCAAGAATTGTTAAACATTTAACCATTTTTTTTCGCCAATTATAGGTTGTTACTTGAATAAAGCCTTGGTCGTGTCTTTGTGCAGCGTTGCTCGGAATGGTACCTACAGTCTCCCTTCTAGACTTGAGAACTCATTGAAGTTCTACCATACCTGATTAGAATAAGTCAGATGCATTGGACTCCAGTGAGTCATACCACTGAAGTTGAAGTGCTAAGAATGTTCGGAGTGTCGATGGACCGCTACATTTACACATTGTGTTTACTGCTGTCCTTATAGCCGTGTCAAGCTCGTGGTCACGTCAGCTAGGGAGACGATAATATTAGAGTTCGGAGCTTATTGGGTTTGATAAAATGCTATAGTTAAAGCGGATATCCAGGCAGGATCTGGTTGCGAAGAATACATGGTCGAGGTTGAAAAAGGGAACTTGAGGGTAAAGGGATACCTTAAAAAACCTGAAATCTCGCACAAATTTAGGTATCATGAGGTATGTATATTCTCGCGTAAGTGTGTCAAGTTTAAAATCCGACTAACTAACACTTCACACTCAGAAACCCAATAGTGCAAATTAGAACCGTACCATAATTACTCGCAATCAGCATCTACCCATTCCGCTCCTTCGATGTCGCCGAGTCCATCTCCATCTCTATCCCTCTTTACTGGTAGAATTGGACATCTAACTGGATGAGTACTCCGTACCGAAATTTAATTCTAAATGGATAGCCGCTGTTCACCAATGTGACCCTTCGCCCTTGCAGGTATGTCCCTGCAGTCACTTTTTAGCATGGCCTCGATTACGTTTCCTCTAAGAATATGGGGATTCTTGACAGATAGACACTGAAAGTTCCGATTTTCAAGCTTAACTCTCTACCTAAAAAAAAAAAAAAAAAACCCCCCCCCCGGAAAAAGGCTGATACCTACTAACCATGGTTTAACATGGTTTTTGTTCCCACGAGGTTTCTTATCTGGAGAGCGAGACGAGAACGTGGAACCCAAGAGTTTCCAAACTGAAGCGACAGGATGATGCAAGCGAATGTTTGCTAAGTGTGGCTAATCAACATAGGCCTTATTTTTGAGATTATGAGAGCTCTGATAGGTGCCAGCCGCCTTTTCGAGGCTGTGCATTCGTGCCCCACATAAGCGCTAAGAAAGCCCCGGTGGTTGGTACCTCATTCTGGATGGTTTATGAAAGAAGGAGTGCAGGAGTCTAGAATGCAAGTATTTTGTTGTACCAATTATGATTGCTTGAATCTTATGGCGTTGCGCCCGGGTAAAGAAACATGACGAAATACTTGAAGGGCCGGAAATTCCGATCTCTCCATATATCACATTCAACCCATACAGTACTTCTTCCAGTTTATTGCCATTAATTTTATTTCTTCTGGTTCACCTGGACAAGCCTCAGCTTTTAGGACGACATCTGCTTTGCATCTTTGATCCGAAATGAACAACAAGATGAAAATAGCCCGTGGATGTATATTGAGTTATCGGGACGGCCCAGACCGCTGCGGACGGATGAAACACATGTGCATGTATGTGGCTGAGTCTTGGGGGCGCGTAATCGAGATTTTCGCCCAGGCGCCAGCTGGGACAAACCTTGTATATAGCTACACTCCCTTTGTTCCCTCCGGATACACTTTATGTGTAATCTTGATAATGAACAACACCATTTTAAGCATACCTGGCTGGGTTGACGAACCCGACGGTCGAGGAACATGGAGTATCTTGTCGACATGTGTTCTCACGATTGTACTCTGTTGCTGGACTACTGTTTCTCCAAATTTGCCAGCCAAAACAGATGGATGGTTCCAACGATGGAGACGCAAATTTGATCTTGCCTGTATGACGATATTAGGCTCTGAGTTCATTCTAGTCGCGGCTATGGGACAATGGTCATCCGCGCGCTCCTCTGTTCTGGTGAGTGATATTTGGAAGGCTATTGAATTGGTTTCAACTAATAGAACAGAAATTTCATGCCGCCGGTCACTCGGATTGGACTTTGACACACGCCTTCTTTGCCGATATGGGAGGGATTTTGGTCGATCCCCTAGAGACAGACATGCCATCATTCCCGTTGAATGCAGAGCAGCTTTTCATCTTGATTGAATCGAAACATATTGATTATCCGAAATTGGAACAAGATGATATAAAGGATAGAAGTAAATCAGATGGATTGGCTAGGTAAGTGATCGGTCACAGACACCCAACTCCTATACACTCTGTTGACCTCGAAAGGTTGATTGCCATAGCTCAGGGTCTCTGGTTCTTCGTGAACTGTATGGTGCGCTTCGCCCAAGGCATCTTCGTGACTACCCTTGAGCTTACTACAATCTCCTTTATTCTGGTCTTTTTAGTGACATCATACAGTTGGTATTACAAACCAATGGATGTCAATAGACCAATCACTTTGAAGCTCAATACCCCCTTAGATGAAATTCGAAGCGCTTACGGCCAAGCCCCCGGGTCAAAGTGGTACATTACACCACTTGATTTCCTCACACGAGACGAGTGGTTCCTGAGTCGATTTTGGAAATACTACACTCAGATTCTTCACCATATGCACATACCGCTGTTCACTCGACCTAAGCGAAGACCATACGATTTTGTTCCGAGTCATGATATCAAAAATATGGATATCCGAGCTGAAATAATCTGTGGACCGATAATTCTTCTGTTCAGCGCTATGTTTCTTATAGCATGGAATTTTCACTTCCCCACCCCGACAGAACAGTTACTCTGGCGTATTGCTAGCGTGAACACCCTAGTATATGGGCTTTTTGGAGGTGCCCTTGCCGGATATATTCACAAAACAATGTTCAGAAAAGAGTTGGAGGCGACAAAGAGACAGCGTATGACCGAAAAGAACAGAAAGCCCCATGGGTGCATTGGCCGTCTTGCCGCGAAATTACGGAATATCGATCCGGAGCAAGATCCAGATCTGGAAATCCCCATCCGGGTATTCTTTCCAATTTCCGCTCTTTGTGTTCTATATTCTCTGAGTCGGGGATTCATCTTGGTGGAAGACATTATCGGGTTGAGAAATTTGCCCGAGAGTGCGTTCCAGACCATCTCATGGTCAACATACATACCTCACTGGTAGCCTGGCTCAACATTGAGATGTATCAATAAGCAGTGAAGAATTTTCTGTTCTTATCGATTGGCCGTGCGTTCCAGGCTATCTCTCCCCCTGTATACCGCTTAATCATTTTGATATCAGAATCCTCTGTATCGCGCACTCATATTCCCACATTACTATAGACGCTTGATACTATATAATCCAGAGATAAGGGCTCCCCGTCCGCTCAGCCGTACTTGAGCCACATATATCCGCACGGCTAATCGTTTGTAGAGCCCAATTATAAAACTCATAAGATAATAACTATAAATCCTAATGATTCTAATTCTTTTTTTAATTTGACAGAAGAGAATAAGATAGTATATTCTATTTACAGTGACTATAACCCTTAATAGATCCAGTAAATCTAGTCCTAACTATAGATTTGACCCTAATTGGCTATACTATAGATTATCTTTTAGGATGATCATAATTCAGATCTTAAACCACTTATTTGCATAGTTGAATCCTCCCCAATATTTGCAACCCAGGTGTCGGATGAAACCCTATTGCATCTCCGCCCCGCCCTTAAGACGGGACAAATCCCACCGCCAAACTAGCCAACACTAGTGCTTATAAAAACTTTACTAGTCCACGGCATTACGTGGCCTTCTGAGATCCCGATGCTATCTAATCGCAGAGCCCAGTGTCTACTATCTACTAGTCTAATAGGCCTAGCTACGATTCGGGTAAAAGCACATAATGTCAAATCAGTTTCACAAGGATTAATGTTGCCATCTATTTAGTGCCGTCGGAATCCGTTTGGCACCAACGTTAATTGTCAAACTTTCCAAAGGTTGACCTCAAAGCCTAGGTCTGTCGTCAGATTGATCTCGGTCTAATGGGTAAGATTGTCGCAAGCAACGAGTCCTTATCAGAATCAAGATAAATAGCTTAGTAGCCGCTTTTGACTCCACCTACCACCACCGCAACGAAATGATAAAATTGGTAATGATCCATCTATTTTGACGTACATTCACCCTGTCTGGCGGAGTACTTTAGGATGTTGAAATTTTACGCGGATGAATCCCCCAAGGCGGTCCAACATGCCACGGTATGGAAACTTGAAGTTATCTCACTTTGCACGTAAGCTGATGGGAAAAAGGGGCTGCATCTTATAAAATGCTCCACCCCTAATGGCAAGAAGGTCCAATATAGTTTTGGAGGAGTTGAAAGACATTTATGGACTGGAGTGGACAATCTCTTTGATATATATCGACACTGATGAACAAAAGGAGACATGGTTCCTAAAGCTTAACTCGAACGGTATGAACATGACCAAAAGAGCTTGACTTCATGTATTCTTACCAATTATTATAGTATAGGTAGAATCCCTATTCTCATTGACAATACAAGCGAACCGCCTTTCCCCGTCTTCGAATCATCAGCGGAGCTACTGTATCTCCTTGATATGGTGGACAAGGATCATCACTTCGGCTTCTCCGATCCCAAAGAACAGTCTCAGTTGATTCAGTGGCTTATCATCTGGCATGCCTCGGGTCAGCCTAACCAAGGCCAATTGAATCACTTTGGAAGATTTGCTCCAATACAGATCCCCTGTATGTGGACCTTTCCTATGACTGTGCATTATCACGGGTATGACAGGGCATATATGCGATTAATCATTCAATTCTTAGATGCGGTTGAGAAATTCAAGACCGAAACACTCCGAGTCTATAATGTGCTCGAGCTCTACCTTTCTGGGGCCCTGAACGGCCAACCTCGAGCATATCTAGCTGGAAATGGGCTTGGCAAGTTCAGTGTTGCTGATGTCAATGCTTATCCTTGGAGAAGCGGAAGGAAAAGAAGTACTATATCAGTAGAGAAGATGGCCCAATATGCGCACTTGAAGGAATGGATAGAACGGATTGGGTCCAGACTAGCGGTACAGAGGAGGATGAGCGATGTATACAATGAAGAAGGTCACCCAGAGTTACTTGTTAATCCTGTTCATAAATAGATTATTCGTTTATAGATACAGTTACTGACAATTGATACTTTTAAAATCGCATGAAGCTATCAGATAATGGCAACGCAGCCATGGTATGGGCTGCTCCGAAAAATATGAGATTGTGTTGTCATTATCAAAAGCTGATTGAATCCCAATAGCAGCCATTACTAACATCAATTCGACTGGGCAGTTGCCTGGAGAAATGTTAACAGATGTAGGAAGGGTAAATGACGGTGAAATACTGAGAGATATGTGGCAGTGTGAAATAGTTCTAGGAGAGAAAAGAGGGAGAAAGGCAGAAGAAGGTCCTTAGAATATGCCACACAGACCACTAAGCTAGTCCTAAAAGGGACCAGAGCGCTGCAGGTCACTTGGCCTCGGCCTCTCCCAACCAATTCTCTATGAGAGAGGCTGCAACTTCCACGAATCATGTTGAGCGGTCCGCGGGGAAGTGGTGAGATGTGGCTGTGAGGCTGTCTAGATAAATGTGTGCATGGGCCATGTCTTAGCCATGTCTTAGCGCTGACCCATCACTCGGTACGCCTGATGTCTTTTTGTTAAATACCACCTTCCCCTCTCTTTCGCCCAGTCAAGGTAGGGAAGCTCATGCAGTCATGTCTTTATCAGATCCTGACAGCGATACCGTCTTGGTTGGTGCAGAAGACGTTCAAGGTTTTGACTCTGACAAAATAACCCCACTATCGGCGAGCGAACTTGACAAAATCACCAAATGGCTTCAGCCAACTCCATATGACTTTGAAAGAGGCGAATACTCTAGACATAGTGCCTCACATCTACTTGGGACTGGTACTTGGCTCACATCAACCCAAGTCTGGCAGCAGTGGCACTCTGGCGATAATGGATTGTTGTGGGTCAAAGGCATACCAGGCTCCGGCAAGTCCGTGATAGCTGCTTCTATAATCAAGTAACTGCAGAAGGAAGATGTCCCGGTGGTCTACTTCTTCTTCCGACAGATATCGAAGCTAATCATAAGCCCATTGTTGCGTTGCGAGATTGGCTGTGTCAAGTTCTGAACTACAGCCCTCCGCTACAAGTCAAACTTCAGAATTACGTTGATCGAGATCTATCTCTTGAGAGTCTGTCATCGGTTGATCTATGGAACTACCTAATGGTGGCATTGCAAGACTTCCCCAAGGCCTATTGTGTCACTGATGCTTTGGATGAGATGGATCTAGGACATGATGACTTTTTGAAGAGCTTAGTTGATCTAGGCCGATGGCGCCCGAAAAATGTCAAGGTTTTAATGACCTCGCGCCCAATAGCCCGCTTGGAGACGTCTTTAAGATCTTTTGGTATCCCTCAAATTCGATTAGAAGAAAGACTGGTGGATCTTGATATTGCGGCATATGTTCAGTATAAGCTTCGCGGCTCATCCATCGCCCAAGAAAATTGGAGTGCCATTCAAGAAGCGATTCCCGGTCGGGCAAACGGGATATTCCTATACGCGAAAATGTCTATGGATGTTTTCCTCGAGCCTGGCGCAAATGTGCAAGAGGCTCTCAACGCACTACCAACAGACCTCAACACGATGTACAATGAAATGCTACGAGAGCATGCTCAGCGATCGAATGTACCCTCTGAGCTCCAACTCCTGATCCTTCAGTTTGTCACCCACGCCACACGCCCGCTACGACTCCTCGAAATCGCTGAGATGCTGAACATACAATCCAAATGCAATCAAACCCTGAAAGAAACCAAAGACCTGGTCAGAACCGCTTGCGGACCCCTTCTGGAAATCTTGCCCGATGAAACTGTATCGGTCATCCATCACACCTTTACCGAATTCCTAAAAGGCTACACCAGATCCAGATCCACAAAAAACTTCGAGTATCCGATCTTCGAAGTCGGTTCAACCAATTTGCGCCTTGCTATGGAATGTTTGTGTTATATGCGGGCAGGATGCCTCGATAAAATAGAGATTACACTGCCAATACCGAGCGAGAGCCAAAGCCGATTTAGTGATCGAAAGGAGAAGAAAAAACTCGAAGTACGATTGCAGTTTCCCTTCTTAGAATACGCTGCGAACAACTGGTACAAGCATGCCCGCCTGGCGGAGGAATCGGATCAAAATCTGGAAATGTTCCATGACGCTCTTGATATTTTCTTTACAGAGACGCACCGGTACACTGTGTGGTTGGATCTGGCCTGGCCAGACTGGAAGATTGACGGCGTTACACCCCTTCACGTCGCTGCTCAGACTGGTTTATCTCAACTCGCAAAATATATTCTGTCCAAGGGTGAAGTTGTTGACACAGAGTCTGCGAGTTTACCAATATACTGGGCAGCATCATACAATCACGGAAGTGCTATTCGGGTGCTCGTTGACCATGGAGCTGACCCAGATGCCGAACTAAGCGAAGGGCTGAAGCCAATGCATCTAGTCGCCAAATCAAACCATGTGGATGCCGTCAAAGCCTTGCTCGCTGCTGGAGTCAGTCCATTAACACCAAAGACACAGAACGACAAACCTTTGGGGGGATGTGTCGCAGGTAGGCGTGGGCCTAATACCATAGGCCACACCCCCTTGATGTATGCGTGCCATGCTGGTCATTCGGAGACCGTTGCCGAGTTTGTTGAATGCTTGGAGAATGTGGAAGACATACACAGAGCATTACACTGGGCGGCCGAGAAAGGCCGATCAAGCATTGTGGAGCTAATTTTACAACAACCAGGAGTTAATGTCAATGCCAGGGTGCAAGGCAGCACCGCGCTATTCCTGGCTTGCAAGTGTGCAGATCTTAAGACAATCAAAGCCTTGATCAAAGCTGGCGCAGAACCAAACATGTTTTGTGAAACTCTTGAAACACACATCAGAGGCATACCCATATATCGGTCTTCTACAGCGGACTTACCAAAAAGAACATCTTGTTCCAACGAAAGGGGATACACGGCGCTTCATGCTCTGTGTACAAACTCCGTCTACGGAGAACAGGCGTCTAGTCAAGCCGCTGAATGTGTGAAAGCTCTCTTCAAAGCTGGCTCTGATGTTCATGCAAAGGACCCAAGAGGCTTGACGGCTTTGCACTACGCATATAAGTCATCGATCAAATGGATGGGGCCTCTGCTGGATGCAGGTGCTGATCCTGCCGCAGAAGACGACAATGGAGAGACAGCTCTCCATTCCTCATCCTCTGAAGGGAATGAAGCTCTATCACTGCTCCTGAAGAGTGGGAAAGTGGATGTCAATAAATCCAGAGCACAGGATGGAATGACACCATTGCTTTGTCACCTTGTAGACCAAATGAGTGATAACCAGAGAACTATCGAATTTCTAGCCTTCTGCAAGCCTGACGTGAATGCCACGGATTCGAAAGGAGACGGACCATTACACCTGGCGTTGAGGTCGATGCGTCCCACCAGCAATCGTGAGCTTATTGACAAGTTGCTGGCCGCAGGTGCCAACCCTAATTTAAAAAACGTAGCGGGGAACACTCCATTGCATCAAACTAGCAAACATATCGACCAGGAAATAATCAGAGGTTTCCTTCGAGGCGAGGCAGATCTTGAAGCATGCAACAACAAGGGCCAGTCAGTTCTTCTTGCTCAGTTGTCACCGGGAAATGGTTTCTCTGACGGACCAAAAATTCTGGGCCACCTCGCTAGCGAGGGAGTGCGACTTGATACTCGTGACAGCAAAGGCCGTACTCTGTGGCATTATTCCATTAAGAGCCCAAACACATTCTCGCTTCTCCAAAGCCTAGGAGTTGATCCTTTGGTGTCAGATAATGATGGCAACACACCGCTCCATGAAGTTGTCACTGATCAGTCATTGATTGGAAAGCGAGGAGTATTGGAACAATTGATAGGAATAGGTATGAACATTAACCAGCCCAATCACCAAGGTCGAACCGTCTTGAACGCTGTCTGTTCAAGAGACTTGGCAGATAATATTAGTAGAGACTCAGTTTACACAATCCTTGACTACGTCCTCAAACAGTGCGAATGTCTAACAGTCGGTGATCACGAGGGTGTCCAGCCGCTACATATCTCTGCTACAATCTCTGAACCTTTTGTTCATCAACTTCTCAACGCTGGAGCCAATCTTTGCGCAACTACTCTTGATAAGATGACAGTCCTTCATCTTGCCGCGCGTGCACGTCAGTCCGGAATCGTTGATATGATATTATCCCGAGCCACGTCTCTTTCCAACAAAGCACGCCTAGAATTTGTGAACAATCAAGACAAAGACGGGCGAACTGCCCTTCATTATGCATGCCGTTCCGGCCGTCCTGAAACCGTCAAATCCTTGCTTGAGGCTGGAGCAGCCTGTGATGTTCTTGACATCCACAAGCACTCTCCACTTGCAATGTGTGGGGAATTCGAAAAGGAGGCCTCGCTTTGGGATCGTCGTATGCCCTCACCAGCTTCGCGACGTCGGCTGTCGAACAGAGGTGTCAATGCAGCAGGTCTAACACTGAAAGATAACATGCGTCCATTCTACGACCGAGCTGACGATGATATGGACGCCACTTTCGGAAGAATTAATTCGGAGCATGATACAACACGACTACGCGAGATCGTAAATATGCTGGTCGAACATGGAGCCGATCTCGAGAGTGATCACAGTTCTCTGGGAATCGCGTGGGAAAATGCCGCAGAGCCTGGATACGGATATACAGTCTCTTGTCTCCCACCCTTATCGAATCGTTCTTATATTGGACAGCACCCCCAGTCTGAAGATCCCAATCGAGAGCTGAAAATATCGATCGCGGTAAGTTGCCGGAATGCAATGAAAGATACCCTACAGAAGAGCGCCAAATCAGAAGATGGAATAGAAAAAGGGTGGGGCCGGGATCATGCTACATTTTTACGACAACGCTTAGGGGAGAAAGCTCTGGCTCTGAGATATTATGCCCTTTTTGAAGAGCTTTCAGGAGGAGCAGATAGCCTTTACGTTCCTGATTATGACGGAAATAAATCGCTGAATATTCTTGCTCATTGGGGATTCGTTGAAATTCTCGACCGGTTGTGTACTCGAGAAATAGCGACGCAACTTGACGGCGTTGACTGGACCTCCAATCCAGACGAAAGCGATCTCCAGCAATGCAGTGAACCACTTGTCATCTCTACCTGCAAAAGAAGACTTCCCAATATGGACGTTCTGAAATTGGTTGTTGAAGACTATGGAGCCAATATTAATGCGAAAAGGACGGAACGCACGTTTCGAGGTGGGAGTCTCTGCCCATCATTTACCAACGGGGTTTTACATAATCTTGCTGTTGGAAAATCCTGGTGGCACGTGGACAAAGCCTTGCCGTACTTGATCCGAATGGGAGCGGATATCAATATTCGAAACAGAGGTGGAGAGACACCCCTCATCGTTGCGCTCAAATCTTTTTACCCATTTTCCAGCGAGGCATCCGAAGCTCTCATAAGAGCTGGTGCGGATGTCAATGCGGTTGACAAGGATGGTAACACATGTCTTTCAACCGCTGGGGACGATATGGGTATCATCAAACTCTTGACTGCACATGGCGCTGAAGCCAGTCCGTCCGCTATACTCTCTGCTCTGGATCTGGCGAAGGTTGAGTTGCTAGAGATTCTACTCTCTCGAACTGGAAGTTCAATATTAGGACGACCGCTTCCAAAAACAATCTCCTACACAATTGGATCGGATCATTTCAAAACCCTCGAAGTTGGAACTTTGCCACTGTTATACGCAGCTACGTCCCGCCCACGCAGTAATGATATGACCAAGTTGAAGTTGGATATTGAAATGAGGAAGCAATTGGTAAACATCCTTTTGAAGCATGGAGCAGATCCCTACGCTACCTTTGATCAACAGCAGTACCAAGATAGGTACAGAGATTTCAACAAGGAGCCCAAGGACTATCCAGTCACAACCGCGACTATAATTCACGAGCTTTTAAGTGGTGGCCACATTGTTGACCCATTCTTCAACCTGAACTCCTTGGATATAGAGCGCCGTGACGATAATGGCTGCACCTTGATATTAGCCGCATCTAAGAATGACGGGCAAAATTCCCACTTCAGAAACACAAACCAAAAATTAAATACCACGGACTGCTTGCTAGAACTTATCAATCGTGGGGCAAATGTCATGGCTCAAGACAACGAGGGGAGAACGATCCTGCATCACATCGCAAGCCTGAACGATGCAACGTCCTTCATAGAGGCCATCCAGACCGCTTTGACGGCTAGCGCAAGCCTCATACACCAGACCGACAACAACAACGAGACGGCTCTTCATTATGCCCTACGTCGCAGCCTTCATGGGTCGATTGGATTTCTTCTGGACAATGGAGCAGATCCCCTCCAACCGGATAAAAACGGAGATACGGCCCTCCACCACTTTGCCAATTTGAACTTCAAATCGACCAAAGACCTATTCGAAAGAGTCCTCAGAGCAGGTGCCAACATAAATGCGCGAAACAAAATTGGAGAGACACCAATCTTCAATCTTCTGAAGCGGCAGAATCATACTCTATATGGGTCGGCAGATGACCAGGCGTATAGAGACATCGGATTCGAGTTCTTCCTGGAATGTGGGGCTGATGTTTTTGTCCGAAGTAATGACGGGTCTACCCTGCTCCATCTCCTCGCTGGAATTAAATTGGACCTCGGATATATGTTTCAGTCTTATCACTCAGATTCTGGACACGCGGGAGTCGGACTATTCAAGCGGTTGATGGACATGGGGTTAGACCCTATGACTGAGGACAAAAGAGAGCGTACTAGTATTGACGTCGCAGCTGCGTGTGAGAACGAGCTTATTTTGAAACTGTTCAAGAGGGAGCCTTTGAAATGAAAAATGCGATGAAGATTACTCCCTCCTTTACTCTTTGCTTTCTTCTTTGCTTTCTACAGGACGATTACTTCTAGGTCTTTCCTCCACCACTTGAATATTGTCGAATGCGTTCGTCGGCCTCTATCTACCAATGTCTTCTTACTGTCTTCTTCATGTGTTCTCCTTCCCTTTCTCCTTCACTGGAGTCAAGTCTCCTTTTGCTGGCGATACAGAACATTTATTCTCACCAAATTGATTACTTATGTTTGGGCTTAATTTGCGTAGAGTACCAGTATCTTTGATCCGACCCGATCAATTCACCAGCACTACAAGAGCCTATGTACTGAAGAATAAAAGGAGCCCTTACCTAGAATACTTTCGTCGCTCTTTAGATTGATACGTATATAATATACCTAGACCCAACAACCTACAACGCATCTGACGTAAGCGGACCCTTATAATCTATCCCTAAATGAACGTAGACTCCCCAAGAACAACCTTCTAGAGAAAAGATGAAAAAGGTTGGTGAATGGGTACCTTCATTGCGGTGTGGTAAATTGAGACCAAAATGAGGGTAGGCAGACCTGCCCTCGTCAGAAAAAATATAAATACTGGGTAGTCTACAGCGTAACTACGCGGGCCAAGTCACGTCCGAACAACTTTCGACATGAGGAGCTTCTACCGCGATGCTGTTAGCTATGAACTAATAGACGGTCACATTCTTAAGGCTGCTCTTAGGAATGATAATGGAGATGAAGTGGAATCAAAAATTGATTTAGATGGTTACTTTGCGACGGGAAGGGTACGTTCGATATGCTTTCGGTTTATACCAGCTCCACACGTAATGTGCTAATAATTATTAGAGAGAAATCTGAAATTGTCAAAATATCCAGACTGTGGCTTTGCTAAGATCTGGGAAATTGAAAAACCTTTTATCCATGAAAATCACGAGTGGGGCCCAGTGCTTTTGCTTTAAATGCAACTCTCAGGAAGGAAGACGGGTCTCTAGCGACAAATATCGGAAATGCCAATGGAAAACTGACATTTACTTGAGAGTAAGCTACCCATCTTCATTGATTATTGGGTTTTTCTAATATAAATGAATATATTTGAGTCACCGATAATCTAGTACCCGACGAGTGCTGGAAGATGTATTTCGAATCCGCGGAAGAGGCTGTCAAGTTTGGCGAAGAGTATGACCTTTCCGGGACCAGTAGAATTGTCTAAGGTCGTACTATGAATCTATGGAGTATTTATGAGGAGCACACTTTGAATATCGAAAAGAGAGTTACATATTAGTTGGAAATACAGAATGGAGATGCGGTTTCATACTGCGAAGCACCAAGAAGAAGAATACTAGTTTTGCCTTTGTTGCGGAGAAAATTGAGGTCACGGCGAAAGGTTCAAATTAGGTGTTCAATTTAAAAATTGCTGGGTTGAATGTTTTATTACAATAACTCGGTATGCGGGAAGTAGCGGCTTCCCAGTGAAACTTCAATTTTCGTGGTAGAATTTGAACATTATCGCTGTAACAGTAGATAATGCTGTAAAGTTAGACAATATATACAATTATAGCTTAATGTAACGAAATGAAAGATTAAATTGAAGCTTTTTACTACCATACTGAAGGTAAAACCTTCACATTTACAGAAGGTTAGGGCGACAATCGTCAAATCCGGAGCTGAATACCCAAACAGACATCCAGACATCAAGCCTCATAATGTACATGACACCATCGAATTATTTGCATGCGCCACGGTGTCATGCACGAACTGACTTAATATCCAGCCCGTCAGCTGATATACCAATATCCCGAGTTCATGTTCCACGCCCAAACGTGAAACTATATTTCAAGTAGAAGCTGATCTCAGTTTCGAGGTAGGATGGTCATTCAAACGGGAAGATGTAGTGTAGAGGATGACTGTTCTGAATCCTTTGACTTACCGGCAAGGCGAATCGAACATCTCCCAAGCTAAAACGAAGCTAACTACTATCAGCCGTGGAATCTTGGCACAATTTCGGCAACGGGTATATGGCTATTTATGTGTTGTCAAGCCGGACGCCAAGGCTCTAATTTACTGCAAAGATACCGTCGACACCACAGAGATTCAACACTCCTGCACGTGGAACGTCATTACCATAAATGCCGCGCGATCATAGGACTATGGAGGGATGTCTCCAACTCACGATAATGCAGAACTGCATAATAATCAAGGCTATTTAGTGCTCACATTATTCCTCCAATCATCTTTCGATGAATAGCCCACGTTGCCCACCTTTGAATGCATGGCGTAGTTGGTGCCTGACAGTCTGCAGACTAAACGCTTTTTGAATCTTGACGAAGCCACATCGCTTCGGATTCTTCAATAGATCTAGGATCCGAAAATCTTCTATAGATTTATCAGTCACCTATTTAAAGTCAGTTGATTTCCCTTTCACCATTCGAAAAACAGAATTCAAAACACTGAACCAAAACTGAGAATCAAAATGGCTAGAAACGCCTTCATCATTGGAACCTTTCTACTTGCCTCCGCGCACGCGACGACAACCAGCGGAAGTTTTACGGCACTGAGCTTCAATGTCGCGGGTCTTGCATCAATCCTCAACTCAAACGATGTCAATGGAACGAAAACCGAAAATGCAGAGGAAATCGGCACTTATTTCGCCGAGTATGGCTATGATATCATTAATATGCAGGAGGTAGGCAAGAACGCAGCTCAATTTTCTCAAACACAGAGAGCTAACCCAATTAAGGATTTCAACTACCACGCTTACATCTACTCGACTGATAACCACACCTACCGAACCGCAACATCGGGTGGTGCGGGCATCGGTAGTGGGCTGAACACAGTCTCTAACTATGACTGGCTCGACTTCACCCGCACAAAATGGGATACCTGCTCCGATGCGTCGGAAGACGACTGCCTTACTCCCAAGGGCTTTACTTTCATGCGCTGGAACCCATCTACTGGAGTATACATTGATGTGTACAATCTTCACGCTGATGCTGGGTATGTGATTACCCGCACAAGACATGAAACCATGCTAATTAATTTTCAAAGTACCGAGGATGGCGATGAGACTGCGCGCAACGCTAACCTTCAACAAGTCGCTGACTACATCGACACCTGGTCTATCGGAAATGCCGTCCTCATTATGGGTGATACCAACAGCCGCTACACCCGCTCTGCGGACACTGGCATCCGTGTCTTCAAATCCCAGAATGATTTGACCGATGCCTGGGTCCAGCTGGAGCAAGGTGGTATCTACCCCACCGCGGGTGCAGATGCGGTTGTATGCGATAACCCATCGACGATTGAGACGTGTGAGACGGTTGATAAGGCTCTGTATCGTGGATCCGATATTGTAACCTTGGATGCCACCAGCTTCACTTACGATGGTGAAGAGTTCCTCAACACAGATGCGGACTACTTGGGTGACGTTCTTTCCGACCACAACCCTATCCTAATCGACTTTACCTGGAAGCTGTCTTCCTCTTTCCGACAGAGTGAATTCTCTGGCGGACCTCATGGAGACTGGTTTAATGATCTTACCAGTATACCATCTTCTCCTGCGGCCTCTGTTCTCACGTTTGCGGGTGGCAGTCGATTGGACTCCGTTGCCATCGAGCTCACTGACGGCACTACTTTTAGCCACGGCGGAACTGGTGGCACATCGGTTTCCCTTACTCTCGGAACGGATGAATACTGGACTGAGACTGAGCTCTGCACTGGCGAATACAATAGCGAGACTCGGAACTTCTACATCAAGGCCACCACTAGTGCAGGAAACACACTCGAGGCGGGAACTTCTACTGATGACTGTTCTACTTTCACTGCCGATGATGGCTTTGCCGTTGTGGGCTTCATGGGACAGGATGGAGATGAGATGGATCAGTTGGCCTTGATCTATGCACCTTACTGAATGATTTACTTCGGGCAACTGGAAAGAATCCCCACCTACTTCGTGCTGAGCTACCTTGTCTACATTTTATTGCCTATTATCCCGCAATTAGACGAATCTCAAACCGCTTTCGGACCTCTATATTCATTATTTGGGTCCTCATTTTAGGCATTCTGTGGTTAGTTCAAGTAATACTTTACTAAATTATGTGTACTATAGGTAGTCAGACTCCAAAGAGTCCTTGTCCTGTATCCTATAAGAGAAGTGATTTTGGCATTTCCTCCTAGATAAATACTTATAATATATTACCTACTCACCACTTGTCCTCCCTCTGAGTGACGCCACGACCTCACGTGACTACATGGATGAATGGGCTATAATGTACTGCCCACATTGACCGCTAGGCTACATTTGATGGCCAGACTGGACCGCAATAGCATTGCTCCGCAGCGACAGGCGAGAGTTGTCACTTCATTTACTTTTATTTTCTCCCTATGAAGGACGAAGGGGATTGACTTTCTTTAGTATTGCCCCTTGTTTTGATAGCTCAATATGATTCGGTATCCCCAATAATCAGATAACAGGCAAGGGACTCACGATTTATCCTGATTGCTGCACCTTGACCAGTGCAACCACCCTGTTTATCAAATATTATTGTGACCAGCACATCCAGATGGTGGCATCGGAATTTAATCAGTCAATCAAGGCTCTAGCGATGAAATAATCTAAATAACCCGAATGATTGCCTGTAAAATCGAATCCTGTCGAGATGCCATTATCTGGGCAAGGTTGGGAAGAGACATACACCGTACCTACATTCACTGGGGAAATCAAAAAAGCTGGAATGTACATCAAATGACAGGCGGAAGACCATGGTTGACAGTCTTGATCTGATTAGTTGGAAGATCGTACACCAATAGGATAACTCCCATTTCTCGTATCCCCACATCAGAGTTGCATTTGAGGTCACACGGACCATATTTTTTGATTTCCTTACATCCCTAGCGGAATGCTGACTTGAGCTATCGAATCGGCTAGACTCTCAGAGCTCCATAGATGCGGCCTAGATTTTCTACTTTCCCGACCGCCGGATCTGGCAATCCACCGTTTAGCCACATCGACCATGATACTGCGCAAAGAGCAAATTTCAACCCAGAATGTCGTCAATGATAAATGATATCCATCATCTAGGTATCTTCCTCGAAGTTCATGAAGGCCTGTAGAGCATAATCTTCACGGTTACATAGATGACTTGCGCCACTGGAGATTATATATTTCACCCGTCGCGCAAGGACTACTCAGTATGTGCTACAGTATGTATATATTGAAGCCAACATTGATTGGCGCGTTGTCAAAATTTAGGGCCTCTGAGCAGTTAAGGGGACTGACCATATCCCCTGTCAAATTTACGAGCTTTCCCCAACCTTGGAACTTCTCAAGCATCTAAACAAACCTGCCGATTTATTCCCGACTTAAGATAAGACCCAGAGTACGACCAACAAATGAAAGGCCCGAGAACTAGGTACAGTACAGTGGATTCTTTCATTCCTCGTGCCTCGTGAAGTCATCAACACACTATCACAGCCGTTCTAGTCACTCGATTAGCAGGATATTCCATAAATCAGCCCTGGAGCACGCCACATCCCCCAGGCCCCCAGAAATACTTGAACCCTAGTGGAGGAACCCTTACCGTATCCTAACTTGAAATTAACCAGTAGAAAATATCAAAACTTTGTTGCATCACGGGGCCGAAACCTTATCACAGAGCACGCCTTCAGATATATTAGTAGCAACATTTGTAGCGAAAAACACTCTGAAAGGCAAGATCGTTCACTCCTTTATATCGGATCTACGATATGCAATCCTTTCGCCTCCCAAGCTGGTCCGAACTATCAATTTTCTGGGGTGGATTCTTATCAATGAGTACACCCACTGAGCTCTCCCAATGGGATGACTTCTCAGACGCATCCCCGGCTTCATCTCCAAGTGCAAATGAAGTTCATCCGTCAGAAACGACGAAACGTTGCACACTACCAACCCCCACTTGCAAAGAGCTCGATGTCTCTATCTTCTATCCCAATGAGACAAAATCCCGCACCGATATGTGCAATGCCTTGAAAAGCTACGAGGAAAGCTTTGATCAAGTACGAATTATGAAACGGGTCTTGTACCGCGGTGGTACATAGCTGGGAGTCTGACTTTGGACTCGCCTGTGGATAGATAAAATGAGCTGTCTCCATTTATGTATATTATTGAAAAGTTTCAAGAATATGATACCCGGTGAGTGAGAAGAGAAGAAATGAATGAATTTTTCAATATGATCATGAATCATAGACCCGGTCTTTGTACCATAGCAACAGATCACCCTTGGTATGATTCAGCTTGCGGATGACAATGCATGGTATGGCGACGTGAGATTCTAGCCTTTGCAGCCTTCTCAGATGCTATTCGTGCACCATCAGGGGTTTTCACAGCTGAAAGGATTTGCCACACGTACCACTCCTTTGACGGATGGAAGATCTGGATTCTCGATGTTGGCCAGCAATTCAAGATCAACAAGTGAGCAAGGGTCTGATGAGAAGTATCGGATTAAAGGTATTCTTAAAAATAGTTGAGGTTGCCTTCTGGATAACGCCATTTGTATATCCAGAAAGAGGAGATCGATTTATGCATAAACATTTGTTGGTGAAAATACCAAGAGTTCTTCTGGGCTGTTGAGGTTCACATAGTTTGGGCGAGTCATGTGGATTCCTTTTCCGCCAGGGGGCAACTTCCATGATCAACGCTTCGACGTCTCAGCACTTCAGCCCCATCTTCCTTATGTGTACAACTTCTACTAAGTATCATGTCAGGAACTGATTTATCTCTAGAAACAGGAGACTACTCATGTTGCACCATTTGGCTGCACATACCTTCGTCTGCAAGGAATCCATGGCACCCCCACGCCGATATGAATCGAGATCATGAGCTTCGCTTGTTGGCTTGTTCGCTTCTTCGCTTGCTTCCTTCATCTGCAAAAATCCCGGTTTGTGTTTCTTAAGTTGAAAGGAGACTGACCCCACAATATGAAATCAGTCGCCGATCGCGAGCTATTATTAAGAAGACCGGCTATAATCACATCCGGGCAACAGAAGACCAAAAGCACCAAATCTTTCGGCAATGGCTCGAATAAGGGAACACATGGTTACGCCAGCCTCCATGTCAGAACTTCATTTTTTTGGAAGTTCCAGTGTGGCAGGTTGAAGTTTGAATGCTCTTCGCTCTCGTCCCTTCCACGGGCCTTTGCGGAGTGGAAAAAATTCTAGCACTACCATGAAAATTCACTACGGACAAGCCAAGACGAACTGATACAGATATTCCCTCCAACATGTTCTAAGGCGCATGTTTACCTATCAGAGTACGGGAGTCACTCTGTCTCGTCGAATATACCGCCATGGCCTCTGGGTAGAAAAGTCGGATATTTGATGTGGGATCTTTGCGATTCGCCCACTGATACCCTTTGAGACTGGAATCAGCCGAGTTGACGCGACTCGCGTAGGAAAAGCGATGTTCCTTTTTGACTTTGGCGGGCATCATTGTCCAAAGTACCTGCACAGGGCGCTTGAAACAGTTTAGCGGCCACCGATGCCTTGATTATAATTCTGCTGATTATTAGGTTCACCCTTCTCCCACTAATGCAAAGCAAGCCAGCTTGGGATTTGCATTGCCAAGTTGTCGTTATGAACGGGCTAACTACAGATACGGGGGAATATACATGGTCCTTGAATATGCACATTCCGGCTTTCAGGTACATTCCCCTCGTATGCGTCATGCAAAGCTCACATCCCTTCGCGTTCGAGGTGCGCACAGGCTCTACTTAGCGTACGCCACAGTGTCGGCGAAGACTCCCAGTATCTTTCATGAACTGGCCACGCCAAGTCATCCCTTGCAAGCGGAAGTCTTCCGATGTACTTCGGACCCCCCACCAGGCGTTAAATGCAGCCCAGAAATACAGACCATGTGGCCTAACAGTTTCCCTTTCCATTCTCCAGTGGATGTCAGTACAGCCAACCTGAGATGAGTTACAATGAATCTTCCATTGAAGACCTTTGGGGGTTTTCTGAACACGAATCCGCTCCTTTTGAGCCAGAGTGGGCCACTTTGGACTACAGACAATACTCGCTTCGGCCTGTCGAACATGCCACAAAGACCAATGATCCCAGCGCTAGCGATTCGCTGAAAAACAAAGTTCCTATCCCGCGAGCGTCAACAATTCCGAAAGCTCATGGCCGAGTTAGTCAAGCGTGTGAAGCATGTCGGGAACACAAAGCAAAATGTAGCGGACATAAACCCGCTTGCCATCGCTGCCTACAAAATGATGTCAAATGCTACTATGGTGATCGTAAGCGAGAGAAAATAGTCAAGTGCGTGCGCTCCGAAGATAAAGAGCAGCTCTGACCATGCCCAGACAACTGACTGATCTGACCATCCGAGCCCAAACGTACGAGTGTCTGCTACGTACACTTCGCCCACAACTGGATACGACATCTGCGGGACTTATTGAAAAGGCGCTAGCAACGGTAAAATCCCCAAACCTACTCTCCTGGCTTATGCTAACGAACAAAGGCCCCGCAAGTGCCAGAGCTCACATACGGATCGGTGTTTTCACTTGGTGCTTTTGACTATACAGATGAAGACATGAATCACGATTCAAAATTGCAATCGATGGGATACATAGGTCAACCATCGGAAATGGCATACTTGTATCGACTCAAACGCCAACTTGATCATGATGCTTCGGGTCCTGCTAGCCATGACTCGATATCCCGCACGAATTATTTCCTGGACGATACCGATGTTCCAATTGACCAAGCGGCAGATCTGTCTGTGTGGCCTCCTAAACCGGAAGCTGATCTGCTCGTCCATCATTACTTCGAGGCTATACATCCTGTGTTCCCTGTTATTGGGAAGCTGGCTTTCACCGGACAGTACCGAAGGTTTTACTCCAACCCAAATGTGCGACCGGGACATCGATGGCGAGCAGTCTTGAATATGATTTTTGCAATCGCCGCAAGAAATGTGTTGCTCAGGGATAAAAGATCTTCGATTGGGCTCGATGATCATCAGGTTTATTTCTCAAGAGCGTGGCAACTTAGCCTGGAAAATGCGACGCCGCTGAACCATCCCGATCTACAGCAAGTTCAAATCGAAAGTTTGATTGCTCTCTATATGCTTTCTATTGGACATGTCAATAGGTGATTTATCCTCGAGCACTGCTTCAATAATTATCTAACACGCCGTTTGGTTCCAGGTCGTGGCGAATCATCGGGGTTGCAATCAGATCGGGCATGACAATGGGTGTCAATCTCCGCAGTACTACCGAAAGCATTGCTCCATTATACAAAGAGACCAGGTATCGATTGTGGTGGGCTCTTATCATGCTTGAGATGCTACTTTGTGAGATGACTGGTCGGCCACCTTGCACCGGTGTGAATTTCTGTACAACGCCTTTGCCAGTACCATATCCCGAGGAGCAGTTTGGCGATGAGCGATTGATGCACCTTTTCAAAGATCACCCAAGTAAAATCGCTACCACTTCTGCTTCAAGGAGAGGTTCTAGCACCTCGCTGGACAAGACCATCACTGGCCTACATCCAGTACAGCCAGAAGCAAACAGCGAAAGGCCGCTCCAGCCACAACACGTGGCAGAAATCCTCACGCCCAATGATTCACTATTTCTGTTGTATACGGTTGAGTTGTCGCTCCTCAAGCGGGACGCAATTAACACTCTGTATGCTCCAGCAGCTGCCCATAAACCCTGGCACGAGGTCAAAGCCGCGTTATGCACACTCAATGACGATACTGAAAGGTGGCTCTCACGCCTACCACCTGAGTTGCAAATCGCCGAGCTAAATCCAGACACCCCATTCCTACGTCAGCGGACTAGTATCGCACTCCAATTTTACTCCACCAAGCTCATCATCTCTCAATCATGCCTTTGTCCGCTTGGCAGCCTGCCCTCCGAGGTTGAACCAGTGACTAAGCTATGCGACAACATGGCCGACATGTGCGTGAAAATGGCCGGCTTAATCCTTGGTATTCTCCCCGATATACCCGACATCACATATCTGAATCACCTTCCGCCCTGGTGGGTCGTCTTCCACTATTTGATGCAGTCCTCGGTCGTTCTCCTGGGTCAACTCTTCACTCGGGCTCGAGCCGGTACAGCCGAGGCTGTTGCCATCATTCAAAACCTCATAAAAGCCACGGGGTGGTTAGAGCTGATGTCCACCCGAGATGCTTCTTCGAAGCGAGCCTGGGTGATCTGTATGGATCTGCTCTATCAGCATGGGGAAAAAGTGGGGTTCGAGGTTGATCCGGATGACTAGGCGTGGCCATGCAGTCAAAGTTCAAATGGCGGTGTATCAAGCGAGCCAGCTTACTGCTTCAGCCCATCACTCTGATTATAACAGTTGGGAGATCAGAAGTAGACTTGAATGTTCACACATCCAAACAATGAAATTTTGTTTACATCTCATATATTGGGAGAAAGGTTATTTCATCATAGTAGGAATCTGCTCCTCTTTGATCGAGAACTTCAAGTTCCCTTGAATCATGCGAAGTCAAACAATTGACTTTTGAATGACATTACATCAAGTGGGGCGCCTGGATTCCTTCAGGGACAAAGTACCGGCTGTTTTTGCCGGCCACTCACATCGGAGAGCTGAAGAATGTGAGCGTCTACTCTATGCACGACCAGGAAGGACTCTGATAAGAATCCCAAGGAATAATACTGTATCATAGCCATGACCCTACTCGAAATTACACGTCCTTGAAATATCCTTGAAGTATTACTTGAATGGCCTGTCTAGTTAGTTTCATAGTTACTCTCGACCGAAAGCTGTTTGTTGTTGATTATCGGAAGACTAACGAGACGACTTCTGGAATTCGAGGGGAATTCCACTCCGTACTTGACGTGAACTTTGGAACAATCTCCAACCAATTACAAAATACTCTCAGAGGTAAATACTCGGGCCCAGGTATTTCAGCTCTTTCTTACCAATAATAAGAATACGATACGCCTCTGAAAATTGGAACAAACCCCGAAATGACTCGTGTCTCCGTAACCTGCACTGAAATGGCATCACCTGCCAGCTCCAAGGTCAGCTCTAAGTCACATACTCCGACCGATTCAAATCCCGAGATCAAGAAAAACAGACATGGTATTTTATTCAAGGTAAGAGAAACAAGCACTGATATCATCAGACTCTAATGATTCCTCTAGCGCCCAGGTCGCCGGCTAGCATCAGACTTTGCCCTTGAAGAGCAATCAACTTCCTTGCCATCAAGCAACACTTTTAGCCTAGACTACACCGAGTTGAGCGCACAGAGAGGCCGGAATCATGCAGTATACCCGCGAGATTCGATGAAATTCGTTCCAAACTCAGTAAAAAAGCTTCGCAACGATAGCGGCCTCTCTCTTTCACGGTCAAGAACTGGAATGTCCTTCGCGTCGTTTTTGGAACTATCCGACGAGGGCCCGTCTTCACCTACTCCATCGACAGGTCAAGTGGTCACAGACTTGCAGCGAGTTCGAGAGGAGGAGAAGGCCGCATCGACGTGGAATCAACATATGCGCGAAGAGAGGTCAAGGGGATTAAGGAGGATTATCGAATGGCATAGAAAGGTGATTCGTCGTTTTCATAAGAAGCGGACGACATGAGTTGGACTGAGATACTTTGTACTATAATACCTCATACCTTAGATAGCTGCTTCAATAATATGTAATATGTGACAGGTACGAAGTACTTCGGATGGGAAACAATCAAATGCCGGCCCCACTCCCGCTTGGACCTCTGACCCGGTCAAGACGCGGCACGGGCGCGTTCCTTCCAGCCCCACTGAATCAAGGAACACAATCTCAACATGTACCATGTCATCGCGATTTCTCAGCAGACCATTTGTGGGCTTGGCACTGAGGAATTAATTTACGCGCCGGCCCCCACGTATCCACTTGTATTTCACCTGTCCAGTGGGTCTCGACAATTGACACCAAAATACCTCTTACCTATTGGCAACCTCACGCACATCATGCCTCAGTTGCATGGACCCACTAGTCAGTCGACTGTCTAGATAACTGAAACCAAAATGTCGATGCCAAATGTCTACTTGAAGTATGATTGGCCCACTACTAGTTCACTCTTACCCAGTTTGCCCGACGAGCTAAGACTAATTCTTAACCGCATTAGCTTAATTCGTGTGAATGGTGGATATCCGAGTGCAAAGGTAGCTCACTTAGAACTGGGTCAGGCCACACTTGGCTAAAACCAATCAGGCCCGCATGGATGTAAATGCGGCCCTGAATACCAGACTGAATCTCCCCGGACACTGCCTTATTCAAAATTTGCACTCAAAACAGTCAAGCAGTGCAAATATATCCTACAAAGTGGGCAGCTCCAGAGTCTGGATATCCTGGATGAATCAGTTCGAACGGGTCGTGATTTTATCAACACTGGAATCCTAGAAATCTGCGATAAGCCTTCACTGGTCACCAGGACCTGGGGTCGGTCAGGTTGTGATCCAGGCATGACATTACTCATAAAATGTCAGTTGCCGTTTGAAGACGGCAAGACACCGGCAGAGATAGGAAAAATACAGGAATTTGCATTGATTAGTCTCGAAAGGAAAGGGGAAAAATTGAGAAATTTCTCGAGTGCACAGGGTTGCGGACGGCACGCTACGACCACAGGATCCAAGTATGGCATCTCAGAGACAGCCTGTGTCGTAGAAAGTTCCGCGATGGGCTTTTTGGGTGGAAACCACGTATCAGAAGGGGCCTCAACTACTAGGGGACGATCACCTGGCAATCCCCTATTCTGAGCGACGTTCTGATTTGTACTTTCGTCGAGTATACCACACTGCAGCGAACACGATCAACGTGCATCCAAATATAGCTCCAATAATAGAACCCGCAATCCATGCATCCGCAATCCATGCATCCGCAATCCGTGCATTGGAAGATTTTCCCTATGTCGAGATACCAGCCTGTGATGTGGCGGTCGGCGAGCCGAGACTTTTATTTGAAGCAGTTGATTGTGTGGTGGACTTGGAGACGCTTGACTCCGTACTTATGGCAGCTGCAGTCGCGAAATCGAAGGATTGCCAGCGAATGAAGACAGCTCTTGCATTTATGCCGTCGGCACTCGTCATAGTCGATACTGTGCCGGCTTTTGTCAGAGTCCATACATGATTCTGGTCAGCGTTGAAGGATGTGCACCGGTTTGTTGTGCACCAGACTTTGTCATCTTCAGTCTGGGTGCTGTAGCCTCTATTCATAGAACGATGTGAGTAAGAATCCGGATATCCACATGGATCGGACTCACTATGGACAACAGGCTGCCTTGGTTTCAGAGTTTCCGTCAACAAAAGTAACGGATTGAGTCGCGATTGTGTAGCCCGATTGACACACAACTGGGGAGTAGTAATAGTCGGTGCTGGGTGAATAGCTCGAGGGGAAACAGCTGCTCCAATCCTCCGGCCCTTGACTACCATTCCGCGCTGGTGGCACTTATGACAGTGTTGTAATGTTAAGTGCTGGAGAGGTACTCAAGAAACCATGTCTCGGTGGTACATGATGCCGGGAAGGTTGTGGTAAGAGGTATTGGCGTGGTTGGCGTCATGATGTGTGGGAGATGGAGGAATTTGACTGCAAACAGGGAGGGGCATACGATGTCCCATCTCTCCTAATGAGCATCTTCCCAAGGGAAACGGCAGATGTGGGCGCTTGCCGGGGAGCACGGACAGGTTTCATAGCCTAGACCTGTAAGAGGAGAATGGCAGATCGTGACTGTTAATAATAGCTGTGGGGCATGATTGTATCAAACCTCGTTTCAGCAAATTTGGCCCCCAACACATAGAAAGCTCTGGCGTGGCGGGAATGAACTTCGCGAGGGCGGTGATAGTACTTATGCATCCTTGTGTCCTGTAAATTATTATATTCAGCGGTAAAGACTCCCTGGCTCGAAAATCGTGTGTGGATGTAAATGAGAAACCTTCAGTCAATATTCGTCTCATGGTGTTAGCGCTTGAGGCTTGACTTACGCTGAACGGAGGGTGTTAAAATTTCAATTGGTTTTTGTATGGTCACTAGAGTTTACGATTTTACATCAGTCGGAGACACGTATCTATTTTGCCGATACTTTTGTTAGCACAATGTGGAACCAGGTAGCATCTCCCCGTCCTGGTAACGAGCGACATCAGTCTTTCGCTCGAGAAGACCCCCAACTGAGTAAATTTATGATGCAATTCAACCCCAGTGAGTCCTTTGGGCATTATGGGGATCTTCATGATCGGCAAAGACGTGCGCGAAAAATTGTCTTTGACCTTCTACAATGCCGAGTCATGACAATTGAGTCGAAAAGGGCTTCACATTTAATCAAAGAGGATTATTCCTTAGTTTGGCCTCGCCTACATTATTCCAAGCGTACAGAGGAATATTGAGCCAATTGAAGATGAAACCTTTGATCTTGTTACTTTAGTATTTGCGAAAATAGTATCCAATATTGAATCTCCACGGCTCTAGATCTAGGGTGTAAAAACTAAAGCCCTTACCTCGACACTCATCCTCGAGCTTGCGTCAATTGGTGCATCCAGCAGACTAAATGATGTGTGGGGGACATCTGTAACACAGAAGTACTTGGTTAGGCTTCTTGTTCTTTGCCTGTACATGATAAAATATCACTCACATTTGACGCTACCCTCTTTTGAATCGAAACTTTTGAATAACAGCACATCGTCAACGTTTTGTCTACTCATGTAGTACCACTGACAAGCATGACTCGGGTCATATGAAGGATACAACAGTGTACCCGTATAATCACCGCGAATCATATCCGTTTCGATCAAATTTGAGATATCAAGAGTCCGGCCATCACACACAGCAATCGGATCATCGGCAACGGGTCCACCTAATGGCCGCCAAATGCTAGGATTGGCGCATCAGAAACCAGAGATTATCTTTCAGATAAACGAGAATACTCACTTGATCATTCGAACTCGACCAGAAAGCAGGTGGTGGGATTCTTCAGGGAGATGATTGCGGATGCGCTCGGCCATGGTTGTCTCGCGTTTATCTCTAGTAAGAAGAGTATCTGGATTTTTTTATTGATATACGAAGCATGCTTTGAGCATTGCATAATTATGAAAGCTCAGATTCGAATTGAACTTACCGACATGAACTTGGCGTGCAAATTTCAATAAATTCGGATTCCGTTTTCGTCGCTCCTTGGCGCTTTTCTTCTTTCTGATCTACAGTAACGGTCAGTACAAGTATAGCCACCGGTTTTCAACATAATATCACAAAAAGTTGACATACCTTCCAATCAAAAATGAAAACTCGATCGACTCCCTCAATCTCCTTTCTCAAGATTGCCTCACATTCCGGTAAAAAGATATTTCGAACCTGCTCTGGGTCCAGGAAATCGCTTGGCTGCGTGAATTTTGGTGGTGGATGCCTCGCATACACAAAGCCGTTTGTGTCTAGGGCAAACGATTTGTCCTTTATGTCTCTGATATCTTTGATGAGTTCAGGAGAGTCTCCTTTGCGAAAGACTAAATTGTGGGGCTTTAGACCATTATTTCTGCGGCCGAATTTGGCAATTCGATATGGTCGAGTTTGGGTATAGCTGGTTTGCCATTCGAGGTATGTCAACTTAGTTTCGATGTCAGGCATAGCACTGAATCAGAATAAGACAATGGAAAGGAAAGAAGCAGCTGAGGAGGCTGGAGCTACAAGTAGTAAGTGGTAGTAAGGAGATCGAAAGATGGGAGAAGAAGACTTTAGTTCGGCGTTGGTTTCTAGAGCATGCCCTGAGAAAAGCATAATTCAACGTGCATACTAATATGCTATCTGGCTATTCAATAGTCTTATAACTTACATGGGTTCAAAAAGAGCCCCACGGGAACCAAGTGCTTTGCAGTGAATGACGGAGGTACATATCCTTGGCCTGCTTCCTAGTCATACTTATGATCCAATGAGAGGATCGAGACCCTTGCACTGCCTATATTGATCTCGTAATGACTCATAGTTCCTCCAGGGTCTTCTTGCGCTAAACCCAATGTGGAAGTCGGGGTGGTGAACAGGGATGCTAGATATTTTTATCATGATCTATAGACCATTTACTGATGATGAAATGAGTCAGACATGTATTTTGATATGGGAATGAACGGGTAAATAGTTCATTCACCAAGAGATTAAGCTGGAGAGAAAGGAGACAGAAAGGACATTAGGGAGGAGTGTTTCAAACAACACTAGTCCAAATGAAGCCATGTTATCCACATATCCACGTGAATGCGTCAATGCATCTCATTCACAGCGGTCTATGAAATTTTCTGAAACAAAGAAGCACTATACAGGAAAGGATATATTTGCGGAACAACGATGGATGCAGAAAGGAAGACTGTCGAAAGAGGATATGGTCTATTAAGGGCCAGAAATTCCTTGGAGGTTGGGTATCTGCTAAAACTACACACACTCCGACGTAGAACAGACACTAAAACTCAAATACATGGTAGAACGGACACAGGATAGACGAAGAAATAGCAGAATAAGTACTGAACAGTCAACAGATAGTAGATACCTAAATTGTCACCCAGATGCGACCAATATCCCGGTTGGGATAAAATACAACACACCTGCCATGCAAGTGCAGAGGCATGAGAAGAAGCCCCCGCCCGACGTTTTTTCGCGATTGAACTCGATAGTAACCACTTGGTTGTTTCCATCAAACACATGGGGAATGACGTTGGATGGCTTGGTGAGCTTGGGGTTATCCACGAAGAAGGCCCGGAAGAACTTCACGTCCATTTGAAGCTACCTGGATTATCTTGGGATGTATTCAAAAGGTATTATGACTTACATTGACCATTGTTCGATTGAGTTGGTTTTTTTTTCAGGGGGCCTTGATCGCATCTCCGATCTCGTCCATGTCCATCGAGCAAGTCCCGGCATATTTGATTGGCTCGCAGGGCTTCCACATCAGTAGATCGGCCAGCTATAGAGTAAATACCTGTTAATTTTATCATGATATGTTGATTCAGGGAGGGTGATGCGAGTAGCATGTGTCTTGAGGTTGCTTCGACCTCATATTTTTAACTTTCACAAGGTTTGGGAATGACAATGGAAGACAGCAAGTTAGAGAAACAAGGTGCAGGTATAAAAACAAAGTAGAAGGGCGCATTCGGACGCGTTTGTAATTGAATCCACAGAACCGGTGTGGTATTTGAACCACCTTTTGAAGACCCTGAAAATGTATGGAAAACGCTATCCAGTACTTCGCTTCCAGTGTTCAGCTACAAATGCTGATCTATATCAGCAACCCTGTCTTTCTGGTGATTTTCGCTTCTAACGTGACGAAGTCTACGTCTGTATCGCCCAATGGACTCCTGAGACACAAGCTCTACTAGCCAAGTGTATCCTTTCATTATTCGGATTGGACTGCGGCGACGACTTTCTGGCAGCGGAGATATCAGTACTAATGCCTTTCGAAGAGAACAAATGTGACCTGGTAGACAAATTCAAGTTCCGCCAGAGTGTTGCCCGACCTAACTTCCAAGATATGCACATGATGCAGGACGGAACCGTGCTGTTCGCGAATATCTTCCCGAAACTTATCATCGATGACCACACTCTTCAAAATGGACTCGCACTTTGGATCCAGTACGAGACGAACGGATTCCAGGAGTGAGTCTATAGAATGCAATTACTCTCTCGCGAATTTCCCGACTTATCCCGTGACGTGCACAATAATCAAAACTCTTTGGAGTTCCAGTTGGACTTTATGGAGGAGAACGATGAAGAGGGGAATATGGATAAGTTTTGGGAGGAAGAGCCGTGAGCATTTCTGACTCATCTTTATATTTTAGGCAGCTGCTACATCATATTTAGGGTCGATATGCGTCGTCCATTCACGGAAGTTGACATCGGGGCAAATGAGAGGACATATAACCTCAATATGGTTTAAGTAGGTAAACAAGCATCTTCTACATGATTTTACACAATGTACCCGGTTCCCTTACTCCAGTACATTAAAATCAAGTCATTTATTTTTTGATTCAAAAAAAAAAAAACACTCGAATCTATATACAAAACTGAAAAAATGATACTCTCCCCGATGCATGTCCCAGAGCAAGTCTGTTGCCATTGATCTTGAAGCGGCTAGGCCGAAGCTCGATAGGTAGCCAGAGAATCCTTTCGCCATCTAATCTTATCCATTGCCCGTCCTCAATACAGATGTCTCGATTCACAGAAGTTGTAAATGACATTTCAACATCAAGGGGGCTTAAACCGGCATGGAGGTATAAACCGTCCTGAGAAAATTCTGAAGTGTTGTCTGTCACTTCGAATGTCCAAATTTCCGAGACCTCGCCCGCGTCCAAGGCCCAGAGACACACTGTTTCATCCATAGACCAGGACGCCAGTAGCCGGCTATCAGTTGAAAATGCCAAACAACTAACCCAATCGGAATGAGCATCAACTGTCTGATACAATGCGGCTGTCGCAAGGTCGTAGATACACACTCTTCCATCATCTGTGCCAGCAGCTAGTAGTATGCCACCAAATGAGAAGGCCGCTGAGTAAACCGAATTCGAATGACAATCAAAGGTCTGGCATAGGTTGCCTCTCATGAGGTCCCAGAGGCAAACCCTTCCATCATCTGTGCAAAGTGCTAGTAGCCTGCCATCGCATGAGAAGGCCGCCGAGTGAACCGAACCGTATTGAGAATCCAGAGTTCGCTGCACGGTGCCAATCGGTAAGCTCCAGAGGCGCACTGTCTCATCACCAGAGCAGGATGCCAGTAGTCGACTATCGGGCGAGAAGGTCACCGAATTTACAGGACGGGAATGTCCGTCAAGAGTATGGGTGAGGGCACCCGTAGCTGTGTTCCAGAGGCACACTACTGAACTCTCGAAAGACCCGGATGCTAGGGAAAGACCATCGGGCGAGAACGTCATGAAATTCACCGGAGGCTCAAGGTCATCCCCATTAGGGGTATCAGTAATCCCTCCCGCCATCGGGTCCCAAAGGCGAATGTTTTATTTGCAGAGCAAGACGCCAGTAGCTGACCATCAGGTGAGAAGGCTACAGATTCAGAGGCTGCCGACTGAACGAAGCCCAAGGTCATATGGCCATCAATAGTCTTCTGTAGTGTGCCTGTCACCAAATCCCAGAAACGCACTGTCCAATCGACAGAACCAGTAGCTAGCACCCGGCCATCAGGTGAGTAGACAACCGAGTTAAACGAGCTCGAACAGCTATCCAAAATCTGCTTTGAGATACCTGTAGTTGTATCCCAGAGGCGCACTGTCCGATCTTCAGACCCAGATGCCAAAAAGTGGCCATCCGGTGAGAAACTAAGCGACAAAATTGAACCTGAATGGCCTTCGAGGGCCTGTAATTCTTCACCCCAAATTTCTTCAACTATTGGTGACTGGCTTATCCAATGAGAATACTCATCCGCGAAGACTGCACGAATTATTGCCGTCTGGGGTGAAAATAGAAGTGCCGCACGATAAACCTGCAGTGGAGCTTGACCAACTATATGTTGACTTTCACTTATGGATCACGCGTGTAAGTGGGTGATGGTTGCCTATGCACCTCTCAGCAGCGAGGAGCTTTTATCGGCTATTAGCGTTGATTGCAATCAAAGCATCATCAAACTGAGCTGGGAGACGACTGAAAAAGGCTTAATGACTCTATGCAACAATCTGCTTGTCTTCGACTCAGAGGAAAGTCTGGAGGCTCTCACACCTCTCAGTTGTCGAATATGATGAATCCCACCACCGGGGTCTTCAGGAGGCACACTCCAATGCTGTCAAAGTTTGAATTAGACTCATGCTTTAGAAGGGTAAGAATCGGCCTGGGAACATTCAATGATTTTCTAATTGTCTCCATGCTGTACACTATATAATCCTAGTAAAAATGATATTAGTACATACGACCATAGGGTGTGGAAAACAGGGCTTCCCGTCCGCTCAGCCGTACTTAAGCCACACGCCGGTTAGTTAGTAGTATGGTGGGTGACCACATGCGAATCCTGACTGTTGTATGTTTTTGTTTTTCATTTTATTTTGATTCGTCGGGAAATCCCTCGTTGCTCTTAGAGATTCTTCAGTCCCTTCAGCCCCTGTACCTGAAAGCCCCGAACATCACTATTTCGCACCTGAATATCATGCAGGCCCCTAAAGCACTGAAGTGGCCCTCCCCTCCCGTGGATAAAACACCTATCCTTAGTCCACTGTAGTTAGGCGCCCTTTATTTGTCACCTTTGCTGTTATCCACACCAGATGGTCGTATGTACTACATATGACTCTTATTTGAGTCGTATAGTACAAATGAGCGTTCATGGTAATATGGGAATGTGAGTACGTAATAAATATCTTCCCAGGCTGGTGATCTACTGAAAACTCGGAATCCAGATAACCAATTGCTTGTGCGCTCCTCGATACAATCCGTAGATGTATGCCGCAGAGAGATATACCGAGTGGCAGCAGTCACGAGTGAGCAATGAGACTTTCAGCGATAACATCACCAAAGCCCCGCGATGTGACTCTCGAAAATTGCCTCAATTTCATGCAGGTACATGAGGCTTTTCTGCCAAGCACGGCGTAAAAGTGGGGTGCCGCCAGGCGCTTCGTAAGCGACGTCTGCTTACTGGGTGAAACGACGCGAAGAAGTCGTGGCCATCTCAGGGTAACCTTAATCTAGTTAGACCACGTCTACTAATCTCCTCTTCTGGAAATTTCCCCACCCTGCCGGGCCTTGGCGGATTTACGAATCCGCGAAAAAAAAAAAAAAAAAAAAAAAAAAAAAACACGCTAGATCATGTGACACTCAAAACAGCCCAAAAAACCGGTTATCAGCCTTATCGAAGTTGAGGTCAAGGTGAGAGTTCTCATGCTGCAAATGCCGAAAGCAGCCTTTTCGCACAGTAAAGATGGCATGCGCCATCGCTGACTCTAGAGTATCATTCTTTCCCAAAGCAGATGGAGTAATTCTGAGATCGACAAATGTCATAGCGCCGGTTGATCGCCCACAGACCATTGGCCCAATCCTCGATCGGGAGAACTTCGATCATCCCATAAAGTCTTGGTCGCCAGACATCAAAAATACCTTCTATCCCAAGTCCGAAGCCGATCAACCATCAGTAATCCCACAGAAGCCGCCTGAATTTACCGACCGATATCTGCGGGCCTTCCTTGCGGAGCAGGAGAGACTCAGGCTTTCGGTGCTTTGGTATTACACTCGCGATATCCTCCAAGAACATGAATTTCTTGCCGGCCTCCAAGAGAAAGTACAGTTGGCCACAGAATCAACAGGGTGGGAATATGCAGTCGCTGGATTCCTCGATATCAATGTCTATCACCGTCTGGCCACCGTAGGACTTCCACTAGGCATCTTACCGCGCGGTGAAACAATTTGCGGCCATGCCGTCACTCAACCTCCGGGTGTAAGTTATGAATTCTACTGCTAAGTATATCTGAGATGCTAAGTCGTTCGTTTTAGAGCGTATTTTTTCTACCGAAGATGGTTGAAGACTGGAGATTTCAGGAGTGCCCTATGCTCGTGAAGACTGGGCTTTGTGCCTATGCCGGGGTACCGCTTCGATTTAAAACAGAATCTGGACACACTGTCGGCCTTGGAACTTTCTGCGTTGCCTCAAGCAAGAGCGAGGAGGCCTTGACCGAACCGCAGCATCGCGCGCTTATTAACCTCGGCGACTGGGTTGTGTCCGATCTAGTGCAATGTACGAGAGCAAGACGACAGCGAGAAAGGCAGCGGATGTTTGAACTTCTCACCAAGGCACAGGATGATACTAAGCGGGCAGTTTCTACGGAACCAGTCTTTGATATCTTGCGCTCTGTGTATCCCGATGCAATCGTTCGTCTACAGCCATCTAGAGTGGACCAAGTCGAGTTTGAGGGATGTGACTCGATTCCAGTCTCTGAAATCAAAGGGGGCTTGTGGGAGAATGTCGAGTACCTTGATGACTTCATTGCGAATTCAAATCATCTCCCTCTCCCATCTGACAAACCGGCACGCATACTTGCCGCGTCATACGACAGTATCTCAGGGTCCTCTTTACTCATTGTGGCCACCAAAGATTTCCGCCTTGTGTTTGACGATGCCGATGCATGGTTTGTTCAGGGCTGCGCAGATATTCTTTCTCAAATGTGGCGCAAAGCTCTTTTGGCTGAGGCTCTGATAGCCAAAGAGAAGTTCCTTCGCGCATTTTCTCACCAACTACGAACTCCAGTCCATGGCATCCTAGGTGCGGTGGAACTTTTGGCTGAAGAGTTCAACTCGCCTAACATGAGTACAGGCAGCTTTCCAGTGTCTGCAAAAGAGCAATCTATCTTCAAATTGGAGACGAAGTCACACGATCCCACGACATACATCAACATGATCAAGATGGCTGGTCGCGATCTTGCGTCAATTATCAATAATCTGATCGCTCTCAATAAGTGGTCTGATATCGCGATTGCTGAGCGACATTATGCGATGCACACTTTGGACGAGCTCGAGACGGAGATTGGAAACGAGATAGCAAAGGTCATTATTGGCGATGGAAGATACACATGTTCCTTCTTCTTCACCCAGAACGTTCCCGTCGGTTGCTCGAAATTTTGTACCGATATGTGTGTGCTCCGAGATACCCTTCTCCCGTTGGTGATCAATGCCATTCAATCTACCCCGCAGGGCATTGCGTCAGCCAACGTGTCAATACATCCAGACCGCAAGCTACTTGTCATAGACATTGAAGACACTGGCAAAGGTATCCACTCTGATGACCATCGACGTATTTTCGAGCCGTATGAGAAAGTTGACCCGCACTGGGCGGGTGCGGGACTAGGCTTGACGCTCGCCTCGAAATTTGCATCACTCATTCATGGTTCAGTTGAACTTGTTTCTTCAGCGATTGGTCGTGGTTCTCATTTCAGAGCCACTTTTCACGAAGTTCAGTTTGAGTTCTTATCTCACCTCCCGCAATCTCTGGCCTTGAAGCTGGATGGCTTGCCCTTGCAATTCTACAAAATGACAGCGGGCTCTGGTTCTTTATTACTGGGCGATCGCTTTGCGTCTTTCCTGATCCGCAATGGATTTACTCGTTCAGAAAAGAAGCAGAACTCTTTGCTCATTGTCGAGGGTGATCTCGACATAGAGACCCGTGCATGTTTGGCTCAGATACCTTCCGACCAAGTCGCATTTTGTCTCGTCTCGATCTCAGGAGAGACGCACTATCACCGGGAGACTGACAAGAACATCATCTATGTCGATGGTCCCTTTTTGACCTCAACATTCCATTCAGCTCTTGAAAAGGCACGGTCATATCTCCGAGCGTATGCCTCTCAAACGCGTCAACTAGAATCACATAACACTGACCCCTCCACAATCACGCCCCTATCAATATCAAGAGTCACGATCGCCGACGAAAGTACTGAACCTGACCCAACAAATGTTATGTCGAATCACCTCACCCTTGACTCCTCCCTACCACTGACATCACAACCAAACTTCATAGTTTCCATTGACTTGAAGATACCCACTACATCCACCTCACTTTCCCGACCATCACAAAGACCTGTTGTTCTTATTGTCGACGACAATGCAGTCAATCTCCGTGTCATGGAAACGTACTGTAGTAAACGAGGCTTACCATATTTATCCGCAATGCACGGCAGACAAGCCGTCGATATTTTCACCAAACACCAGAAGCAAGTGTCCGAAGACTCAGACTCCGAATCCCCTATCCAACTGATTTTCATGGACCTGCAAATGCCGATATGTGGTGGCATCGAGGCCACCCAACAAATACGGGCGTTGGAAAATTTGAATAACTGGAAGCAAAGCTTTGTTTTTGTCATGACTGGCCAAGATAGCGCGGCAGACAGGAACGCTGCAGAGCACGCCGGCGCTGACGAGTACTTTGTAAAGCCTGTTGTTATCAAGCAACTTGATCGTGTGTTGAAACAATGTTTCCCGGATTTTGGGGGAAATTAGGCATAGCATATGTCATGTTGTTGATGGATAGCCAGCTGCTTTTGCTTTGGACTTTTCATTACTGCGATACCCTAAAGGCGAATGACGCCGAGAATTTATGACTTTACCTTATTCTAAATAATCTTACGTTACGGGTCATAAGAGCGACCCTCAAGCAATATACGAACTTGAAATCTGGCTTCGGCAGGCTATGACAACCAGAGCCACAGAGGACGTTCATATTCAAATTCAGTAGTTCTCGTTGCCTTAATTCATCCTTCAAATGTTGTATAGCCTCCTGAATCCAGCCAGTGTCTTGCCTAAATAAGAATCTTCGGTACCAGGTTACGACCCAGCGACTCTTGCGGATTATCCGCATCCGCATACGTATCCGTCTTCGGATGCAAAAGATCGTTCACGAGAACACCAGCTCCTCAACCGTCAAGCCTGCGTGCCGAAAGTTAAAGTGCGCTGATACACGCCATGAGGTACGTCGTTGAAAATACAATCTCCCTTGAGGAAACTCTGCAAGTTCTAACTCTAGACCAATAACATATAGTACATGTGTACGCTGAAGGAATGCTGGGATTGATAGAGGTTAACTTGGTGGCAAGATAACCAACTCCGAACGCTAGCATACGTTCTAAGCTTTCAATCTGATATTATAAGTAGACTTCATTTTTCGAAGTTCTACTACCTAGGAACCAACATTGGAATTTTGTATTAAACTTTACGTACTTGATTTTTGGGTGCGGGGTCTCTACATCGACATCAAAGAATGCAGAGATACGGACCATCTAAAGTCGAATCCTCAACATATATATCATGCAGTAGAGAGGGATAAGAGGGTGGAGATTAGGCGCTTCAAAATGTCTACAATCTAGTATGGCAGGATAATCACTTGAGGGTAAACTGAATAGTACAGGAGTCTAGAGATGAGCTTTTCATGACTGCCCGGTTCTCTGGTTGGCCAAAAAGGGAAGACAGACATCAAGAATGACAATGCAACTTGTGGACAGAAGCCAGCTAATAATTGATGGGAAGGATCATGTGGGATATTGGGGATGACTCTGAATTTCTGCGCCGTCCTGTCGTTTTCCATTCTTCTTCCCTCCTTTCTTCCTTTCTTGCTTTATGAGTGCCCGCTCGTGAATGGATTCGGTCCTTTGCTAAATGGATCTGCCTCCTCAGTTGCACGAAGAGAAAGGACGAATCAGACGTGGAACTGTTCTGGATCAAATGCGCAGGACTCGTGCTTGGTACTTAGAGAACAGCAGCGCCTTAAAATTCTGAATTTCTTCTGAGAGATACCTTTTCAAAAATTTCAAATTCTCAACAAGTGGAAGCACTATCTGTTGATATATCTCGTCTTGCATCTCGTCATTTTCCAAAGTAAGTGTTTGGTTGCCATTCCAAAACAGACACCTTTCAACAACAGCGTGGTACTCAGGACCACTCTGTGATGCTAAATAGTAGGATTTTAGAAGACGAGCTGCTGTTTTCAAGTCGGAATTTGCTTCATTTTGATCGTAGTCCTCGGGTATACGTAAGGACCGCAGAGTATGGCCTAATGAAAGCTCCACAAGGACTATACCAAGCGGGAAAAGAATTTTGCTTCTGATTAGGGACGTGTTTAAATGCTCTTGGCACATATTTGCGGTGCTTGCACCACTCGCACTGCCCCCAATATCCCATACAACATATGGTGTGTTGACACTTGTATGTAAAGGTTCCAGAAACATGATGTCCGTCGCCTGCCAGGGGCTTCTGAGCCAATTTCCATGGAACTGGAGAACATTGGATGCGAGATTGACGGCCAATCTAAGTCGATCTTCGTGACTGAATAAGTAACCCCCGCTCCTCTGAACTTCAAGAAGATTAGAGGATGACACGAGGAGGTTTTCAAGTGATTTTCCCTGCCAATTTGAACACTCTAGGATATTTCCAGTGTAGTACATTGTATGCTTGTTTGCCCCTTCCATTATGCAACCGAGTGTCTCTCGCTGCTTATGATCGGTTGGAATATTGGACAACGTAAGGCAGATATCCGAGATTGAAGGTAAAGGCAAAGGGAAGTCTTGAAAATCTCCAGCTGCGCGGTTTTTTCCATCTTGAGGAGTTGGTATCGAAAATGAAACCTTGGGCCTCTTCAAATTGGAAGGAGATTTCTGTGCACTTCTTGGTATGGACTCTGCAACCTGAGCCATGGTATGTGAATCAACGTATTCTGACTCCATCTCAACTTCATACCATTTGGTTGAAGCTTGAGATGAACCGACTGAGTTAGGTAAGAAAAACTTCACACCAAATCGTGGATTGTCAGAAGGCCCTGTCGCTTCGTTGGAGTCGAAGCATGGGGGACGTAAAACAAATTGAATGATATGTTTATCTCAGCAAGAACAATTCCAGTAATGGCCCATGACTACCGCACTGTGCAAACTGTGTGCAAACCTTCGGGAACGTTTAAATTGTTGCAACGGTCGTTTCTTCATTGTTCTTCTTCGTGTCACACTTGAGCGATTCGAATGCTCGACCAACTTTTCCAAGTGCTGGTTTGCCACGTTGATGCGATCGAACAGATCGTTGTATACGGTTTTTGAAAGAATGTGCTTGAGTTTTGTGAATTCTCGTTTGAATGATATCGGGTCTTTCCAAGTCACCTATAGACAGAGTCAGTCTGGTGAAGGAGAATATTGATGATATGGCTGAAAGAGCCTCACCTCCTCGGGTAATTCGTCCCATCCTAGCCTGGCCAATAACTTCTTCAACAGGTCGGACAGCTCGGTCATAGTGCGAAGAAACGGCCGATATTGAATTCCAAGTTTTTCTTGGAGAATTGACTGGAGAGTCGGCCTTTCCCAAAGTTCTTTCAACTGACTGATTTTTTCGCTCTCAATGTTGTCCTCGTACTCAACAATGCCCTCGAGAAATCGCCCAAGAGTGTTGATAAAGAAAGTTTGCTCATTTCCAAGTTTTGTAAGATAGCTTTCCAAACGCCTTCGGTACTTTCTGTTGCGAAACTCACCAAGTGTCTCGAGGCCTTGGACATAATTGTCCAGCTGGTTGAGAAGTAGGGGAAGAATAGCAAGAGCAAGGCCGGCTGCCTCCATTTCATATAACAAATAGGCCACGGTGAGACAGTCAAGGACTGTTCCAAAAACAAAAGCAGGGTAATACATGCCCCTCCGGCGTTCTGTCATCGCAAGCAGGCATTGAAGTGGTTAGCCCCTCAGTCGTACCCGCTCTTATTTGTCTAATCAGCAGCCACTCAGGATCTACCACGTACTTGCAGAGTGAGGAAAAGTCCTTACGAGCACATAGGGATGCAATCTTTGATGCTTGCTGGCTTGGCTGCATCCAAGGGCGATGGTCGCCATTCTTCCTCAATCATCTCCTCCTCTCCCGTCATCCTTTATCAAGACATCGGAGCTTCAAGTACGAGATTGGTAATTGGAAATGAAAACTGCTTGATCCCTAGAGTCATCCCTATCATCATACTGTCTAAGTAAATTGATGCTCACGGAATTCCTCTATTCTCTTACTCGCGATTTGTCCTGATTCTCAATTGACCCGAAACCGGTACATATCACCAAGTTACTCCCCGCACTTGACGCTTTTGTTTATCTATAGACTTCGCCAAGTCTAGAACGAACAGGAACATGGCTTCAACGGCGGACCCCCTCTCCCCACAATCAGCTCCGAATGACGACAGTTTGAGCCCCCTCCACAGTCCGCCAGCAATGAAAACTAACCAAGCCCGACGAGTTGTGCCACAAGTAGTCCCGTGGCCCTCGCTATTTCAATCAGAGTCGGTCGAAAGGTAGTGTCCCCTTCTAAGGCAATCGTCTATTAATGAAATTGCGTCAGATCATTTACTTGATATAAAATCCAAAACGCAGCTCAAGATTAAACCCCGAAGCCAATAGAGAACATCTTTCGATTGGTATCTCTCATCGGGCAGCACCTGCAACAACTGCCTGTCCGCCTTTTGCGCAAGGGGAAACAGACACCATTTCTTCAAGGGTTATTGACAATCTGAAACAACTCAATAAAATCATTATCTCAGGCTACCTTGAGCTATTCAGAGAGAAGGTATCTTCAGTATTATGGCGCGATGAGCTAGGCCGGCTCCGTGTATGGGTTGGTAATACAGGAGCGCACCAGAATGGGATATCGTCACTGGATTATCGTTTGCGGGATTCTTTACATATCCAAAAACAAGCAATACGACTGCTGGATCGACTCCGCAGGATATCAGATGACCTCCACCGAGTTTGCCATGGTCCAATCCAAAAAGAAATGAATGTAGATGATCACCGTTCAAACGAAGACGAGGAGGATGATGAGGATGATGAAGAGTCAGAGATACAAGAGATTTATCATTCTTTGTGCGACACGATCGACGAACTTTTCAAACTTTCAATGTTAATACGGCGACCAGCAAAGCATGATCGAATTTCAAGACTGAAAAGATCCGATGCCGTCGCCTTCGAACCTTATGACCGACAGCACGTGTTGAATAAGTTTCCCGGGTTGGATGAACAGTTAGCCGATCGTCTTGGTTTTGCCATATCAAAACGCCGTGCCCTTCTACTATATTATGAGCGACACAACAAGAAACTTTCCCAAGGACTGGACCGTATTCTTGACGACGAGCCAGACAATCAATCTAGCAAACTTTCCGGGACTGTGGCAACGGATATTTTTGATGTTGACACAGCTCGAGATGTACGGTCCAATACCTCTCACACTTCTTATGCGAGGTCGATGCTGAATGGAAGTGACGTGATAAGCATCCCACCTCTGCCTAAGGAATATGTGAATCACGCCCCTTTCCAATGCCCATGTTGCTTCAAATTATTGTGGTCTCAGACTACAGCTCATGGGCTCACCATATTATGCATGATTTGATGCCATATGTCTGTGTGTTCTTTGGTTGCTCAATATCGCACCGACTCTACGGGAGTCGGCGGGAGTGGTACACCCACCTGCAAGTTCAGCATTCAATTACAGATGATACAATTCATGAATGTGTCCTCTGCAAGAAAGCGTTACAACCTGGAAAAATAAAGAAACATCTGGCGCGCCATCTGGAAGATTTAGCTCTTTTTGCCTTACCGAGGTCCTTTCAGAACCATGATTCAGACTCTGTGTCTGCCCCAAGGTCCGAAAATAAATACCCGGTAGAGCCATCATCCTCGAGTGACGAGCAATCCTTTACGAAGGAAGTGTTGAGCACCGGTGGCCTTAACGCCGATGAGTATTCGAGAATGGACATTGAAGATCCTCCAAGTGGAGAACCAATACCAGTTAACCTAGCTGATGGGCAAGTAAAGTTGCAAAATTCAACGTCTCCAATTAACGAGGGAGCTATTTCGATGAACTCGACATTCGAACTGCACGGATCAAATACTGTATCAAGTACGGGAGAGTGGAGGTGTCAATGGGAGGGGTGTACCCATACAGGAATCTTTCGTCGTAAGATGGACCTCAGGCAGCATGTTGAAACAAAACACATCCGTCCGAACGAATTGATGTGTCCTTTTGAGAATTGCAGCAAATTGTTCAAGAATTGAATAACCTGATAGCGCATGTGCGACATGTTCATAATTTTTTTCCTTCGGAAAGTGGGATGGCTCCAAGTCGGTGGCAATCTGAGGAAGATCCGGGACAGCGAAATGGCAACACGACTTATTCCTAGAGCTTCGTTACCCCTCTTGGGCCTACTATCAAACATTCATTGGACTCCAACTTCCTGAATTCAGGTGTATCGGAATATGGATATTCTGAAGTATTCAAGTCACTACCACCGTTTCCCACGGCAATTTCTTGGATCTAAGCCGTGCAAACCTCCATCCGAAACTGTGGACGCCAAATACGTGCTATATTATGGACCAGAAGGGGAGAAGTAGCCGCGAAAAGGAATAATGATGTCAGAAGTTAACTTGCGCGACCACAAATGAAAATAAAATTACGGAAGTTCCTGCTTCCATAGCTGGTACTAGATGAAATCTTTATACGAGGGATGGGCGCCTGCTAATAAGTCTGAGATATTATGATGTTGTAGGTGTTGGTATAGGATGAAGGTGACTTTTCCTCTGGTAATACTGGGTGCAATTTCAGAATCTAAATTTAAGCCGATGAATATAACAAAGGTATGGTTTCAACGACTACATTTACTTTTTTGAACTATCATTCAGTGATTCAATATATACAACGTATGATATTAAATGCTCTTCGCGACCACCCGCCGCAGCTGCTTTCTCCTACCCTGCTACCAGCAACTTTACTTTGCTCTCCACCTAGCAAGAGAACACTCAGGGGCATCCCGCGGTTTCTAACCTGCTGGGCGGACGATAGTCGGATCAAATCTGGTTTGAACACTTAATCTGGATGGGTTCATGTCAAGTCTAAAGGTGCGAGGGCATGATATGTCCCAGAGGAGGGATATTTGAAAGCCGAGTAGGCTTATCAAACAACGGACCTTGAAATAGTATTGTTCAATAAATTACGGGGAATCGTACATTCGTTGTGGCATACTTGTAACTATTGCTAGTTATACATGTACAGTTTTGGAGGGGGCACTCGCTCCATTCATGTCATTTCCATCATTAGAGGCTGTACAAGTGCAGTGGTCTCTGTCACATATATCCTTGTGCACTTGAATAACTATATCGACCTCGAACATGACAGATTTGATCTATTTGCCGGTTTAATATCCACTGAGTGAGATAATTCTCGTATATACTAGTAGTGATGTGTTTGATTCCATTCATAAATATCTAGGTGCGAGTTCAGGTCGATGAGAACCTTGAAAGTAGGCAAGGTTTTGTAATTCCGGATTGTATGATCCTAGCCTGTCTCAGCCATTACCCAGGTAATGCTCATCTTTCGGCTGGCTTCTCAAACCTCAACCACTTCTCCGGTACCTCAATCTGTTCTACTCCCTGAACTCCCAAGAGCCACCGATTAAATTCTCGATACTCCCCCTTTGTCGCGCCCGAATCTGGGCCTAAATCAAAAACCTTCCCAGACACGGTATGAAATGTATCTGGCAATGCCTCCGCTGTAATCCTATCGTTCAGGATCCGGCAGCCGCGACGAGTCAAGTCCATCAAAGTATTGGCGTAACGCTTCGTATATTCGTTGACAGAGTCGTTTTCTTCTCGAGGGACTTGATTGTGTAATTCACTCATTAGGATGATCGAGTCAGGGTCGACACCCTCAGCAAGAAGGCTATCGCGCTCCTGACGCGCCAGAGTGGCGTAGTCCTTTGGAATCGTGTAGACCATGGGCTCTTCGTCCGAGTCATGACAAGATGCGTCGTCTACAGGAGTTTGGGCGGATTCGGGGTCTAGTAATCGTGAATCACCATCGTCACGGTGAATTTTATCTCAGTTAGGTACTAACCACTCGTCAGGCGCTGAAAGAAGAAGATGCAGTAAGTTTGATTTTTTCTGTATATAATTATACATAATTAGGTATATAAATATACAGGAAAGTTTTCGTATGCAAAACTTTGATTGGTGTTAAGTCGAAATAAGGTTCGTGTAATGGAAATTGCACGGGAAATATAAACTTTAAAAAAAAATGGAATTTTCTTTATAAGAATATCTTATTACAAGGAAAATTCCCATCTATATGTATATTTAGTTTATGCATAAATATATATATAGTTATGTCTTTAAAAGGTATCTTGGAATTATTTCCAACTGGTTCAAATCCAGAAAAAGATTTTTTTTTTTAAGGAAGGGTCCGTTTGTTGGTTTACGGGTTGAGCTGTAAACTCAATGGCTATAGGCCTTCGAAGGTTCGATTCCTTTTCTTCCTAATTAGATTATTTAATCTAATCCTATGTTGATATTTTTATAGTTAGTATAATATAATGATAGATCATCATTTTTTTTTTATGAATAATATTTTTTTAATAAATGATTATATAACTAATGGGTTTAGAATAGAATTTATAGATATTATTTATATGCTTTCTATTTTATTAGGTATACTTACTATAATATCAAAAAACCCTATAGTTTCTGTATTATATTTAATAGGTTTATTTGTTAATATAGCAGGTTTATTAGTATTAGTAGGATATAACTTTATAGGTTTATCATATATTTTAGTATATGTAGGTGCTGTATCTATATTATTTCTATTTATATTAATGTTAATAAATATTAGAATATCTGAACTTTTAAGAGAAAATCATAATGATATACCTTTAGCTATATTAACTGTAATAATAATATCATATATATTAATACAAGTATTACCTACAAATTTAACAGATAATACTATATTCTCTCGTTTATCAAATTCATTTACAGAAATATATAATATGAAATTAGATAATGAATTAGTTAATATATTTGAATTTAAACAAATAGGTTATGCAAGTAGTAAAGGTTGAGATAGTTCATTAATAGAACCAACACATATAACTAGTATAGGTAATGTAATGTATACTAATTATTCAATGTGATTAATAATAACTTCTATAATATTATTATTAGGTATGGTAGGAGCAATAGTAATAACTATAAAACAAAAACAATAAAATATTGAAAATTTAACCAAAAAAATAAAAATAAAATATGATATATAGATCAAAAAGTAATTTTCAAAATCATTCTTTTCATTTAGTTTCACCATCACCATGACCATTATTTACTAGAGTGTCATTATTTATATTAACAACAGCAACAGTTTTATTTATGCACGGATTCCAAGGATTTGAGTATTTAGTACCTGTAGCTGTATTTAATGTAATGTATGTAATGGGTTTATGATTTAGAGATGTAATCTCAGAAGGTACATATTTAGGAAATCATACTAATGCAGTACAAAAAGGATTAAACTTAGGAGTAGGATTATTCATAATATCTGAAGTATTCTTCTTCTTAGCTATATTCTGAGCATTCTTCCACAGTGCTATTTCACCAAGTGTAGAAGTAGGTGCCCAATGACCACCATTAGGTATACAAGCTGTAAATCCTTTTGAATTACCATTATTAAATACTATATTGTTATTATCATCAGGTGTAACAATTACATATGCACACCATTCATTAATACAAGGTAATAGAAAAGGAGCTTTATATGGAACAGTAGTTACAATAATATTAGCAGTAATATTTACTTTCTTCCAAGGAGTTGAATATTCAGTATCTTCTTTCACTATTTCTGATAGTGTTTATGGTTCATGTTTCTACTTTGGAACAGGTTTCCACGGTTTACACGTTATTATAGGAACAGCATTCTTAGCTGTAGGATTATGACGTTTAGCAGCATACCATTTAACAGATCACCATCACCTTGGTTACGAATCTGGTATATTATACTGACATTTTGTTGATGTAGTTTGATTATTTTTATATATTTCAGTTTATTACTGAGGTTATTAAATATTAATTATTGTACAATTAATATTAATATAATATAATTTATATTAAATGAATCAATAATTATTATTATTATTAATAATATAAAGAGACTTTAGTTTAATGGTAAAACATGTGACTTTTAATCATTATAATATGGGTTCAAATCCCATAGGTCTTAAAAAAAACAAATACTGATACGGTGTACTTATTAATTGGACTGTTTATACATATATGTATTATTACTTGTTAGTAATTTAACAAGTAAAGTAGACATGATATGTCTAATTTAAATAAAATAAAAAAGGATAAAAATTAAAATTGTTATAACAACAAAACAAAACAAAAAAAAAATAATAATATTATGTAATATTACATAATATTATAACGTGAAGTCCGGTTGCGCGGGCGACCCGGTTGAGCGAGCGACCCCACCAAACTTCGAAAAATCATTAATTTTGAACTACCACTAAAACCATCAAATAACTCAAAATTTTGCTAATAAACACGTGAAGGGCATCCAGGATATGTATGACCTTTTATCCCACAGCCAGAACATGTCACATGCCGCCGAACCGAAGGCATAGAAGGTAAAGTAGGCTCAACAACCGCTCTTGTAGATACCTCCGGCAAATATATATCTTTACCATTATCTTCATCCTCATAAACCACATCATCTTTACCACTCTCTAGACCCCCAAAGATACCTTTCTGGGTAGTAAACTTATGTATGGTCTCTCGTTTTTTTGTCTGTTTCTTGTTGGTAGCCTCTAATTGGGTACAGCGATTCTGGAGAAAAATATGGTGGTGGACCACTTTGATAGTCATATCATAGGTCTTCTGAAGCTCTCTTTTTGTTGGTGAAGAGAGGATTGAAGAAGAAGATTCTAGACCTTTTTTGATCCGAGATTGTGATTTTGTGAATTTTGAGAGAGTCCAGAGAGTATTTGGATCACTATCACTGCCGGAAGAGAGTGGTCGCTGTGAGACAATATCGAGAGGAGGAAGGGAATCCAGGCGCACATTTAGCTTTTCCAAGACTTTATTAGCATCAAATGGTGCTAATCCAGTAGCTGAAAAGCTATTTTGTATAGTAGAAGTCTTAAAAGCACCAATTCTCGCATCAGCGATAAGTTCAAGAAAATCTTCCTTATCAATAGAGTTCACTCCATTCCGCATCAAGGTTGAAACCGCTCCTCCATAAAGCCTCTTCAAAACCGAAAAACAGCCCACATCCAAAGGTTGTAAAAGGTGGGAAGCATGAGGAGGCATACAGATTGCGATAATTTGGTTTTCTTCACAAAGTTGGTCAAATTCGGGGGTCAAATGACTCCCATGACCATCGAGGACCAGTAGGCAATATTTCCCCACTCTTGGCCCAATATTTGGGATAAAAAGATGTTTCAACCACCATAAACCAATTGTATTAGTAGTCCAGCCATTTTCACTCATAGTGAGACGTGCTCCTTCTTGATTTAAAAGAAGATAAGGGCGTAGATGCTCTGGAAACTTTTTTCCCTTGAAAATGAAGAGTGGAGGCATAATACTTCCAGAAGCTCGAATACACTCGATTATGGTTACCCACTCGCGATTTCCGGCTTGTAAAAGAGCTCTTTTCCCGTGGTATTCTGCAGAAGTGATAATCTTTTGTGTTGCGCCGATACCCATAGCAAAACCACTCTCATCAAAGTTAAAGATATCGTCCGAGACAATACCCCACTTTTCAATTGTTTTTTGCACCAAATCAAACCATGGTTTAATGATTCTAGGGTCTTCTGAAAGGGCTCTCTGATAGTCGTATTTGCGAGAGAATCGAGTAGAGAGATTTGGGCGTCGTTTGATAAATTCAGCAGGCCAATGATTACCCACAGTAGAGGGCGTAGTTTTTCGGGCATAAAGTAGCAGATTAGCCATATCTCGCAACATAGGCAAAGTAAGAGCTGCCCCTCTAGAATCCATATCCAGTAGCCATTTTTCAATCGATCCTTCCTCAATTTCGGTGAAAATAAAGCGATTGTGTCGCTTTTCAGTAGCAGATTCACGCCCATTAATCCGTGCCTTCAAAGTTGAGACAGGGATATCAAAGGATCGTGCAGCAGCCGCAGCAGAGGGATATTTACCATCTTTTATAGCTTTTATAGCTAATAAAAGACGACCCTCCTGCTCTATTAGCTTTTTTTTCTTATCGGAGCGCTCAGGGGGCATTCTTGTTATGGTTGAAGAAGACGTATTAATATGGAAGTGGATTTTTGGTGGGGTCGCTCGCTCAACCGGGTCGCCCGCGCAACCGGACTTCACGTTATATACTAGTATATTTTTTTTATATATATTAGTTTATAATGACTATAAGTTAATGGTAGACTGCTTATCTACCACATAAGATGTGCTGATTCGAATTCAGCTAGTCATAATTAATAATATTAATCGTAATGGCTATAAGTTAATGGTAGACTGTTTACCTTCCAAGTAAAGTGTGTCGATTCGAATTCGACTAGCCGTATAAAAATACGCAGGGTTAGTAACTTAATTGGTAAAGAGTTTTCTTGTCGAGAAAATAGATGTCGGATCGAGGCCGGCCTAACCCGTATAAAAAGAAAACAATATTATAAAGGAAAAGTTGCTATTGGTAGGGTAAGATATTTGCTAAATATTGTGTTTTAACACTTAGATGTTCGATTCATCTCTTTTCCGAAGAGCATAGTTTAATAGGCAAAACTGTAAGCTTCAACCTTATATTTCTTAGTTCAAATCTAAGTGCTCTTGCAAATATTAAATATAGTATTGGTTCTTTAACTTAACTGGTAAAGTGTATTCTTGATAAGGATATGTTCAGTGTTCGAGTCACTGAAGAATCAAAAAAAGAGAGAGTTGGCTGAGTGGTTTAAGGCGACTAGCTTGAGTCTAGTTAAGGATTAAACTTTCATATGTTCGAATCATATACTCTCTGTATCCACTCTCAAATGAGGAAGTGGGTAAAAAAAATAAAATAATATAAAATAAAAAAACAGGTTAGTGTCCGGTGGTTGGTCGCTTCATTTGGGTTGGAGATTGTTTATGTTCGAATCATAATAACCTGAAAAATATTTTTAATATTAAAAATATCCTACAATATAGGTGATATGTATCCCATACATCTTGATAAAATCAAGGTAAGTATAAAAAGAAATTATTATGGATGGTTTGCTATATATTACAAGATTAATCTAGTACATAGACTAGAGATCAAAGAAAAATCTTATAATTGGACAAAGTGAATTGAAATATCTTAGTAACTTTAGGAAAAGAAATCAAACGAGATTATTATTTGGTGTCTTCTGAATAATAATAGCCTAATTATAATCAAAAAAACAGTATAGTGCTATTGTATAGTTCTGTTTTTTAAACAGTATTGTACTATTATTATATAGTTCTGTTTTTTATTAATGATAATAAATAAAAGTAAAATGGAAGAAAATCTGTTTGAATATAGGGGAACCTTCCTCTAAGGCTAAAGAAAATATATAAGCGATAGAGAAAAGTACCGTGAGGGAAAAAACTGAAATAGTAATTTTATAAGCAGCTCGAGTGAAGTTTTAAATAAATAATAAGAGCGTACCTTTTGCATAATGGGTCAGCAAGTTAATTTTAGATGCAAGCAATGAAAAATTATAATTTATAGTGAGTAATAACATTATAAATTATATTAAGTAGTATTTGCTTAGATAAACCAATTATGAAAAAATGAAAAAGTATTGTTACGACACGTCTAGGAAGACCTATACGAGAGGGGCCAGAACCCAAGAGTATAGGCAGAGGAGTATACTTCTACATGCGAAGGGCCCTAACGGAGTTGGGCCGGAGAAGGGTTGACCCGGTATGCCGGTGATCCGCTTAGCTAAGCCGCACAACAGAAGTAGCACGGCGGGAGAGCTGCATAACAGCTCTCCAGTGATTATATTACCATCAATCCAGACAGCAGCAGTACAGGAGTACGCTGTGCCGTGTTATCACTCCCATCCATCCAACCCCCTAAGACCCTGGTCTTAACAAGTATCTAGGATTAGACCCGAAGGCTAGTGATCTTACCATGGTCAGGGTTTTAAAAGCCCGAACGGGTTATCGTTGTAAAGATATCCGATGAACTGTGGTAAGTTAGTGAAAGACAAAACTGACTAGTATAGCTGGTTTTCCGCGAAACCTATGTAAGTAGGTAATTTAATTAACATCTTAGCAGGTACAGAACTGTGATCTCGGACAATACAATATGTATTTGTCAACATCGGGGGGTTGTAGTGACTTTACCGGAGAGTATTTGCACTCGGAAGGGCAAAGATGAATGTTAAATAATCGGACATAGTGCGATAAGGTTGTATGTCTAAAGGGAAACAGCCCAGAACAAGAGTTAAGGTTCCAAAATTATTGTTTAGTGAAATAAAGGATGTTTTCTTTTAAAACAATCAGGAAATAGGCTTAGAAGCGGCCATTTTTTGAAGACCTCGTAACAGAGCACTGATTAAATTGTTAGGAGAAAACGCCGAAAATTTAACGGATCTAAAATAATATACCGAAACCTTGTACACATAATATGTGGGGTAGCGGAACATTGGATAAAAAGACAATTATTTATATTTATAATAAATATAAAAAAGGGGCATATAACAATTTATAATAAAGGCTATTGCATTTTGTGGTAGTTGGAGTTATATGTTATATATGTAAAGGATCTAATAAAGATTCCCTATGTAAATTCCAAGAGAGAATGCTGACATGAGTAACGAAAAAGGCTTTTATAGCCTCGCCTTAAGCTTATGGCTTCTAGCTGAAACCGGTATCTAAAAATATTAATCAAAAGATAATTTTGATGATGTATAATATAAACTTATAAATAGAGTAAAAAGCAAAACCTTTATTAAGTAGTAAAGGTTCTGGAAAATTTTTTACAAAGTTTATATATTAAAGAATTATATTTTTTAATATATAATCAGGAAATATTAGATTAGACCGTACCTAGAATCTAACCCAAGTAAGCAAGTAGAGTATACAAAGGCGTTTGAGTGAACAATCATTAAGGAACTCGGCAAATTGACTCTGTACCTTCGGAATAAGGAGGGCCATTATTATTAATTTAACATAATCGAAAGATTGTGAAAAAATTAAATTAATAATAAGAGGAATCATGAAATAATGTTGTACGACTGTTTAATAAAAACACAGCACTCTGCAAAGATGAAAAATCAAAGTATTGAGTGTGATGTCTGCCCGATGTCGGCTGGGTAACGGATTTACCTTGGTTATTAACTGAGGTTTTGAAGGACACCCCGATTAATGGCGGCCTTACCTATGAGGGTCCTAAGGTAGCGAAATACCTTGGCCGTTAAATGCGGTCCTGCATGAATGATTTAACGATGCAACAGCTGTCTCGATGATTGTCTCAGTGAAATTGGAATAGCAGTGCAGATACTGTTTACCTCTAGATAGACGAGAAGACCCTATGCAGCTTTACTGTTACTAATTACAAGAGTGTTAGTTTAGGATGATTTATAGTGTATAAGGTAGTTGAATGATAATAATGAAACACCTTTATTCGTATCCTAATTTTTCTCTTGATGATTGGGAGGCAGTTTATGCGGGGCACAGATCCCACAAAAAGTACCTGGGTATATCCAAAGTTCATATTGTAAATTTGTATATTTATATACAAATATTTTAATTTGTGATAATTATTATTATAATTATACAGTTACTATTCGATTAAATTCTACATTTATTTTTATTTTAAGTAAGATTTTAACTATATGGTGAATAGATGTATTTTAAACTTTAATATTTAAAAGTTTTATTGTTATATTATAATGGTATTTGTCCATTATAATATGATATTTATTTATACTTTAAAAGTTTAATGGCTTAATCTTGCTTTACTGTTTGACCTACGAGTCTATCAGTCGCGTAAGCGGGGCATATGATCACAAGATGCATTAAGGAAAGGTCTTGGATTATAGAAAAAGTTACGCTAGGGATTTAGAACTGTGAGTCCTCCAATATTAAAAAATATTGGTAAAAAATTGGGTAAATTTCAAAGACAACTTATTAAGTGTATTTGAAGCGAAACTTATTTTAAGCAAATTTTTATCTTAAAGATAAATTAAAATAAGGACGTTCAACGACTAAAAGGTGAGTTATTGCTAACAATAATCCTTTTTTTAACGCCCAACATCTTTATTAACTAAAAAAGGATAAAATTATCCTCATTATTTGTATAATAATTATTATTAATTTAATAATAATGTAATAGACTTGGTTAACCAAGCTTAAATATTATATAATTAATTATTATTAATTGTATTAATATTTTTATATAATAGTAGATATGTTAAATATTATAAAATCAAAATTAAATAGTACATATAAAAAAAAACCATCAAATAATAGTAATATTACTATATATAAAAAAGACTTAATACCTGCAGTAAGAAATTGAAAAAGTAGTGTATACGCTTATAATAAAAATGCTATAAGTTTAATACCTATTAAAAGTAGATTTGTTATGAAATTAATTAAAGGTTATTTTAATACATACCATTTAGAATTAGAATCTTTATTAAGAAAAGCAAGATTACGTCGTAGATATAGAAAAATATCAACTAATAGAATATTTATTAGTGATGGTGAATTTAAACATACTAATGATAAAGTAAACATAACATTATATGTTTATAACAAACAAAAACTTAATTATTTATTAAAACTAAAAAAAAGATATACAAGTTTGTTTACAAAAGCTAAATTTACAAGAAAATTAAAATTAATAAGTAATGTAGGTTTAAGTATATTAAAACAACAACAAGAAAAAAGTACAATATTAGTAAATGTATTACCTAAGTATAATTCAAAGGTAAATACAGTACAAAATATTTACTATAAAAGATTTATCAAAACAAGTTTAAAAAGATTAAGCTGATTCTGTTCATCACAACCCCAGCTAAAAACGGTGCCCTTCGACGTCAGTGCCAGAACGTGTTGTGCGCCAGTAACAATCTTGACGACATCGTGGACACCAGGGATCAGAAGTGGAGTCCGTTGCTCTTTTTTGCTCTCGGGGGAGAACCCAATCCCTCCTTTGGAAGTCTTCGATAGTCAGTCAATTGGTGAAATTCAAGAGTTCGGAGCCAGACCATCGGCAAACATACTCGGAAAGTTCCCCAGCCATAGACCCGGCCATCGTCAACAGAGCAAAGGTTGCACTGTCTGAGGCAGCAAGTTGAGAGAAGACAGTGTCTCGTGGGAAATGTGAAGGATCCACAGGTAATGGAGTAGCTTCTTTTAGATTGTAAGTAACTTCATCTTCATCGCTCTCATCGCCCGACAGGGATTTGCCTCTGCCGTCGCCAGCGTCTTCGTCTTTATCTTGTCCAGTATCTCTTCCTAAAGCCCCTTCATCGTTGACGCCCCACGTCAAGATTTGGTTGTCATGAGTTGAGCCGCCGAATGTACCCCTCCAACAGCGATATGGACAACTCCAACATTTTCCGCGTTTAATTTCTGGTTGAGAACAGGTCGCAGCAATTCTGATTTCTTTGTTAGATCTCCTAACCCAAGTTCTCCGTAGCAGTTGGTTCCAAACACGTAGACATCGAGACGTTGAGTTGGTGGGATATTTGGTGCTGATGAATCTGTTGTACTGCGATAAGCCACTATGCATTGATTCCGGGATTTCCTTAAGGCTGTTGCCCTCTAATGTATCTTACCTTTCTGACCCCTGAGGCTTCTTCCAGCCGTTCCCGTGATCTATCACTTTCGAATGTTGGGTTGGGGCTTTTTGTTGCGACATGATAGATAGTCCAATAGCTTCTTGGATTCCCAAGGTGTTTTGGTTCCGAGGAATAGTCTTCGTGAGACACTTGAGATGTCTATAAGCCCAGAAACAATTTATAAATGAGAGTGGTAGAGCGACAGCATCCAAGAGGATCAGAGCTAAATTCAGAAGCACAGAGATCATACAAGGTGGGAAAGTAACCAATTTGTATGCGCGAGTGGGGCTCAAGTGCACGCGTCCACTAGAGCCGTGGCGTGAAGTGAGCGAATGATAGCATTGGACCTGGCTTGGTGGTAATTGATTGATTCGGACCCCGCTTCGCGGCCACTAGTGATCGTCGCTTTTCCCCCGTTGGTTTTGAGTTTCACTCCGGTGCGTGAATGCCGGTACACAGGTACACGACTGTTGGATGACGCGTTCCACAGAATGGTGTCTATTGTGACTGCCAGTATGTGTCATATTTCTGTCCCTCTGTTAGCCATGAGAATCATGGATCAAGCCAATATATATATTTAGTCCTCCCCTACCTCATATGAAGTATGTGGATAAAAACGGAGAGATCATAGGACCCTATTCCTCTAGGAGCAGATTGTTTTTTCTTTTCCGCCCTCAGATGTGGTTCTCTTGCAATTCTTAGCTCAGCCAGTATATCCATTATGTTTTCGATTTTCTTTTAATAGAGGATAATCTCTCACCCGCTCTCACCTTGCTTTTCACCCCGGCTTTACGCACTCACTCTTCTCCATCATTTACATTCTCACACTACCAAAGAATTATATTACTATATAGCCCAGCTTCAAGAGATCTCGAGCACATACGACCATAGGGTGTGGAGAACAGGGCTTCCCGTCCGCTCAGCCGTACTTAAGCCACACGCCGGTTAGTTAGTAGTATGGTGGGTGACCACATGCGAATCCTGACTGTTGTATGTTTTTGTTTTTGCAATTTGTTATATGGTTTTTGATGTCTTGTGGAAAATGCCCCTCCTCGTCAGCCTCTTAGAATGGATCAACTGCGGACTGCACTTCATGCATGGGGATTTGTATGCAATTCCCTTAGCCTGTATGTGAGCGCGTGATATTTTATATTATAAACCACGGCATATAGTGAAACCTTTCGTCATACCACTGCCCTGACATGTTAAAGCAACTCGGTGTATTTACCATGACCTTGATGGCGCAAAATCGTGGCATACGCCTAATCGGAAAGCTTTCTTACGTATCGTACTATAGGGCCAATGGGGTTCAAAAGGACCAAAAACCTTAAAGCTCTCAGGCAATCTGTATGCTGGATCTAAGTACTTTACGCGTGCTTTAGAATAATATGAGCGGTATTTATTGACGTGCTGGGGGGACACTGCGATGATACAGAAAATCAGGAACCGACTGCCATTATGCTCGCGCACTCTGATAATATAGATCGAACTTGGGTGGACAGCAGCTGGGTTATTTCGGTGATAGATGTCTTGGATTCTGTTTTATCCTATATTCATTAGAAGACTTAGACAGCCACGGGTCTCAAAAAAGAATTGTTCGGTATCAGTGCTACACTATAAGTTGAATTAAGAAGAATTGCACATAATCTGCTCTGCGTGAACAAACCGGTCACAAAATCGAAATGGCTAGAGATCTCAGCATTCTTTATCCACCATGGTCCAAAGTGCAATATTCTCGACAGCATATACATCTGCTGTCAACTTGGGCTGGCATCATCAGTTTTGCTGATAAACCTTCAGAGAATTAACCCCCCAATATGATTCCTCAAAGACTTTAGGATTATTCTGCACATAGTCCTCACACCTTTCTGCCTTAGATGCACAATGTCTACTGCTAGCCCAGGCGTCCCCAGCCATGCGACCGCAGAAGGTGATATCGAATACCTGTAGAAGTTATTAGCAACCATGTCAGATCTGCGGGTTGATCAACTTACGATATGAAGATTCTGGAACTGGGCATCAATATCGCAATTACCGGAGAAACTAGCAACCGGAGTACCCCAAGTAGACGGATCAGGGGTGCCAGAATGAATATCAGACGGCAGGCTCGACCGAGGGAAGCGCCAAACTCGAATAACGTCGCTTGTCCATTCAGTGGCGAAGACACCACCACCGCCACCGTTGAAAGTCCCACCATAGGATTTCGGGTCAGGATCAACAATACCACAACCACCACTACCGAGAGGACCTGGTGAGTAGATGTAGCAGTTGTGTCCGTTGGCAACACCACTGAAGCCTGAATTGTTAACCGAGCAATTATCCTGGTTTGTATGTAGTGTGATCTGGTTGGTAGGGCCTTCGTTCACACCTTCGATAATGTCGATCTCGCCGGCTGTGGGTGGGACTGTTCCAATCATCCAGCTAGATATCATTAGATTATCCTAGAAAGCATATGTAGATCAGAAATCACCTACAAGGCTGGCCAGGTACCGCAGACAGAACCAGGCATATGCGCCAGATCTAGAATGAATAGACCGTGGTCATAATCCTGGTAGCTTGTCAATCGCACACTTCGGCGACCAGGGCCCGAGGCGAAATTTTTGGTGTCAACGCCAAGGTAAACCGAGCCACCAGACGCGTGAATTAGGCCTGCATCTTTTGCGGTAGATTTATCAACGTAGCTCACGTAGCCTCTTGTTGGGTCAGAATCCTGAGTGACTTTGTTAGTCAATATTCATGTCTGGATGTAGGGCGGGAGCAGGATCAAATACTGTGAAGAAGTCGAATTTGTCGAAGAAACGCTCATCATTGCCGAAGTCATCCTGCAGTGTATATCCTGCAGTGCAGAGTTGCGCAAGGAGACACAAAGCTGGTAGAATGAAGCAGAGGCTGTACATTTTGGAATTCCAAATCAAGTTTGAATGGAGATGATCTGGTTAAAGTGATTTGATTAGGTGAAGTCAAAGAGAAGAACTTCAGGGGATATATAATAGATGAAACGGGGTGGGACTAATTTGAAAGGGGCTTATGTTTTCCATGCCCATTGTGGTGATGATTTTGGTGGCCGATACAGGGAAATGAAGCGGAAGTCTAAAGGGGGAAGAAAGTCTACTCCCCGGTGCTTAATTCACTATTATAACGAAATTGTACTAGTACCAATTTGAGAAAGTCAAATAAAATACTTAGCTTCATAAAATTGCACTGCTTATGCAGGGAAGTGTTCGGAGACATCATAGGTTCGCGATCAATAAGCTTATATTTGGCCTGTCCAGAAGTTTAACAAATTTAATATCAGTCACTTTTGAGAGAAACTTGTCTTGATCACAGAATCGGATTTACCACAAGCAAAGCGTGTAGCCACGGGATATTTCAGCAATGTATAAGCCTAAACTGATGCATCGCCTTGGGTGACTCAAGTGTAGCTGCAGTTTAGATACAATCTAGCCTACGTACAGTCAAATGATCAAGCCACGGGAACAACCTTGAAACACGACTAGAACATCGCTAGTCTATGAATGTGCCGGATTCGAGATACTTAATCCCCGGTTATCACATGGTATTCGTGACCTCAAACAAGACCGGAACTTTCTTTCACATAACATGATCTATCCTCAGCTTCACTCAAATCTCAGTTCAAATGGAACTTGCAACGCAAAACCTCCTCAATTTTCAAGGAGCGTAATATATCATCTCAACATCTACATATTCGCTTGAATCCAGTACCGGATCAACTTCCCGTGTCTTCCCAACCAAACCTTGATCCTTCAACAAACCAATCATTCGCTCTGCAATGAGTCGTCCCATAAAATCATATCCCTCAGGAGTCAGATGCAACCCGTCATCAAAGTGTTTTTCGATAAAATTCTCGTCCGAGCTATGATACGGGATCTTGCTTTGGAAATCAAGAGTGTAGCTGGAAGAAGTTAGCCATGATAATCCAAGTCCATTACAAGGTCGATTCTCACAATCTCTCTGCTTTATGTGCAAGGATCATTTTGTTCAGATCGAAGCGCCGGTTATCGAGAGAACTGCTTCGAGCTTTGCACTCGGGAACCGTCAACGCAATGACCCTGCAGCCTGTATCGAGAGCAATATGCCAAGTTTTCTGGAGACCATCGTACATTTCTTCGGCCAACTTGCCGTATCCGAGATCGCTGGACGATTGGTAGATTCTATCAGCATATTTTTTATCGGATAGTGAAGGAAAACTTACTTGGTTCCGCCAAGACAGATCAACCAGTCGTACCTTGCGTGGTCGCATTTCGACTTCATTCGAGACTGGAATGATCCAGGCCAACACACCAGATCACCGGGAAGCCCTGCCACGGTGGGGTAGAATTCTATTCCAGGGAATTCTTCTCTGAGGACTCTTTCGAGCTCATCGGCATAAGGATGGTATTCGATGCCATAAGAATGATAGCCAGCGGTGAGAGAGTCCCCAAAACAAAGAATTGACACAGCTCGAGACATAGTAAGTCGAAATGAAAAGTGTGCAATGAGTGAAAAGGAGGGGAAGTTGTGATTTGGTCGGGATTTGGTCTTTCTATATAATTGATCAATGTTTGTTGTGGTTGCCTGAATATTCAGGTAATATGCAAGTTTCTTTGTGTAGAAATGTAGTAAAAATGGAAGTCTGAGTCCCCTTGGAAAGTTCTCGTGGTTTGCTTTTTGGGTGTTGTTGAATACTACCAGCTGTTTAGTCGATGCGCGGTACACTTCTCTCTACCCCTCTTTAAACCCTAAACACACAAACATATTACTAAGCTTATATAAATATAGATGTAAATATCTGGCGGAATCTGAAGAAACTCTCGCTGTGTTCGAACTTTCAAGGTTAGAGCTCTGGGGTCATGTGATCATGGGCAGCTCTCCTTGTTTAGGCTTAGATCCATTCATGGGGGCGGATGCACGTCGGCATCATACATTAGTTTGCTTTTACTCCTTACACTTTTAGTGTTCCCCCTCTCTAAAGCTCACAGCGCCGAGAAACATGAGAATCCCGTGCTGATGTGAGCTTCATTGACACTTAAAATTGATTAAAAACGCCACAATGGTCGGCATCCAGATCGGGTTAAGCGTGAATCCTATCATTAGTGACTCAAATTTCCATTCCTCCTATTCCTCTTCCTAATTCCAGTCTCAATCTCAATTCCAACCAATTCGAACATGGAATCACCAACATCCATTGCATTCAAGATCCTTCCTGCTACTGAAGATGACTTCTTAGCACTGGCAAGGGTGGAATCTATTTCCAATGACACCGTATCGAAAACCCCGATAGAAGCAAATGTCTCACGCATTATGTTCGGTCCTCCCAATGAGGAGAACCACCGATTCCGGGCAAAGGGTCTTGCGGACAAATTACAAAAAGATCCTACAATGAGAAATTACAAGGCTGTAGTAGAAGAGGACGGCAAAGAGAAGATTGTAGCTTGGGCTGAGTGGAACTTTTATACCGAGGTCGAGCCGATCAAGGATTGGGTTGATATTGATTGGCCGGCGACGGCAAATGGTGCTGCATGCAATGATATCATCGGAAAGTTCACAGCTCTGAGACAAAAATATATGTCTGGGAAGAGATACGCTTGTGAGTAGCTTGACCTGAAGTGCTCAAATGTTTGGTGACATGGACATTATATCTGACACCAAAAAGTCTTACAGGTACTTGCTACTCTTGAGGAATACCGCGGCAAAGGAATTGGATCGGCCATGATCAAACATGGTCTGGCTGAAGCCGAGGAATTGGGATTGAGTGACCTTTGGCTCACTGCCTCGGCGGATGGACATGATCTGTACGCTAAATTTGGGTTCCGGGACATTGAACCTACTTTGTCACCCGAGGATATTGTCAAGTATGGAGGATCAGGAGACCCAAATGTCATGGCAATGGGGCGATTTGACTAGAACTTCCAACTTGAGGTTAAATTAAATGTTTCTAGGGTTGAACATGCATTTTATATCTTGTTTATACTTTTGATTACGCCGCAAGTTCAAATTTTGATACGCATCCCCACTCCAGACCATTCTGTTATTCCCTTGATCCACTGTTGAGTAGACCATTCAAATTGGTCATTTTATAATGGGGAAACACATAATTTGATTATGCTGTTTTTATCTCGTCAATGTGTATCCCAGGAACTGCATGAGGTCACCGCCAAGGTGGGATGTGGAGCTTCCCCCGCGCCCGCACTTAACGCGTGTTAGATCGCCTTCCAACTTCCACCTTCAACTCGACCCTAAGCACAAGAGCCGATCGGCAGAATATTCTCACATTCAAGTCTGCTCTTCTCCTCGACCTTTCAACCTACCAGATCATAGCAATGTCGCAGTCTCAGCCATTGGGAGTCGGCATTATCGGTGCCGGGGTAAGCCAATCACGTCCTCCTGTGTATCAAGCAATTAACCTCCCCCCAGGAAGTCTTCCAAGTCTGTCACGGCCCCTGCTTGTTACTACTATCCCATCTCTTCAATATCGAGTCCATCTGCGACCTATCAGCCAAAACAGTCCAACACTGCGCCACCAAGTTCTCCATCCCCCATAAAACAACTAACCCTCACGATGTCATCAACAACCCCAATGTGGACATTGTCTTCATCCTCACCTCAGACGATAGCCACGCTCCATTAATCCATGCAGCTCTTCAAGCAGGAAAAAACGTCTTCATCGAGAAACCAGTCTCCCTCTCCATCCAATCCGTACAATCACTCATCAACGCGGAAAAGAGCGCGCCGAACAACGCCCGCGTCTTTGTGGGCTACATGCGTCGCTACGCACCCAGTTTTCTCGAAGCTTTCAAGCGAGAGATAGCATCCATCCCCAAGATCCTCTATGCCCGGGTCCGCGACTTCAGCGGTCCCAACTTCAACTTTGTTAGCCAGAGTGGGACATTCTCTGTCAAACTTGATGATTACCCAACTACCGCAGCGGAGGAGCGGAACAGCCGACTCGAGGCGCTCTTCAGTGAGGCATTCCCTGATCAAGAAATCACGGATGAGAAGCGGAAATTCTGCCGTTTCCTGGGGAGTCTTGGGTCGCATGATATTTCGCTTATGAGGGAGGTTCTTGGATTCCCAGAGCGGGTCAATGGGGTCACGGCCAATGATCCATTCTACAGTGCTATCATGACTTTCCGGAATAAGGATGGGTCGACGTATGCCACGACTTATGAGAGTGGGATTGATGAGGTTCCCGTCTTTGACGCGCATATCGCGGTTTATGGGGCGAAGAAGAGAGTTACTCTGAAGGTAATTTTGCTCTCCTTAATTCTGGTACCGGTACTGACCATCTGCAGTTCGATAGCCCCTATGTCAAAGGTCTTCCGGTGTACGTTGAGGTTGATGAGGTTAACGAACAGGGAGAGATCCAGCACCGGAAGATGCTTTCTTCTTACGAGGATGCCTATACTGCTGAGCTTCAGGAGCTGCATGAGGTGTTTACCAATGGGAAGGCGATCAAATCAACACTCTCGGATGCCAAGCAGGACCTTGAAATATTCGACATGTTTTACAAGAGCTGGGGTTCCAACTAGAGACACGACTCTACTGTCACCATTTCTTCTAGATACATCCGCACATATACTGAAAATATATCATCTATTTGCATCTTTAAGGCCCACTGCAAATTTCCAGTCATGCCAACCTGGTGGAGTCCATCATGCATTGAGGTTGAGCGGTGAAACACAAGAGAACGAGTTCAACTGCGGATTCTTAAAGGCGTCGATCATTCCTGGGAATATTAGCACATACCAGAAAACAAAGTGACGAGTTACTTACCAATAACAGCCGCCCACATTCCCAAGCCACACATGGCTAGCGAGGCCAAGAAGAAGATGACATGCCAGATGTTGATAGAGACCTGGAACCAGCCACCAGCACAGAATCCGCGAATCCACCGCTGAGTAGGCGTTCCACTTCTTGAAACCTGTCCAGTGATTGGATTAAATCCATCTCCCTCCTCCACACGGGCAGCATTCTTCTTGATATCAAAACCAAGTGCAAACAGCGGAGGCAAGGTGTAGCTCAGATTCAGAAGCATGGAAGCCGACATCACACTGACAAAGCCAAAGTAATCAGGAATGGCAGCACCGATGATAAAAGCGATAATCCACCACAAAGGAACCAAAAGAGCGTAAATAATCTTTCCTCGTCGGCTTTCCATAGGCGGGACTCTGAAAATATCAACCAAGATGTTATTGTAAACGACCTTGATGCCGATATTTCCGTAAAGTCCACCCGCAATCAACGCGGCGATCAAGGTGACCATGTTCCCCAGTGTCTGCCACGCATAGATACTCACACCCTGATAGCTGGGATTGAAGCTATACTGTCCCTGCAGATAATAGACCACACATCCATATGTGACATAGACAACGTAAATAAAGAACTGCGCTCCCCACATCGCCTTGATAAAGTCCTGTGGCCGTCTCATCTCCGCCATGAACTCGACAAACAACTGCGCACCAGCGTACGCCAATACGCCAGAAAGCATGCCGTTCACAGACCCGACAAGGCCAATTCCAGGCGGGATGTTGTTATAGTGAATGATAGGTGGGTAGACACCATCCACGGGGGTAATGGTGGTCGGGTCAGTATCGCTACCGGCAGATCCCAGAGTAGAGATCTGATAATTCGGCGGCGAATTCGCCATAACACCCATGGTCATGAAAATGACAAAAATATTCAACCAAACGGACGCATTAGCGATCCACCCGTACGCCTTGAGCGTTCGAATCTGCGTAACGAAGAACCCGGCGACAGCGAACAGAACCGGACATACGGCGTAGCATAGCTTGAACTTGGACACCTGGGAGATGTTCTCGCCGAATTGGATTGTAACCTGGCCGGTGATGAGAAGCAATCCAATACCCTGTAGGATATTGGTAACATGCCGACCGGTCTGACCGAGAGTTCTGAAACCGAGATCGCCGTAGTTCTTCACAGGGAATTCGTAGCTGTCGACGCCGAGGTAGACGCGCCAGATGAGGTATCCTGAGTATCCGACCATCGCTCCGAAGACGGTATAGAAAGCGATTCCTATTTTATTAGCTGGATTCACAACAGTAGAAAGTCTCAATCTCAGTCCTTACCAGGTCCCCATCCAAGTGTTCCCATCGCAAAGCCAGATCCATAAGGACCCAAAATATCCGTAGTGATCAAATAGAAACCTGTCAAATCAGCACAGTTCGTCAAACAGAACCATTCGTACTAACAAGCACCCCAAGAAGCCGACCGAAAAGCCCTACTAGCATTCGTCCACTCCTCATCCGTAATCTCCAATCTTCTGGCGCGATTCGTAAAATCCTCTTCAGTAAGTGTGGTAGTGACATCCTGACTCGACGAGTCACCCCCACCACCCCCAAACCACTGTCTCACATTAAGAACGGGGGGATCAAGAAGTTCCTGTTCGGCTCTTGTCTTCTGCGCATAATAATTGTACTCCTCGAACGAGACACCCAAGTCATACGGTTCGCGAGCTTGAGGTTTTATCAGTGAGTCCTGAATGGTTGGACGAATCTTTTCGTCGACTTCTTTCTCCATGATTGATTTTGCACTCCTTTTCGAAGGGAGGAAGGAGTGAGATGGTTTGCAGAGTAACTAAGCATTTCGGCACCAGTCCGTGTCCGTGCATACGGGATAAGCATTGTATGGCGGGTCTGTCCGTCTGTTCTTGAATTGGTTAAGATCGACGTATTGGCGGGTTAGTGGGTTCTCTCTGGACCCTCTGGTCGGCTAATGATAAGCTCCGCGGATGTCACTGGTGCTCTTTGTCTCGTGTTCTCGTAATTATTTCGATCATTGATGATTATTGCTTAGAGAATTTTCGAGTTTGTTTGTTGACGCTTTGACGCGGGTATTTCGGAGGTAAGATAAGGTGGTATTAGTGGGGAGGGGTAAGCGAATAAGCGAGCAGCCTTTATCTTGTATACTTTGTAGCGTTACATGAGGCGCTATCCCTCTTGCCGTTCCGGCTCGGAAGTGGGTTGCCTGTTTGTTGTGCGTGCGATATCGCATCGGAGAAATAACAATCATTCGGAAGGTTTTATGATTTTCGACGGTAGGAACCTGACATTAAAAGAGAGGAGCAAAGGATCAGTCGTTTTGAGATATTGCTGAATTTTAAGGATGAGGGGAGACAAGGATGGTACCTGCGATGTAGGACAGTGCAGACTCTGAGCGTAAATGAAAAAGTCCCAACGCGCGTGGGATCTATCTCAGTTATAATCTTGGAACATATGCAAGTGCTGCTTGAAGCATCTCCACTCTATTGTAATTATCCAGGGTATATTTCGCCGAATCGTGACTCTTTTAGTCATGACGGATAATTACTACATACACACCCTATCTAACCTGATTAGGAAATGGCTTCGAGCCAGGCATCTAATTGACATATACCAATAGTACATGCCTTCAAGCTCGGTGTCTTTGAAGGTTCGAAGGATGCAGGACACAGATACCCCAGAGTGAGATCCTTCGGAACAGGAAATATTGCCCGTGTCGATCCTTGCGGGGAAACCATAGCTTCCCCTCACGCATTCGCCATACCGCTCAATGTGAAAGCACATTGAGCTACAGCTTGCAATACCGCAACGCGAAAAGATAGTCGGGGGAGTATTTGCGAATTCGCCAAGCTAGGCGTGTCGGAGCGAAACGTGACGCGAGCCACGTCAAGAATACTACAAATTACCTCAATTTCCCACTTGAATTTTGTTCATCCTTCCTCGCATATTTCATCCAGATCCTTTACAATGGCAACTATGAAAGCACTGAACTACCTGGGCCCGTACAAGGTCCAGGTGACAGATGTTGAGAGGCCTAAGCTCGAGCATCCAGATGACATCATTGTCAAGGTCACTACGGTATGGTTCAATTCGATGGAGATGAGACAATGTACTAACTATTCAGGCGGCTATCTGTGGCTCAGACTTGCAGTAAGTTGATTGAGAAAGGTCAATATACTATCTTCAGCTGACATTTTACAGCATGTATGAAGGTCGAACAGCTGCAGAGCCTGGCATCACCTTTGGTAAGATCCGTAATCATGAATAATGGGCGAGGCTAACAGGATAGGTCACGAGAACATGGGGATTGTTGAGGAACTTGGCGAAGGGGTGACATTGCTAAAGAAGGGGGACCGGGTGGTGATGCCATTCAATGTTGCCGATGGTCGGTGTCGCAATTGCGAGGAAGGCAAGACTGCGTTCTGCACTGGTGTGAACCCGGGCTTTGCAGGTGGTGCTTATGGTAAGTCTTTCCTTGGTATTCATTTTCTTAGCTAATACTCGACAGGCTATGTCGCGATGGGTCCTTACCGTGGAGGTATGTAGAATTCCCGCGCACAGTATCCCCCCACTGACACAACCCAGGCCAAGCGCAGTATATTCGAGTGCCCTATGCTGATTTCAATGCTCTCATCTTGCCCCCTGGGAAGGAACATGAAGCGGACTTTGTTCTCCTTGCTGGTATGTCTCCCAGCTTTATCTTAAGTCTTCGCTGACATTTATCATACAGACATCTTCCCAACCGGTACAGTTTCTCCTCCCTACTCAAGATATCTCTAACAACAATCAGGCTGGCACGGTGTCGAAATTTCTGGCTTCCAAGCAGGTGAAAGTATCGCCGTCTTCGGCGCAGGTCCAGTGGGCCTGATGGCAGGCTACTCAGCAGTATTGCGTGGCGCATCCAACATCTACGTGGTAGACCGTGTCCCCGAGCGACTCGAAGCCGCCAGAAAGATAGGCTGTATTCCGATCGATTTCACAAAGGGAGATGCAGTCGACCAGATCATCAAGCACAACGGCGATATGGTGGATCGATCAGTGGATGCTGTCGGGTACCAAGCTGTCGATCCAAATGGGTCTTCCGAGAAGGCGAATATTGTTCTTGAGAACATGATCCGTGTCACAAGGGCGTGTGGAGGTCTTGGTATTCCGGGACTTTATGTGCCAAGGTATGATGAATGCATTGGGTGATATGTTGCACAACTGACAGTTTAGTGATCCTGGCGCAACTGATGCAGCGACCGCGAACGGAATGATTAGTCTGAGCTTTGGGAAATTGTTTGAAAAAGTAAGTTTCTCTGGATTTGAGCTGAGTGATTGAACTAACGGGTCCAGGGTCTATCTCTTAGCACTGGACAGTGCAATGTTAAAGCGTATAACCGGTACTTGAGAGACATGATCATCGCTGGCAAGGCTAAGCCTAGCTTTGTAATCTCACATGAGATTACACTGGCTGATGCGGAGACTGCTTATGATAAGTTCGATAAGAGAGAGGATGGGTACACCAAGGTTATCATTCATCCGAACGGGGGATTCTAAATATGTATACTTCTATTGAATGATCAAGCTGCAACGATGAAACAAATGAAGTTAAATAGTAGTCGTGTATGGATGTAGCGGGCTTTGCAGCCTTTAAACCTGAGATCTAAATGGATTTGTGCCTACTGTATGTGGCCACATGTAGGCTGCCAGGTGTTGTCAATGCATTATATATTTGGACGATGTACAATTACCTAGTTTCAGTAAAAAGCCAGATAAAACTGGCACCGCCAAGTCTATGCTCACATTTTCCAATTCATCAAAAATCATGGTGGGGTAAAAATGCAGCATGACATATGTTCCCTCACGGCACTGATAAAGGCATAGTTCGCCGTTCAGAATCGAGGAAGATTCGCCGATGTGGGGGCAATTTAAACCAATCAAAAGGACAAAAAGTATCGGGGAACGTTTCCTGTTTGAGATCAAGAAGATTGTCAATCAACTTAGAAATTTCATATAATATGTAAATATTTAGTTTTCATTGCAATTCAACATCACTTACGCACCAACATGAGAATCGACCGTTTCCGCACAACTTGGGGTATTGAGCCTGGAAACAACTTGGAAAATTGGGCCAAGTGGTTTCAAGAGCTCAAGACGCTTGGCTACAGTGAGAAACAAGAAGTGATTTGCTTCATTAAGTATCGCTAATAGATCTGCTAAAACAGGTGGCGTCGAAGTCAACATCCACCAACTAGATCCTGATAACCATTTCCCGCTATTGCGAAAGATTTGCGATGATCTTGACTTTGAAATTAGCGCTCTGTCAGTACATCTCACAATGGCCAGGATCGTGTACTAATAGATACTAAACAGGGCACACTCTTCCTGGGTTGATTATCTGGGTCCTCGTCCAGTCGGTCTAAAAGCGGCGGATCACTTGCGCAATTACCGAGCAGCCCTCCAGCTGGCTGAACCGCTCAATCCAGTTTCCTTCAACTTCCAATCTGGAGAGTAGGTATTCATTTTTTGACCTGAAAACTCAACTGACATGATTCAGAGACGCGTGGAATATTGAAGAGTCTGTAAAGTTTTATCGTGGCACACTTGGCGTTGATAAAGAATTTGGTCTTTCGGGTCGAGTCTACCACGAGACTCACCGCAATCGATCACTATTCACTCCATATGCAGCTCAGCAGATCTTGAGAGCCGTGCCTGAGTATGTAACCTGTACCACGCAAATGGAATTTTGACCTAACCCTCTCTCCAGGTTACGCATCACAGCCGATTTCTCGCACTGGATGATTTGCCTCGAGCGGCTGCTGGATATTGGCGAAGGCGATCGCGCCATGATGGATTCTATTATTCCACATGTGAGTGAACCGAAGAATTTGTAATCTCAAATGTACTCAGGACTTACTGTCATAGGTATATCACATCCACGCGAGAATTGGAACGACTCAAGCTTCTCAGTGCCCTGAGCCGTTAAATCCTATCTTCGAGCAAGAAAGACTTTGCTTTGAAAGACTATGGACGAAGGTCATCCAGTGCCGGTTTGAACAGAATCCCGAATCCAGCATAATCATAGTTCCAGAATATGGGTGAGTTGACGCTTTCAAGATTGAAGAAACCCACTAACGGCTCAGTCCTTTCCCATACCATCCCATTGGTAGCTCCAAGACCCATGGTCAAGTTGCAGATGAGGAAGGTAAGCGGTTACAAGTCGCGTTCACGCAATTAGCATCAAGCCTGAAAACTACGTAATCTGCCGATCGCTTCTCAGATGAAACCTGTGGTCGGCGTTGGTATTTTCTGTGGCGTACTAGCACAATCATTGTGGATCTGGTACTCACAGACCGGAGATGTGGGTCAACAACGCTGTGTTTTTCTTTGTTAATTCTGGAATATTCGAACGCTTGCAACATTCCAGACTTCAAATTTTATTCAAATTCTATTCAACAATTGCAATCTCAAGCTGTCCAGTAAATGCCAGTAAATGCTAATAAATGCAAATCAAGGCTAATACTAGGCGTATTAAAGAACGCGAAATGCCGAGTTTGTTTCATCTTAATTAGGCCGCGAAGCATCGTATATTCAACGTCTGTTAGCGTCAGATTATTGATTTAGGGTCACAGATCCAGATTTTAGCGCTGGATGTTGGTGTGACTGCGGGGTAATCCTGCGCAATGTTAAATGAAGGAATGCCAGCCAGGATTGGTGGATCTATTATGTTCTCTATGACTTCGCTTAGCCGTTAGCGTGTTTCACCATCGGCAATTGAGACGAACTATAGATATTTTCCGACCGAGAACTGCTCTGACATTCAGATTTCAGATCTCACTTTTGATTAAATATCTATTTTTACTCTTGATTTGGGAATCAAGCATAAGTAAAAGTGTTGAAGTCGTAGTTACAAATATTAAACGTCGTTCATGGTATAAACCCTTTTGCACCTTGGAACCTGCTAAATTAATATGGTAGATGAATGGCGACGAATCATTTTTATGATGAAACAAATTATGCAGTCTACTTTTGTGCAAACGAGATATCTGTGATCGATCCACAGATCCCAGATATGGAGCATCATGAACTATCCCTTCAATTTAATCCTCCATAATTGAAACATTTGCCTCACCTACTTGAAACTGGATGTGATCTATATACGAAATCTTCGGTTTATTCCAAGGATGCCAAGAATGTCATAAATAGGCCATGCCTCCATCAATGAACAGGACAGAAAGCAGAGCTACTTCGACTTCCATTCTTTTCTGAGCTTCATTGACTGAAGCTCTTCCATTCTTTTCTTCTTCTTTCGTTACCTCTTCGACAGAGATGTTCTCAAAATCTGCACCCCTCCTTCTCGCCTCTGCCGCGCTGGTCGCTGGCCACGGCTATGTCAGCAGCATCGAAGTCGCTGGTACCACCTACGGTGGCTACCTCGTCGATACCTACTACTACGAAACCGACCCACCAGAGCTGATCGCTTGGTCCACCAACGCCACTGATGACGGCTACGTCGCCCCCACCGCATACGATACCTCAAACATTATCTGCCACAAAGGATCTTCGCCAGGTGCACTGTCCGCTCCAATCGCGCCGGGCGGTACAGTCAAGTTGACCTGGAACACCTGGCCCTCAGACCACCACGGCCCTGTCATCACCTACATGGCTAACTGCAACGGATCCTGCACCGACGTCGACAAGGTCGATCTGGAGTTCTTCAAGATCGACGCTGGTGGTCTGATCAATGATACCGTCGTTCCTGGTACCTGGGCCACTGATGAGCTTATCGCCGACAGCTACAGCCGTACTCTGACCATCCCCACGGACATAGAAGCCGGATATTATGTTCTGCGTCATGAGATTATCGCTCTCCACGGTGCAGAGGATCTGAATGGTGCTCAGAACTATCCTCAATGCATTAATCTTGAAGTCACTGGTAGTGGGACCGCCACACCCAGCGGTACCCTTGGAGAGGACCTGTATAAGGACACTGATCCCGGTATTTACGTCGATATCTGGAACACACTCAGCACTTATGTCATCCCCGGTCCTACTCTCTACACAGCCGGTAGCACAGCGACCGCCACCGCCGCATCTGTCACCACAACCTCTACATCCGAAGTAACCTCTGCGGCGTCTACCAGTGTCGCATCCACCAGTGTAGCTACCACCAGTGTCGCCTCCACCAGTGCTGTTGCTGTCGTTGAGTCCGAGACCACACAAGCTGCATCGACTTCTCAAGCAACAACCTCCGTCGCCCAGGCCACCGCTACCGGAATCTCTAGCAACGGAGGATTCGGTCAGGGCCAAAGTGGTAGTGGTAACGATAGCGGCAAGAGCAATGGCAACGGCAACGGCAACGGCAACGGTAATGGCCGAGTTGGTAAAGGCCAATCAGAGGAAACCACTTCAACCATTACCGCCTCTCCATCCACCACCTCCAGCTCCGCCAGCCAAACCTCGGGTGTTCTTAGCGGATCCTGCAGTGAAGAAGGCTACTGGTACTGCGATGCCGGGTCAGCCTTTCAGCGCTGTGTCGATGGCGAGTGGGATGCTTCGCAGGCTGTTGCTGATGGAACGGAGTGCACTGCTGGTATCTCTGATAGTTTGACTGTTTCTCTTTCTTCGAAGAAGCGGAGCTTGCAGCACATGCGTCGTCGTGAACACCATGTTTAGATTTGGTTCCGCGGAGCGCTTCGTTGCGTTTCTGCTTACTTGGATGTCTCTTATGGGCATCTGGGCTGGATCAAATGCTGGTTCTGATCTTATTAATAGCATTTAGAGCATGTATATATAGAGTAGATAGTACAATTTACTTCTTGCTGGGAAGAGAGGTCTTCGCTTTGTAGCGTTCTATGGTGTGAATTTCCTAGTATACTTGGCTAACCCATTTTCTACTCTTGTTCCAATACGATCATGCCGTGTCTAAGCTACTAAATGTTTAAAAGCTCATTTAACTTGCAGCATGTGAATGCCAAGTTAGAAATTGATAAGGGGAAAGCGAAACAGTGTGGGCAGAATAGAATCCTATATTTTGCTGCTGCTTTGCGTCTTCTTTCTCACTCCCTCAACACAGCTAGGCTTCGCCGTCTCGCCTCGCCTACCCCTACCTCGTTTCACTTTAAAATTGGCCCTGACTCTATGAAGTTGTTGGGAGATACATGTAAATGCTCGTCGGTTGCGCTTTAAGATGAAACACATGTTGGATGAAAGCCTGGCATATCATGAGGAGCGGGAGAGACACTTATCCAAAAGGATACTGGAGCCAGCCACCATGAGGTACAACATTCCGGATGTTCGGAATAGCCAACGGCAACGCCTAAGCCTCCATCTGAGCAGCCATCTGGCTAGGTCTTTGCCTTTGGAGTCCTCAGTCCTGAAATGCATAGCGATCGGGGTTTGATGGTTTTTGGGGTCCACGATGATAAAACAAGTAAAATTCGGTTACGGACGCGAGTAGCGGCCATGAGGACAAAACCTTTAAGATCACATAATAACTGGCAGAAACTCATAAATACTACTAAGCTAATCTACCCTCAATTATTACTTGGGTCCACTGTAGGTTTTTTTTTTTTTTCACCCTTCTCCTTCCACATCACTTTTTTCTCCTCTCTTTATCTCTATTTCTTTTCTATTCAGCTATGTATGAATTTGGAGAGCACTTTGACCATTTGACTAGTCCGGTACGAAAGAAGGAAGAATACTAGATAAGATACCAAGTAGCAGACTAAAGAGGATACTAAGTAGGAGACTTAGTAGGAGATATAGTAGGAGATATGATATAATACCTAAGTACTAGGCGCTACATTAAAAGGTTATCTCCTCATGGCCGTTACTCGCCCCTGTAGTCGGTGGGAATATGCGACGTGATAGTATAGTGAAGGTAAGTTGCTCACAGTGATATATCAAAATCGTGAATGAGGGTAGAAACCCTGTATTTCGAGGGCCCATACACCAATTTAATTGAAGAGAAGTACTTATGGAACATTCAGTTGATGTCTCGATGTAAATTTATGTTATCAAGGTGATGCCTAAGGTTTCCCTTATGTCTCAGTCTCTCTATATAGAGATATCTTTCTTTCAAAAACCCTCTCCGTGATTCCCACCTTCTCTCAATCCATTCTGTCACTATAAGACTCCCACCTTCTTAAACTCATAATCTGACTGTAGCAAATCCCAGTTCGTGTTTTGATTCATGAATAGCCAATAAAAGGTCCTCCATGGCTCGCATCCGTACCTTCCGGACTGTTACCCACAGACATATTACAATTACCTAAGGAACCGAGACTAAAAACATCTCTAGGTTCAAGGATGGGGGCTGTCTAAGACATGCCTTCTCTATCGTAAATTTGGCACCTCTCAGGCACTGAAGTACAAGGAATATCCTGCAATGACTGATACTCTATCGGAAGAAGACGAAGGTCAGTGCAAAAATATGATATAAAGGCATCTCCTTAGCTAGCCGACAGTCTGAATCCCAGATCTCCAATTTCAGCCTACTCTTAACAAGATCCATTACCAGGTAAACGCACTTGACACTTTGACTGTGTTAACCTTCTGACGTTGACTAGCATCATGAAGCATCCATATCTAGCTCTGCTACTGACATTTACCTCGGTTAATGCAAAAGAATGTCCAAGCTATATGGATTGTATCTCTGTTACCCACGACATGCTGGCTATGGAGGATATGTCCTCCAAATTCGGTCAATGTTTTGAGAAATGTGTTGGAGATGAGCAAGAATGTTGCAGCCAGTCGTGTGCTCATACATTGACCTGCCGCACCAACTTCGCCAATTGTCATCTTGACTGCCGGGATCATGTGGTTCCTTCTAGCTTTCAATGCTTGGACAATTGCATTATGGTTTGGAACAATTGCAGGGCTGAGGCGGTTTTGGATGAAGTGCTTATGGAGCATAACGCTCACTGCAATAAGGATTTCCGCTCTTGCAGCCGCGATTGTCATAAGTAGTAGCCATTCCACCTTGGAGGAACTTAGTGTACTTGATGATTGAAGTATTATCAACATCGATTATCATTTCGTCTGTATGACCTAATCTCGACTAATCCATGATTGTGTAAGAGGCTGTTGTCCAATCAAGTATATATTTTCAAGATCAGTTTTACACATCATGTACGACGTTTCCCATGACCATTGACGTGGCTTATGTTTAGGCAGTCGTCAAAACGAAGTGCAATCAACGATGTCTCACATAAGAAAAATGTATTTAAACTGGGCTTCAAGTCAGCCAAGTCCAGAGTCAATTCCCAACATTGAAATACTGGAACCATACATGAGTTAACAAAGAAGTTCCCACAATGAATATCATACTTGGACTTTGCCTCCTGGCTTCAGCGTTGGGCTCCCCACTTGACACTAATTCTCGTGGAGGAAATGTCAGCATTGCCTTTTCCAACGAACTAGGCTCCCAGCCAGACCCAGTCACCGTGACCTTCCCACTTGACGATGTCCAGCGTGATTCGTGGTACGGTGGACCAGAGAAAGCTATATCGGCAATTCAATTGACAGATCAATCGTCTGCACCCTCGACTTTCATCTGCGATGTCTATGCTTCGAGGGAATTTTGCGTTATATTGACTGCAATGAATACGTATCATTCCTTTGGTCAAAGTATTCCAATGGACAGTGTTGTGATAAAGTGTAGGTCTTAAATGGATTCAAACAAGGCCAATAGGTTGAGAATTTTGATGAAATGAACTATTCTGCAATGGAGGATATTTGATTTGACAGCCCAGTCTTGTTTGCTTAATTTGGTTAATGTTATTTTTGCCTCGGTATAGGTTTTTGGCTTTGGAATTGCGTTTTCCCTATACCAGAATGTGAATACAAAGGCCGTTTATCCCAAAGCTTCATGTAAAGATTGATGCAATATATGCATAGCAAGATGGTATCAGCTAAAGACAGAATTTCATACTTCGAAACTATTTCGATTGAGCACAGCACTAAGATCGTGTATCTTCAGGCGACAATGGCTCCATCTCAATTTGAATATTTGTCTAAATGTGCTTGGGCTTATGGAGTCAGGTGATCCACTGCGTTAACTTACTTCCATCTGAGAGTCGATAAACTTTGCTTCACTTCTTCCGCTGATCTCGCACAACACGAAATCCAGAAATACCATCATTTGCCAGTTGCGCGACAAGGCCATACTCCCAATCAAGGTACGCTTGCATATCTTTCCGCGCGTTGCTCGTTCCTTCATATGGTCTTTTATAAACGTCAATTGGCTGAGACAGCCACCGCGACTTAGTCTCGACGGGATGACCAGCTTCCACCCAGGCCTTTGTTCCTCCTGTTAGATACAGAACTTCTTGTGAGACAAAATTTCGCACGGCTTGGACATTCGCTGCGCCAATGGTTCCATCGGGAGAGGTCAGAACGATCGGTGCATCACCTTTGAAATCCAGCAAATCCCGAACGAGTTCTGGTCCAGAGGCAAACCATGCACCCGGGATGTGGCCTTTTCGATAATCCGGACTGCGAGCGAGATCAATCACAATGGCTCCAGTGAGACCTTCCAGGTCTTCTACTGAAATAGCACTAGGCTGTGGATAGTTCCAGGAGGAAGGCCTCGAAACGGCAATGTCAGGAATGGAAGTCTGTCCGTCAAAGACATGCACCTCCCATCCAAGTTGATGCAGCCAGCTTGCTGTCATAAGCGCTCGGACACCATCATCGTCGTATAGGACAATACGTCCCCCTCGGACACCAACCCACTCGTCCGTTGCTTGTACCAGTTGACCACCAGGGGCGTTGGAGAAGCCCACAGGGTGGCCAACTGCATACTCCTCTGGATCTCTGACATCCAGCAGGTACAGACTGCGGTCTTCTGACTCCGCAGCAAAGTCACAAAGCTTATCACCATTGATGACGGAGACACCAACATACTCGGCCCAAGACTTTGCATGCTGCCGTGCCTTCTCCAACGCATCAGCCGAAGGTCGTTGAATCCGCCCAATTTTCCCCGTCTCTAGCTCCAATCCCTCCAAGGTCCATCCAATAGTCCCATTCCGAAGCGCCACCACCCGATTCGGAATCCCTGAGTTGACCAACGACTGCGTTCCAACAATGCTCCGGGTCCGACCAGCACAATTTACGACAACCGTGGTGGTCGCAGAGGGCACCACATCAAGAACACGATAAACAAGCTCCCCGCCAGGACAGCTAAGTCCACGAGGAATGCTCATGGTATGATACTCCTCGAAACGCCGCGCATCCAGGACAACCACATCACTCTCCCTCTCCAGTAGGTCTTTTACCTCGCGCGCAGATAACGACGGGGTGTGATTGATAGATTCGACAAGCTCACCAAATGCCTTTGATGGAACATTGACATCCCGATAAACCTCCCCGACACGCCCATATGCGGAAAGTCCACCTTGCAGGATGAAAACGTGTTGGTACCCAAGCGCAAAAACGCGGTCAGCGGCTTGATCGGTGTAACCTTCGCCATTGTCATATACAACAATCGGAGCGGATAATCTGGGAGCAAGTGGGGGGAGTTTTGTCTCGATCTCTGATAGGGGCACACTGATTGCGAAGAGAGGATGGGAATCGGCGTATGGACCTTCTTCGCGCACGTCGAGTAGAGCAATTTCAAGGCTGTTTCTCCAGTACTTGCTTACTTCCGAAGGGGTAAGGAATTTTGACATTCTTGTTTCTATTCTATTGATGGTGCGTCTGAGCTTGATGTCAACCAAAGATTGATTCGGGTGTTTTACGTTGCTCGGATGTTTTGTTTTGAGTGGGGTTGACCCGCAAACACGCCGAATATGGGCTATTCGGTCCAGGTCTGTTACATGAACAAAAATTGGAAGCTGCGTTCATGTAGTTCGAATATGAGATTCGCTCTCGATGTTTGTGACCTGATTCGATCGCAGAATATCGGCCCTGCGATAATCGAGGTAGATTGGAGATGCAATCGTGCAAAACCACGAACACTTTCAGGATGACAATACTGACTGAACATGCCAGGACTTGTGTTTGAAGAAGACTACTCCAGTTTAATTCTTTCTATTAGTTTGACATAGTTATCTCCAATCTCGAGAATCGATATTGATACATCTGCCCAAGAGGCCTCTCCCGCCCGCTGTATGACCCCGCTTGACGCCATGTCAGCTCACGATGACCAATACCAAAATCCTACATATCTCCTTGGTAGCTTTGGATCTCCTAATCATTGTCAATAACATGAATACCATTCGGCAAGAAAGAAAGTCCTGTGAAACATGTCGTATGCGACCATTCTATCTATAGGGTCACAGGTCCGCTAACACAAACAGGATCGCGGAAGCTCAGATGCTCAGGTGAAAAGAGCGGCTGCTCTCGCTGTCGCGGGTTATCATTGCCCTGTAAATTCAAAGACAAAGGTTTACCTGGACGACCAAGGAAGCGGGTGCGGGTGGAGGAGCAAGAGTTGAATAGAGAGAAAACCGGATCGTCGCATTCATCGAATTTCACATCTATTCTCCCTCATTCACCTTTCAGCTCTCAAGAAGCAATAAATATGCTCGTTAGAGCGAGTGGTCTCGACTCAATACCATCTGAGCTGTCTGGGACATGCGGCTTTGATTCGTTTGATTGGGATATGCTCGCAAACACAGACATCTGTTCCCCCTCAGAACCGTGGAAAACATATCAAGATGCAGTACAACAGCCTGAACCACCTGCATTGGATCCTTACATATCGCCAATATCATTCTCTCAGTTCTGCAAATGCGATGAAGAGGTCTCTGATACGGTTCGCAAACTAAGCCGAGCACACATGTCCAATGATATCATCCAAGTACTTCGGATCGGAATATCTCTCACAGAAAGGCTTCTCATCTGTCCAATCTGCTACGACACTTCCAAGCCCCCGAGGTTAACAGTTCAAAATGTTCTCCTGATAGGCCAGTTGATGTTTGAAATAACATCAAGCTACCAGAAGTACCTCCATTGGCTGGATGAACACTGTACCGAGCTGGACCTCAAAAATGAAAGTGAACTCATTTATCTCGACTCTGGACTTGGGATCCCGGAGATTTCCTTACAGCTCAGTGGAGAGAAATTTCGAGATCTCGTCATGACTGGTCTTCGGAAGGATACTGAGCGAATGTCGGCGCTGGGGAAGCGATTTGCGCAACGACAACGTAACCGACATATGGCTGGGCATGAAGTCTGTCCTGATCTCGAGGGCAGGTGTCGGAAGAAGGAATATTTAGGTGTTGATCATGACCCGCTTGATCTTTGTCCGCAGGATCCTATGGCGAAGAGATTGGTGCCTTGTTTTCGGATTGTTGATGAGGTTCGAGAGATGATCGAGCGAGTTGCTGACGCTGTTGTGTGATACCCTATGGAGTGCTAAAGCTAGAGGAATTATGCTGCATTGCTCACAGATAGATAGATTCGGTCAGGGATATATGTTGAGTCATAATCTACCTACACATTGATTGACCTTGACACCCATTCATCTTAGGCTTAGACTTAGACTTCTCACTGACATTTCCAAGCCTGCAAAAGCAAGATGATGCTATCTCAACATCAGCCTCAACAAGAGCAAGCGAAAGCTGCTTTTTAATAATATTCGCCTCTGCATCACGGCCTAAAAGCACCAAACACTCATGATACCCATGAAGAGCCCAAACATTATTTGGATGCTGATGCGCCCGCTTAGGAGTTGGCAAAAGACCCAAATCTTCCGCATAAGCAATCGCAGCCTCTTCAATCCTCCCCTGTTCAAGAGAAAGAGCAGCATAGGCATGTCTCGCTGGAAGCATCCATCCCCACGGCTCCGCAAAAGGTAGTTCATCTTCCAAGATTACAGCATCCCGTAACCTCGCAAAAGCAGTCTCATACTGTCCACGTCGATATTCAATCTCCCCGTCCAACATCGCAGAAGCAACTTGGAGAATATCAACGATTTTATTCGGGAAATCGAGACGCGTAACCGGAACAAGCTTAAAAGCAACTTTGAACAATTCCCGCTCTTTATCCGCTTCTTTAAGCTGCAACGTCGCCGCATAGGCAATCGCTTTCCCATAATGTCTCATCACGTTTGTCACACAATACAATTCTTTATCCTCAAGCGGGTCAAGTTTCTTCAATTCCTCCCACATCCCGAATCGAATCAGCACATGGACACGCACCGCCTTGAAGAATTCCATCCAATTCGCTAACGCAGGTGATTCAACGCGTAGAATGTCGTCAGTGATAGTCTCTTCCATCCGATCAGTTGCTGATAGCGCGGCTTTGGATTTTCCCGCTAACATAGCCGCGTAGATGAGAGAATGATAATCGTGTAGACGATAGTAACTGTAGAATGTCAAACCACCATTCCGTTGAAAGTATTTATCGTCTGCAATTGTGGCTTTGAGATTATATTCCACTGCGCGTCTGTAGTCGCCTACTAACACGTCGATGTGTGCCGGCATATGGAATGTATGTCCTGTATCAGGGAAGATTTCGCGGATCATCTCAGCAGCTGGGAGGGCTGCTTCGGGGGTTGCGGACATTTCCATTAGATGAATGTACATATGTGCAGGACCGGGGTGTGTTTCCACATTCGGCATTTTCAAAGCGCGGTCGAGAAGGTCTTTTACTTCGAAGACTGGGGATGAGGCGATTGGCAGACCTGTAGATGCATCGTAGAGTTTTCGAGGAGCACAATTCATCAAAGCGTCAGCGAAGAGGGTGATTATGTCGAAGTCTTCCGGGTCGAATGATTCATAGACTTGGCGCATGGAATTGGCGTAGTCTTTATTACAAGCGAGAAGATCTCGACTTGGATCATCATTGGGGTATCGTTTCGCAAGAGCATTTATCAGAGCCTGTTCCCATTGTGAAGCATTTCCGGTGCGGTTCAATGCTTCCTGTGAGAAGAAGTAGCATTGCTTGATAGCATTCAGACGGTCTCGTTCGTCGAATAATGCCCATGTCTTATTGTAATTCGATCCCGAGCAGAAGGATATTCCCCAGTATGCCATCGCGCAATCTGCATCATGTGCGATGACTTGTTTATAACATGTGATTGCTTCATCGTGATTAAAGCAATATGTCCAGACGAGCGCTCGATTAAACCATATCTGGGCTTCTTGGGAATTGGTGCTGACTTTGCGACCGAATGTCCCCAAGTTGAAATAAGGGTCGCTTGTCGCTATTGCTAAGTCATCCATTTTAAGTGGCCAGTGAAGCTTGCTGCTGTAGAGGATATCAAAATAGCAGAGGATTTGGGAAACAGAATCGGAGGGTTTTCGGTGGATTATGGTCGGATATTTTATAAATCATCCGTACAATCCTCACCAATTGTCATTTTATTGAATAATATCTGTTTCTATAGATCAAGGATGCTTCAAATCATTATTAAGAACGTCTTCCAAAAATCTCACCCCTTCGTTCTGCCGCAATCGTTGCCAGCTTCAACCTTCTTGTATTGCGCTCCGTATCCCTTTTCACCCACCGCGTCACCAATGTTCACGAAGATCGCACAAATGCTTTTGAATATCTGCGGACCGATCGTGCCTGTAATTTTATCGTAGCTTTTGTCAGAGCCGATGGAAAGTTTACACCGACTACAAACCAATGGGTCTTGGATTGGCTTCGTTCCGAATGGGTTTTTGGAAAGTGGTATACAACGTGACGTGGCGCCGCCGGATCAACGGAATGTAGATAGTCTGGTGGTGTTACCTGAGGATGATCTTGAGTCGTGGCCGGTTGTTGTGCTGCATTGGCTTGGATTTGATCAGACCTGTGGACTAATAATATTGCTGTTGGTTTTACTGCCAGAGGGTTGCTAAATACGGTGATCAGACATCTATACCGGTCGCGTTAATATGAAACCCAGTGATGTATTTTCTATATTTCTTCAAGAACAATTGAGATTGTTTGTACTTTCAAAATCAGAATTAATTTCGCTCGACATGTAGCAAAATCAAAAATGCAAAAACAAATGCTGCAGAGGGGAATCGAACCCCTGGCAGCGCCTAATACGATCACGTGGGAAAGCGCTATGTTACCACTACACCACTGCGGCTTTTTTTGGTAATGAAGCCCCAATTTAACTTGAGTCTACCGTTGCCAAGGCCTAATTAGTCCAGAGATTACTAATTTTATGCCTGACAGGCCAAAGTAATCAAGGGCATGAATTGGCAGATTTTAGCTTTAGCTGCTATCTATTGAAGAAATGTCTCATACGATCATACTTTACATCAGCTTTTCATGGATGGTTGGGTGAATTTGGGGGCTATTTTCAGACCAGGTCGGTTCCTGAACCCAGTTTCTGGAGACCCTCGTGTACACTAAACCACATCCAGCTCAACATGCGGAAGAAGATTTCCGAAATTAGCCTGGAAAACGGGGGAGCTTAGCGTAGAAATGAGGGTCCGTCCGGTAAAGCGTGCGAGATGACTGGTTAGCATGATGACTCTAGTAGGCATCGGAAATTGTGGTTCCTGGTGATTGGTCCCCTGGTGGGGGCCTGATGGTGGCGGAGGGATATTACTCCACCTGAAGCCACAGGGTTCCAATGTGGAATCAGGGTCAATGATAGCTGAGCAGGTAGCGATGCGAAGCTAACTAGAGTTGGCACGAAGTAGAGAGCCCGGGAAAACTGGGTACAAAGGCTGCTTATCTCCCCTCCCCCATTTGAGACAATTTCGCGTTTTGTTTTTCTGCTCAGTATACGGAGAATTTCAGATCTACGGTATAGGTCATGTGGGGGACAATCTTGCCGATCGTTCTGGCTCTGCCGTTCACCAATGCGATCACACTACACAAGCGGGACGATCCGGCTGTTTTTGGACTCCCGATTGCCCGTAGTGAACGGCCCCAATCGTTGCAGAAACGCAGTGACAAAGTCGTCAGCACGGCTTTGTACAATGTGGTATGAGACGGTTCTGATTCCTTGATATCAGCTTAGATCCTCTCAATGTAGGTACAAGCAATACTGACATCGATAATAGGGAAATCTTTATTATATGGTGAACATCACCGTTGGTACCCCGGCTCAGAATCTCTCCCTGAGTCTTGATATCGGCAGCAGTGATATCTGGGTCAATGTCGATAATTCCACATACTGCGCATCCGACGAGGACTTTTGCTCCTCAACCGGAGTGTTTAAGCTCGAAGACTCCTCTACATTCAAACAGCTAGATTACGACATGAATATGACCTATGCGGGTGGAGACTATTTGGCTGCAGGTCCCTACGCGACCGATACATTGACGATTGGAGGCATAACGGTGAAAGATATGGAGTTTGGGCTGGGTGAAGAGAGTCGAAATCCCCGTAAGCTGCATTGATCATTTTCATGAAGGAAGTGATTGCTAACAGTGTTACAGACGGTATTCTAGGAATCGGATATGGGATAGCTACGTATGCCAACGCTGCTCTCGACAAGCGCTACTCCAACCTCCCAGAAGCGTTGGTCAATAGCGGGGCTATCAAGTCAAACGCTTATAGTTTGTGGTTGAATAAATACGATGGCACCGGCAACCTTCTCTTCGGCGGTGTCAACAAAGCTCGATACGACGGCGAGCTTGAAACTGTGCCCGTCTTGAAAAATAATGGTAAATACAGCTCCTTGGCTATTGCCTTGACCGATATCTCCGTTAAAGGCACCAGCGGTAACACAAATTACGCAACTGGCCTTCCCCTCGCTGTGTCTTTGGATAACGGAAGCGGGTTTATCACTCTACCCAAAGAGGTCGTCACTCCCATCTTCAAAGAAGTCGGCGCAGTATACAACTCCACCATCGGTGCAGCCTTCATCCCCTGCGATACTACGGGTTACAACGTGAGCTTCAGCTTCTCGGGCGCCACGATCACAATTCCCGTTAATGACCTTATTCTTCACTATTCCGAAGACGGTTCCCCCAAAGACTGTTACTTCGGAATCTCTGAGAGTGATCCGGGAGTGAATCTGATGGGTGACCCGTTCCTGCGTGGCGCGTACGTCGTCTACGATCTTGATAATAATGAGATCTCTCTGGCGAACACGAACACCGACGGGGGTGATGATGATATTCTTGAGATTGGCACGGGTACCGCTGCCGTGCCGGGTGCTACCCTGATGCCTTCTGCTGTCACTTCCGCGACTGGTAACGGGGTTGCTGTTGCTGCAACGGCGCTACCCTCGGGGTCATCTGAGCCGAGTGGAACAGCAGTGGAGGTCACTGTTACTGGTACTGCTGCTACTGCGACTGCGACTGAGACGGCCACTGGTGGCGCTACTACCACCTCTTCGAAAGGCCTGGCAGTGCCCACTGCTAAGCCGAACCACCTTCTGCCTGGTCTCTTGGGCGCTGGCTTGCTTTTGGCGCTGTAGGATACCCACGAAGTGTCTGTAATTATTTTCTGATTACGTTGTATTTACCTTAATCTCAATTTACATAGCCTGGGTACAGTATTTGTATTTCTTCTATTGCAAAAAGTTTACGTTGAACCTATCATTTACTCTAGGATATGATGATTTATTTTTGAGTAATTCTGACAAGGTCTATGACGAGAAAATGAGCATTTAGTTAATCAACATATTGCCGTAGAGTTTACTTTTCTCCCACTTGATCTATTCCTTCGTCTTGACTAGATGTCATCGGGCTCTGGATGCCTTGTGGATTGCTTTCGACATCCGCTTTTGGTCGGACCGGTGCCGTGGGAGCAAACTTGCTCTTGATCCTGATTTGCTTGCCATACTTGTAGAATAGGAATGGAACCACGGCCAGCAATGCAGCTACACCGCCTATCAAGCTCCCTCCTCCACCGACGCCCAGCGCGGTAAACATCTGGTGTGTGAAAAGGGGCGCCGCGGCACCACAGGCAGATCGGGCGATGGTGTTCGCCGCAATTGCGGACGCTGCGTACATCAAGTAGACATCCACGAGGTAATTCAAATATGCTACAAAAAGAAGCAACATAAAAGAAGAAAGGAAGCAGCCGGCGATCGTGGGAACAATCCAATGAATGGAGCTTTGCGAGTCAGTATTCCTGTACTTCCATTGGAATTTGATGAACTTACTTGAACTCCGCCGTCCACGCGAACCAAAACATCGAAACAGAAAAGCCCACACCTCCAATCATCGCAAGTAACAATCGATCTTCAGGAGACGCATCCTCCATTTTCCTCTCGCCAGTCTTGATTTTTCGTTGACGGATTCGTGTATCAGTCAGTACCATACTAGCGCCTAGCAATGCTCCAACGACCGTGCCAACCAAAGGCAACTCTCCCACACCAGAATTCCAACCGCGCTTCTCCTGAAACACGATAGGGTAGATGGTAAACAGCATATACAGTAACGTGTACACAACCGCCATATAAATCGCACACAGCAACGAAATCGGATCAAAAAGAATGATCCACGGCCTCGTCAATGCAACCTTATAAATCCCAAGCAATGTCCGATCCCCATCCTCGACTGCAGCCTTCACATCTTCATACCCCGGTATCTTCTTCGCCCGAAGCCGTTTTGCCTTGTTATACAGAATAGTCGGCGCGTAGGTCTCCGGGATAGTAAACATAATCACAGCAGTCGCACCACCCAACCAAAGCAACACATAAAAGCTCCACCTCCAATCCTCCTTCAACTCCAGAAACCCTGCAACAACAGGTCCAAGCGCAGGACCGATCCACACCATCGCCGAGAATCCAGCCATGGCATTCGAACGCTGTAGTGGATCCCAGAGATCAGCAAGCACGCCAGGACTATTACTCAGTGGCGCCGACACAAATGTCCCAGTCAAGAACCTGCCCACCAGTAAGGCTCCTAGATTTGGTGCGAATGCGCAGAGGAAGTTGAAGGCAATGTAAAGGCAGAAAGTAATGTAGAAAATCCATCGCCGACCGTAGAATTCACTTAATGGGGCGAAGATTAATGGGCCGGCGCAGTACCCTAATAGAAATAGGGTGATTGTGAGGCCGGCGACTTCAGTTGAGATATTGAATTGCTTCGATATCGATTCAAAACATCCACTCGGTGAACTTGAAGCAAATGTTGCATTCACGACTAGTAGCACAGCGCTAATGGTGATGGTGGTACGGCGTGCAACGGACCAATTCCGGGGATTCTCGATATCGCCTGGTGCAAAATCGACATAGCCATTTTCGTTGAGATATGGAGTTGTATCGGTGAGTTGTGTTGTTCTATATGGTTTATTCACGGCGCGTGACAAGACACGCACTATTGCTGCCATCTTGGATCACGCATATGGTTCAATTCAAGTCAAGTCAAGTCAAGTTGGAAAAGAAAACATCTTTGTAACTGTTTGACTAGGATCTCACTGATGGTCTCATGACATAATTTCCAATAAAATGATTGGTAAAGTCGGGATGATCCAAAAGTCCGGGGTTATCTCCGTCTGATGCCCCGTGCGGGGTGCCGATTACCCGAAGATTAGCAATCAAGTTTTCAAGCTTGAGCCTTGATCTTTACCCGATTTATGCATCCCGTCCCAAGGTTTCCACTTCTGTTCCAGCGGTGAGCTTCCCGTATGCGGACAATGTAGGTACTTGCCGCTGATCAGAGTTCATTCGGGCTTTACCTGAGTCATGCTGAAATGCACATTGTCGAAATGCACCTTGGCAGGGATTATTTCCGATGAAAGGACAGGTCAATTAATCCTTGTCATCTGCAAATAAGCGTGGACATGTTTGCTAGCATGATGGGGCATCACATGAGACAGGAATGGCTTGTCTTTGAGGACGCGTAATAACTTGGCGGTCATTAGACTGCTCGGTCCTACCCGCCCTTCGGGTGAGCTTATGCATAAGTTGCAGTAGCCTCGTTGGGCACAACTCACTTGCAGAGTGAGTGCTTATGATATGAAGAACCAAGAATTAAAGGCAGATACAAATAGTGTCTTACTTTTTAGTTTATTCAAGGATAATATTGGAAATTATTAAAAAGGTAAAAATTATTAGAAAGGTAAAAAGTATTAAAAAGGTAAAAAGAAATGATAAGAGTGGGATTTGAACCCACGCCTACAAACGTAGACCAGGAAATGATGTCAAGGTGAACCTTAACCTGGCGCCTTAGACCAACTCGGCCATCTTACCATTGCACGTGATAACCGATCCTAGTTAAGAGACTTAGACATAGTTTTATCTAATTTGAAGACACATGCCAAGTGCTTCGGAGTTTTCTTTGAATGCTCCCAGTCGTGAAGATCCCAGGAACCAAACGAATTAGAGTGTAAAGATAATAATTTCCTAGACTATTTGTGGTTGTTGCTTGCTCGGGTTCTTCCTTCCAAATTTTCTTCCGTGGCTTAGATATATGTAGTCCATTTAGGTTCAAATGTTTGTTTGTTTACCGTATTCCTGCATAATAAATTGCACAACTGCATCCATGGATCGGGTTAAAGTTGCGACGAAGATATGAAAACCCTAGAGATAAGCTTCCAACACAGCACTGGATAGTCTAGAGTAGTTTCATACCCATCGTAAATTTCGACCTTGATTGATACAGATTTTTGGAGTTTTCCGAGGCTCCAAACAAGCAAACCCTTTTCAATGTTGTGAACGCCTGCACAGTGGACAGTATGGAATACTGAGATATTTTTAAGGAGAGAGGGATACTTAGTCCAATTGCACTATCTAGCTGAAGTATGGGCAATGGTTGCGTTGTAGCTCTGGATCCGACGGGACCCGACGGGCCAAGCATATTCGGTATTATTGCCAAGACATGTAGGATTAAATTCTCAATAAAAGCAATGGGACAAGCTAATCTCACCCGCTTTCTTCCCCAGATAACTGAATAAGCTGATCTTACATTGTCCATTATCTTCAATCTAGAAAGGATCCTGCCCCGCACACCCGCGATGTGGAGATCAAAAACTTCGACTGGGAACAACATAACCCCAACTTAGTTGTTGAACGCAATTCCAGGGAATTCGAACGTATGCAGGAACATTTGAACTTCGTTGCACGGGTTTCTTCCTATACGCTGACTGGCCAATCCAAGGAAATGCAGCCTGACGCCTCTCAGCGGCTGGTCCCTTGTCTTTGCGGGTGAGATTGTGCAGAAACCAGAGATACACCCCACGTGCATATTATCAAGGTTCGTCAGGGACCTTAATCAATTTCATCCAGTCAAAGGCACGCACAGAGTTCCCTTGGACCCCTCGAATACCGGTGGAGCCCGGTGCCCTGCAGCGCTAGCCCCGCCAAGAGTCCTTTTGTGAATGCTATCGACCAGTAGAATGTTCTTATCTTCCCACTGACAGGACCCTTGAAACATTTGTTCTCGCTGCAACACTGAATAATTACTTGGTATCATCAGAACAGAGGTAACTGCCAACCCCTCAACAAGATTCAGTTGAGCGAGGACTACTACGAAAACAATGTATAAATACACCGCCTGTCCCCTTCAGTTGTTTCTTCCAACGTGTGAATAAAGCTTTTCGCATCCTACTTCTGAATACTATACTGTGCACTCAACTCCCGTCATGGCAGCCTTATACAAGGTCGCTCTCGTCACCTTTGGGCTCATGACTGGAGCCAACGCATGGGGTTCCTTAGGACATGCAACAGTCGCCTATGTCGCGCAGAATTACCTATCTTCCGACACAGCAGCATGGTAAGCTGTCCATCAAGCAAATCACTCATTTAGCTAACACATCCAGGGCCCAGGGTGTTCTCAACGACACCTCCACCTCATACCTAGCCAACATAGCCTCCTGGGCTGACACATACCGCGCAACAACCGCAGGCAAATGGTCCGCTCCCTTCCACTTTATTGACGCAGAAGACAGTCCCCCAACAGACTGCAACGTGAATTACGAGCGCGACTGCGGAGACTCGGGATGCTCAGTCTCTGCCATCGCAAACTACACCCAGCGTGTCAGCGATGGGAGCCTCTCAGCCGCCCACATTGACGAGGCGCTGAAATTTCTTGTCCACATCATCGGTGATCTCACTCAACCACTCCATGACGAGGCTTATGAAGTCGGTGGCAATGATATTGCTGTTACTTTCAATGGCTACAGTGATAATCTGCACTCGGACTGGGATACATACATGCCCGAGGAGTTGATTGGTGGGTACTCACTGGCTGATGCGAAGTCGTGGGCTACTACCCTGATTTCGGAGATTAGTACTGGGAGCTACAAATCCGAGGCCGCGAGCTGGATTGAGGGTGATACTATCAGCGATGCTGTTACCACTGCTACGCGGTGGGCGTCAGATGCAAATGCCTATGTATGCACCGTCGTTATGCCGAATGGATCCGCGGCGTTGCAGACAGGAGATCTGTATCCTACTTATTACAATTCTGTGATCGGGACTATTGAGCTCCAGATTGCCAAGGGAGGATATCGGCTGGGAAATTGGTTGAATCTGATCTACCACACTAAGGTTGCGAAGCGTGATCTTGGAGATGTGCTTGAGGAACGAGATGCCGCTCCGGAGACAGCTGACTGGATGCCAGTGTCTCGTCCGTTGAGTCGGGCTAATATCGCTAGAGCTGCTATGGGTGGATCTTGCTGTGGTTCTGAGAAGCGGAATCACGCACACTGACCTTTTACTGCCGGTCGGGTATTGTAGAGTTGTTACATGAGCGACAGAGATTGATATCGGGGAATTTGCAAGAAAACGAAGTCATGGTAACGTCTTCTGAGACAAAGTGGCACAAGCCTTCAGATATATATTTTACATCTAGTTACAATCATGTTTATTTTGCAGCAGAATTTTTAGCATTGATGTTAATTGAATGTTGGTTTTGTTATTTTCAAATATCGTGCGCCTCAATGTTGAACTTGTCAACGCTGCCACTTTCGAAGATACGAAGTCATGGTTGTTTCTTTGAGATACTTCCAGCTATATTGAATTGGAAAAAAAATTTCCATCAGGCATTGGTGATAATTGTCTCATGGCCCGAAGGCTCTGAAGTAGCAAATACGTTAAGATGCAAACATCCCCTGGAAAAAGAACTCCGATAGGGGGAATCGAACCCCCGGCTGTCGTGTGAGAGACGACGATGTTAGCCACTACACCATATCGGACTGGTATGATGAAACATCAGATTAGGTGTATCGTTATATCGTTATCTCTTTGGTGTAGCGTCATGTAGCCTTTACACTTTTGCCGTGCGTGGTAGTTTAGGTATAGTACCCTCACCCCCCCCAACCCGACATCTCTCTTCTTGATAATTTTTTCTTGCGCTCCTCCCTGCAGATATGAGGCATTTTTACTATAAGCCATTACGACGTATTCATGAGGCTAAAATATGCAAAAAAAGTAAGCAGAAAAAAGACCGGAGCGCATAGAAGGCTATAGTACCTAAGAATTGTCAGTCATAGATATTGATAACATTAGGGAGCGAGAGGACGAACCTGGATAGACTGCTCTGAAATTAAATACTGTTTGACCCCAATCTCCTATTTAGGAACATTTGAACGTGACCGTAGGAGAAACTAGCTATAGTAGGTAGTAAAGAGTAAATTAAAGGTACTAGTGGCTGATTTATAGAGCCTCCTATCGCTGCGTCTTCACATCTCATCACCGTAAGCCTGGAATCTTCCTCAAATGAGTCCCAGAGGGCGCCAAGATGGTATTCATGTCGTGTTTTTACCACACAAACTGCCGACTTATTCTGGTAAATATTGCTGAACTTGGAGTATAACGAATCATTATGTTAGGGATTGCCCTCTGAAACTTAGTAGTATCCATTCTGTTGAATCCTGGAATATGCCTCACCTGTCCTCCACTACTGCTTAGTTACACTTGCGAGAGTTTATAGGGAGGATCATAGTTGCCCGGGTCTGTTGTATTTGTCGTGCCGTTCCAGCAATACTGCTGAAAACATATCATGCACCTCTCTGGAACGCTGGTGCTGGTGCGCTCTAGACTCCGACTCAAGATCGCACAGCCTAAGCATGTCGCCCAGTCGGAATCGACTGTTGCGTTGCCCAGCGTGGCGACGTCATAGCCATTCTCAATAATAGCGTTGCGCTCTGTAGTATTATACTGCAGGTCGAACGTGGATACATTTGACTGGTAGACGTACGGCGCATTCGGAATATAGACTACCAGAGGCGCCGAGCCGCTCACGTTTGAGCTATTACAGCCGAAAAAGGTGGGATGATTGTTAAGTCCTAGGTTGATGAAGGTGTTCTGGTCTGGCACGGACGGGAAGGCAAGATCGCTGCTGTGGCCCAATGAGCTAAGACTGCGCTGGTATGTGGCGACCATGGCAGTACCGTTCGGCCACCGTGTACTCGTATCGGCAGAAGAATCTAGTGCTATGATCACATCTACTTTGCGCTGCGGCTGTAGCAGAGGCTCCAGTGGGATATTTTGCAGATCCTCGCCGCCATCTACCAGGCTTAAAACAGTCGAATTGGCGTATTCGGACTTGCTGGTGTATAGATAGAAGGGGTTCGGCTCGTATACTGCAATATCATTGTTGGCCTCTCCGATCGAGCCCAGGATCCGATTGATGGAATTCTTCATTGCCTGAGAGGCTTCGGTGTTGTTGATCATCAGGAATGCCTGGTTGAAGAGTGATGATGATGTCCCCATGACGAACCCCGCGTTGTCGAATCCCCGAACGCACTTTTCAGCTGTGGGAAGCACCCCCGCAGAGAATTTTGATGCGAGAAACTGAACAGGCACGAAAGCCTCTAAGGGCGGATTGAATGTTCCGAATTCCCAAGGGTTGAATTCAAACACTGTTGTGTTATCCGGAATGAGAACCTGCCCAGGAGCTCTACCATCTGCTACAATAATTGGCATCGGCATACTACCCTTCTGGAAATCCGTGCTTAACGCAATGGATGACCAGGTGTAGTCGATACCACCTTCAGTATCATTTATGAGTTGGTAAGCCAAGGCCCGACCCCTTGATTGCCATATCAGCACTAAAGTGTAGACGTAGGAAAATTCTCAGTCTTACCAGTAGTCAGTGATGGAAGTGTTATAGCCCGCACTATATTTTCCGCTCACGGCGTCTTGTATCTGTAAGAAGTATTCAACTGTCCGAACATCGAAATTTTGGCTCTGCGTCGGGCCAACCAAGATGGAATCTTGGAACAACCACACATTTTTACTATCTCGCAGAGTTGTGATGTCCGTAAAATTGTTAAGATAGATACTCCCTACAAGCCAACTGCCCCCACTCAGTCCCGTGAGGTAAGTTGCTGACTGCAGGATGCCTCCTAAATGACCTCGCAGACTGGAATTGACCGTTCGAGAATCGAAAGCTTGCAGGGCGCCACCGCCATTCATTAGCGCTCGGTAACCACCGCCAGATGCAGCGATCCCAATATTTGGGAGCGCAGATGCATTGGCAGCATTCCTCTCGATGTATGAAGACCCATTCAGATTTCCCAAGTCTAGTCGGGCGAAGAATTGTATCATCGGGTCCACGGTTGCATTTCGGCGTTTTTCTAGCCATTTAGTTTCGTTGATCGATAATGTCGACCCATTGCGGATGGATGGTCTGTTATTAGAACAGACTTTGCTCTGTGGGGTGTATCCATCAGGGGCATCAGGAAGTGCTCTCCTGGTGAGTGGTGATAATTTTGTGATTAGCGAGTATTCTGACTGTGGGTTTGCAGTCCTCCCTCGTATGATACTTCGGTCATTGGGAAGAACATGGGCTGATAGGTGGCTGTATACCCCTTGACATGTAAATATTATAAGGAGCAGCTTGAACATGTTCAAAAAATTCATTTTGATAATTGATAGCAAATTAGAAGCTAGTGGGTTGCAGGGAGTGCCTTGCTTCCGAATCGCGAAGAGTACATCCAAAAGTTTTAGCACACGACAGCTTGGTAAGTATAGTGGTCCACTAACACAATAAGTTACGAGTTAAAATATCAAGGGTAAGATGCTGACGATAAGACTCTTGACGGGTCCATGGACCGACGTTCAAATTAATACGATGGAGCTAGTCATTCGCCACTTGGTCCGGCATCCGTTGATTCCCGCCATTCCTGGGGTCATAAACAACCCAACCTAACTGATACTAGTATCTACTAAAACTCACTAGCGCAGACTTAAACCCGCTCGAACTTTAAGAACCATGAATTTGGGATGTCTCAATAGCGTTTAGAGTTCCAAGGCTACTGTCCTTTCGAACACAACTTGAATTGACTGGATACTTCACTTCTAAGGTTAACAGAGTTGTCGATGGCCTGGATTTGCTCTTGGACCAGATGAATAAATAGATCAGCTATTCTGAGTATGTAATCTGGCAGAGAACCCCTGCCGTTGTCCATCAAAGGAGGCCGGTTGCGAGATACGGACAATAATTACCGGGCGCATTTGACGATGCCTGTATCTAGAATCAATGTGTCATGCTTTCATTGAAGCTCGACATTTGCAACAAGCATTAGGATAATTTAGAACTTCTGATTATTGGTTTGTTCAAGAAATTAGCTCCAGGAGTTCATGTTTCCTATAACTTGTTTAGAGTTTTCAGAGCTCTCAGTCGAACGTCATGAGTTGGTCTGTCTAGGTTGCAACAATTAGTCAAACAATCAATCACCGGCTGCTGAGAATGAATTGGGACAATTTATGATAAGTCATGCGTCATAAATAATGATACTTTGACCAAAATGAATTAGAGTTATGCTTGGACATGTAGTCAGGTGACCTCCGTTTGCTCCAGAGCTTCTCCCACCTCTATCCCTCTCTATTACTTCCTTCTCCATCTCTCTCGAAATAAATATGTTTTCCGTTCAACTATCTCTTTCCACGCTAACATGTAGCACTTTTCTTCCCCTGGAAGACAGCAGGATCTAGCCGTCGACACCTATTTTGCGACAGCCTTTTGTGCACTTGAATTCAGTCTATGGTTAGGGGGATTGCTGAATTGAAAATACTTCGAGTTTGATTCAGAAACAACTACAGACAACACTCACCCCGGCTTATTATGGAGCTAATGACTCATGGATGAGAGGGTGAGAGGGTGAGAGAAAGCCTCCTGGCAGATCCGATATTTTTAAGAAGACAATGCCGCCACAGGGGGAACTCCAGCTCTTTCCCGAGCTAAACCCATCTCCACCTCTATATCGACTCCATTGGACAATCTTACGGTTCCAGTACTGTTGGCTGTCTCAAGATAGGACTCCCCATTTTGGACATACCATGCCAGTTGTTTCTTGAAGCTTCGCACCAGCAAAGGTGGTAAAACTCGCTGTGCACGGAGAAGAAGGAGGAAATCCGAATGAAACCCTTCCCGTTGTACGAGCATGTCGATCAGCCAGTCAACTGCCCCAATCCCCATACTCTTTGGATCGTTTATTTGCGACGCTATTTTGTGGAGGATTCCTTCGGGCAAAGTCGACTGGTAGTCAAGAGCTCGAACAGCACCCCATCTGACCTGCTCGTCCGGATCGTTCATTCGGGCTACTAGCAAGTCCAAGATATCATCTGATAAATTTGACTGTTGACTGAGGACTTGAAAAGCAGCTAGTTTGACCCTCTTGTTGTGATAATCGACTCGTGCCACTATCGCAAGACGGTGTTTCTCTGACAGTGACGGGTAAATAACGCTGACTGCTTGCATGGCAGCTTCTGCAACTTCTGCATCTGAGTCCTCAATCTTCGTCATGATTTTGTCGATGATCTCTGGCAAATCTGACAAGTATGACTGGCTGCTCACGGCATTTATGGCGGCTGTCCTGATGAGAGAATCTTCATCCTCGATACAATCCACGATCTTAACAAGGACCCCCTTTGGTAAGTTGGACTGATGTTCGAGAATTTTCAGGGCGGCTTTTCTGGTGAGCTTGTTTTTCTCAAGTTTGGCACCTATCTCGTGGACGGTTCCCTTTGCTAAGAACGCCTGGCGACATAGGGCACTGATTGCTGCCGTTCTAACCTGAGTGCTGTCAACCTCAAGTTGCTCCACTATCAATTCAAGAATCAAATCTGACAAGTCTGACTGTCCCGCCATTGCTTCAATGACTGCGCATCTCATCTGCTTGTTCTGAGATCCCAAATGCATTACCAAAACCCTGAGGGCTTCTTCTGACAGTTTCGACTTGTGACACCAGGCTTTGAAATCGACAGATTGGGGCCATTTGTCTCCATCCCTGATCCCTACCACGATTCCAGTAAGCAGATCATCTGGACAATTCGAAATCTGACTTAGAACCTTGAGGCAAGCCGCTGGAACTCTAGTGAGTCTTAAATTGACGAGAGCCGCCAATGATCGAGCGAGGTTCTCTGGCAAATTTGATTGTCCACGTAAGGCATTTATAGAAGCCCATTTGACGCTGTTGTGTTGATTATTGATTTTTGCCGCTATGGATTCAATCACTTCTGTGGGCAAGTCCAATTGAAAGCGCGCGGCATCGCTGGCAGCCTCTCTGACATTCTTGTCGTGATTTTCAAGACTTGCAACAAAGTCCTTCAATTTTTCTTTCGATATCAACTGGCCGCCTAGGACGCGGCAGGCAACTCCTCTTCCCCTGTGATCTAGATGCTCCAATCTTGCCGCTATGGTGCTGATAAGTTTGTTCGATAGTACATGAGGGCCCAGGGCGTATCCGGCAGACTGTCTCACATCGTGGTCTTTATTCTCAAGATGCAAGACCATGGAGTAAAGAGTCTCTTCCGTTAATTTGTCTTTTGAGCGTCCGAGCAGCCCAAGTATGGATTTCGTTAGCTCATTTGATATCTGGGCGTTTTGAAGAAGCGACGTCGCAATTTTCATGATTTGAGATGGTATCTGACGACGCTGTTTCATTGAAGAAACAGCTATCATCTTAACCTCATCGTTCTCCTGTAGCACGCCAGCCAGGGCTTTCTCAGGAAATTCGATCTCACTCAATAGCGTAATTGCTTCCTTGGAAAAATTGCGATTCAGGTCCCTAATTGACTTGCATTGGAATACTAACCATGTGGATAAATGGCCTTCAAGCTTGCTCCGAAGTGAAAATGACTCAGATTGAGCTTCGTTCAAGCAATGCATAAGAAGCCGCTGATGGACAGGGCCTAGGAGATCAAGTGGTTTCCCATCCAGTGCCCTAAAGAATCTCTCTGTCTCTTTTGGTTTCTTGTCCAAGTCTAGTAGACCAGCAACAAACCGCCAAACTATGTTGTAGCGAGCGTTATATTTGTTTCTCTCCAGAAACTTTTCTGTTGGTATTGAGACTTCCATGCCGGTAGTCAGATCCAAAAATCCTAAGTTCTTGTTGGCTTTCCAATGGCGCACGAAATACCGCGCGGCAAAATACTCCTGAAATGTCAAGTGAAGGAAGTGGTAGTGCCTTTTTTCTAAGCGCGAATGAGCTCTCGAAGAAAGGTCAGAGCTTCTTAAAAAGGATAGCTTGCTGAGCACATGATCAAATGTCTTGGTAGGTGCGGCTCGATTTGTGATTTCATCGCGATCTTTGGGTTCCAGAATATGCTTGCGATGAGTGGGCGAAAAATTGACGAGATTGGAACACATTCCAGCAAAGGCAAGACGCTCTAAAATATGAGGCACTTCTCCAGATAGTTTGTGATATTCAGGTGAGGCAACTAAATACTTTGGACGCTCGAGTTTTTCATTGTCTTTCTCCCAAAGCTTTGCCTCAATAGCAGCGTAGATAGCGGTCATTGTTTGGGGATGAATGGCCTGTTCCTCAAAGTCATCCCACTTCCAACAGAGGGCATCTAAGAGAATTGGGATTCGCATGAGACTTTGGATCAGACGATGCTTTTCAAGATATGATAGGATCTGCGTGCACTTGTTCTGATCGGCGAGCTGTGTGCCGGGAAAGTATCGGATAACATAGTCTTCGACTTGATGAGGGTAGAACCCAATAGTCTCCAACTCAAGATGAAATTCTCTACTGAGTCGCATCGGAAGTGATGCATGTGGGCGAGAAGTCACGATGATGTTAGGTAGTCCCACGAGGTATTCGAGTAGCTTATGGCCTCCGTTCAATTCTTCTGATACCTCATCCAACCCATCAAGGAGGAAGAGTGTCCTGCGATACTCTGATGATTGCAATGCAGCCCATACATCATGAGCAAGGACCTGCTTTCCTGGGATGTCGAAGAGATATTCCTCACGAAACAGGTCTTCGATGTCTTTAACCATTCCGTTTGTCTTGAGTTCTCGTAGAGGTAACCAGAATATACGTTCAAAAAGGTCATTCCACAGGCGACCTTTAAGAAAATCGTAAACAATTTTTTTGCACAGTGTCGTCTTTCCAATACCAGCACGGCCTCGAATCAACACTCTGCTTGGTACTTGTCGTCCTGCGCGTTCTTCGAAGATATCTGGTAGATTAAACTGAATTTCTTCATCAGGTGTTTCTACTTTCAGTCGAGTGGTGAGTGAGAATGGAGAAGGTGTTTTGGCACCTCAACTTTCTTGGAGGATCCATTCTCTTTGACTTCCTCCTCCACAATAGCAAGATTGATGTAGCATGTATTCATCGGTAACAAATCGCCAGACAGACGTTCAATGTGAAGTCTCCTCTTGTCGTTGTAAAATCTTTGTAATTCTTTGTCCATTTTTTGAAGTGGACTTGCCTCGCGGAGGTCTTCAAGATATGCATCTACATTGGAAAATCAGCACACTCTGTAAGGTAATATCAGGCATATATTGGAAATAGATCAGACAAGTATGCGTGGTATTCATGCTCAGCTAAATGAAGTATTATTTGCCCCTAATTTGGCAAATCTGGCTTCCAGCTCATCGTCCACGGACCCTTTTCCGTCTTGACCCACAATAAATGATGCGGCATTCAACTCACACTTCTTGAGCGCCGCTTCGTAGATATCCACGATGTTACTCAACACGCGCTCGAGGTTATCCTGATCTGGCTGGCTCGGGCCAAACTTGCACACCGTACTGTGGTCTGCGATGAGCATGACGATGTTCTCGCGATCTCCTGGCAGGTTAAATCGTGAGCTGTCTCTTGAGACAACCTAACGCTGCGTCATTATAGTAGCAAACCCATACCCTAGCCTTTTTTTACTTACTGTATCCTTCGAACCCCAAAAGGAGATGATACTGTACTTTTCTAGTTGATGCCTCCACTGTTCATGCATACCATCCGAGAAGATGCTTCCCTTCTTCAATGTCTCTAGCACATTATGCTTCTTGTATCCGAGAAACTCAGCAATTCTGGCAGGCACATTTCCAAAGCCAATCAAGATACCGTTGCCGCCACTGTGCGGTGTGGCAAAAAATGCCAGCCCTGTTGCTGCCTCTTTAATCGATTTATGACTTTGGTTGTTGTTGTTGTGCGCATTAATTAACGCCTGCTTGATCAGTAGACCACCCATACTATGGCCAAGAAACAGGATTGGCCGGGACTCTGCGCGTTTTCGCTTCGTTCGGATTGCCTCAAGCAGATCATTTGCCTTGTCGATAAAGGTGCCCTGGTCTTTCCCATAGACCACTGTGGCGTCGTATTCGTAAAGGAAGATGCGCTATTCAGGCACTGACGAGGGTAGGTCGTCACGAAGCCAGAGGCGACCTTTTTCTCCCGATGGCGTGCGCCATGTATCCCACGCGTGGTCAGCCTCAGCTTTGTTTAGAGGGTTCAGGCCGTGGACTGCGATGATGCTGCATATTGTAAGATAGGGCATCGCTTAGAGAGCGTAACACCTACTCGACCTTAGCGGTATCGATTTGTTTTGTAGTTTCTGCTGCCGGGTCGGGGTGCAGTTGTCGTAGAGGCTATTTTATGTGAGTAGGGCCACGTGTATACCGGTCTGCAGCAACTGACCATCGTGAGAATTTGAACACACAGCTTGTCTGGTTGACCAGACGTTGAATCCTGCTACGGATATAGGCTGCGGAGATTTGAGAGAAAGGCCGCAGCCCCGTCCAGCTGAAATCGCATTCAACACCACTTGTCCATCTTGGGTTTAGCCTTGGCCCCAGGTGAAGCGAGCCAGTCATGATGAGCGCTAAAAATCCTACATAGCATAGTGTCTAGGTGGCTTCCTGAATAGGCCTAGATTAACAAATACTTTCACTGTAGTTGGGTTCGGAATCTTGTCTCAGTCAAATTTAACTGGAAGCTGGCTTTACCAACTTTTATTGGAGTGTGGGGTCGGCTGACCCCGGCCCGTTTGCTCCAGCGCATGCAGGTCTCAGTTAGATCTCTCTTTCTCTCTCTTTCTCTCTCTTTCTCTCTTTCTTGTCCCTTGAGTATGTTCCCACGTAGCCATTTCTTCCACTGGCCGACAGATCAGCTGTCGACAATTTTGATGTTGAATTCGAGTAGGCATACTGACTCTAGTCATTACTGTTACTCCCAGTGTGCCACTTATAACATCCTATGGATATGGGATGGATGTTAGGTGTTATAGCAATCGCCGATTAGGTGCATCTGTAGGGCGCATATAGTAATGTTATTGTCATATCAGCTTGGTTTTTAGGATTTTTGTCCCCAACCACTCCATTGTATGCACGCACTTCATTAGCTCCACTTCTGTAGTATCGTATTCTTCGTACAAAGTCTCACAAACTGGTTAATGAGTACAATCACGTGATGGATTGCGCTCACGGATTTGATTCGATTTTGTCTCGCCGGTTAACTAAAACAATAGTTACTATATGGCCTTATCATGGTTATGTAAAAGATTTACTATTTTGATAAGGTGTAGTCTATGGGTATAGTATACTAGAGGCTTTCTGCCACGCTTTTCGCGCAGAGCCTACCTATGTATTATACCATATCTCCTACTTAGTTTCCCACTGTGTCTCAGTCTCCCACTCAGTCTTCCACTCAGACTTCTACTCAGTCTCCTACTCAATAATCTACTCAATCTCCTACCCAATCTCCTATCTAGTATTCTACCTTCTTTCATGCCGGATTAGTTAAATAGTCAAAGGGCTTTCCAAATGAATATATAGCGCAAAAGAAACAAATGAAGAAGAAAAAAAAAAGGAAAGAGCAGAAAAGTGAAATGGAAGGAGGAGGGAAAAGAAAGAAATTCGACAACCAAGGCAGTATCCCCAGCCTTTGTTCTCAAGCCGGAGAAGTGACTGATTTCTTTCTCTTTTCTTTGCATTAGGACATAGTATAGTCTGTATTTTCCGTGGAAAGAGCTGAGAGACCTCAATATTCAGTGACTTGAGGAAGAAAAGGAAACATTCGAAAATTTGTTTGGAGTATAAGGAGAAGCAAATGCGGTCAGCGACTGCAGCCCATGAGGTCCGAGGAAGTTGAAAAGCCAGACAACAGAAGACTGATATGGCCCGACATGTACACTCATTCGCCGCACTGACCCCATCACCTCCATCCCCACATCTTTGCCCCACTCAACAACAAGGCGCGGCCTGGAGTTTCAAAGCCGACTCTTGATTATCGGTCCGGGGATGCATTATGCCGGTTCATGGCATGATCCCAGTCAAGCCACGTTGTATGACAACATACGTTCACCGGTCACCTGGTCACCTGGACAGAGACTCCATGTGGATACCGGGGCGGGTCTTCCGACCAGAAAACAAAGATCGCGGGAACGAATCCAAATCAAAGGATGCGGGTGGTTGGATTTTCACCGATCGGCTTTCAAAGGTCTGAGCGCGAGGAAATTTGTTCCCGACCCGATCGACTCCGATATCGAACGTGGTGTTGGACATCTCCCGTTTCGGTCATGAGTTTCCTGGAACTTCTGAGCGGCATGGGGTACCCCTTCGCCTCCGTACATGGGGTACGCGAAAACTTACGTGGGGGAAAATTTGGGGACCACGGAGATTTTCCCTGTCGTTGGATCTGGGGCAGGTAAAACGTGCATTGGATGATATTTGATTGGAGAGAATGTTGTTAAACTGGAGAAGCCCCCTCATGTACTGTACCCCAGGGTCCACAATGGGGAGGATTTCGGACAACTTCCGTTCCCCAGATCCAGATCCCCCCGCGTCTATGTAAGTGTAACCTGCCGCACACGGTTTGGCTTTTTTTTTTCTTCATTCTCTCTTCAAACTGTTCTTCTGCACTGCCAAATTGTCCAAGGACCCCTGTTTTCGGTCTCTGTGATATTTTTTCTCTCGAGTTCCTGGATCTATACAAAGCTTATCTATCCGCCAAGCGCCATGGCACTCGCCAAGCTGCGTGGGAAGAAGCTTGGCCGCGTCATTAGCCTCATCGGTGCCGTCGGTTTTATTCTACAAGGCTATGACCAAGCTGTAGCTAACGGATTGCTCACCTTGGCTTCTTTCATTACTGTGTTCCCGGAGATTGACACATTGAATACCACTGGGGCACAGAAATCGCACAATTCGACCATCCAAGGTGAGTAAGGATATTTTCTCCGAAGAATGTGACACTGACATGATATGACAGGAACTACGGTCGCGATCTACGAAGTCGGATGTGCCCTCGGTGCATTTGCTTGTGGTTTTCTAGGTGATCGACTCGGTCGCCGAAGAACTATATTCTTTGCAGGATGTATCGCCTTGGTGGGAATCATCATCCAGGCTACACCCTTTTCTCTCGGCCAGCTGATCGCGGGTAGAGTTATCACTGGTATATATATCCACCCAGGTGTCTGACTTCATGACCTCTACTAACATATCCAGGTCTGGGTGTTGGTGGCTTCACCGCCACAATTCCTATGTACGTATCCGAGTCCTCCGATGCCGAAGCCCGTGGACGAATGGTTCTGCTCCAGGGTTGGTTCGCCATTGGTGGTGTCGCTTTTGCGACATGGTTAGAGTTCGGTCTGTACTACGCAGGCACCAACTCTGCTAGCTGGCGATTCCCTATCGCATTTCAGGCCATCTTCGCCATCTTCGTCGTCTCCTGCATTCTATTCATGCCCGAGTCACCCCGTTGGCTCGCGAAAGTAGGCCGAATCGAAGAAGCGGCAGAAGTACTTGCACGCCTGGAAGACGTCTCTGTTGACTCGGAACATGTGGCGCAGGAACTGGAGATCATCCGGCAATCCCTTAAAGAGAACGAACAAGATGAAGCATCAGCCTCTTCTTCACCTTTCGCGCGTACCAAGAACCGCCATCTCCACCGCACTGTCCTCGCGATTGGAGTGAACATCCTGGCCCAGATGACCGGTGTCAACATTATTACTTTCTACTCCGATACAATCCTGGAAACAAACCTCCACTACTCAGGAACCATTGCGCGTATCGTCTCGGGGTGTCTACAAATCTGGCAATTCTTCGCCGCGGGTCTAGCCGTCCTCTTAATTGACCGCTTCGGCCGTCGCCCCCTCCTCATCACCGCTGCGATCGGTATGACAATTGCTCAAACCTGTCTCGCAGGCTTATCCAGCGACCTCTCCAACACGGGCGCAGCAAGTGCTTCGATAGCATTCTACTTTGTCGCGCTATTCTGCTTTCCCATCGGCTTATTCCTCGTTCCATTCATGTATGCCGCGGAAATTGCTCCTCTCCGCACCCGTGCAAAGGTCACCGCTATGTCTGCGGCGTCGAACTGGATTTTCAGCTTCGTCCTCGCTGAGGTCTCGCCGACTGGATTTGCCACAATTGGATACAGGTACTATATTGTTTACGCATGCATCAGTGCTTTTGGTCTAGCTTTCTTCTACTTCCTTTGTCCGGAAACGAAGGGACGTACGTTGGAGGAGATTGATGAAATCTTTGTGAACTCGAAGTCTTTCTTTGACACTGTTCGCGTTGCAAAGGAGATGCCTTATCAGACGGAGCTTCTCGCTTATGCGGAAGATACTGAGAAGATGGGTATGGAGGGTGAGAGGATTGAGAACGTCGCCTTGGAGAAGTCTGAGTGATAGATATTTTGAGGATGTCTCGTTGATTGATGAATGTATACAAGGTTTTAGATGTATTGGTTACATTAAATGTGAAATGACACATATGATTAAGGACTATTTCAGGCAATCAATCCCTCAAGGTAGCACTTCTCTCATCCCTACTCTGCAACGAAATACACTCATACATCCCCATCCGAATACTCTTCTACACTTCAACTACATTTCCACCCCACCCTGACCACCACCGACGTGTGTGGCGCTCCCACAGCCGTCGCAGTGGATCTCCAAACCCATCCGGCTAACTCACCCGCCCAATCGACGAAAACAGACCACTACGACTCGACGCGTTCGGGCAATGGTTAACTTAACAAGCTCCCATGTGTTCAGGGGCAAAATGTATGATCATTAGATCCAGGAACAAAAACAACAAGACGAGATTCAGGTTTGCAGTAGCATGATTGGTGTGGATACAGCAAGTGCTTAGACTCGGACGCCGATGGTAGCCTCAAAGCATTCCTCGTGGAATTCACATGTAGATCACATTCCGCCGGCATATGAAACAATGTTCGTCGTCGGGAAAGAGCCGTGGGAAACATACTCCGGCTTCCCGTTTTCGTAAGTGGCTTTTTTGGCTAAAGAAGTTTATTTCGAGCTCCGGCTTACATTTCAACTGCTGATCATTGAATTCCAAGGTAATCGCTGTACCTGTTTGAGCATTGAATATGCATTTTGCAGCGATACCATGGTTCCTAGGACAATGAACAAGGGTCAAAGTTTCCGGTAATTTCTTGCACTTTGTTTTCGTCAGGAACCAAAAGTTGATTTGAGGGGTTCGCCAATGAAACTGATGATGTAGATATGGTGAGGTCATAGTGCAATGCATTAGGCTGACAGTTTATTTTTATCCGGGAATCGGATTAAGCTTATGGTACTTTTGTGGGGAAGATAGGTCCAGAGTTCAGACATTCCAAATGAAAGAATCTCCAAGTGAAAAATATTATCAGTGCGCGAATATATCCCTTGGGATCGACATGATCGACAAAGGACGCATGAACACGGCGATGATGATAGCTTCGAGTTGTAAATGACTCTTCCTTGAGCCTATTACCTGCACATCTGGTGTACTATGTAATCATTGACATCGGAGATTTAACTTCTTTAAACTTAAGTTGTTGAAGGTGTAAGTTTGTCTGCATTGTTTGGCGTTCCTCGTGATCTTGGCACGCGGAGATAATTCATGTTCAGATGTTGTTGGTATGTTATATTAATTCTTAGTTCAAGCGACGCAAATTGACCAACATTCGAATGCGTCTCTCTTGTATGCATGAGTAAAACAGGGATACAATCAGTTGAATGTAATTTCCTTCTTAATTTGCATCAACTCTAAGATGATCCATATGCCAGGTAGAAAGCTCGGATGTCATCCGGAATGCGGGCTTTACCGAAAACAGCGAGCCCCAGAGTGTACCTACATTTCTGTCAGCCACAAGGGGCAGGTTGCATTCCACGATCTTTGAACCACCTCATCTAAGAATCTTCGCCAACGTTACATGAATCTGAGGTCCCCAAAGACATAAATAAGGCAATCCGTCGCCCCGTCTTGCCGTTTCTCATCCACACTCAAAAGCCTATTCCAACCTACCAAACCAATCTACTTTGTGAGTTACGAGCTGTCTATCCAGCGGAGCTCATCAACTTATCAACCACAGCTCTACCATCAACATGAAGTTCATCTTCGTTACTCTTGCTCTTGCCGCCTCCGCCATGGCCGGCGTCACCGGTGATAAGGGCGACAAGGATACCAAGAAGGCAACCTGTGATGTCGACCAGACCGTCGTCTGCAAGGACAACGGCAACGGCGGTCTCATTTCTCTGGGCAACATTGCCAACGGTGCTCTCGGTGACTCCTGCTCCGGTGATGTCTACTGCTGTGACAAGTCCGGCACTGAGGTAAGATCTGCTCGAATCAATCATGTCCAGTTCCTCGCTAATCAAGTATTCAGGACGGCAACCTCCTCAACCTGGATGTCAACGCCCAGTGCTCTCTCGCCCACCTCCTGTAAGCGTCTGTTGCCACTTTGGCTGCAAGCCACATGGCCAAGCAGATCGCGATGAGCTCTGTATGAACTTGACTCGCCTTATGCGATGCATGTATTCTATAGTTACAATCAACAGGATTATTAATTCTAATCATCAAACCTTTGGAATTCATGTAAAGAAATTTCCAATCCCCGCACTTCGCCCGTGTAACCCACAAAGGAACGGCCCTGTGGGGACTAATGAGCCGCAAAGCTTGATCTCCAGTTCCCCAGGAGCTCCACTCTGGGTTTGACTTAGTGAAATTTAGGAAATAGAAGATATTTACAGAAATTTTTAAGTCCCGCATTTGGATATGTAGCATTGTGGCTTTTTGGTGGCGTTTGTGGTCCGGAGAACCCGTCCAGGGCGCAGTGGGGATAGAAGCTTCACTTCTCATTCCTACCAATCTGTACCAATCTGGTCTCGACATTTGCGCTGGAAGTATCTTCCGAAACGCCACATGCGCCACTGACAAGTCTCCACGCAATGACTTTGCATGCCAGATACGCTGCATGTCCATGGTATGCTGGAGGTGATGATCATTAACTATGCCATCTCGTGGCTAACGGCCATCAATCGAATTTTTGTATGTGTGGCTACATATCGATCATAAATCAAGATCTACGAAAATTTATGCATGCTGATACGGAAGATACGAATATTCCATGATAAAGTTCCAGGTTCATTAAAGATTAAGATACATATTCCTTCTCGGACATCTAAAGCAGGTTGTTCAGGCTGCACTGGAGGTCGAGGTTCAGGTTAATCAAACCAACCTAGAATCAAAATTAGTATTGGTCCGCCCAAGCTTTAGTTAATAGAAAAACATACCTGGTTGACATCCTCAGAGTCGCAGCAGTAGACATTACCGGAGCAGCTCTCACCCAGAAGACCGTTGAGAAGGTTGCCCAGAGACAGCAGACCACCGTTTCCGTTGCCACTGCAGACGACGGTCTGGTGGACATCACAGGTTGGCTTGTCATTGTCATTGTCATCATCCCAATCCTCGTCATCGCCCTTGTTGCCGTCGACAGTGGGCATAGCGATGGCAGAAGCGGCCAAAGCCGCGAGAATATAGATGTACCTCATTTTCGATGTGGGTTGAACTTTGATCTGTATATCCAAGTCAGAATATGATATGGCAAGCGACAGGTACAGGTGTAATATACCGGGGATGATAGAGGATGAGATGGGGGTTGAAAATTTTCAGGTAGGTCAGCTCAGGGGTTTTAAATGATTAGCGTGCGACCCAAATAGAATGACCTTCATAGTCATTGACGTAGATGAAAGCAAGCCATTTTCTACAGCGTAGTATGACTCCACAAAGTTGTTCCTATTGTATACCTGCATGGTCAAATCTGGCTAGGAACACTTCCGGAAACGGGATCGCGACCAGAGTGAACAACCAACAACCTATAAAAGAGATTTAATGATCCACCACCGGGACCCACATATAGCCAAATGCGATAGATAAAACGAGAGATCAAATGGCTCACGAAAATCGGGCGTCGAAGAAGGAAGGGCTTGATGATGATCTATAACGTCTCATTTAGAGTCGATGTCACTGTCTTATGCAACAGCGATAATTGGGCGAATAGTAAGTTCCTGGCTTGAGAATTACTTATTGGGTTAGTACTTCGACTTCGGTAACCAGCAAATTCAGGAGATGCTGCATTCAAATTTTCGAAGCTGTCTTGTATAACTATCTTGTACTCAAAGGTTAGGGTTTACACCCACAGTTTAATGGAAGCTGAGTGGTCGGTGCAAGGGATTTCTCAGCAATAATTTATCTGTAACCTCGAGAAAATGGGTTTCCCGTGGATGGCTTGATCTTCAAATAATTTGTTTCTATTGAAAATGCATGTATTCTTACAAACTACCGGATTTGTGAAATCGGAGCGTTTGAGCACCGATTTCACGAGCGACCGCTTCGCCTATATACTACCTTGATCATTCCCAGATATATAAGCGCAGAAGATAGAACCCAAAGATCCGCATTTGCGCCCCAGTCGTCGACGGATCTCACCTATTCCGTTGAGATGGCCATTGAACAAACGTCGATGGCTTTACCAAACAGGAAAAGATCGGCCGGTTAAACAGCGATCTTGAGCTTCAACAGCAGTGCGAAGTAATCGATTCCGAATAATTTACATAGAATTAAATTACAATCCAATCCACGTCTAAATAGATTGATCCACCCGACTCTGTATCAGCCGAATATCATCCCTAAAAGCCAAAAGCACCAACGAAAAAAGCAACGTCACAGCCAACCCAACGCCCCCATAATCGTTCGCGAAAACCACAACCCCATACCCCCCAACATACCCCAATTCCTTCGGAACCAAGCCCCAGCTTTCGTCCGCCAGCATTGGAATTACAGCCAATGCAAACGACCCGACTAAGCCAATCTCAGCACCAGAGGGCTCGCCCTCGCGTAGACGCGCAAAGCTAACAGCAAAAACGGCGCTGAAGATGTGGCCCAGGATAATCGCCGCGGGTGTCTTGGTGCGGATTGATTCTAAGGCACTACCGATGAAGGAGAAAAGGGCGAGTACTAGGGAGGTGTTTGTGGGAAGGGATTCGAGGGATTGTTGGATTGTTCCTGTGCGCGTGTATGCGATCGCAGCTGTAGTGAGGAAGAGGGCGATTGCCAGGGTGCCGGGGTTTGGTCGAGACTGGGAGATTTTAGTTGTTGGGTAGATTGAAAGCTGAAGGGTCTTACCATGGCGTTTCTGGTTTATCATGTCATGAAATGATTTGCGTTTGGTTTTCGTTATTTGGAAGCGTCGGAGAGTGGATGTTTACGGCCTTTATATTCAGGCCAAAATTATCTGACGGGGTAAACGGCTGGTTATAGTAGGCGGTGTTCAGAGCGGTCTGACTTTCAGCAGTTTGGTTGCAGTAACTAATTGTTTCTGCGTAGTGGAAGAGAGTGAGATCAGCTGAGAAATACCACGGTTCTCGGGATCACCATTTGTTTTACTTTAATTATGAAAATCGATTGGCCATAGAGCCCACCAAGCTTCCCCTTAGCCAATATGTACTATGATGAGTGATGGCATTTGCTTTCTTTATGATTGGACTGAGAATAAATTGCATAGTATTTATTGCTTTCCTTTACAGGTTCTCGTTCATGAACTCAGAAATGTTCTTGACAGCCAGATCAACATACTTTTCGCGATCATAAAAGTCCATATGTGTTCCATTAGGAACAATCAGCTTCTTCGTAGCACCTCCAAGTAGCTTATCGAGCTTCTCAGTGTGCCACAAAGAGCCTGCCTTCTCACCCGCGATGAGCAAAGTGGGCTGTGTCAGATAAAGATCCGCGAGGTGAAAAGCATCGAAGTTCAGCACGAGTGGAAAACTCCGAAGCAACATTTTGTTGCAAGCACGAGGGTGCTGAGCTCTCGGGGTGAGGTAGTAATCGTGAGCCTCCTTCATATCAGCGGGAGTCTTGTCGTCCAGCTGGGGAGGCACATAGGGTGCGGCTGCAGGCTCGGCTCCGTTGTTTTCGGCGGTGATTTGCTCAGATGCCATGTCGAACGCGCCAATCTTTTGTTTCGGGTCTTCGTCGGCATCCCAGCCCAGACGTGCCGAGTCGCCAATGTTGACCATACTGACCGTGGCAAGGGCCTTCAGGCGGTGGTCTGCCTTAGCGGCCGCGGCCGCATATCCACCTCCTGCACATATACCGACGATGGCGATTCTATCAGGGTCGACGAAGTCGAGTTTTTCGAGGTAGTCGACGACACTGAAGACGTCGCTAACACGTTGCGAGGGATCCTCGAGGAAGTGGGGCTCACCGCCACTTTCGCCCTGGTGGGACGCGTCGTAGCAGACAGTCACGAAGCCATTTTGGGCGATCTTCTTCGCGTAAAGGCCTGCAGTCTGCTCCTTGACACCACCACCGGGGTGGACGATGACAAGAGCTGGAGATCTAGAGGATGTGGTTGGCTTGTGGAGGAGGCCGGCCAATTGGATGGGGCCCTTCTGGATGGTAATGGCAGACATGAAAGCTTGGGGTAATGAGTCTGGGAAATATGCAATGAAAGATCGGAATGTTCCTATTGAGCCTCAGAATTATGGTGAGGTGCTGCTTGAGTCTTATAACTTCCCAACTTGAGATTTGATGATGACGTGACCCCGAATCTTATCGGCGAGTCCGAGAATTAACGGACTTAACTTGTCATCTTATCCAGGCGGAAATGGCCTGTAAATGATGGCCTGAACTTTACATAGTCATCACTTAATTAACGCCTCTATCTCCGATTAACTAAGATCCGTCAAAGTCACCTGAGATCGAGTGTTTCTTTGAATTGAAACCTCGCTAGACGATACCCGTCCTGTGGATCCGCTCCACAATTGCCGCTGCTCAACCAGTCAGCCACTCCGGGTTTTATATCTTAAGTCCGGTGTAGCCGTGACTCTCTATGATCTGTGCTCAATTTTTGTTGCTGCATCATTCCAACAAGAATCACAATGATAATAATAATAGTAGGCATAGAACCACATTCTTGGCTGTACAATTTCCTAAATCCACTCATGGAGGCTATCTTACAAGTGTCGATATTTTCTGCTCTGGAATCTGCAGGGCGGCCATAACATGTCCACAAAGACCACCAAAAAAGACCCCAGCCAAGCCCGGGCTAACGCACAACGGATAAACTTCAACTGTACATCTGCGCTTCCATCCGCTAGATTGTCGAGAGTATATAGATTATATAGATATCCATAGACCGACACCGTCGACATCGTCTCCTCGTCTCCAAATACTTCCACACCAGCATGAGCATGTCTAGATCGCCCCAGCGCCAAAACGCGGGTTGAAGCGGGTTTTAGACCAAGGACCGCTTACGGGTGCCCGCCCCTGGATTCTTGGCGGATACCCGCGGTACCCTGCGGGTAGACCCCATTTGACACATTCTCTATGCGGCTATTTTTGTTGATAAACATGGCTAGAAAAATAGGCCTTTGCTTTTGTATAACCTTGTAGATAAGACGACAAGGGACCGCATGTGGCGACGGTAAATGAGGCACAGTCCGATGATAAATTTATATACATTTGGTTTATTAATATCCAACAAAATCAGTTATAATACAAGTTATAATACAAGCATTGAAGGGGAAACAGAATAAAATGTCTTGCTCAGAGAGCAAATTGCAAGACTGCGACAAGTCCACACATAAGGCTTAGACCTCCAGACAGAATGCTCATCTGGGAGACCGAGGCACCAGTATAAATAGCACCGCTGGAGCTCAGAGTCGAAGATGCTGGGGTAAAGCTACTACCGACGACTGACGAGGAAACAGAGGCGTAAGTAGCACTGGCGATGGTAGCGATCTTGGGGCTCGTTTTGAATAGAGCAGAAGGAGCCGGTGACATGGATGAAGCAGAAGACATTGTGTTGAAGCCGATAGCTTTAGTGGTGATAGAAGTGGATACAATTTCAACAGAGGTGCCCGATTTGACGGTTTCAACACCTGTATCGATAGATCCTTCAGAAGCTGTACCCGAGAGAGAAATTTTTCCTGAACCAGAGTCTGAACCAGAGCCAGAAGATGAGCTGGAGGTCGAGCTAGAGCCTGACACAGAGGTCAAGCCCGATTGGATTGTGTCTTGACCATTCGTGGCAGAATCGGATTTAGCTCCGGAATTTGTCAAAGTCGACCCGGACGCGGGGATAGAGCTGCTGGAAGAAGATTCCGAATCTCCAATGGAAGAGCCGTGGGCAGCACTTGAGGTTGGGACTGAGCCAGAATATTCCTGGGCAGTAGAGCTGGCAATAACAGATCCCCCAACCGGATACACCGTAGTGCCAATGGCTAAAGTCGTAGTGGTAGCATGGGCTGTCTTGGATCTCAGTGGGCAGTCAGTAACTGAGGATGGGCACTCATAGATGGTTGACACGCTTGTGGCGTAAATTGTCTCCGTGGTGAGGGAGCCAGCCTGGCTAGTAACGGTACTCTCAGCGCTGGCAGCATTGGCCCCAGCTGGGTACACCGTAGTTCCAATGGCTACGGTCGTAGTGGTAGCATGGGCAGTCTTGGATCTCAGTGGGCAGTCAGTGACTGAGGAAGGGCACTCATAGATGGTTGACACGCTAGTGGCATAGATTGTCTCCGTAGTGAGGGAGCCAGTCTGACTAGCCCCAGCTGGGGTTGCACTTGCAAATATGATTGGGTGTCCGGTAATGGTGACAGGATAGACCGTGGTTCCAGCGACGAGAGTTTCGGTAGTAGTGTGAGCTGTCTTCTGAGTCAACGGGCAATCAGTGACAGTTGATGGGCACTCGAGAACAGTAGAAACGCGAGTAGTGAAAATTGTCTCTGTAGTGATTTGGTCACCAGAGTCAGGGCCAGTTCCAATCTGGGCAGTAGCAGTAGCGGCAGACTCGCCAGCGGTAACAGGGCAGATTGTGGTGGAGACAACGACGGTTTCGGTAGTCAGATAAGTCGTGCGTTGCGAGGCTGGACAATCGATAATATTCGAGGGACAAGCGGTGACAGTGGCAGTGCGAGTAGTACAGATGGTCGAGGTAGTGCTTTGACCAGATCCAGAGCCAGAGCCAGAAGAGGCAGAGCCAGAGCAGCCAGATCCAGAGCCAGATCCAGATCCAGAGCCAGAACCAGATCCAGAACCTGAACCAGATCCAGAGCCGGAACCAGAGCCAGAGCTAGGAGAAACACCCGATGTAGTCGGGGCAATTACAGCAGCAGATGAGCTCGAGCTGGCAATGAGAGGAGTCGATGTGTGTACGGCGGCAGATGAGCTTGAGCTGACCACAAGAGGGGTTGACGTGCGTACAGCGGCAGATGAGCTTGAGATGACCACAGCAGGAGTCGATACGTGCACGGCAGCAGATGAGCTTGAACTGATCATAGCAGGAGTCGACGTGTGTACAGCGGCAGATGAGCTCAAGCTGAGAGCGAGAGGAGTGGACGCGTGCACGGAGGCAGATGAGCTCGAACTAACCACAGCAGGAGTTGATACGTGCACAGCGGCAGATGAGCTTGAGCTGATCACAGCAGGAGTCGACGTGTGTACAGCAGCAGATGAGCTTGAGCTGAACACAGCAGGGGTCGATGTGTGTATAGCAACGGATGAGCTTGAGCTGACCACAGCTGGAGTTGAAATAGGCACTGCGACAGTCGATGTCGTGCAAAGATCTTCCTCATATGTCACAGAAACGGCGTCAAGGTAAAAGTCTGGATAGCCACTATCGCAGGCTCCAGAAATTTGAAGAATCAAATAGGTACCTGGTAGAGTAATGGTTTGCGATACTGTAGTCCATTCACCAACATCGCTGGTAATTGAATCAAGTCTCAAGAGATAAGAAATCTCGCCATTTGAGATATAATCGGCATTCAATGTACAAGATTCGCCATCATTTAGGGTGAACTTGTAGTCGAATGAAATAGTATACTGGTCGCCTTTCGTCACATCGTAGATGAAATTCTCGATCCCGTATGCAGTGTACCCATCCCCGTCTTCGGCTACTATCTTACTATATATCATCGAACTTATCAGCAACAATTTCCTATACTGGATTATCTGGACGGAGAAACTATACAGGTAGTATGAGCCTTCGGCTGCGAAGGTCGCATCCTCCACGACACCACTGCCTGATCCGAATGCGATGGCCTCCCACGTACTAGTTGAACCAAGCTCAAATCCACCATTGGTCATAACATTCACCGCAGTATTCGCACAGCTTGTAGTAGTCCCTGATGATACCGCCAACGCGGGGGCTAATGCCAAGGCTAAAGAAGCGAGTAAGAGGCCTTGAGAAGGCATTTTCATGTAAAGTAGAGCAAAAGAATGGACAAGGGAGCAAAGTCTCTCAGTAAGCGAGTGAATATCTGCAGTTTGGACGAAAGGGATTGACAGTGACTGCAACAAGAGGGGGGGGGGGGGAAGGAAAGATAAAGATGATAAAAAAAACTTCCTTAAGAAGAGAAGTTAAGGATTTTGAGAGCGTGACTTGGTTTCTACTATGTTTTTAGAACCAGATATTTAGAGCGGCATCACCGATATCTAGAGCCCCACCAAGTGGATGCGTAACGCCATGGCTCCTCCTTCTAGTGATTCACCAAGGCGGACCCTGAGGGTTGACTTATTTACACCAATCGTTGGATTTTTAATACCGCTCTATATTTCCTCATTGAATCCGGATTGTTATTGCGAAATATCGAGACCAATCTCTCAATTCGCGCTTCGAAAATGAGTTCCTAGAATCAAGAGATAATAGGAGGATGTTTACCCCATTGAATTATGAATTCGATATCAATCAATACTAAAAGGTCTTTAAAGCATTTCCTGTTTAAGTAGGAAGAATTATTATTGAATAGGGGTACATGTTCAGCTCACAAAATATCCTCCTCTGCGCCTGTCATTCCAACTCGGTAAAAATAAGCGACCATCGGCTCTCAAAATATTTTTCTTTCTTTTATTTCCTTCTTCTTCCATTACTTTTTTTTTTTTCGTCTTAAAGTTCCACTGGCTCCGGAATTGACATTATTATCTCTGATCTTTACCCACTTATTAAGCTCGATCGCATGGCCCGTGTAAAAATTCCCATTTAAAGCTATCAAGTGCCGGTAGAGACCCGGAATGAATAAAAGTTAAACATAGCCACTTCATCAACACCGATTCTGAAAGTAATTTGCTTACAATCATGTATCAGAGATATTCGATTTGCTTCAGGTTGCATGTGGTAGCTGCACATAATCTAGTCTCGGATATTCAGAGTATCCTGGGTGATCCACCCCGGTCCAGATAGATCGCGCTTTCGATGGCGAATATTTGACCGGCATAAAAGATTCACTAACATAAGCTAGTATCAGCTGCGATGACACTAAAGTAAATATAAGCGGTCGCTAGGACGGTCTGATATTAGGTGTCAAAGCTCAAAATATTTGTCAACACATAGGCGGTCCGTCTAGTTAACTTAGGTATTTAGACGCGGGTAACATGTCAAGTGATCATGTAAGCGGGTTTATTTTATCGACCATTAGGACTCCCGACAACAATGCACTTTGGACAGGAACAAAATGCAAAACTTTCACAGGTAGTACTATATAACAATTAAAATGAATCTTCAATATCTACGAGTCCATAAAAAATCTCCCAAGTCTGTATTGGTCCGTATTGAAGCGCATACAAATGAATTTCTTCTAACTGTCACTTAGCGGCTAACCCGAAGTGGGTGGGAGGGATCGCCCGCCATCCTGTTGCAAACTCACGTTCCCATCAACATGCACTATATATTCCACGTCCAAATTACTCTCAGCACATACGACCATAGGGTGTGGAAAACAGGGCTTCCCGTCCGCTCAGCCGTACTTAAGCCACACGCCGGTTAGTTAGTAGTATGGTGGGTGACCACATGCGAATCCTGACTGTTGTATGTTTTTGTTTTTGCTTTTGCGTCATCCATTCATATCATTAGTGACATGATCCAATGGTTTGCGGCTAGAGGGCAGCCGCTTATCCCTCAAAAGGCTTTTTAGTCATGTTTCCCCACAAATTCTAGACGATACCTATCTCGACAGGATTGCGTAAGTTTCTACGCTTATCGATAGAAAATTTCCAGTTGAGATCTTCCGGACTGCAATCATGGTTGTATCCTCTGTTTATATACAAGCTGTATACAAAGATAGGAGCTCAGAATTGACTTGTCCAAATTCACTCGGGGGGACTAGTACGGCACATCCGTCCACTGTCGGAAATGGTCCACTCATCGGAGCCAACAGCAGTCAATCCATAGAAGAGGTCGTTCGGGTCATACTTAGTCTTGATTGAACGCAACTTGTGGTAATTTTCCCCATAAAAGGCACTCTTGAAGTCGGGCTGGCGGAAATCGGCCTAAGGATTTATCAGTCAGCGTGCACTCAAAATTCTCGATAATAATATAGATGCCATGCCTCGTTCAAATAAGCGCCAGATTCAGGCGCGAGGTTACTAAGACTAGGAACAAGTTTGTCGGTCATCAATTCCCGCTTCTCGAGCATTTTTTCCGGCTCATTGAACTCCCAAGGAGTGGACATCAGGGTGTGGGCGATAGCGCGGCGCCACGCAGGGTTCACGGAGTTGTAAACTTCCCCGGTCACTTCCTTGGTCACCTTTATACCCACAGTGGTCAATGTAGCACCATAAGAAAGGACAGTGCGAACAGAATTTGTGAACTTTTGGCGGGTCTCTGGACTCTCAAGGATCGACCGTGGAAGAAGCCAGCTACCATACTGGGCAACTCCAATCTCAACAAGGGGAATCTGGGCATTAAATTGATCAAGGAATGTATCAAACTCCTCTACAGTGTATTGGTACTTGATGCCAAGGTTATCCAGGCCATTGAGAACTGGCTGTATGAGACCCAACAGCTTCTTTAGTGGAACACCGGGCCCAGTCATTGGAGATATAGCGAAGGAAGTGTTGGTTAGGAAGTTTATACTCATGACCCTCTCATCAACAATAGATGGCAAATGAGTATTGTAAAGCTCCACAGCTTTGAAAAACGTGTCGTCGGAAATACCATCGGTGGTGAAAGTAAGATTCAGACCAGAAACTTGACTATCCTGATGAGCCTTGGAGGTCATGGACCAAACGACACCGTATGTACCACCACCGCCACCTGCCAGCGCCCAGTAAAGATCAGTGTTGTGAGTACGGTTTGCAACGAGAAACCGGCCATTACCATCGATAACCTCCCACTCGAGGACCTGGTCTGCACCTAGTCCATACTTGGAAGACAAGGAAGAGTGGCCGCCTCCTTGGCTGTATCCACCTGCAAGGCCGACAGTAGGGCATTCTCCACCGACCATTCGAAGCCCGTGTTTATGAGCGGCCTCATATGCTTCAATTCCCTGAACACCAGCGCCGAGCCTGAAAGCTTTGCCAGTGTAATTTTCGTCCTTCCAGTCCCTTATCTCTATATCTTTAAGGTGGTGTGTCCACACCGAAAGAGCACCTGCGCCGGTGGACTTTCCGTTGTAACTAGGAGCGATTAGTTGGTCTGGATTCAAATATTTTGCTCGAGGGCGGTAATACTCATGGCCGGTATTGCGGATAATGAACCGGAGATTGTTCTTCGTCGCAAATTTCAATGTCTCAGCCACATGCGCGGGCGAGGACACATTGACTGCGTAACGAACAAAGTTACCTAGAGTGCATGGCTTCGAGATTGGGTGATATGGATCGCATGTTCCATTTGTGAAGAATGGGGCCATCATAGACGAGGACGATTGGTAGCTAGTAATCGTCAACACCATCCCTTGAGCAGGAATCGATATTTAAACAATCCTACTGTTCCTCAGGCAAAAGCCAGCCCTCCTTCAAGACCTCGCACGTTTTTTCATCGTATGATGGAACATGGCAAGGAGTGGCGAGGGGCTCAGTGGCCACAAGACGTCCATCGACAGATTGATTGAAGGCGTTCCAGGTCAAAGTTGAGGGCCAGCAGTCATCTCCAGGGAAACAACGGCAAGTTGAGCTTCTGAATGCATAAGGTGTGGAGGCAATGGCAGTAAGAATGAGAAAAGCTGTCAACTTGAATTTGTGTGATGGCAGCATTGCAGATTAACTGTGATTTCGAGGACTCTTGAACGCCAGTGAAGGTTCGATTCTTTTGGGGATTCCCAGCGCAAATTCGAAGGGAATTCCAGAGTAAGACTGGAAGGACGCGGGGTTGAAGGAATGTCCAGATGCGTATAAGTCCACATTTCCGAGCAAGGGGCCAATAAATAACATGCATGGCTTCACATTTCATTGAGGATCTATCCGGTATTGTCGTAGGCGATTTTCTTTGATCATAGAAAAAACACCTGAAGCCTTTCCCACAGAAGTCTCTTTTCACGCTCTTTACCAACACTCTTTACCCACACTCTCAATTTCATCATCAACTAATGATGTACGCGCATTATTGTGGTTTTTTTCATCCAAGTACTTTTTCACAAGATGTCGAAGCAAAGGTTACAAAATCTTCTAAATAAAATCAATGGTTTTACGAAATGGAAACAGAATTAATTTGACAAGACCACAACAATTACTTTCATCGCTGGTATTCGACGACGAGCTTTGTGCCTCGGCCTTCTCCTGTTCGAAGTGTTTCAAACCCTCAAAGATCTTTGTGAATCTACCCGTATGCCTTTCCACACTCCACATTGTGTCGATCTCTCAACATACTGTACATACCGAGTCAGGTGCTTCTAAGATAAACGAATAAATCATCAAAGTATCACAAAATTGACTACTAAGAGGTGGCTACTGGGATAGCAATTACAGTCGAAAGGAAAAGAATCCATTCAACTAAGGAAGAAAGAGGGGAAACGAATTTTGTCCGCTAGTCCTGATCCAGTGATCAGGCAACGCCATGTCCCGGATAGGAAAGTATTCTCTCTGTCAGCAAGCTAACGGATGTAAGCAGCATCGCTCGTCATCGTGTAATCCGCACTCGGCGGGCATCCCTCGCTCCTATGTATGCAGTGTCAAGCCGAATCAATGATCGATTTGTAACAACTGCAGTTAATACCTTTCCGTCTATTCAAAAACCTTGTCATGGAGAGTCAAGTCATCCGCGGTCGATGGAGATGTAGTGGTTCAGCCGAGCTGCTCCATCTTCTATTCTATTTATAATGACACTGGGCTTGTCCTGTTGAATATTGCATTTGATCTGTATACCCTCACAACCTCGGACAGTGGGTGAATGTCATTGAATGGCACATGGCATGCGACTAGCTCAGGTGGAACATTAATGATATATGTCGCATACTCAGCTTCTGATTGCCTGAGGTGGAGATCGCCAATGTCAAATTTGCCCTTCAAACGGTGCAAACGGCGCGATGCATATCTCATTCTTCATCAGCGGTAGTGGCTAGTTCTACGCCGTTGAAGTAATCTTCTATTGCGGCCTCTGCTCCAGTTTCAACCCCCTTAGTGCGCTCAACCCCGCTGTCGAGCCCAAGTCCAGTCATTCGTTCAACCGTCATTGTTCGCTCAACCCCGGTGTCTCAGTCTGTTTCTTCCTCAGCCTCCTCTACCCCGGTCTCCAAATATAGGATAACCCCAGCTGTGGTTCCTGAGTCTACTCCACTTTCTTCTCCAGTTGCTTCTGTTTCTCCAATCCGGTCCACCAGGTTGGTTTCAGCTTCGCTATCTGCTGTGGCTCCTGGGTCGAGTTCGATTTCGAGTTCTTCTTTAGTTGCTCCCATCTCACCGGTTCGGTCTACCAGGTCGACCTCACCTTCGCCACCTGTTCAAGTGTCTGTGCCTTTATCTTTCACTAGATCTCCTATTCCAGTTTCTTCTTCGATTTCTACTCCAGCAACAAATTCACCATCGCATTCGACTTCTTCCCAGGCCACAGATTCTCTCTTCTTTTAGTACCTTTGTCAAGCTTTCGAGTGTTGTTCTCGAATCGTCAAAATCTCCAGCTTCCGTAACCAACCCGGGACCGACATCAGTCATTGCTTCGTCTGCAATCTTGAGCAGCAAGACCATAAACAGCTCAGGCTCTCTTGAAACAGCTTCTTCTTCGCCTGAAGCTCTTCCGTCATTCAAGTCGACTTCTACGCTGCCGCAAACTGTCCCGACCACCCAGGCAATGCCCCAACTGACCAGATCCACGATATTCACATCAAGTCCAAGAACTGTCACCCCGTGCCCATCCACCATCACAAACTGCCCAGTCACCGCCAAGATGACCTTCGTGACCACAGAGACAATTGCGTTCTCAACGACAATATGTCCGGTCGCTGAAGCCGAATGTACCCATCAAACTACGGCTGTACAGACCGGTAACAGTGACTATACATCCACAGTCCTGATAACACGTGAAATCACCATCACATCCTGTGCCGCCACAGTCACGGACTGCCCGGCACGTTCTCAGACAACATTTATCAGCACCCAAACGCTCATCGCAGGCACTACTGTTATTCCGGCGCGGGAAACAGCATCAAAGCCTGTCCCTACTGAAACAGTTGTGGCGACTACAAATCCCGCCACCGGACTAGCGGATACTGAAGTGACTGTGTCTGCGGGAAGTGGGGAAGTAAGCCCAACTACTGCCACAACAGCTTCCCCGGGAGAAAGGACAGGTACTCTAGGATCGAGTGATCATTTCGCTGTCAGCTCTGATATCCAGACTTTGACATCTTTCACCGAAGGTGCTATTCCTACATTTGCTGGTGAAGAGGAAAAATACCAAACGACTGCCACAGCACCCAACATGGCGGGCGAGACCGGTGCTTCTTCGACTGCCCCTGCCTAATTATCAGTAATTAAAGCCCAACCTTGACCCATGCTGAGGATAGTAATAGCTCGGAGACCTTTTCTACAGCTGGCGCTTTGGATGTGACCGGCTCTGGAGGCTCGATTGTTGAGTCGAAGACGACCCTCGGGCTAGGGGTGACTAGCGCAGAAGCAAAGGTCTCTACTGGTTTCAGTAAGCATATCACTGCAACACCAACTGGGGCCCATTCTAAATTGGTCACTGCTATTTCTTCGTCCACTTCTTAGTCAACGGGGACTAGTGTGGCGGCTTCCGTCTATTCTGGTGCCGCCTCTACTCCGAGTGTCCAATTTGGCCTTCTTGGTTTCATCATGTTCGCTCTTGGCGCTTTAACGCTGTGACTCACTCTTTGATGATTCTGTGGGATGATATCATCTAAGTTGCATTTTAAATTATTAATTTCTGAGGAAAAGCCTTTTGGTTGGTATAGAACTATTTGCATATTTAATATCCAGTTCCCAAGTTGAAGAAATGGAGCTTTGATCCTAAAGAAGTATTTACGTCATCTTAAGCACTTAATACGAATATTTATAGGTGTGTGAAGTCTGCGAGGGAAAAGGGACTAATACATGAAGGTATTAACATCCGCGTTGGGTTCGCGTGCTCTATTTATTGTTCTGGACTGACCAATCAAGATGCGACAACTGGTCTACTATCGACATCCCTTGGCAGTGATTTTCGTCACATTTCTGCACCATGCAGTACCATCTTGAGGGCGCTCTGACTACGCAAGCCACTGCACAACCTTTCTACCATGTTTCATCACCGAGCACCGCCAGTGCCACACCTTGACATGAAACTAATTTCGGGGGTGGAATTATCCTCGGAGGTTTAAAGAATAATGAGATCAGTACAGTCAGGCCATCAAAAAGAGCCACATCTCATTTATTGGGAGATCCCTTGACACGGGCAAGCTCTCTTTCTCCGCTATTATCTATCAAGATCTGACGGGAGACTGCTTCAGACCCTGCAGTCTAACTAGTCTCGCCTGAGAAAATGATCCTCGTTCTAGCTTTGACCTGGTTCCCGCTTATGAATAGGGGGTGCGGGGTGGCATGGGTTCCCCGCAAACCTCACAGCCTAAGTAAAACCTGTCTATCAAGACATGTTCGTTAATGAGCTTTCCATGAGAGCGAAATTGCCTGTTTTGGTGCGGGAATTCCTCCATATCATCCATTGTCCACATTTGAACTTGCTTTCTCGTTCCACTCCTTGTGTGCTTTCCTGCTCATCTCCGACATCTAGCCTTAGACCAGATTTTCTTGTAACGTGCCAAATGCCGTGTCCAATTTAGCCATTGGCAATATGCACGACCTGTCTTGTCCCACACCAGTGATTTACTTTGTGAGTGCACTTTCACAAGGAGTCACGGCGGACGGCCCAAGAGACCTACTTCCGAATAGAATGTCCTGAGTGCTCCCGATACTATAGAACTGTCCTCAATGGAAACGAGCCGACACGGCTAGATCACCGCGGAGGAAAAGGGCATGGTCGACAGTTCCGAAAGTTTAGGCCTGCGTTTTCATATAAATTGCTTTGAGACCACCCGTTCAAGGAAATGAATAATCCCTAACTGTCAATACTCAAATTCAAAATTCAAAACCATGAGATACAATCTTCTACTCGCAGCCAGCGCTGCCCTCGCTCTCGCGGTGCCTCAAGGCCCCTCCAAGCGGGCCTCGTCCTTTGTTTGTATGTGTAAAAACCAGAGAACTCGAGCCAAAACTGACCATTCTCCGTAGGGTTTGGCGCAAGTGAGTCCGGGGCAGAGTTTGGCAGTGATAATATTCCGGGTGTACTGGGAACCGACTACATTTGGCCAGACACTTCGACCATTCAAACGCTACGCAACGCGGGTATGAACATCTTTCGGGTCCCGTTCTTGATGGAGCGATTGATTCCCACTTCCTTGACCTCAAGTCCAGATGCGACTTATTTACAAGATCTGAAGAGTGTAAGTTGGTCTTGTCTCGAAAATCACCCATGCTTATCGATTTCCAGACGGTTGATTACATCACGTCTACCGGCGCGTATGCTATCATTGATCCACATAACTATGGGCGATAGTAAGTTGATAGTCTCCGCTTCCCAGAAACTCCACTCACTAGTGAATTAGCTATGGCAACATCATCACCTCCACGAGTGACTTTGCAGCATTTTGGACGACCGTGGCAACCCAATTTTCATCGAATGACAAGGTCATCTTTGACACGAGTAAGCTTTAGCAATCTGCTGGATCCCTTCATCTTCTTACTGACATTTGCAGACAATGAATTCAACACGGAGGACCAAACATTAGTGCTGAACCTCAACCAGGCGGCCATTAACGCAATCCGGGCTGCCGGAGCCACCTCGCAGTACATTTTCGTGGAAGGAAATTCGTGGAGTGGTGCCTGGACGTGGACATCAGTCAATACCAATCTGGTCAATTTGACGGACCCCAATAACAAAATCGTGTACGAGATGCACCAGTATCTCGACTCAGATGGGTCTGGCACATCCGACACATGCGTCAGCACGACCATCGGCCAGGAGCGTGTGGAGTCAGCGACAGAGTGGCTGCAAAGCAATGGGAAACTTGGGTTCTTGGGCGAGTTTGCCGGTGGTGCTAACTCAGTCTGTGAGAGTGCTGTGACTGGGATGCTGAGCTATTTACAAGAGAACAGTGGCGTCTGGCTCGGAGCATCCTGGTGGGCTGCAGGGCCATGGTGGGGCACTTATATCTTTTCGATGGAGCCGCCCTCAGGGACTGCGTATACTTACTACCTTGATATCTTGTCTGCCTACTTCCCTTCCAGTTCGGGCAGTTCTACAACCACTTCCACGACCGCACACTCTACATCGACAACCACCACAACAGCCACCACTACTAAAGCCACCACCACTTCAAGCACTACTACTAAAGCTACCACCACTTCAACCACCACGAGCACAGGGTCTACATCTACTGCGACAGCATCCCACTGGGCACAGTGTGGTGGCACTGGCTGGACAGGAGCGACGACATGTGCCAGCCCGTACACCTGCCAGGCGCAGAATGCGTACTATTCGCAATGTCTGTAAGCCAGAAGTCCCAGAGATATAACATGGGTCATTGTTGTCTATCAATAAATACTTTGTCAATAAATTCACAGTCTACATCTTATGTTTAGTTTTGGATAGGCGCGTAGTAAGAAAGAAGATTGGCAAGCCTTGAAAGGTCCGCGCCACAGGTTACTATTACTTCCAGACGCATCTATCAGCCGAAGGCTAGAGTAGCGAGGTTTTACCCGACAAACCAAGAATATATTGAGTAGAAAAAAAAACATACATCAAATATTCTATGACCGTGGTCATCTAGCGCCCACGATTCGGTCGAGGGCGGCTCTCCGCGCCATTCAGCCGTCTTCAGGCTAATCCGGGTGGACTTTCACCCTACAGGATATTCTTGACCTTACTATTCACCCTAGGCAGAAAATGTGATTATTGGAATTTTGACGAACACAACATAGGTGGATTGGCCTACACAGTGGGGTCTTTCTGCTTTTCCCACGCTCAAGATCGAGAGTAGTACCCGCTGCAGCTGAACTTCCCTTATCTACAGTTGAGCCTGTGGCCTACGAGCCGTCCTCTGCATCTGCACCCTCCAAAGACTTTCGTTACCTACATTTTGTATTGAAAATAGTCTCCCTGATGGCCTTTCAACTGTTCTAGAGTGTAAAGCCGCAGGGAAAGACCCAATAAAGTTCCTTAAAGCAGCGTTGAAGACCTTTCTAGGATATCTTGACAGGGGATCAAAAACGGGAGTTCCAAAGAAAAGCCGCAGCTCTAAGATCTCTACACACAGGCACTGATGACCTGTGCTTTCCCAGAGGCTATCTCGGGTAGCCGCATCTTTAATGAGTGTGTTTCCCGAGGCGATAATGCCATAGTGAATCTCCGGGCCCGTTGAATCTCGCTGTTCACGGTCGACCTCCCAAGAAGGGTCAGGCTGGCCACCAGTGAATCCGCTAATATGATCGTATTGCGATTGAAACAATCGATCATTTCCAGCACCCTGTTGACTATAGTCCATCTTTGGCCGCCCCATGTGAAGGTTGATCTCTAGCATGGCCTGGAGCAGCTTCGGAACCTTAGAAGGTGCAAGCTCGTGCTCAGCCTGCAAGCTCGCCAATGCATGAAGAAGTACAGGTGGCGGTTTATTGAGAAGATCCTTCCGCTCCCAAAGACCCTTCGCCTTTGCCTTCCCGAAATCGTATTAGACCACTCCACCGGATGTCCCATCAGGCTGGCTAACCACAATATCGCCGAGTCGAATATCCTGGTTCAGATCAGGTCTTGCGATTCCTCCTTCGATGCCTACCAGCACACTGATGCGGATATGGGGTAAGGAATGTATCAAAGACGACGCGGTCGTGGCTGCACATGTAGTGCCGTAGACTCCCGCAGGAAGTGAGGCGATCACGACGTTGTGTTCGCCCACATGGCCCCATATATAGACCATTGTGCCGGATTCAGATTGGTGAAAGCCATCGGGTGTGTCGTGGCGATTGTGGAGCAATGCCGTTGCTGCTGCTCACTCTATGGAGAGAGCGGCGATCCATCCGACGGTATAAGGCTTTTGAGGCGAATACCCATGGTTAGGAGTTTTCGATGCGATCAACTTCAATCATTAATGGCTTCTACGTCACGTCAAATAAGGTTCAGAAGAAGAAGATCGTATCGGTTCGGTCCGCTTAGCGTCGAGGATATTCGAGGATGCAGGATTTGAGTTCTTCATGCCCGAGCAGCGGATTAACAGTCAGCCCGCTTTCAATCCAGCGTTGCGGCAAATGCAATAGTGATGTGTACCTACAGACTGCAGCTCGAAAGGGGTCCGTGCAACCCGCTCGTCAGGCATTGTCTCCCACTTACGAATAGCTGCCATCGGGTAGTCAGTAATATGTAATCCGTAAACGCGCAGAGAACAACGTGGCAACGCCACGCAATGCAATGCCACGTAATGCGATGAGGGGTTACCACATCGCATAGGAAGATTTGCTTTTGAGGGGTTTGAACACTAGAGAATCATGAGAAAGCTCCGAAAAGAATTCAAAAAAGACAAAAAGCAAAAACATAGAACAGCACGTCTAAGGTGGTGGCCACCTAACGCCACGCCCGAACCGTGGGCGTCTTGCCGCTCTACCTAGCCCTCTTCAAGGCATTCCGGGCGGATATTCAGCCCATATGGCAGAAGATACATTTTCCCAGTCTGGCTGAGAAAAGATCGAGTGACCCCTTTTCTTCTTCCCCCTTTATCTCTCTAGCCTTCCTTTATCATAAAAGGACAAGATACTAAGTATGCGAAACCCAGACGTAATGACCCAAAGTGGCTGCTCTACAAGATCTAGGAGGGTGCTCGAGTTATAGTTCATGTTATGCAACATTCCGGGGTATTAAGTCATATTGGTTATATTGAGTGGTATGAAGGACTAACAGGCTGAATAGGAATAGATGATCTTGAGCACGATAATATGCCTTTAAGGTGGCCTCGGTAGTAATTATAATCTTGAACAGGTGTGTCGAGTCTGCTTTCCCAAGTGTAGGTAAAAAAAAACCTGATACTAGTTATATGCTGCTGTATTATCCTGCTGTTTTAGGGGGGCAGCTTCTCGACCCTACTATATAACATCATGTAGAAAAATGGTCACAAATCATGTAATTCGAGAGAAATTATCCTACATCTTAAGATTTTGCACATTGATATATGTCATGTACTATTTCATGCTACTTGATCAACTTTCCTCTCATCTGTAACCAGAGCGCCCTGGAAGCGGAGTGTTTTGCTGCTTTTTTTGTACTTCCCTCAGCAGAAGACTTGTATCCTTTATATTCAACCACAGCACTCCATCTTGGTGGTTCTAGACTCAGTGGAGTCATATAATAATGTGGCGAACAGGACTCAGCGTCTCCCATCTCTTTCAAAGCAGTTGTATATATATGGTCATCCTGACTCTGCATTGTAAACATCTTGGCGCCACCTGGCCAGGTAGCTTCAGCTTTGATGCATGGATTCTCTCGGTCATCCCGTAAATCTTGCTTTTTTGCACAGTTTTGGGAGTCTGAGTGTGATGGGTAACCATTTAAATCATCTGAACAACTCTTCAAAGACTTGGCGTATCTTATTATTTTATCACGACATTTGTCCAGATAATCGGACAGGAGATTTCGAATCAGACCCATAGTTGAAGAGGGCTTTATGAAGTCTTGGGTGACAAGTGTTCCTAGTTTGTGGAAGAACGGGGTCGCGGCTGATTCTGAAGAAACACCAGAAACTGATATCGACTCAATTGCCACCAGAAGCTGATCATACGGAAGCTCTCTCCGAATAATGTGCTTACGGACTTTCTATCTAGATATTAGATTCGATCACGATATTTATTTGTAGAGCTCACCTTTGCAGTGGAAGCGTTCACCGGGGGTGGAAGAGATAAATGTAGCCATATTCCAATCTCAAGCTTCACCCATTCAAGGCCTAGGAATTCAACTGAATACTTTTAGTGATATGATAATTTGAATGATAGAAAAGTCGAAACTCACTTTCTTGTTTAGAAAATTTGGGCATATTCGTAATTACAATAAGGTTGACAGTTTTTACGACTTTTCTGTAAGGTATTGATTCTTTTATTGCTGAATGCTATGCCCTTAAAACCAACATTACAGCCTTGATAAATTGTCGTTGTATTATACCCAAAAGCTGCCTAATGGCTTTGGCCCCAAAGTCACGTCATCAGGGCTGTGTTGTCCTGTGTTAGTATGCAAGTACAAACAGCTGGGCGGCGCTTGGGTCTCGTTAATTTTCCTAAAGTGTATTTTCGTTTCATACTGGATAGAAATATTCTACCAATCATTTCATTCTCACTATATGACTATGACGGTCAGGTAGACATGCAGGCGTTGTTCTAGTGAAGCTGCTATATTAATGCAGGCAAAGCCTCGTAATCATTCAGCCTCACCAAACTTTACGGGCTGTGTACGGATCATAGATATTTCCATGAGGCTTAAATTTACCTTTCTCTTTATAAATATAAAGGTTTTATAGAAAGTTTGATTTATGCCAATTTAAAAAAATGACTCCTAAACGCGATCGCGTCCATATATTTAAATATTTCGTACGATTTTTTCGCAGCCAAGACCACCAAGAGCCACAAAAACAATCAACCATTGCCTCTCAAACGCAAATTAGTATGAACACCATCAAGGACACCCCTTTTTGTGAACTTGAAGCCATTGAAAAATTCAACATCTTCGAAATGGAAGGTGCGAATTGTTCTCATGATCAAGGTAAACACTAAAAACAACTTGGGATGATTATTTTTTACTGAAATCGCACATCAGACGAGTGGCTTGGGTCTTATGTTTGGAAAATCTTCATCATAGCGAAATTCATTGAAAGTAAACCCACGGTCGGATTATCACCTGGATTGCCTGTCAGAAGCCATTATTTGCTGGGGGTTTCAAGATGCTAAATAGATTCTAGGAATTCAGTCAATTGCTTCACAACGAATTCGACTCTACTGGTGCTATCACGCGGATTGTCGAAGCAGATCCACATCTGATAATGTCGCCTGATCGATCAATGAGGCATTCACTATTCAAGGCTTTAGGTCTGGCTGTTAAGAGCACATCATTTGATCCGAAACGAATTATGACTATCATGAATATCTTGACAGCATTTTGCCCTTGTTATCCGGAATCTACCTCCCAAAAGGAAGATATCGCAACTTCGATGATCAATGGAATATCATCACCTCAGCCTGCCACAGATCTTACTGAACGCCAATCCCCTTCGCCTCAGCCTGCCACAGACCTTGCTGAACGCCATTCCCCAACGCCTCCCCCTGCCATGGAACATACCGACCGCCACTCGCCTTCGCAACAGCCTGTCATGGGACATGCTGAGCGCCAGTCCCCTTCTCCTCAACGTACCATGGAACGTCCTGAACATCACCCGCCAGGTGACGCTCAGATCAATACAGGGCAGACTCATGATGACCACGAATATACAACTGCTTTGAAAGAGAAGGGAGATGCTGAGTCCTATTCGCCACATTATGACGTGACTCCACTGAGCCTAGAACCACCAAGATGGAGTGCTGTGGTTGAATATAACGGATACAGGTCTTCTGCTGAGGGAAGTACAAAAAAAGCAGCAAGGCATTCTGCTTCCAAGGCGCTCTGGTTGCAGATGACAGGAAGTTCGGTCATCTTGGAGAGGAGCTTCTAGAATGTAGGCTGATCAAAAGCCTTACCGGGTAGTGACACTTGCCGAGTCACACCTAGAATATTCTATACTGATGGTGCAATTTTTGGCTTATCGAATGGTAGTGTAGGAGATGCTTATGATTTACTTGTGGAAATGTGGTTTACGCCATAGTAGAACCGTTAGATAATTTTTCTGCCTTGCATGTCTTGCTTTATTTTGGAACAGATTTATACTTTTTCCATCTTTTGCTTTCCGCAAATATATAAGGACTTACGAGATCGGTACTTCTGGTGCTTATATCTTGAAGTATCAAATTGAGCATTCTTATTTATTTATGAATTTGGGCATTCTTTCATCTCCTTTCAACCCGTCTAACTGAAAGTTTGAGCATCAAAGGTCTAACTCTTCGAGATAGAATCTTGATAATTTGAAGGAAGCAGTGAGGCTTCCCTACCAACTCCATTGCACCTCCAAATGTCGCACATGCGAGATTATACTTTGAGGGCCTTCCTTCACATTCAAGTGCTGTAGCTGTGATTAAAAGATTCGCTTGGGTCCGTTGCTGTGTCCATCTTCATAAAGACAGATTTTAGATCCGGACTGAGACTCTTTGCTATCCATCCATCACAAAGTGCTTTCCTGATTGCCCAGTACCATATCTCAGTGAATGATTCTTTCCAGTCTTTAATAAAAATTCTTGCTTCATATTCGGTGTCAAATCGCTGATAACACGCAGACTTGAATTCTTTGATTGAAACTTCTGCCGTTCTGCACAGTGTCAGTCATATCCCTGATTTAATGCAACAACAACCGTACTTCCAGTCCTCGAAAATACCAATCGTGTTGCCGTACGCAACGGCATAATATTTTCCGCGAGGATGCGACCTAGCTATGTCTCCCTCGGAGTTGAGAAATTTGTCGTATTCTTCGATCCCTCTTGCCTGAAATGAGTTTTGTGCGTCTTGAAGTCGGTCGAATTGTTTAAATTCTGCACCATCAAACTCAATCACTTTCGGATGTGCGCGAGCCCTGACAATCATAACGTTAATGATCCATCTGACGAAAATGTGTTTCATCTAATTACCAAGAAGAATAAATAGTTGGCTTGTCTACACGACCCTTGTAAACAACGTAAATCTTTCTCTGACCACTCTGCGATTTCATCCTGAGTAGGGGCTAAAAAAAATAGATTAAGGAGTCAAATAAAAATGAGCCTTGGAAATATAAGGATATGGAAGAATGCTGAAGAATGATTTGAAACAAATGATACTGCACTTCTCATCAATCCGCAAGTCGGGTTTTTGAAGCAGCTTGACATGCAACGTAACGTATTGGACTGCGGTGGACTTATGTTTCCAATCATTATTGACGATCTGTTGGACTTGTCACCTGTGGCACAATTTTATTGGACAGGATCCGAACACGAAGGCTAAAATTAAACCTCGGCGGCGCCGTAGCCAGGCAAATGCACCTAGGCTTTTCAAACACATAGAATTGTATTAATGGAGAGGCTGACGCGACGTGATCTATGCACTGACATTTTAGCAGTGTACAAGTACAATACGATTGATCATACCTTAGTACATCTGTATGCGGCCAAATCAGTCGGGAGGGAGACTTGCCGATCGTTTGAGCGCTTTCAGATTCAAGCTTGTTGGGAGGCCAGAAGGCCACGTCAACGCTTCGGGGCTGTGCAGCATATTCAGGTGCAAAATAGTGCCATTCGGGGCATTCGGATGAAGCGGCTGAATGGACTGAAAGGAAGGGAGTCAAAGGCACTCCCCCTACGAAATAAGGAAAAATTCGTTTGGGCAAAAACATACAACAGTCAGGATTCGCATGTGGTCACCCACCATACTACTAACTAACCGGCGTGTGGCTTAAGTACGGCTGAGCGGACGGGAAGCCCTGTTCTCCACACCCTATGGTCGTATGTACTGGCTGTCATTTTGATTTGAAATATATTGTACAAAACAAATCCAGTCAGGACTGAGTGGGAAAATAGCATCCTGCAGGCTAGCTCAATTAGACACGCTCCTGTTCATTTGTGCCTTAAGCATCCATGAGGCATCTCTCTACTTTTTCTGGGAAATTTTAATTGGCACGATAAGCTGCCAAGAGGAGAATACTACAATCTGTAGGATGAGCACACAAAACAGATATTGGCATTATGTGGTGAAAAGGTCAAAGAGTGAAGTATCATACCCATAGAGTAGACTACTTGAACTAAACGGGACGGGAGCGCTGGATGTCATGTGACCCTGTTGCCCACTCTCCAACAGTCTTTCCTTTCTATACTCTAAGATATATTCCGAAAGATTGTTCTTCCTCTCGCGTTCCTCCTTTCCACAGTTTTATCTTTCTGATGGGCTTACTTCTCCAAAAAATCAACAATAATCATCTATGACCTGGCTAATCCGCGAATTTCTTGGTTATATGATCGAGCCGATTTGACCGGAATGCTAAGTGATCATGCCGAGCGCAACCTAGACTTACATTTAATTTCATTGGATGTTATTAGTAAGAAAGACGCATCGGCCCATCTTGACTGATCAAGCGCGTTTATAAGAATGAATGATCTGGAAACTCAAAATATTGTAGTTGATCAATAACGCTGATCGAATTCTGTTATACTCTGCATCTACTTGCCTCACTCCAATATTTGTCCTGAGTTGCGAACCTACCTAGATACGAGCCACACCATGGATAAACCATTACCACCCCAGCTATCTGGCAATATACCTCTCTTCCCTGGGGAAGATTCTCATCAGAACACATTACTGCCCGCTGAGATCCGCCCAATTACGGAAGCCCACAACCTCCGATTTCACCTCGTTGCTCTCAGCCCGCTCCTATCCCCTACCAGAGCCTTACAAAGGACAGGAAACTCAAAGCAATTGACATTTATCTATGCCTGGTGACACATCTCCCGAGCCCAGGGCTTACCCAAACCAGAAAAACAAAACAAAACTCTCCAAAACAGCAACACCACACCAGCAGAAATGCCGGCGACGTGAGTCAAAGACTGTCGCTCAATTAAAAATAAAATCGAATCTCCAAGAGAAAAAAAAAGGTGATAGCAACGGGGATCCTGACGAGATTCGTAGGATATCGATCAACACCAGCAATACTGAATTTGCCGTAACTGGTTACTGATTGCAAAAGCGTCGTCGCATGCAGATTCGCTTAGCGCAGCGTAATTATCGCTCTCGCTAACAAGCGACAGCTAAAGGCCTAGAGGACCGCGTTTCTCACCTGGAAAATACCTTAGACAGCATGGGTTCTCTGTCCTGTCCTTCAGTGAGCGGCTAGTTAAAAGCGAGTTTTAGGATCACACTCAGACCTGACAGAAAATCTGCGTGACACGATGAAAATACTTATTTCCTTGGCATCTGAAGCAAGTTCCAGTGAAGACATGAAGGTCCCTGACGACCCCATGCGGACTCCAGCCTCATCCCAGTCTTCTCCCAAAGAGCTTATGAGGCGCCCGTCACCCACCCTTTCCCTCCCATTCCCCCTGGGGTACACTGCAATTCACCAACCTAAGAGCGAAGTTCTGTCGAACATCCTTAATAAATCAGAAATTTTGACCGTGGAGTTTTTTGAATTATCAACAGACTGCACCTGGCAGCCCTCTACCAGGGACATCGGGTCTTATGCAATTAGTCTATAGACCTGGATAGACTTCAAAGGCCATTTGGGCCCATACTTACTATGATGAATCGTGACCGCCTGGCGTCTTACTTCAAAGCAGAAATACATGCCCAAGTTAGCCAACAGCCACTGGAGGGATGGAGGGAAGTCCCATTATTCAACTTGGGCGGTGCAGGAACACTATATATAGGATCCTCTATGCAAGGTAGGAGTGCGGGCACCCCTTTGACTCACTATCAAATATGGGGCACCGTTGAGGGCCCTTTGTCACTGCTCACGGCAGATATAAAAAAGCAACTAGAAGGGGATTGGTTTGACCTGTATGATCTGGACAATTCATGCTACAAAGCACCGCGTAATTTCGTAATTGTAAGCCAAAAAAAAATCTTTGAGCATGGCATTATGTAGAGAAAATGTTCGCACTTTGTGGATGACCATATATGTAGCAGATATTTAGTAATGTTGACACTTTCCCTCCTTACTTGCCAAGCAATTGAACCTTGGAGGTTGCAGTGTGCTGACATTTAGCCAAGGCGGGCAAAAAAGGGGAATATATCGTAATCAACCCGATGCCCAACCCTTAAGTTAGTCAGCCTACATATAGGCTAGACCCAATGACGTGGGTTTATATTTCAACAAATGTACATATGCATGATTTCTAATCTACGGATGATCATTGCACCTTTGAATGTCAAGCCACGTGTCAGACTTCCAGAGGCACATATATATGTGTACAATATACGTTTTCAAGAACATTCAAAGAAATAACTTGCGCTCTTACTTTGAAATTTATATTTGTTGAGCTTAAAAATGGCTCAAAAAACAGTTCTCATTACGGGTTGCAGTGAAGGTGGTATAGGCGACGCTCTTGCCAGAAGCTTCCACAGCAAAGGCTTTCGAGTGTTCGCCAGCGCTCGCAACACCACGAAAGTCCAACATCTCGAGGACATGGGACTTGATATCATTCAACTAGATGTCACCGACGAAGAATCGATCAGACAAGCAGTGTCAACAGTCAGTTCTGCGACAGGTGGATATCTAGATTTTCTTGTCAATAACTCAGGCGCTGGTAGGTTTCATAATCTTAAAGGAGTTTTTTTTTCTCCTCGAAAGTAGGCCAACTATTCAATAGGTTACAGCATGCCCTTGTTGGACTCGGATGTCTCAGTAGCCAAAAAAATGTTTGATGTCAACGTCTTCGCTGTCGTTGCTGTGACTCAAGCATTTGCACCGCTTCTAATTGCCTCAAAAGGTACAATTATCAACATTGGGTCCGTGCTCGGCAAAATGCCACTCCCGTGGCAAGGATATTACAATGCAAGTAAAGCTGCAGTTGCTATCTTGACTGATCAAATGCGCATTGAGTTCTCCCCTTGGGAAGTCCAAGCAATCCTCGTGAATACTGGTGGAATCAAGACGAAGTTCTTCGAAAATCTCCCGAGTCCAGTTCTACCCAAGAACTCTCTCTATTACCCTGCAAAAGATTTGATTGAGCCAGCATTGGCTGGAGTTGGGGTAGAGAAGAGTGCCATGGAAGTCAATTCGTATGCTGAGGTTGTTGTCAACAATGCAATCCGATCAAGTCCCAAAAAGCATCTGTGGTCTGGGGGAGGAGCCTTGATAACTTGGTTGGGTTCAACATTTGGCTGGTCAACTTTCTGGGTAGGCTGTTTTTCCCTTCATGCAAAAAGAATCACTTCAACTCGTATTTGCTAACTTGGGTCCAGGACTTCTTACTCCCCCCTTTTACACACATGTCGGATATAAAGAGCAAGATCCTCAACTCAGTGAATGTGAAGTAGAACAGCCGGAAGACAAGAAAGTTATTTTTTTTGTGAGAGCAGCAATTCTATCAATCTGCCTTTTGTCTTTGTTAATGTGTGTCATCTGAGAGAATGATCAAATCCAGTGACAACCTTTGGATTCCTGACACAGAAATGAATTACACGAGCGTTAATCGATTGCCAAGAAATATTCTATATTTTTACTTTATGGGCTGTTATCGAGTGCTATCTTCTTTATCAAGATGACACTTATTGGTTGCAATACGAAAGTTTCTAGGAATTCCGAAGCCTAAAAGTCAAATCTAGGCACCCGCGCTTAAATGCTTTCCTAAAGCTTACACATAATCATCGGCTTGCAAATTGAGGGATCTTTCAAGTAATGGCGTGTTGAGAGTTCGAATAGTAAGTGGATCCGATAGAGATTCGACAACTCCCATTACCCCAAATTTCAATGCAAGTTTCCCCGCAGTGTACCTAAAAATGCTCGTATCGAGTGGATGCAGCCAAATTGATCCCCCATTTTTCTCTCTTTCCTCAATATCGGGTGAGGCATACGTCAAAGAATATGTACTGGCGTATGGAAGATTCTCTTCGCAGGAAATAAAGTCATTTTCCAAGGATCGACACAAGCTACTGCTATTTATGAACTGCGCGTCATTTCATTCGTTGGCGGTGCCTTATCAACAAGCGAGTGCCTATAGGCTCCGGGAACGCTAAATTAGCAGGCTAGACAAGTATCTCCACTTGTACTTATCAGCTCATGTCGGCTTAACATGGCAAAGTCTGGAAATAAGCCCTGTGCCATGCAAGAGTGTGTGGACTTCGTGGAAATAATTTTTTCGTTCTTCCGATCTACATATAACTACCTTGACTATCCCCACGATATTCACAAATTACATTTATACTGTTCATCAATCATCCGTCCTTTTCATTTTGTTGCTTAACATGTCAACTTTCAGACGTCTCCGAGAGAGCCTTAGGCTTGAGGAGGTAGAAGGCCATACTGAGCACTCGCAATGGGTAAATGAGGGTGATCCAGTCCCACATCCCTGATGATGAATAGAGCTAACAATTGCATTTAGATCTTCTTCCAACTCCACCAGACAAACAAAGTGCGTCAAACCTCCCCCTCTCACCTATCTTTTCTAACTTAAACAGCGTGGCGATGGTGGAATTATGTAACATTTTACTGGTCGATTTCCTTTACAAATTGGACCCTAGGATCTGTTAGTCCCCTCCCCATCCAAACTGACGCGCTCTAATGTCGAACAGACCATGCTTGGAGTCGGCCTCAACTGGTGGCAGTCTATCTTGGTCATCTTCGTCTCCCAGCTCATCTCTTCCATTGCAATGGCTTTCAACTCCCGCCCAGGAAGCGTCTACCATATCGGATATCCGTGTGTTGCTCGTAGTGTCTTCGGCATGTGGGGGAGCTACTACTTCGTCGGTGCCAGGGCACTTATGGCCATCATTTGGTACGCTGTGCAAGGTAAGTGAGGTATACCCCGAACTCAAGGCATGCGCTAAATTTTCAGTTTACTACGGCGCGAACTATATGTATAACATGCTACGAGCCATTTTCGGGCATAACTTTACAAATATCCCAAATCATCTCCCGGAAAGCGCCGGAATCACCACGTCTCTTATGCTGGCCTTCTTTCTTTGCTGGTTGATTCACCTACCCTTCTGCCACTTCCGACCATACCAATTGCGAAAATTCTTTTGGTTCAAGACAATTGTCTCTGTTCCTTCGATGTTTGGCTTGTTCATTTGGGCAATGGTGGATACCAAAGGCCAAATTGGCACGCTGTATTCCTCGACTTCAAGATCCTCCAGCACAATGGCGTGGCTGATCTTGGCTGGTATCAACAGCGGATTGGGGTGAGTCCGATCGATTCCTTTCCTCTTGCCTTACTAACTTTTTTGAGAAACACCGCAAATTTGATCACAAACCAACCTGACTTTGCCCGTTGGACAAGTAAACGCGGCGCACCTGTCTGGACACAACTTGTGAGTTCGTTGATGCTCCCAATTACTTAATTCAGTTGTCATTAATACATCACAGCTTGTCAACCCTCTCGCTGTGACACTGTCTGCGAGTCTGGGCATTCTCTCCACTAATGCCGTCAACAACAAATACGGCACAGATATCTGGTACGAATCCTCTGTTCATATTTTTTATTGTTTAATAACCCTCCTAGGAACCAATGGGATATGATGAACCTGATTATGGATGAATACTGGTCTGCAAAAACACGATTTGCCGTCTTTCTCTGCGCCTTTGCATGGTTAGTGCAGATCTTGGGAACCAATCTCGCTGCCAACATGATTTCCTTTGGCGCTGATGCATCGATGCTCTTCCCTGGATATGTAAATATGCGACGTGGCCAGTACATGGCCGAGTTCCTGGCTTGGGCGGCGGTTCCTTGGAAGATTGTGGCGTCAGCAGCAAAATTCCAGACTTTCCTTAGCGGATATGGACTCTTCATGGTATGCCTCAAAACCCAATAACAGCTCCCAGTGCTTACATATTTATAGGCAAGCGTCGTTGCAATCATGCTTTGCGACTGTAAGTCTCTACACTCCATACTTGAAGTTTCGCACTGACCCAGATAGACTTCTGCCTTTCAAACGGGAATGTGGTAATTTCGTCCTTATACAACCCCACAAAGGCAAACAAGAACTACTATTACCACAAAGGCTGGAATGTACAGGCAGTGATAGCGTACATCATTGGCATCGCCCTTCCATTTCCAGGCTTCTGCGGCGAGCTTGGCGCGAATGTGTCTGCGGCCGCGTCCAACATTATGGATATAGCCTGGATCACGGCATTCGTGGCTTCTTTTGTGTCTTATTATGTTATTTGTTTGATTTGGCCCACTGAAAATATTCGCTTCATGAGAGAAAAGGGGTATGCGTTTGAGCAGATAGCGGAAGTGGATTATATTGATGCGGCTGCTACAAAGGATGCAGAGTCGATCATTGAGGAGATTGGAGACCGGAAAAATCCGGAAATGAAGGTTCCAGCTGAGCTTTAATCAGCTTTCTTTAAAGCGGTGATTCTCAAATCATCAGTGCTAGGAGAGCTACTGTGTCTTCTGTCTGTGTTTCGGGGGGCGCGAATTCCATTGCCTTTACAATATGAAGATTTATCATTCGATACGCGGAGAAATCCCTGAAGATAGGTACTTGCAAGTTTATGTGACTGATATGATAACTTATCAGTCCCACATATCACATGCGGTTCCATTGCCCTCATCTGGAGAAACCGTGCGGAGATTGTTATTGCCGATATCGGGGTCGCTCTATCGTGCATATAAGATCATACAGATTGCATCCAGTCAACCAGTCTACCCTGTTTAAGACATCACCTTAAATTAGCCAGCTACTTCCAATAAGGAATTTCACCTGCCATGTCCGCCATCACTCAAAGCGAAGCGCTTGTATCCAGGGGCCCATTTTCAGAAAGCAAATGGGCCATCGAACCTGTCACCCTCCGACCGCTCAAGGCGGATGAAGTGACTGTTCAAATAATCGCATCCGGTATTTGCCATACCGATTTACATTGTGGAAACACCGCCGAAGAGGAAAACGTACCGGGTGTTTTCTATCCCCGAGTACTCGGACATGAAGGTAAGCCACTTCTCGAAACGCGCTAGGCACAATACTCACTCGTTCAGGGTCCGGATACGTCGTTGCGACAGGAGAAAATGTAACAAAATTGAAGCCTGGCGATGCCGTCCTACTTTCATTTTCTTACTGTGGCGACTGCTACGTGTGTAAGACGGGGCCAAAATCCCACTGTACCAATTTTTTCGAAATCAACTTCGTGGGCGAGCCTGCTTTCTCTGAAAATATTGGAGGTCGATTCTTTGGCCAATCAAGCTTTGCCAAACACACTATCGTCAGCGACAAGTCAGTCGTGAATGTCACGGGTCTTGACCTTAGCAAAGATGATCTCAAGCTTTTGGCGCCTCTGGGGTGCGGTTTCCAAACCGGCAGCGGCACTATAATCAACGTTGCAAAAGCAGGCCCCGATGACTGCGTTACTATTGTTGGCATGGGAGGTGTTGGCCTCGCAGCCGTGATGGCAGCCAAAAATCAAAAGTGCAAGGTCATTATTGGAATTGACCGAATCGAGGCAAGGCTTCAGCTTGCGCAGTCCCTCGGGGCGACGCATGTTATCAATACGACTGGACTTACAATGGATGAGGTGTCTGCGAAGATCAAACTCGCTGCAGATGGGATTGGCTCAACCATTTCTATTGATACGAGCGCTCATCCCCCTCTTTTGGCGGCACAAATCGCGGCCTCTCGGTACATGGCTAAAATTATTCAAGTTGGCACTGGAATGCCCAAGGCCGCTATTGAGATTCCGCTTCAAGAGTATATGGTTAGCGGAAAGCAATATTTCGGTGCCGTTCAGGGTCATAGCAAGCCCGAGGAATATATTCCGAAGATGATACAGTGGTGGAAGGATGGAACTTTCCCAGTTGAGAAACTGGTGAAATTCTTTGATGCTGCAGATTTTGCAAATGCTGTAAAGCTTATGGGAAGTGGTGATGTTGTCAAGCCTATTATTGTATGGGATAACTAGGACAGGAATACTAGTTTTACACAATGAAAAGCAAATATATCCAGTCCATCGTTGTCTGGCCATTTGGCTGCTCGTACAAGTATCAAGAAGTACTATTTAGAAATCTCAAGGCAATCTTTCCGGGGAACAGAGTCTACAATCTGGTTGTCATTACGTAGTTTTCTCAAATTCCGATTTCGGCTGACAGTTCGTGAAGTGGTTATCTGTCTCTGAGAATAATTGAAATATTATGATCTTTCGTCAGGCCTGGTTCACTAAACTTCACAGATAAGTATACTAATCGGCACATTCAACTGGACGTCGTAAACCTCACCCAATCATCTGTCGTCGGTCCCTTCCATTTCCTCCCCACAGGGACGATAAGCTTATCAAGGAAGGTGATAAGCCCCTATCGTGTCAGTTGATAAACGATAAGCGATAAGATAGAAGATACACGGGGAATCCTGCGAGACGTGGAAGTAGACTGGAACAACACCCAAATTGGCAAGTTGATCGTGGATATAAGCGCGTCTTAATGCCACGCATCTCCCCGCAAGTGAATATTTGTGGGGTCAGTTCTTTAGCGCAAGAGTGGGTATTTCAGTTGATTGGTTGTCGTAAATGTGAACCAATGGGATCGGAGATTAACCCGGAGAGCAAACAAACATCAATCGCACAGAATTTGATGGATCCCGGAGTAGCCAGGTACTGTAGAATTTTGGATTGGATAGATCGTTCAACTCAGGGGGTTCCAAGGTTACCGAGACAGGAACGGAATGTCCATTTCTTTCTCCAATTTGTAATAGCCCCGTTTGGTGGGCCCCACGATATCAGCAGCGAGACAAAAAAAGATTACTGATAGAGGACAAGTGCTATTACGAGCTGGTTGACTTCACATGATATAAAGGAATTTTTTCCCTAGAGAAAAAACTTAAAGAAACCACCTCATTCTTGAAGACTTTATACAAAGTGACCATGCCATCTTTTCGTCCCCCAGTCGCTGATCCAATTACGGTCTCCCTTACCGACCTCAAGAGTGGTATGTCAGGCCAAAACCCCAGACGAATTTAAGCTGACTTTTGAATTTACAGGCAATGTCTCCTTTGAAGACCTACAGTCAGCATTCGGACCCGATTCACTCGGAATCTTGGTTGTGAAGGATCTGCCGGAGGAATTCCCTCTCCTGCGTCATCGAGCGCTTTCCTACGCATCGTACTTGGGCAACTTGCCTGAAGAAGAACTGGGTATAGAGAACGCTTTTTCACCCCATGGCCATTTATTAATGTCGAAATAGCCAAAATCGAAAATGCCGCATCCAAATATCTCACAGGATGGTCGCTAGGCAAGGAGCAGCTGAAAGATGGACAACCCGACAAATTCAAAGGCTCCTATTACGCGAATTGTGCCTTCTACGTTGATCCATCACTGGAGTGTGCGAAGCCCACACTAGAGTTCTCGCCGACAACCTTCCCTGAATATGTATCTCCCAATGTCTGGCCCGACAACTCGGTTCTGCCAGGGTTCAAGACGAGCATCGAGGATCTATGTCGCCTTTTGATCGACGTTGGAGTCTTAGTCGCACGTGCTTGTGACAAATTTGCCGAGCAGGAAATCCATGGGTATCCTGCTGGGTATCTTGAGCGGGTTGTCAGCACAAGCAGTACCACCAAAGCGAGGTTGCTGCACTACTACCCACAAGCTCAGGATTCCACAAACAGCGATGAGGATGACTGGTGCACTACGCATCTGGATCATAGTTGCCTGACAGCACTTACATCGGCTATGTTTATCGATGAGCAGGAAGTACCAGTGACCGTCCCGAGAAAGCACTCAAGTGAGCCTCTCCCTTTACTGGAGGAGTTGGCTGTCTCCCCAGATCCACAGGCAGGTCTTTATATCAGGTCGCGTACTGGACAGACTGTGCAGGTCAAGATCCCAAGGGGGTGCATTGCGTTCCAAACTGGCGAGACACTAGAGAGGATCACCAAGGGCAAGTTCAAGGCCGTACCTCATTTTGTCCGGGGCGTTGGACCGTCTGTGAGCCAGGGGCGGATTGCGAGAAATACAGTAGCCGTCTTTGCCCAGCCGAACCTTGGAGAAGTCATAGATTCTGAGCAAGGTCTTACATTCGGCGAGTTTGCGCGGGGGATTGCTGTGAAGAATACCGTATAATAATCAAGTATCTATTGTATTTAGTGCTGGAATTTCCATGTCCTTTACCTCATTATTTTTGATTACTTGGTCAAAGCCACAGAAATTTGAACTCAGACATATAAATTAGAATATGGAACAATGAAGTTTTGGAGCCAATTCGTACACGATTCAATTAGCTAGAATATCTTGGGAACAACTTCATACATATACTTGGAAGAAATCTATATTTATACTCAATGTGTCCTTGAACAGTCTCAATCCTGTTCATCAAGGCGTAGAACCCGGATCGCGTTATTCCCCATCACAGCTTTGTTTTCTTCACTTCCATCACCCAGCGCCTTGCAAACAGCCTTTAAATTCCAAGTCATACTCTCCCATTCACCCTGCTCATCACTATTCAATGGTGGGAAAAACGGGTGATCCGTTCCAAACATCAAACGATCCACTCCGCTAGCCGCAATAGCCGCCTGCAAGCCAACCTCAGAGTAAACCACGGCATCCAGATGCACCTGTGTTTTCAGAACCTCCCAGATAGTCCTTCTCGAAGGTCCAGCTTTCCCCTCACGAACCCAATAGCCATCATGAACAATACAACTTTCAATGCGACCAGCCAGGAAAGGAAGCGTTCCTCCACTGTGGGCAAGCAAGAGTCGTAGATCGGCGAATTTATCAAAAACACCCGCGAGATACATCCGGGCGACGGCAATGGTAGTCTCCATCGGAAATCCCAGAGCAAGGGGAAGAATGTGGCCGTATTCATCTGCCTTAGGGCCCCAGACCTCATTAGGGAGACCGTAGTGCGGATGCAGGAAGATGGTCAGCTTGTTCGCTGCCAGTGCTGCAAAGACAGGTTCCAGGTCTGAGTCATCAAGACCCTTTCCCAATCCTGATGTTCCGAGAATGACACCTCGGCAGTATTTCAATGTTTTAAGATGCTCGATCGATGAAAGGAGTGCATTAAGAGGCGCTGTTAATGGAAGCGTTGCGAAAAAGAATAATCGCCCAGGATGCTGGGCGCACATCTGGGAGAATTCTTGGTTGACCGATTGGGCCATCTCCTCTGCTTCATCGGTGGCGATGAAGTCAAGCCATGGGTTTGCAAGTGAGATTACGGAGATGTCGATCTTATGGGTGTTCATGAAATGGATCTTTTGCTCGAGCGACGAATAGTGAGATGTTATCGGGCGCCCTGGGAGCTGCGAGTCGCCATCCTGTGCATCTAGGAGCTTTGCTTCAGCATCCAAGATCACGTATCGTGGGTCTTTGACGCCAGGGAATCGGCGGATCAGTGGGATTGAATCGCGAGATTCTAGTAGCTTGATGTACGTGGAAGGGTACATGTGAGTGTGGATGTCCACCACTTTGGATGATGTTGCTGTCATGATGGTGTCGTGATGTTGTTCGATATAGTGGCTGCGGTTTAACAAGTGTGAATTTTTTGAAGAGATATTTCTAGGACAATTGCCATATAGTACAACCTTGGAATGAAGTTCAATTAACCATTATCGTGTGTCATGGTCGCTATCGGATGAGACTTATCGATAAGCTATCAATTGTTTATCGATTATCAGAACCCGGAAATCTTTTATCGTGATCTTATCGTTGACTGCACTGATTGGCTCAAGTTTACGACAGCGAATCAGAGGCTCAAAGGATGTGGAGACTGCGAGAAGCACGCTGACTGCTCGGGGGAAGTGATCAAAGTCCCGAAAATAGTAGGGGTCCATCTATCTGATACGATAAAACATCAGGTCCTGTTATCATCTTTGTCAGGTTCGATGGAGGAGGAAGAAATATGACTTGTAGATCACACTAAATTCGGAGCGATAGATGCAGGGTTTACCACAAAAATGTCTGGGTGGAAACAGAGACCATTTGGGTCACAACGCGTCATCAAGATTCGAAGATAAACTGCATATCGCAGCACAGAGGTAAATTGGTCTTTGGAACTGGTAGAAGCAATTTCAAGCCAATTATTCAGCGATGAATGAGCACGTCAAACAGGCTGGAGAGTTGCTTTGGCCGTAAAATGTTGTCTCACATTGTGGAATGATCATCTTATTCACAGTTGCTATTATTATACAAATGATGAGTCTTTGCTCAGTCTGCACATCAGGTGTTGTCCTTTGCAGCCAACTGCCAAACATATATCCGGCCAGGTATCACCGTGGACACTTAACACCTTAAAATCCAATATCCCATTCTCATTCGGCTGTTGATTGACGAATATTCTTTCCAGAGATTCCGTCTTATAGTTCCATTCGTCACGCAGCCAAAACCATCGGGACTGTGGAGGAATAAGTCCATTCCTATCACGGTCTAGCTCCTCCATTAAGATCGCGTTCAATTGCCCCCTCAAAAGTTTCTTCAAATCCCACGCAACCATCGACCAGGGAAGCTGCCCAACTGCTTCGACTGCCATCATCCGAATCTCGTGATTACGGCAACTTCGCATCACCGTGCAGAGAGGGAGTAGGAGGCCTTCGCCGAGCATCACAGACGTTGGACGTGCGTGGGAGATGTTGTCTTGGATGAGATCAATGCACTGATTTGTAAGATCGCGGTATTCGTTTTCAAAATTGTCACAGGATAGCTCGGTTGGGTCGAGACAGCAGTTGATAGAGATGTATAACATTAGCCAGTGGATATGTGCGATTCGGAGAGCCTTTTGGTCAGCAGTGCTAGTGCCGAAATACTCTGACAGTGTTGATTTCCAATTTTCCAGATGTGATAAGAGCTGCTTCTGCTGCGAAATGAAGCGCTTGGGCTGTTCTCTGGGTATGGATCTGAGTTCGGAGTAGATTGTGTGTCCGAGGAAGATGATTGCGAAGGTGAAGAACCTTCCCCATTGAATGAACAGGTCATGAATTGATTCTCGGCCTGGTCGGGGGAAGAAAAAGTCCGGCTCGCTCTTCATCAGGGGAAGTTTGTGATGTTGATCCGAAAGATGCGACAGGTGACTCATGACTGAGATACACGGCACAACATGCTCGATCTCCTTAAAGTCCCGATGGACCTTCTGGGTGACAGTAGATGCGGGTTGAAACAATGTGATGTTTTCTCTCAAGAGGTCCATGCTAGAGTTCATCAATGTATCTGCTGTTTTCAGCTTCCCTTGTAGAAGTTCAAATACGACAAGAAGCAACGTAACCACAAGGACCGATCGTGGCGACGACGCAGCCAGGTCATGGACCTCGGCTCGAAATGACCGAGCGGCGTGGAGATGATGTTTGAGGGAATTGCGATGATGACTATTTATGATTTTCTCGAGTAGAAATGAGGCTGATGTAGTCGCACGATCGGGTAAATTGGATGTTTGAGATATTGTCAATATTAAAGCTCCAATTGCTAATATTGAGTGTCGCACAGCATCGTGGTGAAAGCTCTCGGCAATGACCAGCCCCGACCACATGCTTGTAGTGTAAAAGCCACACATATTGCTCGAGACCTGGTGACGAAAATAGTCAAAGTAAATACCATCATTGCCTTGTAAGCCCAGGCTGGAGAGATCACGAGACGGGGTTCCTAAAAGACTATACGGCCCCCTGTCAGGTAGATTCAACTGTTCAGAGGCCGGTTCAGATGTGGCTCGTGGAACAATCGGGCGTGGTGAGGCCCTTTTGATCAGGCGATGCGATTCAGGTTTTCTTTTCGGCTGAGGAGTTGAATATCCCTGACAAAAGGCATCCACCTTTTCACAGCGAAGACAGACGGGCTCCCGCTCGTCACACTTGACATGGCGTAGTTTGCAAGTAAGACATCCCGTTCTGACTTTTGGGTTGCCTGCCCTCCGTTTAACGGGTTTCTCAATGTGGAGCCAATTGCGAGGCTCGACCGGCATATGTGCCGGCCTAGGAAGGAGAAGGCATGGCGCCCGATCTGATGATTGTGCCGCCTCCATGTGCATGGCCACTAATTCCTTTAGCGGCCAGGCTGTTGACAGAGAAATAATGGTTTGGTCAAAATGAAATTGGAGAGTGGCAATTGCCGTTCCCCACAACGGCCTGTACCGGTCGGTCTAGTCATCCATGATTGGTCGATCGGTTGCTCGTATATCGTCAACCAATGAAGTGCGAGTAATCAATGATGTGGGTTTTAGTGCGATTCAGGATCCATCCGGGCAGACTAGGAGTTTAGAATGGAGTTTAGGTGGAGACTGAAGAGAGGGAGAAGAGTGGACGTTATCACTTATCAGTAAATCTATCAAGTCCAGTGACGAAGAACTATTTATCATTGTAAATACTCCAGAATAGAAAAGAAAGGATAATTTCATCTTTCCGAAATCCATTCTCTTCATAATCAAATTTCGTTCTTCGCCATGCTCACTCCAACAACTTCCCCTAAGACACCATTATGGCTGGATTGCGATCCTGGTCACGATGTAAGTCAAAGAAGCGACAATATTTACAAATTGAGACGTGGCTGGAGATACTAATCGTTTTTATTGATTGGCAGGACGTATTTGCCATTCTTTTAGCTGCATATCACCCTGGATTTGATTTGTTGGGAATTTCTACAGTCTTTGGCAATGCACCGTTAGAGTGAGTCGCATCGTGATAAAATTTATCTGATAGATACTAAAGTGAAGAAGGTGCACTACACGAAACGCAGCTTCTGTTCTTACGGCAATCGGCAAACACAATGAAATTCCACTTTACCCGGGCGCTTCGAAGGCAATGGCCCGCCCGACAATGCACCCACCAACGGGAATCCATGGGAAGACCGGCCTTGATGGTACAGAGCTTTTGCCAAATCCTCGAAGCAGTCCTCGTTGGGAAGAAGACGCCGTTGAAGCAATGGCTACCGCTTTACTGGCTCAGCCTCCTGGAACAGCTTTTTTGGTAGCTACAGGGTCCTTGACCAATGTTGCCATTCTGTTCCGTGACTATCCCCATGTGATTAGTCACATTAAAGGTTTTAGTATGATGGGATGTGCTTTTGGTGGATTTACCGATATATCTCTTGGCTCCGTGCTCGACCCAATGCGGATTGGGAATTATAGTCAATGGGCTGAATTCAACATCCTCGCAGATCCCGAGGCTGCGGCCCTCATATTCAACAACAAGGATCTGGCCGCCAAAACAACGGTTATTCCACTCGACCTCACACATCAAGTCCTCGCAACAAAGGAGGTGAGAGATCGTCTGCTATATGGAGTTGGTGGTAACAGCTCTGGATCGGGAAAGTCCACATTGCGCCAGATGCTTGTCGAGCTACTGATGTTCTTCGCCGACACATACGCTGATGTCTATCAAATTACCGCGGGTCCGCCACTTCATGATCCCCTTGCTGTGGCAGTCGCATTGATTGGTACTGAGTATCAGATTGACTTTCACGAATTTACTGAGGCTTCTGATTCCAAACAAAAGGAGCGTTTCTCGATTTCAATTGAGACAAATGGTTCATATGAAGAAGCAGTAGCAGGGGCAAAAAAGACTGGCATGAGTGTTCAGACTAAGCTTCCAGCTGGAAGTAAAGGAGTCCGAATCCCCCGAAGTCTTGATATTTCTAAATTTTGGACGGTTCTGGAAGAGTGTTTTCAACGAGCTGACAAAGTTATTGCCAATCTTTGAGCTCTTTACGATGTCATTTTAATTCTATCAAATGAATAGAAATTCATATATGTATTATGTATGATGTCTCTCTTGTAGCTATACTATTTGCATATATGCATCTACTTCAAAGTTTTTTGAAGGCAAAGCATCGTAGGACCTGGGAAGATCTTGTAGGGGGTATTCATTTGAAGCTCAATCTAGATAGGAGGTTTAACAAGTACATATCATGTTGCTTATTGTACAACGGCACTTAAAGCTCTTCAATAAACTCGATACATCAAGATATGGCCTTATCATCACTGCTATGACCTTATCCTTTATCGATAACACTATCTTACTATCACCTTTTCGCAGATGCACAGTGGGAAAGTTGAATTAACAGGCATCGTATAGGTATATCCGATAAGATAACTTATCTTTTATCGCTGATAGTGAGATCACATAGTAACCGAATCCAGCCCTGAAGCTACAGAAGTATAAACCGACATTTCACGGGTGACTGTGACATCTATGATTGCCTCCATACAGATGCGAACCATAAATTAAGACTCAAATAACTCACTTTACTACCAGCAACATGGGGCTTTGTCTCCTTTCCGGTAAGTATTGATCACTGACATTAAGAATCCTGCTGAACCCGAATCAGGAAGTGGTCACAAAGAACTAGCAGCCTTAGTCAGTTCAAAGTAATTATGCACCAACGATGAAATCGGATTATTATTAACTTCGTCTCAGAATCGGATATCCGGTCGGTGAAGAGGCACTTCATAGCAGTCGATTTTCCAATGGAGAGACATTCGTATCCATTGGTGCATCAGTGCGAAACGCCGATGTTTTTATTATCCAAACCGCATCAAATCCTGTTAACGACATGCTCATGGAACTACTCATTGCAATAAACGCTTGTAAAACTGCATCGGCCAGGAGAATCACCGCGGTCATGCCGTGTTTTCCGTACTCGCGACAAGACAAAAAAGATCGGAGCAGGGCACCTATTACTGCGAAGCTTGTTGCTAATATGCTTGAGAGTGCCGGGTGCAATCACATTATTGTTAGATTCTTCTTATCCAGAGAGCTATGTTTTGAGCCCGATGCTAACATGTTTTTAGACCATGGATCTACATGCTTCACAAATCCAGGGATTTTTTAACATTCCTGTCGACAAGTACGTCTAACTGTCCCTCTAATGGATTTACGCTGACATTAAACTCAACACAGCGTAAGAATCATTCTTCATACTTGTGACGCTTCCTTCCTAAGATTAATTCCAGTTGTTTGCCGAGAAAACGATGATCGAATATATTCGACGCAATTATTCAACCGATGATCTGGTGGTTGTATCTCCAGATGCAGGTGGTGCCAAGCGGTATGCAATACATCCACTTATATTGGTCTAACCTACTGATATCGCCTTTTAGAGCCGCCGCCATCGCAGATCGACTCCATGTCGACCTTGCCATCATTCACAAAGAGCGCAAAATTGCAAATCAAGTGAGCAGGATGATCCTAGTTGGCAATGTGGCTAGAAAAAATGCCATCCTAGTTGATGACATAGCGGATACTTGCGGAACGCTTGCACTGGCTGCGCAGATCCTCAAAGAGCAGGGTGCCAATCAGTGCATTGCTATTGTCACACACGGCTTCTTGAGCGGACCATCTGTCAAGGTTATCAATGAGAGTGTGCTTGACAGGCTTGTCGTGTCGAACACACTACCGCTGCCTGATCATGCACGTTCATGTGAGAAAATCCAGCAGATGGACGTTAGTCCTACCATTGCGGAGGCTATTCGGAGAACGCATAATGGCGAGTCGTAAGTCAACTCTCAAAAATCAAAGACTCAACTACAAAGCTTGAGCGCGATGCTTACCCAGATCTCTAGAATCTCCTTGCTTTTTTCATAGCACTTTTGAAGGGTTCAAGAGGATATCTGTCCTGCTCGCGTTGAGTTTTCAAATGGCGTATCGAGTTGATGAACGACATCTGGACGATGTCTGCTTTAGATAGTTGGCAAAATAACTCAATTTGTGAACCTGTGTCTGGGGGTTCTTTTCCAACTTTTCAATGTCCAAGAGTTGGTTCTCGTCGGATCAGTGACTCGAGAATATATATTTCCTACCGTAAAAGAGCAAGAGGTGAGGGATTCTTATAAAAATTTGATTTGTTTAGCACTTTAGCGTAGCACTAGCCTCCAGTAAAATACAAGAATCAAGTAATTTAATCAATAAGAACCCCATCAATGAAGAAATAAGAATGCTGGATGAGAGAGTAATAGAAGGCAAAGAACAGAAGAAGGCGTTCTCGGAGACCCAATCCGAATTAGGGACATACTTTTCCGTCCGGATGCCTCCACCCTGCTAACACTTGCAGTCCATAATATCAGGTACGATGCAATATGCGAAAGTGAGGGGTAAGAAGAGTTCGGCACAGCAGACACCAATCAGGGTTAAAAAGATTGCCCGATAAGTGATATATCTCGGAGTCACAGCGATAAGGCTTTTATCGGTATCTGCCTTGTATCATCTCCACTTTATCAGTTTGATGTCTATCTTATCATTATCATCGGGCTTATAACTCGTACCGTACGCTGGCAATTACGTCCGACATTGAATGTTTGTATATTCCCGAGGTCGAAGTTAGGAACTAGAATACGCACGTGAAATTGAAAATGACACAGTCCGCGGTTGTTCACAATGACTTCGTCATTCCGGTAAGTATGAACACATCGAACTTCAGGCGTTCAAATCTGGAAGTATCCGAAGCTTACTCAATACTAGCTTATTGATTTCTCTCTTTTCTTAAACGGTGCACCTAAAGAGCGAGTTGAGACCGCAAAAGCCATACTTGATGGCTTTCGTAAAGCCGGCTTCGTATATCTGCGAAACCTTCCCATGTCGCCATCTGAGCGCCAGCACGTCTTTGAGACTTCGGCAAAGTTCTTCAGTCTACCTTTGGAAGAGAAAAAACGACTTGCTATGCCATCAATTCAATCCAATCGAGGATATAATGCGACCGGACAAGAAAAGCTCAATGAAGGCCTGCCAGATATCAAAGAAAGCCTGCACATCGGACGGGAAAACGACCCTGAATATACCAACATCTGGCCTTCGGAGGCAGGGCAGCTGATCGGTTTCAAGAAGACCATTGGTGATTTCTACGATTTCTGTGGCAATATTGCCATTGAGGTAATGCGTGCTATTGCCTTGGGGCTCGAAATCGATGAAAAGTATTTCGACAGCTTCATGTCATTTGGCGATCACAAGCTGCGACTTTTGCATTATCCGCATGTCGAAAGGAGCGTTTTCAAGTCCGGTTCTGGGCAGGTTCGAGCGGGAGAACACACTGACTATGGTGCTGTTACTCTGCTCTTCCAGGATGGCCGTGGTGGACTTCAGGTCAAGACTCCCGCGGGGGATTTTGTGAATGCTTCGCCCATTGAGAACACGGTGGTGGTAAATGCCGGTGACCTCCTCGCAAGATGGAGCAATGATGTTATAAAATCCACTGTGCATCGTGTGGTTGAGCCTCCGATGGTTGAAGGAGAAGTTTATCCGGCCAGATATAGTATTGCGTGAGTACCGTGTCCAAGCCATTTCACTTTTCTACTAACATATGAGGTGTGAAGGTTTTTCGCAAACCCGAATGAGAAAAGCTATATTGATGCTATCCCTGGTACATTTGCGACCGAGGCGGAGAAGAAGTACAAGGGCACCACCAGCGGCGATTATTATCTGGAGAGACTAAACGCCACGTACTAATGGCGCATTGGAAACATGCCCAAGTCGAAGACATTGATTTTCAGCAGGGAGTTTTGGTTCAAATTGAGAAAATTTGCTCGTTACTCTAAAAGAATGTATTCTTCTCTGGTACTGTAAGTACTAATAATGCATCCACAGCCACTTCAAGCAGAGAAGGTTCTGTTATCAATATTCATTTGAAGTATTTCAGGCCGAGAATTCTAGTCTTGATATTGATCATTGCGCTCAAATTAGAGATAAGACCTTGCTTCCACCTAAGAAACTTAGCATACAACAAAGTTGGCGTCGAAAGAATTTTCGGGTAGCCATGATTGCCAATCCAACTCAGCGTGCTGTTCGAGATCCAATAAAATTATAGTTTCTAGCTTACTGAGACATGCATTTCTAGTCAGACCTGTTCAACGCTTCATGTTCAGGAGTCTGCTGAAACAGTTTCAAAATGTGCTCATTGCCACAAGCGGCAGCAACATCCAAACAAGTACGTTGCCGAGCATCCTCGAGCATAGGATCCAAGTTCATGCCAACGAGGAACTTAAACCAGTTGACAAGATTCTCAATCGGCAATTCATATTGTTTTTCATTATGCCCGAAAATGCGGCCACCGAGTTTACGACCAGCCAAAACGTGAAGTAGCGACGATCCCGCGTGATTACGGGCGAAGAAATCAGCTCCGGCTTCCTTGAAATATCGCAAATGGTGAACATTGTCAAGGTTCTCGTGCTCTTTATTCTGACACAACACCCAACTCAGCTGGCCGTGTGTAATATATTCGAAGAGCGGGGGATCGCCCTTTTTGTTGCGTGCGTTGATGTCCACACCAAGCCCTTGGAATTGTTCAATACGTGACTTGAAGGTGAGAGGGTTCCGAGCGAAGAAGTGGAGAGCTGTATTGCCATTCGAGTCTGGTTGGAGTGGGTCGGCGCCGTGTTCGAGCAGTAGGTCGATGTGATTGACATTATTGTGGGTTCCTTTCAACACATAATGTAGTGGAGTGTCACCGACATTGTCAGGGATATGAACTAAATCGGGTTTCTGATTGAAAATAGTCTTGAGGCACTTGAAAGTCGTCTCGTTGGGCTCATTGTTCATGAGATTGTGTACAACAGTTTTGCCTTCTTGATCCTGTGCCATCACGTCTGCTCCACGGGCGAGAAGGTCTTCAACTCACTTGATGTGGCCTCCTCGAGAGGCTGCAAGAAGTAGCGTTTGGCCTTCGGCATCGCGTGTTTCAAGCTGAAGAGATGGGAGGTCGAATAGTGGCTCGGCTACCATTCCTCGTTGCAAGATCTCATGTATGATAGTGCATGTTTCAAATTCCCACTCCGGTTCTTGGTCATCTTCACTTCCGGCGTCATCCATGTCGTCGACTCGATAACGCATGACAAAAGTGGAATATGGGTCTGCGCCGTGGCGTAGGAGGGCTGTCATCATGCGCATCTGGGAAGGGGTACGATCATCCTCATTCACGCGGTAATCAGGCTTATGATAAAACGCTGCATGATACAAAGGGTAGCTCTCAGAGTTCAAAATCCCGGATGTCTCATGTCTTGAAAGCTTCTTTGGGTTTTCACTAGCGGGTCGCCTTTGATTGGCCATTTCACCGCGAGCGAGAAAGAGCTCCAATAATTCAACCTGCTGGAGCTCGATCGCGGAAAAGACGGCTGCTGGGGAGACCCTGGCACCGTATGATAGGAGCAACTTGATTAGCCCAGTATCAGTACCGGCTTTGGACAGGCATGAATCTCCATGGTTGTCCACAGCGTTGGTATCGGCACCACCATCCAGAAGAATCTGCACAGCTTCTTTGTAAAAGACGCCCTTGAACCTCTTTTCGTCTAGAGCAATGTGCAATGGCGTTTCTCCACTCCTATTCCGCACCTCTAAATCAGCCCCCTTTTGGATCAGGTAAGGCAGGGCTTGGTGGACGTTCCACCAAGCCTGGCCCTCAGAAATCTGATGTAGGACGCTATTACCTGAGACGAACTCGCGTCGCTTGCCATTGTCGATGAAAACTCTCTGCCTGCAATTTGCACCTATACTAACGCCCATTTCTTCGATAAGGAACCGAACCACTGTCATGTTGGGGATTCTTCGATTGCACGCGACCGTAAGAAGCGGCTGTATCTTGGGGACTCTGTTCGCAATCTGTGCTTGTTCGCACCAGTCATTATCATCGAATCTTAATGCAATTTCACGAGTGCAGACACGTCTGAGTAAATCTGATAGACCAAAACTTGCAAGGGTGTGCAGGAGAGAAATGCTGAGAAACTTATTGGTCTGGTAAAGTTCGAGAACATCCGTCTGTAATATTCTTACTTCCAGCATTTCATACTGACGAAGACCCAGCAGCTTAGCTGGATAAAAAGGTTGCAATTGGCGGCAGTGTCCATCCTGAGTTTTCCGATTGTTGTTCTTGCTATCTTCTTGCCTCAAAGATGATCTTTCACTTTCCAGGCGAGACTTTGAGGCAATGAAGGCCTCGCCATCTGGCCCTTCAAGAAGATTCATATTTGGAAGAGAACGAGACTGTAATCTCAAAAGACACTCAGCTGTATAGTCACGTTGGTTCAGCACCGCGGTGTGGAATGCATCGCGAAGAGAGTTGTCATTGCCGGTGAGTTTGGCGCCGTGAAGAACCAAAGAGACTAAAATTTCATCGAGACGGGTCGAATGGGACTCCTTCGTCAGGCCATGTTGACGCCAGTTATAGTCTTTCAAATGTTCGGCAGTTAGTGCTAGATTGTGGTCGTCGAGGAAAATGCTGCCGGCTCTTCCAGTTTTAGTGCTTTTCCTGCTTTCCCCTTTGTCATCGTCTATTTCAACAATTCTACTCCAACGTGATTGTTCAACTTCAAAATCAGCACATGCCCTGAGCGGTGTGTATCCATCCCTGCCTGGTAAATTAGGATCTGCTCCCGCATCTAGCAGCAAATCCACACTTTCAGGATGACCGGCACAGCAAGCATAGTGAAGCGCTGTGTTTCCCTCTACATTTTTCTGATTGATAAACGCTTTGAACGTGACATCCTCTTGTTCCTTGAGTCTTGAAAGGACAAGACCAATGATACCAGGTTGCCGGGCTCGAGAGGCAACGTGGAGCACCGTCATGCCCTCATTCGTGGTTCCAAACGGATCCGCCCCAGCATCAAGAAGTTTGAAAACATAATCCTCAGAAACAACGGCGGCAACATGCAAAGGCTGAACTCCATCGATGTCGCGAGGGTTCAGATTCTTGCACGCTTGAATGACATAGTCGAAAGCATTTTTCCTAAAAGGGTTCCAGCTGGAGAGTCTAGACTCCCTCGCACATATCTTGTGTAAAACAGTCTTGCCATGGTTATTGGGCTGATCAATATTTACCCCCAACTTCATGAGATGAATGTATATTGGCAGTTTGTCAAAGTTATATCGCTTAGATGTGGCCTCATGGAAGAGTGTATTTCCTTTGTTGTCAACGACAGAAGGATCGATGTCAATCCGAGCTATCAAATTGTCCAACCGACGGGTATTTCCAACAACTTGGTGTAACAAAGTCCTGCCCTTGTTGTCCCGTGTGTCAAGTCGGGCGCCTAGCTCAATGAAAGCATTGGAATACGTTGGCTCACCATTGCTGTCGGATTCGACGTTCTTGAACAGAGCTGTTTGGCCTTCCAAATCTCGAATTTCAAGATCTACTCCAGCTTTAACGAATCTGGAAACCGTTTCGAAATTGCTAGAATTTTGCATTAAGTGTAACGGTGTCTCGCCTTTCCCATTTTGCAGATTGGGATTAGCACCAGCTGAAAGTAAAGTGTCGACGATATCACAAGTAGACTTTGATACTTTGAAGGTAAATTCCTTCAAAAGCACATGTAGGGGGCGATTTCCATCTGAATCCGCCAAATTCAGATCTGGTTTAAACTTAAGAAACTCAAGAACAGACTGGAGATTATGGCGCTGAAGCCGAAGATGCAGGGGACTTGTCCTTCCTTTCTTCATCAGCTCGTTGACATCGATAAGCCCTGATTTCAGCAGTATAGGCAGCAATACCTTGTCTGTGGATCCATCGGTGTGCAGTATTGTGCTTCCATCATCAGTTTCGGTATTCGGGTCTGCACCTGCCTCCAATAGCATCATCACGGCTTCTATATTGTTTGAACAGGCGAGGTGCAAGGCGGTTCTTCCATCTGGACACTTCGAATGAATATTCGCACCAGCTTCTAGAAGTAGTGGAACACAATCTCCTGTTCGCTTATTACCCTTCTTGATTCCGCATAGAGCATGTAAAGCAGTGTAGCCCCTTGGTTCAACATTCTGCCTGTGGTCTCCATATCGCTGATCTTCATGAAAAGGCCGACCCCCAAACCGAATCGAATTATGCTCGCAAAGAATATTGGGATCAGCGCCCGCTTTGAGAAGAACCTTTATCGTACTCATGTCATTTACGCAGCAGGCTCTGAAAAGCGGAGTGTCTCCTATCAACTTAGAATTCACGTTCATGCCTGGCTGTTGAAGAATCAGATCCACGCAGGCCGCATGTCCTGCTTCTGTCGACCAGAAAAGGGCCCATTCTAGGTCACCATGATCTGTGATGTAAGGTAGCAATTCAGCGACAGCCTCCTTTTGTCCATTTTTGCAGGCGTACATCCACGGGGTGTTGCCGATCGATCTTGGTGCATTGCCACATCTTCTGCCCGGGGCTTCTCCCGTTTTTTCCGTGAGTGGATTAACACCGGCCGCAAGTAAAACTTTGACCACCTCAGCGTGGTTATGACTAGCCGCCTTGTGAAGGGGCTTGTATCCTTCGTTTGCTTCTCCATCTGGATCCGCCCCGTTATCAATGAGGACCTGTGCAACATCCGCATGGCCACTCAGAGCGGCCCAATAGAGCGGAGAGTCGTCGCAATTGCTCTTGGCGTTTGGATCGGCATGTTTTTCTTGAAGCAAGTGCCTGGCATATTGACATAATCCCGTGCAAGCTGCGGCGTGAAGCGGAGTGAGGCCTTGAATCTGGTTTTCTGGCCAGTCGATATCTAGCCAGCTTAGAAATCTCTGATTGTTTGCAACGAAGTCATCCAGTGTTTTGAAGAATGATGAAACATCTTCACCGGCGAAGGTGGCACGGCGTGTATGAATGTACCAATTCGCAGCAGCATATTCGAGGAATGGGAATTGAAGCCTAGTTTCACTCTGCTGAGCCTTCTTTGGCTGGAAGAAATCATCATTGCTGCGAGTCTTGATCTCTAGTTTGTCTAAGCAGCCAGAGGTGAGATAATCCATGCACGCAATGGCAAGACGGTGATTGGTTGGACCAGCCTCGAGGATAGGGTAGGTTGAATCATCCAGAGGTATTTTGCGAGTGAATCCTTTGAGAAACTCAGTAAATGAGTGGTGAATGACAGAGACAGTCTCATCATAAAGAACTTGTATTAGCGGACCACAAGCAGCTCGAACCAAGTCCTTGATCTCTTTCAAACTGTAGTCTTTAAATGGATCATGTGTGGCTTTGGCCATCTCAGCAATTTCCAGTAGACGGAGAGGTCGAGTTGCATGCGTGACAAACTGCAAGATGAGTAGCTGAAATTCATCTGGAATATCTGATCGTTTCGCATGCTCACGCAACAGGTTGCTATACATCACGTTCAGGTCCAGAGGCAACTTTTCAATTACTGCCTGAGGATTATCGCCGGACATAAAGGCATCCATCGAAAGTTTTGCATATAAAAAGAGCCCATTGGCCCGGCCAGGGACAGCTTCAGTCACTACGCTCCAGTATTCGTGAGGAACAACCGAATCTCGTAATCTGTGCTGCACATATGCAGCAATGTCTATATCCACAAAGTTTTCATCCAGTCGAATATGACGTATATGGAAGGGTCGTAGGGGAGACTCAACCGCGACGACTGGGCGTGAGGTGATGAGGACTTTGACATTTGCAGGGCGCCATTGGCCTAATTGCGCTAGAGAACGGAGAAACTCATCATTGCCTTGGTCCATCTCGTCTAAGGCGTCGGTGACACAGTAGACCTTAGGAAAGGCAGATAGAGCAAATTTGAGGTCTTTCAACAGGTCACTCGGAGCTAGACTATCAATGGGTCGCTTCTTTTCCAGGTATTCATCCCTCAGTCTAACCTGCAAGGGTGGGCTAAAGGGGAGGGCCTGACACAACCAGTCCCGCAATGCGGCCGCCGGTTGATGATTCGCATCGATAATCTGTCGGAAGAAAAAGTATAGAACTGGGACCTCTTCTTTTCGTAACTGATGGATTATGGAGGCGGCCATGACTGACTTCCCCGATCCGGGTATGCCTTTGATCCAAAGGAGGCCATCCTCATTCTCGCCACCCTGATGCCACTGTTGGTACGTGCTTGTGGATGTGAGCCACTGACCGGTGCCTTGGAGGTACGACGCAAGGTGTCTTGAGAAGTCGGATCTTTCAAGATCATATGGCGTGGGCTGCAGCCAATCTGTGATTTTTTGGAGTTCGTCTGCTGGAAGAGGAAGTATATTTTCTTCGTTGAAATCACGAATATCGCCTGGACCGACCAGAACGGTCTCAGAACCCTCAGAGTCTGAAAGCGACATGTTGGATTGGTTGTATAATAATTTAGCGATGATTTGATTGAAAAAGTTGAGTGGGGGCTGTAGGTGGGGCTTACTGTCCGACTATTTAAGCCACGTCAGGCCGATGCTTGGACCCTGAGTCATTCATGGCACTAGGCAGCATTCGCGACGGGGAATCTTGAAAATCCCGCATATTTACCGCCACAGACTATTGACTCAAAATCTCTAGGCTCCAGGAAAGGACAGAAAGAAGACAGTCAGCGTTTTGAGTCGGCAGGTGGTGACGTACACGGCACAGGAGGTGGCTTACTCAGCTCCAGGATCAGAGCGAGAAGCTATGGTCACATACTGTGAGTTTCGATTAGGATACATAAACAGGCACTGTATCCTTGATACCCGAAGCATAACGCTCAAGAAAGTAATATACATAATTACTTGTGCATGCGGTACCTAAAGACACATCTAAATCATATACCCGGTACGAACCAAAGTTCTCTGTGGGCCATGTGGGTAGCGCAGTATCCGGCCCGTATCTAGGTTTCGGCTGCTACCGATCAGGAAAGTTAATTCGGAGATTTACGCTCAGATCTTTGCGCTTCGAAAAAAGTAAAGTCAATATTAGATAGGCCTAAGTCTCCGGTTGTAAAATTATATACCCCTCAGCCTAAGGACGAGAAAGTCCAGGGATACTAGAGGTTTCACTCATTATTGCTCATTAAATATAGGCAGAGAACTTAGGGTAGTTGTAGAGGTGAGAGTGGCGGTGGTGGTCGCTGAGACTGTTTGGGTGATGGTCACATCAGTGCCAATGGTGGTGAACGCGATGCTCGTAACGTCGATAGTGTTGATAACAGTGGTTTGGGCTACGATCGGGACGGTAGTGGTAGCGGTGAAAGAAGCCGTCGACGTTATTGTGGCAACCTCTGTCACGTAGATACTAGTGCTCAGTGTCTCCGTGCTCGTCACAGACAATGTCTGGGTAGCAGTGACGTCAGCTATCTGAGTGGTTGTCTGGCTCGTCGTTATATCGATAGTCTCTGTATTGGTTTCAATTGTTGTGGTATCGGTCGTTGCAGTGGTTGTGACAGCAGTTGTAGTATCCTCGGTCACAGGAGCGGTCTCCTGGACTGTTGTCTCTAGGGTGAATGGAATGACCAGATCGCTAGTGATAGTGGCGATCACAGTTTCTGTTTTTGTGATTGGTGTCTCTATTGTCATAATCACTGTGGCGATATTGGTAGCCGTGCTGGTTGAAGAAGTGGTGATGGTTGAAGTAGCCCCAATAGTGACTGTCACTGGCTTTATAATATCGGCGGTGACCGTCTTGGTTATGACAGTTGTGAATGCCCCAGGGGCCGTCTTAGTCACAAAATTAGTTATGAGTTTTGTGACATAAGTCGTATGCAAATTAGGCGCCAGAGTATGAGTGGTTATAGTTTGAGTTCGCTAATGAATCGATTAGTATTTCGAAAATGAAATGAGGGAGTGAACATACCGTAGGGCCGGGAAGTATCATAGTAGTGTACACTGTGGAGGTCCAATCCTTTACTATAAAGACAGAGCAAGCAGTCGATAAATGAGCTGGGGCGATGCCCCTTAAAGCAGAGGGAGTTGGCGGCGCTGCGCGCCCGTCGATTATATCTCTCTTATAAACGAGAGCATCAGTCGTGACCACAGCAGTTGTGGTTACAGTCCTCTCATCAGTCTCGACTGTGGTGAATGTTGTGGTCATGTAATCGGTTACAGTCACCGGGATGGTATCAGTCGAAGTTTGGTAGTCCGTCTGAATAGTAGTTTCGGACTGGGTGTCGGTCGTCGTTACATCCACCTGTTGGGTAGTTGATGATAGGATAGTTTCAGTGGTTGTTTCAGTGGCAGTATCAGTGAAAGAAAGAGTCAGAGTCTCGGTATGATAATCGGTAATGGTGGCAGTTCTCAGGTCTGAATGAAGGTTACTGAGATAGACAGTTACAGGCTCAGTGATGAATGCAGTCACGTAGGCCGTGGACCAATCGGTGAGGATGCTGGTCAAGGTTTTTGTGGCGATGTCCGTGGAATACTCCGTAATGATTATGGCAGAAGGTACGGCGATTGTCTCCGTTATGGTATTGGTGACGAGACTAGTCACTGGCACTGTGACTGTGACTGTTTCGTAGTTCGACTCAGTCACGAAGAAATGTGAAACATCAGTGATTGTCAAGGTTGACAGATCCGTGACCGTTAAATGGACAGTGCTAGTCAACGTTGTCGTTGTATAGAGAGTTGTGGTGCGGGTAGGCGGCTTCACGATTGTCGATGTGCGGTGATTTATCTTTGTCTTAGTTACTTGATGGGGATAGTCGGTGATAGTTTCGGTGACCTTGAGGGTACTTGGATGAGCAGTCGCAGTCTTGACTTCGGTGATAACCTCGCATGTCTCCCGGATGAATTCACGACAGACTGGACGACCTTCGGGGCATTCTTCGATCAGACGCACGATATCCGACAAGGGAGGGGATGGAAGAGCCGAAGTGACGGCTGCGCATATGAATGCCAGCGGGAGGGAAGTTTTCCAAATCATCACGGCTCATAAGTCGATTAAGGGATGACACCGTAAAATAAATCAGATGGATGGCAGTGGGACTTATACCAAAAAGACAGACCGACAGGGGAAAGCACGGCGACTAGGGCCCTGTCGATCAACGAAAGTGTGACCTTCAAAGCGAATCATGGAGCCATCTTATAGGTTCGGATGAAATTTTCCAGCTATCAACCATATTTGACTCGTCATCCAATCTGTATTGGGCGATGTCTAATGCAATGTCCCTACAACTGCTGGAATCAGCCACGCAGGTACGCGATGCGGGTAGCACACTATTAAAGTGGCAATCTAGAGGACCCGGTCCAGATCCTAGCATTTGGGCATGGGATTGGCTTGGTGTTCGCTCTGTCTTGCTAGCGCGCCTGGCAGTTCATGGTGGCGGCTCGGGAGTTCCGAAACAAAGAGCCTAACACACCTCCGCATTGCCCTCGGCTGGATTCACCTGATCGCCTCCTTACCCAGGATATTCTAGGGTATCCATTGTGATTTGATCATTTTAGTATTTCCTAGGGTACACCAATGGAGGGAAATAGTTGGTTGTGTCCGCGGGTTTGGAGCTGCAGCCAAGAGGTGCGAGGTGTCATGTTATGGACGCGTTCTATTGTACGTCTCAGGCCACTAAGCAACATGTGATTAGTCAGATATTGATGCCCAGGGGTCCTCCAGTAACTACTTGGTATGGGAACAGCTGAATTGTACGTCAGACTTTTCCTCTCCTACATAACAAATAGTCATAACTAAAATAACTTATATAATATGGCGGTGAGTTCAACCGAGACGAAAGGCTGCCGCGTACGCTGCGAAAGGCTCCAGAGGACGGATGGGGCGCGCATCCCTCAAGGTGTACTTCTTCTGTCTGCTGTATTTGTCTACCGTGACTGGCTATTATTGGCGTAGTGAAAGGTGGTGTCATTCTGGTTGTGTATAAGAGTTAAATTATCTTAAATTATACAGCATACCAACTAAACCATCCGCAATTGCTGAAGTCCCACTTGCAAAATCTTGCCAAAATCGCCTTTCTGAGTTTCCATTCCCTGTTCCAAAAGGATTAAAACTAGTCTGCACCGTATAAAGGTCCAGAAGGCGCAACCATGACGTGAAAATCTGGTCAGGTTGAGTCATGACTCATAATGCATGTCATGCAAATCGCTTTTCGCCCTGATGATCTGCAGGCAAGTAACCAGCAGTTCCTTCCGGCATGACATCAATTCAAAGCATCATGTCGAATTCATGTGTCCCCTGCTCCAAGGCATCGGCCTCCCTTCGAAGAAGATCCGCTCGGAATCTCCGAAAGGCAGTCTCGATTCTCTTCTTACTCTCCGGATCTGACGAGATACTCCGGGTAGCCTTAGCTGCGCCTCCAGCAAAACCTGTGAAAATAATGAGCCAGGTCAGTAATCATGATTCTGAGTATTTCACGGCGCCCAGGGTGTTCCTACCAAGCTCTCCTCCCAAGAACAGCCCACCAGCGGAAGCAAAGAAGTAGGTCGCGAAATCGCCGAATGTCGAGGGTTTGTTTATAAGGGGAGGGATATCTGGAAGTGACTCTTAGGAAGGCATTAGTTTATGGTCCGGGTAGGTCGATTCGAGAGATGTACCTGTGCGACCATTCGCATAGACAACGCTTGTGGGTTTCTCTTGTGCCTGGAGCGCCTCGAAGAATAATTTGCGATTCCTGCGTAGTCTAATCGCAGCAAACAGACCAAGCCCGATTCCCACTGCAGAGCCGACTGTTGTCCACATAGAGACTGTAGAGGCAGCTGACTTGAGCTTGTCGCGATCCTCGGCATACAACTCGTGCTGTAGGTGCTCATCGGCAAGTCTTGTGAGCTCGTCGCTGCGGCGACGGCGGAGAATGGCAAATGATTCAGACATGGGGTTGAAATTGACGAAATTTTGCAATTGAAAGTCGTGTGATCGAGAAGAAGAATTAGGAACCTGAGTTGCACTTTGGAACTTGGTCGGGGTGGTAGCTGTGATGACGTCATTTCCCGCGAGGTCCGGGGAATTGAAAGAGAAGCTATGTCACCTTGACACATGCGGATCCTCTATTTATCCACACATCAACCTCCATTTAATTACTGTCACTTACCCAAGGATAGCCAAAATATTATTTACGAAGTCAGATGTAGCAGGAATTATATGTTGACTACAAAAGCGCTACAGAGGAGCTAAGAAAGAAAAAGGAAGAATTCATTGGAGATGATAATGGTAACAGGGTTGTTTTTCCCCTGTCGAACTGACATTTCCCAAACTTCACCGGTTTCTTGTCGAATAGAGCATAGATCCCACCTTGGCTTGTTGTCTAAGCTTCAAGTTGTCTCCACTGGGGTTCCAGCTTCATGGCGTGCGTTCCGTATGGCCCGTAGCCATCTGATGTGTGCCTGGAATTATTAAAACGGCCTTGTAGAAGATTGACAGCGACTGGTGTCTGGTTGTTTGCTGGGCTTTTTTTAGTGTTTTCGAATCAAGAATCATCAGCCATGTTCCAATTATTGAGATTTTGGGGACAATCACACACCATGCCGAACCTTCTCGAAGGTAGACAAGACAGCCAAGGAAGACGACTCTATGGTGGAGGCAGACTTCAGATTAGGCTAAGTTCAAGTAAACAGCCTCGACGATGATGGAGGAAGGCATTCCGATCTGAAGAATTGGGGGCACGTGTCAGATTGGGTAGTTGCGAGAATGGAAACAAGCCGGTAGACTGAGCTCTGGGTAGAGCGAGACCTTGAAAGACGCGAATTCAATGGGGGTAGGGGTGGTGCCAATTCTCAAAGAGGCATGAGAAAAGAGGGGGAAAGTCATGGTGAACCTCTAAGGTGTCCGAGAATACCAGAAAGGAAAGGAATTAGAGAACAAAAAGCCTGGAGTCACGAGCTACATATTGAAAAAACCAGAAATCACGGTTTTCTTAATCTACAGCGGAGATGGAAATTGAAAATGGAAGTTAGAGGCTGGAGGGGTGAGTAAAGAGGAAGAAATACATCCCTGCCCCCGCCCATTTTTCTCATTCACCGTAACTCTTTCATCTTTCTCCACATCTTGGCACTTGAAGTTCACTGAAATACATAGATATCAAGCTACAGTGTTTTCGAAATCAGTTATAAATCCGCCAAATGTGAGCTCTGATTGGATCAGATATTACAAGCCTCAGTTCAGGCCGCTTTCTATAATGGTCGCTGTATTTTATAATACAATTATCAGACCGCGAGGATGCATTTTACACGAAACCGTAATCCACAAGCTAGCTGTACGGCCCCGCTCCTTCCCCCCGTCACTCGACAACTTCCCTACGCATCACAGCTACAAGTTCGTCCCAGCCTTACAGTAAAGCTCAAAATCAATATCTCTGGTTGAAATCTACATTATCGGTCCCTTATCTCCTGAATGGCTCTCATTGTTGGCGTGGTCGGGCTCCCCTCGCCCCTGGGCTGTTTATAGACACCATGCAGGAAATATCGACCAAAGATTCGACGGCTCAGAAAGGCTCCGAGACCCAAGTCCAGGCCAACTTCCAAGGTGAAGCAAACGAGGCATTTGACCCTTATCTTTTTCTCTCGCAGCTTATAGACGAGTGAAACTATTCGCCTTGCCCGGCGGTGTGGCTTTCCCTCAGCTTTAGCAAGATCCGATGTACATCACCTGGCTTATTTTGAAATGAAGTGATGTTTCAACGCTCATTGGTTTCAAATTATCAAGCACCAGGTGTTGCAGAAAACTTACGTGCTGGGTGCTCCAATTGAGGTGCAAAGCAACTCATCAATACGACGGTCTAACTAGCTTGTATCGATATCTGGGATGTATCGAAATTACTTGTGCAATCACTGGGCTGGTACGCATTCGTATTTGGGACTCGTTAGGCGAACCAACTCTTTGCGAGAGGTCAGCGTGATTGCATGATATTAACTAACAACCAACCAATGACTATATAGAGGCAGAGCCCGTGACCTTCCCGCCTGACTGTCTATCAGGTGATGGATCTTGGCAAAACTTTTAACCCCGCCATCGCGACTCGCAGCGACTGTGACAGAGTCCTCATTCTGACATCGCTTGAATTGTTGACAGCAACATTTTGCCCACAAGATGGCACACCAAGCACACAATATTCCTTGGAGTCTTCTGGCATCAAACCTTCACTGGAGCAAAACCTCTCACCATGGCCGGGGCGTCACAAATCTCCGCCCTAGCATGAAACCTAACCAAGGCAAAGAGCTCACTTACTTCATCGAAGCGTTTATCCGAACCATCAGCGACCATTCAGTATGCGAGCGCAAGAAGTTTCCCTCCCAATACGCACCGGTAGATCCAACAGACGTTATTCTTGAGCCAGTAACAGTTCAGAAAATTACACCTACCGTTCGCAAATGGCGTAACCACGGCTTCCGGGGCATGTGCCCTAGTTGTATTTGCCCAGTATGGAAAGGAGAAGAGTGTCGATGTATTCCCATCCCAGACGAGGCGAAAAAGGCGTCCGCATTTCTCCGGCCTACCTACGTGAGATATTGCTACGAGCCCTACAAGGAGACTCTTCACGTGTTCTTCAACGTCGAAGTAGTGAAAACCTTGCTCATGCACGAGGAGATGGGCACTATTTTACGTATTTGTGCTCTTCCTGAACTGGATCTGAAGCGATGGTGGACTGACTATTGCGAATGTGGGGTGAGTCGTGCAACGCACATGACCTTTTGAATGCGCTCTTAGCCGCGACCAATTCCAGCCCAGAAATTCTTTCCCTCAAAATGACGATGTATTACTATCTTGTTAACATTTCCAAGCTCTGTCCAAGGATCCTCGGATGGGACCGAGTGTGTATCAAGGCCCTCCGAACCTACGTATGTCTGAACACGATTTACTGCTTCCCAGAGATATGGAATGAGGCTTCCGGTAGAACAATGGAAATGGACTACCGGAACAGCGGGTGCTACCAGTTTACGCTGAGAACATGCACGAGCACAGGGTATGGATCAGAAGTGAGCTCATACCCGCATCGACAATTCTTCGGTATAGGCGACAACCAATTCAAAGGCGCCGACGATCATCCCGAGATTGAAAAGACGCACTGGCTACGATGGACCACCGCCAAGCATCGGCTCGGGCTGTTGGACTATTATTTTTCTCGGAGCGACCATTGTGGAATGGTACCCATTAACGAGTTTCTCGCCGTCGAAAATAAGGCCTTCGCAGGACGGCGACCAGGTTTGTCCGACGTGTCACTTGTTCAGAACTACTTATACCAGAAAGGTTTGCCAGTGGAGCTGGTTTTAGATGTTATGGAGCTTGCTGGATATCAGCCGGTGGGACGATTGAGCGAGCCCCAGGATCCATTCCACTCATCAAATCGTACAGAACTGGCTCGGTACCTCACATATTGCTGGCGATTGCTGGTCAATTGCGACATGATGGCCAAGGCCATTGGCATGCAACTACCATGGAAAGAACTACTAGGCAACTGTATCACTGACTTATGGGCTGATGACCGCTATGGGCATGGACGCTTTTTTTGGTGGGCTCGGGACGAGTATAATGCCTTAGCGCACAGAGTCTTCATTCGGCCTTGAAACAATTTTGGGGTTGAGGCCACGAGGCTGAATTCATGGTAATTAGGAACAAGGTCCACACCCTATGCTAAGGCATCTGTATTTCCTGTGTTTTAAGTCTAGCCATAACTTCCGTTCAAACAGTAAAGCGCGCAATTCATCCTCAAAATACTCGAGAGGCGGCTGAAAAGCCGCTTACGTTGGTTCATCCCACATTGAGATGCCATTTCAACAGGTCAGATCTGATTGGTACACAACAACACATGTTCTTGACGGCCTCTATCAACCACAGTCGTGAAATTTATTATACAGCACATCCCTAAATTGTTACAGCAACCTATAGTAGTTTTCGATTTCAGTTTGACCGCTCACTCTTTAGACTTGATTCCCGGAAAATAAATCCTGAATATGAGAGCTCTGATTGGATGTTATTTTAAGCACCTTGAGCTAGACCGCTTTCTATAATAGTCCATGTGCCTTACAATATGTCTTCAGTACCATTGGTGGTGTATGTTACACGAAACTAGCAGACACACGGTACCTCCTCGCCCCTCTCTTCCTTTCGTGAAAATCATCAACTTCCTGCACAACGGCTTCCTGCTTAGCTGTATTAGTCCAGGCAAAATGGCTCCAAGACTCTCTCCTTCAAAACTTATTCTCATCCGTGATATGATAGAGATCGAATCTTTCACCATATCTGAAATGGCTGAACAGGCTGAATGCAGCAAGCAGACTATCATCAGTATTCGCAATAATTTGCGACAATTTGGAGGCTTATACGCACCATAAACCCGAGTAGGACGAAAACGAACTGTGACGCCTCTGATGATCGAAGCCCTCTGTGATCACCTACATGAGAAATCCGGCCTCTACCTCGAGGAAATGGTTGTATTCCTATGGAATGAGTTTCAGGCCATAGTTATAACCTCCAGCATCAGAAGAGTCCTTGTCGCAAAAGGTTGGTCTAAAAAGACTGCACGGAGACATGCTAGAGAACAAAATGCCGATTTGCGAGACTATTACCTGCATAATCCCTCAGATTCTGAATCATATCACCTAGTGTATGTTGATGAATCTGGGTGTGATAAACGTGTTGGGACCATTGATCTCCCCGCCTTGGTTTTTTTCTTCTATCTCCACTCCCCAAAAGGCTATATATATCTGGGTCACTCACTTGCATTTTTGGGTGATACACGTGGCCTATATTTATGTTGCATGATTATAGAATACATACAAGGTGAAAAATAGAAACTTTTGATGATAACCATAAGCTCATACTTCATTTAGCTCACAGTGTTCCATTCTCTTCTATTCGAGTAACAGTAACCCGTGACCAAGACTCGGTAGGCTCAAGATAGCCCGAAGAAACCCATTTCTGCAGTATATCAAGCTCCAGTGATTGTGCCTCGAATGTGGCATTTATACACAAAATTGTCCCTGAGTAGACTCCGATGTAGTAGTGAGACAACCATGTGTAATCGCGCTTGTCGACCACCACAGCGGCACCCACCAGACATTTACATCCATCGGGAAGTGACGCAGTCTTTGACTGAATTTCCGACGTCACACCTTTGAAGTGGGCATACTTTGTGGGTTCAACCTTGCAAAGCCAATCACGACCTGGGACAGCTTTCAGCGACGTATAGTCTGACCTCGTCAAGTCACTCAGTGTGTCCTGAACAGGTCGCCGAGGCGGATTTGTACTTCCTGCGAACACAGGACAGACATGCATGTGGACTTGTTCTTGTTTCCGCGCTTTCTCCGAGTTGATCACTAGAGCGTGGTTTTCGTCTTGCCAGTCCGCCAAAGTCTGCCCCCATTCCCAAGGTTCATCCGACTGAAGTTGCAAGATACCCGGCATCCGCTTCTTGCTCGTAATCTTCCCGTCGGTCAACCTGATGAACGAACCACTGGGGCTAGTATCACAAAGGCCTTTAGTTTTCAAGCATGTGCAAACTGGATGGAACCACGGGTAACACGAGTCACAGTTGTAGTTGTCTTCAAGGCAGCCTTCACTTTTGGGGACAAGCTTGCTCGTGGAATCCAGAGGTTCATTGTCACAGGTTCGCAGAGAGCGGGTATCGCAATTTTCCGTTGGATCCTCTCTCACACACGCATGACGGGTGGAGGTCTTCGTTTTGGATCCAATCAGAGTGGCAGTGTCTATCCGTCAAGGAGGCATTTTGTGCAAAGGTAAGCCCTAAATGAGGGCAAGGAAAAAGTAATAGAATGTCATGTAACAATTCATGTTGAGAATATTGCCCGGCTTTGTGAAGTTTGAAGGAATCTGAGTATTTAAACGGTGCTTGGGCATGCTCTGGCAATAAATAAATAGATTGTCCTCAAATCTAGGCTCCTCCATGATCGAGTCGAATCCGCCATCTTTAACCCTTTGCAGAAAATAATGAACTTCTGTAGGTTTGGAACAATATCTTGCTATCTCGTTCCCCGGTTTTGTGGAGTTCCTTGGCATTGGACCGTTTCCGACAGCCAATCAAATTTCGATGTCCCATGGTTCAAGGGCTAGTCAAGATTTGCGGTCAAAGTAACCCCGTACTTGAGAGTTCGTGTTTTCTATGGCTTGGCTGAAAATAGTTCGTGTTGATGACTGACCTCGGGAGGCCCTGCTTAAAACGTCTATCAGATTTTTCGCCAAGACATTCTCACATCCCGCTGAGCATCTTGGCTTTCCATCGAATCTCGTAGTCCGAAGCGTAAGACTTCAAACAGCATGTGCTATTACGAACCCCGGAAGAGCAAACTATAGTTTTGTATTTTCAGTGATATATCTTTTGTTGATCTTTTTATCTTGTGAGGTCGTGTAATATCCCACGTTTAGTAAGCGACTGTCGCATGATAAAGGGATATGCTCCCCTGGTCCAATTAGCATTGCACACTCACCTATTTCGGTAGTTGCGTAACAACCAGCAGTGAAAACCATCTTTATGATTACACTATATAATCCATATCAACTGACTGATCAGTACATACGACCATAGGGTGTGGAGAACAGGGCTTCCCGTCCGCTCAGCCGTACTTAAGCCACACGCCGGTTAGTTAGTAGTATGGTGGGTGACCACATGCGAATCCTGACTGTTGTATGTTTTTGCTTTTTTTTGTCCGGCAAACTGCCTTTGCAGCCCTGAATACTACTATCATGCACTGGAACTTCCTATACAGCCATAGAGTATGGACATGGCGTTCCCCTCCTATACTACTCTTCTAATTTTGCAAAGTGAGGATTACCTGTCTTTCCTTTCCCATTTCCTTCCATCTATCTCCTCTTCTTTCATGTTCAGAATACATGGAGAAGATTATACTACCTGGTCATTTGAATCTCTCCCTCCTACAGACTACCTAGTCTTTATGGCTGTATATTAGCTTGAACGATTCATCAATCTTCTAAATCCAGATTTCAAATAACAGGTGTCTTTTAGATTTTACGCTATAGCATCAAATGAGCAGCGCCGAGGCATGAATCAAGTGGTATTGAAATGAATAGCTAGAAACACCAAAGCCTATCCATCTATAACAACTTCAATGATGCTGCGAACAGGGTTGTCTGCCCCAAAAATTCTTTGAATCCGGAATCCAGTACCTTCTAGAAGGGCGTGCCATTGCTTTACACTCCGCTCTTTACCCGCCACGAAGGACATGTTTATGTCATAAAGGAGTTTTTGAAGGTCTGGACGAGAGTCTGATAGGACAATGTCGCAGATCAAGAGTACTGAATTGTGACCTCTCATTGCTGGTGCCAAGTTGCGGAGAATCGTCCGACACTCAGCATCTGGCCAGTCATGCAAGATGAGCTTGAGAAGGTATGCGGCAGCTCCTGAGTAGCAAAAAGTAAGCAAATGATGTTAGAAAAGATATGGTTATTTACTCACCTTTGACAGGTTGTACTTGTTTGAAAAAGTTATATGGTTGGACTTCAACGTCTGGAGAGCATACTGTATCCCCAGCTGTAACAACACCTGGGAGATCCTGGAGGATAAATTTGCCCTTGAGGTCTGGGTGTGCGGCGCATATGCTTTGGATGCTTTGGCCTTTGCCTCCGCCAATGTCGACCAAGACGACGCCATCTTTTCCTGCTGATAGGCTGCCGAAGTCATATAAATCGCCCAATGGATCCTTGAAGCTTGTCATGGCTTCGTTGAAGGTCTTTGCAGCTTTAGGATCTTGTTGAAGTAGATTGAAGAAGTCGATATCTTTGACCCCCTTTGCAAATGCAAAAGGCGAGTTCATTGGATCAGACGGGCTCACGAAACCCGTAAAGTTGAAGAAATCGACGTATGAGCACAGAGTTTTCATCACATTGTCCCATGAATATCGAGTATATGATTGCATGAACTTGTTGTTCCACTCTCGGGATAACGCGGTTTGCTGGTAGATTTCCTCTCCCACCTCTTCAAAGATGTCCATCGCTCCCAGAGCACGCACAATGCGTCTCGTAAGCTCTGGTCCGCCCTTGCTCTCTTTGTCAATTCTTCCAGCGTGAATGCTGCTGAAGTTGGCAGGTTATCGAAAAGACCAATTTCAATAGCCAATCGAACGCAGAGAATCTTGTGGGGTTGGAAATGAAACGACATCAGAGACCGTCTTGGCTCAACGGTACACTGTGCTAGCTTTTGAGAGGTGACCTCGACCTCTCGTAAAGCTGACATCCTATCCGACTCTGTTGTAGCTTGCGAGTATTCCAGTACTGCCTGATTGATCGTCGAGGCAAAGGAGGCGAGCTTCGCGGCCGAGGGGCTGTCGGACACCGCCTCGATAGTCATATTGTTGATGATGTGAAATTTGAGATGGGTGTTTTTGCAATGGGTGAGCTAGGTAGGTCCTGCTAATGTTAAATATGGCAATATGGAGACACGAGACGTCGGTGGCTTTCAGGGCTAGGAGCTACGGAGCTTCTACTTTGGATGATCGCTCATATGAGGCTGAGAAACTACTCAGCTGAAGACCCACGTCCCACTCACGAAAATCTATCGGGTCTTCAGAGTGGGTACGCGGCTTATATTGAGAAATGATCAACTTGACAGACGCACGCTTTTTCAGTCATCATTCACCGTTCCGTTAAGATGGCAGCAGGCTCATTGGTTCTCTGATGTGGTCAGTCAAGGAATCCGTTCTATTTGACGCTCATCATTTCCACTATTGGCATATTTAATTGTGGCTTGCTGAGGTCTATCTCAGCCATCCTTTACTCTTTATTGTAATGACCACTTGTTCAGGACTGCGGGACCCAAGAAGATAGGAACTATCGACCCGAATTGATTTTAAGACCAATAAATCCACCCAGCTAGTGAACAGAGTATACGATCAAACTCAGAGAAGGGTCATTCAAATGTGAACTGGAGTTGATGCCAATAAGAATAAGATAAATGCTGCAGTATACCATGAACACTAGTTCCGATTATAACCCATAACGGCACGAAACAGAATTTATCGAGCGGGTTGCTCAGGCATGACGATCAACTTTATACTATTGAGTATTATTTCCTAAGAATAGACCAATGCGTGACAGTTCATGCGCATAAGTGCGGTGGGGAAAATCGACTATTAGTGGAAACGATTGTCATCACTAGGCCCACATGGACAGCTCAGCTCAGCTCAGGCTTGACCCGATCATTCCGGATATAATCGGCAGATGTGATTCAGACACTACAGAAAAATTCTCTTCTAAGGTGAAGCAGCTTTTATACTTTAAAACTTCACTTTTAATTCGCACTTTGAAATACCACCTTTCGAGGTCTATCTTCACACCCACAATCACCATGGGTACTCAAAGCGGAGTATCAGTTGAGCCAGCGGCCTCGTCGCACGGTTCTGATCCCTTGGTAGAAAAATATGGTCAGCTTGATGTTTTAGATGACTTGATCCGTCATCGTGCCGCAGATGCTGTCCAACACCCAATCCTCGCATACCCACGCTTCGACAATAATGCTGGATCTTACAAATATTATACTGGCCGAGAGCTAGATGATATGATAGATCAGGCAGCCATAAACCTGATCCGAGACGGGTTCACGCCGGTTAGCACACCTTCTTATCACTCAAGAGCTGATTTATGATATCTCTAACATTCTTCGACATTAGCTCGAGGAAGATGGGCGCATAGTAGCGTTAATCGCCTTGTCGGATTTGGATATGGTTATTACTCTGTTCGCACTGAGCAGATTGGGATACACTGTCATGATATTATCACCACGGCTATCAGGGGATGCATGTGTGTCATTGCTCAACACAGTTGGGTGCGATAATATTATATACGGTAAAACTGGAACGATCCGCGCAACAATTGGTGAAATTTTGCAGCAAAAATTGATCGCCTGCCGCCCAATATTGCCTTTTTCCGTGGGCACTTCAGTCAACTCATCGTTGGTCCTGAACAGGAAGCGGATTGCCGAGGCTCAAAAGGACAAAATTGCGATGATCCTTCACTCATCTGGTTCCACGGGAAATCCAAAGCCTTTGTTTCTCACACACAGTGTGCTAATGACCAATCCATTGAGAGGACCCGGGCTCACATCTTTCAACTCACTTCCCTGGTATCATCTTCATGGACTTGCAACTGCGTTGCAAGCAATGTGGATGAGGAAAGTCGCATTCATGTGGAACGCAGCCCTGCCGCTGACGTCAGAGTCCCTTATTCCTGCTCTTCAGGAGGCTCAACCTGAATATTGTGCTGCGGTTCCTTACATGCTGCAAATTTTGGTTGACCATCCTCGAGGAGTAGAGGTACTTCGGAACTGCAAGGTGGTTAGCTATGGGGGAGCGCCATGCCCCGATGAGCTTGGAGATCGCCTTGTGCGAGAAGGTGTTCCCTTTGGTGGTTCATTTGGACTGTGAGTAATTTGAAAAAAGTGTTGCTCAATATAATCTCACATCTATCAACAGCACGGAAGCGGGACTAGTTGCCGAGTCAATGTCTCGACCCAAAGACGACCCATACTGGAATTACTTGAAGATCTTTGAAAACATTCGACCTTATGTTTGGATGAAACCACTCGGGGATGAGCTTTACGAGTGCGTCTACCTCTCCGGACTCCCAGCATTGACTTCGTCAAACTCTGATACGCCGCCTGGGTCATACCATTCTAAGGACGTCTTCACCCCCCACCCCTCGATTCCTGATAGATGGAAGTATGCATCAAGACTTGATGACCGTATTACCCTTATCAACGGAGAGAAAGTTCTGCCACTCCCAATTGAGGGCTGTATCAAACAAAATCCTCTTATCCATGAAGCAGTCGTGGTGGGAGTGGGAAAGGCAGCCCCGGGTTTGTTAATTTTCAGATCCCAGGAAGCGGACCATCTCTCGGATGAACAATATTTCCAAGAAATTTGGCCCAGCATCCAATCGGCCAATTCTCGCGCGGAACAGTTCTCACGCATTGCTAGAGACATGATTAGAGTGTTGCCATTCGCCTCGGCCTTCCCTCGTACAGATAAAGGGTCTATGATCCGTGCAAAGGTGTATCTTCACTACGCTGAGCTTATAGAAAGCATCTACTCCACCCCGAGGAGCAGACTGGAGTTGCTAAGCTAGGCTTTGATGGTACTCTGTTGCTCTTAAAGGAGTTATGTCAGAACGAGCTCGGTGTCAGTCTCTCTGTAGAGGCAAGCTTCTTCTCGGAAGGTGTTGATAGCCTTAAGGCAATTCAAATTCGGCGCCTCATTCTTCAGAACTTTGATCTGGCTAATGAAAGCCTTCCTGTCAATGTGGTTTATGATATGGGCAGCATCTCAAAGCTAGCAGAGTATATTTGTGCTATGCAGAGCGGTTCGGGTGTTTCCACGCAGAATAATGCCACTGATCTCATGTCCAAATTGATTCAGAAATATTCCGCATTTCAGAGACATGTACCTGATGACTCTCCCTTGAGCACAAATAATGTTGTGAGTATCATTTGCCTTGAGATCTAAAGTGCCACGCTAACTAGATAAAGATTCTTACCGGAGCCACAGGGTCCATCGGGGCTCACGTCTTATATGAGCTCCTCAATGACGATTCTGTGTCCACAGTCTTTTGTCTGACACGACGAAAGTCCCCATTGGAAGATATACTCAAGAGCCTAGTCGAAAAGGGACTGCAGATCACGTCAGAGCAATCATCGAAAATTGTTGCTCTGACCAGCTTACTTGAACAATCAAACTTCGGCTTAGACGAAGAAATCATGGCTCGTATGCGCCGATCTGTTACACAGGTCCTGCATGTGGCCTGGCCTGTGAACTTCAATTTACCGCTGGATCAATTTGAGCCCCACATTCGCGGGCTATATAATCTCCTCCAATTCTCACTTCGCGTCGAACAGCCAAAACCTGCAGCGGTCATGTTCTGCTCCTCTGTTTCCACCGCACTCATAGCAATGTCTTCCGAAATTCCAGAAGGCCCAATGGATCTCAGTTCTGCGTACATGGGCTACGGTCAATCCAAGCTAATTGGTGAGCACATTGTCAGCGCAGCATACCAATCAGGAGCGAGAGCCTATTCTCTCAGAATCGGCCAGGTATCGGGTCATTCAAAGAAGGGCCTTTGGAATGACAAGGAAGCCCTGCCGCTGATGATCAGGTCAGCTTTGACCCTGAAAGCCTTGCCTACTCTGAATGAAAGATGCTCCTGGCTACCAGTTGATATCCTCGCGACTACTATTCTGGAGCTAACGAGATCTTCCTCGAGCTTAAGCCAGAATCCCGAGAGAAGCGAGACATCGGAACAGCTGACCTGCGATGACTCCATCTACAATGTGTGTAACTCTTGTGAGTTTTCCTGGTCGGCCTTGCTAGAGAACTTGGGTCGTGACTTCGAATTCGCTACCGTGCCATTTAAAATCTGGCTGCAGTTACTTCGAGAAAGCGAGGCACGAGGCGAGGAGCATCTTAATCCGGCTATCAAACTTATCGACCATTACAAAGCAATGTATGGTCCCAGGTCTTCTGCTCTGTCCACACTCGGTCACAAGTCTTTTGTGACAGAAAAGGCAGAGCGGAATAGTTCTACTTTGAAAACTGGTCGACTGCAGATTATTGAAGATGGAATTCTGGATTGCTACATGCGTGACTGGATTTCGCGATGGACGACATCGTAATAGACTTCTCACGATCAGTCGATAGTCTGGTCCATGATCATGTGATCCTTTTGTGTCGTTAGTAAAAAAAACTGAAAATGAAAGAAGAAATGAACTTCGTACATAGTTTTATCATTCACTCGATAAGGTAATCCAAAGATAGATGACCTGCGGAAAATATAAAAGCCGCCTTCGGAGAATAAACGTGACGAACGGATGGATCCCTTCCCCTGCCGCTGCTGACAAATCAGCACTTGAATCTGCGGCGGATCTATAAGCAGAGCCCTTGGAGCTAAATGTTTTCGAGCTTAAACAATTTACAACAGAACTTAATCACTCATATTCTCTACTTGCTTTGCTCTCTTGCCTACCCCTCATCTCATCTACCCACCCACACAACAAACATGACCAACTTCAAAATCCAAATCATCTCAGACACCATCTGCCCCGTAAGTAACCTCTCCCGCCATCTATACTATACTCCCCTCTTGATCCATTTTCACATACTAAATCCCTCCCTGCCCCAGTGGTGCTACGTCGGCTATCGACGCCTCTCCCGCGCCATAGTAGCACACAAAGCCAGCAATCCCGCTGACACCTTCACCCTAACATGGAACACATTCTATCTCAACCCCGCACTTCCCGAATTCCCTGGCATGAATAAAGCCGAAATGTACGCCGCAAGACTAGGGCCCGAGCGCATGAAAGCTGCATTCTCGCGTCTCACCTCCGTCGGCGAAAGTGAGGGTATCAAATTCAGCTTTGGTGGGAATACGGGTAAGACACGGGATTCTCACCGGTTGTTGTGGTATGCTGGGCAATTAGAGGAGGGCAAAATGAGTCAGATCGGTAATGCAACTCCGGCTTCTCCTTCTGCTTCTACCGTGGGCGGGTTGCAAACACACGTTGCGGAGAAGCTATTTCGCGCGTACTTTGAAGACGAAAAGAATATTACTAGTCCGCAGGTCTTGTTGGAGGCTGGTGTTGAGGCCGGGTTGGATCGGGAGGAGGTTAAGAAGTTTTTGGACTCGGAGGAGGGAGGGGCGGACGTTGATTCTGAGGCGAAGGTCGCGTCGAGACGGTTGGTTACTGGTGTGCCATTTTTCTCGATTCAAGGGAAGTATTCTGTGGAGGGGGCGGAGGAGCCTGAGACATTCTTGAAGGTTTTTGAGCAGATTAAGGAGAATGAGAAGGCGTAGAGGTCTGCGCTGGACCTCGTTTGTTTCTATAGTTCTATCTCATCTGAGTTCAGATACACTATAGTGAAATTTGATGGCTTCATACTCGTCTAGCCATATTAACTTGGAATAGCCGTTACTCCACAGTCACAACTCATCTAAGCCGCAGTCCACTGTCTTCCTCTGTGTCTGCTAGATATGGTTGTGACAGGTCGAGTTAAAGTACATTTCGCGTTTCAACACTTAAGCACTGATTGTGGAGGCTTCGCTCGCCCTCATGGTTCTCGCATCAAACGAATCGAACTAGAAATTCAGCTATCTGGATCTGAGATACCCGCAAGGTCTTCCAAGTACCGGCTCCTCGTGTGCTCACAAACACCTCACCTTCTTCATTTCGCGAGTCCCAGAATGTAATCATCGTTTTTCTCAGGTGGGTAGTAACTCTTGTTTTGAATATCCAAAAGTAACTTGGAAGCTCTATCCTCTGACTCTTGGGAATGAAAATATAGATATCATGAATTTCCCAGATTCTTGGCACTCCAGACCTCAACGTATCGCTCCAAGGGTCACGCGATAAAGTTGTCATATGCATCGTCCAGGACGCGGGTTTCAGGGCGAGAATTAAGCCCGAAAGGAGGACCCCGAAGATATGATGGCGTAGCTCATGCGACAGGCTCTTGAATATGTCTTCTTAGTGTTGATCCAGCTTCGCACTTATTCTAGTTTAGGGGGGGGTTGATAGAATCAAGGTCGGGATGAACGGGCCTTCGGTAATGCAGCAGTGACAGTCTTGCAATTACAAAGTAGGGAGAGCGGTGGCTGCTAGCAGTGGATTTTGTAGTTTTTTCAAGCATTACTTGGTCTTGAGAAGCTGGCTACAGCAGTTCACGGAGTTTCGACGGAGAGCGAAATGCTCAACTTCTACTGGATCAATCAAGCTAGAATGAACGAGGTCCTCATACACGAGCAACTGTCGCTCAACCTCACCGAGCGCTTCTCGAGTTTTTGCTTTGACCGCTCAAATATCGATTCACGAAAGGGGGACCGGTGTAGAATATGTAATGGCGGAAGTCATTCTATGATGGCTATCAAAGTCAGCGCGGTAGGTCGATGTAGCAAATCGATGTATGACCAACCCCACTTAGTAAACATCAATCCAATTGAACGGTCTTAATAAAATTGAGGTGCCAGAACGGCTTCAGAATCATCTCAGTCATATTTTAAAGACGATATGAAACGACGATAGAGAAGATCTTTTGGAAAAGACGCGCATCTGCCTAGCTTTTTACCTGGTGTCTAGATCCGGCCTTTGAAGCTTTTTCTATATCAATTAAGCATATTCTTACCTTCTGACCTAGATCACATAATAGCTGTTTTGAAAAAGACATAAAATAGACCTTCTTCTAATATTCATAAAAGAGCGGCCTGAGAGGAGGCAACGACAAAACTCGTCGGAATTATCTGAAAATTAGCCGCTATCGGTCGCCTGAGTGCGAAGGCGCTCACAAAGGTCGGGAGAGACTGGTAATGGAAAAAAAGTGAAATGCAAGAGATAAGGGAAGCAGATGAAAAGAGTCCCAAGAAATTTTTATACACATATGAGAGACCTTGAGAGTCTGCCGCTCATAGATGTTAGTAGGGAAGACCTGGAAGATATCGAGACCTCTGTAGGCGGCTTTACATCTTGAAGGGAATGGGTTATTTTTCCAGCAGTTGGGTGCTTTTTGGTGTTTGGCCGAAGAAGGTGGGTAGCGGTATTTATGCCGCTCAATCGCTGATGGTTTATCACAACGCCTCTTACAGCCTCGAACCTGTTCATCCGAATGTTGACCACCGCCAGACAGCCCGATGCTACCCCAGGGGAGTACTTCTTCCACAACGCATTAGATGCACTGGAAAAGTCAGGTTGTCTGGAAAAACCACAGGGTGATTGATCCAGCCATGAAATCAACAAAGTCGGAAATGTCCACCAAGACATTCTCGATTAACTGCAGGCCTTGATGAACGCAGCAGGGGACAAGCGCGTCGTTCTCAAAGAACATGCGTTGTTCGTGACTGATCCCGCGACAAGAATTCATTCTGCCAACTCTACCGCAAAGCATGAACTGCTCTGTAAAGTGAAAAGCTCAGAGATACCTAGCTTAAGCCAATCAAATCTTCCACCAAACGTTACAGCGTTCCCTGATGAATTCCTCGCACCGTCGTTCCCTGTAATCTTGATCAGGCATCATGCAATTGCCTTTTCTTCGTACTACCGAACATATTCGACGTGCTGGGCAAGAACTACCGGAGAGAGAGAGGTATTGAAAGGCGAAATTCGGACTGCCGTGACCTTACGTTGGGCACGCAGCCTATACGACTGGTATCTGGCATTGTGGGGGGGACACATCGTTCTGGATGCAGAAGATTACATGTCAGACCCAGAAATGATAGAACGGTCCTGCGATACTACTGGACTCGATTCATAAAGTTGCAGCTTTCATGGGAGCCTGCGGGATAACAACCCAGAAAAAATCACATGTGAGAGTTCTTTACAGGAAGAGATACAGAAGTGATGATAGGAAAATTTGATCCTCGGGAGATAGCGGATTGTGTCAAGTCTGTACTACCTGGTTACGAGTTCTTGAGAGAAAGGCGACTCACTTGAGATCATTCTTCGCCTCCACTCAGGTATCCTGTGCAAGGCCAATCTGATCGAGCACCAATTTCGTTTTTGGTTTGCGCTGGGCATGGGAGAAGGAAAGGATGAGTCGACTTGCCTAAACGTAATGTGGACATACTCAACAAAGCCTGCGTAGTATGTGGTGAATATATATTGAATAGTGATCTTTTAGCTCTACACTTAATGGCTACATATTTCTCGATATCCCCACCGTGGCGCCCAATAGTACCACTCACCAGATCAATGTTACTACTTCTTCGTGCAGAGAGGAAAACCGGTTCAAAGCCGTAGATTTTCCAAAGTGTCAATTCTGCAACGATGATGCATTGCGGGGATTTAATACATGGCCAGTGTAAACAAAGGTTGTAGGATGTTCTTGTTAAGCATCATGCCGCGTATCTTACAAACTTACAGTATTACCAACTAGCGCGTATTTTACAAGACCATTACTAGCTGGACGCCAAAAAATACAGTCTCCACTTTTAATTGTTGGGAACTTGAGGCGGGCCGAATCGAGCTTAAAGGATAGTTCGTCCGATTCTAAACCTGTATACGGTTGGTGGCGTACGATCTACATCGGTAAAGATCAACATTTCGATTTTGAAGTGGCCCCAAATTTCATAAACAGGCAATAATACGCGATATCACAAGAACTGATCGAGGTGGGTCTAAAGTTTGAATCAGTATGTTAATATCGTCTGAACCTTGTGCATTGTATTCTAAGCAATGGTGGAAATGAATCTCAACAGAATGACCTGTTATGACCACATGCATATCGTTTTCGATCGAGTTGACTTCGATGGTGGATACTGTGGTCAAATCGAGCGAGAGCCACAGTCATGACGCAAATGAACGTGCTTCTTCCTGATTCGGCTCGCAGACGTAGCCTGCAAGCGTTATGACTTTGCCATTCTCCTCATTGACGTTTAATGGTCAGCATTTGTATATAGAACAGCTTTAGGATCTTCTATAGCATCTGTTGATAGAGGTATTTCCCGTTTCCCTACTTTGAAAGGCTACGAACAGTAACGCGAATAAATAGTAGTAATAATCAGACCGCACCATAGAAACTTTAGTTAATGGTTAATCTAATAGCTGCTTGACTGGTTACACACACAACGCGCAGTGCTCGACGGTTTTCATATTATTATTATCAAATATTCAATCAAGTTTTCATGTACTGCTCTCACGTCCACCCCCTGAGCTCTATGTGCTCGTTATAGAAAACGTATTTCACCTTTAACTGGGCGCAGCTCTACACCACACGTCCCTTACGCAATTTTCAATGTTCGCTGAAATATCCAAGCACGCAAGTCTTTTTTTTTCTCGTAATTAGCGATGAAGCTTGCTTTCGCGCATGAAGAAAGCGCTGAACAATGCAAAAAATACAACGACGACCATGAAGCCGAAACCTTTGTTTGTCGACCAGCCGTAGCAGTTGCGCACGATATGAGCGATATCAGAATCCAACATCTTAATATAATCGAGACTTTCTCGAACGCCATTGACAATTTCGTCAATGTTCTTACTATCATGTAGACCAGATCGAAGTCGTTCCCTTAGGAGTTGCTGAACAACGCTCGCGGACAGTGACAGTCCGATCACCGAGCCCAGGGAGCGGAAAAGATACGAGCATGCCGTTACAACAGCTTGATCTTCAAGAGAAGAATGAGAGACTGCGAAAAAGATTTAGCAAAGGTTGCAGATTATGAGGACGTATGACAGAGCAGGAACTCACTCAGACCGATGATGGTTGTGTTAACGCCGATTCCGTTTCCAAATGCGGCCATAGTCATTCCGATGATCATTGGTACTGTACTGGCCACAAGGCCTCCGGAGAAAAGAAATATGACAAAACACCCGATAGTCAGAGACGTATAACCCGCAATAGTTAGCCAGAAGTACTTTCCAGTCCACTTCATCAGGAGACCAGCAAAAAGTGAACCACTAACGCTGGCCAGAATGCTTGGTAGCAGGCGTAGCCCAGCGATGGTGGCAGAAACCCCATCAACTGCCTGGAAGTACAGCGGAATGTAGAAGAGTACCGCCATCCATCCACCGAAACTGAAAAGGTTGCAGCAATATAGGGAGAAGAAGGTGCGGTCGAAGATGATGTGACCGGGCGCGAAAGGCTCGGTTGCCACGTAGATCTCAACCAGAGCGAACACAATGAACAAGATGACCGAAACACCCAAAGAGGCGATTGTCAAGGGCAGCTTCCAGGACACATTGCTACCACGGTCCAAGCCCAACAGGAAGCCCAAAACGGCACCAACCAGGACAATGGCACCAAGGAAATCGATGCGACGAAGTTTGGTCTTCCAGTGATAATTTTCGCGGGCCGGGAGCTTGAGCATCACAGATACAGCGATAAATGCTAGAATGCAAAGTGGAAACTGTGATAGAAAGGCCCTAAAAATCCGCGTCAGAAGGGTATTGTAGAATGAAGAGTCAGATGCAGTATTTCGTACCAACGCCAGCCAATGTAATCAGATATGATTCCGCCCAGAGGCGCGCCAGTACCCGATCCAGTTGCATAGATGATGTTAATGATCCCTTGCCAGACTCCTCGATCGCGCAGGGGAACAAGGTCACTCATCAGAATACTGACGACGGTGGTCATGCCGCCGCCACCAATGCCCTGGAATACCTGCATGGTCTCGTCAGTCATGATCCGGGTCAATGTCTAATGTGAAGCTGGATATTTGACGTACACGTGCCGCAATGAGCTCATTGATATTACGTGCAAGTCCACAGAATAGACAACCGGTTCCAAATATGGCATAAGCGAAGAGTAGGCAGGCCTTACGGCCAAATATATCGCTCAGCTTGCCATATAGTGGTTGGAACGAGGTCAGGGTCAAGAAGTATGAAGTCGCAATCCAGCTGGTCAGATTGAGAGCCTTCAGGTCACTTCCAATCTGGCCATAACTGGCCATAATAATCGTCTGGTCTGCTGCCGACAGGAAGATCTACCATCATATTTAGCCGAGCGTACTGCGGAAGAACCGAGCTTTTTAAGTTTCTCTACGATTCCAGCAGAATTGTGAGATATACATACACCTATTGATATGGCTGGAACGATATACTTGAGTTGCTTCCGTGCATCTAGAAAAGGGTCTTCGGCCTGCTCGCCCGTAGATTGCACAATATTCGCCGGCTGCTCCCCTTCTCGACGGGGAATGGCTCCGTTTGACGCAGTGCCGTTGCAATTCCCCAGTAACGGGGACGTTTCATCATGTGTCTGCTCGGACGCCATTTAAACACGTTCTCCGAATACCACAAATCGTAAGCGACGACGGTGAGCGAACGTTGACCGTCGTCAAAAGTTGATGGTGATAGGTAACATGAAGATAACTACCTACGCTAATCACCGAGCGGTGAGAGCGGTCTGTTGTAGAACTACCACTTCACCCCTGGCCCACAGTCAGCCACGCTCCTAAATCTTCGAATCAGTATGACCAAGCCGTTCTCTCGTCGGTTCCCCACTCGCTTCACCAACTTATTCCCCCAGCAACACACTCCAACTCACTGATATCTAATTATGATGAAATCACTGTATTAGTGCTATATGCGTTGGAATTTGAATGTATATCGAGAATAATTTTGCAGATAGTAATCATTCTAATCTGGAAGTTAAAATTACCGCACAGAATTAGGGCCGGTAGTCATATGCTCTCACTTAATCTAGTGAGCGCCGATGGTAATTGCTCTACAGGGAAGGAAACCGTGAAGCGAATGGGGACCGATAAAAAGCCAAAAGATGTGGCTGGAAGATGTGGAGTCGAATTTCCCATTACTATAGTGGATCTTGGGTGTGGAAATGATTCTGCATGTTGTCGCAGTTCATGCGGGTCGGTGGATCAGCACCGTCAGATCGGCGCTCGGTATAACGAGAGTATTACAGCGCGCCTGTTCCGGCGTTGTCCGCTGTACGGACCGAAACGCAGGTTTCATTTTCGCAAGACCCCTGACACCCTCTTCCCCCCGGGCCAACATGTGGAGTGCGGGACTTCCCTGCTTCTGACAAAATCAGGCTACCCAACTTCTGTGATGCGAATCCACGTGATCGAGCCGTGCATCCTGTCTTCTCTTCCATGCATAGCTCTCTTATCTTTTGATTTCCGCTTCTCACTGAGTGACGACCCGCACGCATATCATCCGCCATCATGTTGGGGAATTCAAAGCAGGGCAGCCCGCCGTGGGGCCTGAAATGGAGGTCATCTACTATTTTCATCATGTTCACGGTCTCAATGTCAACATTCACGGTAAATTTCACAATGTCTCTTTCCCTGTCCAGAGCTAACTTTTGCCCAGGAGTTCTTCCTCTATGCCATGGTAAGCCAATCATACTTTGCGGAGCCATCTTTGTTTCAGAAAATCTCTGACAGCCATCTAGATTGTTCCCGTTTTGCCCTCAGCGCTAGTGACACGGGCGGGAATTCCCTTTGAACAACGTGGGTAGATTGACATGCTACTAGAATGTGATCGCTAATGATATCCAATAGGTGAATACTGGGTCAGCATTCTTTTGATGTGTGAAGCTTGTGCTTCCGTCATCTGCTGTCCAATTTTCGGGTATCTGATAGATATTGCTGGCACTCGTCGATTTCCCTATCTCTGCGGCCTTTTTCTACTCGCAGCGTCAATGATCCTTCTTGCCTTTGCCAGAGACATCTCTATGTTCATCATCGCACGACTGCTCCAGGGCGGCGCGACGGCGATGGTGGCGGTCGCTGGGCTGGCGTTAGCGACGGATTCCTTTGACAAGGAGGCCCTCGGCACTGCAGTGGGCTACCTGGGCTCGGCCAGCGCATTAGGGTTTGTGTTAGGCCCGCTTATAGGCGGGCTTACATATGACAATCTTGGTTATCAGGCAGTCTTTATCATAGCAAGTGTTCTGGTTGTAATTGATTTTGCGCTTCGAATTATTTTGATTGAAAAAAGAACCAGTCGCTATTGGATCGAAGCGGATGTTGAATCGCCTGAGAATATTCGAAGTATTGCCGCAAATCACACAGATTCGTCATCAACCGAAGGAGGACTTCCTGTGCAAAAGCTTATTCGACAGCCGCGGATTCTCATCACCCTTTGGGCTCTTCTGGTCGTTGGAATTGTATTTTCTGCATTTGATACCGTGAGTTGCTTCCTGTTTCTGTTACCCAGGAGACTTTGAAGGCATATTGACCTTTTTAGACCCTTCCCATATTCGTCGAGTCCACATACCACTGGTCCCCAGTTGGGGCTGGGTTAATCTTCCTGCCAAGTGCTTTTGCGTCGCTTTTAGGACCTTATTTCGGTGAGTTTATCGGTCGCAAACCACAGTGTATATTCTAACTCTCGCAGGATCCCTTTGTAATTACTACGGCCCACGAGCTATGGCCTTCACTGGGTTCATCCTTCTTTGCCCAACCTTGACCTGTCTCTCCTTGGTTGCTCACAACTCGTGGCCCCATATTGCTGCTCTGATCTTTCTCCTGGGTTTGACTGGTCTTTTCATAAACCTGGGTCTCCCGGCTTTGTATGTGGAGTCTCAAGCAGTCCTCGATGAGATGGAGCTCCGCAAGCCAGGGATTTTTGGGCCCAAGGGTGCCATCGCTCAGGCATTCGGCCTGCAGACAATGGCCCAATTTATTGGATTATTTTTCGGTCCTCTGTGGGGTGGATTTATAGAATACCACTATGGATGGAAGACTATGGCATGGACCCTTGGCCTGCTTGTCTTCATCACGGCGATTCCTGTTCTTTGGTTGAGTGGCAAGTCTCATGATGAAGTTCATGGTCCAGAGGCCGACCCTCTTCTAGGAAACGGACACGAAGAATAGCCTCAAGTAGTCAGAAGTGAAGATGTCTTCTTTCTTTGATCACATCAAAAAATTGGACATCAGTACTATCACTCGAATATGCCTTCTGTGAAGATCGGATAAAAGTAAGCAACTGTTCAAATATTCTTCAATATATGGGCTTGTGGTACTTGGCATTAAATTTGTAATTCGGCCACAGTTCAAACATAGCATACTTTTGAACATACAAAACACAAATAAAATAGTGAGTACTTTTCACTGCACTCAGAGATTTGATGTTCCACTAGGATACACTGAGTATGTGATTCAGACTTCTATACAATACTCCTCCACCTCTCAGGGGCTTAGCTGAGAATGCACGTGTTCAACAACTCGATCGTTTTATTTTCATAAAAGTAGCTAAATGCATGGTGCCCCCCAGATAACCTTCACAATCTTGACATTTGCGACACCAATTTAGTTGCGTCGCGTCGCCACTCCTCCATTTCAAAACACTTGATTTCATTCAAAAACTCTCTAAATGGATACACAGGGCATTCATACGCCTTTAATCAACCCTATTCTCGAGGGTTGCTCTCAAGGGCCGACCAGTATAGTGGATCGATGCGTATGCTTTGTATTTCATGTCATCTTCACTGTATGCCATCCAGGATATTAGGGGATAAGCCGTTTAGTATGATATCGGAGTATAAGACTTACTTTGTTTCGTATAGTGAGACCTCGAACTTGCGGAACACCGCGGCGAACGCGGTAAAAAGTTCCATGTATGATATGCTAGACCAATCGGTTATCAATCTAAAATCATGCCCTTCATAGCAATCCGACTTACTTTGAGGCGGGACACATTCTCCGTCCCTTTGAAAAGGGAACAAGAGATCGTTCAAGTAGAGGATCCTCTGTTCCCCAACGTTCTGGTGAAAACTTCTCAGGCTTCGTGAAGATAGTGGGGTCCATATGAAGAAAGACAGAAGAGGTAACCACACAAGTCTGGAGAGGAAGAAAGCAATTAGTATTCATGACATTATTGGTACGGTATTCATGGCACATACCCCAGGTGGGATTGAGTTCCCATCAATCGTGGCTCCGTTAGCCGTTACTATGCGCGGCATACCCGAGATAACGCCGTGGGTGAAGCGAAGGCTTTCTTTGACAACACCTTTCTGTGGAGATCTAGGTGAGTGACTTGATAGAGTTGGAACGAAACGGTTTCGTAACTTACCAAGAAGGGGAGCTTTCGGAGAGTCTCATAGTCGGGAATTGGGTCGGTTGAATCTTTCCAGGCGCCCTTGAGCTCCTCAAACAGCTTTTGTTGTAGTTTGAGATCCTGGGCCAAGCAAAATGTTCCATAAGGCAAAACGTTCGAGATATCGAGAACTCCACCATGCATGACTCCGACTGCTTCATCCAGGAGAGCTGATTCCGGAAGCGGTTTGCCGTTTCTCATGCTGGTGGGCTTCGTCATATTTCCAATGAGTGTAGCTCGCTTGTTCATCTCGGGAGACGAAAGGTTGAAGTGTAGAAGGTTGGTCATCAACTATGGACATGTCAGCGTCAGATGAAAGTATTGTTGAAAGCAACTGTTGGATAGAAGATACCTCCATCATCATATTTCGCTGCTCGTAAGCAAATCTGAGACTGGAGGGAAGATAACTTGCGATATCATGGAAATAAATCGTCCAAGAAAAGTTTCTCATGAGCCACATGGTCCAGTCGAAGCTGTAATAGGTTGACATTGAAAGCGGATTGCGGAAGTTTTCGTCTTGCAGCCCGCGCAGGTCGGTGGGAATGTCAGTGAATATAAATTCGTTGATTATATCCAACGCTAGGCCACGGTATCCCAATGCCAGCTCAATAGGCTTAGAACTGTCCACGCTACATTGCAGCAGGTCACAGAATCGTTGCACCTGGAGAAGAATTAGCATCTCTCCTTCTGATGAAAACAAGATAGTAGCATACATTGCGAGAAACAATGTTCTGAATTTCATCAAGATGACTGCGAGCAAAGAGCGGAGCCATGAGCTTCATTCGCGCTCCATGCTCCTCCCCTTCAAGTCTGAACGACGAGTCTGGTAGACCTAGGTGATGATAGAACTCTTGATCTTTCACTGTCTTGTTCTGCGGCGAGAAAATATCATGAAATGCTTGCGGGTTGCGAAAGTGCAGCTAAAAGACTGGTCAGCATGCTTGGGATTGTATGTCGCCGATTGCCCCAGAGAGGAAACGCACGGTATTTGGTGTGATTCGAACCACAGGGCCTATAACGACAAGATGTTAGAGCTACAATGTATATGGTACTTGAAAGGAAAGGGAAGAAGCTGACCGTAGACTTCATGGAGGTGAGATAATTGTTCAACCAAACGGCCATCTCTCCAAGTTTGATGATAGGCTCTGTATACAGTAGAGACTGCGGCCAGTCTGGGACCGGGGTATTTGGACAGAGGATGGAGGTAGAGACGGTAAAAGATTCGAGCCACCAAATAGAAGGGGATAGCGGCAATCAGAGCCCCGATGACAGGGCTAGAGGGGAGAAAGCCGTTCATTTTCCCTTGACACGACCTTGATTCGATGTTCGGAAGAGTTGAAAGCGCCTGAGTCACCAGATTGAGATTGAAGTTAATTAGTGGCAGTCGTTCGCGACAAAGCTAGCTTGAAACCCGGTTGTCGCCAATTGGCCACGCAGATTCCTTTCGTATTCCACCTTTTTCGCGCTGATCCTTGTCGCTTGGTGTTCAGTGAATCCCACAATCATATTTGCAAACCTGCGTTTCCGTTGATTGGGTGGGGTTAGAGTTTTCACATTACATGGGTCGTCACTGGTACGAAGGATGTATACTAGCGCCATTCCTTGATGTGAACTCTGGAGGGTCTGGCATGGATCTAGATCCAGTGCCTTGCGTTTGGAAGCGGATCGATCACACATTCACGGTTGATTGATGGTGGGGGGGGGGGGGGGGGGGGGCTGAAGTTAATGGGCTAGCCCAACCCCGATTGATCGCCAGAACAGAAGAACATGTTGGTCGATCAGCAGCGACTGCCTGACCTGATCCTTCATGTCATTTTGTGTCATTTTGTGTCATTCTGTGTTACACTGTAACATAGCAGAATAATGTTACGAAACAATGTATCGAAACAACGTGACAAAACAAACAAGCGGAGCAGATGGATAAGTGGGGAGGCTCTCGGAGAAGGCAACTCCGCGCCCCTGAGAGCAGGAAATGTACTCCGTGCCGGAGCAGCGAAAGCGTATTCTTGGCAGAACAGCTGGAAAACGAGTGGGTCGTCGCTGGCAATGATGAGAGCCGCTAAATTCAGTTACGTAGCTTTACAATCGATCATAGCTCCAAAATCGATCGATCAAAAAACAAATACATCCACAATCGAGCCGAAAATCCCCAGGTACATTCGATTCGGAAATGATCATTGATGTGGCTGATTGTTGCCGCCTTTGCGTAATTATCGAATTGCGCAAAATGTAAGTTAGATGTGCATTCGAGTCTGCCACGTGGACATGCATGGGTGTTAGGCTAGCGAAGGGTGGGGGAAAAAAAACAACAACAATCCAAAGCAAGGTCGTTTACACAAAGTAATGAGAACCAGAAGACAAATCGCATCTGAATTCCTAGGTATAGGCCTGCAGTTATCTATTTCACAATGCCATAAAATGTGGCCCGATAGTTTACGAGGAAGTGGAAAGACATTGGGGTAGATTTCATCTTGGGATACCCAGCCAGAGCTGTGGACAGGTTTCAATTACGATTTCTCGCACACCCAGGGAAGAGACTGATTGGCAATGTTCTTAGTTCTTCGGGCTCATCCCTATAGAGTGGTGTTTGCTATATATTCATGAGATTGCTCCCAAACATATATACTTCCAGAGCGTTTGACGGTGCAACAGGAGATTAGAATGCCGTACTACATGGTTCTCTTGATTTGAAGGTGTCTATATCTATATTATGGTCTGACACAGTCATTCCAACGATACTACAGCCTTCTGGGCACTCATGCCTTCTCGCACTCTGTCCAGTGCCAGTTGAATTGACTTCAAACCATGGCCAACCAACAGCGGCTCTGGAGCGGGTTGGAAAACCTTTTTCTCTAATGCCTCGGGCAAAAAGTCTCGGTAAATGGCTTTGCAAACCTTGTTCTCGATGATGGTTCCGGCTAGCACTGATTAAAAGTCAGTCAAACTCCCCAAGCACGTTCCGTCGCCGACCTACCAGCTTTCACCTCAACGCCCTGGAGCGTCATTTCTGGCACTGGATTTGTCGTAATAATTTTAACCTTCTGATTCAAGGCATGCACAATGTCCACGCACACCTGCACGGTTGGTTGCTTGGATATAGAATCAAAAACACCGACAATGTGCGTGTCACTCAGAGCCTGGATGACTTCAATTCTCACTGAGTCGCTCCGATAATCGAATACTTTGGACGCACCAAGGCGAAGACATTTTTCATGGTGTTGAGGACTGGCAGTGGTCACAACATCGTAGCCTGATGATTTCGCCAGTTGAATGGCACAACTGCCTACACTGGACGCCCCGCCCCATATCAAGAGAGCTTTGCCAGTAGGCTTGACATCGAGGGACGGGAGTTGGAGATGAAGGTCCTCTTCTTGGTATAGGCCAGCGGCGGCAGTGGACAGCGCACATGGGAGAACGCTACCTTGGGCGAACGAGATATCGGCAGGCAATGGGCACGTCAAGCTCGACAGTAGAGCGGTGTAATGCTGAAATCCGGCATGGCGAGTCTGAGAACTATCCATGCCAAATGCATGTCTAAATATCGAGGAGTCAGCCGGGGTTTGACGCGATAATGAGCCATGTGAGGTCAAACCCAATCACTCGCTGGCCAACTGTCAGATCTGTGACATCCGACCCAACTTCCACCACTTCACCTGCCACATCGACGCCAAAGATGTTGGGGTATGTGATATAGTCCAAGAAGGCAGTATCTTGAAGCATGTAGTCGCACGGGTTAATTGCAACCGCATAGTTCTTCACCACGACTTCATTCGGGCTGGGAAGAGGATAAGGTGCCTCCTGAACGATGAACGGTTTGGCTTTGGGGGTGAGTATCCAGGCAGCCTGATTGGAAGGGCGATTGATCGCCTGATTTTGGGTTGCTGTCATGTTGGCGATAACTTGGTGGAAGGATGAGGACTGTGAGAAAATAGCCAATGTCTTTCCAGAAACCGGAATAGCAAGGCCTTCTCGTGTCAGCCTCGACCGGCTCCAGCAGCTTGCGAATATGCTGCACCTTGCGAGAGGGTACAGCTCCTCAGCTTGATCGGTCAAACTATTACGAGACCAAAATAGGTGGGGTGATGATCTTCCCAGGCTTTGTAATTATTCTCGGGATCTGATGAACTATACGACCCTGCAATTGCCAAGTATTTTCACACTACTGTATTTTAAATAGTGGAGCCCCGGAATGGATGCTTCACGGAACAAAAAATACTAGCGGGGTGGCTTACCTGTACCACAGACGTGTATTGCGAACTCAAAGACGGAACGTCTCGCTTTAATGTGTATTTCAATTAGCTCTTACAGTACAAAAAGAGAAACGTGAAAGCTCAGAATGCTTCAATATATAAGGTGCACTTAGTCGCCCTCCGGCGGCAGGATTTTGGAGAACTCTTCTCTTACCTTCATTCCTTCTAACCCCATAACTAAATATCTCGTCATAATGTTACTCACCACCGAGAATACTACCCCTACCTTCCTCTTCACCTCCGAGTCTGTCGGCGAGGGCCACCCGGATAAAGTCTGTGATCAAATCGCGGATGCCATTCTCGATGCCTGTTTAAAACAAGATCCTCTCTCCAAAGTCGCTATCGAAGCTGCCGCTCGACCTGGTCTCGTCATTGTGTTCGGCGTCTTGGACACTCAAGCTCAAATCGACATTGAAGCTATCGTCCGCGTGGTTCTTCAGGATATTGGATATGACTGCCCAGACCAGGAACTCGACTACAAGACATGCAAGGTGATGGATTATGTTGAGCGACGATCTGCTCCTGACACTGCTGCGCCATCCCTTTTCCCCAGTCCGGCCGAGACAGAAGTCGCAGGCGACCAAGGAATCATTTTTGGCTATGCCTCAAACGAGACACCGCAAGCACTGTAGGTTCAAAATAGCCAGATCTTTCTATAGAGCCCCTTACAAAACAACACCCGCTAAATATCTCAGACCCTTGACGATTGACCTGTCTCATCGTATTTCACGACAAATGAAAACCGCACGTTTGAACAAGACTCTGCCTTGGTTGCGACCGGACACTAAGACCCAAGTCACGGTTGAATACATCAGGCGAAACAATGGAGAGACGGTTCCATTGCGGGTGCACACAATTGTTCTTACAGCACAGCACACACCAGACGTGACAGTCGAAAAGCTGCGGCAGGAAATTTTTGATCAGGTCATTTGCAAGGCCGTTCCCGCGAAGTATCTGGACGATGAGACCGCCTACTATGTACATTGACCCAGAAAGAAGATATTACGCTCATACGCTGACTGATCAAAAGATTCAACCCACGGGAGACGTCGGAGTGACTCCATCGGGCAAGTTCGCCGGCGTCACTGGTCGAAAGATCGTTGTCGACACATACGGTGGATGGGGAGCTCACGGTGGCGGTGCCTTTTCTGGAAAAGACTATCGTCAGGTGAGACTGCAACATTTTTTTCTTCAAATGGATCAAACGCTAATGATGAAAAGGTGGACCGCTCTGCTGCATACATGGCACGGTGGATTGCCAAGTCCATTACTCATGCCAGTCTCGCACAGCGTTGCATGGTCCAGCTATCTTACTCAATCGGCATTGCTGAGCCACTGAGTATCTTTGTCGATACTTATGGGACAGGCAAAATGACCGATGCGCAGTTGGAAAAGGTTGTGTATGAAAACTTTGACATGCGACCTGCTGCTATCGCAAAAGCATTGGGCTTGATGAGCCCAATTTACTATCAGACATCAAAGAATGGGCACTTCACCAACTCTCAATTCCCGTGGGAGAAGCCCAAGGACTTGAGACTGTGAAGTTTGATGGGTGTTATTGCACGACATTTTGTCCATCCGCCAATTACATGCTTTGTTCTGATTTGCAGGATGGGCGGTATAGAACAGAGTTCATGTTAATTTTCGCACAACAATCGATTCACTTTCTAATTTGTATACAATTAAGTACAATGATTAAGATCACATAAAAGTAGTATGGCCTCGATCAGAAAAGACAAGCGACTCAAGTTGTTATTCAATTGCGCTGTTCTGGAAAAGTGGGTCAACATTCAAGTGGCTCCAAATGGCCTCGCATCCCATCGAATCCTTCGCAAATGTCGGCCAGGATCTTTGACTTCATTCCGTGAGTGTAACCAACGCCGATTATTCATTACAATAATCGACCCTTGAGGAAGATCGTTTGGACTCAGATGGAGAATCTCCTCGCCAACAGCATCCCCCCAAAGTGTCTGTTTAAGTTCCTCCAGCGCCTTTGCAGCATCATTCGTCAATGGAACGGTGATATCCACTCGTAGTCGCAGTTGACTGCCACTCTGCCCTTCAGGCTTCGCTAGTAACAGATTTCCCACTATATGATCCTCGCCCGCCTCCTTGATAAACTCAGGAGGGACATTGATTCTGTAATTGTTACCAGCGAGCCATTTTTGTGCGAAAGGAGAAAGCATTCTCAGAAGCCGATCAACATCGAGGACAGACAGTACTCCGCCGCCGCAACGGTCCGGCTGGAGGACTTGAAGAGCAAAATATTTTGGAGGGCGCTCCTCATAGCTACAGTCTGTATGCCAGTCAAATTTATGCATTGTTTCTGACCGTGCTTGGTATTTCAGATGTTCGGCATTTATGCAAGGTCGGACATCCCAAAACCAGCCTCGTTCGGCACTGTGATTGATCGGCAAGCCGTGCTGGTGGTTTATGTGTAGATGATGAACGAGATTCTCAAGGTAGTTGCTTTCGGGATCGGCAAACCCCAGTTGCAGTTGGAGCACACCATTCGCTTCCAGTGTCTCATGCACAGCTTTGAGATGTGAGGCTTCAGAGGCGAGACTCAAGCTGGGGACATCAATCCTGGGGATGGAACACGAGATCGTTCGGCTTTGGTTCATCCGTTTGTCTTGGTCACATCAGCACCGCCGTTCAACGAATGCCCATAAGGTGGGAATAACAAGGGACTTACGGATATTGCCATTGTAATTTGAGGCTGCCCTGGTACTATAAGGATGCAGGGAGCGGAAGAAACGATGCATTTCGAGATGTTGATCCTTCTAGATGCAGCGAACGTGCAATGATGCTATAGAGATTACGGGCTCATCAATTCTCTTATAAACATCAGTACATCGACGCGCCAACCGTATGAGTACCGCACTGTACGATACACTAAATACCGAGCTAAAAAAAAAAAAAAAATTCCCGCACGCCTCCCCAGTTTCATCGATCGAAGCAGCCCCTGATGCCTTCCCAGATCGGGTGTGGGTCCATGCAAGATCAGGTTTTGAAAATTACCCGTAATAAAACCGAAGCTTAACACGGGAGATATGCGGTATAAATCGGTTATAATCCCTAACCGGGATGGAATGGTCGATCGGCTTCTTTCTTTTCTGCTCAATGACCGCGATGAAGGATGGGCTTTCTCTTACCCGGCGCCATTCTGCTCCTCGTAGAAATCGGGAGTTGAAGTCCTGTTTGCTTGTTTTAGGATTTGTGATTTTGCTGTGGCTGACCAAAATTCATGGCCATTTTCTGCATTCCAACTATCAGTGGAGTTCAGACTCCGCTCGATTCAACCGGCTGGACCTGGAAAGCTTGCTGGTGACTATACCTGACCCGGCGAAGGCTCGTGAATGGAGTGTCCATTATACGTCAAGCCCCCATGTCCTAGGCCAGGGTTATGAGTTCGGTTCTTGGACTGAGCAGACATGGCAAAAATTCGGGGTTGCGACCGAGATCAAGAGTTATCCGATTCCAATCCCCTTCACCACTCCAGTCTATAAACGTCTAGCTATTCTCGAACAGACGCCAAGTGACGATCGGGTGTTCTTTGAGGCCAGCTTGACCGAAAATAGCACGGACATTAATCCTCTTACCGACGAAGTTGTGACTGTCCCTACCTTTCTGTCATTCTCGCAAAACTATCGAGTCAGTGCACCGGTTGTGTATGTCAACTTTGGGACACTTGAGGATTTCAATGACCTCGCTCGAGCTGGTGTCAATGTTACCGGCAAGGTTGCCATCATCAAGGCTGGCGTCATACATGAAGACACTATTTTATCGCTTTATCAACAAACTGGAATCGCAGGGTGGCTCATCTACATGGACCCCCAGCAAGATGGAGACATTACAGAAGATAATGGCTATCGACCGTATCCAGATGGTCCGGCTCGCCCGCCACAGAGTGTCTTCCGTCAAAACGGTCCCCGCCCCTATCACGGTCTGTTTCTCCCTGGATGAGTGTTTTGAGACGATCGCTTGCTCACGTTTCATCAGGCCAAAATGAGTCCAACTTTCATTCGGTTCCCACAATGCCTATTTCTTATGCGGACGCAATTCCCATTTTGAAAACTTTGAATGGCCATGGCCCTAATGCAATTGATCTAGGGAAAAGGTGGGAAGGTGGTCGATTAGGCTACCGTGGCGTTGATTATAACGTGGGGCCTTCGCCCGCCAATATCGTGGTTCGCATGGAAAATGAAGTGGAGGCAACAAACGCCACAGCTTATAATGTTGTCGGAATCATCAAAGGACAAATTGAAGGCGAGGTTGTTATCGTTGGAAACCATCGCGATGCCTGGGGTACTGGTGCGGGCGACCCAGGCAGTGGCTCAGCGGCCCTAAATGAGATGGTAAGGAGCTTTGGTCTCGCGGTGAAGCAGGGATGGCAGCCTCTACGCTCGCTTATCTTCATCAGCTGGGATGGCCATGAAGCAGGCCTGTGGGGATCGACCCTCTGGGTGCAAGAAAATCTACCATGGCTGGTCAACCAAACAGTGGCCTATCTGGAAGTGGTCAGCGCAGTTTCTGGACCGCAGTACTTTGCCAGATCTAGTCCACTGTTGGTGCCGCTCATGCGGGATATTGCAGGACAGGTCTTGTCTCCAAACCAGACCATCCCTGGCCAGACTGTTCTCGATCTCTGGGGTGGTACAGTTCAGCCCCAAGGAGGCTCTGACTCTACCATGTTTATTCATCAATGCATCAGCACGGCCAATTTTGGCTTTTCTCGAAGCCCGACAGACCCTGTTTACAACTGGCATAGCAGCTTTGATACAATTCAGTGGATGGATCGATTTGGTGATCCGACCTGGAAGTATCATATTACAGCGGCACAGATTTGGGGACTACTTGCTGCGCGACTGGTAGAGAGCCCGGTCTATCCATTTAGTGTGACCGAGTTCGCTCTCACCTTACAGAATTACCTTGCACAGGTCCAGAATAAAGCGAATGAGACAAATTTCTATCTTGACTTTGACGCTTTAAATGCTGCCCTGAAACAACTTTCTCATGCCGCAGTCAGATTCGATGCCTATGCTTCAGCGCTTGGAAAAGTTGCAAGTGAGAAATCAGATGCTGAACCTGATGGAATGGCAAAATGGATTCAGGACATCAACTACAAATACCGCATGTTCGAACGTCAATTTCGCTATGAGCCGGGTGTTGATAAACCAGCATACAAAAACATCATTTACGAAATGGTTTCGTGGAATGCTGAGGTTGGGCCGGGATTCCCAGTGTTGTGGAAGAGTATTGAAGCTAAGGACTTTTCAAAGGCACAGGTACGTTGTTGTTTGTTTTGATTATGATCTCTGCTAATATCGTTCATCTTAAGAAATGGATTGGAATAACCCTCTCTTGCATCGAAAATGCTACTGCTCTCTTGGGGCTGGAAGGCTTTTTTGCTGAGTAGTTCAGTTTCCACATCGGATTGAGAATTATGGTCTTTTTTGAGCTAGTGATTGTTTATTTTGCTACCAAGGATATGTCAAAGTCAATCATGGACCCTGCTAGTTCACCTCATCCCTGACCTACAATGAGATCTCGCCCCTCGCACTGTGGCTAGATGACGTAGGTCAAATGCTATGCCCATCTAGTTTTTGTACGCCTTCGGTAGACAGTGGAAGAATTCTTTTATTTACACAAGCACCTTGAGTACCTGTATTGCCGTATTTGGTTATAGCACATCAGATACGCCTATCTATCCTAATTGAGATAAGTGAGGTATGTTTGGTGGGAACTCAAAAGCCAAGTTGCCCCACAGTTCAGCTCTGGCTCGGCAGGTAGAAAAGTGGAGAGAAGCGGCTGGTGCCCATATTACCATACAATACAAGGGAACTGAATATTCCTTGTAAAGGCCCAGCACCCACGATCTTTGGTGGGCTTTCTGAAGCAATAGTCCCGCAGCGTACCCACACACACCGGAGCAGTGTGGGTACGCTTCGGGACTATTATTCGGTTTCCACCTTCCCTTAGCAGTCTAGAGCGGACTGGTCCTTTGTAAGGAATTTGCGTTGAATTGTACCTGGGCAATTGATCTCGAGTCGTCACGTATAATATTATGTCCAATTTGTGACTGCACAGACTTTCATTCCCTACTCGTTTTCTATTTCGTAAAACCCTTCAATGATGAAGAACACTTGCGTGAATCGACTTGAACAGGTCGTTCTTCCCAAAAATGACGACTACTCACCTATATCCTCAAATGGACTGCAATCCGACCTTCATGATGAAAATTATCTCGTGTATCTCTCGAGATTGAACAACTGGTCTTCGTCTTGGCCAGCTGGATCCTTGGATGCATCCAGCCCTCATCCTGTATTGATTAGCAGAATGCACCAAGAGCAAGCGAAGAATCTACATGTAGCACTCAACCTGGCTATACAAGATATCATCGGGAGATGGTGGACGGATGAGGACGCGAAGTTTCCTCAGCGGATGCCACTGGAATCGGAGGAAGAGGATCTTCTACGCGTGAGTAGCGAGCTATTCGGTTTGCATGTCGACTGAAAGATTAACTTGATATTGCCGTAATGATAGTGGATGCACGTAAATCAACACCTATTCCGACCGTACAGCGAACGACAAGGATCATGGAGACCTGACTTCTTGCTTGAATATGACGAGACAACTGGTGCTGAAGCCTTTCGCATCTGTGAAATCAATGCCAGATTTTGCTGGAATGGCTTCATGCACGCTGCCTTTGGGCAGGAAGCCTTTTCAAGGTTTGGACTAGAGGCTCGAGGCCTAGAATGTGCCTCGGACCCCGAGGAAGTATGTATATCAAGACTTCATGACCCGTGTCTACAGCTCTAATATTTTGAAATATGTTATAGATACTCGGTGGACTACTGGAATTATTCAACCATAGTCTCCCGCTGCACTTATGCAAGGGTGTAGAGCATGGTATTGACATCTTTATGTTTATGGAGTTCGTGGAGCAACGAGTCGGTATTGTACCACGATTGATCACTCCAGATACCCTCCGACTTCTTCCGGATCCTACGGAGGTGACTGGGTTCAAATTGTGCTGTCTTGCCCAGCCTGGCGCGACAAATACAGTGAGGACTCAGTCTGGCGAAATAGTGGAAGAAATTCATCAGATCGGTCTAGAGCTTCACCAGAAAGAGTTCCATGCCTTTGACCAAGATATGAAACGACAGATCAGTTTGCGTTGTTTCAACGATATGCGGACGATTCTGTTTGCTCACGACAAGAGAATGCTTGGGATAGTTCGTGAAGAACTTGGCTCGCTGCTGTCTCGAAAGGTCATCACTCTACAGCAGGCAAAGTACCTTAAGCGTGGCATCACTCCCACTATTTTGCCAGGGTCAAAAGATATGGAAAAATTTATTGCAAGTTGCGAAGTTTTCGAAAACTCCAAAGATGGCTTCATTCTCAAACCGATTCGTGGTGGCAAAGGGAAGGGTATTTTGTTTGGTGATGAGCTTGATAACGCTGATTGGTTGGCGAAATTAGAGCCTTTGCGATCGGCACAGATGCAAATGCATGCAGGACAGACGTTGTATGTTGTGCAACGCAAGATACGTCAGCCCTACCATGATGTCCTTCTAGGACCTAGAGCCAAGCCAGAGCGCTGCCATAAGGTTGGGACCTACCATGCCGTCAACGGTCAATTCCTGGGGCTTGGAGTTTGGCGGTGCAGTCCTGGGAGATTATGTGCTGTGGCTGATGGTGCTACCTGGATATCCTCTGTGGTAAAGCGTGGATAGCATACTGGGTTGAAAGTGATATAATAATACTTCTTCCATTGCAAAGGTGGAGAAGATATATTGGACCTCGATTTTGTTAGGTTAAGGGACGAAACTTGCAGTGATCGGTGCCTCCCGAACTCTTCATCTTCCAAGATTTTTAGCTCGAGACTCATTTTCCGCAATATCGTCGAAGCCAGAGGTGCAATGAGGCGAGTATGGTTCTCGCTCCCCTGGTCACCTGGTGAATTTCCACCACGTGACCAGTGATAACGTGATCCACGGTCGCCCGAGCGACCCCATCGAAAATCCACTTCAATAATAATACAAGTCGCCCGAGCGACCCCATCGAAAATCCACTTCAATAATAATACATACTTTTTAACCACAACAAAAATGCCACCCCAACGCTCTGAGAAAGAAACAAAATTGATAGAGCAAGAAGGTCGCCTTTTATTAGCTATAAAAGCTATAAAAGATGGTAAATATCCCTCTGCTGCAGCTGCTGCACGATCTTTTGAGATACCTGTCTCAACTTTGAAGGCCCGGATCAATAGGCGCGAATCTGCTGCTGAAAAGAGGGCATCTGGTCATATATTCACCCAAATTGAGGAGCAATCGATAGAGAATTGGCTACTTGATATAGACTTAAGAGGTGTAGCTCTTACTTTGCCTATGTTGCGAGATATGGCTAATCTTTTACTTAGTGTAAAGTAAAACACACCATCTACTATTGGTATCAATTGGCCTTCTTAATTCATCAAACGACACCCGAATCTCTCTACTCGACTCTCTCGTAAATACGACTATTAGAGAGCACTCTCAGAAGACCCTTGGATCATTAAGCCATGGTTTGATTTAGTTCAAAAGACCATTGAAAAGTGGGGTATTATTTTAGACGATATCTTTAACTTTGATGAGAGTGGTTTTGCTATGGGTATCGGCGCAACACAAAAAATTATTACTTCTGCAGAATACCACGGGAAAAGAGCTCTTTTGTAGGCTGGAAATCGTGAATGGCTAACCATAATTGAGTGTATTCGAGCTTCTAGAAGTGTTATGCCTCCACTCTTTATTTTCAAGGGAAAAATTTTTCAAGAGTATCTACGCCCCTTTCTCCTTTTGAATCAAAAAGAAGCACGTCTCACTATGAGTGAAAATGGCTGGACTACTAATACAATTGGTTTATGGTGGTTGAAACACCTTTTTATTCCAAATATTAGGACAAGAGTAGGAAAATATTGCCTACTGGTCCTCGATGGCTATGGGAGTTATTTGACCCCCGAATTTGACCAACTTTGTGAAGAAAACCAAATTATCGCAATCTGCATGCCTCCTCATGCCTCTCACCTTTTACAACCTTTGGATATAGGCTGTTTTTCGGTTTTGAAGAGGCTTTATGGAGGAGCGGTTTCAACCTTGATGCGGAATGGAGTGAACTCTATTAATAAGGAGGATTTCCTTAAAATAATCGCAGATGCGAGAATTAGTGCTTTTAAGACCTCTACTATACAAAATAGCTTTTCAGCTACTGGATTAGCACCATTCGATGCTAATAAAGTCTTGGAAAAGCTAAATATGCGCCTGGATTCTCTTCCTCCTTTCGAGATCATCTCTCAAAGACCACTCTCTTCCGGTAGTGATAGTGATCCAAGTACTCTTTAGACTCTCTCAAAATTCACAAAATCGCAATCTCGGATCAAAAAAGGTCTAGAATCTTCTTCTTCAATCCTTTCTTCACCAACAAAAAGGGAGATTAAGAAGACCTACAACATAACTATCAAAGTGGTCTACCACCATATTTTTCTCCAGAATCGCTGCGCCCAGCTAGAGGCTACTAATAAGAAACAGACCAAAAAAAGAGAGATAATACCAAAATTTACTACCCAGAAAGGCATCTTTAGGGGTCTAGAGGGTAGTAAAGATGATGTGGTCTATAAGGATAAAGATATAAGTAAAGATATATATTTACCAGAGGTATCTACAAATACGGTTATTAAGCCTACCTTACCTTCTATGCCTATAATTCGGCGGCAAGTAACATATTCTGGGTGCGGGATAAAATGGTATACTTACTGCCCTACTCGCTTTAGATAACAAAATTTATATCGTTTTTATGGTTTTAATAGTCATTGAAAATTGGTGATTTTTGAAAAGTTGGTAGGGTCGCTCGCGCGGCCGTGTCGCTCGGGCGACCGTGGATCACGTTAAGTTAATTAGCAGTATAACAAAGCAGATTACATAGTTTACCACTTCTCTATAGTGATATATTAGTAGTGGTACTTGGGCTCTAGCATGGGCCTGTCCATGGACACATTTCTCTGTTCATGGACAGGACTCTCTGTTTTCTATATAATTACTATAAAATCTATAAAAAACATTGATATAAATACATAATAAATATGTGTCGGTGTTCCTGGGTCATGTGACCTGGGCAGCGCTCTTTCGGTCTGCAGGCTTAACCTCCAGACCTTTTGCTCTCTCTCTTCTTTTCTCCTCCATACCCATTATCACATATGTTCTGTGTGAAGCTTTTATCTACAGTATATTCGTCATCTTCCCCCACTTGGCTGCCTATTGGCTTCAAGAATATGTAATATATACATATTACCATTCATGGACAGAAAGTTATTCTGATAAAGTACTATTACTTGACCCTCTTCTAGTTTCTATTTTCAATTTTTACTGTACTATTACTTAACCCTCTTCTAGTTTATGTCTTCAATTTTGACTATATTACTGTATTGATATTATTAATTTCCAAGAGATCAAGTCATATTGTAGTAAGTAATTCCTAGAGGTAATATAGATAATGTTTTATTTTAGCCTACTTGTCACGGTGTGTCCTGATAGGGTCCGTAAGGACCCGCTAAGACCGATAAGGGAGATCACGGGCACGTGATCTATATCTTGTTTATCTGCACTTCCGATCTGGATCCTGTTGTAGCTCTTCGAGCTACGTCTTGTATAATAGCTTACGCTAGACCGTCCGCCGACCTGCTGCCGGATCAATTAGAAACCCTCTGAACCCGACCCGATCCCGCCGGTCTTCTCCTATTATAACCCTGCCAGCCTGCACCCTGACACTACGTAGCTCCTACCCCTCTTAGGAAGTTGACCGTCTGAAGATGTCCGTACCGGTCCCGCAACCCCCGTTCTTACCGAGCGACCTAGAACAGTTCGCTGAACATGCGAAGGACCACCCCGACCAGTGGTTCGAATACTGCCGCCGCGCGTATGACTATATCGAAAGCATCCAATCTGACGCTGCCAACGCCCGTGAGCGTGTGGACCAAGCCGAACTACAACTACAAGCCGCGAGGATAGAGATTACCCGCCTTACGAAGGAGCTGGCCGCGGCCGAGCGCGACCACCTGCGAGATGCTGCATTCCTTGAGTATCAGAAGAAGCTTTACGATGAGGCGCAGCATACTATCGCCCGCACGGAAGCCGCACGGATGCGTGCGGTTGAACTCGCTATCCCTACGGTGAATACCGTACCTGCCCCTGCCCTTGAGCCTGCCGCTGAGCCTGCTGTAGCTGCTGTTATGGGAGCGCCTCCGTCGCTTACTCCCGAATCTTCCGGCTCACACGTACGATCCGAGCGTCTTCCCGACCCTGACAAGTTTGAAGGAGAACGAAAGGATCTCCGCCGATTCATTTCCCAAGTTAAGGAGAAACTGAATATCAACCGTGACCGTTACCCGACCCCGCAGTCCCGAATGACCTACGTGACCAACCGCCTGAAGGGCGTCCCCTACGCCCAGATCCTGCCGTACATCCGCGAAGGCGTCTGCCAGCTGAATGACTTTACCGATATCCTGGACATCTTAGAACGGGCCTTTGGAGACCCTAACCGCGCCCGTAACGCCCGAAACGAACTCTACCGCCTACGACAAGGGAATAAGGAGTTCAGTGTGTTTTTCGCCGAGTTCCAGCGTCTCGCTATGGAGGGCGAGATGCATAAGGAAGCCCTACCTACGATGCTTGAGCAAGCGATCAACCGAGAACTGAAGAGTATTTTACTGCACCACGAACCACCGAAAGGTGACTACCTCGACCTGGCACGATTCCTTCAGAACTTGGAGAATCGTCGAGCTCAGTACGATGGTGGCCAGTTAGCCACCCCCCGGACGCTTACTGCAGCTGTAAGGACCGCCCCGAAGGCTGCCGAGCCTAATTCATGGAGACGAGGCCCCGAACGGGTCCTCACACCCCCGCCTGCAAACCCTGATGCTATGGACCTGTCTGCCACCCGCCGCCGATTCTCCCCTAATCGTCAGAATCCATCCCGATATGAACAGAATGCGTGCTTCCGCTGTGGCTCAAAGGAGCACTTTGTCCGAGACTGCCCGCAAGCCGATAAACGCCCACTAGCAGCCCGCCAGATGACTGTCTACCCCCGCTCGCCCCCGAATGGATACCGCTCTCCGTCCCCGGGGAGTACCCCCCGTGGCCGCCCTACCTTTAGCCGTACGCTATCCCCTGAGGACTCGCTAAAAGGCGTAAGCCTGGCCTAAGTCGCGACCAGGCGCTTCCACCGCGCGTTATCCGTCTATCCGCCGCCGCCCTGAATGGCCTCTCTGTTGAAGAGGAAACCCGCCGATCCGACCTGATGATATTACCTATCACACTGTACCGAAAGGGAAAGGAACTCCCGAGTTACGCCATGTTAGACTCCGGAGCAGAAGGAAAGAGATTTATTGACCAAGGTTGGGCCCGAGAGAACGGCCTAACCCTCTTACCGCTCACGAACCCGATCCAACTGGAAGGGTTTGATGGGCAAGAAGCTGAAAGTGGCCCTATCACCCACTACGTGCAGATGCACATCCGTATTAACGACCACCGAGAGAAAGAAGCCTGTTTTCTGGCCACGCAGCTGGCACACTACCCTATCGTACTAGGCCTACCGTGGCTGAAAGTACATGACCCCTATATCCGCTTCGCTGAACACACTGTCGAGTTCAATAGCGATTTCTGCCGAAGGAACTGTAATACTCCCCAGCAAAGCGCGAAGATCCGAGCGCTCCACGAGATACCCGTTAAGACCCGTCCGAAGTCCCTACCAGCACGACCTGCTGGTCTTGAGAAACGAGATATCGCGGCTGTGTCGCTAGCAGCGTGTGCCGCATATGCTAGAAGGAACTACCGAATGTTCGCTATTACTACCGAAGATATCGAAGCTGCACTGAACCTGAAGACTACGACCGAACCTGACCCTGCCTCTATATTGCCTGAAGAATTCCGAGACTTCGCCGAAGTGTTCTCCCCGAAGGAAGCTGACCGCTTGCCGCCCCACCGACCATACGACCATAAGATTGTGCTACAAGAAGACAAACCTCTGCCGTTCGGCCCCCTGTACCCTATGTCCCGTAACGAGCTGGAAGTCCTGAGGGACTGGATCGAAGATAATCTGAAGAAGGGCTTTATTCGACCAAGCTCCTCGCCTGCAGCCTCGCCTGTCCTGTTCGTGAAGAAGCCGGGCGGAGGCCTCCGTTTCTGTGTAGATTATCGCGCGCTGAATGCGATCACCACTAAAGACCTTATCCGCTGCCGCTCACGAAGGAGACCCTGAATAACCTGAAGGGGATGAAATACTTCACGAAGATTGATATCATCTCCGCCTTCAATAACCTACGGATCGCGAAAGGGCAAGAATACTTGACTGCGTTCCGTACGAGGTTAGGACTTTTCGAGTCCTTAGTGATGCCCTTCGGCCTGACTGGGGCGCCTGCATCCTTTCAACGGTTTATTAACGATACCTTGCGAGAGTACCTGGACTGCTTCTGTACCGCATACCTGGACGACATCCTGATCTATAGCCGCACGCGAGCGGAACATATTGAACACGTGCGGAAGGTTCTACAACGCCTCCGGGAGGCTGGCCTATTCGCGAAGCTATCTAAGTGCGAATTCTGTGTCTACGAGACAAAATTCCTTGGTATCATCATCGGAAAGGATGGTATCCGTATGGACCCCGATAAGATCGAGACGATCGTGAACTGGCGGACCCCGACCTGCCTGACCGACGTACAAGCCTTCATTGGTTTTGGTAACTTCTACCGCCGCTTTATCCGAGACTTCTCTAAAGTCACCGCTCCGCTCGTGAAGCTCACGAAGAAGGGCGTCCGCTTCGAATGGACCCCTACCTGCCAGATGAGCTTTGAAGCTTTGAAGAAAGCATTTACGTCCGCCCCCGTCCTGAAGCCCTTTGACTGGTCTAAAGAGATCATCCTAGAAACGGACGCGTCCGATTTCGTTTCCGCTGGTGTCCTATCGCAGTATGATGATACTGGAGTCCTGCACCCCGTTGCCTTCTTCTCAAAGAAGCATTCCGCAGCCGAATGCAATTACGAGATATACGATAAAGAGCTATTGGCTATTATCCGTTGCTTCGAGGAGTGGCGCCCTGAGCTAGAGGGCACGTCCTCGCCCGTTAAGGTCATAACGGATCACCGTAACCTGGAATACTTTACGACAACAAAGCTCCTGAACCGCCGCCAAGCCCGTTGGTCCGAATTCCTGTCCCGATTTAACTTTAAGATCATATACCGGCCCGGAAAGCAGGGTGCGAAGCCCGACGCCCTGACCAGGAGGTCAGAAGATCTCCCTAAGGAGGGGGATGAACGCCTGTTACACCAAAGCCAGACCGTCCTGAAGAAAGAGAATCTGCAAGTGAATGCCATAACCCGCTCAAGGAAGGAAGGAACCGTAACCACCCTACCGGACCCGCCAGAAGAACCGCCAGAAGAACCACCAGCTACGACCACACCCGCAAGGAGAGTCCGGTTCGCCGAGAATAACTCACCGGAACTACCGCCCGCGATCAAAGACCTGCTATCCGAAGCGTATAAACGAGACAATACGGTGCAATCGATTCTAAAAGCGTTGCTATCCAACGCTAGCCGCCACCCCGGAATCACACTTGCCGACTGCGAACGAAGGGGTAATCACCTATACTACCGGAACCGTCTATACGTCCCTCATGACGATAAACTGAAAGCCGAAATCCTGCGCCAATGCCACGACAAGCCTGCTGCCGGCCACCCTGGCCGATCGAAGACGTACGAACTATTATCCCGAGAGTACTACTGGCCCCGAGTCTACCAGTACGTAAGCGACTGCACTAAGAACTGCCACACCTGCCGCCGAATCACACCCGCCCGAGAAGCCCGCCAGGGAATCCTGAGACAGCTGCCCGTACCTGAGAGAGCCTGGCAAGATATTAGCATGGACTTTATCACACACCTGCCGCCTAGCCATGGTTACGACGCTATCCTTGTCGTCGTAGACCGCCTGACCAAAATGAAGCACTTCATACGCTGTAAGGGAACCTGTAACGCTGAAGAAGTCGCCCGCCTGTATACCCGTCATATCTGGAAGCTACATGGCTTACCAAGTACGATCGTGTCCGATCGAGGGCCCCAGTTTGTGGCCCAATTCTGGAAACACCTGACCAAACGACTACGGATAACCAACCTGCTGTCTACCGCCTATCACCCAGAGACAGACGGACAGACCGAACGTGCGAACGCTGTCCTAGAGCAATATCTCCGAGCGTACGTATCCTACCTACAGGACGACTGGTCCGAGTGGCTACCGCTAGCCGAATTTACTGCGAACTCGCACTACTCCGAGAGTACGCGAGTCTCCCCGTTCTATGCCAACTATGGGTTCCACCCCCGTATCGGGTTCGAACCATCCCTGCCGAACAGCCACCCTGCTGCCCGAGACGCTGAGAAGTTCGCTACACGTATGCAAGAACTAACGTCGTACATCCGTGCCGAGATTCTGTCCGCACAGGCCCGTTATGAAGAACAAACGAACCGTCACCGCAAGCCTGCCCGCCGTTACCGCCCTGGACAACTGGTTTGGCTGAACGCCAAGAACATCAAAACCCTCCGTCCACAGAAGAAGCTAGACTGGAAGAATCTAGGTCCCTTCCAGGTCCTCGAAGTCATAAGCCCGCACGCTTACAAACTCGAACTGCCCGCCAGCATGAAGATCCACCCGGTATTCAACGTAAGCCTGCTGCAGCCCGCGGCCGAGAACCCTATACAGGGGCAAGTGCCCGAACCCCCGCCCCCAGTCGAAGTCGAAGGACTAGAGGAGTGGGAAGTAGAAGATATCCTGGATTCCCGATGGGAACGACGCGGCCGTGGAGGCCCGCGCCTGAAATACACCGTTAAGTGGATTGGGTACGACGACCCGACTGAGGAACCTATTGAGTATCTCGCGCACGCCCGCGAGATCATCCGGAACTTCCATAGGAGATACCCCCATAAGCCTCGCCTCAACGGAGTTCGGCCCTAAGGGAGGGGGTACTGTCACGGTGTGTCCTGATAGGGTCCGTAGGGACCCGCTAAGACCGATAAGGGAGATCACGGGCACGTGATCTATATCTTGTTTATCTGCACTTCCGATCTGGATCCTGTTGTAGCTCTTCGAGCTACGTCTTGTATAATAGCTTACGCTAGACCGTCCGCCGACCTGCTGCCGGATCAATTAGAAACCCTCTGAACCCGACCCGATCCCGCCGGTCTTCTCCTATTATAACCCTGCCAGCCTGCACCCTGACACTACTAATCTGAAGAAGGGGTTAGTAGTTTAGAATATTATAAATTCCATAACTTAAAGTTAGAGTGATAATGTATATTTACACTTTTAAGTAATAACTTTTTACTGGGATAATTTGATAAGACTATACATCCAAGCTAGGAAAGGTTAACTTTTTTCACAAATGCGGGTTAGTAAGGGCCATCCGCGGGCGGTCCTCTGCGGGTTAAGGGTTAGGTGAGTGTTAGTAGTACTGTGGGTTAGCTGAGGGCTGGACGTTCTGGCCCTCAAACGTTTTTAATGAGGCCTAGAGTGAATAGATACCTTTTTTAAGCCATAGCTTCAACACGTCTACTTTGCAGGTTATGTGCGATGTCCGATGACCAGTGGTTGCTGAATATAATCTGACAGGCTAATGAATATGGATTCTATACGACTGAGCTCTTTATTCCTTACCATTAGTAAGTATTCCTCTGACATTCTCTTATCTGAGATGTTAAAAGATAAAGTCGGGTCCGCTCGGCAAATCCAACACCCATATCGTACCAATCGGATACGTCCCATCATGCACTATTTTGCATCGGCTATTCCCCAAGCTTGAAAGGTGACCATCTACTAAATATAATCCTATGGATTGTGCCGTGAGTAAAGCCATATCACACTCCGCATTTCTGTCCGTTTAGGCCGCCCTGCGCACAAGCAAAAATGCCCCGACCACGTAAGACGTGTACGGAATGTTCACTGCGAAGACAAAAGTGCGACCGTCAAACTCCTTGCGGGCGATGCCTCAGACGCGGAGTTGCGGGAAAATGTACGGTTTGGTGGCATGAACCGTACAATCCTCAAATTCACCGCGCTTACCCTCGAACACCACGGCCTAAAGTTCACCCCGCACGAAGCGCCACTTCAGTAGAAACAATACGAGAAGCCCAAGCGCAGTACTTTTCTCATTTCCAATCTGCCACATTTTTAGGCAAAGACGCGCACGCAGAAAATTGGTTGGAAAGTCTCAGTCATCCAACACTAACAGACGAACGGTCCCCGCCACAAAACCGAATCATTGACAGGGGTGGTTCGAGCCAGCCGTGGCTCTCCCCCCAGGGCATCGGGCCCAGGTACCCCGCACACGATGTGCCTCGTCAAACCTTTCTACAGAAACTGATGCCGAGCGCCGACCATATTTGGAAACTTGTCCACTATCATGAAGTTTATCTGCTATGGTATCACGGCTGTTACCATGGTCCAACTTTACGGTTCGAGCTGGAGAACGCTCTTGACGACCAGGATGGTCAGGGTGGAACGCTTGTCGTTCGCGGACTCAATCTACAATGGCTTGCTTTGTTGTTTGCCATAATGGCAGGGAGCGTAACTTGTGCCACTGAGACACGTCTGGCAGAATGGGGGTTTTCTAAAAGAGAAGTGACGAGTCTGTCAGAACAATGGTATAAAGCGACAATTTCATGTCTGAATGAGGCTGAGTATACATCAAACCCCGATATGTACTCTATTCATGCTCTTGCAACGTTGAGCATGTCCGCGCATCCTCTAGGCCACTCCCAAGAGCTGTCAGTACTGTTAGGCGCTGCCTTGAAGATTGCCCAGCGTTTAGGGGTTCATCGCCTTCATCATGACCCGGCCCTGGAAAACATCTCCGGCAACTCAAAAGAAGAGCAAAGGCATAAGCTACTGAAGCGCGAAATTGGTCGAAGGCTTTGGTCTTTTCTCTGCATCAATGATTGGATGTCTCTTCCATTTACCGATTCCCACTATATCAACCCGCTTCATTTTACGACCATCAAGCCCTCAAGCCGAAACCACTTAACAATGGATCCTATAACACCCACTTTCCCGACATATACAAGCTACGGAAACTATCTTTATGAAATTGCAAAGCTCATGGTCAACCATCACGATGCCATGCTTCAAGCAACAACGCAGTTTACGTTGTATGAGACTGTCATGCAGTATGACTCACGAATTCGCACACTAGCGACACAAGGAATACCACGATATTTTCACGTAGTAGAGCCGATTGACCCAGCCTGGCCTCCGTGGATAATCTGGGCAAGGAAGAGTTTAACAATATGTTTCGCGCACAAGATCATCATGATCCACCGTGCCTTTATCAGAAAAAGCTTCACAGATCCGGCGTACGCTGTCACGCGCCGCACCTGTTTAGCGGCCTCTAAGACAATTTTAAATGAAGCCAAACATAAGGGTGTCGATGGCCCTATTATCTGGGTTGACAAAGCCTTTTGCGTCGCTGCTGGTGTCATCTTGTGCCTTGATATCTTTCATCGGTCGGAAACCGAAGTCGAGTTCCGGACACACCGTGATCTGGTGACAAACTGTATATCGATGCTTCAGAAATTCGAAACCAGTGCCATCGCTGTTCGAGGGGTGATTATATTGTCTGCTCTAATTGAGGAGAGAGAGAGGCTGGCCTCGAAAATGATATGGCCACCACAGAGTACCTACATTTCCGACATTATTGAATCTCTGGGCACAGTGCGAGACTCACTGTACGCTGTGTCTTCTGAGGCTGCAAATGCACTTCCGGAGCTTTTACCTCCACAAGCTGGCTTCTCCAATCGCTTTTTGTTTGAGGACCTTTTGCAATAATTTTTCAAATGGTAAGCATTTGCTTAGTTCAAATGTGTTCTATACCACTAAGATGATCATTGGCCAAAGAATAACTCAGTAGATCGATGTTCTTTCTATATAATATCAAAAACAAAATTGATTTGAAGAGCAATTTAGCGACCGAGATGATCCATTCTTACATTATTGAGCTCTGTCTATAGATTGCTCGTTATTAGAGCCCATTCCAAGATCGAGCCTGCAACAAGTCAAAGGATAAACTCAGCATCTCATCATCCGCGGAGCTTGATCCGACCAAAACATCAAATGTATCCTTTTCCATAACCCAGGAATTCTTCCGTTCGTCCCAAAAACTGGTAGCGTATTTCAAGCTCATCCGCACATCGACACTTTTCTTTTTTCCACTCTCGAGAACGACCTTGCTGAACCCCTTCAGTTCTTTTCCAGGCCTGGCGATCGATGGATTCCGTTGCGAGAAGTAAACTTGGACCACTTGAGCGCCACTCCGAGCCCCAACATTATGTACATCGACAGTAAGGACAATTGAATCCTCCATCTCAGATACCTCAACTCTTGCGTTGTCGATGATGTATTCGGTATAAGAGAGTCCGTGCCCAAAAGGAAAGAGGACTCTTGTGCGCGTCTTTTCGTAGTATCGATAGCCCACGTAAACATCCTCTCCATACAGGGTCCGCCCCCGCTCCGAACCATAGTTGAGGAATGCGGGGTTGTCCTCCAGTCTGAGAGGGAATGTCAGGGGCAGTTTGCCGCTCGGGTTAACATCCCCGTAGAGGACATCAGCAATGGCATTGCCTAGCTCGTTTCCCCCGTACCATGCTTGGATAATTGCCGGTACTGAGTGTTCCCAATCCATTGTAACTGGAGTGCCCGATTGGATTATAACTGCAGTATTCGGATTGACAGAAGCGACCTCATGTATCAGCCGATCGGTGGCGCCTGGTAGTTGAAGACTCTCTCGGTCATAACCTTCAGATTCCCAGTCGGCCTGCGAAGGGTCAGTTTTTGAAATTCTCATTCATTCAGTTTTTTATAAATAAGGGATGGACTCTCACATTCAGTCCCACTACAATGGCAACCTGATCAACCTGTCTGGCAATGTCGACAGCTCTGCTGATCTCCTCCTCCAGATCCACCACATAGGCACAACCAATTCTGATTCCACCACCGACCGTAGAATTCGATCCTGGACCTGGAAGCTGACTGGTTGCGATCGATCCAAATTCCACCCGAACCGCGTAAACCACGTCTTTTTCGAGTAGCATTGTGCCGTACGTCTCAGTCGTGCCGTATCCAAAGAATCCACCGCCAGAAATCTGGTCTTTAGAAGCGTCGACCAGAAGCTTGTCATCGATGAATAGCTTGGCTGTTCCGGCCACACTTAGACTGAAAGAATATGTTCCTGTAGCTGGAGGTTTGAAAGAACCAATGATGGAAGCGTACCAAGCCCCCCGATGAGAGCTTGGAAGTGGTGGTACATAATCGAAGAGATAAAGGTCACTGCTTGAGACGGGGAAGTTGTCCAACAATTCACGTATTGTGTTTGAGGGCCCTTCGGCGTAGACCAAGAACTTCAGGTCTGTCATAATGTCGGTGATAAGTGGATTTTTGTTGTACCCCGTACAGCCCAGGGAATATTCGACTTGGCTTGTTGATTTGGATGAGATGCCTTCAAATGGATTTACCGTGTAGGATGGCACGACATTGGCACTGCCACCGCCAGAAATCGTGGCTATTTTCGCATTTGGCCCGATGATCGCAATCTATTTACTGTTAGGAGCTTTCTTGAACTTGAAACTCTTCTATACTCACGGACTTGTCTTTTTGAAACGGAAGAACCTTGTTGTTGTTTTTCAAGAGGACAATGGCTGCTGAAGCGGCTTCTCGAAGGTATTTATTTTTCTCAGTTGATTCAATGCTGGTTTCGGTCGGGGATTTTGGGAGTTTGGAAGTCAATTTTTGGATGAATTCCAGGACTCGTCGAACACAAATGTCGATTTCATCTACCGTGAGCTTTCCACAGGTGAGCGCTATGTTGACCAAATTACCACGTAGATAGGAGGGACCAGGCATCTCCAAATCCAAGCCAGCCTTGATTGCTTCTGTGGTGGAGTATGTTCCACGCCTAGAAAAGTCAAAAGGATTTTCATATTTTAGGAAATGGAATACTGACCAATCACTCATGACTAGACCATCGTATTCCCATTCGCCCCGCAGAATATCTTGCAGCAAGTGGAAATTTTCACTTGCATGGACTCCATTGACTCTGTTATAGCCAGTCATCAATGCCCATGGCTTGGCAGATCGCAGGGTTATCTGAAAAGGCATGGCATAAATCTCTCTGAGAGCTCGCTCAGTAAGTCGCGAGTCCTGACTCATTCTTTCATGTTCTTGATCGTTGCAGACAAAGTGTTTGAGCGTGGCGGCGACACCCTTCGATTGGACACCGCTGACAAAAGCCTCTGATATTAGACCTGCAAGAACAGGATCTTCGCTGAATGATTCAAATCCTCTGCCAGCGAGAGGAGAGCGAGGTGTATTGATTGTAGGACCAAGAATAACGGATATGCCTTTAGAAGTTGCTTCTTCGGCCAGCAGCTGGCCTCCTCGTCGGATCAGATCCACATCCCACGTTGAAGCTAGGCCAGTTCCGCAGGGTATGCATGATGCTGGCTCGCCATTGATCATCTTTGTCCCGCGGATGCCATTCGGTCCATCTGACGCTCTGATTGGTGGAATACCCAGTCGCTCGATACCGTGCAGATGCCAATTGTCTGCACCTGACAGAAGGGACACTTTTTCTGCGAGAGAAAGGCCCTGTAGAATACTTTCAACGTCGAAGGTGTCCGGCATACTATGACAATTATTTTGCTGTGAGGAAGAAGGCATGGTTCCCATAGCTGAAATTCCACACGCCTGTGCGGAGTCGATGGGAGTCAAGGAGTCAGTCTATCTCCAGTTGAGCACCTGTAGATAGTGTTAATTCCTTGTAGAAGAGAGCTTTGGTCAACAATATAAGTATACAGTGTACAATTCCATATCGAGTCCCAAGTGTAAATTAAGCTAGCTTTGCTTGGATTAGATAGGAAAGACGGACCCACTTTCGATATCTTTCGTACGAAGTGCGGGGAAGTCGTACGAGACTTCGGCTATTTCAAGGCTTATCATAGTTAGTACGAAGCTCAAAGCAGCAGCACATGCCTCTAAGCCACGTCCTCATTCAAAACTATTCGCTGATTCAAAGTGGGTCTTAACTGATTATACCGGTTAGTCACGTTCTCGGATCAGTTTAAGGAATGCTTTATCTTGGAAGATTCTGATAGCGATAGGTATGAGAATACAGGAGTAGCCACCAAATCACGCTTTTGATGCCTTTATCGTGCTTCGCATGGACTTGTGACCTCTGAATCGTAAAGATGGCACATCAATTTTGATATGATTCCCCAGCTGAACTTGTTCGATTTGGAACATGGTGGCTTTTCTAATCTTATCTTCTGTACGATATTCATACATCCTTGCCAGTATCCTTCGTCCATTTCAGAAATCCAGCATACATATAATATTCTGCCCTACTTTGTGACAGTATCATCGAGGAAAGCAGAAGACAGATTCGTTAGCAATTTTTGGGATTGCAATACTGTCTTGAACAAGTCTCCTTTGATCGCTGCTTTACGAAAGAGTCGAGGATATCTCATATCATAGCAGCATGGCTAAGCTCAACAATATGGCCTGGGTGCCCAGATCATCCGAAAGTACACATCCCGCTGCCAGATGATACCTGTCTTCCAAGATATTTCGCTTACTCCATTTTGCAGTGGTGACTGTTCTGCTGATTTTGGTGTCAAGCATTACTTCAACGGTGTGTTACACTCCTTATCATAAAACTTCAATTGCTGATGAGCTTATCAGACGATGGGATTTGATTCATCCATGATGTAAGTCGACCCAGATACTTCGCATCTGCAGCACTAACCGCGGCTCAATGTCCGTACAGGAACGCTTTAAATAGTCTCCCCTCCTACAAAAACTATTTCCATCTGACTACTTCAACTCTTTCTCTCAACACATCTGCCACATGGGTCGGAGGTGGTATCGTCAGTCTGTTCTACGGCAAAGTTACAGACTTGATCGGTCGAAAGAAGGCACTGGCTTTGGCTGCGGTATTCACCGTTTGCACGGCAGTCTTACAAGCTGCTGCCCAGAATGTCGGAATGTTCATTGCCGCCCGTATTTTGCTAGGCATGGGAATGGGAGCTTCTGCAATTGCTGGTCCCACATATCTTGCTGAAACGCTGTCTTTGAAATGGAGAGGTCTCGGCTTGGGAATTTTCTACACATTTTACTACGTCGGTAAGTTTACACCATATCAAGGATATCACGAGAGTATTCTAACCCAGGAACAGGGGGTCTTTTAAGTTCAGCCATAACTTACAAAACCGCGCAGTATGACTCCACTTGGGCGTGGCGGCTCCCTTCAGCCTTGCAGGGAGTTTTCAGCTTGATCAGCCTGGTGATTATTCCATTTGTTCCAGATTCGCCTCGATGGTTGATATACAAAGATCGCCGAGATGAAGCCCTCGAAGTCATTGCACTTACTACCGCAAACGGGAATAAGGAGGATCAAGTTGTACTTGCCCAGTACGAAGAGATCATTGAAACCATGGAGTTTGAAAAGTATAATGGTGAGACTGTTTCGCTGCTTACAATGATTAAGACAAAGTCCAGCAGACGTAGGATGATGCTCGCCCTTTCAGTGGCAGTATGTGCCATTCTTTCTGGTAGGCGTTGCTTGACATTCTAATTCCGCACGAAGAAGCTCTGACAATATACAGGCAATAATATTGTTTCCTACTATCTTTCAATCATGCTGGACAATGCCGGTATCAAGGATTCGAACACTCAGTTGCAAATTGTGAGATATTGAGACATTCTTCCTGAAAATTTGGACTGACCAGTTTGAAGAATGTCGTTCTCAACGTCTGGTGTCTAGTGATTGCTGTTATTGGCACATTCCTAAGCGACCGCATTGGACGCAAACCGTTGGCCATTATCAGCACCACCCTTCTCACAATTTTCCTCTTCTGCGTTGGTGCTTTGACAAAAGGTCTGTTCTTTGTCCGAAACACGAATTTGGGTGCTGACAGCAATAGTTTACGGAACTTCGAACAACGAGAGTGGTGTTTATGGGTGCGTTGTTTTTACACCTGCCATCTTTTGATCTATGCTGATAGTTAATAGGACTGTTGCTGCAATCTTCCTGTTCCAAGGAGCGTTCAGCTTTGGCTGGACTCCGTTGACTGTTCTCTACCCCCCTGAAGTACTCAACTACGCGATAAGAGCGAACGGAATGGGAGTCTATAACTTATTGACCAAGGGGTGTGGACTTCTTACAACATTCGCTTTCCCTTATGCACTAGACGCTATAGGGTCAGTCTTGCTACTTCATTTATCGGGTTTTGACTAATTCTGGTAGATGGAAAACCTACATGATTAACGGCGCATGGGATGTTCTTGAGCTCGCCTTTGTTATATTTTTCTGGGTGGAGACGAAGGGAAAGACACTTGAAGAGATAGATGAGGTGATGAACGGCCAGGCAAATGGCAATGACATTGGACCTAAGGATACGAGTGCTTCCTTGAGCCCTGAGGTGTCTAAAGCCTAGCTTCTGGTACATGTGGCACCTTTTGAGATCCTGATCATTACCTTACTTATTTCGTTGACTAGAATAATATATATTCAATGTTTCTAACTTTTATTTATTCTTAAAACAGATCTGTATACATATGTATATATTTGGTGAATAGATGGATACTCGTGCTTCGGGTTAGATATGGTGTGTAGAAACAAAGATATCCATCATAACTTCACTGAGAGATCCACTGCGGGGCTTGCGCACCCCAATTAATTTCCACCCTTACTTTACCTAGGTAACACTACTTATCAAGGATTGGTATTACATATGCATTATATAACTCAGATCAAAGAAGTTCAAAGTACATACGACCATAGGGTGTGGAGAACAGGGCTTCCCGTCCGCTCAGCCGTACTTAAGCCACACGCCGGTTAGTTAGTAGTATGGTGGGTGACCACATGCGAATCCTGACTGTTGTATGTTTTTGCTTTATTTAATTGAAGAAATTGCCATTTTTTGGACTGATAACTATTAACAGGAGGATGTGAGATTTTGTCAAAGGAGGGGGATGTCAGCAACTTGCATTATCCCCGCAAGACTTGATATTGGTCTCCAAAACGCCCCTATACTTGCCAAGATAACAATGATAAAGCACCCCTAACTACTCCAAACCTCCCATTGGGGTAAAATCGAACATCGGAGCCTCCGAATCGAATTTGGCTGAATACAGGGGCCTTGTGTTGGTTTTTTTTGCAGTTTCTTCTTGTTATTGAACGGCCAAATAGCAGGAAGAAGGGTTACATTGCGCAGAGATTTGGATTGGGCGATCTGGAGGAAATGAGTCGACTTGGTCAGTTAACGCTACGAAAAAAGTGCAGAGGCCAAATGACTCTAGATATTTGGAGACATATTTGCATGACACCACAAGGAAACTTCCGCTGATAAGCTTATCATACAGAGAGACGCCGCAAATCCTTTACTTCTTGACTTCCCGCTAGAGTTGAATCTAACTAAGTCAATGATAGCATACCACTTGATTCGTGGGAAGTTTGCGGAATCCAGAAAACTAAAACATACTGATCTCAATGGTGTTGATTATAAATAGTGACTAGAAATGTCCAGAGACATCTTCTACTCAAAAACAGAAGAAAATTAAGGTCTCTTTATTGGAAATATCCAAAGGCTTATTGATGGCTAAAATTCCACACACATTGGACAAGCCCTCTCGTGGCTCTCTAAGTATAGGATTGTCAATTGGTATCATCCACAATGTCGATGCACAACCGTATGCACATGTCAGAGTGACCGATCACAATGGTATTCCATACTAGGTCGGAGATGTAGCCATCTAACGGATCATGGGCGTGTCTGCATTTGCCTACGACACGCTGAATCTGGAGGACGTTGACCTATTCCCTTTGACGGTGATTTCCACCAATTCTTCCAGCTTCACCGGTAATCAGCTCAGCTCGATCCTATCTGATTACATGGATCGCGAAGATGTGTTCAGCTCTGCGTTTTTGGATGGTGAGAGCTTCATGGTTTAATTTCCTCCACGTGGTCTTGCTAAACATGAATACACGCAGTGATCTATCTCACATATAGTGGGAGTGAGAAGAACATATCTGTGGAAATGGAGTCGACTCTTCCTGAACTCGGTAAAATTGGAAATAAGCTCTTTCTGTTTCCCCAGATTTCAAGAGCAAGGGTGATCAAATTCCAGTGGAGGCTCATCTGAAAAACCCGCTGCCCATAGGTCCTTACTTTGCATCTTCAAGGACGGGGAAAGTTTTCAAGGCACACAGGATATATGCGGACGACTATAACGCGTTCATGATGCCGGCCGTCAGCGATGAGGAGGGTGGATATCTACCACTCCCTGCTACTTCGGAGGTATTATATCACGAACCGGAATGCTCAGCATCAATCAGCTGATTCATTACAGAGTGTTCTGGGACGCGGTGTGGCTGTTCCTTCTCGTCTTTACTCCACCGTGACTCCTGAGCAACCTTTGGCTGGCGTGAGTAATATGATTAATTCTTGTCTCTCTTTGTTCCTTGCCCCGAAAGCAGTGATGAATAGTTTCGCTAATGGCTTGCTAGCTTCGACTAGGTGTCAAGGATATCTACCACGTCAAGGGATTACGAACAAGCGGGGGAAACAGAGCTTACTACTCCCTTTACGAGCCACGAAATGAGACTGGTCCAGCTATCCGAAGCCTTATTGATCAAGGAGCCGTATTTGTCGGCAAAATGGGCACTGTGAATTTCGCAAATGGTGACTCGCCGACAGCTGATTGGGTTGATTCCAACTGCCCCTTCAATCCTCGAGTGAGCTTTCCCGTCTTCTTCTACCAATGGCGGACTTGAATAACGCTTCTCCCAGGGTGATGGTTACCAGTACCCCAGTGGCTCTTCTACCGGCCCAGGTGCTGGTATTGGTGCTTATGACTGGCTCGACATTGCTGTCGGAAGTGATACTGGTGGCTCCATGCGTGGCCCAGCTGGTGCCCAAGGACTCTTCGGAAACAGACCCACTGTTGGCGCAGTGGATATGGAGAATGTGATTCCTCTCTGTACTGGTCTCGATACTGCCGGTGTTTTTGCCCGCAGTGCTGAGCTGTGGTCGCGTGTCGTCCACGTCTGGTATAAGGACTTTAACGGCAGTGTTTACTCTTACCCAAAGACAATCTGGTATCCTGAGTCCTCATTCACCGCTGAGTCTATTAACAACAGACGCATTGACTATGATTGAGAACTTTGTTATCCAGCTTGAGCGTTTCCTAGGCACAGAACGCACGAGAGTTGATCTCGATGAGTCTTGGAAGACCACGCGTCCTGCTGGTGCACCATCAAATTTGGAAGAAATGACCCAATACGTAAGTGCTCTACCTACCAACCCTGGGTGAGGCTGTCTGACATTGGGGAGGTTAGGTCTACGTATTCCTCATTACGATTTATCAGTGGCTCAACCTGGGTGTGCCGTTTTACAAAGACTATGCTCAGAAGCACGATGGCCGCATTTCATATATGAACCCCGGCCCTCTTCTTCGCTCGGAAATCGGACAAGAGAAAGGACAACCTGGATTTGACGAAGCATGGCAAAACAAGACCTTCTTCTATGATTGGTGGAATGCTTCTGGTGGCTTTGGCGCCAATGACAACGACACATGCTCCAATGCGATCTATATCTATCCCAACTCTGTTGGTGCTGTCGCCTACCGTGACACTTACCTTGCGTAAGATACCCAGAGAGCCTATGATATCATTCAAGGATACTGTACTGAAATATTTAATTTCTAGTCCCCCAAGCCCTCCTTTCTGGGGCATGTCCGATAGCAACATTGCCGTCTATGCTAGCACACCTGATCTAATTGTCCCAAGTGTGCATCAGTGACCCTTTTTTCTTCGTGGTTCTTTGCTGACCCATGCCCTCTTTGTTTCTAGTTGGTGAGGTTCCATTTAATGGTACAAAAAGTGGAAAAACGGAGTATTTGCCGGTCACCATGAGCTTAGGTGCTGCTCGGGGATGCGATCTTATGTTGGCCAATATGATCGCTGAAATGGAGAAAGAGGGTATTTTGAAGCCCGTTGCCACGGGACCGATGCTTTATCCGTGAAATGGAGCCTGCTTAGTCAATGCCAGCTCTTTTCAAGATATGATGACACCATCAAGCTCATATATTGGACGTCTTAGATGGAATAAGCAGTCATTTCAAGGTTGCTTTGATTATGGTTCTCACCAAGCATAGCGCGCAGTTTTCACAGAAAATGCCATGTTTGAAGAAGGTCAGTCAGTCATATTATATGACAATTTCGAACATGCCGATCGGTTTTATGGATGTAGATGGCAGGCTTCTGACAGCATAGAAGCGTAGAAACTCCAAAATATATCACATACGATCCATCATGCCCAATATAAGCCGCACTCCTAGCCCAAAGCTTCGCCCCCATTCTTTGAAGAAAGGTATAGCTTAACGGTCCGTAGAAGATATTCAGCGCTAGGTCGAGAACGTGAAAAAGGCAACCCCAATTCATGAAATAATTTAGTAATGACCTGCTTTGGCGTTAGAGCACATGACCACTTCGGATTTGTCGGATCATGTTAGCAATTCTATTGACGGCGAAAGCAATTTATGATATTATTTGTTTTTCGAATGTTAATTTGTGTAACCGAATTAACAATCATGGTCCTATGCTACAATTAATGCCCCAAGAAAAAGAGCTAAACGCGGTCAAGGTTAACATCAGTTTTTACACACATAAAGTTGCTTATCGACAAATGGACCAAAACTCGACCATGAGTGGGGTTACAGCAACTTGCACTAATATTGAGTGGACTAGACATCAGCTCACTGAATAGCTTACTGTCTGAACAGCGATTGCGAGGTGACACTGAATCTGTATTAGGAAATTCAGGTACAGTGTAATTTAAAAACAGATCCCTATAGCTTGTTTCACACCATTGTTCTCCCTTGCTGCGCTTTTCTTCCCCTGCTAGGAACGGAGTTGCTCATAATGCATACTAAGGTTTTAGGGTGGCTTGGACCACATTATCACGTGAATATTCTGCTTATGTCCGTCGGCCCCGCCGCCCCGGGGAATGATGACACATCAGCTGTCATCTGCCTCTGCCGATAATTAGCGGGTATTATCTGTGGTTTCGGGGGAAACCTTGTTGCCGATACCCATGGATCACATCGTCACGTCCCTACTCTGCTTATATCCGTCAACCCCGAGTAATGACGAACTCAATGATGACGCATTTGTAGTGATGCTTTTATGTGGCAATATCCCTGACCATGCATATAGAAGATGTTTAGCACTTCTATCTTTGTGAACAAGATCTTTAACTAAGACGTTGCCCTCAAAGGCTAGACTGTTTTATCTCAACTCCATTGTCATTTTGTTTTCATCAAGCTACCAATACACAACTATGTCTCGTGTCGAATTCAAGAGCAAAGGTATCACCATTGTCGGAAATCTTTACCTTCCCGCCAGCAACGCCCCAAACCGCAAACGTGCCGCCATTGCAATCGGCCATCCTATGGGTGGCGTAAAGGAACAGACTGCCGGTCTACACGCCAAAATCCTTGCGGAGAATGGATTCATTGCATTGACCTTCGACGCCGCCTATCAAGGTGAAAGTGGAGGTGAGCCTCGCGGTCTTGAAGACCCCTTCCAGCGCGCCGAGGACGTTCGAAGCGCCGTGACTTTCCTTTCGATCTTCCCTGAGGTTGATCCTAATCGCATTGGTGCACTCGGTATCTGCGCTTCGGGTGGCTATGTTCCTTTCGCTGCACAAACCGACGTTCGAATCAAAGCTGTCGCTACAATTAGTGCCGCTGATGTCGGTGATCTTTTCCGCGAGGGGATGAAAGGAACCGCCATGCAGTTCAACCGCGAGTCCTTGAAAAACACCCTCCAGGAGTGCGGCCAGGCGAGAATCGTTGAGGCAAAGGGAGAATCCGTTCCCATGCGCCCGCTCCTTCCTGACAGTCCTGAAGGAGTCCCGGATTCCGTTCCTACTTTGTTCAAGGAAGGCAGCCATTACTATCGCACCCCGCGAGCTCAGCATCCGAGATCGATTAACCGGTTGCCAGTCCGAAGTATGGATTTGATTGTAAACTATTCGTCATTTGCCTTTATGGATTTGATCTCTCCGAGGCCGCTTTTGATGATTGCCGGAACAGACGCGGATACACTGTACTTCAGTGAAGAGGCAGTTGCTCGGGCGAAGGAGCCCAAGGAGCTTTACAAAGTCAAGGGGAAGACTCATATTCAACTTTACGATGATGTGGATGAACATAAGGAGAAGCTTGTTGATTTTTTTGTCAAGACCTTGGCCTGTTAATTTACTGTTAAGCCATAGTGTTTGGAGTGTGTGATAACCGTTATCAAAACAAGCCAGCAGAAAACCAGCGCTCTCGGCTGGAGGCCTAGAGGGTATGGCAGACACCGGTGGAGCTTGCCACACTATAAATGTATCTATTTTAGTTTACAGTATCAATGTACTAGGGCGGCAAGGGGAGTTTCCTCGACAAAAAATAAGAAGCAAAAACATACAACAGTCAGGATTCGCATGTGGTCACCCACCATACTACTAACTAACCGGCGTGTGGCTTAAGTACGGCTGAGCGGACGGGAAGCCCTGTTCTCCACACCCTATGGTCGTATGTACTAATCATTACATTGATACGATATATATAATGCAAGGTGTTTACAGGTTGACCTAAAGAGTAAAGTATTTCATATGCTAGTGCCGCACCCAAAACACCAGAGTCAAGGCTGTTTTGATAATCTTATATATTAACGCACACTTCCTCAATTAAATTGTACTATCTTCCGATAAACTCCGATAAGGATAGTGACATATATCAACTTTGAATGAACCAAACTTTTATATCATCACGATAACCAAACTTACATCGTTCAACCCGACGGATATATACTGGTAGTCCGCAGATAATCGAACATTTCAAATATCTCTCAAATGACTAGATGTCACATGAAAAGAACTTACATTCAAGAAAATTTCCTACAGACAATTGTCGTTGAGATAATGAGTTGCAATTATCGCACCTACTATGTGTTTTGGGGTGCGGCGCTCATGTGAAATACGTTAAAGGAGAGTACGTAAGCGGGGTTGAGAAGCGGAATGAGAGTGCTTCGATCATGTGACCATGTGGTGATCTTCCTGTTTAGGCTTAGACTCACCTATGGCATATCCATTATAGACGGATACTCTATCTTTCCTCCATGCTCAATCCCTCGAGAAATACAGATATTGATCCTTTTCTTCCGTTTCCCGGGTACCCATATTACCCTTTCTTCCCGATAGAACCGAATCTCAAACAGGGGCGCATAAATCGGCGCTTTGGTAGCGATTAGAGACAATCAATTCTATGTTTGGAAATTTGGCGTGAGTGGGCTGAACTGTGGGGCTTTGCACTGAAAGATAGGCCACTGAAAGTTAACCGCCTACACCCAAAGATGGTCTGGTTCTCTCTACAGGATATTGCTGACTGTGATGGTGGGTAGTCTTCAAGGTAATTAATTTGATTGATGCAAGGGCTAGACGTACAGCACCAGAATAGAGACGCTAGTTCATCATTGTAGAAAGATCACGGTGTTGAATTGACGAACCCCCAACCCCACTAGATGACATACCCACAAATCAATCGAGCATAGCCCAATAGGCGTGCACTACATGAATAGGGTGGAGGCTTTCAGCCAGCCAAGAAGCGATAGTGTCAAGGAGTACTCCAATGAAAATACAAACAGATTAGATCGGCTTGCCAATCAACGCATATCTGTGTAGACTAGGTGTATAATTACGACATAGCTGAGCTCCAAGGACCCAACCCGTTGCCCCTCATCCAGTTATTGACCACCAACACGTGTTCACGGAGAAGAGCAGACATTTAAGAAGCGCCGCTTCCTCCAAGCCGAGGATATATTTTCCTTCAACTGTCCTATTTCTAAAACACTAATATCAAGAAATCAAGACAACATGGGTTTTGGAGAGCGGGGTACCACTAGTGGTTACTCTAAAACCAAGGAAACACTTTGGAAGTATCGTGTTGGTGAGTCATTCCTTCCTCAAATTTACAAATAGCTCGGTGCTGATTTCTTTGTTTGGCCCTAGCTCCTACAGGTATGTTGATAATTGGAAACAAGATAAAATAACTATATAACCATTTCAAATAGGTGAATGCCTTCGCGTTGAACTTGGCCAGCGCAGTGGTGCCAAGCATTGGCAGATTGTAAGAATTTCCGTGGGGGAGGTCGGCCAGGATGACTATGACGAAAATACTCATCCAACTATCGAAAATCCTATCTCGTTCACCATTGAGGGTAACTTCCCCACTTCGGATGACTTGGACAATACATACAAGGTATACTTTTCTATTCTTTCTTATACTCGGGATCTTATACTCGGGACAGTGATATGCTAATATCCTGGGTTAGATCGTGGGCAGCGTTGCTCAATCAGGGGGCTGGGCTGAGATATCTAACTACTCATTCCAAGGAGTGGATATGGGAAGCTTCTATGGCAGAATCTACGATGGTTTTACAATCGAAGGCTGCCCTAGAAAAGATTACGGACGTTTGCAAATTACTTTGAGAAACGGCATAGAAGTTCACTATTCGCTTGAAGTCGGAAATTGGTCGATATCCGAGAAGTTTCTCGAAACTTGAATGGGAGAAACCGATGTTTGGGAGCTATTGACGACTAAATACATGTTCAAGGCCACTCCGAATTAACTGGTCGTTGTGCTGAATGAAGAACTTCACTGTTATGTTTGAGTACTTAGGTACCATTCTGTGAAGGACTGTTGCTGTTATTTCGCAATTTCGCCAAAGTCTCGGAGGCATCTAGAGTGTCAATAGAAAATTCAGGTGCATGATCAACATAACTTGCATATTCATTAAAATTCTGAAAACAATCACCAGTCAAATTTTCCCTGCGAGGGCTTTGCAGCTCTACCCGCTGAGCGAACCGTTTTCCCGTTTGTATGTGTTCTGGAAATATCTCGAAACACCGAGCGCCCAAACCGATTATACAATGGGAGTATACCTCCAGCGTCAAGAAGGGTTTTCTCCATAGCCGACTGTTGATAATCGAAAACTCGATTTGTACCAGCCACATGCACCGTCTTGGCTTTTCGATCAATGACAACGACAGAATCTTCCTTCGCGAGCGTATAGAACTCAAGATCTGGCAAGGTAATATTGAACAGTCCCATATTAAGTTGGTTCCGATCGTCTGCATCCCAGATGAGTCTCTGCAGGTGGGTGTTCATCTTGTTCATTACACTTACAGATGAACGCAAACGTAGGTGCAATCACAGCTTCGATTCCTGCTCCCTGCAACGCTCTGACTGCATCTTCACGGGATGAGCCACTACCGAATCCACGACCCGCGACGCTGGGAATGATCAGTCTTCCATCTTGGCGGCAGGCTGACACCACTTACATGATTTTCGACCCACGCGTGGCCTTTTGTCGAAAAACAGGCCGATCGTACTCAAAGCAGTGACTGCCCAACTCAGCGTTGTCAACACCAGGGACAAATTCAGCAGGAATAATTGCATCGCTGGTCGTGGTGTTAGAAATGCTAAATACAAGAATCCTCATCCACTTACGTATCCACATTTTCGCCAAATCGTTGAACTTTCGATTTGAAAATCCCGTCAGCGGAAGTCTCTAGAGTATTAGTGGGAATTTTCATCTGGGATGGAATGTCATCGGCAAGGAGTGTGACATCCGATGCAATAAAAGGATCAGGCTCGCTGATCTCAGGAGCAACTGTCAAGGAGACCCTCTCGCTTCCAAGCATTTTGTCCAACTTCATCTTGTCAATTTGACTCAACAGTGGCCTCGCATCAGTGACCACCATATCAAAGCTTGAGGCTGCAACAACCGCAGCACAGGTGATGCTCCCGATAGCCCCTTTGCCCATTCGATTCCGGAAGTTGCGGTTCTGAGAGGAAAGCCAGACTTCGCCTTCACCAGCAACGTCAACGTCGTTGATTCCAACACAGTACGAGCAACCAGGTGCCCCAATCTCGAAGCCTGCCTTTCGATAGATGTCCCAGACGCCATGTCGCTTGAGGTGCTTGATGATGCTGAGACTTCCAGGTGTCACTCGTCTCCTCCCCTCGCAAGGAACCTTGCCTGCGCGCAAACCAGCGTCTAGCACCAACGCACCAATGATGAGATCTTCCTCAGTTGTGGTGCAGGCTCCAATAAAGCACCCGTCTAATTTTGTACCGACCTTCTCTTTCACAGGGACAACATTGTCCGGGTCGGGATACAGAGCGATTGTTAATTCAACCTCAGAGAGATCGACATTGCGCACCTCAGCATACTGTGCATCTGAGTCCGCTCTGAAGTAAAGCCCTCCTTGATGCTCCAGATGTGGTCTGCGAGATATCCACTCCGCGGTACTCTCATCAGCCTCAAAACACGCACCCATACCACCGAATTCGGTCGTCATATTCGCAATAGCAAATCTGGCATCCATTGACAACTCCTTCAAACCGGGGCCACCATATTCAACTGCCCTTTGAAAGGCAATGGTATTCCTCTTGAACAGGGCGAGGATGTGAAGAATCACATCCTTCCCACCAACTCCGAACGGCAATTTGCCGACAAAATTGATTCGGCAAATCTCAGGTACTCGGAACCAAGTCTCTCCTGTAACCATGGGCATGACAACATCTGCCGCTCCAAGACCAACAGCCAGAGCTCCGACACAGCCAGCAGAGCAGGAATGTGAGTCGCATCCGACAATTATTTGCCCGGGGAGTGCTCTATCACGAGTAAAATCAGTATGCAAGATACTTGTATTAGCCGGAAGAAAGTTGACAAGTTTGGCTTCACGCTGGAAACTTTCCGCTTGCTCGATAAGTCCCCGTTGTCGGGGCCGGTGATTGGTACGAGGATCAACGGTGTGGTCAATTGCAAGCCACATGCGATCATTGCGATGCAGACGAGGCCGGCCCATTTTATCATATGTCTTTTCCATTCCTGCCCAAAGTATCTCCGATGTAAGGGTCCAGTCAACCTGCACACAGATGATCTCTCCATTCTGAACTTCAGGTTTGCTCAGGCCCACTGCGGCGTGGGTCATTGTTTTTTCAATCACCCCCATCGGGCGCCGTTTGATGGAAGATGAAAATAACTCTCTGGGTGACTTCTGAGCTTCTGCTTCTGAGATCGCTGCCTCCAGGTATGAGTCTAGGTGTTCCATAAACTTTATCATGAACTCAGCCGTTGTGGCTTCCCCACCAGCACAAGGAGTCCGGATGTTGGATCCAATGAGCTCGATTGGATCCAATGTTCGACGAATTGCTCTTGTCACTGCAGCAGCTTCTGCACTTAGACCAAGTGACAGGCCGAGCATCAAGCTTACGGCTGGCAAGATTGAAATTGGATCCAATTTTTTGCCATGCGCACCGGTATTTCCTCCTCTGAAGATCCCCTGGTTTGTGGAGCTATTGTTCGACAAGATTGAGATATTAGCCGATGCCAACAAGGCATCTAATTGGAGGTTCGAGCGTGCTTTTTCAGGTAGTAGTATCCCGTGCGACTCAGTAGTCAGAACAATACCGTTGAGCTTTTTTAGGGTCAAAGCAAGGTCATCCATCACCGTATCAATTGTTTCAAGGCTAAGCGCGACACGAGGAAACTTTTCGTTCAATACTTCAGTCACAACGGAGCTGACAGCTGACCTGGATGACGAAACAAAATGGATGGGCTTAGGTGGGTGAGAACGCATAGCATAGGTTCCTGCCCACTGAACCATCTGCTCAATAGTCTTGCAGGGAGTCCCATCTTTACCCTGTGTATTCTCAATACCGTTAACAAAGATGATATCCAGCCCCTGGACAGCGTTCCGGTTCAACAGATGTTCAGGGACGAGTCCCGTACTTGGAAGAAACACAGGTTGCACATTGACAAAAGAACCAAGTTTCTTGGTCAAGTCCCCTTCAAGTTGGGGAGAGATTTTTCCGCACAAGATTACGGCATCCGAGTCTTTTGCCTGCGAACAATCCTCGGAAATATCGAATGCGATCCCGGGTCTGGTCTTTTGAATGAAAGCTAGTACCTCTCGAACGAGAGATCTCATTTGAGTGCCAGATTCATCTTCAGTAACAAGGGTAATCCTCATTATTTGTGGTTTGGTTGGAGAAGACATGGTCTCGGTGAGGTGATTCAAGATAGGTGGCACGAAAACAGGTCAGTGTTGGGGTCAGAGCCCAATATATAGCCAAGAAGTCCGAAGTCGGACAGCTTCTTTTGATGTTACATTCTATTTCTCACCTAAAGGGTAATTTTTGTACTTTACGCGGGGCTTTTTTGTGATATCATGGATTGACTAATGATTCTAAAGATAGGAGACGTTCACCAGTGCAGGGTGGGTGGCCTTTCACCTGGACATCCACATAAACTTACGTCAGAGAATGGAAGAATGAACTACAATTTCTCTTAATTCTATCTGATCAAATAGTTCACACCAACAATATCAGCGATCAGCCAGATTTAGGCACAAATTTCAATACTGGAGTATCGGAACTATACATGGCCAAATCAAATCTCACCTTGCAACCGAATTTTTGACATCATTAATTCACGTGAACTATCGGTAACAGTCTCAAAAACTGCCTACCTGATGGAAGTGCGTCTTGCATATCCTACTTTCAATCAGTATTGAACCCAAAATGCAGGAGAGAGACATACCAGAGCAGAAGACAAACACGCCAAGGCGATTGCAACATCACCCCGCTTGGCAGCCCTTGCACGCCAAACATTCCTACACTTGACCAGGGCAATAAGAAGAGGCTCTCCATCAGCTCCTTGAATATCACGGAGGACAATCTCAAACTCCAAATTCAAATTCGCCAAGGAAGAAAATGCAAAAGAAACAGCATCGGCAGCATTCTCGCCCGTAGCCACGACCTGACGCGGCCGACCCTGAACCAAAATGATAGACTGCATGATAACGCGTCCTGTGCCATCCGACTTGGTAGTCACAGAACACTCCAGAATTCGTGGATCATTCTCCAAAATAGAGTAATGACGCAAGAACGAATGAGTAATTTCCGCCTCTGTTAGCCATCTCCCCTTTTCCTCAGACTCGGACTTGACGATCTTGGAAAATGCCTGCTGGAACTCTTTGGGTAGTTGCAAGTCCAAAGTCCGCTGTAGGACCCAGGCTACACCGCCCTTCCCACTCTGGGAATTGATCCGGATAACAGCTTCGTATGTCTCTCCGATATCCTCAGGATCGATGGGTAAATAAGGAACTTTCCAGATACTGCGTTGATCAGGCACGGTATTCCCATCGCGCCACTTCTTGAAGCCCTTGTTTATCGCATCCTGGTGCGACCCGCTATATGCCATGAAGACCGAGTCACCGGCATATGGTGCGCGGAGGTGCACAGGGATTTGGGTGATTTTCTCTACCGTCTTCCGAATGGAAGGGAGATCAGAGAAATCCAGTCCCGGATTCACGCCTTGACTGTAGAGGTTCAGTGCGAGCGTTACTAGGTCAACATTCCCCGTTCGCTCACCGTTGCCGAAGAGACAGCCTTCAACACGGGTGGCACCGGCTAGCTGACCGAGTTCGGCGGCGGCGACAGCGCAGCCTCGGTCGTTGTGAGGGTGGAGGGAAACCACTACATCTTCATTGTCGGCAAACGCGCGGGAGAAGATCTCGACCTGGTCCGCGTATGTGTTTGGTGTGCAGCGCTCAACTGTCGCCGGTAGGTTGAGGATGATAGGAATATCCTCTGATGGATCCCAAGCTTCTTTTACTGCTTTACAGACTGCGATGGCGTAGGCTGGATCTGTGTCTGAGAATGCCTCGGGGCTGAACATCAAATTCCAGGTTGTGTTTTGCTGAGTTGGATCATCTTTCGTGATGGAGCGGGTGTACTCGACGCATTCGACTGCTGTGCGGAGGACGGCTTCTTGCGTGGAGTCGAACATGGTTTTGATAAAACTGTCGCTTGTTGCGATATATAGACTGATGATTGCCTTCTTTGCGCCGGTGACGCTGTCGACTGTGCGTCGAATGAGTTCCTTTCGACATGGTGAGAGGACTTGGAGCCACACGTTTGAGGGGGCGGAGGCGACGACGTTGCGTGTGAAATTGTATTCGGTATCGGATGCGCTGGGGAAGGAGATGTCGATCTCTGTGAATCCCACCCGGAGGAGCATTTGGAAGTATTCCCACTTTTGCTCTACGTTCTGGAAGATGTTAGGTCATTCCTCGTTTCGTCAGGAACAGAACGTACCATTGGGCATGCGAGGGCCTGATTTCCATCGCGTAGATCAGTCGCCAGCCAACGCGGTTTCTTTGTAAGCCGCTTGGAAGGCCATGTCCTGTCTGGGAGGTCTGGAGGGTGGAAGGCATCGTATTTGTCCGAGGGGTTGCGGAGCCTAGGGGTTTGGGGTTAGATATGGTGACTATAAGAAGTAGAAAAACGTACATAGGCATTGTGGCAATCAAGGAAATCTCCTACTCTGTTAAAGGGCATACAATCTACCATTTAAATCATATGCTTACTTTTCCCCTCCCTATTGACATGCCAACTAAGACTAGCTCTCCTCATCACATTTTTCCTTTGCCACAATCTATTTGTTCACCTCACATGTTATCAGCTAACCACCGGACCCGACCGCCATCATCTCACATTTTCCACGACCTATCTATCTGGGCCAGTCATGCATGATCCAATATCCACAGGCAGTGACATCCACCTGGATCAGCCGTGCAGAATCCAGTACTCGCAGGCAGTGAGCCAGTATTTTGCCACGGTCTAACTACAGGGATGTATAGCTGCAGCGTTAGTGTTTTATTAGGCCTGCTGCATGTAAGCCTGCAGTAAGACTTTGGTTGATCTTAGATTCTGCTGGGCAGGCTTGAAGCCGTGGAGTAAACAAAATGAGTCCATTGGTTGAAATCCTGCAGGATTCACTATGCAGGTACTTGCGCATCCCGTCAAAGGTACTAGACTGCCGACGTCGGCGTGTCTCAGTTCAATATTATGATTATCTGGAGGGTCTATCTGATGAATTACGTGAGTCTCATTGCAAATTCCGTTGTCCGCGGCGGTCCTTGCCGCTTATTATCAGTCTTACCCTAAGAATTGATTGGCCTGATGGGTACTTCGAACTATTTTCGGAGTTTACATCCATAGTGCCTCGGCTTAAACTGCATTTCTGCTTCTTCTGGTTAATGGTAGCCAGTATTTTTGTAAGTTTAAGCCACTAAGCATGGCAATGTAACCCTGTATAAAGCCAATGCAACTCAGTACAATATAGCTCGGCAGTCAGTATAACCTAATATTCTTTGAATATGAGCTAATATTTAGGCGATCATGGACAATAGTAGATGCGTGCATATACATCCACCAGTGAAGAATCGAGTAATACAGGATCCAATCCTTCACGCCACTTGGCTGTAAGCGCCAATGGTGTATTGTCTGTCTCGGCGTTCCCCGGTTCCCTCAATGGCAACCTTCCAATATTGGAAAGTGACAGAAACGATGGAGTAAGAGAAATGAGAAGTCAAACTTACGCTATCAGCTTCGTCCTTCTAAGAATGATGGCCGGGTGGGGTAGACCGTGATGGCCTAAATTTTTGACCACAATATAAGCCCGTATATCCACGGGTTCCATGATATTTCAAGTAGACTTTATAGATTACCATCATGTCGATTCCGACTCTTGATGCATCTGCACTCACTGAAGGGACTGCGGAGCAGCGTTCTGAGTTCGCTGCAAAGCTTCTTGACAGTTTGAACACCTATGGCTTTGCAAAGCTTGTGAACCATACCGTTCCTGTTCCACTTGTCCAGGAAACGTTTGATCAGGTACATAACCGGATTATTGATACAGTCATTCGGGACGAAAGACTAATAATTGTATAGATCAAAAGCTTCTTCAAGCTCCCTTACGCCGTCAAAGCTCCTCTAAAAAATGACCCCAAACAGAGTCAGCAGCGAGGGTGGAGCGTTCCAGGAGAAGAAAAGACATGGTGGCTTGAAAGTAACACTGGTGATGTAAAAGAGCCCAACTTTGGCGACAACAAGGCATGTCCACCCTAGCAAACATTCAATTTCTATCCACTAACGGCTCACAGGAGAGTTTCGACTGTGGACACCCCGACGACAAGAAATTCCCCAACAAATGGCCTTCGGAGTCCGATCTCCCGGGGTACCAGAATACAATGGACGAGTTTTTCTTCTCGTGTGGGGACCTCACGCTAGCCCTCCTCGAGTCAATGGCGTCTGCGCTAAACCTCGACCCGAAAGTCTTCACGTCCCGCTGTACCAACGAGGCTAGTACCATCCGCATCAATCACTTTCCACCAATCGATCGCGCAACCCTGGACGAGGGCAAAATCAGCCGCATCTGGCCACACAAGGACTTTGGTATTATCTCATTGGTTTTCCCGGATGTTACTCCTGGCTTGGAGTATGAGGATCGGAGTAATCCTGGAACTTTCATTCCCATGCCTTATGGATCTGATGAGGAGGTTGTTGTTATTGTCTCAGAGACAATGCAGCGATGGACCAATGGGCAAATCGGTGGGGGTCTTCATCGTGTAACTCGACCCCGGAAGTGTGAGGGGGATACTGTTCCAGAGCGGTGGAGTCTGGTTTACTTCAACAAGGCGGACCGCGATGTTAATGTGGGTCCTCTTGATGAATTTTTAGGTGATAAGAAGCCGATTTATGAGGATTTGACTGCGTTGGAGTATCAAACTCTGAGAAACGCTGCTCATTACCCTGGTTAGATCGATAGCTATCAATATATGTTGTCTTATAAATCTACAGAATAACTCAGCAAAGCCTTAACATGTTGTTCAATTTTCTTTTTCTCGTATTTGCCCCGCTCAAGTATTAATGTTTTTAATGTTTTTGGGAGCGGCCCGTAGCGTTGTCCAGTGGATTCGTCACAAGTGGGGTCTCTTGACTTGAACCAATAACATAATCTAGAATACTCTTCATCAACATTCTTAACGGCCTGATTTCAAAGTTTCGCCCCTGGACCCTTGGCAAGGTCATCTACCAAAACACTCCACTCATGCTCCTCTTCACCATACTGTATATCCTGGATCCAATCCCTCATCTTCGTCGCCACCCCCAACTCCTGCACGGGTGACAACCCACAGCTAATTGTCCGCCCCTCCCACCTAATCGAGTCGATTGGGCTTACGATCGCTGCAGTCCCGGTCCCAAACACCTCCTCCAAATTTCCCGCCTCACTAGCGCTCTCCAATTCACTCATCGAAATACTCCGCTCTCGGACTACCCAACCATGCCCCTCCAACCTCTCCCGTGCCAATTTCAACACAGAGTCCCGATTCACACCCGGCAGGATCGTCCCATCCAATGGTGGCGTCAGGAGCTCTCGATCCCCATCCGGTTGCCGGAGTACAATGAATAAATTCATCGTCCCAACTTCCGTTAACAGATTATCCTCGCCGAAAAGCCAGAGTACCTGATCTGACCCCCGTTGTCGGACCCACGCCTCCGCCACCATGGAGGGGGCATAATTGGCTCCGACTTTGTGGCACCCACTCCCGCCAGGCCACGCACGCACCCATTTCGAGCTACTTACCGCTTCCAATGTGATCGCTTTAAGGCTGGCCTGGAAATACGACCCCACCGGACACGCGACGACGTATAGAAGTGCAGATGTGGGTGGAGAGACGCTCAGTCCTGGGTTCGTTCCAACTAGGACTGGGCGTAGGTATAGTGAGTACCCTCGGATACTAAGGCGGTTAATACCGTCTGTCGACGCTTTGATCCTTTGGCTTACTTACGCGGGTATATGTCGGGACTCTATTGCCACGAAGTCGGATAAAAGGGTCAAAAATGCGGTGGAATCGAATGTTGGGAGTGCCACACGTGCAGCAGATTCGTTCAGGCGTGCGATGTTCACCTCGGGTCTGAAAAGGCGTGCTCGTCCTTGTGCGTCTTTGTATGCTTTCATTCCTTCGAAACATTCGAATGCATAATTAAACACTCCGGCAGTCGGATCGACGCTGAGATTACCGTAGGGGAGGATTTGAGGCTCGTGCCAGCCGTGAGACTCTGACCATTCTATCTGAAGCATGTGGTCTATCCTGTAAGTCTCGCCTACCTCAATGTAATGTGTTCATCCAGGCAACCTACCAGTGACATTCTTTCCAAACTGCAGGTTATCAGGATTTGGGAGTTCAAGAGGATTGGTATTTCGAATGATGCGCAACTTGCTTGCGTCCAAGGCTGCCAATGTAGTAGACGTCATCATTGGTGATTGATCTGTCGCTGTATGTTAATGGTGTATGAAAAGACTTCTGAGGTATTCTCTCCTATGATATATAACTAAAGACTTCAGATTTACTAGCCGACCGGTCCATTTATGGGGGGGGGGGCCTATTTCTAAACGTGGATCCAGAAGATAACTCCACCTGGTACTTTTGTATCTTCACGTATTCGTCAAGACTTGGTTCCGGTCTCTTCCACTTCCAGCTGATTCAGCGCTAAAACATTCCGTAGATCAAACCCCACCCCGAAGTCAGACATTCAATAAGAAATCAAACGGAGTAAATCAAAAGTTTATTAAGCTAAAATTAAGGCCGTGGAATTAGCTAGAGAGTTTGTGGATAACTTCTTCATTGGACTACGGACTACAACCACATCAGACTCGTCATATCAGAAATGGCGGTGTTCTCCGTCCAAATTTCTATCATTTCATGCACTACTTGTGCGCCAACGTGTTCGCTAGGAATTAGCGCAAATCCTTTATCACCTAAGATCCAGTGGTTGACCCCATCATCTCCGTGGTCATCCTATGAGGTGATTATCGCGGCCCCGCAGTAGTATCCCCATCTCCACCTCGGAGTTCCCGCATCGAGACTGGTGCCAATGTCCACCAGTCTAGTGAAAGATCACCAATCCCGGACGCCCTGTGGATGATTTCTTTGTTCTCTGAGCCTTACTAATTTTTTTGTGTGTTTTATCACCCCCGGAATTCTTTCCATTGATTTCTCAACCAGACAACTCTCTAACAATGGAGGAAATTGGAGGCTCAAACAATTCGGTCAACCAGACCGAAAAGGGGCTGCACACTCCAGATTCTATTAACACTACACACTTGACGAATACTCACAATGGCAAGAAGCTTCCGCCCATGGATGGCGGCATGGATGCCTGGCTTTTTCTCGCGGCCTGTTTCGTAATGGAGGCTCTGGTTTGGGGATTTGCTTTCACATATGGTGTTTTCCAAGAATATTACAGCGCAAGCCCCGAGTTCAAAAATAGTGGGAACATTGCCGTCGTCGGAACATGTGCTATGGTAAGAGCTTCAGTTACCATCTCATAATTCCCACTAAATATTTCAGGGAATTATGTACCTAGACCTCCCTCTCGTCTTCGCCGCCTACAGACAATGGCCCAAATATCAACGCCTCGGCTGTGCCACGGGAGTGCTCCTGATGTGTTTCGCCTTGGGTCTTAGCTCCCTCGCCACAAACGTCACTCATCTCATCATCACCCAAGGTATCTTCTATGCCATTGGTGGCAGCATCGCCTACTCACCATGTATCCTCCTTATGGAAGACTGGTTCGAGAAGCGCAAGGGTCTCGCCTTCGGTGTCATGTGGGCTGGCACTGGACTCGGTGGTGTCGTCCTCCCCATCGTGATGGAGCAGCTGCTGGACCGATTCGGGTTCAGAACTACACTGCGCGCTTTCGCCATTGCGCTATTCCTCCTCACCGCGCCGCTGGTTTACTTCGTCAAACCGCGTACGCCAATCCCTGATAACAGACCCAGTCCCCCACCGCCGAACCTGCGCTTCATCTTCACATCTACATTTGCGCTCTTCGAATTATGCAACATTATCGAGGCTCTGGGATTCTTCTTGCCATCTCTCTACCTGCCGACTTACGCGGGTATGATTGGTGCATCAAGCAGTCTGCAAGCTTTGACGGTTATTCTCTTCAATTTGGCTTCCGTCGTTGGATGTGTTCTCATGGGCGCTATCATTGACAAACTCGACGTCACCCTCTGCATCCTCGTGTCAACGGCCGGGTCTACAATCGGTGTCTTTCTCATCTGGGGATTTTCCATGTCCCTCGCTCCGCTATTTATCTTCTCAATCGTATACGGTCTTTTCGCAGGCTCGTACACGAGTACCTGGCCTGGTATCATGCGTGATGTTGTTCGCAAGAAGGCATCTGCGGAATCAAGCATGGTCTTCGCTTGTCTTGCTGCTGGCAGAGGTATCGGGAACTTGGTTTCCGGACCACTTAGTGAGGCTCTTGTTAAGGGGCTGCCGTGGAAGGGTAATGTGGCCTATGGATATGGCAGTGGGTATGGGCCGCTGATTGTTTTCACTGGTGTTACCGGCGTTGTCGGCGGTGGGAGCTATCTCGCTCGCCGTATGAAGTGGCTTTAAATCATCCACAGAAGCGACTCATTGTTGCCAAATCTTATTGTTTGCCAGTGCGTCCACGAGCGTTGGTATTCGGAAACAATTCGTGTAAATAACAATAATAGATATAAATAGCAGAGCGATCTGCGGCAAAATACCAGCCCATCCTGCTTTCCATGCGGCTAAAATTGGTTGAAGATTCAGAGACTATATACTGAGTACCTGAAATTATTATTATTGAGCACTGAACGTAATCCCATCGTCCACAGACTGGTGGGAAATCGATTTGACCCCTTTACTCTGCCCTTTTCGCCCCCAAATCTACCCTTACCCCTCTTTCTTGGCCATCTGGGCACTGCATTATTTTATGAGGTTCAAAGATCCTTCGGGATTGACGCTTGATTGTTAAGTGGTACAGAGAGTTATTTTCGTTTATGAAAGGAAGATCGGCTGTCTCAATGGTGCTGCGGGGGAAGTCATTCATAGGGTATGACTTTCGTAGCTAACCGAAGGACGCGCCGACCTCGACAAACATTTGAGTTAGCGAACATTGCGAGGAAACAGGTCATGCAGAGGTTGTTTCAATAGCAATCGCTGATACAAGAACTTGATGGTTCGCCGGTCTTTGATCTTCACATTATGTGCCAGTTTCGTCGATAATGTCGTCGTTTTGGTGGTCACCGATGACAAAGGTGTCATCCACGTAAATGACGATGAAACAAGGTTCTCCAGGGGTGGAAATCCGCATAGAAACGAAGGGGTCATTGGCCATGCTTTAAAACCGCATTTTTACAAGGATATCCTTGAATTTGCTGGACCGCAGATGTGCAGCTTTTCCTAGACCATACAAAGCCCATGCTGGAAGTGTGCGCATTGTCGAGAATGTGATATGTCATGACTCATAGCATCTACCACAGATAAGGCAAAACATGATCCCAAATCTATAATATTTCTTCATGAACGATGCGCATGATTGCGTGCTGGAGTTAGGGGCATTGGTATTTGGAACATCCCAAACAACTGGTTTTAGGAGAAGTCGTGGAAGGTTCAAAAGCTTATCTCGTTGAATTTATATCTGTCTTCAATAGATTCTGGCGCGATAAGATGACCTGTAATTCCATGAATATGCCGGAATAAATCAGCAGCTTACTTGACGGGATTCGGCAAATACCAACTATCAATCTCGCGTCTTCCTCCTGCTCGGCTTAAGCCAACTTCAACGACAAGATCAAGGAACTTTGTTCATCCTTGTCCTGACTCCTCATTTCAATGTAGGCTTAGTAATAATTACTTGGGCAAGAAGCTAGCTTAGCCATAACATTTTCCCTGTGGATAGTGATCATGTGTGATATCTTCAATAGAAACCGGATCTTCTGGATATAGACCCATGGCCGTTTTATAGAACGCCCGAAATGGAGGTAATGACTTGAGTGATTCAAAATAGTTGGTTAGTAGGGACTTTAAGTTGGATATAAAGAGATTCACTGTGCATAAGAAAAAATGCTGATTAATTAATCGAGGCTTGTGTAGCACTTGTTATATGATTCAGTGGAGGAGTGGCTTGTTTGTTGAAACCCTTCTTATACTCATAAGTCTCGCCACTACTCCATCAAGAAGCCTTCGTGGTCTAGTTGGTTATGACGTTGGTCTCATATCACTTTCACATATGACTTTCCTGTTAACAGGATAGCAATCCGAAGGTCTCCAGTTCGATCCTGGACGAGGGCATTCTTCTTTTTTTTTGTTCTTCGGATGGGGCCCACTCTACCCAGGTCTCTGCTACAGATAGACCCACTTTTCGGTCCAGAGTTGGGATAATCCGGGCCCATTGCAAGTCTGGCATGAACACTTGGAAGTGGGCCAGGCCACACTTGACCTAGCCTATCTCCGCCCGGATAAATCCAACTCTGGCCCGAATACCGGACTAACATACCGAAATAGGTTAGCCGCATGTGTCTATGACCCACATGAAAAATATTTCGATCATAGCTGCGTGCTAATTGATTGCTTTAAGAACATAATTTTCTCTATATTAAGTCTTAGTAGTAAACCTGAACCAAGGTTCTGATACTGAAAGCAACAAATTAATGAGAAGGGTAAAGAGAAGAGAGACAGGAAGCGAGACAGACTTGAGGCTATCCTTGATTGGAAATGTTTTACTGTCTTTGTTCTAGCATAAGCCACAGCATCACAAGCCCAGCCGGGCTAGCTCAATCGGTAGAGCGTGAGACTCTTAATCTCAAGGTTGCGGGTTCGACCCCCGCGTTCGGTTATCTTTTTGCTTCTATTCCCTGGACATCGGAATAAAGTCATGTGAAACCTTTCACAGTCTCTTTTTCGTAATCCAAAAATATGATTACGCACTTATACATACCATTGACGTTTTGTTTGAGTTTCCCAAGCTATGGTGTTAAGGAGACCTTGAAAGGTTCCTCAACGAGGCATAAACATGACAAAAAGTCCAATCTGGTGGTCACCTAGCACCCACAGATCGGGCGTGGGCGGCTCACTGCTCTGTGATTATCACCTAACTGAGGATTAGTATATACAACAGAAGACATTTCTATTTTGACTGAAAAAGCCATGAGTGCCACTTTATTTTTTCCAAGATAGGCAAATCGCGCGTTGTGAAAATCCACCAGAAAAACCAGCTTTGGCATAGTATATACCTAACATCATCTTGTCGGGATCCAAATTAGCATCAGTTGAGACAATACCATTTACTATATATTTAACAGGACTTTTGAACTTTTCGATTGACATAGGGTTGCGCCATGTCCAAATAGTCATCTTGGGGATATTAGTTTCTCTGATGAGGTAGGATGTTCCCGTACAATGGGAGTAGGAGCCTTGAAATTTATTGGCATGGTCACTTGGGGTCATAAGTATAACCCAGTCCTTTAGATCTTAAAGAGCTTTGAAGTCGCAAAAAGTCCAACGGAGAATTCAAACGATAATGTATTGCAAAATACAAAAACATACAACAGTCAGGATTCGCATGTGGTCACCCACCATACTACTAACTAACCGGCGTGTGGCTTAAGTACGGCTGAGCGGACGGGAAGCCCTGTTTTCCACACCCTATGGTCGTATGTGATTGAATTTCCCTCAATAAGATTTATGTCAAATGAAGTTTTGCAACTTATAACCATTACGTGTGAGAGTAAGGCGGGAACGTGCGTAATAGGAGGTGAAAAGTAGGGTGACAATCACCTTCAGGCACGGCAAGATGACCGCCCTTATGTAGCTACATATGGAATCGGGGCCTGAGTCCAATTCAAAGAGCGCCCCTTAAAGATATATATATGGTGCTTGAAGGGGACTGATAATACATACTTGGAAAACTGTACACAGCTATAGAATTTCGGAAGCGTTCATTGATTATGGTCCTTCTGCAGGTGGCGACCTCTCCGTGGAATGTACATGCTGAAGGTAACTTTTTCAAGAGTATTTGATCGTCGTCGGAAATACAACTAAAATGGGAAAAGACGCCTGGAAATCGATGCCCCCTAGACGGCACATGTACATGCATTTCCGGAACGTCATAATGTGAACCTTGGAAAGCAAGATTTTGTTGCGGAGTTAATGAAATCAGTAGTTTGGAAACTGGTTATGTTCTGAATTCTTGGCCGTACGTTTGTTTATGGTCGCGCCTAAGGTTCAAACAATAAAAATTACATACCTCGATGTTGCTGGTTTTGTCATATATATATTCTAGGTATGTGGACATATTAGAAGACCTATTTCCCCCACCATGCTCTATAGTCCTATGGTTGGTATCCCTTCAAATGTTAAGATCATCCTAAAAAGTCTCTCTACTTAATCAGCTATGATAAAAGTGATTTTAATATACCAAGTCACATAACAGCCATATTAAAAGAAGTGACGTAGAGATAATATGATAATATTCAAAATAATTCAGCTTTTAATCACATACGACCATAGGGTGTGGAAAACAGGGCTTCCCGTCCGCTCAGCCGTACTTAAGCCACACGCCGGTTAGTTAGTAGTATGGTGGGTGACCACATGCGAATCCTGACTGTTGTATGTTTTTTGTTTTTGAACTTTTTTGTTTCGTCAAGAAACTAAACTTGCCACACTACACCTCAGTCTCTTCACCTGAACGCCCCGAGCACCACCAATTTGCACCTATGTGAACTTCCTGCACAGTCCTGAAGCGCTGACATGGCCTTCCCTTCTAGTGCTAAACCTTTTCTTGCAAGTGCGTTGTTGCAGTCATGAGTTTTTGGTCCGGCTAATAGGTGTCGTGTCAGTAACTCCTCGGGATAGTCATGTCGGAGAGTCTCACATGGTCTTAATCTCATAAAAGATGTTCCTAGGAAGTCTATCCAGGTGGCATAGAAGAGCTATTGCATTCGATTTCCGTAATCGCGGTGGGATTGCCGGTGCCATAAATGAGATCAAAGATAAACAAGCAGGTAGATTTTGTTCCTGCACTGTACATATGGTCCTTGACAACTACGCACGGGCCAGAATTGACTATTAAGCTACCGCAAGAGCATTGGATATTGCGATAGAGATTGGTACGAGTGCGGCGCGCAGAAAACGGTCACTCATGTACCAGTAGACTGTAAATAATAGAGCAGCTGCAGATGGACTTGAGTGAGAAGTTGGGGACGTGTTCTACAGTGTGCCGAGTGCGCTGGGAGGATAATGACAAGACGCCAGATGTACCAGACATCACCTTGATGGCGAAGATCGTCTAGGCCATACTGGACTTCGCCAAGGTTTCACCATAATTTCGTAGTTGGGCGCTATAAGTGCAGCCTATAAGTTGGAGCGGGACCTAGGCCAACGCAAGCAATAAAGATTCCTCACTTCAATTTCAAAGAAGTTCCTCGTATTTCGCCGCTTGCTTGATGAGCCAGACAGCGTTGCGCTCTATAGTGGCTTCCCATGGTGTCCCAGACCTGTAATTTAGCAGTTGCTAGTACCGTGGCAGTGTACATAATATCGTCGTTACCCGCATTATAGGGAATTGCATCAGGTAGCATACATGGCAGGTTCCGACAAATCGTACGAAACTCAGGATACTGATAGGACGGTGAGATCCCACTAGTAGTAGCCGCTGGGCTTGTCATCTGTTAAGACGAAAGCGAACGAAGGAAATAATCGAGATGATGCATTTTGGAGTTGCTAGATGGAGGTTCAGGATCTAGCTGAAGACGAATAAGAAGGGATTACAAGCCCTGCAGCACAATGAAAGAAAGAAGGCACAGAGCGCGGAATTTGACCTAGAAACAATAACACTTTGAAAGACACGGGTTGATCATAGATGCAAGTGTCTTTCCCAGTCCCGTGGCACCCTGCCTCTGGGCCCCGGTGTTGGCTGGCTGATTGGATGATGTGATGGAGGCAGCAAGGGCGGGCCCAGAAACGTTTCCTCCGTGCGGTAATCAAAGAACCAATCCTCGCCAGGCTCATAGCTGCGAATGATAGGGTGTCCAGTCGACAAAGAATGTTTGGAAGCATGCTGTGATGGAGACGAGTCACAGCAGCCAATATGTCCGCACCTGGCACACCGACGTAAATGGAACCACCATCCATTGGTAGCTTCGCAATTCTCGCAGCCAGGGCCACTCGGTGGAGCGTTGGGATCAATTGCTTCAATTTGCGAGGTACCTCGTGTGATAGCACTAGGATCGTCGTACATACCCGGGCGGTGGGAATGCTGCGGCTGTATCGTAGCGGGGATACCTTCAATCACCAGTATTTCTGGATCAGACGGCAAGATGCGAGGAGCACGAATCATGGTGTACGGATTTGCTTGATATGTAGTGAGTCTGTTGTGAGTGAGTTGATAGCTGCTCTACAGTTGACCTATGAAATGCCAATCCACTATTGAATGGATTTATGAGCGGCTGAAGCTGTTCGATGATAGTGTTCAATTGCATACTGTTGGGGGCTGACTATATATGCACTATTCATACGACAGTCAGCAGGGAGGTTCGGGTCCGAAACTCAGAACCAATACCATTTAGTACATATGATGTCATAATGACAAGTCATGTAAAGAACATAATACACGGTCGCAGCGACGCAGTAGCGCCACGAACGCTCTAGATTAGGGTCTAAATCCTCGTAAAACAATTTTCTTTAGATCCAGACATTTTGTCACATGCTACATAGAACTAGGCAGAAAGTCTTTTATGTCGCCCTGGCAGCGGCGGTCAATGCTGTTGGCCTTTCTTTTGGACCAAATTATGTGGATTGGACAAAGCTTAATTGTTATCGTAATATTTCTGTGGTAGCATCCACTATAAACCTCAGAGATATTTAATCACGAGTGGTATGACCATTGTACCCTTGGATTATTACGAGCACATATAAGTCTTCAACTCAAAAGCCATCAAGACTGCACTGGAGGTGGCATGCATGTCGCTGTATATTGATGAAATTCAGGCCGCTGCTGATGATAAGAGGAGGGGAAGAAGGACCAATATGGCATAAGTTGTTGAGATTAAAGAAACATTGAGTAGCGATAGGAGCAGTTAGTCGATCCTCATATTCATTTGTTTAGTATGTAAGTTTGTTAAATAGCCCCTGTACCAGTGGTTATTAGAGTATATTGGCATCTTAAGATAATTACTATTGTTGATACATCACTGAGTAAAGCATTTGGAGTTTTCCTAAAGCCCTTGGAAAGTCTTTGACAGTCATTGAGCTTTTGAATACATATTGAAAGCATGGTTATACCTATAATGCAATGCAGCAAGCATACGCTCAGAAGTTACAGGATCTAGAATTCACCTGAATCGTACTAGCTAAGGCTGTCACTGAAGCCGAGTGTTCATGGTACAAACCCTCCTCAACAGAAACCCCGTTTCACTATAATGTGATATTTCAGTAGGCCTCTTGAGACTCGTGTTGGAACCAGACTAAACAGTGACGGCGTGGATGTCTAGAACAACAGTCTGGAACGTTCCGCAAGTGGTGACATTGCACTAGCTTAAGGATTATTCGTCCATTAATGCCTCAATTGAGTCTTCGAGTAATAATTGCATCATGTTGTATTGATTGTCTGGCGAGGATGAGCTCTTGAATCTTCGGTTAGTGAGCTTTGTTCCACTGGCAAAAGGTTATAAAAGACCTCTCACAGACTAAAATTGAAAAAATGTGGCTTGTCAAAAAGAAACTCAGAGTTTACACATGTAACCATGAGCGAATATTCCACAACATGCGTGCCTGGGCCGACTGTAAGCGCCACAGATGTCGATAATGACGCGTTTATAGAGGAGGTAGTCGACATACTTGATGGCTACGAGTATGTCGTAGTCGGCTCAGGGGCCGGCGGTGGACCTTTGGCCGCGAATCTCGCCCGGAACGGCCATAAAGTTCTCCTGCTCGAAGCAGGGGATGATCAGGGATCCAACATCCACCAGCAGGTCCCAGGCTTTCATTTCTTGTCCACAGAGGACGTAAAGATGCGCTGGGACTATTTCGTCAAACATTATGCGGACGAGACCCTTGCGCAGCAAGATTCTAAAATGACTTGGGAGACAACCACTGCAGAATTATATGTCGGATCGAATCCACCAAGCGGATCGAAGCCGAAAGGCATCCTTTACCCGCGCGCAGGAACGCTTGGTGGCTGTACGGCACACAATGCTCTGATAACCATATATCCGCACGAGAGTGATTGGTCAAACATCGTCAATCTCACCGGCGACACTTCGTGGGACCCGAAGAATATGCGCAAGTATTTCAGGCGCCTGGAGCACTGCGAGTATCTCCCACATGGTACCTTTGGTCACGGCTTCACCGGTTGGCTAAATACGAACCGCCCTGATCTGGAGTCGATCCTGCGGGATTCTAAGATTTTTTCTATTATCACTGCTGCTGCTACTGCCATGGGAAATACTGTCTTCGGCCTAATCCCCGAAAAAGTTGCCCAACTACTTGGACTCCTGCAGCGGGACGTTAATTCCAGTGATCCTCATCGAGATGAAACTGAAAGCATCTATCATATACCCCTGGCCATGGGTCAGGCAAAGCGAAGCGGCACTCGGGACTTTATAATTGATACGGCTAATAAGTACCCACTGCATATTAGGACAGGCTGCCTCGCTACACGTGTGCTTTTCGAGGAGAATTCTGTCAGTGAGAACGCGCCCAAGGCAATTGGTGTCGAGTTCCTCGAAGGCAGCAGTCTGTACAAGGCCGATCCCCGGTCAATTTCATCCACCGGTGCTACCAAGCACCGCGTTCTCGTCTCTCGAGAGGTCATCCTTGCGGCGGGAGCATTTAACACACCGCAGCTCCTCAAGTTGAGCGGCGTTGGCCCGAAGGAAGAGTTAGAAAGGTTTGGGATTTCTGTTGTGAAAGATATGCAGGGCGTTGGCACCAATCTTCAGGACCGCTACGAGGTTCCCGTTGTCAGCAAAGTAAGGGATGACTTCCAGACCATAGCAGAATGCACGTTCGGCAAACCTGGGGACCCAGCTCTACAAGAGTGGAAGCACCAGTGTGGACCCTATCTATCAAATGGACTTAATATCGGCATGTCGAAGAAGTCAAAATATGCTGATGGGGACCCTGATCTCTTCATCTTCGGCGGCCCTACCTTGTTCGAGGGCTACTATCCTGGGCATTCTGAACGCGCCACCTTCGACAAGAAACATTTCACGTGGGCCGTACTGAAGGCTCACACGCGTAACTGTGAGGGAACTGTCAGCCTCGGCTCAGCAGATCCTCGGGACGTGCCTGATATCAATTTCAATTATTTTGGCACGAGTGTGGCCGCGACAGAGGCATCCGAGCGGGACATTGACGCCATTGTCGAAGGCGTTGGATTCGCGCGCGGTATCATGGACAACATCGCACTGTCCGATAATGAGTCTCCTGAAGAGCAGTCACCTGGTTATGAAGTCTCTTCTGTAGAGCAGGTGAAGCAGTTTATCAGAAATGAGGCGTGGGGCCATCATGCTTCATGTACCTGCCCTATAGGGTCGGATGGGGACCCAAAAGCTGTTCTTGATTCCCGCTTTCGTGTCCGCGGCGTAAAAAACTTGCGAGTAGTTGATGCATCTGTCTTCCCGCGCATTCCTGGATTCTTTATTGTCCTACCGATTTACATGGTCAGCGAGAAGGCGACTGATGTCATTCTTGAGGACATTAGCGAGTCCCGCCATGTCTGAAGCACCCTAGTGGCTGACATAGGTGGGAGCACACCTCTCGGTGTTAATACCATCTATAGTGAATAATTGAAATACAAAAAAGTTCCTGCTCTAAACAAAGGTAGATCATACGTCTCTTGGTGGTGAGCTGGGATAAAAAAGTCCGGCCGATGGCGACCGTCATTAGCCTGGTAGGGGCAATACTGTAGTCTTTGTGGGCTAAGCGGCTATGTAAACCATCGAGAGCTGAATACGTGGGTGAGGCTAGTCCAGATAAGATCATATATTCAGTCCGCCGAGGGCGGATCTCTCACCTGCTCTCACGTTGCTTCTCACCCTGTCTATTGCGCACTCACTCTTCTCCCTGACTTACATCCCCACATTAACATAAAATTCCATCACTATATGATTCTCCTCCAGGCAAGATCAATTACATACGACCATAGGGTGTGGAGAACAGGGCTTCCCGTCCGCTCAGCCGTACTTAAGCCACACGCCGGTTAGTTAGTAGTATGGTGGGTGACCACATGCGAATCCTGACTGTTGTATGTTTTTGCACTTTTGTTTATCATTTGGGTTGTCTGTCGGACTTTTGCGACGTTCGGAGACATAATTACGAATTCCAAACGTGAATTTAGAGAAGGAATGCCATGACCATTCCCACCTCCCAGAAGAAGTGGGGGAGGGTGAATGAGTTGTATTTGATTAGCCTTCGCATCGAATTTACTTTTTGGTTTCCTATTGTATGTACTACATAACACTGAAAAGGCCAATGGTCAAAGTAAGTACTTCAATATTATACTAGAATTATATTAGATAAGACAAGTTGTAGCTATAGTACATATTGAATCTTTACATAAATAAAGCGATCACTACGCCAATGATCCCAGTGAGACTGGGAGAGAAGGCAGAAAGAGCTCCGTTATAGGCAGGGGCACTTGTCGAGATGGAGGTGGAAGACACTCTCTCCGTGGCTGCCGTGGTGAACGACGACAAGAACGAAGATACACCCAGAGTGCTTGCTCCAGTAGCAATAGGGGAGGCGGTCTCAACCGTTTTCACCTCAGTAGCTGTAACTCCCACAGCAGTGGCAAGGCTGGACCCAGTTCCGGCAGCAGACAATGTCTCGGATGCCTCGCTTGAGCCAGTTGCTGCGACTATCTCAGTAGTGCTGGAAATGGTGGACGTGAAGCTTTGGCTCTCAGAGGTGAGGGAGTCAACTGAGCTGGTGACACTTTCAAAAGTTTCGGTAGATCCAGCTGAAGCGACACCAGACGAGGCTTGAGAGGTTTCCGTAGATTCGGATGCAGTGGAAATCTCCGCGGTAATAGGAAGCGTGGAGGTAATACCAGCCTTCTCCAAGGTGAAGGAACCAGTCGAGGTGGTGTACGCGGTAGATGTGGATGAATCAGAGCCCGATCCAGAGCCAGCGGCAGAGCTGGACCCAGAGGTTGAGCCTGAGTCAGTAGGAGAAGGAGTGGATACAGAGTCAGATCCGGAGCTAGTAGAGCCAGTAGAGCCAGTTCCAATGTAGGATGAAGCAGTCGAGCTTGCGGTTTGAGTAGCCTCGGCAGCAGTAACAGGGCAGATAGTGGTGTAGTCAATAATCGTCTCCGTAGTGACATAGGTGGACTTTTCAGTTGCAGGGCAATCTTTCACGGAGGACGGGCAAGCGGTGATTGTCGAGGTGCGTGTAGTAAAGGCAGTGGAAGTTGTCATTTGCTCAGTGGAGCCATTGGCGTTACCTGACGGAGAGCCAGTAGCAGTGGGCTGGGCACCTTCGGTAATGGGGCAGACAGTAGTTCCAACGACGACAGTCTCGGTGGTCAAGTAAGTGGTCTTTTCACGGGCCGGGCAGTTGGTAACAGTGGAGGGACACTCGGTGATGGTACTTGTCCGTGTAGTCAAGATTGTGGAGGTGGTGAATTGGCCAGAGCCAGAAGCAGAGGTGGTAATTTGGCCAGATCCAGAGGTAGAGGAGCCATGCCCGGACCCAGATCCAGAGGAGCCAGACAAGGATCTACTCCGGGAGGCACAGGCAGAGCGACTTGGCTTTGTGCGATGGTGTACCGGGGTACTTATCATAGATGTGGAAGAGCCTGTGATATGGGCGCTCACGGCCGGGGTGGAGGCGGAGGCAACCGCCTTCGAAGTGGTAGAAGTAGAAGCCGCACATGATTCTTCCACGGTGTCACCGGAGGCCACAGTCAATCCAGAAACTTCAACAGTACCGCCCGAGCCGGAGCAGTCAACCAATATGTCAACAGTGCCCGAGGAGTCGGCTGCAAGACAGGCAACGAATGGAACCGAGTGGCCGGCGTCAACTACAGTGGTGGAAATCACCTCCGAGTCCTGGGAAACGTACAATGTACATGATAGAATATCTCGCTTACGAGTTGCAGAGGTGGTGGTCACTGATACGGTGCCAGACACTGCACTTGTCGAGTCATCCGTGTCGACTGATACACTCGCCGAAGCAGAGTCGCCATCGGTAGTGCTGCCGGTTAATGTCGTGGATCCATCATCGTCCGTCGTAATCGTTCCAGTAGATGCAGTCCAGGTCGCCGAAGTTGTAGAGGAAGCTGTGGTGGAGACAGAAGTCGAAGATGTGGCTGTAGCGCTTGAAGACTCGGTACTTGCTGAAGAGGTAACGGTGCTAAGAGCATCAGTTGGAATCAGATTGTCGCTGCTAGTGGTGGTAGGAGTAACGCTCGATGACTCAGTACTGGTCGCAGTGGTGCTGGTATCGTAGCCGGTGCTGAGACCATCAAGCGGAATCAGGTTGTCACTGCTAGTAGCGGTAGTAGTAGCGCTTGAAGACGCCGGAGTTGTAGTTGTGGATGAATCGCTGGTGGAAGCCGCCGTAGATGATGTACCAGTAGCAGTGGAACATGTAGAAGAGACCATTGAAATATCCGCCAATCCAATAATAGGACTATCAGATGATGTACCCTCAGAACAGCTGACGGTGATCACAAATGGGATTCCAGTCGAAGAGGATGGTACAAAGGTACCTGTGGCTGTCCCCCATGAACCAGTGACGGGGCGGACGCCGCTAGCGGATTGTCCAGTCGCAATGATGGTGTTGGAATCGACCGCAAGCTCCAAGATACAGCTTGCTGCATCGCTGGAGGTATTTGTTGACATTGACCAGGCCAGAGACACCTCATATTCTCCTCCCACATTCACGGCGGCAATGTTTTGGCGGACAACGACGTAGTCATACGTAAAGTCGGATATCTCTCTGGTGATATAGTCAGCTTCCTTAGGATCATTGCTTTATTAGTTGTTTTCACTCACAGCCAAGTGCTATCATCTGTCGGTCCACCTGTAGTCATCACCGGGAAGCTCGCTACGTCTGGGCCTGCACTCATGGACCAATACGACGAGTAGTCGGATGTACCTCCCTTGATCACATCAAGAGAAGAGCACGAGACGGCCATAACAGAAAACACGAAAGTAGCACGCTACTTTTAATAATGAACGAGTATAGTGTTTGGGGGGAGGACGAGAGCGTGTGACGGGATGTGTAAAGCGCTTCGAAAAGTTTGCCCTGAGGGCCACCAGCCCTGGGAGAGCCAACAGGCTTATATATTTATCTATATTTTCTGGACATCGTGGAAATCTGGGCGCATGGTCTTTTGACGAGATCCTCCATGAAAACGTGGCTGTGGTGGAGAAAGGAGCTATTGACTGTCGAGGGTTGAAATAGGCGAGCAGCTGAGGTGGTCTAGCGGAAAGCAGTAAAGCGCCACACAACCTGGGGAAATTTAGGCCGACAGCACTTTTCAAGCTTTTTTTCATAACTTATTAGCGAGAGTGTTTGTGAGAGAATATTGGAACTGTAACGAGCTGATCTATGAGTCAAATTAGAATACCCTGTCGCTCAGTTGATCTTTTGAATGAGATTATAACTGATGATTAAGTAAGTTCTCTCATGTCTAGCTTGTCTGCTAGATACCTATTGAGTCTCTTGACACATAAATGTGACATATGCAAGAAGATGGGTCTATCTATAAGCTTAAAAATAGGGAGTTCGTGCCTGTCAGCATGGGAATCCCCATTGGATGCATGTCTTAGTCATCCGATTTTGTTTGATTGAAAAAAGGAACGAAAATAAACGAGAAACGGTGTCTCCGATAGGACCAAAGATTAGACTTCAGTCAGTGGGTCTACAGCAGGTAGAACGGACCAATTATATCTGTATATTAGCGATGTGGCAAATGCTGACTAGACTGATGGCAGTGGCGGCCTGACTTGGCCAGTTGCCTTGATGCCTTAGTGCCTGATGAATGAGGTGAGAAATGTGATGCCTAGTTGATCAGGCGTAGTTAGTTAGCTGTCCTTTCATTAACTCTGCTGTTTCTCTTCTCAGCTCCTGCGTAACAAATTCTTGGAGCTGGGGCTGAAAAAAGGCGAAAGGCTACAATACCGTATGAATGAGCGCATAGACTAGAAGGTACGGAGAAAAGAAAAGAAAGAGAAAGACCTCATGAACAGGTGCTACTAAGCCTAAAGGGGACGAGAGCCATATACTCCCAGCGCCTACTAACAAAAATGAAACCTAATTAATCCGGCGCACCGTTTGTGACATCTCCGTACGCGACCGCAGAGTAATTTCCAGTGCAGGTGTAGTCAAAATTGGCCTCGGCCAAGCTGCTCTTTTGAATTTCTAGGAAAGTCAGGAGTTCACACCATCCATCATTGCGATCACCGCAACAGGGAAAGCTCTGTCCTAAGGGGAGGATCTGCTGGTTTTGCAAGAAATGAACATACCAGGTCTCCCCACCGGTAGTGTTGTAGACATCGCTTGTGCTGGTCAACGATGGCCGTTTCGCTGAAATAGGGTGCGGAGCTTTGATGATCTGGATTACCGTGCAGCTGGTGAAGAATTGCTGGTTTTTTGGAGACCCGGTAGAAGGAAAAACCTGTGCGAATTGCTTGAGGCCAAACGCAGTCACGACTGCGACGATCGATGTGTCGTGAGTGAAGTCAAAGTGTAGATTCTGGTGCACCGGGAATGTGGCGTTGCTGTCATCCAGGGTGAATTGGTGTCGGTCCCCGTCATATCGGGCAAGTGATGTTTAACTCTGACCAGGAACTCCTCCACCCAAGCGATGCCTTGTGCACGACCCGTTGCGTTGAAGGACCCGAAAATACCTTGGTATTCAATGTCCATCATGTAATCAAAGTGGTCCTCAATGGTGAACAGCTGGCAGAGGTTGCTGTAGCCAAGACTAATTGTCTCATAGGGCAGAGTTCCTGTGCGTCATATGTATCGGAGGCTGTCCAGTGTATCCTCAACGAAGGTTCGGAGCCTTTTGGTGATTCTATTGAGATACATTGCCTTCCACTTTTCGTGAGGAATGGATGCTGGAGCAAGGACAAATAAGAATGTATTGAAACATCCATAGTAGCCGGCGAGGGAGTTGTTGTATCCCAACCCCCCTTTGATGATTTGAAGGTTAGCAGACTTGGTCCTTTCAAGCCCAGGAAATCAAGCCAGGAAGTTTTCAGCACTTTTCATGACACTTTTCTCGTTCGTAAACGGAGCCAAAAGCTTGGTCGAAGAGTTTTGAAGCTGGCCGTAGTTGTAGTAATTTAGCACGCCGCTTCAAAGAGTTCCCTGCGACCTTGTGGGACTAGGACTTCCTCGCCTAGTTTATATCCCGAATGATTTGAGAATGCAAGCTTTCCAGTAAGTTTCCTTCCGCGTGCGACAAGCTCTGGGATTTTTGCTCCGAAGGACGCGACAGTGTCGGTAGAGCTGGGGTAACGTGATCCATGGCGATGAAGAGTATGGACCTGCAAGATGTTGGCGCCAACAGGTAAGGGGTATTCATCGACTTCAAATCCAAGTATGTTCGAGAAAATCTAGCTCTGAATCAGCTACTAAATATCAAAGCTTTACCAAAGCCGACTTACCTCAGGTTGCCCATGGAATGGAAGATTTTCGAGTTCGAAGAATTTCCGGGATTCGGATCGGATGTTTCAAGAGGCTCGTTGGGGATCAATATATGTTCGCCAAATGGAGCTGGGTTGGTAGCATTGCCGGTCAAAGCACTGAGGCAGCTGTGTTCTTGTCAGCCTTGATTCCACAATCAAACTTATTTATCACTCTTACCAGCATCTGGAGTCGTCCAAGTGGCGTCCATTGTGCAAGCAGGAGCAATAATTGAAGACTTCGTCACCGCTCTGGGACCACTGGCATCGGCATCGAGCTCACCGGGGCTACGATCGAGATCGCAACGGCTAAGGCGTTAGGACGTGGCCTCAAAGATCGTCTAGTGTTCATGGAAGGCGACGTGCGCGAGACGAGCTATCGCGACGAGTTTTCTTAAGCCGAACTCTTAACATGCTTTCTGATGGGACAATTTCTCACCCGGCCGACACTCACCCGACTACTGGCCGTACTTAAGCCACACGCCGGTTAGTCAGTAGTATGGTGGGTGACCGCATGCGAATCATGACTGCTGTATGTTTTTGTAATTATTTTTTTCCAGCTTCTGCTAGGTTCTCCGCAGCATCGGTATTGTATTCTATTTTTAAAATGCGATGCGCCTTAGAGCCTCAGAGACCCATTAATATAGCAGTCTATACTTGTAACATTTAACGTTCACCGATTGCAAAACTAGGCATATACAGTTGAGTCACCGTATTTATAACACAGCAAGTCAAGTTGAAAGGAAAAAAGACAGTTGAACGAATGAACTAAGACTATGGAATAAAAAGAAAAAATAAAGAGATATACTCCGCGCCAGACTTGATTCAGCGATCAGACAGTGCCATGTCCCGGAAGGGCAATGCTTTCTCTCTGTCAACAAACAAACTAAGCAGCGTCACTCGTCATCATCTGACATGAACCCGTTTTGATGTATGTAAGGTCAAGACGATCTGATCTACGACATTACATAGACTAGTAAATTCTGACCTGGAAGTAAGAACTATTTAAACATCAGGGGCTATCAAAGAATCTGAAGGAAACATCTATTCTTGAAAACATATCATCCGTAAACCTTGGAATATACATGTCAGCACTAATTATGTGCGGAATGTATCATTACTATTTCCCGGACCCATAATATCAGGAAGAACCTCGTGAAAGAAATCCAAGATGTGGAGGTTGACCTGGTTGACCTGCAGGAGGAAAGCGTCGTGGCCCTCGGAGCTCTCGATGCGCTTGAAGCGCGAGTCGGGGATACCCGCAGCAATCTCCTGTTGCTCGGTAAGAACGAAAAGGCTATCTGACTCAATACCCAGAACCAAAGTGGGTTGCTCTACTCGAGAAAGAGCGTCATGGATAGGGTCCTTGGTAGCCTTGGCAGAACGATGCCGGGCCACATCATGAGTGTCAAGCTTGCGGGTTAGGGAAATATAGCAGTTGGCATCAAATCGATTCACAAACTTCTCTCCCTGGTACCGGAGGTAAGATTGAGTAGTGAATAAGGTAGGTGGACTAGGATGGCTGCGAACAGATTTGGTCTTGGCTGGCATTGAGTTTGAGAAGGTCTTGGTGCCATATAATTGCGGATCCCTGTACGTTCCATCTCGGTGGCCATCGTTATGGATTGTCCAGTGCTCATTGGAGTGAGCGGGAAGCTTCTCAGTGCCATTGATGTTTGCTTTCTCGATCGATTCTGGCACGTTCCGACCAAAACGTGACTCGAACGAGTCACGACTGCGGTAGGTAAGCAGCGCTGACATACGTGCTGCCCCAAGACCAGTAGAGGGCGGATCATCAAAGGAATAATGACCACCGTCATACTTGGAATCACTATAGATACTCTGGCGCTGTGCTTCACCCCAGCCAATACACCAGGCTGAGTGGCGAGCCGAGGTGGCAATAGGCACGATGGAGCGCACATATTCCTTGCCAAAGAAAGCATACTCGAGAGTAAGCATGCCACCCATTGAGCCTCCAACCACTGCTGCAATCTGCTTCACGCCGAGATCATCTAGAACCATTTTGTGAATTTTTACATCATCGCGAATGGTGGTAAGGGGGAACTCAGGACCATAGTAGCCATTCTCTGGCTTTCCGTCCTTATAAGTCACTGGACTCGCACTGCCGTATGGGCTACCCAGACTATTCAGGCAGACCACGAAAAATCGGGATAAATCGAAGGCCTGACCAGGACCACCCAGGAGAGGACCCCACCAATCTGCGACGTCGGCACTTCCGGTTAAAGCGTGGCAGATAACCAGGACATTATCACCATTGGGCGAGAGAACACCATGAGTAGTATATGCAACGGGTACATTGTTCAATGTAACACCTGACTCGAGAGTGAAGGATGGAATGACTGTAATTGTTTGATTTTTAATCAAGCGGGTATATGGATTCACCGGCTGCGAATCGACTCTCTCTATGGGCGTTAGTAAATACCTTAGACATTAGGACAGAGGACATAGACTGACTGATTTGCGCAGGGAAAATAAATTTTTCTGCAACCACCTTGAACAGGGGTAGTTATGGGAAAGAAACGATGAAAGAGAGAAAATATTTCCCGATTTTAAAATCCTGCGACCCAACTCATTTCTCAGGGCAGTGGTCATATGTTGCGTTCTTTCCACAGCCCCGCGGTTCTCAATAGCCCGACGATGGAGATAGCCCATACACTCCGAAACAGACCCCCAAGTCAAGAACTTGTAAGTGCGAGGAATGACCTCTTGGCTCATTGACATGCTTTCCGCATGCAAGAGCTCACAGCCCAGTTCATCGGCCATTCCTTGAAGTTGAGCACACTCCAAGACCACTGTAGGCAACCCGGCAGACAGCCTCTGGTGATGTGCCAAAATTGCATTTCTGACGCTATCAGCATTGTGGGTAGCCAGAACGAGCACTGTCAACGGAAACTGTAGATCGTCTTTCCACCCCGTTCGAGGCTCTTGATTGATAAACATTTGAGCGATACGATTATAAGAATCATCAGTATCCTCTTTGGTATCGTGAATCAGTGACCGATCCTCATGTTCAATGTAGGCACCTCGAACCAGCTTGATGCCTAACCCCCAGCCCTCCTGTGTTGCTAATGTGATATGTCGTTCGGCATTGGCCTGGGAACCCTTGAGATAGGCTTGAATCGTATTGTAGATCAGGATCCTTTCTTCACGGTTGTGTTTTCGCATAAGATGAATGGCCCATTCGTCGAGTCCTGGCTGCAGGGTTTGTTGTTCGGCGTCTAGCCACATTGAAGAGCCATTTTTTTTTGCTTCTAAGCAGATTGCCTCAAGGGCATTTTCAAGCACTGTAGGCATGGATTGACATGCTTGTAGAGCATCCACGGCAATAGGACCAGCACCCGTGACCCTAGATAAGTAAGATAGGAAGTTCACTTTGGAGAGATCAGAAAACTTACTTCACAGCAAGAGAGTCTCCAGGTTTAATCATGCGTAGAGTTTGCAGAGTTTCCTTTGTCCACTTCTCGACTATCTCATAGCACAAGGCATTATAATCTGTGCTATTTTCCCGCTTCTTCTGCTCTCCACCTGTGTAATCCAGGACACATTCTTTCGAGTACCCCAGAGCGACTCCATGGTAGCCCATTTTTTTCACATCCACCACACATCGCAATACCTCCATCTTATCAACACCAGCGCAGAATTGCTCGTATACTGTCCACCGGAGAAGTCTGTTCAAAACTGGGTTTCGGTCTGGATTCCAGAACCCGGATTTTGATTTCACAATCTTTGCCAGGATAGCCAATGATGGACGAAGTAACCATTTAGAAGAAATAAAAGACATCAGCACCATTGAACGGAGCACATTTTTAAGTGGAAGTCTGTCCAGAGCTGCTTGGTTTGCCTCTTGCACCGTATCTTTGAGTACTGATCTAGTATTGCTGAAACACCGAGTCTTCTGAACTGGCTTGCATGGCCGTAAGAAGGGACGCCATCCTTTCATGGAAGGAGTCCTGGATATCATGCTCTCAATCAGGTTTTGCGTTCTGCCTCCTGAGAAACCGAGACAAATGGAATTTGGTTAGTGTTGGTTGATCGTACGATTCACATGAATAAGCTTCATGAGTTATTTTACTCATAATGACTATAGAGCGGTGAGCTCAAGCGAGTGGGAACCCCACGTATAACTGTCGAAGAGGCTAAAAAGTTCACTGAATCGTTAATTCAACTGATTTAGCAGGTTGACACCTTACCCTTTTCGTTAGTTTAATTGGCTAATTTAACGACCCAACCAGCTGAAGATCGACTTGGCACAGATGGAAATGTTCGGAATGCACATCTGACTTGAGCCGTGCATACATCCGATGCAGAGATTGGCAGGAGAATTATAAACTTTCCGTAACAGATGCCACAATTTGAACCAATTCGGGTTAGCTTGAAGATCGATCCACATTCAGGCAATAAGCGGTGTGGATTTTAGCATAGACTTGTACGGACATTTTGATGAGAAAGTCTAAAGAGCAAATTGTTTAACAAGTGATAAATATTCAATATTCAATTGAGATGAATTTGAACTATTAAAGTCCAGTGTTCTGTTAACCGGGGATACATGGCCATGAGCTTGAATTGTCCGATTGGTGATCGACACAAGATCAAAGTTTTATTCGATTAGTACCCACCGATCGAGTTGCCAGGAGCTCCATTTTCAAAGAAATCCCTGCTAGCTCGAGTGGGGATTGAAACCGATGCGGCTTAGTTCGGATACAAGGTGTGATGCGATAGAGCTATTTGTCACAAGCACCACGTAAGGAAAGACTGCCCCGCGGTCGAATAACTTTTGTTGGGCTTTTTGATTATATTAGCTCCTTTTTCCAGAGAGCTGCATTTATAGAGTGAGGTTTATGAAAAGAGCAGGACTGTTTCATTTATTTTTACAAAGGAGCTCGACACGGCATCTAATAGACTGTCCCCAAGAGTAGCAATAATGCTTCGACAATTGCGGATTCGAGTGGATGCGAGGAGGTCCGTTTTTCAATTCAGAAGAATCGCAAATTCTGGTCTCTCATCAAGGTCACCTTTTACTGGTCCCCATGCGGAGCCGATTGGTATCACCCATCCTCCAGGTGACATACACGTAAGTCGGAGAGATGGAGCAAAATTAAGACATTTGAATAACAAAGATCACAGTCATTGAGTGTGTCTCTACCAACCTGGAACTCAATTGTTGCGTACCAGCAGAAGGAGCCGTGGATCGTTGATAAAGTGCCATTCGGGTATCCTCGGTAAGGACTGCGAAGAGCCACAACCGATTTGAACCGTTAATTGACCGCTGCAGTTTCTATATTCACGGATCTGTCAAGAAGTTGGGCCAGCTGGTATTGGATCGACTTCAAATTCATGCCCATCAGGAGATGAATTGTCTTATGTTTCCTTCCGATGCGGGTGCACGTCGATGTGCTGCTGGTTTGAAGGATGTGGACCATGATGCTCAGGTGGAGATCGCGCAATTCAGTTTACCACAAGAAGAGCAAGGAAGCCAAGACATGCCTTGGCTTGGCTTCCATGCGGTAATTTTTCCCAAGAGCCTTGATGGGGAAGCTCTAGTGCAATGGCGGGACGCAGGCACAGGCGTGTGTAGTCGGCATGCCGAGTACTGTATTCGGAACTTTGATTATTTGCGTTCTGAGTCCTTGAACACTGCATGGTACACTAAAGCCGAGAATTCTTTCGGCTCTCGGCAGCCTCGGCCGGTTATAACGTCTGGTGAGGAAGAAAAGATGGCAGTGAGGCAATTGATCTCAGAATTAGCTGCTTCGGACCTTCTAGGACAAAAAGCGTTATCTCACGAAGACGTGTATCTATTTCCAAATGGAATGAATGCAATAGGTACTGTATCAAGGGCTCTTGCCTCTCTTGAGCCAGATCAAGAAGTTGTCGGTTACGGGTGAGTATATTTCTTTCTCTCCGAGCAAATACCTCCTTATTGATATTTAACCTATGCAGGTGGCTTTACGTGGAAACTGGACGAGTGATTAGAGGAAGTTGCTGGGGCAAGACTACCTTTTACCATGAAGGTAGCAAGGAAGAATTGGACGATCTTGAAAAGTCCCTGGAATCAGGAAGACGGATAAAAGCTTTGTTCTGTGATTTTCCAGGCAACACCCACCTCTCATCACCAGACTTACATCGCATCCGTGAATTAGCCGACAAGTACAACTTCATTGTGGCATGTGATGATTCCGTCTGTACATTCATCAACACGGATATTTTTCCATGGGTAGATATTCGCATGACTAGCTTGACGAAGATGTTCAGTGGCTCTTGCAATGTCGCCGCTGGCAGGTAAGTTCTCATCCATTCCCTTAGGTCTTTATTGGCCATAATGAGTTCTACCTTATTGATGTCAAACCATTCAGCATTGTAGTGAATCCCCAATCCCGTCATTACGATGCTATTCATAGAAGTATCAAGGCCATCTACGAGGACATCCTCTTCCCTCTCGATGCAGCTGAATTAAGCCGAAGCTGCCACGACGTTGTGGAGCGCATTCATCTTTCAAACAAAAATGCTCTCCCAGTCGTCCGACTGCTTGCCTCTCATCCATCAGTTGCGCAAGTGAACCACCCATCTCTCGGACCCACGGCACACCTCTACGAGCGCCATCGTCGCAAGCCCCACGGAGGCTATGGTCAAGTCTTAGCAATTGTGTTCCACACTCCAGAGAGCGCAGCATGTTTCTACGATGCTCTAGATGTCCGTAAGGGATCTAGCTTTGGGGCAAATTTCACCCTAGCCATTCCATTCGCACAGGTAGCACACCCGCATGAACTAGACTTCGCGGAGAGTCACGGGGTACCAAAGCATATTGTGCGAATCAGTGTTGGTTTAGAGGAAGAGGAAAATATTGTTCGCGTGGTTGCGAGAGCTTTAGAGGCTGTTGACATATTGATGGTCGAAGAAAAAGAGCCTCCCTTTTTAATGAAGGCGAGTGCTTGAGGTTCTTTATCAACACCTCTTGGGCTTTTGAAGTCAATATAGCTAAGGACAGTATTACTGTGAAGAAGTGAGGGGGTCGGAAAATATTTTCTTAGTCGTGGGATGGAGAGGGTGCTTTCTCGTTGGGCTAGAAGCTTCTATCTAATGCATGTACTAAGCGCTGGAAGCAAACGAAGTGGGGTCTTGCGACCCCCAAACTTCAACAAATACAAATACAATGATGCACGTTTGAAATGAATTCCCAACACTGCTTGACTGTGATATAGCGCCCGATCTTATATTCAAGGCCCGCTCGTGGCAGCGACGATGTTTGGTATTCTGGCAACTGTTGCCACTATTGCGCGTCTACATGCCATGTATTTGAAAGCTCTGAAGCCTGGACTTTCGGAGTCCTTCACCCTGGTGGGCGTGGTGAGTTATCCCCCATCTAACAATTGCTTAGTACAACATGAGCGGCATGTCGGCTGATCATCTATATATGTCCTAATGTATGGCACTCTTGCTTTGCTCTATATCAGATCGGCCGCTCCTCCGCTCCCCTTCTGAGAAACACTACTTACATTAAATTAGTGATCAAGTATGGGCGTATGGATCTGCATATCATGGATGTAGCGCCGGAATCCAGAGTCATAGTACTCAAGGTAAGATTCTGGGTGATTATATAATTCCATCAGCCTTGCTAATCAACAATGTAGTCTCTTCTTTCTGTGGAGATTCCCTATGGGACTTCTCTCGGAATGGTCAAGACTTCGATCGCTCTCTTCATGGTCCGCATCTTCAGAAGCAACGGTATTTTCAAGGCCGGCGTTATCGTTGCTCTATTCGTTGTTTGGGAATGGGCCATTACTATCATCCTCGAGTGCTTTAGGTTTCCTGACGAATCAAAAAGTTCAAAAAGCAAAAACATACAACAGTCAGGATTCGCATGTGGTCACCCACCATACTACTAACTAACCGGCGTGTGGCTTAAGTACGGCTGAGCGGACGGGAAGCCCTGTTCTCCACACCCTATGGTCGTATGTGCTTTTCAAGCTGTAAAAGTAAACAAAGTAGTGTAAAATGATAAAAACAATAGTTTGAAAAAGCCTGGGAAATTGAGCAATTTGCTGTTTTAGGTGGCGCTAATATAGTGCGAAGTTATAAGCTCTGCCGACCTCTTACCTACAACTGGGACACCACTATCGAGGGGACATGTGGCAATCGCTCGGTAGCTTTTATGGTCGCTGGTATCATGAACATTGTCACCGACGCGATGGTTAAAGCACTAGCCCTCCCACACATTGAAAGTTGAAGCTCAACATGCAAAGAAATAGTGGTCTTGCCTCAGTGTATTGTGTGGGACTTGTGTGGGACTTGTGTGAGAAGCATTTCCGAATCCCAATTTTTGACCCCAAATCTGATACCAATTACGTATATATATCTACAAAAATTTCAATCGTTAGCATCATCCGCCTTATTTCCACGCATAAGCTCGACTTCGAGGATTTAACATTCACGTTACTCGACCCAATCATGTGGACTGTTCTGGAGCCTCAACAAGCCATAACCTGCGCCAACATGGCATTCTTCAAGACTACATCACTGATCGCTCCTGGGATGGCATCCTCTACCAGTCGGAGGTATGGCCGCTCGTCCGAGAGGACCTTTGACCGGTTTGGACAACAGTCAGTGACCAATGGGGATTATTATAGCATGGAGCCACTGGATCGACGGACAAATACGGTCGAAGATTTTACCAACTTCGAGTCAGCTAAAGTGGTCAATGCTGATGTTAAGTCCATCAGCTCATATGAACAGCGACTAGCCTCCAACGCTGGTCCTTATGGGATCAGTTTTGTTCAAAAGTTTGATGTGGAGTACGCCGACGCGAGCGTTGGAAAAATATGCTCTGCTGTAGCTCTTCTCTATATCAGCAGGGCTTGTGGATCTTGATTTTTGAAAAAAAATTTATCGTAGCTTCTCCATTTCGGTATTCAATAAAATTTCGGGCTTTAAAACCATTGAGTATCAAGGTTGATCAGAGAATTTGCCTTGATGCCTCAGGCTCAAGCTACATCTGGGCTCACGCCCCACCGTGTCGAAACTCATCGAATTTTCACGAATGCCTTATTGCGGACCAAATGTCTTGTCATGCCTATTCTACGAACTACTTTCATACAAGGAATTTGATTTAATATGAAAATGAGCCCTTGACCGTAATCTCTCCGATCTTGTGGATCAAGATAGGTTCAAGGAGGGCATCAATTAGCCGTATTTATGCAATAGCTAAGACTTTTTAACCCATTCATTACTTAGACGGTACCGGAGGCGGTGATCTCCACCTTAGCCTTGGGCTTTCCGCTGGGGGATCCAAGCTGCTCAATGGCGGAGACGATGTCCATACCCTGGGTAACTTCGCCGAAGACGACGTGCTTGCCATCGAGCCAAGAGGTAACGACAGTGGTGATGAAGAACTGAGAGCCGTTGCTAGAGAAACACAATGCATTAGTACGAATTCAGAAGGGGACGGGAATTGAATGGTTATCGGTCAACATACGTGTTGGGACCAGCATTGGCCATGGAGAGCAGACCAGGGCGGGTGTGCTTGATCTTGAAGTTCTCGTCCTTGAACTTCTCGCCGTAGATGGACTTGCCACCAGTGCCCTAGATAGAGTGTTAATTTTCAGATCGCTTGGGTCCAAATTCTCTAGATTTCATCTCAAGGAAAGCTTACGTTGTGGTTGGTGAAGTCACCACCCTGGAGCATGAACTGGGGGATCACGCGGTGGAAGCCAGATCCAGCGTAACCGAATCCATTCTGGCCAGTGCACAGCTCGCGGAAGTTCTTGGCGGTCTCGGGAACAACATCATCGTAAAGCTTGAAGACGATACGTCCAAGGGGTTCTGAGTAAGGACAAGATTAGCAACCTGAGATACAGTGGTTATGCAAGAATCTGGAGAAGAACATACTGCCGTTGGCGGCGACATCGAAGTAAACTTGGCTCATAGTTGCGGATTCTTAGGGGTGCAATGGAAATTAATGAAGGATGAAGAAAAGAAGAGATGGGTGAAAAGCAGGGAGTGAGGGGTCGAGTCAAAGCTATGTCATGAGGGGCTGGCGGGGTTTCTGCTGATCACGTTTTCGCACGGATTCTCAGCCAATAATAAGCGTCAGACACCCCACATCTCCAGAACCGAGAGCGGTGTGGTGAAATCTTAAGTAATGTACGAGGCAGAAAATGATTAGTCACTCAGCTCTCCTATTAATAGAAATAACGCGTATTCCGTCTTCCATTCAATTAAATGGCCCCTTCCGATTTTTGACGTCGTATTATGAGTTTCAGTAACTCACTGTCGCATCTGCAGCTGACTGAATATGATGCCTAAATAGGAAAGCTGCAAAGTTCACCACCTCCTTAACGTTGTTCATACAGAGCCAAGAGGCTTGAAAGCAAATCATACTCCCAATGGGTATGGAATTATGAAGCATGTAAGAATGAGTCTGTTTAAGGAATCCTGAGATATTATTCAATTTCTTGCCTATGTAATAAATAGCTTGTAATTCCTTCGACAACTGCACATCATCAAAGAACTATCTCATTTCAATCAATCGATCGATCGATCGACATATCAATCCGATCAACAGATCAACAATTCCCACCATAAAAATGCAGTTTATCACTGTTATCCTTGCCACCCTGGCCGCTGTAGCTACTGCTACTTCTTCCCCCGATGCCTTTGAGAAGCGCACCTGTGTCGGCAGTGAGTATATGTATATAAGATTCAAGATTGGCAATCCGATTAACTATCACTATAGACTACAAGGTTGCCTGTGAAAATGGCGGTATTCCTTGCTGTGGTGGTTGGCAATGTGTTGGCGCTACTGAGTGGAATGCCGGTGTTTGCATCCCCAACTACTAGAAGATGTCCATGAAAATGGCCCTGGGTGAGATTTCACTATACCCCCCCAGGTGAGATCTATCTGACCAAGTGATTTTATTTCATTCTCATTATTATTTTTGTTGTCTTCCATGAACTTACAGTGACTTTGTTTTGTGCACTTTCTGTCTTTGTATTCTTGATTGACACCCGCAATATCCTCTGTCATTTCCGTGTCTCCGAGGTCAATGGTAAAATTTGAAAAATCGGTCTGAAGTATTTCTCTTCTAAATAAAGGCACAATGAGCCTGAATAAAGAGATGAAATTGCCCTAAATTGAGGCTTCTCGAGTGGCTAATAGACATAAATAAAGTCTTCATTTCGGAGATCCGTTGTATCCGCGAAACCCTTATCGACAACGTTACCGTTATGAATATCTCTGACATCTTCCAATTCAAGAGCCTTGCTTGTCTCCATCTTATCCTTTGTCAGCATTGATTCATCCACAGTATTCGCCGACCTTCCGAGTGCCTCTCTCTTCTTGGCATGTTTCTTATTGATTGCGATTAAGTAAATGTCGGTGAAGCTGCTAACAGGGTTAACGCGAGATTTGTTTTCAAGTAGTGGCTTGAACTTACATTGAAAGGACAGCCACAAGAATAAACATAGCCAAATTTGCAATCAGGCCTGGACGGTATGCAGGGGCTTGAGACCTCGAGTAGAGCTGGGGACCAATGACCTAATAAGATGTGAGCAGGAACGTTATATATCTTCCAACAGAATAGTTCTGTCCTTGTGACTGACATTTCCTGTGCACATTCCCACGAGCACGGCAGCCGATGTGCACTTTCGCTTCGTGTCCCCGGCAGTGTTCTGAGCTTCCCAGGCGTAAATCATTGGTGTGATGGCAGCCATAGTCGACACCTTTCAGATGAGAGTGATATCAGCTTGAAAAGGTAATCAAGGACAGTGAGTAGAGTCTAAACGCACCAGGTAGTAGCCAAATAGAAGAACACCTTTGTTGCTCCGTGGTATGACAAGCATCAGAATAGTACCGATGGCTGAGAGGGTAGCAATAACACAATGACCAGCCCCTTGGTTTTGAAGCGCGTGGCAAGCTAACCCCCGCCCAAGATGGCAATGATCTGAATAGCCCCGAATGGCAGGTTAAATAAAATCGACTCGAAGGTGGTGTATCCAGATGATCCCAAGATGAGATTTCCGAAGCTGCCAATCCCACCACTTGAGATTCTGTGGACAGTCATAAGAACTTGACATCAAGTCCAAGGAGATGATCAAGACTTACGATATCGACATAATCAATAAAAACCAGCTCCAAGTCTTGATATCATACAGTGTTTCCAAAACGTGGTCCCACCGCCATTCACGGGAAACGATACCCATTTGGTTGGCTCGCAGACGCTCGACAGCAATGAATTTCTACGGGGCGCTTAAGTATTTGACTTCCATGGGTGAATCTGGCATGAATATCAAAACAATAAACGAATAGCAGACAGTCAACAGACTACAGAATAGGAAAATTATCTGATATGAAAAGAGTGTGTCGCTTTGAATGTGGCCCAATCCATAGGTAAAGAGACTGACGACCTACGGAAATGCAACATAAGATGAGAGCTAATGCAGTGCGCGTTGGACTCGAGATTCTTCCTTACAATAAAGGTCAACCCGTTCATTGAATTCCACATAGCTGCGCGCAAACTTTGTTCACCCCGACGCCACCACATTTGAGTAGCCGCAATGCAAGACGGAGCTAGAATAGATAATCAGCATGAATTGCAAAAAATAGTCCGAGCGTGACACCGAACCAATCATTGACTCAAAAGCCCCCAAAAGAAAGCGCAAGCCCAGCAAGCTATTAAAGTCAGTACAGGCAGACGATATTGCCAACGTACTTCCCCAAAGAAAAATAGCAGTTGAAATAACCTTGCCCGTGGGTGCCTTGACAAGTAGAAAGGCTGCTAAAGGCTGGAAAACCAATTGTGATAAATACAGAATAGAGCTGAGCCATGAGTACTGTGAGCCGACAAGGTGGGCATCTTCAGCAAGACCGAGGATCGATGTATAGGAAAGCGCAGATTTGTCAAGCTGTTGGAAGAAATAAGCTCCCAGAAGGACTGGTAAAACGCGTAGGTCGATGCGTCGAAGGACTTGCTTCTCATCTTCAACTGTGAAGCAGCGATTGTCGTCGCCATTTTCCACGCTTGCCAGAAAGCACGCGACTTGGTCTTTACCACGATTTGTTGAGACCTGTGAGTCCTCAACAGGCGCGATGATGTCTAACTCTTCGGTCTCTAGGGATGGCATGGTGTAGGACGTAGATGAGACTGAAATGAAAAAGTACAAGGGATGAGGATTTGAATGCCATGCCCAGTCAAACGGATTGCCGAGAGTCTTCAAAGAGGACCAATGACCTGAGGACACCCCCTCATTTCAATCCTTTAAAGCGAGCAACTTTTTGATAGAACGGTACTTCTGAGCTACCCCCACGATTTTACCTTCCGCGCATTCAAGGCTGGCGGGGCCCCGCAAACAACTACTAAATAAGTAATTCCATCAATCATGGGAGAGAAACAGTGAGCTAATATTTGGGCCCGGCTTTCATTCGTACACTTCAATCCGAGTATACTTGTTTCTGTTGAATGCAGTCTTGGCACTCTGTGTTTTGATCATGAGATGCATCTTGACTCCCGAAGTTTAGCCTTCACATACAATGACATAAAAGGGGCCGAATGCTTTTTAATCCGTAGATTATGCGCTTAGAATGAAAATTCTTTTTTCACAATCAATCGATGGAGCTGGATAATATTGCGAATCACATACTATCAAAAACATATACTATGCCATATAAAGCCTGTAAGAAGGAACCGCATTCAGGCTATTCTCAGCGAATTTAGCCATCGAATTGATCCAGCAAAAGTTCCAAGGCTCGTTTCATAGACCAATGATTCATTATTCAGAATCATCCCGACAGGCGGGAGAGCCATACTGCATACAGAATCGTACACTGCGCTTTGCAGACAGAAGTAGCGCACGGCGCGTAAAATCAAAACTCGTTACCATGGTGAGTGCAGCAAGATAGCAAATACAACCAGTCACCTTTCATGCGCTACAAATCAACGCCAGGCACCAGGCACATTCGGTAATTGGGGCTCTTCATCCAAGGGATCTTTTGTCACAGTGCTAGGCATTTTGTGCAACTGGTTCCTGGGCGGGGCAGGAGGACGGATAGGGAAAGGAGTAGCTCCAGAACGCAAATCTTTCAGCGCCATCTCGCGCAAACGTTGCCGCAGAACCAGATTTGGGTCTGGCTGTGGAAATTCTTTTTGGGCGCGTTTGACTGGGGTGCGGAACGGTAGGGTAGGTGGCTCGAAAGAGGGGACCCTCGAATGCATGTCCTCAGCTATCTCCTGTAAGCGCTGTCGCCGAGTCGGGATTGGTTTTGTGGTTGGGAGTGAAATTTGTCCTGGAGTTTCGCGTATGCAGTTTAATGTTGCTTGAAGTGCTTCTCCGTAAGTCACTACATTGGAAGAAAGGTGGACGAGGTGGTGACTGCGGTCTAAACAGTTAGCGATTTCGCGTAGGATGTAACTTGGTGGGTATCTCTCTAGTGAGTCCATCGGGAAATTGGTTCGTCACAGGTCAAGATTTTGACAGAATGTGACAGTGAGGGTTTGTAATAGATATGGGAGATGAAGAACGAGTCATCATATACTCAAAGGGAAGGGCGCAATTATAGTGATTTCATTGGTTGAAATTAGGCAAAAGTGGAGCAAACGGGATCTGCCCGCGACTGGATCGGGCGGCTACTAATACCGTATTGCACTGGTTTACATGGTAAATTCCTGTAATTATCGCAAGCAGAAACGTCAACGTTTGTAGTATACTCAGCCTCACAATCTCCAAATATATCCTCATGTATCCTCATGAATATACCATGAAAAAAAACCTTTAAATGAGACAGCTTCATGTATGAATCGTCGGAGGCAGCGACACCAGCCTGGTGCTGGCCAGATTGTTCAAGAAAGGTGGGATAAATTTCCTTGTGCTCGAAAAACATGAAGCTATAACCTCTTAGCTCGATGCTCGTTTCGCGTGGTTCGAGAGGTTGAAAACAATGATTTGCCAGAGACCTTTCTCGGAGCGTGTTCATGTGTAGCGTAGGGCAGTGGGCATCTTCCAATTCTCGCGCTGAGATCCCTTTCTCTCTTACTATTCATACCACCTTATCTTACCTTTTGTACTTTCTTCATTATACGCTGCGTGTCACCTTCGACAACTTTCAGTTTACTATATCTTCCAAGTAATCCGTTCTTCATTTTTTGATCGCTGGAAAAATACAACTCAACAATGTGATGGCTGGTTATGATCAGGCCACCAAGGCTGAGTGCTCATGGGGGCTGATAATAGCCGCCCGACCCCGCCCTCATACGCACTCGCCACGTCAGCTCGCATAAGCCAATCGAAAATCATGGTTTGGTATTTGCTTCGCCTCCAAAATCGAATTGTCTTCTCGCTAGCCTCACTGCCGATTTTGTGATTTCTTTTTTTGTCCTGAAATCGAAACCAGTTTGGCGCCCTCAGATCTGGGTGTCAATTACAAACTCTTTAATATTTGATACCGGTATTCTTCATAGAAAGCCCGCCCCAGCCTTTCTTGAGATAGCTTGAACATACGTTTTGCCCTGATATCCACATCAAAACTGGAAGTTCGCCGATCAAATGGATATATCCGATTTTGCATTTGAGGGGGACACAGAATCTGTACGAAGAATACTCGAAGAAGGTGCAGATGTCAACACCCAAAGCCACCAGTATGGAACTGTTCTCCATGCTGCCATCCAAGGAGGAAACATACAGACTGTGCGGCTCGTTCTCAGCCGAGGAGCAAAGCTAGCGCCTAAGGGGGGTCTTAAGGGACTGCTCTTCAGGCTGCCGAATTGAAGGGACATATAGAGATCGTGCAGCTTCTTCTTAACTGGGGCGCACACATCGAATCCCAGACAGGGTCTAACATGACTGATCTCCAGGTTGCCGCATTGAAGGGATATATAGAGATCGTGCGGCTTCTTCTCGATCGAGACGTGAGCGTCAACAACCGGGGAAGGACTTATAGAACTGTTCTCTATGCTGCTATCAGAGGAGGACATATAGAGATTGTCTGGCTTGTCCTCGACCGAGGCGCGGAAGTCAACGCTTAAGGTGCTTATGGAACTGCTCTGAAGGCTGGCGCATTGAAGGGCAGTATAGAGATTGTGTAGCTTCTTCTTGACCGGGGCGCAGATATCGAAGCCTAGAATGGGTCTAATATGACTGCTCTCTAGGCCGCTACATTTAGAGACCACACGGATACTGTGAGACTCCTCCTGAACCGAGGAGCAAATATTAACGCTTAAGGGGGCTCTTATAGAACTGCTTTCCAGACTGCTGCTTCGGAGGGAATGATGGAGACAATGTAGGTAATTATCGAAAAAAGAGGGTCTGAGATCTAGATCACAGAAAATATTCTTAGGGATATCGTCTAACATCTGAATGCGGCCCAATTTATAGCTAGTCTTGTTCTAAGTTGGATAGATGGAATCGTTATCACACACAGAATCCTGTTAGCAGCTGCGAAGCATAAGTAAGGGGATCAACTGATAAGCCTTCTTCTTAAAAGTAATGCCAAAATCTTAAATAGCTACACTTAGGTTCGGGAACTGGGGCAGATAGGATAAATATATAAGGATATCATTCAGATGATTTTGAAAGAGAATGATTCCTCTTATTGGATTGATTTCGAACTAACTGTCTATCCCTACTTGAGCGTTCAGCCTGATCGATATATTGAGGGCTGTTGTTATCACGTTTCTCCGAAGCAGCTAGGGCTAATCCTGGATCCCTATTGTAAGAATAGGAGAAGCTCAACGATTCTTAATCATTAAGAAGTTATCGATCGTGTTTAAGAGCTCTGTGGTCTAGGTGGAATACGCCTAATAACTCCAACGGTGGGTGACTGGGTTGGATCTATTGAATTTGATCGCCCTTTCGACCTTTCTATCGCGTATAAGCTGCAGTCGGATATAAATGACCCACCTCCCTATATAGCAGTGATTTTATCTCGCATTTAATATCCGGGAAACCTATATATCAAGATAACGAGAGTCTCTCTCCTTTTGCTATCAAAATCGGAGACGGCTTTGTATTCGCATCTAATTATAGACTTTTCTTCTTCTCTTACAAATGATGAAGCTGTCCAACGCGTTGATAATCAATATTTTGAAATTCAGGCAGAAATTAGTAGCCATTGTAATTAAAAATGATAGTCAAAAAAAGATTGTCAAAAAAGGGAGATGAGATGATTGTAACAAAAAAGAGAAAAAAAAGGATGACCAGACTGGGGCTCGATCCCAGGACCTTATCGGTGTTAACGATACGTGATAACCAACTACACCATCCGGCCGGTTCTTGTGTAGAATACCGCTTTTTTAATTCATGTTCACTGGCTCACAGGCAAAACACGCTAAACCCAATGCCGTACTTCACAGGGTACCTTGGATATGAGATAACCAAGTACACCATCCCGAGTAGGGGTTGAAGAACCAACATTCATCTTGCTCGCCATGAATACGATATTTCTCCTACTGTTGTGCATAACACACAGATCCAATTTGCTATACATTCATTGACTTATCCCCTGAATCCATATTGAACATAATTTGAATTTCATTTGGACCGATAAACCTTGTAGGAGTAGCATGATTTGATCCGAATACCATCCACAGGGCACTTAGTCAGCTCAGTCATGGCTGTAAAAGAGTGATTTATGTAGGATTAGCCTCCACATTGTCAGACAACTCGTGAGTCCGGAAGCCATTATTAAGCCGAGCAAAATTCAAACCCGGCTCCTGGTGTCGACTTTCCCATTCGAAGTACTCATACCGATGCCTCCGCAGAATCTCAAAATGATGCAACCAGGATCTAAGTAAGTCAAGGTTATCCGACATGCTGGTAACGATTCGCTTTGTATTTGGTCGTCCCAGACAGCATTCGTGATATTACGGGTAGTGGTGGCATTTTTCTCAGAACAAAACTGTCGAACACGTTGTCGATGTATTGAAGGATCTCTGGCGTGGGAACTTAAAGTCAAGATCACTTGGGGTTTGGTGCCGACGTGAACTAAACATGTCGTTCCCAAAACTAGGTACATAGGATGGATTAACATGCCAAGTGGTTATGGGAGGAAATGTCGCGGGCCCATTCTGGGTGCCGGTTCTCGAGCCAAGTGCCTCACAGTCCAGTATTCATCTCAAGAATCTGGAGATTGACGTTTAGAAGTTGACCACTCACGGGCAAGGGAAGTTCCACTGATGTCTTCGTCTGCGACAATAAACTTGATCTTTATTGGCGTATCGAATTGTAGCTTGGATTGTTCGTAGGCGACTGGGTACTTGTTGCGGTACGTCTCTGTAGCCTCGATTGGCTTTCATCGCGCTTCTTACCCACTGCCGTCATTCGAAATAGATTGAGTCATGTCCAGATATATGGATACTAGTTAGTATTGGTGGAAGCGACATGACGAATGTATGGTAGTCCGCATCTGTATTGGAATGGGAAGAGTGAAAGAAACAATTCTTGCCCGAAAAAATGATACCTTGACAGGTCTCATGTGTTCTGTCATGGACATACTCTGATTGGAGGATAGTTACCGCGGGCGGAAGAAAATGGTAACTGTATCTTTGTTGCATGTTGGATGGAGATGGGAAAATCTCCAAGAGGAACGCGAAAGCCAACAAACGAGAGCTAGCACACAACACAGAACGTCATTTTATCTAAGGAAATCAGTCTTTTTCTTTGTTGATCCATCAATTGACTTTCTTCCGAGAGAAACAGTCATGGAATAATTCTAGACAAGCGGATTTTAATTGAGAAAGTGCTACTTCATTGGATTGAGGATCTTTGTGTAGTATCATTATAAACGACCAATAATTTCGCCAGTCTAGACAATTAAACAAAGCTTAACTCACAATGTCGTACGCAAATTTCAAAATAAAGTCTTCTCCACCACGGGAGCTTCCTCAGGAAAGGGCCGAGCAACCTCCATCGCTCTCGCGTTTCAAGATGCAAAACTTGGCCTCTTGGAACTAAACGATTCCCAGAAGGTCATCAGTGAGATAGTAACCAACGGTGGTGAAGCGATTGGCTTTAAAGTCAATGTCACCGACTCTGCAGGAATTGAGGCTGCCGTTCAAGCAATCAAAGAGAACTCGGTAGAGTAGATGGCGCGTGGAAATTAGCAGGTTGGATCGGAACCGAAGGCTTCTTAAAGAAATAATATGCACTAAATGCCATTACAGACGAGCAATAGGATGTAATCATGTCGTTCAAGCTGAATTGTGTCCAGAATATCTTATCATTCGGGCTGAGGCATATTAGCGACAATGGAAGTATCGCTCACGCCGTGGCTTCGTGAGCGAAGACAAGCTTATACTTGCGATAGATTCTAAGAGGCAAAGTGGCGTTATTGATATATCTCTTGCCACTGCTCTTCATCCGGCTGATCTGTTTCGCAGCGAATGTTCTTAAGCAGTGCACTTCAAGAGGTTGCCTACCTAGCCTAAGAAGATTACTAATTACATTTTATTCTCAAATTGTTACTTAGCGACATATCTAGCTTTGTCACTAGCTTTAGGTAGTCTATTTATTTAGTCGCTTTATCATAATATCTCTATATAGAAGACATACTTTATCCCTCCTTTTGAGATTAGGCCGCTCCTAATATTTCTTATCATAGTATACTTTTACTCATAAGTTAAAGACTTCGATCTAATTCACAACCATAGATCTTGAAGGCTATGAATCTTATTACTCTTTCCAACTTTTTATGTTAATAATACTTAGATTCACTAGACTCGATTAAGAAGAGCAGTGGAAAATAGAGCTTCCTATGTTGTTATTTTTACAGTACTTTACTCTTCCTAGGTAATGATATCATATATTATGTCTACATAGGTATCATAGCTGAAACTTTCCATTAAAGTATAATCAAATCAAACGGAAAGAGCTGGAGCGTGTCTTAAAGGTCTGGCAGGATGCTATTTCCCTATGCAACTCTCATGCTAAACTGATGACCCACCTTGAGGCATAGCGGGTCTTGTAGTAAATAGACAATGATGTTTAAACAGTAGTAAGAAGTACGGAGAGGAGTGAAAGAACGCAAAGACCGCGATTTTTATTATGATGTATGGAATCCTGTAACCAAAACACGCCCATCCTCATACCCAAGTGCAAGTGTAGCATTGTTGATAGCCTGGCATACAAATGAACGATACTCAGCAGGGAGCCATAGTAAGCTTTTACCTTCTAGACTGACCCAGTTACTCGATAATGATATTCGGGAATTATCATGACATTTTTCGAGAGCTGGCGTGAGTCCATCAGGAGAGAAGGCCACTGATCTGACCCAATCTGAATAGCCCTTTAGCGTCTGCCGCTGCGTGCCGGTTGCCGTATCCCAGACCTTGATAGTGTTGTCGTCCGATCCTGATGCCAGGGTGAGTCCATCGGGAGAAAAGGCCAATGATCTGACTAAATGTGAATGGCCCTCTAGCGTCTTCCGCTGCGTACCAGTCGCCGTATCCCAGAGCTTAACAGTGTTATCGTTTGAACCTGATGCCAGGATAAGTCCATCAGGAGAAAAGACCACTGATCTAATGTAACCTGAGTGGCCCTTGAGTGTCTGCTGCTGTGTGCCTGTCCCTATATTCCAGAGCTTGATAGTATTGTCGTCTGATCCCGATGCTAGGGTAAATCCATCAGGAGAGAAGGCCACTGATCTAATCCAATCTGAATGGCCTTCTAGCGTCTGCCACTGCGTGCCAGTCACTGTATTCCAAAGCTTGATGGTTTTATCGTCTGAGCCCGATGCCAGGGTGAGTCCATCAGGAGAGAAGGCTACTACTCTAACCCAATCTGAATGGCCCTTTAGTTTCGGCTGCTGTGTGCTGGTCACTATATTCCAGAGCTTGATAGTTTTATCGTCTGAGCCGGATGCCAGGCTCAGTCCATTAGGAGAGAAGGCTACTGATCTAACCCAATCCGAATGGCCTTCTAGCGTCTGCCACTGCGTGCCAGTCACTGTATTCCAGAGCTTGATGGTTTTATCGTCGCCCGATGCCAGGGTGAGACCATCAGAAGAGAAGGCCACTGATCTGACTGAACCTTGGCCCTCTAGGGTCTGCCGCTGTATGCCGGTTGCTGTATCCCAGAGCTTGACAGTATTATCGTTTAAGCCCGATGCCAGGGTGAGTCCATCAGGAGAGAAGGCCACTGAGTTAATTGAACCTTGGCCCTCTAGGGTCTGACGCGGTATGCCGGTCACCGTATCCCAGAGCTTAATGGTATTATCGTTTGAGCCCGATGCTAGGCTAAGTCCGTCGGGAGAGAAGGCCACTGATTCAACCCAACCTGAGTGGCTCTCTAGCGTCTGCCGCTGTGTGCCAGTCACGATATTCCAGAGCTTAATGGTTCTATCTTCTGAGCCTGATGCCAGAGTGAGTCCATCAGGAGAGAAGGCTACTGAGCTAACTGAACCTAAATGGCCCTCTAGCATCTGCCGCTGTATGCCAGTCACCGTATTCCAGAGCTTGATAGTTTTATCATCTGAGCCCGATGCTAGGGTGAGTCCATCGGGAGAAAAGGCCACTGATCTAACCCAACCTGAATGGCCCTCTAGCGTCTGCCGCTGTATGCTGATTGTTGTATCCCAGAGCTTGATGGTATTATCGTTTGAGCTCGATGCTAGGGTGAGTCCATCCGGAGAGAATGCCACTGAAGTAACCCAATGTGAATGGCCCTCTAATGTCTGTAGAGTTGTGCTCCAAGAATCCATCACTGCTGGTAGCGGCTGTATCTTTTTTGATATTTCGCCTAGAAATGTCCCTTTGATAATACTTTGCGCTGGTGCAAACGCTAGCCCAGCATAGTAGAGTTGTAATGGAGCAATGCCAGCCATATAAGCATTTTGGAGAGTAAATCTTCTTGCATCATATAGAAAGTCCGAAAGAGCAGGATGATCATTCTTCTGTGATATTTGTTAGCTATTATTTAGCCATAAGTCTTCGAGACTTACCTGTATACTTGACTCTATTGCCTCTATCATCCTTGCCGCCTCGGCTATTTTCCCCATCAAAGCTAGTGCCTCTAACCAGTGAAGGAACCGCTTTTCAAGAAAAGAGAAAATTTCAGGCTCAGAGATACCACCCTGGCTCTGCTTCAGATGATATACCCAATGATAGCAGGAGTATTGTAATTCAGCTGGGAGGTGCTGCTTGATTATCTGAGGATTGATATCCTCGTTATGAATTCCGTAACCTGCTAGCTCACAGATATTATGCTTGAGCTGAGTGTTCATGACACGAAGACAGTTCAATGCTATCTGTCGATGTGTATTCTCCTCCTTAATACGAAAGTCACCTTCCGTATGAATTAAGAAGTCTCGAAATGAAAGATGCAGAATACGAACTGGTGCTTCAGGATCCGCTGGTACACTAAGCACAGAATGAAATCTCTTTAATCGGTTGGTAATCTTCTCTTTCGGTATCCTAGTCAATTGCGCAAGAGTTACAACTGAAAGAGGGGTAGCCAGAAGAACAATCACGCCGATGATATTCTGAAACTCATATAAGAGTTGCTCAAATTCCTTCTTATCTTTCGAAGTAAGAAGCTGGTTCAAAACTGGTAGATATGTCCTGTCCATGTCGGATGTTGACGTTGTTGCTTTATCTTGAAGAACTGCTGTGAGACGCTCTTCCGGAAGCCAGTCTTCATCACCAACAAAGCGACAAAGAGTAGCCGCAAAGATAAACAAAGGCAGCGCCATCTGAACCATTTGCTCAAGCTTCTCATTCCCAGGCCAGTAAGAGGGAAGTGAATGTTCGCGTTGTATTGCTGAAAGCTTATATTCCAGGAACAGGCGAATATCGTGTTCAATTACAGGAGCGGGAAGTTCATGGAGAACTATGTCCTGGTAGTTATCTTCCTTCTGGAAACCCAGACGGATCGGGAATTCAGGTCTGCTTGTCAAGACTACTCGCAAGCGCACCGATTGAATACCTTGTAATTTGAACAATAGGTGAAGTATGAGTTTTATATCATCGTCTCCATCACATTCGTCCAAGGCGTCAATTACGATCACAATCGTGGTAGATTGGTCTGTTTGAAGCTTCAGAAGGGGCTGATAGAGAAGCCGATCAAATTGATCTCTCAGAAACTTTGATGTAATTCTCGGATCAGTCTTAATGGCGTCCAAGACTTCAGACACCATTTGTCTGTGTCTTATAACCAACTGTCCTGCGATACTTGTGATCAAGTATCGCGCATTACCACGGTCGGGCTCGCCCCGCTTGAAGAAAAAGGTCGCACCAAGCAGTCCTCGGTCTTCGAACCCTTGTGCAACTGTACGTGCAATGGTAGACTTCCCGGTCCCCGCCATCCCATTCAACCAGAAAATGAATTCGTCATCGGACTTCGCCCAATCTGTAATGCGGGAAAGAAGCTCGGTTCTGGTCCCTGGAAGGCAAAAATCCTCATGTTCATGAATATAAGAGTCATATAATGCTCCCTCCACAACATGTAGATGCGTAAGGCTAGACTGTTCCAGAAGAAGCTTCAGGGACTCGCCAAGCTCATCGATTTTGAGAAGGATGTTTTCTGCCTCCTTCTCATGGTGTAAGTATCCACTAAGCTCAATCCACCGGCGCAAATTATCTCTTTCTGTCTCGACTGAGGATTTGAGCACCGTGAGTGGATGCCCAGTAATAGCAGTGAAACAGTCTGCGAGGTTTCTTCCGACGCCAGGCTTTTGGGCCTTCCGAATTTGTCCTGAATAGTGTAGAATAGCTTTGTAAATTTTGATCATTGCGGTTTCCACATGACCTCGAATATCTGAATCGCCGTTGAGGTAGAATGTCTTTTCGATGAAGGTGCATTGTGTAATGACATCGGCAAGGTACTCCGAGGATTCAAACAATGCATTTCGAGCGTCGTGGTGGTTTTGGGGAATCTGAGAAATCAGTCAGACAATAAGCAACTGACGTATCTTAAATTTCTGGTAGTACATACTTCTAAAGCAAGCGACACGATCGCCCAAGCAGCGGCTGCATGTTGTGTAAGGTCAATTCCCGCAATCGCACTGATAGTTTCCTTATAGGAAAGTAACGCATTGATGATCTTCCGCGAAGATTTGCGAAGTGTCTTGTCTGACTTCTGCTGGTATGCCTCGTATTGCTGCTTTGTCACCGAGACTATCTCGTCGATCAGCTCCCTCGAGCTAGCTTTCTTGTCTTTTGACTCGAAGGGGGTTTGTGTGCTTGACAAAATCTGCTGCTGTGTCTGATCAAGCTGGTCATACGCAGCTTGCCATAGGTCTTGTGGCTCGAAGGTCTCAATTAACTGGGTTGGTTGGATTGCAGTATCGCTACTAGTTGATGGTCTAGCATTTGCCGTGCTATCTCTTTGGCCCTCCGCTTGATCAATGTGTGCTTCTTCTTTCCCAATTTTCTTGTGGTTTTGAAATATTCGACGAAGGTTTTTAAGCCGTTCAGGCATTGTTTGCAAATTCAAGTATCCTTGAGCGACTGGATTTCTGTGTTTTTGTTGGGCAATTTAGAAGGTTAACCCAGGAAATATAGGCTGGAGAGGGGCAGATTTCCAGTTTCATCTTCTTCTTGCAGTCAAAAGACAAGGATTTAAGCGCCTGTTGTCCACCAGTCATAGCCCTCTCTACTACATGATTGGAAGATATGGGGATTTTGGAGTATCCACTCTCCATACGGACAGCGTGGCAATACTGAAGCAGATTGAAATTATAGCCCTCTTTTCCCCTATGAGTATAGACTCTTCGTGACTCCAGTCAGTAATTTGCTTTCATGTTTGAAATTTCGTCCTTATGTACTTAAGATTGAAATCACCCTATTTAGATTATCTCGCCATCTCGAAGGAAGGAGACAATACCGCCCAGGTCACATTTCGCCCCCTGTACACCGTCTGGCCACATCCGAGGAGACATACTAGTGTGCATTAGCGTAACGCTAGGAGATTATACAAGCATTTACAGTATTTTATGTAAAATAGCTTACAGTAGGGCGTTTACTACTAGCGGTTCAAAAATAATCATCCAAAGTCTCTATTAGAAGTAATGATTTTGGGGAAATGGTATAGTAACCAATAAGAGCATGGGTCTAATTATTTTATGATATTACCTAGGTATTCGCAATAGACTATCTAGCCACATCCAAGAAGCAATACCGCCCAAACCCATACTTAACCTCTTATGTTGCCAATACCTAGATAAGGTCATAATCTTGATAAATCCTATACTCTTATTGGTTGATATATGATTTCCTCCCCAAAATCACTACTTTTTACAGAAAATTTCTATTATTATTTTTGGTGCCTGGGAGACAGTGCTAACTGAGTATCTTGAAGGCTTCTTAGAACGATCCCACAGTGTAAACAAGTAGATACTCCAATAGATAGGGCTCTTATAAGGTTTTAAATATAGAATCTTTTAATGTTGAATTTAATTGTTGAACTTGAACTTTGGATGTATATTTTTGAATCGCTAGTAATAAATGCCCTACTATAGGCTATTTTACAGAAAATACTGTAAATTTTTGTATAATCTCCTAGCGTTACGCTAATGCACACTAGTATGTCTCCTCGGATGTGGCCAGACTCTGTAGTCCAAGAAATAAATTGATTCGGCGTAACATCAGCCCGAACCAGGGCCGCCTGCCCTAGTTAGATAGGGCCAGCTTAGTCATCGTCCGCGTCGGCCCAAAAGGAAATCCAGAGCTAGTATCTTCTTACAATCTACCACGATATCCAAGCTAAGATCATGCTATCAATCATGCAAAATCACTTTTTCTTGTAAGAAAAAAGTACAAGGGGATTTAAAAAGATCCTCTTCATTAATTTGCACAATTTTGAACTTTACTAGAGCAGCTATACTGCTAGACTTCGGCACGGGCCTGTCCATGGACAAAAGGTCCCTGTCCATTGTCTGCCCCTGTCCATTGTCTGCCCCTGTCCATTGTCCGCCATGGACAGGGGCCTTTGTCCATTTTCTGTGACGGGCCTAAGAAAGCCCGTGGGTGCCTGATTCTGCCTGATTCTGCCTTATTCTTCCTACATGAAATGATGAGTCATCTGAAATTATTTCTGTTATTTACCCCTGTTTGGTAAAAACACATACACTTCACCCTACCCTCTACCTTCTACCTTTTATTCAAATGAAATATCTGTTTGTAGATAAGTCACTATTAATTTTATTGGCCTGATAGCTACTTAGAAGGCTAGGGTAGATTAGGGGTTATTTTAAGATTAGTAGTTAATAAAACTGCTAAAATATGAAGATATTTACTTGTATTCTGAAAATCTCAGTTTTCTCTTTGTCCTAATTCGAGCAAAGAATTCACGTATAAAATACATTTTTTTAAGAATTTAAAAGTAAGAAAATATACACTAGACTCTCTAATATCTATATCCTTGGTTTAATTTAAGATGTAATCTAAGATAAATAGCTTTGAATAGTAGGAAAATTGGGAGGAAAGGTTAGTAATGCTGGACTGAAGGGGGTTTTCGGCAGAAAAGATTTACTAGCCTCATAATTATTGGATAGGGGTGGTGCTTTACTTAGACTAAGTCTTAAAGATTTCTAATATTTCATCACTGGGGTCTCAAGTTTGACTGCGTGGTGTTCGTTGAAGTTCAAAGTGTCGGTCAAACACTCTTGTTGACCAGAGCACGTCTTTTGACCGAGCTGCGAAAGGCATTCCAATCGAAAAATGTGCGGCCAGCAAAGATTGAGGGCAAACTGTCAATACTATAAGAAGAATTCTCTCACCCAATCTCCGAGATTTCTTATCTCACACTGTTCCCGATTGATACGCGTCTTGCCTCCTTTAACTTCACACATTCCAAGCAGCCGGAAAAAGCATGAAGTTTGCACTGAAGGCCTTGGAGTGTGTTGGATACGTCATTCAAGGCCGGAATATTGCAGGTACCGAATCAAAACTGCAGACGTGAGGAGTGATGACCGACGATTTATTGCATGCTGGGAGAATCTCTGTAGTGCATATCGCCTACTTGCGCGCTGACGATTGCGGAGCGACCCCTTGAAAAAGCCCAACTTTCCTACAAAATGTGTTACGGGGAAGATGAATCTTTCGCTGAAAACATCATGCGTATGCTGATTTTCCATTTAAGCCAATAAACACCGATATCCAGCCCTGTGTCTGTATCCCCAATGTAGCGATGCGTTGATTTGAAGTTCTGTTCCCAGAAGCTTACACCAAAGATTTTGAGATCCTCCTCATGTTACTAGTCATTATGAAGAGAGCACAACTTTCTTATCCTATGTATTCTCCAGGGACATTTGTCATTATATCGAAATTGAAATTTAATTAATACTGAAACCCATTACTATACAAGTTGTCATCCGTCGAAGAATGGTGTTGTATGACTCCCGAGGAAACTTCTTGCATTTCCTCTGCAGACGGCAACAATCTCTTGTCTTTTATTCATTCCTTACCTCTCTTCAGTTGCTTCTCTTCTCCGACTTCTTGCTGAGTATCACGAAATATCTTTTCCCTGACTGGCACATATCACTGCTGACAATACTCTATCACGTATAGTGCGGATCACTTTGGCGCCTTGCTCCGATCCACACCAATACACAGAGCACATAAGAAATACATTGATCATTAACGATTCCGGCTAGAACCTCGAATTTCGATGATTTGGCCTTCCACCTGCCACTCCCTCAGCCAATCTGCACCATCTTCAAAGCTCCCATGCTTCTGTGGTATTTCAAACTCGCCATCGTAACGTGCACAATGTCAGCTGTTTACCTGAGGATGATTGCGACGAGATACCAATCGAAATCAGGGTCTAATGGACCTCCGCAGCCCAATTGTTGTAGTCCGGAAGACGAACATGCAAGATGAAGATGGCAACCGTGCACTGAACAATGCGTCTCTGGAAATGAAGAATCAAGGCAAGCAATTGATTTCCAAAAATATTGACAGACACTAAAATCATAGAATAGAATGCTGGTCTACAGAACTGACGATTATATCCAACCCTTCAACGGTCGCATCGCCGATCGGGATGATCGGAAAAGCATGACACGCCCCATCGACCTCACTCAACTCAGAACCTTACTCGCTTATTGCCCTTTCACTGCCATAAAAAACTATCATCAAGCAGCGGCTCCATATTGCTCGACAGGAACAAAGCTGGGGGCAAATTTCCGATCCGCAAACAGGGGGCGAGAATGGTAATTCCTTCCTCTCTGCCATGGGAATATGACCAAAGCCAGCCTTGCAATACGCCAATATGCCTTACTTACTGAGTAAGATGTTCTGAGTGCGCTCAAGCTCAATTATGGACGGGGTATAAGTGAACTCGAAGATACCGTACCCACGCACGATGGCATCCAACTTCGTTGGAAGTCGATCCCGTAATCTCTCTTGAGCGAAAGCACCGCTGAAACTGCCAGCCATCCACCTGCGGACTCACCACCGAGCATCTTCAGTGCTCCTTTTCATCTGCTGGACTGATTGTATGGAGTGTTGCGGTAATGCCTTCATGGAGTGACCTCTGGGGAAACGGTGTTCGGGTGCCAGTCGATATTAAAGCGGTCGGACATGGTGGTCAAGTAGGTATTGTATGATGCATTGCCACGGATGAAGAAGCCCCCTTTCCATTCTTCAATCAGTGATTTTCGTCATCAAGTCCGTGTTGAGAGACTACTAATCAGTATGGAAATGTAGCTAAACAACTGCACTCGGTTGTTGCTTGGGTGCAATATGCTCAATTCAATTTGATGGCCATCCCGATCAGTCACACTTATCGTCCTAGCTCCACGATTGAACCCGCTGAGACCCTCCCGCGAATCTTACTATAAGCAGGCGACGACTCACATTCTTCCTATTAATGTTACCTACCAGCTGCAACTCAATTTCATTCAATCTCTTGTGATGCGTGCCTTTCTCGTGGCATCATTCGATAGAGATTGGGGTAACGCTCAGTTCAATGGCATAATGGTATAACAAATTCGAGTACAAACACATGATGCGATATGATCCTGATGAATTATATTACATAGAATCTACTTATTGAAACCCAGCTTTCATATAAGAACCTTAAAGAAAGATGTCGTACTTGCACACAAATTCAGGGATTACGATTGGCGGATGAGAAGTACAGAACAAAGATCAACAGAATGGGACGGAACAACGGCTAACGGAAAATTACAGGTAATGTGGAACCAATCATGTCGCTGTAATGACGATTGCCTGCATGACGCTAGTTTATCGTAGACGGCACGGCTGATCGGCCGGCTTAGTATAGAGCCGGCTTACCATATTTCTGGTGCCAGTCTATTGAGCAAACTTATTAGACTTCAGAAACTAGAATCGGGAATTTTATTTCTCTTCATAGATTCGAGAGTTAATTTGACATGTATCTAAGCTTGTCGATGGTGAATATGTTCGTTCTTTCTGCGATAATGTTATGTGAAACATCCATCCATGGATGCTATGTGATGTGTTCAATTTCTCGTAATGTTTCCCATGATATAAATAGCGCTAGTCACCCTCCAATTCAAATCCCTGTATACTATGTGCGTAAGCCAGGAGTGAATGGCCTGGAAACCAGTCTGTCATCAGTCATCCTCTGCAGTCATGTGTATTCAAGCTCTCGCCTTAAGCTGAACCATCAGATCGGGCTTCTCCCACAGCAGGAATGTTTTCTGCTTATTCCAACCAATAGATTCAGGAAGAATGGAAAAGTCAAAGTTGTAGATAATCTTGGCCAGGATAAGACGCATTTCATGATACGCCAGACTATTCAATTGTTAGCATTTTCATCTTTTTCTAAAGACCGGGAAAGGCATACTTCTTTCCAAGGCAGTTGCGAGGACCAGTCGAGAAAGGCTGGAAAGCAGCTTTGTTATCGCTGGCGAATTCATCGCCAATCCAACGCTCGGGAAGAAACTCCTCTGGGCGCTTGAAGTTTTTGGGGCTGTGATAGGCAGCCCATTGATGAACAGAAACTGAAGTCTACCTTCCATGTCAGTCACCCATCATGAGTTGAATTTGGAATGCAGTTACCTTTCCCGGGACATGTTCTCCACAAATAAACGCCCCTTCCTCAGGAGTGACGCGAGGAAGACCAAGGGGAATCGGAGGGTAAACGCGCAATCCCTCCTCGATGCACGCATTAAGATACGGCATGTGTTCCAAAGCCCGCATCTCAATATCCGAATCCTTCTCAAATGTCTCACGAACCTCCTTGACAATTATGTCCATCTTGTCAGGGTTCATCAGGAGGTGGTAAAGCAACCCACTGAGTCCAGTGGCAGTAGTCTCAGTGCCTGCAAGCATGAATGTTTGCGAGTTGGCGTACATTTCTGGGCGACTAAGGCGTAGATCTTCCTTCTGGTTCATCACAATACCCCAAATATCAGGCTTGTGCTCAAAATCTTCCTTATCAATCCGTTTATCAACTCGGTTCAAACAAGCCTGATAATGGTGCGTGCTCTGCACGGCCAGAGCCTTTGGAATAAATTTTTTGACCACCGGCTCAATCACAGGCCAGTAGCGGCCCAATCGGCGCAAAGCATTTGTCTTCAAACTACTGAAAACAGCCGAGACTAAAGTCTGGTCACCCGTTCCAGCTAACAGATCAATAGATTCACCAAAGGCCAGATCACCCATGATATCAAATGTGCACAGGTTAAGCATGCGAACCATATTAACCTTTGCCTTGGGATTCTCTGCAACTGTCTTGTGGAGTGACTGGACCAACAGATCCACATAATGACAAACCAAAGATTGTTGTTCCCGGAGTGCGCGATCGGAGAAGGCATGCGAGAAGTTGCGTCGAAATCGAGCGTGATCTGGTCCGTTCGCACGAACGATATCCGGGGCTCCGTTGAAAGTCCATCCGTAGAACCGAAGGTCTTTTTCCATGGGTTTTTTCCCCCCTACGGTGTGGCCGTAGATTCCCTTCCAGGCATCTGCTTTTGTGTAGCTTAGCTCATCTGGTGTGAAGCGGACCACATCGCCGTACTTTTTGTGCAAGTCTACAACCCATTCGCGGATGTCTCCCTTGAGTAGGTGGTAGAATTGGGGTATTCTGGATGCGGCGGCGAGCTTTGGGCCTGGGAATTTGGAGAGAGGGTTGATGAGGATTTGGTAGTATGCGTGCGAGGCCAGCCCGAGGACAATCTAAGAGGTTTGAGTTAGTACAGTTTGTCCGGTGTGGTGGGATCTTGTAGACTCTTTAAGGTAGGGGAAAGATTGGGGTGTCGTACTGAAGTGAGAATAACTCCAACGTAGTTTTCTTGAAGAAAACTAGAGATAGATTGGAACAACATCTTGACGATTTGTCCAGTCCAAAGTGTACATTACAAAAGAAATATGGATTAAGCATCTAATATAGTAAAACATGATATTTTATGCCCGCATAAAAGAAGAATATGCAAACAATATCTTGCATATGATTGTGTTTCAGACTTAGTTCTGTTGCGGGGTTTGTGTACCTTTCCTTGAAATTACGGTGTATTTTTGTGGCGTCCCGGTATTATTCATGTATTCAAAGCATAATCTTCAATACACTTCATTGATCGGCACATAAATCCCCGAGAATGAACAACCTGATCGTTACACCACGCTGCGAACTTTCTCCGTGTCGGCACCGAGTGCCGTTAATGACATCTTGAGGGATTATAACCTGTTCGATACGAATAAGTGCAGATAAGAAGATAGCATTGAAGACAATATTCGTAATTTCGACGCAGCTTATCGCAACAGAGATCAAAATACGTGGAGAAGTGAATCGCATAAAACCCACAATAGAATCTGGAGGACTATGGACATAGTAAAAAAAACTCGGCCAGATCTATAGATCAGTTACATATTGAAAATAAAGTATAACGGCTGATCCCCTCTCGACTGAGCCGTGGAACAGTTCAGAGAATGTGGGGCTTCAAACTCCATGTTTGTGGGGGTCCGTGCCCATGAGAAGCTGGTGCTAGTATCTGGTCCTTACTTGCATTACAAGTGCGGCTTCAGTAGTTGTTATTCATAGTTTCAAGATACAAGACGCCCCTTGAGAAGATTGTAGCTATGTTTTGGTGGTGATTTGGTTGCTGTTTATCAACCTTGGACAACGGGAACTGAATTTTGGTACGCTTGATGGGATGGGGATGAGATTGGACATGATAGTAAGAGCATGTTAGGTCCGTCGGTTGATATGGAGAATATTTGAATTTTGGTGACAGCTTACAAAAACATTTCATAATGGTCTTGACGGAGATTCAAGTAGGATTAGTCATTCTCTTGTATTGCTTCAATATATTTCTAGTTTTATCAAAATTATCAAACCATAACTGCCCCTACAAACCTCTAATCACTTATTTCTTATCTCAATTAGATTGACATGTTACTATTTCTATTAGATTCAAGAGTTTGGTCCAGATCTGAGACGCTAGATTTGGATCAAGCACGCGACATCAATCTCAAGCTCCTCTGCTACCTTCAACACCCATTCTCGCTGGGCAGCTTTCGCAAAATTGGACACCAGCTCTTTGATCTCGAGCTCCGTCGTCCCCTGAGTATATGATAGCAACCATATTGGTCGAGACCTTTACCATCCAGGTGTTCTCAACAACCCCTGAAGGACCTAGAATATGATCAAGACACCCATCATCCACCTTCAAAGCCTCCGCACTCAACTCTCCCAACTCCTGCACAGCCAATGGAGGCTGCGTGCTCACCTTCCTCCCAGCATGCGATAGTTGCAAGCCACACAGACTGTCTTGCGAGCGAATAAATCCACAATGGGCTTCAGACCCTGCTGTCGAGGATCATTCCAAGGCCTAGAGCAGTGAGGCGTGATCCGGCTATTTGATTCAACATCAGTAGCTTTGATATAGCTAGCGCAGCGCCCTTGGCAATTTTGTCCGATTCTGGCAATTAACAGGGGTGTTATCACACCTGTAAGCAGTCCGGAATATACGATCAAATATGGACACGTTCGAGTGACGCATTTGCGTTTTCTGAGCATGATTGGATGCGCAACAGTCGAAATAAATCAAGTTTGTTTTCGTCGATTACGTACGCTGTTTCTGCTGTTACTGGGAGTTGGATTTTTGATTGTTGAAGGGAAAGTGGTAGAGAATCCTTAGCCCCTGACGTGCAAGTCTGATCTATGTGGCATTCTGATCGCGGAACAATTCGGTGTGATCGATGGGGCGTATCGGGATGTAGAATCAAGTGATTCGAATGCCTTACAACTCAAATGCCTTACAACTCAAATGCCTTACAACTCAAGACATGTAATTCAAAGCTCCTTTGGAATTTATTTCCGATTTTTGAGATTATTTATTCAATGCAGTTGTTTATTCAATGCAGTTGTTCACATTCAACCAATTTGTGCTCGAAATACGTTTTTCAATGGACCTCGGCAACTTCACACTTAATTTCGATTCATTAGATCAGTCCATTGATGAAATTACACAAAGTACTTAGCATCTACCTTTAAATTATGTAGAAGCGTCGCGATATGTTTCTAAGCAAACCAATATTTTGACGGCGAATGTTTCACCTTTGAAGCCCGCCTGCAGGACCCTTTTTCATCCATCGGGTGAACTTCCCGAATCAGCCACGACTCAGTTTTCAGTCGATCTATCCAATCGGAAGTCTCCAGCTTTCCATAATCCAGTGCCTTGTTTCGAAAAATATTATCTGCGTACTAATCTGAGTTTGCACCCGTCGTCGCATTGAGAATCTAGCGCAATTGAAGATTTTTATAATACTCCATATATCAACCAATGGATATTGTAGGGGAGCCAGGCACTTTCCCATGTGCCGTTGATAGGGTTTAAGAATTTTTACATGAAATTATTCGGGCGATCATCTCCAGTGGTGACAGCAACATAACTGAGTATCTACAAGAAAACTTAAATTTCTGAACTACGAAACGATCACCATGAAACAAGGTCCACCATCGTTTCATCAGCTTTGCAGCCTTGAAAATGAGTTCAAATTCTAGATTTTTATCTTGATTCAAGAGTCAATGAGCGAATAGACTAAATCGATTCTTGGCTCGTTTCTAACGAGATATAAAGGCCTGCCAGGTCCCTCCAAGAATTGTCTAACTGTCCTTCTTTCATCTTCCAGTCTTTTCAGAGCCGGTCTCTTTTCCCAAGCTGATTTTCTACATATATCCGTTTCTCATTTGCTTAAACCCTTTACTATGAAGGCCGCAATCATTCTCACCCTTATCGGGTCGAGCCTCGCAGCTCCTACCCCCACAATCCAAGAGCGCCAGTTCAGCGGCACAGGAACCAGCGGATTCGGATCCCTGAACTCCCTCCTCTCCGAATTTTTCGACATACCGAGTCTGAGCTCCTTCGGTTCTTCCGGCAGTGGTTTCAGTCTCCCTACCGGCCTGCCCAGCTTTAGCGGCCTAAGCGGACTGCGCCACAAGGCCAGACGCGCGACCGTGTCGTCTACCATGAACGGCGTCACTGGAAACAGTAGCTGCCAGCCCTTGACTCTGATCTTTGCTCGTGGAACCGGCGAGCTGGGAAATATGGGAACTGTTGTTGGGCCGCCTCTCGCCACGCAATTGCAGTCTCAGACTGATAACAATGTCACTATTCAGGGTGTCAACTATGATGCTTCTGTCGCTGTAAGCTTTATCTCTTCCAGCCTCTTTTTCATTTCACTTACCATGTATAGGGTGACGCAACAATGGGTGAGGATGGTGGCTCTGCCATGGCGACACTGGTGAAGACGGCTCTGGAGAATTGTCCCGACACCAAGGTCGTTCTTGGCGGCTATTCTGAGGGTGCGATGGTCGTTCACAATGCTGCTAGTAGCCTTACCGCGGACCAGATTACCGCTGCTGTTCTCTTTGGTGACCCATTGAAGTTTGAGGGCGTTGGAAAACTCTCTACTAGTGATGTGAAGGAGTTCTGTGCCACTGGGGATCCTGTCTGTGAGAATGGAGCGAATGTTATCGCGCACCTGTCTTATGGGACTGATGCGACTACTGCGGCTCAGTTCTTGGTTAAGGCGGCTGGTATCTCGACTAGCTCTTGATGGATAGTTTTTGATGTTGTAGGACTTGAAATGGTGAGATTTTGAAGGTCGGAGTGGGCAGTCAGACTTGCGTTATTGTAGTAGCCAACCAATCGAAACCTTATTCACGCTGATGGAATGTCCATACCTGTCTTTGTTAGTACATCATCATCAAACAAAGGTGCTCTCAGCTATTCATAGTACTTCGCCTGCTATCCCTACAGCCTGAGGCCTGTCGCGGGCTTATCACTAGCCTAAGGCTCCCTACCTCCATCATTTTACCTCACTTCGGAACTGGCTTAAGTTAATTAGCCAGTTCGTTCTTTCCATGCTTGGCGTTGCTGTTGAAGCCTAGGTCCATAACATTTACTTCAAACGGTCTCGGCAAATTCCCCTCCTTTAACTTAGCTCGGTCGATTTTCCCCGCACTAAGGCTAATTCGGTACGCAGCTCGATCATGTGCTTTATCTCAGTGTCTGACTCAGCTGGTTCCCCTATTTTAACTTTGGCGGGGTTTTGTGGAAGTTTTCATCAAATTGTGAGTCATCAAGACTCAATCGTGATCGAAAGTGGATAATGGTAAATGTGTTATATCATAAGCCGGAGGTCCGTCGGAGCAGTTAGGGGTAACATGGAAAGTACATATAGCCAGACATCGACCACCAAATTTTAGCTTACCCACATACCTCGCATTTTCAATCATGTCTTTAGACGTCGATGCCATCGCAGAAATATCCCATGGCTTGTCATCAAAACCTCAAATCCAAGCCAGGGTCGACCTTTTCAAGACCTGGGGTATTCCATCAGGGTCAAAAATACTTGAAATCGGCTGTGGACAAGGGGATTGCACTCTGGCGATGGCCTATCTAGTTGGAGAGAAGGGCCACGTGACAGGAGTCGACCCAGCGCCCCTAGATTACGGTCAGTCTGATCAAAGGAAAGATTTAGGAAAAAAATTCTTGTATATTAATAATTTGAGCAGGCGCACCTATGACTTTAGGCCAAGCACAAGAAAAGCTTAAGCAGAGTACGATCGGTAACCGAATCACATTCCACCAATCAGATCTCGAAGGGTTCCTCAGTTCCAGCAGCTCAGAACCACTCTACGACTATGCCGTGTTCGCGCGTTGTACTTGGTACCTCCCATCTGCCGAAGCATTGACGCCGATGCTGGTAGCTCTACGTGGAAGAGCAAGACACCTTCGCATTGCAGAGTACTCAACCGATATCCAAGGGGATATTGCCGCTCTGCCACATCTACTAGCGGCAATCTCACAAGCGGAGTACAACTCCAGGGACGATAACTTGGACCGCGATGATAATATTCAGTCTATCATATCCCCACAGAAGATTCGTGAGATAGCGCTCAATGCGGGATGGGAGTTTGAGAGGGAAGACGTCATCAAATCTCCGGAGGATCAAGAAGATGCGAAATGGGAGGTTAGTCGCGTTCTCTCGCAGGCTTATCGTGATAGGTCGCGATCATCTGGTGGTGTGAGTCGTCAAGACTACGCAGATGCGTTGATCAATGCCGTTGAAGAGAGTAAGCGTGCACTTGGGCCGAGCCCAGGTCCTAAGCTCAGGACTTTACCTACATGGCTGGGCTCGTGGGTTTAAGTGATGTATACTGTAGTCCTCCGTTACTAGAGGCTTTCCATCGCGCAAAAAAAGACCCCCTACTATATCTCCAACTCGATCTCCTATTTAGTCTCCTACTCGGTATCCTATTCAGTATTCTACCTTCTTTCGTACCATATTAATCAAATAGTTAAAGGGCTCTCCAAATGCATAAATAGCGGAATAGAAAAGTGAGAGAACAAAGAGAAGAGAAGATACTTGAAGTCGAAGGAGAAGGGGACAAAAGGAAAAGTCTGGTGGAGGTACTGATTGATGATAGCAAGGAAAATTAATGATAAATAGATACTATGTGATAATTAAAATCCCACATATAACTGCGAAGTTAGAATCTCTGAACAGCCTGTTCAGACCATTCCCACAGTGCCTTGGCAAGAGCTGGATCTTGTGAAATCTTCGTACCTTTTTCCACCTTGCCAATCGGGAAGTAAAAACTGCCACTTTCCACCTCCGCTGTTGTGGCAGCCCACAGAATGTTATGAGAGCCGGTCTCAACCGTAAACCATTTTCGGCCAAAGAACCACCTCGTAATCATGGCTGACCAGTGATTCTTTCAAAGATCACTGTCAATCATACCTGGGTGAATGGCAGTAACAGTGAATTCAGGATGTCGGGTAGCCAGCTCTCATGTGAAGAGAACGTTAGCGAGCTTGCTTTGACCGTATCGCATCCAATTATCCCATGGCTTATGTCCCACGTTGAGATTTTTGAAATGAATCCCATCGGATGGACAGGAGCTATATGCGACAGATGAAACATTCACGACGCGGACATCCTTTGGTGATTTTGATCGTGCAGTTGTAGCTTGGAGGGTTTGCAGCAGAAGACTGGTCAAGAAGAAATGTCCTAAATGATTGATACCAAGTTGAATTTCGAAATCGTCTTGAGTTTTTCCGGGGGGAAGAGCCATGACGCCGGCGTTGTTAATGAGGATATCAAGACGATCACTTTTGGACTGAAACTCGGTTGCTGCTTTGTGGACGGATGATAAGGAAGATAGGTCATGAGCAAGGAATTCCAGTTGGGCGCCTGGGACTTGCTTCTGGATTTCCTCTATAGCTTGCCAAGCTCTAAATTTATCCCGACATGCAAGGAATATCTTGGATGGGTTGTGTTTGGCGAGGGAAATCGTTGTCTGTTTGCCAATGCCTGCATTTCCGCCAGTGATCAAAATCACTTTTCCTGTTAAAGAAGGTATGTCTGAGATAGGGTCAAATGAAGACATTATATGAAAAAAGAAAAACTATTTTTTTTTTGATATGCTAAGATAAAATAGCAATCAACACTGGAAGACTTGGCCTGTTATATTCAGTGTAAGGCAATATAATAGTCTAAAATTGCTTATTGACTCGTTACTGTCGTCAGCATAATATCCAACTTCACTTACACTTTAAAATGCTTGCTACAAGGTGACGCGTCATCTTCGTTGCCTGATATCGGTCATTTATCTGTGCTGGCCATGCCTTCCCCCGGATACCTAGGGCAGGATCAGATAATAGTCTTTAGTAGTATTTATCATGCAAGACTAACGAATCATTTGGCACTGACACCCATGAGGCGTCGATGATTACTTCCATTATGCGTGTCCCAAAAGTCGACCTGGATCTCCCGCATGCTAGAAATAGTGATGAGTCAGATTAGGCATCAAAATCTTGCAGCTGAATTATCTTGATTCTACTGATTGAATTAGTACCAGCTACGTGTCACCTTTCTCTTCGCTTTGGCTGGGATCTTGGAAGTAACGTCAGTTTGGGGCCGAATTAATGGCCCCCAAAAATAAGCACTAGCGCGAGATACTTCCAAGATAGGTTCACTGATTTGGATCCCTTGCAATCGGATGTGGGTACTTTAGACTACACACGAATTTTTAAAACAGGGTTGTATGTACAATGTAATTATATATCCTAGTACCATTGAATTATGGTAACTGGGCTCGATTTGCGACTAAATTCCGCTATATCTTATAGAAGACTGAGTGCAAAGATTCCAGAAGATTCAAGATCCAGAGGCAACAGAAACTCTACTCACTCTAGAGATATGTGAGAGCTGCTTTTTATTGTCTTTATCCCGAACCTATGATCTGACTAAATTAGGCATGCTACACAGTCTCTGCAAGCGCCGAGAAGTTGGCTTGTGAGAGAACTTCGCATAACATGGGCTCTCTTGAGAGATAATGCCATCGCACACTTGGGAAATGCTGCTGTGTGTCTCACTGCTCGACTCATGACCTCTTCTCTGGCCCCAATACAATATCTGGAGATTATTCCGCCGTTTGCTCTCGCTACAATTACATTTGCTTATGTCTTCGACATTGCCAATCAGATCACATCAATAGAAGAAGATGTCATCAATAAGCCCTTAAGACCAATTCCCGCTGGGCTGCTGACCAAAGCCGAAGCATCCCAACGCTCATTCCTCAGTTGGTCTCTATCCCCTGTTGTGGTTTTATGTGTTTCAGGATACAACGCAGCCGTTTGTTTGATCATCTGGGAGATGTGGGTAGCGCTGCATTATGTATGGCCCAGATTCAATCACTGGTTTATGCGAAACGCTTTCACTGCAGTGGGAGTAACGATCCAACTGAAGCTGCTCGATGCCGTAATAACCCATGCAGTCCCGACAATTCAAAAGGCTGGCCACCTCGACATCTTGCTATTCATGTGGTTTGCTCTTACGATACATATTCAGGAATTTCATGATGTGGAAGGTGATCGCCAACAGAAGCGACAAACACTGCCGTTGATTTTAACGCCGAAGGCAGTAGACCTTCTGCGGACAGGCACGGCACTTCTCATCATCGCCGAAGCTTGTGTGGGACTCCTTGTGAGAATTTCACTTCTTCTTCCTACTCCTTCCTTGTTGAGAATTTCTATAGGAGTCATACACTTGGTATTTGCAACAATTTTAGCCACGCGCTTGGTATTAAGCTCTTCGAAAGAGATGGATCATGCTACATACCATTATTACTACTATTCAGCAACATATACCATGGTTTTCTTTCATGCGCAAATGGTTCAAGTGAATGATTCTTTTTTTGACTGAAGTTTTGATTGCTGCTTTTTCTTTTGGGCCGGAAATCATTTATAAACAATTGTATTAAATTAAATCATCGTTTGCGATCTTCCAGTTCCTCATGTTACTAAGCACCCATTCCTATGAACTACAATTTGGCATCCGGAATGGCAGCTATCTTAGATACCTCATTTTTATTTTCTGCTCAGCCACTGTTGTACTTCGAATTCATCTCTACCAAGAACTCAAGAGCAAGCATGGGATGATTTAACGAAGGTTGAACATGACACAAATCGTATTACCATGCGTCTTTCTGATACTTTCCCTTGCTTCATCAATGATACCATCTCATACATGTCTTCCAACTTGAAGGTCGTACGGTTGATATGAGGAAATATGCCTCTTCGGAGGGAGAAGTTGACACAACGTTGAACTTCAGCCTGGTCAGGAATCCTCGAGCCAATAATACTGAAAGCAACATTAGCAAATGCGCCAATTGTTTTAATTTTCTTGTGCGCCATAAAAGGGGACCGCCGAATGAAAAGAAGATTTTCCTGTTACACCTTGCTGTAATTTGCATGGCATGAATTTGAACAGGATCTTTAGGGAGCCCAACAGCAATGATTCTCCCCGATGGTGCAACGTAATAAAATGCAGTTTGGTACGCAGTGGCAGCTCCGGTGGTGATAAGGACCACATCAGCTCCATGACCATCGTTCAGCCTTTTAATCTGAACCTGGATTTCTTTGAGAACAAGACCCTTGATATGCAGCGTCTTCTCGGCCCCATTTGGTCGTTCGGCGGCTTTCAATTGTCATCGTGCAAATCAAGAGCAATCACTTTGGCTCCCAGGACAGAAGCGTACTGTACCGCCAACTGGCCAAGACCGCCCACGGCAATGATGCCCAGGCTTTCTCCCGGTGCTAACTTTGCACGCCCTATAGCATCCCATACAGTAATCCCAGCATAAAATACTGGGGACAATCGTGCTATCTTGTCTCCCATTTATTGGCTGTCTTTGTTTAAGTCATCGTCCCGGATAACGACAGCACTAGCAGCATCCATCGTGCAGTACTCAGCAAAAAACCCCGGGGGAAATGTTCCCTGGATTTTCATCGTAGAACAGAACTCAGGGTCTATTCATCTACATTCGTAGCATTCGAGGCACATCTGATGGTAAGGAGCAGTATCCACAATGTGGCCGACTTCGAAAGCCGAAAGCGTCCGCCTCAAGTCCTAGCTCATGAACAATGCCAACAGCTTCATGACCTATGATGAGCGGAGAGTGTTCAGTTCCATAGTCTCCATTTAGCACACCAATATCTGTATCGCAGAGGGAGGCTGCAAGAACTTTGACGAGGAGTTGTCGCGGGCCCAGTACGGGCATGGCGACTTCCTCAATCATGACTGGTTGTTTGGCCTAGGACGAGGTTAGTGGATAATCATTACAACCTGTACTTGGAAAAAGTAATTCTTACTTATTTCACCGCAGCCCTCATTGTTTTTGGAGTCATGATCAGAGATATAGATTGGCCGTGGGCGGCAGCTCAGGGATTAGATAATTGATCATGGGTCTGGAATCGTTGATGTCCCCTTTTTACTAATTCTGGCACCAGGGAGACGACTAGGGTGTGAAGTAGCCCGAAGTATATTATGCGATGTAGCATCTATCAAGATAATAATCAGATATTCATGAGATCAACCTCTGTGTACTTGGGATATTGATAATGCTCCTCTATAAAGATTATCTAAATGTCGATCGCCGCAAGGGAATGCGAACACCCTCCTTGTGTTCGGCAATCCTGCATATAAGGAAGTTCTAGCCAGGATAGAGTATGTTGTGACACCATCATTCCCTTGGGTAGCTAATAAATGTAAAGTTGGCAAGATGCACTGCACTAGGCCAGGAGGTTTTTTCAATCTAGCCTTTCAAGTTACAGGATCCATATTACATCCAGCAACCAATCAGATTTGCATTATCGACTCTGTACTGTAATTGTGTTCAACTTTTCTATTTTGCGTTCACCGACTTTTTCCTCTTTCCAGTTGTACTGGCAAGGTGAGACTGTTTGATTTCGGTATTTGTCTTCCAAAATTTTCAACGCTGATCTTTTTTTTTGCTCCGATAGCCTATGTTGATGGGACTTAAAATAGCTGACACCTACTTTATTATCTCTCAACCCTCACTTTGCAATCAAAAGAAGGTCACGAGGAAAGACATAGACAGCAAAATCCCATACCGCCAGCTTATTTTCGATCAAGGAGTGGTTACTGAGCGCCAACCACCAATATAGAGGCACCGGAACAATTCAAGACCCATATCTTGTGAACTGAATTCCAAACGATCCTCGGACCAAAAGAGTTTTATGCATTTTCTAGATTGTGATACACTGCGTTGATGGCTTTGACCACGCTCAAAGTGTCATTAGCCTCGTCGGCTTATACAGGAGGAGAGCTTGAGATTATGAAAGAGTTCCAAGTCAGTTCTGAGGTTGCAAATCTGGGAGTTTCGGTATTCTTGCTTGGCTTCGCAATTGGACCTCTATTCTGGGCACCCATGAGTGAGTTTTATGGACGAAAAATACCTTTTTTGTGAGCTTTTCCGGCTTCACTATTTGCTGCATGGCAACAATGGGGTCAAAAAATCCTTGGTCAGTGATCATCCTTCAATTCCTCGCTGCTTGTTTTGGATCATCACTACTTATCAATGCCGGTAATCTTAGTCCTCACAACATTTGTTCATTTTTCATTTCCTTTTCAGGGCTGACTTGATTAAAAGGCGGTGTTATTGCAGATATGTTTTCGGCGACAGAGAGAGGCTTGGCGCTGATTTTATTTGCCAGTGCAGCATTCTGTGATCGTATGCTTGGTCCAATCATTAGTGGTTTCTGTAAGTATATTGACTTTCACCTAGATATCTTAAGTCTTGACTTCTTGAACTGATTGTCAGTTAGTGGGGATGAATGCCGGCTGGAGATTGGTTGTGGGTCTCCTAGCTGCTGTATCTGGTGTCCTTCTTATCACCTGCTGTCTACTCGTCCCAGAAACCTATATGCCTATTTTTCTTCATAAGAGGGATGGAAGGCTTCCAAAAATCTCCAGCAAAGTATACAGAAGTGAGTTTGAGGTTCATCAAGACAAGATAAATGCAAAAAACGCATTCAAAACCGCATTGTGTCGGCCATTTATTTTGCTGCTGTGTGAGCCGATTGTGTTGCTTTTATCCATTTTTATCGCCATTGACTACGGACTATTATACATGATGTTTTGTGCCTTCCAGATCATTTTCCAAGATCAGCGTCACTGCAACCAGGGATTGTCCGGCGTGGCATTACTGGGATTTTAGTTGGTGTGACTGTGCGCTCGCCTTCACCATCTTTGACAATAAACGTTATACCAAGATACAGGAGAAGCACAATGGCTTTGCACCACCAGAGGCGAGACTTTTACCGTGCCTAATTGGCGCTATAGCACTGCCTATCAGTCTTTTTGTTTTTGCCTGGACCACCTTTCAATCTATTCATTGGATCGTCGGTATAATTGCCATAGCCCCCTTTGGTTTTGGGATAGTCATCCTATACCTGTCAATCACCAATTTTTTGGTTGATTCATGCAAAATATTCGCAGCTTCTGCACTGGCAGCCAATTCAATCCTTCGATCACTTATCGGCGCAGCCTTTCCATTGTTCACCGTCACCATGTACGACAACCTCGGAGTTCATTGGGCATCTAGCATACCAGCTTTTCTAGCACTGGCTTGCGTTCCATTTCCATTTCTAAACTCCAAGTACGGTCAGAGTATCCGGAAAAAATGCAGATATGCAGCCGACTCAGAAGCATTGATACCAAAGTTGTCAGAGCAGCCACCGCTACAATTTTCCACAACAACGACAGTATTTAAATGGTCACTATGTCAAGAATAACCTTTCTGTGCCTATTGTTATAGCCTTTTCGGGTTTTTGTCTTTTAATCTACTATAAAAGATAGTTGAAGCATGTACTCTGTTGTAGGTGGTAGAAATTCAATTATTCATTTGCACATTACATAACATCCAGACGCATCTACCCGAGGTTAATACCTTTTTATCATAGTAAAATTAGTTACAAATAATTATATAAGAGGCGACCATTCTGAGTTAAATTTCTCTTCGCCTAGGTGGAAAGAAAAAGCGTAGTGATATCAACGGAGTAATTTTCAATAAAGAAATGCTGGAAAAAGCAAAAAGATACAACATTGAGGATTCGCTGGTGTTTATCCACCCAAATAATAATTCACCGGCGTGTGGCTTAAGTATGCGGACGGGAAGCCATGTTTCCCACACCCCATGGTTGTATGTTCTTACTCTAGTATTGATAAAGATTTTATAGCCATGTTTCATTGGATATCGCTGTGTCCATCCGAAGAATCGTTGGTAACGCCGTACAAGTTGATGAAGAGTGGATGACATGAGGTCTGAAAATTTGGGGGCTAGCTTCAGGGCCTCAGAGAAAGCATCTAATGGGGAACGAGGTGAGAGCCCAAGAAAGCAGCGAGGGACGTGACGAAGATGTGATGACGAGTCACATAAAGAAAAGGGGTCGGCGGAGCTCAGGCTGAGCTCGGTGATCCGAATCAATAGCAAGAAAACCTCACCTGCAGATATCAGGGAGGAGGAGGGCGAGAAAGAACATGTGAGATGGTAGGTTGGGGGAGAGGACTGGGTGCGATATAGAACCACGCACGGGGACAAATAAGGACAAAGAGCGCTGAGCAGTAGTTTATAAAGCATAAATTTGAGCTTCTCTGCATCTAAATCCGATATGGTGTAGTGGCTAACATCGTCGTCTCTCACACGACAGCCGGGGGTTCGATTCCCCCTATCGGAGTTCCTTTTTTATCTAACTAAATTAGTAATGGATCCAGGCTGGGCATTCTTTTCTATTAAATAATTAACCCTTCTCGTTTTGTCCTACGGGACTTGTCCATAAAATGCTACTGAGTATGCAGAATCTTCCCGATGTCCGCAGTTAGCGTGCCCGTATCCTCCTAGACAGTCCAATTTGCCAATAGCCAGCATTTTCTGTAGATCTGCGATTGAATAACGGGTTATCTTTTTGAACTTCTAGCTATCTACATCGATCTCCAAATTGATAGCCTTACTGGCACTTTGGCCTGCTTCGTTCTTATCACCATTAGTGGCTTGGTCAGGTGACTTCCCCGTTTCTTAATCGTGGCGCCCGGAGTCAGAATCTATCTCCTGTCAACAATGGTTATGGTATATTCTCTACATAGTGCGTTCCTATTTGTCAACTGATAGCATGTCAACTGGTGTTCCTGTGGAGGAGGCACCATCGAGACGCCGTTCACGCGACGGTACGCTCACTCCGTATATCCGCCCCACTTTTCACTAACGATACCCCAGGTTGCTTCACCTGCAAGACTCGAAAAGTTCGATGTGCAAAAATCCCTGCAGGATCAGGAATTGAAAATGACCAGTCTGGTTCACCAAAATGTGCAACTTGCGTGAGACTTGGGCTCGAATGTCGGTGGCACGCGCCAGCACCTGGAGAGCACTATATTCCTCCACCCAAGAGAAGGCGGACGGTCGGTCGGCGACCAAGCAGCGTAGCCCCGAAGGACCACCCAGGGTCATCTTCAAATCATGATTCAGACAATTTGAGTAATGCAAATAGCTCAAGCCTGAATCCATCCATGGGTTTTCCACTACAAAATCTTGGAGATTTGGACCTTAACCTCGATTTCGACATTGAGGGTGACCTCTTCGGCTTCAATATTTCCGGTGAAGGACTGGACTTCATTCCTTTTACTCCTGTTGAACCAAGACCTGATTCTCAAGATGCAGAAACGCCTAGCCTGAGTCTTACGGAACATAGAGATGTCGCGGTAGAGGCACAACCAGATTCAGACGCATCCATTACAATCGACAAGAAAAACTCCCGTTTGATTCAGCATTATTTGGATGTGATGAAGGGATTTGCAAAATTGGACGAATTTCCACACAAAGCCAGCAACCTATTTGTTTCTGCTTTCTCTAAATCGCTTCAATTCCCTCCTCTCTTTTATGCAATTCTGGCCTTTTCCGCATCTCACCTCAGCGTTGAAGATGATTCTTACTCCAACCAAGCCACGAAATACAGCCAATTGGCTGAATCTTCATTCAAGACTCATATCCAAGGCGAGGTTACAGAGGTTGAAGCTCTGTTGTCTGCACTGGTTGTCCGCATTAAAACCGTGCATATGATGGGAGGCGATATCCAAATCTTCCACAGTCTCATGCAGATAGCTGCCGATATTGTCTCATCTCAGAGAGGTGCAGAAGCTCTGGAAGATCCTTCAAGTCTGTCAAGACGGATCATCATCCGTCTTGCTATCTTGGATGCGCGCTCCACTTGCTTCCGACTTGGCGGGGGTGTGCTTGTCAAGCATTTGTATGCATCGTCATCTTGTTCGTTCATTTTCGAACGTGAAGCACAGGATGCGTCCAGAACCACCCTTCTTAACTTACTCCAGGCCGATTTGTTGAAAGTCAGAATTGCCAGTCTCGATTTACGGCTACATGATCAACCGGAAAGCGATACCATTCAGTCACCAGTTAGTATCACGGAAATCAATGATCTGTACGAGGAGATTCGTCGCGAGATTGATATTTTTGAAAAACGAATGGTTGCCCTCGGCGACGACTTGACAAGCTCTCCCCTGTCAGGAGATAAAACAATTGACTCAGCCTCCTACGATCGCCTAATCGTCTTATCTGCCCTGCATTCTGGACTTCTATATCTCATAATGATTATTGTGAGTTTCCTTCCACAAATTTCTTTCTTCTCTAACCTTTTAGCCATTTCCTCTAGTCGGGTGTGAAAAATCAGTCTCGGCAATCCTCTTAAATCAACTCAAAGTTTCACACGATCCTTCACGCCGAAGCTCGCCAGGATCGCTCATGCCTGCGTCGCTATTTCTCGCTGGGGTGCATAACACCGATCCAATCAAAAGTGACTGGATCTTGGGCCTACTCGAGAAGGGTATAAAATGGGGACCCTACATTGGGAAGACCCGATTGCTTCTCGAAGCCGTACTACAAAGGCAATCCAAGGGGATGAAAGCCGCTTTACGTGATGTCATGGACGAAGTCACTGGCAGATTTGTGATCTAGAATATCAGGCCTGTATTGCTATCCATGGACGTGAGTCCTCAAGGCGCGGAGAAACTCCAATTTCTTATCTTGGCCGGCCGGAATTGCAATCTGAAAATGGAGCTTCTCGGCTCCTTATCTGATATGACTTTCAGTATTTGCCGAGATGAAGCCGACTATGTCGGATCGATATGTCACGTGCAATCCACATCTATATACACCGCTGTTCGAAGACAAGATTCAAATAACACTAGCCTGACATACTTACAGATACCAAAAATATAAGCATTGCAAGTTGGCATCACGCAATGGCGATCGAAACTCTTCCCGTCGAGGCCTTCTGTGTCGGAAAGCCAACAACAACCCTTTTGCCCGAGACTGAAACTTCGAACGCTGTGATTCTTGAGCCATATCATGTTGATTTACTACCTGTTTATGGCTATACCAGCAGGGAATACTTAATTACCGGTGAGGCCGCTGGTCAATCTTATTGCACAAGGTTACTACTTCGTTCACCCGCGGATCCCACAAAGTTTTCTGGTCTAGTCGTTGAAGAACCATCTCACCTGTGGGGAGGTACCAGCATATGGCGTCATATAAATCGCTGGGTCATGCGTAATGGTTAGTCTATGAGAAAAGCTGATTATTGCTCTTGGCTGATGATTTGAAGGACATGCATGGCTCGAAGTCGATTCCCAGGCACCTTCAGCAATTGGGAAGATCAAGAACATCGATCCCACTCGCTACAAAGATATGCACTTTATTCCAAGCTTACTTGCAGATGACTTTGCCGCGAATATTCCCTTTGTGACAGACGTATCGAAGGAGACTCTGTACGAGAACTACTGTGCATTTAAAGCAAAATGGTGGCCCGCTACTTTGCAGTCTCCAGAAGTTCTGGCCGCTGCATCCTATGCCCTGAGATCTGGAGAGCTGGGTGTCAAAGCCCAGAAGGTTATTCTGAGTGGACTTTCACAAACAAGTGGGGTGACTAGACGATTCATCACACACTCATCACATTTAAGGCTCCCAGACGGCTCTCTTCCATTCGAGGGCTTCATTCCCTGTCAGTCTGGTGGGCCTGCACTTCCTGATCCTGCCTCCGCAAAGGTGATTGAGCTTCTCGGGGAATCTGAATTCCAATCTGTCCGCTTCGCCTGTGGTGTCAGTGGACAGCTCAAAGATACAACACACCGACGCCCCGATAGCGACTCATTGCGCATATACGAAGTGGCCGGAATGGCCCATCGAGAATCACGATACGCTTCAGCTCTGGATATCAAACGGTTGGCAGGGGTTGATCTGCGCGGTGCAAGGTGGAGCACATTCTCCAACTCGTTGATTTACCACGCTGTCTTTGAAGCCATGGAAAAATGGATCACTCGATCTGTCACTCCTCCCCCTAGTGTTTACCTCGAGACCGTTGGATCAAGCGATGAGATTTTGCGCGATGAACACGGAAATGCCCTCGGTGGAGTCCGGACTCTTCATACAGAAGTTCCTTTGAGTCGTCTTGTTGCAGCTACCCCCAAAGGGCGGCCGAGCTGGTACTGTGGTATGTCTTGTAACATCCAGCTTACTTTGAATAACCGCTGACATTGCCGAATTTCAGGATCTGAATGGGCCTTTAGCGACGAGAAACTGTTGGCTTTTTATGGCTCGGTCGGAGAGTATCGACGTCGTGCGGGAGGGGCTATTCAAAGACAGATTGATAGTGGATTCTTATTACCTGAAGATGCAGAGATCCTGCGCCGGGAAACTGTTGAACAAGTTATTATATGATCGAAAGTCTTTTAGATATATTTGCACTATTTGATTATTGCTCTGTATTCTTGCTTTGAAAACCGCTTTTCATCCACATGTGCTTAAAGTACAATTCATCTTAACTTAACCAGACCCGCATACTGACCAACTGCACAAGTATCGAATTTATGACTACTAGTTAGCTATCCTAATAACATTGGCAACATCGAAAATACCGGGCAGCCAGGCGGTCTTCTTAATCTGCTGATTAGGACCCCGACAAGTGGAGCGAAATCTCTATGTACGGAGATCAGGTACCCAGGTATGATTCCAATTTTCATTTCGAGGCATAGATCAATGCAAGCCTTTTGAAAGCAACCCAATTTGGATCTCATCATTCACATGTCCATTATAAGTTACTATTCTGCCAGGAGCTTTATAATGCATTTATATCCACTATCTTAGGCGCCAGTGATCACTATTGCGATATCCCGATAGATGCATTTGGGGCATTTGAGAAAGGTTTTGAGATGAGAAAGGTTTGATCATCATATTTCCTGAATCATGCTCTTTCACATAGTCGATGGTGCAGTTGCATACACCAGTCTCACATAGTGTATCTGAACGTCTCCCCCTGGTCGAAATCCGTTCTGTCCTCGAATGTCTGTATAGAATCCGAGGACTCACCACGGATCTGAACCATTTTATCCCTGCGTTTGTTCTCAAATTTATACCATATGATTTGAACAATTGGAAGTACAATCATCAACGCATAGCATCCCACTGCAAAAATTAGCGAAGAATATGAAATTCAAGGCGGTTGTACTTACTAAGCATCTTGAATGCCAGTTCATATGTCGGCGCCTGATTATCGAGGAAGAATTCTATTTGAAATGTCAGAAATGCGCTTTGGAGGTTCTTTAAAACTTACGAGGTCCCGCAATAAGGCCTGCAGCCCAGCCAGCAAATACAAGTCCAGACGCAGTGACCTTCTTGGTATTGCCGGCGTAATTCGAGGCCATCAATCCGGCGTTCAAAGTCCATGACATCGTATGGCTAAAAGGTCAGTGAGACGATCTTGGGTTGGAGAGCAAAGACTCACGTATAAGTAAGATAATAACCTGCTAGTCTACCAGTCTGGTTTGAGGTAGGAAGGAAATGAAGCAGCGAGGCACCTATCAAAGGGGGAATCGAGACCAGAATGCACAGGTATAGACGGATATTATTGCGGTGTGATGCAATATACGAGAAGACTAGGAACGTGCCCAATTGAATAACTGCAGCTGGGCATTTTGAAATGACGGTAGTGTTGATAGCAGAAAATCCGAATCCTTCAACGATTTGACTAGAAAACTAATAGATATCAGCTTACACTTCGCGAATTTTTCCACGCAATTACCTACCTGGCTTGCAAAGGTTGAAGGCATTGTATTACCACTATTTTATATTAGCGAAATTCTCTGCCACATCAAACTCAAGACTTACACAGCACAAACGAAGAAGAAGGTAGTTTGCGGGTCACGAAGAGCCTCCCAAAACTGAGACCACTTCCATTTATCACTCGCACTAACCGTCTGGTTCTCTCTCACTCTTTCAATCGCAATCAACTTCTCCTTGTCAGTCAGCCAGCGCGCGTTACCCTGGTTATCCGGCATGAAGTATCCAAGTGCAAGCGAAAAGGCAAAACTGAGTGACCCGAAAAATACGAAGAACATTTTCCAGGTCGCAAGCGAGCTATGAACTACTCAAGTCAATATTACCAGTTGCAATTGGGTTTCGGAGCCTTACCTGATCCTAATCCATATGATATCAGCCCACCAATAAAATTACCAATCTAAGAATTCATCAGCGACTGTCAAAGCTGAGAAGGATTTGCAAACGAACCGGTGTTCCACCAAGCCAAAAAGCCGTTCTAAAAGCCTGTTCAGACCGTGTCCACCAATTGCTTGTGATGATAATGAAAACCGGGCCAATGATACTCTCCACAAGCCCGAGGAAGAACCGGACGGTTGCGATACCAGCGAAATTGTAGCAGAGAGCTAAATATGAAAAAGTTAGCATTCTATATACCATGAATTTACATCTACTCACGTGTGAGCAATGTTATGCAAGACCAAAGTAAAACAGCACTGGATACAAATTTTCCAGCGTGCTGCGGCCAGCGTTGCACAAGTTTAGCCCATGCCATTGAGCCAATCATGTAGCCAAAATAAAATATGCTAGTAATAAGTCAGAAGATGATACAAGATTTCGAATCCAAATGTCAAACCTTCCAAGCCAGCTGTATTGTGATCCATGCAGGTTCAATGCTTTCTTCAAACCGAAAATGGAGCTGTAGTTGAGAAGCGTCTTATCTAGGAACTGTTTATCGTTAGCCATGCGCTGAATAGGGGGCGCGGAATAGGGCTTGCATACAGAGAAAATATAGCAGATGCACAAGAGGGGAAGCAGAATAAGATCAGTCTTCCATTTCACACGTCGTGCCTCTTCATCGGTGTAGCTGAGATTCTCCAGGGCATTGACAGTCGTGTTCCCGTAAAAGTTCTCATTCTCAACCGTATGAATACTGCAGCTGTCAAAGTCCTTCGTGGAGGACATAGTCTTGTCTATTCTTCTGTCTTCTCGGCCGACAATTTTCTGCTCGGCATCAGTCTGTCGAACCATTTCGTGGTTGGCTCAGGTTGGGATATGTTTGGCGATTATTCTTTGGGCGGGGTGAGGACACAATTCTTGGAAGCATGATGGACATTTATGCAAGAACTCCAGTGGGTATTAGGACCCGTAATTGATAACCCCACGCCTGGACATATTGATAATGCAAGATAGTGGAATGCGGGGGTGGTGTTCCAAACCTTCGACATAGTCGGTCCGACTATGTCGGCTGTTCACCACGTGACCCCTTGCTCGATTCATCAAGCTTTACAATTTGACTATTTGACTATTTGACTATTTGACTATTTGACTATTTGACTATTTGACTATTTGACTATTTGACTATTTGACTATTTGACTATTTGACTATTTGACTATATCTCATTGAATGAACTGTTAACTTAAATTTTCCTCAAGTTCCATTTTCTTTTTTTAACTTTGTAGCCAGTCAAGGAGCCAACTCTGCAATCTATAGACTTCTTTATCGGCATTCTGCCGATTTACTCTATTCAATCAATCTAGATGAAAGAAGTGGCAAACTGTAAATCACTATAAGCCAGATACACCAGGTATCCAATGTGACCCCATCATCCGATATGGCTCTCTTGGAATATAGTCTCCAGGCAATCAATCCACCAGTAATAGCAGGTGCAGTAAATCCCCTTACTCCCAAGCCCCATAAGAACGGGCAGAAAAATGACCAAAACAAGATCCCAACAATAAGAGAATACCGACACAGTTCATCACCTACAATCAGAGGAAATGTTTTCCGCCCGCGCAAGCGATCCCCAATCTGATCACGAAGGTCTTGGATATGCACTGTGGAGATAACCACGGCCCCAAATAGCGCCAGCCATGCATAGCCCGTCCGCGAGAGGGCCGTTCCCGATGCGTGCATCAAGGCTGCAGCTGCGTATGTCACGTACCCGCAGCCGTTGAGAAAGTTTCTGATAAACCAGTGTCCATCCGCTCCCCCCCATTGATTGTACCAAAAGTTGAGGAAAAGGAGAATGCAGCATTCCGCCCATCCTCCGAGGTATATAGCGGATAGGAGCACAATAGGAATCAATGCTACGAATAAGCAGGATGCTTCGTTATCGGACAATCGCTTCGATGGCATAGGCCGCCAAGGCTTGTTGATCGAGTCTTCTTTAATGGAACCTGGATGACGTTGGCCGTCTACATTCAAGAGCAGCAGATTGATCCAGGTCCATCATATCAGCCGAGGAGTCCGGAAGGCCAGCTCTCTCAGGGATGGTGCCGAAATGCTGCAGGTAAGTATTGGCCCTGTCAATGCTCCCAATACTCCGAAGATTAAACTTGGCACCACGATTGTCTTAATATCACTGCGGGTGAAAAGCACGAGGGTATTGACGTGGAATATCGGGGATCTGATGTCGAGTTCTATTTAATAGACTCATGTTAAAAGTGGTTTCCTCAATATGTGGCAGTCTTTACATACAACGTTGATTCTGCTGTTTGCTCCACCCGACCCCCATCATTTTGGAGATGCGCGCTCCAAGTTTAGTTGAAATTTGAGTAGTGATTGTCATTATATGAGTATGCTCAAGGTGGATGGTGTGAAATAAATTATTGAGTGATTTATGTCCTGTTCAGTGCCCTATGAAACCCGTAATCGCTAATGATGGATAATATTACCGACGTGGCTTCGCGTCCAAGGGCTACTCATTTTGCAGTGGGCCAGAATTAAACAACCACAAATGCCTTTACAATTTCTTTTGAATTCTACTGTCTAACTATTTTTTAAGAGAATAAACTAGAACGTAAAATTTCCAACAATGAAAGATTCCACGCCGCTCTTCCTATTCTAGGCAGACGTCATTGAGGCATGACTGACACGGGAAAGAATTGAGGCATTTACGGTTGTTGGATAACAATCTCTAGATGAAGTCTGGTATAGTCTCACGCCACTACCAAGTGTTCACAATCAAGCTTAAAATTAGACCAGCTGTCGAACTTGACATGTCAACAGTCGGTGAAGTCGGGGATCGGGATTTTTTATTTAACGTACGTGGATTTCCTTTATCGTGGGTGGGGTATGTTCACTTTTCTCTCTCGGATATTATTTCCGTTTGACATTTGTGCATACCACTTTAGTGCTAGTACTGGTAGACCCATAATCTTCTGAGACTTTAAAAATATCTTGACACCAATTAAAAATACATCGTTGGAGATACATGCAAGGCCGAATGACCATTCTCACCTGTAGTTACTATGGCGTAATCAATTGTCGTACAGGATGATTGGACGCAATTGGCTTTTGGCTGATTTTCTTTCAACAACAAACTCAAAGTGATCTAATCGCTCGATGTCTTATAGTGAATCTATCTTTGAAATTTATGTTGATAAACCTTGTACGAAGAATTGCCTCCATGATAATGAGCTTCGACATACGTATGTCTGACGTGCATCAAGTTCGCCTTTCCACAATATTCAGCAATAGAAAAATTCCCCGATCACTTATCACCCTGAAATCAAGTCATGGAGCAATTCTGGCGTATCATTGCACCCGAGCGCAGAGAAGTGACGGGTTGTCTCGGCGAATTAGTTGAGGCCTTGATTTCCGGCAGCGCTGCGAATATCGTCCCTTTACTCGCAGTCCCGCTGAATGCGCATAGGTCTGTTCACAAATCATCAGTCAGTATGCAAGTTTTACTAACGCTGTTTATTTCCAGCCACGAGAAATTGGAGATGGATCCAGGTGAAAATATCGAAGATGAAGAAGAAGAGGAGTGTGTGAAACGACCACAAACTAATAACCTCCCCCAAAGCCACTGGAGCAAAGCCGCTCGAATCGCCGATCATGATGCAACTTTTCATCCCAGTGGGCAGATACGCTCAAAATGTTTCTATACCCTTCCATCAAAGATCCACAACCTCATTTTCGACAGTCTGGATGACATCGACGATATCCTGTCTTTGAGCCTGACCAACAAATACCTCTGGGCTGTTGGCTTGACATATATCGAAGATCGTATCGTGACGTCTTTGGCACCGTGGGCTGGGGAGCGTATCATCTGTGTCAGCGACTATAGTGATCCAAAAGATTTCCCGCCAGGGCTGCTCAGTGCAGATGAACAAGCGGATTTGGAGCATCTGAATCGCGTGCATCATCTTGAGACATTTACTGTTGATAACATATGGAAGAAAACCGGTGGACCATCGTTGGCACAGAGGCTTCGGGACCGATTTACGAAGTGGGAGGCTATGCATCCCATGTCTGAGGCTAATCGGACAGAGATCCTGATGGGTCTCAAGCCTGAAAAATTGGAATTCTATCCACATGACCAGCCGTGGGTTCTCCGAAATCTGACGACGAAGGAGTATGTCCGTGGTGAGGCGATTGCGCTCAAAACATCATTCATTCATGGACCGCAGATTGAGGTACTAGGCTTTGCGGAGGTTTTGCTCGCGCGCATATCCTGGTCGAGTCGGCCGGTTGATATTGGGCATGGGAGGATTATGTCTCATGGGAAGTGGGCGGGGCATCGGTTTGATATTGTGCCTATTGCCTGTGTTGTGAAAAGTGCTGGTCAGGCTTGGACTGATGTGAGCAATGAGATTCTGAGAGAGATTGATTTGATTATTACTAGCCGGAAAGGGGATGATTGGCGTGACAATATGGCAACGCGGAATCAGAAACTCACACTTCCTGTTGCCCTTGAGTTTTCTTGAGGATTACTTGAATGCAATTTATTCCGTCAATCTCATGAATGAAAATTGTATCACCGACAGCATAGAATTTGTATGATAGTTCAGAAGCCAGGTTTTATGTTAGCAAGAGCTCACTTTTAATAAGCATTCTACTCCATATTCCGAATCTCCTTCCCCTTGGGCGACCATGGAAAATGCCAAACAGGAACAAGGAAGAAGCTGTTACTGCTATCGGCAATACCAGCAAGAGCCACCCACCAAGCCAAAAAGGCTGCAAGAAGTGCAAACAGCCCGCCAGCCTTGATGACCTTTGCATTCGGCTCTTCCTGCTCATTGCGGCTCAGATATCCAACTCCGAGAAGAAGAAAAGTCACGTCGACCAAAGAAAAGAGCGAAAAGAACAAAACGGTGGATTTGACAGTACAGAGCAGCATTAGGAAAGTGAAGATGAACCATCCCTGTGAGCGTCAGCGATGTACATAACACTTACTACAAAGGAGCTTACCATCAAGAACAGTCCCAAGGAGTCATAGAACATTCCCAGACTCCCATTGTCAGCTTCGATCAAACTTTTCTGGATACCAAATCCACCAGGCGTGAATGAGATAGCCAGCGAGATCCAAAATCCTCCATATGAAGTCAGGGCAGTCGCACCGAAGGTATTCCCGACCGCCATCTCCCTAGCAAAGGTAATTTAGCATCCGCCCACCAGTCAAGTCATTGTAGCACATACCACATTCCAGAAAGAAGTTGGATGAATCCACCATAAGCAAATGCGGGCCCAACGACCATATTCGGCTCCGTAATTCCACGAGTCTGCATATTGATGCACCCCAATATGAATGTGGTAAGGGCAAAACCACACAGTCCAAGTGGCGCAGGATTGGCCAGTTTTCGGTCTGAGACAGGACGATAAAGTCCAGGTTGGAACTCGCCACCGAACGGCGCGAGGCGTGTTTCGGCGGTATTGACATGTGCCAGGGGACCATAATCAAATATCGAAGTACGCTGTTGTTATTGCGAGGAGCTACTGGAGGTGGCGAAGTTGATCTCACCAGCTTCCATCTTATTGAGGTCAGGCTGGGGCTCGGAATTGGTCATTTTGTCGGTTAAGTTGCAGAATTCGCGTCCAAGGCGGGGGAGAGTTCAGGGGATGTGCGGGGAATTTATAGCCAGGGGATCTTTTCGAATGCAGCCGTCTGCTTGGCGAGAAGCGGCACTTGGTAGTGATGAGAACCCCGAGAGCTGGGGTTGGGGTTGGGGTGGCTTCTCCATGATCGACATTGGATAATGTCGGATATGTAGAACTGATCCCCGCACGAAGATGCAGAAAGGCAGAATATGCATATGAGGAAGACGCAGGATTTGTCACGATACAAGATTTCAAGATCACCATGGGGTGAAAGTACTGTATCTCGGGCTAATGTAAGTTCAGCGTCTTCCCCACACTATTCTGTCGATCTTCGATCCATTGGCCTGGGGAACACCCACATCTCAATTGACTGTTCTCATTGGACATGGATGGCATAAATGTGGATAGTTGGTGCATCTGTAGGTTACTGAAAATTGAGTATGATATTATGCACGCATATGGAAAATGATAATTCCGCCAACCCAGAAATATGTCAAGTGGAAGCGTAGGATAAAGCTTCATTTAGTGTTTTCTTCATGTAACCATAAGCCATAACCAATAATGTGAACTAGCATCATTGGTCTAGTGGTAGAATTCGTCGTTGCCATCGACGAGGCCCGTGTTCGATTCACGGATGATGCATTTCTTTTTGTTTGTTTTTATTTTTCCCCGTGAGAGCAGTCAAGAACTTTGGAATGGAATTACATCGATTCGAATTTTTTTAATAGAGATGCAGATCGCACTAACATTTTAAGGTGGTGCGATGTGACATGTCACTTCGAGGCATGTGTATGATGCAGCTCGCGGTAGCACAGGTGAGGTACCACTCTCGCAGCAGCTGCTAGAGGTAGATTCGCAGTCTCACATATGAACCCTCGGGTTTTGAGTGCACTATATGATCCCTGTCACGGAAACTTTCAGTACATACGACCATAGGGTGTGGAGAACAGGGCTTCCCGTCCGCTCAGCCGTACTTAAGCCACACGCCGGTTAGTTAGTAGTATGGTGGGTGACCACATGCGAATCCTGACTGTTGTATGTTTTTACTTTTTGCCTTATTGATTTGAAAGTGGGGCCGGTCTGGATGAGCTACTCGAAAGTTGCTACTGAAAACCTGTGTTATGTCGGTATCTACTGTGTGGTTAATTCTCTAAATCAAAACACCCTTTGAACCATAATTACGATCTTCACCTCTCAATTATAGTTTTATGTATGGCCCACCACTTATCCTGCGACATATTGTTCCACAACAGTATAGTTCGTTCAATCAGAGCCCAATGGTTTTACTTGCCAATTTCATTCCTCCTTATTAGACAGGAATCGGGTAAGTGTAAAAAGCGAAACCAAGGAATGGTAAAATAGATAAAGGAAGAGAGTCACGAACGCATCGATCAGCTTAAGTCTACCTTGAGCTATCCATGACTAGCGATTAGTGCAAATTCAAGCCTGTGTGCCTCGGGTGATAACCCAGTAGCACTCTCAACCTCGAACGTCTGCAATCCAGGGTTTTACTGTATGTCTCCTCAAATCCTATCAACACAAACTAAAATTTTTCGCAAGGTCCAAACAACACAGCACAACATCCACCAGTATACTGTCCTCCAACCTCTGAATGCCTCATCACACGACTTCAACCCTCGGAAAATGTTTGTTTCCAATCACAAGGGATCTACGAGCCCATGGTTTGTCAACCGGGCTTCTACTGCCCTCGAGGTGGGGAGAAGCAGCTTGTCTGTCCAAAGGGCCACTACTGCCCACTGGGTACCATGAACCCACTCAGCTGCAAAAAACTATCAAAATGTCCTGAGGGCAGTAACCATGAAACTCCATTCCTTGGAATTCTGATATGTGGGCTTCTAGACTTGTTTTTGGTCGCTCTGATTCTATATTCGCGGGTCAGAAAACGACCACATCATGGCAAGGGAGAAGACGAACAATCTATTGTTGAAATGCAGACCATGCAAAATTTTACCATGGATCCTGCGGATTGGTTGGAGCTTTTGTTCGCACAAGATTCGAGGGGTGCAGGTATTGAGCTTGAATTTCGAAATGTTTGTCTTCGGAGGCCCAGATCCACTGGTTGTATTCTTTCTGGTGCCAATGGAAAAGCGCAGGCAAGCAGTCTTACTGGTATAATGGGACCGTCTGGTTCTGGGAAGAGTAGGTACTTGTCTGATTAGTATGCAATATGAAGCTTACCGTCGACAGCAACACTTTCCCACATCCTTGTTGGCAAGATTCGAGCGACATCGGGGTCATTGCTTTTGAATGGGGTGAAGAAAATGGGGTGAAGAAAGAATTGGACAAGTGCGTATCAACCTCATGAGAAAATTCTTGTCTGGAGTTGACCCACTAATCATCTCGTTAGAGGATACCATTTCCCCGCGCTCATTGGATTCGTTCCGCAAGATGATATCGTCCACCCACATCTCACCGTCTTCGAGAATATCCTTCACTCAGCGCGTGTTCGGCTCCGGGGTACGTTGAACGATGCAGCCATCAAGGAACGGGTTGATATTGTGGTCGATGGACTTGGCCTCCGGAAGATCAAACACAGTGTTGTCGGGTCTGAGCTTCGGCGTGTCATCTCCGGTGGAGAACGAAAGAGAGTCAGCATTGCTCTCGAACTTGTCGCAGCACCACAGGTTCTAGTTTTGGATGAGCCGACCTCGGGACTGGACGCCCAGGCTGCGCTATCATTAATGGAATTACTACGACTTTTTTCTCGGAAGGGACTTACCGTGATAAGCGTGGTTCATCAGCCTCGAGTTGAAATATTTGAGGCTTTGGATAATCTACTGATACTGGAATCAGGAGAGTGTGTATACAGTGGCAAGGCATTAAAGGCACAACAATACTTTGAAGCACAAGGATACACCTTCCATCCTAATCTCAATTCTGCCGATCTGATTATCGATATCGTCTCGGGGAAGTTTCATCCGCCGAATGGAGATCTGGTCAAGTCCGAAGAACAAGCGTTACCTTTTTTGGACCTTGATGTCGACTCTGTACCTTCAGGCCAGGATGGGTCGAATACAGACGCCTCCCTCTTTCGAGCTATCGAGGCTGAGTACAGTAAAAGAATCACCCCTTGGTATAAACAACTTGATCTATGCCTTGTCCGTGATCTAACTCAACAGCACAGACAAATCGCTGTGTTCACATTGGAGATACTTGGGTCAGCCTTAACGGGGTTTATGATCGGACTAGTTGTATTCGACTTTCATGGTCACCTATTCCAGCGGATCTATTTGTCGCCATTCCAGTCCTTGTCAAGCTCTGTCAACTACCACCTTGTTCCCGAAACAGGCATTCTATGCTCTCTTGCGATAGGTATATCATTAACAACCTTCCTACATTATTTCTGTAGCTCTAATGATTTTACAGCATTTTCTGCGGCCTATCCGAGTGTTGCTACGTTCGGAGAAGAAAGTCTGTATACCCTGACGAACCCTCAGACCAGTTATACTGAAAATTATCAGTTCTCGTCTTCCAACGCGAGTCCCACTCAGGCCATTCAAGGGTCGCCTATTTCGCCGGAAAAACCATTGCGAGTCTTCCTCGAATCTTCGTTGCTTCCTTACATTTCACCACCTTTTACGCCGTAATGGCAACTTCATTCGCCCCATTCAAGATTTTGCTGCTTCTCAACTTCCTCAACTTTTACTGTACGTACATCATAATATCTGCACTAGCTATACTAACCACAATATAGTCGTCTACGGTATTGGCTCTGCTTCTGCCGCCATATCAAGTCGTGAGAACGGCCCCTTGGTCTCCCTTTTGATCTGCATTATATCCGCCGTCCTTGGAGGGTCAGAGCCTACTTTAGCGACTGTGAAGGGATGGCATATGGAATGGCTTTGGTATATGAGTCCCGGTGTGAGTATTCATCTGCCCATAATGCTTTGCACGCAATTGACTCGTTTTAGCTCTGGTTCACCGAAGCATTTGTTAACGAACATTTTACTCCTTTCGCCTACTTGTTTGATATGCGTGCGGCGGCGTTGGGATCGGGATATACGTTTTACCGTACAGGATTCGATATTGGGTAAGTCGAAGCGAAAGGTCCCAGTGTGCCTTATTAATGATAAACTACAGCTTGATGGTGATTACTGGGTCAATCTTTCGGATTATCGGCTGCGTTATCATGGTTTCTCGAGCACGAAGTAGCTGGTAGCTACCTTATCTACATTTCGGTCCATTCGGTGAGTAGCTTTAAATATGATCAGTATTTCGTAAGCCTAAACCAATATTTCTATGCAACATAGTCTGGTCGAATTATATGAAGTGCACGTGTGGGAGGTGTAGAATATGCCTAAATGTGCCTGGAGCACAGATATCTCCACAAATATTTAGTCCGGCTTATATAACTTGTAGGCTTCCTCGGCTATTTTTGAATGATAATGATTTGGACTATCTTCTTAATACGTGTAACACTATTCTGAGAATTAATTTCTGCCAAAATGACCGAGCTCAAGTTACAGCACTAGGCATAGGGGCTTCATCTCACGAAAACATAATAATAAAAAACAAAAACACACAACAGTAAGTGTATAAGCGTGGTCAACTAGCGCCCACGGCTCGGGCTTGGGCAGCTCGCCCGCTCTATTCAGCCCTCTTCAGGGCAGTCTGGGCAGAAACATTTGCTTTTTCTTGGAATGAAGCTACCATGGGCAGAATTACTTTACACAGTTCGACCTTTCTCATTCTCGTATGCCAACTGTCTAGGAGGGCAAAATGCATACAGAGCAAAACTCAATATTTGACTACATGGAATACAATGTGGACTTCTTAAAGTATGGAAATAGTAAGAACAAATGGGAGGTCCTACTACGAACAAAGGAAGTATAGTACACTTTGGTTCTCTCTTATGCATAAGTCACACTCGTATCAATATAGAGGTGAGTCGCTGATCGAACTTTACAAGTTTCTCGCTTAGCACGCATAGGCATATTGCGCCATGTCCCGCAAACTCTAGAAAACGAACCTAGCTTCATCCCGCAATTAGACCTAGCATTCAGTCGCAAATGACCCTCCGGACTCCTTCCCATTCCTCTGTGTTTTCCTGCTTTTTTGCACAGCTATCAAATTCCTCTTTGCCCAAGAAATGTGATGAATAGCTAAATCTCCCCAAAACAAACCTATGAGCAAAGTAATGACCGCTACCCCTATTAGGCTGGCGACAACGAACACCACTGACACACCCTGAAAGAGATTATTTTCTCCTAGTGGCTCGTGCCTATGCCTGCGTGCATTGCACTTGTTACAATGGTTATAAACCAAAACAAGGAAAGTAACCAAGCAAAGGTGCGACTTAGATATTCCTTAGACCCTAAAAGTGCCGACATAAAGCCATGAATAAGGTAATGCACCGAGAATGTAAGAGGAGAGAAGCAGTAAATGAGATTTATACGGGAGAGTCGTAGTTCGCCATAATTGTAACGTGACGATACAGAATCGATAGTTTCGAGATCAATGTTGGTGAGTATGTCTGTGACAAAACCGACCCACATCTCCCAGGTTATGGAAGACGGAAGTAGCTTCGATTCATGCGTAATAGCAAGATCGTATTCACTACAAACAAGCCAGCAATAAGATTGCATGCAGATTGGTATAATGATTCTTCTTGAGTTAAGGCGTGGCCCTTTGTTGTCCAAAAATCATAGCACAGTAAATGCTTTGGTAATGGCTTGATAAAGATGCGCTCAGCGTTCTGTATCGATGTCCTTGCCAGCAGGGACGATTTTGTTTGGCGGCATTTTCTTGGATTTTGGCCGTCTTGCCATCAACGGTGCATTTGAGGGTCTTTCATTGGTATTAGCATTGTCGTGCGATTGAAATCTTTGGCGAATTTTGCTACAGGCAAGCAGACAACTTACCCCGCCTGTATTGTGTGAGCTTGTTGGTTCTTTGGCTGGGATAGCCAGGGCAGATCCAGCAAGGAGGGCGAAGAGCACATTGGCTTTGATGAGAATAATTATGAGATGACAATATGATTGACTTGCTTTTGCTGTTAGAAATACTGAAGATCAGTGATGAGATTTTTCAATTGTTGATGCCCTGTCTCTTCTTATGCAACTAAGAACCGACAAAGAATATTCTGTCTTGGGGCCATAATAGCCTGTCGTAAGGCCAAAACGCCTTTACAAAGCATTAGCTGCCTTAAATCAGCCTTACCCTGTGGGCTATGACGCTATGCAAAGCTAAATTAGGAAATTTGGGGCTAAGTATAAAGGAGCCCCGCACGGCCCCAGGCGGATTTTTATATATGGAAGAAAGTACTTGATTAGCATCTTCTCTTCTTCAAGCAATTTCTTCTCCATAATCACCACCTGCATTCTCATGATCGCCTCTAACCCCCTCAATCTGGACCTCGAGTCCCTCCACGAGCCATCCAACATTGAGCACGCAGTCTTCTCTCTACTGGCAACATATCTCCCCGAAACCTCCTCCATCACTCCAAACCAAGCAGCAGAACAGGTCAATGCTCTAGTCCTTTCTCACCGCCCGGGACCAAAAGAAGAAAAACAGTCAACAGCCAGTTTTCTACTTGAGTTCTGGGAGTTAATGTTCTGCATCGCTCCACAGTTGGATTACCAACATGAGCCAATGCAGCGCTTCATTGCTCTCGTCGAAGCGTTGAGAAACTTGCCTGAGACGATTGTTGTTCAGGATGGGGGCATTTACGATGGTCAGCCTGTATGGCGAGATGGGCTTTATTTCGGACCGACGCTGCATGAGCGGTGGAATCGTATGTCATTCTCTGCTTATCAAACCATGGTGTTATTGCAATGCTCATAATAAAACAGGAATCCCTGAAAGCAACCCCCCGGAGGATCTCTACGCCTTCCGCTGGCATAATTTGAACGGCCTCCTAGCTCACTTCACCAACCACAACCTATGCACCAACGACTTCCGTGCCCTTGCTTGCATAACCAATGCCCTTGAGGAATTTCGGAGAAAGAAACCCAAGACCCCGATAAACCATCGTGTGCCCGCTGCTGCCATCTGGTTTGTTCTTTGTCCATCGATGATCTACCTGGCTTGTCAGCGGCAGGAATGTGCGGATCGCAAGTTGTCTGGGGAACTTTGGAAGGGCGAGCCGCAGCAGGGGTACTCAATTGCTCGGTGGAACTTTTGGAGGAAGAGGTTTGGGGAGGTGGAATGTCATTCAGATGCTACAGAGGAGACCAAGGAGGCTTGCAGAGCTGCCATAGAGGCGATGGATAGGTATGCTGGTGGCGTTGAATGACTTTGACCTGTACTATAGGAGTCTCACCCATAAATTCATATGATTTTACACTGAAAAGTCAGAATTACAACCTCTCTCAACAACCGCGAATGTTATTAATTCATGATTCGGCGTTATTTTCCCGGCTAAGGCTACATGGAAAGCTAATGTGCGAGTGTTTGAATGAACCTGACCCAGATGTTGCTGAGAATCAGCGCCGCGAATTGTTATAAATCACAACCTTCACAACTGACCGTCCGCGTAGAGTATCACTCGGGGTGCCGGCTTAAGTAGGCAGTGCTAGCGGGGTTTGGGGCGGAGTGAGCCATGACCTTGCCCGAAATTCTCCATACTATACTAGATCAGTCAATTTGGTACCGCACTATTCTAATCATACTTAGTTTGAGGTAGGTCACTACTGCCTACTCTATACCTACTTCCCTATAGATCATGACAAAGCACTTTGAAGCTTCCTAAAGTTGATTTGGTCTGTGACGCTGAATATGTTTGTGATTAAAATTGTCGTAGCTGGAAGATAAGAAATATGAACAAAGGATTCTTGAGAAATTTTTGATAAGATGCTCTTTTATGTTCTATAGATTTAGTGCTTGCGTGGTGTCACTAACGTCTTGCCCGAAATCAGTTTTACCTCTGTTGTAATTCTACTATAAATTGGAGAATAGAATAAAGCTAGTTATACCCTAATCTGTTAGTAATAAGGCTATTTAGTATATAGCTCTGGTATGGAAATGTATACGTTGTATTGCAATTTTGGTAGAATTGTGTGTTGCTGTGATGCGGGAGATTTGGTAATCTTTATACCTTGTTACCCCGTCTGAATCCTAACTACCATTTCGATTACTAAGCTATCCTAGATTCTGCGAGTTTATTATACTATCCTAGTATATAACCTCGAGACTGCAGCTTCTTAGTCCAAAGACTGTATAGCGTCGAATCAATGCGAGCGTGGAAATCCGTTAGCGTGAACTGTCTAGGCTACTAAAAGGGGCTAAGATATTGCTTGTTCTAGATTGTTGGACCTCTCCATTTCAGCAGGCATTCATGGCGGTCACTGGCTACTTTTTTGATGATAATTGGGATTATCGGGAGATGCACCTTCGATTCGAGCCTCTGACCGGGATATATATAGGTATTAGTCTCAGTATAGTTATTATGGATCTCCTCAAAAGGCATGAGATCGCTGATAAAGTGCTGGCAATCACCACAGATAATGCGTCTAATATTAATACCTTGATGGAGAGCATCCAAGACGCTATCCAATCACTTAATTTTGGCGAGGGCATCACAGTCATTCGAGTCCTTTGCCTTGCCCATGTCATTCAGCTCAGTCTGAAGCAGCTTCAGGGTGTGCAGGGCGTTCGGGTGAAGAATATAGGGGCTTCGGGGTATTCAGGTGAAGGACTGAAGAGTAGGGCGGCAAGGGGAGTTTCCTGGACTAATCAAAAAAATTAATCACGAAAATAAAAACATACAACAGTCAGGATTCGCATGTGGTCACCCACCATACTACTAACTAACCGGCGTGTGGCTTAAGTACGGCTGAGCGGACGGGAAGCCCTGTTCTCCACACCCTGTGGTCGTATGTACTTGACTCTCGTTTAATTTAGACTATATAGTGCAAATATGTATAGGGTGCAAATATATAGAAGTATATACTGTCGCATCGCGCGACTAGGGGTAAGAAGGGTGAAAGCGATGTGAGAAATCACCCTTTGGCAACACGATCAAGGCAATAAGTGATAGTAAAGTTTATGGTGATCTTGTCCAATCAAATGGTTTTCGATAGCCTAGCACGTTATGAAAACGATTGGGAATAGTGTAAGACCATTCATTGTCTCTTTTCGCTAAGTTCTGGTTTCTGAGCCTAGGGGCAAAAAATCCACAGTATGTGACTGCAAGAAAAACAAAAAGATAACAGGCCCGAGCCGTGGATCGAACACGGGACCTCGCGCAGGAGTGCTTAGAGTTGCTGCCCTAAGCGCGAATCATACCACTAGACCACCCGGGCTGTTCTTGATGTAGGAAATTGGATTTGTGAATCTATCAACCAGTGTGGAATTTTGTTGACGGATAGCACACACTTATGTTACTTGATGTTTCTCATGCTTTTATTTTTGGAGCGAATGCAATATCTTGTAAATTTGATGTATATTCAACTACCTGTTTTCAGTATCGATTATTTCAAAGTTAATTGGATATAATTAGTGGTGGTTTCGATCAGTTAATGTCAACTTCCAGGGTTCTTTCAAATGTTGCAGGTTATGATCGTGACCTCGGGACGAATATATATCTCCATGGTTCTATTTGAAAGTTGCTGCATCACACCTGCCTACGCATATGCACATTTTAAATTCTAGTTTACTTTACTGTGGAAATATAAATTTACTCAAGCTAAAAGTATAGTATCTTTTCGCTGAACTAAGTATATATAACTCAACTAGCTATTTTCTGGTTAAATTCAACTAAAACAGCTTCAAATTAATAATCTAAGCCTATCTTTCAAAGTATATCAAATTGTCTAATAGATTCTCTTATAGATTACCGGTCGGAAGTTCTAATATCATTAATAGCGGACTTAGTAAAGATCTCTACAGGCTTCGACTTGGAAAATTCAGTGGGAATTGAAAAAGTTGGTCGAATATTATATTCTCAACGTTTGAATGATAGTGCTGGGACCTTATTTTCTTGAACAAACGCTTGAGATAGCCAGGGTATATGAATCTAAATAATGTACAAATCCACCAGACTTAAGCAAGCCTAGGACGTTTCTGGTCCGCAAACCCAGAAGCTGGACGAGACCGTTTCCGCTCCATAGCCTCCATCTCAGCCTTCATAATCCTCTCCTGCTCAGTCATCTTCTTAGGCTGCACAAGCATGGGCCCCTTCTTCCCAGCCAAAGGATTCTTTTTCGCAGCCGAAAACACATTTTTCGGTTTTTGAGCGCCAAAAGACATAGAGATCTTAGGCGCAGGCGTCGTCTCAGCAGGTGAATCGATCCCCGATACATCCTTTGCTTCTGACTCTGGCGAATCGGGCTTTTTATCAGTTTTCTTTGGCCCAAGGCCTAGATTCAGGGTCAATTTTTCTCCGTCTTCTCGATGGAGTAGTTTTGCATCGGCGTCTTCTTCTTCGGCGGAGGATTTCATATCCTTTGCGGCGTTCCGGGCGCGCTCCACTTGCTCCAAGATCATCTTTTGCTCTCGCTGCTCGTCATTCTTCTCTTCCCTTTCTTTCTTTTGAATGGCCTCTCTTTTCCGCAATGTTTCGGGCGAGTTGTCGATCCATGATACGAATAGTCCTTTCTCAGTCTCTTCCACTCGACAGATTCCGTTTTTGCCTAGGTATTGGGCGAATTGTGTAAGGGATGTGAATCTATTACAAGTTAGTTCGGATGCAAGCTTCATCGAGGGATCATGATGTACCTGGTACTATTCATGTGAATGTGCTCGCGATCGGCGATGATAGTATTGTAGAAGTGGTTGATATGGACTTTCTTTTCGCCGTGCTGAGTTCTTAAGCAGTTCACAAAGTTGTCGGTGAACTGCTGGCTGAAGTCGCTGATTGCCTTGGGCGCATTTTCTCCGAGGATCAACATTTGGCGGACATGACTTTCACTAGTAATATGGCACTTGAATCCACTGCGATACTGTCAGCTGGGTCACATAAAAATCAAGGAAGGGTCTTACTTGGCGTCTCGCATTTGGCGCTCACAGGCTTGACAGTACCATCTCAAACGACCTAATCCCTTCGCCTTAATCTTGTTTCCGATGGCTTTCGCCGACCCAGCTTCCGCGCGACCCATGGTGGAGGGTGTTGAGATTGTCTTATCGAGGAATCCGATTGAATAGCGATTTGTGTCGGCCTTTGGAGGAAGTCGTAGATGTTTCGGATAATTGAGAAGGTGATTTGGGAGACAAGTCCTCGTATTCTTGGCAGGATATCAGAGGAGAGCCTCGCAGTACTGAGTGGGTGAGGTAAAGTGGCGTTAAAGATCGAAGATTATCAAGATCAAAGGCGCGACCGATAAGAAGCACGTGACTATGTTTCTACTAGACTATAGAATCAACCAAAGAATCAAGTAGAATATTGGAATTAACTTGAACAATGTTGTGGAATTGTGTTAAATTGAAATAAAATTTAACGTTAAATGGACCAAACTCCACAGATTCGTGGCATCTGCAACCAAAATGCTTTTCAAGGAGGCATGATTGCAAGCCTAAAGTACAAGAAATCCCAACCGTAGAACGTAACCAGTTCCCCTTCGCCGTAAAAAATAGACAAGCTAAACCACGCTGAGTCGTAGAAACCATCATAGCAAACAAGCCGCAGCCAGTTCGGCTTACAGAACGTACTCGTGGATGGCCGACGGTCCACTCTCGTTGTACTCAACACGGCTCATGTAGCCCTTGGAGAGACCCTGATCCAGCACGAAGAAAACCTTGGCTCCCATCTGAGCTCCCAAGAATCCAGCTTCTTCGGGACCGTGACCGCCTGCAGTGGCACTGGGTCCTGTGCTGGCTCCAGGGGCGTTGGTGTTGCCCTGATCCTTGAAGTCAGAGAAGTACTCTGGGAGTCGCAAGGTCTTGACGGAGGTTGGGGTCTGGGAATGACCGGTCGAGCGATGATGACTCGGCGGCATATTAGGGTCCATGCCGGGTGTGCCTGGGATGACCATGCCATGTTGGTTGTGAGTGGCGTTTACCAAAAGTTGGCTGACTCCAGGTGCGGCTGGGTGGTACATAGGGGCCATGCCCATGGGCGCCGGGGTGTTAGTGCCGCCAGTCGGGAGGGGAGTGGTGAATGTTGAAGGAATTTCGGAGGTGAAGATCGTGGCGGATGGGGAGAGGATGAACTTTTTGTTAATGACGGCAAGCAGTCCCTGGACAAAGCCTATTTATGTCGATTAGCAGGGACCTGTGCCAACAGGGAGAACCACTTACCTCGAACTTTACTTCCGCACCCAACGATGATGAGTGAATCCCACAACTCGCTACGCTTAGTAGCATCAGGTACAGCCAGAATAGTGTGATGAATCTGAGTAGCGATGTCCTCCAAGATGCCGTTGCTGATACGATCCCCAACCTTCTGTCGAGGCGTAGCCAAGAGGAAGCGCTCAACACCAAGTTCAATCTCGCGTGAGTTGCGAATGTAGCGCTGGGAGCTGTTATCTCCTTCCATTTGTACAAATTCCTCAAACTGGAAAGTTGCCTTCTCTTTTTTAGAGTTGGGAAGGCGAGGCTGCTTCGGATCCATACCGGCCTTCTTGTTGATGGCCTTTTCCTTCTCCAAGTTGGCCAAATATTCGGTCGTGTTTCCGCTGCTGACAATAGCCGCGACATCCAAGACACCCTCATCTTCGTCGCCGTTGGTATCACCGTCAGTTTGAGTTCCTTCGCCAGGGCCACGAGGAACAGCACCAATTGCATCGGCTCCACCAGTCGAGGCAGCAGCGGCAGGGTTGAGACCTTGGCGGGCAGTAGCTGCAGTTCCAGGCAATGTGACACCCGGGGGAAGAATCTCCGCAATATTGCTTCGCTTAAGTTGCTCGCACATTTCCCGGGTGAAGCCTCTAGGGCCAAGAAGCTCAAGGAGTCGATCGGTCATCGCATCACCGCCACAACCCTCCAAAGCAATACCTCGGCCATGGTCGTTGATCATGAAATCTGTAACTGCGGTCACGTCCACCTTGCTCTTACCAACGTCAATAACAGTTGCGGTCTGTACACCAAAACCGTAACAAGCTGCAAGAGCCGCATCCATCATGCTAAATCCTGGAACCTTGAATTTCTCAAAGACAAACTGGCAGATCGCCTCCCGATCGCGCGCCGACCAAACCGGTTGGGATACCAATAGAATGGGGGTGTGGAAAGGTGGGCTGAGGGAGTTGTAGATGTGGGTCAGCAGGGCGAAGAAGCAGGGCCAATTGACGATGCGGCCATCCTGAATGGGATAGACAGCGCCTTCTTCGGAAGTAACGTCCTCCTCGTAAAAGATCTCCTGAGCAGGTTTCTCCGTTTCCTCGCCATTTGCACCATTCTGAGCAGCGGCCTCACCATCCTTCATCTCCGCGTCGGGTTTCGGTTCAGTACCATTGACACCATTGCTGACATTGGCATCACGCTTGCGTTCGCGGACCTTGTATGGCTCGAATTCACCCTTCTTTTCACCAGGGAACATGCGCGTCGGGAAGCGAAAGCGTGCGGGGGTAAATGTTTCGGGGAGACCAAGTTGCGCTAGGGTCATTTGCGAACCCGGCGCGATGAGCTGGACAGTATATCAGTTGAGCTTCAAATGGAGTCAAGGAGGAATGAAGTCATACCAGAATGTGCTCATCTTTGAAGGGTGGCATGTTGGTGAATTTGCGAGTAGGATACAACTTCTCTGCCTCCTTCCTCGCCTTACGCTGCTTTCGAGTGTTAGGAGTTCTCATTTTGGTTTAGCGTCTTGGCAATCAAGGTCACGTGCTTGGGGTACGGTGGGAGTTAAAGACCAAAGACGAATGGAAAAGCACAAATATGAACAGCACAAGAACAACAAAACATAATCTAACACAATCTAATAACTGACTTTCACCAATTATATTATATGAATATAGTAAATTCATACTTATAACAATCTTTATTTAGCTGCGCTAATAGGGGTTTACTAAATAAATAGATATATTCAGTACACATATAGGTATACCTGGGTAGTAGCTTTTACCTACCTTATAGATTATATGCCTAGCTTATGCATAACTACCTTAGGTAAATAATGCCGTTACTGTATACTTTACTTTACAGGCTCTTACTACTCAAGCGATCTAGAATATCTATTTTTTTATTTTTTTTATTTAATATTTAAAAGCTACAAGCCTTAGGAAATCAATGAGTATTACGATTCATAATGCATTGCAAGATCAGGACCATTAGATATAGCGGTTCGATCGAAACCAAGAAAGCATGATAACTCCAGTCCCACCTCCCCCATGAACAAAAGCAGAAACGCCCGGCGCTGTTTTCCTCTATGACCAGCATGAGTTCCAAGTTGCCCTCCCAGATTGGAAACCATCCTACTCCGCCGCATTGTACTTTTCCGTTGCAGACCGGAACAACTCCTGTTGTTGTCGCAGGAGTTCTTCTTCCGAAAGTCCACTCTGCTCCATTTTACTCTGTTTCTTCTCGCGGGACTGATCAAATGAATATCAGAGATTAGTCCAACTCATCCAAACCCGTTAGAGGGGACCCAAATACCTTTAATTGCTCCTTATGCTCGTCCGCAACAGCTAGCACATCGGGAATGTAATCACCGAACCCAAGATCTCGTAGCGCTTTCTCCACATGTTCGCATGCGATTGTCTTCTTGGCTTCTTTTTCGCTGATGTCATTGGCTTCGGAGGAGATCAAGGTGATGAACTCGACGCAGCATTCCATGAGCAAGTCGCGCGCATCTTTGGAGAATGTCTGACCGGATGAGGGAGGCAAGATCTCAGTGATGATCTTCTGGACCGTGGCTATGATCGGTTCGGATTAGCGGGGAACTAGCAAGACGCGATCAGGTGGTCAATGGGGCGCGACGCGGGGCATTGAAATGGTTGTCGAAGAAAGTATCGATGAAACCACCTCAAAATATCCAGAACAATGAGAATAAAAAGTATCATAAAAGTATCAGCGAACATACCCTTGGGAAGCGACAGGTCGTCGTTAGCTTTCGAATGAGCCATATTAGCATACCGCGAATGCAGGGTTAGGGAACAAGAAGAAACATACAGCTGAATTCACGGTCGGACATGATGTACAGCAAGCTCAAAAAACACCCAAAATAAGACAGCGACTCCAAGTGAAGAAAGGGAATAATTTCTTGGAAACCGTGGGGCCTGAACCGCTTCCTTATTTAAATGCGCGCGCGGAGCGATATATTTTCCTGCCTGCAGAAAAGTCTCACCGCTTTCGTGGGTACTTCAAGAGATTTTTTTTTTCTTCAAATTAGTTTTCTTTCATACTCTCAATCAACTCGAGTTCTCTCGATTCTCTTTCCTCAGAGCGAATCTTGATGCAGATTCACTCTGAGGTGGTGCACTAATGGTAAGCTTTTGCTTGATTTTTTCTACTTTTGCTTTTCTTTACTATGATGAACTTCGTTGTCGCCCCTATCTTACAAAACCGTGGTGATCTACACTGTCCTAGCCAAACGGACGATCTGATCTTGTTACTTGCTCATGCATTTTTATCACTGGAGTTGAGAAAACATTGGCTAACTCCTTCAAGATTACAGATGAAAACTCTTTGTCGATTTGACATTTCCCAAGTTCGACCACAAATGGTACGATTCTCCTCTTCTACACTCCAATACCCCCATTGTATGATGAACACCCTACATTCCATGCTAAGTATGAAGGTGTGCTGCACCTGATGCTTATAATATGTAAATGCTTTTCATCTTTCAACTGATTACAATCATCCCACAATGAAAATTTCACTCATGAATTTTATGGCCTTCGATACTGATTGCCGTATAGCTGCAGATCTTCACTTCTAAGCAATGAATAAGAAAACAAAAAATTTACTGGAAATCCTTCAGCTCCTCATCATTCCATCTGTAATCCATTAGCACACCGTATCAGCCAGAGTCGAATGCATAAACATACGAAAGGAAAGCACCTGTCAACTCTTTCGGTGCATCAAGAACAAGCTTAGCCATAACATGACCCGGCTGCTCAGGCTGCACAAGCTTGCCATTGCTGTGCGCCCCAGTAAACTTGGAGTGCATCTCAGCATCCAGCGTTGAGCCGTGCACCTCGCGTAGCTCACGCTGCATCTCCGTATCAACCATACCCGGCCGCACAGCGATGGACACAACATCAGGCTCCTCCGAACCAAGCGTCTGAGCGAAATTGTTCATGGCAGCTTTAGTTGCGGCGTAGATTCCCCAGCCACGGTACTTACCAACCGCAGCACCGGAGGAAGTGAAGATGATTTTTCCCTTGGATTGACGAAGAGCAGGAAGAGCTGCCTTAGCCTGTAGTATGATATTAGCATTATAATGGCAGATATTGAGATGTACGTACGAAGGCAACCAAGCTCATAAAGTTGATATTGAAAGCTGTTTGCCACTCTGCGATATCAGTGACGGCGACGTTGCCTGTTTGTCCGAGGATTCCGTGATTGAGGACCATGCCGTCCAGTTGACCAAAAGACTCGATGGCGATGTCGACGGCTTTCTGGGCGAGAGAGAAGTCTGCTAGGTCGCCGTTTACCACTTCGACTTGTTTGGTGTATTGTTCTTTGAGCTTCTGGAGGGGCTCAAGACTGCGGGCTACAACTACCACATTGTGGGATTGAGGTGCTGTGAGCAGGTACTTGGCGATCGCAAGGCCAATGCCTAGAGAGTGTTAGTTGGGATTTCCGGTAGTTTTGTCGAGCATTTTACCCCGGGAGGCTCCTGTGACAATGATTGTCTTGGGTGCCATGTCTGTGATGGATGTTAGTCTGATTCTCAGGGTGTGGGTTGGTTGGTCGGAGCTTAATATCCAACCACTCTGCTCGAAAATACTCCATATAGGGGGAAAAATTGGTTCAAATGGAGGTAGAGGGGAAATTGTCAGTTAACAAACCTTTTAAATGAAATGCGAGGAGCTGAACTGATAATTCAGAGCAAGGAAAAACAGTTCGGAGTCCTGTTGCACCGAAGCTGTCGGTGCGGGGCTTAATCATCTGGCGGGGCCAACAGCGCGACCCTTCAATCCTCCCTTACTAAGTCCGAAGATCTTCAATCTAATCAGTGAAGCGAATTGTTTCATATCATTCGAGGTTTATCTATTTAGAATTGCAGTATGCAGTCATCTGAGCTAAGCTCTATATTCATCAAACATGCACAACATTAGACTTCCGTACAACACGGCCAGACTGCACAGCACCAACTTGCACCACCTTGGTGCCAGCAGGAAGCGAGAACTGTGTCTCGAATCCCTTTTTCTCCACCTCACCTAGCGATCGAAGGCTGTTCGCGCTGTCACCAGCGTAGACCTCATACTTTTCAACATCGGTCGCTCCATTCCAGCTAACATATCCTCGCAGGGTTGATGATGTTCCGGCACATTGGCTCAGAGTATCCTCGGCAGAGATAGTGTCCACCACGAGACTGGGACGATAGTACGGGGTTGCCGACCATTCCTGCTTGAAGACGCGGTACGTCTGGCCCAAGTTCTTCTTTGCGAACTGTGCGGACCAGCGGACGTCTCCGTTTGGACCGTATTCCTTGATGAAGGGCTCATCGCCGTATCCCATCAGGGTGTTTCCGTTGTCGAGTGGTGTGAAGGAGCCCTCGGCGGCGGAGGAGACGGGGTATTTGTGGTCGTAGAAGTCGGTCTCCAGGGTGGGAGGATTCTTGGGGTTGGGAGGCAGGGTGAGACGGAGGGTAAGACCCTTTGAAGGGTTGGTGGCGGAGGATGAGTCGAGGTCGTTTGCGAAATAGCTGAGCAAGACCTCGTTGGATGTAGAGGTGTTGCGGAGGCGAGCCATATGTTGCCAGGACTGTTCAATTAGCAGGGAAGATAAAGTATTGAGTGGCGTGACTTACGTAGTTTCCGTTGGTAGGAAGACTGCCAAAGTCTCCTCCGTCCTGGCCATCAATGTACCAGACGATCTCTCCCTGGCGATTCACCAGGAATGTACGCCAAAGGTGGCGCGAGTTGATCAAGTAGTGGTCTCCCCACTTTTGAATGGAGTTCATGTGGAACCAGTCGAAGGGTGCAGTCTGGTTGGATCCGGAGTAGGTGGTGTGAGTCAAGTTGACATCCAAGTGAGCGAGCGGACTCCAAATGAACACAGGCTTCTTCGTGCGAAGATCAATCTCAACGGCGAGAGAGTCATAGACCCATCCATCACTGGGTCCACCCAGCGATGTCAAATCCGCCTGGGTTGTGTTGTAAGAGGTCACCAAAATAGTGTTATCCTCAGTGATGGTCGACTCATGGACATCGGCATCGCAGTCCGTCGTCGTATCAGTCGGCATGGTCAAGTTGAGTTGCAGACAGATTGTGTCAACCAACTTGTAAGTGTCATCATACATCTTTACCTCACCCCATCCATGACCAACATCGGCACCATACGCAGCTTCACCTGTGCCTGTCCAGAATGTGATCACAGGCTTACCTCCCAAGTATTGCTTGCGGAAGTTTGATGTTTCACCCTCGGAACCACCCCAAATCAACTGGTTGTCATCGGACATAATAAACGGTGCCACTGACTTCACGCCGTAGCCACTGGTATCTTCTTGGTTGAAGAAGAGGTGACCGGCTGCCAGATCCTCGCCAGTGCGGTTGATAGTCATGTATGGAGGTGTGATATTTGAAGACTTGTAGGTCTGCCAAGTCCAGGTGTCACTTCCATTGTTGACAGTCTGTCGACTATCTGTTGCGCAGAGTGTGGAATCTTTCCTTGAGCCAATAGTACGGGCAAGAGTCGTGGGTGCTATTAAGCACCCGAGGGCAAGAGTGGAAGACCAGGTTGGCATGATGAAGGCAATGATCACAGCTTCTGGTCTCTCCCAATACTGGGCAAACTGGCCTTTTATACATTTTGAAGCATCTGCCCTCGTCGCGAGATTTGCGACTCGCAACAGGTGGAGCTATTGTACCTGCTCAACGGAGAAATCAACAGCCACGGCAATTGAGGCATTGTGGAGCATAACGTATGCTTCATAAATTATAATCCAGAGGGATTAAGCTAATGTAGCAAGATCTGCAGAGAATTGTGGAAATTTAAGTATAAAGCTTTCGGATCGTCGTCATTAATTTCCGTAGCCGAGCACGCTAAGGATGTCGTCATCAGAATCCTCAATGCCACCATCAAGCTCAACACCATATACAGTCTAGACTACTCCACACTTGGCTGCCGATAGAATCAAATGCTTGATCTCATTTAGATATCTACCGTTTACACGGAGGACTCCGCAAAGGCTCGGCAAATCCGTGCCACACCGTAGCCAGGAACAATCCCCACATTTCCAAGGTGTATGGCGTGCTCTGAATGAGATATCTCGTAATCCGATAATCAAGTAACTACGGAGTACTGATACGGACTACATAATTTTCAATCATTTCAACCATTGCACCTTGACATCCTAACTTATCGGAGCTAAGTGGACCTTCCATCTCTTGGAAGCGAAGGCTTAATTTCGTCAGTGACATTATTCGGAATGTTGGCATCCAGGGTTGAAATAATAGATAAATCTATAAACTCATCCAGTCTAGAAATGAATCGATTTGCAGAAAGATGTACAAATTGATAGACAAGATCAAATGCATTTACACTTATAGCTTAGATGGACCAAGCTTTTATTCCCCATGAACAGGCCAAAAATCAGCACGAGCCTAATCTACCAATTAAGATGACCAAGGAACATAGCAGTAGAGTATGCTGAAAATCCCGACCAAAATTCTTGGAAGTTGAAAGTTGACTATAACGCTCACGGCAATGACTACCTGCGGAAAATCGTTATCTAACGGCGCTTAAGGATGTCACTTCCCCGCTTCAGACTTTCATCATATCTCCAAGTAGAACACCGAAAATACCCCGAGGACTGAAACCTAGTTTCGCGTTACAATTCAAGGCGCGCAGAAATTTTGAAGAAAACATTTGAAAGACAGACAAATCAGCCTTTCAAAAAAATGTCAACCGTTATCATCGGAGGGGGCATGATCGGTGTCTCAATTGCATACTTTCTTTCAGCCAACCGAGCAAATGACGAGATCCATATCATCGAACAATCTCCAGAACTATTCAGTTCAGCATCTGGATACGCAGGAGGCTTCCTCGCACGCGACTGGTTCGTGCCAGCACTGGCTTCCCTCGGAGCCCTTTCATTCGACCTGCACCATCAGCTTGCCACAGAGCATAACGGCGATAAGAAATGGGGGTTCATGAAGGGGAATGCCTTTAATTTGAACCCTGTGTCTCATCAGAAAGATAATCGAGGAGCTTGGGTGCATGAAGGTGGAAGTCGTGCGGAGGCGACTGCTTCACTATCTACATCAGCTGAATGGCCTGCTTGGTTGACGAAGCAGGATGGGTGTATTCTCGAACGGATCAATGAAGGAGAAACAGTGGCACAAGTGTGAGTACCTGAAAATGGATTAACTTGGATTTCACTAAGTTTGAATCAGAGATCCGTTGAGGCTGTGCCAGTTCCTTACGAATGAGGCCCGCTCGCGTGGTGTCAAGCTACACAACCCAGCCAAAGCGACTACTATAATGAAAGATGGGAATGAGATTGTTGGTGTGAAGATCATTGATCTTGAATCCAAGGAAGAGTCCGTCCTTCCATGCACGAACTTGATTCTGAGCGTCGGTGCTTGGACGCCGCAAGTCCTTCGGGAGCTTTTCCCTACTACACGAACATCGTTTGATCTCTCACCTCTAGCTGGTTATTCTCTGGTCGTCCGCTCCCCACGATATACACTAAAAAATGAGAGAATTACTCATGGAGGACGAAGTCATGCGGTTTTTACTACATACCCGCCATCATGCGGATTCAGTCCGGAATTTTTCACTCGAGAGGGTGGCGAAATTTACGTTGCGGGTTACAATCCTGATTTGTCGCTTCCATCATGTGTGGAAGATGTACATCGACTTCGAGATCCAGCGGAGATGCAGAAGCTGAAAAGTGTTGTGATCTGCTTACTTGGTGATCTAACACAGGGTTCAGAGTCTACCGATGATGTGAATGTAGATGATCTGGAAATTCTCCGTGAGGGTCTATGCTTCCGACCTGTAAGTAAGAAGGATGTTCCAACTATTGGAAGAATCGAAGACGCTTGTTTGGGTGATGATATGCATGCTAATGCTGGTGGTGTTTATATTGCTGCTGGACATGGGCCATGGGGAATCTCACTAGGTCTGGGAACTGGCAAAGTTGTCAGTGAAATGATCAAGGGGGAGCGTACATCTGCGGATGTGAGGGAACTCGTGCCAGTGAATAACTGAGAACTTCATAGAAGGAACAAGATAAATTTCAATTACCATAAAGCAATCGATACTAAGTAAACTACCTTGAAGTCATTCATCCATAAATCGGAGAATTATTGTTCCGAAAGCTCTCTCCTTACTTTAGTCAGCCGCGCCACTGGAGCTCTCCAGAAACTTCAGGCATCCGATATCATCAAGCATTTGGCCGCTCCGTGTTCCGTTCTCTCACCAATCGCGCATACCTTACCCTCTCCTCCACAACCTCTCACTATTAGCGTTTAACGCTTCCACCGATTCACCATGGCCAACTACCTTGCGTCTATTTTCGGTACCGAGCAGGACAAGGTCAACTGCTCCTTCTACTACAAGATCGGCGCATGCCGACACGGCGACCGCTGCTCTCGCAAACACGTCAAGCCATCCTACTCGCAGACCGTCCTCATGCCAAACATGTACCAGAACCCAGCCTACGATCCCAAGAACAAGATGAACCCAAGCCAGCTGCAGAACCACTTCGACGCCTTCTACGAGGATGTCTGGTGCGAGATGTGCAAATACGGTGAACTCGAAGAATTGGTCGTCTGCGACAACAACAATGATCGTAAGTTCGAACCTATCCCAGAAACTCCACACAAGTCCAAATTACTAACATTTTACCCCCAGATCTGATCGGAAACGTCTATGCCCGATTCAAATACGAAGAAGACGCACAGGTAGCATGCGACACCCTCAACTCACGCTGGTACGCTGCCAGACCCATATACTGCGAGTTATCGCCTGTCACAGATTTCCGAGAAGCGTGTTGTCGTCTGAATAGCGGTGAAGGATGCGTGCGAGGCGGGTTCTGCAATTTCATTCACCGGAAGGATCCGTCTGCAGAGCTGGATCAGGATATCCGACTTAGCACAAAGAAGTGGTTAAAGGAGCGTGGTCGTGATGCGCGGAGTGCTACTCGTAGCCCGAGTCCGGAGCCTACTCGGCGGAGAGGCTAGAGGATAGGGTTGAGTGTTTCTTTGACAATGTTTTCGTTTTCCTTCATCTTCGGCGTTGGGTGATCTCAGTTGGTGGTGTGATTCCACCTTGGGGCTGGGGCCTCGGCATTCTCTTTTGCTGATTGGCATTTTGTATATTATGTCATGATATCAAACCTGCGAGTGAATCGATTTTATGATTGAATTTTATCCATCAAGGGGTCTACTGACTGGGAGGTCTATCGTAGCGCCTGATTAGTATCCAAAGCTCTAACGATAGGTGAGATCGATATAGGGACAATCGATGGATAAATGACATGGGAGAGGCAAGATATGTGCATAGTGTAGTCGTAAACTAGGAGAATTGTCAGACCAAGCTGTGGACCATTAGGCTATATAGGCAGGCTCTCAAAAGCTTTTATGTCCATATGACGCAAGTGTTTCAAGTAGCTGAGTAGCTCACTGAATATCTGTAGCGCTATCATCTAGCATCTTCATAGATACACGTTTGCACTAATGAGTGCCCCTAGCCGTCCACCATGTTCTTGCGTCAAATTTATCTGTCATTTAGTTAATCTCCCTGCTATTTACAAGAACCCTGGAAGTCATATTTGATTAGTAGAGACACTAATCCCATTCAAATAAGAAAGATAAAAATATAAAGCTGCAGCATTTTATCAAAGTGCTTAGTCAGAGTGTTGAGCATGCTATCTAGAAGGCTTTGAATAGTGAAGAATCGTGGTATGGAGTTATGACTCTTTAAAAACAAGAGTAAAAGCTTCTCCTGTATCCCAAATACATTTAAAACTACCACAATTGAAAGAAAGGAGAATTAAGTCATTGATATACCTCTTTGTCTGCAAGTCTTGGCGTTTCCGCGTCGCGTCGATTCGCGTACTTTCATTTCTTTGATCTTCGACTTGCTTTCCACTCACTCCCAAGTGCTCGCTTTCCCCTCATTACCCCTGATTTAATCGCTGAATACAAATCAGCATCATGGGGGATAGCTACGATGACAGCAACCGCGCCTTTCTACAGGCCTTCATGGGACGCTCGTCCATGACCTTCGATGAGGCTCAACTAGTTTTGGCAGCCATTTTCTCTGCGCAGAGTATGTGCTTCTTCATCTCTTTCCACAGAAATATTGCTAATAAAACAATGAGCACAGGAGGAGAAACTGTAGACCCAACCGATATTACCGAGGAGCACCTCTCATCCTACATCTCCGCTGCTAACACCGCAATCTCCCCCTTCGACCTGGAAATCAGAAGCTCATTCCGCCAAACACCAAAGCAGCCAGATCAAGAAAATACCGATACACCACCTACCCGGGTCTATGCCCTCGTCAACACAACCAGTGATCCCTTAACTCAACTTGCGACAACATACTCCGCAGATGAGATTGCTTTCGTCAAGCGTCTACTCGATTACATGTTTGATACCAACAATAACCGCCTCTGCGAAGGAATGGTCATCACATCAATGCAGGCTCTTAATATCCGCTCTTCGGCCGAGGCCAACCGGCGACGCTCCACGAACGCAGCGCAGACACAAACGGGAGCCGCACAGTCCTTGACAATGACACAAGCGGAGAACATGATGAAGCATCTCGTTGATGAGGGGTGGTTGGAAAGAAGCAGAAAAGACTATTTCAGCCTGACTCCACGGGCACTCATGGAGTTGCGAGGGTGGCTGGTTTCAGAATACAATGATGAGACAGACGATGGGCGCAGAATGAATCGTATCAAGTTCTGCGCTGCTTGCAAGGATATTATTACTGTGGTATGTATCTCAGTATGTGGTAAAGTGGGACAGGACTGACTGTGTTAGGGACAACGCTGCGGAAACCGCGATTGTCTAGGCCGACTCCATGATCATTGCATGCGCAATTTCTTCCGTATTCAGCGGGCGGAGAAGTGCCCTGTGTGCAAAGCAGACTGGCCAGGTGACAATTTCGTTGGTGAACGAGCTGCCGCTGCTGGGGCTAGGAGACAGACCAATGCCCGACAGGCTCCTCCTCCTACGGTACCAAATGGCCATGTAAGCGGCGAAGAAGATGCAAGTGGCTCTGAAGATGCCAGCGGGGAAGAAGAAGAGGAGGGGGAGGAGGAGGAGGAGGAGGAGGAGGAGGAGGAGGAAGGTTGATGGTCAAGAGGAATTTGATACTGGATACCACGCAGTCGGGGTTCGCAAGCGGTTCCCACACGACCATCTCCATTTGGAACACTTGATGGAAAAAGATAATGAATTCATAGATGCCGATCAACAGCATAACGTCTATTGGGTACGCCCAAAATGGCGAAAGCATTGCATCGTATGTGCCAAATTTTGGCGCATCGAAGATCAATCTGGCAAGAGACCCTTCCAATTTCTGGGCTAAAAACCATCTGCTTCTTGCGAGAAGACGCATCAGCGTTGATTACAGATGCCATATCTGACATTAAATAACATGTGCATTGATACCACACGGTATCATGCTGCCTTCCAACATACGATTCCAATTGCAAATGAAATATGGTCATATTAGTGACATTCTCTTCCAATGTTAAAATAAGAACGAGTCACTCTGATCTATAGACAAGCGCCAGAGCAAAAAAAGTGGGTCACATAGCCTGACGCTAACAAATCGTTCCCAGAGGCTACATCCCAGAAGTTAGACATCTCCAACTCAGCCTGATCAGTCCACCATTCTTCAATGCTCCTCTTACCCCGCTGATTTGAATTAGCAGTGCTAGAAACAGCAAACACAATTGCGATGAAGGGAAACTCTTCTCCCGCTGCAATATCGCGTGGTATGTCACGCGTAATGGTGGGAGGGAGCGTCCTCCGATGCACCAGATTTGTGTTTGCATCAGGCTTCAGAGCCGAAGAATTTGTGGAAAATGTTGTAGATATACCTATCCTACTCACTGAAAGACCAGTAGCCCCAGTCGAGGAAAGGATCAAGACAGAATTGGACGTTCCGAGAACGCCTCACTTCGATTTTCTATGCCAGCGTCGACTTTATCGATACTCGGAAGTTTTGATCCATCCAAACGGCAACACAGTGATGCAAAACCACCTTCCACAGTATGAAGACTGCGGAGCGAGGAGTTAACACGCACGCGATGAACCCGCACATGCCAGTCCGGCCATCTATCCGTTGGCTGTATCAAAGTTGTATCTATCTCAACTTGCCGACCACCCCACGGTTACCATCGAACTGTTACAACAGGCAAGAAGATAGCTTTGCACCCATCTTCAAACGGAGACCAGAGAATACAGGCTCAGAGCACTTCAATTTCGTAGCCCATGTTTCTGCACCGTCTCGACTAAGTGCCAGTGTGCAGTCTGGCGCAATCTGTTGGATCAACGGTCCTTTGGGTACGGAGAATCCAAAGGTGGAAGAGTATTCGAATTTAGAGTATTTGGCTTGACTGGCTCTGAGTGGCCAGGCAAGAAATTGGGCGGGGCGTTGACAGAAATGATGATTTGTCTAGGGGCGGGATAACATTTGGGGGAAACAATGATGGGGATGCTTTTTCTCCGGATGTCCAGAAGTTGTTGTTTCGCGTGAGGGAGATGGCGATGAGCGATTTTAGATCCCAGTAGGTTGATTGTGGGGAGTTGTAGTCTTCGCACATGTACATGTTTCTGCAAGAGTATTAGCTTCCTGACAAGATATTGCATGGCATTATTGCAATCAGCGCACTCAAATATGAAAGCTGAAGTGTAGGTTGAGGAGATACTGACGGGTGCATCCAGCCAATGCTCGGGGTTCCATGCGCATGGAAGATATCATCTGAGCGAGCTGCCCACCACAGGAGATGACGCAGGAGGAATCCCTTGATCAGACCAGATCTTGACAGCAGCCACGGCATCATGGGTACCTCACTCACTGTCAGTGCAGAAATCGGGAAAAAAATGTGTTGCGTCCGCGATGCAACGGCACCACTTCCGCTGAGTCTATTGTTTCTTCGGGCAAAAGGCACCACACGAAAATCGATAGGTAAGGGAACGACCGAACGGGATGGCAGGGCCTAGCGAGTGTGATCGGCCTTGTCAGGGTTCATCAGTCAAGAAACTTACCATCAAAGTCAAGATATCGTCAGAAAGAAGCTCCAAAGTCACGGGCTTGCTGTTGATACCGCGAAACTCTCTCAGGATCCATATATTCAGCGAATTTCGCATACAGCAATTGACTAAATTGAATTACAAAACTCCCAGAATAACAGCCGACCTGTCGACCATTTTCAACTGCATTCCGACGTTTGGTTCGTTCAAATGCAGTTAATTCCTCTTCCTCTTTCCGTGTTGACAGCCAAGGGCCATCGCCAGACCACCCATCTCCCAGATGAAAGGGTTCAAGGGGAGCAAATTCTACATGAATCTCATCGGTCACCTCGGAAGCAGAAACTCCACACACTTTGATGAGCGCAAGATTGGCAAATACTTGAAAACACAGCCAATTATTGCTGGGCATCTGCTTCCCAATGATCCCATGAAGCCAGACCGTGATATTCCGTCGGGTCTTCTCACCGTGTCTGTGAAATAGCGTATCCGGAGAAGACAGGAGAGCATAGCTCATGACCCCAGCCTCGACCATACGCTGACCCATATCGGGGACAGCTCCCCTTATTCTGAATGATCGGGATTCGAACTAGTAAACAGACCCGCGATCCACGGCTCTGTCAGTTTCCGAATGGTTTCCGCAACAGCAGTATCACAGGAACCGTCCCTGAAAGCTGCGGCCTCCCACTCTAGTAGTGATGCTACCCCCCATAGTTACCGGAAAAGCCCTCAAGCTGTGCAGCTGCTTCATCAAAATGAACTCCCGTGGAGACAGGGATGCTAATGCGAGCCTTTCCTGGAGAGAAATAGGGTTGAAGCGGTTACAAAAGTGCCAAAGCTGCATTGGCGACGTCTTCTCTGGTATGAAGAGGATTGCCGAAAAATCCTGTCAAAGGAGGCATTGTAAAGATCTAAGTTGGTGAGGGGTAGTGATAAGCTGATATTCATATAATGTATATCTCGGCGTGCGGGACAAGTCTCGGGCATCGGGGAAGTTGTCGGTGGGTACCTTCACATTTTTCCCGCGATTTGTATTTATATTCACCCTTGAGGGTTATAAATAGTGATTAAACTGCTAGTATGTGGTTGGCAGAATTTCATTCCTATTCAAGATGTTGATTAAAACCGAAAATCATCCAGACAGCGCGCGTTTAGCAATTCAGACTGTTTAAAAAGCCCAACCATGACAGAGCTCAGTCATATATCGGGTGGTGGCGACATTTTCAGCCGAATAACAGTTCTTGAATGGAGATCACAGGCGTTAGGGGTGCGTTCCAGGAGCTGTATAGTGATGACCTCACGGCCAGGGTCTTGCGTGCTGCCGTCAAGTGCCTTCGAAAAATTTAGGATCCATCCCTAACCCTCCACGATCTGTCAAGACGTACTGACTTCTCCAGAGCCACATGACCCATTTTCCAGAATGGGTACCTCAGTCTGGACCAAATGCCGGAAAGTACAAATGCCGCGAAGCAGAGTCCCGGCCATGTGGTTTCTTCCCTTGATTGATCGACGCCTTACTCGAGCGATTGATCAAATACCCCCGGCCAGGACCCAGTGAACAAAGTAATATAGAGTCTCCAAATACTAATAACCTTCTTATCATTCTTCTCTTATTCTAGATTCTTTTTATTCCTCATGTGCCTTTCCGCACTATCCGTCAACGTCACCCAGGCGGCCTAAAAATCTCCTCCCGTTATAACTTCTTGTTTCCTATTCTTCAAAATCAACTTCCTCCAATACATTCTGCCATTTCTCCTCTTCAATTTCATTAATATTCTCCCTCCCCGCCTCTTCCTGCTGCAGCACGACTTCCCTAGGCTTCTCGAGTTTTAACATTTTTTCTATCTCTTCCATCTCTTCTTCAATCTCTTCCATCACTTCCGCCTCATTTTCCGCCAACTTCTCCTTCATTCCTTTATCTAGTCTATTCAGAAAACCCTCCATACGTCGTTCAGTCTTCTCATCTCGCACAAACTCACGGAGCAAAGAGCGCCAATTGTGATCGACGGTGTCCATATCTTGTCGTGAGATTGGGACAGGCGGATAGGTACCCTCGAGAGCTGTCAGGATGGCGGTGCTATATCGTCCTGAGCCACTATGAGCAGAATCGGAGGTTACTGCTGTTGCACTCTTCATATCATTGCCCTCCTTTACGAGCAATCCTGCTGGATAGTTTTTGGGAGACGCATCGCTCATGTGGAAGGAGGAAAAACTGCCAGCCTTTTTCTCATCCGAGTCTGATTCTGATTCTGTCCGTGGCAGTAAGAAGAGTGCAAGCTCTTCCAGGTGTTGACCCACATGTCGCTGAAAGTTGGCAGTGGGAAGGGTGCACTGCCTGCAGATAGCGCAGTCATAAGTCTCATTTGTACCTAATATTGAATCGTGTGCTTGTTTGATATGGTGATACCATTCCCGACGGCTCTCGTAGAGCTTATTGGGTGTCGAGCAACCCGGAAAAATACAGACGTATGGCATCAAATCGCGGAAAATATGTCGCGCCCATGATCTTTTATCCCGAGCTGTGATGATGTAAAAGCAGTATGGACACTCAAATGGTTGGTTCTCGCCACCCTTCTTTGGAAGAGGTGGTATTTTTGGTGCATTTACACCAGAGCCCTCGAGCAGGGTGCCTCCGTATGAAGTTTCAGACATACCGGCCTCAGAGATCATGTCGCTCAACTGACCAGGAGTCTCCTCAAACAGGTCTGTCACGACCGTTTCCGATAGTATGGTTGATTTGCCATCATTCTCAAGATCAATTCCCTGACTCAATTTTGTGTGATGTCTTTCTCGATATTTCAAGACTCCCCTTTGTTGTGCCATTGCGGAACTGATGCGATCGATAGCTAGCGTGTCCGCACTTGGGTACTTGTCAGAGGCATGCTGCCTAGCCCAGAATCGAAATGGCTGCGAATCCAGTTTATCTGTTCCGACCAAGCGGTCGTGCTGGGACGGTTTACGGATGATCATGGAAATCTGGTAGAGTTGTGTGTTTGTCTCAACAAGGCCTTGGTGAATTTCCTGGATCTCTGGTGTGAACTTCTCATGTCCCGGGGGACTTTCCAGGCAGTCCGAAGCATCAGTTTGGGATCGTTTATCATTTTGCTCCTCAAGAACATCCTTGAGGTCGGTCAGCAGCTCCTGTATTTGATTCAAGAGCGTCACGACCTGAATCTTGATATGAGAAGCATCCCTAAGACGGTATTCTAGAGAGGATAGATGGGTCTGATGAGCACCGATATTTGCTGCCCACACGCGAAATCGGCCCAGTTCGTCCCTCCATTCTTGTAAGGGAACCTCAAGACAATTAGAAAGCGCGTGGAACTTGACTGTTGAATTGAATTGTGCTTGACATCTCTGGAACAACTCCGATATTGCTGCCATTATGTGGTGCTTGATCAATTGTAGTATCATCGAGGTGGAAGATGATGATTATTAGGATCCAAGTCTGCCGTAATGCGGGGTCGAGTGAGAGTGGGGGTAGGTAGCAGTTTAGCTGAGACGAAACCCTTGTTTTCCTCACGAGCCTTGACTCAGATGCGAAGCAAATATGGTCACCGGTATTGAGGCTGCAGGGCTCGCTCTCGCGATTCTTCCGTTCTTTGTGAACCAGATCGACGGCTACGTGCGCGGTATAGAGACGATCAAAGGCATGAGGCGCTATCGACGGGAGTTCAAAGGCTATTCAGTGGGCCTCAAAACACAATATGCGATTTTGCTGAATACACTGGAACAGGCTTTGGAAGGTGTGGTGAATGATGAGGATAAAGTCTCTGAGCTCATACGCGATCCAAATGGAGACGGATGGAAGGATGCAGACTTACAAAGACGACTGCGCTTGAAGCTGAACCGAAACTACGACGTATTCATTGACAACATGACTGCTCTATCGGAGCGGCTGGAACGATTATCTCACAAACTCGAAATTGGAATAACGGATATGAAAGTCAGTAATTAACATTCTCTAATTTTGCTTGGTCATTACTTACTCTCTTTCATTGTCCCACAGACTCCCGTTACAGAAGCCTGGAACATCTGGAAACTCCGAAAGATCCTCGACAGAGCAGTATACGATGACCTCCTCGCAAAGATTAGCGACATAAATACGATTCTTAAGACTCTCATCGACCAATCAGACCACCAGCATGATACTAAGAAGAGACAGCACAACTGGCATTATCTTCTTAAACGGTTTCAAAAAGCTCGCAAGCATGCAGAGGGTTTGTTCAAAGCAGTGACCGGGGGGACTTACTGGCGTTGTCAGTGCAAGGACCACCACTGTGTCCACCTTCAGCTGCAAACAAACCCATTGGAGAGTCGCGGAAAATCCTCCAGCCGAAATTTCGACACTGGAACCCAGTTTCGAATTATTTTTTCCAACACTCATGAGCAAGATTCAACGTGCCTATGGACTTGGTCAGAAGTTATGTTTGAAGCTTGGCAAGTTGAAGACATAGTGAAGGTTTCCAGCTTGTCTCTACATGATGAAACCAAGATCACCCGCCACAAGTCAAGTGTTCAATTTGACATACCCGTGGAGAAAGCAACAATACTGGAGATATCCAAAGACGCCCCACCAATCCAGGATTTTTGTGCCTCACTATGTGTTGCCAGTTCTCATGCCATACGACGAGAATGTATAGGCTCCATTACAAATGAGTTAGATACTTCAGTCAAATACACCATGCATGCCGTGAAGATGCTTCCAAAGCCCGTTCCACAAAGGTCCCTTCAGGAAGTACTATCGCATATCAGTCGGCAAGAACGTCTTCATCTTGCTGCTGGTCTAGCATGCGGTGTTATTCAATTATACGACAACTGGCTAAAAGCTTGGTGGGATAGCTCCGATGTCTACCTAGTTGCCGCCAGCGATGGCAGAAATGTAATACTGGATGATATATACCTGCCCTGGTCCTTTTCCAGCAAGAGCACACCGCCGCCGAGAAAGGACCTCCACTACTCCAATATCGGCACTAATCGTCTATTACCACTTGGTCTTGCGTTAGTGGAGCTGTCCCTTGGAAAGTCTCTTCACGAATTGATAGAGCCAGATAGTGAAAATCAGCATATACCAGTGACAAAACTTGAAACTGCATCAAAGCTTGTCGAAATGGTGTATAAGGAGAGTGGGACGAATTATGCAGATGCTGTTAATAGCTGCCTGTCTTGGTCTACTTTATGTTTCGAAAAACGATTCGAGGAGCGTTTCTTTGACACCGTCGTTTCTCCATTACTGAAAGATCTCGTCAATTTTTAATCATAAAACTCGACTATAGAACATCCTTGTTCATGAATCTAAGTCTCGCGATCTATGAAAAATGATACTTTCACTCCCTGTCAGACCCTGCGACGTAAATCTAAAATGGGGCTCTATACCATTGGACACCCGCAAATTTTATTGCCCAGAAGCCCTTTCTTGTGATTATTACTACGACATGTATAAATACCTTGCATGTTAGATAAAGGTATACATTCACTTCGTGTAGATATAAATACTTGAAGGTCTAACATCTACTGATATGTTTTGGAAAAAATAATGTGGATTCTTGTTGTCTATGAAAAAAGCTATATCTCCGCCACCCGCCCCATACCAATACACATTCCGTCCCCGTAAATAAGCTCGTATGGCTTATAGGTTCGAGTCCGCGGTAATCTCCGAAGTGGTAGAACACGAGACGTTCTTCACTACAACTGTGTTCCCACTCTTACCAGTCACGCGCACATCAACAGTATCAGTTCCAAATCCTGAAGTATACTCGAAGTAGTTGTAGGATGTGCGGGTAGTAGCAGTCCAAGTACTACCTCCATCGGTACTAGCCTCGAGAGCGGTAACGGGCTCATTAGCATTGACGACCTGCATAGAGAACCAGTATTGTGATGACCCGGATTTATTGCGCAGCTTCAGGGCACCGTCCAGATCACAGGAAGTAAATTCCCAATCAATATCGATGATACCAGCCGAGATGTCTGCTATGTCACCAAAGGCATCCTCGAATAGGTCAAAGTGGTTTGTTTCGCAGCTTGGGCACTGATCGACAATCTGGAAGAGAGGGAGTATTAGCTTTGGAAGAGGATCTTGTGTGATTTGGAAGTGGTGTGATTACCATTGCTTTGATGGTATTGCCGTTGGGACCCTTGACGGCAACACATGCGCCGCAGTTGGCGGCATCATCCCACTGGTCAATTGACAGTGCCGTACCAAAGAGACTGCTGGGCAATGTGTAGTCGGAAAAGGAGCAGGTTCCACCCGAGAGGTTACCGCCGTAGTAGGTTGCTTTTCCAGATATTTCACTCGACAAGGAAGTAGACGAAGAAGCGGTCAAAGATGAAGAAGACGATGAAGATGAAGTTGCAGATGATGCCGTGATAGTAGAAGTGGTAGAGGAAGTTGGGCTTGCAGTAGATTCCACAGGAGCCACCATGGTGGTAGAAGTGGTAGAAGAAGTTGGGCTTGCAGTAGATTCCACAGGAGCCACTACAGTGGTACTGATCACCTTCTGGGGAGCATCTGAAATCGATGTAGCAACATCAGCAAGATGCTGCTGGCTTTGGGAAGTGGTGGTCTCGGAGACGGAAGCCACAGAGGTCCGGATGGAGGATTTCGATACTACATCGTCGTAGATGGCAGTGGGAGTTTCGATATGAGATTCGGTAATGCTGGTAGCCGTAGTCAATACGGGCGTTGGGGTCGATGTTGTGGCAGAAGTGATAGCCACAGTCTCATAGTACACGCTTAAGGTGTACCCAGATGGGCAAGAATCCACGCGCTTCATTAACGGGCTGGCGGATGCGGTCGCAGCAAGCTCGAGAATTATTGCAGTAAGCGAGAAGAAGAGAGGGTATTTCATGTTGATGCTGATTTATACCAGTTATATTCTGTTATATGAATGAAATGATCCTGCCAGCGAGATCAAAAATGTGATTGAAGTTGTCTGTATGGATGCAAAGAACGGAAAGTTCGTGGCAGAAGATATGCCAAAAGTATTGATAATAATGAATGGACGTCGGGATTTCAAATCCTAGACTGGTAAGGGAATGGAACTGTCGCAGACTGGTTGAAGAAAAGAACTACACAAGAGAGAAAAGAAGGCGGCGGAAAGATTAAATGTGATGAATATGGCCTCACCGAGCTTCAGCTAATTAAATTGCAAATTTGCACATCTCAAATTAGCATTGGTGGATCAGGCCATGATTACTGTCTCCTAGTTTGAGAAATGAGTTTGACCCCTTATGAAACATCTATCACTACTAGCGTAAGGGTCTATTCCCGGAAGAAGCCGAAAATGGATATACACCGTGCTTCGTTAGGCTAAGCGGGTGCTGCTTAATCAAAATAAATTACGCTAAAGGTCTAGGCTATATATCTCAACGAATTATATTCAAGCAAAACTTCCGCTGGGGCCCTACTGAAATTAAGGATACTCCATATATTAAGGCATGGCCAGGGTCTATTCAGCAACTCAAGACATCTCCGATATATCCTATAGTATGTACCTTGATGATCGGAACATCGCTCAAAGCTTACTTCAAGAGCCTCGACGACCCCAGGACTCAAGTTTATATTCATCTGATATTTTGAGAATCATTGTCTCCGAAAAAAGTAAAGTACGGGAGCATCAATTGATGAAATAGACTTCGGCCAATATTTAAATGCATGAACAAGCCAATTGAAAGGAAACGGTCGCGATTAAGTGATCTCTGGCATTCAGTTCAAGGGACTAGAGGACGCGAAGAGTAAGAAAGCAATTGCAGGAGCAGAAAAAAACAAAAACATACAACAGTCAGGATTCGCATGTGGTCACCCACCATACTACTAACTAACCGGCGTGTGGCTTAAGTACGGCTGAGCGGACGGGAAGCCCTGTTCTCCACACCCTATGGTCGTATGTACTGAACATCACTTTTACTTGGATCATCTTGTAGAAAAACTCAAATAGCTCAAGATGTCTAGTCCCTAACGGTGGAACTGGGGTGATCCTATAAGGATCCAAAGGCAAAGATATCACTCAGATTAATACTGTTTATTGATATCTTGTCAAAGCAAGGACATCATTTATTAATGAAGGCTTTGCTGTGGTTCCTTGAGTAGTTTTGATTTTAACATTGGTTGTATTATGTGATATACTTCTATCGCACCGCCTTTGGCAGTTCCCCATAACTATTTCAAGTTCCGTTAGTCTCCCGCAGCTCAGCAGGTACCCACTCACCCAGTACTCTAGGAAAGTACACGGGACTTTTTCAACCACTCATGCGCCTCTTCAAAAATTCTCCGCGTAGCCTCCTCCCTCTTACTCCTACTAACACCCTCCTTCTTTCGTCCCGGTGACTCGTGAGTAAAACCATGCGGACACCCTTTCGCCAACGTCCACTTATACGTGCCCACCTCAAAGTCCTCCTCCTGCTCAACACCAGTTCTATCCTCCAATCCGGCCAATCCATGAATCATCTTCTGCGTCTCCAAACGAAGCATATCCCATTGTGCTCCAATCATATAAATCCACGACGGTAGCTCAGCCCGCCCCGCATATACCGGACTAAGCAGCGGATCCCTTCGGTTCTGCCCCACGCTCACATAACCCCAGTCTAACCACCAGGAGGTCTCCTCTAGGTTATCCTTCGGACCATCTTTATACGGCCTCGAGTCCAGCTTTTCATCAGGTGGGTGGCTGAAGTCGATGATAGGATAGTATATCACCGCTGCTTTTATCAGGCCTTTCAGACCTGGTAATTGCGAGGCAGATAGCGCGATGTTGCCGCCTGCGCTGAAGCCGCCGATGGCGATGCGTGAGTGATCAATCGGGAGTGAGTCATCTGCTAGTACGTACTTGACTACTTCGGCAACGTCAAAGGTGGCTGTTGGGAATGGGTGGAGCGGCGCCTTCCGGTAGTTGAGGCTGACGACTAGCATTCCGGTGCGGTTGGCCCAGGTGCTACAGAAGGGGTCATCGACGCTCGCATCGCATACCACAAATCCGCCTCCGTGGATGTTCAGGTAGAGTGGGAGTAGTTGGCGCTGCGCGGGTTTGTACAAGCGCGGGTAGAAGATGCGTGTTTCCAGGGTTGGACGGCAGGCATAGCGCTTGATGAGGGTTGGTTGGATCCCCGGTTTAGGTGGGTGGACGATGCGTAAATAGAGGAAGTAGAGGGTGGCTAGTGATTTAAAAAGCCAGAGATGGACGAAACAGCTTAGGCGGTGGGGGAGAGATAGTCGCTCTTTTAGGAGAGGGATGGGTTTATCCATTGCCTTTTCGTCCTCAACTGGATTTTCGATCATTGTACTAGGCAGTGGTGAGTTATTGGCGGCACAGAGTCACTCGAGGGCTGCCAGTACGATTGGATCTGTTGGGATTCAGTGAGATTGACTAGTACGTGTTTGTCAGTACTAATAGCTCTGTTGGGCTTGTCGAGTTTTCCCTTTTATGAACCCTAGAACAGCACGAACTTTTCTCCTTCAGATCTCAATTTAGCGAGAAAGCTGTCGCGTACATTTACGCAATGACCTAATTATCCACATTAAGACCCAAAATAGAGGATATACTCACTAGTCAATCGAGTAAGGTTCACACCGGCTAAGAGTCGCCCCGAACAATTCGGGCGGAAGTGGGCATGGGGCTGAAAGCAAAACACGATAATACACTGGAAACAGAGCCGCAAAGACATATCTAACCGTCACAAAACAAATACAGAATGAGGAATTTTTCAATAGAATCGCCGTACCTTATCTTACACTGAAGGTGAATTAGTCCAATCACATGTTCATACCATGTGCCATAAGCGAACGCGAACATTGGGTATTATTGAATTCATCGAGGGTGTTAGATGGAACGTTTCCGTCCCTAGTATTTACAGCATAAAGATAGACTATTCTGACCGTCTGCCTTGAGTTCATCCAGAGCAAATCGGAGTTCTTCTAGAACGACATCCATCGATGCGTGGCCCAATGGCAATGTGGCAAAGAAGCCGAACTTGTCTGGGTACTCTCCGACGATCTTGCTTACATCGACGTTGCAATCGTGCGCGTTAAACAAAAAAAGTTCCAAAAGATGTAATCTCCGATTTCAAAGGTCAACTTGAAGAAGTGCACAGGGAAGAGAGACGCGTCTATCAAATGAAAGGCGAATTACCTGTGGGAGCTCATGATTTTGAAAGTTTTTCCTGTTATCCTGGTACGCATTACTCATATATTAGAATTGAATCTCTATTTATAATACTAGTCAGGACCCACTGAGCCTCGCGAAAATATAGTCAATTACATGGGCTACAAGATGATCTAAGAAAAGTACCCAAATACAAGAAATTGACGATAGGATCGCTTAGGATTTGCGTACTGAACAATACTGAGGGAACCCATTGAGAAGACTGCCTTGGAATAAAGAGATATTGTCGATATCGCTGTGTTCTCACTAGTCTTGTCGATTATAAAGATGACGATAACCACGCTTATGCTGGTTCAGATGGGTTGTATGTCCTGGGATCTGGATCGCCTGTCAGGAAGAACTCTCCAAAGATAGACTCGTGTCAACGGACGGGAAGTTCTTACGTTGGATGGGGAGGACTGAGCAGTCTATGAAACAGGTACCACAAAGGAAGATAAAGCTGGTAGAGGCACTTGACTCAGCAGCTCGGGTGCCAGTTGTATCACACGATCCCATGATGAAACCTGCGCTCTTTGCCTGCGCCACAGGAGCTGAACGATAGAACTGGCATTCATTCGCATTGACAATGAAAAGCCAAGCTTGGCAGGTGCTCATGCTATCGCATTCATTAGCACATTCGGATGGCGATAAGTGAGTGTATCCGTGGGCCAGAGGTGCTTTACTGAAGAACCCAATTGTTCCATTCTGGGCGTTTTTAAGCAAGAGGCGGACACAGAAGAAATAAACCCCTCTATAGTCAGGATAAAGGTGACAACAAGAAATGAAGTTGGTTGCATGGTTTATTGCACCTTTGGATGTTCGCTTGATCGTGGAATTGCATGTTGAGTTGAACTTTTCCACCCGGCACTTTTATAGGGGTAAATATGGAAGGCTCAAACATTGACCTAGGGATGGCGCCTCGTCAAAAATTTCCGAAATCATTCTCTCTCAATGCCACTATCAAAGATCATAATCAATTTTCGGAATTCCGCGGGTGGTGGTGAGACAGTTAGTGCCTTGCTAAATAAGCGTCCGCGCCAAGATCGGGAGATCCCAAGGGTCCTGTACGCGCCCTATATCAGAATTACCACTCGCTTGGCCCACTCGATCCATGTTAAATCCCCCTTTAGATTTGGACTCTTACAGCTTTGACCTTGTCTCCTTCTCCCTCTCCCGTTTCCGCCGCTTCCGGGCTCTCATAGCAGCTCCTCATATTGATACCTATCACTTTTTCGGAATGATCACCGTCCTCCAACGGATCCGTTTTCATCCTCGACTACTTGGTTGCGCTAGAACAACCCAATTGTCCTTCTCTTCATCTCGCTGTTCCTCGGGGATGATAAAGATGAGCCCTGCACCTATTGAGTTGGACAACAGCGGCACCGGCCCCTTGCGAGTCCCTGGTTTCAATGGTGTACCTGTCTTTTATGAGCATTCAAAGAATAATCGCTTTGCACATGGAATTGTCGATTGGAGACAAACTCCCCAGCTGTTTCTGCGAGAGCTCTCCATGCTGCAGTTCATGTTGTATGTCACGGAACAGCCAGACTGGGAAAACAAGCACGAAGATCAGCAGACACTAGAAGAATGGCGTCAGCACGCCATTTCAGTCTTTGATCTCGATGAACCCTCATGGCAGTGGTGTGTAAAGGAGTTGCGAGATAAAGCGTCTGATTTCAAACGCACGGGCTATGTTGCTGTGTTTGATGCAGACTCGCGAGTCATCAAATCTCAAGTTCATGACGATCTTCTCAAAGAGCTTCGCGAATCGATGTCGCCGCTTTTTTCGGAGTCAAGATCTGTTTCTTCTTTTGCATCAGGTGATTCTCATATGAGTGATTCTGAGAGTCCGGTTCGAGATGTGGTTGACCCCTTTATGTATCCTCTCATTTACGGGCGCACTCGAGTCCTTACCGCCGGGGGCAAAGTTGATATGGAGAGACATGAGTCCTGGAGACTATCACAATCCCAGATTGCCCCGGTTCCCGAGAAACCTCGCTCTTTCTACGCGTTAGATGACGCACATGACAAGCACGAAGAGATGCATCTCGAAGAGAGAAAAAAAATCACCAATTAATAGCCGGTATATTGGAAAGCGAAACTACTGGTCCACTGCCTTTCAATGTCTTCCCTGCGAGGTTGCTCTGAACAAGCAAGGAGGAGCTGAAATTACCTCATATATCAATGGTGTGAATCTAAAGGAAAGGCGCATATATAAAGCGCTCGAAGGGCTCATTTCGGCCGCCATCCAACCGTGGAACGAAATGCTTATCCTTGGAGATCAAGGTCGGACACAAATTAGAATCAGAACTTATGACTTCCAAGTGGAAGGTAGTGTTTGGTATCCCAAGTTATATCATCTCCTGAACAACGCCAGGGAGGAACGAACACCGCCCATCACAGAAGATGAATGGCCTGACGTTCGATCACGAGTAAGAGAATATCTTGATCTCCCTGAGCCTGAGAAGCGGGACCGCATTTGGCCTGATACTGGGTATCATGACATTCTCGCTAGTATGGAGCCATGGCAATGGAATTCTTCTGAAGAGCTGGAAAAATTGATCATCGCAAAGTATAACCGGTTGTATTCCGTGAAAGGTGTTGAGCCGGGAATATCCTTCACATACGATGAATGGAAGACTGGTGAAAATACAGGCCGCGCGATCATGCCCAAATGGAAGGACCCTAAGTGGAGTGACCCTGATAAACCTGAAACTCCCTCCATTCCCGATCCAGATCACCAGTATTACTCCATATTTCTGCAAGATCAATTTGAGGGCCTTCAGATCATAGTTCGAGTGTCAGCTATTGAGCTCACCCCAGAAAAGCCTTTGTATGGTGGTGATTCCCATCATAACGTCGCTGGTATCCTCAATGATCATGTCGTGTCTACAGCCGTATGCTACTTCGATATGGACAACATCAAAGATGCAAAGTTTTCATTCCAACAAGAGACGCTGATCGATAGCGATAATTTCAACATTTCGGAATTTACGGCCATGGATCGACTTTTTGATGTTCCTGAGTGGTCATGCGACGACAATAATCCTTGCTACCCAGATGCTCTACAGACCATGGGGTCTATCCCGATTTCACAGAATGGGCAGTTTTTTGCTTGGCCGAATAAACTGCGGTCTAAGGCCGAGCCTTTCAGTCTCGTAGATCCATTGCGGCCAGGGTACCTTCGATTTGCGACTTTGTGGCTGGTAGACCCGCATTATCGAATTTGCTCAACTCAGAATGTGCCTCCCCAGGACCGAAGCTGGGTCGAGACATCACAATCAATGGAGAACACACGGAAGGACGATTCAATGACATTTACGCAGGCTATTGAGGCTCGAGACCAAATAAGGCAGGAGCGAGACAAAATTAGCAAGGATCTTCTTGAACGTGGAATTGAGCAGCACACACATTCAGAAGATTACCTTATTTGAACATGGACGAGCACAAGAGGCTGATGCTAGCAGCTAGAACTCCAATATGTCTAACATTGATATGTATAACATTGAAGAAACATACCAATCCCTTCTGAGAAATCCGAGCACGATGGAAAGCAATAATATAGATACAGATTCAGATTTGAATACAGTAGACAAGTCCTGATCATACATATCTCAAAGACACAACCAGCATTTGAGCCGCCATCCGACACCCATCCCGTATGCATGATCATCTAATCACAGCTGTCCAAGCTGTCCAACTCACTCAAGTTAAGAGTAATTGTGGAGGTAATCTTTTGGTGGCTTATGTAAGACTTCGCACCGCGCACGTTGCTGTTCCGAAGACCAACATACCAGGTTTTGTACTCGTTAATTGTACTTGCTGGATCACCATTGGCCGTCACTGTCAGACCCCAATTCTCGCGATAGTATACAACGTCTGTGTCCAATACAGAAAATGGTGAAGACTGCAACGTTTTTCCGGAAATCTGTCTTCAAACATTGGCTTCAGTCCGACCGAGAACATCTCACTTAGCCGCGCTCCTTGGGTACCTGCTAAAGCACGCTTGAATTCGGGGAGACGAATTTTCCATGCGTCTGAGAAGCCCGACGCGGTGCTGCCTCGAGTCGATTTAACGATATCACTGAGCTGCTGGAGCATGACCTCATGCCCCTTCGGCAAAGTGTCCCCGTTTCTTAGCAGACGTGCTATGTCGTATTTATCTGTAACCAGATATTCATTGATTTTGCCCAAGGTATCTTTGCTGCACTCTGGGGTTTGGCTCAAGAAAACGCCATTTCGAGGAAATTTTTGATTGATATAAACGTTCGACACAAAGGTCCCAAAGTCTTCCAAGGCCGTACTGGGAAGGCCTGGTGCCAGAGTACGTGTTGCTCCGTTCTTGAGAAAGTCCAAAACATATGCGTTGTACATGGCGAGCATCTCGCTGGGGGCAGCAAGCATGGATGCTTGTCCATGGTTGAAAAATGACAGAAATATGAAGAGCAGAAGCTTGAACGCCTTCATGTTGACAACGCAAAGGGTGGAAATCGAGGGAGAATGATGGGAAACGAATGGAACCCGAGGCTGAGCTTATGAAAATGAGACAGATGGATGGCACAGCATGTACAGTAGGTATATAATGATGTATACCTAGCAGGAAATTGAGCTGGAATGAATGACTGGCAAGGGAGTGCCTATCAAATCTGAATAATTCGGAGTAGGAGAGGAGAACACGACGAGGAATTGAAATCATATGGAAACATTCAATTTATTCAAATATAACCTGCAAAAGTCTTGGACATGGCGCGTGTTGGATATTGGTACTTCCAGCAGACTCAGTGGACTTCGACAAACCAGAGGTGGAGTTTCCATTCTGGTGCAGGTGAACTCCTTCAGCTATAATTGAGTGAAAAAGATCGTGGGACAGAGTTTACTGAAAGCTCGGTATGATCAGGCGTGCAATATATCAAGCAAGCGGGACGAGAAAAGAAAGACATTTTTGCCACTGAAATGTTAGACTAGAATGATTTTTGATGACGTTTTTTCATGAAGCCCGAAAAATTATGTTAAGCACGTATCCTCCGGAAAGAGCAAAAGTCTTCTGTCCATTTCACTGAGCCCACCTCTTGTAGCTTAGCATTGAAATCGTCAATTCTGGACCGCTTTCCTATAATTGTACTGCCAAATAACACCTCTGTCAATCCGTGCCTCCACTCGGATTTTTCCGAGTTCCGCCAAAAGTGTGGCCACAGCATCAACTGAGTCGCAATGCTTTCTGGCTGGGTCGCCCATGCCTTGATCGGAATTTCTGTTTGAGGCCTATGATGTCTCGGTACGCTGAAGCCCGAGGCTGGCGGACGAAGGCCTCTCAGCTTTGAAATTTCAGTCCTCTGAGCGTCGGTTACAGGAGCCTGGAAGTAGACCCAGAATAATTGAATGAATGAAGAATCCAAGACCTCAAACCAATTCCCAACATAAGGGGTTTCGTGGGAGCTAAAGATTATAATGTTCTTTGCTGCCAAAGTTTCCCAGAGAAGCTGGGCTGAGGGAGAGTCTTGAAAATATTTTATTGCATCGGTTGTCTCCCACACTGAGAATTCATGAGCACGTCAGTATCTTTATCTTTAGAATTCCCGAGCGGTACTTACAAGTCGCTAGTAGAGCAGTTCTGGGTTCATCTTGAATCATTCCCCACATAGAGCGATTGTGGCCAGGGGTGTGAAGCAATGGTTGAAAATATTCTGTCAATTGCGCATCATCAAGCTCTCCGGGGATATGAAGTTTCGTCAAGACAAATCTTTCCGGGAGGCCAGTGTTGCTGAATAAATTGGAATCGGGCATAGCTGATGAAGAAACAAGAGAGTTGGCCAGATTGTTGGAAGTTTCATGAGAATTTCAAGAGTAAGAATTGCAGAGCAACAATGCCGCTAGACTGAAAGGGTACACACCAAGGTTATATTACTCGATTACTAGTACAGTCAAAGCCCGCTTATGGTACACCCTACTATCCAAGGAAAACTACTATCCAAGGAAAAATATGTACAATAAGCGGATTGTACATTAGGTGAGATGATGACATAATAAATAAAATAGCTAACTAACTAGCCCCAAGCCCTATTAGCGCATTCGGACTGTTACGAATATTACACAAAGTCGTAACGAGTTGGTATTAAGGGTTCTACACTAAAAACGCACTAAGCTTTAGCCTCGTTTGTTTCAGCCAGCACTGCTCCATTATCCAGCCCAATCACACCCTACGTATATAGGGGCTCATTAGCGAGCTCCACGCCCGTCTTTTCTAGTACCATGAGCTACCAGACCTCGGAAATTGAAGCTCTTCCTGGGATTATCTCCGAATTCTCCGAACGCCAAGGCAAAAATTCGCGAGGCTCTGCCCTAACCGAGGCAGGATTGACTTTTATATGCGATCTAGGAGATCCGATAAACTGTTAAATAAGATTCTTTAATCCGTAGTGTGCTTGTCAATTCTACACTGAATAGTTGTATTGTATAGAGATCTATGTAGCCGGAGGAGGGGACCTCGTAAACAATTTCTAATTAAAAAGCAAGATCGCATCGGGACCACGGCAAAGACATCAAAGTCACTAGCTGAAATCTGGGCCCATTGCGAGATAAAACTTAAGGGAATATAGTCTAGCGAATGGTCTGGGGCCGCCACAGGTGGAGCGCTAACGGAATAGCAATCAGGGCCGATTCGAAATTGACAATAATCTATATGTCATCGAGAACATAAAAGATAGCACTGCAAGCATGCTCTGCTAGTCACTACGTCCCTTTTCCTTCTCTGGTACCTTCTCTATGAACTAAAATTGTTGCTTAAACATTCCTTTGTTTTGTCCTTCCAATTTGGACTCCTTCCATGTTTCAGCAAAATGTCTTCAACGTTCATATGTTGACACTACGTTGTTTTCCTGTCATGCCTGTTCTACATCCAGGTGGATTCCCGTGCTGTTTTCGCTCATTTTATGGTCTCTAATACGGCCGGATATGCATTCTCAGACTGGGAAAATGAGATCCAGCTCGCGCAGGATGCTCATATTGACGCATTTGCTTTGAATATTGCAAACGGAGAAGACACTACCTCCACTTCCATGCCCAATGCCTTTACAGCGGCTGAAAATCTCAAATTCTATCTTTTCTTCTCGTTCGACTATGCAGGAAATGGCGCATGGGATAAAGATGACGTGCTGAGCCTTTTGAACAAATAAGTTTCCAGTGACGCATATTACCTCCACGGTAAATCTCCATTGGTCTCGACATTTGAAGGACCTGACAATGCCGATGACTGGGTGGATCTCAAATCACAGATGTCACTATTCTTTGTTCCGGATTGGTCCTCAGTTGGGGCCAAGCCTGCCAGCGCTTTGGGAGACGGTGTAGCAGATGGGCTGTTTAGCTGGGCTGCGTGGCCAAATGGACCGAATGACATGGATACCTATGTTGATGCTTCTTACATGCAATACCTGGAAGAAAAGCCCTACATGATGCCAATTTCGCCGTGGTTCTTCACGAATATGCCTGGGTATGATAAGAACTGGCTCTGACGGGGTGATGATCTCTGGTATACGCGGTGGGAGCAAGCGCTCTTCCTGGCCCCGGAATTCATCGAGATTATATCCTGGAACGACTTCGGTGAGAGTCACTACACCGGCCCCACTGTTGATTCCCACAACCCATTGGCCGATTCAATGTACACGGCATTTGATACTGGGAATGCTCTTTACAACTATGTCGAAAGTTATGATCACAGTGGCTGGAGACAATTCTTGCCGTACCTGATTGATCTCTACAAATTCAACAGCACTACCTCAGGAACAGAGGGCCTTGTGACAGGGTATCGTCTGAATGCAGCGGGTGCGTGCGCCGATAGTGGCACAACTGCGAATACCGCTTCGCAGCTGCAGCTCGAGCATTGGCCTAAGGATGTGGTACAAGATAAGATCTTCTATTCAGCACTATTGTCACAGCCTGGAGAGATCTCTGTGACAATAGATGGCGTGAATGTAGGCGCAACCTGGACCAACACCCCTAGTGGCAATGTTGGCATCTACCATAGAAGCGTATCTTTTGCCGGCCACTCTAGGGACGTGATACTGAGTGTGTCTACTTCGAGTGGCTTGATCGAAGTCGGTGGTGCGGAAATCAGTGATGGGTGTGATATGGGTGACGAAGTCGAAAATTGGAATGCATGGGTGGGCTACACCATGGGAAACTCGCCCAGTGGATCCTCCCCTGACCTTAACAAGGAAGTCTGTGTTGAGTGATGGGGGAAGGGAGATTTCAGTGGGCTGTAGGGATTTTCCTGTAGCTTAGGATATTGTCCAGTTGGGGCGTGCGTGTGTACCAAGCTGGGACCTAGTCCAACATTACCCAATCCTACGGGCGTTGTCGGCTATCCAGCTGCAGGCAAAGACGCCAATTATGCCGGTTTATGTTCATTCGCTTGTGAATTTGGCTACTGCCCATCAACTGCCTGCGGAACTGTGTCGGTTCCATTGACGATTCCGACAGTCTCCCCGTTCACCCCTGATACATGTGTTGGTGGAAGTGGAGAGGATGAATTGGCTGGTCTGTGCAGCTTTGGCTGTAACTATGGTTATTGCCCCATTTACAATTGTACCTGTACCGCAACGGGTCCCTTGAACACACCTCCTGCCCAAAACACCTCTATCGTCGGCTGGGCACCAGATACAGATGATAACGGCCTTTGCAACTTTGCTTGTACCAGAGACTATTGTCCTTCGCCGGTATGCCTAGACTCGACCCCTGACGATGATTCTTGTGGGAGTGTGGACGATGACAGTGATGAGTGCTCCAGCACTTCCCCTTGCGATTTCAGCATCACCTATTCCTCTCTCGATGATTTGCAAGCAGACCTTGACAACTTGGATCCATACTGTGTCGACTTCTATATGCTGAGTGCATTGTACGGGGAGCTGGAGACTGCTTTGAACAACTATACGAACATTTCTGACACAACCAATTACGACGACGACTTCAAAGAGTACTCGAAATACATGAAAGCGCAGGTTCAACCTCAGCTAACGTATTTCATGAACATCAGCGAGGTTATTGGTGAGCCTAATGGCTTGGGAAATCAGTATTTCGAATGTACATCCAGCATACCATACGGCACATTTGATAAAAATGGATCGACTACTGCCTGTCCAGATGAGTATGTTGGATCAGAAGAACAGGAACATATCATCTTCTACGATATTGTGGACCAAGCAGGCTTCCTTGGCAATCTTACTGCAGACTCTGGCGTAGAGCCGGACTGGGTAACCCTTGATGGTGGCTTGTTCCTTGGCGCCAACACGGTGCCTTACTATGGTACCAGGCCTGACTGCGACTTGACTTGGAGTGCCGGGTACAAATGCTCTTGGTGGCAGGGATATCCCGTTCCAGCCCAGGATATCACCATCACTGACCCTCGAGATGTCATGGAAAAGGCTTTGCCAAATATCCCCAATCTCGAACTCTCGATCTCCCTTACCCAGCTTAGCATCGCCTCCGGAGGCTTTAGTGGCGTGATAGACGATGTTGTTCAGTCCATAGCTACCGCTGTCTTTACGCTAAGTGAGCTAGTCGATCGCATCTACAACGTTGTCGATATTGGTGAGCAAGTTGCCGCTGAAGAGAAGAAAAAAAGAATATCTTGGCGCCAATAGGCCCCAAGCGGGGAAGATGGAAGATGACTACAATATGTAGGCTGACAGCTTCACACAAAACGTATGTGATATTGGGTATGGGGGGAGAAAAGAGAGAAGGAGCAGAAGATCTAGAGGATATCCCCCCAGACCCAAAACTAAGCTAGTCCTAAACGGGATGCCAGCGCTGCTCAGGTCACATGATATGACCCAGGGACACCGACACACCCCCGCAGCGCGAAAGCTGACCATACAAAGCACAAAAAGGGCCCCTTTGTCTCAGAAAAACTCCAAAAAACGCATAAAATACAAATCAACCTCAGTTTCCTCATTGGGCCTAGCGCGGCTTACGTCATGAAGCCCGCCGCTGCACTACTGCAGCCCCAACAACTCCACAAAGGTAGAAAAGGTGGCAATGTCGAGGATTTTCGTAAATCCATCTGCCGGATTGTCCTTGCTGGGTAAAACAGTCAATTTGACTGTTCTTTTGGTGATTTCGTCACGCACAAAGTGGTAACGAATGTCGAGGAATTTTGTAGCAGGTTTGTAGGCGATATTCGCAGTTTCTGCCAGAATTGCAGCATTATCGCTGTCCATTCGAATCTCCACGGGTTCATTTCCTCGAATCCCCATCTCCTTCATTAGGTGTGATAAGTAAAGGGCGTCCTTTGTAGCCCGGTCCAAGGCAATGTACTCGGCGCATGTGGAAGATGGGGCAACAAGCTGTTGGCGTTTTGAAGACCACAAGATCGGAGTACCGTCGTAAAAGAAGACACAGCCGTCATTTTGGTCCTCACTAATCACAAAAGCGTCGTCGACGTAGATGATAATGAAGCATCCGTCTCGTACAAAAACACACGGATCGAGGGTCAATCCTCGGAATCCCATGCCCTCCAAGATATCCTTGAATTTGTGAAACCAAAGGTGTGCAGCCTGTCGAAGTCCGTACAAAGCACGCTTAATAAGACTCACATAGCCTTTTCTGTCGAATCCTGTCGGCATTCTCATGTACACGATCCTGTCGTCAATAGCTGCATTCAGGTAGGCGGCTACCATGTCAAATTGTCTGATAGACCAACCTTCTCTAGCTGCAACAGCGTAGAGGATCTTCACACTCTGATCGTTGGCCACAGGTGCGTAGCTTTCGTCAAAATCGAGTCCTTGCTCCTGACAATTTCCACAAATCACCCATCGTGCCCTGAATTGAGTCACAAATCCTTTGTTGTCACTTTTGAGGTCGAAGACCCATTTTCCTGGTAGAATCCTAGCTTTTTCAGAGGGGTATGGGACCTCATCCCATGCACCTGCTACTGCCAATTTATGCAGCTGCTCCTCCATAGCTTTCATCCAGAAGTCTGAATATTGAGAAGCACACGCTTCTCTGTAGGTGAGGGGTATCTTGACCGTCCACGCTTTCAAAGAGTGCAGAACGTCGATTTCACCTGCTGGCGGCATATCCTCATCTTCAACGAGGGTGGCAGCCATAACAGCTGCGTCAATTGCCATATTTGCAGCTTTCTCCGCATCAAAGTCCTCATCACCGTAGCGTGTCGTCTGACGTTTTCCCCTCGTAGAGCGTGTCGATTTCCGAACTGTGGTAGGTGCAGGCTCAGGGGATTGCGATCTGGGAGTAAGTTGGGACTCCGAAGAGGTTTTTCTGGGAGAAATCTGGGAGTTTGAAGGCTCTTCCTCGGGAGGGGCAGTAATAAGAGGGATAAGAGGGGTCTCCTCAACCTCGAAGAACTGCGGATCCTCGGCTTCATGTGTAACCTCCACAACAGTGTGTCTGTAAGCGGATCTGATATCCGGGGTAAATTTGGCGATATTGACCTGTTTAGCAGCGATTTCAGCGCGTTTTTGCCATAAATCACTTGATTTTTCGTCGTCTTTGCCCTCCCAAAAGGCAACATCTCGCACAGTGGCGATTTTGTTGGCAATAGGGTCGTAGATCCTGTAAAGGTGACCATTTTCACCCCTGTAGCCGACAAGGTGCCCTGCCCATGCCCTTGGCAGCATTTTCCGGCTCTTTACCCTCTTCTCAGGGGGTACGTTGACGTACGCCTTGCAAAACCAGATTCGGAGATGGTCGAGGCTTGTTGTCTGATCTCTGTCGTCCATGCCTTTCCGCCACATTTCCATAGGTGATTCTTGGGTCTTTCGAGTCCGTAGGCGATTTGTGATGTAGGCAGCTGTAGATAATGCCTCAAACCAGAGGGTTTCAGGTGCGCCGGCATCAATAATCATTGTGCGGGCTATCTGCATCAAATACTGGCCTGACATCTCACTGACGCCGTTTTGCTCATGCATGTAGGGGGCAGAAAGCTCGATCCTGATGCCTGCAGATCTTGCCCATGTGGTGAAATTGCAAAATTCTCTGCCGCCGTCGTAACGCATTTCATGGGGATAGGAACCTGAGCTGTTTTTGACCTTTTCACAGAAATCCTGGAGGTGGCCGGAGGCCTCAGCTTTACTTTTGAGACCTTCCACAAATCGACAGCGAGAGTAGTCATCCGTGACTACTAAGGCATGCTTTTCAGCGTTCACCCCCATAGGTTTAACCTCTTGTAGGTCAACATGAATAAACTGGCCAGGCCGAGTTGCCCTGGTTTGTGGGGTCCTGGAGACAACTTTCTTGGATTTTCCCAGTTTGCAGGCCTCACAGTGGAAATCTCTGTCTGCGTCGATCGGTCCAAAGGCATCTTCATTTGCTCTCATTTTTGGTTGTCCCGCATGTCCGAGTCTTTTGTGGGCGATTTCGGCAGAGAACATGACAATATTAACCTCATTTAGGCCGGTATTGGTGTGTCTGATGAGAGGAACTCCGTGGCTGAAGGAAATGCGGCCAACAATAGCCTTTTCAGGTCCTCGGTCATGAATCGCCATAGTATCGTCGTTATAAGCGATATTCAGCTCACGACGACCCTTGCACGCAGAAAAGAGGTTGAATTTCATTCCTGGAGAGAAGAGACAGTTGATGATAACGTCATAAACATGACCGCCATCTTGGATGAAGGAGATGCGAGCTTTTCCATAGCCTGTAGCTTTGCCTGACACCCCCGGAGTAGCAGAATCCCACTCATGCTTCTCGCCGTTTTTGAATTCATGAAATTCGTCCATAAATGCCATATTCGTGCAGATATGAGCATAACTGCCAGTATCCATTATCCACTGCTGAGTGCATAGGTTGGCAGGAACTGTAATTCTGTGCTCATCCATCCCGGCGTGTTCCTGAATCGATTTCGGCACGGACGACAATGCGACGCAGTTTTCAATAACAGCATCAAATACGGCCTCAGATACCGCTTCCACCACTCCTTCCACAGCGGCAGCGACCAAATCCCCTGCCAGATTATTGCCTTCGTCGTTAAGGTTCGGAAGTGGGTGTAGTGGGTTTTCGGGGTCGTCTTCAGCCAGAATCGGTGGATTGTCGTTCGCAGGAGGAATCGCATTCGAGTCGTTCGGCGTCGCGCTTAGTGCCACTGCACTAATTTGCGTAGCTTCACGGTGGTTGTCCTGTGAATTGAGTGCATCAAAATCAGCGAATTCGCCAGCTTGAAGGGGGGTATTGTGATAATTTTCGTTGTCCACAAGCCTATCGTAAGCCTGTTTGAGAAAGTCGTCTGCTGCTTTTGTCAGGTGATTGTGCTTCTCTGCGAGAGGGTTTTCAAAATCGAACTGATCTTCGAAATCTTCGGGGATGTGGGGTACGACCATAGCGGAGAAGTGGCCAGCGTAGTAATCGTCCATATACCCCGCGCTTGTCGCCTGCATACTGGTGGTAACAGCTGAAGTGTCCTTATCTTGCGTGAAGGTTGACGGCGTCGTCGTCGTATTTGACGAATTCGACAGATTCAACGGATTTGCACCCCCGCTGGTGCCCCTCTTGTACTGCCAAAGAGCCCCTGGACCCTCCCATCCTGGTGGTCGAAGATCTGGTCGAAGACAGTAGCATTTGTTGGTTTTGTGTAGATATCCACAGTGGGCACAGTTTTTATCCTTGTTTTGTGGCTTATTGAGCTGTGCTTTCACATGTAGTTCGTCAGAGATTCCGGGTCCAGGGCGGTTCTTTTGGTCTTTCAGTTCGAGAACAGTTTTGTAGTTGCCACCACGTCCACCTGAAGTCTTCTTCTCTTTTTCGGCCTTTGGGGTTTTAGCAGCAGCTTGTCGAGATGTAGCCTGATAATTTGGGCCTTTTTCTTTGGCCTGAAGGCGTCCGACGACGTCGTTGAGAATACGCTGCATTTGATCAGCGTTCATGATATGTCGTTCAGTTGCAACAGAAGGTAGGCCAGAGAGAATCATGTCTTTAAGTGTATCATCGCCCATGGTGCCGATAATGATCATCAGTACGCCGAAAGGGGGCAACACTATTCCGTTCTCCTTCATTTTGATCCATCCATCCCTCACGGCCTGCACATAAATGCTAGGTAGCGGGAAATCATCAGGTTTAAGCATGTACCAGTCCGTGGCGGTGTTGCATTCGGCAAAAACGCCGACGCCGCAAAACTCCTCGGTAATTGCGTCAAAAACCTCGTCAGCAAGGTCTAACCTTTTGTCCGTGGCTCTGAGCTTCGAGTTTGTATCTTGGGACACTGTTCCAAGCATCCAACTGGCTACCAGGGTTGAGATAGCAAGCCAGTTGTTGGCCATAGTGCTTTCATCGTTGTCAGGTCGTTCAATAGAAGAGTTGATGAGGTGAACAAGTTTGTGAGCTTTCAGCGCGATTTCAACGCTGTTTCTCCAGTTCCTGTATTGGCTGGGTTCGGACAGTGTTTCCTTGAAGTGATAGAGACTAATTTTGTCAGCTTGTGGCAGGAATTGTCCTTGGTGTTGACGTGTTTGAGAAGGGAGAACATCCCATCCCTTCTTCACGCGGGGCACACCCTCTGGAGGGATAGGTGTGGCCATGTTGTTGTTGTTTGAAGATGAACTTCTGTTATTGTTGGTGCTGTGCAGCGGTTGCGATCCGGCACAGGAATGTGGGGCTGCCGAAGCTTAGTCGGAATAAGCTTTCAAAGCAAAATGGAGTGTACACAAGAAAAAGGGTGTCAAAAAGACACAAAGGGTGTCAAAAAGACACAAAGGGTGTTTTATCAGGCGTGATCAGTGCCCAAAACGGAGGTTTTGTGAGTCCTTGGACTCGAGAATTCAGTCAGAAAAAGGTCTGTTTTGTGTGGGCTGTAGGTTGTTGACGTTTCCGTTGTAAACCGTGTGCTCCGGGCTCATAACCTCTTGGCGCCAATAGGCCCCAAGCGGGGAAGATGGAAGATGACTACAATATGTAGGCTGACAGCTTCACACAAAACGTATGTGATATTGGGTATGGGGGGAGAAAAGAGAGAAGGAGCAGAAGATCTAGAGGATATCCCCCCAGACCCAAAACTAAGCTAGTCCTAAACGGGATGCCAGCGCTGCTCAGGTCACATGATATGACCCAGGGACACCGACAGAATACTATATTCATGGCACTTCCTTTCCTGGGCCCGCTTTCGGGGCTTGGGGATGTCACCGAAGGCTTTGATGCTTTACTCGCTTTGACGGGGACGGTCGCAAATGAAGGCTACGATATATACAGTATGGTACAGGACCCTAGTCGTGCCCCTGTGATGATTCTCAGTATGCTGCTGGGCTTCGACACTGGTGCAGCATTTGGTGAAATCAGTGATGAATCATTGGGAGCCTTGGAATACGATTCTCTCGCTGCCTCTCGGCGCGGTATGACAATCGATGAGATAAAGGGATTTGGACGTGTGTTTGAAGCGAAGATGAATCAAGTCGATTCTATTGTTAGCAAGTCCTTGAGACGTTGAGATTACAAGTCATGCAGCTACTGATTGTATCAATATCGTAGATAAACAGAAAACTAATGAAATTCGATTGATTTGATGTTACTGGTTCCGTTGGCTGGATACTAATGACACTAGCCTTTAAGGATATGACAGCCAAGATAGCTAGGCGAACCTTCTGCTTGCTTCTGTCTCCCTCTGCTGCTTCTACGTGTATAATTCTTCCAGGACTTTATCAGCAGAATATTTATGCATCTCCTGGACCCCATCTCTCTCTGAACAGAAGAACAGTGGTTTGAGATTTTAACGAGCGAAGTCGATAATATTTTCCTCCATTGAATGCAGCCAGCAGTAAAGGCCTCAGTGGTATGTAGCTTAATTATATCTAAATATGTCATTAACACAGCGCCAAATGACTGTCTAGCCGCACGCATTTTCTTTAGTATCTAGCTATCTATTCCGATCTATATGCATTGTATTTATGCAAGAAAATCCATTTTTCTTCTTCAACTTTCGTCTAGGCTAGCGGATAAAGAAGTATAATCGTCTATATAGTATAGTAGCGAGACTCAGTCCCTATATGGATTACTATACCGTGATGGGTCACATCTTGTCCCTTACATTAGAGAAACGGCTTTATTAATACGAGCGTAGTACCAAAGTCGGGCATCGTTCACAGCCCGCGCCATTTACGGCCTTGCGCTCACAAAATTCCAAAAAATGATTTGAGTGCACTATATAATCCAAGTAAAAGTGATGTTCGGTACATACGACCATAGGGTGTGGAGAACAGGGCTTCCCGTCCGCTCAGCCGTACTTAAGCCACACGCCGGTTAGTTAGTAGTATGGTGGGTGACCACATGCGAATCCTGACTGTTGTATGTTTTTGTTTCACATATCAGATATATGTGCATGAAGTAATACAAAAGCGAAAGAGAAAGAAGGCCAGAAGGGTAAAGCTACCACAATATACGCCTCTATAAACCTGACATTTTCTAGCAATAATCTATTAAGAATCCTCTGTTTCCTTCCATATCAGGCAGAGCGATCAATCAAGAACAGTAAATGCGCGTGGCAATTACGGGGTTTAATCCAATTTACTGTCGAGCGTTTCTTGTTCTATAAACTGCGCTCCTATGATTTCCAACATCTGAACAGTATTCTTTCCCTTTCCTTGTTTTGTGGCTAGGCTTGGTTCTTACAACTGGCAAATTCTGTGGCTAGCCGGATTAGCCCCCGATTGGCAAGTAAATCTTACTTGAACGTGTATCTAGGTTTACCCATGAATTTACGAGAATAACAACATGAACATGAGTTGTGTTGATCCATGTGTTCTCTAAGGCTAGCTTTGAAGTTCTCTGTCTGCATGTAGGATCCAGAAAATGACTCGAGTAACCATATACAAGAAGAAGTATCTCATAGCTTTCGCTAGCTTATATTGGATAGTGACGAAGTGAGGATGATTAGGACCGAGAGCCCATTCAAAGGCTTTGAAATCCCGGATTAATAGCGCTTCTCTATCTTTAGATCGCCCAAAGATGCGCAAAACATTTGCCGCGAATAAAACGCTATTGAGGAGCTCCAGGTCATCTGGGCTAGAGATTGCCTCTAAAATTTCCATAGACTGTGTAGCCCAGTGCGTCATATTCGTGAAATCACCATATCGGTACGCAATTTCACATGCCACTCTGCACAGAATAGCCCACTGCCGGAGCGGGCCTTTAGAAGAGGGCCGATATGAGATAGCCGATCGAATATGCCGGTAAATAGCATGTGAAGGTTCCGTTTTCAGATACGACAGTGTGATGGGTTGGCGGTCGTAGAGCTTATCAGAAAGGATTTGCAGCGACTGATGACTCCACCTTTCAATTTGTCCATTGACCTCAAGCCAGTTACGTGTCGCAAGTCGAACCAGCCAGTGAAGTACGAAGGACTTCTGGTCTATGCCCAAACAAATCAATGAATAGTCTCTCAGAACCCTGACGTTTGTTTCGAAGTGTTCGAGATAAGGCGTATCTAGGTTTTCCTTCCATCTCCTAAATAAGGTTCTTCCGACCGCAAAAAGCTTTACTGGGAGACATAATCTGCGAAAAAATGCTCCATATCTCAATTCATTCCGCATAGATTTATCAAGAGTGTCAGAGCCCAGCTAAGAAAGTCAAAAGGGACTCGAATGTCAAGCGGTAGCCCATGAAACCACACATGACCAGTAGGACTTTTGCCCATAGGTGTGTGACGCAATAGTTCTTCCGGTATCCCTTGTCTATCGAAGAAACTCATCAAAGACAGGAGCGAAGCTGCTTTGGGATGAGTTCTCTGGATATCGTTGAACGATACCTGCCAAGCAACCAAAATGGAATGGCTAGCTTCCCAGTCACGACGATGATGGTCAGCCTCATAATCCAGAAGCCCCAAGATGCTCTTGTCGCTTCTCTGAAACTCTTCAATATACTGAGAGACTGAGCAACGAGGCGCATGGTTATTTATTTAGGCAGTTGCCTGAGCTATGGCTAGCGGCATTGACTCAAGGAGTTTCACAAGCTTCACAAGAAGCTTCTCATCCTTCTCGCCCTGTCGACCCAGATAGCTGAGTTTCCTCTTCACAAGAGAGAGTGCTGCAAGCTTATCCATTGGGTTTATTTGGAGTATATCGTTCGTGTTGGCGAACTTTGTAGCAATATGTCGATCGCGCGTCGTCAGGATGATGGAGCCATTTGGCCCACAGGGCAGAAAGGCAATCAACGGCGGGCCGTCGCTTCGTCCCCTATAGAAAAATTCATCGTTGTCATGGTTATCGAGAACAAGGACCCATTTTCGGAAACGGAGCCAATTGGAGACGAGCTTGACTGGGTTGGCATTGGGGTCCTGATGGTCTGGGATTCTGTTCAGACTGGCAATATCTTGGAAACTCTGCTGCAGGCGGGCTACATTGCTTGCATGCGCCCAAAGAACACACTTATCAGGAGATTCCTCCTGGATGCGATAACAGCACTCCACAGCCAACTGTGATTTTCTTCCTGAAGTCAACACCAAGATGTAGTCCAATTGTTCTCAATAACTTACCCAACACCGCCCAGGCCAACTAGTGCTATGGCTGATGCCGGTCTTAGACATCCTTCGAGAATTCGGTCACACAGCCCTCGATTATCAATGAAATCTGGATCTCGGGAGAAAGGAACAGTAGAAAATGGCCCCAGTGGAGCTTCTGGGCCTTTTGTGAATAAAATTAGCTCTAAATTTGCCAAAGTATAGGTAAAGCTTAATTGGGGGATAGATTTTCACGTTCAGAACACCGTTATTGATTGCTGACTGTACGCCAGAATTCGTACCACCGAACGAAACGCTTGGTGCCATAATAATAGCCCCAAAGACGGAAAAGTTGGTTGATCTGGTAAGGGAGTCAAAAGGGGTAAACAACAAGAATCCGAGAGACTTCTTGTGCGCAAGCTGAGCCTCATTGTCAGCGGGCCAGTCAACACCACAGTAGAATAGCACAATAGGATTGGGGGCCAAGATTTCGGATATATCACATTTTTGCCGAGTAACGATCGAATTGCAAAGTTAGTGTTATGGTATCAAGAATGAGTTATTCATAGGGTCATTCATAGGTCTTTTCAACAATGTAAGGTAAGGCAATAATCACCAAACAATACAGTATACTAGACTTATTCTCACCGCAGTCCCCGCGAGGACAAGGGGACTAGAGTTCCGCAGAGCCCAAAGATATTGAATTGCGCCTACTGTTCGCGGACGCAAAGTGTTGGCCCATTCCCTGCTCTATGTGCTCCTAAATTACTTTTGTAATCTCGAACCTGATAGGCAGACGTTTTTTGTATCCCTTGAAATACCGAATACTTCTTCTGCCACATGATCATGATCATATTTTGCTACCATTTCTGCGGAGATACTCATAATTTGAAACCCGGCTACCATAATTGAAAATCGCACAAATTGAAGGCTGCAAGCTAATGAGAGGCCTTGGAAAAGCATCTTACATCTCCACAACAACCGGGTTAAAAGTGTTCAGGTGGGTGAACGGATGCCTGATTTCCCTAGCTAGAGCGGCGAGCCGCCCATGACATTAAATGGTGGGCGCTAGGTGAACACGGCCAAACTTATGTTGTTTTGTGTTTTGTGTTCTGTCTTATTTGGATATCCTTGAGTTGCGCAGTATGATAGATTATGTGGATAAATGGTGAAAAGTGAGAAGGTGTCAAAAATTCCCAAAGGTATAATTGGTGTGCACATTACTCTGTGGCCTGAAGCATTCTCTTCTTCACTATGTTGAAGATGAACCTCTAGAGTCTGTTCAAGCTCCTTGAGCTCCTTTTAAAAGGTATGAAATCACCTGGACTGCCATCAATATCTGCAGTCCACCGTGATTAGGAGACAGGGATGCACCCCACTGCTGCGGCAGAATCATGGAGTGCATAATTTTCGGTAGTCTGGCCCACTAGAGATACGGTGTTATAAGAGCGCATGGGCCACATGCGAAATCTGTGTCAAGAAAGTGGCGTAGATCAAGAATCCGCGTGTAGTTGGTTGTGAAGAGAAGGAATGTTGGGAAATGATGGCTAGCTGGACGGCCTAGTAAGTCTCGCGTTAGATTTGAACAGGATGTAGAGTACCGCATAGGTTTCTCGCGCGGGTTTTCTCATCTTCGGGGATGAAACCGGACGACGACCGGCTTACATGTCACGTTTGGGATACAAAGCTCTGAATATGTGCCGTGATTTGTTTGACGAGTGGTGTGAATTTTGATGCAGGGTGAGCGGATATTGGGGCAGAACAGGTGCTCCTCTGCTTTGAAACGTCGATAACGCCTTGTGTTTTGTTAAACATACCGATTAAGTAATGGGAAACCGTTGACGAGGGTACTTTCAGGCTAGCGAGTTCCACAATCAATAGTTTTAGCGATAGTAGCTGTTGGCACTGCAAGCATAGGGCCCCATGTCTCAGCATAGAAAGATTATTCAAGGTTGAAAAGCCTCAAGTTAATTTTGGAAGTCTCTTATGTGATTTACGCCCATCGTAATTCGCGCAAATGATATAGAGCTTCCACACCCTGGGTCTTAACAATGCAAGATTCACGTAGCGGCCGTCAGCCTGGTACTTCTACCTACCATAAATGTCCTAATTATTGATGCTGGAGGGTGTACACAATCACTTGTGATTATGTAGAAACATTCAACATGGAAATATTGTCACAACTGATTTTAGACTAAATCGCTCGCTACATCTCTCGACTAACGTATATCACAGACGGGCCGCGCACACAAGCGGGTCGCGCATCCCCGAACACCACAGTAAATGCGATAAATTACCTTGTTATGTCAACAATAGTGGATTATGAGAAATTTCGCTCCAAGTACACATAGTTCTTTCCAAATAATATTTAGGCACTTTAGGAAGTTTCGAGAGTTTTAATGATCAGTGCTGATAATTGTAATACATGCATATATTTTTTCCAGTCCAAGGGCGTAATTTTGGTATGTCGATGATATGATTGTTCAATTTTTTGAAAATCGATATATGCATATAAAATTCCTTCTCAATGTCTATCGGCCGATACTAAATCTGATTAATAATATGGTTAATGAGATAATTGTTAACTTGGGGAAGTAAATACCGCATTTACTATGGTGCTCGATGGTGCGCGACCCGCGCGTGGAATAACCGTTAACTTCATCCACACTTAGTCAGCATGCACCAGTGCGGCTGACAAATGGTAGATGACAAAGCCAAATTTCGTAACTTTCTGCTCTTTCAGACCGACATACATTGGGCTAGCTCATCGCCTGAGGAATCAGCATAACACTTGCGTGAATTTCCAAATGCCCAGGTCCTTGTCAACTAGTCATTCCACCATACCAAGATAGACCTGATATCAGTCAACTTCTCATCGTTGCCCACTTGCCTTGTATGGAAACGGGGGTTTGTCGGGCGTTTTGCGGAACCAGCCACTCCACATCTTCAACCCCACAAACTTTGAATCAAACTCTCTTTTACTCGATGACGCCGTTCCGAACCTCCATCCGGCCACAACCTGGTCCGCCAATACCACAACGTGAGAAATAACGGCTTAGTATGGACAGTTATCCAAGTTGCCGTGGCTTTACCCCACGTTTCCCGGTACTTCCGGCAATACAATCAAGTCATTGGAGGTAGCAGCCGCCTCATACGACATTGCCAATCTTTTTCTTCAAACGGCATCGGCTTGGTCCCACAGCCTCCCTAACTCGTATGGCCGAGTGGCGCTTCAACCCCGATTTACAATACGGAGTACCCAGGTGGAAGTAGCCTCCACTTTTTCCCCACAGTTAGCTATGAGATCAGGGAATGGGCCTGAGTGTGGATGGTGAGTGCCTGAATCGGTTGTCAAGCTAGGATTGGTAGAATCACTTAAATTACTAAAGTTTTGCGGTGGTCTTCGATTGGCTTAAGGTTTAATTGGCGCTTTTCGCCTTCTTACTCTTCCCAACATTCTCACTTTTCTTTCTTGAGACAACTAAGCACCCATTGATTCAAAAAGACTGCCTTTAACGGGTGAGAACACTGCAAGATGCAGTTCAAAGTGAGTGAACCTGCCCTACAATTTATCAGAGAGGAACTGACAAGCAAAGTTCTCCACGTGGGCAGTGCTCCCACTGCTCTTGAACTTCACCTCTCAAGTTCAAGGAAGGTCATCAGCTTCAAAAAACCGCGTTGCACAGTCCATGCGACGATACATGGCATCTGGTATCAGCAACTCCAGCAGCAATGTCTATCAAACTGATTTCGACGGCGTCACATGGGATGATGATAACTGGCTGCTATCAACCACGAATCTCGAGCAAGGTCAATTCCAGACACGAGGATCCGTGGCGAACGGATATCTTGGCATTAACGTTGCTAGCGTCGGACCTTTCTTCGAGGTCGACTCCGTGGAAGATGGCGGTGATGGAATTAGTGGCTGGCCTCTGTTCTCACGTCGACAGTCATTTGCGACGATCAGTGGATTTTTCGATGCGCAGCCAAACACCAATGAGTCGAACTACCCATGGCTGTCCCAGTATGGCTGGGATAGTGTGATCAGCGGGGTACCTCACTGGAGTGGTTTGATTCTGGACTTAGGCGATGGTACTTACTTGGATGCGACTGTGGATAACACTACCATCTCCAACTTCACCTCCACCTACGACTTCAAGTCGGGTGTTTTGCTGTGGAAGTATATCTGGACTCCCAAACAAGGCTCTTTTGACATCACCTATCGCCTTTTCGCCAATAAGCTTTATGTCAACCAGGCAGTGGTTGACATGCAGATTTTGTCCAGCGTTGATACCAATATTTCAGTCGTGAACGTTCTGGATGGAGCGTCAGCGGTGCGAACTGATTTTGTCAACTCCGGTGAAGATGATGGTGCCATTTACTCCGCCGTGCGACCGAATGGAGTTGCCAATGTGACTGCCTACATCTATGCTAATATGACAGGCCCAGATATGGACTTTTCTTCACTTCAGGTTGTCACTGGCAAGCCATATGTCAGCAGCAATGACTCATCGATTGCCCAGTCCGTCACCGTAAATCTGAAGGCTGGAAAAACATCCCAGATCACTAAGTTTGTAGGCGGGGCATCTTCAGACGCATTTGACGATCCACAACAGATCGCGAAGAATGCTTCTTCTACCGCTCTGCAAAATGGGTACATGAAGTCTCTGCTCTCGCATGTGACCGAGTGGGCAAATGTCATGCCAGCAGATTCAGTTGATCGCTACACATTCCCCAACAACAGCACTTTACCCACAGACTCATTCATCATTGATTCTGCTGTGATCGCCGTCGCCAACACATACTACCTTCTTCAAAATACGGTTGGTACTAATGCGATCAATGTTTCGTCATCGACCTCCCTGAACACAGACAGTATCTCTGTTGGTGGATTGACATCAGATTCTTATGCCGGTCAGGTTTTCTGGGACGCCGATATCTGGATGCAGCCTGGCCTTACAGCATCCCACCCCGAGGCCGCTCAGCGTATTACAAATTATCGTGTGAAGCTACATTCACAAGCGCAGGAGAATATCAAAACGAAGATCGCTGGCTCGAAGAACCAAACCCAGTTTTCCTCGTCTGCGGCTATTTACCCGTGGACTAGTGGACGCTATGGTAATTGCACTGCCACTGGACCGTGCTGGGATTACGAGTATCACTTGAACGGAGACATCGCCATGTCTTTGGTCAACCAGTGGGTCACTACTGGAGACACCCAATTCTTCAAGGAGAATTTGTACCCGATCTACGACTCCGTTGCTACTCTATACTCAGACCTCCTGCAGCGGAATGGATCTTCCTGGACTCTAACCAACATGACGGATCCCGTGAGTGCTCCCGAGCTAATTGATAATTTACAAAGCTGACCTTTCTAGGATGAGTATGCTAACCAGGTTGATGCGGGTGGCTTTACCATGCCGCTCATTGCCAAAACTCTCACAAACGCAAATTCCTTCCGTCAGCAGTTTGGACTAGAGGAAAACTCAACCTGGGATGAAATAGCTGACAGTGTGTTGGTCATTCGCGAGAATGGTGTGACCCTCGAGTTCACCACTATGAACGGAAGTGCAGTGGTCAAACAAGCGGATGTGGTTCTAAACACCTATCCACTGGATTACACTTCCAACTACACTACCCAAGATTCATTGAACGATCTCGACTATTATGCAGCCAAGCAGTCCTCCGATGGCCCCGCGATGACATGGGCTATCTTCTCCATCGTGGCAAATGAGATGTCACCATCTGGATGCTCAGCGTACACCTACGCTCAATATGCGTATAAACCATACACCCGTGCTCCATTCTTCCAAATCTCAGAGCAGTTGATTGACAACTCTACCACCAATGGCGGCACCCACCCTGCATTCCCATTCCTTACTGGACATGGAGGTTCGAACCAGGTTGCGTTGTTCGGCTACTTGGGACTGCGACTTATGCCTGACGACGTCCTCTACGTTGACCCGAATCTGCCTCCTCAAATTCCTCACATCCAGTATCGAACCTTTTACTGGCGCGGATGGCCTATTTCTGCGCAGTCGAATTACACCCACACCACGATCAGCCGAGCCAGCTCTGCCCCTCTTAGCTCCGCAGACAGTCGATTTGCGAACATGTCGATTTCGATCAGTGCGGGCTCTGACTCCAACCTGACAAGCTACCAGCTACCTGTGACAGGGACAGTGGTAATCCCCAACCGCCAGATCGGGTCAATAAACACCGTCGCTGGAAATCTCGTGCAATGCCAGCCCGTCGACTCCATAGATTCGTACGAGCCAGGCCAATTCCCCATATCAGCGATTGACGGAGCCGCTTCCACGAAATGGCAGCCATCTTTAGCAGCGAATTGGAGCTCCATTACCGTTGCGCTCGGTCCAGAGGCCGGATCCATGGTAACAGGTTTCTATTTCGACTGGGCACAAGCACCCCCAGTCAACGCGACCGTGATTTTCCACGACGAAAACATTCAGCAGGCGTTGATTTCCTATGATCCATCCAGTCCGAACATGGGGTTCACGGTCGCTGCTACGCTGAACGGAATAGCACCCTCAGACCCTTATGATGCGAAAACCACCAATCTGGATGCTATTGCTATTCCTACGGGAAATACAACTAACTTTACACTTCCGTCGCCTATTCCAGCTGCGCAATATGCATCGCTTCTTATCTTAGGCAACCAAGGTCTTGATGCCGTTGATGTGCAGTACGGAAATGGAACTGGTGCCACAGTTGCTGAGTGGGCTATACTTGGCCCGAATAATCAGACTTCATCTAGCATGAGCAAGAGGAAGTTGGGAGTGAAGCCAGCTAGCTTTAATAATTCTGGCTTGATGACGCGTCGCAAGCTTACTCGGCACTAAATGCGCTGACCGGCATGGAACCATTAAATCAGTTTTAAATTTATTCGAACATCATTTCTTCATTCACACTGATAAAGTCTGATTCTTCAACTATTTACCATTCAACCATCCAATGTAAAACGATCCAAGAACTTAAAAGTCCTCAGTCCATCTTGAACACCATCAACGAATACGCCCCCCAAAGTCTTAGCTGCATAAACTCCATCCCGATCAGTAGAGATATGAGCCGCCTTCAACGCAGCAGATCCCTTCCCAAGTGCACCGACAGTCTTTCCAAACCGGAACGCATCGACAAGAATATCCAACGGTCTCCCAGTCGGATACAACGAACTAGCCGCAGTTGAACTCGACCCAAACAATCCCTGCGCACCATCTGCCACAATAACAGCATCAAAGTTCGTAGCGTCAGATGCCGCATAAGTCTGATTCACGCCACTTGCCATCCGTTCACCAACAACAAGCACATCAACACCCACAGAACTAAGTTGGCTCTGCAGCGAAGCACCTTGCGCGATAGAAGAGCTATTATCCACCGAAGCAAGTACACCAACCTTCAAACCCTCTAACTTCAACAATTTCTGACCAAAAGCTCCAATATTAGCCGTCTTGTTATTGTGGTAATAAGTTGGGTCGGGATCGGGTGTCTCAACACCAATAGCCTCTGCGACACGCTTGGCAAGATCGTTACTTATCCGATTAAGCTGTAGTACGACATTATCGCGCACGACCTGGCTGACGACATTTGCGTTCTCGAAACGCATCGCATCGACGACGAATTGCTTCTCTGCCTCGATGAGCGAGTTCCAGAACAATCGTGGCTGGGACCAGACGTCTTTGAAAGAGGAGCTAACGCTGCGGACTAGCTTCCCACTTGTTGTCCGACCGGGTGTAGTGAAGAATCCATTTCCCACGGTTTGATTTGCTTGTTTGGGAGAGCCGCTGTTTGGTGTGTTGGGTGTGTAGGCATCTTTGTTCAGAGGGATGTACATTTGTCCTGCGCCGTCACGGTTGTTATTGTGAATTGGAACTCGGGGCCGGTTGATGGGGAGTTGTTCGAAGTTTGGACCGCTGTGTCTGTTGAGTTGGGTATCTAGGTAAGAGAAGATGCGGCCTTGGAGGAGGGGATCTTCTGTGAAGTCGACGCCGCGGACGATGTGACCAGGTTGGAACTGACTTGTTAGTCAAGTTCCTGTGTGGGGAGGATGGACGTACCATTACTTGCTCGGTTTCAGCGAAGTAGTTTCTTGGGTTGCGGTTGAGTTGCATCTTGCCCAGTTTGGTGATGGGGACTAGTTCCTCAGGGACGATCTTAGTTGGGTCGAGGAGGTCAAAGCCGAATCGAAGTTGGTCGTCTTCGTTCATGATTTGGACTCCAAGCTTGGAACTGTTAGTATTGACGGATTGATCAGAATGATGAGTCCACTCACCTCCCACTCAGGGTACCGTCCTGCTTCGATCGCATCCCATAGATCCTGACGGATATAATCTGCGTTCTTTCCTGCGGTCTGCTGTGCCTCCTCCCACACAAAGCTGGCCTTACCCTGCAGGGTCTTCCAGTGGAACTTGACCAGCTTCGAAGTGCCATTATCAGTAACAAGTCGATAAGTGTGCACACCGAACCCATCAACATGACGGAATGATCTCGGAATACCATGTCCAGCCATCGCCCACATAAGTGTATGCAGCGAACTAGGCTGTTGACTAAAGAAGTCCCATGCCGAATCATGCGCAGTCGCAGCCTGAGGAATCTCATTATCGCCTCGGGGTTTCACCGCGTGAATGAGGTCTGGGAAGAGGATAGCATCCTGAATGAAAAAGACGGGGATATTATTTCCGACGATATCTACTGTTCTTAGCATAAGTAGTATGATAGATAGAGTGGGAGAAATACCGAAATTGCCTTCGTCGGTATAGAACCGTGTCGCAAATCCGTGAACATCGCGTGCTGTATCGGCACTTCCGCGACTACCGGCCACAGTAGAAAATCGAGTGAACATAGGTGTTTCTTTCCCCTCTGCGCCGAGGAACGAAGCTGCTGTTAAATTGGACCAGTTGCCGTAAGAAGTGAAAACACCATGGGCTCCGACACCGCGAGCATGGACGGCACGTTCAGGTACCTAGAGGCTTCAATTAGCTGAGGCAATCTTCGAGTCTAGGATACATACCCGCTCATGATCAAATCGCTGGATTTTCTGACGGAAAATAAAATCTTCAAGAAGAGTTGGACCACGTTCTCCTGCACTGAGACTATTCTGGTCTGCGATAGGACCGCCAACGTCGGAAGTCATGAACACATCTTGATCATTGAGGTAGAATTGAGAAAGGAAATCCTCCGTCGCAGCGGATGCATCGGTGTCATCTCGACGGTGAAGGTTAGACGAGGGTAAATCGCCTGTCATGTAAGGACAGGCGGCATTGGCAGCGCCAATGAGGCCTATGAGAAATGCCGCGTGATGCATGACCACTGGTAAATTCGGAGTCTCACCTTGAACGAAGATTAAAAGGGCACACGGAGGCCGGAATCTGCGGTACCTTTATATTCACCCGCTGAGGGGATTTGTGTTAACTAATTGGACCTTTGCTACCTTGCCAAGTTTCTATCCAATGACGAGCTAAGTATTAGGAACCTACAGTAGTGGACGAGCTAATGCCGCACATGGTTGAAAGGCACGGGCTGAATAATTTTCTTCTGATTATTTAACCATTCTATGTGTCTGGAAGGGTCGAATTTTAAATAAATATACCTGGTGGAGACAGTGAATCCCTCTCTGTTGAGGTTACCAGGAACCGTATTCCATTGTCATCATATGAATCTGGAGCATATTGGAGAACTTGTCACACAGATTGACCAATGATAATCCTGGTCTGGGGACCCAACTCGTCATATCCCAGCCACAAAACAATACTGATACTAACCATGCAAGGCACAAGCTTCTTGGCGACGGATTCCAAGAAACTTAAAGGTGAGCAGATAGTGGAGTTTTCAGGATTTGAAGTCTGCACATATATAGTAAGGATCAACATTTTTCGAAGAGGAGAGAAGAAAATTGATTATGAAGCTAAAGAATCGAGGCTGTGGATTGGTAATAAATTGGTCTGGAGCGATTGCGGGTGATGTGCAGCCTGCCGCTTCATTAATTTTGGCCTCATACGATGTCTGGCTTGGCAACTTGGCAGTACCTTGGAAGCTCGGTCTCCTGCATATTTTCCAAGATTAATGACATGTAAGGTATTACTGTTCGATCTTATTCCTATTAATGTTTTGAGTCCAACTGGCGGGCTCAGATAGAGTGAATCTCTCCTTGCTGATCATTTATTCCTTGATTACTACATTTTTCATATCCACCATTCAACGCCTTCCTCCGCAATTAGAGACCTCGGCTTGTTTCCTTCCCCACTGAGAGGGAAAAACATAGTTCCGCATATCTTGCTAATCAAGGAATAGTTCAAATGAACATGAAAGCGGATCCGCAATTGCAAAATTCGGGATTTGAAATGTGATAATTCTTCATATTAGGTTAAGAGGTTGATCAACATTAAGTACTTAAAACCCAATAGAGCGGCCCTAGAAGTGGATCGACTAACTTTCCTTCACATCTGCTTCTTACTCACTACATCTACCCCCTATTACCCATAGAAAATTGCTAATACCACACGCCTAACAACTAATGCCACACCCGATAAGAAAGATAAGAGTTCTTATACAGATCTGAGGAAGAAAATACAGACGTTTAGAGCTCGCAATCGATATTCTCTATACTTTGCAACACAGTATAAACAACGTTTCTCTCACAGTAACAATCAGTGGATTTCATTGACTTACGGTCAACCGGTTGATGTTGAGTGTTGAAAATTCAAGGTTAGACAACATGAAACATTAACTCATCCAATGTTTGATCAACATTGTTCGGACTCGTTCTCGGACTCGTTTTCGGACTCCGCTCCGACGAGAGGCCGTAAAAGATTACGTTCAAATAGCTAGTGAAACTGATGCCAAAAACCGAATCCATTGATGCGCCGAAACCGTATGTACAATAAGAAAGTGGGAGCGCTGGCTCCATGTATATATGCGTGTGAAACACAAGCTCAGGTCTCAACCCCGAAACCCGTTTATGATATATGCTAAATGAATGCAGGTATGCAAGTCAGTAATTAAGTAATAGGTAACAAGAAAGCGCCGACACTAGTATCGTTAGCAAGATCCAATGGGGAAGGAATGAGAAACATACGAAATAGCGGCAAAACAGGCGCACAAGATTGCGCCTTCTAGGTAATTCGTCTTTCCTTTCAAAACAAGGAAACTAACCAGTAGGGCGGAGCCGACCAGCGTCACCATCCCGAAATGATCGAAGTGAAGAGTCATGGGTTTGTCCAATGCCCAGGCGACTAGAACGATGACAGGAGCGACTAAAAGACCGATCTGGATCGCTGAACCGAGCGCAACGCTAATCGCGAGATCGAGCTGGTTCTTGTGTGCGACGATAACGGCCGTGACATTCTCGGCGACGTTTCCTGCGACCGGGATGACGATCAGTCCGACAAAGGATTCGCCTAGGACGCCTTTCTCGTTGAGGACGCCAAAGCTTGATGCGAAGAACTCGGCACAGATCGCGATCAAGACCGTTGATGTTATAAGGACTGCTATTGAGATGACTCGACTGGCGAGAGAGAGGTTCTTGCAGTGGTGTTCCTGTACAGGCGCGTCCCATTGGCGGGGTCTTTCGGTGTCCATGTCATCCAGGGGTAATGCGGATTCCGGGCGGATATCGTCTAGCGGAGATGAGGGGCCGGCGGAGGGTATTTGTTGCATCTCGGGTTTGTGGCGGTTGATCAGGGATTCGGTTGATTCTTGGGATTCGATATCCATGAAGAGGTCATCGTAGGATCTGGATCGGCGGGTAGGACGCTCGGGTTCTGGGCTAGGGGCGTGTAAACCGATGGGACGAGACCGGAAGAGATGGGCGTGGGATTTGAATTGGAAGAAGAGGTATAGGAAGTAGACGGAGAGGAGAATAATTGATACGCCTCTGCTGAAGTATAGGGCCTCATGATCGGCTGATTTGATGTCTTTGACGCTTCCGTAGAAAGCGGTCTGATCTGTTAGTGTTGATCTGATACGGAGATAACTCTATACTTACTGGGATCATGAGACATGATACTGTTAGATTTAGTAGTCCGACGAAGGCATGTGTCAGGTCACTATTGTAGGTTTGGTCTTGAGATGCCCATCCTCCAGCGATGATAGCAGAACCCAAAACGAGCAACAAGTTGACAAGGATAGAACCAAGAAGTGATGCTTGTACAACTTTGATGTTGTTTTTCATAAGGGCCGTACTAGATCAAAGTTAGTCTCAAGCCACTCCCGATACCGATAAGAACAAGAACCAGAACATACACACTACAAACAAGTCAGCGAATGGAATGGGAATGGATATGGGAGACGAACAAAATAATTAATTCGGCGAGATTGCCAATAGAAATGTTCAACAAAGCACCAGCAGTTTCTCCTAGCTCTTGAGAAAGTCGTTCGGTCGCAAGAGTGAGCGTTATCGACAAGGGCACGATAGCGATCAAATTCCAGATAAAGATCACTAGCGGGGGAATATCGGATACGGAGAATAGAATCGCTACAAGAGTAAAGGGAATCGAGAGCATATTCTTCGTCAATAGGATATCTTTCGCCCGTCGGTTGTATGCCGCCATGGGTTTGTCGCAATATCCGCATTCTACTCCTCTTGGTAGGGAAATACTGGTCGAACGCGTGCGTGATTGAAAGAACTGTTTCAAATGACGGGAAATGTTACCTGAAGCATTTGCCACCGCCATTTGTTCTATCCAAAATATTAGTCGAATGAAACCAATGAAAATTGGACAGTTACGCACGATTGATCCCCCATTGTCGAGCACGAGATCTACTCGTTGAACAGATGCTCGACCCATCGTCAATCAAGTGTGAATCGTCTCCGCAGGTCGAGTTGTCGCGGAATGGACTGATCGGGTTATTGTCCTCTGGATGCAGGCCATCACTGACCATATTTGAAAATATTCGCTGTGTTCAAGGCGACGCGTGTAAGCGGGAAAAGGGGGGGGATCCGATTCCAGAATTAAATAAACCGATTATCTTGCTAAGATAATCGTCTTGCGCAACGCCAAGACTGGGCCTGCGGGAATTGTTTCGGTGAACATCCAATCAGGAAATTATTTGATGTGGATCTAGTGCCAAGCCGATGGAATAGGGGGTTTCTCGTACAGCGTATCCCATATCGTATTCAATGCTTTACTGGGCCATTAATTGCCTCGTTGCCATTTACTAACAGGTGTTGTGGATAATCGCGGGGAAATTAATCTATACTACCCCACTTGACCTACGATATTCTAACCCGACCAACCATCTGACAGATCAGTAATCTCATGCGAGAACGAGGTCTCAAGTCGGGTGATTGAACGTAATCAGGATCTTGAGACTTTATCATGCATGTCAGTTCGCTCAGGTCTGTACATTTCCTGCCAAACTTGGCATTCCTTGCTGATTTTTGCGCTTGCAAGCTTCGACAGTAGATCCTGATTCAATCCCGATTCTTGAACAATTACAGAACTTGTCGCAGCAGAGCTAGCAATACTGGAGATAATATCTCTTTAATCAGCGCTTTACCCACAAATGTCAAAAGACAGTATGTAGATATACATGAAGTAGCTTCCGACCCACCATTGCTTCAGTGAAATCATTGGCTACCTTTAAATGGCTGCTTCGATCACAAGGCGCGTTATCGACAGAATGGGGATCAAAAGTCCAATGAGCGATTAACTGAACCCTATCATATCGCTCAGCTGGTCATATCTTTGGCTACTACAACGCGTGCATCCTTTTCCTTAGGTTCAAGTATTGCCATAAGCTATATCACGGCGATTGCTATTTCTTAATTATTGGTCGTTGCTCGGGAGAGAAAATTACGCTGTTGGCAGATGATCATGTAAATATTAATTATCGTCTGCCTATCCAAGAGCATTTAGCTTACACGAGAGGGGAAATCCGCTTAGTTTGAAATCAATTGACACATGGCAATCCTGCATTTCAGAAAATTTCCCATGCAGCAGCACCAGGCTTCATCGAACTCCCAAGTACTAGGGGTATGAAAATTCCAAAGTTTGCCATACTCTACATAGTCACTCAAATTAGGTGGCAAAGCTGATTTCAACAGATGTATAACACAAAGGACATTGTGGGGTAATCAGTTTGGACTGTTAAATTCCCCAATGGAGGTGAATTGGGTCCTTGAAAGGTGTTGCTTTGCATCCGAAGGTTATAATGACCTAGAAGAACTATTCAACCCTCAGTGAAGCAGCCAAAAGCACCGTTCCATTCGCGAGAATTTGGAGGTACAAGACTGAGCAGTCAGTAATAACACTGAGCGGTAACTTGTCAAAAATGTGCTGACGAAGAAGTAATGGGTGCGTTGAAGCGTACAGGCAATATGATACCGCAGCATATGACGATTAGCGACAGTATGGCTATACCGGGTACGACAAGCGAAAAAAAATTCGAATACCGAACTGCTGCAATGAAAGCAGTGGTTGCCGTTTGTGAGTGGAAGGGGTGCCTCTTTGCGGCCTCGTGCACCGCAAAAACGCCCCGTCGATGCTGGTGATGTACCACCCGCTGCCCTTCAGACAAAAGTGACGATGCCTTTTCACGGGCCATCGCTTTTGTTCGCGTCAAATATCCAGATGAGAGACCAATCATATGTGCATAAGGACCCACTGCTCCGTCTTCGCAAATTCAAATTTATACCCCACGCACATCAATTCTACGACTAAAAATCAGAACAGAAGCCTGAGCCGTAACGGCTGGCGCGTTGCTGCGTCAACTGCTCAAGTTGCAGCGTTGGGACGACATTAACACTTGGAGACCTCGACATCATTTGCCGTTCTTTAACCTAGCAAGTGGCTGTTATTGAGTCAGAAGTATATGTACAATCCCCACTGCTCGCATCAAGAACCAGGCTGTGAGGCAGATATATGCTTTCCATTCAAAGTCTCAACATAAAATTTATAAGACAACAACAAAAGCAATGTCACTTTACAATTGCCATCTCCATTGATTCAGAAACATGATTATGAAATTCCTCCTGACCTTCTATTGGTTAGCTCTTGGGTCACGGTTGGACTTGGAAAAATCATACCGAGATAAGAGGATGGCGTTGAGATTCGTGAGTGATTCTTGCCACCGTTGACTCATCAACCCCTGCATATCCTCTGATGATTTCAAATGAGCCTGTTCTTCTCCGTACTGGAGGGGAGTTTTGAAGGCTAAGTCTGTGGTATACAGATCTAAGACGCCTCTATGTTCAAGAAACTCTAGAAGAGCTCGGGTAAACACACCGTGGATGGCACCATGATGTATGAATGTTTTACCGTCAACATCTCTCGCCTCTGAATCCAAGCCCCGATCAAACAAATATTCAAGAATCATGATATCTGAACCCCGGTAATGCATCAGAAGATGTGCTAAGTTGTGTCCCTCCTTTGATACAGAGCGGATCGGCACCTTCATCAACAAGTAACCAAAACACGTCTCTCCGAAGTGATAAGCGAAAAGAGCCCACAAAAAGACTCAGGGGAGAGTTTCCTTCCCCGTCAGGTTGGTTGACGCTACAGCCAAGCTTTAGTAGGAGGCTAACAACTCCAGCGGAGCAGAACAAAGAAGAGACATGATGATGCAACGGACTTTTGCCAAAGTGGTCGATAGAATGCCAAGTCTCCAAAGTCAGAGAATCACAAGCGCTTGAGATAAACTGCAGGACCTCCAAACTACCGTGGGAAAGTGCATAGTGGAACGAGCTCAGCCCATTGGCGTCTTGCAGCGTAATATCATGATTTCCTTCGACTAGTTTGCGGATAACTTCCAAGTTCCCTGCTATACTGGCAAGATGAAGGCACGTCTGACCAGCTCGGTTTGGTTGAGAGATATCTACTCCTCTTTCTACAAGTCTGTCAAGAATAGACGCCGCATAAGGCCGATCGAAGTCGATCACATGCTGAGGGTAATCCCCTTGATTGTTAGCCATGTTGAGATTGATGGACTTGCTCTCAAGAAGCGTCTCGACAATGCGTATCCTAGCATCTTCGATGGCTTGGTAGATATCAAAAGCTTCTGAGCTTTCATGATCCGTGATCAAATCCCTCAATGACTCAATAGAATACTGGCTATTCTGCCATTCGTCATCGTTCTTGCGGCCGAGAAGCCGGCCCCTAATGCCAATATGTAGCGCAGTATCGCCAAAACTAGAACGGGCATTTGGATCGGCTCCACATCGAAGTAAGAATGCGGTCATGTCTATACTCGCATTTAGGGCACAGAAATGAAGCGCCGTCAGTTTAGATTCTAATTTATTTTCCTGGCGTTCAGACATTGTGTATGGAAACATGATCACTGTTTTCCTCCCCGGCCATGATCGCCTTCGAACCCTGGTATTGAGGTCAAAACCATCCTGGAGAAAAGCTCGAGCGAGTTTCTCCTGTCTGTTCCCAATTGCATAAAGAAAGGGTATCATGTTGTATTCATCACAGAGATACGGAGAAGCTCCTTTGTCGAGAAGGAACTTGATAGTTTCAGAATCTTTGAAACGAATGTTTTTGCAAGCAACGTGAAGAACGTTTTGGTGCTCGTCGTTCAGAGCATCCAGAAACGCGCCGCAATCAACTAAGACACGAATTGCGTCATACTGAGTATGTTTGGTCGCAACAAGCAGTGGTGGTGTTTCGTGAATATCCTTGTCTTCCAATCTCTCTTCGAGAAGTTTGAAGATCAATGGGATTATTCCCCAGCGAGCTGCGACATGAATAGGAGATATGTTCGTCCCCAAACCGCCCCATAGGCTTCTTGATAAATGGTTGTAATTATTCAGCCAGTATTCCCATGCGTCGAGCGGTTTTTTGAAGAACCTTTCGTGGTCCTTTTGGACGGCGAATTCCTTTCGAGCCAAGCATGCGTGGTGTAGCCAATGTAGCACCGAATAACTCAGGAATCCGTCCGTGGGCTCCAAGGATGACCTATCCATATCTGACCGGTAATATTGGAGAATTACCTCGATACAACGACTTGACAGTTCATAATGAGATCTGTCAACTTTGATTTCATGCATCTCGGTCATTAGAAAGTCCTGGACAGATGTATGCAGCAACCGCACGTAGCCATTGTTGACAACAAGCAACAAGCGACACAAGTCAATAATTTCTCGGGTGAACTGGAGGCGAGTAACTATATCCTCTTCCAAATATAATCGACAAGCTTCAGCTATTTCTACTACTGTGAGTGGTCGTAACGCAAATGTGACAATTACCAACACCATCTTCATGTGCGGATAATCGTTTGTATCGCTGGCTTCGGTGGCTGCACTAAGCAGGGTTTTATATAAGGGATTTAATCCGCGCGGTCGAGCCCGCAGTGTCTCGACTGCTTTCCTTGACTGCACCCGTTTCAATTCCTCACAGGCAATTCCCACCCATAAAAATGTCCCATCGGCCTTTTCTTTCAGTATCCGTAAGACTTCCCGTGCGACAGACTCGGAGTACTTCTTTTGCCTCGTAAGTTCCTGCACTTTGTCTTTGATCGTGTCTCTCAGGTCATTGGCTATCTCCTTGTATGTACCCAAGTCTACGCGTCTGAAGTTGTCTAGACACTCATTGATCTCGGGATATGGACGGCTGATTATCAACAAATGCACGCTGGATGGGACTGAACTGGTCTCCCTTGCTTCTTTGAACGATTGGTGAGTCAGTTGAAGCATTACATCTCGTGATTCGGGTTCACATTCGTCAAGAGCGTCAACGATGCAATATATCTCGCCACCCTGAGAGGCTCGGCCGATATCCAACAACGTCGCCCACAATGCATCGAAAGATGTAAAGAGCCGCTCACCCTGGATTTCATACTTTGAAAATACTTGTTCAATGAAAGCTGGGTATTGTTTGATGATTTGGTAGAGAAGGCCTCGCAGTATGGAAGTGCCCTTTCTCTGAGGTTCAGAGCCGGCATCGCAGAAATAGAAAGAGAGAATGCTATCGTCATCGAGAAAATAGTCTTTCTTCGGTAGTTCTTCTGCAAGCGTCATAGCCATTGTGGATTTGCCGATCCCAGGATTGCCGTATAGCCATAAGACGTTTTCCTCTATATCGCTCGCAGCCTTTTTTGGGCGAAACCAAGTTTTGAGTTCGTCTGAATCCAAAAACCAGCTAAACGTTCCAGATGTACGATTTCCTTTTCTCCTCTTCAACATACTCAGGTCCTCTTCTGGTTCTGTTACGAATAGTTTTGCGAGACATGCCTTCTGCTTCTCACTGAATTCGACGACTAGAAGTGGTAAGCTACTGACTTCACAAGCGAAGAATGGCATACCTTGTTTTGGAAGCATGGTGTTACTTGCTAGTCGGACAGCCGATAGCAGTTCTTTTGTGTATGCGGCTGCAGCAAGAGCTGCAAAGCCCTGCCATTCCTTGTGCTTATGAGAATCACTGTAGTCACAAATTCCGCGTATTACCAGGCACGGAAGCTGATCCATAAGCCCGGCTGCTTCCATTTCAAAACAGAGGATATCCAGCTTTCGGGCAATAGCGTCTCGTGTTTTGGCACTTTTCATGACTTGGTTGCCGGAAGCAATCAGACCATAATGAATGACGGGCTCTTTGGATTCTCGCGTTTTGCGCACAACAAGTTGGTCCATATCACACTTTGAGCAGTCGGCACTCGTGCCTTCATGGTCATAATTCGCCTGGAACAGCCAATCTTTATCTGGGCGTGAAAATAGTTTCTGAAGCTTTTCGTTTTTCAGAAGTATCTTTGATATGGTTTCTTCAATCACTGTGTTCCCACCCATATTCTTACTGCGCATTTTAGATATTGTATTGAGCAAACATTGCGGTGGCTTATTGAGCGACCCAGTGCGTACGAAACATCCATCACAAAGTGTTTTCCCATAGTCATACTGGACCACGCCCCCAGAGATTGCAGTTGGAATGCTGACAACCACGTCTCCCAGGCGAATGTCGGCATCTTTGCTCGGTACACCGCCCCCGATGCCCACCATCAACCCAAATCGAAGAGACGGAAATGTCGGAAGCATTTGAGCGAGCACGACTGCTGCAGAAGTGGTTCCGTAAACGCCTGACGGTAGGCAGGCTATCACTACATTGTGTCCACTAATGCTACCAAATGTGTAGGCGTTGTGGTCGGATTTGGGCTGGGACAGTGGGCAGTGGAGATTGTCCAGCATCGTCATGGCCGCTGTCATTTCCAGCGGCAAGGCACAGATCCACGCGACCGTATAGTCATGGTGTGTGAATGGCATTTTTGCTTTTATTGGCAATATTTCCACAAATATTTGTTAGATCAACATGTTCGGAAGGTTCCACATTGCATGGAGTATTTACATTGCAAGGAGTAATTCAACTTGCTGATGTTGGAAGAGAGGGGTAACGCTACGTGTCCCGGGCAAGGCTCGCGCGTCGCGAGCCAATAGCTCATCTTAAAACCAGCAAAAGAAAAAAAAAAGGAAGAAGACACGAGCAGAGTACTGTAAATATTTTCCATAAACTATAAATGTTTTGAATGTTCAGATAAGACTAATTTTTCTACTTTCAGCATAATTATATTGAGCGCCTGCTGCGCCATAATCCTTATACAGAAGCCTGGGTATTCCCAAAACCTACACACTGGTCCTCTAATCTGACTCTGCTTCTAGGCAAACTCCCGGCTCGTGTAAAGTGGTGCACGTAGGCTGTATAGAAGTGTCATTTACAATACACTTAGCTCTGTCCCACTTCCGTCTTGTCCGATATAGTCGCCGATTGCTGCTGGCCAAAGCATGAACTCCTGGAACTTGACAGATCACTGCATCATCAACTACTCAAAGGAGGTGCGGACATCTTCCATCCTGAAAAGACTTTCGTAGATCGACCACGGGTGTTCCAGCACATAAAGTCCGCTCAGAAAGGGAGTTTCTGGACAAGGGAAGAGACGTGTAGCTGGAAAAGTTCTCGCGATCTGCATATCCCCCAACTGACCTTCAATGTCCGACCGCCATGCAGTAAGGAGATCCAATAGCCGGCCAGATTTGTGCTAATACAATCCTTCCTGTCATAAATATAGCACTTACAACCAGTTATTGTGGGTGTGCAGCTGTCAAAGGAATTGGCGTCGAACATGCCGGGTGATTCCAACACACGCTGCTGGTAGTTAAGAAAATGGCCTAGACACCAGAATCGAAAGTAGTTCTTGTTGAGCCAGATTGATCGCTGCCAGTCCGCTTTTCATTGATATCTCCCGTGAGAGGCCAAATCCGATCCTATGAGAGCCCACTAATGTGTAAGAATCTACGAATTATTTCCACACCATTTCCGAGCTTTGGGGGCCATGACTGCGGCCATGGTCATGATGGACAAACTGCCATATCAGGCCGAGCCACATATTCTTAGCCCAACCACTGTTGACCATCCAAAAAACTCTGAGACAATCACAATTCCATATTCTTCATTTGCTGGTTCATCTGTGTGATAGCAGTGCGGGGGTATTTACCGAAACAGCGTTTTTACAACTTTAGAATATGCAGTCTGGGCACGTACTTGATGTGCTGCTTGTCGAAGTCTGCAGAGTGCCCGACGGAAAAGACACATAAAATCATAATCACTTTCAAAGCACTGGATATCCTCAAGAAAAGCTGCCCCTAACTAGGTCTGATGGCAAGAAATGTATTATGATATGAAACAAGGCTAGAAAGGACCGATCCTAGCAGTACCAATCCAATCATCAAGCAATAGTCTCCTTAACCTGCCTAACAAAATCAACAACAGTCTCCTTGAAGCTCCTATACTCAACCCCCAACTCCCTCGACACAGTTTCCCCATCGACCGCATAAGAGGCACTAGGCCTCTGACCCTTCGTATAGTCATCCGTAACAACACCTTCCGCCCACTCAAACTCCCCCCTAATAATATCCGCCGCATACTCATAAGAAAATGGCTCCGGTGAAGAAGGAACAAATCGCTTCCCACCCGCTTCCGGCGTGATAAGGGCGCGCACATGTGCATCAGCAAGATCGCGTGCATCGATCCATGCTGTCACTCGTGCACCGGGGAGTGGGTCACCAGCAGCGACGGCCCAGAGATTGGCGTTAGATTCATTGAGAGAGGCGATATCAGGCACTGGGTGTACGACTGGGCCAAAGACCATGGGTGGGCAGAGGGTAACAAGATCGAATTGGGGGTTTTGCGTCTTGATGAAATCCCAGGCTGCGAGCTCGGCGAATTTCTTAGAGCCTCGGTAAGCGATTACGGCGGAAGAGGTGGGGTCAATTGCCGTTCCGTAGGTTAACGGATTCCAGTCAGCTCCTGTATAGGTGAATCCTGGGGGGGGAATCTTGTCTATATCCACGACGGAGGCGAAGGAGGATGTGAGGACAATGCGTTGAATTTTGCTGCCTGGCTTGGCGGATGCGGAGAGGATTGATTTGACTCCGTTAATTGCTGGTAGAATGAGTTCTTGTTCGTTGTTTGTGGTGTTTAGGAAGAAAGGCTACGAGGCAGAGTTAGTGTGTGTTTTTGGGGGACATGGAATGTCGTACGCTTGCGACGTGGATAACGCCGTCAATTCCCTCTATGGCTGAATCGAAGACTCCGGTTTTGGTAAAGTCCTTGATGACGACGAAGTCTAGTTTCGAGGCGTAGTGGGGTCTAGCGGCTTTCATCTGCTCGCCCTTTTGGGCCGATCGTGTTGCGCCGCGGACGCGATATCCCCGCGCTAGAAGGTTGTCGACGACATGAGCGCCGATGAAGCCGGTAGAGCCGGTGACGAGGATGTACTGGTCCTCAGGAGACTTGAAACTAGTTACTGAGTTGGATGACATGATGATGATTCTTTAATGCGATGTAGAATGGAGGGAGATGGAGGCATCTGGTGGGGTGGACATGAGGTATATCTGAACTCGGACGAAGTCCGATGATCAGGTAATTCCCCACGAGAGCCAGGGTATTCGACCGTAGAGAAAATATTAATTAGAGTCACCCAATCACACATTCAGGTCATTAATCACACAATTGGTTCATATTTCCTCTAAATCCTCGAAAGTTCAGGCCTCTCTCCCGGTCCTGCCATTTTCTTTTTTCATTTCCTAGCTGAGTAGACTAACAAAAGTTCTCGACAATATATTCCCCCGGTTGACCCACTTATGGGTCTTTCCGCATTAGGTGGACTATCAATCTTCTCCACCGCCTAGGTCGAGGAAGACAGATAGTCAAGCTTAATTTTCGGTGCATCTATTCATTCTGGGCGATGTACACCCTCCAAACGCGACAAGACAGTCCATTCTCGGCTAGCGGGGGTTTTTTGTCAGCCGGGTATTCCGGGAACTTGCGACCGGTTGATTTGAATCATCTCGGAGCCTGCATCGGAAGCTTTACATTTGGTTCTGTTGCTGTGGCTGGCTTTGAATCGGAGCTGATGGGACTATTTGTCGTAGATTCAATTGGCGTTATGGCATATGCATACCCATGGATTGCAGCCATTATTTCCAGAGCAGTCTCATTGTTGCGGTATTCATTGATTGTGATTGATAATCAAATAATTTATCAGCATGAAATACTATTAGATTGATATGATTGAATACCAAACAAGCATTTCTTGTCCAAGAATGCGCTTACAAACCAGAATTGATGACATTTCACCCCGCACTTGCTCCCATGACATACAAGCACATATAACTTGGGAACGTCATTCCCCATAATTTTCGAGTCTTCAAATGTGAACAGGGTTGTTTCATAATTTGTTATCTGACGGTACGTATTTAAGACAGAAATATCATATTTTCCCTCATACCTCCAGCCATCATTTAAAACTCTTATTTTGCATAATCAACTCAGAATGACTGAGCATTGCATATTGCAGGGTTATCTATCACATTATTCACGCTACGTCTATCCCTTCTAGCTTCCGACGCGACAATATGAGGACCGCTACTGCCAAACTGGGTGACTTGATTATAGCCCAAACTAACTCCTGGGAGGAAGTTGAAGGGAATGTCTACGTAAGTCAGGTATTCCAAGCAATATTCGCCTACTGACTTGCTTTAAGTTCCCTCCATCATCCATCATGGATCAGGAAGTCTTTGTTAGGTCGAATACAAAGACATTTTGCCCTTGGAAAGGCGAAGCAGAGTACTATACGATTAAACATGGCGGTACGTTACAATATACGAAGTTAGGGAAACATATAACTGATGGGCTGTTAGACGCGACTACCCCTGATGCAGCCTGGTATTATGCTGCGCCCTATGAAAAGGCGTCACACATTAAGGATCACATAGCTTTTTGTGAGTAGCAAGCCAATCAAGTGTCTTGCAATGTCTAACCAATCACTTTCTCCGCAGACAAGTCCAAGGTCAAAGTGACCGTTGAATGAGAATGCCACTATCGAATGCTGCCCCAAGGAAACGCGTTGACCTTTTGTTACAAGATTTGACCACTTCATTTGTAGCTAAAATGGAAGAGATCTAAAATTAAATATATAAACATCTCTCTGCTCAAGTCCAGTTCAGTCCTACTCACTCTCCGATTCCTCATAACCAGCATCATAGACCTCCTCCCCTAGCTCCTTTCCTTGATAACTCAACTTCTGCATCGGCAAAAAAACAAACAACATCCGACACCACTCCTTCCCACTCCGATTTCGAAACGCATGCGCCGTCCCCCTCTGAATACAAACATCCCCCCGATGCAAGTGTCGACTGGCCCCAGAATCCAGCACAAGATCTACATCCCCCTCCAATACGATCCCATAGTCCAAACTGACAGTTCGATGCATGGGCGTCTTCTTTCCCGGCTTCAGATCTATCATCCGGAATACCGTCCCTGTTTCCGTTGTCAAGCCTGGAGGGTTGTGAAGATACTCGTCATACAAGGCTATGTCGGCCTCGTCTTCCAGCAAGGCGGGGACGGTCTCTGTTGCATAGAGGAGGGCGATTTCACCGTCTCCGCCGGCTGGTTGGGAGGGTATGTAGATCGGGACTTGGGCGTGAGAGAGAAAAACTGCTTCGCCTTCACTACTGTGGGTCGTTATGTAGCGGTGGATGTCTGGGAGGTCGTTGTCTTTGTGGGCATGCATTTGGAGTGGATTGTAGGATTTGAGAGTGTCTGAAGGTGGTTGAGAGTGAGTAGTGGGATTTATCTACGGGAGGTAAACCCTTGCACATCATGATGGCATCATAGTGGTTAAGTTTTAGGTTGTGAATTGCCACGTGGATGTTAATGCAGAAATTAGTTTCATTCATATGACGAGCGCTATTCAAGCTCGCGCTGATTTATCAACATAATTGCTCGTGAAAACTTTGTAACAAATCGAAATTGAAATCCCATCAACAACCATAAGACTTCATTAGCGAGAACTGCCTGACCGAAACTTGCGTCGTACAGTCTTGACGCAGGGAGGAGAGGCGGAGGGTGAGGTTTCTGGAGAGCGGTGCTCCTCTTTGATACCCGTTGAGCTGTCTCGGGATTGCCTTTTCGCTGTAGACGATTGAAATGGCACAGCCACGCAATCAATGACCTGCTAGTGAGGGGGGGCGTCTTTTTCGGTACAGACTTCAAGACTGATAAAACACCCGGCTTTGAAGACCTGTAGCATGAAATCCGAAGACTTCTTCAGCAATTGGCTTGGCACCAAAATGCACATGAAGTCCTTATGAAAGGCAGCATGGTTCATTTCCTGGATCCGGTCGACAGTAATTTCCATATCAGGATTCATACCATCGTCCCTGATTCAACCTGTTTCCTTCATAATATCCCGATTACAGGTTGTCATCCTCCTTCTCTCTCCTCTCTTCATATTCGCCGCAGCTTCAAAGGTCGAGCGTGAGGTCTAAAAAGTCCGAAGAAGCCCCATCGCCAACCTAAAGCTTTCGTAATGCTCTCCTATCATCCTCTAGTACGTTACATGGCCCTCTATGACAGCTTCTCGATAATCTATCTCAGCTGCACATGGTCGGCCTCATATAAACCGGGGTGTAGGCCGTAGTAGATGCTTCAGCCAAGGACTAGTAACGACTAGGTTCATATTGATGCTTTGGTAAACGCCGACCATGGCGTGACATCAGCTGGATGCTCTTTGAAGTAAATCGTACCACTTTGGCATCAGGCAGCAGGTGCCTGTGAGGCATATGGAGACGACGAATTAATTTATCCCCGATAGTTCGAAAACGCCGCTTAGGAGCGACACCAGGCAAGGGGAAGGGGTCAAAACGGGAGAGCCAGTTGGCAGGCTCGACGCTTTGGGCTCGAACAGAGCTGAATTCAGATCCCGATCCGCGCATTATCTGTTTAGGGGAATCTTCTAGCGGATGCTTTTGAGCCAGCAGCGCAACATCCACATGATCTGGTCCCATAAGTCTCATCAGTACCCCGTCCCCCAAAGTTGTTTGTGAAGGGTCTCCGGCTGCTTTGGCTTAAGTGGATGGGGTGGTTGTTGAGTATGGACTGAATGCGGCACAAGAAATGATCGTAAATCAGGGAGACCGTTCATGGTGTTCTGGATAACTCGAAAATCTTTTTTCCCATGCCTGTGTTGATCTACACAGAGGGCATTGAGCTTGCGTTTCCTTTCTGTCATCTCACAAGAAGCGTCTGTAGATATTGTCCTCGCTCCTCTTCTATTAGGATTGGAGATTTTATTTTGAGTTCTCGGCAACCCTTGTAGACTTTTTGACTTGGCGTTCATGCGTTGGGAGCGAGGTACATTTAACGTAGATGCCATCTCGACAGGGAAAATATTTTGATGGTGGGGTTTTGTCAAACAACACCATTCGTTAGATTCGAGTGATCTTTTACGTGACGCATTCTCTTCAAGGGCCCTTCTAGGCATGAAGAGTCAGATTGGTGAGCTAGCATGTGCAGTACATGGGAAGAAAACTTACCTTATCTTATGTGAAAGCAGTCCTGGGGACTTTGGCTTCCTCAAACCAGATACAAAGACGTCAAGGGGCTAAGTCTAGCTTCACTTGCAATCTACTAGTACTCAGATTTCAAAAGTGGGAGGAAGATAACGACAATAGAGATTTTTGAAATGTTGAGGCAGCAGCACGTGTGATGACACAGGTACTTGCCTTGTACCCCGTGCCAAGTCCAGGAGTGAAAAGCAGATTCTCACAAAAGCGTCGCCCGCGGCTCGATTACTTACACTCCTTCGGTAAACATGACTCTCACTTGTCATAACTATGGTGTCGCAAGTCTTTGTGCGCTCCGCATAGAGCTGCTTGCCATACGGGCCTTATTTGATGAAGAGCATCCTCAGCTGGAAAGGGTTAAACAAGACACAAACCATCATTCTTTCCGCTAATTGGGGAGGACTATGTGGTAGCGACGTGCCTTCCATTTGAAGAAAGATTCTGAACCTACCTGTAATATCAATTTGTCACCGAGGTGGAGAAGGGCGGGAATTAAGATTGTAAGTGGAAGTGTGGAGGTAGGTGACGAAGGTGAACAATTTGGCATATTTATAGATGTAGATGATACTTGGCGGAAAATCGTCTGCTTTTTTAAAGACTAATCCCAGTTGGTACATGAGGAGCAGGATTTGGCACTGTTGTGCATTCTGCTCCAACTGTGGGACATCTAAACCAGAGAAGTGGAGTGGGGAGTATGTTGTAATTATTACCACATCCCTCCTTTCTAATACGGAACACTGGTATGTGTAAGCTCATTGAATAAGTCCATCCATGCTGGTGTATCCAGCCCCACGTGAGCACTGTCATCGAGCATTTCACTCCACAGGTCCTCCAGTGGTACCATATTGAGATCGGCGGTTCTGGGATCGAATGTATTCCCACCAGGCGAAGGGTATTCAGAAGAAGGTGCAAATGGAATCAACTCATTCGCATTAGAGTTTTCATGGAAATGCTGGGCTTTTGATAGTGGCCCAGGTTGCGAACCCGACATGGGCCTCTTTTTCTGTTTCCAGTGTTTCCGCAATATACCCATCATCTCATTGATGCCCTCTCGCGCGATACAAGAAACCTGTTGAGCATGGCTAAGCATGCGACAGGCATCAAGAACTTCCTCCTTCTGTCTTTCGGCTAGGATATCATCCCAGTTGAAACATACATTCATAAGCAATGTCACAGCTGCTATGAACACATGATGCATGACAGCCCAGAAGAAAGAGCCGTTGGGTGCGAATACAGGCTGTTCCTCGTCCATGATGCGCTTCAACTCTAGCACCTTTCGCGCGGATTGAAGTGACACCACATGAGAGTAGGAATAGCGTGGATCCCTAGCACCGCGGAGAAAGTACCGTCGATGTAACCGGCAGAACCTGACATGGTATCCTTGTTGGATAAACGTTCGTTGCCAGGAAAGCACTGGTCGCTCGCGGTGGAGGTTTGCAAACTCACGTCGTGAGGTTTGATCGTATCGGAAGAAAGCGGGAATTTTCGCGTATGCGTCATGAAGCTTGCGCTCTAGTTCGAGTATCCTCTCATAAGGCACTTCCTCGTCCTTGAAATGTGCCGGAGCCATTCCGTCGACGATCTCTTGGCATACTTGCGCCAACTCCAAACGAACAATTGTGTATGACATGCACGTGGGAGTAGAAAGCGGCTTCGTGATTCCGGTTTCTATATCCTCATCTTCGATATTCAAAGGAAGTCGCACGTTCATATGTTTCGGGTTGATGGTGTAAGTTAATTCCTGTGGTCCGCTGAGAAACCCGAGAAGCCTGTAGAGAATTAGCAAATCCCATCTACAGCGGTTGGTACTTACCAGTCATAGGTCGCAAGATCCCACCACAGCCTTCGTTTGAGTTCCACGTCAGTCTTATCGTAGCTATTCATCCGACGATCATCTACAGAGCTGGGGGAGTCCAAGACATGCAGTCCCAAACTCTTTGCTATACTGATCATAGTACCCTGCATAAATAAGGAGGCGACAGATGGACTTAACATCAGGCCTGATAGATGATGTCCGATGATAAGCGTTGCTTGCAGTCCTGCGACAGTTGGATAAGACATAAAGTTGCTTTGAATCAGCGCTGCGCCCGCCAGAAACGCCGTGTCTCTACTTCGATTCTCGGCAGACTCTGCCGATTCCGCATTGAGAAGTTGAAAAAACAGCGCTGTAGCGGATATGCTAAACAAAAGCGCCAGAACATTGAGATCGACAGGCGCATTTTGTGCAATATTCTCATATAACACGTGGATATCTCGCTTGGTGCGGTCAGGGATGATGATATGATACTGGTAATCAAGATATTCACAGTAGTAATCCACAAGATCCATTACCTTACTTTCCGCCGGCAGATAGGACGTAAGTGGTACCGTAGCTGGGTTCTCATGGGATGCCGTACAATCATCATGAAGAAATGTGACGCCCCTAGCTTGTTGGCGTGGACGAGACTCGATCTGCGGCTGGGAAAAATGGCCCCGAAGAGTAGAGACGGCAGCTGGGACCCGGTGTACCATGACAAAAGTCTCCAGTCTGTTTGCTGTCATTTGCGGGTCATCTCTGACACGATTGCGAGGCTCCGGCTGGCATGTGGGCACCTGAGAGCGTGGCTCAATTCTGTCGTTCGGTGAAATTCTTTCTGTGTAACTCGGAATCAAACGCGGACTCTCCACGGACCCGTGATTTCCATAGCTGCAAGGTAATCTCCGAGAGGAACAGCTGCTGCACGGAAGGGTGCGATCGCACTTGAGCTTTTTCTTCCTGCATGACTCGCAGGACACTGGATCCTGTCGGGGCTGCCTTTTCGAAGGAGAATCCACGGTGATAGGTTTTCTCTTCATGCTTGATCACTTTTTGAGACAAATATGATGCTTCGAAATGCGATCAGGGAAAGGTGGATTGCTAGACCGGAGTGTCCGCGGAGCTTCCGGACAAGAGTCTTGGCATTCAGGGTTCATTATCAACCCCGACCGGAGTCTCCGAGCTTCAGCAATTTTTTCCTCCTCATTGGCTTTACTTATAAAAATGTTTTCGCACAAAGTATTGTCCTTCCAGTCGTTTAGTTGGAGACGAAAACACTGAAGACACCTTAAATAATGTCTTCTCAAACTGAAACCGAATACACGTAAGTCGGTTCCTGAGGTCCAGCACTATATACATCTCCACTAATACCACCAGACCACGAGCATGGCTCGTAATTTTCGGCGCATTTACATGTCTTTTCTGCACAGTCGGATTTCTGAATTCATTCGGTGTGTTCGAAGACTACTACACGACAGCTCAATTAGCCCATGAATCACAATCCACAATTGGATGGCTTGGAGCGATGGCCATTTTCTTCCTGTTCTCGATATCCACAGTGTCTGGTGGAATGTTGGACATATTTGGACCGAAGGTTACTATACATTACCCTGATATGATAAAGTCTGTACTAATGATCTTAGCTCATGTTATGGACAGGCTCTGTCGGCATGGTTTTCGCTGTCATGATGATCTCACTCTGCAAGGAGTTCTATCAGTTCCTCCTTGCACAGGGTATTCTTCTTGGCATCTCCATGGCTCTAACTACATGGCCTGCCATCGCCCTTGTTGGCCAATACATTCAGAAGAAGCGCGCCGCTGGCATGGGAATCGTTCTTGCCGGGTCCTCACTTGGTGGGATTATCTGGCCTGTTGCGATCGATCAATTACTCAAGAATCCGAGGATTGGATTCCCCTGGACCATGCGGATTGTGGGATTCATTATGGTTCCACTCCTTCTGTTTTCATGTATTGTCTGCAAATCGCCGCCAAAGGTCCAGGTTCCCTCAGATTTTGATCCGGAATTTACTGCCAGTGCAGTCTCCGGGAAAAAAGTCGATCACAAAAAAGAGGCGATTGCCCTTTTCCGAAAGCCATCGATGCAGCTTTTATGCTTGGCAATGTTTATCACTTACTTTGGGATGTTTTCTCCATTTTTTTATACGACTTCTTACGCAGTTGAAAAGGGTTTCTCGACAACGCTGGCGTTCTACACTGTGTCCATTGTCAATGGAGCCTCGTTCTTCGGCCGGATCATTCCAGGAATGATAGCTGATAAATTTGGGCGATTTAATTGCTTGATTGTCTCGGTTTTATCAGCGTCGGTTATTGCATTTTGTTGGACAGCCGTCGATTCCGTGCCTGGTTTGGTGATTTGGTGCGCTGCCTATGGTTTCGCTTCTGGAGTAAGTACTTTAATCCACCGATACCTTTCTAATGCTAACTTTTTCAGGGCATTCTTTCGCTTCAACAGGCCTGTGCCGCTCAGGTAGCTACTCCTTCTACATTCGGCCTTGCTATTGGAGGTGTAGCTGGGTCTACCGCTTTGAGTGCTATGGCGAATGTTCCCATCAGTGGTGCCTTGATTGAGAAATATGGCTATTTGTCAATCTCCGTGTTTTCCGGTGCGGCCTTGCTCCTTGGTGGTGGGCTGCTAATCATCGCTCGATTGGCGCAAAGCCGAAATCTTTCGACGATCATTTAAAATCCATTATTGTGGAAAAGTTTTAGAATTTTCATGATATTGGCGTCCAAGGAAATATTCAATTGTCATACACCTAGAAGTGTGGGACTGAGAGAAAATCAAATATGAATCCATGTTACCAATAGATAAATCTCAAAGTCACGTATTCATATCGTGAGTCCCCTTGCTTCAGGCTTACTAGCAGTAACATTGAATCAATAACAAAGAATTCCAGGAAGTGAATCTGGCATCATGGGTAGTTGTGCAAATAACTCAAATATCCTCCCCAGCGGCTCGTCGAATGGCCGCGGCCAGCTCATCTGGCTTACTGATAAATGGGCTGTGGGACGCATCAACCGTCTCCGTGTTAATCGGGAATCCTTTGGCTGTCTCTTCAACCATCATCTTCTGCACTGCGATGGGAATTGCAGCATCTTGAAGGCAGTACAAGTAGGTGCTTGGGATCTCCTTCCATGCCGCATAGGTACAAGGGCTGTGAAAGCACTGATAACTGTGCGGTTTCAAAGAAGCGACAGCACTTTCAACCTGGGCAGGATCACAGTCGTTGTAGAAGATTTTGTCCGGGTCTGCAGGGTTGACGCCTAATTTATCTTCTTCCACGATAAACCAAGGAAGGTCATTGCCGCCAAATGCGCTGATAAGCGAATTCCCTTCTCCGATGATAAAGGAGCAGCAAAAGAACAGATGGGTGACGCCGCCGGGAAGGCCTTTTTGCTGACGTGTCTTGATATCGAGTCCTTTGATTGCCTCGTTTGACGGTACCCCACCGTAGGAGTGAACAACCACCACGACATTCTGCCCTGAATTCGCTGCGGCCTCAATTTGCGTTCGGATTTGTGCAACATCTGCACCAAAGTCCAAGTAGTGTTTTGGTGGATTTACCGAAGGCAAGTGGACCTTGCTCGTCTTGTAGTTTGCTGCTTCCAGGCGTTCCACAACCGGATCATAACAATCAGGGCTGTGCCAGGCGCCCGGGACAAAAAGTATAGTTGTAGATTCGTTCATTTTGACTCTGAGGTATAAGAGTAATGAGGGGTATAAGAATAATGAGGGGTATGAGAATAATGAGGGGTATAAGAATAATGAGGGATCGGAAGTCGTCCGCACCGGAGGAGAAGATAGCACAGATTTGAGCAATAATTTGGATGAAAAACTGGGTAAAGAGGCACGACCCTTTATATGACTCTTACGAGGAATCAATCCTGAGGGCAATGTCTCGAATAGGAAACTGGTGACACCTTTCAAAGCGAAGTTGAAATAGTCTGAAACTTTGTGAGTGGATCGGAAAGCTCGATGCGGAAGAACGTGAGCCGATTGCCCAATAGCTTGGAAAACTCAAGTATTCGCTAACGAATTTGTAGTACGGCAGTGTGGTCTACTCCACACTTGCATCTAAAAGGGTATTATTTACGTCTCACTGCATGGAACCAATGGACTAACCAATTAAAAGCTTCTATTGATTACTTATGTTCCTTGGCATTCCCAATGAGGTCGGTTAGCTCGCCCGCGCCCCCGCACCTGCAGCCGCATGTCTGCGGTGATTCAAAAATTGGAAGTGCCAACGTTGAAGGCTTCAAAATATCCGAAGATGAATAGCACGGGGTAGCATTCAGGAAACGTTAGAAAATTGTCTCATAATCTTATATGATTAGTTCAAATCATGGCCCAGCGCAATGAGCACAGCTTTTTCAATAGGATAAAGTATCTCTAGCCTTGCCCTATTAGTAACAAATCCTCGGAATCGATCGCCGTAATCACCGAGCCTCCAAGATGAATAAAAGCTGCGCGGGTCTTCAAATCCCTAGAGGTAGCTGCCCTTGTGAATATAAGCCAAGTAAAGGCTTCTGGTGCTTGAATAATCCAGGATGAGGAGCCAACACTGGTCATCGCGGCTAAGAGATGCTTTATTTTATCGGTATTTTCCACCACCGCGCCTTGGGATAACGAAGATCGAGGTTTGAGAATATTCCAGAATAGCAGACAACCATTTGTAAATGTCGTTCAAGCAAATATGCGCACAGCGAAACAGCAAGACAAACCTTTTGCATCTAGAACAAGACGGGAGCAGCTTGTCACATTGTCTTTTAACAGCCTTACAATGCAACAAACAATGTTAGATGTTACTAATCAAATCTCTTCCTTTCTCTCATTATTGCTGATGATGGAAAACGACAATTCCTAAACCGATTCGACTAAGCTGATTTTGTGAATTTCCGCCAAATCGACCCACGGCATTGCAAACCGCTGGCTTTCTCCTCCAAAATCAGGCAGCCCCGCTTAAAGTCACATGCTGGATCTAATAAAAAGGGCAGGCCAATCAGATGAATGCCAAGTGAAAAAATATGATCTAAGCCCGGCTGGGCTGCCGGTGCGGGATGGAGATAAGCTGACACCTTCATTAGGCAATTCTGTTAATAGCTGAAATTACGTCCAGGAAAAGAAAGTCCAAAGGGCGGCTCGGAAGCAGAAGAAAAAGGTCAAGGTCTATAGTTCGAGAAAAATGGAGGAAAGAGAGGAGGGAGAGGGAATATGTATATATGGGTGGTACTAAGCCTAAATGGGAAAGCACCACATATGATTACTTGACCCCGGAGCTTACTCCAACAAAGCATAGGAGAAATTTGGGGCCTGACTTATGAAAATGCGTTCCTAGCATTTTCAAAGTCATTCTATATACACAAGGTATGTTGTAAACCTTTAGATTGTCAATAGAACATTCATTTTATACAATTCGAGTAGCTTATTTGTCTATGGGCTGGTATATGCCAATAGTGGAAAGGCTAAAAAGGCCCCTGGGCCTTCCAAAAGTCTATCCCCTTTTTTTACGGGAATAGGACAACCGGGCAACATCTTGATGCTCATTCTCCTCCCCCCACATCAAAGCTGTCCGACCATTCTCGTCCTGGTGAGAAATTTCCACATCGTCTCGACCGAGAAAAAACTCCACAACATGTCCAACACCCCGCCGCGCCACCCACATGAGTGGTGTCGCTCAATTCTGATCTCGGGCATTTACTACTACCCGCTTCTGCAGCTCCAGCAAGTTTCTCACCATCACCAGGTGTCCACAGCTCAGCATCTGGCGCATCCGGCTCCACTGAATTCATCTTCAGCAGCAGCTGGACTACCAATGTTTGACCAGAGACTGCAGCTTGTGCAAGAGGCGCTCAGCTATCTCCATCCTCCAGATTAACGTCAATACGCTTATCGCACAACAAGAGTTGCACAATATGTCCATGACCCACCTTTGCGATGGCGGCAAGAGCTGCGTCGCCGTAATCGTCCTGGGCTTTGACGTCAAGGGTGACTCCGCCAATATTTGGCTTGGCGGCTAGAAGGAGTCGGACAACTTTGGTCTGACCATGCTTCGCGGCTATTATCAGGGGCGTTTGAAAGGAAGTCTAGCAACGGACATTGTAATTGCTCCCAGGCGCCGGAAGCACGGTCCGAATCAACTCAGCTCGACCCTTTGAGGCGCCTACAAAAGCGCGGAACTGTTATTATACTTGATCACAAGTTGATAGAGACAGGTCTGGAGGTTGCGATAAAAAAATTCAATCTTATACATTACAATAATTCGGATGAATTTTGTTATCCTATCCGAGGAAAGAAGAAAACTTCGAGATACAAACTTGAGATCCAAGAAGGTTAATCTTTAATTCTTGCATAGATGAGGTGAAATGGCTTTTGTTTCCTACATGCAAAGGCCCGTATCAGAACAATTACGGCCTGACAAAACCTGCAATAATCTGGCGCAAACTATGTAACAATTCAATGGACCTCGTCAGGGCTTTTTATTTCACAGAAATGCAGTATCCTGGTTGCAGATCACGGGAAAACTCTATTTGGCCAATTTAAAGTTATTCAATAGCTGTTTGGTCACCTGGAATTAATTCTCTTGGCACGATGACTGCTTATAGTTTTGCCTCCGAGCTCGAAAATTTCCAGTTCTCTCGGCTCCCATATTAGATCTTGTATCAACGATCTGATATAACTTGCATTATCGACGATATCCTCTACTTCCAAGTTTCATCTGTTTTCACAACCAGATCTGATCCAAATTTTACTAGCAGCCCAATCATTCCTAGCATGGATGTTCCGAATAACCTACAACCGCTGTCTCTCGGAGAGAGGCTGAGGGTAATTTTCGGAGGACTGAAAGCCAGTATGACCTTCATCTATATGGCCAGATATGTAATCTTGACATGGTCTCAAATAGTTGCTTCCATTCTGGTCGGTGCCGTCACGTTTTGGTTCAGACGATCAGAAAAACCGTTGACGTACTCTCGCCACCTCGTATATACAGCAGTCCGCGCGTTCTCGAGATACATCCCCACAAGAGGGCTGGTGTTTGTTTCTTGAATATCTTGTCTGCTAGTTCTTCTTAACTGATCATGAAGTCACAGAGCTATATTACCCACGACAAATGAAGCATATGCAGCCTTCGTGCATTCAGTAGGCCAGAAAGAAGATACAGTCATCTTGGAAGATGGGACTCACATACATTGGTTAGGAGATCGCTCCGCTAAAACCATTCTACTTTACTGTCATGGTGCAGGCCTACCAAGTCCACAGACGACCGTTCCTTACTAACACGGTAAATCTGGTAGGGGGCAGCTATGCCATTTGGGCGACTAAGATGCACTTTGAAATCCTCTGGGATATAGTCAACGAAGCTGCATTACAACGAAGAGGCAGCCTTGCTATTATTTTCCTCTCTTACGGTGAACCGCTACAAGATGGAATGAGAAGTACCAAGGCTAACGTACGCAGATATAAGCAGTCAAGCGCCTTATCCTCGCCAACTCCAACAAGCTTCAACCGCCATGAATTATATTTCTCACACTCTGGGGAGGCCTGCTTCCGATGTATGTCCCAATGAAAGCTACATATATTGTAAACTGACACTGCCCTTCTAGGTCCTGCTTGCCGGCGATTCAGCCGGTGGTCATTTGATCCTTGCTTTGCTATCGCATATCGCGCATAATAACCTTGAAGTTCAACCAGTCAAAGTCTCGGGAATGCTCAAAGGTGTTGCGTTTGTGTCGCCTTGGGTGACCTTTGACACTGCAACATCCGACTCGATGCAGAGAAACAAGAACAAAGACATTTTGACAGTACCAATGCTCAGTGCATCGGTATCAGCATTTCGAGGGCAGACATCCTGCAATAATTATTATATGGAGCCTCTTGCTGCTGATGCTGAATGGTGGCGGGACGTTCCAGTGAAAAGATTTCTTATCTTAGCAGGCGCAGACGAGATGTTTGTGGATGACATCAGCCAATTTGCTGCTAAACTCGGGGTATGTTATCGGTTTCAACTTTCAGGTTGATCTATCTGATAAATGATTGACCGCCTGACAGACTGTTCATCCTGATGTGACTTACTGCCAAGTACAAGACGAAGTGCATGATCATATGTTGATCGAATCGATGCTGAGGGAGCCCATGTGCCAGCAAAGGCAGATCTTTCGTCGCTGGCTGCTTGAATTGTGTTATTTCAGTTAGTGAACAATCTGCCACATTACCTCTATTCCACTTCAACTAGCGATCAGAGGTATTACTAGGTTGATGTCGTACCGAGAGAACATGCTGCATACCCAGATACAAGCCTGAATGCTATGCCAAAATGAGGAATATTTCGGAATTAATGCAACTGCAGAACCTGGCTGTGCATAGATTCGACCATTTTCCTTTTACACTGATGGTCTCTATGGGTATGGAAGAAATATTCAGTTGTAATATTTCGCGTAATAGTTTCGTTTGGAGCATTGAAGATCTGCAAACCAAATCCATATTAATCTCAACGGAGATCTTGCTCAACGCGTACGACTCCATGAGATCGATGTCGTAGTCTTCCTCTAGTGGGAATAATGATCATCTTGATGCCTAGCCTGCATACCGACTTGATGACATTGTATGTGCTCACAAAAATAGCCAAGAAGGTCTCATAACCTGTTACGAGCATGTTCTGCGCGTATGCCGCGAAATGGAGAACTGTATCTGGCAAGATGGTCGGCTGCTCCATAGCCAAATTCCTTTCGATCCCATACTCACCTATGTGAAAGTGTGAGGAGAGCACTTTGAAGAGCTGGGCACTGACGTTGAGGTCAAATTTAAATGTGAACACATCCGGGTTGATGCTGACTCCATGTCGATCTGGCAGTGGATTTAGATTTAAATTCGGATCTGGTGGCCCCATGAAAGAAGATAAGAGACATAATTGATGCTGGCCAGCATTTCCTTAGCCACCTGTAATAATACTACTTTCCCCATCTTAGTTACAAAAAGAAGGGTTTGTAGGTAATTTCAATATATTGGGCTCATCTTAGTGGGGTTGGGTATGCTGGACATCCACGGCACCCCGATGATGGTGATATGACCTCATGGCCACAGATCCCAACATTAACACAGTCTGAAGCCACATGAAATATAATGTTGAAGCTGATGTATCCTCTCTACGAAGAATGAAAGTCCTCACGTTCATCGTCGCTGATCTTCTAGAAGAGAAATGCACAACGGAATGGCTAGTATCTCCTTGACCTTAATTGACAGTTTGAACGGCTAAATAACTCTAGTGAACACCTCTGGGTCCCGGCATATGATGGGCAGGAACTGTTTCCTTGGTTGGGTGCACAAAGGCATACGCGGCTTGTATGCGGATGTCTCGCCCTGGCCTGTCAGATGAGAAGGGACTAGGTTGTTCCAGAGCTCGTAGAATGAGTCCGCCACCACTGTGAATACCCATACGGATGGTTTGGTTCCCTGTATAAGTGGGAGAAATTCATGTGTCATTCGCCGCATTGCCTGCGTTCCGCATGTTGGACCCAACCCCACTTGCCGCATAGGGCGATTCCGGAACCGCCAACCAATGGGATCAGCTTGCCTTGTTGTTGCTCGACGATCTCGAATTTACCATGGGAAACCTGTACACCCCGTAATCGAAGCAAACTGGTACGACGTATCAAAAATAATTAATGACTACGCCGTAGAATTCTGTCGAGGGATTTAAAAACACGATTGGAGATCCTTGTCATAGTCACAACAGTTTTTTTATAATGGAAGAAAATTATGGCCCGCACAAGTTCCAAGAAGAGAAAGCCAGGACGAATATGCCAATATGGACCAGATGCGGTAAATTTCGGCGGTATGAAACAACGAAATAATATAATCCCTGAAAAGTTAGCGGATGATTTGGTCAACCAGTTCTACGCGAATCCTAGGGCTGCAGCTCATCGGGAACCGTCAGGCATCTCCGCCACTGTTCACCCTCCTGTTAATATCCCCGTGGGCCTAAATACCTCTTCATGCATTAGCTCAGAGAGTGACAGCAGTTGTACTCTAACTGGGTGGGAATCAACACTACCGACAAGGAGGGGTGATCCCGATAACCCAAGTCATACTCTGGATTCGTCTGTTGCGGCTGTTGCGGCGGAAAGTTATCCTTCTTTCCAGTGTCGTAATTGTTGCTGCATCAAACATGAATACCCAGGGTGTGCGAGTACATTCGGTCTGGATGATTTGTGCACGGTGACAGCAATTGTACAGCTAGCAGGGAAATATGGTCGGGTGGCCCACATGGGCATATTGGATCCCAGCTATAGGTTCTTTGTGAATAAGGCGGGGACAGGGGCGCTGTCGTTCAAGGTTGAAAAAAAAGTCGCTATCGTGGGAGGGGACCCATTGTGTGAGACAGAAACGATTGCTGATCTCTTAACGGAGTTCGCGGCATATCGGCGTCAGCATCACTGGGGATTAGCTTTCATGGGAGTAAGCGAGTCATTTGCGCGAAATCACGCCCAGGCACAAGGATGGACAACTTTACGATTTGGAACAGAGCGTGTCCTGAATCCTCGGACAAATGATGTGCTGTTGGGGCATAGCGGCAAGCGGATCGCGGTACAGAGCCGACAATTGCTGCACCAGCAAAAAGGCGGAATTACAATCGGAGTTTATGCGCCTGCAACTCATGGAGCAAACCCTCAGCTGCAGACAGACCTGGTAGCGATATACGACTCCTGGCGTGCGGATCGTAATCGCTCCGGTGCCCCGCAAGCCTTCATCACCGTCTATGATCCTTTCTCACTGCCAGCTCTCATGACATTTGTGTACACTCGTGGCCCCGACGGCCGTCCCAACGGTTTTGCTGCCCTGCGTCGTCTCGGCACTGTTGGTTATCACGTTGATCCATGTATCGCGATGCCAGGGAGTGCAAGAGGCATTAGCGATCTGCTCCTCGTTGCTGTTATGGGCTTACTTAATCGCATTGGCATCTCGTGTCTTGGTTTTGGCTTCGAACCCATCCAAGAAATTTCCCAGGAGGATATTACAGGCATGTCCCGTCCACTCGGTCGTCTGACTCGTGGCCTCTATCGCCATATGTTTAATCGCCTGGACATCCGCGGTAAAAAGCCTTATCACGATAAGTTTCGGCCGGATCTGCCTCAGGATTCTGCACTATATATCGTTATCCCGAAAGGCGTTTCTGATCTACAAGGTTTGCTTGCCATCATGTGTATGGCAAATGTCAGTTTGCGCAAGGTGTTATGGGCGGATATTCGAGCTTGCGTTCCCAGGGGTAGAATTAAGTCTCGCCCTAGAGCTTCTCCTGGTATTGGTGGGTGCTGAAGGACATCGTCGGTTTAGTATTTCTGTTGCTTCTTACGTTTACTGTAATTCCAAGTACATGATGGTGGACAATTACACTTCACTGGCCGTCTGTCACCTCTAAAGAAGCCAAGAGACGCGCTTAGTCTGGTTCAACAAGCATTTGTCATTCAAATGATGCTTGTTCACCTTGATATTTTAGGCTTCGATCTTCATCTTGGTTGTTCCTTCTTTTGAAAAATCAAGAAGACCCATCAAACAATATATTATCGTAATGGTTCAACGCTAAAGGCTTCGGAGTCACAGAAACTAGACCGAGCTGAGCTTAAGTCCTTTGAAGAAAAAAACTCATACGTGCGATCTTTCGTCCTGGTTTAGCGAGGATGTTAACATTCTCTGAATTATAATTCAAGCCCTAACTAGCTATCCTAGAATCATCTGGTATAGATAAAAGACCATGGACTTAGCTCTTCATCGGACCGGTTTCTTTAACTACTGGCTTGTATATCTTTTATGGTATACTGACGACTTTTTCTTGACCCTATACGTGGTAAGGCCGAGTGAGTCCGGCATATGCTACCTTATAATGGCTATGATATCATGTTAAAATAGATACTAGGATTTATCACTAAGTAAATTTATTTAGTAATTAGTAGGTATGATATTCGTTACTATAGCTTTAAGATCGTTAAAATAGTATTTTATAACGAACGTGTAGATAATTTAGCCCACGATCGAGATCATTATAGTAGAGATTTCGTAAAGATTTCTCTTATATCGATATTGAGATCTTGTACTATACTATTATTTAAAAGAGTAGACATACCACTTTTACTATATAATATCTATGATGCTCGTGTTAAATATATGCTAGATGAAGCTTATTCTCTATGCTCTTCCAAAGTCTATTCTAGCATAGGAAAGTGATCTGACTTTTCTATCGAGCTAGAGATTAAATAATCTCTAGATGCCTAGCCTAAACGCTATAAGAACGATACTATAGAACTAATGAGATATAAATAGTTTATTTAGAAAGGTATATAGAGAGATAGTTCTATTAGCTAGATTATTATTCATACTAGACAAAGAATATTGTGTAACATGACAATTCCTTTCACTCATCCGGTAGGGAAATAGAGTACTTGATTAAGTTAGATGATTTCTTAAACCTGACTAGGCCTACTCCATATAGAACTTCCCTATCACAACATAAAGGCATTTTCAGCGGATGGTAACTGCTTAACATAGATTAAGATATCACCCGATCGTTCCCTTCGGGAGACGCGCAAGTCATCTCGATTTGGAAAAAGCGCAGGTGGCGGATCAAACCCACCATCTAGCCAGCTAGCTGTTTCTCTCCGAGAACATGCCACAAGCAGAAGGCACAGAAACCAAACAGAATGTAATCTACAATTCTAAACCGTAGAGTATGAAAACTAGCGCGCCATGCTCATCTCATCTTGGTTGGTGACGTCAATGACCCTAATCCGAAAAATTATTTATAAAGCGAAAGGTGTGGTCGTTCAAACTATACTAAGATAGCTATAATGAAAAGATAGCTACAATGAAAGCAGAATGACAGGCTCTGTACAGGAGGAAGCCAGATTACGAGATGCGCGGACACCATCCACCCAAAGTTCACCACCATTTGAGAAGCTCGCGCAGAAGAGCCCGAAACTCACAGATCATCTCTCAATCACCCTGGGGCCTGTTATGATCATAATATTCGATATTGTGGTCCCATGCATAATATACTACGTTTGGTTCGACACACATCGATCCCACTGGATTAGCCACTGCCAAATCCACGACCGATGCCGCTTTGGGGAACCTGAGTTCAACAAGCAGATTCTGGGCTCTTCTATCATCTCTTTCGGGTTAGGTGAGCTCTACATTTTGATTGCTCGGGTCTGTCGACTTCTTCGTCATGCGGATGAGTGCGCTCCTCTGCTATCACGCTCGCGATGGGAACTTGACGCTACGTCCTGGGTGTATGCTGTGGCCATGGTTTGCGCCTTAATTCCATTCGTTGTCGCTAGCAGCAAGCAAATACCCAAACTTTATCTCTATTCCCCTGGTGCTCTCATGGCATTTCTCGGAATTCTGATGGTCATCACCCTCATACCTCTCAAGATACCCATTGGTATCAACTCACAGGCAAGAGGGACAAGATTGCGACCGTTGATTTACTATGCGGCTGAAGACTTTATCGCTGTTGATGGCTTGCAGGATCGTGAATTCCGCATACGGTACAATACACGTTATGACGCGTCAAAGTCTTTCAGGCGCATGATTCTCGGTCTCACTATCTGGTGGATCTTTGGGGTCTGTGTCTACTTAGGATGTTTGTCGGCCATTATATGGACTTTGGAATTCCACTACGCATTTGGATTGTCTCTAGGGGTTCTTTTCGCGTATATTCTTGTTTGGGCAGCCGTCTCATATATATGGCTGCGGATCGGAATGGAGCGAGAGCGTAAGTTGATCGACATTTCCGTGTGATAGACCTGAAAGCAATAAAATATGTGACTAGAAAGCATTCTAGCGTAATTTCACAAATGCGGGCAAACTGTCTGCAGTACTATGTTGAAAGCAGTTCTTAGAATCGAGCAAGGCATTGAGAAGGTGTAAATAAGAAGAGTATATTGAATTTTTCGAAGGGAAAGTCACCTGATTCGTATTGTAACACCAAATCGGCACCCCGATGACAATTCAATAAAACATGTCGATCATAAAATCAGATGAAATCAATGGCTTGTTCTCAAGCTGGCACGTTAAAATCAATTACGCAAAAACATCAGCCACCATCCTCTGTGACATCATCTGAACCTTCGTCGATTCAAGCTACAGGACAAAGTTTGCCGAGGAATAACTGCAAGTGGAGAAAGATTCCTACCTGTCGGGGTAGGTGTAGAAAACCTCGTTAATGTTGAATCAATGTATGTTAGAAAGAATTTGGTTCTGTATTGAATTTCGATGGTAAAAGCTTGATGAGGCGATTGACGGAAAGAGTGATTGACCAATTGAGATATATGAGTTATGGCCCGAGAGTATATTACTATCGTAAGCGCAAAGGCTTCCGGAAGTTTGGGTACTGAGGCCCAGACACTGGGCAATGGTCTTCTAGATTATTCTACACCGATTTGCCGGGTTAGATTGACTTCCTAAACCGGCAATTTCACAGTAAAAAGTTATTTTCTTTCACCGAAATTGAGAGTTTCAAGCTTTCCAGCCCACCAAGTAATCAGGTGCCACCTATTAACACTCGGCGATAATACATACAGTCTTTTGAAGGATTTATGGAGTCGGGGGTAGATCGAGATTATGTCACCAATGGAGGGGTTGTGTGACTTCTATTTCAAATGACGACTCGACTACATGCACTATGCGAGAGTTCCTTTGATTCCATCAATATGGGTAACAGACGTATCATTACCTGCTATACTCATTGAACATTGAACCGAAATCTGTTTCTTGCAGTACTTGAAGTGCAAGACGATCTTAAAGACCATCATCCCGAATCGAAATCGATTCGATTCATCATGAGCACATCCAATACAACTCCCGGTCCCGGAAACGCAGAAGATGGTCAAAGCAACCCTCTTAACAACTACAAGCTTCTCGTCATGGCTGGCTCGTCCTATGACAAGAAGAAACATCAAATTGTCAAAGTCAATGATTCAGAATCACTGCTTGTTGACGGCCCTCATATGGCAATCAATTTGCATGTCCGAGTGCGCGATTACGATGGGCTTCCGCTCCATTCTCCAAGGCACTCTTGTTACTTCGAACATGAAATGCATCAGAAAGACTTTTACTCGATCGCATTTTCCTTTATTCCGAAGAAGAATATAAATACAAACAGTCTTGTTTGGGGCAACGATTTCGACCATCCAATTCGTGACCAACTTCCTCCGGGTTTCATTATTGCCTATAAAATTGCAAAGACGTTCATAGATCCAGGAATAGACTGTGACGTATACTCTGAACGACCCTGGTCGTACGGACCGGCCTTGAGCTGTTGGGTTTCATTTCGGATTGGTGAGCAACAGCAACTTGGGGATCAAATGAACGAGGATAAATGTGGAAATTTCCAAAAATCGCCAACAATCGGAGACCAGCATGTTATTGAGGAAGGAGCGGATGGTGACGGTCGGGTCATCCGCGAGAGACATGGAATTCCAGAAAATGCCAAAAGGCGTCGAAAGCACTTCCTCTCCATCTCCAACCGCAAGGCTTTTAACTTCCAGGCTGGAAGGGTCTACCATGCTGACTTTTTCAATCCTTATTTTGATCCTAATAAAGTTCTTCTCCGATTGCCAGGGATTAAGATTCGAGTTCTGAAGTATGTGAATGAAAAAACGCACAGCTTGCGATATGTCTTCAAGGACCGTGAAAATGAGGAGGTTTACCTGGTGGTTGTGCTGAAACTTCTTTTTGGCCAGGAACTAACGAATCATATTGAACAATGATACATCAGATCGACGGGTTCAGATATCTACAGTGCTTAGCTTCCGGCTTCATGAAAAGAATTGACGCGGTCATTCAAGAAACACATAAATAAAGGACGTCGAACTAAATGTAATATATATGACGAGCGAGTAAGATAACTTGAAACACGGATCTATGTGCCATATTTAACACCTTGTGTCTCATATGCAAATCGTATTAATGGATTACGTTTACTTGAGGATTGGATCACTAGTTCTTTGTATGTAAAATTCTATGCACGCTATTTCTTCGATTTATAGCTCTTATAATCACTCGATGAAGGCGAGCTTCTTGAAATATGCCGTTCTCTGGCTGACGATTCTCTAGCAGACCAGAAGTTATCGTTAAGAGAATGGCTCCTTTACGGCGAAGATTGACGACCTTTGGGTGGGTAAAGTCTACAGATGTTTAAATTACCGAGCGGTGAAAGTGGTCTTTCTGTCGGCGGAACTGTATTCCACCTGGTGAAATCACTGGTCTGACACCTTGTTTAGTTCGCTTGCACACACTATGGCGTGATTAGACAATGTCCACCGTGAACGAACAGTTGATTAAACACGGCATTTACGTTCGGCTATTGGCAAAATGTCATTTGATCAGTCCTCTAGGAAGTTGTTTAGCTAGGAGAATGGCTAATAGATAGTGCTCTCGACTAAAAGAAACGATTTGATGGTCGAACATGATCATGGCAAACGGGACTTTAACATGTTAAAGATTATTTTTTTCGGGTCCCAAATTGGCAGGTCTGGGCGGCAATGTGTTCCACGGTTCTCCACAATTTAGAGTAATTCAAGATGCACTAATGTGGGCTGGATTTACCCAAGCCATCAACGGCCTAGAAAGATGCATCCTCGCCATTTTAACAGCCCTGTCAGGACCAGTATTTGCTCAATAATGCTATAGACGGCGTAATGCTGCAATGATATAGTAAGGGAAAAGGCACGTTCAGCATATTATACCAAGAGAACTCGGAAGAACGACTAGTCTGATCAAACAACAATGCGTTTTCACTTAATTGAACTTAGAAGCCAATGACGCCTTGAACGGCTGAACTAAGCCTGCTAGTGGCCATCTTTTCTATAGTTGGCTTGGTACGCCGATAGTCGGCTTAGAGTTGCCGAGCACGTATACTGTACTGTCCGGATACTGACCGTTTTTGCAAAATAAGGCCTCTTGAGCCTGCTCTCCACTGGGGTGATGCTCTGAGCAACAGCCAACTTCAGGCGGGGAAATCAACTAGAAATTATTGGATTAAGTCGCTCGCACAGATTTCCTTGTTCTCAATGGCTAGATCTCAGCTTTCACATGGAGGGGTGGATACTTTCACGACACAATTCCCCTTGTCAAAGTTGGTCAGACAAAGCTCATTTCCAAGGCATTTCCAAGGTCCTCTCCAGTACAGGGAAGCGATCAGAATATTTCTATCGCGGTAGAGGTCAAGCATTCCTTCGATGCCCATCCTAAACGCTGTACTTCCGCAGAACGATACCACGGAAACTCTACCCATGTGGGATTGAGATCTGATTGACATCTTCGGGGGAGGTGAGCCTGAGAGTGTCGCCATTCTCATTAGGTTGCCCACTGGTGATAATGTCAATCATTGAATGAGCCACTTGAATCTAAATTCATACCGGACACAAGTTAAGTTCTTCAGGAAGATAGTGCCATTGGCCAGATTGTTCTTTCTGGTCAAAGAGAGATTTTGTATCGAAGCGACACATTTATTTCGTCGAGAAGGGAAACATATCCCTTACTAGTTTGGTAATTTGTAAAGCTTACTTAATCCTGCGTTGTGGAAAGCTAGGATGGAAAGCTCCCTATCACGACTTAAACCGTTTTGCTCGGATGGTGACTGCTTAGCATAGATTGAGATATGGATCGATCGGGAGACGCGCGTCGTCTCGATTAGGAAAACGCGCAGGTGGCGAATCAATCCTATCTACCCGTGGTATTGGAACTAACTACCTGGGGCAAATTTGGCCGACGCATGTAGCAATGCCAGGCAGCTGCGTTCGGAGCCAAATATCCAGACTTGGGATCCGTTACCTTCCCACTGGAATCCGCAGTCTAGTTCCTTGCATCCTAGAGTCCTAGTAGCACCCATAAAAATCTCAAGGAAATAAGCCTATTGATTGATAAACATGTGATGAAAATCAGGCGATTTATGGAAGCCAATATATCGCACCTGAAAGAATATATTAATCAAGCAGGTGAAGGGAAATTTTGAAAATCGGCAACCTAGATGAGATCGCGAGACTGCGCGAAATTCCAGCAGTTAAGGTCTATGACGGCGACGAACTGGCTGGCAATAACCATGATGGGCGAGCGTTCATGGATTCAATTGTTTCCAACGAAGGCACCTGAGCAGCAAGAACTATCAACTCATGTCCTGTCCGAACTTGCCTGTCAGCCAAACGCGAAATTAGAGATCTACCATGTCTAGCTTCCAAAAGTTCCCCAGCACCAGGTGAGGACAACCTCCCGACACCGGGCTTAGAAATACCTCTGAAAGCACCTTGGGCAACTGGGTATCATATGAGGTGAAATACGTCATTTGCAGCTAAGTGGAGGGAAGCCTTAGATCCTCCGAATTATCGCATTATTCACAAAATTAGAGCCTCTTAGAGCCTCTTAGAGGATCTATTGGCGGTAAAAAATCCTCACGGAAAGCCCGAATGACTTTGGTTTCACTATTTCTGAGTATCAGATGACTCTTTTAAGATTCGTGCTAAGCTAGCTCTTGTGCCGTATGTTTTGAGGGGAGCATCTCACTAACCACACTTGATTCAAATTCCCTAGATGGCGGTGATTGCTCAGTCACTCGTGATTATATCCACTCCTTCGCGGAGGAGTATACGCCACACATAGTTTCGCAATTTGCGAGGCCAATTTGGCATACCCACATATCGGACTTTAAGGCCAAGTCTGTGAGCCATTTGTACCTGTTGACGAACATCGGAGAGCTGATTGTCCGAAAGTCCATTGAAATCCACATTTCCTATTGCTGTGCGGAAGTCGGCGGAGGCATAGTAGCTGTTCTGGGTACTATAGACGGAATTTTGCAGAAAACCTTGATCGGATAAAGGCACGAGTTGCAAGAGTGGAGCGTCAAAGAATACGTCTCTGGTGGCATTCATTTCCAAGATGTGATGAAATGGCACATTGCCGGTGGCAACGATTGTGACCGGACCTTGCAAAACCGTTGATCCATTGAAATGGGTTAGAAAGCCGGCCTCTCGGAGAGGCTCAAGGTGTAGAATGAGTTGAGACCATACCTGCTCCGGGTCGGCATCAAAACGCATCAGCAACACAAGGGTTTTTGTTGGGTCATCTGGAAAGACTCCTGGAACCTGGTTTTTGTATGAATGCCGTTCAAAGGTTGAATTTTCCAGACTGCTGTCATACTTTCGAATAGTGCTCAGTAGATAGTCAATGTAGAGACCCCGAAGGTTGCTTGTTCGTGACAGCAAATCAGGATTTTGGCCAATCAAAAGCTCATTTTCAGCGGGGAAAAGATTGATTTCGATGCTCATACAACCTGAGGAGATCGCCGATTGCAATGAAATGCAACGTCCACGGGCACTGTTCGAATAACAGGTGATTGGAATTGTATCGTGCGACCAATGTGAGAATGCTGAGAATTCGCTTCCCAGGATATCATAGCTCTCATAAGAAATACGCCCGTGCTTTCGAAGAAAAGCATTGTCGGCTTGCCAGGCCCAGCACAGAAGCTTGAAGATGCCGCTGAATTGACCAACGGAATCAGCTATGATCGACTTGAAAGTATAAGGAGATTGAGATGTGATTTCTTACAAGACAATCAGAAGCCCGCAGGAAAAGCACCGTGCTGCTCGAGAAAGTAATGATCGTTTTGATAGGCGGGTTTTACAGCATTTGACGCTGTGAAAAAACGGGTCTGGCTTACACGAATCCCCCTCACATCTTGTCCTAGGTGACCGAAAGTTCTCCAAAACCTCGCAATTCTGTCCCTGCGAGGACATGATGGCTTCCGTGATCAAGCGTGAGGTTAGGAATCGTCCATGGGTTTGAGAATCAACCCAAAGAAAGTATGCCTAGCCTAAGATACTCCTGAGTAAAGTTACTGAGCTCCAGTCCTCCATACACGGGTTTACCAGCTTACTAGTACAATCCATATCCAGAATATGGCTGCCTGGACCCCCAAACCAGTGTTGAGAGGCAAAAACTGTATTATGGGCAGAACAAGGTATATACGCTAGAATTGGGAAGCGGTGAGGGAAGTCGGACCGTGGGCTTAACCGCTGGATCCAATCGGCGACCTTCCTTCCCTTCTTATCCCTCCGTTGGTCATGTATCAGTGATTATTCGTATTTGACACCAGGGTGGTGCGGGGATCGCATCGTAAAGACGTCGAGTGACAGCCCTCCAATAGCGATGATGACGAAAGCTAATATCCTTACAGAGATCAAAAATAAAGCTAATTTTACCGGAATGCTTGACCAGCAGGACCAATCCGGTGCGGCCAATGACATTCTCCCTCGCACTGGCTCAAAGAAAAATCAGGAGACTGGAAGAAAATAGCCGGGAACTTACAAAGCATGGTTTATTTTACTGCCCATGACCAGTAACTGTCTATACCATAGAGTAATGAAATTACGTTGTTAAATTACGATACTGGAGGTGAAAGAAATTTCAGACAATTTCCGGAAAGAGTTGCACTCGGAAACCAAAATCAAATATGTTTGGTGATCTGTCAATTGCATGATCTGACTTGGAGAGCGTGTCTTTATCGCCACCCAAGAATGACACGCAATGCATGACGAGATAGAAAGAAGCGCCATGATAAGATCTTACAGGATTGTAAAGTAGAGGCAGCCGTGCTTATGGCAGCTGCGAATGATCATTCCCGATGAATTTCGTGTAGGAAAGAAAAGAACTTCTAACGACTATGAGTGTATCCATGCGGCATTTAGAGGACCCTTTTTAGTTATCGACTAATCTTTGAGACTAGAGCGAATGCCTCAAGGGCTTCCTTATGATATTTATGGAAAGCCTGGTATTTTCAATCGTCGTTCTTTCAATTGAGCATTTGTTAAAGGCCAAAGTCAGCCTATAGTTTCATCTTCCAGGAACCCTTCGCCGGTTTCAAATTCCCAATGCTAAGGGGATTCTTGCAAAGTAGTAACTCAAATGTCATTGTCAACATGCGATTCAAGAGGTGCAAAAAAATGAAAAGCCCAACTGCTCCCATACTGAACCAAGTCCATGGTCGATTTCCAAGCCACATTAAAACACCCGCGTCCGCTCGGTGCCAACTGCTACTCTCTAAATCGGTGATGTAGGGACTCAACTCGGTCTGATTGATAATGCCGAGATTTTGCAAAGGCAGAGAAGACTGCTGAAGCAAGTAATCTTTAACAACCATAGTCAGGAACATTGGTCCAGCAGATACCATTATGACAGAGTACGGTTGCCACCGGGCCCAGGCCCGAGTCATAGAATTGTATATCGGTAGTTTTTCAATAGCCGCTGCATAGACAGGATGCCTGGCGGATGTTATCATGAAGTCATTTGTGACGCCTGTCGGGAGTGTTGATTTGAAGAGTGCGTATTCAGTAACTGCATCTGACTCGAGCTTGTCGATAGGAATGCTTTCGTTGCACCAAGTATCCATATCAAGGTATATCCCGCCATAGTGATATAGGATGAAGTAGCGAAGAAAGTCCGCGCGCTGGATGGGAAAGGCATAGTTATCCCAAACATCCAAAAACCAAGGATAGTGGACAGAGAGAAAGGTGCGAGTTGACTCGTCAGTCCATAGCTATGTGGTAGGATCCAAGTTAGTACATGAACCTCTTCTTTAATACTGATTCTTGAGTCTTTGTATCCTATGCTCTCCAATTTTCGAATGTGCAGATATCCTCACCTGATACTCGAAATCCCCATAGACCTCTTTGCAGCTTTCTTGTGATTCAACCCACTTTCCAGGAATTATGTTCGTTGCAGCAGTTTGGTGGAGTATTCGCGGAATGTGGCCTGACACATTAAAATTTTGCAAATTATTCAGGTCTTCTTGTTCGGAAAGAGTAACTCGCGGCTTGAAGAGTTCCTCGTTTCTTCGTAACAGAGTGATAAGAGGCTCTAAACGATAGATCAGTAGCCAGATAACCATAACATCCAAGAGGACTATTGCCACTACTCTTGGGTGTTTGATAAGCATTGATTTGCATCTTCGCCCTAGCAAGTGCTCGGTACCATGGCTTAAGCGTTCCTCATCGTAGTACTTGTTGCCGTTGGTGCGATGGCGGTAGCCCCAGTGAAGTAAACGATCAAAAGGTGACCTTATATCGATCATGATGACCAGTATTTTTGCTCTCGGTAGATTGAAATGGCCTCAGGACTAAGAGATAAATAATTGTCTGGTTTTGGTTCCCAGCCATTGCAGGTGAGAAAAGTAATGGAGGGCTGCGTGACCCGAATGCACGTATTGCTGCCAATCATTACCGCTATCATGTTCCGAGCGCCGGGAAAATGAGAACCACGTTTTTCAATCCCGTTGCCATCGCTGTCTGTACGATTTTAGCTTTACTTGGCTATGGACGCGTAATCACGGATTCGAAATCATTTCATAGGTCATTGGTCCCTTTTTCCTAACTCGAACAACCCCTCCATTACAGCATGGGATGTGCACCGATGTTGTAGTATAGAGCTACGTAGACATCTCTCGGGAGACTCTGTCTCATGGCACAGAAAGGCTCATAAAGACAGGAGCACTTTCTCTAACACCTACCGTACTTCTCAGAACACATTTCTTTTCTTCTTCCGAGTTATTGTCATAGTGGTCGTATCTCATGACGCCCTCGCGGGGCATGACATTACGGATATTACCTGCATCTGTTCGAATTATAATACATGGACCCATCGTACAGTAGAATGACTTTGCCGTGGCTGATAGCGACTCAGATGGAACGACAAATTATGCAAGTACGACGTGGTTGAATAAGAAATAACTGAATTTGATGGTGATGCCCTGGTTCTTTGTCATTTGCGAGATCTTGTGTATATGTAGGCAACAAGAAATACGCGATGCGCGCTACAGACACTCTTCATGGCGCGACTCTCGGACAAATTCTGGTTAAATCGCGTAGAGGGAGGAGTTTTGAACTATTCATCACCGACCAATGCTGTGAGGATCTACTAAACGCGGATTACTTTTTCTCGCCCCGTGTAGTGAACGATCTAGTGCGGCGTGTACGGGCTACAGTAAATTCAACTCCAGATTCCATTGGGTTTTAACTACAATATCAGAATGAGGAAAAAAGGATGGAGACAACTAGTTGTCATGGTGAAAAAAGAGGGTATGTTGGCGCCTGATGATGCAGGTCGCCACAGCATCTTTCAACTTCTGCCTGGCGCTTGAAGGTAGCCCATAGTGAGCAAAATGAGTCACAAGGAAAACTAATTTTGCAATTGATCAAAAATCCTGGGAAAAAAATTAAGTCATGTAAATTTATTAACATTGCATAAATCCAATTTTTGAGGGGACACGGTGAGCGTAATAAGGCTCATGAAAAGGTCGAACGTTATTCATTTTGTCATTGTTTGGTATCAAACGCCTATCACAGGAGTCGTCCTAAGCTTGCTATTGCGCATTATCTATTCATTAGAGCATCTTCTTTGTCAACTTTTCATTATCAGTCATCTTTGAGGCCAATGACTTTATTCATCAACAGTGATAATATCCACACCTTCACTGACGAGTATACGTCGCAAATAGTTTCGCAAAATGCGAGGCCAATTTGGCGTACCCACATATGGGACTTTGAAATTGCAGCTCCTCATTCAATGACTTACTTATGTAACATCCAGGTACCCCTAAGTGACAACCTTCTTGATCTACTAATACTAAAGATTGAGAATATAAATGCCTGGTCTGAAGATCGGGGCTATCTGAAAGGTTCCGTGGCTGCTAGATTAAGTAGACGATGATCAACAAAAAACCCATTTCATCGTAATAGGCCACTATACCTGAAAGAAAAGAAACTTCCACGTTTAAATCCCAAAAAAGCCAAAGGCCAACAGAAATTCATATGCATTATACAAATATACTTTCTAATTGGTTCGCACAACGTGCAGAGCAGGCCTATCCCCCATTTCTTAAATATCCATATAATCTGGAATTCGCTAATCATAAGCCACATAGCTCTTGATGGAGAGGCTGGGTCTGAGGGTTGGGGTTCGGTTACTTTCCTGATCCTGGTAGCTAATCAGGAGCCAGGGATATAAGGTGTAATCACGAGAGAGCACATGGGATATTATTTTCCCCGGGTTAAGCTTTTGAGCCAGGAAGTACAAAAGAACGACGAAAATGAAGACGATTTCTGCCAAAAAGTATGCTATATTCCAGTTCATGGGAAGAGCCAAAGGAAGCAGTTTTCTTTGGAGATACTGTTTCTTCCCGTGACTACGAGGTTGAATATGGGGTCAACATTCTTTTTAATTCGAAACTGGTTCGAGCAGCTGGCGCAGTGATATCATCAGTGAACCGAATGCCACCCAGCCCACGGTTTTCTTCCCAGGTCTGTTTCTCACGGAGGAGGTCACTTTGAACCCAAGGAATTGTGATCAAAGTCCAAATACTGACCCATAAAAACGGAAGGGACCAGCCCAGCTATGAAGGTAACGTCAGTCTGGTTCTCGGATCCATTTTAGATCAACCTGTAGAAACTCACTGTATAAGCAACAGGTTCCGAAACGGTGAAAATGACGGTAGTAATGGCAGCCGCAAATAGTATGGATCCTCCACTCCAAAAAAAGTTCAATTCGAGGAGCATGCGTCTAAAATAGGGACTCGACAGGTATCTGGTCCGAAGCGCATATCGGTACTTCTGGCCGCCTCCTCCGTCCACCGTCACCACATCTTCGATGAGCACATATAGTGCGGCCGGTATAGCGGAGCCTTTGGGAGTGGAAGAGATTCGAAATGGAGCCTTGAGGCCACAGATGCGGAGGATGTCGAGAGTTAAGTGGACTGCACCAAAGTAAAACATCACTGTAGGGAGAACCATTGCCACAAGACGCACTATTAGGTTTGAATATCAGTATGAGGCGTGGAGATATAAACTGAAATTAATTTGATCTAACCATGTGGCTCCTGAGATACCGTTCCACTGTAAATTGTGAGCCCAGTACGTTACTGAAGTTTTAGCAAAGGGTAAAACTCCGGACTCACACAATAAGTTCGACAGCCAAAATCAGCCACACTATTGTGATATTGATCTGGAAAAAGTCCAACTGAGAGAAACCATTAGTCATCGCCCAGAAATTCTCATCTTTGAAGAAGGTTACCCATGATTTCTGGGCATTCAATGGCCGTGCACGAGCGCGTTTGCGGAACAATTTGTAGAATCGATAGAAATATTCAAACACAGAGATTCCTCCTAGGCATGCGGTAACAATAGAGAATACTACTCAAAGCCCCAGATCAGCGATATGAATAACGTATATATTCTCCATTAGTCTTCTTTTATTGATCCATAATCAACATACCCAGGTTGTGCGAGAGATCAGTAGCATACCATAGCGTCCAGTAAAGAACCAAAGGTTGAGCCAAGGTATCAATGACAAAGAGGATCCAAAAGAGGGCGATGGCCCTCTTTCGCGTATGCAGGGAGTAAGGAAGCGGGTGGGGCTCTTGTGTACGTTGTGAGCGACTCCTTCTTCCATAAGTGCATCGATCGGTGTGGCGGGTTACAGTTGATGAGACGGCTATGATTCAAGTTCGCAAGAGAATCATAATCAAACTGTGTGGCAAATGTTCTAAGCTGCCTTACATAGTAAGAATATTCGCCTGCGAAGGTCAAGCGGGAAATGATAAATGGAATCGCCAGCAAGGTTATACAATATACGTGACGTCAACCATGACGTGGCCAAAATAGGTCATTAATATTCTATGCCCCTTGTTGTGTTTTTTTATTGAATGATTTTTTTCCCTCGATATCCAGGAGACGTAACATGAAGCCCAATGCTCCACGCCACGCGGACATGAAGAGGCTGCGCGTTGAGGGAGTCATTCGAGCACCCGTAGACAATCTAAACTAAACCCTTCATATGAGAATTATCAAACTCTCAGTTTACCATACTTATTTTAATATGTCCTTGATTAGAAATTCTAATCCTGAGGGTAGGTGTACCTCCAATCCTTCACAAGAACAGTAAGATAGCTGCCACCAGCTGGCTAGGGAAAAATGTATCAAGGGCATCGTGTTCAGACAGCCATAGACTGAGGATCTGGAGAATTCCAAAAAATCGTAATACTTTCATATGGTAAGCCGGAATTATTTTGTTTTTCAAGCAACTTTACTTCTGTGAGTAGATCCCATTATCAGTGTTTTATTAGTCCGGTCAAGCTGTTTGTCTGCATTTCCCATACTATCTCCTCGACTTGCTCAAGTCTCCGAACCTCGCAAGGCACAGGTATATCGTTTTCCCAAAAAATCAATCGGCGCCACTATGGTTCTTCAATGGACTTCCCGCTGCTTGCCTGGGTTCAGCATCGTCGGTTTACTATATTTGCTGCTTCTGAAATTTACTGAAATTCTAAGCATATCATGGTAGAGAATTACATTTCGTCGGCCGTCTGTCGCCTCTCAGAATAAGCTAAGAGACGCTCTGAGCCTATAGAACATGGACTTAGCTCTTCATGGGACCGATTGCTTTAAATGCTGGCTTTTCTATCCTTCAGAGTGTGCTGAAGATTATTATTAGTCGTGTGTATTACAAGGCCGAGTAAGTCCCGTTTCTTAACCCTGAAACTGGCTAAGACCTTATAATAGATAGAAGGGTAGAATCTATTTCTAAGTATATGCAGTAATTAGGTATTATATTCGTCGATTTAGCCACACGATCTGTTTAACCGGTATTTTATAATAAACGTAGATACTTTAACGCACAATTAGTATCATTACATCTGATATCTGGCATGAATTTATCTGATCTTGCTAGTGAGGTCTCCTAATATATCTTTTCAGAAGGGGGAGATATATAATTTCCACTATATAATGCCCGTTATTAATATGAGCTAGATGAAGCTTTTCCTATATACTCATCTAAGATTTATTCTAGTATGGGGAAGTGATCTGACTTATTATGGTAGAGGATAAATATTTCTTTAATACCCAGCCTAGATTCCATACTTCCCTAAACTAATACTATATAAGTAACTAGATATATGTTGGGTTCCCTTAGGGAGATAATACTATTAGCTAAATTATTATTTAGAGTTAAAGAAGTATATTATATGGTGTGATATTTTATATCTTATATCTAGTAGTAGATAGGACCCTTGATCAAGTTAGATACTTTATTTAATACATATATAGTAGAATACTTTAGTGGAATACTATGCTAGGCTTACTCGATATTAAGAACTTCCTCATCCTTACTTGAAGCAACTTGCGGCGGATGGTGAATGTTTAACATGGGGTCAATTGTCTCCCGGTCGATCTCACCGGGAGATACGTAAGTCATCTTGATTTGGAAAACGCGCAGGTGGCGGATCAACCCCACGTTATTCATAGCAGTTGAAGCCACTGGAGGCAAATTTCGGTCGGCGCATGTGGCAGCGCCAGGCATCTGCGTTTTGTTGCCGCGGAAAGGATCTCTCCTATTCCCCGCCTTCTTATTACTAGTGTCGTTTCTTCTAATGGCAGGGGAAGTGGATTCCGAAGCATTTTTGTGACCACTCAGAGGGCTCGTCATCGCGATAAACCTACCGTGTGCCTACCGTGGTAACGAAGACGAGCCTGATTAATCTACCTCAACGAAGAAGGGAAACATCCACTATTGGGTATCAGATGATTTAGGAAAATGTACAATTAGCTGAATTCGCGTGCTTGTCTTTTCTTTTTTTTTTCTGGTTTTTTTTTTGGCCACATAGGAGCGCGGGAAAGTGGAAGACTGGGCATCTCCAACTCAAGATGATCCCGATTCGTGAACAAAAGACTCGCGTGGTTGATAATGGCTTGACAGCACCCTAGCCGGCCGTAACAGCCTTCTTCAAAGTTGATTGATGTTTGTAGCCATCGTTTGGCAAAGCTTAAACGCCTTCCCTGTGACATACCCTGTAGGGTCGTCAAAAGCTAAGTGTGGAGGGTCGCGCAAGTCCAGCTACAACATCAGATTTCTCCCAGATTCTCTCAAACCCCCCTCTCCAGACCCCCCCTGGCCATATAATCGCGGTAGAAATGCCAAATAGAAAGACACGCCATGATGCCGTGGTAGGAACAGGTATGGCCGGACTGGTGACTGCGTCCCTGTTGCACCATGATCCAAAACAACGATTCCGAGTGCAGTTGGTGGACAAGGTCTGAAACCTGAACCCGAGTCTTTCATTGGTAGAGAGCTTTAACCGGGGTCTTATGTGAGCCCTCACTTTGAAGGACTGACTCTATTCTAGAACTCGCAACCCTGGCTAGCTGCTCAGTCCATCTCGCCTCCGGTCACATCAAAACTCGCGCACTGGGTGTATGTGCCCATGCACGCCTTCGCGAGCGGCTTTTCTCTTAATTTCGTCCGCATGTACGACTATCTCGATGTTACTTATCACCAACGGCTATTTTTGTTCAGTGCGCCTAGGTACTTTCTTACATTCGCTAACACTTATTAGGCCCTCGTATTTATATCAGACAAGTATGTCATGCTAAATCATCGAACTTCCTGTCATCTGCAGCCAGAGTGTCCTTGAAGCAGAGTGTTTTGCTGCTTTTTTCGTTGTTCCCTCCCCAAAAGACCCGAATTCTTTATAAATAGCCTCAGCACCCCATCTTGGCGGATCTAGGCTCAGTGAATTAAAATTATAACATGGCGAACAGAACTCGGCATCGCCCTTCTCTTTCAAAGCAACCGTATACATGTAGTCATGATGAGTCTGCTTTGTATCACGAGGGTTGTCTTTAAATGCCATTTTGCCAGGGCGCTTACGTTGAGACGCCTGAGGCAGTGGTTTGATTGCTTGAGGGCTTACGATATCAAGACACGCATGGCACCACTCGCCCGAAACCTTTTTTTTTTGACATCGATGACAGCCGTTGAAGAGGTGCCCACACCTCCGACAGTGACGACGCTTTTGAGATTTTCCCCTGACTTGCTTGGTTCGGATCTGTGGGCGTTGTTGTAATGGTTCAGCTTTCGATTTCATTTTCATGGGTTTGTCTTCGCGAGGCAACTCCACTGGCATAAGGGTACCTCTCATTTTGTCCAAGAGCGAGGAATGGCTTCCATCTTTGCTATATGGATATCTCATCGCGTCAACGACAAGAAGGTAGCCGCACTCACATAGACCGTTGGCTTCTTTTTCAAGGGTGGAGGTGCACACTTGACAGTAGTTAACATGAGTCTCAAAACTTTCAATTGCTAATTTTTTATCGTATTGCATATCGCGGAAATGCAGAGGCTCCTTGAGATCAACATGGGATGGCTCAGACAGAACGAGATTTTTATTGAAGTTTTTGTGTGTTGTTTCTCTTGTTTCCGGCATAGCTTCTGACTGCGGTTCTCCACGGGTGGCGTTTTCTTCCAATATTCCAGATGTGTAAGAGTTTGAAATTTGATTTGATCTAGGCTGTGGCAAAGCGAAAAGCGCAAGCTCTTCAAGATGATGCCCAAGGTGTTGTTCGAGCATCTTTCCGCAGTTCAGGGATAGGCGGCATAGAGGACAGTCTATCAAGATATCCAGATCGTCAGGTATTTCATGCTGAGCTTTTAGATGAGTGTACCATTCATGACGACTTCCAAAAAGCCGGTGAGGGGTTTTGCACTCGGCGAAAACACATATATACGGCATAAGGTCATCGAAGACATGCTGTTCCCATGACAGCCAGTCATCGACATTGTTGAGAATTAGAAAGCAATAAGGGCATTCAAAAGGATCGCCTTTCAGGGAATTTCCCGGAGGAGGTGGAACTATCATGCCTTTCCCGCCCTTCATTACTGTCTTGGCGTAAGAAATCTGTGAGAAAGTTGATTGAAGATCAATTGGTACATCCTCCGTGGCGATTTTCTCCGATAACATCCACAAATTGCTTTTTTCCATATCATTCACCTTGATGATCCGATTCAATCCCTGTGCAAGCTTGAGGTGGTGGCGTTCGCGGTATCGTAGAGTTGCCCGACGCTGTGATATCGCGAGACCAAGACGACATTGAATAGTAGCATCCAAGAGGGGAAACTTATTTCCCACATGCTGTCGGTCAAATGGTTCAAAAGAGGCCGCATCCGACCTCTTGATTCCAATTATTATATCATGATGTGCTGGTGACAGTATCGACATGGAATTAGTGAAGAGATTATTGATTGTGTCTCGCAGCGAATAGTATATTTTTTGAACCTCGGTTGAACCTTCATCGTCGTCGTCATCTGAGTCACTCGAATAGCCTTCTTGAAGGTAGGTCCCCCGTAAAAGAGATTCGAGATCTTGAACAGTTCTTTGAAGCCGACCGAGGACTCGCAATGTTTGGGCCTTCAGATGAGACGCGTCGCGCAATCGATAATCTAGTGATGCCTGGCCTGTCTGGTGCGCCCCAATATTCGCTGTCCAAACACGCAAGCGACCCAGCTCATCGGGCCACAATCCAGGAAGTACCTCTGACTGGAACTTCTCAAGCCCCCGCGAGGTAATGATATGATCAAGTTGTTGGAGACAAGCTTGTACGATAGATGCTATGGAGGTTGTCATTTTGCCGAAGGAGGGTTTTGAATCTAGGAATTTTGACAGGTCAAAAGTGGTGGAAGCGGAATGATAGAAGCCACTGTAATAAAAGTGACTTGTGTTCAAGCGGGGTACGCGGGGTTGCGAATGAAGTGCATCATATTTGAAATCCTTCACCTCTTTTCATCTCCTCTCGTTTAACAAAAGCATATAGTTCTTATAAGAGCTCGGACATTCTACTTGACGTATTTCGTATCTCTGAAATGTCAGGATTCGAGGCTGCCGGTCTTGCCCTTGCGATCTTACCGCTGTTAATCAACCAGCTGGACGGTTACGTTCAAGGCATAGAGACACTCGGTGACTTTCGAACAAAGCGGTACCGAGGAAAATTAGACTACTATGCCACAAATCTTGGATCTCAGCAGACAATTTTCATCAATACCTTGGAACGATCTCTGGAGAGTGTGATTGAATATGAAGATGGTGTTGACAGTTTGGGAGACGACGAGTTGAAGGCTCTTTGGGAAAAACCAAGCGTGCAATCTCTTCTGCAAAGAAAACTCGGAAGAAGCTATATGCCATTCCTAAGGAATATGAACCAGCTTTCATTCCTTCTGAAAGATCTGTCTCGAAGGCTGGGTTGGGACAAGAAACCAGTGGCGGTATGTCTGTTGTATCACATCTCTCTGAGCATTACCTAATCTACCATTTTTTGATATTTAGAAGGCATGGGAGGATTCAAGCACCTTTAACCGGGAAGTCAGGAAGTTTAAAGACATATTCTCCAAAAACATCTACGAGAGAATCTTCAAGGAAATAAACACCGCCAATGAACAACTCGCTAAGCTGATTGAACAATCTGAGTATCGGTGTGCGGTTAAAAAGCAACGAATATCAAAGCGACCCCTGCAGCGACTCAGACAAAATCGAAAACATGCAAAGAGCCTACACAATGCTATCATCAAGGGCAATTATTGGGCATGCTCTTGCCGTGATCAGCACACGATCTATTTCATCCTTGACAAATCTTCCTCTGAGACCAATACCAGTAGCAAAAGCTCACTCACTCCTCGGTTTAGAATGGTTGTTGGCTCCCCTCAGGCTGCCAAATATGCGGGGATCTTGGCCAACGCACACGAAATAGAGGCCGAGTCCGATGACTTCCCTTCAGAACCGAAGGTACCTGAAGACAAGCAGGCTACTGTTCAGCAAGTTACAGTCTATCCTGGAGACAGAAGTAAAAATGCAAAGGGTTCATTCGCCCTAAAAGACGATTGCGCGTCTGTCTTTTCTGAAAGATCACTCCCCCTGTCTTTAATTTCAGACATGTGCCTAACGTTATCCAAAATTGTGACCAAAGAAACCGAACTTACCAAAAAGGAATTTTTGGGCTGCGTCGCTGATGGTTGTCAATGGCACTATATGTACCATCTGCGGAAAATTGCTGAATGCGGCACGGCTCAATCGCTGACAGAACTTCTCCAATCATCTTCAACTGTTCTCCAAGCTCAGATGAATGGTTCCATTTTTTTCAGCCAGAAAGACCGTCTCAGCCTGGCCGTCAATCTCGCATACAGCGTTTTGGAGCTACACGGAAACTGGCTGAAACCCACCTGGCGGGCCCGCGATATAATTTTCATGCGAAACCTGACGAGCAGCATAGGTCACCCAACATTAGTTCTGAGTATTTCTAGCGCAAAGAAAACGTCAAAAATGTGTCACGAAGCAGCCACTTCAGGACTGATTAGAAACAAAGTTCTCTTTCCTCTCGGACTAGTTCTCATTGAGCTCTCCCTTTGCCAATCTCTCGAGTCACTCTGTATAGCAGAGGACTACGACGACAATGAGGCGGATGCAAATCTTAAGACAGCTTCTCGTCTGCTACAGTATGTTTACTCGCAGAGCGGTCCTATATATTGTGATGTCGTGGAACAATGCTTGTTTTGGCACTGGAAGACCGGCTATACGCTCGAAGATGAGAGAATTCAGGATGACGTATATCAAAAGATTGTATTTCCATTGGTCGAGAACCTAAGCAATTTTGTGGGTATCTCTCAAAGGCCTTGATATGACCGTGAAACAAACACGTAGCTCAATAGGATGATTGAGGGGCTTTTTGTGACCGATAATCTTTTGGATTCAGTCATTATATTCATTTTAAATCTAAGCCATATCTATTTACACAAGTGGCTGAATGTATAGAAAAATATTGAAGATAGGGACGCACAATAACTACACGCTCTGACGAAATGCGGGTCGGGTTGAATAGCTTAGGGAAAAACCAACCAATGCCCCCGAGGATCGACCTCGAAGGGTAGCGGACACCTTTTAGGGGTAAATGACAGATGTATAAGAGCGCATATCTCTGTAACTATCCCTAAGTTTTACTAATGTGAGCATTTGCTTATCGGATGATCATGGTCTGTAACAGTATGGTAATCAGTAATGGGCTTTGGCAGTGGATCCCGAGAAAAAAAAGGCGATCAGGAGGATAGAAGTCGTTTTCGCTATTGACTGTATTACTGCTGTAGCGGCCTCCCTGGGCGTTGACATCCTCTCCCATGTCCAATAGCAGCTTGATGAGATCTTGATGACCATTCGATGAGGAGGCCCGTAGAGCATTGCCATATTCGCCGCCCTGCGCGTTGACGTCTGCTTCCTTGTTGATAAGATTCTCGTGCAAATGCGAAAAGCCCATTCAAACATGCATATTAGAGCCTGTATCTTTGCGCAAGACCAGGTCCAACTTTTCCAAATCATATCTGCAGTGCCGCATACAGTCGAGTCCATCGTTAAAAAGTCTGTTGCTTTTCCGAAATCTTCACTGTCACTTGAACTGCATCTTCGGAAGCCTGAGCCAGTGCAGCATGGCCCATACAGATCTCTCCCGCATGTTCTGCCATCGGGAGCTTCCGCTTATTTTCTTGATCTTTACCATTTACACCTGTAAAATGAATTAAGCATGTCCTGGTGATGCAAATACTAGGAGTCGTGGAACTGAATCGATTCTCCTCGAAAAGGTACTCTTTGACCGAAAAGTGACCAAGGTTTCACTCTTTATCGGTGGCGTGAGCGAATGCCACCAAACCTGGACATTAACATAACATATATGCCATGCAAAATGATAGACGCTTGATATAAATCCCTCTCGACGCATTTGAGATCCGCGTCGCTATTTTTTTCTTAGCCTCGGCCAGCTTCAGTGGTCGCCTAACGTGCACTAGAAGATGAAGGAGGCGGATCGCATCATTTTCAACTCCTTCGGTATGCTTTTAATCATGCGATCATATGTGTCATGTAGATTGCGTGGTAAAGATGAAAATGCCTTCTCTATAGCTTCTTCATGACGATATCTAGCCAGGCTGTCCAATTGACAGAATACCCACCTAAACCTAACTAGTGCGTTATTATTCTATTAGCGGATTAATTAAAAGAAGAATGTCGCGTTTAAACGTGCCAAACCTACTGGGGGAACCTGGGCAAGGAGAAAGAGAGATACACGAGGCATTGCTTCACGAGCTAAGACAATTGAGGCCGTCCTGGACCGTGCAGAAGCATCACAACTGTTCCGGAGTCATGCGCCATGGGGGCCATTATTCAAAAGAACGGCTACAAGGCCATGGCATGCCCCAACGAGGCTTCAAGTTCGTTTAAAAAGTGGTTCACGACACGTGTACGTACATTGATATATATATAGTTGTGATAGGCTGCATATCACTTTCGATGTTGGATTCCAAAGCACAACCCACTAGGCTGGGTATGGATTCGTAATTTAGTCTACTTGGGAGATCAACTTTTGTAAGGACCAGCGTAAATGAAACCAATCATCCATTCAGACTGTAGATACAAAACTAATACTCAGCACCGGACACCGGCCCTCTCACCACATCCTTTTCATTCGCAAACATTAATCTCATACTTTCTCCTCCGCCTCCGGTCTCCACCTCCCCATATTTAACCTTTGTTCCACGTAATACCTGACAAATCTCGCATGCTGTCGCGTTTACCCCTACGTCCTTCAAAGGCCTTGCATCGAACGCCATCGCCATCTCCAGCGGGCCCAGCCCAGCCTTCCTCCCAAGCGCCACCCCCCCCCAGTATCCCAGCGCCACAGCAGCAATCGCCAGCACATTAAGCACCGTCGCCGCTGCAATTAAGCCGAAATCTGCTACGTATTGCGTCTCAGTGTACCGCCCCACGTATTCCACATTCTGTGTCGCGTTGCTTGTCACATTATCTTTGCCCACTTTCAGTGCCGTCCGGAACGCTATGTTGCGCAATTGGTTGATAATGTAGTCGGTTGGGTCCTCCCATGTGGCTTTATCATTTCCAGCGTCGCCAGTCATGAGCTGGTTAGCAAGGTAGCCGGAGAGGGAATACGAGGATACGGCGCCGCCGAAGTTCCAGGTGGCACTAGAGGTGAAGAGGTAGGAAGCGGCGTATTGAAAGCCGCCGATAGCGCTGTTACCACCAAAATCGTCAGGGCCTAGCATCTCGCTAAAATTGGTGAGATTAGTATTAAACATTGTTTTAGGAGGCAGATGCCGTGGGGTAGAAGAAAGCGACCTTACACAGCGTAAAGAAATGCATCGTTACTCCAATCATCCCATTTCAGACTCACAGTGCCCTTTTCCAGAATCATGTCATATTCAACGACCCCTCCGGTCAGCGTGCATGCCTTTTGAACCAGGGTAGTATTAATTAATGTATACGAGCTGTTTACATTATCTGTGACCTGCTCATAGTCTTCGGGTAAAAATGTGACGTTGAGAATCAGTACCTGGGGGAACTGATTTCCTTGGTTCTCTTCATCGTTCGGCAATGAGGAAAGATCGACTGAGGTCTCAAAGTAGGTCGCTTGATAGCCGAGATTCTCATCGAATGAGGCGGTTACATTCGTGGTGTTGCAGTAGACGCCAAATCCAAATCCCTTCAACACAATCACAAAGTGAGCCCTCTCAAGTCACTGATAATAGGTCACAATTTGGGCGATGAAAGCCTGAGGAATAGGGGATGTACCTGAATGGTAGCGGTGCAAGAGTCCCCACACGAAGCATGTGCCATTGTCATAGTAGAATCATTAGAGTATGTCTGCATGATAGCTGTGAAATTAGGAGCCAGATATGCGATTTCATTGACGCCGGACCGCGTGAGTACGGATACGCCACCATAAGAGTCTTACAGTGAGCAACTCAGAGTCAGTATATAGTGTCAAGTAAGTGTAAAGTACAAGATGTTCAAGTTGGTGACTGAGACTTCTCAGAATCTTTTCAATTCTGGCAGATTCAATCGACCACACATGTTTGGACTTTGGAAGCCTCTCTCCCAAAAGGAATTACTCTAGCCTCAATTCCTTGAAGACTTTTTGAAGAAGAAGATAGGAGCACGAAAACGCACTTACCCGGAATATAGGTTGCGAGGTCAAGCGTCATGTTGCCTGTCGGATTTACAGGAAATCCGGATACCGGTGTGAGGGAACGTTGCAAGAGAGGTGAGCGAACAATAGAGAGCGTGGTCAGGATACATGCTATATTTTCTATTGGTTCACTTTTTCTCTCAAGAAAACGCAAAAGCTGACCTAATGAATTAATCTTGTTTTTTCCACTCAGCCCGTTAAATAGAGCTCCTTGGAATGAGCTTCCAGAAGACCAATTCCAGTGCAAATCCGGGACCTTTGCACACCTCACTTATAAGCATATATAGATACAATCTGAAGATATCCTTTCCGTAAGGACCAGGCCCCTCCGACTCACAGTACAACCCCTCAAGGCATTTACCCAGAATGAAATGATCAATCCTTGCGTAAACGCATAACCCAAGAATATGTTCGATATCGCCGACACAACTGAGAGCTGTACTGGCGGCGAGACCATGAGACTGTCGATACTTTTATGGTTGCTACGGATAGCAATTGCAACAGCCCCCGCCGTACCTAAGTCATGAAATTAATACCACAACACTGAGTGAGTTCGAGCTTGGAATCCGTAAAATCTTACATGCCATGGTTAATAACAAGGCGAGGATCCTCAAAACTAGAAGCTGATTTAGAAATCCGCGTTTCCAGGGACTGGAATACCGATCGCGTCTTGTAAGAGACATCAAACTATCGCTTTCAGCCATATCTGACAAAGGAATCATATTCGAAGAAGAGTATTAGGTTGATTTTTCTAGCTGCTCGCTGGTTTAGGTTCGCGCAAAATGTAAAACTCGAGATAAAGATTATGAGGAAGATGAGAAGTAAGAAGAGCCTGCCGGTGAGGTAGGCAAATAATGGATTATCATTCCAGGTTTCTTTCTTTAAGTGTTAAGAGGCGACCACTAATTGTAACCGGCCCCACGGAATTTTTCAACAAAAATACTCGACCCTACGGAGGGTCCGACACATCAATAATTACAGTGGACCCGTGACACATAACTGTCTCGCGTGTAAACACTAAAACGGGACAGCTAGAATGACTTGGACACAGGGATCCAATACATAAATAGTACAGAGTAGGTCTCCGGACACGAACCACCTCCGGGCCAATAAATTGTCCACCTTACATAAGTAGGTTGGTGGGAAAACATGCATCTGCGCCTAATGTTGGCCAATCCTGGAGTTGGTATCGTACCAGTCGTTCAGCTGAGCTGTCCGTGCGGTGACAATGGAAATCTGAGGTCAAATTTGTATAGGTCACGAGAGAAAACTTTCCACATATGTTCAACCACCTCAGCTTAGCCTTGGGGATGCTGACAGGATGAGGTCTAATAGACCAATCTGATATCTGCAATATGTAATAAAATGGTCATCTTGTGTGTCAGTCTATATGCCGCTCGCTAGATAGGGAACTACGTATCCATTGGACGGTTATAGCAGGTGGTATAGTGTGCTATCAAGTATTCCTTATTCTCACAGACTGCAAGGCTGAGCCAAAAAGAGGGGTAAGATGATTATGTAGAATACTTATCTGTTGGATTTCACCTCCTATATACTTGCGCACAGCACGACCAAAAGATTCTATCCTAGAATATTCTTTACCAAACTAGAATAATCCACTCAATACCTCGGAGTATTTCAGCGAACTGATTGATACGTCAGAAAAATTTAACCAAATTCTCGCCACAATGGCCGAAGCGGTAGTTATAGCTGCTGCGCCGCTCCCGTATCCCGATGATATTCGGGGAAAGAATACCAATTAAGTAACTATACTCCGCAAACTATATTCAATTGTGCCTCTTGGTTGAACTCCCGATCACGAATTTCGCATCGTCAACAAGCATCCTCGAAGAGAATCGCAAGAGATCTTGCAGATCAGCCCGGGATGACGAGAGCATATATTTCCATCCAAATTTGGATTTTTATTTCTTCATAGTCTTGAGTCATAATGATATGTTTTTTTGTCGAACAGACTTCGCCGCCATTACTCATAATGGGCGGGAAACTACTAAATGGCCTTGGAAATGGGGAAACATGGAAGAACAAAAGAGCTATAAAACCCTGTAGGTCTTTATCTAGAGGATACTATAACAACCAACGCGGTGGAATCGTCTCTGAATTCTTCGGAATTCGGCGTTTTGGTGCTCAGTATGCTGTGGAGCAAGTCCCTCCGTAGCCCCACCAAATGTGTTCCTCACCAAGTGAGTTGCTAGAGTAAGGTCAAGTAAGATAATGGGAATAACGACAATTGGTAGTCGAATTCATCAAGAGTCATTCTTAAGCAAGGATCAATAGGACCCTCCTTGGGTTCTTTCTCATGTTGAATCGATACTGATTCATGCTTAGAAATCCAAGCACCCAGGAACGCTCCGTAACAGAACGATACTCACTATGACCATCTAACGTTGCGTAACACCTAAAAGATAGACAAAAATACTCTGAATTTCTATTCTACAGCAACGATGAGAATGATTGGCTAAATGATAAGCTCTTCTCCGCCCGAGCATCTCATTAGATGAGTGCTACTCCTTTCTCCACTTTTTAGTAACAAAGCAATCTCACTCTTGCACTGCCCCGCGGCTCGTGCTCGGCATCTCCCCCCACTTGTACAACATCTCCCTCTCTTCGTCATCCTTCAAATCTGAGTCGCAATTTCCGTCCATTATATCGATCGTTAAACGCAATGTCTGGGATTGAAGTGGTCGGGGTTATTGCCAGCATTGTTCAACTCGCAGAGGTTGGGATCAAACTCTCGGTCAAGCTTTGTTCTTTTTACCGTCAGATCAAAGATGTGGATCATTCAGCACAACGCCTTGCAAGTGATATCTCACTGACTTGCAGTATCTTACATCAGTTAGGCAATATCTTGGAACAGGACAGGCGGACAAAACTTTGCTCTCAGCAGGCGTTTCTGACAACTCAGGAAGTCTTGGAGGAATGTGAGAAAATCTTCAAGCAAATAGACGAAGCAATTCGGAGGAAAGATCCGAGCTCAGCTAAAAGCAAATTGGAACGTGGCACACGGAGGCTTACCATCTTGATACTTGGTCCCGATCTCGAGTTGTTGAAGTCCCACCTGGACAAGTTAAAATTGACCATGTTGCTAATGCTGAATGTGATCATGTATGCAAGAGAAATCAACCGGTATGTCCCATCTCGAGTATTTCTGGGGATCCAAATTGTTAATTTCCATTGAGTAGCACATCCGATAATTTCTCACTTGAATGTCAACGCCAGTTGATTGAAACGCTTCTCGGGGAGAAAGCCGAAATTGAAGCCAAATTGAAGAGGCTCACCAATTTGGCCAATGCCCGGTCAGACTGTGATGGCCAGGATGCAATGTCGTCTTCAGCATTGGTTGCGCAATCTAACATAACACTACCGCAGCAACCTTCAACCCGGAATGAAATTGACAAGTATTATGACCTTGTCAAAAGTCTTTTAATCGATATCGACGCCTGTCGAGGAAATTTTCAGCAGGATCGCCACTTGAGGATTAGAGACGGAGTTGTGAATATTCATGAGGCCGAAATTGCTATATTTCAACAATCCCATGGAGAGGCAGCGTTGCAGGCTTTCGATTGCCCCTTCTTTAGGATTAGCAACCGAGACTTGGACAACTCTTTTACCTCAAAGCTGAACTCCAAGCAGACGCATCAGCGCCATGCTTTGACTGCACGTCGTCGACACCCTGCGAGTGAGATATTCATAGAGGGCTATGATATGGACTCCTACGAAGCCTACGCGTACACTACCCCTCGCGAGCAGTTTGACAGAGACTACCCTGTTCAGTCATACCGTCATGCCACGAGGGGCTCGTTGGATAGACATATGATTGTAATGGACAAGGATTCCCATATGCCGCTTAAAGAAAGCGGCATTAGAGCTCGATCACTCAAATACAACATCAGCCATCGGAATACTATCAGTAACGAAGCTTCAGCTGATGGCGATGATGAAAAAGATGATAAGAATGAGGATGAACCGATGGAGGATGACCCAAAAGTCCTAAAAAGGAAAGCACATGATGTCAGCCCTTCAAAACGGATGGCCACCTCATGCGAAGAGAATCCCGGGAAGAAAATTGCGTGGGGTACTTTAGAGGACCTGGTACTATCCTGGACGATACTTTCACGAGATGTGATTCAGTCATAGAGACACTGGAAGGAAAACGAGGCAGATGCCGTTAAGATTTTCAGGTCAGTCCAAGTTGAGCACTGCATAGCTTCCAACAGGGGCGGCTGGGACGGTATATGGATTAATCAATCAATCAATCATTTCGAGAGGCCTCGGAAACTGTTGCTCCTACAGCCTCAAGTTCGGCTCCTGGGACCGACAAATAAACGCCGCGGAAGCAAAGAAACATTGACCATATGAGAACAATCGTGATGCGGCCTAGTCGCCCTTGATATCCCAATGTTGTTCTATAATTTTAACTTCTACGGTGATTTGCCTAAAGCTTGAATATCATTCTGAGAACCTCTATTGTCTGTATCTTCAAGTATGGAGGTCCCTATATTAGCTATTAATTTGTTAGCTTAAAGTCCTTTTATGTCGAGTCACATACATATTTCATCGCACCGCCGACCGATAAAAGAATATTCTTAGAACTCAAGTTGCCGTGGGCGATCTTGAGCTCGTCGTGGATATGAATGACTGAAGGGGACTATGGGCTTTAAGGAGACATCGTACTTTATGGGATATGTATTTGTAGATTAGTGATATCTGCTTTTCAGGCTTAGCCGCTGGGCGTTGAAGGGTTGTGTGTGGGTGTATGTACTTGTACCAGATAAAACCATCAATCAATAGAGCCCCGTATCACGTGCATTTGCTATTAGTTTGCGAACCCCCAGATCGACCCCAGAAATCTTTCCATCCGTCGTTCTATGCCTGATTAATTAGCTTTTGCTGCACCTCCGATATCAATGATCTGATCGCCGGGAAATGACCCAAGCGGGAAGGACCGCGGGATCGAAGGCCACTGCGGGGCCCACTCCATCAGGACGGCTTCAACCAATGAAATCAATATGGGACAGTTTGCTGCCCCTTTAGGTTTCGGGACCATCTCAAGACTGATCTAGACCTAGAATGATTTGACCATGAGAGATGGAGGACGAAGAGTCAGCTCATATGACGCGTGGCCTTCAATGCTGTCTGTGCTCTTCAGTAGTCCATACTTTGACTAATTTCCCCTCAAGAGGATTCTCCCATGAGCCGGATCCTCTCGAGAGCAGGGTCCTGTTGTAGGGCTTAGAAGTGCCCGCGTCTTTTGGGACGATCTATCGAGGAAAATGGGCGAATTTATTGATACTTACACTAATAGGAGATCTTGCGGATATTGGGTAGTCGGCTTAAATGCTGAAATGCCCATGATTCTAGCCTTCCGAGCCGAAGGTTTTCGTTAAATCTTGCGGGCTGCCACCCATATCTAGATATGTACATTTGTACGACCGAAAACTGGCAACCAGCTATTCCTTTACCGGGCTGAGCCAGCCAGGCCATATGGTTCGTCCTCCTGAAGCAAATGTGAATAATTAAAATTCCACATCGTGTCAATGGAGCATAAAAGAATCAAGATAGATAGATAGTCCTGTCGAAAGATGTATGTCTGCACTGGTAAATAAGGTCTCCAATTTATGATCAATCATAAAATCAATCGAAAATGATGATAGCCGTATGGGTAAAGATTATTCAAATTTTCTTTACATCATAGGACCCTTCCACTTCCTTCGGTGCATAAGTCTTGAAATCTATTCGTCCGGTAGCCCGAGCTCGTCCCCCCATGGAATGCCACTCGTCGCACCAAAATGCCCGACACTTATACCAGCAGCCTTGCTCGCCCAAGCGACAGCTCTGAACATGTTGAAAGAACGGTGATCGCGCTGCCGAATGACCTCCACTGCATATGCGCCAGTGAAAGTATCCCCACACCCCGTCGTGTCGACCACGCCTTCCTTACCAGGCTCGGCATCAAACGTAGTGCACTGCCTTTTGCCGCCAGTGGTTTGCGTCCCTGCAACGCCCCCATCCGCCCCCAAAGTTATGACCACATTTTTGGCCCCCCGGATCAGTAGCGATTCGCAAACGGACAAGTAATGCACCTTGAGGGTTGCCTTGTCGACAGTATTCGCACTGGCCATTTGTTGCTGTTCAAATTTAGATCCTTGGTTCAAGTCCTCGGCTTCCACTCGATTCACAAGAAGATGGTCAATGAATTTGAATATTTTGGTTGGAATGTGTGGAACAACCGGTGCCGCATTCAAAATCACCGTAACTCCTTGATTTTTTGCCTTTTCAATCAGATACAGAACGGTCTCGACAGGAATTTCACATTGAAGCAGTAGCAAGCCCGGTAAGGAGAGACTCATAACATTCTCAATGCAAGCAGCTTTCAGCTTGTAGTTGGCACCTTTCAACAGAACGATAGTATTTTCACCCGCATTGTCGACATATATGTTTGCCTTCCCCGTGTCAATCTCCGGATCCGTGATGATTCGCGATGTGTCAATGCCAACCGCCTCCATAGCAGATATCAACTCCGTCCCAACAGCATCTTTGCCTATACAGCCGACCATCTCGACTTCCACCGGTTCTGTGGACGGATAAGGCACCACTTTCCCCTCGACTCGGTATTGCGAGACAATGGCGGCCGCCATGGCCTGGTTCCGACCTTTCCCACCTGGATACATGTGAAAGCTAGTGGAAGTTGTCGTTTCACCTGGTTGAGGTAATTTGGGGACGCTCCAGCAGTAATCCATATTCAGAGAGCCGACTACGAGGATCTTGGGTGTTCTTGGTCGCTTGGCGGTACTGGCCGTGCTTCTGCTGAGTGGTGAGGACGGATGTTCCATAGTGAGGGGTGATGCGTGTAGCGTGTGGCTAACAGCCTTTGAGGGATTCCTGGGGAAGCTCTTGAGTCAGTATTTGATGAGAGAGGGTAGATGGGAAACGAGTTAGACTGGAACGATACGAATTACCAAAGATTTATTAATATGAAAGTGTTTGGAAACCAAGCAAGAAGGCGGCTGAACTTGAAGTCGGAAGACAAACCCGACGAAGAAAATGACCAAACTTGAATGCGCGTGATGATTACAGATGGTGGTACGTGTCAGCAACGTATATGATGGTTTTATTCAGTGGATATTCTTGGCAGCATCTAGCAGTAGCGATTGCTTGGGAACTCCTTAATATCCAGTATATTATGCACAGATGCAACACAAACCAGGGGATCGTTATCTGTCTAGTGCGGGGATCTATTAACATGTGATGGAGATGGAGGCTGAGCAATTTCCGATTCTGTAAAGATGCATCATCAGCTTCAAGGATCTTGCAAGCACAGATGCCGCTTCGTATTCAAGAAGATGGATATTAACCGGGCTTCCATGGGCGAGTTGACCCACCAATGGACAAGAGACACGTCTTGAGAAATAAAATACAGCGGGACCAAAGGAAGCCACTATAGAAAGCATGCTGCCTTGGAACGAAGGCCCAGGAAAGTGACACTAGTCGGCCATATACAGAGGCCTTCCCATATCGGATGTGTTCAGATTCGCACCAGGTGTTGCTGTTTTGACCGGAAATCTCTTCATTTGATACAAATTACTTGATATTAACCTCGACATGTCACAGCGGAGTCAGCAACTAGCTACTTTCGAGGAAGTGAAGTCGCCAACCGAACTCACATTGCCATTATCCAGCATCGCACAGTATGAACGGGTTTACGCTCTTTTGATTTGTTGGAAAGGCGATCTCAATCAATCGGTGGAATTTCAGAGACTAGCTACGTCACTCACTGAAAATCTCAGAGCGATCGTAGAGCAATTTGAAATTCCCACGGACGACTCCGCCAGAGCCTCGGTCGACTCCTCCGTACCAGCAATCAGGGTAACAACCTGGCCATGATATTCTATGGTGGCGATGCCAATTTGGACAGGGATCGAACATACAAACTATCGTTGTGAGTGTCGTTGCGAAGGCTGTCAGGTACCTGACTGATATGCATGCAGTACCAACTCCGGAGAAAACACCTATACCGTAGATTGGAATGTCCTTCAGAACGACTTGGAGATTGCCGCTACAGATGTACTCATCCTCATGGACTGTATCTACTTGGGTCGTACCCAAGGTCAATGCAATTTGGGCGCAACGAAGATCCTAGCTGCCTCCACCACAAAACCCCCTACAGTCGAGACGGAAATTACAACTTTCGCCGAGGCCCTGTTACAAGGTCTGGAACATTTCCGCGGAAAATGTTTTGGCATCAGTCAGCTACGAGAATACATGATTTCATTGCCAAATATGGGGGATCAGCCGGAACACATCGTGCTAGGGGGTGGAGATACTCCCAGAATTACCCTCTTCTCTCCGCCAGATGTGGAGCCCCAGTCCGATGCACGAGAAAGCAAAGTGGCAATTGAGCTTTCTCTTTCAAGTTCAGGATACGAACAGCAGCACTCGATCGATAATTGGGTGAAGACATCCATTTCCCCTCATGCACAGCAAATGACTCTGGCTCATCCGACGAAGAATCGACTTGAGTATAGCTTCTCCCTGCCTCGAAACGAGGTAACCGACTCCAAACATTGGAAGAAGGTCGGCTCAGGTGTTCCAGACAGTGTAATCGATGTGGTCGCCCGAGTAATGCCTAGCCTAGTTAAGCCAAGGGAGACCGCACAGCCGCCAACCACCACAATCCAAGACTTGGTCGACTCCTTGAATATGAACCAGGGTATCCGAGAAGGGTTTCCAACCCGGAATGGCCAGTACGACTCTGTCACTGTTCTTCCCATCATGTGGAAGAATTCAGATTATAAAGAGGAGCTCCGGGAAGAATTAGCTGCGTTGATGAATTGTTTCCAGGAGCAGTTTAGTTTCGATGTCGAGGATATCTACGAAATAGCGGGTGAATCTAAGGCACACCGTATTCTACGATCGAAAATTGAATACTTCTCCCGCGAGCATGATAAACCCCGGGAGCTTGTGATCGTCGTGTATGCAGGGCATGGAGAAAACACGCGCGATGAGTGGGCGAGGCAGGAAAAGACCTATGGCCAGAGCATTTGGGCCGAGTAAGGAGTTTCCCTAAATTTGATGGCCATCGGACTGATTATGTTCAAGGTCCGCATCTCCGAAGAATACCAACAGGGTAAACTGGTCAGCCATTCAGCCCTTTCTGGTGGATGCTGAATGTGACGTCGCAATCATTCTCAACTGCTGCTATGCGGGTAATGCGGCGCCGCTGGGCATGAATGAGGGTGTAAATGAGATTTTGGCAGCCTGTGGGCGAAGGGAGGAGACCTATACCGGCCGTCAATTGTTTCTGCGCGCGCTCCGGGAGGTTCTTGAAAGCTATGAAGGCCGGTCAATCGCACTTAATCAGGTGCATCGAGAGCTGCTCCGGGCTTCCGGGAAAGATAAAGTCGGAAGTGACCCTTTTCATGACTTCATCGACGCCGAGGAATCAACCCAGAGTATCGAGCTGCGTCCCATTGATAGATATGACAGCATCTCAGACCATCTGACCCTCAACCAACTAGCGGGGCCTTCTAAAGCCAGCCTCTTCTGTGAGATCATTCTCAATCGGCCAGAGAAGATCTACCCCAATGATTGGATCAGATTTTGGAAGAATCAGCGTTTCCCCAACCATGTAGAAAAGATCCACTTCCACACACTGAACGGACTTTCGAAAACTGGGTTTGCACAGACATGAAAAGCTGAAATCCCTCCATATGAATATCATATGAATAGGGACCATCTAAATTGAAACTAGTTCGGCCTTTTATTGAACAGTACTGTTCGGCAATTTTTCCTTGTTATTTGCGTGCCGATGGCGCATCTAGCTGAGCACAACTCATTTAGATCCCTCTCTTTTATAAGTATTCTGAAGAACATACTGTCCCTTAGCGCTGCACATTGCATACCTATACACCTATATGATTCGAGGGGTTAAAATATTCCGTAAGCGTGTCAGGGGGTAACTGGGCTTCAGTTAAGATGCTCATAATCGAGTATAAAAAGCCTGATCATACTGTAGTGTCAGATTGAAACAAGATAGCTTCAACTAAATTATTATTCATGCTCAATACCTTGCTTCTTTGGCGTTACTCAGGGATATAGGGCTACTTTTCTAGATCTCCTACTAGTATCAAAGTGGTGAGGTTAGAGAAAACACAGTGAAAGAAAAATACACAGTCAAATAATATCGTAGTATAGGGATCTAAAATGAAAAAGGCAAGGTAAATGTCATATTCGCACTCTATGAATATGAATAAATGAAATTTAATTCGCGCGAATAAACGCATTCTTGGTATTGAATATCACAGAGGTCAAAGCTTATACTTATTACGGACCTATACGTCAGCAACACACTAGGCAGGGATTATAGAGAAAGATAAATCGACTTAGATCAGCTATAGTAACAGTAGTAATATATTTTAACATATTCAGTTAACCTAGGATCTGTATTTGTATCAGCGCCCGTCCTATAGAGCATAGGACTGCAGCATATCATGTATAGGACCTAGGCCTATAGGTAAATAGACCTCATTAAAACCTTTTGAAGGGCCGGAACCTCTAGCCCTCAGCCCAACCCGCAGCGGTTGAAGGGTTACTATTGTTGGTGTCCCTGGTGTCGGCTCACGTAAACGGACGTATTTTATCGACCAATGGGGTCCGTACTCGATCGTGTAATTGTCTGAATTATTACCCGCCCTCGAACCACAGTTCTTATGTGCGGATCCTGACTAAGGCTAGCATGACAAAGCAGATTACCTAATTTTATGATTCTCCATAGTTAGCGACACCTGGGTCATATCATGTGACCTGAGCAGCGCTGGCATCCCGTTTAGGACTAGCTTAGTTTTGGGTCTGGGGGCTGTTGTTGCATGTGTATCTCAGTTGTATTGTTGTGGAGTTCTGTGGGTCACGACCCAATACTATAGATACAGGTCTAACCCTAATGCATGAGTAGTGCGTATCAGGGTGACAGGACAATACCATAAATACAGGTGATCCAACAGGGGCAAATCCTCCAGATCTTCTGCTCCTTCTCTCTTTTCTCCCCCCATACCCAATATCACATACGTTTTGTGTGAAGCTGTCAGCCTACATATTGTAGTCATCTTCCATCTTCACCGCTTGGGGCCTATTGGCGCCAAGAAGTATGACTAACCCTCGCCCGACCCTTAACCAGCAGAGGGCCGCCCGCGGGCGGCCCTCATTCACTCGCATTTGTACAAGATAAGTCGACCTTTTCTAGTTTGGACGTATAATCTGGCTAAATTATCTTAATGAATTAATATCATTTAACTCTATTCCAGTTTTTATCTTAAAATTCTATTTCGACTTCCTGTTATATATATTCAGCTTCGATGCACAATGTCCCAGAAGTTCCGGCTCCATACCTCTAAAATTGTTAGATTGACCAATCACTATCTGTGACAAACACTCTAGCCAGTCATTGTGAGAAAAGGATAAGGCACCAAGACCCGGGAAAAGGAAAGGAGGGAGAGAAGCGTTCTTCCGATCACCTATCTACTCATTGTACGGTCAAACTCATACTCTCACACGAACTAGCATTTTACCATGAACCAATGCCGTGGAAGGTTGTATAGAGGAAATCTGCTTTTATGGCGAACTTGAAGGAATTGGATATCTAGATAAACTATTTGATGTCAGTGAATAGAATTATATGAGTAGATCCCCCTGAGGTCTCAAGTATACATTCAGTGTTCTCACGTCTTACCGTTCTGTGCACGTCATTCCTCATTTGAATAACCCCCTTAGACGCTGACTGACATAATCATTTAACAACCTCTGCGAGAAGCTGAAATGCTCAATAATATGATCACCAGAGGTATGTGGCCTATTCTGGACTCTTCTTTGAGAGCAAGGTTAGTCAGTTGATAGTATATCTTATTTCACTTGCCGAAGTGGCGGTACAGCCGCAGTCTTCTGATCCCATCGTATAGAATTCGCCACGATAAACATGACCATGCTAAAGATGTACTTTATGTTGAACAAATTAGTAAATTTAAATACTAGTTGATAATCTCAATGCGAGGATCTGTTTCTGCTGCCCAAAATTTGTTACCATCGGAGAGCATGCACCTCTTATTAAAGACCATTCTCAAACTTGAAGACCCGACCACCTATGATAAGCTGGGACTAATCAATCTTGAATAAGATTTCGCTCGGTACCAAGAAAAGGCGATGCGCGTGATGTAGTTTGTGCGATCTAGACTTTTCCGGGGATCTTTCACATCCAGCTAAGGAATCACGGACCCTGGGCCGTGAGTCTACTGACGTCATCCACTAAAATCAAAAACGAATCAATTCTCTTCGGAGTTCGATTTGTCAGGCACTTCAAAGGTGGGTGGTGTCAGTAAAGATCAGATCGGGATAAAAAGAAAGTAAGAGAAGAACTAGCCACGTATCGAGCTCCAGGCGATCATTCGCGTCCATCACTTTCGCAAATCTTCAACTTCGCTTTTCTTACTGACATCCTACGTGCTACACTCCTGTTAATCATGGCTGCTGTAGCGCTGAATAATGCTGGAAGGTCATCCGAGCTAATGAATGCCCATCGCTCGGATGATTGGCCAAGTGACAGTACTAAGGGATCACCAGACGACCACGATGAAGTGAAATTTTTGCAAGATGGGCTGAGCACTGGCGCTCGTATTCTAAGTAAATAATGTCCCAGCGATTTTCACAAACTGACCTTGCTCTAACATCGATGGCATTTTATCATAGGTGACGGCCGGGTAGAAATCCATGTCAAGCAGCATAAACCACATCTCACAGGGATCTTGGATCATATGCAACGCAGGGACAGTATGTTTTCTGACGGGGTGCCCGATCACGGCCGCGTGAGCTCACGCGTCAGTGCACAATGGTCTTTGTCGAAGAATGTGCATTTTCCGCTGCACTTGAACATCGTCATCCAAGTGATTGGTTCCCAAGGCGACATCCAACCATTTGTTGCACTAGGAAAGGAGCTCAAAGCACAAGGCCATCGAATCAGACTGGCAACTCATTTAGCTTTCCGGCAATTTGTTCTCGACAGCGGCCTAGAGTTTTTCAACATTGGAGGAGACCCAGAGCAGCTGATGGCTTTTATGGTAAAAAACCCGGGCCTGCTACCGGGGTTCAAGGCAATACGCAGCGGAGATATCCAAAAGCGCCGGCGTGAGATGAAGGAAATCTTTACTGGATGTTGGAAATCCTGCTTTATAAAGGGTGATGGGACTGAACTCCACCAAATCAAGGAAGACCTATGGAGTGAGGCTGTGGATTACCGACAACGACCGTTCGTAGCAGATGCTATTATAGCCAACCCGCCTAGCCTAGCTCATATTCACTGCGCCCAGCGACTAGGTATCCCTCTTCATATCATATTTACGTGAGTCGACCTTACTATATACAACAAACTCCAATTCCCTTTCATATACTAATTATCTTGCAAATAACAGGATGCCCTGGTCACCAACTCAGTCTTTTCCCCACCCACTAGCGAATCTCCATCCCCAAGGCTGCAAGCCGACCGTCGCAAATTTCATGTCATATAGCGTTATGGATATGATGGTATGGGAGGGACTGGGTGATATTCTGAATACGCTTCGCAAAAATGCCTTAGCTTTGCAACCTCTCGATACAGTGACCGCCCGGGGCATTCTACAACGACTACATGTACCACATACGTATCTATGGTAAGATAAATTTTGATACTTGGCAAGGCTATTCTAACTTTCGATACAGGTCTCCTTCATTACTGCCAAAGCCCCCTGACTGGCCTGACAACATCGATGTATGCGGCTTCAGCTTCCTCCCGTCTCAGACTGACTACGTACCACCGAGCGAAATAACTACATTTTTGAACGCCGGACAAAAGCCGATATATATCGGTTTTGGCTCCATTGTAGTTTCCAATCCTCTCAAATTGACGAATATCATATTTGAAGCAGTCCGAAAGACTGGACAGCGGGCTCTCGTCTCAAAGGGCTGGGGAAATCTGGGAGCAGATGAAGTGCCAGACAATATTCTTATGATTGGAAGCTGCCCTCACGATTGGCTATTTCGGCAGGTTTCATGTGTGATCCATCATGGTGGTGCTGGCACTACAGCGGCAGGTCTCGCGCTAGGTGTGCCGACGATAATTGTCCCCTTTTTTGGGGACCAGCAATTCTGGGGAAATATTGTTGCGCGGGCGGGAGCGGGGCCAACACCGATACCATATAAGCGTTTGAACGTGGAGAGTCTCTCCAAAGCAATCCAGAATGCGCTTGAGCCAAGTACCCTAGACAGAGCGCAGTCTATTGCGAGGAAAATGCAGGAAGAGTCTGGAGTGCGCCATGGGGTGAACAGCTTTTACCGACATCTTGACCCTGAAACTCTCAGATGCTCTATACTCCCAGATCGGCCGGCAGCTTGGCATCTCAAACATACGAAGATTAACTTTAGTGCCTTTGCAGCCACGGTTTTAGTAAAATCTGGGAAGGTCAGTCCAGACACGCTCGTGCTGTAAGTCGTCTCCAACAAGTGACCGAAAATGCGAGAGTCCCTCAGCTGATTTGCTTCTAGTCACCGTGCAACCGAATATGATACATTCCTTAACCCTACCGACCCGATTACCGCTAGTGCTCAAGTGCTTTTTGGAGCTATTACCGGCTTTGTGACGGGGCTTATAGATGCACCACGAGAGATGCTGAGTGATTTCTCTTCTGCTGCTCACGCAATACGCCATCCTCGCGAACGTTTTGATCGCCGCACAGCATGTCAGGCAGCACTGTCTACTCCAGAACGTCTATCCCCAGTGAATACTACCGGAACCGAGGAAACAAGAATTGAAAATGAGGATGGGCAATTGCAGATTGACAATGGCGGTCAAGAGCGTAGAGAAATCCGAGAAGATGATAGTACACAGGAGGATTCTGCTGCTGAGGGCAACGAAGTCGAAGCCCACGACACCGAGATCTCTCGGGTTCGGACTACAGAGCGCACTAGGAATCTCCAGCTCGAAAAGGCCAAAACAATGAGCAGCTCGATGACGCCCTCAGAACCACCCAAGTATTCTGCTTTAAATGAAGCTGCATTCCAGGGGAAAAAAGCGTCGAAGAAGATGCTGAAGCTAGTCATATGGCTCCCAACAAATTTGTCACTGAGTATGGCCAGAGGTTTCCACAATGCACCCAGATTATATAATGATACGACTGTAAACGACGTTCCCCAGGTGATGGGTCTTCGAAGCGGATTCAGGGCAGCGGGAAAGGTAGTAACATCCATTCCAGTGTCAGTCTAGGAATAAAGTTCTGACATCTACACAGGAGCTCAAAGATGGATTTTACTTCGGTATTAAGGGACTAGGAACGCATCCGCGTGATGGCTTGAAGCACGATGGTACCAAGGGACTCTTTAAGGGCGTCGGGAAAGCAATGGGCGGGGTTATTCTCAAGCCGACAGCGGGTAAGCTGAACGCAAAAATAGCGTTTCAGTGATCTTAATCTTTCACGTGCTAATCTCAATCAGGGCTATGGGGTCTAGCAGGATATCCCCTGAGCGGCGTTCTCAGAGAGATCAACGACTCACTAGGCAGGCATCAAAAATGCATGATTGTAATGGGTCGTATTGCTCAGGGACTTGAGGAATGGCGAGAGTCTACGGCCCAGGAAAGGGAAGAGGTATCTAGAAGATGGGTCATGATCAACGCGACTTGAAAAGCCGGAAGAAAGAAATTTATCACTCTTGTTTGACCTGAGCCTTTAGCAGTATAGTTGAAGATACCATGAGAATGATTTAAATTGTGTGGTTAGGTTGAGAGTCTCACTATATCTTGTCCTATTAAGGCTAAAAACAAATTCAAAAATATACAACTGTCATAATGAACCAAAATATAGAGCCTTAAATCCCTTCATCTATGACCTTTGACTAACTTTTGGAATGCATCAACATAATCAAACATACTTCTCTTGAATCTCCATAACTGGGTATTCCGGTCAACGGTTTGCATGTCGTAGCGCTGGGCATAAGTTCCCCACTCATTGTTGTCAATTAAAGACCACGCGAAAGCACCAACGATAGGGACTCCGTCTTCATCTATAGATTTCACCATGTTTGCAATATAATATGTGTAGTACTGAGAGCGTAGGTCGTCATAGCGTGCTTCATCTGGTGTCATATTTGCTTCCAAAAGTGCATTCCAGCCAAATTCAGTGATGACAGTCCCTCCAGAGGTGTGGTAGACGTCGTCGTAGTATTTCAGTGCTGGCCGAACGTAAGTGGGTGTAGTGTACTTATACACCGTGGAGGGGGACCCGATGAGCCAGCCGTTGGCATCGTAGTCTGTGGTATTGACGCAGATAGGCTATAGTGAATGAGATACATTCGCCGCACATGCTTCAATCCCACCATCGGGCGGAGTGGTAAATATCTGGCTGTATGCGTCGATTGCCAGGAAATCGACCGTCTCATTAAGATAAGAGAGATCTTTGGTCTTCAGTTGGGTGACATTCGCTCCAGTGGTGTTTTTGACAGACTCTGGATAGTCCACTCCCCGGACCATGGGGTTGAGAAGGATGCCCAAAGAGAACTCATTACTCCATTGAGCTGCAACAAGATCGTCAGGATTGCTGAATCTGAGTGAGAAAGCGAAGTTGTTGAATATCTTCATTGAAATTTTCCCCGTAGCGCTGAGTTCCTCATGATAGAAGTGCCAAACTCTTGCATGGGCCATAAGCACCTGTAAAATGACATTATCAGTGGTTATTCCTGCAATCTAGTTATCCACTAAGTAGATTGTCGCTTACATTATGATATCCGTGAAATGTATCCGTCATAATGTTAGGTTCGTTAAATGTAATCCATACTGGCACCCGATCTGCCAATCTATCAGGTTGTCAAATGCCACTATCAATGTTGCGAAGAAAATTGGATTTGCTTGGTCGTGACAGCACGAGCACAAATACTCAAATACCGGGACGACAGGATTGTTATCGTATCCTGACTGAATTACGAGGTTTTATAGATAAGCAGGATGATTCTCACTGACCGGTATGCTGATATCCAATCAGAGCTTTCTCTCCGGTGACTAATGTAGCAGGGGTAACAATATGCGTCAAGGTCACGACTGGAACAATTCCGTTCTCGATGCAGAAGTTAATTATATCTTCATAATGGTCGAGAGCTTGCATGTTGATTGGAGATCCAGCAACCCCGAAAGGCACGACACGGGACCAGGCGATTGAAAAGAAGTAATATAGGATCCCAATTGCGGCCAGTCGAAGGATGTCTTGCTTATAGAGATAGTAACTAAATTATTAGGAAAGAAGTCAGCGAGGGTAGATAGAGTTTACTTACTGCATATCGGCAACGATCGAATCATTTCCTCCAGCTGCAAGACCCAAGCTGTCCGCGGACGATGGTCCGCGGCCTTGATCCATTAGGCCCCCATCATACTGCCAGGCACTACCTGCAACTCCCCACATAAAATCTGCGGGTAAACTTCCATGCCTGTCTTGTTGGCCTGGATCGTAGATCGGGGGGGAAACAAGCTCCGATGACGCAACTGGGAAGGGAGATACCGTGGTAGTAAATGGCAATTGGTCCGTGCAGGTTGCGGTTCCCCATAAGGCTCTATAGGCTCCCTGGCCGTAAGGGTCGTTGGTATCCATCGCAGTTGCATTGTGGATATACCTGTATGTTTTGTACGTGAGATCGCCAGCTAGCTATAATCTCTCGCAAACGGTGCAGCATAGCGCTGATAGCTCAAAGGATATAGCAAAGGAGTGGCATAGCGGATCGTTGTCATGGGCGTATAAGAAATGACGCCAGTTGGTTGTAGAGCCATTGAGGGCCTGTGGTCCGGAGATGCTTGGGAATCATTGGTAAACAAAACAACTGCCAGGAGAAGGAGACAGTAAGCCATGATTAGATAAACTAATTAACCAGTTCAGATGCTTACCAGCTCGTTATGTAGTCATAATGTGCCTTGCTTGGAAGTTTAAAACGTCGGCTCCACATGCGGACAAGGGTGCGATATAGAAATAGAACGGCGATCCATCCGAGTTGTGTTTTCAAGCTATTTCACTGGCTGCAAATAATGCGAAGAGCGACGACATCCGAGGTTTGAGGAGTCTAGTAAGCCCCCGCAAATTCTTAAGTTCGTTGCCCCGGATTCAACGGTGAGGGGTCCAACAGAGACCAGGCAGCCCAGGTCGGGAGGCATGGTCTCTGTTCAGAGAAGTCAGCCATACTCGTCAGACAAAAGATTCCATTGCAGAGCGTACTAGCTTCCATGTGATGAAATGTTGGATAAGCGTAATCTCTGAGCTTGTTATTTAAGTTGTCTTTTATTCGCTAATCTAGGCTAAATGCCCCTATTTTCTGCGCTAGTTGACACACTACTTAGTTAAGGGGCTGGGCTTAGTAAGATCGTTGAGAGCCTAGTTAACGATCGTCAGGCAGATAAGGGTGCTGAATATTCCTCGGGCGCACCAGTAAAATGGCGACCCTCTTTTGTCTTGACGGCCGTTACCTTTACAATTACGCTGAGATTATGAAACGGTGACCTCAAAGAAGTCACAGTAGGATTCATTTTCCATAAAAAAAGTCGCAAGAGCGTAGAGGGATAACTGGTCTCAAAAACTATTGTACAATTGTCCGGATCAACTTGATATTGAGAGTATTTCAAATAATTTTATTAGGCTTGGAAATGTAAAATTCAAGTGCTGAAATGTTCACGGGTGATCTATATGCATTGAGTGGTCAGGTAGTAGGATGCCTTCAACATGCAACAATTGAAAGATCAAAGAATAAAATTTAGTTGACTACCGACCAGAACTTGAGCCCTCGTCGTTCGCGAACCTGAATCGGAGGTGAAGATCCCTTCGGACCCCTCGCAGAATATTGGCCAATACCTTGCTGGAACAAAATCAAGTCTTCTGACTTTTGATTCGCAGCGAGAGGATATTCTAGATGGCAATATGGCGCAAAATCGGCACCTGAGATCTGAAGTCCCAATCTCTCACCAGCACTAACTTGCGCATCAACATGTACGGTGGCATTATTGAATACCCATGTCAGATTGCTGGGGAGGAAGGAACTTTCGCCCAGGGTGTTAAAAGTATATCTAAACATTTGGAATTCAGTCAGAACGCAAATTGCTGATAGCGGACGGCTTAATGAGCAAGTTGACTTACCCTGGCTCAAGTAGATCCTGGACGGAGGAAAAGTTGAACACAGTCACTTTCAAGGCTGTGGTTTGTGTTGTAGCCGCAATATTGACGGATACCGACTCGAGAAGTCCAGTACGCTCAGCGGTCCAAGTTTGATAGAGAATATACTGGTCTGAGTCACAAACAGCGGAGTACTGGGAAATGTTAGCATTTTTTCACGGTCGGGAATTGGCCGAAAAGGACTGACAGTTGCAAGGTCAGGGCTCTTGTCCGTTGACTGGCTTGCTAAACCCGATGCAGCGGTTCCTTCCCCAGGCGTGAAGTCCACCTCAAAAGTGGCTTCCGGGCTACAGTTCAGATCCTGAACGCTACCATCCTTGTTAAAGACTAAAGGCTGGAATATATGGCCACCAAAGCCAGTCCTTGGGCCACCAGCTACCGGATCATCAGCTTAAGCCACAGAGACCAAAGATTTTGGAAAAAAAAGCAACTTACGAACTGATGTACCATGCCACACATATGTTGTCTCCTTCGTCTTCGGATCGACAAGTGGAAGGATGCCTTCAAGTTGAGAATTGCATGAATCTCCACTTAAGATTTGGCGTTTCCACGGTCCTTGAATAGACGAGGACCGATAGACGATAGCCAATGTTCCGCTGCAATATCCACAGGTGTTCGAAGCAAAGACATCTAAATGTAGTTAGCAATCAATCACAGGCATTAATCGCAAGTAGGATATCTCATACACCACAGTCCGTTCCTGAAAATTAGGTCTGGCGACTCAGCTTGGTTGTCGACTATGTCATTGGCCTCTGACTTCACGTCGTACGCCACTGTAGTGGTGTTAACCTTCAAGCAAGGTTAGCATTTATATGTGCCAGGATTTCAACAAGAAAACAAACCAGATCTGAAGTAAGGTGGCCAAGGTATAATGATTGTGAGATTTGAGGCCATAAACTGCCTCCATCAGTGATGGTGAAATTCAAGCCACTGTAAACGATATATCCCTCATTATCTGTAATGAATTAGATCATGGGACGATGAGAACTTCCATCCGGAGCATAAAACGTACTTATAAGCTCAACAGCAAAGTCGGCAGGGTTAAGCTTTGCAACCACAGGGTCCAGGGCAGGTTGAGAGCTGAGAAATTTGTATCCTGTAGCGGGGTGATCCGATGTTGCCACCACATAACCGTCATTGTTGGCCCAAAGGATGTATTTCTTGGTCTTGGCATTATAGATAATGTGTGGGCGACCGCAACCTCCGGATCCCGAACAATCGTTGGTTGTAGTGGGGTCATAGAGGAAGCCTTCGTACCTCCTAATTTCTTTTTTGAGCAATCTGATTTAGACAGAAGAACGGGAGGGAGAACGTACCAATTCACTAGATCCACCGAGGAATAGCTTTTGATACCATATGCCTCACTCCCTTCAATTGACCAGCTATTTCCGTAGAGGTAATATTTGCCATCTATTTTTGAGGGTTAAAATGGGGAATGCTTCGGGAAAGGTGTAGACTCGGGAGTAACTGACTCAAATCTAGTGTTATTATGTCAGTATATGTAGTACGAATTGGAGGAGATGCAGGGCCATACTATGGCATTTGAATACGTACAATTGATTTTACTTCCATATGCGTCAATGAAGTTCCCATCAACATCAAACATAAATCTTCTTTCATTGCTGAATTGGGTTGTTGCTCCAATAGCGAGCTGCGAGAACAAGCCAGCCGCTACAATGGCGATCCGTGAGAAGCGCATGGTCGAAACCTTCGAATAAAGCTGATCCTCAGCCCCTTCTTCCCCTTTTGTTTCCCAGCTCTGGCAACTTATACATTCTTCGTTACGGAAGTGCCGAGCTCGGCTTCGGATATCCCTGGCTTTCTCCACAGTTTAGCCGGAAAATGCGGAGTAGTTGTGGGGAAGTGGAAATTTGCTGACAGTTTCTCACCGGGAAAAAATCAGGGGAAAACCCCAAAACCCACCAAAACCAAGTCGCCTCGTATTTAGCGAGTGCGGGGAAAAAGAGGCAAATTTATTTTCATTTTTTTTACTCACTTTTTTGAATTGAACATTCGAACGGTAAGCGAACTGGTCCCTTTCCCTGAGATATCCCAGATGTTCAAATTTTCCAGATCCACTATCCTTCCCCGCACATATGCACGCCCCGGATTAATGACGCAGTTAATGTCTGACTATTGGGTGATCATCCAAGGAACTCAAAATTGGAGCAGTTCTCGGGATCATTAGTCACTTGACCGAAAGTTAGACGCCGCACGGGTCTAAGCCCGGGAATCCCGTAAAGCCTCGGCAGTACGCGCGGCATGAGCTTGAGAGTTGAGTTTTGATGTATGGATCCGATGATGTTGATTAATCCTTGGAAGAACCGTGGCTCACCTAGAGTTGGGTACACCCTTTGAATCGGCAGGACTATTGTCCCCTTTACTACTTGGGTGCTGCTGTATATGTGCAGACAAGAATAAGTGTTATTTATTTAAAGGTGAGATTTTCCAGGATCACGATTTCAAAGCCTAGAATTAGTACAATCGTTCTGACTTCTTAGGGTTAGAAGCGTCTCCCCAAGTGCTGAGTATGTAGGGGAGGAAATGGGACGAGACTCTTGGCGCCAATAGGCCCCAAGCGGGGAAGATGGAAGATGACTACAATATGTAGGCTGACAGCTTCACACAAAACGTATGTGATATTGGGTATGGGGGGAGAAAAGAGAAAAGGGCAGAAGGTCTGGAGGATATGCCCCCAGACCCAAACTAAGCTAGTCCTAAACGGGATGCCAGCGCTGCTCAGGTCACATGATCTGACCCAAGGACACCGACAGAGACAAAGGGGTAAGTAACAGACCAACCCTGATCGTCGAGCTCGATCAAATCTCTTGCTGGCTATAGGAAACTTGAACATATTTCTGCCGAGTCGCATGATTACACAGTTGTCTTACAGCTATTGCGCAATATTGTTGATTCAGGAGAGCGATAATAAGATAGATAAAGATCAGTCTAACGTGGCACTAAACTAGTGGTCCAAAGTTTTACCATTCGGAACTTCGTTGCCCTCCAGTCAGATTTCCTTATTCATTGAGATGGCGTGTTGTACGTCCAACCCTCGAACTGCGCATACAGCCATGTGCCAACTTCTCGTTTCGGTCCTCGTTCCCGTAGGAATTTTGCCATTTGCTGGTCTCCCAGTTGCTCAGCCAAAGCAAGTGGACCCCCACTTACCCATTTTGGAAGCTCTCCAATCCACCCGCAGTACTCAACATTGACATTGGCGCCACGTGCAACCAGCGATTTGACTAAATTTGCATGTCCGCGGAGCATTGCCCGGGCATGAGTATGTCGTCTGGAGCATCTTGGCTATTGTCAAAGCCCGGTGTTAGGGTAGAATGGTCTCCCTCTTCGAACTCCCTTAGTGCACCGTAATCTAGCAGGATTTGAGCGATTCGCCCATCAGGGTAATCCATGCTGAGCGTAAGGGCCCGAGCTCTCTGTAATGGTGATGTTGGGCCAACAAGGATCTGAACCATCTCCTCATGGTGCTCCAACACGGCTTTCAGCAAGGGTATAGCCTCCTCATCCCCAGTCCAGTAACTCGGGTCCGCCTTGCCCCCCGCCAGCAGTAATTGGAGAAGCTCAGTATCTCCCGTACCTACTGCCCAAATCAGTGGTGTATATACACCAGGAACTCGACAGTCTCGGAATGAATAACTAAGGCTAACTCCAGTGGCCAGGAGGGGTGGAAGAACATCCTTGTGTCTTTCAACTAGTGCACACTGAATAGCATTTTGTATCTACGGCAATCTTACCTACGAGACCTAATATTTACTAGCCATAGGACGGTTATAGATGGATTACTTGAGAATTAAGCATTACCCTAGTAAGCATAACCTATAACAAACCATACTTACTATGACCAATTAGCATTCAATAATAGTAATATTCACTCTGGTATATATTCCACCTCAAACACGGGCAAATAGTCAAACAAGGTAATTCACAGAATCAGGCAGACCTAGGCAGTAATGGGCTAAAAAAGCCCATTGGGTTAGGCCTGGACAAGGGCTGGGTTGGCACAATGGGCCGGGTTATGCCGGAGTTTAAATATTAACCGCAATGGCTAGTGCAATGAGTATAATGGCGAAAAATTGTGATCTTTCAATTTCCAATTTGCATAGACCACGAGTTTTGAAAATCTTTGTGGAATACAAAATTGCAGACCTGCCTTGGCTGCCCCGTTATCTAACCTGCAAGCTCATGCACCTGTGCTTTAGAAGCAAGCTCATGCACTTGTGCTTTAGAAGTCTCCAAGATTGCTGAACTCCCCTCGAGTTCCTTTACGTCATCATCCTTCTCTTTGATCATCGGCACCCATTTCACGGTAATGGGACTCTGTCTTGTAGTTTGAATTTTCCTTCCAATTTTATTCCATAGTTCGAAATGAAGGTCCATTGGCCCAACTATGACCTTCACAATTATATTCGCCAGAAAGTATGTCGGTTGCATGTTATACCAATGCTGGTTCTTTGGCTTTTTTTCCACGCTGCGCATATCGACCTCAATATTGCAGATTAGTCTTGCCCCTTGGCCGTGTGTCATACTCGAAGGTAATTGTTCCGGTGACAGGGTTGACATTATGATCTGAGCCTTCCACGGTTTTGCCATGTCCCTGGGGTAGACCTTTCGTTTAAATTCTTTGGAGATTCCTACTCGCGGAATGGGACTCCCCTGAATAACAAGCCAATCAATTTGTTCCACCGCATATGTTGACTTGTCACGCTCGTCGTATCGTATAGATTCGCCCAGATGGCGTGTAGGATCATACAGCTTGTCGCATATGATGCCGTAGCTGACTCGACTGCAAACCATTGGTATTGTACTCCAGTCTTCTTTCAACTGTCGGATTCGGTTCATGACCTGGCCTTGAGCGACGGCCAGCTGCCTGGTAAAAAACGGGATTGCCGTGATTAGCTGAATTCGCTCCAAGCAAGTGAGGCTCCTGCACATACGGTTCGTCGACTGTCAAAATTTCGATGGTGTTAGGGACTATCGCTAGGTTCTCGTATCTGTCCTTGAGTCTTTTCGTCAAATAAGCTGAGCTCCCCAAGCCGCCAGACAACACGACGAAAGACTCAAAACAATGTCAGTGGGTAAGGCGCAAGGAGTGGCAGTAATTGGTACTAACTATGTGCTCTAGTGGGCAGCTTAATTGTAGCCGTCGAATTTGCCCATCCAGCAAATTATATATTTCGTCTGTTATGAGATCGAAAAACTTTTGGATCTCATCTCTGTAAATAATCGGTCAGTAAAAATTAGAAATTGGGAAAACAGGGAAACGCACCGACTTATAATGACTTGCCCGTTTGCTATCCCCATTTCTGGGAAGCATATTTCCGGGGATAGCGATGGACAATCAAGCTTTAGCGAAAGGGAATCTGTTTCCTGGGTGCCAAAGGCGCATTTGAACCGCTCAAAGTGGCCAGTCCTCATCGCCTGCGAGGCAATCTCCTGTGGAGATCCTTTCAAAGTGTCTCGCATCTGTTCCAGCTTACTACTTATAAGTTGGTGAGCTCCTATATCGATCATCACGGAGCCAACTGGCTTTCCTGTTTCCAGTCAATGACGATCTGTTTTGCTTTTTGGCACGATACAATACCTTCTACAACTCCAAGTGGTATGAAAGAAGTGGACTCTTTTGCCGGCGAAACAACCTTTAAAATATTAACGTCCGTTGTGCCTCCTCCAGCATCACACACGAGAACTACATCGCCTTGCTGGGAGACCCCGTGGGTCGGCGCTGTTAGCCGCGAATATGAGAAAGAAAAGCAAGAACGGGTCCAGTATCTACCTGGTAATTATTCCCACTGGCATATACTGCAGCTGCCTCTGCCTCTGACAGCCCTATCATAGCTTGGTGATATGGTGAGTCTAGGGTTATTGAATTCTTAAATTCTGTAACCATGCGTGGGTCTTTCCATGTAGTTGGAACGCTGAAGATGAATTCAACTCGGCACGAGAAAAAACGCGGAAATTTATTCGCCATGTACGAAACCGTATAGCGATAAATTAGCTGGATGTAGTCTTTGAAATACGTCATTGCTTCATGATGGCTGGGAGCATCTGGCCGTTTGTCCAGGAACTGGGGGTCCAAGTGAAGTTTGAAGTGTTTCTTCACGTTTTCACTGAGGTCCCCAGAATCCAAAGAGCATCTGAAGCCCCAGCTTTCTACTGTCGGTGTGGAAGACAGGTATTTCAATTGCGTGGGAACTTTATTGGCAATTTCCCTGCCTATTAATCCTGGCCAATGCTGGAGGGGTTTCGGAGTTGGCCAGTCTGGAGCAAATGAATAGGAAACTCCTAGCCCGGGAAGTTCAAGTATTTGGTAAGATAGTAGCATAGAAATCAGGCAAAAAACAAGGCGAAACCTACCCGTACAGGTCATGCCAAAGTCCACGCCTATCACGATATCCGGGGTCCAATCAGTTTCCATGGTACAATTGTTCCTGTCCGTGTATCTATCCCTGCGTCACAATAACTGAACATGGGATGTTGAGTTAGAAATTATTATGCAATGTGAAATTCCCAAGACGCAAATGGTGTACCACGAAAGCCGTGATGGGCGTGTAAGTGGAATCTACGATAAGAATTCCACTCTTTCAGGGGGCAGACTCGTTTTCATCGTCTTTCCCCAATGATTGGTAGCTTGCAGCCTAGAGCCTCACTGCCACGGTTGCACAGACAGCAAATTCTTGAAGGATTTTGGGGGCGCACGCACCCGACCCTTTATAGTTTCTGGGTATTGCCTTATCTGGACTTGCTCCGCTGTAGAAGCAGCCACGTAATTTCTACGTAGCTGAATGTCCTTAGCGCTGGCTTTATGAACCCGAAAGGCGCTACCCAAGATGGCTTTAGAAACCGGCAGCTGACTAGTGTGCGTAAGCCTTCGGTTAACCCCACTTAGGCCGATCAGCCTATCTATTATAATCTAATTAATTAAACCCGATGGTACTAGTATCTTGCGAAGCCGCTGTATTTTATTCTGTTCCAGATTCGGTCCAGGGTAATATACCCCACTGTAAAGTCTCTCAAGCGCGCGTTGGTTGTCATATCACCAGTCACTGGATCTAGAACGCTGAGAGATTTCATCACATTCAGCGCTAATCATTGATTCTCAGAGGATTTCTCCACGTACTCCCTAAAGTTCTCACGTACCCCCTCTAACCCGATTCGGCCATTGTGTCCAAGTACCCCTAAGTATTTTATCTCACCTATTTATATAAATTGACTCCCAAAGTTAGGGAGCCAAATCCCGAGTTACTTAATGCTTTCTGAGACTATGACCCTGTAGACTACATGATCTCTAAGCTGTAATGGCCAGGAATTGACCGAGTTCTGTATGCTTTTCTCAATAGAATGCAATATTCACGGTAGACACAGGAACCGCGATAGCACACTCAGCGTTCTCTGCCAGGACTCAGCAGGGGCAGAGTCCGATAAAGCGAGGACATGGTAGATTCTGTAATGCAGATATAGGTCTAGTACCAGATATACCGCTGTATATGATAGGAGTCCTCGCGATTTGAATGTTGGATGTGGGGACTCAGAGGCAGCGAGGTTAGATTAATGAGTTTGAATTGTATCAAAAATCGTTGATAATATATGATTTATGTGCTGAATATGATAACCGAATTCATTGAGATCAAAGCACGTCTATAGAGAGAGAATTCATATTATAAGTGTGGCAGAAAAAGTATCGGTACTTAGGGGGTACTTAGATCAATGGCCGAATCGGGTTAGAGGGGGGACGTGAGATCTTTAGGGAGTACGTGGAAAAATTCTCGATTCTCAGCCCTCGGCAGCACTACCCAAAATGGATTTACCTTCTGACTGCTTTTTCGTGTTGTCATTCATTTTTCTCATATAAGGGGAGACCTCGCTGGCTTCTGATACCAAGTGGTCAGGATCACTACCTGTCTTCTCTTTGCAAAAGAATTATAGATTATGACATAGCTGAGATACATGAAATGACTACAATCACGTCAGTCCTCACGTATACCCCTACTGATTCTAACCTCAAGGGGTATTGGCTTTCAGATGGATGTGAGGATACTCCGCTCGGTGGTTCAAGATCAACATTCTCATTGAACCTACAGATGTGACCTCAACGGCTTGCCCCACAAATTCCGCTCTTGTCGCTAGTGGGAGTTATGCAGACTGCTGTGCTGACGAGGACACTGGGGGGTGCAGTTTTCCCTCAGCATGCACCACTTCGTGCAACTTTCCAACAGCATGTTTGAACAATGCAGCTGTGTACAATTTCATATACAGTGGCACGTGGTGGAGTTATAGCTGGTAAGAGAATAAACGGATATTCGAACTGATGGAATGAAGGGCTAACAGGAATTTGACGAGGCCAGCCCAACTGGTCAGTCCTGCCAGGAAATGACGATTTTCGAGTCATACACTTCTTCAACCGCGGGATGGAACAGGACAGCCCACTGGTGCCTCGGTGATTCGGCTCCTACCGCTATATACCGCACTCTCGAAGAGGCGGAAATAACAACCAGTAAGTCCTTCACTAGCGTCAGTTCACCTATCGCGACGCGAGACTTACTAATTAATCCAAGTCACTAGTGGCACCAGCAGCACGAAAGTCACCAGTACTACAAGCGCACCCACCAGTATTACAAGTGAACCTACCAGTACTTCAAGCGCACCCACCCCAACCCAGACACACAGTAAAACACATACCAACAAAGGAGCAATTGCAGGAGGAGTTGTGGGTGGAGTAGTAGCTGCCGCAGTGATTCTCGGTGGACTGTACTTCATTTGGAAACGTCTGAAAGTGAAAAAAATGGAAATGGCGGAAATGAACGAGCTTGGAGCAGAGTATAGAGTGCACTCAGACTAAGGACAGACGACCCAACCCTTCATGTTAAGTCTAGTGCCTTGATAAGTTTTATATTCTCTCGTTAGTTATATCTGACCACATGATTGAGAAATTCAGTTCGAAGACCCTCGTGGTCAATAGTAATAGTGTTTTCTGGGCATCTTTGGCCAACTTTCAGGAATCCGGCCAATAGATAGCAGCAGAAGACAATCATCAGATGACTAATTTAACTAAATCGATGCCTAAGTGTGATCCCGCAGTCCTACCCAAAGCCGCAACGCGCGTAAAGTACCCGAAAGTCAATAATTAACGCCCATTGAAGCGCTTGGATGCGAAGAATACTACTGAGCCCCAAAGCTATTGAGGCTTTCGTAAAGCTTGTTCTTTATTCTGACTTTTTCTTTTCCTCTTTTGGCAAAGTTTAGACAATACATAGGAACCAGAGTACTCTGACGGCCTAGTTAACAAAGCGTAGCTTACATACATTCCAGCTGAGAGATTATGTATAGATGCCAAGAGACGGAGTTTTCAGCCATCAAATGGTTTTACAGTGCGGTGTTTCTACTATTGGCCACCAGCCCAGGAAAATCAAGTTGGCCTTCACTTATCCCTATCTGTATAGTCCTCTCATTATCCACCCAATTCATGCCACTTTACTGTGACTGAATGCGGTTCTTACTGCATTCAATTGCAGCTCGTATATGCAGTTCAGCCGAGAGGGTCTGTGTGGGGATTGCGTAATCAGTCACCCTTAGGGCAATCCTTCCTGAGCTCTCATTTTTCTAACCCCACTCGCATGATTAAAGTTCGGTAGCGCCTATGGGCCGGCCCATTTCAAAATTCCATCACGGCCAATAAAAGTAGAGCACTCCTTTACCTATAGTTCATGAAAAATGGTTCATCTTTAATACTCTAGCCACTAAATCAGTCAGAAGATATATACAAGAATAGGGCTGGTCTCTTGTCAGGCTAGAGATCTGAAACACCCAGGGTTTGACTCTACAGTCCATTCGAAGTCCAATTATAATGCGATATTTCACAGGTGGATCGATAAAGAACAGAATTTGAGCTCTGGATGTCTTTGAAACTGAGAATCGACGAGGCAGTCGTGTACTCAAAGGCCGGGCGGTTACAAAGCACCAAATAGGTGGACTTTGCGCTGAATTAGGCCGGTTGACTCTCGAGTGTTGTTGGCGCCAGGCCTATGCATAACATATAAAACACACCACAAGCATCATCTAGTGTTTGAAAATGACTTGACCGCAATGAACAGAGATGATCTACGATCTTAATCTCAGATACAGAGGCTATGTGCTGTCGCTAATGATTCAATTGTTATGAATCCAGCAATATTGACGAAGAGGGCATTCCTGCCTGGCTCTGGAAGTCTGTGCTGGAATCGCGCAACCCAATCTAGGTCTTGCGACCTTAAAGCGGGTGGCGCTCGCCGATTTCTCACCTGGACGATAAGGCGAAACTCGCCCAAATATTAGTTGTATTTCAGCCACACACCAGCAGGCACATAATGTTTTAAGTGCATTTGCGCAAGAAATCCTCCGTTTGTTAAGTAATAAGACAGAGAACTGCAAGGTTAGTCAATTGTACTCACCACTTTGTAAACGCTTTCTGGAGTCGGCTTTGATCAGATTAATTCAATCCCGGAAAGAAGCAAAAAAGGGAGTGAAGATGAAAAGAAGGAAAGCAAAGGTTGGCTGCTGGGAACACAGTGCAAGGAGGGTTGAAAAGATGGAATATCAAGCTAAAGGAACAGTCAGCGCTTCACGGGAATACAGGTGGGGCATTCAGGTGGAGGGGCCACGGAGACTGAAGAGTAGGCTGCCGAGATCACATGTATTTAAAATCTATAAGACCAAATACATATAACGGTCAGGATTCGCATGTGGTCACCTATCATACTACCAACGGACCGGCGTGTGGCTTATGAGCGGACAATAGTCGGGTGGGTGTCGCCTGGTTGTGCTCATGCCGAGCGCCGCTTTATGTTCGCGCGACAGGGTTGAGACTGGGTGAGTGCAGGTCAAGATTCTCACACTCGATCGCGCGACCGCCACACTGGCCCTCCAAGCCTCGAATAAATGGAACTGTATATGATGAGGGCTAAGGCTCCTTGTATTTTCGCAATCTTAATAAATCAACCTTAACAACAGAACATCTCAGATCTTCTTTAGATAACTTATGTGAAAGATAGTCAGCATTGAGATTCTTTTGTGCGTTCTTTTATCATAAGTGGGGCTCTAAGCTCACTTTATACGAGGCGACCTGCGAGATACCTGAAATGGAAAGTCATGGCATCTTTGCAGCCCCGTACTAGCCAAAGGTGCATGGGTATTTAGCCAACAGCGACCCGGTCTCACTATTTGCGGTTGTGTGCAGATGGCGAGAAGAATCATGTCCAATCAGCGGCACAAGATCGTGAGGTTGTGGATGATAAGTTTCTACTGAAGGGACTTCGTAAGACCCTGCACGACGCCGCTCAACCTTGGGTGAGTATCACTCAGGATAAACAACCGCTTCCTTCTCTCAACCGAAGAAAAAAAACTCCCCTACAGTGCACTTTAGTCGAATCCCAAGAATAAGAACACTCACTAAATAGAGGTTGGTCTAGCTTATAGCCTCCATGAACTTCGGAGTAAACATGGATAACTCGAAGGCAAGGCTCTTTTTTTCAGCCTATAGTCGACGGGTCACGGCCACTGCCATGCCATTTTTAGGGCAGACCTAAATCCGTTGAGTAGACAAATCAGGAAATATTACCCAGGCCCATACTGGAGGTGATAGGCCAGCCTCGTAAAATGCTGGATGTCATGGCAGTACTAATCATGTTGAACTGCACGTAGGCTGCTCCCTAGTGGGGTCTTCAATACAAATAACTTAGGTGTCTCGTGCCGGAATAAGTTCATAAAGTCATTCAAGCGTTAATTTGGGCTGTAACACTACAAGAGTAGCTACTCTACCGTTACTTTTAATTCACTACTTTCCAATGGATCTTCGCCAGATATCAAATTGCTCCAGAAGGATACCAATTCCTGCATGCCGCCATTGCGCCAAAGTTCAACAAGATGGAGCATTCACTGGCCGACCTTCTTCAGAATGAATATGTTTCTTCTGGCTGGCCTCGCATTCGCTATTTGGCATCACCTCTACTATCACAGGCTAGATGGTAGAATCGTCACGGAATCGAAGGGAACCTTTGATGTATCGAATCAGGAATGGCATGCCGGATTCGGCACTGCGCTCGCATTTTTGACGAAGAGTTGCTTTGCAGCATCTATCACGATGGCCTATAAACAATATGCATGGGTACAAATGCGATCTCGTAGCTATTCGGTCGGTGGCCTCGATGCCATCTTTGCGGCAACTTCGGACCTTTCAGCCTATATCAGTCCTGATTTCATCATTCATTCCAGACTTGCTGCTCTTGTTGCTAGCTTCACTTGGTATGAGACTTCTTTTCAAACCTAGAGTTCAGGGCCGTGGACTTACTCAAGGTATGTTTAGGATCATGCCTTTTGCTGCCCTTGTTACCCAAGCCACACTGACTGTTGTCCCATCTTCAAAAGTCACTTCCAATTTCTCCCTAGTCCCTGGGCTAAACTTCTACGACCCTACAAATTTTCAATCTTCCGGCCTTGACTCTGACGTCTCACCCGTCCTCAGCCGCATTTTGGCGGCAGCAATTTCCATCCCAGGTATCCTGCCAATGAACCCCATCTACGCCAACAGCACGTATAATATGACCTTCCTCGGACCAGCCCTTCACTGCATTCAGCCCACTGATAACGAGACTCTATCTGCTCTCAAAGATGCGTTCGACAATGAAGGCAGGCTATACGGGTCATCGGGCGGAGGCACCATATACCTATCGTATCAGAACGATAGCGCACTCTGGTTTCGCTTACTCTATGAATCCCTCACCTGCAATCTCCGAAATCACACCTACAATGTCCAGTTTTCCGCATCTGCTTCAACACAAATCATAATTGAAACCCCCACCCACCAATTCGATGATGTTGGCTCCAGGCTAAGCATTTCCTACAACGCTTACCTCCAAGCTCTAACAAATGTGTTCAATGGCTCCATCGTCATCTACGTCAATGCTCCACAAGGCCAGACAGCAGACTCTGCTTACGCGGCCATCGGCTCATATGAAACACGTGTTGCTGACACCGCACTCATAAGTCTCATTGTAGATGCTATTGACAAGGCAGCTAGCTCTCCGGCGGCCCCGTTCGGAGCGAGTGTCGCCTCGCTTCAGGTGCAACTTTCTGAGGTGGACAGGAACCTAGCAAGGAATATGACCTTTGCAGAACTGATGGAGGAAATAGCGAGAAATGCCACGTTGAGTTTATTTAGCGATAGCCGATTCTGGTATGTGATATCATTCCTTTGAGAGATTACAAGTATTTATTGTGATCGTTGACATATCAATAGGGCGAAAGAGAGGAATTTGGTGGATGTGGCGACTACGATTCCGGTGAATAGGCATTTCTATGACCAACGCAATTTGTTACTTGCGTACGGTATTGCCTTCGGTGTATCATTGGTCTGCCTTTCTCTTGGTATTTGGGCGCTTTATGATAATGGTGTGAGTCATGGGATGGCATTCTCGTCAATCCTGGCTGCTACGCGCAACAGCCAGGTGAACGAGATTACAAACTGGAATACTTTGGGGGCCGAGCCAATGAGCGAAACGACACTGCAAGCCAAGCTTATGTTCGGCGTACTGCTTCATGAACAAATAGGCTGTTCTGAGGACAATAAGCCTGAGAATGTGGAAGGCGGATATTACGCTGCGTTTGGGCCTCCTGAGAAGATAAGCCGTATAAAGAAAGGGATGGTGATCATTTGAAGCAGATTACTTATTATCTTTGATAACCAGAATTGAAAGCTAATCAGAACAAACACGATGGCTGAACGACCAACGTGTCAGATAACACGGCATACTGTACTTCTTCTCATCGGACAGTATTCAATTTTCCTCTTGGTACTCAACGGTCAAAAAAGGCGGGTTTCGGGGACGGTTATATATACAGCATCACCATTGTCGCCAGACTTGCAGAAATCAAATGTGGCTGTTTAAGATCCAGCGATTGTTTATGGCAAATATATCATATGGCCTTATTCTTGCTAACTAGCGTCAGTGCCGCAATTTCTGGAAGAGGCATTGTGATATGCGGAAAATGGGCGTTGACAAAATTCTCCTCTATCGTACTAGGGACCGAAGCAATATACCAATAACTTCAGCTACGTCGACGACGCCATGATGATCACAATGAGACGCTACGCAGTAGAATACTGCCGTTCTCTCCCTATCGCCTTCTGCGAGTGCGATAAGTGGGCGAGAAGGCATGCCTCGGTATCGCTCTAGAGAAATTCGCCCCAGTACACTTCGAACCCCCCGAGGGGTGGGGGGTGACCTACCAACACCCAGATGTCGACCCATGCGATAACAGAATAGTCAAAGCCAGAAAATCAGTAAAGCTCCTCGGTATCACTCTCCGTAATTTCCTGTTAGGGCTCTGACCGTCATGTTTTGAAGGTGTTGGCACGGCACAGAATGGCACTCTTGTATTAACTTAGCTTCACTTAAAAGCAATCAACCTCGAAGGGTAACAGCCAAATCTGCAGATCCAGATTGTGTTACGCGGGTAGAGCCATACGAAGAAATAAAGGAAACAATCAAAATTATGATCAATAACCAGCCAAAGATGTAAAAATACTGATTTTTGAAGAATTTTGAGGGTATTGGAATGGAATCACTTGGCCTTCACCCCTGTTTTGATGTATGTCATGAAGTTGTCAGAATGGAGTGCATCCATTCCAAGGTCTCTTTGCGTACATCACCAAACTTCGACTAAGGCCTGAAGAAGAGTAGCAAGCCCTGAATTCCTCGAAAAGCACATGACGCGCGTCTTTCCATATAGGAGATGGCCCCCTAACACACTAAAGCTTTTCCTGGGCGGTAAAGTCCTTCCAATCCTCAGCGTACTGGGTGCTTCTGATACCCTCAGGGTATTTTCTCAGAAGTTCCTTGGCATTATCCCACGCCTTGAGGACGCGTAGAGTCCGTTCAGGATCTCTCTCAATCAATTTGTACGCAAATGGTGTAGGTCGACATACAATCCCTTGAGTGACTGCTTCAGTAGAGACCGGGATCATGTTGCCGTTCTCATCTAGATCATGTTCAAATGTAAACGCCCACAGAATGTATGTGATACCTAAGAATAGCGAGCGCTCAGCTATATTTAGGCCTGGACATACGCGCCGACCGGCGCCAAAAGTGAAATGATCGCGCTTGTAAGGATCATTCTGGCTGGCACTCTCCTGGGCGCGCATGAAGTCGTCCTTATATCTTTCTGGGTCAAAATTTCGGGGATTCGGGTATCTTTTTGGGTCGTTATTCAGGGCCCACACATTAATCATCATGCCAGTCTTTGCTGGGAATGTGTATCCCTTGTATGTATCTTCATTGGTCGTTGCGTGAGGAACGATGCCGAGGATGCTTGAAGGCAGGAATCGGAGTGACTCTTTAACAAGACCACGAATGTATTGCAAATTGGACTAATTTAAACGGTCAGTCTAGCTTCACCATCATCACTTTAGAATCCTTACCTCGTCAGCCATAGTTGGCAGTTTGTAGGGCCCAATCACACGATCAATCTCTTCTTGGGCTAGGACTTTTGATTAGCGATTATAGTTGACCTTGATCAGGAAAAACCAGCTACCTTTCTTCTGGACCTCTGGGAAATTGATCATAGCCACTGCGAATGAGAGGAAGATAGAGGCCGTTGTGTCAGATCCCGCTTCAAGAAGAGTACCGCTCACATAGCTTGCCCAGTCATCTGAGAACCCCATTTTCTCCTGTGACTTGAACATGTCTTCACAGAAGTTTTTGCTCGCAATCCCTTTTGTGATTCTATCTTTAACTTTGAGCACATAGCTCTTGTACAACTTCATTTCTTCCTTGTGAAGCTGCTTGCCCTTCTTCTTACTAGGGTTGATGAAGACGGGAAGATTCCGCAAAATCGGGAAATAATCTAGCATCGAGGCAGATACTTGCGATGCCACAGCAAATTCTTCGAAGCCCTTGAGTCATGTAATATCAGTATGAGTAGGTGTGGGGTTGAGATCGAATGTACCTCGTAAATTTGTCTAACGTCCGGGTCGTGAAAAGCTAAACTTCTCCATCCAAATGTCATGCTCGTGACCAGCGACGTGCTGTAGCGTCTTACATGATCGTGATATTTGTTGGGCTTTTTTATCATATCTGCCAGCATCTGCCGAAGTTCGAGCTCTTGATACGGAATATAGTCGACAGCAGTTTTGATGTTGAGAAGGTTGTGGATCATTTTGCGGGCTAGACGCCATCCTTCATCGTATTGCATGAGGACCAGGCGATAACCACCCGATATCAGTGTCTGACCGACATACATCTCAGGTCGTGAGGAATAATTGTTAGATCGCTGATCAATCAAGTCTTTGACAACTCGCGGTGAATTCAGGACAACCATGCGTTGGTTACCAAGCATCACGGAATAAATTTCCCCATATTCATCAGCCCACTCCTTGAACTTGACGTGCACGTCCTTTGACGGCAATTGGTGGAGGTTGCCGACTATAGGCAAAGTTGGTGGCCCTGAAGGCATATTTTTCGGCCTTCTTCCGACTTGTAATATTTTATGAATTGAGAAGGCTAGGCCGGCGATGCCTACAAAGGCCAGCCATGGCGGTATCGAAATTGGCACCATCGTCGGTCAAAGAACTTAGTGATTATAGAAAATTCGGTGTCACCTCAAAGCTTCAAACGCTATTTTGGCCTTAAGTAATGAGAAGTTCAGGTCAGTCAGAGAATCCTTGGGGGAGGGGGGGGTGAGGAGGCGACATGTTGTGTACAGTGAGTGGGTAATGGAAGGCTGTCGGCATGGTTTCCGGCCACTTTGCCATTGTTAGAGTCGATTCAAGAGTGGGGGAGCTAATCACATCTATGAAGATAGACAAGTCCTGTCTATCCTTGTCTCGACGAGGGTGTAGGAGATGACAAATGAGTGGAAAGAAGTGGCTCCAATAATCAGGACTACCGTTTACCAGACCCATTGGGTGGGTGATGCCATTCGTCCGTGCCTAGATTACTCTCTATCATCTATCATTTGCCATTAGAACGACAAATTGCACATCCACGTCTATGCCGTCACGAATGATATTGGTGGACAGAGACAGCATCCCCTTTATTCTCCACACTGGGGAACAGTAAAAGTACTCGCAAAGTGAGACAGTGGAGCTCCAAAACTCAAAGCTACGGCCAACACAATCTGTGCCAATGAAAAGTCAGATGAGCTACGTGTACGAAGATATGATTGGATCGGTGCTCTGATCAACGGCCTTGTTTTAAGGATACAACAGTGATGGCTAAGAGACCCCCCGTTAAGAGGCAAAAGACCCAAGCGCCTCCAGAATGACTGATAGCAATGCTTCCCACGCTATAAAATTGTAGAATCGAATAATTCCAGCAAAGATGAACTGGAACTTACGGCGACAACATAGTGGCGGGAATTAGCCATTTTAGCATTTAGCAAGATCAAGGAATGACTCAGGTGCCATAAGAAGTATAGTTGCTGGGCTAGCGCCGACCCACCCCCTGCTTTCGCCTAGATTCAAGCTTCAGTTTCTTATCTCGGACTTAACGGAAGTTGACGAACGCTCACCTGTCAATATGTCTACTACCTTGTCCCTCAGTGAATCACAACGATCTTTCAACTGAACAAAGAACGACATGGTTGCTCATTCGGTTTGTGGCAGAATTAGAGTTGAGAGGTGGAGCACACTGAAGCAACAATAACACACTAGGTCATTATACTGTACTTTCGTCAAGTTCATTATCACCTAAAGCGGTTAATATGCACCACTCCTGTAAACTTTATTGCCTGGTTATACACCACTCCCCCACCCTAACATAGAAGGTGGTCGTGGAGCAATCACAGTGGCAAATTAGTTTCCAGCATCCGAAGCTTGTTCACTTATTGCAGAAAGGTTGGTGGGTCTGACCCATATGAAATTATCAGATGAGCTATTACTTACTGTAGCAGGAGTGGGGTTAGATCCACTCACCCTTATCCAGGATTTCGAAAATGGATCTTCTCCAGTATTCCGGGGTTCGTGATAATCGGTCATGGTGATTACGCTTCCAAGCTCGAGAGTGGGGGGATGATATACATAGATTAAATTATGACGGGGATTGACTTTCAGGGGTTTATCATTAAGGGGGTCCCAGCCACAGTGATCCATATCAGATAGCCCATGTGATCGACCATGCAGATAGCTCTCAAGTCAAGCAACGTCCAAGTTCTTCACATTATAAGCAATAATAAATATCAATCTTGTTCCGCTCCATAATACATTCTCTACCCACCTTCGCAGCCTTACTATCCTCAATACGCGACAACCGCATGTCTGACCGCATGTCTGACGCAAAGGAAGAGCCTCATGGCGATGCAATTCTCGCCAAGCCGTCTGATCACCACACTGCTGCACCTCATGATTTGATGGATGCTGCAGAAGCTGGTATTGTTGACGTGTACGTCCGACCTGGAAACAGGATGCAAAAATGGGTCGACAAACTCGAGAGCCTTGCTGGTATGGAAGCCAGAGGCATTGAACGTGTTCCCGACAGTATCAAATCAGGAAATACCACAACGGAAGACTACTTGCAGATGTGTTTAATCTGGCTTTCAGCTAATCTTACCGCCAATAACATGATGATTGGCATGCTAGGTCCCTTGAACTTTGGACTTGGGCTCCGAGATAGTATGTTTCTAGCAACCTTCGGGTCCCTTACTGGCGGCGCCGGGAGCTCCTATATTGCATCATTTGGACCTGCTAGTGGAAACCGTACTTTGGTATGCTCTGTGTACGGCTTATGAGAAGATTTTGCTTTCTGACCCAACTCACCAGGTAATTGCTCGCTACACGATGGGCTGGTTTCCCTCCCGCCTCTGCGTTGCCCTCAATATCGTCATCATGGTTGGTTATGGAATAATCGATATTCTTGCTGCGGGTCAGATCATGTCAGCTGTGAATGGTAAAGGGATGTCCGTGATTGTTGGCGCTATCGTAGCGGCAACAATCTCGCTAGTTATCTGTGTGGTTGGTATCCAACTCTTCCACAGCTACGAGCGGTGGGCATGGCTGCCTCAAGCTATAGTGGTCTTAATTCTAATCGGCGTTTCCGGGCCCTATTGGGACCCAAAGTCTGTTACAAGTAACACCGGAGCAGCCAAGTCCGCAGATCAGGTAAGTTTTTTTTTCCTTTGCCTGGCATCACCTCTTTCGTGGTCCCCCGCCGCAGCAGACTTTTTTGTCTATTTCCCAACCAACTGCAAGCGATGGAAAGTTGCTGTTGCTACCACACTTGGCCTCGGAGGCTCGTGCATGATTTCCTACTACATCGGTGTCGGTCTAGCATCAGGTGTTGCAGGCAGGGCGTCTTGGGCGACGGCAGCCGATGAAGGCCTTGGTATTCTCCTTGTGGAAGCATATCGTCCTTTGGGAGCCTTTGGTAACTTCTGCTCTGTTATACTCGCTTTGGGTGTTATCTCCAACAATATTCCAGGCACTTACTCGGCTGCATTGAGCTTTCAATTGCTGGGCTCCTGGATGCAAAGGCTGCCTCGCTTTGTATGGACTATCGTTGTTATTATAATCTACACTGTTTGTGCATGTGTCGGCAGAGATGAGCTTTATGACATTATTCAGAACTTCGTGGTGATTATGGGCTATTGGACGGCGGCGTGGATCACCATTTCTGTTGAAGAGGAGCACATATTCCGTCGCCGAAATGGAGGTTATGACTGGACTGCATGGAACGATCAGCAGAAACTTCCGGTCGGACTTGCGGCATGTACCGCATTCTTGTGTGGCTGGGCTGGTGCAGTGCTGGGAATGTGGCAGACCTGGTTTACTGGGCCCATTGCAAAGCTGGTTGCCTCGGGTATTGACATCGGCATCCCTCTTTCTATGAGCTCGGCAGCACTTATTTATCCTCCTCTGCGATACGCCGAGCTCAGATACTTTGGTCGTTAAGTCATGATTATTTAGACAATTCCAATATTTTTTCTTGGTTGTTCTGTCCTAGAACTATTCTAAAATGTCGCGTAAAGATAACATCCATTTTGTTGCCGTCAAATATCATCGTATCAGGATTCCAACTTTCGATCGCAGGATGCGTCAAGTACAACAGCTATATATTTCATATTCAATCATATCTGCATAGGTTTACCTAATTGTTGGAAACTAGTATCTGAAATTTTAGCTTGTGAGTAGTTTCCATGCGATGAAAGCCTATACTAAGATGTAAAAGATTTTGGCTTTCTATTGGACGAGAAAATATGTACTAGGCTCGGGGCCAGGGGAAGTGGTCTCAACGCCAGGGACATTGACGCAGACGAGACCCAGCCCACCGTTCCCCCTACTACATAAATTGTGGTCCTGCAACCTCAGGCCTACCTAAGCCCATCTAGGCCTAGCCCATAGGCTGTCCAATAGGCCACACAGGCCTTGCCGAAGTCTAATAGTGAACGCCCACAGCCCCGAGAAAGAGAAGAGTACCCGACTTCACTTCTCACATAAGAGAAATATATAAATAGGTAACGTTACGCGGGCCACAAATTAATATGTATAGCGTTAATTATGGTTTATTCACTAGCATGCCTTATCGCGTTACTTATGGTTTATTCACTGTCGTTACTTATAAGAGAGGAGGCCTTGTACCGAGCGGGGTAAAGCTTACTTGTGTTCTTCCAGAATACCTACCTCGTTATAGCCGGCATTATTGACTAGTACGTCTACTTAGCCGTAAATTACTTATGCTTCTTTGGCCTTAGCGTTAAGCTCCTTATGAGGCCAAAACGTCGAGCTCTAAGGTTGCTGCGCTAGCTTCTTTAAGAAAGACCAGTCGATCTACGCCAAAAAGACCGTTGCTGGGACATGCTGTTTGGATGAATCGGTCATCCTAAGGAATGTGAGTGAGTTGAGCAGATATTTTGCTGTGCTCAATTTGGCATACCTTATCAAGAATAGCTCGAACAAAAGTTTCTCCCAGACCGGACGAGCATTCGGTGACAAGCCGAGTCAATTTTCCAGGCACGGTGAAACCAGTGGTCTCGCTATGGGAGTTGTGAAGTGAAAATAATTAAATAGAGATTGGAGATGAAAATTCCTGCCCCGCGTCGCTGTTATAAATGTGTTCAGTGATCTGCCTTATTGGTTGCCTTAGAAGGCGTTGTATGATACGATGATTCTTGATCGAACCGTTTTCTTTACTGGGAGGGTGAAATGTAATTTATACATTGTACTGTTTTCCAGGTATTGGCCCCATCAAACCCAACAAGCCTGGCGAATAGCTCCACTTTCACAGGCCTTACGGGCTTTTCTTGGCAGGCCTGCTAAAGTCTAGTTAGAATTAGGATACCCAAAATCCGTTTAGCAAGAATGGATTATACTCTAACTACTGATTTGAGGTGAGCTTTTTCAAAATTGGAAAACTTCATCGGGTCTTAAGTTGAAGATGAATATAAAGACATAACCCTCCTGTTCCTGTCCTCATGATTATGGCGTCACGAAGCCAATTTGTTGGAGCACCTGTATTTATGGTATTGTCCTGTCACCCTGATACGCACTACTCATGCATTAGGGTTAGACCTGTATCTATAGTATTGGGTCGTGACCCACAGAACTCCACAACAATACAACTGAGATACACATGCAACAACAGGTTATGAGCCCTCAATTTGCTCATCATGGATAGTGAATCAGGACATCCAAAGCTCATTCGAACAAACTATCATTCTTGGAGACTGGACGCCGAAGTCCAACTCACCGGCCTGGGAGCACTAGGCATCGTCGAAGGCACCGAGCCTGTGCCCGAAGTCCCCTCCACATCACGAGCAGCCGAACTCACAAATTATAGCCAGAACGCTAAAGACTACCGACAAGCTCGAGAAAAGGCGATACAATGGATCTGGAATCATATCCACAGCGACTTTCACAGCATCGTTGCAGCTGTCCGTCGAGACCCGCGAGCCATGTGGCTCGAATTGGAACGTCGACTAGGAGGACGAAACAACTACAATATCTGGGCTGTACGGCAACAACTTGGGAGTGAATCCTTCAAAGAAAACGATACCATTCAAACTTGGTCCGCTCGTCTCGATACCTACAATCAACGCCTGATCGGAACCGGATCTGAGCTCTCCGAACTAGAGAGAATCGCCAAATTGCTCAGTACACTTCCCAAACGCTTCGAAATCACAGTCTCTCACATTCAACGAATCCCCAACCTCGACTACCAGACTGCTTTACAGCAACTACTCGACTTTGAAAATCAACTACCGGTCGGCGCCGCAAATGGATCTGGAATGGCACTGATCACTGAAAACCGACCCCGAAGACCATTCCAATTACGACGAGGAAGAGGCAGTCGATATAGACCATCTGAACCATACCGTCGAGAACATAGAGTCGAAAATCCTCGGCCGACAGTATACTGCTACCACTGTGGACGAAGAGGTCACACTAAGTCAAAGTGCTGGGAACTTCAACGTCGTGAAGAGGAAGACAAGCAAAACCAAGCACGACTATCTCGAATACCTCGCGGCACAAATTACACGGCAGAGGATGCTGCGACCTCATCTACAAATCCAACTCAACAACCATCCCGATCCGATGCGAACTATATGGAAGACGGGTTTGCTCACATGGCAAGCCATGATGCATCATCCACAAACGAATGGATACTCGATTCTGGAGCAAGCCATACAATGACTCATACAAGATCAAACCTCACCCACTTCAAAAGATTTCACCAACCTCGCCAAGTCATCATTGGGGATGGATCGCATGTAAAAGCACTCGGAAGCGGCACTCTTCACATACGGACAAACTTGGCTTCTATTGATCTGAAGGAAGTCTGGTGGGTGCCTCACCTTAGCACAAATCTGATATCCGTGCGTTCCTTGGACGATATGGGACTAGAAGTCATATTTGCTGGTGGCCAATGCAGGATCCAACGCGACGGTAGATCGCTTGCTACTGCAAGTCAAATCCGATCGAATCTCTACCAACTTAATCTGCCCGCGTCCGCATTTAATGCCAAATTCAACAATTATCATCCGATCACAATCTGGCACCAGCGGCTTGGACATCTCAATTTGAAGGACGTGTCAAAGATTACCCGAATTCAACTACCAAAACAACTCTCTCGATGTGCCTCGTGCATGGCTGGGAAACAGCATGCTGTGTTTAACCGAAACCCTCAAGAGAGAGCTACAAAACCATTTGAGTTCATTCACTCCGACCTCAGCGGTTTGCTGCCTACTTCTCTAGGCGGTTATCGATACTTTCTCGTTTTCGTGGATGACTTCACGCGATACACCCACACCTACTTTCTGAAGGGTAAAAGCATGACGGAAACCATTGAAGCCTTTCGTGCCTACCACACATGGATCAAAACTCAGTTCGGCGCGGTCGTTCGCAGAATTCGCACCGATAATGGCACTGGAGAATTTGCCAACCAGTATTGGCACGATTATATGATCAATGAAGGCATTCAACATGAATTCAGCCCTCCCAGTACTCCACATATGAACGGTGTGAGCGAAAGAACAATCCGGACTCTCAAAGAGATGGCGAGGACTATGCTTGCAGGAGCGAACCTGCCAGATCGCGAAGAATTCTGGGGCGAAGCCGTGGCGACTGCCACGTACATACGCAATTTATCCCCCTCCCATGCATTTAATGGTAAGGTACCGCTGATTGGCCTTTACCCAAACTTGACTCCTAGGTATAATCACCTTAAACCGTTTGGCTGTTTAGCCTATGTTCTCGTCCCACCCGCACAGCGTTCAACATGGCAGTCACGCACAAGAAGATGCCTGTTCATGGGCTATATCCATAACACAACAAAGGTCTGGAAGGTATATGACATTGAAACAAAGCGAACATTCAATACTGGTCAAGTGATATTTGATGAAGAACAGTTTCCAGGAATCCCCATTGAATCCCAAAACCTGCAATGCCATCCATCCTGGCAAGTTGAAGGCCCACATGCTGTGGCCAATATTGTACAATCCAGTTTCCGAGACCTCCATCTTGAGGTTATCAAGCAAGAACCGGAACTGTTGAATTTCAAGATCTGTGGGATTGAGCCACCACAAGACTATCATTCATGTGACCCCATCATACCTCCACGCGCAACTGCTCTTACCGCTCAACGGAGTAGGGAGGATCTATCTAAGGGCGGCGCGGAGCCGAGCGCAGTGAAGAAGCCAGCTGGCAGGCTCCGAGTGGACGTAGCAGGCGATCCACTGGATTATCACACTGCAATGCAGGTGGATCCCGTCAATTGGTCTCGCGCCATACGCGATGAGTTTTCCGCGCACCAAAAGAATCAGACATATGAAATTATCCCCTTACCCTTGGATAAGACTGCGATTGGCTGCAAATGGGTGTTCAAGACAAAGTACAATGCGCAAGGGGACATGCATTTTAAAGCTCGCCTGGTTGCAAAAGGCTATGAGCAAGAATATGGAGTACATTATCAAGAGACGTACGCACCTGTTGCAAGGTTAACGTCCATGAGGCTCCTGTTAGCCCTCGCTGCCTGGTTTCAGTGGGAGGTAGAGCAGTTAGACGTGGTCACTGCTTTTCTCAACCCTCATTTGTCAGAAGAAATCTATATGGAGCCACCAGAAGGCATGGAACTTGAAGCTGGAAAAGTTCTGCGTCTGAATCGGACGCTCTACGGTTTGAAACAATCCCCTTATGAATGGTACTCTGATATGCACAAGAAGCTAATGACTCTTGGATTCCGTCGGTCAACCGAGGATCCCAACATTTATGTCTCAACACTCGTCCAGTGCATTTTACTTCTTTACGTTGATGACATCCTTCTTGCTGGTCCACAAGGTCCTGTCTCGCAGATCAAACAGGATCTCATGAAACTGTATCACATGAAAGACCTTGGGAAAGTGTCCCTCTTTCTGGGCATGCAGATCGAACGAGATTCACATCGAATTCGCATTCATCAAAAGCGTCATATTGACAAGCTATTGGAGCGTTTCAACATGTCAAGCAGCCACGGGATCACGACACCCCTCTCCATCAAGAACGATCTACATGAAGCTCGAGACAATGACAAGATTCTCGACTACGACGACAGAAAGCAGTACCAAGCGATAGTGGGAGGTCTGATGTACCTTATGACGGCGACTCGTCCGGACCTTGCTTTCACCCTATCACGTCTATCCAAGTTCAATGCGAAGCCAACGGCAAAACACATGGAAGCTGCCAAGCATGCTCTACGGTACATCAAATACACAAGTGACATAGGCCTAGTCTACGGCGGAAGAGATACCGAGCTATATGGTTACACCGATTCCGACTTTGCTGCGGACGTCGACAATCGAAAATCCACAAGTGGATACGTGTTCCTCCTCAACGGCGCCTGTGTTCATTGGCAATCAAAACAACAATCACTTATTGCTCGATCCACTCATCAAGCCGAATATGTCGCGATGGCGAATGCCAGCTATGAAACCAGTTACCTTCGACGCCTAATTGCAGACATCCATCCGGACTGCCACCCTACTCATCCCACAACCCTATATGCAGACAATCAGAGCGCGATCATAACAGCACAATCAGGCCGCGACGTTTCCCCTCGATCAAAACACATCGACATCCGATACCACATTACACGAGAAGCACTTTCCAATGGCATCCTTCGACTCGAGTACATTCGCACAACAGAGATGACAGCAGATATTCTGACAAAGGCACTACCTCGTGAACTGCATGAGAAACATATTTTATCAATGGGCCTTCGGAAAGGATTTGCTTGAGGGCGAGCACTCTTTTTGTCCTGCGACCGGTGATTTTACTCTTATCGAGAGAAGTTTACACACGATCGAGGTTTTTGATGAGGCTCGTAAAGGAAGCCAGACTACGAGTGGGAGATCCTGTCTATGCGATGATTAGCGCGTAGTCAGGCTGAGTGGGAGTGTTGGAGCACCTGTATTTATGGTATTGTCCTGTCACCCTGATACGCACTACTCATGCATTAGGGTTAGACCTGTATCTATAGTATTGGGTCGTGACCCACAGAACTCCACAACAATACAACTGAGATACACATGCAACAACACAATTCCCGGGTCAAAATCGCGCTAGGCCGTATCGGGCCATCCTCCCAATAAAGCCCGATCAAATTGTCGACTCGACCGATATGGGTGATGAGTAATCTATGTAGCGAAGCTTCGAGCCTAGCGCGCACCATTGGGCTTACAGCAATCTGACATTGGATTTTCCATTTCTCAAATCGCGTATAGCATGCCACGTATGCCATTTACAAGAATAGCAAGGATTTGAGGCTATAGCTACCTTCTCTGCCGATCCGTCAACTACTACGTATCCCAAGCATCATGGTTGCTCTAACAAAGGTCCATTCATCAAATGAAGCCATTTCAAAGACACTTTTACCGGACATAGTGGCTGTATTTGTTGGTGCAACCAGCGGAATCGGTAAAGCGGCCCTTCTTCACTTTGCACAGCACACCCGACAACCGCGCATCTATTTTGTTGGTCGCTCACAGCAAGCCGCCGATGACATTCTAATACAGCTTAAGGGATTCAATGCGGATGGCCAATATGAGTTCATCAAAGCCGATGTGAGTCTGCTTAATGTTGTCGATGAAGTCTGCTCGAAGATCCGCAAGAAGGAGACACGGCTCGATATTTTATTCCAAAGCCAAGGCACTCTGGACTTAAGCACCGGTAAATTCCCGAAATGCACTGTAAATAAATGACCGCCCACTGATAATTAATTGCTGCACAGAAACAACAGAGAAACTTTCTCTCATTATGGCTCTCGCCTACTACTCCCGCATGCGCTTCATCGCCAATTTGCTTCCAATGCTTCAACACTCGTCATTCAGTCGAGTAGTGGTCGTTCTGGCAGGAACTAAAGAAGGACCTGTCAATCCCAACGATATACCGGCAAAGAGAGTTTCACCCTGGAAAGCGCGCGGTCATCTTTGTTCGATGATCACTCTGACGCTCGAACATTTTGCAAAAGTAGCCCCTGAAGTAAGCTTTGTTCATGATTATCCCGGATTTGTGAACACGCCGCTTTCACAATCGACGAAGGGGGTAACAGGGGCTATTATGAAATCTCTTTTCCGGGTTACAAGTCTCTTCTCTACGAGAGAATATATTTCACTCGACGAAACAGGTGAAAGACATGTTTATCTGGCGACGAGTGCGAGATTTTCGTCAAAGAAACCGATTCCTTTGCCATTGCGGGATAGTTCTATACTGCTAGATGAGGTAGAGATCGCTATTGGCAGTGATGGAGCTGTTGGAAGTGGTGTCTACATCGTGGATGAGAATTGTGAGAGTGGCGATGCAAATGTGCAGCGGATTCTGACAGCTCTCAGACAAGATCGAGTAGATGTAAAGATATGGGAGCACCTGCAGAAAGAATTTCTGAGGACCACTGGGAAGAAATCAATAATGGGGGAGCAGTAAATGATGAGATGATACACAAGGGGCAAGTTGATCAGGGAAACGCGCATGAAAGTAGGTTATCTAAAGCTTTAATTATAAGTCTAAGTCAGAGACTTTGCTGGAACAACATGATTATAGTGCGACCCCGGTCAGGGCATCTTCCACAAATAAACGGTCGTTACAAGACTTCCAATCTAAGCCTTTATGATAGAAAAAGATGATTCATCTTCATTGATTCGTAAATTTTCTACAATTGAATCAATTTGATGGATAGCAGACTACCAAGGATAGGTTCCTTCGTCTAATCTCTGTGTCATCGAAGTGTCTTGGAACAAGTAATCCATACCCGATGCTACAGAATGGAGAAACTGCTCCGTACAGCCCCTCCAGCTATTATAGATTATACCTATACTTAGCAATTGTAGAGTTAGTAGATAGTTATCTTAGCCTTATTGGTGAGGCTAAGATAACTATACTACACGTAGGGTATTAAGTATATATCTATAACCATCGCTAGTCTTCTTCATTACCCAAGTCTACCCGGACCTAACCTGACCCAGTACCCAATTGGGTCGCAAACATAGCAATAATCCCAAGCTTTTTGATACAGTATATTTATAGCATGTTTAAGGGCTCTATATATATGAAGTTTTATGATTTTACTAGCGAATTCTGGGCCATTTCATGTGTACAGATCTAGCGATTATTTCTTGATCGGCTCTACAGACCAAGGGGGAATAAAGAAAATAGAAAAAGAGAGACCGGTAAGAATACAGAAACCAGCCCAATACCGCGCATCTAGTAAATCAGAACCAAATTCCAAGCCCAAGCAAGTATTGTCGGGTTCTAATACATGAGAAGCATGTGGATGATGATCAGCCAAACGCACCAAAACTTATAGCTCAACTCGTCTACAGACATAGAGCGGAGATTGGGCGTTCGGTAGGCAATCAAAGCACCAGGAACGAGGAGAATAAGGTATCCAAAAGATTCGAGACACCAAATTCGCGGACAAATAACAGACTAGAGAATCACTCCCACCGCAACTGAGAAGCGCGCGACTTGATCACCATAAATGATCGGGAAAGTACGTCTACTGCGGGCAGTATCGCCCTCAGTATCTGGGATGCCCTGGATCTGAAGAGTACTGAAAACAATGAGACCAATTATCCCAGGCCACATAAACCATTTGTGTTCAGCTGCCATTCGCCGTATCCAGCGGCAATAGCTTTCGAGCCAGACCCATGGCAGATGAAGCCTGCAGCACTGATGACATTTCTAAGAATGCAATCCTCATCTGCACCGCCCAGATAATTGTACATCCAGGTCAGGATGATCATTTATCTTGTTTCGCGGAACCCTCCAATCAGACTCGATATCCCGATTCCCACCGGCAACAAGAATAGGAGAAGTGGTCTGGCTTCATGTCTGGCTTCATCGTGATACATTCTCTTGGAAGCGATTGGGCGTCATGACTTATTTAAAGAATCCTCAAGCATTGAGCTGGGTAACCGTTAGTTTGCGACGTTGAATGTCACGAGGTTGAACTAGTTCTAGAAGTCATGCTAGGATGATACCTAAGACAGGGTTTGCATTATTCGTCAAAAGTGTTCTTGTCAAAGTCTGGAACAGTCCCATAGCGGTCTGAGGATATAGGATAAATTTGAAGTCGTTCTTGGTAAAGAGAAAAAGGGTGTACAAATGATACCCCCAGCTTCGATCCTGGCGATTGAAATAGCAGCGGTCAGATCATTCAAAATTAAAAGATCACCTGGAATGTCTTGCTCATGTTTTCGGAATACACTTTGATCTGGGATGTGAAGTGCACCGTGCAACTCTGATCAAGCGGACTCCAAAAGATGGAGCGATGAAGTAGATTAGTTGCAGTAGCTGATGATACTGTCCTCTGTATTTTCATTCATAGCCCTTGGGGGACGCAGCAAACTGACTTTGAACACTCGTCAGGCTCTTGCCAGATCATATACGCTTGTCAGTTCAGCCAACACGGAGCTCAATATCTGGGGTTCTGATGGCAAGAATTACGGATCTATGCCATTTCGGGAAGCTCAATTTGACATCGTTATATCGCCCCCCACAGATATGGCAGAATTTTGTTGAACTCGAGTAATGATGAGCAGTGATTGTATGATCTACAAGCTTCAAGGCATAGACTGTACAGAATGCACACATCCACGGAGTTGGGATCGGGGGCGGCTGTTCACAACAATACTCGAAGAGGTGAGGCGATACGCAAAATTACAAGTATATTACCAGTATCGTCGCTCCCGGGTATATGACCTATCAGATGTCATTTTGCACTAGCGGTTTTTGAACCTGCAGCGTCAATGGGGGCCAACATTCTATTGGTCTCTTAATATCCCTGGCTGGCGCTTGAGCGTTCTGTTGATGTCACTACATTCGCCGATAATAGTCACAGGTGCTTAGGTTTCCGCCTTTAAGCCTTGCGATCCGCAAACAGGAATCAAGCCAAGTCTATTGAACATTTAACTCTGGCAGGGGCAGTGTTTGTTCAACGGATCAACCATTTCTCAAAAGATAGATTTACTTTGCCAAATTGCGCGGCTCTAAAGCTCATTATGGAATTATCTTTTAGGATTAAATATCTTCTTCATGTCATAATCGAAACTGCCATTCCCGAATATCTGGAGAGCTAAAAATTTTTACGAATGGCTACTCTGTTAACTATGCTAACCTACTTTCAGCCCCCAAATCCGTAAATTCCGCCCCCAACCTGGGTGTGGTTACATGCATCGTCATTTAACTAACGCGGCAGGGATCGGCAGTGAGGACTTTGGAGGCGAGTAGCGGCCATGTGGTCAGAATCCCCGAAAATCTGGAGATAAATTATTAATGGTGGTAGCTCCAAGAATACTGGAAGGTAGAGAACAGTCACTTAGAAATTTGAGAGCAAAGGACTGTGCATAATATATCACATAGTAACTAACCCTTACATGAACGTACTTATATAATAAATTGTTCTGACCACATCGCCGCTACTCGCTTCCGTAGGGGACTAAACAAAGCCGGGGATATTATTGTCATCCGTGGAATACAGGATACGCCAACCTGAAATACCCTTTCATTGACACTTGTTCATTATAAAGCCATTGGTCCGTCCTTCTCCAAGTAATTTATATATGCAGGTTGCATGAATACATTCATTATGAATTGGCGAGAAGTTTCCCTGGTCGCTTTGAACGCCTCTTTGACTCCATTGAGAGTTTCTACCGTACCATCGCCGATGCAGGTGCCCTCCTGAACAAGCAATACTACCTTATTTCGGGCACCCAGCAATTCAAGACTCTGCCCCCAGTGGAAGATGTTCAAAATGCATGAAGAGCTCTTCGACGACGTTACCCACAAATCGCGGCCATAGCAGATGAATGGCGCCCGATTCTGCAATACTGTTCCTTCGAAGGCAGATTTAGCGGCACTGTACGATACAAACAAAGAAATAATTCGAACATGCCTCACCAAAAGAAGCTTCTCCTGGCTGATTCGCGAGAATGTGCTCGTATTTATCATCTTTCATAATTTTACTAACCAACATAGTGCATGCCAGTGATATCCCCCATATCGTTGAAGAGCGGCCTCTTATCCGTACCATCAACGCGGGAAGTGTACACCCCCCCCATGAGATCACTGAAATAGAGGCGTTGATTTTGTGGATCTAAGCATAAGCCAATGGCTTCATGCAGCTTGCGCACCAAGATCTTCGGAGGGGGAGATGCTTTTCCGTCGCTCGCTATATCCATGTTGAGAGTATTCACCGAGTTTCCAAATGGTATATCGCCGCGGTCAGTCCAATAAATGATGTTTTTTACGAGATCGATGGCCAGGTCAATCGGTTCCGGTAGATTGTCAAGTAACACCTCTACCTCGGGGGACCGAGTACAGAGTTCGGTGTCGATATTGAGACCGGTGCGCAAAAGTCGTCCTTGGTTCCCCTTCGAGGGTCCTTTTTGAGTCCAGTAAAGCTTGCCCCTATCCTCGTCCAGAGCGATTCCCACGCACCAATTCCGGGGATCCTTGCGATCGTCCTCTGTAGTTCCTGCACGATACAACACTTCAACATTGCTTCCATCCTTGTTCGCGCGCATGATTCTCATTCCTTGTCGGTCGCACCAATAGACCTTCGCGAAATGTTTTGATAAGACAATTTGCTTCGGAGTGTGAGTGACTCCTTTCGGGATGATTGTTGTGATATTTTCGCCAGATAGGTCGCACCGCTGGATAGAGCCGTCATTGGCCGCAGCTTGACCCATGTTGGTCCAGTAAATGTGCCTTTCGTGGAAATCAACAGTAATGCCGTCTGGAAAGTCTTGAAGCCCGGTGACAAGTTGGCGAAGGTCGGATCCATCGGAGGCGCAGGATAGGATTCGACCGTTGTAATCAGGAGATGACGACATTCCCATGTCTAGAAAATATATTCGGCTGGTTACCGTCATGGCGAAAGAAAGTCCTGGCGTAATTTGAAGTTGTAGACGGGAAAACTATCCAGTGCTTAATTGTTGGCCAGAAGCAGATTGCTTGATGATGACAACTGAAGTCCACGGAAATTGTGGTTCTGACTTGAACGAAACTCTTCGGGGTCAGCTCTTTATCTGTTATGAAGGAATAAAAAGATGAAAAATTACTTCGGAAGAGTCATGCGTTGCGGGCCGGCTTAGATTGAATATATCCGTATCAGTTCGGGATACCGGGCAATCTGCCCGTGACCCGCTGGTTTATAGATGTCATTCAAAAGACTCATTTCTCCACAAATCCGCCCCGCTCAATCAATCAATCAACCAATCAAAGTTCTATCAACCTGATGGAGCCTACATAGTTGCGTCAAGATATGCAGGCGCTTGGTCCGCATCCGAAGCAAGACCTTGGTCCGTAAATCCAGACAAGCGGTTCGCAATAGACAGTCGTACAAAGGAAATCTGGCCTTCCGCGGAAGGCCGGTACAGGAAGGAGTGTTGTAATTCCAAGGCCGACGCATAATATAACCCATACAGAGGTATTTTCATAACGTTAATCCCCACTTTATCACACTCAAGTGAGGTGAAGGCGAGACCATTTTCATCAAGCTTTGATCAAAATGAAGTCATATAATGTCGTACATGGCTTTAAAATATCAAGTCAGAAATTGCTCGAGATAACGTGCTTTCTGTTACTGTGGCTATGTTCCACAAATACTTTTGCGCAAAGCGTATCTTTGCCACCTGCTTGCAATTTTCGCCTAGAAACTTGTCAAATTTTGGCTCTTCCGTTCGTGGAAACCACCGATTTAGTAAGGACAATCCGAGCCGCCTAAGATGCCTTCTTGGACACATTTGATACGATTTCTATACGTAGAAGACGGCCAATTGCACCTCGACCTCGACCAGTTGATGGACATAACTCGCGATGTTGGTTAAGAAAGCGCCAATGGACATGATGTCGCAGCGCTCGATTGACGGAACCATTTTTGATGGCACAGCAACCAATCAAGTCATGCACGTGAAGTAGGTAGGCTTCTTGTTTTTTGCACATTTGCTCGAAGGACATTGTAATTCATTGACTCAGTTACTGTCACGAATCTCGCGAGCAGACTGCAGCTACATCCGATGTATGGGTTTTAAATACACAGATCACGCAGATGAAAGTATAATCCATTTACCGCTAGGTACCACGAGTGCAGTGACGCAATGGGTTCGGATTAATGTGAGTAAAATCAAGGAACCCAATTTACCTGTACCCGAATTCCCAATTTTTATCACCAAGCCATATACGTTTTCATTGGCCCCGAGCTTTGTGCTGTGGCCGCCAAATCAGCGCGGAGCGTTGCTGAAGAAGATGCACTGGACTATTTATACCGACAGTCGAGTATACCGCTTCCAATGACGTGTCCGCACGACGCCTCCAAAAGGCTCCTACGGAGTGGTATTGTTCAAAGGGCCTTGATGGAAGTGGTCCAGTGGGTCAGATTTTTTTATATAATCCTCTGCCATGAGGTCAACACTAATAAGAGCGGTCCAGGCTCTGTATTGGTCGCCCCATCTATAGTGACACAGCGGAAAGAATCGACACCCCCCTATAGATACCCATCTTACCGCCTTGGGAATTCTCACCGCCTATACAGAAACGCGTTAGATCTAGTGCCTGTCCAACACGTTGGCCGCGAGTACCTTATGTTCTACCAGCTAGCATCGGGTTGAAGCGCTTACTGAATGCCAGGGCTAGTATATGCCATACTAGCCATAGTATAAAGAATTGAATAGGGGGTTTAGTCTGACAAAATATCATGTAATAAATATATGAATCCAGAGGGGTGTCAATACTTTTGCTGTGTCACTGTATGATCAAAAACCCGCGTTATCTTACAAGAAGGGCCATTCTTAACAGCACCACCGTGCAGAATGGGAATACGGAAGATTCCTTACCTTTCACATGGCACCACCTTACAGGCCGGCACCATTAATCTGACCGGAACGTCAGCGGCCATTGGCAAACCCGCTAGCCAAGAGTAGTCCTCGACCGTAGCGATCAGATTTCAGTCAAGATTGATCAGATTGGGATACTACTGAGCAAGGTACTATAGGGAGATAGTTGATCTAGTAAGTCTCGATGATTGCAATATTGGGGAATCTGTCATATTTTCTGATCAACGGCAAATTCGATGACAGAACTTTGCAATTGGAGGCTATCTCAGCGGTAATAAAAGTCAAGCTGAGGTGTTGTTGAAGTACTTGCTAGCGGTATTCGTCCCGCCACCCTAAGAGACACTGTTCATGCATCAATAGGCTTACACCTATATCTATATTCGTCCTTGGTCCGTATGCCAAGGATATTGACGACCCTCCCAATATGCTACATATGCGATATAGTCTTCCTTTGGAGGAAGCAGTAAAAAGCAGTAATACATTGACAAATAGTCGACATTGACAATTCTGTTAAATCCAAGATTGTGTACTGTTAGATAACAAGAAAACTGTTATCATTGCAAAAATGCCGCTGGCACCTCGGGACCCCACACAGCCAAAGACGCGTCACCAGACAAACCATAACCGACCGGTGTTTTACAGTTGACGATGTCACCATCTGCGTAGTGTTCAATCATGTTCCCAGTGGTGTCCCACCAGTAATCGAAAATTTGAGATCCGAGAATGTGACGACCAACTCCCCATACGGACTCGTAACCTTTCTCGGCAAGCCATTGATGACCTAATTTTTGAGTATCAAAGTCATGCACTTCAAACGAGCAATGATGAACATGCGGAGTATCGTTGGCGTTGAGGAATATGCTATGGTGATCCACATAGTCCTCCCCACGGTCGATGTGCGCGAACATTGCAACATTCTGCTTTTGCCCTTCCTTCTCCGTGTACATGAAGTCAGAGGGCACTATGTTGAAAGTGGTTGTGTAGAAATCCACGAGTGCTTCGAAATTCTGGGTACAGAGCCCATAATGTCCAAGCTAGCAGTTTTATCAGTCATGATTCTTCTGAGGCATGGAAGGAAATTTGGCTGACAAACCTTGTGCACGGCAGCAGGGCCAGGAGTGAATCTTTGAAATTTGCGGACTCGAGGCTTTTCGTTCTCAAAGTTGTAGATAAGTTTCGGAGGGTCCTCAAGGGAGCTAGATGGCGACTGTCCCCAGATCAAGTTGATAGGAAACCCATCGGGATCAGTTAAAGTCACAAGGTAGCCACCGCCGGGGGCTTCAGTTAGTTCCTGGATCTCACTGGCTGAGGGTAACCCTGCTCCTCTGGTGGCTCGTCAGTAAAATCCAATTTAGACGGGAAGTTGTCTTCGCCATACTTTTCCAGATCCTGATATGTTTCCACCAAGAACGTGCCCCCAAGGAACTTCTTAGGTCCTTTTCGAGCGTAGTAAACGTATGGATCTGGGCCATAACCGGAAAACCAAATCTGGTCTTCAGTCTTTCTAGCAATCTGCATACCGAAATCTTCATAATGTCAGACTTTGCCCACGCTTAAAATAATTGCAACTCCTTATTGGCGGTTAAATGCATACCGTGAAGGAAGGTGGTGATCAACTCAAGATCGGGATGCTGGTACCGCATGTGAACGAGCTTGACCAAGCGAATTTGCTTATCGGTTTTGATGCCGCAACGTTGCCGCCAAACCTCTTGGGACTCTTGTTCATCTCCCATGGCACGAACATCAGGGACTGAGTCCCCATGATTTGCCTCAATTTGAGGTTCGGATGACTCCTGCGATTCTCGTTAGCGACAATGCAACTTCCGCATCCCAGATGATAATCCGCACCATCTGATCCATAACTCGATATTTGAGCCGAAAAAGCTTCTAGTGAGCTTGCTGGTAAGTGAAGAAAGAGACTTCAAACGAGGAATTCAATAAAAACGCACGCGGACTTCCCTCTTCACACCGACGCTTTGCGAAAAGAGCCCCCATAATAACTCGTTCAAATATACCGCGGTAGCACTATTACATGTCGTCATCGCAGTTGAGACCACAAGCTTATGGGAGAATTATCCAGTTTACTGGATGTTTCCGGTAGAAACCTCCGTAGAACCGAGGAGGCAACCTGCGGGGAATGTCCCACCGGATATAGAGAAACAACCGACCATCTTGGTGGACGACTTTCTGAGCCAATGGAGTGTTTTGAAGGAGGCCGAGACGCGTCTTTAATGGCGAAAGATCTTGTACAAACCCCAATAATTGAGACTGTCTATAGAAGAGCGTCATAGCTGTAAACCTTTTTGGAGGCGGTGGATTTGGGCCCACAGTCGTACGGAAAATCGGATGCGCTGATCACTCCCAACGATCTGGTAAGAAGCAATAGAATTCGGACGAAATTTGCTAGGAAAATCGAATCTTAGTTTGAAATGTAAGTAATACATGAGATATTGAACGATCTTTGTGTCCTCTATGCTCAATTATCATGTCATTATTTTGTTTATATTATGAGAAAATAAAAAAAATAAAAAAAATAAAAACAAAAACAAAGAAAAGAATAAGGTGTTTAGTATGCATTCGGGCCCATCTAGGATTCTCCGTGCTGCCAGCTCAGGAGCCGCGACGAATGTTTGAACAACCAATCTGAGGCCAGACATTGAAAAATGCGGTGACGCCATCGATTTGATGGGCCCACTGGGCTGCGTCGGAGGAATACTGGTTACCCTTGGTCATTTCTCTGGGGTGGGCTTCCGTAAATCCGCCCTGTGGGATCCGCCGTTCCTCGGCGTTGTATGAAGAACTCCAATCCTAAATATAACATGCTTTGCTATCTCTTCACAGCATTGTTCATCTTTTTTTAAACCTGTTCCAGCGGTCAAGTGTTGAGCTTTCTGCCTTCTTATCTATTATTTTTTTCTCTCTTTGCGCGTTTCAATCTCTGAAAAATGAACACAAAGGACGAACCGGAGACCGTTGATGTGGTGATTTGCGGATGTGGCCCGACCGGGGCGTTGTTAGCAGCCTATTTGGGCAAGTTGTCGATCCCCCATATCGTGCTTGACAAAGAGAAAGAGATCACGACGGATCCTCGCGGCATTGCACTGGACGAAGACGGAATTCGCCTTCTCCAAGGTATAGGTCTTTATGAACACATCTATACCGATATTGGTCATTGTAATATATCTCTTCCTGGAGCGTCTTATGCCCACATTGTTTTCTGACTTACGACTCGCATAGGCATGGACAGTTTCAAGTTCATTGGAGGTACTGAAACGTGTTTGGGACAAGCTCCTTTCTTGACTTTGGATTATAGCACAGTGAGTTACGCTAATGCAGAACAATGTGGTATTCATACTCATGCCATACCCAACTAGACCGAAGGTGGCACAGGGCATGTCGGATTCATTTGTCACAATCAACCGCGACTCGAAAAGCATTTGCGGGAAGCAATGACGTCTTCCCCATTTTGCAACTTGAGAGCCCAATCCGCCGTCACCAATATTTGGGAAGAAGATGATTGGTCTTACTGTGTCTACAATGATTCGGAGGGGGTTGACCATGTCATTCGCTCAAAATACTTCGTCGGCGCCGATGGGAAAACAGGATACACAAGAAAGAATTATTTGGAGCCGAAAGGCATCGTGATGGAGCGATCCACGGAGTATGCCATCTTTATTACCGTGCATGCATCGTGATTGTATCACTAATGATTAATAACGCAGGACATTGTACGATGAGACGTGGGTGGCTCTCAACTGGCATATTACACTACCGACACCAATCACTCATCCAGATTTCCCTTTGTGGACTTTGGGTTACTCGCCAGAAGAAGTGTACGATCTGTTTTTCCCCAGAGGCCAGTCTTTCTTGTGTAATCCACAGCGGCCAGCTGTGTGTGGACGGTTTGGATTACCGTCGGATCGACTATGGCGTTTTGAATTTGTTGTTCGCAAGGAAGAAGATGGTGATTTGATGGCCACCAATGAAATGGTCGAACGTGTTGTATCGCCCTACTTCACGCACAAAGGCGACCGCTACAGGTTCGATTGGAACAAAATGTCTTTGCATGGTATCAGACCTGCTGACCTGGTAAAAGCTTGAATGAAGACGTGAAGTTCCCTAGCGACTGCATAAAAATCCTCCGATCGCGCCCTTACATGTTCTCAGCACGATGCTGTAATTCGTGGGCGCTCGACCGGGTGATCCTATGTGGCGATGCGGCGCATGTATTCCCTCCCTGTAAGTTTCCTGGTTGGGCGAATGAGGAACGTACGTTCTCCGGCACTGACATTGAGGTTTAGACGGTGGTCAGGGAATTGCATCCGGCTTTCGCGATGCTGCCTCGCTCGCCTGGCGCCTTGCTCTTTTGTGCCGCGACCGACCTTCAAAACAACCTCGCCACAAGGAAGTATTGTCAGGCTGGTTTTTGGAGCGTAAGCAGCAACTGGAAAACTCCCTTTCTTCGACGATTTGAAAATGGTCGATACGTAACGGAAGGGAATCCACTGAAGATCTTTTTACGTGACGTTTACTATACAATCGTTCAACAGGTACCTAGTTGGAAACACGCTGCGGAACTAGGCCGACGTCGGGAGGGAATGGTGCATTATGAGCATTTACCAGGCCTACCGTTTCTGCCGGACATGTTGGGCGGTATGTGCGTACCGCAGGTCTACTGCAAACGGCTCGAAGGCAATAAAGACGAAGTCTTGTTTACCGACGATGTTATCCTCCGACCGGAAGAAGGGGGTCTCTTTAGAATCTTCGGATATCTTAAGGACTATCAGGGACTCCAGTCGGCCAAAGCGATGTTACAGAACATCGAAAAAGTTTCAGGTGGAGAGTTCTGTGCATGCGATGTACCATTCATTATTGAATCGGGTCCTGGTTCTTCATATGATGCTTGCCAACAAGATGCCAAAGGCTTGAAAGGCCTTTATCAGATTGCAACCGGCGAGGATTTCGCCAAATCCCCTTTGTGTCGGCGAAGACCGGAGCCTCGTAATTTTGACCCCTACTATCTGGGGAAGAAGATACAGTTGAAACGATTTGTCGTGCTGAGGCCGGATCGGTTTATTTTCGCCGCTTGTGATACCCAGGAAGAGCTGGAGAGAGCGATCACAAGTGCTGTTGACTATTTGAAAGGGAAATGACTTCGATTTGACTTACGCACAGCGTAACTACGAGGCTCCATTGGCGCAGGTTTTGCAGCTCTGAATGTATATACGTTAATCCTTCAAGTACCTAATTTAGTGCCGCCCTTTTTTCTTATTTTCATACCATGACGCGCCTTTGTGAACTGTATTCTCACTATACCCACTCCCCTCCACCAAACAAAACCCCAAAATATACGAAAGTCTTTAGGATTCGCATGTGGTCCACCATATTAGTAACAGGCGTGTCGCTTAAGTATGGCTCAGCAGCCCTGGGTATGCCCTAGCTGAGATTGCTCGTATGTTGGTGGGTGGGTAGGAATGTAAAGAATAAATGCTTAATTGCCACTTCTCTGGTGAGCCCAGTGAGACAAGCTTCATGAGTCTGTTAGCACTTTCGAATACTATAGAGATGCTGATAACAGCATCTGTCTTCGTAGCTCCTTAGGTGAGACTTGGCCATTTCTTTTTGCCGATTATTCTCACAAATGGAAGAAGTATTCATATTGAATGGTATTGGTCTTGCGGAGATGTATGCATGTTTTCTTGGTTTTGACTAATTCGATGAGAATATCTAAAGTGTCGTCAGGAGGGTGCTTGGTTGATATTTGAATAGTATTACTACTTTTCATGAATGAACCCTAGTAGGATAAAAATTATTCTAATGGTCCCGAGCAAAATGTGAATGCATTTTTTCCCATTACGCCTAATTTTGACCTGGCCTTAACACAACATGCGCCCCCCAGCCGGTCAGCTTCCTCGCCGCCTCAAGTGCATCGTCGACAGATTCCAAGCCGAATTCCTTCGTTTGATGAATCCCCGCTTTAGTACCCAATGCAACAAGTCCCGACTCCACCATTTGTATGAACTGGAGGATTTGAGGTCGTGAATACATAAATCGACCCTGCAACCGTAGACTTTTGAACATGACTTCCAAATATGGCACCTTAATTTCCCCTGACATTCCTCCCATGATGACACACCTTCCAAACGAACGCAAGGCACCAACACCAGAAGAAAGCAACGAGCTGTTCGTCACGGCAGGCGGGCAAAAGTCGATGTATACATCTGCGCCATTCGAATTTCCAGCTGCGGCTTTAAACAGTTCAGTGTTGCGAGCAGTGTCTTCGGTAAGGACAACAGTTCTCAATCGACTCGTCGACGCATGGATCGTTTCCAGAGCTTGAAGCGCCGCAATATTCCGACCAGCAGCCACTACAGTAGCACCCATTGCAAGCGCCACAGCTACCGCTGCACCCCCATACCTCCCCGTAGCAGGCGCCACAATCACCACCTCACCAGGCTTAACATCAACTTCAGATAACCCACCGAAAGGAACGAGAAACACAGGTAGGAAACACAAGTCCGATATCTTATATCCCAGCTTCCTGAGTAATAGATCCTCATTCAGCGGATAAAGGTTCTCCAGAGGGAAACGCGCGTATTCTGCATACGTCGCATTCCTCCACTCCCCATCCATAAGCTTCTGTGCCGCCGGATATCCGCCTCCATGAATTCCATAAAGAATAGTCACAGATGGATCGTCGCGTGCTCGGATCGTGATGTCGCATAGTACCATCTGGCCCGGCGTGAGACGGACGGCGTCCGGTCCAACCTCGAAGACTCGCCCGATGGCAGTATTGCCAGGTGTCATAGGGAGAGAAAGTGGGTATGGACGAGAACCATCTAGCACTTCGCGCATGTAAGGAACAACATCGGCTGCTAGGATTTGAACGACTGCTTCGCCCGCTTTGGGGACTGGACGGGGCAGAGTTTCCAGGACTAGTGGTTTGTCGCGGGCGTGGAGCACGAGGGCTTTGTGAGTGGCCATTTTCAATTATCTGTATGTTTTACTGGTATTATCGGAGCAATAGAACTGCTTCATTTATAGCATCTTTGAAGTTGTACCAGCTTTCGGCTGGGGTTTAACTCCGTAAACGCCGGATGCATGACATCACTATCTGCTAGGGATGCAACTCCTATACCAAATGCGGGGGATATATACGGCATGGTATACAATCACTTAAGGTACAATCGATAATATTCGGAGCTTAATCGCCTCCGTGATCAATGATCGTAAAATTTGTTCGTAGAAAGGCTCATGTGCTGTTTGAATCTCCCATCTACAAATCTGTGACGGTGCAACTAGTGAGATGATTTGAAATTTGTGCAGTATTAATTGATATACGAAGTCTCAATGACTAGGCTTCTAATCATGGTGATTGCATACTCAAAGCATTGAATCTTTCTACATCATAGAGAAACATCTTCCGTCCAATCAGAGCTCTCTACCCCTCAAAGTGGGCCGCTTCAAGTCCGGGATCTCCCTTAAATCCGTGGTTGTTTCAAATAGGTGAATTGTGATTATGATCAAATGTGCTCCTAGATCGGAACTTAAGTATCTACCGTAAGTTGAAGGTTAATTCCACAATCTTGGTGCCGCAGACGAAAAGTCAACAAAAAATAAACTTTTCTTGACTCACCGGCTACCATAATGTTATCACCGGGTATAAATTGCAAAGAAGTCTAAAATGAGAAAACCAAAGTCTCGAATTCACAAAAGTACATACAATCCCAACATTGAACCATTCCATCCCAACGTTCCAGAACGTAAATCATGAATCAAGAATGAAAACCTAAACCCTATTCGAAGAATACAACCGCACCGAAACCCCAGCATCGTGCATCATAGTCAAATTAGACTGCTTAACAGGCTCTTCATCCAACCCGAGTCTCGGATCAGCATTCTCAAGTGTATCAAAAGCCTGCAAAAGTCTAACAACCGTATAACTCGCCTCGGTAAGCGCATATTGCTCTAGATGAGATTAGCTTTATTCGGAAAAATCAATTCGTTGAATCAAAACTCACGCCCGAGACATATCCGAGGTCCACCGTTAAAAGGTAAATACTCCCATCCATGTTTAGCGTTCTCCTCCCACCGTTCCGGTCGGAAGGAGCGTGCATCCTTACCCCATAGATCTGTGCGGCGGTGCATGGCGTAGACGTTGTAAGAGCACATCGTTCCCTTCTTAATATAGATAGGGGATTGTTGGTCCGGTCCACCACCGACTGGGAGGGAGGTATTCTTCGTTGCGACCCGGAAGTTTATCGGGACCGGCGGTTGAAGGCGGAGGGCTGCGTTGTCAGCAGGAATTAAGTTCAAAGCTCAGGAGATCAACATACTTTCGTTGAGGACGTATCGGAGGTAAGAAATGTCTTTAAGCTTTGTGTGTGTGATCTCTTGTGGGTTCTTAGAATCCCCGAATACGTCGACGATCTCGTGACGGAGTCGGATAAAGACATTTGGATGCCGGGCGAGATAGTAGAATGTGGAGCTTAGTAGACTGGCTGTCGTATCACGCCCGGCGAGGAGGATGTTCAACATGTTATCGCGTAATATCTTCGGATCATCGGTGTCGGCGGCGAGTGCATCGAGGAAGATGTAGCGACTGTTATTCTTGCAGTCGGCATTACGCTTGGATTGTAGCGCGACGTTCACGTAGTGGTCGACTACTTCGTGGACTTGGCTGTTTGCTTCGCGGAATGCCTTTGGGTTGACGAGCCAGTAGAGTCCTTGGGCGCGTGCTCGAGAAGCGAGGTAGTCTTGCGCGATTGTGAATGCGTCGGCGAAGCCTTGAGCGTTGCGGACGGCGGATTTGGCGAGCACGCCGGTTGTTTCGGATTCGGGGAGCATGCAGCCTACTGATTCGCCGAAGAGAAAGTGGGTGGCTGAGTCGAGGGTTAGAAGGAAGAATAGGCGCTGGATATCGAATCCTGTTCTGTCTTTGGGGATGAGGTCGAGGAGGTGGTTGATGTGGTCCTCTAGGAGGGCTAGATCGGCGACCTGGGAATCAATTAGAATATGGGACAAATTTCATGGTACTTGATCATACCTGGTCTCTGGTAAATTGTGGTCGCAATAGTCCTCTGGCATGCGACCATCCCGCTCCATCTAGCGTAAAGATACCATCTCCGAGAAGAGGATAGAACTGCTCATGTCTGGTGCCGAGGCAAAAATCCTGGAATTGAGTCGCCAGGATAGCCTTCACATTGGCCGGTTCAATGGTCGTCATGATCTCTCGACCAAACATTCTTTGTCGGAAGGTATTTCCATAGATGGAATATTGATTGGCTAAATAGTCGATCCAGCGCTTTTCACGCACGGCTTTACTCAAACGAATAAACGCCAGAATACCGAAGAAGTTGGACGAACCGGTCGCACAAGGTTGACAATGCAGGGATTTAGATTGTTTACGATGTTGGTGTAACTGAACAAGGTAACGCAAGACCAGGAAGGTCGCATATAATGCACCAACCACGAGGACAGGACTGAGTGACATATCGAGATCTTCGATATCATGAGATCTGAGGTGAGCTCAGGAATAAGATAAAGAAGATAAAGGAATCTAATAAATAAACATCTTATTTGGTACATTAACATCCTCGGTTCAATCCCATGTGAGAGAGTCTGAAGATCAACCACCCTAATTACAACCGGAATGCACCCGAATCTCTGTCGATCTCTATGAAATCAAAGGCTATCCTATCCGGGTGGTTTCCGGGATTACTCACAATCCGGACTATTGAGCTATTCCCACTGCAGGGGGTGCTGCAGGTATTTGAGGCTTGAAACAAGGCAGCCACTCTTTCAACGCATCGTAAAAGTGTCCACGTGAAATGTTCCCCGGTGCAAAATCAGTCAAAAAGTCAAAGCAATGCTCCGCATTAGGCATTATGTAACCGAATAACGTATTCTCCGGCGTCTCCACACCACATTTGGGGATCTCGGTAGTGAAAGTCACGTTCTGTGGGGCCGTGCTTTCCGTGGCAAGGGGGGAGAGTGGACGCCAAGGATCGAATTCCCCGCCGCTCCAGTAAACGTTTGATGGGCGGATCTTCCAGCCTCCGGTTTGATTGTTCGTTCTATCAGTCAGGGGATGCCTTGGGAGAATACCTGCTGCGACTGCATCGGGGAATTGGCGGTTACAGGTGAATTGAACGTAGTCGAGGGATTGGTACCGGGAGAGGAGAGAGTGAGGACCAATATTGTTGGTTTGAAAGTAGCCCCATTCTGTGCAGAATTGCCACGTCCAGCTGATCATATCTGGGTCCGTAGCTGGGGGAGCCAGGATGCAGGAGGTTTGCTTGGTTGTGTCTTGGCCAGCGCAGTTGGTATGGTAGTTGAAGTTGACTAGCTCGATGAAGGTGGGCCAGGAGGCGAATTTTTTGGCCATGTACTCCTTACCGAGGTAAGGTGCGAGACCTCCAGGTCCGGCCACGGTGCCAGTGGGTGGATCTGTTTCGAGATGGTCGCAGAAGGATCCTAGACTGCCTTCTCCGCCACCAAAACCGTATGACTGGAAGTAGCCGAAGATGCCAGCAATCGCCGCGGTAAAATCGCCATTGTTGTTTACTTCGGCGCCATCCCCGAAGAATAATTTCTTGATTTCTGCAGCGGAGGATGCATTCTTGGACAATTCCTCATCAACGTATTCCATTGCAGCCTTGATATCGCGGGTGCAGTTCAGGTATCCATTGGCGACCATCGCGGCGTAGACTTGATCGAAGTAAACACTCATGTCAATGCGGGCCTCAACGGGTGCTGACGATGCAAAGGATGCAAAAATGGTGTCGGGGTACTTGTTGCGAGTGAAAGCCGAGCGCATGCCAGAATAAGAACCTCCAACCATGACCCAAGGCACGCCAGATGGGGTAAGATCTGTGGTGTTATAATTGTGGCGCGTGAAAGTCTTCGCAAAGAAGGGAATGTCGGCCAATGCCTGCTCATTGTTCAGGTAGAGGAAGTTCTCTGGTGGTGTGTCGACACTAACATTGTACGGTAGTGATTTGCCGTAGTAGCTGCGCGTGTAAGTCGAAGTCCAACCCGGATGATCATCACCTACCGATGTTCCCAAACAATGCCCATAGCACCATGCTCCTCCAGCATTTCCACAAACATTGACGTACTATTCCCCAGCTGCACCCTTGCTGCACTCGCTGCAGTCGATTCGCCAACATCATAAATGAAAACCGGTCCACCTTTCTGATAATACTTTTCTTGCACCCAGTATCGATTCTTGTAAGTCCCAACCGAAGCATTGGTATGATCAATCGGCATCTGTACAATCAGCATCGCTCACATCAAACCACTGTTGATTGAAACCTACCACAAAGAATTCCTCAACAATGCCGTTTGAGTTCTTCTCAGCAAGAGCATGTACTGTGTCCCTCTTACTCAAGATAACATCAGGACTAACCCCCATCTCAGCCATAAGCTTCAAATCCCGTCGAAACGGCGACGAAATTCCCATGGATGCCACACTCCCCACCACACTCATAGCCACGGCCCACCGCATCGTAGCAAAAATCATTTCCCCTCAAAAATAGCAGATAAGATCGTAGACGGTTCAAGAATGTAGATGGAATCATGATGTCGATCAGCGAAGTCGCTGGTATATATGGTTTTGATTGAAATTCACCAAATCCGAGAACAATACCACGGGGGACAATGTTTGCGTCGATGGAGGCAGCACAGGTGAGAAATCGATTGGCTGAATGGAGATTCTGCTAATACTAAATCAAACGTGGGCCCACTTCTATGCATCTTTGGGATGCTCTGAACATCTATTGGTTATTCTTTGGAGATTAGCTACTGCATGTTGTATATGGCTCCTTCCTGTTTGGTACAGCCTGCATATATCATTTTAATATTTTATCATTATCATGCATATAAGTACAAGACAACAAGGGTATTAATTCATGGTCTTGGATGACTGCGATGATGATTTAGGGTAATTTCCGAGTGTTGTTGAATTCAGCCCAGTCTAAAAAAAGGAACCACGAGGTACAACTTAATCTGCCGAAACCAGATTTTCGATTCCCCATGTGGTGGATCGTTTAGTTGCAGAGCAATAGTAACAACAATGAGTGGGGAAATGTCCTTAGTATTGTTCCCCACTAACCCCATCTCGACTAGCTCAACGACATGACTTAGCCACTCAGCAAATTCAAGAACATCACGAAAACCTGACACAGTTAATTGAATTAATTGATCAATCTTGTCACTTCTCATCCCTTGCTAAGTTGAGTTTGGAAACGGTCAAGTGGCGTGGGCGGGAATGTTAACCGGAATGTAGATCATGCGTCTCAGAACAGCACCATGGCTGATTTGGTGAACAGTCACGTGTCATCGAATCAACTCCAATAACATACTAAATATTTGATTAATGCCGTTTATAAGTCTTACATGTCATGAGATAAGGTCTTTTTATGACGTGCCGGAAGGGAAATAAGGGTAACACAATATGTCTTGTCGGAGAGATGGAGAACAGGCAGACTCATTGAAAAATAAGCTTCTTCGTACCCAGTAAGATCCGTGTTCGCCACACTCTGCAAGTACCCGGAAATGAGAGACTTCCGCATGAGACAGATGATCCGAAGCCGAACCTAAGCCAAAACTGTATGTCATCGGCATCTAAAACCGGCTTCCAACAAACCTGGTGTGAAATCAAACACAGGGAGAAGCTTCACCCTGATCAAGAGTATTCTCCTCTTTCTTCCTCATTTTGGTCACTGACATGAATTCCAGAAACTATGCGATTCCAGCGACTATGCTCTTCTCTCCTTGTTCGGAGTCATGTAGAGGCAAGAGAGTTGTACTCAATGCACTACCACTCCCTCCAGGACCACCGCCGCCGCCATTTTGAGAGTTGTTTTGAACAAATAGCTCCAGATGGACTTAGAGTCTCTTTTTGACATTTCTTCAGTGAACAGGATGATGACTGTGAATGACGATCCTGCCGTAACTGTCATGCCATTCTGGGCATCGGGTGATACTTGGAACAGGCTGGGCTTCGTGTATGTTACTAGATGTCTGTTCCATATGCCTTCTAACTTCTCATAGAAGAAGACATGTTTAAGAACCACTCCACACCTATCTTGCAACATCAAAAAGATCAGGTTCTGTCTACAAATACCAGTTTCTCCGAACTTCCCTGTAGCCAGCTCGTTGATAATTAACCTGGCATGACTTTGCTGTTGAGCGAACCCTTCAAGAGCAAAGGTATATGCACGCCTTGCCTTGATGTTGTAGCTATCGAGATGTATAGAGAGCTGGCCCCGCCACAAGAGATGTGGCTGGTGGCAAACATAGACAATAAACTCCACTGATTGGTAGTGGGTATTGTAGCCCCTCGCAGAAGTCGATTAGTGATTGTCAGACACTGAGCCTAGGATCAAGTTTAGAGGCATAGTCCTATCCACTGGCTGAATCCCCTGTCGCAATATGTTGATCCTTTTCAGATCATTCTCCGAAGGACTGCGCAACCGGTTGGAACTTTCGCACTTTACTCTTCAATAGAGTCGTGAACCTTCTTTCATTCTCCTGAATTCTTTGACTTGTCTCATGGTACTGCCTGCAAAGCCTTTCTTCCCAGCAAAGGGACAGTGTGGAGTCGTGGTTTTGTATAATCCGGGAGGAGGCACTACCGTATCCTAGTGTTGGTGCCGATTGAGCATCTAGATCTACCCTGGGTGTTGTAAACACAGAAGCCAGATATCTCTGGTCTTTCCGCCCAGAACAGGCGGCATTTTTCCAGGGCCACCACCAACGGTCCTTATTCTCGATCATTATCACCTTTGCTTTGGCGCTAGCTTTGTCCAAGCAGATCATTCTGTCGAGATGGATAACGATAACGAATAATATCCCATGCATCTCGCTGGATAAGGATGGAATTGAGTCCTGAACTCTTTCAGCCATCGGGTTTCGCCATGATGATTCTGATCTCGTCCTAACAGATCCTCAATCCTGATGACATGAAAGTGGGATCACCCATCCAATATGGCACCATCAACACTAGGCATCAAACTTTGATTTCCGTTTGCGGACTGCCGGAGGTTTGTTGGATGGCCCCATCATCAAATTGCCATAGTAAGTTTCCAGTACAAAGGTTTCCTGCTGTTATTTTCGTAGATCCAGTCTCACTGATGTCGTTCGAAGTGCCAAACGTACCATTGTTCACCGACAAATATTGGGGAGTACTCGACACTTCCCGAGTTCTAGGAAATGTAATCACACAGTTAATGTTTTCAATACCGTAAAGCCCTTCCACCGAACAACATGCCACGGCGGTGTCTGGAATTTCCTAGTGTATCATCATTTATGATGATACTTCATGTTTTAGAAGAACGTTGGGGAAAGCAGGTTCGTGTACTGAGTAAGAACGTATCTAAGTCGGACTCTGGCATGTAAGCCGTCGTCGTTCCGCTTGTATAGCAAGGCATCATCTCGAAGCGATGTTCTGTGACCCATGGCATTTTCACCTCACCAACAATCGTCGCAGTGGACTGATTGGATTTTCCCATGACTATAAAGTCGGGAATTGTTCGATGCGAGATGTTATCGCATTTCGAGTCCGAGAAAACAAGATCAAGCCCTTCCTCACGAGCAATGGTATTAATAATATGGCCAACTCGTTCGTGGAATCGGCCCTGCAGACCAGTTTCAGAAAGAGGCTCACAGGCAGGGCCATTTCTCTCCGGTCGAGAACAATTTCTGGAATTTCGTTCATTGGAGTTCCTCAGAATATGATGTCGCAACCCTGATGTGCAGGTCGGATCACATATGCCACGGGAAATAGGACGGACCTCTTTGTGCTAGGCCACTTCACCACCAAGCAATAATATTAGCCTGGCTCATCGTGAAAAAGCTCGGTTATCAACTTACATAATTATGGTTGAACCTTGGGAAAATCCGACGCGGGTAACCATAATTTTGAGTAATGGTAATCTTCACAAGTTGAGGATCCTAGAATTGTGGACTGATGAAGTGGTCTCCAAGCCACGATCAATCATTAGTGCCGGATTTTTCTAGCCTTGTTTGGGAGAGGGCGGCTGCCTCTAGATATGATATAGGATTTCTTCGACAACTGGAGTCTCGGATCCCACGAAACGCAGGCAAATTCATCTGCAGCAAGCTGGTCGTCAAACTTGGCACCGGCAAGATCAAGGGGGCATCACTTACTCTTCAAACGATTGTTGTCTTGACGCTCCATAATAGCATGACTTACATATCCAGTCATATTTAGTCAACATGAGTGTCCCGGCCTCTATGAACAGGGCTCTGTGAACAGGCCCTCAAAAATGGTTTTTTAATACCCAAGGATATGGGTACTGAAAGGTTGCCATATTTAGGAGCCAGTTCTTCTGACTGTGGAATGAGGACTTAATGACTTGTGACTGGAGTCTGCGAGCGCCTAAACTGCGGTCTCTCTTAATAGACCCGGGGCAAATTATTCGTCGCGGTTGTCCAACTTTTGCCAGGCGAGCGACATGATGTCATAATCGTTTGCGCAGGGAGAACCAGCTCCTGTGGCTATGGTGGCGGTTCTCCCCAGAATTGTAAGACATTGACTTTGAATTCCCTTGGTGTTTCGAAGCGCTTCATTAAGTTGGTGAGATCGTTCCCAGCTCCGGTGTTGTCAACGAGGTCGTTGATCTTGTTTTTTTTTTTTTTTTTTTTGGTGGTTGGTCGTCGGAGGTGGAAGGAGCTAGGAGATATGAGGTAAGTACAATAAGAAAAAGAAGATTTTGGAGATCGGTAAGTGATTGTGAGGGATGGATGAGGGAAGGAGAGGAGAAAGAGAGTGAGAAATATATATACAACGAATTTTTCCTTTTCGAATATCCATACCTTACTTTGTCGAACTTGCGCTAATGTTAGACATTGCTTACATCAAGAGTAATGAAGGTAAGAGAAGGTGAAAAGGTTGGTTTCAGCTTCTTTGTTTGAGTTGGGGAAGTCGCCGTGTAGTGTAGATGGTAAAGGCAAGAATGCCGAGGAGAATTGCGGGGCATCCTCGGCATTCTTGCCTCCACTGCACGATCTTCAGAACTGAGTCAACTCCCGTTGTTGAGTTGCAGAAAAATGGGGATAAATCCTTATTAGGGATACGGTGTGAGAAAATAGTCAGAGTCAAGTTTCCGTCACTTTCGAAAGTCCACTCGGTTCACTTGCCTAGTTTCGTATATGGGGTGGACTGGAATATATAAGCTTCAAGTGAGCAGTAAGCAACTCACTCGCTAAGGTCTCTACAAAGTTTTATCAGTGTCAGATATACAGACTTACAGGTAACACTGAGAGATCGTTGCCATGGCATCCCTTCGGCTCCAAAACAAGGTAGCGATTGTGACTGGGTCCTCTTCTGGACTTGGTCGGGCGATCGCACTCAGATACAGCACCGAAGGCGCCAAGGTAGTCTGTGCTGACCTGAATCCGACATCTCGGTCAAAAGAAGAAAGCGAAATTGCCACGCAAGATCTGATTGTGAAAGCTGGCGGAGAGGCGATCTTTGTAAAGACGGATGTTGGTGTTGCAACCCAGATGGAGGAGTTGGTGAAAACGGCTGTGAAGACATATGGCCGACTGGATATGTATGACATGCCTCTATTGATGAAAATTATTTTGCTCACTCGTCTCATAACAGTCTGGTGAACAATGCCGGGATCAGTATCGAGGCTCGATTGCCCGCGGCCCTTCATCTCACTGACGAGAAAACGTGGGATACGACCATGACTGTGAACGCCAAGTCTGTGTTTTTGGGGTGCAAGTATGCATTGACGCAGATGTTGGAGCAAGAGCCTCATGAATCCGGCGACCGGGGATGGATCATCAATATTTCCTCCATCATGGGGATGATTGCGGGGCCTGAAAACCGTAAGATAGTTCTAAGCTCCCATGTGGATGAAACTGATCCCCTATTCTAGCATCTTATTGTGCATCCAAGGGTGCCGTGAGTCAATTGACACGGCAAATTGCGCTGGATTATGCCCCGCATAGAATTCATGCGAATGCCATCTGTCCTGGATGTGAGTTGACTGGATCTTTTCATGACGATTGCTGACTGGGTAGATACGCAAACTGCTATTTTCATAGAAACAACCACAAATCATACTGCTTGGGATGATCTGAATCGTCGACACCCCTTAAAAGGACCTGGCATGCCGGATGATATTGCCAAGATGGCTGTTGTGCTGGCTAGTGAGGATGCTAGCTGGGTGACGGGTGTTTGTCTGCCTGTTGACGGTGGATACACAGCTCGATAGACATGACGCCAGGGACTAAAGTGCGATGTAGAAATAGTATTGGATATATAAAGGAAACTCGTCATCAAATCTAAATACGTTCATGAACCAATCGTCCCGCAACCCACACAGCCTTGACATTCCGGTCATCACCACCCCAGACCCATTTATGGATTTTCTCTTCCCACTTCTCTGTGCCGAAGAGATCAACATTACCAATCGGACCGGGCTGAACAAGATTTCCAGGCCCGTCAGCTAGGTCTTGCCATATATCGCGCACAGAACCCAGCTGAATCAACTGCGCATCGAAAATCATCCCTTCGTCAAACCCACCAAGATCATCCGCCATATCGACGACCGCAGCGCCACCACGCGTGGCAAGGTACAAACTCTCCTCTACGGAAAGTTTCTCCCTTCCAACCAAACCTGCATCTCCGCTCCCATTCGCATGGTGATGTTGATGCTCCGCGAAAGAGGTCGTATGACTCAGCAAGCGAGACGCAAGACAAGCCTGTCTCGTGGCTTCGAGGATACTGGGACTGTACCCACCACTCACATCTGTTCCGAGACCAACCGTGATCCCCTCATCGAGCAAGACACGGACAGGTGCAATACCAGACCCGAGAGCGGAGTTGGAAGCAGGACAGTGCGAGATCTTTGCATCGCGCGCATGGATCAATTTACGCTCCTCTGCTGTGAGGTGCACGGCATGAGCGAGGATAGTGCGTGGCGTAAGTAGATTATAAGTGTCATAGACACCGGCATAGCTGCTTGATTCCGGGAAGAGTTCTTTGACGAGAGCGACCTCGTTGACGTTCTCCGAGATATGCGTTTGGATGTGTAGGGGTGGATTGTATGATGCAGCGAGTTTACCCAGGCCCTCGAGTGCAGGGCGGGTGCATGTCGGTACAAATCTAGGTGTGATGATTGGTTTCACCAGTGTGCCTTCAGGGTCCATAGCGTGGATATATTCAATTGTAGACTTTGTTGCTGTTACTGAGTCTGTGGCTGAGGCGTCGCGGTAGTAGTCAGGACAGAAGGATGGATTATCCATGCAGACGCGCCCGATGAAAGCTCGTTGACCTTTGCTGTGACACAGACGAGCAAGGGCGTTTGTGGCGGGGACATGGATGGTTGCGAAGTAGGAGGCGCATGTTGTTCCGTGTGATAGAGTACGGGAGATGACCTGGTCATAGATGCGGATGGCGGAAGGGGGCGCATCTTTGGGATTGTTGGTGTGGCTTGGGGTTTTGGCGCCGAAGCCTGATTCCATGGGGAATGTGTATTCCTCCAGCCAGTCTAGAAGAGTGGTTGAACCGAAGAGTCCGGCATTTGGGTATTGTGGAGCGTGAATGTGGGTATCTAAGAATTGTTAGATATGAAGTGCGCGTGTGGACGTGAAACTTACCAATGAAGCCTGGGAAAAAAAACTCGTTTAGCTCTGAGTTTGAAATGACAATCTTCACAGGTGTGTGCACTCCATTCGTGGTCGCGTCAAGAATGGTATCAGCATCGACCCAGCCATTGCGCGTTATCAATTCGTGCATCTCGGTTTCATCTTGAATCTGCCAGTCATAGCCCTTGATGCGACCATCAACTGCAGACACCCAGAGTGCACCATGATTGCGAACTAATTGTGGCTTGGACCGAGGTTTGTCTTCTAGACGAGGCAGGTGAATGAAAGTGCCAAAGTATACCGTCAACTCATATGCAGATGACATGATGAAGTCTGATTCTAGAGTTGCTAAGAAACCCGGATGAATCAAGATAGAAGCAGAGTCGATGTTTATCGGTTCTGAGAAGTCTAGTACAAATCTAGCAATATAATGCAAGTCTTGGATGTAGATCAGGATCCACTCAGCAGTCACAAAAAGAACAGAGTTGACAACGCTAACAAGAATGCGAGACCTTGATATATCTGTGATTCAGGGGTTCACACCACAGTCGGGCACACGAGATCCAGAGTAGTATCCGCTTGTTCCTTCTATATTAGACAGCGGCTCTGACCGTCTCTGATGGCGCGGGCGGGTTGGGTTGAGCTGGAATCAACTTGACAATGACAGCGGATCTGTCATGGTATTTGTACCCGGTGATCGGCTTGCTCCGATAGGGTATTGAAAATTACAATTATACAGGCGCGGGTGGGTTTCACGGCTTATCCGCGAGATAAAAATGGGTGTGTGGGGCTTGTATCTGTATGGTATTGTAAGAGGGGCACTGATAACAACAGAAGAATGCAAACCATCCAAATCATTGCAAACTATCCAAACATCTAAGCTGACGCTCTAGGCCACTAGCGTGGCTGTGTACAAGTGACCTCAGCTTGATGTTCTTTGAGATTCCAAGCTTGTAAGGCAAGGCAATTCTGACAGCAAGGTCATCTTCCAGGACATATTCTCTCCACTTTACATCATTGGCGACATCAGCCTAGGAACCATGAGTGATTCAGATAGTAAGCTAATGCCATAGCCCGCACAGGGTCATCTTTAACAGGTACCTAGACTCGTCCTCGGAAGTCAAATGGCAGGTGGCATGGTTTGCGTTGCTTGCAATGGCACTTGCAGCCATGACCCAACCATGTGGTAGTATCCTCTGCATGAAATCAAGAAATCACCGATTTTACATCCGCGCATCGCCAATAGTCTGCATTGCCGATGTGGTACAATTCATTCTCTTCGTCCTACTTGGATCCAGCCGTAATCCCAAGGTGTGGCTTCAAAATCTTAAATTCGAACTGAATGAGCGCTTCCAAGGAGAATCCGGCGCTTGGGACAAAGAGGCCGCCGAGAATTCGATACTGATGCGGTGGATATTAATGATCCTGGGTGCAAGCCAGTTCCAAGTCATAAAACTCATGGCTATGAAAGGAATTCCATGGACTCAGGTCTGGGCAATGATGTTCGGCATCTCTATCATATTCGGGGAAGTTCTCATACTGCTCACACGGGTTCTGAAACTCGATGGCAGCTCAGCAAATACAATACCTGCGTGGCGCCATTATAACGTGTCCAATACTTTGGATTATGTTGCTCCCCTCGTCGTTCTCATAGCATTTTGCGCCTCCATAGTCAGTATTGCCATATTTTACATTGGCCTTTTCGATGGGAACCCTGGTTTCTTCAATGAACTCGGCCTTATCTCAATTATTGCTACCATTGCGATATACGTCGTTGTTCTGGTCCCGAAGATCACTCCAAGAGCAATGTTTCGAGTCAACTCGAATGAGGGCTCGCTAGCTGTGGTCTTGGCCTTTTACACATTACTGGCCGGCATTCTGTATTATGGGGTGACTTATGACTCGTCTGGGACAGTCAACCCAGACTGGACGGGTATTTTTGGTTAAAAACTATATCCCCAAGCCCAGCTTGAATAGCAAATAAAGAGGCAGCATGCCTCCATCAAATTTTGAACAGTTAATTGATAAGTGATGTCATTCGGGACTTCATCTAAGCCACAGCTGAACTGTGGGGCTTACCCGGGAAGTACATAGATCGCCGAGCTGAAGCCGCACTTGAAGATCCACCCAGACAATTATGTCCACGTATGGAGAACATGAACCACGCTTCGCTAATGACTCGAAGCAAAAGTTTACCCATCTGGCGGGGCTATAAATACCTAGCATCGAACCCTTCCAATTGCTACCCGACGAAAAAATTTCCCTCAAACCTTGTTCATAATATCTTTTCCGCGATACAGCTCAAGCATTAGCCATGCCGGGCATCAGCAATGGCCTTGACAACTAGTGCGTCGAGTTACAAACCCAATTTGAAGTCCGTATTAATCTAGTCATACAGTAAAGGGAGATCAATTCCCTTCAAATACCCCTGCGAAACTCAAATGCAAGCCGAAACCAAGATACATAAGTCGCATGAAGAGGAAATCAACCTTGGCTGGAAGAACACGATACCACGCTGGAAAGCCGGCTCCGTTATAAAATGGGCTGTAGCGACTGAATTCTTCGAGTCCGATGAAGACGCATCGTACGCAGAAGACAAGCTCTTGAAAGCCACCAACGCATGGAACGACATGGGGCTGGGTGTCAGCTTCAAGCTTGTCGACGATGCCGACTCTGCCGTTTTTACCCTTCAATACAATGGTGACAATGGCGGAACACTTGCTGATGCATTTTTCCCGAATTCCAAATCATCCAATCACCTCTACATCTACAGCAGAGCATTGGAGGATGATGCGAAGCAGTATCTCGAAAATGTCTTCCTGCATGAATTGGGACATATTTTGGGACTGCGCCATGAGTTCCCCGCAGAGGAAGGCGACTTTGTACTTTTTGGAGGAGATAATAAATCTTCCGTCATGAAGTATGACTGGCCGCCGCAGATTTCAAACGAGGATATCAGAGAGGCGCAAGAGTTCTACGCTTGGACGGAAGCAGAGATTAGTACTAGTGTCAACTCTTATAGAATTGTCGATCAGGTCCCACGAGGGGGAAATTAGTCCATCATGCCTAAGTTTTCGCTTCCTGTGGACTGGGTTGATGAATCACTTAGGTTGAACAAATTGATCTTTCCGCTCCCTGGGTCTTCAGTTCTACACTAATCCGTCCGACTCGCAATTTTCACCGGTAATAGACCAGCTTGGCTTACGGAGGCGAGTAGCGGCCAAGTGGACAGATCCTCCAAAAGCCGGGGATTGCGCCACCTACCCCTTTAGTTACTCTTATACACCTTGTCTAACCCGATCAGGAACATAATTGTAAATACCCATGGCTTCGACTTAATTAAATCATGTTCCCTACAGCCTGCCCAGGTAGCCTCAAGTGTACCTACTGCAGTATCTACTCCAGTACCTACCCTTTCTAAAGTATACTTCGAGAGTATATCGAAAAGGGTCAAAAAACGTTAGATTTTATGGATTTTCTAGTACAATACAGTATAAAATTGGTCAACATGGTGAACTCTAGTTATATAATAAAGAATGATCTGTCCATATGGCCGCTACTCGCCCCTGTAATGGCTGTCTTCTTCCGGGTTGCCTGACGACTCAATTTTGCAATATGAAATGTTTAGTGAGGGGTAGAAAGTATTATAGATTCTTATTTACGACTCCTGTGAAGTCATTTCAAAAAATTTCAACTTCCCAGCCTTGGCATTTGATATCATATTATGTCTGGCATGAAGTGATAATATACTATAGAGACTCCCGGTGTACTCCCGAATTTCTTGTCCATCGCCGAAATGTCTTCCCAAAGGAGAAGAAAAGAATCAACCCGATCAGAGTAATACCGACCGCAATCATTCCAACCGTGATAATCGGATAAAGATATCCGTGCTCAGTTGCCCATGGTATTATGAAGTACGTCAGTCCATACTAAATGAATAATCGTTAGATTCAAACACCATGGCGCCAGGATGATATAACATTACCCCAAATGTATTCTTTGCAACTGTCGCCAACACCATGATCTCACCAGCCATGTTCTTGTAGCTATCAATTGCGTACTAGAATACCAGTTAGGTTATGCATTGCTTCCTTTCGGTAAACACTTACTGTAGTCGCGATAGTCGGGATTGCCATAACTATCACTCCCGTGAAACCAAAGCCAATAATTACTACCACTTCCCATGGCCAGATACGCTCAAGACCAACAGCGGCAACCTAACTCAAATTAGTAAGGTTAGCATTGAGTCTCAAAGCTACCAGCACATGTGCTGGCGATCAAAAAAGCGTAACACCTACCGTCATTCCAACCACGGCAATAGCAATAAAAGGTATAAAAGTCAATAGCCGCATCTCTGGCTCCCGAACTCCATTATTTCTCTTGGTCAAAACCATAGACACCCAATCAGACAACGGCCCTGCCGCTCCTAGACCAACGATACCACCGCCCATTAGTGCGAAATTTGTAAATCCCACGGATGCAGTTGAGAAATTGTATGGAGCACGAGAAAATCCTTCAGACTCAGTGAGGTTCAAGACCAGCAGGCAAGCTGAGCCTGCCATAACCGCCAGAGATGCAAAAAGAGTAATCGGAAATATGGCGAGATGAAACGGCGTGAGCACATGTTTGCAAAGTTGCTTGAATGTCATAGTATCTGGCTTGTTCCACAGTCGCCACCTCTGACTGGGACTGGGATATCCGCGGCCCAAAAGAGGATGCAAATCCGGTCTGGTCAATTGGGTTTCAATGTCGATTTCTGATGGTTGTTTAGACCCTTTCTCTCCGATTGTTGTTGTTCCTTCAATTGTTGACTGTGAGAGTTCATGTCTTACATCCGGTGATAGATCCGATTTGTTGCAATATTTCGTCTCGGGTAGACCAAAAAACATACCAACGAAACTAACCTGTAGTCCTCATTATTAATTGGAAATGTTGAACAAGCGATCAGAACTTACCACATTAAGAATAGTCGACAGCCAGAAAAACCACCTCCAAGAAACGTGGTCGGCTATACTGCCAGAAACAATGGGTCCCACCCATCCTCCGAAAAAGTACGCCCAACTGATGAAGGTCAGCCAATGCACCATGAAGCGATGAAAAACTCACAAATAAGTAGCCATCCACGTCCCTCGCTCATGCAAGAATGTCAAGTCGGATATGACTACCGGCATAATGCTCTCACTTGATGCAGCGCCAATTCCAATCAAGACCCTGGCACCGAGAAGAGAATGATACGATGTGCTCACGGCTTGCCAGATGTTCGCACCAACACAGATCAACATACATGTAAGAGCTGTGGATCGACGACCGAATATGTTGACGCAGGGAATGATGATGAAATTTGCATAACCTAAAGCCAAAATGCAAGCACCTGTCTAGATGAGGATACCGGATTATTAAGGCGACCGAACTCACGTATCCTCTGTTACTTACTAGGGCAGCGACCTTCGATTCAGTGGTACTGAATTGTTCCATCAAGACAGGTGTCAAGGGGGAAATTGAGAGAGTAGAGAAATTCCCAAGGAACATGAGAAAGAGCATGTTCACAAGGCATGCGTATTTCCACCAAATGGACCAGTTCTAGATTTGACACTTATTAGTACAGGATCCACACCCTCAAGTCACGGACTTACAAGAGGATCATGAGGGTCATTTTGCGGCTTCGGGATGAGAATTATTTCATCTCTGTGTATTCCATTTGATTCGTTGACTATGAGAATCTCCGTGCCAGGAATATGATCCGATGGCATACTCCGATAATCATTGGTAAGATTAGAAGATCCGATATTTCCGACTTCTGCCATACTCTTTTGAAGACCAGGCAAAGTATTCAAGGTCAAAATGGAGACTTGAAAGTAACGAGGAATTTTCTGTTGGGCTAATTTCCTGTTGCCACTTCATGAATTTCGCGCGGCGTGTGCTCATCTTATAGAGATTTCATAGGCCCCCGGATAAGACCCTCTGTAGTCCATCCCAATCGGTTACTTTGTACTTATTAAAAGCCAGGGATTACGTAGGTCTGATTCTTTGCAGGCAATTGTCGAATATTTCTGTCAGAAAGTTGATGCTAAAGATAAGCTACAATTCTCAGCCAATCGGATTGCGGTCCGCGTCTGAATACGCATATCTTCCTAATGGCTCGTGCATAAATTTTAAAGCGTCGGCATTCGCTTGGTAAATTTATCCTACCCCTTATGAACATAATGGACCAGTCGAATTCCTATCCGGGGTATAATTGTGGGATCTCAGGTGGCGTATGGCTTATAGATAGTCTAGGTCGTATGGAAGCGATCCCTTTTCTGTTGGAGATAAAGATTTATTGGTATTGAACCAAGTTGTGCTGGACATCTTTGTTATAGCAGCTGTTCGTTCTGCTGAGATAAGAGAAATCTTCGAAAGACATAGGTATCTGCTGAGCCGTCAACTAGTACTGAATGCTGTCAGTGTTAGTCACCGGTAGCGGTTCGGGATAATTTCATGTTGCCGGTGGTCCATATGTTTACACCAAACATTTAGAATGATTGCTATTGAATCCAGTCTCGTATTTGATCCTCACTGCGTTATCTGATTCACATTCATTCCTTTGCAGCAATTCTTTTCTGTCTTTGCAGCGCTCGAATTTGTTCGGGAATATACTGACGCAATGTCATACAAATCAGCGCGGACGAGTTTGACTCATAACTCAACTTTACGCTTTTTCAATGCCCTCCGAGCTAATACGAAGCCAATCTTGACTTTCATGGGTCTTCCCTCTTTTCGAACTGCGCAAGTGGTCGCTCAAACCGGCGTCGATGTCCGCATTTCATTCCCTCTCCATATTCCTTACTAATTCTCTAAAAGGGCATTATCATCGATTGTGAACATGGAAATATCAGCGACGATTCCATGCACAGTGCAACTGCTGCTATAGCGGCTTTGGGAGTGTCGCCGCTTGTTAGGCTTAGAATGACCCATTCGGACTTAGTGAAAAGAGCGTTAGACGCAGGTGCACAGTGAGTGGAATGAATCTTGTAAATTCGTCACTAACTGTGAAAGCGGTATTGTTGTACCCCAGATAAATGGTGCGGAAGAAGCAAGGGCAGTGGTTTCTTATTCGAAGTTCCCGCCGCAGGGACTTCGGGGACAAGGTTCAGCGTTCCCGGCCATCACTCATGGCATTGATCTTCCAACATACCTGAAAACCGCGAACGAAACACTCATCACCTGTTTGCAAATTGAATCAAAGGCGGGAGTTGAGGATATTGACGCTATCTGCGCGGTGCCCGGTGTCGGTATGTGAGCAAGTGACAATTTCTACACAAAGTCGGTTAGCTAATCTCAGTCAAGATATGGTTTTCATTGGACCGAATGATCTCGCACTGTCAATTCTTGGCTATGTGCCTGCAAGGGGCGATGAGCCTGAATTTATTAAGGCCATCGAAAATATCGTGGCAGCTGCGAGAAAGCATGGTAAATGGGTCGGCCGGTTATCGAACGATGGAGCTTCAAGCAAGGAACATCTGAAGGTTTTTGATACTGTGGCGATGAGTTATGATATTAGAGCAATTCAGAGCTGGTATAGAACTGAGCTAGAAGTTGCACGCTCGTGAGTTTCTGTGATAGAGAAATGAAAACTTGAGACAAGTTGTATATGGAGTGAATGACGGTTCATTTAGAGAAAAGCCTCAACCTTGGAAAACTTGCTAGTATCTGAAACTTATTGTATCAAGGATATTATAATAACTTAAAGACTTCTTTTAAGAAACAATCTTACCGTATAAACTGAATATGCTCACTGCTTCGGCAACAGGCAAGCTTTTTACATTTTCAACACACATTTGCATATAACTTCAATACTGAACGTCCTGAATATTTCGGACAAGAGATAAACAATTCTCATGTGAATAATGTTAATCCCGCCATATATGCATCACTTGCGCTGCAGCATATGATAACCAAGTCTTTCCCTCGCCTCAGCAATTGAAACTCCGCCAGCGATCAATTCCCTGATTCCCTCTTCACTCTTCTCAATCTCTCGTGTGACTTCCGCTACCTCACGGGCTCGATCTCGTGGCACAATAACCACACCATTTGCATCAGCGACAACGATATCGCGAGGTTGTACACGTACCTTCCCGATGCCAATCGACTCGTTGACGCCCCCCATTTGAACCCGATCTTTACCGGTTCGCATCCAACGTCCAGCAGTGAAGATCGGGTATTCATCGTCAATCGCACGGTTCACATCTCGACACACACCATCGATAACTGTTCCGGCGATTCCGCGTAGACCAGCGTACTGTGTCATTATGTCGCCCCAAACGGTACAATCGGTGCAACCGCCATTGTCGATGACTACTACATCGCCTATAGCGACATCGTCGATGAAATCACCAACACTTCCTGGCGGATTGCTGGCGGGGACGTAGCGTACAGTGAAGGCTGGCCCGACCGTGGTCTTTTTGTAGTTTGTCAACGGCATGATATTGAACGCTTGTCCGGGGATACCAAGCTTGTCAAGCGCATCAGAGACTCCAGGGGTATCTGAGTTTGCAAATAGTGCTGACAACTCTTGATCTTCGGCACTCGCTTTCTTTATGCTTTGACCTGAAAATGGTGCAGCCGCAACCGCTGACGCTGTGGCAGGGTGGATGGCTTCGAATTTCGTGTCATGCATCACCTCAGAAACGGGTTTACCACTTCGAACATCCCGAACCATAAGTTCCTGACGCCGATCGATTTGCTCTCCCAATTCCACAACTTCTTCAATGCGGTCGGCTGGAACGAACACCGTCCCACATCTATCGGCGATCACGTAATCGTCTTGGTTGACCGTGACGCCTCGAACCTGGAGAGGGCATCCAGCGTCCAGCTGCACTATGCGATTGCGCGCACTTATCATGGTGACCCCGCGACCGTACACGGGATATCCAATATCCCGGCTCCCGTCGATGTCGCGACTCATGCCATCGATGATAGTGCCGCGAATATGTTTCACTTGCGAGGCATTGGCGAGGATATCTCCCCAGCATGAGACCCCCTCCGTGCCGCCAGAGATGACTAGAATGCGATCATCGGTTTTGATGGCATCTATGACCGGTGTAAGCAGATGGGCAGTGGGAGTCGCGTCCTGCTTGATGCCCACTTTGACTGTGCTAGCGCGTCCAACTATCTTCGCGCAATCCCAGAGTGGTTGTAGGCCGTATGTAGCTCCCTTAAGCTGGAGAAAATCTAAGGCATCGGACACTGTATTGGTATCGAGTGCGGAGAGCCGGTCTAAAATTTTGGATTGGCTCATTGTCGACTGTGGGGGTTGGTAGGTGATCAGCTCAGTTGAAGTGGCTCCGATATGATGAAGTAACTTGGGGTATGCATCTTATAAGTCTGTTCGGATTCATAGCACATTATGACTACCTTGTTGCTTGTAAACTCACCTATGACGGAGATCGGTAAAGATATGCTTTGCCATTCGCCAAGGAGCTCTTCAAAATATGGCCACATCGGTGAAAGGGCGAATACGCCGAACCTCGACCCGACAAGTTGAATTGCTGCCACTTCGGTAGGCAAGACTTTGATTCAGTACCTCGGCGACTCATTACAAGACCGTTGCTGCCGAAGTATATCGCGGGAGTCAATTTTCCATCCAAGGCTGCAAAATTCTTTACCTTATGATCTTCTACATCTACCTTATCCCTACTTTACTCGCGAAAGGACAACCTCAAAGAATAGCCTCAATATGGAACACCAATATCTTGACATCTCCATTGCTCCCGCAGACACTGCTTTTGGTCTAATGGCCGACTTTGATGCAGACACTCACCCAAGTAAAGTATCTCTTATTGCTGGCGCATATCGCGATGAAAATGGGAATCCCTGGGTTCTACCCAGCGTCAAAAAGGCAATTCAACCGCAACGCAAAAATGGTCAGAGACTGACGACCAGTCCAGGCAAAGGAACGCCTTGGCGAGACCACCCACGAATACCTAGGCATAGCAGGCTCCCCACTTTTCATCAAGCTGGCACAAGATCTCATCTTCGGGCCTGTCGCACCTAGGCTTGACAACATAGCATCAGTGCAAACAGTCTCCGGTACAGGGGCAAATCACCTCGCAGCCACATTCCTAGCCCGCCATCTCCGCCCAAACCACGTCTTCATCCCTGATCCAACATGGATCAATCATAAGGCAATTTGGGAGATGGCTGGAGTAGCAGTTTCAGAGTATCCTTACTACTCTTCTGTCACGAAAGAGGTTGACATGGTTAGGATGCTGAATGCGTTGGAACAGGCCGAGCCTAACGACGTCATCATCCTGCAAGCCTGTGCACACAACCCCACTGGAATCGATATGTCAAAGTCTCAGTGGATGCAAGTCGCCGATTTGGTCCGGCGAAAGAACCTATTCGTTGTCTTCGACAGTGCGTACCAAGGTTTCGCGACCGGCGATATCGACGGCGACGCGTGGGCAGTTCGCCATTTCATGGACAATCTCCTCAAATCCGAAACACACCCGGGTTTGTGTGTGGCGCAGTCATTTTCGAAGAATTTTGGACTCTATGGCGAGCGCGTCGGTGCTTTGCATCTGGTTGTGCCGAAGGACTTTTCGGCGCGGGGTGCGCTTAGTGAACTGACGGCGATCGCGAGGGCGGAGTATTCCAATCCACCACGTTTTGGGGCAAGGATTGTTGAAATAATCCTTGGGGATGAGGAGTTGACAGCGCAGTGGAAAGTGGATTTGGAGACGATGAGCTCGCGAATCTGGAGTATGAGGCGTGATATGAAACAGAGACTGGAAATAGAGACGGAGGAGGATTGGGTACATCTTGAGAAGCAGATTGGAATGTTCAGCTATACTGGGCTGCGCAAGGAGCAGGTTTATCGACTTCGAGATGAGTTTCATGTCTATTTGTTGCCTTCGGGGAGGATGAGTTTGTGTGGGTTAAATGATGGCAATGTCCAATACGTGGCGTATGCCATTGGCCAAGTCATGAAGACCTGATATATTGTTGTTAGAGCCTGAGTCAACTCTCCGACCATTGCCTGTCATTATAGTTCTATTCTATGTGTTACTCCCCGGAATATAGAATGCTGCTTTATTCCAGTATTTTTTCATCGTCAGACGATAGCCACTGTTGATACCTGCCATTTGTTTAAATGACTGATGAATTAAAATTTTTAAAAAGAAATATAGGATGCCTGAATGACGCCGAACCACGTCAATACACTGATTAATGAAATCATATCCATTGTTCAAATTGCATTGAATGTATGATTTATTATGAAGCTTGTAGTTAAAGTGTGGATATGAACCATGGGTAGTGGATCCTTCCATCCATGGTTCCACCAACATCGGCGAAAACCTCTTTTGCCGACATCTTTTGTGTCAGAAAAAGCCGTCTATATAGTTTAGCTTCTATTTAAGTGTCTGCTCAGGTTATACGCTCTTTTTTCCCCGGCGCTTGCTAGTCTACTTCCTCCTCTCTCTTCTTTCTTCTTTTCCGGCTATCTATACGGAAGCCCTTTCTTGCTCTAGCTGAGAGCAGGATCTCGCTCTTTACATCATCCCTTGATTCATATTTCACGCATCTACATCACCATGGCTCTCACATACACGACAATTCCTCTCCAAGTCAAAGGCGTAAACCTCAATCTCTCCACAATCCACAAGCTGAACTCCAACCCTCCAATTCTCTTCCTCCATGGCTTTGGCTCATGTAAGGAAGACCTAGCAGACATAACTATCAATCCCTCCTTACAGCACTACGGATATCTAGCCTTCGACGCCCCAGGCTGCGGCCACTCCTCGAGTGACAACCTCTCCGCGACAGATATCCCTTTCCTAGTCGAAACCGCAGAAGCCGTCCTCTCATACTTCCAGATCGACAAGTTCCATCTCATGGGCCACTCCATGGGCGGACTCACAGCTCTATTACTTGCCCACCGTCATCCTGGAGTATTGAGCTTTATCGATATCAAAGGAAACCTCGGCCCGGAAGACTGCTTCCTGAGCCGGCAGATATTTGATTTCCCATCTGACGATCCGGATGCGTTCCTGGATGCTTTTATTCAGCGTACTCGCGAGGCCAAATCATTTGCTAGCCCTTTGTACGCGAGTACTCTGCGTGCGAGGGTTCGGGCTGGGGTTGTACGGCCTATTTTCGAGTCTATGGTTCATCTATCGGATAACCAGCCTTTGATTGAATTATTTCTGGAGCTGCCTTGTCCTAAGATGTTTATGTTTGGGGAAGAGAATCGCGGGTTGTCGTATCTAGGACAGCTGGAGAAAGAGGGTGTAGAATTGGCACAGATTCCAGAGAGTGGGCATTTCCCTATGTATTCTAATCCGGTGGAGATGTATCGTCGGATTTCGGGATTTTTAGAAATAATTGATGGGAGTATTTGATCATATGCATCTAAGAGACAATGGAAGAAAGAAATAGAACTTGCCAATTGTTAACTTCCCTGGAAATCATACATCTCCACTATACCCTATTTGGAAGAAGGCTGGTTTGAATATGCTAACAGAAACTTGGCCCGGGAAGAACGAGACAATATATTCATTCTAATACTGAGGTAATCGTAACATTGAATTATTTTTGAATTCAGGTCTAAGCTAAACCAGTAGGAAAATCATCATCATCAATACAAAGAAATGTTGAATGTATACACAGAAAGGAACCACGGAGTCGTTAAAGAATCTCACGCGCAAAGCGCCAAGCGCAGGGGTATCATATAATCTATTCGGTCTCGTCGACGGGGCCGCAAGTGCAGAACAGATTCTGGTCACCAAAAGCTGTTATGTATTAGCATAATTCATTCACAAGGTCAAAGGGGGCTGGGGCTATGCTTACCATCATCAACACGAGTCACAGTGGGCCAGAACTTCTTCTCCAACAGCCAGGGTTGAGGGTAGGCGGCCTGCTCACGGGTGTAGGGACGGTTCCACTCGGATGTGAGCAGATCCCGCTGGGTGTGGGGCGAGTTCTTCAGGACGTTGCCCTCGCGAGGCTGCTTGCCGCTTTCAATCTCGGCGATCTCGGCACGGATGGAGATCAGGGCGTCGATGAAGCGGTCAAGTTCGGCCTTGTTCTCGGACTCGGTGGGCTCGATCATCAGAGTGTTGGCGACGGGCCAGGACATGGTGGGGGCGTGGAAGCCGTAGTCCTGGAGACGCTTGGCGATATCGATGGCTTCGATACCGCAGGTCTCCTTGAAGCCGCGCACATCGAGGATGAACTCGTGGGCGCAGCGGCCGTGCTCGTTGGTGTACAGGATGGGGTAGTGGGGCTTCAGCTGGGACATGATGTAGTTGGCGTTGAGGATGGTGATCTTGGTGGCGTGGGTGAGGCCGCGGTCGCCCATCATGTTGATGTAGTTGAATGTGATGGGGAGAATGCTGGCGCTACCCCAGGGGGCGGCACTGATGGGGGCAGAGCCGTTCTTACCGCGCTTAGCCTGGAGGTGCTCGCTGGCAGGGTGCGAGGGAAGGTAGGGTGCAAGGTGAGCAGCGACACCGATGGGTCCGACACCGGGACCACCACCACCGTGGGGGATACAGAAGGTCTTGTGGAGGTTCAGATGGCAGACATCAGCACCGATCTCACCGGGAGAGCAGAGACCGATCTGGGCGTTCATGTTGGCTCCGTCCATGTAGACCTGACCACCGTTCTCGTGGACCAGGCGACAGGCCTCCTTGGCACCAGGCTCGAACACACCGAAGGTGCTAGGGTAGGTGATCATGAAGGCAGCGAGCTCATCCTTGTGCTTCTCACACTTGGCTTTGAGATCATCCAGATCCAGGTTACCGGTCTTAGTGTCACACTTGATGGTGACAACCCGCATACCAGCCATAGCCGCACTGGCAGGGTTAGTACCGTGAGCAGAAACTGGGATCAGGCAAATGTTGCGCTTGGAATCACCCTGCGCCTCCTGGTACTTCTTGATCACACGCAGACCAGCAAATTCACCCTGTGCACCAGAGTTGGGCTGCACAGTGACCTCAGCCATACCGGTGATATCGGCGAGCTGAGCCTCCAGATCATCGATCATCTGGATGTAGCCCTTGGCCTTGTCAGCAGGCATGAAGGGGTGGATGTTGGAGAACTCGGGCCAGGAAATAGGAATCATTTCGGTGGTAGCGTTGAGCTTCATGGTGCACGATCCCAGGGGAATCATGGAGTGAGCCAGAGAAAGATCCTTGGACTCGAGGTGGTGGATGTAACGCAGCATCTCAGTCTCGGAGTGGTGGGTGTTGAAGACCGGGTGGGTCAGGTATTCCGAGGTACGTTCCAGAGCAGCGGGAACAGGGGCGATAGAAAGGGGACCATCAATCTCAGCAGGAGCGGCAGACTTCAGATCAGCAAAGACCTTGAGGATATCCTTGATCTCCTCACGACCGACAGTCTCGTCAAGAGAGAGACCGACCTTGTTACCACCAAGGCGGCGCAAGAAAAGGGAGGCGTCGCGGGCAGCGGCAACAACGGCATCGGCCTCAGCAGCGCTCTCAAGCTCAATGGCCAAGGTATCGAAGATGGCCTCACCCTCGACGTTGGAGCGAACCGGGACACTGTATCCAAGAGAGACCAGCTTCTGGCGCAGCAGAGAGGTCATGGACATGATGCGCTGGGCAATGGACTTGAGACCAACAGGTCCGTGGTAGATGACGTACATGGCAGTCATGTTAGCAAGCAAAGCCTGAGCAGTGCAAATGTTGCTAGTAGCCTTCTCGCGACGAATGTGCTGCTCACGAGTCTGCAGGGCCAGACGCAGAGCACGGTTGCCAAGGCGGTCCTTGGACACACCGACGACACGACCGGGCACCTTACGCTTGTACTTGTCGGCACAGGCGAAGAAGGCGGCGCTTGGACCACCGAAGCCCATGGGGACACCCAATCGCTGGGCGCTACCAAAGGCAATATCAGCACCGAACTCACCGGGGGCCTTGAGAACGGTCAAAGCCAGGAGATCGGTAGCAACACTGAAAGTACCACCCTGTCCGTGGATGGAATCGCTAAGAGCCTGGAAGTCATTGACACCACCCTCGGTATCGGGGTACTGGGCAAGGACACCAATGAGGTGGTCACCCTGGTCCTTGATGAGCTTGAAGTCATCAGCGAGAATATCTCCAATAACCAGGTTGATTCCGAATCCTTCCGCACGAGACTCCATCACGGCAATGGTCTGGGGGTGGCAAAGGTGGGACACGACATAGGACTTGTTGGCCTTCTTCTGCTTGGAGGCGGGCATGGTAGCGAAAGACATAGTCATGGCCTCGGCGGCGGCGGTGGCCTCATCCAGAACGGAAGCATTGGCGAAGGGAAGGCCAGTGAGCTCGGTGGTGAGAGTCTGGAAGTTGAGAAGAGACTCCAGACGACCCTGGCTAATCTCGGGCTGGTAGGGAGTGTAGCTGGTGTACCAGGCGGGGTTCTCGAGGACATTGCGTTGAATAACGGGGGGAACGATGGTCGGGTAGTATCCAGTACCAATGTAGGTCTTGCCAGAGACATCAATCTGCTTGCGGTAGGTATCCAACAGCTTCAACATATCGGTCTCACCCAGACCACCCTGCACACTGGAGCGGTGTAGCTTGATATCGGCGTGCGGCTCACTGATCTTCAGGTCCTTCTTCGACAGGATGTCCTCGGGGAGCACCTGCTTGACGAATTGATCCAAGCTCTGGGCCGGGGGGTCCAGGACAGCCAGCATCTCGGCTGCGGCGTCCGGTGAGGGACCAATGTGGCGACGGGGGAAGGTATCGAGGGGTTGGAAGACATCTTGTGGGTGTGGGTCACCGTGGGCGGCCACGGAGCTAGTATAGACACCGCGAACGGGCTGCTTCTGCTGGGTGTGAAGGCCACGGCGAATGTTCAATGGAGAAATTGAAGCCGATCGCAGTGAAACTGGAGAGGGACCAGCTCGGACACGCGACCGCAGCACGAGCTGACGGCTGCTGCGGAGAGCAAACCAAGACGCCGCCATTGCTAGAGCTCGGGGAATGACGTAGGGAGTTGGAAGCGAGCGCAACTTCAACAACTACACGTCGAGATGAAAAGGAATACGATAGAGGGAGATGTAAGGAGAGAGAATTGGAATTGGAAATGGAATTTAATTTATGATGCACATTATCCGAATAACATTTCCCTACTTTGACCGAGGGCGGCGGGGAACCAAAAATCCCGTGATCGGGAAACCATGATAAGGTCCTTATCTCACCAATCACGAGACTTTTTTCTTCTTTTTCATCTCTTTTCCGTCGGAAAACCAAAACCGATAAAGACTCCAGTGGATCTTTCTCTCCGGATTGCTTCGATACCGGAGCTACATAGCGGGGACACGGAAAGATTGGGATTCAATTGATTGTGACATGGTCCGGTTGACAATTACAATCAGACGAATTCCAAGATCCCTCATTCCAACTCCTACTGTGTACAGTTTCTTCATGTCTCCTCATCCAATTCCTCGGAAAGATAGCGAAATTGTATACGAAGTACTCCGTACCTGAACGCAATTGTCTCTCCAAGTTCCCAAGGAACATCAACAGAAGCACAAACTTCCAATGTCACCGTGAAGTCCATGGACTCATCAGACTTACAATTGTCTCACCACCAAGAATGGACTCTGTGGAATGTTACACTATTCTCAAGTCGGCACACGACAATCTCCGATAAGAGCTCACGATAAGCCTCCGCGATCGCGGGTTATTCTGTGGGGAGACAAGCACGAGGATTTGGTTGAAGAAATGGACATGGTATTATTACAACCTAAATGCACGCTAATTCATCAATGGGGATAAAGAAATGCTCACCAATTACCGAGCAAACGTTTCATATCCATCGCTTTCCTCCTCCTCTTCCAACAAGGGCTCCCTTTCCTCGTCGTTATCTGCCTGGACGCTCAATCGATGGCCTTGTACAGTGACATAGCCGACCAACGCAATCCCGACCACAAACCCGGATACGGCCAAGAATGCGTTGATTGGGATCGGATTCTCATGGAATGTGAGATGGGTGAGGGCGTCCAATCCATACTGGGAGAAATTTGCCAGTCCAGAAAGGCAGATGATAGTTCCGTAGACGCGACCGAACGTCGCAAACCCAAAGACTTTGGTAGCATAGTCACTGTGACTGTTAGAATTTCTCAGAAGTTCAGGCTCAACGATGTACTTACGACATGGCAGAATAATACAATGGGCGCAACAACACAAATAGCACGACTGTCATATAGCCGGCCCATATCGTAGGGATCGAGTTCAACACGCCGATTATAGTGGTGAAAGCCACGATCAGCCCAAGCAGTGCAGGTACACTCAGGCGATCTAGCAGAAACCCGATAAACGGCGTGAATAAAACTCCACCGACAGGCAGTGCGACATCAAAGAAACCGTTAATTTGTTCGGCTGCTTCGAGCGAGCCAAGCATGTATTCATACTGCGAGCGGATGGTGGCGATGAAGTAATTCATCCGGATCATTTGTAGAATGGTCATGAAAGTAATCAGAATGAACCACGGGGTCATCATCTGCTTGCGAGCGGGCAATCCATGCAACACACCCCAGACCTGACTGGTCTGTTGACGATCTTCTTCTCTCTCCGCGCGAGACTGTATCTCATCTTTGCTACCGAGGACGTCGTGAAGCTTGCGCGCTTTCTGCTTCCGACGCTCCGCACGCTTACTGCGCACTCGCCGGAGTTCGCGGTCGCTCTCGATTTCATCGTCGGACTCGTGCACATCGCGAGTTGCGTCCTCCGCCTGTTCCATCTTGTTCTCAAGTTCGAAGGGTGGGACATAATCGCGACGCGGCATGAAAGTGAGCAGAGCCAGGAAGATCAGCGTGGGCACGATCAGGTATCCCAGAAAGAACTGATCTGGTGTGAAGGTCCGGCCAGATGCCTCATAGACCGATCGGTAGAACAGAAACACGGCAGCCGAAGCATCAAAAGCCCCAGTCACAAAGGCGACGATCGAGCCTGCATATCGAGGGAACGCATTGGCGATCTGGAAAGATGGCACGAAGATGAAAGTCCCGCTCAGAGCTAAGAGGAAATTACCAGCCAGCAGCCCCTCGAAACCTGGTCGACGAAACGAGGAAGCTATAATCAAACTTCCAGCTGCCAGGATAAAGCAGCCGATAAAACCACAGACGCGGGACCCATAGCGATCGAGAATCGTGCCAACCGGGAGCGCAGACACATTGGCAGTGATAGACGCGATAGTAAAGAATAGGTTCAAACTAAGCACGTTAGAGACGAAATCCGCAATCCAAAAGATACCAATCCATACCTTAGATCCTGCTGCTTACACAGTTCCACTCCGTCACGCAACTCCTCCTCGGTGCACAGATCATGATAAACTCCTTCTTCAATCAAAACCGGCTTCAGTGCCGCGAATCCAAACACAATCCCCGATGCGACCCAGCATGCAAGGATCGTAAATATGACCTGGGCTAGACGGGTCAGCTAATGCTTTCCTTACTTCTCGCGAACGTACCTATTCTCGTCGGTGCCGAATACTTATACGCTGGGACACCCGGGGCGGGCTCGACAACTGGCACAGGCAAGCTAGGCGGCTGAAGGACATCGTAGCTAATTTTGCGGCGAATGGATCTGACATCTTCTCCAACGTCAGACTCTAGTTCACGATCGACGCCATCGAGGACGGAGACGTGTTGAACCAGCGACATTCTGTGTTGAACAGGTGTCGTTGATGTTGAAACGGTGAGGGGAAAGGAAAACTGTGGAGCTGAAGATTCTGATCCGCTAGCTCCACCTTCTTGCCTGAATATCTCTAGTTTGTTTGTTGTTTATTAAACTCAATTAATTTTGCCGTTCCAGGGTTTTAAGGTTATGGAATTTTTGACGACGACTTTATACAGCGACAGGTCATGAACGTCAACACCCCATTTGATTATGTAATATTCTGCCAGTCAAAAAAAAAAAAGCTTTTTGAACCAGGCGAGTTGGTATGCACCACTGCACAGTAAGGATTATGTAACCCATTATTTGAATCATTGCTTGCATTCGGCGCTCTCAGAGATACTTGAAAAGTTCTAGCAGATTCTAATACGCGATTTGGATAGGCACAGTAGGCGGTGGAAAAGGCGGGTCTTGAGGAAGGTGCGAACACTTTTATCCTGTCACTGTATGTACATGGTAGAGATGTTTGCAAATGTTTTAGTCTGTAGACTATTAGCCCATAACTTATAAGTACGTGTAATAAGCTTCTTGCCAATAAAGTTTGCTTTAAGCCTATCGGATCGGGATATCCAGAGCTTCAAATTGTTATATCGCTGTTGCTACAAATATTGCACGGTCGGAAGTATGACTATCCACATGTGCATGGCATCGAACCTGACAGCCCGTTAAAGTGGGGAATATCCGCGACAGCATTTAGACATACTCATACCTCAACACATAGTTATAGGCTCTTTCAGGGTAATTACATATTTACGTGCATTTATACTTATTTGAATGATCGGCACTGGGAGATTTGGAACGTGAATCTAACCTTGGTTACACGTTGGCTGCACGCTATGCGCCCCCCTTGGCTCCAATCGAGCTCTAAGTGCACGCATATATGTATCTGAATTTGTGTAATAAAACCCAAACGCCACGATCTCGCTGAAGTTAATAAATATTTCAAAAAAAGTTTCTAAGGGGGAAAAATAGAATCAGTATGGAATTTCAGTTTATTTATCGTACTGATAAGCTGAGACCTCAACTACTGTATGACTAGTGATCTTCACCACACCATTTGAACATTTGCATTAAGTACGGGTCAGGAGAATTTCTTCCGTGGATCTTTGGCTTGTCCTGATTTTGCCCCTGATGCATAACCCAAATTACTATAATTGGCCAATTAATCTATTTTTATGGGTTGTTCCATGGCAATGCGACTACAATGACGTCGTGGGCAACATCAGGTGCCGATGACGTAGCGCCCGTTATCCGTCAGTAAATTTCACAATTCAACACCCACTTGCATCAAACGTTTATGTGATTTTGATTTTGAATTTGGAAGCTTGAAGCTTGGATTTTAGCGCGTACGATTCTTGCGAGCGTATCGCAGTAAACAACCACCGATCGAACTGAACATGGCGACCATTTCAATCAGCGCACCCGGCCTTAGTAACGGCCTCTTATATAACAACGGCGACAACAATGCCCGTCTTTGCATTACAGCCGAGACTGGCGAATTCGATATCGAAACAATCAAGAACTGGCAGGAAGAAGGGTTCGACGTCATCTATTTGCCGCTGAACGATGGCGGGAAGGATTACGAAGACCGACTGAGGAGCGTCAAAGAAGGACTCGGAGTGGGCGAGAACTATGGCGTTATTGGTAGGCCCTCCAACAGCTTTATAGAGAATGCTTGAGCTAACTATGACTAGCATTCGGAGAAGCAGCCAGCTATTGTCTGGAGTACTACAAGAAGGGTATGAATTGTAGCAGACTATGCTGCCTAGTTGCGTACTACCCAACCGTCATCCCCGATACGCGCTACAAATTCCCGCTCGGTGTCGAAGTTCTCGTTCATCTTGCTGGAAAAAGTGTTGATGTTCTTACCGTTCCGACTGCACTTGGGATCCAGGGAAAGAAGCGTCTCAAGACACGACCAATCACACCGGGTATTGGAACAGGCGAGCGTCTGAAATTGGCGTACCCAACCTATACCTATGAATCTTCGCAACCGGGCTTCGCAGAGACTGACATGGAGGAGTACAATCACCTTGCTGCGGATCTGGCCTGGACACGGACAATCAAGGTCGTGCGCAAGGGATTCTCACGAGATGCGGATTTGGAGAATAGGTGGGAGGATCATCAGGAGAGTATGTAAACCACTCCATAACCACAGATGGACACTAATGGTTACAGGCAAATTCTTCGCGACAAACCTCAGTAACACAATGGATGCATATGTCAAGCACAAGACTCCAACTGTCACCTACACTTCAACACTTAGCGGTGGAATAGGCACCCAGGCTCTCCGCCGCTTCTACGATCAATACTTCCTTGGCAAACTACCTCCCTCCATGCGCATCCGCCTACTCTCCCGCACAACAGGCTCTGACAGAATCGTCGACGAACTCTACATCTCATTCCAGCATACGCAAGAGATTCCCTGGATGCTTCCTGGCGTTCCGGCAACAGATAAACGGATTGAGATCGTCCTCGTGAGTATAGTCAGTATGCGAGGTGGTAGACTCTTATCGGAACATGTATACTGGGATCAGGCATCTGTGTTGGTTCAAGCGGGTCTTCTGGATCCGAAACTTGTGCCGAGTGGGTCCCAGGTGGATAGATTACCTGTTGTCGGAAGGGAGGCGGCGCGAAGGATTCTTCACGAGGATCCGGAGCTGGAGCAGGAGGATTATCATAATCGAATGATTCGGCGGGCGAATGCGAGGGCGAGGAGGGATAGGAGCGAGAGGGCTTCTACTGTTGCTGAGGAATCTGGGCTTGAAACTGAGAATGAAGGTGGTAAGGGGAAGGGAAAATCAATCTTGGATGCTGGTAATCACCGGAATGGGACAGAAATTGATGATGATGAGGCGACGGAGACGGAGACGGAGTTTACATCGAAGCATGAGAACGGGGATCGGAAGGCTTATGTGGAAGACGGTAATGGTGTGGAGAGTTCCTAGTTTTGTGAGCAGTCTTCAAGGTTCAATTATTGCCAATCTACTCCTTTAATCACTACATGATATCTATACTTGTCACTCAACTACCTTTCTCATGCCAACAGTATTCGTCTTCCCAACACCACCATATTTGGAAATATCCCTCTGCATAGCCTCCACATCCTCAAATCCAAATTTCCGATAAAGTGGCTGACCATCAGGAGACCCATGAAGCCAGAACAGCTTCAACCCCTCCTTAACCCCCTCCTCAAGCCCAAGCTTGAGAAGTGCCGAAGCAATCCCACGACCTCTATACTCAGGAAGAGTGCAAAGTGTCTTCAGATCTATGACATTCTTAGCAAAATCAACCGGGATCAAATGGACAAAACATACAGCCATAGCACATTCCATCCATATGCCTCTTCTTCAACATATTCAATTCCCCAATGAGCTCATTACAAGCCTCCGCATTCGCAGTAACAGGCCACTCGATATCCTTCCAGTCAGGAATATACTCAGGTTGATGAAAGAAGCTCCAAAGCGCGCACGCGACTATCTTCTCGCCTTCGTTTTCATCTGGTACCACCACTTTCCAGAACTTGGTACCAGAGTTATTCTTTAATAGATCGGTAAAGTTCTTGGCGCGAAAGGAGATGCCTTCTTCTGTTGGGAGACCGAATGTGATGCGCCAGAGGGAGTTTTCTTGGGGCTCCGTGTTGATATTTGTTAAGGCGATTGCTTCTACTCTGGCTAGGTCGTGGCAGTCATTTTCTGTTGCGGGGAGGATGCGGCATTGTGGAGACATCTTGTCTATGGTCTACTGGTGCTTGATGGTGGGTGTACTGGTGTAGGTGCGAGGTAGATTTAGATAAAGAAGCTACGGGATAAGGGGCTGATGGAATGAGTCATGGGAGTTAATATGTGGGATTCTCAATGCTGCCGATGAGTCAATCTGATACGGATAATCTGAATTCTGAGGGGATCGTGCGGAATTTTCACCCCCTTTTTTCTAGTCATTGTAGAGAAATTCCATTAAGTTTCCCTTTAAATACTAGACTGGATTCAATGAATCTCTCAATGTCGGCAAATTTGAAGCCCCACTTGTTCCTCGGAACTCTTCCGAGTTTGGGGCTCTTCCTCTACAACGGATCTTTTCTAAGCGAAGCACTATTGACCGTTTAGTGCACTGATTCTAGGATTGATGCGGCAGATACAGTGGATGATATGACTAGTGGGATCTCGCTTGACCAAAGCTCCATTCAGGGTAAACAGACTATTCTCCACGATACGCCTGAATGAACAATATTCCAAGTTTGGCGCCCCAGATGCAGCTTATGAGCGGCGAAGTCAAGTCAGCCTTGCGGCCCGTGAACGGCACGGTCGCGAGACATCAAATATTCACATTGGTGCAGCCTCACAATATTAATAGGGCACCTGCACGGGCAAGTTTGATCGTCGAAGTTTTTACCCCTTGGAGCCCGGCCGAGGCGTTTCGGGTACGATTGCGGGGCGGCACCAGTCCCTGTGCCCTGGGCTGCTCTTGGCTTTCCCTGACTCAGACCCCTAAAATTGGAGTGATATATATGCCTCTCGTAAGGAATTAGCTTTACCTTCAACCACTGCCTTCCAGGATTCGATAAGTATGTCGGATATGATTTTAATATAATTCCAATTGCATATAGTGAAATGGGAAGCCCTTGGGAGATTTGGGGATAAATTGACTTGAGTCACTAACCTCACTTTTACATATAATCTCCCGGGAAATATACACAGAAAAGCTGCATAGGCTTGCAAAGGGTGCAGGGCGTTCTTCCGTAGCGAGATCCTAAGTGGGTCGATGAAGAAGCTTTCGGAACTAACTATTGGATTAGTGCATGATATTTGGCCCCATTAGGCCTCATTCGGCCCCAAGAAGAATCTCATTTCGTGCTAATTTAATACCTGCTCATTAGTGCGGCTCTAGTACGGCGCGAAAATTGCTTAGACTGAGGGAATTTTTAGGACTGCCAGTCGGGAATAAAACGTAGGCACACCCTGCACAGAGGCTGGTTTCTCTTCATTGATTCTAATTCTCAAACATTTTTCACATTGAATTACACATTCAATATGCAGCTCGCTACAGGCATTTCCCGTGTCTTCCAGGCTGGTTTTCACTCTTTTTTGGCTGCGTGAAAAAATCTAACTTCTTAAAGCTTGCCTTCAGCGTCGTCGTCCTCGGTCTTTCAATCGCCATCGCTAGACAACAATACATCGGCAGTGTTCCATCCCAAACTGGCTATGCGGCATTTGCAGGCGCTCTCGGCGTCCTCGTTTCGGTCATCGGAGTTGTCGCATTATGGGTTGAAAGCTTGAGCGGTATCATCATCTGGGTGCTGGATGGAGTCGCAGCTGTTGCTCTTTTGGCAGCCGGCATTGTACGTTCTAAGGTTTTTCTGAAACATGTTCTGAGCCATGCTAATTTTTGAACAGGTTTACGCCGTTACTCTGAAGGGAGTTAGCTGCTCTGACTCGCCCTCGGGTTACGCGTCGGCTTGGGATAACCCGTTAATTAGTGGCGGGTGCACTGGCAAGGGAAGGAATAAGATTTGTTACTCTGGCAATGTTGTCCAGTCTCGCTGTAAGCGTGCTGAGGCGGATTGTGCCTTCATGTTCCTTGCGTTTGTGGCTAGCCTGGCTGTTCTGATTGCCTCTTTCCTGTCCCGAAACCGCTAAGTCAAAAAAATGTTGTCAAATGATATGTTATATCATGAGGATTGAGGGTGTTATGAATGAAAGGCTTGGTGGGTTGTCGGACTTGATTTAGATTAGTTTTGTTTTCTTTTGATACCCAGAGTATTCACTCTTTATCAATGTTACCTTCAATTAAATTGAAATTCTTGAATGATAAGTAGAAAGACGATTCGAATGTTGATATTCCAAATTCTGTGTTCATCCTGTATGTATCAACAATATACCACCTTGTTGAGTACATATTTACCTTTTGTCCGTGTAGGCAATATGTTCTTGTCATCAAGGGTGAGCCCATTTGAATCATTGTTGAGGCTGCGTCCTTATAATTATACCTAGTAGGTACGTAGGTTATGAATCAAATAGGCCACAACGAGAGAAAAGTGAATGGACTATAGGATACGTAGCATTTGAGGTGTAGATGTAAGAGCATTAACTCCGGTATGTTTCTTCTCTCTCGCTCTTACTCCTCTACATACCCCATTCTTACTCGAAAACTTTGGATCTCACGGCTTTCTTCCACTTAAACATATTTATGAGTAAGTGTCTTAAAATACAAACACGAACAACCGCTAACTCATCCCAGTGACGACAACATCATACAACACCTATAGGGAATCTAGAAATATGATTACCTTAACCTCTCTTGCAGCAGAAGCAGCTCATCTACAAGGCCTCACAGCCGATAACACTTTCTCAGATGCTTTGTGGGAGGCCCTCAGCTTGGAGGACTCTCTGGAGAGGGAGCGCGAAAAACAACGGGACTTGGAGCGACAAATTGTCAATCATCCCACGGCTAGTAACCTACCAAGGCTGATTATCCGTCGTAATGCTGTTGCAGAAGTCCTGAGCGCAATTAGGGTGCAAACTTTTGCTGCATTCTGCTCACTTTCGAAGAAAGAGCAGCGCCTTTTCTGGCATTTCCATGCGGAGAGGAATTGTCGCTTGGTCCAGCGCCGCGCGTTGTGACAGAGGCGAGATACTCCGATCGATTCTTGATTCCTTGACTAGGTGGAACGATTGCGTTCCTGTTTTGCATTTGGATGGAGTGATCATGAGGTTGGCGTTTAACAGTACATATGCACAACAATTAACATTGGAAGTGAGGAGACGTGGAACAATATCAGTAAATCTAGGGAAGACCTTTATAGATTAAAGTTGGTGCATCGTGCATGACAACTACATCACTGCAAGCAAAGACAAAAACATAGACTGTATCTATTTAGTACTATACCTATTTAGTACTAGCATACAAGATGCTCTACAAAAGTGCCAAGCTCCCGAAACGTCCCCACTCAGGCATGACGCGTTGTAATCACCACTGAAATAAAAAGACGGAAATACACTAGTTAAGTATATTCATGCCTAGCAAAATCCTACTCTACTTAAGATCATATTCCTCGGATCATATCGGCGACTTATCGTTATCAGGTACCAAAACCTCCGCTCCGCTATCAGCGGACCGCGCAGGTGGGGCTAAGCGCGCCCACCGAACCCGAACGACACCGGAACAGAACAACCACCTTAAAACGACCACAAAAATCTCAACACAAATCTTCCTCACATCAACTCCACAAAATGTCCCAACCCATCCGCATCGCCGTACTCGAGTGCGACACACCCATCCAGCCCGTAGTTGACAAACTCGGGAACTATGGGCAGATCTTCGAACGCCTCCTCACCAACGCTGCGGGGTCTACAGTCATCGAGGTCAGCAAGTGGAATGTAGTGGGGAATCCGATTTATCCCAATCCCAATGAAGTAGACGCTTTCCTTCTCACTGGAAGCAGTATGTTTCTTCCCCTGCCTACCGCGCGGTTCGTGACTAATACATCCAGAACACGATGCTTTTGCGGATGATAGCTGGATTCTTACATTAACGGAATACGTAAAGGATATTGTACAATCTCACAAGAAGCCTGTTGTGGGAGTTTGTTTCGGTCATCAGATTCTTGCTCGGGCGCTAGGTGCCCGTGTAGGTCGTGGTGAGGAGTGGGAGGTTTCTGTCGATGAGATCACGCTTACGGATGCCGGAAAGGAGGTTTTCGGGAAGGATAAGCTGGTACGTCTAATCTATTCTCTGTTATGTGGGAGACTAATGAAGAAATAGTTCTTGCACCACATGCATCGCGATAATGTCTTCGAGACGCCTGATGGGTGTGTGAACTTGGGCTTCAGTGGTCCTTGTCCTGTGCAAGGGCTGTACATGCCGAAGCGGTTGATCAGTATTCAGGCTCACCCAGAGTTCAACGAGTTTATCATGACGAATGTGTTGCAAGCTCGGCATGAAAGTGGGTTGTTTACAGATGAGTTATATGAGAGTGGAAGCTCGAGAGCGGGAAAGCAACATGATGGCGAGCTACTTGCGCGGAGGTTTATTCAGTTTATTGTTGAGTCGGTTGCATAATTTCTTGATAATACGACAGTATCTGTGGCACCAACCCATCACGAATCTGTCTGGTGATGCTCAAATTATGTCGCATTTATTAGGCGGAGGACCTGAAAGTATTACGATTTGAATTTCGAATGACTTCAGGTACTGTCTTCGCTTGGCCGGATAGCTTACACTAGAGGTATCTTTACCTGGAAATTCAATTAGCTCATAGTTGGTGATCCCTTGTGTAATGGACACTAAAATTCAGTGTCATGTATGGAATCCATAACCCACTGGATTGTATTAGTTTGAGGTGATTTTGAAAAGGACATTTGAGACTGGCCGATAGACAAAAGCATAAGAAAATTGTAAAGGATCTGAAAGTTGTATAGATGTCCCTTGTGGGCTACTGCACCCAGGACATAATAAGAAAAAGACTGTATTCATTAGAGTCTGGGTACAAAAATCATTCGGGTTGGGTGAGGTTCCAAATGTTCATATTACAAATCACTCGGAGCCCTGTCATCCGATTGGCCGGATGGTGTAGTTGGTTATCACGTATCGTTAACACCGATAAGGTCCTGGGATCGAGCCCCAGTCTGGTCATTCTTTTTTTACCGGGCTCACCTCTTTGTATACCCCACATACCATCAAGTGCGCTTGGCCTCGCTTTTCTCAAAAGCTTGCGTGAACCTGACTCAACATGGCCGATCAGTTGACTCCCTGCCGTATGAGACGTGTTGATTTCTTGTACGATAGATTTCACCCTATCTTTCTTCGTGTGAGACTTTGTTTTTATCTCTGGAAAATAATGGGTGAATCATTCTGCGCTTTAAGTTTGTCATTGTTGACATCGAATGGATGCATTTTGAAGCCTCTACGAGGAAAAGGAGGAGTCATAGTGCAACTCTGAAATCGAACATTGGAACTTTCGTTCTGCATCGAGACTATTCAGCCGATCGAGTGTTGAACGTACGCACACAAGGCAGACATCAGCGCCAAAAAGAAACTGCCGACATTCCACGCCGTTCCCCACTCGCCAAAAATAGGTTTGGCAACAATGATGATCGACAGTAGTACAAACAAAACAGAAAACAAGAAAGTACTTTGCGATTTAATCGTCCAGTTTTCCTTTACCCTAATTCCGCGGAATTTCAGCTCTCGAGCTTTTGGGCAATGCCACACTTTCAACAGCCTGAGAATATCACTATCAACTTTGAAATCAGTATATGTTCTCCAGACCCTGCAAGTCGCTTTTTTCGAATTGCTGACCTATGTCCGTACACCACTTTTTCTTCTTGAAGAAAGTCATTCAAGGCAGCGAGCTGAGGATTTGAAAATGCAAGTTTCATCAAAGGGTGGGTTTGAAGGTTTTGAAGCTGTCGTTCTGCCTTAAACTTCTCTCTCTCTGGGCAGTATGTGTCGATCTTGGCTGACACGCAGCTCTCAAAACATTTCACCATTCCAGTGGAAAGATCGTAGTGACATGGCCAATCTTGCTCCTCATAATCATCGACCACTTGCTCTAGCCGTCTTTTCTCAATGGCATGGTCCTGTCCCTCATACATCCCCACAAACTCGACAGCTCTTATAGACCCGCTAGGTTTTCTGGGGTTTATGCCTGCGATTGAAATCTTGGGGATTCAGTCAACTTGGTGGACAGCGGGGGCTCTTGAATGCAGGGGGCCAGACCTCCACTATATCAACATGTTCAACACCAAAGAAAGGAATATATCGCCTCCACCAACCTCTGCGGGTGTACCATGCCTGATTCATTTTCGTCCACATGGCGACCTCATCACTTGCATCAGAAATTGAGACAGGAATAATAGAACAATGGTATTGTTGACCCCAACAAAGGAGGACCACAGTGTCCGCGTCATCTCCGAGCATTGATGATAACTGCTCTGCCAGCGCATCTGTGCGGTCGTTATGGGCTGCCTCGTGACCATCTTTCACACTGAACACTGATTCAAGACTGGGTCTCCTGGCTTCGGGGCTGTCCTCATGTGGATCTCGATCTCCAAGTTCACTGCTACTATTAATAGGTCTCACCTGATCTTGAAGGCTTCTCTGTGAGGCCCAGCCCAAGTACCGTAGAGGCATATTATCCCTGATTAGTGATAGTCGAATGCCTCTGGCATTAACAATAGGCAAATAGGAGATCTTGAGCTCGGAGAACGGGAAGAGCTTTCGAACCCTGTGTATATTAGGTGGGTGTTCGAGGTCTTCTGGACAATTGTTCAACTCGGCTTCCTCTGCACGCCTTAGCGTCAAAAGAGCTCGTTCGGGAATCATAGGGTCATTCATCGTTGTGTGCCAAAGTGTATGAAGAGAAGTCTTTGATTTGCCCTTGAAACTGATAAGTATCTTCGGAGATCGAGTTAATGGGATTACCTTCGATATATTGGGAGATTATAGCAGCAACAGTGTTCCAGCAGGTGAGGCTCTGCATAGGCTTAGGCCTTGGCAGAATATCAAGATAATTAAAGCACCCAATCAGCCAAGGCCACGGCATCACAGATGTCACACATTATGGTCACATACATCGTGCAGCTTACTTCCGCCCAATTCCAAGAAGCTATTTGCCGCCTTCTCAACACAAGAGGATCAATGGCTGGGATTGGGTATTCTTGCGTCTGTGTCCGGTTGGGCTCATATTCCGGGGTAGGATGTCAGACTCACAACATACAAGACCCCTCAACCTTCATACATTAATTTATTCAAGTCAGCTGTTGCCATGAAGTTATGTGAATTCTGCGACCGATCGTTAGCAGCCGAAATGCCCTAAGTCAACGTTTCCGTGACTCGCCTGCACATGCGCTTCTCTATGATTGTGAGCCCTGCAATCAATCGTTCGGCAGCCGAAACGCCCTGAGTCAGCATCTTCAAGATTCGCCTGTGCATGTGCTTTCCTATAATTGCGAGCCCTGCAATCGGTCTTTCGGCAGCCAAGACGGCCTGAATCAGCATATCCGCGACTCTTCCGCGCATACGCAGATGCCTATCACACCTTTGAACAGGTTTTTCCAGTCATTCACTGGTTCTGTGTATGATCCTACCTTATCGCCTACTGAATCATACTCGTGTTTGGAAAGGTTCTGTGGCTGGCGCAGAGATCAAGAAGGATCTAAACAAGCTTGGAAGCATTTTCAAGAAGCTCTTGACCAGGAATTCAAGCTCTGGTTCGGAGCTGAGGATGACCTAGCGGGCTGGCATTCCCTCTGTCGCGCGGTGAGGATTGAACCGCTACCAAAAACTTGTCTTGACTGTGAAAAGGTAGCCAAATGACCAATCCTTTCCGAGGCATACAGTTAACTTAATGTAATAGGCAGTGCGGGGAATATACGTCAACGTTGTCAATTTTGTTGACTGGGCTCGCAGTGGAGGAGAGCGCAGTAACATACGGCTCTTCCATAGCTTAGCTGAACTGCGCGATTACACCAGGACAACCCGTAAGATTTTTCACAATGAGTTTGACAAGTCTGAAACTGGCAACGTAGTCCTTCGACATTTGCTTCGATTTAAATTTCGGGTAGGTAAGAGGAAATAGGATAGGAAGTTGGTGCTGTGAGACATTTGATCTAAAGTACCAGAACATGACACATTCTTATCACAGAAATATTTCAAACTTTAAAACATTTCCGATCTTTTAAGAAGCGAGCAGACTTCCAAGGTTCAATGAATCAAATACACTTGGACATATGTGAAGGCAAAATATTAAAAGAAATCAAACCAGTTACCCGATTCAAAATAGTCTCTCAATTATCTTGCTACAATCAAAGTTACCCGGATAACTCCGCGGCGCTATCGTAACAAGTGTGGTCGATGTTCCGATTAGGAAACAGTTTCGTGGCACTGCGGGAACGAATCAGGAAGCACTTTCGACTTGGCTGATCTTAAGAGGAATAAGGTTTTGTCCACCCGAAGATTAAGCTTCGCATCGAAATACCTGCCAGACAAAGAATACATTGAGTGACTGCTTACGCTGCGCATAATGTTGGTGGCGAAGTCGAAAAAGTTGAACGGAACTGGTAAACTCCTCGTATTTCTGGACTTTGAAGATATAATAATCGCCGTAAGCCCCAGATGTTCGAATTATTTTCCTTTCAACAGACACTTTCAAATCACTTTCCACGTCTTCTAAAAAGTCGACTTTCAGCACAATTCTCCAATACTCTATACATTATGGGTTTGATCCGTGATACCATCGGCGCAGCCCTTGGTGCCGACCAAGTGAACAATGGGTTCAACGGTCCGAAATTACCTTTTGTCAACAAGAGCAGCCGCGACATAAGACGCCAAACACCATCCCCATCCTCGCGCCAAGAATACGTCTCTAGCGCCAACTATCAAGATGAAAGAGCACTGTACTCACAAGACGACATGCAGAGCCGCATGTCAAGACAGCAGAGGTACAGCGACTATCAAGATCGAGCCCCAGCCTTACCTCCCCGCTGCCAACCTCCCCCCTATGCCCAGGATACTCGAGACATGTACCAAGAACAGTCTTACGACGGTCAAATTTATGATGGACAGTCATTCTACGAGCAAAGCCCCGTCAGAGATATGGGGTACCCGGGGGACTTCAATTTCCGCCCGATCGCTTTGCCCCAGATTGCTTATGGAGACGGACAACCTTTTCTTCGGGGGTACACGAATGAGCTCGGGCGATTTGGTATCTATGAAGCGGACTTCATTAGACTGGTTGATGCCATCAATGTTGCCATCATTCCCAATCCCGAGAACCAAATCTTCCAGAAGGGTGCAAACATCGCTGGCTGGTTTATGTAAGTCACGATCTATAATATTCGTTAGCTTCGCTAATACATATCTGCAGACCTGGCGCCGCCGGAATCGGCCTCGCAGTCGGACAGATTGGTGTTGGGATCGGCGCAGCAGTTGGTCACGCTTCCATGGTCGCTCGACATCTATCAAAGGCCAATCTTGATCTTTTTATACCTAATGGACTGGAGATATGGTAAACACCACCCTAGTCCACCAGGCCGTGAGAGTATTCTAACATGCACCATAGTATCGCAAAGACGAAAGATGTCGACGCCGAACTAGGTCTTGACTCGGCTTCCACGCGACAGTCCCTGTATACGGTGTCACCAGAGGCAAGACGCGCACAGTACGGTGACCTCATTGCGCCTCTTTCTCGAGTCCTGCCGCCGTTGCAACAGAGGGGTCGCAGTGACCCAATTGCCATGTTGGGACGGGGCCTCGCTAGCCGAGGAGATCAAAAGAAAATGCAAAAAGTAGAGAAGGAGATGGCAAAAGGAAGGGGCAAAACCAAAAACCTCGATGCTTTGGAAGGAGGGCTTAAATGGGTGAGTCTGATTGATATCTATGCTTTTACAGATATGGACTAATCTTATGACAGCTCATGGTTCGGAAAGCTTCTCCAAATGCAGTGGCTCACTGGGAGCAAACTCTTGATCAAAGTAATGCTGCCCTACAGCAAGAGGCTAGAGTCGCCGAGCAAAGCAGATATAATCGGAGAAACTAGATGGCTGGATGGGACGCGGCAGAATATGGGCACAACGAATTATAAAGACATAAGTTATGACGGATGGGCTCAGGTACGGGGCGTTCAAATCTTAGATTGCATTTTTATTTCTTCATTTGAGACGGACTTTTCAACCCAATTGTATTTGAAGAAACCCTGACTGAATGATGTTCAATGTTCCACTAAAGATAATAATATAAAAAAAAATTCACAAACGATTATGATTTCTCATGAACAGTTCGAATATCTATGCACTCGCATCCTCACCCCCATATTCATATCTCATACAGATGACAAATGGGGACTTCATATATGCGCGGTCCGGGACCGCGGTGTGGGGCTCTCACTCTCTAGACTTCCACGATTTGAAATGTGATAGAAGAATAATAATAAGACGCCAAATCCACTGTTTACAAATCCATCTCTTGTTTATTCTCTAAAAATTACTTTTGCCGTTGGATCCTTTAGCATATTCAGGTCCCTGATCCAATCGCTTGAGACCTTTTCAGTCTACTGGAATATAGGAGCCGTAAAACACCGTGTACTCTGTGTATCTGAGCCATAAAATCTAAATCGAAGGGATTTCAAGTACATACCACCATAGGGTGTAGAGAACAGGGCTTCCAGTACGCTCAACCGTACTTGAGCCACCCGCCGAATTGCCATACTGGCCAATCGTTTAGTCTAGCCTTATGGGGAAATAACCGGTCGCCGCTTTGCGGTCGCACGACGGGGAGTGAGAAAGGTAAGTGCGCAGTATGGAAGGGGTGAGATTCAGCTGAGAATCACCCTAGATCGCGTGATCGCCGACTCTAGCCGAATGGACACATGAAAATCGATTGGCCAGAGTACCAGAGTACATACCAAGCTTCCCTGGCCAATGTTAACTATGCTGAGTGATAGATAGCATTTGCTTTCCATACGTTATTACTGAGAACAAGTTTGAAAGAGATCAGAATCATAACATTTGAACAAAGTGTCCAGTGAAATCCCTTTACTGGAAACTATTGTCTAAGTTAAGAATACTTTCGCGATGTTTAACAATCTAGACGAATGCAATGATTGAACGATGATATTATATATACGTATGTAAGCGACATGCAATCAGTACTTTGAGAGAACATGTATACGCTTTGCAGAGGACTTAATTCCTTACGAATTGACAACTGTTAACGAATGAGAGCGGGATCAAAAGAGGATGTGTTCTGACGCATCAATTATGCCTTCACTTGCCACAGTCTTGATATTGACAGGCTCCCTAACACTTAAACCTTGAGGCTCATACTATCAAAGGAAGGAAGTGGCCAATCCGCAGAGGTATTGTGCTAATGTGACTATTTCGAGCTGGGAGAAGGGTAGGCTCCGGTACCTCCGCACGATAAGCGATACAACCAGTCAGGATGTTTGAATAGTAGCAACAGCTTTAGCGAAGGAGTGTTGTTTCCCCTTATCTTGATGGACTGTCTACTCGGGTTGTATTTGTTGTTCTGTACTCCGAGATAGAATCCCGGATTACAGAACAACAAATAAAAAACTCAGGTTACATTGCATTAGTCAGTGAATAGAGCATGCACGGAGTAAAATGAGCGTGATGCTTCTTCCCGGCTGAAGAAAGATTCATCATATCATGGAGTAGAGCTTATTGCAATTCCTGGTCCGAGGGATAGGTTTATGGCCTTTTCATCACTGTTGGGATAAGAGTGGAAAATGATCGCCCTCAGTTTGCTAGTAAATTGAAGTTCAGCACTTTTTGCTCATCAGAACTTCATATGAAATGAGACGCACAAAGGTGGGGAGAAAAGAAAGTGATACAATGGCTTAAAGTACAAAGATTGAATATGAAAATACAAAGCCTTCTCCCATGGCTAGTAAGTTTCCATCATCATCTCTTTAGAGAGGTCATTAAGTTTTACCTTGGTGGTAGGAACTTCCTTGGCTTGCCCTTCACAAGCACCACTGTGATAATCAAGAACCTCGTAGTACCTTGAACTTGTTTAGCAAAATGATGGGAACCTGGCAGGATCATTTGAAACTTACATATTGGTCTTCCACTCGTCTGCTGAGAGCTCAGACTCCAAAAGTGACCAGCTGAGCTCTTTTTCAAAAACAGGCTCATCTTCGGGGTCATGATATGTCGAGAGGTATGGGTGCCTAAGGGCCTCTGAAGTCGTGATCCTCGATTCAGGGTCGAGATCAAGCATTTTCTCCAAGAGATCGATCGCTACCAGGTTTAGTATTTTAAGTACTGGTAGAGTCAAGGATATGAACTTTAGAATGTACCTTGCGGGTCAGCATCTCCAAAGAGAGATGCAAAAGGCTTGCGTTTTGGTTCGGGTAAAGACTCCACGAATTCATACGTCTAAAAGTTGTTGTCAGCATCTACCCGTAAGCACTGGTCAGCAGTCAGATCTTACATGCTTGCTATACACTTTCTCCATAATTTCCTTCGGGGGTTTACCCAACGCCTCGGTAATAAGAGCAAACTGATGTATGTGATCTTTGCCAGGAAAGAGAACCTTCCCCAGGATCATCTCCGCCAAAATGCACCCGACGCTCCAGATATCAACTGCGTAGCTGTACTTCTGCCAGGTCAACATGATCTCTGGTGCTCGATAGTATCGTGTAGTGACATAGCCGGTCATCTTGGCGTCTTGCTCTCGAGCCAATCCGAGATCACAGATTTTCAAGTCGCAGTTGTCATTAATCAGAAGGTTGGCGGGTTTGAGATCGCGGTGAATGACATCGGCTGAATGGAGATATTTCAAGCCTCGCTGGAGCGGTCAGTGCCAGGTTCGAAAATTGACGTGAGTGCACATACCAGGATCTGGTAGATGAAGAATTGGATGAACTGGCCTTCTAACGGTTTTTGTCTCGACCGAAGGAGTCGATGGAGGTCCGTCTGGATACAGTCTGTCACAAGGTAGCTGCACAAATGGATCAGTCTGTCTTCGAAGCCATCATACCAAAGCGAGGGTGATTATCGTACAGATCCTCTGATGGCGAAATGAAGATATCTCTCAGATTTATCAACTAATGCGATTGATCAGTCTCCGTGGTCATTATTGTCATTCCCAATTGACATACATTGTCGTGACGCAAATTGCTTAATAAGTGAACTTCCCGATACGTGCGCTTTGCCACGCCAGTATTCTCGAACGGCTTAACTATTTTCTTTATCGCGACCGTTTGCTTTGCTACTTTGTCGTGTGCTGCACTGTTGATTGTCAGTACTAAATCAAAACAGCCTAAATATATAAATGGGATATACCAGACCACTCCAGAGGCACCAACGCCTCGCGGTTCCAAGTTGGAATACCTATTGGTAGTTTCTAGGGTCGTGCCCATAATTTGATGTGTTACGAATTGAGCCATTATGGTGGGGTGAAGATGGAGAACTGCACTTGGTAACTCTGTTGGAGAGCTATGGAGAGAAGGGAATGCTTATATTGTGCCACCTATGATGTCATAATTGTACCAGCCAAGGTTCTTAATACATCATAACTTGATAGAAAGAAGATCTCCACACACCAGGATAAGTTACATTCTCGGTCCGCATCAAATGGGCATGTAGATCTGGCTAACGGATCAATCAAATTTGATTTTGAGTCAGTCGGTGGATTCCCAGGGCAATGGACCCACTCGCAACCAGCTCCCAGTCTACAAGGGGACCCGTACTTGGTTGAATTTGATAACGCAACCTCTCCTGGCCAATAGGCTTAGCCGATAAGCCCACATGAATGCCCGTGCGTTTTGTTCCAGGCAATTTCTAGATGTACATTGTTGTCATATCAGCAGATCAATTCGCCATGCTCCCGTCAGCACGACCTGGTTACTTTGCCGCTTTGTGTGGAGTGATTTACAAAGTTAATCGTGGATTCGTTAAGTAGCATCTTGATAGTATTCACGATAGAGTAACGAAAATAAGCAACATAAAGCTTAGTTAGTACTAGCATGTCTAGAAGGACAATCGAACTTCGACAGCTGCAGGTACGGAGCTATTATCGGTAGCTAGTTTGTCTAATACCTCAAGGTCCGATACTTCAGCGGTCATAGCCTGGCCGTCTGGAATCCGCTCGACTACATCATCATCAATCATGATTTTCATGCCGTTTGGTTTGAGATGAAACAGATTGACTGAATGATCTCGATTGAAATTCTGTTTTTGGGAGATCTTCTCCACCAATTGATTCACAGTAGATTCGGCCAGATACACTGCAGTGTGGTAACCATTTTCCTGAACGCCACCTTGATGAAAGCGAAGATAGAGACATTTCACTGGTCATATATTATTAGAGATAGGTAGGTACCTTACTTCATCAAGCCTCGGCCCCACTGACGTACAATGGGCCAATCAAAGAAATCAGTGGCAACGACCTGGGATTGATCAACTTGAAGGCCCATTGTGGCAAATTCCTTCGGATACTTTCTCCATTCTGCCAAGGATTTGATCAAACAGCTGGAGCTCATGACCAAGTATCAAATATCGGGAATAGTGTCAATTTAGCTCTTTGTACGACTAGTGGCCCAATAATGGGACCTGACCCCTGGTGCAGACATATCGGTAGTGGAAGCATGGACAGTTTCTTGTACAAGGTCAAAGGGGTATTTATTGAATGCACTTATGGCGTTCTCGTATCGTCTCGCTATATACATGAAGATATCATAAACCTCGTGCCTGTCTCAAGACGGCGATACCGTCGACCAGTCACATGATAGTCATTGAGCTTAGTGCTTAGCCTGCTCTGTAGGTTTGTTAGAATCATCTGATGCGGATCCACGTGCTATGCGGCTCCACCTACCCTTGTTCAAATCAGCCTTGACGTCGTGAGACTTTTCGTCCTTCTTGTCAAAGATGGCATCTTTGGCGGCAGAGGCACGAGTGCTCAACTTGGCATCATCGTCCTTGGCCACCTGCTTGTTGGCCTCCTTGGAAGCCTCAGCACCGGTGCCCTGAATGCTCTCAGAGACGTAGTTGGCGGCGTTCTATTAATATGTCAGTAAGCGCTGGCATGATTGTTGTTGCATATACACACGAACCTTGATAGTATCCATTATGAATTGAGTTGAAGATGAAGAAGGTTGAATGTTTTGAAAATTGTGGTAGGTAGGCAATTGGTTATGTTTGAGTTATGTTTGACAGATAGTCATCATGGTGCTGGGAGGACGGGGTACTTATAGATGTCGGGGAGCAATGTCTAATATCGCAATGACGTCATCGCTCCAAGGGGAAGCCTTAACGTCAATAACCATACCAGTTTTGACAGCTACTACAACCGGTTGTTATGATGTCAAGCCAAGCTTATTTCCTGAATAGATGATTCTTAATCTAATCATTACAGGTTTTACTCCACTGACAAATTCCAGGAAAGGTATATACGGGTTTGAAGCCACTCCTGATTCTTCAGGTATCAACGTAGTCATTGCTCCCTCATCCATGCGGCACCTTTATCGTGTGTCGAGTCAAAGACAAGTCTCTTGGGTGATTCCAGCCTCTTTTAGTAAGATAATACGAAAGATCAACTTTTTTTATGCAAATGCAAGTTACTAAGGGCCACCCGCGGGCGGCCCTCTGCGGGTTAAGGGTCGGGCTAAGGGCTGGAGGTTCCGGCCCTCAAAACATTAAAACATCTTCGATGACGTCTAATTTGTACTATATAGCTCAACTCAAAGGGGTATCAAGTACATACGACCATAGGGTGTGGAGAACAGGGCTTCCCGTCCGCTCAGCCGTACTTAAGCCACACGCCGGTTAGTTAGTAGTATGGTGGGTGACCACATGCGAATCCTGACTGTTGTATGTTTTTCTTTTTCTTTTTAATTTTAATTTGTCCGGCAAAGTGCCATTGCCGCCCGGGGCCATTCGCCTGAATGCCCTAAACACCACTATTTCGCACCTGAATAACCTACACGTGCCTGAAGCTCTGACGTGGCCTTCTCCTCTCCCATGCTGACTTTTTCACATAAGCACTTTAAGCTTGCGGCGGCACAAGATTCCCATCTTATTTCGCAGTGGCCGGACCAATTGAGGGTGTATGTCGACCGGGAAGGGCTTACCGCAGTGGAGACGCAACGGCTGCAGGCGGCGCCGCTGCACCAGCGCAATATGCTGATCTATGACATGATTGCGTCGCGGGTGGCGGAAGGATCCCCGTTCGGGCCTGGATTCCCAGGGCGGCGGAGGAGTCGAGACCTGGGGCTATGTACGCCCTGCGCCGGGTGACGGTGGTGGGGGCGGAAGGGCGGGGTTTGATTGAACTTTGAAATGAAATTTTGTGATAAACAGATACCCTTCCAGCAGCAGATGCCGAGGTAAGATCACGGATTGCAGAATAACAAAATAAAAAATTCCGTTTATATTGCATTGGTTAGTGAGTAGAACTTGCACGGAGTCAAATGAGCGTAATGCTCTTTCCAGCTGAAGGGAGACCCATAGACAACAAATACAGCAACATGAGGTTATATTGCAGTAAACTTAGCCCCCACGCAACCAATTCAGCCCAACTAATGAATTAACAGGCTAAAATACCGTCCGACTAAGAGTACATAGTCACACCATTCATTGCCCCCTGTCTGAAGCAAGCAGCCTGACAGCAGCAACGGCAGATTCTTGATCTGTACCATCAACCTCCAGAAATTCCCCACTCTCGCCTTTCTTCCCTTACTTAGCACTAAAATCAGCCACCAAAATGTCTACCACTAAACCCACCATCATCCTCGTCTACGGTGCATGGCACACCCCAGCCAACTACGCAACCTTCATCACCAACCCGGTTGCCGGTTACGTACGTTACCACGACTAAGGATTACTTGGTGCCTTGCATATATCAAAATATCAATCTCAAGCATGTGGATGAGGAAGGGGTGAAGCTGCGGTTTGGATGTGGATACTGCGCATAGTGTGTTTCTTTCGTGGCAGGAGGAGATGTTGAGGTCAGTGGATGAGGCGGTGCGGGATGAGAGGAATCAATGGTTAAAATTGAGTTTTTGTTTGGTGGAACTGTATGTTAGACTTTGTTGAACAAATTTACATGGCGGGAGAGAATGTTAGGGAGAGAGTAAGAGAGGCGGTCTATGTGTCACGTTAGTCATGAATTAAAGATAAAGACGATGTTGTCGGAATTTTCAGAAGAAGCTATGGTTGTTGTTATATGAAGTTGCATTTTTCTCATTGACTATGTGTTTTAGAGCGGCTGGGCCGCTTGGGTGGCCGGCTCGCTTGTGATACGTTAGCTGTTGTTGAAAATATTGGGGACTACGGAAGTCTCATCTAAGATGCGAAAGAAGACCTAGCAATTCGACTTAGAATATTGACAGGAAGTTAGAAGAGCTATGTTACGAACCCGCTTTGAGCACCTCAATCACAGCATCTAGGAGAAGTACGTATACTGGAATGCCAGTGTGGGCTGTTCTCTATCCTTTAACTATAAGCCATATCAAGTCTAGAACGTAAACAAGGTTTTCATGGCAACCGACCTCCCGGCGTTGCTTCACCCAGAGGCCAATGTCGCTTACGAATCGCTGGGCTGCACCTACTTTCACACCATGCTTGACCAAAGCATCTGGATCCTGATCCTCATAAACCTGCGCATCATCGAAGCGATTTTCAAATGTCACATCGCGTGCTTTGTAGTGACCCAAGAGTATGGCTTAACCGCTTCCGTTCTGCTTCCATGCATCCATCATTTCGAAATTTTGTTTAGAATCTCTAGTAATTATTTTACCGATTCCAGAGATTTCTATCCTCTATCGCCCACGTTAGTCCTGCACATCTTTCTTTTGCCAATCTCTTTCACCATGATGCATTTCGAGTTTCCAGGATCCGATCGATGGAAAATATTACATACATTAATACGTGACGAGGCAATACAGGTCAACAAGAAAAGCCCCCATTCAGCTGACTTGGAATAGCTGGAGGGGGAAATAAGAGAATAAAAAGCCGCATAGGCATAATTATTGCGAATTGGTGGCATAGTGCGTGGTGGATGGGAATTGAGATTGGCCAAAATTTCACATTCCCGGACGGGAGTCGTCAGCTCGCTTGGGAACTACGTTATCCTTGCTACAGCCAAATAAACAGAGAACTAAGAGGATTCTAGATTGGATGGAAGGATTTTCACTAAAATTCTCTGGGCATTGTTTATTCTAGCAACAGGCAAGAGAAGTCGATTAGGAATTGGTGTAGCCGTCAGTACAAGCCCAGGTAATAGTCCTGAAAACGACTGGATGAAGCATAACTGCGTACGCTCCAGGATGCCCCTGTCTTATCCACATCAGGTGTTACTTTGCTCAAATTCTGGCGCTCTATAGCTTCACACGAATTGTGGCATTGGTGTGGCTATGCCCCGACCCCTGTTGTTTCCCTGATCTATCGCGTTTGCCTTGCCTAATCTGAGAATGAGAAATCTGGGGGCCTAAATTTTTGGTTTTAGCCAATCATATCTGCCAAGGGCTTTATGAAACAACTTCAAAACAAATGACTCAGCCGCAATGCAAATTGACCCCAAACCAATTGAGAGCAGTCGCAACAATAAATTTGCATTGTGGATACCCGCTCTTTGGCTCGATTCAAGATCTCTAGAGCCTTTTATTCTATTCATATCATAACCAGGCTAATATTGGTTTCCCTCGCCTTCTTTTTTGTACCTTTTATCTCATCAGCCTCCTTAATGACCCCGAGAACGCCCGGGATTACGGATGAAGAGTGGAGGAAACATCAGCGGGATCTATACCGGGAAAACACCTTGAAAGATGTCATTCAGCTCATGAATGAGAAGCACGGATTTCAGGCGAGGTATGACTGATTGTTTGTCAAATTTTCACTCCAGGATGACTCATATATTGCAGCACGAACGAGTACAACAAAAGACTCAAAGCATCGGGAGTCAAGAAAAATGGCACAAATAGCAAATGGGAGTTTATTGACAGCCGTTTCCGGAAACGCAAATTGCAAGGAAAGGAAAGCGAATTGCTTCTCAATGAGAAGCTTTATTCAGATAAAAAGGTCAGGAGGGAGATCGCGCGACATGTCACCTTTACAAGTACCCAGTTTAGATCAAAAAGTGAGCCTCTATTCCAAATGAAACATTGGTCATCACTGGCATGCTGAGAGTCTGACATGCTAAACATTACCAATAGGTTACGATCCTCCTACACCAGACGGCGTGGTCATCCGTAGCCCTCAACAATCACCACTACTCTCATTTCCTACGACCAGCCTTCGAATTGAAAATATTCCTTGGTACCTGTTCAAACGTGAGGTGCAATATTGTGGAATACCGCCGCAAGATATGTCGGCAACCGAGGGTGACAATTCCAAGTTACCAGTTATCCCAATTAGCGGGCAATATTTCGGACCATTGAGCTCCTCACCGATCGGGTTCTGCAGTGTTCAAACACCCAACGAAGCTATTTATTCCCCTCACAATATGACCTTTGACCCGATGGACCCTTTCAATCCAACTTTGCATGATTGGACCTTTGAGAATGACATCACTCGAAGCTTGTTACTGGATATCGCAAATTCTCGGACTTCCCTGGAGGCAAATCAGGCCAGTTTAACAGGCTCGTCAAGAAACGTGAAAATTAGCCATGAATTCGCATTATCCTTTCTTTCTGATTTATCATTTAATGGACCATCCCGCAAATGGGCGCTGTCAGCGAGCTGGCCGCCTTTCTCAGACGATACACAGTGGACGACAGTGACTTCGAGCTCAGTACATCATCGGGTATCTCTGAGAATAACACAGAATCTCTAGCCTTGTACCGCCTTGTTAGCTTGTTCATATAACTCATATCCAACAATTTGGTACCTTTAGGGGACAACGACACAATCCTGTCTTGGATAATGACAAACAACTGCACCTGGATGATCACAAATATTCTCGAATGTTCATCTACGACGGTAGACGTTTTTGTAACCAGGATATTTCCAGCCGCTGTGAAAGTTGGGGAGATGGGTCTTGTACGCAAGCTCATCAGTCGAGGTATACATGTTCAAAGTTCTATTGGGTGGTATTTACAGACTCCGTTATCACTTGCGGTTGAAAGCCGAAACTTAAACATGATCCAGCTCCTTTGTGCTTCGGGAGCAACGCCTGAAGTGATGAGAATTTCCGTGATCCAAAAAGATCAGGGCCGAGGCTCTCTCTGGTCTTCCAGCAATATTAAGATTCTTTCTTTGCTTCTCGAACTCGGCGCAGACCCAGAAACTTTTGTCACCGACGGACCAAGAGGCTTCCCCCTTATAAGTGCTGCTTCTGAGGGAGAGGTTGAAGCTGTTGGACTTCTTTTAGATGCTGAAGCACGACCGGACTTGGCTACTTTGGATTTCGGGACTGCATTACAAGCTGCCGCCGCACGAGGTCATGAAGTCGTTGTTAGGATTCTCATCGAGCGTGGTGCAGGTGTCAATACCACCTGGATTACTTCTAAATCCCGTATCCTAATCTGCGATGACTAGAACCGGGAACATGCGGCTTTCAAGACACCCATTCAATTTGCGGCAAGCGGAGATCATATAGGAATTGTGCAGACTCTGCTACAGAGTGGAGCTCTGGTAAACTACTGTCCCAGTGTCGCATGCTTTGGACTCCCCGAAATCGACAAGATGTTCTCGCGCTGGGATGCAATCCGCCACTTCGAAGAGATACCGCTTGCATATCCTGTCCAGTACGCCGCAATGAATCAGAACGTCACTCTTCTTCAACAACTTCTTGCTGCTGGAGCGAATGTGGACTCCAGGATCGGTACATGTTATGGCGATACCCCCCTGCAGATAGCGGCGAGGTTAAGCGATGTGGCAATGACACGATTTTTAATTGATCAAAAGGCCAATGTGAATGCTCCTGCAGGGAAGTACTTCGGTTGAACAGCAATTCAAGCAGCTGCAGAAAGTGGAAGCATCGAGATTATGAAATTGTTGCTAGATGCCAAGGCAGACATTAACGCCGACAGTGGCTGGCGAATGAGTAGAACAGCTCTCCAAGCCGCGATTGAGAGACGCCATAAAGCTGCGGTGACATTTTTGTTGAAATCTGGCGCTGATATCAACGCAAAACCAGCGTTCAAAGAAGGAATGACTGCATTGCAAGCGGCGGCAATGGCCGGCGAGATGGAAATTTTCCAAATGGCCCTAAAGCATGGGGCGCACGTTAATGCTCCTGCTGGGCCCGAGAGTGGACTCACAGTGCTTAAAGCTATAATCAAGCACGAGAATCTCGCTAGTCTCAAGATCGTGCTTCAGGCAGGCGCAGATGTGAACGAACGATCGTCCAATGCAAACCCGTCACTTGCTTACTCTGACTACATAGCCTCAGATAAGTCACCGCTCCAATATGCGGCGTATTTAGGATGGCTTGATGGTGTCCAATGCCTCCTAGATTGGGGATCGGATATTGACGCGCCCCCTCTTCATTCCGATTACAAGGCATGCTCAGCATTGGGGTTTGCCATTGGAAATGACAATGAGGATGTAACTGGATTGCTGCTTCGAAACGGTGCTGATCCAAATACTCCTGCATGCAATTATGAGCATGCACCGAGTGCCTTTATTCTGGCTCTCTCGCGAGGCTGCTCAACTGAAACAATAGAGCTCTTTCAGCGAAATAACGCCGATATCACCAGTTGTTGGGGCACTGAATCAGCACTCGAGATTTCAGTTTCTAGCCATGCAGCCGATGTTGTTGAAATGATCATCAACTTGATGTCACAGCTTCCTGGTGACCAATAACAGAATGCAGTCAAAAGGTCATTGGCATTTGTAGCAGCAGATTTTGGCTGGAAGCCCAATTATGACATTGTGAAAATGCTCCTTCAGGCTGGTGCGGATACCAACGCGACGGATCCTGACACCCAGGAGACATTACTTCAGAAGTCTAATTGTGCAAGCGATTTCGATGTCGTTAAACTTCTTCTTGAACACGTGGCTGAGGTGAACATACCGGCGACAAAGACGAAAGGGACGCCATTGCAGGATGCAATATTGATTGAGCAAGTGGAAATCGCACAGCTTCTTCTTGAGCATGGTGCCGATATCAATGCTCCTCCATCTGAGGAAGAGGGTGCTACAGCGCTTCAGGCAGCTGCCCTACATGGGTATTATAGCCTAGTCCTAAGGCTGCTAAGAGACGGTGCTGATGTTGCTGCCGCGCCATCAGCCATCTCCGGCAGAACAGCAATAGATGGAGCTGCTGAAAATGGCCGTCTAGATATACTGCAGCTGCTGTTAAACGCATATAGGGACCGGCTAGATTTGGCACTCGTCTGTAGCGACGCTGCATCTGTCGCAGAACTGGAAGGTCATACAGGGATAGCAAGCTTTCTGAGAACCTACAAAGCCCCCTAATTCCGGACGAGCTTCTGGCTAGGAAAGAATTTTACTCACACTACATCTGATGGCTTCTTTTTCCTTTTCTTTTTTTCGGCTCATCTTTTGCATGGATTGTCTAATTTGAACCAAGAATATTGATGTTTTGATCATGAATATTTAAGCGCCCTTGCCAACAGAATCGGATATATCGTATCTCATCAGTAACGTAATGACTAGAGACGCTGATTAAAGTACCGTAACAATCATGGTTTAAAAATTCGATCATGGGGATTATATCCGGACTTGGGTCTATTGATAAACCAACTTGCGCCTATACTATATTCGTGCCGTCTTGTGTAAGCTAATTTTATCGCGAATCTCTATCAACATGCGAAATTAATGAGGAATATTTTTTTGGACAACACCTTTCTAGTTTCACTCCTGCAAACTGTCATCCCCTTAGCCCTTTTCCATCACTATCTTTCATGCAGTGAGATGATTTATTAATTACCAATCGACCTTTAAGACAGGTTGATGTTCCCAATGGCTTGTCGAAATGACCTCTTTACAAAAACTCATTTGTTCCCGTAAGTTGCCCAAATCTTAACTTTTGAAGATAGATTTTATCCACGAGCACTCACCAGCTGGAATGCGATAGTCTACAAGGCCATCCTCGAGAATGCGCTCGTTGTAAAAAGTACATTCAATTTCTGATATCCAAATGACAGACTGTTCTCGATCTAATGAGCTGGATTAGAAATAGGTAACTTCGCTTTCTTCCATTTCTCAATTTCTGGTCAAAATCGAAACTTACCGGACAGAGCAGACACCCTGTGTTCTCGAAAATGAATCCAGAGAAGGATAAGTGATGGTGGACCGGTAATCAGTAAAGTAATGAGTGCAATGATTGTTTCAGGTGACCACCCCATTCTTGAAATCAAACTTAGTCACAGAAGATATTACTTTTGGGATAAGATAAGTCTTCTTTCCTTTTATACTGGTTGAAGGGTAACATGTTGGTGTAAATGGACATACCATTTAATATTTGCTATCTAGTTTGATGGTGATGAATCCTGTACAGACTCAGCAGGGTAAAAATTGTGGTAAGGTCCAATAATATGGCGTAGAGACCACTTTTTTGGCCACTGTTCATTCGATGGGTCCATTTCTAATTTATAATTTGGTTCCCACCAATAAAACCTCCAGATGTCGATTGTAACCAGACCCACCATCTTTGAAGTGACCAATATACATCTAGCTGTTGTCGGCCTAGCACCCGACTTATATGGCTATTCTCCATCCTTGACCTAGAAATGACAGGCAAGCACTCATAGCATTTATGAAACAAGTAATGTACCTGTTCTAGCTAACCCCAAACCAGGCCAATATAGCGAGCTATATTCACAAGACTCCCCTCCCAAATTCGCTCAAGATGACTTTGAAATTTATTATACTTACTGCATGGGAAGCTCTCTATCGCTGAAATATAATTCTCTTTCTAGTTTCAGGCAAAAAAACTGCGTTTTGGCAGGGTAGGCTTATTGGTCAGGTAAAGCATGATGCTCTGAATGTGTCTGTCATGAGTGACATGATCCAATATATTGTGGGTAGGAGGGCAGCCGCCTGTACCTCAAAATTGAAAAGCAGTGAAACCAAAAGTTACAGCATGAGGCGGTGAAGGCCCACTAACCAAATTGAGCTTGGGATAGATGAAGAACGTAAGGGAGCCTCGATGGCCAGCACTTGGCGCATTTTTGAATCGGAATACAATTTAAGGATCGCATAGCCTTGGACGTTAAATTAATGTTAGTGTAGGTAATTTCAGATAATTCCGGCATGTTTGTCGGCCTTGAAAAGTCAGCCAAGCGCCAAGAAAGCGACAGTCGTGCGACGATGGAAGCCTTATAGTTGTCGTGGACGTACTAAGTAATGCTGGCCTGCGTAGGTATCTGGACGGCCAATGAAAGGGTCGTTTTTGGCCTCGAAGGCCAAAAACACGGATCTGATTGGATGGCAGCGCCCACTCTTTGGGGTCTTGAGCATTTACAGTGGATCAACATCTGGCCGCTGTTAGAGCTGAACTTGATGAGGTCACGCCTTATCAAAATCGTAGGGCGCGGTGTTTGGAGAAATTGAAGAGACAGGAAACGGAAAAAGGTAAGAAGTAATATCAGCAGCTGAATGTTGCTATCGGCCCGGGGAAGAAGGTCTTGGTGCCAATACGCCCCAAGCGGGGAAGATGGAAGATGACTACAGTATGTAGAGAACAGCTTCACACAAAACGTATGTGATATTGGGTATGGGGGGAGAAAAGAGAGAAGGAGCAGAAGGACTGGAGGATATGCCCCCAAACCCAAACTAAGCTAGTCCTAAACGGGATGCCAGCGCTGCCCGGGTCACATGATGTGGCCCAGGTCTCTGAACACGTAATCAGGGTCGAACAGCATGTACCAATGGTATGGGTCACGTCTGTGTACTTGTCTGGTATTCTCTAGTCTCCACCACAGCAATTTAACATGTGGTACGCTGACTAATAAAGTTGATTACATGATCCATTGTTCCGACACACCCCTTCAGCTTTGGCAGTCCTGGCAAAGCTGCGCAGTTGCCATAAATGGTCACTTGAATCATTCAAAGCTTCTCAGAAGCAACAAAATAGACACAATTCCTTCAGAACTGCGATCTTTTCAAAACAGCCTCTACTTACTAATTAGGCAAGTATGACTTATTTTTCTTCCTCAATGAGATGACGCACGTCCGTCAATCCCAGCATCCTGACAAAAGCTTCATGCTTCTGCCTCGGCAGCATCTTGGTGAGTCCGTCCGCGAGCATCTGCGCGGTTGGTACCCACTTGATCCGCATCCTGCCTTCCTTGACTTCTTGTCTCAGCCAGTGCCCGTGAATATCAACGTGCCTGAGCTTGGTATCGAAGGGGGTATCCTCTGCGTTGATCAAGTCCACCGTACGGCGGTTGTCACACTCGATTGTGAGACCCTCCGGATATTTGAAACCAATCCTTCCAAATAGACGATCCCACCACTGTAGTGACCTTCCTGCGTCTGATAGGCCTAATAACTCAGCCTCCGTCGTCGACGTGGTCACGGTCTTCTGCTTGGTTGCCCTCCAGTCCACCGGTCCACCGAAGAACTGGCAAATATATCCTGCGGAGCTAGTCCGGTCACCCATATCCCCATACGAAGCATCTGATGAGAACTTCACCACTTCGCTGTCGTTGTCAACTGGACCGTATTGTATAGCCCAGAACCGTGTGGTATAGAGGTAGCAGATTAAGCGCTCAATTGCTTGGTGGTGCTTCGGACCAGGGTTGGTCAGGAACTGTGCGCAGATAGACGCTCGCTTTGCTGCGTCCGCGCGGGTAATCGTGGTACCATATTGAACTGAGCCCACTCGCTGCTGATATTGGTGGATGCTTTCGGCTGTAGCTTGCCCGTCGTATGGCTCTAGGATCTCCGTGGTTCCCGGAGTCCAGACCGGAGCTCGGTGAGCCAGGTTAAACCGCTCAGCAACACTGGCAAAATAGCTGTCCTGCACTAGCCAGAGCTTTCTCTCTTTGCGATTTCGTAGGATTCTGATCCCTAGAAACCACTCAGCGTCCCCTTGGTCAGTCAGCTGCCAATTCTTCTCGAGTTCCCGTTCTAGCTGCTGAGCACGCTCGCGGGCAGTGTGGTGGCCGGCGATTAGGATATCATCGACGTAGAAGAATACGATAATCCCATCCCCAACAAAAACACACGGATCCTCGGCAACCTGTTGTAAACCAAGCTCTCTCAGTACACGCGCTGCGTCTCGCTGCCAAAGTCGTGGAGCAATTCTCAGTCCGTACAGCGCCCGTAGCAGCTTCCAGCACTTGCCCTGAGTCATAAAACCCTCGGGCATCAGAGTGTATACTTCTGTTAGGAGCTTGCTGTTTAGGAAAGCGTTTACCGCATCTCGCTGTCGGATATCTAGGTCGTACGCTGCGCTCAGGGCAAATAGCATACGGGCAGTTCTGGCTGCCAGTGTGGCAGCTCGCTTGTCTGCGTCTGAGATCGTCTGGAGATCCCCACGTACGCAGATCCTGGCTTTGCACTTAGTCAAGAACCCATCTTGATCAAATTTATAAGCATATACCCACATGAGGGGCAGTACTTGTATCCCACGATCCTTTGGCCTTTCCACGACTTTGTACGTCTCTTTGGCCTGTAGTCCGTCTAGTTCAACCCTCATAGCTCGGCTAAAACCTTCGCTCAATGGGTGTTTCCAGACGTCTCGGAATCGTTGTGGTGGAGGTGGTAGGTCATCTCGATGCTGCCGTAGCGACGGTTTTGGTGCTAGAAGACCGGTAGCAAACGCTTGTAAAGTGGTTGTTGTGGTATCGTCGCCGTTGTCGTCATCGATAAACATGGTGTTATAGGCGTAGTCTCGGTCTCGTCTCGATATTCGCACCCTCGGTCCCTGGATGATATTGCTGGTATCCACAGCTGCACAATCGCGATCTTGATCCTTAGGCAATGACCCTGCCAAGTCGTTCTTGGCCGATGTCGTACGATCCTCTTGCTCAACGCTCTCCTGTAGGGATAGCTGTAATTGGTCCTGGAGTTGATCCTCCGGGCTCGGTTCCCGTAGTGATACTGGCGAAACAGGCGTCTGATCTATTTGATTATGGTCCTGAGCGAGACGCTCAGGATCATCCCTCACCCCTTGATCAGTGGTAGTTTCCGCAGAATTGCTTCTAACTGGATAATCCGGTGGTGGGGTATGATCAATTGGGGTTTTGTGCACAAAAACTTGATCTTGTCCTGAGTGTGGTATTGTCGTCTCCTGTGGTTCTCTAGATCCTCCAGATTCTTGATCCTGTATGACGTCTACATCATCCGCATCTCTTGCTCTATAGGACCGTCCCGGAGAGCTCCCTTCTGGGGTACTCTCGGCAATACTCGTACGAGCAGTCTGTTCGTCGAGACCCTGTCGAATACAGTCGACCTCTAGTCCTTCCTCCATGATTGTGGGAGGATAGTCCTCTGGAACTGGTAGCTTCACCCCTTCATCCGGGTCATGGTTCTCTGCCGAAAAACGTCGGTTTTCATCAAAAACTGCGTCTCGGACCATCCTGACCTGACCACGGTGCGGTATCCAGATTTGCCAGATATTCGAGGCCACGTAGCCAACGAGATATCCTATCTCAGCTCGTGACTTCATTTTGTCAAGTTTCGGGATATTGGGGATCCTGCAGTATGCAAGTGATCCATACAATTTGATATTCGCAAGCGACGTCTTTGTGGGAGTATTGACAGGAGTACCCTCGGTACCCTGGTTGAACCCAATAAAGCGCCGTGCTTCATCCCATGGAACTATCCAAGTCCCATCTTCCAATCTCGTAGGCGTACGGTTCAGCAGGTATACTGCCGCTTTTACCGCTTCTGGCCATAGTTTATCGGGTAGTTTTCCTTCCTTTAGAAGCGCTCTCGCTCTAAGGATAATCACACCTCCAGCACGCTCACCCGGACCGTTCATCTCAGGCGTATACGGGACTGTAAACGTGTGAACACACCCCAGCTGCTTAATTAGCAGTAGAATACTCTCATCAACTGATCTCTCGTTATCAGAGTGGAACACCTTAATCGGCAAATTTAGCCAGCGAATAGCGAAAGCGATAAAGCTTCTGATCGCTTCCTGGCACCCGTTTTTGTTCACATGGGTCATTAACCAGTGGAACCGGATACCCTCAACGTAGAAATGGGTTATCCAGCAGTGCTGATTATATCCCATAATGACCTGAATTAGGTCAAAGTAGACCCTCCCGCACCGTCCGTAGTGCTTGCCTATCGGTCTCCGCGAGACCTGTCGTGGAGCGTTGACCAAGCTGCAGACCGTACAAATTTCATCATCCGGTCGCTCTTCCCCATCCTCCGTGCTTCGTACAACCTCAACTCCACTGACCAGTTTCGGTAGTTGCTAAATTGCTGCCTTCGAGACATGGCCAAGTCGTTTATGCCACGTATTAGTATTGGCAGACGATTTCAACGGTTTCTCTGATCGTCGGGTAGCAAGTGCAGTTTTATGCTGGGTGTTGTTTTGGGTCTTGATCGTAGTCGTACGACCCTCTGTTTTCGGCCGAAAAACTGTACGTTCATCCCGCGTCTGTGAGAACAGATAAATATCATGTTCTCGGTAGGTCTCAAGAATAGGTTGATCTCCAATCATAATCCTTCCTTGCTTCATATCCCACCATCCTCCATGGTCCTCTATCCTGCCTAAGGAAACCAAATTGCAGTGAAAATCTGGAGAATAACGGCAGTTATACAAGTTTACCACACGCGGTCTGCCAGTTGTAGGATCCCTTCCGGTGAAGGTTGCTGTACCGACTCCAGCAATTGCGGTCCGATTGTCGCCCGTACGGAGATACGAGGGGTCTTCCTTATACTCGGTAAATTTGGTCCGGTCGTTGCATACGTGTACGCTTGCTCCGGTATCCAATACCCATTGGTCTCGGTACTTGGTATCAACTTCAGTTGATAGGGCGACTGTGGCAAAGCCGACATGGGCTAAGTTTGCAGACTCAGATGTCTTCTCTGTGGATTCATATGAGTTGGATGCGTTTTTGAGCTGGTTTTCAACCCAAACCTTCCACTCTGGTTCTTTTTTGAATGACTTCTTTAGCGCTTCGGAGGCCTTTCGTAGGCCCATCCACCCATCCGGTCTCTGGTCTTCATTCAATACCCAGCACCGGGTGACCGGGTGTTTCATGCCACAAGGGCAGTAGCTCCGGTCCTGAAATGGTCCAGTTTTCCCGTCTTTTCTTTCGGTTCTGGAGGTTTCAGCCTCTGTTTTACCCTGCCAAGTTGACGTGGCAAATGCTGCTTTGGACGTAGAATTGATATTCTTTTTGGTAGTCTCGGAATACGACATAGTATAGGATGTACGGAAGGACTCAATCAGATCGTTTATCTCGATTGTATTACTTCTTAGTACGATATCCTGGAACCGAGCTTCCCACCAGACCGGTAGGATGTCCTTTACAGCATGTAAAAACAGCTGCGGATGCTGCGCAGTGTCACTCTCCACTTTTAGGTTGACCGCTTCATCACGTATCAGCTCCCACTCTTCTAGCCAGGATAGTACGTTTTGACCCTTCTTTGGTGGTCGTACGCACCCTTCTGCCCAGCGTAGCAGGACTTCATTCTGGTGAGACTTTGTGTGTGAGAAGCGCTTCTTGAGAAAGCTAATCTTCTCGTACGGAGTCTCAAGATCATCCATGAGACGGTGTAGCTTAGTATCTGTTGACGCAGTGATCACGAACTCAACTGATTGTAGGCCGTTTTCCACCTTCTCATACCTTTTGAGCTCCTCTTTGTAATCGTCATGGTCGTAGCTATACTCCATCTGACGATCCTTAAACTCTTCCCTTAGGGTCTTGGCTACCTCTGTAGTTGCCCCTCGTGGGATATGTAACCGCGGTCGTGCGGGGGCCTGCGGCTCCTCCAGCACTTCCGGGGCTGGTTTCTCAGGATTGCAATAATCCCATACTTTCCTAGTCTTGGCAAACTGCTTCATCGCAGAGTACCAAGCTGGCCAATGAGAGCTGTTTTTCAGCTTCTCACCCTTCCATTGTGAGACAGATACCGTGGGGTCCATCCTTAGTTGGTTTCAAATGGCTTTCAATCCTTTCTCAATTGTCGTGTTCTTCGGAGGGGTTGACGCGGCAACTTTGTTGTCGTCGTCAGTGATCTCAGGGGTAAACAATCCTGTCGTCGCAAGTCGAGGAGAGCTTCTAGAACGTATATTCAATCAAAATATCACGGTAGGAGAGATAATCCGGGCTCATAACTCTCTGAACACGTAATCAGGGTCGAACAGCATGTACCAATGGTATGGGTCACGTCTGTGTACTTGTCTGGTATTCTCTAGTCTCCACCACAGCAATTTAACATGTGGTACGCTGACTAATAAAGTTGATTACATGATCCATTGTTCCGACACCAGGGACACCGACAGAAGGGTTACAGCATATTTGGCTGGGAACCAGAAGAAAGGGGATAAGACCTGTCTGAAACGGATGGAATAAGAGGAAAGGAGATCCCACCAAATTCGGTGGACCTTGGCTGGGCCCGAGCACCTCTGTCTATTACTGGCGCTGATTAAATTTACCTTGGGATAAGTGGATTAATATTTAATATGCTCCAGAGCCTCAAATATACCCAATTGAAAAAATTAATATATACGTATAATTCCACAGTAAGACTCAGCAATCCAGGTCTCTATCGTACTTTTCCCAATGCTCTTCTAGCTATTAACTCGGCATTTACTCAGTAATGCCAGTCTGCTTCTTTCCATTCTTCTATCAACCAGTTAGCAAAGAACTATCAAATTTTAACCCCAGAAAACATACCAGAGTACGCCAGTACTTGATACCAACATTGGTACCCGACTTAGTATCGAAGGGAATGGGAGAAGAGTAGTCGAAAGTCTGCTTCAGACCGTGGTAGGTTTTCTTAACCACATCGAGAATACCGTGGCCAGCATTGCAGGTACCGCTGGTCGCGGGGGTAGGCCAGTAAGGCTCGTAGGTGGAGTAATCATCATCAGACAGGGGGCCGGGGTAAGTCTCGTTAAGGTAGAGGTTATCGTAATCAACCTCCCAGTTGACGAAGCCGGTCTTCTCGGCAACGAGCTTGAGGATGTTGGCGCCACAATCCCAGCGGCCGAGGGAAGGCAGACCCCAGTTGGCGGAGAGGGAGGCGATAATACTGTAGTGAGTGTAGAAGGTATCGTCGGTTGTACCCTTCAAGTGCTCGGGGACGGCGCCACCGAGAAGGATGCTGTAGACACGGTTGGGGTCGGCGTAGGTTGCGGTCTCGTCGAAGGTCACGAGGATAAGGGCATCCTTGGAGAAGTACTCGCTCTCAAGGAGAGGGGGCACGAAGCTAGCAAGGAAGTCACCGGCGACGGTGATGTTGCTGTCGTGGGCGTCGTTGGTCATGTTAGGAGTGATGAACATGTACTGGGGTATGCTCTCATGCTTGAGATCTTCGTAGAAGGTAGTGAAGTTCTTGATCTGACGCGGGCGGACAGCGTCGTTGGTGACGGAGTCAAAGAGGATGAGCGGGTCGTGCTTGCGCACGTACTGGTTCGCTCCAGACTCCGGGTACCGGTAGCCCTGGTAGCCGGCGTAGGGCATGTCCTCCTGGTACTGGCCCCAAGAGATCTTCTTAGTATCGAACAGATCGGCAATGGTGGAGATGTTGGCCGGGAGCTGGTGGAAGTCATCATTGTCCATACCAAAGCTGTCACCGGCAGCGGAGGCAGCATAGTTAGGCTCCGAGGGGTGAGTCAATGCGAAGTAGTTGGTCAGAAGGATACCCTCTTTAGCCAGCTTGGCAAAGTTCTTATCAGCAGCAGCGGTGTCGAAATCCTAATTAATATCAGCTATGAATGTGATGCTCAGATCCATTGATATGCGACTTACGGTGTTCTCGATCCAAATCTGGGCGAATCGGTTGAAAGCCAGACCCTTCACGTTCGAGACGGGAGAGTAGGGCAGGACCGATGCCTGAGACGCAGCAATCTCAGCGGCACTGGGGTACTCATCGCTAGAAGAGATGGTCTCGGCCGAAGCCAGAGCCAACGCGCCAACAAAGGCGGCCAAAGTCTGCTTAGTGAACATGACTTTTGATAATTATCCGAGGACAGTTGATGCGAAGTGAAAAAAAAAAGTGATGAGCCGGCGTCGCACACGATCTTATACCTTGCGCGGCAATGCGCAAACTCCGTCGGAGATGGCCATAAGGTTCTAGTGCCAGGATTCCCCTCTTCGCTTGCAAGCTCAAGGGCGTCGACGCCAAGATACCCGCTCAGCCAAGAAACGTAAAGGGGGAAATTGTGCAGCACGTTGCATTCCGGGGGAGAGCGACTGGCCGCCATGTTGATGGACAGGTGCCCACGCTGGGAATGAGTGGGGGAATCATCATTTCATGTGAATTGTGATTGGTGGTTTATCCAGGTGGGTCCTCCCGGTACCTTGCACGTTCCGATCAAATACAGCATGACTGGCTGGTTTTGCACGGATGCGACATCGAATCTGGGTAAGCGTGGGAATAAGCAGATGACGATGCCGCGTGGCTTATATGTGTTTTGCTTGATCGGATGCCATACGGAGTACTCGGATAGCAGACTCCGACTTCCACTCGCCTTCCATAACCTTGGCAAGGTCAAATGTTTGTTTTCTTTTTAATCGTCCATGATGATAAAGGTTGATATCTATGACAGGTGTTCAAAGAATATTCCATCTCGGCAATATTCAAAAGAATCAAATGCTTTATTCAATGTTCAATGCTCCGTAAGCCGTCAGTTCCCAACCGGTTGCCACAATATATATTCATGCCGTCCCACCTCCGATGCGGAGGCATAGAGAACGCCACACTGTACTCCGTACATTTGAACATTTGACAAAAAAACCGATACTACCATATAAGACCACCCAACACCCACGTGGTCGAGCGCCGAGCTCGCCTTCGAATAAGACTACAAAATGACCATCAGGTGGGTTAATAGAACTTGCCTAAGACGACTTTGATGGATTACACACCCTGGGAACACCCCTCCCGACCAGACACCATTCTGGAAACCTGAGGTCTTTCCGACGTGCATGACGCTTGCTTTTGGTGGAGATTTTATGTACATGTACAATCTAATCGCAGTCAAATGGGTGGCAACTCGCCCGCTACAGCCTTGGAATGAATTGAGGCTATTCGCAACACTCAATATTCAATTTGAGCTCTATACTTCGGGAATGTACCTTGCGCACTCAAGAAAATTGAGCGATTTCAACCTTGCATGCACATGTAGGGAATGTTCCAAGAACTCGAGGATTCGACTGGAACCAGGTATTCTCTGAATGATCAAGTCTTATCGATGGATAGGTATTGCCGCGCTAATAACGGGGGAGATACCGGAGTCCGAACATGCCCATGTGCTCGATTGCCCCTCACGTCCAAGTGCCGGAAATCAGAGTCTGTACCTACACCGGCTTTTCAGAGCTGGACATCTGACCTTTAATTATAAGAATGAACGTTTACATACCAAGCCCGTTTCATGTTCTCCTTGTGTACTGAGCAGGGATTGTCCCTTTTTTGGTGTTTTTTTCTCTTAACTCTTAGTCTCCATTGCCTGCATGTGGGCTGTTTGCTCTTCCTGAATTGAGTATATTGCAGGTCTTAGCATGATCTTGAGTGATCTCTACCTAGGTAGACTGCCCAGGCCTCCAACATTCCAAGTTTTGAAGTGGACGTTGAAACTGCCTAGGTCACACGACACTGGAAGCTGCACATTTCCAAGGTTCCACGTTATACTCTCTGATCTGCATGACCCACATTGCAGGGACAATCCTGGATCGAAATACAACTTTGATTGCCACACTTGTCAGCCAAACAAATATGCTCTACATTGGATACAGAAGTCTGTACAAGATCAGTCAATCCTTGCGCTCATTATTCTTGCCTCAATAACTATTACATATCTATTCGGTCCAAAAGAAACACAGGGAACAGAAGAGAAAAACATCATCACCATCGAGAGAACGGCGTTCTGGCGAATCGGGTGAGGTAGCGCCATCAACGACACGCCTCAGCGGCTGGGGAAATAATGACAACAGAAGTGAATACATGGGATGTGAGGTGGAAGAAGCCGCGACACGGGTAATAGGTGTGAAGGATGTATAACAGAAAGAAAGTTTTATGCGACGCTTTACTCGGGCTTCTTGCCGACCATCAGGTACATGGGAGTGAAGAGGTTCTTCTGAGCACCCTCGACCAGGCAGTCAGCAGCAAGAGCCAGGCTGTCGGCGGTCTTCTGGGAGCCCTTGGGGAAGAGGCGGATGCTTTCACCGGCACCGACGAAGCGGTGGGCGAGACCACGGCCCCACCAGGTCATGCGGGCAATGGTGAAGAAGTCCCAGACGGAACCCATGTGCTTGAAAGATCCCGCCAGCGGGTAGTACCAGGGAGTGGCGTCAGGACGCTGAGCAAGATCCTCATGGTGTTGGAGCTCGAAGCCAGCATCCTTCATGGCCTGCACACCCTCGGATATGCGAACCATGTTGGAGATACCGTCACCCTGCTCGATACCGAGACGGATGCGACGGTGCTCGGGGTCATCGTTGTTATAGTCGTCAGTCATGAGCCACTCGTAGACACCGAAGGTACCACCGGGCTTGAGGACACGGAAGATCTCAGAGTAGACTCCGACGAGCTCGGGAGCGTGGACGGTAGCCTCAATGGCGTACACAGCATCGAAGCTGTTGTCAGGGAAGCTCATCTGCATGAAGTCGCCCTTGACGAAAGCCATCTTGTCGGACAGACCCTGCTTCTCAGCGTAGTGGGTTGCGCGGTCAATCTGGTAGTCGTTGTTGTTCAGACCGGTGACGTGGGCACCAGTGAACTTAACAATCTCACGAGCGGGACCACCAACACCACAGCCAACATCGAGAACCTTCATACCCTCGGTGATACCTGTCTGCATGGCGAGGTAGTGCTCGTGACGGGCGATAGCCTGACGGAAGGGCTCACCGTAGGCGAAGCGGCAGAAGTGGAAGGAAGAACCCCAGCCATACTCGTAGAAGTCGGTGGCAAGATTGTAGTAGCTAGATGAGTGTTAGTGTTGATCAAACATGTGCGAGTCAGTTCAACGTACTGTCGGGTCAGGGTAGCGTATTCGGATCTCCGAGCCTATTGGAAGATTGAGGTTAGCTACGATCCTTGACTCAAGCCGGCGCATTATCTCACCTCACGATCGGCATCAGTCTCATCAGCGTAGTCCTTGTTGTCCCAGTGCTTGAAGTACTCGTCGATGGCGGCCTTTTGCGCAGCGGCGTCCTTGCCACGCATGGCAGTCAGACCACCGGTGGCCTTGGCGGACTTTCCGTGAAGAGCCTTGTTGAAAGCAGCATCGCGCGACTTATCCTCACGTTCCAAAGCAGTAGGAGCCATTGTGAAGGAATTGAAGGGTGTTGGGTATTAAAAGGGGTAGGGAAAGAGTTCAAGAGGGGCGACAAAAAAAGGGACACGCGTCCGTTAAATTGAAAAAAGGATGCGGAGATTGGATTGAACCAAACGAACCGCAAGAGAAGAGAAAAAAGAGATTTGTAGAGAAAGAGGGAGAGATGTTGAGGAGGGTGTAGAGATTAAAAGGGGAGAAATAAGGTATCGAATGCGAAGCAACTTTTTGGCAATTCAAAAAATCAAGCCAATCATGGAACCCCTGAGCGGGCAGTCCGTGCAGTAAGACTAGACTGAACTAAGTCTGGGGTGGCGGGACGAGTCTCTTCCGGTTTGTGGCTAGTTCGGCCAGTGGCTTTCCCGGGATTGGAGATGGGTGACCTGATGTCTTCAAGGAAAGGGGTTGCCTGGCTAGCTTAAAATTTAGAGAAAATTTGAATCGGAAGAACTTTCAAATCAATCCGAGAGTCTACTATACTCTATTGATAGGAAGAAGCAATCTACGCAGTAATTCAGAGAACGATTGAATTGACAAAGAGGGGAAAAACAGAACAGAAACAAACAGAAACAAACATGTTTGTCACATGACCCTACGCCACAGTCACCGCCACAATGATAACCAACTTGTCTCTCAAGCTTCACTCATAATCTTCTGTCAAAGCTTGATCCACCCACCATGCCTCCTCAGATTAAACATGATCTCAACCGCTCAGGCTGGGAGTCAACAGACTTTCCATCTGTATGCGAAAATTGTCTCCCTGAAAACCCCTATGTGCAGATGATTAAAGAGGACCATGGTGCAGAGTGCAAGATTGTAAGTCTTTGATCTGATCGGCTAGTCAAGCACTAACTAACAATAATGACAGTGTACTCGCCCCTTTACCATCTTCCGCTGGAAAGCCGACCGTACCTCGCGCCAGAAGCGCACCAATATTTGTCTCACCTGCGCCCGCCTGAAGAACTGCTGCCAATGCTGCATGCTCGATCTGTCATTCGGTTTGCCGATCGTCGTCCGTGATGCCGCCTTGAAGATGGTCGCGCCTGGCCCCGAAAGCGGAATCAATCGCGAGTACTATGCGCAAAACCACGAGAAGGAAATCGAAGAAGGAATCGGTGCAGTCGAGGAATACGAAAAGACCGATGATAAGGCCCGCGAGCTGCTGCGCCGCTTGGCAAACAGTGAACCGTACTACCGCAAGCCTCGTCGCATTGAGGGCCCTGAAGGCGATGAGGGAAAATTTAGCTCGACGGACCAACCCCGCACAAACAGTCGGTACGGAAACGCGCCTGGCCCCGTTCGCACAGGTGACAGCCGCCTGGGTAACCGCTTGCCTGGCCGGGGAGGCGCACGAGGTCGCGGTGGTCGTCCATTCCCTAGTACCGCCCAGCTTCCTCCATCGGCGGAAGACATCAACCCGCCTGCTGATCCCAATGTTACGTCGCTATTCTTGACTGGTGTGGAGGATGATCTTCCGGAACATGCCCTTCGGACCTTCTTTTCCAAGTTCGGTACTCTTCGCTCACTTGTCTGTTCTCATCGCTCGCACTGCGCATTCGTTAACTACATGACTCGTGCCGATGCCGAGTCCGCAGCCAAGGAGTGTCAAGGAAAGGCGATTGTCCAAGGTTGTCCGTTACGGGTGCGCTGGGGTAAGCCCAAGGCACTTGATAACATGGACCGCGAGGAACGGATTCAGAATGCTCGCGAAGGTCGCCAGGCTGCGGGACCTGTCCAGCGTGGTCAGTCTGATAAGAAGGCTATCACTGCTGCGGGTGGTGCGGATGGCCAGGAGGCTCCGGCCAAGGCCTATGCAGTGGCCCCACCACCAGGCTCTGGATCTGTCCAATACGCCAGTATGAATGGGGAATAAAAGGGATTTGAAATGTGTAATATCACGGAAAGGATGGGTTGTGCATGTCGTGGGTTCATACAAAGCGGGCGTTGAATATGGATTGGTTCTTGTTTCTATGCAGCTTCTATCACAATCAAAAATACCCCAGTGACGCCAAATGAAAATAACAAGAGTCGGGTATACTATAATATACATCCAGTCTGGCTGGTTAATTTGTACCTCCACATATGCTGCATCTGATGTAGAGTCGGTGTATGCAAAAGGAGGTTGTTTCTAGGAAGAGCAAGCCTTGTGAATCTTGACATCCTTGCCGGCAACCTTGATAGAGTCATTGTCACCGCGCTCAATCTCATCGTGAATCCGCAGTTCTGTAGACATGTTAGCAACCACGCAACGGACGAGGAACCGATTCAATGTATCAAGAGACATGAACATACCCCACTTCGCTGCCTCATCGCCCTCCTCCCGGGCACCTTGTACCAGATTATGGCGTAGGATATTGGCAACCTCGATGGCGTGGTTGATCTGCATACCGGTGTCAACGGCAACACGGCGGTTCTGGTCGAAGTTGCGACGGGCTTCTTGACGGGAAGCAATCATGACTCGGAAATCATCTAGTCACAATTAGCAATTAGTGATGAGCTGAGATTGGCTTTGGATATTCCTCAGAAGGGAACATACCGCGGAAGGCAATACGGGTGGCGCGGAGGATCTGACGATAGGCGCTGAGTGCGGCAGTAGACGGAGCGGCCATTTTGTTTGGGGTAGTCGATGTTCGATAGGAAACGGGGGAGACGCCGGGTAATTAGTGAGGGTATTGGTGTTGTCGAATAAAGAATTCAAGACACACGTCCAGAATGTATGTGTCGTCAAAAAAAAGTAATATGAGACAGTGATATACCCCAACTCTGGAGAACTAAAGTGAAGTCGCAAGGAAACATCCGCGCTGTGATTGGCGGGCGGCCACTCGGGGCAGAAAAAAATATCAGAAAAAACCAAGTGGGACTTCCTCACCCACCTTACTTTGTTCCTTCAACCACTTTCACAATGGCGTCCCTTCAAGTTGTCAACGTTGAGCTTCCCTCCCTGCCTTCCGGCTGGAGTGCCGAGAAGGATTTCAAGGCTGTCGGTGCCCTGTCTGGTGCTACCCAGCGCAACCTGGAGCCCGTTGGCCCTCACTTCCTTGCCCACGCCCGCCGTGTATGTTAAATCGACCCCGCAAAGAAATTCATCGACTAATAAATCTTATAGAAGCGTCACAACCGCACTTTCTCTGAGGATGATCGTCTCCAGGCTCAGCAGAACGTCAAGAAGACCGAGGATGAGGAGGATGATGAAATCTCCGAGGATGAGGACCCTATGATGCTCAACCGTGAGGCCAAGGACTGGAAGGTCAGTGTTCATACTCATGTTCCCCTGACAAAACTAACTCCTTGCAGTCCCAGGACCACTACGCCGTTCTCGGTCTGACTCGCTACCGCTGGCGGGCCACCCCCGAGCAGATCAAGCGTGCTCACCGCAAGAAGGTTCTGCGTCACCACCCCGATAAGAAGGCCGCCTCTGGCCAGCGCGACGAGAACGACAGCTTCTTCAAGTGCATTCAGATCGCCACCGAGCTTCTGCTCGACCCCGCTCGCCGTCGCCAGTTCGACTCCGTCGATGAGGCCGCCGACATCGAGCCCCCCACCAAGAAGCAGTGTTCCACCAAGGCTAAGTTCTACAAGCTCTGGGGCAACTGCTTCGAGGCCGAGGGCCGTTTCTCTCTTAAGCAGCCCGTTCCCTCATTCGGTCACGAGGACAGCACCCAGGAGGAGGTTGAGAACTTCTACAACTTCTGGTACAACTTCGACAGCTGGCGTACATTCGAGTACCTGGATGAGGATGTTCCCGATGATGGAGAGAGCCGTGACCAGAAGCGTCACACTGAGAAGAAGAACGCCAACGCCCGCCGTAAGCGCAAGAATGAGGATGTCGCCCGTCTGCGTGGTCTTGTTGACGAGGCCCTCGCCGATGATGAGCGTATCAAGAAGTTCCGCCAGCAGGCCCGTGCCGGCAAGGATGCCAAGAAGAAGGCCAAGGAGGACGAGATCATCCGTTTGAGAGAGGAGAAGGAGGCCAAGAAGGCTGCTGAGGAGAAGGCCAAGAAGGACGCCGAGGAGGCTGCCAAGGCCGAGCGTGAGAAGAACAAGAAGAACAAGGAGGCCGCTAAGAACGCTGCCAAGAAGAACAAGCGTGTTCTGAAGGGCTCCGTCAAGGAGGTCAACTACTTCGCCGACGGCGAGGCCTCCGCTGCCCAGGTTGACTCCGTTCTCACCGACGTTGAGCTCATTATGGGCAAGATCGACGTTGACGAGCTCGCTGCCCTCGCTGAGAAGCTTACCATTGCTGGCAAGGATGGCAACGCCGTCAAGGCTGCCTACACCTCCGAGGCTCAGCGCCTGATTGACGCTGGCAAGCTGAAGGCTGGTGAGGTCAAGGTTTTCGCTTAGATGTCTGACTATTGCATTCGATGAGGCTGCTTCATGCCCTGATGATGATTTACTTTCCGCAGTTACTCCATAGAGAAGATGATGCAATGCATTAAAACGTACAGTTCTTACATTTTTGCTTCTATAGCTAGCCGCAGGTCAGAATCACAGTAGGCCAGAGTAGGACTTCCAAAGCGAAACCCATGAACTCGTGGTAATCCATTATTGAATCTCCTCGAAAGCCCGAACAATGTAAGATCTTTGGTCAATCACCACGCGCTCTCCAACCTTCCAACCCTTCTCTTCCACATCAAACCCACTCATAGATGGCACAGCACCCCCATCAGGCCCCACCAGATACTTCTCCTCCCAAGACCCAGAACTCCACTCTTCCCTCCGCGCACTAACCTCCGCCCCGGTCCTCTTGACAACCAGCTCTCCACCCTCCTTCTGACGGGTATGAGTTTGAACCTGCCGGAACGCCAGATACGTTCCCCAAATCCGGCCCAAAAACATCTTAGTAACACTGATCTCCTCTCCCTCCCTAAACTCCATAGGATCATCGGACTCCAGAATCCACGAAATACCCCTCTTAGCACCCTCAGGACCCTCCCGGAACGGCAATTCCCTCCACACCTCCTCAAACCCTGTCATCGGTGCACCGGGAAGATCAGCACGAGGCATCTCGCCGCATTCAAGATCATCGCCATTAGGCAATGGACTGAAATTTCCAACATCCACAATACCAATCTCATTGAGAGAGTCCAGTTCGCGGGTGAACAGCGTTTTCACTATAAAGAATTAGATCAATTCCTGCGGCAACCTATCCACCCCAGTAGACTTGATTCGATTCAACTGAATCACGGTCAACACGAACCTGGTATTTGGTTAGGATTCTCCTCAACCCGAGTCCCGGCCATCGCCCAATCAATCTGGCCTGATGCCTTATCCATTCGGAGATCGACGAACCACCCTCCCACCGATAGAACGATTGTGTCAGTTGTTTCTTCGGGGATTTCGGGGACCCATCTTAGTGAGATTCGGGTGGAGAAGCTGCTGCTTGAGCCTAGCATTTTACCGGTTGCGGACATTTTGGGAGTTTGTAGGTAGTACCTAGGTGGGGTTTGAGTTATGGGAAAATTGTATTCTTATATTAGGTATTATGATGGACTGGAGTTAAGTAGGGTAGGTTGAGTCCGATCGGCGATCTGGACGAATCGGGAAACTGGAGGAGATGGGGCGTGAGGCTTATCGTGGTTTGTGGGATTAATTGGTCTTTATCGCTGTGGATATTGGCGGGGCAATTTATCAATTTTTGAGATGTCGATGATATGGTGGTTCAAGGCTAACTAGACAGTTATGAGATTGCTTGGAAGTGATTCTATCTGAAATTTCAGGATGGTAGTAATAGTTACTGGAAGTAGTGTCTATTTGGTATAAATTTCAATATGAATAAACGGCATGGTGGAGCTTGATAGTTATATTATAAATTCACGAGATGGCAATACCAGATTATAAGCTATAAAATATTCTTAAGGCATACCATTGGGCCTAGACGATCTTGAGATCTCTGAATATGAGTTTTTATCACGGGCTAGCATATAGAGGTTCAAAAACTTATTCACTCCATAAAAAATCGACAAATCCATATATCTATCAATTGATCTATTTTATTTTCTTCTTAACTCTCCATCCAAAATAAAAGCAAATATCTAGAGGACTATAGATTCATTAGGAACTACCCAGAGATAATAGACTCATTGTAATTCAGCGTTTATAGAGTTTGTCCGTAAGCTTTGAAGTGAATGTTAGGGATATATAAATATGTAAATTCATAAAACGACTTCTAATTAGCTAATTAGCTTTGATATAATTGATGAGTTCTTATTTCTCTAACAAATTCTATTAGATCAATAAGGGTACTGATTTCTGTAGGAATGATTTTATGTTGAATTTTCAGGTAGTAGGATTTTAATGCACAAAAATATATCTCAAGTAGTTAGGGTATATACATTATTTAGCTGCATATAATAGCTAGAATACTATAGATAACTACAGCATTTTTTTCATGAATCATGTAAAAAAGTTGTCTCCACTATGATTGGCTGTAATGGGCTTTCTCAATGGGCCGGCCTTTGGGCCGTGCCGAAGTCTACTGATATATCCTACCGCGTGTTATCGTCTTGGTGGTGCTCAGCCTGTACTGTATTGTTGATGTAATTGACCCCCTGTGCGTGCTCCCGACGTCCGCGGTGTGTTGTTGGGAGTCATCCCCCTAACTTTTGATTCTTAAGTGACGTTACAAGCATGGAGACCTTCATCACACGATCCTTCAGCAATTTTCAATTTGGAGGCTCTTGAAAATCGCCTATAAATCTTTTAATATCGAACTTTGTCTTCATCAAGAACTTTCCATTCAGCAAATAATTCCGTCTCCACTTGCAACCCCCGATCCTGGGCAGCCTTCTTGGCCAATTTCAAAATACTTTCTCCATTAGGTTTCACACTATCACCTCTGGAGAATGCTGAGGCGAGGAACAACCAGTTCATGGTATTGCCAATTGTACTGAACTCGTCCCGCTGTAGATTTGATGAACTTGGCTTTTTCTCCCCGCAGAGCTCGTTTCCCTACCAAATACGGACAAGGTGCTCAGCCAGATCAATTGCGTCCCCTTTGTTAATACCGTAAATATTCATAAAACTGCAAGCAAAGAGCGAGTTCGGATCCAGTTCCTTCGTTGTGATGACAGGCTTTCCCTTCTGAACCGCTCCCAATAACTTCTCCTGGTAGCCCTCAGAACGGGAGAGATGAATGACGACCCATGCCTTCGAGAGGAGCGCATTCCATAATTGATCTGGAGGCTCTATACGCTTGACACAGATATGGGAAGCAAGATTGCTCATGTTTTGTTTGATATACGATACCACGGCATTATAGCGCTGCTTGTTCCCACGACCAAATAGTTCACTATCACAAATAAGCAGCTTCGGTAGTTGTAAAGCTTCACGAGAGGTTTGGAGTAGACTATAAAATCTTTCGTAAGCTTCCAAAAGCACCGGAAAGCTTTCTGATACCTCCAATGGCGATAATCGAGCGAGTATGTATTGGTCTGTGATCCTCAAACAGGTTGTTATGAACGACTTATATCTTCATTCTTGAAGATACTTTTCATAAAATTGATTCCACAGCGCAGAAAGATTGGAGCGAGGCTTACCGTCAGGAAAATTGATGGTCGTCATCTCAGCGTTTCTACAGGACGCATTGAATTCACGGCCATAGAAGGCGAGATTCCAATCATCTAGAACTTTATTGCCCCCGTCCAACCTTGATATAATATTAACATTAGCCTCTTCATACTGGTTCTGACAAATCTACTGGTCAACCGATGGTAATACTTGTCCAAATTTGTTATCCAGTTGAAAATGAGACTGAAGTTTACCTGAGGCTTCATGAAGCACGACTTGAAATATTTACCTCATACCCAAAGACCCCCGATGCCGTTCAAAGAAGTTCATCGTCCCGAGGATCCATGGTTTTCAATTCAAAAAAAAATCTTTGTTATGCGAATTAGCCTAGTTGGAAAGAAGTCGCACCAAAAACTCTCGGCCGGGAGATAGATATTGAAGGTTCGAGTAAAGAAATGGGGTGATGTTATGAGATTTGCGGTACGGTCATTTTGATGACGTCATGGCTGCCTCTTCACGCGTGACCGTGTTGGCTGGAAGAGGCTATCTCGGATCGTCTGGCTCATCTGTCCAACTACTCTCGTATTTTGCCCTACTCATGACCAAATGTAAGCAGAATTTGCAAACGTAGTTGGAAAGCCTGTAGCTTTTTGTATCCAGACATATGAATTATGGGTTTCTCAACCTGACCTGGAATTCAAAGAAGGACATGCAAATTCTATATCCGACTGTCATCCGTCATGCCGTTTCTGTCGAACAGATATGCCCTCCAATTACGACATGAGCTCAAGAACACGCAAGCTAAGATATTAACGCCTGATGAAGAAGGATATGCGGAGCTTATCGGCCGGTGGAGCGAAGCTTGTGAGAAAGAAGCTGTAGGCTACAAAATCCCCTCTATCCTCAAGCTATAGCACCTTGATATAAGCTTTTTTTGTGCTAAACTAATTTTACATTCCTAGGGCGCAATTGTGTTGGTTACATCGTCTTCAGAGGTTTCCCTGGTCGTTTCCTTCGCAAGTCGCCATTCGATCCCCTTGGTAGTCCAAGGTGGCGGGTACAGCACAAGCGGTGCATCTGCAACTCACGGTAGTATTGTTATCTCAATGGCCGCCATGCGTAAAATTCTTGTCGACCGAGCGTCTGAAACAGTGGCCGTTCAGGGGGGAGCAAACTGGGCGGAGGTCGACCAGGCCGCCGCAAATGAAGGATTGGCCGTCGTCGGTTTCACTTGCAGCGCCGTGGGTGTCGGGGGAACGACATTAGGAGGAGGATTTGGCTGGCTTACAGGGCGCCACGGTTTGGTTATTGATAACTTGGTAAACGTGACGATGGTTCTAGCCGACGGCCACATTGTGACGGCGTCCGTGGCTGACCATCCAGACCTTTTCTGGGCGGTGCGAGGCGCCGGCCAAAGCTTTGGTGTGGCCACAGAGTTTACTTTTCGAGCGCACCGCCAGCGCTCGTCCATATTCGGCGGCCTGGTCTACCTTTCTCCTGACCGGCTGGCTTCCATTATCGAGTTTTTGAATCGATTCGATGAGCAAGCTACGGGCGACGAGGGCCTGTACTTCGGTTTCACCACATTTCCACCTGCAATGCCTTCAACGGTGATTGTCGCCTTGTTATTCTATAATGGATCCAAGACTAGAGGCGAGTCTTTCTTTGCGCCACTCCTGACTTTGGATCCAATCCAAAACCACACGCGAGAAATGCCCTATCCGGAAATCAACACGGTTCTCGGACCGCTTGCTACACCTGGTGCCCGCCATCGCGTCAGCGGAACGGCTGTAAATATGCCACTGGATCTCCAACTGATGAATGAGATTTACGAGGACTTTGATAAGATGACACGATCATTTCCCCGCATTGAAGGAAGCACCATTCTCTTTGAGCTGTTACCATACTCACGTGTGAACGAAGTGCCCATCGACTCTACAGCTTATGCCAACCGGGGCAAATTTCACAATGTGGCCACGACTTTTTGTTGGAAAGACCCGGAACTAGACGCCAAAATGGCAAGAGTGGAGCGTGCAATGTTGCGGAAGATTCGAGAGCATTCCGGCGTTGCTAACGTCGCAGGACACGGCGTGGGCCTCTATGCCAACTTCGTAGGTGAGCAAAAACCCAGATGACTTCTTGCACAGGATATAATTCTCTCTGACATCTTGTTAGACCATGAGGCAGATGCCAAAGAGCTATTTGGTGATAATCTGCCACGCTTGCAGGGGCTCAAGATGAAATACGATCCCAAATACATGTTTCAAAAGTGGCACAATCTCCTTGTTCCCGCACATGAAAATTGAAATATGTACTATCTGCTTGCGTTTAGAAATGATTCTCTGCAGGATTAGGAGCTTACCTCAATCATGCTTTGACAAAAGCAACTTATTTATTCAATGAAGTCAAGTTTGATTCCTATATATTTTGAGCCCGCTCGTGATCTGTCCAATTTGACAAAGCGTTTAAACGCACACATGTTTCATATTTTCAAGAAGATTCATTCGCCTTTGGGTCATTAACATAAGTAAAATGACTATAGATGTGTAAATCCTCTAGTGGCTCGACAGAACTCGCCTTTATGGCTGTAAATTGTTTATTTGCAGATTTATGGGGTTTACTGCGTAAATTCATCAACCCACAACGATCTGTGATATCTTTAAAATTCAGTCAAATATGATTTGTCTCCTATTATTCCTAGCTTCGTAACAGCATTGATGATGATGATATTCTATTAACCTGATGCTGCCTAGCTAGAATCGCAGTGGCAATGCAGGCGCTTCGTCCGTCCGAAGCAAGAATATGCCCAACGCCGTAACCCACGCAGTAAAGAGTGACTATGCACAAAGGAAATAGGTATCGCGCTACCACACAGGTGTAAATGAAGCCGAAATGAAGCCGAAATGAAGCCGAAATGCCAAATAAAGTAAAAACCCGCTAAAAGAACGTCGCAATCGCTATGCAATATGCTTTGATATCCCCGATATCCTCCTGTACATCCCCCTCTGCATTTGTCAACTCCCTCCTGCCCTGCTGGCAACAGCACACCCCGCTTCGATCGATTGTGTTGTGTTGTATTTTCGCTGTCGTCGTGGTCGACATCTCAGTTGTCGCTCACTTCGTTGTTGGATACACAGCGTCTTCACCCCTTGCCCATTCCGGTCATTCCCGGTGTGTTGGTTCAGTGTCTTCCTCGGGTTCAACGTCGCATTGGCGAAATTGTCCGAGAAGGCCAGTTGATAACATGAATTCGGCGACGTAGCGAATCGCCTGCGGGTGAGACATGATGGCCTCATAATCCGTCCATTTCCCACTGTCCAGGTCCGTCCTCTTAACCTTTTCTATGAATGTCTTCCGTAGATCCACGTACAACGGACACTGCAGGAGGACATGCCTTGGCGTCTGAGAGCCCTCCTCGCAGCTGCACCTGTCCGATTCCGCCTCGTTGATCTTATACAGGAAGTGACGCAGGCCGATCCTCATCGACCGCATCTGCACCAGAATCGAAGTGTACGGCTTCGATAAGCCCTCGAATAGCTTTAGAACCTTCTTGTGCGGCACCTCGACCAGTCTATGGTTCGGTCTGCCCGTTTTCTCCTTCGCCCACTGTTTTGCCCACTCTGCACGGATCCGGGCTCGCACCTGCCGTTTGGCGGTGGTTGCAAGTCGCAGCTTAGGGCTTATTCCAGACCCGGAAGAACCTATTTCCGACCCCGCACTCACACCCGCACCCCCTTTCGCTGCCTCCTTCGCCGCAGCATCCGCCAGCTCGTTGCCACTCACGCCCACATGTGCGGGGATCCATCGAATCGTAACCGAAAGACCGGGCGTGAGGGCACGGATGTGGGTATAAATTGCATGGAGGACATATTGGCCGGATGGGCGTTTGGGGTTCTGCACGGCTTGAATCGCGGCCTGCGAGTCTGCGAAGATCACCAGTTCGCGAGGGGGCTGTGGGTGTGGGTATGACTTACGAAAGTGACAGACAGCCATCTCTATTCCGGAGAGCTCGGCAATATACACTGTCGACTGGTCAGAGCTGCCTAGGTGCTGGCGTTCTGCTACCAGCGGCTCCGCCTGTGGGGCTACCGCGGACGCCCCAATCATGCCTTCGTATCCACTCCCGTCTGTGAAGAATATAGTAGGAGGAGGATTTAGAACAGGGTCTACGCTAGGCTCCGCTTCCGCGATAACAGCGTCGACTGTCGCATAGAGAGCGTTGGTCAAGATCTCGTTGTGTGATTTTATCGCAGCTTCTGCACCTTCAATGATGCATCGCACTCTTGGCTCCCACGGCGCGAGGACAAAGGCCGTCCTTGATTCCCACATAGTCTTTGTACGTTCGAGAACCTGACCTTTCTTCTGGAGGGCTTCCAGAGGTGAGAGGCCTCCCAGTTTCACTTCTTGGGACTTACGTGGCTGGCGCGCTGTGAGGCACTCCGGCTGGGCCCATTTGGCCCCTGTTTGGATTCTGATGGCTGTTTCCTCGATGATTTGTCGCATTTGTAGCTGGATTGGCAGTAGATAAAGTTCCACATTCAATGCAGCAGCAGACATGCTTTTGAAGGCACCCGCGATGAGAATGGCCGCACGGCGTTGAATTTGTGCAAAGATACTGGTGATTCGATTCGTTTCCGTTTTAGGGACAGTAGCTGGGGAGTGCCACGCAGCCACGCCGTAGAGCATCTGTGGTACCACCACTGCCTGGTATACCATGCGCATGGCCATGAGTGGGGCTCCCCATGTGGAGCCTGTCATGCCTCGGAGGGCCTCTAGACTGCCGTTTGCTTTTGCAGAGAGCTTCGCACGGTGGGTATTGAATTGTAGTCGTTTATCAAGCCAGATACCAAGATATTTGGCAGATTCTGTGGGTTGGATTGTTTGGTTTGCGATTTTCACTGGTAGCTGGTCGTTGCCGGGGTCTTCCACAAGGATATCGTAAATGTCCGGGGCGTGCTGGCGGTCCGGTAGTGGTGTAGCTGTCGTTTCTGGTATCTGTCGGGGGTTGGTGAAATGAATAAGTTCGAACTTGTCTGGTGCGAATTTCGCAGCATGTCGTCGTGCCCAGGTGTCTGCTTTGGTGAGGGCTTGTTGAAGAAGCTCCACGTTCCTTGCGTATGTCCTAGACTCCACAATCATGGCCACGTCGTCGACCCATCCGTATCCACGGCACTCAGCTCCATCCGGCCCTCGAATATAGCATCCACGGACGAGGGGGGTGTTGAATAGTAAGAAGAGGATTGGTGAGATCGGGGAACCCTGGGGAATGCCCGTTTCTGTGGCGAAGAGGTCGCTGGTGAAGCCCGGGAGCTTGATCCGAGTTGATCTGCCTGTGAGGAATGATTGGACCCATGGCACGAAGTGCCCAAGTCCTAGCATTCGCATATTGTGTAAAAGTCGCTGATGGGAGACGTTGTCGTATGCTCCAGAGACGTCCAGCAGTAGCATACTTACCTTTTTGCCGTCACCCCAGGCCCGGTGGACACGGTCAAGGATCAACTGGATTGCGTGGTCGACAGAGATACCTTTCCGGCCCCCGAGATGTGTATCTGGCAATAGGTGGTGCTCTTCGACCGCCCACGAGATTCGGCTGGCTATCACGGCTTCTAGCAGCTTTCCGAGGGTATTCATAAGGGCGATTGGTCGGTAGGATTTGGGCTTGCGGAAGTCCCGGGGACCCCCTTTGCGAAGGGCTACTGTGATTGATTGTTGGAAATGGCGTGGATTGTAGCCGGTACGTACACATGCGTCGAAGATTAAGGTGAGGATTCGGGTGAAATCCTTGCATGCGAGTAGTAGCTTCCATACCCTGTTTGGCAGTTCGTCTGGCCCGGGGGCCTTATCAGGAGGTGCTCGGCGGATCACGTCTATTATCTCTTGTTCAGAAATCGGTGGGAATCGTAATTGTTGTCTTGCTTTGGCCCTGGCTATGTCGTCGAGATCGGCATCTGGGGGCTGTGGGAAGAAAACCTCCCGTAACACCTGTGCTTTATCCTCGTTCGACTCCGCCAGCTGGCCATCCATTTTCTTCAGTGCTGGTATAACGCCGCCAGAGCTTTCTCCGCGATTCCTAGCCCATTTTGATACCCGCCAGAGGCCGCGCGGGCCGTCCTTGATGGTGTCTTTGATCCAGGTGCGAAAACCCTGTCGGAGCGCCTTACCGATCGCTTTCCCCTTCTTATTGCGTGCGGTTCGGTATTCCTGGTGATCTTGGTCGTTTTTGGAGTCTCTCCAGCGTCGGAATAACCTTCGGGTGGTGCTGATTGCCTCTGTGCACTCGGGGGTCCAGCCGGGGTGTGCCCAGGCTGACGGACGGGCCCAAGGCGTTGAAACCTGCACACCTTGCTGTATGACGCTGAGTAGAGACTCAGTAGCTTCATCGATCTGTCGTGGTGTCGTGACACCTTCTGGTATCCCCCTTTTGCCCAGCAGATTTGCTGACACAAATTCCAGGAATTTCTCTATGTCCATAGCCTTCCAGCAGTGCCGGCGAGCTTCCCCCACACTTTGCGTACCCAGATCAACCAGTGTGGCAATTGGAAGATGGTCTGAGTCCGCATGTGTGTCCTCGCTTACCTCGCACGCTATCAGACGTTCATGAAGCTTTTGTGACGCTAGTACCAAGTCGATTGTGGTCTGGCTCACTGCGTTCATCCTCGTTGGAACCCCTGGTTCCGTCCATAGTTCAAGGTTTGCTGTGTCCATTAGTTCTAACACTTCCTCCGCCTTAGCATCCTCCTCTGCGTCGTCACCTCCCCACACCGGGTGGTGTAGGTTGAAATCCCCCACAATCAGGTACGATGCCCCCCTCTGCTCCTTTGTTGGCTTCACTAAACATCTGAGGAGGTTTAAACCGTCCCCTGTGATCTGGTCGTTATATACATTGAAGACTCGCACCTCACTGATATTGGTGCGGATCCTCACTTCTTGCAGATCTCCTGAGTGCGCGTAGTGCGTCCACCCCGCTAATTTCTTCGATATATACATGCATACCCTGGCCCGCTGGCCTGTCTCTGCCTCCGCCGGCCATAGCAGCTCGTGAGTGCCCTTCGCGGGGTGGTGGGTGCTGTCCTGGAAGGGATTCTTCCATGGTTCCTGGATGGCGATGATGTCCGCGGCTAACACTTTAGGATCACGCAGAAACTGCGCCATGACCCCGTCTTTCGATCGATTCACATTGTACTGGAATATAGTGAACTCTTTCATTAGGAACTGTGAGATTTGGAGGGCTTTGCGCTTCTGTTGTTCCGTCGGAGGCGTGGTTCGAATCGGATGTCCATCACCTCTGTCTGCGTGTGTCGACGCTTCCTCGGGTTATATGTATTGAAGATCTTGTCACTGATCTCGGTGAGTGCTGAGCTGCCGACTGTTGATGGTTTGTAGCTGGCGTCACATGCTGGCTCTGAGGTAGGGACTTCAGGCATGCTGACTGTGGCTTCAGCAGCCTTTTCGGTGAGCTCTATCAGTCTCCGCGACTTTCGGGAGCTTGTGCTCTCTATGCTGACTGATTTATTCTTTGATTTTGGTCTCTTTGTTGTTTTAGTGGCTGCTTTGGCAGCCTTTGTGGTGGCTGGCTCAAAGTTGATGCCGTCTCCGTGGAGGGTGCTGGCTCTGTCCGGTTGGCTTGCCTGTGTGGCGTCCTCTGCCGGGCAGAATGAGTCTTCTGCAGTATCCATAGACACTGTGAGCTCGTTAGCGGCTGGCTGCTGCCGCTGGAGGCCACTCTTGGACACTGTGGCCCCTGACTGAGTGCTGGTCCCCCTCTTCTCCTTTGCCTTCGCCCACTGACTAGATTGCAGGCTAGTCGAATTTCCAGTTAAACTTCCCGCTTGTGCAGAACTTTCGGCAGGGGTCGAGTCGCTACTCTCGGTGCCGCTGCCCTCGCTTGATGATGACTGCCCTGCCGGTGTGCCCCACGAACTGGCTGGTGACGGCTGCAACACCACAGATGAAGCTTTGGCGGAAAAGTGAGCCGGAACTGGATGATATCGTGGCCGATATCGCGCCATCTCCTTCATCTTATCGACTTCACGCACTCGGTTTGGGCAGTCGTTTGCCCACGCGGCGTGTGTGCCCCCGCAATTGGCACATTTGTTTTCCTTCAGCGTGCCGTCAGCCTTGGCGCTGCACTTCTGAGATAAGTGCCCGCCGGCGCAGTGGACGCAGGTTGGGGATTGATTCGGGCAAGTGGCTCCTATGTGACCATACTTTTGACAGTTGTGACACTGACGTACACGGATAGCCCGGTCGTACATCACAGCAGTCAAGCAGCTCCCGTCCCAGAAGACCCCCCGGTCAATCGCCGCGTTGGCTGGCAATGGAGATGTGAACTCGACCACCAGTGACCCCGTCTTGCCCGCAGGCGTGCGGAGCCACGATAGTCGAGTGATTTCAGCCCCTTCTCCCCAGTCCGGCCCATTATTGGCGAGCAGCTGGCCGATCACCTTATCCTGCACGCCCCGCAGATCCTCCGTACGTGGCGTGTTCACCCCCAGCGAGCGAACGTTGATATCGTGGATCACGATACCCCAGGTCGGAAGCAGCACCTCTGCTTTCCTCCCCAGAGAGTGCACCCAGCCTTCACGGTGCACTCGCAGGATTTCCGCTTCCTTGGCGGTGCGCGCGGTGAAGCGGAGATCACCCGATCTCAGCTGGCGGGCTGCCAGGAAGCGGACAGAGGCCAGTGGTGCGGATCCTATGGCTTTAGCTGCACGCTCACGTAGCCTGTTGGCTTTCGCGGTCATCTCTACAGGTGTTTCTCGTCGATAACGATTCACCGCCTCCGCATCGTTGAGCCGTACGGTGATCGCGCGGTCTGCGGCAATATCGCTCACCGCCGCCGCCACCGACGATGCTGAGCCATGAGAGGACAGGTGGTGTGCTGGGCCTGGAGCCCCTCGCACCACGTCTGCCCAGCTGCTGGTACTCATACGGGTAGGCAGATGCCTCTCTGCCGCGGCCCGTACTGCGGTAAGGTCCTTCCGCATCTCCAGCGTCTCCTGACGCAGCTGTGAAAACTCTGCACGCCAATCGGCGCCCAGGGGGTTCTTCAGGAGGTCCCCAGTGAGCTCCTCGAGCAATTTGAGGTGTTGCAGCACTTGGGCGGGCACACGGTGCCCATTTTGCTTGTCAATATACGATAATAACTGCTTGGTGTCGTGATTGGCGTTCAGGAGTCTGGCAGTGGCGTCGGCGGGTGCCGTGCGGCCCGTCCCTGAAACCAGGGTTGGCCACGCGGACGCCGGCACTGGCATGCTGACACGCTCGAAGATGGTATCAGAATGTAGCGCCGGAAGTAATTAAAAACTTCCCGTTTACAGTTAATCGCCAACTGGCGTGGTTGTGGAGTTATTTCAAGAATTCGTTGTGCCAAGAGATATGTGTTTTTTTCGTAACAGCATTTCGTCTTCACGATCTAAATATAATGACCGAGTGCCTATATCCATCGACTAGTACTTATAGACCTAGCACGTTACAAGCGTCTTTCCAGCATCTGTACCTTAGGCTCGCCACCGTAGCGATATGCGAGCTCTAATGGTGTGTTGCCAGCGTTGTTTCTGGCGTGGATATTGGCTCCTCTTGAAACCAGCTCCCAAATTACATTATAACCATAGAAGATCGCTCGATGGAGAATTGTATCGCCAGATGCTGGTACAAATCCCTGAGGGGTAGCCCCATTGTCCAGAAGCTGCCGTACTAAGATAATGTTTCTGTGAAATACCGCCCAAAATAATGCATCGTGTTCTTCATCGTGCGCCCTGGTATCTGCGCCGTGCGCTATTAGCTGGAATGCGACGCTTGTATGGTTCCCTCTTACTGCCAGTAGCAATGGTGTTCGTCTGCTCGAATTTTCAAGAGAGTCATCTGCATTAGCATCTAACAGATGCTGGACCATTACTGTGGATCCGAAATCTGCTGCGTAATGAAGCGCAGTTGAGCCAGTGTCATCTTGGTGATTAAGCAATACAACTCCCTTGCTGATGAAACTTTTCACCAGCGTGTATTGTCTTTGAATAACCGCGTATACCAAAGGAGTCCTCATCCGCTTATCCTCCGTCTGAAGTAATCGCGGGGCCTTGGAGACTAGCTGCTCAGCAACCTGATGGTGACCATGTTGTATTGCATGATGAATAATTGACTTGCCATCATGTTGGATGAACAGGTCTAGATGAGGAATCGCTAGCGATGATAGCAGGACCTTGGTGACATCTCTCTTTCGAATTAAAGCACCGAGAAGTCTGTAGCCTGCTAGTATCGGTACAACAAGTTGCAGGTTATGTCTAGATGTGAGACCAAAATTTAACAAATCGTCCCGTTTCGACTCATGAAAAATGGAGAAGGAAATTTCGTACGGAAGTGAGTCCATAGTGTCATATGGAGAATCAATCGAGGGTTTTCATGAGTTTCGGAATGGAGACAATGATTCAGCATCATTAAGGACAGAAGCGTGACAAAGACGCCAACCATGGAAATCTATTTGGTGGAGTACATAATACGAGGAGCTACACAGGCAGGTCAGCGGCGCGCAGATCATTTTCGCCCCTAGTTACCAATTTTCAAATGTACACAGAGCTGGAAATCAAGGAACACGTTGCCATTATCTAATTAATAATTTGAAAGAGGATTGTTTCATACCTCGTTTCTCGAAAGAACATGACAGTCAGGTCTTGGGTTGGCTGTTCGGTCACCACTACACCTATGGGCCTGCTGACCTCATAATTCGCCCACACATATCATTATTTCCATCTAACAGGCCAGATCTAGGAAAAGCTATTGTAAAGGGAGCGCATGAATATATATTGCGTTCAGTTAGTTGACTTTTTGACCCACATTTCAACATTTTAATTAAGATATAAACAATAATACTTTGACAGAATGGGAGGAGCTTCTGGTTAGAAAAGGAAATAGCAACGGACGAGCACGATCATGCCAAGTCACACTTTACTGTGCAGACAAAGCAATGGCCGTTTAATTTCAAAATTCCGGGGATTTTAAGACGGATCGATCGTGTTGCCAAAAGGTACTTCGAGGAAAGTTGTTCCCGGAATTTAAAAAGCGGCTGTGTTGGTGGTTTCTTTAAATATTCCCTTTACTGTGAACCACCCACGCAAAATGGAAAGATTGAGTTCTGTCGGTCAGAGTGTCCAAGCAGATCTGGCTCGACCATTGCTACCCAAAAAGTCGTTGTTGACACCCAATATGGAAAAACCCTCTCAGATGATTTCATCAATATGCCGGCGCAGGTACTTAGAGCTCTCAGGAGTCACGGCTAAGTCGATTGTTCTTGGCTTATCATTGAACAAATTGTGATATAAATTTTTGAATGAATTTATCCTGGAATGGAATATTATCCTGAAAGCCTGGAGTACAATTAAACTATGATCTTCCGCGCCAGTGTTGGATATAAATCATGAAGCATTATTACTGCATGTAATAAATGCACTCGTATGGTCATTATGTATCCTATTGACTTCTGAAATTCGAGGAAAACGTTTCATAAGGTGATACTGTGTACCATTTCGAGGTCAGGCTCAATTGCATCAGCTACTACTCCGGATGGAAAGCTAACGATCCGACGCTTACTGTAATACATGTGTGTTGTAACAAGTTAGCCATGTATTATCACTGTATTCGATGAAGGACAGATAAATGCGGAAAATTGGATATGGCAATTAGTGTTTGTGTGGGTGCCTCTTGCTGTCTTAATGTTGACGTAACTATTACGACGCTCAGGTCCCATCTCGTCACTTAAATAAAATACCACTTATTCCAGATAACCTACAGCACCTAGTCTGCTGCGGAAAAGGTTATACAAACACGGTAGGCCACAATAGCACTCATTCTGTTTGATCAAACAATATATGTAATCTCAAACTGGGCGCAAATCAATCGAAACATGCTGCGTCTCATAAATCGCCGGCGGAAGGACAAGAAGACAGATCATAGCTCACTAACCATTTTTTAAGCTTGATCTTCTAATTCATGAATGTATCCTCATTCCTCATTATCAGACCTGCATGAATATATATCTGTCTCACAGCTTGTTCGGGTATGAATTAGTCATTGAATGTGATTCCGGACAAAAGGGAGCATCGAGGTAAAGTATCCAGAGAGTTGTATTGCCACATTGCCACTTCTGACTGCTTATGGCATGACAGCTCACTCTGGGCCTATTGCAGACCATTTTTCATCGTTTCAGTAACAGAAAGTGGCGTGATCCTGCTTTTATACATGATTTAGTGTTTTTTGATCCGTAAATTCTTCGTGGCTAGACCCAAGTATTTAGTTCTCAACAGATCCTCGGAAAAGAGGTCCAAAATAATTACATGTCAAGGTACGAATTTATCAAGAAGAAATCATCAAGTCAGCACTCTTAACCTATAGGTGATCAGGAGTTCGAAAAACATAACATGGCCCAGAGAAATCAAGTCGACGCTGGTTTCGTTTATCATGTTATTCTCATGACATCTGAGATTAAGGATATTGGCGATCAGAATGAGAAAATACGCATACTGGGTACCTACACGTCTATAGGGAAAGCAAAGGAGGCGGCTCACCGCAGCCTCTTTGAGAGTGGATATGAACGAGAATGGTTCTCAAGATTTGAGACAGATCCGGAAGTTCTTGAATCTTTATCCGCAATCCAGGGGGTTGGACTCGCGGTTTATGCTGTTGCAACGGATGGTACAGTGTTTCGAGTCCGCATCAGTACATCCCCAAATACCTTGCGCTTGACGACTGATAATGAAGACGGTCGAATTCCAACCTCGCTCTACTATGTCTTGCAAACGAACATTCCTTACTGCACCCATGAACGCAAGCCTGCACATGACACCAACGTCGAAGGGATGTTCAAAAGTTATGAAGAAGCCAGGAAGTTCGCGAGTATTTTACTACTTTCAGAAGAGGATGGAATCACATCATCAAGCTACCAAGATTACTGCGAGGCTGGTTCAAACGAAAGAGATTGCGAATATGGTGATAATGTTGTTGTTCATGCGATAGGCGAAAATGGGGAAAATTACTTTGTCAGTGTGATTATGTGTCAGGAGCTAGAGAGTGTCAGGCTGGCGGAAGCCTCTTTCAAAATGCCTTGATCGTCTCCTTGTTAGCTAATTCTGTTTCGAATTCAAGCAAATTATTGAGATGTCCTCCTAATATGCAGGCTAGTCAGGATAGAAGCACACACTCAGATTTATCTTGCCACCTCTTAGCACTCTCACTAGCTTCCACCCTTCTACTTAGCGGGGCACTTATAAGCTGAAGATATTAAATATAGACTTGTGATCACTTTTCAAGTTGAAATAACTAAGTCTTGTAAATTAACGTAGTTAGCTTGAGACGGGTGATGATGGAGTTGTTCAAATAGAAGAGCCAATGAAATAGAAGAAATGATCGAGGTCATTAGGAAGCTTTTGAGCGGTAAAATAAAAGAGTAGCGGAGGTGTCCAAATTGCATGAAGTCGCAGGATTCAAATCACCTTTGTGTAATGCAGTATACAGGTGGCTTGCACCATGGTCTATTAAATAATGCATTGGTTGTGGGAACACCTTTATTTTGCGCTCTTGTGGTCTGATGAGTACCTTAGAGCTCTGATTAAATCAATCGTATGACCCGGCATCGTTCAATATTACCAAAGGGAGTGTTCTCTAATGAAAACGTTTATTTGGATTGTTCAGCTTTTTTTCCCGTGTTGCTTACATGCCTTAAGTCCATAATATATCTAATTACACACAATCTTCTTAATGGGAACACCCACGGTAGCCGCAGCGATTTCATGCACCCTGTCAGAAAGCTATGCATTTTTGCTGGCGCTTTACGGCGTGGAATTATCCCAGTAATGCAAATTTGTGTAAGATGACCGGGACCAGAAGGAGATATTTATAGATCTCTCGGCTTGTAGGGATACCCATATGCATCATTGGCACCTAATTTTCCATGACTCTCGGTGGTAAATTTTAAAAAACACTAGTGAGAATACTTGCCTAAGCAGAGGTATGTTAGAATCTCGCTTTTGGACCAAATTGTGGCTGAACGATCTGCTGAATGCGATTTCTCGTTGTTCGATGGAGAGGCTCTAGTTTCATGCTAGAATAGTGATGTTGAGTTGACGGAAACACTATGAATAAAAAAATCTGTGATGGAGGAGATTTTGCGGTGCAGCAAAAGCCTATTGAGCGAACGGCGAAATGCTCAAATCCGGGGTTTATACCATTTTGTATGGTGAAGTCGACACATTAGCTCCAGTGCCATCACCCACAACATCGACATGCTTCTTTACTGCCAGTATCCTTCGTATAATTTTGGCATCGATCGCGGGCTATTAAGCCTTATTTGAGCGGACCGCTAGTTAGGGGCTTGGTATTTATGAAATGTGGGACCAGAATCCGTATCAAACTAGATAAATACTTATATCCTTAGTCTTAGATAGAAGGGTAGTGAATTTAAAGAAGGGCTAGGTAATATGAAGTAGATAGTTAATCTATCTCTACTCTTCTATATTTAGTATAAAGTGATCTTAGTTATATTAAGAGTAGAACCCCAAACGCGCCGAATCATTGTCGTAAAATCACTTTCGTATGCGGCCACGAGCTCGTGTCCGACGAGCCTAAGACAGATCTTTCAAATTCGCTCATGCCAAATTCATTGAGGTCATTGGGAATCAGGTATCTAACATATGTATATCTCACGTATATATTTCCAGCTTCATTTTGATCTCTTCAGTTTGCGGTATTTTTTGCAACTATCAGAGTCTTACATTTCGGTTCTCAGGGTATCCATAAGCGCTATTACTGAAGAAACAAAAAATGAACTGGGAAGTGGATGGGTTGAACTAGTCAGTAGACCGCTGTGTCGGCCGATACCTGTACCGGTCTTGGTAAACTACACTGGATATCCCGAGTTGATCGGGGTTTACCATGCAAAACATAAGATTGTAATTAGGAGGCCTGCTGATTCAGCTTGGCTTCCTATTAAGATAATACGCCACAGATCTACATTACAAAATATTACGCAATGGTGTCTGGTGTCGCCACTTAATACTCGACAGCAGAAAAGAGATGTCCCATTGATATCGGAGCAAACATAATAACTGCACGAAAATCAGATTATGGTTTCGGTATCCGTAAAGAAAGCCGTGTTTGGATCCTTTCTTACATCGTATGATCATATCATGCTTCACTTGAATTTGACGCTTGACAAGCCATGGTTTGTCTGACTTTATTGAACTTTCTCCAAACAAGCTTGAAATAGCCGTTTGTGCTCTTCCTTCACCGGTTTAAGAAGTGCAACTTCCATTCGACTTCTCCGAATCCGAAGCAGTCCGAACTCAAATAACCTGATTCATGATAAAATGCCCCTCTTGCCACTCTGTCACATTCTGAATCTGCAGAAGGAGTTGCGTGGGACTAATGCCGAAATATCAAGCTGGGGTTGTGGAGACTATGGTCAACTTGTTAAACAGTGGAGTGATACGTCCGAGACACAAGTGGTGTGGAAAATACGCCAAGAATCTATTACTGCAAATACTAAGGGCTTCCAGGGCGCGGTGGTCCGAATCGGTTCAGCTAATGAAGCAGCCTCAGTCGTACGCTTCGCCACATGTCATAAGGTCCCACTTACTACAAGGAGCGGCGGTTGCTCTACCAGTGGCTCCTCGACGGTTCATGGTGGCATTCTGTTGGACCTATCCAATCTTCGAAATGTCCATGTCCACCCAGAATCTCGAGTGGTTGTTGCGCAAGGTGGAGCTTTGTGGAAAGACGTCGATGTTGCATCTGCATAACATGTGCTAGCAGTTGTTGGCAGCACACTGAGTCAAATTGGAGCTGCAGGGGCCACATTGGGAAGTGGTTATGGATGGTTGACAGGGCAATATGGTTTAGCAATCGATAACCTTGAGAATGATATTAGCCGACGGCAGAATTGTCACAGCCTCAGAAGAGCAGCACTCAGAGTTGTTTTGGGCCATTCGAGGTACGGATCAGAGCTTTGGCGTGGCCATCGAGTTAGGCTTCCGTGCCCATAAGCAACACCAGCCTGTGTTCGTTGGGACTCTTCTATTTTCTGTAAATGCTTTACCTGACATTGTCAAACTTGCCCAACAGTTTGAAACCCTTAAAAACGGCAAGTAGGGTTTGTGGTTTGGGTTTGTCATGCTACCTTCCATGCACAAGTGCTCCATTCTAGTCGTTCTGTTCCATAATGGGGACCAGACCGATGGAGAGCATTTATTCTCTCCTTTGATAACATTAGATTCCATCTCGAACGATGCGCGAATACTCCCTTACGATGGGATGAATGATTTACTGAGTGGAATTGATACACCTCCTCGACATGGGAGCCTGGGGACTTTTGATATTATCGAAAACAGCATGAGTTCCCGTAAAAGCCTGAGTGGTTCTGGATGTTGAAGGATTGCCCATAGGCTAGAGACAGCAAGTTACTAGTTGAAATTCTGCCAAATACGCAGATAACGAAGGTGCATAACAACAGCACGACGTTCGCCAGTCGGGGCCCCTATTATAACGTCAGCTCTCTGTTCATATGGTGTGATGCTCATTTAGATGAGCAAATACACACATTTCAAAAACAATTGATGAGATATATTGGAGAGAATGCGGGTACCTCATTAAAGCCTCATTATTCCAGCTCCAAGCATGGGGTAGGATTGTATGCGAATTATGTGGGTATGTTCACTTCTGAAATGCCCATTCAATAGAAGATATTCATGAGCATAAGAATGCCAGAATTGAAATCCGCTTACACTACCCTAGCTCATGATCTACCAATCGAGGCAATTGTTGGAGGTTAAATTATTTTCACTGTTTCAAGCGAAACAAAGCTTGTGAATGTATAGTCGTATAGTGGGAAATAGCCCATAGGGTGCCGCAAACATCTTATAATCTCATGGTTCTGTTTGCCACCATTCATTTAATCATCTCATCACTACTTAACACTTGGACACAAAGATATTGCCGCCTGATCATTGAATAATGCATTGACAGAAAATGCTTTTAACTAGCTCTAGTCCTTCTGTGACCAGAAGATCGCCACATCGACAGGACTTCATGTGCAGAACCGAGCAGCTTAACACGTGTTGTGTCCAGACTGATCTAGCCAAACTTAAACACAGGTCCGTGAATTCAAGCAAGTGGAACAATTGATCATGCCATATCACGATAGTCACGTGGTCCGAGGAAGCTGAGTAGGAGAACTTGAGAAAACCACGGCCATACATCGCTGTAATGTTCTGACTCTCCCTGTGATGGAGTATGGATATATGTAGTTTCATCAACAAATCCTTGAGTACGTATCTTTGATATTGCGAATATTCAAAAGTTTCTTATATGTCTGACCCCACAAATGGTCACGTAGGGCTCGCCCGCCCCGCTCGCCTGGCTTATGATATCTTTCACTCCCAAGGCACGACAGGCCTGAGGATCAAGCAAATATTCTGTACTACCCTGGCTCACATGGTGGATAAGCATGGGATCGATGGCCTGTGTTCTTTCATGGGACTACGATTCACTGGGCCCGATGAGATAAAGCGCTATTTTGAGCTCTTCCGCAAAGCATGTTCGACGAGCAGCTTCACCTTCCGCCCCAAGCCTCTACAGGCACAGTATTGGAGACCGACCTATCGCGCGATACTCCCGCGATGATATTTGACCATTGGTTGGTAGACGTGGAACAGTCGGCAATCATCGTGGTGAGTAGCGTGACTTTGACCAACCCCGACAGCCTCCAGAATTGTGTGGGCAAGATGTCTTTCCAAATTTGCTTCGAGAAAGAATGAGTGGAGTGTTGAGCAGATGGAGGTCTGGAATGACACGACGATTTAGACGATTATTACTTCCATTGAGAATGCTTATGGATGTAATGACTCATGTAAGATATTTAGACCATCTCAGTCAACACAGCCAGCACAGCCAGCTGGGATATTTGGCCGCGCTAGCGGTGGCTGATACAATTCCCCCGGGAAAACAGGACTTGCGCAGCTTTGAATCGAGTAGGCCCTGAGTTCCACACCAGACTCCGCTGACCTTGGATCTAATTTAACTTCACGTATCTTTTCGCGTGATCACAGGTAAATATGTAAATGTTCACAGATCGGTCTAGACACGAACACTAGGTGGGCTAGTTGCTTTTATGCTATGAACTCTGCAGATAGGGCGATGATCTGATTCTCTTCCGGTCCAGAGCTCTGGAGCGGCGCGTGTCGCGTTACATTATATGCTTACTATTTTGGTTCCGGGAATACGAGAATGAATGAAGTTTCCCCAAAGAGCCGATGCGAGAACATAGTGGAAATGCTGATTCAAAGTTTGAAAAAAATAAGGAGTTGATCGGAGATCACAAGTTGTAAGGACCGGTGTTGAAAATGAACATTTCATGATGGCGTGGCATGATTTACTGCTTCGAAACCAGTGGAGCGGACAGTTAGCCGCTGATGACTCCTAGCGGTTTTTTACCACCCCCCGGTTCGTCGAATACCTAGAGTCGGTTCTAGGAATACGAGTGACTGACTGGTATGGAGTATCTGACCAATAGAACGGGGCCAGTCTCGAGAGATCGTATTCTGAAGATAAAGATACGTGGAATCCCCCGGACTAGCTTACTCAGCTCTATAAGCTCCATCGTACAGGTCATGTGTCTCGGTGCTGAGGCGCCCGGTATTTGTTGAAATAACTACTACGAGCTAGTAATATTCGCCTGGCTTGGCTGAAATCTTATCCTATAGCCGTTTACTCAAATCCCGCGTTATGGCTGATTGGTATAGTGTCAACATTTTGTAATAATACGAGAAGAGTCACTCAACATTGTGTGCTCATGTAGTAATCTGATATATTGAAAATACTGCAATACCAGTCCAGATAATCTCATTGTCTGTTCGGATATTAGTGCTTCGTGATTAATTATGGGGGCGAAATCGTCTATCTTGGGTTCTTTCTCGGCTTAGTTGGTGCTGGGCGAATATCAAAGCCAGAAGGTCGAGCGAAAAAAAATGAGGCTAAATTGAAGAAGTGGCATCTGCTTTAATTTAAGTGGATCCCAGACCATTTATGCCCCCAATGTGTTAGCTATCCGCATTCATACCGAAGTAAATGGCAAATGAAGTCTGCTGCTGTATGCATGCCGAAGAGAGGGGAAGAAAGTTCGAGATCCAGCCCATAATTGAATCGCCTGATAGAGTTACCTAGACCTTCACATCCTGGGCTGATGTGGCAGTGTACCGTGGAAGTTCCTGGCTGACTTGCTTAAATCTAGGAGTCATCTTGTAGTAGATCAGAGCGTCACGCGATATGTCATCTTCGTCCTGCGCCCCACGTCGTCCCGTCTGATTTCTTAGATTTTTCCAGTCGATTTTTGTATTGATTTAAACCTGCCGGACTATTATCAGAGTCGTCCATTTGGTGATTCGAGAGATGCATTTACGAATGCTAATTTATTATACAGTTTTCATGTAAAGAAACCGATTTTTCTCCTTTTTGTATTATCACTGATGCCATGGCTTTCCCACTTCGCCGAATCTACATCACTGTGCCTTTTGCTTTGGGATCTTCACCAGCTCATTTGTTTCCAAGTATCAAAAGCGCCTTCAACCTCCAACACATCCACAACTCCCCCCATTGCCTTGACCATATCCAGATTAGGCAGCCCTCAAGGAAAGCTATCCACAATGCTAAAAGACTCGACGATTTTGATCTGCAGGATCGGGTATTTGTAATCACTGGGGGCGGACGTGGATTGGGTCTCGCAATGGGCGAAGCGTTAATCGAAGCCGGTGCCAAAGTCTACGCTCTGGACCGTCTCGATAAGCCCAATCTTGATCTGATTGCGGCCAAAGAAAAATCCTATGGTGGATACAGCGGCAACTTAGATTATATCAAGATTGATGTACGCAACAACAAGGAGATCGAGAACGCCTTCGCGGCAATCGCCGCGCAGCACAAGCGTCTAGACGGCCTGATCGCCGCCGCCGGCATCAATCACCTCCAGAGCGCTCTTGAGCACTCCCAACAGACCCTGAATGACGTAATGACTGTCAACTATAACGGTGTGTTCAACTCTGCCACTGCCGCTGCCCGCCAGATGTTGAAGTACCAACAGGGAGGGTCCATTGTGCTGGTCGCCAGTATGAGTGGCCTCATCGCCAACAAGGGCATGACTTCGCCCGTCTACAACTCCTCAAAGGCGGCTGTTATTCAACTTGCCCGCTCATTAGCCATGGAATGGGGGCGCCACGGCATTCGTGTAAATTCACTCTGTCCCGGTCACGTTATTACCCCCATGGTTGAGGAGGTCTTCCAGCAGAACCCTGCCGCTCGCGCTACTTGGGAGGCAGAGAATATGCTTGGCCGCCTTGCAGTTCCACGGGAGTTCCGTGGTGCAGCCCTCTTTATGCTATCTGATGCCAGTAGCTTCATGACTGGTAGTAGCATGGTCATTGACGGTGGCCACACTGCCTGGTGAAATGTTGCACAGATGTCGCAGCAACTCTTCTTTCTAGCTATGTTTTACCTCAGATGGAAAGTTTCCTTCATTTTACCGGTTACTATCATACCAAATTGCGTGAGCGGTAATTCTAGGATGCATGATAACTTTCAAAACACAATTACAAATTTGGTTTTTAGGCCTCCAAATAATGGCTTAAGATGATAGCTTATAGATTTTATGAGGACTTAGGGATATCGTCAGGCAGCGTGAACTGCCAGGTTTCAAAGGGAAGAGTCGCCTCTCTCAGAATCCGTAGCTTACTTTTCAACGAACTGACGTCCTGGTGGAGACTCAAGAGAGTGCTATGAGCAAGGTCGAGGACATCTGCTCTTTTCGATCTCTTGGGGTTTTTTCGAGCATCCTTTTCTAGTTGTAAAAATCTGGAGTTGAGGGTGTCTCTGTACCGCTTTTCAACTAGACAGTGAGCTTTCCTTCGGCGCGTAGTTTCGCTGCTGGAATTTCCTTCGGTTACGGTACTTGGGTCATATAGCTCTCCTGGGGTGGATAATATACCCCTCTCGGCCTGGGATTTCAGATTTCCTGATTCATAGATATGTTTTCCCTCATTCTTCCGATTAATTGCCGGCTTTTCTGATACATATTCCTGCTCTTTCTGCCTATTCATGGAACCTTGGCAGATATTGGGACTTGGAAGAACTTGATTCTCATTTGATAGTAGCCGATTTTCGTTGTCGACAGAAATCTAAGTAATGTTTTTAGCTGTGAATTATATATAGAGATTTTGGCGGACAAACGCTACCTGTTACAAGAGGAGAATATTGGCGAAGGGAATCTGGAATATCTGTCCAGTTGCCTTGAAACTGATCGTTCGAGGAAAGACTGTCGTCAAATTTTGGTTGATTGAAATATTGAAAATCTTCCCAGTTCCAGTAAGGGAATTCTGAGCAAAACACATCTACCGGTCCAGTATATGTGGAGGGTAAGTGTTGTAGCTGTTCTGCTGTTTCCATTTGGCACTAACTGACTGTCGAATTCAGATGTGATAACTTATTTAATACAAGAAGATTTGTCTAGCTGGTCTTAAATATCTTCGTATCGAATGACATCTTGATGATTGCTTTTTTCGGCCGGGAGGCGGCCGAAATCATCCCTGCAGAACAGAGAATTGGTAAGTTTGGGTTTCCAGTGGTTTGTGGCATTAATAGCGATGATTCAGGTTTATTTGGCACTGGCATCTCAAATGAAAAATGGTGATGGACCGACGCCAAAAAGCGGGGAAGTGAATGTCTACCTCAGCAGCGCACTTCCAACAAATTGGTCTCGGGAGGCTCCGAGGGGTTCTCGGAGTCATTACGTCATTACAGACTCAGGTCTTTCATTCATTCGCTACAAATAGATGAGGCGATAAAACCTTCAAGGCTAGAAAGCCTAACCAGCTAATAATTTTAAGATGACCAAAGAAAATCTATCAATCCCTTATCTGTCCTTTTAGGTATTTGAAAACATGCTAAGCACCCACCTACACCTATTCTTACTAAAAGTATATACTACCAACAAAACGCCAATATATTAATAAAACGCCAATATATTAATAAATAACCTTTTTACATCTATTTGGGCATGAAGTGCGGTTATGGCCTTAATCCCACACTCAGACACGCAATTATTGCTCTGATTCGCCCTGCTTCAGACGGTGTAGAGATCATCCAAAAATCAATCCGCTGCACATGTCTCCATACCCCTATCGCTCACATATACCCCAATGTCTTCCATGCTTAGATTTGATACAATGCTACTATCTCTTGAAGGCTGCTCGAGTTACAATCTCGTTGGTCAGATCCTTCTGTGGCGAGTGTATCTACTTTCAAGACCAGCATCATGCTATCTGGTGAAAAGGGGAGCTCTCGATGGCTGCACGATTTGACGACGCGCTGGTCTAATAGCTAGGAAATCCCAATTAAACCCACCGGGGATAAACCTGGGAAGCAAGCAGACAGCTGCTAGGGGTGTTAGGGGAGATTTTTAGGAGTGTGTACTTAAGTATCCCTAGACTATAATAATGCGACCATTTTCCGTATCGAATGGAACATGAACCCTAACAGTATATACACTATATTCAATATCCATAATATCAGCAGTCAATATTTCTCCCCCTTTCCAGTGCCCGCCTCACTGAAAATACTTGATCCTGGTACGGAAGGACGAGGGAAGCATAATGCTTCTTTGACCCTTGTATACTAAAAAGCGTTTGTCATGGCGGATGATTCTAGAATGATGTAAGTCGAAGAAAATCCACCCATGGTTGCTTCCTAGCCGTTATGGTCTTCTCATTGGGCCATCAGATGTAAGAATCTACGAGAACGCATGATTGCAACTTATTATGGGTGATAAGTTAGAGTCTCAATATGGTGTGACGGCAAAACTCAAATACAGTTCTGTGTTGAATATTATCATCAAGAGGGAGAGATACTAATATTTACCGGAATCAAAGGTGAATGGCTCTTTTCTTCAGCCTGTGCAAAATGGCTGAGACATGACGTAGCGATGACAACTTCATCATACAGACATAAATAAAGCCGAAGTTCTATGTCCGGTTTTGTTCATCATTCAACACAAAACACCATCTAGCGTTTTTCATTGCCAGTTAATGGTAAAGTGTGACCCATGACAAGCCACTCAAGTCAGCTTAGATTCCCGCAGAGATCCGTAGTTTCTTCTTTCATCTTCGTCAAAACAGAAGGTGAAAGCAAGGTTGCGTTATTCAAACGCAGCGGTAAAGTGAGCACATACCGGTAAATTAACTAGAGACATCTTACCATCATCTTGTGCTGGAAATATCTAACTTCTATAGGTACCATCTAGCCCCCATCTCAGGCAATATAGAGCCCCATGAAACACCAACCAACGCGGCCTGGCGCGAGCTCAGGGAAGAGACTTCATTAACTTTACAAGATTTGGACTTTTGGCGTGAAGGGAAACCCTACTCCTTCAGCGATCCTTCTGTTGGTCGACAATGGACGATTTATCCATTCTCGTTCCAACTTAAAGGTTGCGATGAAGGTGGCCGCGGGGAAAACGGTATCCAAATTGATTGGGAGCATGAGAGCTGGGCATGGCACGATCCGAAGTCAATCAGGGATAGTGAAGATTTCGGCGGGGTGCCGCGACTGAAAGAAAGCCTGCGACGAGTTTGGTTCGAAGGTGATATGAGTGAAGGAGCAAGCGAGGCATTAATTAGAGGACTGAAGCAGCTAAGGACAGATCACACAAGCGGATCAAACGAATTGACAGTTCTTGCACTGAAAGCTTATCACGATGTGATAACTCTGATGAAAGGGGAGATTAATACGACATGGTGGGACACTGCCCGTATGGTCGCATGGCATCTCTGGAAAAATGGGCGACCAAGCATGGGTGCCGCTACCTTGAATGCATTGCTGGCATTGCTGGCAGAGATGCAAGAGACATTAACTGGAAGCCTCGACCGCGAGATAGAATGGGAGACTTTACATGCCGCATGTCATCACCATATTCACCGACGAAAAGCTATCTCCAAGCGTATACAAACCTCCTTTGCGGCCTATCTAAAGTCCAATTTTGTTCCCATCGTTAATTCCAGGTCTAAAACCTCTCTCGCCATTCTCACGTTGTCCGCTAGCTCTACTATACGCGATAGCTTAGTGGATGCATTTGCCTCTATTCATGTGCCTCGTCTGGAACTACGGATTCTGGAGTCCAGGCCGCTTTACGAAGGGGTCAGAATGGCGTCCTCTATCGTCTCTGCCTTTCAGACTAGGTTTCCCTGTACCTCCGAGAGGGAACTACAAATCACAATTTACACTGACGCATCCGCGGCGCTCGCCAGTCAGAACTTAGATTTTGTCCTCTTAGGAGCGGACCAGATCTCTGACTGTGGATCTGTCAGCAATAAGACTGGATCCTTACCGGCTGTTTTAAGCGCCAAACAGATCTCTCCCAAAAGCAAAGTGTTAATTATTACCGCGCTAGAGAAAGTGGCTGGCTCCACTGTGGATGATTATCACAGCCACGAAGCCAACGATCCTAAAGAAGTCATGAACAGTTGGTTGGCTTGTGGTGTAACAGAATTCAATACTCTCAATGATGGTGCTAAGACTGCGCATCACGACCAGCATCATTATATGTTTGAGGTAAAGAATATTTATTTTGAATGGGTTCCGGCAGAAGCAGTAGATGCATATGTATGTGAAGAAGGGACTCTGAATCTTGCCGGTATCAAAGAGAAGGCAAAGGAAGTCAACAACAAGATCGAAAGGTTCTTTGGCGATTTGTAGCTTCGAAAATATAATCCATTTTTGGACTTGTCCAGGAAGCTTGTTATCTCGTTGATTCTGCCGGAAAGATTATCTAGCCTTAAATGGTAATAAATATTCTAATAATAAAGCTTAACTCATGCAAGTTACTCTCAAGCTTATATAGGTAGAGAAATTCCAGCCGTGGGTAATAAGTGTGACACTCCAGCAGAGGGAGATCGATGCATATAGAGCCATTATAATATCTATAGGATATTGGGAATCGTGAAGATCTTGTCCATCGTGATATTCAATCTTGTTATTTGATATGATCATGTAAAAATGATGATCCCAGATCAAAATCTTGGCTTTCATTTGTCCAATTTATTCCTCAACTCGAGAGAATGAAAACTAGCCAGGGTCGACTTACAAAAGTATAAGATCTTATGGATCATCTTCATCGTAATTTTCTGAGACTACCTTCTGTGTAGGTCTGAAGGACTGAATAGATGAATCAAAACAGTTCAAAAATAACTAACAGTGGGCATGCTGGTAAGTCTTTGTAAAACCCTTTCGAGGAATAATTTTGTGACTCAGTTCAGTTTACACAGGCTGAAGGCGTGTCTACCAAGCAGCCACCTATTGCAGTCGGCCTTTCGTAATTTCAGCTTGTTCCACGGTTTGAAGTGATGTGATATGCATCGTGCGGGGTAAAGTCAAATTCCACCAATCGAGATATTAAACTTTATCCATTTGAGTTTGACTGACGCATCCGACTAAGCACCGAGAGTACAAAATAGAATGATCTTATTCCTTGAAAAGATGAGCAGGGTCCAAGGCGGAATCTGAGGAAAAGAGGTGAATTCAACATGAAACCGACGCAGCCAACTCAGCCGGCAGAAATGAATGAAGAAAATACAACGAAGTTCCCACAGTTTGAAATCACTCTTTACATTGTCGCATATTTTATTATCGCGGTAATGTATGTCAACAGGCCTTGTATCTTCTGTCCTGTATAATTCGAATTACTAAACTAGCCAGTATTGACTGACGTCTGAGGAAACTCTTTAGGGTCATACTCAGATTCAAAGCGTGGACTAGCATCATGGAGCGGAGACATCTGGTTAACAGTCGACGAGGATTTATAATTGCTCCCAAGGGGCGAATACAGAGACTGAGATGTCTCATGGTAACTGCGCCGGTGAAGCAATTAGGAATATGGCAGGCATCATGGCAAACAGACCAATCTCCCTTGTTGGCTAAATTAGATTCGGTAGACTGGTCAGTGTTCCACATTCCCACAGAGAGAATTTTTGCTGAGGCGTAATGGTTACAGTGCAATATGTCTCGATACGGTGAGCAATACACAAAAAGTACACTGCCTTCGGTGTCGTCATATATTTCACTGCCAGTGCATAGAGAGATGGTTTCTTGGTGATCATAATAACTGTCCTATATGTCATCGCATCCTTTGCTCTGATGCTGAGTATATCTCATGCCTGGTGTAAAACTACATAAAGACTATGAAAACTTTTTCTAAATGAATGTACTTCTATCGATAATCTTCGAGCGACACCAGGAGACGGGGCTCATATTAAATGATAGAATTCTTAATCAGGGACTAGTGATTCTCATCAATGCTTCATACATCAGCATTAGGAAAGAAATCAAAGCGAAGCGCCACTATATTCACGACTTCAGTAACATGTCTCGGAACTTCTTCACAAAGATCCCGTGAGATTCACTCTACTTCAGTCAAACCGCAATTAGGTCAGCAAGATTCACCGATGTCGGTTACATTCATATATTGATTCTTTAAAAACACCAACTTTGTTGTTTGATTCACTATTTTCGGAACGAAACACACGTTTCACGCATGAACAAGCTAGTAAAATCCAATAATCAGTCAATCCATCCGTGAGATTATTAGATCGGGAATCGATCTAGATCTCAACTTTGCTGAAGATTTCGGGTTTTCGGTGCTCTAGGGTGTACTCAGCGAATGCCTGCGCCTCCAGACTAGAGTGTTGTGAACCTTTGGCGACGTTATTAACAGTAGGACTGACCCAGAACTGTTCTTCCGCCTTCGCAAGTTCGATTATCAGTGAATGGAGGAAATTGGCGTGACCAACCACCATGCGTAGGTCGTGGTTGGCTCGCGACCCTTCTCGGCGGAGCTTCTTGCGGGCTGTCTGTGCGAGATAGGAGGTTTGCGAAAGACTCATCACCCATATGATGACAATCGACTAAAATTAATCTACCGGCCAGTCCGGCTTAGGGATCGGAATAAAGTAAGATTGTTCGAAATAAACTAGGGGCAGTGGAAACACATATTCCACAATATGATGCAAGTCCCAGTTTGATCTTGATATTCGTAGATGTAAACTCAGCCTCGAACATCCGCGCGGCTCTTTAAAGGTCCCCAAATTATCCCCACATATGCTACAGGCTTACTGGTGCGGTCACTTCGTCCATGATGCTGATGATTGTTAGGATTCGGCCGAACGAGACCACTGAACGCGCGACCCAGGGATAAGATTAAAGTCAAAACAAATCATAGTCGCATTTCCCAAGTTCTGCTGGTACGCCTTATTGCTGCAACTAATAGCTACTCACATGTTTGTGGGAAATCAGTGAATTAAGGATGACGTCGTCGTAACGCAACATTTTCAACAACTTGATATCGAGATCAGGGCCTATGAGATGCTCTAAATAGCGGTCATGATAAACCATCATAACTGGTTACCTCTACCTCAGTACTAGTCTGTAGCTAACCACTCGATATCTTGATATGATACGTCTTCCAATGCATGGGTTCTACCTCTTAATGTGACAAATACCATGGGAAAAGTTGGCTCCAGTAATTTTGATGCAAAATACCGGATGTATCGTATTACCAAGCCAACACACCGTACTTACACATACATCGGAAAGAATTGAGGGGCCATGGCTTTGTCAACCCCACTAAGCTATGGACTTTCAACGTGACGCACATGCTAGTCCGCAAATAAAGCCGGGGAGGAGGGGGCTGGATCATTCTAGATCTCAAAGGCGAATTGATGAATACGGGAAAAAGCGTATTAAAAGCCATGTCCCAAAAATTCATATTGTACATATCCAGATACATTATGGCAAAAATAAAGAATTTGCCCCAACCAGACCACAAAATATGTTCAATTTGGGGTTCATTTAATGGAAACCGAATACTGTCGATGATTTACATTAATGGGCGCAATGAAGGTGGCCTGACAATTTAGATACTCCCTGATAGATTGTTTGACTTTTCAGGGTATTTGATACACTCATACACTACCTGCATCCGAAATTTGAACTGATTTTTAATTGGCTGTATCATGAGACAACAAGCGGATTAATGATTTCAATCGGACCCGCTAGATACCAATTTAATCCCAGACCCCCCCTCAACCAACAACTTCAACCCTCCATCAAGATTAGCAGCCTGGTAGCCTGATTGTACCAGTGTTCGGTACGCAAGATAGCCATGATAGCCTACTCTGGAGTAAACAACAATAGCACATCGCTTGTCAATATCGGCCAGGCTTTTGCGCAACATATCAAGAGGATAGTTACGAGCTGACGGTATATGACCTTTGGCAAAATCTTCAGCGGAGCGCACATCAAGGATCTGGACCTCCTCAAAGTGACTTTCAAGTTCTTTCGGTGAAATAATGTGGAGATCTCCATGGAGCAGGTCACTTCCTATCATGCCAATCACGTTCACTGGGTCTTTCGCCGACCCATACTGAGGTGCATATGAGAGCTCCAGATTTTCCAAGTCAAACACAGACCTTCCAAATTGTAATGCCGTGGAGAGCACATCGATGGACTTATCTATTGCCGAGCGACCAATTATTTGAGCACCCAGAAGGCGTCCACTTGCGGGTTGAAAGGCCACTCTCAAGGTCGTTTGTTGGCTTGCAGGATAGTATCCAGCATGTTCAGGGATCTGAGCTGTCACTGCATTGGGAAAGTAACCGATCTCACGGAGTTTCTCTCCCGAAAAGCCAGTGATAGCGACAGTCAATTTGAAACATTTGCAGCTATACGTAACTATACGGCCACGATACGGAACTGCGCGTTTCATTATATGATCAGATGCAAGCCTGCCTTGCTGCCTTGCCGGGCTATTGAGAGGTAAGGTATGTTGTATCTGCAACGCGGCCAATAAATAATTTGATGTTTCTGCCAAAGCCCCGACCGCATAAATATCAGGGTCACTTGTCTGCATGAATTCATTGACAATGACCCCGTTATTGCAGAGGAGACCAGAGCTTTCTGCAATATCTTTTCGAGGAGTAAGGCTGGTGGCGATAATGACAATGTCGGCAGAGATGTTGGACTCGTTGGCCAATGTCACGATGCAGCCGTCTTCAAGGACACCAGCACCGATATTCAAAATATTCGCGTTCAAATGAACCTGCACCTCATGCCTTATGAGTTCTGTTTGAACGATGTTTGCAAAGTCGGGGTCGAAGTCTTGACACATGCGTCCCTCGGTGTGTATAATACTAAGGCGAAGTCCAAAATATGAGAGACTCTCCACGGCTTTCAAAGCAAAATATCCACCACCCAAAATTGCAGCAGATCGACAATGGTTCTTGGCAGTGTAATCCTTGATTCTTTGGAGATCTAACATCATTTGCAAACTGAAAACATTCTCAGATTCGATGCCCTGTATCTGCGGTATAGCGAAAGAAGCTCCCTGCGCGAGGATCAATTTATCATATGGCAGAATATAGCTGTCATTTGTATCCACCCTTCTGACAAGGATTTTGTGCTGCTCTTTCCATATACTGGTGATTTCTGTACAATCGCGTACATCCAAATCAAATCGATCTTTCAACCCTGCCGGCGACTGGTGAATGAGAAAGGTGTCTGTTTCGATCACACCTCCAACCGAAGATGGCATTCCTGAGTTGGCATAGCTGGTGTAGTTATGTTTCTCAATCAAAATGATAGATGCTTTTTCACTCAATCGACGAGCTCGAAGAGCAGAAGACATTCCACCGGCGGCGCCACCCACGATGATTATCTTGATAGGCTCTTCTTGACTCATATTGCTTTACCTTATCAGTAGTGCAGAGAGAAAATGTTGTGTCAGACTGGTGATGAATAAGTTTGGGCGGCTTTCAAGGCTCTATATTATCATGGTACTGTCACGCCACATGAGGGAGACAAAACAAAAAAAATACGGCACTCGAACCACGGTTATCCCAATACGAATACTTTGGCTGATCATCCATCATTACTTCCTTTTTGCCAATTTTAGTGAGTAATTTCTTCCGCATGGAAATGTTTCTGTTAATATGTTTCTTGTTGATGATAGTTTTGTTATATTGGATCAAGTTTGATCGAAACCATTTGTAGCTGAACCAAAGTGTTGTTTGTCAAGGAGTTCTCAGCCTACTTATATTTTCAAACTTCCGACAGAGAAACAGCAGGACACTTGGGAAGCCTTGTACCTTTAGAGAAAGGTATTTAGGGGCATGGGCCAGGAGTACCCACAGAATGGCGGAGGACAGCACGAGCCACGTCTTTTAAATGAACGGTTATTGGATCCGGAAAAAAAAGGGTCATTAAATCATTGGCAAAAAAATTATAGAAGCCAATGATATTATTTCATGGATGACCTGAGTATTTATTCTTATTCAATTTAATGGTTTTGCGCGCCGTTTCCCTACTCTGTGCTTCCACTTGAGTGTTTTTAATTATTCTCTTTTTTAATCGAACTGTTCAAGTATCGGGAGGTCTACGAGCGCCCCCTTTGCCAGGTATATAGCATTCAGCAGGCGTAGTGCAGCATTAAAGATAGAAAGATAAAAATAAAGTGGATTGGGTACGATATGATTCATGGTTTATATCTGAAGTCTGGACCTTTGCGTGAATCACCCGATCGTCATTACCAAAGGATAGGAAATCACGCTACGTTGGCTGGCCCGTGCGCAACGAAAAAGAAAATATTCAGATATCATTTCTGCATTTTATTCATGCAGTGGGATAGACTGCGATCCACTACCCACAGACGAGCCGCTATATAGTGAAGGCTTTACAGTGGCAAGATAACCCCGCTCTGTTCCAAAGGTTAGGTTTAGTTCTTTGTATGCCTTCTTTAGAGTCGTGATTTTCAGACCCTTAACCCCCCACGCAAGTTTTTAGGACTTCATATCAACGCATCGGCTGTCCCGAAGAACTCACCAAGTTTTGACCCAAAGAACTTATATCTTAAAAAGCCCTCCTCGAGGCGCTATAGTTGAAAGGACTGGCACATTTTGGATCATTGAAAAAGATTGGAGCAGTTGTCAGTCTCATCCAAAAAGTGAGACCTGAGCTCCGCTCATCTCAGTCTATCTGACTTTTAACTGATTGCAAGTTCATGTCTCATATCCAACTTTAATGGCCGAGTTTTGTCAAGGTTAATTTCTTTTTTCATATAATCCGCCATATGTGATAGTATCCCATGTGCTTCTCGTCTTACTTTTGCTCTCATTGGTTAATCTCTTACCTCATGACTAGAAGGTGTGTTTCTCCATCATCGAGAATCCATGTCTAGACCAGTCTAGGCAAAATTGTACTCCATAACGACTGATAATAGAACCTTCCTGCTACTTCACACGTCAGTAGAAAAACTAGTAGTAAAAATTATTCGCTAGCATTTCTTCCCTCCTCTCATCTTCGGATTTTCCGAATCTCATCCGTCTGCAGTCAGTCAATGACTCAAAAAATTTGCAATGACTTGACGGACACACTATCTATATTTAGGATGGGACGCTCATCACTGAAATCGTTGCCGGTGTAAGACTCCTTACGCCCATAATTCTTCATGTGGAAAAATCTTTTGACACCTGGCCAGGGTAGATTCATATCTCGATATAATTGGAACGAATCGATTTTCAATAATTTTTTTCGCCGATTCGAAAGCCTCTTCCCTTTCTTCAGTCCAGAATTTTTACACCCAGATGGGTTCGCGGATTCCTCCCAATGTTGTATCGTTATATACATTTGAGATCGATAATTGTGCAGATGTTGCACTTGCGGTTGCGGTGGACAGCCCCACGCTGATTCTATACAAAAAAGGGAAGGAATTGGAACGGCTACGTGGCGCTTATCCTGAACAACTGGAGTACTTATTATCCAGGGCCCTTTGCGGCCTGGAACGTATTGTCTGAATTGTACGTGGAAAAAAATAGCACCATGTTTCCCGGAATCTCTGATCAAGATAAAGATAGTACTCCCCTGTTGCGAAAATTGAACAGAGATTAAATACGAGTAATAACCAAAAATTGTGGCAGGAATCGTCACAATTGATATTTAGGCCCGCCCGTGAGAATAAAATGCTTTCAATTGCTTGATTTCATGACGCGAGAATAAACAAAGTATATTGGTTGATCACCATCAATCATATTTCCGCTTGACAACGTTTCTGTCCCTATTCGGAGCCAATATATGAAGTAGAAACTAGGTTAAAGTATGAATTATCGAGCTAATTGCTGTCATCGGCAGCAATGAGCGCGAAGTATGAACAGCTCTAATAGCGCGACGACTAACCTAGAGGTTCGATCCGTCACCATAATCCACGAATCTCGCTATACCAAACGGGCTAATTTAGAGTACATCTTTCATCATTAGTGGTGATCAACCTTTGGAACTAAAGTTAATTATTCTAAAGAACCTGAATCAAGTTTTCCGAGCTTTCAATATCATTGCAAACCGTCATTGGGACTGAAGGCTAGTTGTCTTCTGAACAGTAAAGTCGAAATGTCTCTTCATATATGTACCGAATTATTGGTAATGTATATCTGGCATCGGACCTGCATCATGTTGATTTCGAAGACCCTGGAGCGGAAGTGTTCGCTCTTTGAAATTCAACCACCTTGCAGCCTTTGCATACAATTATGAATTATTAAGCTATTGCCGTATAAGAAAGTTCAATTAGGGTCGGAATTAAAAATGGTCTTGCAGCTTAGTCTATTTTAGCTGCAACGAAGAGATCAAACACGAATGCACATGGAACGAAGCAGTATTGGTATGCTTCGTTCCATGCCGCGTATATATGTCAATAATCATTTGAAAGATTATCAATGCCGAGATCCTAGAGTTACCGAATATTGGGCCGGATACAAGATGCTTGATAAGATTAAATGCATTCGAAAGAATCATTCCAAATCAGATGTTCAAATCGGGTGCTATTGAGAATACCGATCTATCGTGTTGATTCTGTCTCCTTGCAAACTTGAGTATATTAGCTTCTTTGTGTTACATATAGCATGGATTACTATGTTCGGGAAGCGACTCACCTATTTAGTCTAGATTAGGAGAAACCAATCAACTGGTTGCACCGGCAATGTTGGTTCGTGTGACTACCTGGTTATATAGATTGGCGGCAAAGCCTCGACCGGAAAAGACATCAAGAAAAGGGCAGAGATATTCTCATAATGGCATGATATTACTTGTCAGTTACAAATGTTAGTGTATAATATTTAGAGCATTTCGCGAGGTTTACCAGCACTTAGGATAGTCCGAGGATTTCAAAACGCGAATTAGTTCTATCTGTCACCTCTTTATCATAATTGCCCCGCTTGAAGATCACAATAGATAGACCAATAGGCATCTTAAATTTTCTAGAGGAGCCAAATGCGGCCCATCGCTGCTCGTTGATAATGCATATAAGCGTACGTGGTGTCGACCTTTCATATAAACCCTGAGATTCTATTAGGGTGCAACACATGGCAGAATCATGAAATAGTATAGTTTTCCGAGTTCGCATTTCGACATTGCCAAAATTTGTATGCACGCTTTAATACCGATAACAAATGTACCCTTATCGCGAAGTCGCTATACTATTCGGTGCATGTGTAGTTTTACCTGTCATGCTAATAATGAAGGTTTACGTTGCGCTAAGGCGACCAGTTCGGCGTTGGATGACCGATTCTATTGATATTATCTTGTCGGCATTATACGCGCTATTCAGAAATTAGATCAAGACTTGTATCTACAAAGTAGGTGAGAACCTGTGGAAGACCGTTCCGCAAACTTACTACAGGTGTAAATTGCTTTACTATCGAGAACTTCATGAGTTGCATGGTCCATTTTCCTTCGCACGAATCACTGGGAAATTTTTGAAGAAGTTCATTTGCAGAGCGGCACTTTGCAATTAAAACTGTCGATAATCCGAATATTATGACGCGTTGCTACCAAATGTTCAAGCAATTACCAAAAATTTTGATTATCTTGTAGATGAATTCGGTTGAGGCATGGGTTCAGAAAAATATTCCGACCTTCATAACACCCTCTTTGGGACCCTTTTGGAATGCCTCATAAGCATTGGAAATATCTGAGAATGGATAGTCTGGGTATTACAATGATATTAGTTTATCGCTCACATATGGATGATAATCATATCAGGAACCATTTCAACTTACGATGCGTAAGTAATTCTGATTGTATGCGGCCGGCTTGGAAAAGCCGAAGGAGTGTCGGAATGGTGACTGTATCGACCAACTTAGTTTTGATACCTGGTGTGGCTGTTGAGAACATGTTTCAGTGACACTTATGGGAGTTCAACGTACTAATATTGTGGTCCCAGAGTCTGTCAAGGTCGAGAGTTACTTTTTGACCATGAACCCCTATATTTGCCACAGAACCCCCCGGAGCCACCAGCTTCTGACAAAGGTCAAATGTTGTCGGTGTTCCAACGGCTTCTATCACACAATCAAAACCCTTTCCCTCAACAACAGAATCGAGTTCTTCCATTGCGTTATATGCGTCAACATTGATGACTTTGTCAGCACCAAGGTTTTTAGCCAGCTCAAGCCTTGTATCTTGTTTGTCAAGAATAACGACCGGGTATGGTGTGTATAACTTCGCCGTGAGCATGGCAGAAAGACCCACTGGCCCAGCTCCCACGATGACCACAGAGCTCCCCGGCTGAACATTCGCATTGAGAGTACCACATTCCATCCCCGTTGGGAAAGCGTCGGAAAATACCGCCATCTCTCTTGCATCAACATTTCCAGGCAGTCTATAGAGTGAATTAGTCGCATGCGGAATCCGCACATACTCCGCTTGGGTCCCATCGATGAGGTTTCCAAGTACCCATCCTCCAGTCGTACAATGTGATTTCATCCCTTTCCTACATGCTGTGCAGGTGCCACATGAAGAGATGCATGAGATTAGAACTTCATCGCCGACAAAGAAATCCGTAACTGCTGAACCGAGCGACGCAATTATTCCAACTCCTTCGTGGCCAAGTATTCGGCCTTGTTCCACAGTCGGCACGTCGCCTTTTAAAATATGCAAATCTGTTCCACATATGCTTGTATGGCTCATCTTCACGATCGCATCTGTGGGACATTCAAGTTCTGGTATGGAACAATCTTGAACTTCACATTTGCCGGACTCTACAAATACAAGTCCTTTCATATTTGTTGAGTGCTGATAGCATTGTAAAGTCAGTGTCACTAAACTCTATTTGGACGTGTTGGTGGTTTCCTACCTCATTGAGAGATTTTTTGACTTGATTAGAGGCCAACTCCGAGTACAGACGAAATTTATGTGTAGATAACAAGCGGAGGGATCGATAATTTGCAGTAGAAAGTTCATTAAATGTCCGACGTTGACTTGCGCGATAGGTGCTGCGCACTAAGCGGCATGAGTTCAATACCTTACTCATTATGACTTTAGGCTGTATTAAGACCCACCTTTAGAGGAGATGTCTTTTGACAGGCCTTATACTGTTTTCATTCATGACTTTTTGATTCTATGACGCTTAAATTAAAGTTTATTAAACGAGGTGTAGTCAGATGCTATCCATCCGAAAGTCGACTGTCGAGAACACGGGCGCTACTAACGCCACCTGAGTTCTATTGTAGCCTAGAGCTTCTACCCTGCTAAGAATGAAGTATGTAGTTAATAATTATGTCACAAATGTTGAGGCCGCTGACATCCCCTGGTATTGCGCCAACTGTGCTAAAACTACCAAAAAACCTCCATTGCCGGGACAGTCTATTCTAGCATACAGCAGTCATTCAGGCAAGATTAATTACTCGTGCATGCACCCCCTGACCGCTTCCGGGTAAGGAGGTGCTCACGGTTCGAACACCAACGCTTAGCGAACACCAAGAATTACACACATTTCAGTATCAAATTACCCACCACCACCATTTCGGCTAAGCAAACGCAAATCGAGCAGCTTATTAACGATGCTCCCAACTGAATCTTAAGTCTAAATTCGAAGCCAAATGTCATGAAATCACGCGTGATTACCGCATCTCCTATGGCTGATTTACCGTTAAATCCGATACGAAAATCGAAAAATGAACCCCAATCCAGAAAAGGCTATTCAACGAAGCCTAGGAGTACACTCTTGTCGAATAGATAAAGCTCCTGAGTTGTCAGATTCCTACTGATAGCGCATATAAATAAAAACTCTACCCCGCAGGAACCAGTCAGTTCAAGCAAAAGCAAAAGCCAGAAGGGGGGTTCATCTTGCTTTAACCGACCATCATAGTCAACCCAATCTCCAGTTATTTTTAATATATCAGAATACTTCGAGCATTTGCTACGTACCTATAGTAATTTCCGTAGGTTATGCTGGTAGCTCTGCGCTGCTAACAAAGGAATTCGAGGCGCGGGGTATCACGTGCCGACCGGCTACAACACACGGGGTCCTCCTGCACAGGTGCTAGAAAACTCGATCCTGTTTCGAGTACTAATTTGCAAAACAAGTGAATAATGGAGTCCAATGCCGAAAGCGGTAGCATGAGGTACCCCCGCAAAAGGGCCGTTACTGCATGTCAGCTCTGTCGCACTCGAAAGACAAAATGCGATAATCAACGCCCAAGTTGCCGGATTTGCCTCTCGGTCGGGATTCCATGCCAATATGCTGATCGAAATGATCATTCTTCGTAGGTGCTTTCTCTCTGTTGATACTTGTTCTACACAATCCCACGTCTAACGCTTACCCATAGTTTTGACCCTGCCAGCTTGGAGATTATTGAACGATTAAACCGTATAATGAGCTCACAAGAGGAGATACTCAATGCGGTGAATAGCAGCAACAATGTTAAGGTCTCTGAAACCACGGTACCAGTCAAGTAGAACTTTCAAATGAAGGCTTTGCATCGGACAGCTTCGGTATTCCTTCATCCTACACAAGTCCAGATCATGTGCTCATGTGGCCCATTTTTCTCGATAAATATGTTTCAAAATGTCTCCAAGATGCCGTATATCCTTCGGAAATGCCAGGTCTTCAAACCAACAGGAGGCCCAATAAAGGCGTCAAATACCCATTCCAGGAAGAAAAGGTCCCGAACCTCTTGATCGCGTTTTTCATCTGGTCCATATCAAAAACCCCATTATAGACCAAGAAGAGCCTCACAAGGCTGTCCGGATAGTCATCGAGGATGGATTGAGTTGGGATGAGGGTCCTTGTCGTGTGGTAAGCAACAAAACCTTCCCTTCCCAAACCTGCCGTTCCGTCAGGATATTCATATTGAGTATTGATTATTTTCCTAAAAAAAGCTTCTTGTTTGCGCCCTGGGTAGAATAGCACAACCCTTCCGAAGTGGAGAGCAACGAACTCTCTTGATTCCACCGGCTATAGAGAACTTTCCTCGCCATTCGACTGTCCTGAACTGGAAGAGGCAGAGCCATATTTCACCCTGGCTCTCAGGCGTATTGGTATCTTGAACCGGTCAGTTGCTGCTGTACAATGCCTATTTCTTTGTGGCGTATTTTATATGTACAAGTTTCGGCCATTGGAAGCATTTCAAAGCTTTCATCAAGCGTCAGTGATGTACCAGGTTTACCTTAGGTTCCACAGGGCATCTAACACAGTCCTGTCCGATAATCAAACCGAGCAAACCTTGTTTTGGAGTTGTTTCAAATCCGAATGGTACGTTCAAAAAGGCTTGGCTTATTGAATCCGGCTGACATAATAATAGTGAAATATTATCTGAAATCGATTTGCCATTTTCAGGGGTCTCTCATTTGGACTATATACATACATTTCCAAATCCTCCAAACCCGGATGCAACTGCTACCAGTCCAACCTCTGTTCTGACCAGGGGCAGCAGAGAGAGTGCCCATCACGACATGTCAGCTCACGAACAAGAGCAAGCTTGGTTCTACTATCTCTCAGAAATAGCCCTTAGGCGCATCGGTAATCGTGTTCTAAACTCGTTGTACAAAGAAAGCTTTGAGTCGTAGAAAAAATACGACGTTCCTTCTACAATCAAAATGGCCCACGAGTTGCTTTGCCAGCTGAACGAGTGGTATGAAGGTCTTCCAGCCTCCATGCATTTCGACGAAAACAGACTTGGAGTTTACCCACTTGAGGAGCTGCCTTATCTACTGTATCTTCGTCTGCAAGAGATTCGGTCCTGGATACTGCGGCCACTCTTGTTCCTCGCCATTCATTTACCTCCTGGCACTATGCACCGGCCATCGTTAGGACCTTTCGTTAGAGAAGCCTTGACCTGCTGTACTCAACTCATTGGAGGAAAATCTATTACTCATCGCCACCATGGAACGTGGTATATGCTTCGATTGAGTGTGACATCGGCTCTTTGTCTCCTCGCAGCAGAAAGAGGCGGTTATGAAGTATCAGGAATGCACCAGTCAGTTGAGCTTGCGATCAAGACCCTTCGATATTGGGAAGCTGCTGCTCCTGGTGATATTCGAGAAGCAAGAATAATTCTGGAGAATTCTCTCTCGGCAGCATGACCACTTCTCGCTGGCCCTTGTATATTATTGATAATCTCTAGCATATGTGGTGTGAAGCCATGTCGCCACCTGGCGCATTCCCAACGTAGTTGATTTGCTTTTTCAGCGCATTTTCTAATCCATCGTGCTTGGAAACTTCCAGTCCAGTATAGGTGAAGTTCGAATATGACAGACCATGACCAAATCAGAAGCGAGGTTCAATCCCGCGCTTCTCCAAACCACGGTAGTCAACAGAGATACCTTCAGTGTAATTGATCTGAGGGTATGGCTGAGGACCAGTGATTATGTCGGCTTGGGCACAATCGGAAAGATTTCTCGCAATTGTATATACTAATCTACCAGAAGGGTTCACGTCACCGTAGAGGATGTCAACAAGTGCGGGACCGAGCTCCTGGCCTCCGAGGTTGGCCCAAACCACAGCAGTGGAATTTGGGTGGTCGATCCATTGCTGTGCGACTCATCACTTCAAAAAAAGGTAAATAATGATGGATTAGATGTTCAAAGACTTACCTCCATATTCACAGGACCAACAGCTTGGACCACAACAATGGTATTGTCGCAGTTATTGGCGACTATGCGGATCAACGCATCGCTATTGTGCATGAGAATTATGTCTCGATCGACGGATCTCGCCAGAGGATGAAGCTACCACAGGGATACAGACGGTGCCACGCTTAGCAACCGTCTACATCATTGTCATGTTTGAGCTGAAAGTCCAGTCGACAAGCGTCAAGTCTTGGTTTGCACGATTTTGAATCGCGCTCAGAGGATCCACTAGATGGGGAACTGAATTTCATGGAATTAGGAAAGACGAAGCAGTAATCGGGATCGCTTGAACTTACAGAAAGTATATCCCGAGCCAGCGCCCCCAGCTAGGATTCCTTCGCCAATACCCATGGTTAGAGAATCCACTGAATAGCCGTTTGCTCTAGTCCATTCACTGGGTAGAACGCCATTTCCATAGCCGTACTGATTAGGTCCGTATGGATTGGGCCCGGCAGCAGGTCCAAACAATGTGATGGTAGTAGGCTTCCTAAGAGGAAGACCATATCTCCCATCTGTGTTCTTGAGAAGAACAGTTCCCGCTGCAGCAATTTCGCGGGCGAGGATTCTGTGCCGCTGGCGTTGACTATCCACAATAGCCTTGTGGGGATCGTCAATTAGGTTGATATCGGGATAGTCGCGGTCCTGGCCAAGAAGGAAATAAGGAGTCATGATCCTGGTTGCGGCATCGTTCAATCTCCATTCCGGTACGGATCCGTTATTCACAGACTTCGTAAGGTTTGCACCATAGAATCCCCAATCGCCACCATTGGCCGCCACTCCTGGCATGTCCTGATCCATGCCAGCCATGAAGGCATCCACCCCAGCTTTGAGAGCAAACCAATCGGTCTGGGTATAACCCTATGTCGGTGTTCCTGGGTCATGTGACCTGGGCAGCGCTCTTTCGGTCTGCAGGCTTAACCTCCAGACCTTTTGCTCTCTCTCTTCTTTTCTCCTCCATACCCATTATCACATATGTTCTGTGTGAAGCTTTTGTCTACATTATTGTAGTCATCTTCCCCCACTTGGCTGCCTATTGGCGCCAAGACCCTAGAAGGCCAAATGAGTCTTAAGGACATCATTGAGTAGATGAGAGTTTTGACAAGCCTGAGAGCTGTTGACGTATGGGTAGCTAGCCATCACATAGGCGGCACCCGCACGTACGGCCTCAGCATAAGGCCATACCTCAACTTCATGCAGGGTCTTGTCATCGATATTGCTGGAATAGTAGCTTCGACTATACTGCTGGCCATCATACCCCAGGTACTTCTAAGGTACGGCTTGCACACCAGCAGCCTGCTCTCCAATCACAGTCTCGTACCCGGCAACGCCAATTAAAAAAGGGTCGTTACCAAAGCCTTCAAGGTTGGTGCCTCCACTGACGGTACGGCCAAGAGCAAGAACTGGCCCTAGAACAGCATGGGCACCTTTGTTTTTATGCTCTGTGGCTATTGCAAATCCGCGAGCGCAGATTAACGCTCTGTTCCAAGTTGAGGCAACAGTTGTACCCGGTGGAAAGCCAGTTCCATATGAATATGAGTTCCCGATGCCCGTGTCGCTATCTATGTAACAGAATCCGGGAAAGGTTAGACGGGGAATTGGCATAGTTTGGCCCTGGCACAGTTGATACGGATTATTTGGATCCCTGCAACAATATCAACGTACCGTCAGTGAGCTATCGTCTAGATGAAGGGGTGGAGCCCAACTTACTGAGGAAAACCAGTTCCAGTAGAAAGACTGCCCTTCTCTTCCGCGGTCAGCTGGGAAACGAAAGCTTTTGTCTTTGAAATGGCGACATCCCACCCACCAGTTCCAGTTGCATTGGGAGTGTGCTAGGAGTAGGGGAAGTCAGGTTCACGAGGGTAGGAAACGTCGGGCTCGACGTTCTTTGGATCGCCTTGCCCGTAGGTTGTGGATGCAAGCCATATTGGCAAGAGAACCTTGAAGAAAAACATTCTAGTTTCGAGCTTTGCCGAGTTCTGAGGAGGCTGGGGGTAATCCGTCATACCTGACCCGGAAGTCTGGGGTAGCTTTTATGCCACAGATCAACTCAGATGTGCAGAAACAAGTGAAGACGTTTCGATTTGAGAAGGCTTGTGGCGGAAAAGGCTTTTACTATGAGGCCGATTCTATTGCACTGGATATAGCTGCAGGCAGGAAGCAAAGTGAGATCATGCCGCTGGATGAAACCTTGAGGGCGATGCGACTTATAGACGAGGCAAGGGCAAAGGGAGGTGCCAAATTTCCTCAAGACGATGATTAATAGGTATCCACCTTCAAGACGAGCAGAGGAACATTGGGCAATTTATCTCTGAATCTCGTGATATAGTCATATTTCATTCCTTCGCGTTTTCTTTCTTTGACGATGTTAAGGCATATATTTCCTCAGAAAACCATATGCTAATGTGTGATAAAATTATGCATACTAAATTGAAAATGAAATTATTCCTCAGCCATTCAACCAAAGTCAGTGTACACTTAGCTAATTTTTACGAACATCTTGACATAATAGGTAACAATAGCTCGGAGATTTTCGGAAGTCATGGTAAAGGGATAGGAAACAAAAGAGAGAGATCTACGAGCTGATTGGTTATAAAAATATACACCCGTGAGATTGGCAGTAAGAAACAGCCTACCAATCCTTTAATCCAATTGGCACGGTACATGTGCAATGCTTGTAGTTCAACTTGTTATTCTCAATCTCATCAAGACGGTAAGGCTAGACCAAATATTCAAGTTTTTGTTTGTCAAGCCGATTTCGAGAATGTGTGGAGTCATTTTCTCTCCTGATATGAAGACCTAGTTAAACATTAGTTAACCAACTAGTCAATTGTCTTTAAGTAACATTATGACTAAGCGGGATCGGAAGCCAAAAGTTGGTTAGATGATCCGTTTCTTGGAAGCAAAGACAAGGCGTGCAGATCAATTTCCATTTCCAGTCTCCCGATCGCTCCCCAGAGGCCCACTTTTCCCCTCAATCCGCCGTATGGCCAGCTGATAGGCCGCAGTGCCTCATTTTTAAAGGTGAATATTGGCTTGGAATTGACTCGATTATCTACTGCCGCAGGTTTAATTGACTCTATTTATATAGCTGGACGACCCCTTCCCTCTCCCTCTTCCCGAAGAAACAACCTACAATCTAAATTTCTACACCGACAAGCCTTCTTTTAATATATCGTCATATTGTGAAACTGTGCAGCCCTCGAGCATGGCCGTTGAACAAAAAAAGCCTCGCAAATGGATCCAGCAGACAATTGAATCTCTCGATCCGGAGAAAGACTACGAGGAAATCTGGCGCCTCTCTGCCGGCTACGGGCTGACACCTTTCCTGCTGAATTTGGTTTACGCAATGACCTTCCCCAACTTCATTGCAACGGAGCAAGGATCCCGCGCAGTATGGCGGTCAGATGGCGGAAAGATTGTCTACAAAGCCACCCAACGAGTCGAGCAGACGTCCAACAACAACGCGATATGGTGGTGGTATGGGCCTCATTCCCCAATAACGAAGAAGTCGGTAGACCATATCAACGATATCCATGTCTACTACAATAAACAGTTCCCCGGAGATTTTGAGCACAACGACGATTATATATACACTCTCACCTACACCGCAACAACCATGCACCGGTTGAACCTCCGACTCGGTCTACCCGGCTTTAGCGAGAAGCAGAAAGTGGCCGCGGCTATATTTTGGAGAGAGATGGCAAAACTCTTTCATTGCGGAGGGAAGGCGCTTCATAGTTTCCCTGACTGCTGGGATGAGATCGAGAAGTACAACGAAAAGATCGAATCCAGCATGGGGATAGCACCTGAACGTGCGAATCTGATTGCAGAAGGTTGCTTTGATCAATTCGCTTTTCGATTCTTCCCGCCTGGTTTGCGTTGGCTGGGCCGTGCAATCCCTATCTGTCTTTCGCTGCCTACGACCATGGAAGCTTGCCGGATTGAACCTGTTAACCCCTTATTGAGTCAACTCATCATTCTGGTTTTCGGCACCTTCCTCTGGTTTGTGAAGACGGTACTACCAGACCCAACTGAGTCCTATTGGCAGCAGCAGGAGAAAATGTCGAAGGTCGAGAAGAAGCAGGAAATCTCTGCTTACCGGGATCTCGACTCTGCGTTTGCGCCCTGGTTCATCAAACGGCATAAGAAAGAGGCTACCGGATGTCCATTTCACGCCATGCTGGGCGAAAAGAAGAAGGATTTTGCGCCTCCAAAAGACTTTGATATTGAGAGGGACACCGTGAAAACAAAGTGAGATGGATGACATAACCACCTGGCTTGGGATTTGATGAATCAGAGAAGTAACAGCATTGACATACATGTCTGCTTCGCTTTTTTTTTTTTTCAATATCTTCTTGGTTTATTTGTATTGTACCATTGAAAGAGATGCAGATGCCGGGATACAGCGAAATTGGATGTTCATAATCGTCACTGTGCATAGAATATCTCAACGTCATTTCCATTAAATAGAATGCAAACAAGACAGAACGGAAAAAAAGCGATCATCGTAATAGACTGAAGTACTGGCGCTTCCTCGACTTCAGCCTATGAGCACCGTAATGGAGAGACGATTTCTGTGTACAGTCTAATCACTCTTCTACTTGGTGCACAATAAATCACCGTGGAATAGGTCGCTTATTTCAGGACAAGCAGGAAAACATGCGGGTTCTTTTTATGAATTGTATTGTAATAGCCATCTCTCGTATAAACAGGTCTTTGGATAATATTGAGTAGCCCGAAAAGCCACCTTCATAGTTGGATTCTACCGGGGAGACCGGGGAAGTATCGGAAGCGGAACGGAACGGAGATCGCTTGATTGGACGACACGGTAGACGAGGACCACTTTTGGGGTACCAAAAGACGAATGATAAGCTCCATTTTTTTCATTATATTGCTAGTAAATATATTGAGCCCGACGTATCCCCGTCCAGCACTAATGATAAGCGATTGAGCCTTAAAAGCACAAAGTGCCGCTTACCGGAAGGGAGCTTTGCGCCCTTGTCAATTGATCTGAGTTAGTAATGCATATAACTCGGCTCGGACATCTGGAAACCGGCTTTATCCAAGTTTCACCCGGAAAGCCGCTAGAGACGTTCTCAGGACTTTGGTTTTAGACGAGGCCCTTTGAACAATAAGAGGAGGAACTACAAAGTCCGACATCGTTTCGTGTGAATATTTGATTATTTTTTACCAAGAAAACTCGGATCATCTTCCCAACACATCAGTTCTATAACAAGCAATCGACTCGGAACATCCATTTCTTCGAGCCAAGCCCCAGCAAGGTCTAGCGGCGACCTATGGAAGCCCCGGAAGAGCGTCCGCACATTTCGCTGGCGACAAACGAGCCACATCAGACAATCTTGATCGCTGGTCAAACACGAGATTCAGAATATAGCATTGAGGTGCCTTCTGCCATGCCTCCCTTCAACAGTGGATGTGTGACCCCACAAGAGGAGGCTTTTACGAGGGAAAATGCAAGCTTTGAGAAGACATCAGACGAGGACCCCAATGTCATTGAGTTTGATGGCCCATTTGACAAGGGGAATCCAATGAATTGGAAGAGAAGCTATAAGTGGCTGCTCACTTTCACATTGGGTCTTGTGGTCTTTGTTGTTACATTCTCCAGTTCAGTCTTCAGCTCTGTCCTCCAAGCCACAGCTTTGGAGTTCAACGTGTCTACAGAAGTGACCACCCTTGGAACGAGTCTTTTTGTCTTGGGGTATTGCTTTGGACCGATAGCATTTGGCCCATTGTCTGAAGTCTATGGCCGAAGGATCCCACTGTTTCTCGGGCTATTCGTTATGTCAACGTTTGAGATAGGAGTGGCTGTTGCGCAAAATTTGTACACAATTTTACTGTGCCGATTTTTTGCCGGGTTCTTTGGCTCTGCCCCACTAGCTGTTGTCGGAGGGACCCTGGCAGATTTCTGGAACCAGGTTGATAGAGGTGTTGCTCTATGCTTCTTTGCAGGTGCTACTTTCGTCGGGCCCGTTGCAGGCCCGATTGTTGGAGAATTTGTCGCGAAAAGCTACCTCGGTTGGCGATGGACACAGTACATCATAGTCATCACGGGGTTCTCGTTTTTCGTGGTTGGTCTTCTCATCATGCCTGAAACCTACGCTCCAGTGATCCTGCAGAAACGCGCAAAGGCTATTCGGTTTGATACGAGAAACTGGGCCGTGCGGGCAAAAGCAGATGAAAGGCAAATTAACATGCAGTCAATCGTCGAAGTCTACTGCAAGCGCCCCTTTGGTAAGATCCAGAATCCCTTCCAATGATAGTAAAAATGAAATGGTACGATACTTATGTTTCTTCCTTTAACAGCCATGCTTTTCTCTGAGCCGATACTTCTGCTTGTCACTTTGTATATGGCTCTGATCTACGGCATACTCTACCTATTCTTCACAGCCTACCCAATTTCTTTCGAAGAGAAGCGTGGATGGGCCACTGGCGTTGGTGCCCTCCCGTTTATTGCTATCACAGTTGGTGTCGTAATGGGCAGCAGTATCATTGTGTACCTCACAAAAACCCGCCTTGCGGTTAATTTTAAGAAGAACGGGAAGATTCTCCCAGAGGAACGTCTCCCTGCTATGATCATTGGCGGATTTATGCTTCCTATCGGTCTTTTCTGGTGGGCTTGGACCAGCGATCCATCCATCAACCCATGGCCTCAAATCATTGCGGGTGTTCCGGCAGGTGCCGGTATTCTCATGATTTTCTTACAAGGAATGAGTTACATTATCGATGTCTATGAGTCAAATGCGAACAGCGCCCTTGCAGCAAATACTTTTGTAAGAAGTTGGCTTGGTGCTGGATTTCCCTTGTTCGCATCGGCTATGTATCATAACCTCGGGGTGAATTGGGCGACAACTTTGTTGGCATTTTTGACTCTTGCTATGATACCAGTTCCAATTCTCTTCTATTACTATGGAGGCAGAATTCGCCAGATGAGCAAGCGAGCTTGAGTCTCCAGGACGGCCCCCGCCTCGAACTGTTTGTGTTGAGAGGTGATGCTTTAGTCTTTAATGGTGATTATTGCATTGCTTTCTTGCTCTTGTGTCTTAGATAGATACTCTAACGCTACTCTACTTTTATTAGGAATTATAAGTTGAAACCTCCTATTATGATTTAGATCTACCCTTTCTATATATATATGAATGGATTAATAGTAATTAATTTCTAAAACTATCTCGTTTTATTGCTCAGGGATAGAGGTAATTTCATCATTTTTGATAGCTTATATAGCTAACAAGGCTCTACCCTCTTCCTCGATAGATTTTCGAGTGGATCGGGGGCGTATAGGTGGCATTGTGGGGGGTCTGAACATGGTAGGTCAAGCGCCCGGCGCGGTTTTTGGTAGGGTGCTATATCCGATCGTGTGCGGCACATGACCGTGATATACGTTGAACTAGGGAGAGAAAGAAGAACAAAGAAAGGGACGCGTGCGAGACCTGCAAAGAAGAGGCAATCGTCAGACAGCACTATTCCTATTCGGGATATACATCAAGTCCCACTCCACATGCTCCATATGCTGTATACTGCTAGGCAGCCCTAGGCAGCCAGCTTGGCCACGGCAATTGAATGGTTAACCATGCATTGACCTTTGACTCTTTTGAAACGAATAACGCCTAGCAATCTTTGAGTTTCCTTTTTTGGTTTAGTGCTCCCCTCTCTACGACGCAAATAATGGCGTGAGATTACGACAGCTCGCTTATCAATCGCCAATTTGCCGAGCATCCGATAAAATTGTTTTTTTGGTCGATAAGAGAGACTGACAGGTACTATTTTAGCCATACCAAGTTCCAACGGTAATTACACCATGTTTTTGATTGATTCTTAATTCAGAACAGTATCAAATAGATAGCAAAAAATTCATTCACAACAAATTAAAAGCTGTTTAAGAAATTGGCTCAATTAGGAGTTACGTTCATAAATTGTTTACTTGATGAAACGTGACTTACGTAGTCATTAAAGATGATGATCTATAATATAAGATGAATAAATATGGTATACTCTGACCTGTTTCCGAAAGTACTACTAGTAATCTTGCGAAAATGATAGTATATTACAAATTACGTGCTATTATGCACTTATTACTCTTATTCCCCCTGTTTCCCCGCAGTACAGATGCATAAATAGATCTTGCCTGCATCCTTATCTCGCCCCTTGAAAACAAGTTCATCTTCATCCATTCAAAATGGGTTCTATAACAGCAAACCCCTTTCAGGATGTCCCAGTACCTCAAATAGGTAGAACGTACCATTGCCCGATTATAAATTTTGGTAACTAAACTATCTAGAGAGTCTCGCATCTCTTATTTGGCAATTCCGAGCCGACACAGATCCCAATCGAATTGATCTCCTCGTGGGCGTCTATAAGACTGATGAAGGGGAGGCTTATGTTCAACCCAGCGTGAAAGAGGTAAGTTTCCATGATTCGCCATTACGCTCGACATATCCCTGAATCTTTTGTCTGCTAGGCAAAGGAAAGAATATTTCATGACTCTGAATGGCATCATGAGTACCGCCCCTGGGCTCTCGGCTCCCCGGCTTATAGAGCCTTGAGCGAGAAGTTGCTTTTTGGGGCTGACCATCGCCTTTTACGGGAGAAGAGGTAAGACAATTTACATTCCATTCAGAGTATCCAGGTCTGACTTTATCAGAATCGTTTCAATGCAAACACTCGGTGCGAGTGGTGGATGCCATGCTGGCGCAGTGATGTTAAAAAATCACTATGGGCCGTGGAAACAGACTGGGAATCCCGAGATCTTCCTTCCAGACGAGACATGGCGTAAGTGACTGTTGGTCTGTACACATAGTAAGGAATGCTGACCGGTTATAGTAAACCATCCTTTCGTATTCGAGTCTGTTGGAATTACGCCCAGGATTATCCCTTATTTCAGCAGCAAGACAAACAAATTTGATTTTGCGGCTTTTACAACAACCCTCAAAGCATTGCCAGCTCAATCGGTCGTTCTTCTCCAGTCCGGAGCCCAGAATCCAACAGGTTGTGATCCTTCACTGGAACAATGGCGTGAACTAGCCTCGATCTTCTCTCAGCGCGGTCATTTTGCTTTCTTCGATGCTGCGTATCCTGGTTTTGCATCCGGAGATATCGACACCGATCTTCAGGCCGTTAGATTGTTCGCCGAGCAAGAAGTCCCCCTTATACTTGTCTCGACATATGGAAAATGCTTTGGACTTTACAGTGAACGTGTTGGGGTTCTCTCGATGCTCGTACCTAACGAGGAAGTCGGAAAGCGACTCGAATTGCATATGATGCGAATGGTGCGAGCTGAGTCTGGTGCACCTCCAGACTTTGGATCCAAAATTGTCCAAACGGTTCTAGCGGATGAGAAGTTGGAGCGCCAATGGCGGGAGGAAGTGCGTCATATGGCGGAACGACTTAAGCATCGTCGACTTGTGCTAAGGGAAAATTTGGAGAAATTGGAAACTCCGGGAGACTGGCGTCATATCACGGATCAGAATGGAATGTTTTCGTAAGTATTGGACACCATGAAGCTTGGCGAGCTTTATACTGACCTTTCCAGATATGTTGGACTGTCTTTAGAGCAGGTCAATCTCCTCCGAAACAAGTACCATGTGTACCTTCAGGATACTGGAAGAATATCTATCGCGTATGTTTCAATGTTGACTATTAACATGATTTTGTGATTCAAGCTAACATATGTATTTCTGGCAGTGGGCTTAACAACTTCAACATCGACTACACTGCTCGTAGTATTAGCGATGTTGTGAAAGCGACAACGCCCAATTGACTTGAAGGTACTATGCTTCATTGATTAGATTGTATATTCCAATAAAGCAAAACTTTGTCCCATGGACCTCGTTATCTGTAGAAGTAGAGTAAATTGTTTCCTGTTGAGAGGAGACAGTATTCATGCTTAGTGTAAATGGTCAGGAATATAGAGACTTTGAGTAGAGCCTGAGATATCAGGGACTGTGGGCGTGGGAGCTTGGGTGCAGTCAGGTGATCATCAAGTCGCACCTTCCTAAAATTAAACAGTCACGCTCCAAGAAAGCTCTGTGACATTTTCCCTTTCCCTTTCCCGCTTCTTCCGAGTTTCTGCATCTTTGGTAGGTCAAGCTTCGAAAATTCCTTTTCGGACACAGGGAAAAACAGCAGACTTTAACACATAATATATTTGACCACACATTACGCGACTTCAACTCCTCCACACATGTGACAAATTTGACAAACCAACCCGGACCAAACCTCGACCTCCTGTCTACTTTCCCTTCCCCCAGCTGCCATGAAAGAGCCCCAAGCGCCAGGCTCTCTTCTCATATCTTGTCTACTCTGTCTTGTCTGTTGGAAGTCGTCCCAAGTCCTTTAGGCTGGTCATTTATATGCCACTGATTATTGAGCAAGCGCAGTTGGCTAACATTTTCGATTTTGCCCAATCGCAAAAGTCCCCCCATATGTTGCAATCGTGTTTATTCTTTGCCGATTATTTCTTCTGAATCGACACATCTGTTATATATGATTTGGTGTCCTACCAGGCTGCGGGGTTGGTCTAACCAATAGCAACGCCCCCCCCTTCTTGCTGTTGGGTGTGTTTTCTCGTGGCTGCATTCGCAAGAGTTGGCCCCATGTGTTTACGTTCTGGGAACAGCACCGCAATTAATAATGTTTACTTTAACAATGTTCGCCCTAATGGTTGATATCTTGATTGGTCACAAATAGAGTTGCGCTACCCCACACTTGGCCCGATAGCCTGGTTTCTTATCTCTTGCGCCTTCCTTCCGCATCTCCCAACCCCAATGCCGCCCGATCGACAGCGCACTACGCGCATAGTGCGAGTCCGAACCGGATGCTGGGCCTGCAGGCGCCGAAAGAAGAAATGCGATGAAATCCGACCGAAATGCGGGGGCTGCACGCGTAATGATCTCGTGTGTGAGTGGCCCACCAACGTCCCGGGGAATGCTGCCAGCCACGTATCGAGCATCAGTGAAGAGCGACGCTCGAGCCCTTTGAGGGTTGCTGAAGGATTCGAAGCGATATCACCTCGGACTCCTGCTTCGCATCGACAATCTTCCGTTTCGTCGAGTGGTGGCTTATCTGCAATTGCGGATGCGCGGGATCAGATTGGCGATCGCCGAGATTCGGAACTTAGTAATATCTCCAATATCAACAACGTTGACAATGCTCTCATACCGACAATGGCCGTGGGTAATGTAGTCCCGCGGACTATGTCAATGCTTCCTGGATATGAACCAGAATCCTACACATTGCTGAGTCATTACCTAAGCACTACGGCCGACTGCATGGCAAACGGCACTACTCCGATAAACCCCTTTTTGGTTCAGATTGTGCCGTTAGCATTTACGAGCGATTTATTATTGCAGCTTGTGCTCGCTCAGAGTGCTGCGCATAGGGCATTTCGACGACGGGATGAGGCTGACGCCGTTGCTCAGTCGCACTATACCAAGGCCATTCAGCTGTTTCGGCATGGAGTGGGTGAATTTATTGAAGGAAAGGAGTCCAATCCTTTGATATTACTCGTCGGGGCCCTTCTCATGTGCTTTACAGAGGTATGCAACCCAGCCCCTAACTTTAACCATATCTGACAATCTGATATTGCAATAGACCGCCAAAGGAGACATGACAGGTACTATTTTTGACCATCTGACCGCAGCAAACTCCCTTCTTGTCAAGCTGCTTGAACAAAGTGATTCTGCGGTTCCCAGAGAGCTGAAAGATTTCGTTATCGAATACTACGTTTACACAGCATCCGTCAGCATGATCTCAGTCGACGCACGACTCAGTAGACAACTCTTCTTAAACTTCGACCTGGAGCAACGAGCCCGCGAACTCCTCACCGTACAATATGTCGGCAATCTATGCGGCTGCTGGTTGGAGCTGCTGCTGTTAATCCCAGTCATCTTCGATCTCGGTCGACAATTGATGATGGAGGAACAGGTCACCATGCCGACCGCAGACGATATGGCCATGTTTGCTTCAATTCAAGCCCAGATACTGCGATGGGCTCCATTCCCATTCGTTGAGCCGGAGGTGTTCATGGCAGGCTTGATATTTCAACAAGCCATGCTGATATACCTATACACGTCTTTGGGTGGTTACAAATACACATCCGACGGGATGTACAAAGGTCTGATACAAACTGCGGCCACAGAGGCTATGTCCTATTTGGACCAGCTATCTCCAAGTGCACGCATAAACTCCGGGATGTGCTGGCCTATTGCAGTTGTCGGCTCTTGCCTGGAAACCCCCGAGCAACAGCAGTGTCTCAAAACACGTCTCACTGTTATGGCGAGTCATTTTGGTCTCGGGAATATGCATCGTACAATGCAGTTGCTGGAGGCGATATGGGATTTGCCGTCATCCGAGGCAGGACCTTGGAATATATGCCGATCTATGCAGCAGAAGCAAATCTGGATTTCTTTTGCTTGAGGCAGGACGTATCTTTCTGTCTAAATACAACCAGGCGCTGAAGCTGTGCACTCGGTGAAACACCAAATTACCTCGTTTCCAATGGTGTTGCCATGACTATGGATATCATTACATGTGCCGCTCGATCGTTGCCAAGATTGAACGGTCGGAAATTGCCTCGCATGTCTTGATCACTTCTGTTGATCATACGCCAATGTAAAGGAGTGGCTCTTCAAATATGCACAAATCTTATTAAACCTCAAAGAAGTGAGGAAACATGGATTAAATGGAAGCTCACAGTAGGAAGTCTCTACAACAAGGCAAAATCGCAACGGTGAGCATTGTACGTCTCCTTTGCATTCAGGCATATGCGAGTTTCTGGAGCTCTGAATAGTCATTTTTAGGCGGGTGGTTGCAATCGCTACAGCACAGCCTTGACTCAGGCTCACCCGACGCAATTATACTAGCTTTATTCATTGACATCGGATTCCGCATCGCTGCTATCTGCCATTGCAACCTGGAAAATCTGATTGTGACGGAGGGTTTATCTACTGTTACCTGTCAGCTTAAAGATGCGAACTCTAAGGACTTATCCAAGTCGCGTCAGTAACTGTGACCTCCATGTCAAGAATCTAACCACCGTGTTAGAAACCTTCATGGGCCTTGAGGTGGTCAATGAGAATTCCGACCCTATAGAAAGAATAGACATAGATTCTTCTGTCCCTTGTTCATAGTTATACATATATTGAAGCATTAGTCAGGTAATTCCCTCCATTTGCTCCAGCACTTACTTTCTTTCATTCTCTTCTTTTTTCTCTCTCCTTCATACTTCTCGGAATATAGTGAATGACCCTTTCTTTTGCTTCTGGCCCTTTCTTCTCCTGAGCAAATATTAGCTATCGACACTAATTCATGCCAAATAGCCCAAGCGATCGCGTTCGCAACGGGAATTTCGCCAACGTATTTGACTTGTCCACGGTACTAGTAAAGGTATGGTAGGGAGAAAGTGGTGGGGAGGAAGTCTTACTGAAAGCAGGTGGTGACTGACAGTCTACTGACGTCAGTGGGCTAAGATTTGTGTGACAATGGGCGCATGAGCATGAGAACTTTGGTGTTAAAGGCCCATGCAGTTGACAAATCAGCTGCCAACAGGTGAGCAAGGGAAACTCAGCGTTCTACCGAGCCACGTTGCCTCGCTTACAATCCCTTCCGTCTGCTTACCATTGTCTCTGATGACACGCTGCTTGCAGAAGGTTCAGCCACATCTCGAGCTTTGGTAGCCTGTGTGACTTGAGATGCATCCAAGGTGGAATGTTGGCCCAGATCGACAGCGCCGTAAGCGGCAGTATAATTCCCCGCCTAGAGTACGCCCAGTTGTAAACCCGCTCAGACTAGCTATATGTAACTCTCTCAAGTATTCTTCGAGGCTGTCAACTTGCAACTTCTCCCAACTTACTCACTTCTATCACAATTATTTTTTTGGTGGAATAGTTCATGAAGTCATCCTTGAAATCTTACAATAATGCTAGAACTCAGTGCCTTTATAGGACAGATTACGGGGCTTATATATGTTTCCGCGGCGATTCTGCCCCTGTGGTATTTGGCATCGTACCTAACTTCCCCCCTGGGCCAGTTTCCTGGCCCATTTCTTGCCGGTAAGCCAGCTCCTCACTACTTGGATAAATGTCTCTGAAAGCAGCCCGTATGTTTATCTAACATCTCTTTTCCTCCAGGATGGACCAACTTATGGCGAATGTATTATGTTCGACGAGGAGATTATCATTTGGCAATCCAAGAGCTACACAAAAAGTACGGTCCTGTGGTGCGGATAGCGCCCAACGTCTTAGACCTGGATATTCCTGAGTTGGTCAAGACTGTTTACACACCAAAGAGAATTTTCTCAAAGTGAGTATATTTGCTTTGTGCGGATGATTCCATCTGAAAACTCTTTTACAAATAGAGCTAATATTATTTTCTAGACGGAGTTTTACCATGGTAGCTGTGCTGTGAATAACGGAAAGATTATCTATAATCTATTCAGCGAATGCAAGCCAGAAGTCCATTCAGCGCAAAAAAGACCCGTCTCTAAGTACTTTTCTCTAAATGGGATTATGACGCTTGAGCCTCACATCGACAACATGATTCAGTATTTCTGTCAACGCTTAGATGAGAAATTTGTGGACGGATCTAATTCCTCCCAAATATGCGACCTTGGAGAATGGATTACTTACTGTAAGTCGACTCTAATAATCCAACTCTATGATGAGGCCATGATCTATTGAAACTCAACGTGCGTAGATACGTGGGATGTTGTTGGTCAAGCTACATTTAGTCAACCGATCGGATACCTAGAGAAAGGCTACGACTTTGACAACACTCTCAAGACGGCTAATATTGCTATGGATTATTTCACCTTAGTCGGACAGATGCCAATACTTGATCATCTACTTGACAAAAACCCGATTTATAGGCTTGGGCCACCTTCTTTCGGTGCCATCACAAATATCTCGATCCAACATCTAGTGGACCGTCTACAGGGCAGTGACACCGGATACCATGACTCGGGGAAGCCGGACGTCTTAGACAAGTTAATTGAAGCAGAAGGAAATTTTCCAGATGCCGTCGATGACACGCTGATTATTTCTTGGTTGATGGTCATTATGATTGCTGGAGCGGACACGACGACTATCACCCTCAGTACGGCTTTATACTACTCGTTAAAACAACCTGGTATCTGGCAGCGCCTTAGGTCAGAAATTCCTGCTAACAACTCTAAGTCGTCATTCTCAGCGACTTCCTACAAGGATTCCAGGAATTTTCCATACTTGAATGCAGTTGTCCGTGAGGCATTGAGGTACCATCCCGGCGTTGCCATGCTTCTTGAAAGATACTCACCCAAAGAAGGTCTTAATCTCCCCGGCGGACGTCATGTTCCAGCCGGATGTGTGGTTGGAATGAATCCTTACGTTGTCGGGCGAAATAAGTCAGTCTTTGGCGAGGATGCTGACATATTCCGCCCTGAGCGATGGTTTCGCGATGAGAAACTGGAGACCGAAGAAGAATTTCAGCAACGCCTTCGCCTGATGAACAATACAGATCTAGCATTTGGAGGCGGAAGTCGTATCTGTATCGGAAAACATTTAGCTCTCGTTGAGGTCTACAAGGTTCTTGCTACCCTTATTTCTCGTTTTGATATCAGCTTTGTCGATCCAATTAAGGAATGGTCAACCCACAATAGCTTTTTTGTGCGACAAAGTGGCATCAAAGTGAAGTTATCTATTCGTACCTGAGTTATCATAGTCGATCAGCATTCATACTGTTTTTGCGTAGCCTCAGGCCCTTATGACCCTTGACAAACATGCTACCTCCTACCTGTTCTCTCGCTTCTTTTTCATGGAATATGACATACTCTCTTATGTGCATCTCCTCCCAATATGATTTTACATACGTTATGGGCCTTCTAGCTCCGAGCCAGGGCGATTCAATCCTACTTCTTTAAACCTCAACCGCCTAAATGGATGATTTAAACCGACAATGTCACTCACGTCGAGTACAGCTTTACGCCAATATTGCATACCTCTCCGATAACCTTAACTGACCTATTTCACTATTGAAAAATCCTCTGATGTTTTACATCACTGAATTAGACCAGCAACACGCATACGGAGGTCAGTAGTGGCCATGTGGTCAGATCCCCAAAACCAGGCAATAATGGTACCGAAAACGGTTATTTACAAGGGGGCAAACGACTGTGCATATGTTACATAGTCCCTCAACCTTACATATGTCGGTTCCCGCCTAGTCTATATTAACTAGTAAGTAGATCTTCAAACTTCTAAAGTTCTAACAGATCTAGTCAGCGTTATCCTATCCCTGTAGTCATAAATAATATCATAGATATCCTGAAGAGTATATAGGTCCGCTTAAGAAGGGACTCGATTCCCCCTGGTGGGAGATTAATCTATGGGTCAAGCAGTCAAGTTTGAAATGATCCTAGGTAAGTATTAGTACTGGATAATACTGAAATTATGGATATTTTGGTATAATACAGTACAAAAATAATGATCTGACCACATGGCCGCTACTGGCTTCCGTACACGCAGCACCTGGCATAAGAAGTAGTTTCGCGTTGCTCACACAGGTCATATATACAGTTAATTCGCGATGTGCAAATTATTGTGACTAACTAACCTATTTCACGGGCGAGCGCCGCATACCAAAACACGTGATAGATGTGCTAAATTACAACTCATTATCTCAACGATAGTCGCCTGTAGGCACTCTTCCTTGAACCTTAGATCTTTTTATATGATATCTAGTCATCAAAGAGAATTTTGAAAATTTTGATTACCTAGGAACCATGTTCAACATGGGACAAATAATCGACCTACACCCCCACACCACATCAATCAATCTCATTGGGCATGATGGTATTATATCTAGGAAGAAGCTGCGAGACAAAAAATCTGTGATAGATCAAATTTCGGGCAAAGACGTATATACCGACTGACACTCTGTATCCTCGAACATCATGTCACAGACATATATCTAACAATTCATACCGATGAGCCATGTAGTATAAAAGAGGATTGTACCAGGTTTCAAACTTATGTCTTGGTGATCTAGTTAAGTATAAGCACAATATCCAATCCACTCTTGGGATGATGTAACAAACTCTGTAGGACTTGATATCCACATATGAACCAGTCGAGGTGTACTCGGCATTCTCGCAAACGCCTTTAGTGGCATACCAGGTAGGACCTTTGCAGTCCTTCTCCTGGAAGTAGGTTGCCTTGTAACCCTTCATATCCGTGAAAATGATAGACTTGATTGTGTTATCGCCCACGCTGAAACATCCAGTGTCCTCCTCGCACGCGGAGAAGCCCTGATGGGTATTGCAGTTGTTCAACTTCTCGTAGCCAGTAGCGCACCAGACTCCTGAAGCCACAGCAGTGGAAGCCGCGGCAAGAAGGGAGATAAAAGCAGTAGTGAAATGCATTGTGAAGGAGGAGATTGACTGTTGAGATAGTGAACTGGTTGAGAGAAGATGAAGGGAGATTCTGAATTGTATATTCAAGATGGTGAAGGGACTTTAACAGGGTATTTATATTATTTCTTAGTAGCCGGAGCGAATAAAAAAACTTGAAATATCAAAATTTCACTAAGCTTTGTGGGGCTAATGATTTTCCTTGGCCCCAGGGGCTTATATCATCTGGTTACGTACCCCATGGCAAGTAGTGTTGACGCCGTCCAGGATGGTTCGATAGGGGTGCTCGGGTGGCCTCTTGCGAATAAAGCTTTTCGCCTCTGGGATAACCAAGCTGGCTAAGGTACCACCCCACTTGACTTTTTTTTTATTAGAAAACATAGGTGATTAGCATAACACCGAGATGGATTGATTCATGGAATTATCTAATACAATATCAATATAAAATAGGCTGAAACCTACCATCTCTACCACTACAGGCGGTGATCTTGATTGGTGGGTTGTATTAGTCGTACGTTCGTTGGAGCTTTAGCCTCTATCTACGGAGTTCCGAATAAACAAATATCACATTTTCCACTCTCTTCGCAACTCAGCTACTACTGCATTTCCCCTTTGAGAGCCCCACTAGCTAGTGGAGTGTAGAGTTCTTGGTGTTGTTTTGGTGATCCGACCCGCTCCTAAGTTGCTTCGCCAGATCTGCCGAGAGGCCCCAACTCGATAGGTATAGGCGATCATTGCGGCCAAGAGACCCAGAGATACGGGACTTCCGGTCTCGCAGTCTATTGGGCTTATCAAGTTCTCACGGAGCTCGCGTCCAGATTTCGAATGACTGGCGCTGATGGGCACTGGCTTCAACTTGCCGGACAACCCCCCGTGACCGCGAGTCTTATTTTTGGACCCCACGAACGACGGATATTTTGCTCCATTTGTCAAAGATCTACTGGACGCGTGCGCGCGTTAAGGCCTCGCATGAACAGCCTAAATTAGACTAGTGGAGTTTGTGGGGTACTTCCACCTATATTTTTTCCCGAATTCCCTAGCTACTAATATTCCCAATTTTCTGATGAAAAAACCTTGTGATATAAGGCTGCTGCAGATCAGAAAACATGCGACACCATCTTAAAAAACTCCCGAGGCATCTGGGAAGAATCAAGTGAATTGGGAACCAACTTGATCGTATTGTATATACAGCTTCATGTCCTCCGAGGGAATAATTTAATCAATACAATTCATCTTCCTTTTAACTAAACAGGTTATGAGCACGGAAGGAATCACTCGGGTGCCGTCTATACTCATCTGATAATCTTATTGGCCCAACAATTTAGATATTTATCCCGCTCTCAACTCATCATGATGATGTCTGCTCTGGTCTACGATTCTATTACCCTAGTCGTCGGCCATAGAGCCTCTGACAGTATGCGACAACTTCGCTACCTAGAAACGTTTCATGACCTCCTATCATAAAGCTAGGTAAGTCTGGGATATTATGTCGGGCGACCTCCAAAACCCTCACTTCCCGTGTAAATAAGCTAAGCCTATTACAGCGGACATACACTCCTTAGTGGAGCTTTACCTCAACGAAGCGGTGAGGCAGCGAGCCATCGCAGATCAGCCGCGTTCCGGCAGATGCAATCATTTTATGCTAGGCAAGAGACAAAATTTTATGTTCTTCTCTATCCATTGCTATTCAGGTATAATTGGCTTTGCTTCCCGACTCTGCCACCACGGCAGTAAAACATGCAAATCGAGTACGCATAACGCCGAAATGATAGCAAAACTCATCGTCTCTATTTATTTATTCGGTTTTTTGCTAGATCGACTCTCACCAGCCCGATAGCTGACCTAGAACCGACTACGTGCCATAATTGTGCTAAACTTAGAAAATATTATTATTTTAAAATATCCCCAAGGACAAAGCCAACCAGCACGATGATAGACCAATTGGCTACGAAACCTGAAATACTGCCTTTTACAAACACTTCGACTTATGGCCCGGCTGCTACTCACAATTTCTCAATTATTCTGCCTGTATGTCGGAAATGGCCTTCAGCGCTCTGCTGTTTTGCATCAGCATCATAAAAGCGCCGCCAGAAAAGGGAGGAACTCGGTGGTTAGGGTTCATCATGTAAATTAGCCAAGCTCTTTGAAGTAAGTCTTAAGCTCGGCAAAAATCTTCTCGATAGGGTCAAAGTCTGGAAAATAAGGCGGCAGTTACAGCAAGCTGACCCACACATCCGAGCATCAGCTTTTAACCCCGTCCGAATGATGGAAGGTTTCGTTGTCTATAGTCAACACGGACTCTTGGCTGCTATCTCCCCTACTGCTGGAGGAGCTGCTCGGCGTGCTCGGTGAATTGGTATAAAGCTAAGTATATTGATATAAGTATATCTTTGACTAAATGTACTTATCTAAATAAGAGCAATCATCTTCAAGAAGTGTTCCAATTTTTGATAGATATATCTCCACATCAAGTTACTTTAATCTCTGAAGTGACCAATTTTGAGTCAAAAATAGAACAAAAGATAAAACCCTACTAAAGAATAAAACAAAAATATTTAATAGCATAAATATGTCGGTGCTTACCTAGCACTGCCTAGCGTGCTCGTGGGTAGCTCGCCGCCCTGCATGTGTTCAGGCCGACATTAGGGAGTCCGGGCAACTATTAACCCTCTTAAATCTCTTCGCCTAAATCTTCAGTCAGTATCGAAAGAGACCCCTTTCTGCACACTTTCAAATTAAATAAGATGGCCACAACCGTGCCTTACCCTCCCCCCCCGGCTAAAATTGTGCTTCTCTCTACACCTACATTTGTGTATTTATGATACTCCAATTGCCAAATTGTGCAAGAAGCATGACCCAGCATCAAACTACTTGATAAATACGGAGAACGTCTTCAAATTGAAAAGCTCTTAAGTGGCACGAGTAAAATTACCGTGAACCAAGGAGGTGTACCGCAAATTCTAATTCGAAGCCACGGGCCGTGAATCTAATGGCATCTTCCAAGGTTGCCACATCTCTTCAGAGTGAGAAGTCGAATATGGATGACGAAACAGAACTGGAACATTGGTCGTCGAGTTCGAATATATTATCAAGGTACAAATTGAAAATTATTTGAGTAACATTTTGGTGAGCATGCTCATCAAGGCAAGAAGAGGAAGGTAAGCCATCTGAACGACATGGAATTTGAAGGACATAATTTCCAGTTATAGTTCATTTGGCGAGTATCTATAGATAAGAAACCATCCTTAACGCTATCTCTCATTCTATTATCATACAATCGTGCCCCATTAAAACATCTTCATAAACAGGATTTTAAATTAATTCGTAAGGCCTATCTAGTAGACTACCACTTTTGAAAATCAAAAATTAAGAAGATCCATGATTAGCTTGAAATTGCTAAAAGTTTGACGACCCTACAGCCCTTATCATTAATTCCAACTAAGGTCAGAGATTTATTCCAGTCTAACCCTCCAGCCCCCTTTTCCCACTTTTTCTCCCATACTTGTGAACTTCGGGCCGACCGGTCTTCCAGGGTGGAAGTATCCCCCGGAATAAAAGTCGCACGCCATGATCGCGGCCATCAAATAGATATTTCAAGGCGGAAGTAGCTTCCTGTGCTGTTAGAGTGCCAATAATGAACAAGTGATACCCCCCCTCCCCCCCTATCCATGTAGCTTAAGTGTTTAAGTGTCCATGAGCATGTTGTGACAGCGTTGGGCTGATTTCACTGGGTGTGTATTTCCCATTGCCGTGCCAGGTAAAGCAATTGGGCGCATAGAAAATTTCAGAAGCACACTTTCTATTGGTACAGGTTAAAATTAGCTCCAATTCGCCAATCCAAGCTGACACCTTCGCTCGAGTCAGGTTTCAGGGCGGCAATCCTTGCGAAAAACAGTTTTTGGTAGATCGTCGGTGCAGACCTGCTCCAGATTACAGCAACCCCGTTTTATGCCACGGGCCCACCTAAGAATAGAACACGTCTGCGTATAATTTGGGGCAAACATGGCGAAAGAAATTATTTTAATGAGGTCGGTGGGGGATGCCTTAGTATTAGGAAAAGCGCGTGGTTTTGGGTGGAGACTACTGGCTGACCAACTATATTCAGTAAAGACCCTGCTTACGGGCTATTTAGCGCGCAAAAATATGCAAGGCTGGTAACTAGCATTATATAGGGTCTGAATGCCCCTAGTGAATATGACTCTGCTCTCAACAGCTAATCTTGAAAGTCGCAAAATTGATTTGACCTACACGTATTGCTGTCCTTGAAAAAGAGCGGTTTTCCGGATAAGAAAATTTCAAAATTAGACCCAACATGAGAACCAGCAAAGGTGCGAGTCCTGAGTGCAATTAACCGAAGAGCAGCGTCGTTAATAGGTATCCAGTGTTATCTTGGTTGAGCCTAATGACTCTGCACCAAATCACCGCCCACGCCGCACAGTTCAAAGATTGGTATCCTTTTTACATCGGCACCCTCACACACGGTGCAGTTAATCACCAATGCTATGCCAGTTATAACCACAATATCACGATATATGGAGCGCTAGACCCAGGAACATGCAAAAATATGGTCGATTGTCTCATGGACACCGCCGGCGCGGTCAATCAAGCAGACTGGTCCTCTGCAATTGTCATACTCGGCTTAACGCCGACCATCTTAGGCGGACTAAGCCCTACTCTCGAGGAGAAAGCTAGATTGAGTTGGGAAAGTCCAGTTCTTGGATTTCTATGCGCTCTTGGGGCTCCTTCAAGTCCATTCTCGAGGCCGTGGACAAAAATGACTAAGGTGCCTGTTCGTCCCTTTGGAAGTAGGATCGGTCGCCCCAATGATATGACTTCGGTCGTGATAATAACAACGAAATACCTCTTCGCGTCTGCGGCGGCGGCGAACGTCCTCCAGAATTCTATCATGTTGGGCCGACAAACTATCCTTAGCTGGAAATGTACTTCGTCGTATCTGGAGATTGCATGGGTTTTTCTGGCTCTTGTGCCGCTTGGACTCTCGATTGCAAGTATTATGTTTGAGAGTAAAAGCGCAGCGGAGCAGAAACGAAAAAACCAAATTGGTCTCTTCGATTCATTAGCGAACCTCGCGGGTGCTGGACACGTTACGTGTGGTACTGTGATCCTGTCGGCGGTGCTTTTTATCGGGACCCTTGATGCGTTGGGGGTTTTTGCGAGATTTGCGGCTTCGGCTCTTGTCTGTCAACTTATTACAGTGCTTGAACTAGATGACAAAGATGAAAGTAAGGAAGGGATATGGCTACCGTTAAGACAAGGCCAACATACGGTGGATGGGAATTAGATATGGCCTTATTACCAATATTTATAGAAAGGGATCAAGCGTAGATTAGGATTATAGACTTGGATTTAGGATTCAAGGTCGCTCTTGTCAAAACTATTCTCTTTTATACCAAAAGCATGTATGTAGTAAAAGGTGGGGTGGAGAGAGAAGAAGTCTACGCTACTCTGAGTGGAGGGATATAGTTGCCATCAGTACGGCTTTTATTCCTGTGGAAACCTTACCACGAGGGTCTGCGCACGGGCGACCGAGGTGGACATCGGCGATCGCTACTCCGTATAGTTAGTATACATTTCGCCAAGGACTCACTTGGGAATAACTTAGTAACACTACTCCGTAGTCATATTTCATATAAGTCTTATCTTTAATTTAAGTGTTATCTGACATTTTTATTGCTTGCTTATCCGGGATGTTATCACTGCGGGAATTCATGATTGATACTAGTACGGTGTGGCGTGGCGGTCAACACTTAGGGCTTCTTCTTGTAAGTTATTATGGCAAGGGTCTAGCAGGCCAACCTAGCCACAATTGACCGGTGCATTTTATGTTCCACGCTAGCCGTTTCTCCCTACTATTGCTATACCTTATTAGATCATAGTACCGCCTTTCGTAGCCGTTTCAAATCCGATTTGGGAAAATGACAGACAACAGTAGTCCTGTAAGGAAATTCAGAGTACGCAACAGATAATGATTAGTAGGACAGAGAATAGTGGAGCAAAAGAGCTCGGGCACTTCAGGCTTCAAGGTGTGCAGGGCGTTCGGGTGAAGAATATAGAGACTTCAGGGAATTTAATTCCAGGACAAACCAAAAGAAAAAAAACATACAACAGTCAGGATTCGCATGTGGTCACCCACCATACTACTAACTAACCGGCGTGTGGCTTAAGTACGGCTGAGCGGACGGGAAGCCCTGTTCTCCACACCCTATGGTCGTATGTGCCTTACAAAACCTTAATCCAACTTATAGAGTTTAGAATTTGAGATGGTTGCATGACCCTGGCCAGAAAGATGGGTGTGTAGTAGATAGGGTGAGAAACAGGCACCTGTGAGGGCGGCTTAGAAATCACCCTCCATCGTGCGATGACCGCCTAGCTGAGCGTCACTGGACCATTTTAGGGCCATAATCTCCCTTTCAGATGTCCGAAACAGCCAGCTTCTTGATATCTGCACAGAGCCCCTTGGTAGAGTGATTTCCGAATATACTATAGACTGGGCACGAGACCCACCCTCATCTACAGAGGATAGTTTCGAATGCTGCGTTAAGCAGTATAGCGATTTTTGAAAAGGGCACTAGACAGGGCGCGTGCTTTCTGTAGTATCAAGTAAAGAGTATGTGAAGTAGTATGGAGGTACAGTCCCTATTACTGTACCATGATCTGGGGTTCTGGTTCTCTCCGGCAAGGAAGGGGCTCATGTTGATATAGCTTAGTACTATAGGGTACAGCATATATATTTTGACATATCGCTCATTTGACCCCTACTAGGTGCCCGCTACCCTCCGACGTCGACCCTCGGTGGTTTTGGCTAGGTTTCCTAAGTATTTTTGACTCGCGCGTTGTCAGACCGTGCGGTCATCGAGCGTTTCTTTCTTCAATAGCTATAGCTAAATTGGCTCACATTTCAATTGGTGTCAATTCCGAAGGTCATACAGATTGTCTTATCTCCATGATTTGATATGCAGTACCGTAACAAGGCCATGAGAAGTTGGCCCACCGATCGTCGTCCTTTAATTCCAAGCGCTGTGGCAAATGTTATTATAGCTCACACAAATCCCACTCAAGTCTGCGTGAGCCAGGTGTTGGGATCTCATAAAAGCGGCGATGCCTTCTGGAGAGCAATCGCAGTCGCGGGCCCAAGTCTCCGCATGTGAAGTAAAAATCAGATTGACAGCAGTAGAGATATTCATCAAAGCAGCGAATCCAGAGCAGATCCGGTCTTGGGGCCCTGGGGACCCGCGTTGTAGTTTACGCCGAGAAATTTTGTGGAACAATCTACGAGCCTAAAGTCCAAGATTATACGCTTCCTACTTAACGTGGTAAGGCTTCAACCAATACTAGCTACGTAGCTCGCGCTTTACGGCAGGCATCGTCGCATCCGATGCTCATAGTCATACAAATTTCCGGAATGGGAGAGAAAGTTGAGATCTCTTTTAAAGCCCCCCCATCTTATCGCCTTATTTTAAGGTAGTGGATCTACCTTCGAAGTCTTGTGGGTACCCTAGTTTACTACCATTGATTAATTAGCCGAACTACATAATGTGGAGACGACGAATGCATTAGATATCCATTTTTCTACAGATATAATCACAATCTACAAGCTCAGCTGTAGAAGAAAGAAAAAGCAATGATATTTTGTGGGTTACGCATGGGGAACGGATGTCACTGGAAGGAGACAATTCAGCGATGATAATTAGCGTCCTCCGGTTTTTCTCCCTTGCAATGTGCTGAAGACTGTGCTGTGAAATTAACTGCATTGCTATTAGATGGAGAGCTGGTGGCGAAGCAGTCAATGGAGTAAGTGAAGAATTATTTCAAAGTCCACTAAAATGAGATTCGCTAATCACATTTGATTCAGAGCTGTCATGCCGACGTCAAGCAACCTAGTTTCCCAGCCATTGGTAACGTCCGTATTTATGGCCAACATATTATCTACGCCACTGCTCGCATCACTCCTACTGGAGAAGTCATACGGGAGAAGTTAGCAATTAAACAGTCAGGTTCCTGTGTGTGTTGAGAGAACAGACTCCATGTATTCCCTTTATGTGCAGATTGGGGAGAGCGCGGAGGACATTAGTCAGGTGTGGAAGAGGATTTCGGGAAATGAAAACGGTACATTAGTTTTGAGAGTGCCCGACAAATAGCAGAGAAGGAAGCTTTTGTATCGGTTCCGACTCAACACTAAGACGCATCAATACCTGAAAAGACTTGTGGGGAGCGAAATGCCCCTATCACCTCCCGTCCGAGGTGGGAATCACTTCTCTCCCAGTCTCCAAACTTCTCACCCACACCCCGCAAACTCACACCAAAGTCAGTATCGTCGTCAATCTAGAGTTCCATAGGTGATGAGGGCGCACGGAGAATTGGTCGTGCGAAATATATGGCTTAAGTACGGCTGAGCGGATGGAAAGCCTTATTCTCCATACCGTGTCGCCGTACTAAACATACCTTATGATTTAGCCTATATATTACTAAACCTTCATGGTAAAGTGATTATGCGGGAAGAGAGTGAGGGAGAAGGTGAGTGCGCAATAGATAGGATGAGAATCAGGGTGAGAATGGGTAAGATTTACCCCTGAATCGTCTTCACGCCACTTTCAAGCCTCTGAAGCAAAACATGGAGGAAAATGGCGACTTTATCTCTCCTAGCGAGACCCCAGACCTAGCGAAACCCCAGACAAATCTCGAGTCATTTGCATCTTACGCATTCAGATTCTAGATTCATTTCGCCACCACGGCGGCTGAGAAAAGTGTTATTCCCTCAGGACCTGTTTTGTACCACTAGGATTCACCGCTTCCGCCAGCTTTGTACTGTATTGAAAAGTTTTCTACCATAAATATCATATCCACTCATGTGATCAATACTCACCTTTTTTATGTGCTTCTACCCATCTCCATCCGTGTATACTTTTATTTATATCCTGGCATGCCATTCATAATTTTTTAGACACACTATAGGGCTAAAATTTCAAGGTACATAGTATATTACCTAGAAGGTATCTTCCCGAATGGGGTTAGATTAATACACATGTGCAGTCTAGTCGATTTTCAAATATCATGTCTTGGTCAATTTTAAAGAAATGCTGGAAGCTTGCTTCGACTAATTTGATACCAAGTTGGAGCCTGAACAGCGGCTGTAGTCATTTATTACTACTATTAGTCCTTGAGGCTCACCTGGAATAATGACCATGAACATGAATTAGATGATTTAGTTAGCGTGTAATAAAGGTATTGTCACACTACCTTCGTATCTTTGGATTTCTGCCGGTCCCTATCAGCCGTACAGGGACCAAGCGGGGTTCGGTTATTTTGCCAAATATTGGCGTTCAGGGACCATCGCTTAGGGAAATTTATGGCGATGGTGGCGTCAAATGTGCTCCAATGTCTTATGTATACAAATTTTAATATTAATGGAAAGGAAGTTTCAAAAATGAACTTTCCACTGACCGTCATTATAATTTCTTCGCTCGCTAGCCATGATGCGGTGGGCTGCTTTGCTACTGCTACTAGTAGTCAATGCCGCAGCATTGCCCAATCCTAGTCCCAGCAAGTGTCCAGAGGGGACTTGCCGTCCAAACAATCATTTTTTGACCTGCTGTGTCTAGAGCGTGATGCTTTTCCTTTCTGCTGCGGTCTGTTGGACTTGCCACATCATCTTACCACGCAAACTGAGACGGTAGAACCTCATCCTGCAACTATCCAGACAACGGAAACAATACGAGATGGGTATCATGGCAAGGTGACAAGGACTTAGACGGAGGAGGTCACCGTAACCAGAGTAGAGAAGCCCGTCATCACCACGTTTACGAGCTACACCACCAAAGCCGAGTCCAATCCAGCCCTGGGGACAATTACCAACCACTACACTGCCACCGTCACCGATATTGCTACGGAATACCTTACTGAGCCTGTCTATGAGACCACAACCCGCTTCGTTACCAGCTTGGTTTCGGATTCTTTTTCAGAATTTATCACCCAGTTCACCAGCGCCATTATCACGGACTGGACAATCGAGACGACTACAGAGACCCTCACCAATACACTCACTGATTATGAAACCAAGTTCATTACCGACTATATCACGCTCACCGAGACTGACGTTGTTACCAACACGATCACAAATCTGGATATCCAGACTGTTACCAACTATCATACAGAGACCCTCACTCTTTCGTATACTGACACCGTTTTTGCAACCGAAATCGATACGGTGACCTCAACTGCCATCCAGACTACTGAGGTGACCGACACAGAGATCGATACGTATACTGTTGTTGAGACTACACTGGATACAATCACCAACCCTTTTTACAATACGGTCACCGACTACACCACAGAAACCATCACGACCGAGCTGACAGATGGTATCACGGTGATAACCACAAGTTTTATGACTGCTGTTCCAGCAAAGCGTGATCGTGGCGTCAATTACTATCCTCGTCGACCATTTCCCACACCTTCGGGGTTGAATGGCATTGCGGCCACTGCGCTTTCCGTGGCATGCTCCGAGCTTCATATTGACGCTTGTATCTCGACTGCGTTCACTACGATAACATTACCCAAGCAAACAGTATGGTACCGTCCAGACTAAGTCACTTTCATGCTAACAACCTCATCCCAGATTACCAAGACTGTTACCACTCATATCCCAGCTATTGGGGTGGAAACCGTCTATGTCACTATCTTCGATACGAAATATGTCACCAGTCGTTCGACTGAGACATTTATAGCCATCCGTACAAACACCAAGACTGTTAATGTGCCACATACAACAACAAAGGCAGTTACAGACATGGCCACAACATCTATCACCACGACTGTGACTGACCTCTCCACGACCACCGTGATTAATTATCATATTGTTACTCTGACTGAATCCGCGACCAGCGACCTGACTACCGACCTGACTTCCACTACAATCCTCGACTTGACCTCTGTTGAAACCACTGCTGTAACCACCGACGTGACTAATGATGTGACCGAGACATCTACAGTCAGCTCCACCGCTGTCGAGTCAGTTACACAGACGGCCGACCTGACGATTGTCCAGACTTTAACCCAAACTGCGGATAATACCAATACTGAGACAACTTCCATCACCGCCATCACAACCGAGACGACCACCGTTGAGGAGACCTCCATCTCAACCATTACCACTACATCATCTGTTACTGTAATCGCCACAGTGCCAGCAACCATTGTTACCACCATCCCCACAACCATTGACGTGACAAGCACCGCCTATACGGCAGAAATTACGGATGTTACAGTCACTCAGACGGTATCGACCACAGCCACGGTGATCATCACTTCTACAGCTGCCGCTTCCGCAACTTGCGGTGTCAACCTCATTAAAAATGGGGGCTTCGATGGTGGTGACTCAACCGGCGACTCTGGCGGCAGTCTCTCTTCCTGGACTTTTGGGTACTATGGTATCGGATCGAGGTCTTTCGTGCGAGGCCCTGGGGGTGACTACAACGTGGCACTAGACCTATCCACAACTAGCAGCGGAACGAGCACTGCATACGTATATCAAACCTTCGCCACTACTTCCGGCACAGTCTATACCGTGACATTCGTTACCGAAGCCATTACAGGAAATGCCAACTCCGCTTTAACATGCAGCGTGAACAACGGCATTTCATCTGGGACGACAGTGAAAACCAACACCAACAGAGGGTCATGGATCAGCAACTCATTTTCCTTCCCTTCCACGTCCTCAACCACCACGTTGACCTGCAGAATTTCGTCCTCAATCGCTTCTAATATATATTTGACTGGGATCACTGTTACTTGCTAGTCAGTTATTCGCGTTTATGAATGTATCAGAATCAATCAATGTAATCTCTCTTTCCATACACAAAGGAGTGTCAATTCTATCCCAAAAAGTCCATTAATACAATAACTCTCATGTATATTCACAGTGCATATTTCATATATTAGTTCCTACCCAAAGGAACCATTAGCAAGCATTCAATTTTGATTAAAAACGACCCTTATTAGGAAGATTATCAGTCATTCACGTTACAATACAACAATTCATCATGTCCACATCTAATTGAAGCCGTGGCAGCATCCGCATGCATTCGCGATCAATTCGAGTGCAGAATAAATGGGGTGATGAGATTGCCGTCTACTGGGTTTACGCGGTTCCGAAATCCAAGCCCCATATATATGTGGAATCAACTCTATGATTGGACTTTGATTAACGCTAGCAAAAACAAGACATCTTAGCTCACGCTAGCCCAGGGTCTTCGGATATATTCAATTGCCGTATTACCTACCTTACTCCATTCTTACTGTTATTTATGTTCATGTCTGACCGTTGAAGAGGTCAACCTACCCGTTCTAGAACTTTTAAAGGAGTTTACTCAGAATAATCTCAATTGGTCTTATGTGAACCCGGAGGTTAAAATGTTCATCGGCATAATCTTGTTGCTGTCATTAGTACCCTGTCCATTATAGAAGACTCAAAGATAAACTTCTGCTGTCGATATCAGGGCAAACGCCACCCCTAACAATTCTGACAACTGCTGGCTACCCCTGACACTTAAATGAAAATTTTTATCGCTCGCAATCAGCGTACAGAAAACGGAAGATCAAACGCGAAAATCTATCAATGGCAGCCCATTCCGAAAGAACACCCGGTAATCCATGGAATTGTCCGGGCCGTACCGAATGTTAAATATGTGGATATAGGGAAAAGGGGGAAGTTGTAAGTGGACTTGAGACACAAGTGACATGTCGGCTATAGTGACTCTATATGAGTGGGTCGAGGAGTAACTAGCGAATTGTGGCGAAATTTGTTTCTTCAGGCCACGATGGGCCAGACCATTAGTGTAGCATCATGAGAAAATTCGGGTTTCTCCTGTCGGCAAAAATGCCATTATAGCCGCACTCTTCAGCTCGTAAGGTCATCCAAGAGAAGGCCGCTGGTTTTTTAAAGGGGGTCCGCAGCAGCTGTAAAGGATAAAAGGCCGTCTGTAATTTCTCTTTTTCTTCTCTCTCTTCCTATTTCCTTTCTTCATTATCACCCATTGTATCCTCATTTTTGAACTTCTGCACATAATGGAGAAGCTTCAGCTTCATACTCGGCTTATGCAAGCGCTGGAAGATGACCCACTTTTCTCAGGCAAGAAAGAAGAAAAGGTCAAACGTTATCGTCCCATGAAAAGATTGATTCTTTGTCTTGATGGCTCATGGCAATCATCCAATCATGGAGAGAAGAACATCGCGTCCAACATTGTGAAATTGAGCCGCTCCATCGACAGCTGCGAGAAGACCAAGGACAAGGTGATTCAACAGATCGTTTACTATGATGCAGGTGTAGGTACCGGAAAAAGCGCCCCAAGGAACGATGCTTCGATACCGGCAAAGGTCCTGGCCAAGGGACAAAAAATATTCGAAGGCACCTTTGAAAGAGGACTAGAGGAGAATGTATGCGAGGCCTATAACTTTTTGGTACGTGGGACTCATACCATCCTCTCAGACTCCTCACCTACGCATATCATACAGGTCAACAACTGCCATCCTGGGGATGAAATTTATATTTTCGGCTTCTCACGCGGTGCATATACGGCCCGCGCGGTGGAAGGACTGGTCTCCAACATGGGCATCTGCTTTCCGGACATGATGAATGACTGGTGGTCGATTTACGACGAGTACAAGAAGAGAAGCCGGGAAGAGCCAAAGCCTACCAGTGACAAGATTAATGCTTCGAACGCAAATCAGGAAAGCACCCGGGGGCAGGACCATGTCAAGGAGAAAAGCTCGGAAGAAGAGCCAAAGTCTCTCAGTGACGGGATTGATGTTTCTAACGCAAATAAGGAAAACACCTCGGGGCAGGACGATGTCAAAATGGACTGGAAGAGCCGCTTCTACAAGGGCGTCCAGATCCAAGTCGTGGGCGTGGTTGATACCGTGGGTGCCCTTGGATGGCCATCCAACAAGTTGGTGCCGGCTGAGGACACCAATGCTACTAAATATGGCTTCCATGACACCAAACTGCACATCAATATCAAGAACGCATTTCATGCCCTGGCTCTAGATGAGCACCGATATGCGTTCCCTCCAACTCTGTGGTCCCTCCCTAAGGGGATCTCTGCTAAGGAAGCTGCTAAGAAAGGTCCCAGGTTGGTACAATGCTGGTTCCCGGGCTACCACATCAATATCGGTGGTGGCAGTGACGAGACATTGAAACATTACGACGATATGGAATCCATGGCCAATCCCTCTCTAGTCTGGATGATCGATCAAGTCCGCAAATGGACCAATCTGACCTTCAAGAACTACGCACTGGCAAAATTTTACCACCACTACACCCATACCATCGTGGACCTCTCGCAGCGGTCCTTCAAGGAGGGCGATTCCAAATGCCATTATGCGAAGGCGTTCGACATGTCTTACTAGCGCCAAGATGTGCCTGATCCCGAAAATCTCACCGCGTACGGTGGCTGGGGCATGGGCTATCGACCGGATAGCATCAATACCGTGACAGGTTACAGCGGATCTACCACTCGCACTCCGGGTCAGTACAAGAAGGTGGAAGAGACCCAGGAATACATCCATCCCGTGGTTACCTATGCAATGGGCAAGGCGTACCGCCAAGCCCATGCTGAGGGTACGATATTGAGCTACCAGCCCCCCGCTCTGGCAGGCTTCGAGGGAGTGTTGAATCCCAAAGTATACAGTACCTCGGAAACCGGGAAGAAGACCGTGGACACCCTGGACGGCTGTTATTGGAGGAAGAAGATCAAGGGAGTCAAGTACGCTGATACGCCATACCTGACACGATTGAGCATTTGGTATAACAAATCTCACCCACCCGAGGAGGATGACGATATTCTTATTCCCGAGATGAAAATGTTGGAGGATAGTGACCGAAGCATGTTCAACGAGCGGGATTACATGCGTGCAGACTGGTTCGCGCTGTGGGCTTCCCTGATGGAATTCCATGACGATGTCAAACGCGCGATACAGAATTTTCCCCTGACACAGAATCAGTCCGCCTCGGAGGACACCTTGCGACGAGAGAGGTTCCTGCTAACGCGCTGAACTACGTCACGGACAGGGAAGAGCGCGGTGATATTCTGGACACGTCGTTGATCTATAAATTACGTCGAACGGACTCTCCGGGGTTGAAGGTGGAGCAGAGGTTGAAGCTGATGGAAGAGACTGGGAACCGCACCAGATGGTTTTTGGCAACTTGAAACTCTTAATACATGACGAGCCATTATATGCCATACCTAATTCCAGTCTCTCCCAATGAGGAACAACTTTGTAAAACCTATTTCCTTTACTTAGAAACGATTCGTCGCATACCAGGATTGTTGGCAGGAGAGAGAAGTAAAAGAAGATTCAGCCTATATTTTCTCATAAGCTCGAACAATATTTTGATGAGTTGAGGATAAAACACAGCAGAGGTAGACTGTGAGGATTAACCAGTCCAACTCCTCATATGCGGCATCCTTACTAATTTGGCACGCCGTGTCAAACCAGCAGGGGTGCTGCGGCCCGGCTGGAGTCCCCGTGCACGGAGCAAATGAGGGGGTTCGATGACCCCCCACTCCAATACCTATCAAGGAAGGTCAAGAGCCGGACAAGCCTTCGGGTCAGAATAGAAAATGCCGCCCATAATTTTAACCATAATTTTAATCAACTCGCAACGCTCATCCATATTATTGGCGTTAGAAAGCTTTGCGGGACCTTTCTCATACGCTTCTTGTTCAGTGGGCTCCCACACCCATACCCTGCCTGAAGTAGGCCACCCAACATAGATGCGTCGATTGAATTTTTCCGCTCTGATCATGTTATCTATATATCGTACCTCATTTTCCCTCCTAGTGGGAAGGCGCCCAACGACCGTCTTCGGAGTGCTATTGGGTGCATGCACGTGCCATAAGCGTACCCCTCCAAGTTGTCATTTGTCGCCAGTCTGCATGCAATCCTGCTTTCCTAAATCTTCCCTATATCCACAATACATCCCAACTATACATCCAGATTCATTCCGATCCAAAACTCTAGTTCATTTACGCTGAGGCATGTTTAAGAGCCAAAGGAGTGGCCAAGAGCCATCCACCTCAACTAAGAAGCCAGGACCGAAAAGACGAAGAACTTATGAAAAAGGAAAGAGAAACAGGTATCCCTTATGAAAACTAATGAACACTTGCAAATACCCTATTGCTGTTTCCTACGTATCTATCCGCCAAGATGGGCAGACCGGGCTCGTTCTTGCCTCACACCAAATTGCCTATAAAATCCTGGGCCAAATCCAGGACCCACCGACATCGTATTGGCCATTCAATCGCATTGGTCACTACTATATAACTGAAATTATAGGTCCCATCGAAGCTCCATCGCAGACCGGCTACGATCATTTTGCTTAAAAAGCTGAAGCTTGATAAAAATCCGTTTATTTCTGTCTCGTTTCTGACTTTCTCCTGGGCGTACGCCCATTCTATCGCCCACCTGGGCACTATCCTCTATCACCCATGAGTCCGTGGGATGGCCATTCTGTATAAAGACTGTCCTTGTATATCAGAAGCTCCACCGCCTCCTTCCCCGCCGAGCTTCATTCCTCTTCATATCCAACCACGAGTGCAACACAGGCTCTTTCACATCAACTCCATTGTGATTTTGTTGCTTTTGGCGCGTCGCCGTTATCTGATGTCTTATACAGAGTGGCTCGTCTATTGCTACCTCTCGTCACTCGGTGCCATCCAGGTGGAATCCACGACTGTTGCGGACAATGAACGATGTTCCCCGGTTGCTCTACAACAACCGGAGCCAATGCTGATGATTTCTGATCAAACCTTCGACAACTTCTCGCTCGATTTCGCCAATGCATCTGGCTACCAGAGAGGTGCGCCAAACTATACCACCGAAGAACATGCCCCAATCTTTGGTCGCAACGATTACCTCTCACCGGCTCCACGTCATCGGGACCTAACCCCCCTGACCTGGCATCAAATCATGCCAAACCTCTCGGACGGTATCGCCAACGCGCCTACAACCTCTTGGTATGAGGAGACAAATGTCAACTCTCCATTGAATGCACTGCATGAGGCAACTCCTCATATAGGGCAGATACCCGGTTACGAGACAAACCACTATCAGCCATGGGAAAATGAATACAGATTTGCAACTAACATGCAAGCGCGTCCGTTCATCGCGAGCTCCATCCTCTCGGAAAATGTGTGGGAGCAAAGCGACCCGCTTTTTAGAGTTACGCTACGACCCAATTCAACAAACGCCCTGCCACTTCGCCAGACTTGGATCTGTGACTGGGTAGGCTGCTCGCGGACCGAACCCTTTCGCCGTAAGGGTGACCTGACGCGCCACAGAGTCACACAACACCTATTCCCAGGGGCATATCAATGTCCAGAGTGTGGGAAAAGATGCAATAGGCCTGATAATCTGCAGGCACACCGGCGAAATGTTCACGGCCAGTATTCTCAACGCTGATGATACGACTATCAGTCTATATGTGTCATCACGTTTCGTTATCTGCCTGCGCCATTATCCTTTAGATAGGTATAAATGCTGGTCTTCTGTCCACTATTCTCTGCGAGGATGGAGCTATCACCAGGTCTCTCTTTCCTTGGGTCTTGAATGCTCAAAATTTGATATATAATGAGCCTGCTTGTTGACTACGTTCATTAATTAGACCACATTTTGAACATTCATTGTGTTGTTTATTGCATTATTTTGATAGCGCTGACTTGTATTGCATTAATATTTCACCCAAGCGCCACGTCTACTATGCTTGCTGCACATAACTTTGGAAGAAAGGGATTTACGGGAAATATCAATTCATTTCTCAATATTCCCTGCCTCCCCTCAATACCTGGAAATCCATAAGAAAAATACAGCCTAGACTTGGACCATTGAAAATTGTAATCTTTAGACTCTTATTAGGGTCTTTGGACAGCTCTTTTTGGATGAGAAGAGACACGGTGGATGGTTGGATCATCGATATCTGAATTTTTTAATCCGTTCCAAGAAAACTTGTACAACGGCAAAGAGACCGATACGTAAGTATGCAGTTGAACGGGAAAGCCTAGCGAGTGTTGAATGTTCAAGAAGGGCAAAGGAACAGGGGATGCAAAAAATTACTTGACGGTACAGACCAAGCTGGTCAACTTTGAAGCGGCTAACTCAAATAGGCCAAGTTTTGTTGTGCTTTGATGCAATGCGTTCCTGTACCCAAACCAATGTGTGGGTAACAAGCCACTCTATGACAAGGCAAAGGTCAGAAGGGCTTGAGGGGTTGGAACATTGACCGCACGGCTACGAATAAGCAGTGGCAGTACAAAAACGTCCACTCCAACATCCACACCGCCCAAGGACCCACCATCAGTCGGGGGCGCATCGATCTGATGGTCTAGGCTGCCCATTTTGGGTCGTCAATCCATCCGCCGCGACGTTTTCTGATTTGCTCCTTGTCGAACCCCAAGATGCAAGCTGCATAAAACAGGTCACGATGTCAGAACTCACATTTGAGGGCTCCACAACGGACTGATCGATCAGTCCATTGTGGAGCCAGACGTCCTCTGTGAATGGTCACTCGCAAGCACGAGTGTCAAGCTTCAAACTCCAAAATCTCCACTTCTGGCCAAGTACATCACTTTCTGATCTTAATTTTCGGATTTTGGATTTTCGATCTTTGCATATTCGATTTTTCGGATTTTTCGGATTTTTCAATTTTTCAATTTTATCCTTCTTGTCCCGTTACGTATGTCTTCTGTTCTAATCTCGGAGTCAATAACCGGAGAGGAACAAGTGGTGTCCCAAGTCCTCGAATCCCCCTCTTTTACTATCCCCACTTTCCTTCCCCGGCTACTAACTTGAAACCCACAAGTAAGTCAGGTCTCGAGAGTTGGAAATTTAAAACCGAGGTAAACTATTATGGACTAAACAAAGCTACACTTCTCTGTTATGTCTGTAAGAATGAAGAAAAATAATAATGTTTTTACGAGTATATGCGCCGTCTTGGGCACGACGCCCATTCTGTCGCCCATAGCTGATTGTCCATTTATCGTCGTACACCTACATAAGTAGTGCTCCCCCGCTACTGAAGACTCATCCATGATTTTTATATCCGAGCTAGCAGTCAAACTATAGATTTTTCATCAAGTGCAACCGTTATTTCGACCAGCCGGTGTTGTCCAATGTCTTTGCCGGTCTGTGCCATTGGCTGCTGCCCTCGAGGTATGCCTCACGATCCTACCCGCAGAGGATCCGCTGATGTCTTAGATAATGACGTACATATGTTCATGGCCCCAAGACAAGAGGGGGGAATTATGGCCTACGTGGGATCAAGCCATGTCGAACTCATCGCTTGATATCATCACTACGCCCATCAACTGGCCCCAGCTGGGATATAGCAACTTGCAGTATTCCAACACCCTGGCCGACGCGAAGTATCAAGCTTTTCCCTTAAGGGAGATGGCTAGCCGCGAAACAAGCTTCCATCAACCAAGGGAACATTCTTACAACCTTACGCCCCACATACAGCCTTATTCTGTCGATACAAGATCCACTATCCAGGAACCGACGTGGGGGGACGACCGGGTAATGACGAGTGAAGTCAAGCCGCCATCTAGTGGGATACCATCCAACCGAACGGATGTTCAACCACGCCAGACTTTCAAATGTGATTGGAAGGACTGTCGATACACCAAAACATTCAGGCGCAAGGCTGAACTTATGCGCCATATTGAGACGCTACACATCTCCCGAGGGGCTTATCAATGCCCAGTTCCAGGATGTGGGAGCAGACACAACAGGGAGGATAACCTGCAGGGGCACTTGCGAAACGTGCATGGGTCTAGGCCACGCAGATCATAGGAAATTGATGAGGTACATGTGCATGTGCAGCGCTTGCCTATTGTCTTTTCTGTCGTCTGGTGCGCTGAAGTTCACTACCATGTTAGAATTTTACGAAACTCCCTTCCTACACATATCTTTTTTTCGATATCTAATGGCTCGATGTATCTACATAACCGTTCATTGCTCACTGCGTTGATATTGAAAGGATGCTAATTTCGGAATAAATCATCCACATGTTCATATGACCAAGCCCCAGCCCCTGTCTAGACTCACATAAAACCCACAGGCCTGGACCATGACCCCACAAACCCGCAGACCAATTATCGGCAATACCAAAACAGCTTCCCCGGGGATCCACGTCGGGATCCACGTCACCAGAGCCTCAAGGTAACAATCTTATCACATTTACTTACCGGGTTCCAGCTCAAAGATCCGGTGCATGCCTCAGAAAGTGATACGACATGCCCATTGGCCAGATAGCGCATTCCTGACGATCAGAGTCATCCGACAGCCTCGATTCGGAAGTAAAGCTTGGGAAGCTTGAAGCCTTGTTTCCCCTGGAATGGGATCTTCCCATGTGCGACATAGCTTCGAACTGTTCTAGCCGGCCTTACCTTGAAGCTTAGTGTTTCGGCATTCTTGTCCCTGTCCGTCCTTGGTGGGTCCGCCTTATTTTAAAATCTGAGAGGCGCGTTTCCTCCTGTGGGGAACATAACTTGTTGTTGATCTTTGCCTTACTTGGTTGGTATTCTTGTGTATTAAGGTGTTGCTAGGGGGTGAAAAGCACGTGGTATTGCTTTGTATCATCGTCACTATGTGACTTAAACACATGGTCGCATTTGGTCAGAGCATCTCTGGTGGATGTAATTGGTTTATGCAGATTCTAGGGCGAGACATGCTTTTGCCCTGTCATTTATGAAGATCCTAACATCTTCTCCTGTGGTTGATTCGCGAGGGGGTATTTTTTACCTATAAAGCATGGCTCAGGCCCTCAACTGCTTTTTATTAAACTCTATGAGTCATATCAATTCATTAAGCCTTATAGTATCCTGCCAATTTTCTAAATATCCGGCAGATTGATCATGTCGTTCTCTGGTCATCCGTACAACCCTGACCCCTGGCTAGACAGTCCAGGGGCATTGGATTATTCCTACCACGAGCCCCTGTCAACCTTCCAAGAGGGCCTCCACATGACGGACCCAGACCTATCGAACCTTCACCTACGTGGAACCCCACACATAAACTCCACTTCCCCAGAGACACCTCGCGCGAGGCCTTCCAGATCAGACTTCAATTCATCACCCGGATGCCCGTGCACTCAACCCCACTCCCACCACTCCCCGGATTACAGAATGCATCAACCCCGCGATCCGACTTACGGCACAACTGTACGAATGCAACCAAATCCCACAAGCTACAACCCCTACTACCCGCATACACCACTAGAACCCGCCCACCCAATCAGAGACCACCACCAAATCCACCGCAGAACATCTAGTGCATCCAGCACAAGCAGTGCAACACCCTTCGACCGACCATTCCAGCACGGCGGCTTGAGATGCAAGTGGGAGGGTTGTAGATACACAGGAGCGTTCGGTCGGAAGTTCGAATTGAGGCGACATGTCGAGACGCAGCATATTAATCCTGGCGGGTTCGAGTGCCCTTATCAGGGATGTAGCAAGGGATACAACCGGAAGGATAATCTGGAAGAACACGTCCGGAAGGCCCATCCTGATATGATTTTCAGATTCGAGGTATGAATTGAGTTCTGTGGAACCTGTGCTTATCCCCTCTCCTTTCCAATTTGCTATTTGTTACCGCGTTTTGTCTATTTGCTTGTCTGCTGTCTGGTACACCGGGATTCTTGAGCATTGTAATTCGATTTATCTTAGCGGGACTAGTAGGATAATAGAATCATTAATCGCGTTGCTTTTAACCAGATTATCTGAACAAAAACCTCTAGGTCCAGGGCCAGAACATGCAAATGCAAATGAAAATTCCAAAACAAAGCAATGCAATATGCAAATACCATCAACTCAACCCGCGGCAAAAGGACTCTTCTTCCTCAAAGCCTCACCAAACTTCCACAGGAAAATCGGCGCCGGAATCCCAATCGCAATAGACACGAACGCCAACAAACTATTTCCCCACCCATAATCCAACGCTGCATACATATACGGCGCAAAAAGCGGAAACCCAAATCCTGCAAGTGATCGCAGAAATGCACCAGCCGCCAACGCACTCGCCGCATACCGCGTATACGTATCAACCATATACGTCTGAATACACTGAAAGGCCATAATAGTACCCATGCCGAACATCGCGGCACCGATATTCGGCGCAATCCAATGACAATGCTTTTGAGCTGTCCATCCGTAAATAAACAATCCCGACGGGAGGAGAATGGCAGCTATGCTCATTAAAGGGATTCTGAATTCCGGACGTCCCACTCCGCCATTCCGTGCTGCAAGGCCGCGGTAGATTCGATCGATCATCGGAGCACAAATTTGGGATCCGACCCAGAATCCTATTCCGATGGAGATGTAATTTAGGCCTCCTATTCCGGATGATTCGTGGTAGTATTCTTTGCTTGTCCAGAGGGATGGGAAGGTGGATAGCATGAGGTACATTAGGCCGTAGATGTAGGCCATGTAGATTGCTAGGACTTGGACGATGGGCTGTGTGAGAAGGAGACGGAATGGGCGGACGAGAGAGGTTCGTAGTTTCTGAGCGAAGGGAATCTTTTGAAGCTCTGCTTCTGTGTGGTGTTGCTCGCCTGTGCTTTTGGAGAGGCGCTTTGCGCGGTCGTGGAGGAGTTTCGGGGCGTAGGTTTCGCGGAGGAAGAATAGGCCACCTATTTGGACGGCGGCGTCGGCTATAGAGACGGACCAGAATACCCAGCGCCAGGTTACGTTTTCGGCGATGAAGCCTCCTGCGATTGGGCCTACTGCTGGGCCGAGTAATGGAGCAAGACTGTAGATTGCGAGACTTTTGCCGCGTTGTTCTGGGAGGAAGCAGTCCGAGAGGACACCACCACCGATCTGGATTGTTAGCTAAGGTATGGATATGGCGGTAAGAGATACTCACTGCTAGTGGTGCGCTACCACCTAAACCTGCGAAAAACCGACAGACGATCATTTGGGTTGTAGTTTGGGCAAATCCGCAGCCGATGTTGAAGACCAGGAAGAACAGGTTGGATAGTTGGAGGACGATAGTTCGACCGTATACCTCGGACAGAGGACCGAGAAAGAGCGGACCAACGGCATATGCGAGGATGAAGATAGACATGGTCAATTGAGTCACAATCTCAGAAGATATGTTTAGATCTGCTTTTAGAGCATCAAGAGCTGGTGCAACCATACTACTAGAAACGGGCGAGATGAACGTGAATAATGAAACCATGACAACTGCAGCCCATTTTTTGCTTGATGGCCAATTCTTTGGATTCGCAGGGTCATCTGGTCCATCCCATGTTACCTATACTTGATTAGCTCGGTCCAATAAGAATCCTCAAAGAACTAACCAGTTTGGAGTTTGCCAGTGTAGATCTCCCTGTTTTTGACTTTTCGAGGACTTGCCCCGCACCTGCACCTAGACCTCTTTCTAAGTCTCCTTGGCGGGAAGTTCCGACAACTTCAGGGTCTTGCGCCACAAATTCTTCATCTGAATCTGAATCCGCCCCGTAAGCAGCCGTGTCGTCCGGGTATGATCCTGAATAAGTGCGGTTTAAGGTGTCTGTATTGACTTTCGATCTGATAGATGTTACCAGGCTGCGTGTGCGCGACTGGGTTCTTGATCTTGTCGAGTCTGAATCTGTGCTGGTTGAGCGAGATCTACGTGAATCGTGATCTTTCTCCATGTTGTTGCTGGGTATGGAACCCGTAGACCCAGAAGTGTACTTTATGAGTGCAAAGCTAGTGAACCGAGATGAAACGTCTTTTGAAGTCCTATCAAATTAAAAAAGGGTTGAATTGTTCAGGCACGCGACAGCCTGGAGATAGGAAAAAGAAAAGTGACAGCGGGGAAGCCTTTTTATACAGAGTCAAGACGGATCACTTGCGCCGAGACAGATAGCATAAAATCTACGATAAACTCTGTCAAGTATAACGAACATGGGGACCCATGCTACCGTCCCATATGCATGTTTCGAGTTTTTCACTGCCTTTTTATTGGTTAGAATGTCAAGTTTGAGAAAAGACTGACTTGCCAGAATTGGACATTGCGGAGTTTTACCGGTTAGTGGAGTCCCTGAACCGGCATGTCCAACGCAGATGGACCAGTCAGCGTTGAAACGGGATTCCGTTGGCCGGTACCGGCTTAATTTCGGCTCTTCGGCACGTGGTCACGTGTGACACGTGGTGATAGACTGGTTAGCTTATCTTTCTGGGCTTACCCCGTAGCTTCTAGCTTTAGCGATAGCCGCTATCTCAGCAATTCATGAGTCTAGCCGAGAAGTGACTGCCACACTAGGGCGAATTCCCTAAGCTTAACAGCCATGCGATCAGTTCGGGAAATCAGAGTCACACCGATTGGTCAGATTAGCCGGTCCTGTTGAGGGCACACTATGAAGCACTCGGAAAGATCCTGTGAAAAGAGAAGACAGGGGAGAGAGATGACTTTCTCAATGACGGAGTGAATGAGGAGAAGAAATTCAGCATAAGAGCGATATGCGCTCTCTGGTAGCTGTGGTTATACGAAGCACTCATCAAGTCAGCACGTGTCGTATATGCCTCTTGTCTAAGGCTGCAAACTGGTTCGCCTCATGATTACACGTGCCGTACGTTTTAGGCCGCGCCCCCTATAGCGTTTACGCGGACCCTCTTGACCTGGGTTCTGTGATTACAGAAGTGCAATGACGATATATTAGTTCCGAATAATGATGAAAATTAAGGCATGGTTCCAGGTGAATTAAGTCAATACTCGCCAAAATTAATTCTGAACTTCTCCTATACCATGCACACCGTGGAACGACCAACACTGTTTCTCTCAACTGAATCCTGCTACCACTCCACGGGTGTCGTAAAATTGACTCGGAGACTGAGGAGGTAGCTTTCCAAAATGAAGTCAAGAAAATAGAGCACTGGTGGAAGTCCTCTCGTCGTGCTAACTCAAAAATTAAGATGCCTCACTCGTACTCCGCTGACAGTGATTAACATGCCTCGTTTATTTACAGGTCATACATGGCTCATTGCATTGTCTCTTTGCGTCGATAAATCACCACTCAATTCACTGCCAGCAGAAAAGTCAGCAAACTCTGGGACATACTTATATAGCACAACAAAAACGGGACTTGCAAATTGACCTACGAAATCACTTATATCATGGTGGCAGCAGAGATGAACAAATACCAAAATTCCGCTTACGTGGCTGGGCTATCTGTGGTACTGTGGCGACCCGGCATTTTGGTGCTGATCATGCCGAATATCTTCGAGATACTGTCGAACGTGGTTAGTCGAATTTCTCATGCGCAAGAGTGGAATCATCAACGCCAACGGCAATTTGAATCATTTAAACCAAAGCAAGAGCAGGAAAACCTTAATATTATTGACCAGATGGTGCCAATCTTGGTGATGGTGATATGGGATTTGGGTCGTTGACCTCCGCTATGAAGATAGCAAAGAGCTTCGTAGAAGCTGGAGTAGCAATGATTCACGTTGACGATCTTGCAATGGGACTGAAAAGATCGTTCAAGGTCGTACTCCTGTGTCGATATCGGAATATGAAGGTCGATTGTGCGCGGTGCGTCTGTATTTGAATATAATGGGGTAAGTTGTCGAGTCATGGGAGCTCTAAGCTGATCAATGACTATTTCCACCTTGAAAGCAGACATTATGATTCTCTCCAGATCGGGCTGGATCCAAGCCGAGTTCTTGACATGAATAATTGATTTTCGGGATCATGAAAATGTACTAGTCGCTACCGGGACAGAGAAGGAAGAAGAGAAAGAGAGAGGGGGAAAACCATTCGGACATGCACGCGCTGGAGGGTCATCTAACCCCACCTCCAAGAATGACTGCTACTCCGAGAATACATATGGAATAGTCCCAGCATTTGAATGTATGGTCAGGCTAAACTCTTCAAATGCTGGCTTTTTCCAAGTATTTAAAAATTGTCTTGCCGGTCATGAACCAATTGACCGATCTTGGAAAGAATTCGAGATTCAACATTTGAACCGCAAAACATATATTTGGATCTATATATGTCTAGTAGAAATTTCAAAATTGGCCGTTGTGTACCTACCAGTTGACAGATTCTAGTGTCACCAGCCTCTATGTAGTCACTTCAAACTATGAGTTCACCCAGTGCCAAGATTGCGGCTTTTTCCACTCTTTGCTTGTTGCTATGAAGTCATCACTGCCGAGGATTCACAACGGGGGCCAAGATCTGCATGTGGAACCACGAAAAGTGGGCCTATCTGTCGGAAAACAAGGTTGCCATGTCAATATCCACATGGTGCATTGAGATCGGCGATGATTGAAGTTTGCTTGGCGTCATTTTGATATGATGTACGGAGTAATTCAGTGAAGAAAATGGGAAGGGGCGCTTGGACAGTACTCCCATTGAGGTGGTAGACGAATTTTGCGAAATGACACTGCGCTTCATTTCGATACCCTGCTTCGGATTACGCGTCAAACAAAGAGACCGGATTACATTCGAACTAGATTGGTAAGCAGTGAAACTCCATGTAAAACCACGGCCAATGAAATATAATAGAGAACCGGAGTGTCAAGCCATTTCTACGTTCAGACAATGACTGCGTAGTGAGGGGTGCCCTTTCTGGTCAAGAGACAGTGATTCGAAACTGATTTCGCATTGACTGCACAGATTGTTGTTTTGATTTGATGTATTTGATAGTCCTGCAGTCGCACTACTTGGTGACAGATGAGACCCCTTAATTAGAATAGAACATTTCGGACCTGCTGGAACGAATTATGAAACATGGGGATGCACGTACTATATGTGGGGAGGCGGGGTGGCGGGGATACTGACACAAGGCGCGTAGACAGAAGGCGGGGATGGTTGGGGTCAGGGAAATCAAGCGCTAACCAGCCTTCAATGCCCTCGGATTCTATTTGATCTATCTGCGTGGTTCGCATTTACTACATGTTATGCAGGCAGGAACGGCAACGATTCATAAATCTGCCCGAACAACATTTGCCACTTCATTTACCATTGGTTAACCCTTAGATATTAATAGAAACGACTCCGTAGCACGATCTGATATAAGTTGTGACATACCAGAGCTTATCGATAAGCCAGCCACAGTACGTACGCGTCACTACGTAACAACGATGATCCCCGTCTCACTTGCCCCACATTAATTACCACAATCAGTTTAGTCACTTTCCCTTTTCCCCCCAACCATGAAGTTAGGAATGCCGTTGAATGGCCCTCGGCGCACTCCGTGTGGCCTTAAACATTTCTGACTGGTTGCCCCAATGATGGCGTGCCGATAGGCTAAGAGTGGTCCCAGTGCAGGGACCCTGCCAAGCCTGAGTATACGTACATCAGGAACGGCCACAAACCTTGGCAGAAAGATCGTCGGATTAAAGAGATTGTTCTTAAATCCTTGCTCTGGAAGGATCCAAAGATTTATTAGTCTGTCACGGCCCACTTGATTCTGGACTTATCTTAGCTAGAGACCCTGAATTTCTTCAACAACTCTCCTACCCCTTATCCGCAACAGTACGGCACAGCAGTACGTTCCCTACTCCTGAATCTTTATCTACACGGAATATCTACTAACTTGCGACAGAAACATCAAAATGCTCGCTTTGCGTTCCTACTTCACAGCCCTGGCTCTCATCCTAGCCACCACCTCCGCCTCTCCCCTTAGCAAGCGCGAAATCCAATGGTCCTTCGATCTCTTCCCCACATCACAATGCAATCAAACCGGTGATCTCCACACTGGCATGGGCAGTACTGGATGCCGCGCAGACCTCAACACTGTCGCCTCCGCATACCGATTAAACATGGTCTCCGAGGGGTGTGAAATCGAGTTCTTTGATAACACAATGTGCGATGCGACCGAGACAACCTCCGATATCGCGGACTCTCTCAACACGGGATTATGTCGGGTCCCTGAACTCACTCGCCGATACGGATCGTATCGTGTAACCTGTGAAGAGATGGGCGAATTGAAATAAACAAATGCTGCCTCTGGGCTGGTCCCATGAGATTATAGATGGACATATGGCGTTTGCTTCTGCCTCGACCTCCTTAGATATTATAGACTCAACGATTTATGACCCCTATTTTCACCTTTGAAATGGTAGTGACCCACACAGTTACCCACTATACTCAGTATGCAAATTCATCGAGCCCATTCCCGAACAAAACATCCAACCATTGTTCCATTTCCAGAAAGTCTGTCTTAACAACCCAGACTACGTTGGAAAAAGTATAAAAGCATCAAATGGATGGGTCTTAACAAAAAATTCGACTTTTCTGGCGATTGTGGTCTCCGTGTCGATATCCACTTGGTACTTAGATTACTACATGGGGTTAGTTTGGCTGTCTTTAGTCTAGCCCCATACGACAGAAAGAACAAGCATTGACGAGTCAGCAGTTTTACCAATCATTCTGTAACACTTTCCGTTGCCCCGATATAACCTCCATACCGGGTACTTCTGCACCTCTCTATCTGAGGACCACTCAAATCTTCCCCACACCATGGCACCCAGACTCAACCCCTTAATGTTGGTTTTTATTAGCGATATGATCAAAAGCAAGTCGTTAACTCGTTCTCAAATAGGCGAGGCAGCAGAATTCAGCGAAGCAAACGGTCAAAAATGAATGCTGAATCACGAATTAAATTGAACCAACAAAAGGAGGGATCTTTACCCAAGGCCGAACAAAACAGAAGAGGAAGATTAATTATGCTTCGATAGCTAGATATTCAGTTTCCCATGCCAACAGACTGTCAGAAGTGGACATAGTGTCGGGATGAGCTAGCCCTAAGATTCGTTGCCGCTTGCCAAGGCAGCTTTTAAGCAACTGAATCGCTTCTGAACACCGGCCAGTAGATTTCAAAGTGAAGGCTAGATTGGCCATGCTCCTCAGCGTTTCAGGATGGTCCTCGCCCAGCTTCGCCATCACCTGCACCTCTAGCTGCTCGGCTTCCTCCCACCGACCCTGGCTCCAATACGTCGACGCGAGGTTGGCCATACTCGTCAGCGTTTCGGGATGGTCCTCGCCCAGCTTCGTCTTGCTTATCTCCATCACCTGCACCTGAAACTGCTCGGCTTCCTCCCAACGACCCTGCTTCCAATACGTCATCGCGAGGTTGGCCATGCTCCTCAGCGTTTCAGGATGGTCCTCGCCCAGCTTCGTCTTGCTTGTCTCCATCACTTGCACCTCTAGCTGCTCGGCTTCCTCCCAACGACCCTGGCTCCAATACGTCGACGCGAGGTTGGCCATACTCGTCAGTGTCTCGGGATGGTCGTCGCCTAGCTTCGTCCTTCTTATCTCCATCACCCGTACCTCGAGCTGCTCTGCCTCCTCCCACTGGCCTTCCAAACGGTATGCATCTGCTAATATTGCAGTGCTATGAAGGGTCTCTTCATTTTCTTCACCGAAAAATTTCAATCGATACCTTCTTGACTTTGATGCCATTTCCCTTGATTCTGTGATATACCCGCCTTCTTGCGCATACCATGCCCCTCTATAGAGTAGCTCAGTCCATCTTTGAATAGAAGCCTGGGATTCTGGTCGTTGCGATACTACTCCTTTCACATGCGGATAGAGTGAGCGGCATTTCTCCCAATTCTCATATTTAGCGGTCGGAAATTCAGCGCATAGTTTTTCGATAAATTGTTCTTTCCAATGTTCAAGCTTTCCATGTGTCTTCAACCATGTTCGTACTGTGAGTTGCACTAGTCGATGCATTGTGAAAGATATATCGTCTTTTCCGACCGATATAAGTGAAAAGTCGCGTAGGATCATTATGTTTTCTTCAAAATCAGCGTCAGAGTCATCATGAAATTCGCAATCCGTCTCTGATTCATTTGAACTGTTCTCGCTTCTTTCCCAGCTCTTCTGAACTTGAAGGATATGTTCGGTGATTCCCTGCCGGTCGAAAAAACTCATCAAAGACAGCAAGTCTGTTGCAGACGGCCTTCTCCGGCGAATATAATCAAATGATATTTGCCATGTGAGTAGAATGGAGTTATTGGCCTCCCAGTCTCGGTAAAGAAGACCGGCTTCTTCATTTAACACGCGCACTGCTTCGTGGTCACTTTTCAGGATCTTTTCGAGGTATTGAGATACTGAACAACGGGGTGATCGATGTGTGATATAACTCGCGGCTTGAACGATCGCGAGTGGCATGTATTCAAGCTCTTGAGCCAGCTGCACTAGAATCTTGTGTTCTGTCGCGGTGCCTAACTTCGTCTTGAGCAAAACCAGCGCTTCGTCTTGGTTCATTGGCTGCACATCGATGATTTTCTCATGATTGGTGACATCCAGCGCAACTCTTTTATTCCGGCTAGTGACGATGATGGACCCACTAGAGCTTTCGAGGAGGTACCTCAACGGCGGTTGCGTCGAGGCATTATTGGTCGCCAAGGGTCTGCGAAAGAGCTCATCATCACATTAAACTCACCCTGTGAATAGTTTATTACCCCATTATTGATCCCCACCTGATAGCCTGCGTTTCCATCACCAAAATTCACAGAGCCCATAGTTAACACTTGACATTATACTTGACGAGATCAAGTGTCAGCCTACAGAAAGATGAACCTCAGCCCCGCCGTCAGGTGACTTCTAGAGGGGCTTCGCATTCGCCTTTTATTGGTCAACATTGCTCGCAGGCAGGATCCTAGTCTGAGAATTGAGCCCAAATCTAGAATACACAACGTATCCGTTCAATCAATCTTGGATGGTTATACATGTTGAGTACTCACCATTTAGAATTTGAATTTCATTTATTCATGCTTGAATAACTTTATCAATTCTCTTTCTGCACTATATATCCCCATCGACAGGGTTATACGGTAATTTATAATAGTTTATGAGTAGGGGAAGCTCAATTACCCAATGGTATTCAATAAGGCACACTAATGAGTTGAGGGATCTGAGTCGTACTGACCCAGGGGGTGCGTGCGCGAGTAAAGTACTGTAACAAGCGGTATAAGGCAGTAGAGTGGAGCCATCTAAGATACCTAATAGGTAGTAATATGTTGGATCGTATCTTTAGCTTCTGGTTCTGGGGCCAGAACTGCAGCCGCAGGAATGATTGGATTGCTCATTGGCCACGTATTTAAATCGGCTTATTGCACATGTAGTCATGAATTAGGCGAGCTAAAAATAAGGCACCATGAATATTGCCCATGCGGGATATCAGTGGTATAGATACAGGCGAAAACACATCCGAATTCTTCAAGCATTGGTTTTCCTTTGAGGCCAAGTCTTACTCCCCGGCAAGTTGAGAATGCGGTTTGGCAATCTTCTCGCGTCCGCGGTGACGTTATCATCCTACGCCTCTGCTACCACCATCAACGTTCTCTATCGCCGTGAAAAAGACCGTGATAGACATGGCATAGCTGCCTTCGATAGCTCTGGTCAGTTGATTGGCTACTCGTGTGATTATGCCTTAAACTCTGGTAGCTTTGCTAAGGAGCATATTTCCTTCGACGTCGATGACCAAGCTGCTAGCAAGATATCTGTGGGTGGCATCGCATACCGGATCCATTCTTAAGCATGTCACTCTGGGGGGCCAACATGCTCTCGCGTCTACAACCATGAGATGCAGGAAATAGATTGTAAGGTCACGATGGAAGAAGATTTTGTGGGAATCCCGGTTGCATCTAAGGAAAGGGAGATTTGCTTTGGGGAGGACCTTGCTGCGTTTGACCTAAGCAAAGGCATCCGTCGAATTGATACATCCAAGGTGGATACATCCAAGGTAGATACATTCAAGGTGGATACATCCAAGGTAGATACATCCAAGGTGGATAGACTGGAACTGCTATAAGGGATGTCTTCTTTCAAAACCAAGTGGATCGCCAATTCAGAACCCAAGACGGTAATACGAGGCATACCGGTGTAAGTGTTTTTCATCAAGTCCAGCTCTGTAAATAGAAAAGGAGACATCTTACAAAATATAATGTCGTCTACACCAGGTTTTGAATTAAAAGCCTCTGATTGCATGAGTGATGGGGTGATTGCGAATTCTCGCCTTGGACTGCCTCTATCGTTAAATTTTTATCAGCCTGAGGCAAACATGAGTCAGCAGAGACATTCATACTGCTCGCTGTGACCGCCTTCTAAATAGCCCCGGAGAATAGGCACGGACCACCAGTAGAATCGGGGACTCGTCTGCGGTTACACGCAGCATATCGTGCTGATTGGATCAGATCAATAGTACTAGATAATGACGAGTCATCAATACAAAGCTGCTTGATTTACCTAATGTGATCTAGCTTAGCGATTGCCACTCTACTGCCATGACATAGTTGGTGAGTCTACACCTTTGATACGGCGAGTCGAAAGAGATGAGACCTGACACGCTAATTACTTGTTCCCGTCCCTACATATTGATCTTGACCAATTGGAGAATAGGTGGTATAGATGTCAGAAATGTTCCAATGTATAAGTTGATACTGTAGTTCATACAAAGTCGTGCTACCCAGTCCAGCGACCCGCCGGATTGGGAAAAGACTACACATTCCAATCAGCAGACAAACTAAATATTACTTCGGCATTGTATTTATCCTCAACACCTCCTTATTACCGATGGATGTACCGTTTCTTCAATATTGGCCGATTAGATTTTCATCGCGGTCCTCGGAGATAGCTCGAATTACCCAAAATGATCAATCTCCGAATTACCCGACGGAACCAGGTCGCGGTGGTAGCTGGACGAGCTGTTTATTTAACCACAAACTTTCGCTTGTCTCAATAATGTCTATCACACCTCATCATGTCGGCTGAAACTGAAGAGGCAAGATCGGATAGAAAGCAGACTGGTCCACCGGCACCCGTTGGATTCTTCGACCCTTCATTGAATGAAGTGCGGAAGCGCGTGTTCTATCAATATGCTCGAACAGGTGAGTACCCGACCACCAACGAAAAAAAATGCTAACAAACTAGTTTTCATCCTGTGCGTCTTCGTCTTGGGTGTCCTCTCTATCTTCTGGGGCTCCCAATTTACCACCGAAGCCAAATACCCCAACCTCCATGTTTGGGTCGTCGACTTCGACGGCCAAGTCGAGCCATACCTCACCAACGACACCGTCGTCGGACCAGCCGTCATCAACGTGACCAAGGAATACGAATCCTCATCCAGCCTCCACCTAGGCTACCACTTCAAATCCGCCGCAGACTTCAACTATGACCCTTGGGCAGTCCGCCAAGCAGTCTACGACGAACACGCCTACGCCGCCGTCATAATCAACCCAAACGCCACCTCCCTCCTCCGCGCCGCAATGACCACAAACAACAAAACCTACGACCCAACAGGCGCCCTCCAAACAATAATTATCTCCGCCCGCGACGAAGGAACATATTACAACTACATCCTCCCCGACCTAACAATCCTCCAATCCCTGATCCTATCATCCTTCGGCCCGCAGTGGACCAGCTCCCTCCTCTCCACAAACACAAACCTATCCACAATCCCGCCACAAACCATAAACCCCGCCATCGGATTCACAAACATAGATCTCCGCCCCTTCACGCCCGCCGTCGCCGCCCCGGCCGTCTCAATAGGCCTCATCTACCTCATAATCATCTCATTCTTCAACTTCCCCTTCCTAATGCCCGTTCATGCCCAATTCATCAAACCAGAAGGCCACCCCCCTCTCAAAATCCCACATTGGCTTCTCTGGCGCGTTTTAAGCAGTATAACAGCATACTTCTTCCTTTCACTCTTCTACTCTCTCGTTTCCCTCGCTTTTCAAATCCCCTTCTCCAATTCCCCGGCACCGGACACTGTATCTGCAAATAACCCAAATGCGTACGGGCATGGCTCGTTTGTGGTTTTCTGGATGTTGAATTGGGTGGGGATGACAGCTCTGGGAATCCCTTGTGAGAATATGGCGATGGTGCTAGGATTCCCTTGGAGTTCGTTCTTCTTGATTTTCTGGGTTATTACGAATGTTGCTACGGGCTTTTATCCGTTGGATTTGGCGTCAACCTTTTATCGCTGGGGCTATGCTTGGCCGTTGCATCGGAGTGAGTTTTCCCTTCAAGTGCTGTTCAACTCTTGATGCTAACTTTTGGTAGTTGTGGAGGCGCTGAGGACTATTTTGTTCGGGACTCATTCGAGGATTGGGCTGGATTTCGGGGTTTTGTTCATTTGGATTGCCGTTTCGCTCGCATTCTTCCCCGTTGCTACGCTTATTATGCGGTGGAAGATGAAGCGGGGGCTATGAGTAAATATTGGTGTTCCTCTAGGTTCCAAGCCCTGGACCTCAGGTAATGGCACCTGGGGGTTTCTTTGTCACATATTAATAGACTAGCAAGATTGTGATTTATAGATGAGCCTGTCCTCGAATGTACACATAGGCATGACATTTAGTCATTAAAGAGTGAATTGGTGTCATAACTATCATAAAGATCGTGTATATGCATGGGTAACAACTGCGCAGTCTGAGCCGCCATAGTCCCTGTTGACTAAATACCCATAGTCTCCACAATCACAATCCTGTGTGCATCAACAACACCAGGATTAAGGTTCTGGAGATCAAGCAAGCTTAGACCACGCATGCTATCATTCAACTGCTCATGACGGAGATAATCGAATAGATCGATATCATGTTGTCTATTGGATGAGTTGGGATTGAAAACGCGCGGGTCATATGTAGTTCTGTGAATACAAATCAGTATACACTCTGTACCAGTCTGCATAGAAATGAACTCACCCTGGGAAGCTACGGGGACTAGCAGGACTGTTAGGAGGACCCATGATGTATGTTGATGTTTGACGTTTCGTGTTGCGCGAACTTGAGGACTTGGTACTTTTGTTTGTAATTCGATTGTGATTTTGACGTTTTATGTTAAATTCCCCTACCTCCCCGATTGCTGAAACATGGTGGTGAACGGTGCATATATCGAGTTTGGTATCGCCACAAGTGGCTGAGAGTGGCTCGAGTGATCGACGTTACTGTGATGTCGGGATTACATCGGTTGGCGATTATGGTTCATGATGATGTATTAAATAGTTTGACTGTGTCGTTAGCTCTCTACGAATGCTCTTTCCATATATGATGTCCAGGCGATATATCATCAGAGTTGGATATTTACAATTATGTGGGAATCAAGATTAGAATGAGAATAATTCAGGAACAGTGGAAAGGTTGAGGGAGTGTCATGATGAAGGCAGTTAATTATCAACCATAAACCCCCGGAAGTTTGGGGAAAGAACGAGTTGCCATGTGCATGAATGAGGCTCTCTCATTGGTTGAATTTATATTTTGGAAACATGCCGTGCCTGAATAAAAATGGCATTGTAGTACTTTCTTCATAGTATGATCTATAGTATACGACAGGGTATGCTTGAGCCGTCCATGAATAAGTGTAACAATTACCACGCTCACTCCAAAGCTCCTCGTGGTATTTGTGCTTCTGCGTCTCCTTTCTTTACCCTTCTCATCTTCTCATCTTCTCATCTTCTCATCTTCTCATCTTCTCATCTTCTCATCTTCTCATCTTCTCATCCTCGGCTTCTCATATTCAGCTCTCTTTATCAAATTTCGTGTTTTGATCTGGTCAAAATGGCTTCTGCTCAGGTGCCTATTTCTGCCCGTATTCACGATGAAGAGAGAGATATCAACGATGACAGTGACCTCTCCTATTTTGACCCCAAGGAAGCGCGCCGTCGAGCCCTGAGCGAGATCGACAATGCTAAGTTTGGATGGCGCCATGTTCGTGCTGTCGTCGTTGCCGGTGTGGGCTTCTTCACCGACTCCTACGACATCTTCGCTATCAATCTCTGTGTCAGCATGCTTGGTGTCGTTTACTGGCAGACCGCCGCTACCAACCCCGGTAAAATCCCCTCCGGCTCCGATACTGCCATCAAAGTCGCAACCTCGGGTGGTACTGTCATCGGTCAACTCTTCTTCGGATGGTTAGCCGATCGCATTGGTCGCAAGCGCATGTACGGTTTCGAACTCATGATCATCATTCTTGCTACTTTGGCTCAGTCGCTCTCGGCCGCTTCCCGCGCTATCTCCATTACTGGGTTGATCGTCTTCTGGCGTGTTGTCATAGGCATTGGCATTGGTGGTGATTATCCGCTATCCTCTGTTATTACTTCGGAGTAAGTCAACCGACCCACAGTAAGATCATCACTGACCAACAGATTCGCAACCACTAAATGGCGTGGTGCCGTGATGGGATCCGTTTTCGCTATGCAGGGTATCGGTCAGTTTACCGCTGCCATCATCGCCTTGATCGTCATAGCGGGCTTCAAAGAGTCTCTCCAAAGCGCAAAGGATGTTGCCCATTGTAGCGGAGACTGTCAACTTGCTGCGGACAAAATGTGGCTTTAATGGGTGCCGTCCCTGCATGTGCTGCTCTTTACTTCCGACTGACTGTCCCCGAGACACCTCGCTACACCTTCGATGTCAACCGCGACGTTATGAAGGGTGATTCGGATATACGCGCTTACATCAAGGGAGAAAGTGAGGGCCACCCGGATGAGATTCGCCGTATTACTGTTCTCCGCAATGAAAGCACCGAGCTCATGGTTCCCAAGGCCAGCTTGGCCGATTTCTATCGTCACTTCGCAACCTGGAAGAACGGAAAAGTCCTTCTCGGCACAGCCGGCTCCTGGTTCTTTCTTGACGTTGGTACGTGCCCCCTCTCGATCTATTCACATCGCTAACCCTTCAGCTTTCTACGGACTCGGCTTGAATAACTCCATCATCCTGGGCGCGATCGGATGGACGGGTGGACACAATGTTTATGAGGTTTTCTATCGCAACGCCATCGGTAACCTGATCCTCGTCGTCTGTGGTGCTATCCCAGGTTACTGGGTTACGGTCGCCACGGTCGACACGATCGGGCGCAAGTCAATCCAACTGGCCGGCTTCATCATTCTTACAATCCTGTTCATCATCATCGGATTCGCTTACCACCTCTTGAAAAGCTCTCACGGAGGTCTCATGGCCCTTTACGTATTCGCACAGTTCTTCTTCAACTTTGGCCCCAATGCGACAACCTTCATTGTGCCTGGAGAGTGCTTCCCCACCCGATACCGATCCACCTCTCATGGTATCAGTGCCGCCTCCGGCAAGATCGGTGCTATCATCGCACAATGTGTCTTTGGTCCTCTGGTGAACAAGGGTACTGCCAAGGGTGACACCAGTGGCCCGTGGCTTAACCACGTTATGCAGATCTTCGCATTGTTCATGCTTTGTGGTATTTTTACCACCCTGCTTATTCCTGAGACCAAGCGCCAGAGTTTGGAGAGTCTTGCTGGTGAGGACCCTGACGATCGTCTTACCCATGAGCATGTGCCCGAGAATCATAAGCAGGAGAAAATGGCCGCTGTCCCTAGTGTGGTTACTCACACTCAGTAGGAGTCTCACACAATTTAAGTGGCTGACACAGAATGAAGAACAAGTCGCTGTTTCCGAGGCTTTATGGTTCTCTTATTTTCGTATTTTAACTTGATATCATGTTTCTTACCTTTTCCTGGTCCAATAGCTATCTGGATTCAGAGATATATGTTCTAATAGCTGATCTGACTTTCAATTAAATTCCTTTGATGGATATGACATGCGACAAGTCGGGTAATTCATGAACTTTCTGTCAAACTCTATAAATTTCTGATCCAAACCTAGAAAGGAGCCAATTCTGAATGAGGATAAGGAAGAAAAACTTTAGATCAGAATTCTGTGAACAAGCTCAGTGGTTCTAAACATGTTTCAGCCATCCAAGGTAACAAGTCATAGCGATATCCATCATGTCTCACGAAATTCAACACGCTGAACCAATCACAATTCTCTTCAATCTGATCGTTCTTTATTTCGCTTTCTTTGTCATCGTTTTCTTTCTTTGGTATTGCCACGACTTTCTTTAATAAACAAGGATCGTGAGTCAGCTTGCATCTGTTTGAACAAAGAGATGTTTATTGCTTGCAGAGCTGAGCTTCGCTACAGATAAATACCTACTCTGCTCAGTCTGATCAGCACGATTAGCAGATATCAGCAGCCATGAAATGCGCTTTTGAGTGGAAGGCTTCTGATCAAGACGATTCCGATTCAGAGTCCTCTGGTGGGGTTTTGACTAGAGTTGAGAGTACTCCTGACATTGATGGGCCGAAAAGCAAAAACCCAGAGAGCAACAACCCAGACAAGGACAGTGATAGTGATAGCGACAGAGACGGTAAGAACGGCGAAAACCAAGACGAGGGTGCGCCAAGCATCACGCCAGACAACAGCACTCCGCAAAGTGAAACTCCAGACGGCAGTGCGATAGAAAACAGCACACTAGGCAACAGTGCAACTGAAGACGAGAAAACAAAGACTAAGCCGGAGAGTATTAACCCGTTTGATACTTCAGACAGTGCGATAAAAAGGAACACGGACAACAGCTCGACAGAAGACGAGATACGCGAAGTCAATACCTTAGAGAACAGCACCCTTGAAGAGGAAGCTATCGGCCAAGTTCCTGCGCAGGAGCCTGACTCAATCCCTGGCATGGCCACCTTTGAGGCACCCTACGATGAACCGACCCCGTCTGGAAGCTCAACCTCAGCCTCTACCTCAGCTTCCTCCAATCCAAGCTCCAGCGCTAGCATCAGCACCAGCTGCCGCTCAACAAAAAGCAACGCCTCCACCTCAAGCCCGTCCCTCCGAGACAAAGCCCCAACTCCCCCAGACACACCCTCATCATTATCCTCAGACCTCTGCTCCGAAGGCCTCCTCGAAACAACGCCCGCAGCAACACAACAAGACCTCATCTGCTCCCTGCACCTAATCGCCGACTCAATCGCCCAACAGCGCCAACTCGCCTCCAAATCCATCCTCCACAACCAATTTTACTGGGCTATCCTCATCCTCGTCTTCGAATACCTCTACCGCGTTCTCTGGATCACGCCCGCAGACTGGATCCTCGTCCTTATCCTCTGGATCTGCGGTGTGATTTTCACGTTAAGCGCGATCAAGATGTGGACGGGTGGATACCTCGATGAAGCAGAAAGAGTGGGGAGATGGTCTTGGTTATTTGGAGTGAAGTGGGTTGAGAATTTCACTGAGCAGGAGGTTCTTGCGCCGTTGCAGTGGGCTCTTTGTCAGGGGATCTGGTTCCGGGTTCCTGGGGGCCATGTTGAGAAAGCATTAGCTTGGTGTGGAGCGAAGAGGGGATTGAAGAAGAAAGAGACTAAGATGAATAATATTACCGGTACCGGTACAGGGGTGGGTGTGATGGGACAGGCATGGGAGGAATACAGCTCCGGTACAGAAAGCGAGATTGATCTACGGAGGGAGTGTTCGGAGAAAGGCTGGATGCAGGATAAAGTGATTGTGTCACGGTTCAACGGCCGTGTTATCGCCACGCTGGTTATGCGGGTTGTAGAAGTTGATATTGATTCTGTTGTTACGGTCATGGAGGATGAGCATGGAGAAGAGTCTTGTCCTTTTCCTTTGGAATGTGGGCTACGGACTCAGAAGATGGTTATTCGTGCTTGGACTGTTTTGCAGAAGTATCGTGGGTTTGGAGTTGGGGTAGGTATTTTGCAGTTTGCAATTGAGTATGCTCGGGAACTTGGACTTCAGGGTCCTGAGTTTGCGGTTGATCATGCGAATTCTTTGCGCGTGTTACCGAAGCTGGCTAATGGGGGAATGGATCGGAATGAGAAGCGGGCTAGGGATAGACTGGCTAAGGAGATTCGCAAATGTGTTGCGGCGGAGCAGGCACTTAAGGATTAGATCTAGGCAATAGATGGGGTTATTTTTGCTAGTCGAACATTGAATGTGATGAATTTCAAAAAAACTGAATCTATACCAGTAACCCTGGCAGACCTGATATCAGCCAAGCATACTTCTCAGGACTGCTGCGATCATGCAACACATAGAACTAGGAATGGTCGGCTAAGCCCCGGTGAAGTTCGGTAGATGCCATGCATACGTATACTCCGAGTTCCACAATCCAAGAAACCCGCAATCCTTGCTTAGGCCGAAATCTCCGAGAAATCTTTGCCAGTCAAGCATGGTCCGATGGCGAACAAGAAGACGGCTAATACCCCAGAAAGGCAAAATTCAAATCCACTTTATCCAACTGTGACAGGCATCCCGGCTACGGGTCCGGCTGATAGTTGCTGGAAGGGCAAAGGTCTGCTCAAGGTAACGGTAACGGATGAGGCGTGGTGGCGTGTCTGCAGGGAACTTACAGGCTAAATTAGTCGGCTTACCGGATGAAAGAGGAGAAACTTGTAAGCGGCTAGTTCCGTTTGTCGATGTGGGGTTCGGATATTCGTTCGATTAATGCTCTGCATTTCTGTTTGTGATCAGTGGGGAACAGCTAGATCAAGATTCTAGATTGGAGTTCCTGGAAGTTATATTAATTTTGTAAGTTTTACTTGTACGACCAGGCTTGTAGCGACAGGTTGCAGACAGCAGACAATTGAAGCGCGGGGTCCCCAGGGGGGTTTGACTGCGGAGTTAGTGGGTCAATGTAGCCAATCAACGCGACACCCTTCAAGACAGATTCAGTCCAGACTCAACACTGAGTAAAAAACTCGAGGTGATCATGAGCCAGATCTGAGAAGAGCAAAATTGTCAACTAGTTAATGAAACAATCTCGAATCAAGAATATTCCCAAAGATGTATTTATCCAAAGTTCACCGGCTAAATAGCATGCCACAACCGCAGCCACTGCCGATGATCATTTCCTTCTTTCCTACCTGACCAGGCCACGGGTTGTGGAGACTAGATGTCCCCGTGGGGATAAAGTCGGGGAAATTAGCCATGGAAGCTGACTGCAATAAATACTGCTGATCCCTGATTCCATCGCATCAAATCTCCAGTTTATTCTTCGTCATGGGTCCTCTTCCTGGTGAGACGGCCATCTCGGCCAAGCGCGCCGAGCTCGCGGGCAAAGGTGGAATCTGGGGACTACTCAGTAATAAGAAGACTTCTTTGATTGGATTGTTCGCATCGCTGGGTGGTTTGGTTTATGGATGTAAGTTAGATGATCCAAAGGGAGAGGAGAGGGAACTGACCGGATTAGACAACCAGGGAATGTTCGCACAGGTCTTGGCTATGAAATCTTTTCAGGATGCCGTATGTGCTAAGTTTCCGTGTCTGTCTGTGATTGACGTGCTGACAAGTCCAGACGGATGGATATGCCGCCACAACTAGTATCCAGCAGGGTATGTTGACGTCGATTCTCGAACTCGGTGCGTGGGTGGGAACACTTGCCAATGGATATTTGGCCGATAAACTCGGTCGCCGGTTGACCGTCTTGGTTGCTGTGATTGTTTTCTGCGTTGGTGTGATTGTGCAAGCATGTACACAGAATAAAGATTTTGTTTTTGCGGGTCGTTTCGTCACAGGTTTGGGTGTTGGTAGTTTGAGTATGGTTGTGCCGCTGTACAACGCTGAGTTGGTAAGCAGACACGCCGACCCATAGTAGAACAGACTGACAGGACTAGGCACCTCCAGAAATCCGTGGATCGCTTGTCGCCGTGCAACAACTGGCCATCACATTTGGTATCATGGTATCTTTCTGGGTATGTTGAAGCTCTTCCTGGCGTGGTCTGCTCTAACATCAATAGATCGGATACGGAACGAACTATATCGGCGGCACAGGGGACGGTCAGTCCAGGGCTGCTTGGTTGATTCCTATCTGCATTCAGATTCTACCAGCCGTCGTCCTGGCAATTGGCATGATGCTCTTCATGCCCCAATCACCCCGTCATCTGATGAACACCGGTCGTGAGGAGGAGTGCCTACAGACTCTGGCTCGTCTGCGCGGAACCACAACCGATGACTTGCTGGTACGGATCGAGCACCTGGAAATCAAAAGTTTATACCTCTTTGAGAGAGAAACTGCCGCGGAGAAGTACCCGCATTTGCAGGACGGATCATTCTCAAGCAACTTCAAGATGGGTCTCAATGACTACATGTCGCTGATCACGAACAAATCCTTGTTCAAGCGAACATCTGTGGCTGTACGTCTCACGTTCTCAATTCTGCATGTACCTCTAATACTAACTCTTTAGTGTATGATCATGGTTTTCCAGCAATGGAACGGTATCAACGCTATCAACTACTACGCGTGAGTCGCCTTGACCTTTTCATGAACCTCACTAATATGATCAGCCCATTTATCTTCAAAGATATGCAGCTTCCCGGAAATACTACCACTCTCCTAGCGACCGGCGTGGTCGGCATTGTCGAGTTCCTCTTCACCATCCCTGCCGTCCTATGGGTGGACCAAATTGGTCGCAAGAAGATCCTCATTGCTGGTGCCGCGGGAATGGCTATCTGTCACTTCATCGTTGCGGGTATTATTGGAGGGTTCGAGAACAGGTGGCTGGAGCACCAAGGTGCCGGATGGACAGCCATCGTGTTTGTGTGGATCTTTGTGATCAACTTCGCTTATTCTTGGGGTATGTTCCACCTAACATGCCTACTATAGATGGCTAACATAAATAGGACCCGTCGCATGGATTGTGGTATCAGAGGTGTTCCCATTGAGCATGCGTGCTAAGGGTGTTAGTATCGGTGGTAGCAGTAACTGGGTAAGTCCTCCATTCTGGTGCAAAACTCAGGTCTAACAGGTTTAGTTGAACAATTTTGCGGTCGCTACCGCCACTTCTCCCTTCGTCAAGGCTTCCACCCTCGGTACATTCATCTTCTTTGGATGCGTCACCACTGTCGGTATTTTCTATGTCATCTTCTTCGTCCCCGAGACTAGGGGCCGTACCCTGGAAGAGATGGACGAGTTATTCGGTACAACAGGAATGGCTGCAGCAGACGCTGAGCGCAAACACCGCATTGAAAGTGAAATCGGCCTACTTGCCCTTGTTGGTGTCGAGACTCAAGAGTCCGAAAAGGAGGCCGCCTTACACAGTGAGAAGGTTTTTGAAACTACTGAAGCACCTACCACACAGTAGTTACGTCCGGCAAGGAGTGCAACCCTTGATTACTTATATAAATCTTACTGCAGTTGATCGATCACTCATTTATTGAATATAAGGTTTATCCTAATTGATTGTTGCTCTTATAGTGTTTTGTGGCTTGCAAATATTGTGTCCGATCTGCAATAACGTTCATCTTGCAGTTGATACATCAAAAATCTGGAATGGATCTGATGTATCCAGTTGATTCCATTTTATTCTATTTTATTCCAGATGCCTAAAGCCAAAAATCGAGTTTTTTTATAGTCATAGTGGGTCCCCCCACATTTGTTTGGTCATGTTCCGTGTTGAGACGTCGTTTGTCTCACCTTCTTTGTGCACATTTAATCCTTCATTTCCCTTCAACACAGCCAAAGCAAAACTTCCTCAACATTCGAATCCAACGCAAATCATCCATCTCAAACACACCATCTACTCATATCAACTAAAAATGTCTACAACAACAACCTCCCTCGCTTCCACCGCAACAGCCTGCACAAATGTCTACCAACTCCCAACTACAGACGCAGCCTGTGCCGCTGTCATCTCAGGCAACATGACGTCAGTTTTCGACACATGTTGCAAAGGCGACAAGCCCGTGAAATATGACAACGACTGCGGCATCTACTGTCTCGCCCAAGAGCAGACTGTTGATGAGCTCCTCGTCTGTCTGCAAACCGAGGGAAAGAATTACCAAGACGTATTCTGCAACGACAAGTTGAATGCTACTGCCACTGCCAAGGCCACTACCACAGCGAAGGAGACCAGTACGAAGACCAGTACCTCAACGTCGACGAGCACCTCTACCAAGAACGCAGCTTCCGGACAACATGTTTCAGCGATGGGACTGGGCGTTCTCGCCATGGTTATATTCTCGGGTGTCTTGGGTTTTGCTTGAGCAAGCAGCACAAGATGACCCATGCTTCTTTCCAAAATTTTCTCGTGTATGATTACTTTACCTTTATCACAAATTCATTGAATGATTTATGCTGGAATATACTTTATGCTGGGATAAATAAGCTCCGTTATTTCTCCGGATCGTCGCATTAGTGGCTTTTGACCTGCATTTCTCCTCTTCTCCTCATCCTAATCAGGCAAATTCCCGAACCTTGCGATCGGGCAATTTCAAGAAACAATATTTAAACATGTGGCTTTCCATAGATACTGGGTTTAATAGGGACTATCATGATGTTGACTCTTCTCAGTGCATCGTTGTTGTCAGGTCTTGTGGCCGCGGCGCCACACCGGCGAGCTGATAATGGAGTTGCGAAGACACCACCAATGGGGTATGTCATTGGATTGGACTGAGGCACAGAATGGGGCTAATGCTCGCAGGTGGAATACTTATAACCATTACTCCTGCTCTCCCAATGAGACAATTGTGCACTCCAATGCACAGGCTCTTGTAGATCTTGGTCTAGCGGATCTGGGATACACATATGTTACGACGGATTGTGGATGGACAGTCGCCGACCGATTGGCTAACGGGTCGTTGACCTGGAATGCAACTCTGTTCCCGAGTGGATTCCCGGCACTTGGTGAGTATCTACATAACCTAGGCCTTCTGTTTGGGGTTTATGAGGATGCCGGGATAAAGACCTGTAGTGAGGGACAGGATCAGGCGGGAAGTTTAGGTGAGTTCACTCTCACTCCTCATCATACCACGCTGGTCACTAATTATTCCCAGGGCATGAGGATCAGGACGCCGCAACTTTCATCTCGTGGAATGTCGATTCTCTCAAATGTATTCCACCCGTGGACATTCAACGCTTCAATGTTCAATCCTAACGTCCTTAGATGACAACTGCTACTCTGACGCATCGGAAGACTATCCCAATACAAATTACAGCCCAACTGAATCACCTCGTTTTCGCTATGCAAATATGACGAAAGCGCTGGATGCCCAGTCCCGCTCAATGTTATTTCAGATCTGTGAATGGGGCATCGACTTCCCGGCGCTTTGGGCTCCGGCACTAGGAAATACCTGGAGAATCGGCAACGATATAATCCCAGCTTGGCGGACGATCTTCCGCATTCTCAACCAGGCTGTGCCTAGCCAGCCGTTCGCTGCATCGGGTCAATGGCCTGATCTCGACATGTTGGAGGTGGGGAACAACATATTCACGACCGCCGAGGAACAGACGCATTTCTCGTTGTGGGCTATCCTTAAGAGTCCGCTTGTTATTGGCGGTGCCCTGAAGGATGAGTATACCTCCATGGCGCAGAGTTCGTTGGAGATTCTTCTGAATGAGGATGTTGTCGGGTTTAATCAGGATGATCTTGGCATTGCTGCTAGTTTGAAGAGGAGGTGGAGTGATGATGGGTATGAGGTTTGGAGTGGGTTGCTTTCTGGTGAGAGAACTGTTGCAGCAATTATTAATTGGTTTGATGAGGAGAGGACTTTGACTTTGAATCTTCCCGATGTTGGATTGCAATCTGCATCTGTGAAGGATATCTGGGGTGGAACTTTCACTAGTGATGTGAAGACTTCTTACTCGAGCTCTGTAGCTGCACATGGTGTTATGCTACTTGAGCTTTCGGACACCACTGCAGCTGGGACTTATTCTACGAGTCTTTTCGGAACAAGAAAAAGGTAAGTGGCTCGTCCAGTACTGGTCCCAGATACTGATTATCAAAGCACAATTACAACCTTTGAGTCTGTGTACGCCAATACGACAAGTTCAAGCTACACCGTGTCCATCGTGTTCTCCAGCGCCTCGTCAAAAGCCACAACCATCTGGCTCAGCAGCTCAACCAACACAACGTCCAAAATAATCACAGTCCCAGCCAAAACTAAAACCATCACATCAACCATCGCCCTAACAGCTGGCTCCACAAACACCATAAGCATCGTATCAGCAACAACGATCGACTCCATAACAATCATCTCCCCAGCAGGAACATACTACGCAGGAAACACCTCGTTCACCCTAGCCGGATCCGCCGCAATTGAACAATGCGGCACCTCCGGCTGCGCCCCAGTAGGCTACAAAATCGGCTGGCTAAACTCTGTCAACACAGCAACAGCCAACATCCCCGCAACAGTTTCCAGCTCCAGTGGGACGGAATCAAAGTATGTCGAGATTGATTATATCAACAATGATGTCGCGTTCTCGACGAGCTGGGGGTGGGGTTCGAATTCGAGGAATATTACTTTGTCGGTTAACGGGGGCGAGGCTGTTCGGCTTGAGGTTCCGCTTTCTGGGAAACACAGTGAGCTTTATAGTGAGGGCTTGGGTTGGTGGGATACCGCTACTCTGGGGATCTTGGTGGATGGGTGGAAGGATGGTAATAATACGGTTGTTGTTGGTAATGCTGCTGATACGGATGTTTCGCAGACTTATGGGGCGGATTTCGTTGGACTTCGATTCTTTGATTAGTTCAATATCTTTTTGGCCATGAATAAAGGAACCATTATATAATGTGTTAGAGAAATGGGTTTAACGCTAGGCTACCTCGAAGTGATTTGTAGGTTCGCAGTTGGAGAGAGTGTAGACACGTCCGCTCTACTCTTTGCTTTCCTTTCTTCCACACCTACTCTCTCCCATCTTCATTACTCAATTTCCAGTCCGAGTAATTGAATCCCGCATTTTACCCAATTGTCACTTCAGACAAAGTCTAATGAAGCAACAGGAAAGTGGGATCTGCCTCCGACGCGCCGCTCGCGTCTTCAGCCTCCACGTCTCCAGCCATGGAATCTACCGCTTCTGAGTAAGTACCACTAGTCCCCCCCCCCGGCACAATCAACTCAGATGCTAAACCACTGAAGCGACATACCGGATGAGGACGAATACCTCCCCGAAAAACCTCTGGGAACCAAAGAAGTTCCCCCAGGAGAATCGGCCGCCAGAGTCTTGCGTCTCCCCTGGTCAGTCGCCAAAACCGGCACCAAAATAAGAGGCAGATTTTGCCATTTCTAGTTCAAATGCCAGCGAAGCGAGAACTTCTGATGCGCCCCAACAAGCGATTGTCCCGTTGGCGACTCAATGACCGCCTCGGACAATCCAAGCGCAATGTCGAGTCCGCCGTTATTCAAGTCGTGGGGGAGCTCCCGGAGCGGGAATGCATACAGTGCCGGGAGGGCCATGGATCTTGGGGGCTCTGTGTCGTTGTGAAAGGAGATGTTGAGGTCGCTAAATGTGGGAACTGCGATATTTCTAAATTTGTGAATCCTTGCATGCATGATGACGCTGGGATGCGTGCTTATGATGAGCAGTTAAGAGAGCACTTCATGAAGTATGGACAGGTGAAAACAGAGCCCTACACGAGGTACCGCCGTAATGGTTACTAGTTTTGTGTTCGGTCTTATGATGGACAGAGTCCTAGGAAAAAATTTCTTGCATGGGTATCTCGGATTGAATGAATAACGAGCATTGAACATAGTAATGGTAACCCTTGTGATTATCAGCAATGCAAAATTCCGTGTCCCTATTATGTCTGAATTTGTACGTCATGTCTGCATCTTAAACCTACATTTTTAGAATTGAATGGAAGTCTGTCAGAAATATCGGCGCTCTCGGCAGAAGCATAACGGCCAGTGTGAACAGAAGACCGAGATTCATGAACAATCAGTTCTTGATCCGGGCTCATAGATGAAGAAATATGCACCATACTCCCCACTACCACCATAAGCAGAGTCATCCTGGACTAGCTCTGCCAGGAGTCGAAATCCCATGTGCTTATACAGCTCAACTCCTGCTTTGAGAGCGTGGACAAAAATGTTTAACCCCAGCTTGTCGGCCTGGTCCATCCCGCTCTTTACCAATGCCGCCCCGACTCCTTTGCGCTGGTTGTCCGGATGCACAGCAAGATATTCCAGACCTACGATGGTGGGTCAGTGCAAGTATAACCCTTCAGAATCTCACATCGATGCTTCACTTACTGATATGCGGTGTCTGTGGCGTCACCTCCTTCTTAAGCGCTGTTACTCGATCCCCTAGCTCATCGGCATCGCCGTTAGGATCCCAGATAACAGTCTCAGCGATCCGCCTGATCTCAGCCTCCTTCTCAGGCTCAACCGCCGGGACCTGAGCCTCAGCCCATACCAGCGTATCATCGTCTGCGTTTATCTCAGTAGACGGTGGTAGGCACCATCGGGCATAGCCGAGTATGCGACCCGTCTCCAAATCCACTGCTTTCTGATGTCGAAAGCGCTCCCGGTTGTTGAGCAGGTTGCGCGGGAACCGTAGTGCTATCTGCGAAATGTGGTATTCGAGGGTGCGATGGCGCCAGGCCAGGACCCAGTGCGGGTCAGCCCAGAAAGCGGGGATGCTGTTGGCGGCTAGAGCGGGGCCGTCGGCGACACAGCATTGGGAGATTATGAAAGGATCCATGGTAAGGGATACTGGAATCCTAAGCTTGAGGTAGGCTGTGACAAGGCGAAGAGCGTGCTTGCGCCTCCCACGATATTTTGGAAAATGTCTGGAGTGGTTACCAGTGCTCTTGAAGCCAGGTACAAGTGCACATAGCAGGCTGGACCACGTTTGCTGGAGAAGAAAACGTGAAATATGTCGGTTTCGTGGGATAGAGGGGGAAAGTCTAATGAGGTGAGAAAATTCCACTAGCTGGAGCGCTTGGAGCTAGGTAACGGAGTACGACGGATTCCGAGGTGGCGTCAAATGGGACTAAATTTCGACAACGGCATCTCATCCACCGATCCAAAGGTAATCGGCCCGGTATTCGGTAACTGAGGACTATGTATCGAGTCAGTAAATGTTTAAATCAATACTTCATCGGGCAAGTACAGTCTACAATTCCAGAGAGTTTGGGGTGAGAATCAGGCATCTGTAGCATTCAATTCAAGCTTCAATGATCAGTAGGATGCTTATGTTGGCGGTAAAATCCCCGAATACAGGATCGTCAATGCCTGAGGTTTGGGGGTAATTCCGAAGATTATGTCGCTAAGCTTCTCACCGCCTGATTCAGACAACCCATGACTTGTAATCAGATAAGAATGAATTAATCTCTAACTCCTCAGTCCCCCTATCCAGTTTACTTACAGTATCCTGTAGACTGGTGAGTTTTGAGTTTTTCTCCTATATTTAAATTTTTTATATAGATTATTATATCTATATCCTCACGGCTTATATGTCAAACAATCGAAGCGACACATCAACTGATTTGATGACGAGTTCCTTGCATGACAAGTTACATTTGTTTTGCTGCTTGGAGTGGCTGGGTTTTTATTCAGTTGACTAGCTACTGCGATAGCTGACATGGCTTATTACATGCTCATGATAAATCTTTCCAGCATACGTGTTTCCCACATGTGATGCCCGTGAATCTCGACGCTTGCTGCTCAAACAACTTCCTCCTCTTCAGTCGTGGCAGCTGCGTTCAAAAGCTTCTTATGCACGTTCATGATTCCCTGCAGACGTCTGTTGTGGTGGTCCATCGCAGCCGAGAACTCATGCTGAGTAGATTTCATCGCCATCAACTCCTTCTCCATTGCATTGTGAAGCTTCTCAAGAGCCATTCCCTTGACCTGAATGCCTGTTCTGGGAGCAGGCAGTGGAGCCTCATCGATGGGCTCAGTCGTCGAAATGTTTTCCTCGATGGGTGCAGTGGGCGGAACTTTCTCGAGTCTGAAGTTGCAAAAAGACTTATTATTTCCTCTGGCCCAGTGACAATTTGCGCAGCCATGAATGAGACCAGACAGGCTGGGCACAATGACACAAGACGCAAATACGCCATATCCATGCTTGCAACATTGACACTGGTGGTCAGCATCCATGCGAACCCCCACTGCCTGGGCAACAAGTGCTTCAACGTTCCTGGGACTTTTGCCAACCGCGTTGAAGAACTTGGCTGCATCCCTTGGGAAGAGGGTGGCAGGTTCTCGAACGGGTGGGAGCTGGTGCAGCTGGGACAGAAGAGAGTCTGACTGGTATATCAGACGACTGCCAGCTTTCCACGAGCCGCGAGATGCAGCAGTCGCCCACCATCCGGGGTGATTTCCATCCCGGGTGTGCAAGAGTGGTGGGAATGACGATGATTGAGCCATTTCTTGATACATGTTAGCCTTTTTCGAGTCAACTTGTGGCGATACGTACTGGTTGGATCAAACGACACGTGATGAGATAGAACCCACGTTGATACCTACGTAGGAGCAGAGAAGGTTCACCTGGTTGGTCGATGACGCGTTAGATTGGTATAAAAGGAGACCTGATCATCTCGGAGGAACAAGAGCTTACTCGCAATACAAATCCTTGATATTCGGAATTACAAGAGTGTCGAAGCGAGGCGGGGGGAGGAAGAAAGAAAAGCCAAACGCGGTCAAGGTTTTGTTTGGGCGTGTTACGCGGAATGAAATATGCCATGGATAACAGATAGACATGCTTAGAACTATGTCCTACAATATTTAGCGACGGTGGCTTATGTTTCCAAGGTTCTTGACCAAAGAATTGAAGATATATACCATTTTCGAGGTGTATACTTCTCTAGTAATGCGGCTCTGCGGCTATAACCGCTCACGCCTTTATCCGCAAATCTACCCGCGAGTTTGCCCGTACTCGTGCACGCACAATCTTGACCGCCTTTGGCACCGCCTAGTATTAAATACTTGTATTCTGCCCTGCTTGCCTAACTAGTCCAGGGTAGTAAATAAAACGGTAAAGCAACCTTAAATCTTGAAAATTTAAATATTTAAATTTGTACATGCGTCGAGATGTAGGAACTAGGAGGCAAGAGCCAACCCTCTAGGGTGTTTGGCAATCACCAGAGAGTGCTCTATCCTTCAATGCCTCACATAATAGACCTCGTCTAATCATTAATCACCCTCTTCTTCAGCCTCATATTTCCAGCGACGATGGTTCTCCGGAATCCACCAATAAGCCACATGAGCCGCCTGATTGAGCCAAGTTGAAGCATCAACACCATGCCGCGCCTCAACATCCATAAACAGGCTCAGATAGTCTAGCTCTTCGTCAGGGTGGAGCTCGAATGGATCGGTAACAATATCAGTAAATCGCCACGGGGCATCTTCGACAAGAGGGACGACCAAACGGTACGGATTTACAGCGTCTCGCATGGAGAACCACGTTCCGCCGGGGTTCATGGTGGAGAAGTGCCATTCTCGCTTGCCATCTTGCTCTGGGATAAGCGGGCGGAGCATGGATTAGCCTTCAAATAGGGGAAGAAGGTCCTTGACTATCTGTAGAGACTCGCCAGTAAGAGAGGATAATTCGATTAGGAGATCGAGGATTGTGGGTAGTATTTGTGTTGAGACGACTGGACTGGTTACTTCGATTTGGGGAAGTTTAGGGTGGGAGAAGTATAATGGGACGTGAAAGTCTCCGACGTGGGGATCGTGGTTGGCTGTTACACCACCTTCGTTTGGAAGGGATATACCGCTGGGGCTGTTAGAGGAGTCTCGCACATGTGTGATGCAGGCTGGAGACTTACTGGTCACCGGCCATCACCAAGAGTGTCTCATCAGCTATTCCGGCCTCTTCGAGAATCTCGAGCATATCAGCAACCCACTCATCCTGGTAAATGATCGTGTTGAGGTAGTTGTTTATTGCCTTTTTGCGTCCAATCCATGAGCCATCGAGGATCCCTCCATATTCTCCAGGCTTGAAGTAATACTTTTTCAGAACTTTGTCTTCGTGGCCATAATTTGTCTCCTTCTCATTCTGTTCGGGGATGTATTTGCCCCAGCATCATTGATGAATTCCTATTCCATGACATCCTGAAACCCCATTGCTGTAGTATGCTTATACTGCATATCCCAGGTACCGTAATGCGACTGCATCCACTGTGTTTGCCACGGCCATGAAGTCCAATCATCTGCATCACTGCTGATGTTTGGTTGATAGCTGACTGCTTTGAGAATATGCGGCAAGCAGGGCTGGTAGAAATCGTGGTAGTATTCGAGGTTACCTTCGACCGCCATAGCACTGACACCACACACGGTGCCAGTCAGACTTTTCATGGTACATGTGCGGGCTGTAAAGGCATTGGTGGGACCGATGCCACCATAAGGCTTTGGGGGATCGGTGATATTTTCAAAGCCAGTCTCAACTCCGGTCAACCTTTGGGCGGTGGGGGTAAGTTTGGGAAGGTGTCGCTTAATTTCCTCCGGGATCTCGTCGTTGTAGGACTCTTTGATGTGGTTCATGATGTGGGAGCTAGAGCGGAAAGGCCACACATTTTGGCGAGTGCTTTCCAACTTGACAAGGACGATGTGTTTGATCTCCACACTTCCGTTGTGGAGTGCCTCGCGCATAGGCTCCAGGATATCGTTTTGAAGGTTAGGTATATGCAAAAGATCTTTCATCGAATTATAGTGTTCATTTTCATAGTCCTGGTGCGAAGCTGTGTAGGTCTTATTTTGGGGGAATGGAGACCAATCTGGAAAATTATCGGGGAATCCAAATTCGCGTAGCCAGTCAAATGTCGAAAACTTGTCCATGGCAATGTGTCCTTCCAACCAGCTGAAATCACCGGGCACCGATGCCTGTGGAACCTCAGTCATAATATTCAAGAGTCTTATTGGGCCAGTGTAAGGCACTGACGCCAGTAGTCGGCTATCAGGAGAACAAACGACAAACTCGCAATGAGGATCGGATTCGACTCCATCATAATATCCAAGTACTTGATCAGTTTCAAACCTATTTGCAAGATCCCACTCTACCAGTCCCTCAAAGGCTACTCCCGAGGTCTTTTCCTTCGATTCAGCGTTCAAATTGTGTCTTGCTTTGACTGTGGCGTTTTCCTATATTTAATTCTGCATCCTCGCACTCGTCCTCTTCATCAGTGTCCTCCAAGCCAATACTCGAGCGTTAATACATGGATGCAGGTAGAAGTACTTGTTTTGATAAAAACTTCGAAGATGGAATGGTCAGATGCAAGACCTGTCAGGACCGACTACCGCAGGGTATCGCACATAAGTGAGTATCAAAGCCCAACTTTACGCAGATTATCAAGCTTGGATTCCAACTCTCGCCCCTGAGCCTCAAGGTCCAGATACCCAAGCGCACTCTGCTCGATAATGCGCACCCACAGGTCCATATAGCCGTATCCCTCATAGAGGAACTTGCTGCTCTTTCTTGTTGACTCCAAAAGTTCAATAATAGGAAAGTCCATGTCCAAACTATTTCCATCAGAAAATTCACGTTAGGAGCTGGAAATGGGGCTACAATTATGGGGAAGAGAACTTACGGCTCGTTATACTGCGGCGGGCCCCTAATCGCCGACATCGCTAAATCCACGACCCGCCGGCCCAAATTCTGACCAAAGGACATTATCTGACCTATATTCCAGGCTCGACGAATAGTCGAATCGCGGACGCTGCCGTTAGAGCCAAACTCAGCCACGGTAATTTGCCCCGTGGCAAGCCCCGGCGAATTGATCACGTACCACGTGTAGTCTGGCCCATCGGCGAACACTACTGTGCTACTCCGGGTCATCGAGAGAGCGTGGAAATCCGCTGAGGCAAGGTACAGCTCGGAGAGGATATCGCTGAGTGTGATGGGCGTCGCGAGGTTAAGAAACTCTGGAATGTGGCAGCGCGGTGCATGCCCGCCCCCGCCCCGTCGAAAGGATGCCGTCTATACCATTTATCTTAACAGATATATAGTGTAATAAGGAAACAGATATATAGTGTAATAAGGAGCTTTATAAGATGGATGTAGTTCCGGTGGTGAGTTTGCGAGTCTATAGGTGGTAGACAAAGGAACCTCTTGTTAGGTCGTGGGGCTTACTGCGAGAGTAATAAAGCCGGGTAGTCGAGAGCTGAGGTATATACTAGGGCAAGGCTATGGTAAGAATATAAATTATAATTAGACCTCAAGTCATAGAAGCGAGAAATATAAGACGAAGAAAGATAGAGAGGGTGGAAAATCCTTAGAACTGGCTGTACAGACCTCGCGGAATTCCTAACAAGCGGTAGCCCATTTCTCAATTAGGGCTCGCCGTTAACGTAGCCATCTTCTGGGGTTGAGACTGGCTGGCCTTCTTCCTGCAGTTATGTACCTTTTAATACTACAGATGCTTATACGAGAGCATTCCTGCGGTATCCCCTTTACGAATAGCAGCCATCCCTTCGCTTCTTCCGGCAGCTCATCTCGGGATAAATCCGTCGGATGAAGGTGGATCTCGGGAATAGCCGCTGGCCAAGACGCGTCTGATGCCGACTGTGACATTTTGAAGTTTGATTTGTAGAAAAAAAAAAGTCAAAGGAAGAAGCCAGAGGGGCAGATGAATGAGGAGCCTTCCAACCGAATGCGCGTCGAAGTCATTATAAAAGGGGTTACAAGGTGAAACATGTGGATTTAGTCTCTGCCTAGTTCCATGTTCGGGATTTCATGCGGAAACTCCGGCACCTAGGTAGGCGCTATGGAAAAAGGGAACCATTTTATTTCATTTCATTTTCTGGGGCGGCGGGCAATTTCAAAGGTTTAGCTGCTTGGTTTCCTTGACAAATCAGAAGCTACTAGAGTAAAGGATCATTGTCTAAGCGAAATCCGCCAAATAGTGTGACCCTTGCTTGTTCCGCAGAGCCCTGTCGCTAAGCATTACCTACATGTACAGTGGGAGGACATAAGTTTTTGCCCCCTAGAGTATAAAGATATTTTTAATAAGGTACGATTGATATAAGATATATCTAAAATTATCTAGTAATGTAGTAAGGAAAATATGAAATTGTGATCCTAAAAAGTTAAGGGACCTACTAAATTCACTCGCGCTTTTACTAATTTCACTCCCCTTCCTGGAACTAAATGACTTATATTTACAGTCAACCCCCGCTATTACCACACCCTGATATCCAAGGGAAATCGTGCACATAAGTGAGGGAGTGCAAAAGTGAACAATGACGTATTTCCCCTATTGCCTATTTAGGCTTAGATGCCATCTCCTCCAAGGTCATCTGACGACTTTCCTGCAACTGGATTCGGCCAAAATTCTTTATTAAGGTGTGCAGCATATCCATATCCTCCGTAGACGCTGGGTTCTTATTACCAGCATATACCAAAAGCTCTTGGAGATGATTTACCGCAGTAGGATTTGATAGAATCTTAGGAGGTGGTAAATCCAGCTTTTCGGCCTCTGATATATACATCACTATCCACACTTGATTTACCTATTTCGTGTTTAGATTTGTGTAGAAATCACTCCGCACACGCTTACTATATCGGACTAGGATAAGTTTCGGACTAATAGACCCTTAATACTTACTTCTGTATATCTAATATGCCTGGTCGACCCTGTCTAAAGTAATGCACACTTTCTGATAGTTGATCGGATAATATGGAAGGGGGGTAGATCCTCAGGGGTAGGTGGGGCGGAATCCTCGAATTCAGGCATTTATATTGGTCGAAAGAGCTTAGTAAGCAGGGTTGAGATAACGAATTTTGCAGAGGTGAAATATGCAAAATTGTCAGATTTACTATGTAAAGAGGGATAAAAGTGGATCCATCCAAGCGAAAGGTGTGGTAATACCGCGGGGGCTATAAGCGAGGTTTGACTGTATTCTGCCGCGACTTCGATACTATATTTATCCTCTGCCTACTTAAGTCTGTGGAGATGAATGAAGTTTAGCTACTATATGTAATAATATAATAAATTCAATAGTATTGGAGTATATGGGGTCAGCTGACCCCCTCCGTTTGTCAGCGCGTGCATGTGTTTAGCTAGATCTCTCTCTCTCTCTCTTCTCTTTCTCTCCTCCATACCTCTCGGAATACAGATCTTGTCCCTTTCTTCTGTTTCCACGCTACTATGTAGCCCTTTCTTCCCCTGGACAGCAGATCAGCTGCCGACAAATAGTAAGAATTAATTTTACTTTTTAACGCTATTTGATCTAATCTTATTATCTTTTTATCTACTTCCTTTAGTATAGGGAGGAAGATTTAATAAAAGACTTAGAGCCCACTAGGTCTTAGACCTTATCTCCTACTACATCGCCTACTTAGTCTCCTACTTAGTCTCCTACTTAGTATTCTACCTTTTTTCATACCATGTTAATCTAACAGTCAAAGGTCTCCCTAAATTCATAAATGGTAGAATGAAAGATAGAGAAAAGAGAAGAGGAGAAAAATGGGTAGAAGGAGAAGGGAACATATATCCAAAAAGTCTGCGATATACCAAAGTGAAAGAGGGGTAGACAAGCGCAATGAACATAAGTAACTTAATTTTTTGGGCGGGGAGTGAAATTAGTAAAAACGGGAGTGATTTTAGTAGGTCACAAATTTAATAGTATTATATTTATTGGTGACCTCACGCAGTCAAGAGGAGCAAGAAGAGTTTAGTTTGGCCGCAACGGGTTACCTGTCGCTGCGGTCGTAGACCGCGGCGTCAGATAGGCTCCCCCCGCGCTCCCTTGAAGGGAGGCAATGTGTCTGTATTGTAGTGGATTCTATATACAGAGGGAAGGTGGGAGGGACAAAATTGACACTTGACTGCCTGAGAGATGACGAGCTACCCGCAGAGGCCATCAACTGACTCTCGTGAGGCAGTTGTAGGAGGAAGAGGCCCTCGGAAATGTCGGTGTCTCTGAACACGTAATCAGGGTCGAACAGCATGTACCAATGGTATGGGTCACGTCTGTGTACTTGTCTGGTCTTCTCTAGTCTCCACCACAGCAATTTAACATGTGGTACGCTGACTAATAAAGTTGATTACATGATCCATTGTTCCGACACACCCCTTCAGCTTTGGCAGTCCTGGCAAAGCTGCGCAGTTGCCATAAATGGTCACTTGAATCATTCAAAGCTTCTCAGAAGCAACAAAATAGACACAATTCCTTCAGAACTGCGATCTTTTCAAAACAGCCTCTACTTACTAATTAGGCAAGTATGACTTATTTTTCTTCCTCAATAAGATAACGCACGTCCGTCAATCCCAGCATCCTGACAAAAGCTTCATGCTTCTGCCTCGGTAGCATCTTGGTGAGTCCGTCCGCGAGCATCTGCGCGGTTAGTACCCACTTGATCCGCACCCTACCTTCCTTGACTTCTTGTCTTAGCCAGTGCCCGTGAATATCAACGTGCCTGAGCTTAGTATCGAAGAGGGTATCCTCTGCGTTGATCAAGTCCACCGTACGGCGGTTGTCATACTCGATTATGAGACCCTCCGGATATTTAAAACCAATCCTTCCAAATAGACGATCCCACCACTATAGTGACCTTCCTGCGTCTGATAGGCCTAATAACTCAGCCTCCATCGTCGACGTGGTCACGGTCTTCTGCTTAGTTACCCTCCAGTCCACCGGTCCACCGAAGAACTGGCAAATATATCCTGCAGAGCTAGTCCGGTCACCCATATCCCCATACGAAGCATCTGATGAGAACTTCACCACTTCGCTGTCGTTGTCAACTGGACCGTATTGTATAGCCCAGAACCGTGTGGTATAGAGGTAGCAGATTAAGCGCTCAATTGCTTAGTGGTGCTTCGGACCAGGGTTGGTCAGGAACTATGCGCAGATAGACGCTCGCTTTGCTGCGTCCGCGTGGGTAATCGTGGTACCATATTAAACTGAGCCCACTCGCTGCTAATATTGGTGGATGCTTTCGGCTATAGCTTGCCCGTCGTATGGCTCTAGGATCTCCGTGGTTCCCGGAGTCCAGACCGGAGCTCGGTGAGCCAGGTTAAACCGCTCAGCAACACTAGCAAAATAGCTGTCCTGCACTAGCCAGAGCTTTCTCTCTTTGCGATTTCGTAGGATTCTGATCCCTAGAAACCACTCAGCGTCCCCTTGGTCAGTCAGCTGCCAATTCTTCTCGAGTTCCCGTTCTAGCTGCTGAGCACGCTCGCGGGCAGTATAGTGGCCGGCGATTAGGATATCATCGACGTAGAAGAATACGATAATCCCATCCCCAACAAAAACACACGGATCCTCGGCAACCTATTATAAACCAAGCTCTCTCAGTACACGCGCTGCGTCTCGCTGCCAAAGTCGTAGAGCAATTCTCAGTCCGTACAGCGCCCGTAGCAGCTTCCAGCACTTGCCCTAAGTCATAAAACCCTCGGGCATCAGAGTGTATACTTCTGTTAGGAGCTTGCTGTTTAGGAAAGCGTTTACCGCATCTCACTGTCGGATATCTAAGTCGTACGCTGCGCTCAGGGCAAATAGCATACGGGCAGTTCTGGCTGCTAGTGTGGCAGCTCGCTTATCTGCGTCTAAGATCGTCTGGAGATCCCCACGTACGCAGATCCTGGCTTTGCACTTAATCAAGAACCCATCTTGATCAAATTTATAAGCATATACCCACATGAGGGGCAGTACTTATATCCCACGATCCTTTAGCCTTTCCACGACTTTGTACGTCTCTTTAGCCTGTAGTCCGTCTAATTCAACCCTCATAGCTCGGCTAAAACCTTCGCTCAATGGGTATTTCCAGACGTCTCGGAATCGTTGTGGTGGAGGTAGTAGGTCATCTCAATGCTGCCGTAGCGACGGTTTTGGTACTAGAAGACCGGTAGCAAACGCTTATAAAGTAGTTGTTGTGGTATCGTCGCCGTTGTCGTCATCGATAAACATGGTATTATAGGCGTAGTCTCGGTCTCGTCTCGATATTCGCACCCTCGGTCCCTGGATGATATTGCTGGTATCCACAGCTGCATAATCGCGATCTTAATCCTTAGGCAATGACCCTGCCAAGTCGTTCTTGGCCGATGTCGTACGATCCTCTTACTTAACGCTCTCCTATAGGGATAGCTGTAATTAGTCCTAGAGTTGATCCTCCGGGCTCGGTTCCCGTAGTGATACTGGCGAAACAGGCGTCTGATCTATTTGATTATGGTCCTGAGCGAGACGCTTAGGATCATCCCTCACCCCTTAATCAGTAGTAGTTTCCGCAGAATTGCTTCTAACTGGATAATCCGGTGGTGGGGTATGATCAATTAGGGTTTTGTGTATAAAAACTTGATCTTATCCCGAGTATGGTATTATCGTCTCCTGTGGTTCTCTAGATCCTCCAGATTCTTGATCCTGTATGACGTCTATATCATCCGCATCTCTTGCTCTATAGGACCGTCCCGGAGAGCTCCCTTCTAGGGTACTCTCGGGAATACTCGTACGAGTAGTCTATTTGTCGAGACCCTATCGAATACAGTCGACCTCTAGTCCTTCCTCTATGATTGTGGGAGGATAGTCCTCTAGAACTGGTAGCTTTACCCCTTCATCCGGGTCATGGTTCTCTGCCAAAAAACGTCGGTTTTCATCAAAAACTGCGTCTCGGACCATCCTGACCTGACCACGGTGCGGTATCCAGATTTACTAGATATTCGAGGCCACATAGCCAACGAGATATCCTATCTCAGCTCGTGACTTTATTTTGTCAAGTTTCGGGATATTGGGGATCCTGCAGTATACAAGTGATCCATACAATTTGATATTCGCAAGCGACGTCTTTATAGGAGTATTGATAGGAGTACCCTCGGTACCCTGGTTAAACCTAATAAAGCGCCGTACTTCATCCCATGGAACTATCTAAGTCCCATCTTCTAATCTCGTAGGCGTACGGTTCAGCAGGTATACTGCCGCTTTTACTGCTTCTGGCCATAGTTTATTGGGTAGTTTTCCTTCCTTTAGAAGCGCTCTCGCTCTAAGGATAATCACACCTCCAGCATACTCACCCGGACCGTTCATCTCAGGCGTATACGGGACTATAAACGTGTGAACACACCCCAGCTGCTTAATTAGTAGTAGAATACTCTTATTAACTAATCTCTCATTATTAGAGTGGAACACCTTAATCGGCAAATTTAGCCAGCGAATAGCGAAAGCGATAAAGCTTCTGATCGCTTCCTGGCACCCGTTTTTGTTCACATGGGTCATTAACCAGTGGAACCGGATACCCTTAACGTAGAAATAGGTTATCTAGCAGTACTGATTATATCCCATAATGACCTAAATTAGGTCAAAGTAGACCCTCCCGCACCGTCCGTAGTGCTTACCTATCGGTCTCCGCGAGACCTGTCGTGGAGCGTTAACCAAGCTACAGACCGTACAAATTTCATCATCCGGTCACTCTTCCCCATCCTCCGTGCTTCGTATAACCTCAACTCCACTGACCAGTCTCAGTAGTTACTAAATTACTGCCTTCGAGACATGGCTAAATCGTTTATGCCACGTATTAGTATTAGCAGACGATTTCAACGGTTTCTCTGATCGTCGGGTAGCAAGTGCAGTTTTATGCTAGGTGTTGTTTTGGGTCTTAATCGTAGTCGTACGACCCTCTGTTTTCGGCCGAAAAACTGTACGTTCATCCCGCGTCTATTAGAACAGATAAATATCATATTCTCGGTAGGTCTCAAGAATAGGTTAATCTCCAATCATAATCCTTCCTTGCTTTATATCCCACCATCCTCCATAGTCCTCTATCCTACCTAAGGAAACCAAATTGCAGTGAAAATCTGGAGAATAACGGCAGTTATACAGGTTAACCACACACAATCTACCAGTTATAGGATCCCTTCCGGTGAAGGTTGCTGTACCGACTCCAGCAATTGCGGTCCGATTATCACCCGTACGGAGATACGAGGGGTCTTCCTTATACTCGGTAAATTCAGTCCGGTCGTTGTATACGTGTACGCTTACTCCGGTATCCAATACCCATTGGTCTCGGTACTTAGTATCAACTTTAGTTGATAGGGCGACTGTGGCAAAGCCAACGTGGGCTAAATTTGCTGATCCAGACGGTTTTCCTACCAAGTCAGGTGAGTTCTTGATCTGGTTTTCGGCCCAGACCTTCCACTCTGGTTCCTTTTTAAATGACTTCTTCAGCGCTTCGGAGGCCTTTCGTAGGCCCATCCACCCATCCGGTCGTTAGTCTTTATTCAACACCCAGCACCGGGTGACCGGGTGTTTCATGCCACAAGGGCAGTAGCTCCGGTCCTAAAATAGTCCAGTTTTCCCGTCTTTTCTGTCGGTTCTAGAGGTTTTAGCCTCTACTTTACCCTGCCAGGTCGATATGGCAAATGCTGCTTTAGATATAGAATTGGTATTCTTCTTAGTAGTCTCGGAATATGATATAGTATAGGAGGTACGGAAGGACTTAATCAGATCATTTATCTTGATTATATTACTTCTTAGTACAATATCCTAGAACCGAGCTTCCCACCAGACCGGTAGGATGTCCTTTACAGTATATAAAAACAGCTGCGGATGCTGCGCAGTGTCACTCTCCACTTTTAGGTTGACCGCTTCATCACGTATCAGCTCCTACTCTTCTAGCCAGGATAGTACGTTTTGACCCTTCTTTGGTGGTCGTACGCACCCTTCTGCCCAGCGTAGCAGGACTTCATTCTGGTGAGACTTTGTGTGTGAGAAGCGCTTCTTAAGAAAGCTAATCTTCTTGTACGGAGTCTCAAGATCATCTATAAGACGGTGTAGCTTAGTATCTGTTGACGCAGTGATCACGAACTCAACTGATTGTAGGCCGTTTTCCACCTTCTCATACCTTTTAAGCTCCTCTTTGTAATCGTCATGGTCGTAGCTATACTCCATCTGACGATCCTTAAACTCTTCCCTTAGGGTCTTGGCTACCTCTGTAGTTGCCCCTCGTGGGATATATAACCGCGGTCGTGCGGGGGCCTGCGGCTCCTCCAGCACTTCCGGGGCTGGTTTCTCAGGATTGCAATAATCCCATACTTTCCTAGTCTTGGCAAACTGCTTCATCGCAGAGTACCAAGCTGGCCAATGAGAGCTGTTTTTCAGCTTCTCACCCTTCCATTGTGAGACAGATACCGTGGGGTCCATCCTTAGTTGGTTTCAAATGGCTTTCAATCCTTTCTCAATTGTCGTGTTCTTCGGAGGGGTTGACGCGGCAACTTTGTTGTCGTCGTCAGTGATCTCAGGGGTAAACAATCCTGTCGTCGCAAGTCGAGGAGAGCTTCTAGAACGTATATTCAATCAAAATATCACGGTAGGAGAGATAATCCGGGCTCATAACTCTCTGAACACGTAATCAGGGTCGAACAGCATGTACCAATGGTATGGGTCACGTCTGTGTACTTGTCTCGTATTCTCTAGTCTCCACCACAGCAATTTAACGTGATTCACGGTCTCCCGGGCGACACTGCCGGTCGGGCGGCCCCATCAAAATCCCTCTTCATAATAAAACATGTTTATTAACCACAACAAAAATGCCTCCCCAACGCTCCGATCGAAAAAAAAAGTTGATAGAGCAGGAGCGCCGTCTTGTATTAGCTATAAAAGCTATAAAAGATGGTAAATATCTCTCTGCTGCAGCTGCTGCACGATCATTTGATTTACCTGTCTCAACTTTGAAGTATCGGCTTAATGGGCGTGAATCTTTGGCTGAGAAGAGACCAACTGGCTATATTTTTACTGAAATCGAAGAGCAATCAACGGAAGACTGGCTACTTGATATGGATGCTAGAGGTGCTGCTCTCACGATACCTATGTTACGTGATATGGCCAATCTCCTACGAAGTGCCCAGAAAAATACCCCCTCGACTATTGGCGTCAATTGGCCTACTCAATTTATCAAACGACGCCCAAATCTCTCTATTCGACTTTCACGCAAATATGATTATCAGAGAGCTCTTTCAGAAGATCCTAGAATCATTAAACCATGGTTTGATTTGGTTCAAAAGACTATTGAAAAGTGGGGTATTGTTTCAGATGATATCTTCAACTTTGATGAGAGTGGTTTTGCTATGGGTATTGGCGCAACGCAAAAAATTATCACTTCCGCGGAATATCATGGAAAAAGAGTTCTTTTACAAGCTGGAAATCGAGAGTGGGTAACCACAATTGAGTGTATTCGAGCTTCTGGAAGTGTTATACCTCCGCTCTTCATTTTTAAGGGAAAAAAGTTTCCAGAGCATCTACGTCCCTATCTCCTTTTAAACCAAAAAGGAACTCATCTGACTATGAGTGAAAATGGCTGGACTACTAATACAATTGGTTTATGGTGGTTAAAACATCATTTTATCCCAAATATTGGGACAAGAGTAGGAAAATATTGCCTATTAGTCCTCGATGGTCATGGGAGTCATTTGACCCCCGAATTTGACCAAGTTTGTGAAGAAAACCAGATTATTGCAATCTGTATGCCTCCGCATGCTTCTCATCTTTTACAACCTTTGGATGTGGGTTGTTTTTCAGTTTTGAAGAAGCTTTATGGAGGAGCGGTTTCAACCTTGATGCGGAATGGAGTGAACTCTATTGATAAGGAAGATTTTCTTGAACTTATCGCTGATGCGAGAATTGGTGCTTTTAAGACTTCTACTATACAAAATAGCTTTTCAGCTACTGGATTAGCACCATTTGATGCTAATAAAGTCTTGGAAAAGCTAAATGTGCGCCTGGATTCCCTTCCTCCTCTCGATATTGTCTCACAGCGACCACTCTCTTCCGGCAGTGATAGTGATCCAAATACTCTCTGGACTCTCTCAAAATTCACAAAATCACAATCTCGGATCAAAAAAGGTCTAGAATCTTCTTCTTCAATCCTCTCTTCACCAACAAAAAGAGAGCTTCAGAAGACCTATGATATGACTATCAAAGTGGTCCACCACCATATTTTTCTCCAGAATCGCTGTACCCAATTAGAGGCTACCAACAAGAAACAGACAAAAAAACGAGAGACCATACATAAGTTTACTACCCAGAAAGGTATCTTTGGGGGTCTAGAGAGTGGTAAAGATGATGTGGTTTATGAGGATGAAGATAATGGTAAAGATATATATTTGCCGGAGGTATCTACAAGAGCGGTTGTTGAGCCTACTTTACCTTCTATGCCTTCGGTTCGGCGGCATGTGACATGTTCTGGCTGTGGGATAAAAGGTCATACATATCCTGGATGCCCTTCACGTGTTTATTAGCAAAATTTTGAGTTATTTGATGGTTTTAGTGGTAGTTCAAAATTAATGATTTTTCGAAGTTTGGTGGGGTCGCTCGCTCAACCGGGTCGCCCGCGCAACCGGACTTCACGTTAACATGTGGTACGCTGACTAATAAAGTTGATTACATGATCCATTGTTCCGACACCTCATTATTATCCCAGCAACCGGGATATTTCAACATGGTCTGTCTAACCCGCATGCGGGTTGCGGGTTCTGATGGGAAACCCGCGCGGGTTTATGGGTTACCCAATGGGTCGTCAAACAGGACAAACATAGAAATAGCCCTCTCTGCATAAATAATGTAGTACTTTTGAGTATTTTACCGCTCCGCACGAACTTTCGAATTGTTCGAAGTTCGCGAATTTTGACGATTCGAATCGAATTCGAACTTTGCTTTTCGTGCTTCGAATCTATGGGCGATTCGATTCGTCAAAATTCGCGAATTTCGAACAGGTTCGCGAACCAATGTCTAGTGTTCGAGGTAGTGGCTCCGCTCGTGCTGCCAGCCATAACCTCAACAACTGTGACCGTTGTGTCCATTGGATTCGAATGGTGTTTTTAGTACGGCTTATGATATACATTAAGAGCTCTAAATATATTGAATCAGGTATGGAATTTCACTCGTATGTTTGCCAGAAGAAACCATAACTATGTAATTATTCAGACTTCCAACGTGCGGCATCTTTCAGCCTTAATAAGGTCCCAAGGGTCTTACCTTTCATGGAGAAACGTCGAATTCCCAACACATCTCTCCCGCCATTGAATAATCTCTCGATATCTACCTCTGCTGCTGGTATAGCAAGGTGATCTTGTGCTACCTTAGCCATGCAACTGAATTCAAGCCTGTTTGCATTCCACCAGTTTCGTATAAATTCGGTCTGGCTCTGGCTCATATCGAAACCAGTGCTGATTGTCGGAGTATCGAAATACTTATCAATATCAGACTCAGCGGCGTTAGCCTGTGTAGGCTGAAAGGCTTCCAGAAATCGATATTCGAAGCTCTTCCAATTGGTGCTTGTAGTAGTCAATATTGGCTGTTTTGGGGTGGAATACGCTTTCTCCGAAAATGCCCGGATTCGGCCAATGATCCTCTCTCCATCTGGTAACGTTTTGAGCCACTTGGTCTTAATTCGCGGATCCAGAACGCTTGCGATATAGTATATGTCGTTGTCTTTGACGCAGTCATGGTACTTATCCAGGAGGGTAATTCCATCGGACACCGGAACGGTCATTGCTGGTGAGACCTTCTGCCACTCGCCTCGGCGTTCTTTGATAGCGAGGAGTATAGAGCGGAGCTCTGCAAACATACGCGCTGCCATATGGATTGATGGGCTATCTCGAGAGACGTACTCGGTATATTCGTTGAAGGGAGCCAGAACTTTCTTGATATCCGAGAGCTGTCTCCAGTCGTTAGGTGTGAGACGCAAGGCTTCAATATCTGGGTCATCATTGATCGTATCTTCGAGCTGCCGGCGACACTCTTCAGCTCTCACAATCATAACAAAGGTAGAGTTCCAACGAGTATCAACATCGTAGTTGATAGCTTTTGTACAGCCAGGTCGATTATCCCACTTCTGTATTCGCTGAGGGGATCGCGCAATCCAAAGGACAATTAGTCGAAGCTTTGCGATCGGCGAAGTAGGAGCGTTGACCGTCTTCCAGCTCCTTTTAGCAACATCATCCAGGAGATCGCAGGCTTCCTTATGTGAACTAGCGCGTAGAGACCTCAATATGGTTTTCATAACCAAGTTCAAGATGTGAGCAAAGCAGCGAATTTGGGAGTTGTGGGTAAATTTCATCGTCCCTTCTCGGATAATGGTCTCGGCGAGGTACTCATCGTACCGCCGAGACAGCTTTTGGTAAAGATATCGGTGTAAAGTATCGTTATTAGACGCGTTGTCAGCTGTAATCGTCATAACTTTATCAGATATATGAAACCTCTCGAGAACCGTCGCAACGATATTAGCAAGGTTCTCCCCAGAGTGGCTGCCTTCGATTTCAACGAACTCAATACAAGCTCGATATTGCTGGAAAGTAGAAGACATCCAGTGGGCATTAATTGCCAGCATTGGCAATGAATTCTGACTTGTCCAACCATCCAGAGATAGCGCGATGGAGGATGCTGAAGACATCAAGATTCGAAGTTCACTGTCAAGAGCATCAAGCCGAAGACATAATCGGCGCGACACAGTATCCGCACTTGGTACGGAGTCCTGGAATCCGGCAGACCTCAACATAGCCTTGAATGAAGGCTGTTCGACGCATGTAAATGGTTGGCAGGTTGATACAATCCAATTTAAGACAGCTTCTTCGAATGGGAGCTTCTTTTCCTTGGAAATCCATGAGCTTAACGATCCTTGGCACTCTGAATGGCCGTCCTGGAAGAGCTTGTGGGTATGCTGCAGGTGTTGTTTCAACGCTGTGGTTGAAGATCGTAGTTTCGACGCAAATCGAAAGAATCGGCAGGTGGATGGCGATACAATACACAGGTGTTTAAGCTCGGACCGCTCCTTATTTCCTAATCTCCATGTACCAGATTCAGGTGTCGTAAGGTAGTATTTCCAAACCCAGCTCCGCTCTTTCGATCTAGTCTCATCTGTCTGCTTGATTTCGACCCTCTCTACCGAGCATTCGACCTGAGATATTGATTGCGAAGGGCGTATGTCCGTATCAAGGTTCGATAAACTCGTAGAAACATTGCTTGGAGCCGTAGGAGGCGTTGAAATCGGAGGAGTCAGCGACTTAAGGGCGGACCGGACCGCCGTCTTCTTTCGAGGAGGCGGAAGTGGTATGTCTTCTGCAAGAAGGCCATACTTATTAAGCGCCGCATAATCGCGTTTATTCTTCCTAGTATTAGGACAGTCAAATGTCGCAGCAAGTGGAGAAGTCATCTGTAACGTTATATTAGTATATCAGGCTTATGTCTTGATCGATTGCTTACCCTCGAGCACCCAGATGTGATGTTTATCTGTAGCTTTTGAACCCGATTTGGACGTTGTTTTTGGTAAAAGCACGTACGCGCGAAGACACTTTTCTTGTGGAGTCTCCGCTAGCCCAATTAGACTACCCATTTACTGTTCATCGAATACGATATACAAATATTGATATTTTGACTCTATATTGATATCTTACGTGTATCTTAGTATAGTATATCAGCTCATATAATTTGACGCAAACCAGATCACGAATAAGATTGTGGGCGTTTTGAACAAGCTGAGGAGTAGAATATATATATTATTTGGGTGGAGGTTTTGGTCGAAATGTTGCATCTGTTGATACTGCCCTACAGCTTATTCATCTCAAGGCCAAATCGTTTAATTTTACTTTTAGACTAAATCTAGCCTACTTACCTCAGTATCCAACTACTAGTTAACTGATAATTAGCTACCTGTATGAGGTGTTGATTGCTGGCTACATATCGTATTGAACGACAGGCGTGATTGACCGCCTTCCCAATAAGGTTTAGAACCAAGAAGTTCGCGAACTTCGAATCGAATTCGAATCGGTCTTGAATTCGAATTCGTACGAATCGTTATTTTCAATATTAATTCGAATCGAATCGAATCTGGCAAAAGTTCGATTCGATTCGATTCGTGCGGAGCGGTAGAGTATTTTTGAGTATTCCTAGTACAGCTTTGTAGTTTTCGCAATAGAATCTTAATTCATGAAATCTTGATTTATGAATCACTCAAGTAGATAGAATATAAAGAGAATATATTAAATAAATGGCTAATCATATAGGAGATCACTATCTTCACGTCTAACACGCTTACGCACTCTCCCTGATGTGCGTTTTTGAGTATCTACCCCTTCCATCATAGGTAAATCAGGCGAATCATGCTCACTGTGGTCTTCAGGTTGTTGTAGTTCAGAGGTGTGAATTGTCTTGTTTTTTTATTTGAGAGGGAAGAATAAGGCTATATATACAACGAGAAGATCAAGTTGATTGGAAATCAACTTGGTTCTTCGTATACATACTTCGGGATTAATTCCGGTGGTTCGGCTTGGTTCCTGATCTGCACCAGCCTTATATCACAACATTCCCCCTCAGGATCGCTTTGCTGGCAGGGCGATTCTGGAATGGCGCAGAGCAGTCAGGCCTCGGTAAAACCACTGAAAAACCTTCGCGGGAAAATAAGTGGAAAGAGCGCCTGCGCTGTCACGCGTTTTGTCTCGAAACCTCTGGAGCATCGACTCCTAAGAGACTACAAAATCTGGCAAAGGCCGTAGGTCCCAATGGCTTGGTGAGACCGTCCGCGGCCTGTTCCCCAGTTGGAATATATTGAAGCCCAATCTCGCCTGTATCCAGCACGGCTCGCTGATAGTGAAATTTTACATTGAAATGCTTCGTGCGTTTGTGGAATTCAGGGTTGCGAGAGAGAGCGATGGCGGACTGGTTGTCAGCCATAATGTTAGTGACCGGAGACCGATACAGTTGCGTTTCAGCCAGAAAGGTGCGGAGCCACTGGAGATGCAGAATGGCATTGTACTGTCCGATGTATTCGGCATGAGTTGTAGACGTGGCCACTTCCCCCTGTCTCTTGGATGACCAGGAAACTGGCGCACCTGCAAGTTGGAAAACATAGCCAGACGTTGAGTATGCACCGTCAGTGACGACGGAGCCCCCAAAGTCGGCGTCCGTGTACCCGATCAACTGCCCACTGCGGTAAGTAATGCGATGAGATTGCGTGGCTTTGATGTAGCGAAGCAATCGCTGCAGAGCGACTTGGTGTTGCGATTGCGGCTGAGACGTGAAGCGACTCAACATGCCCAGCGCAAATGCAATATCTGGTCGCGTGCCAACCATTAGATACATTAACGAACCGATGGCAGTCGCATAACGAGCTTTTGCTTCCTCGTCCGGAGGTTCCTCCTCTGGACGATGATTCAAGATTTGCTTGGGATTCATCGGCGTAGACTTCGGCTGACAAGTCTCCATGCCAAAGTCGGAGAGCACCTTCTGGATGTACTGGTGTTGGTGAATAGATACGGACCCATCGACATCATAGTCGAACTGGATCCCGAGGAATGATCGAGGGGTGCCCAGATCGTTCAGTCGGAACTCTGTTTGCAAGGCTCGTTGCACTTGTTTGATTTCGTGCGTGTTTGTCGCAGCAACAAGAAAGTCATCGACATAGACACAAACGACGCAATCCGGTTTGTAGAACACACAATTGTCCGATTGGGCCATAGTGAAGCCATGAGAAGCCAGAACGCGGTGGACGCATTGGTACCAAATCCGCGGAGCCTGCTTCAGTCCGTATAGTGAGCGGCGCAGTCGGCATACGTATCCTGGCTTTTCGAAACCTTCAGGTAACTCCATATAGATAGACGAATCGACGTCTCCATGGAGAAATGCGGTGACCGCGTCGAATTGGTGGAGTTTCCATCCGCGCAACACGGCGCTGGCGACGATGCAGCGGACCGAGTCCATCCTGGACACAGCAGCAAACGTTTCGTGATAGTCGATGCCATGTTTCTGCCGGTAGCCTTTGATAACCAATCGCGCTTTGCGCATTCCGTTGGCCTTGGTCTTGAAGACCCATTTGCAGCCAATCACATGATTTCCGGCTGGGAAGTCCTCCCGCCGAACCTTTTCCCATGTTCCGTGTTCGAGAAGCGACGCATATTCTTTCTGGATGGCGGCCCACCAGTCCAGCTGGTCTGGGCCTGATACAGCTTCGCGAAAGGTCGCCGGGTCGACTTGTCTGGCCGGTGCGGGATTCAATGCGCCGGCAGAGTACACCTTGCCGAGTGATTCCAGGAGACGCCGTGATGGTCTTCTTCTGCGACCAAAAATCGAATATCCAAGATCCGATGTCAGGTCAGTGCCTTGTTGGCTTGGATTGACCACTGGAGGTGTCTCCTCCTCACGCTCAGATGGCGTTTTCTCTCGCTCCTTCGGCGGAGGTAATGGCGATGCAGGTGGTGTTGGCAGCCCGCTGGCTGAACTTGGCATTGATGAAAAGACAGGTGATGGAGGAGCATTGTCCGGGAGGTCGTTGCCTGTTTCCCCCTCGATGAGTGGCGCCACTGGGGTCCTCTCATCGAACTCGACATCACGGGAAAAGACTGTCTTTCCTGAATGGATTTCATAGAGCTTGTACTGATTCGGTTCACAATAGCCTAGCAGTCGGCACTCGGATGATCTTGGTCCGAGTTTGGCTCGATGCTCTTTGGGGATCAAGACCCATGCACGGGAGCCGATCCGTCGCAGATGCAAGAGCGAGGGCGGTTCCCCGTATAGAATTTCAAACGGTGTCTTCTTCCGTAAGATCGATGCTGGTGCACGCAGCTTCAAGTAGACCACTGTGTCTACAAGCTCGATCCACCAGGAAGGAGAAAGGTTCGCATCGGACAGGAGCGTGTTGATCCGCTCCCGGATAGTACGATTAGTGCGTTCGGCCAGCCCATTCTGCCCTTTGCAGTATGGCGGCGAGGTGTCGAACTCAACTCCCTGGGATTCGAGATGTGTTCCAATTGGCAGATACTCTCTCCCATTATCGGTGAGGAATCTTCTGATCTGGGCGCCGAACTGTCGGTGCACCCAGGCCTCAAAATGTTGGAACTTCGGGAGCGCTTCATGCTTCCATCTCATGGCATAGGCCCACGAGCCACGAGAATAATCATCAGTAAAGGTGATCACGTACCTGGAGCCATCTTTGGCCATCGGCATCTCCATGATGTCCGAATGGATCAATTCGAAAATTCTCGTTGAATGCAGACGTGGCCGTCTTGCGCGGGAGTTCCTCTTCTGATGCTGCTTACCCGACATGCACGCCGGACACTGCGGCGTTGCCAGCAGCTGCGCCTGCGTCAGCGGTCGGTACGGAGTGCCGGTCTGCCGAAGGACCACCCTCAAGTCGCCCCGGTTCAGATGTCCCATCCGAGCGTGCCACAACGCTTCGGAGGCCTGGTCCACTCCTGTGCACACATCTTCTTCGAGTATCACAGCTTCACCACCGAGTTCAGAGGTTGGCGCTGTACATTCTACGCCACTTGACTCCCGAGGATCGTCAACGTCCATGGCCACCGCCTGCGGTTCCAGGGAATCTGCATGGTCATGGGTCGTCGGCGCCCTCGCCAGTTGGACTCGCTCTCGAGATCTCTTGCTCACATGGCACCGCAGGATCAGTAGATCCTCCTCCGCGTGGTAGGCGGTCCCCACGGTTCGTCCTCGGCGTTGCACAAAGACGTTCTGTGGGTGCGCCACCACCGAGTAGCGGTCTCGCAACAGCTTCGGCACGCTGATCAGGTTCATCCCGACGCGTGGCGCAAAGTACACGTTCTTCAGCACCAGGGGCTGGTTGAACTTCCCCCGGAGCGTGAGCTTCACCGTACCAATCCCTTCGGCTTCCACTGGATCGCCCGCCGTGTCCAACATCTCGCGGTGGGGCCGCAGACTGCTGAAGCAGCTCCGGTCCCAGCAGATGTGGCTGGTGGCGGCCGAGTCCAGGATCCACCGGGGTTGCGGTGCGTGGGTATAAAGGGTCGTCACCCTCGCCCTCACGATATTGATCCTCGGTCTCTTGGAAGTCGGCGGGCCCTGCCAATCTTCCACCTGGCTTGATGGTATCTTTTGTAAGTTAGTTCTTGGTGAGCCGGAAACACTCCTCTCAGCCTTCAGGGCATGGTCCCTAGACGACTGTCCTTCTCGCTGTTTCTTCCAGCACTGCGCGACCACATGGCCGCGCTTTTTACAATAGTTGCATTTCTTGGCAGTCTGCTGCACCGTATTGACAGACGGGCCAGATGCTGCCTGCAAGGGTGTTGGAGCTTCTTTTCTCCGAACCGTCTGCTCAGCATTAGACAGACGATTTCCGATCGTGGTCGGATTCACCGGATCCTTGTCATTCTGAATGGCATCCACAACTAGAATGTATTCCGGTCCGATCTGCGTCAGTAAGATCGCAATGTGCGTTCGATCGCCAATGGATCCGGGCACGATAGCATTCAATCGATGTACGAGCAACCGTACCCGATCGACAAATTCGCGGGCACTGCCGCAGCGCTCGCCAGTGGTTTCACGAAGCTGCGCAAACAACTCGCAGAACGTGGCCAGTTCCATTCGCCGGTACCGTTCTTCGAGTTCATTCCAGAGGTCGCGAGACGTCTCAAGTCCCGCAACATGAATGCTAATGTGGGGGGACAGATACCGGAAAATGGTGTGGTAGGCCTCAGCTTCGCGGCGCGACCATTCACGGTGGCGCTCGAATGCCTGGACCTCCACTTCGAGGCGCGCCTCAATGGCGCGCTGTCTCACCGCCCCCGCGAGGTGCGGTTCCACCAAAGGATGAATGTCTGCCGTAATAGGCTTGGCGTACTTGAACAAGCAGTCAGGACGCTGGAGGTCGCCCGACACAACATCCCAGACCTGCCTGGCTTTGAGGTAGGAGGTCATAAGACGTTTCCAGGTTGCGTAATTATCGCTTCCTGTCAGAGGCTCGATGGCCGTGACGGCTCGGTCCGGAGAGTCGTGAACCAGAGCAGACATAGTGATGACTGCGAAAGCGGGGTAGATATATAATCACGATGGTTAAGATAATTTTCGGATGAGTAGAGATGGCACCCGAGATTTTGCTTCCGGGCTCATAACCTGTTGTAGTTCAGAGGTGTGAATTGTCTTGTTTTTTTATTTGAGAGGGAAGAATAAGGCTATATATACAACGAGAAGATCAAGTTGATTGGAAATCAACTTGGTTCTTCGTATACATACTTCGGGATTAATTCCGGTGGTTCGGCTTGGTTCCTGATCTGCACCAGCCTTATATCACAACACAGGTGATTCAGACCTTTGAGTCTCCTCTTGCCCTTGTGTATCCTCTTCCTCATCATCACTGATTGGATCAAGATCAAATTGATCAGGTGAATCATCTCTTTCTTCATTTACTGCTTCAATCTCATCATGAGAGAAGAACTCCTTTAAGAACTTGAACTGCTCTTCTTGCATATCAAACCTTGAAGTGCAGAGGAACATCATTAATTATTGGATTGTTGTGGCATTTAGTCTCCCTCTGAGGTAGTGGCAAATATCACGAGCGGTATTAAACAGTCGTTCAACACCAGCACCAGATGCTGGAACTGAAAGGACATCCCGAGCGAGATTTGCAAGTGCTGGAAATCGGTACTCATTCTCTCTCCAAAACGCAAGAGGGATAACTTCAATAATATCTAGAGAGATTAATAATATTTTTATTGGTGACCTCACGCAGTCAAGAGGAGCAAGAAGAGTTTAGTTTGGCCGCAACGGGTTACCTGTCGCTGCGGTCGTAGACCGCGGCGTCAGATAGGCTCCCCCCGCGCTCCCTTGAAGGGAGGCAATGTGTCTGTATTGTAGTGGATTCTATATACAGAGGGAAGGTGGGAGGGACAAAATTGACACTTGACTGCGTGAGAGATGACGAGCTACCCGCAGAGGCCATCAACTGACTCTCGTGAGGCAGTTGTAGGAGGAAGAGGCCCTCGGAAATGTCGGTGTAGATATCACGTGAGGCTACAGACATGGTGAGGCAACCCCAATAAAACCACTCCCTTTACCCTATGTTCTACCTTCTACCTTAAATTGAATCAAAAGATTATTTCAGTTGTCCATTGACCAAGTACTACAGCTGACTATTACATGTCATATTGTAGCCTGCGTTGACATTGTTTCTTGCCGAAGGACTCAATATGAAGCCATCAAATCGTGGACCATGGCAGGATTGCAGCTCATGAAGGTAGGCTGGTAATCCTGAAATCCTGTAATAGCCAACAGAATATCTGTTAGTATAGGGTATAGCGGAGTTTTTGCTGCCATTACTCACCACGAAGGCTCTCCCGTCTTGCTATTAGCTTTGCGAGTTTCCCATGACTGCGTTCTCGGGTACAGCGTCTCCAGCCACGGCTTTTCTATCTTGTATTGCCACAATAGCTCGGCTGATTCAGTGGGCTCAAACCAGGTAATGTTCATGGATCTTAACTGATCCAAGGTTGAGCAAAGCCACTTGACTTGTTCATCAATAACAGTCGGTCCGTTGACACGCACCGTCGCTGACTGCGGGCCATAGACATAGAACATATTTGGGAATCCATTGACGGTCATTCCGAGGTTTGAACGAATTGAAGTTCCCCATACTGAAGCTAGGTTCAGATCCTCAGTCCCATGAATATCGATTTCTGCGTAGCAAGCGGTTCGTGATTCAAAACCAGTAGCCCAGATGATATAGTCTGATTGGTAATGGCTTTTCTCCGTGGTGATACCAGTCTCGGTGATTTCAATCATGGGCTCTGTGCGAAGATTGACTAGCTGCACATTCTCACGATTGAATGTTTCATAGTAATCTGAAACTAGACATGGTCGCTTCATACCAATGGGAGAGCTAGGTACAAGGGGGATGAGAGAATCCTTGAGTTCAGGATCAAGAATCTTCTCCCTCATTTGCTCTGCCCAATAGGCGTACATTTGAGTGTTCGAGTCAGGATCATGTACTGACTCTTTAAAAGCTGACAGAAGATAAGACCAATTACCTTTAGCCAGAATAGTTGCATGATGGAAGCGGACCTCATCATCCGACAATGAAATCATCTTCTCCGCTCGAAATGTATACGGGAATCCCGAATGGTACATCTTGGATGTTTTGAAGACGTGTTTGGCATAGGCTGGATCCGTGAACGCGACTTTGCCACGACCATCTGCCGCGGGTAATGAAGCCTCCATTTTAGGAAATCCTACCATCTCTGATCTCTGAAGCACATTCAGCTGTTTGACTTTGGGAGCCAGCTCCTGAATAATTTGTACAGCGGAAGCCCCAGTTCCGACAATGGAAACTCGCTTGTCATGCCAATCCACATGATGACCGGGCCAGTTACCCGAGTGGGACATCTGGCCTTGAAAGGAGCTCATCCCCTTAACAGTCGGGGTAACTGCATGTGAGAGCTGACCGATAGCAAGGATAAACCAACGGGTGGACAATCGTTTGCCATTGGAGAGATGAACTGTCCAAAAGTGTCCCGCTGGCTCAAATGCTGCTTTTTCAACAGCCACGGAAAAATCATAATCTTTCTTGATTTCCCATCGTCTATCGACATGATCGAAATATTCTTTGATCTCCGGCTGAGCAGGAAATGTTTCACTCCATTGCCAACCCTCGAGGAGCTCTTCATCAAAGAATTGATAGTGTGGCTGGGGGCTATCCGCTCGTGCTCCAGGATAACGGTTCGAGTGCCACACGCCACCAAGATCGGACGCCTTCTCTATTCCTCGACACCGGAAACCAGACTGGCGCAGACTTTGGACGAAGCATTAGCAATAAGTACCATTGTGAGAACACAAATCAATGATGGACACACCGATGTAATGCTAAAACCCCAGAGAAGCCTCCACCGACGATAACAGCGTCAAAATCAAAGCTCATTTTGCATATCTCACGACCTTCCAGTGGGTTGTTGATTTGGATGAGAAAACCGGATCGGAATGTCTAGACCCTGCAGACTTCACCGGGCTACTTCAGTTGACATATTGAGCTTGACGCAAATCTAGTAATTCTTGACCGCTCACTTTACCCTCGTGGGGCCAGGGCCATTGAACTCCCCACATATCTAACTTCGTATATCTCTAGCCCCTAAAACTATGCGAATTGTACTTAAAGACCCACTTTATGGCGCGACCGCTCACTATCTCAGTAAGTTCAACTCCACGCGCCCTGACATTTTAACATATACAGCACTATTCTTTATAGGATTTTTCATTTTCATTCTTCGGCCAAATCATGCTAGTTATTGGATTATAATGAATTCCTGTAGTTTCTGCCAGCAATAATAGAAGTGGGTCCTAAAGTAGCCAAGGTCAAATACTTGTGAAACACCACTGTACTAATAGATCCACTTGTCGTTTATGGTAATGTGAATAATATTGAATAGAGTATTCTGTCTCGGCTTATTACGTACGGCAGGACAAAAGTTTATCGCGAGAGTAGTCTCTGTAGTCTCATGCAACGAAGATGTCATGGCTTCGCTGAGAGTACATTCAACTTTTTTCAGTGTTGCATGAAATTTTGACCAGGGGGAAAACATGATTTTACGATCTTACTAGCATAGACCTTGTAAGCTCACATGTAGGTCAATCAAAGACATGAATCTTGCTTCATGTAACTCAGAAGGTCACAAATTGCCCAAAGCCTCTCACGAAGCAAACTGCAAGGCACATACGACACAATCAATAATGGTGGATGGGATTTACTCCGAGGATCTCCGCTACAGGATGAGGTTTACACTTTCCCCCCTTTCCCACTTTTCCTCTTCTCCTCTCTCTTACCACGTCCAATCAGACTCTTATGAAATGGAATTTTCGACCAGGAAAAGCGCTATTCAGTTCCTGTAGATTCTGTCCTGGTGTTTTCCCCCGTGAGGTTATGTGCTTAATAAACCTTGGAAATGAACCAATGCCTTTCAGTCCCGAGTGGCTGGCTGAAGTAGGTTCTCAATAGTCGTAATAATAGGCGTAGTTGAGGGCGAAGTGGCAGATTTCTGGGACTAACATGTAATCATATATCGCGAACTTTTCACGGTCAGTAGTCCGAAAGATAGAAAACACGCAAGTGGCTCCTCATACATAGTTCAGCAGTACACCAATTTCCTATCATCTCTATTGATGGCCTTTTAACTAGGAAGATGGGCGATCAATTGCAATCTTCAAGTTCGGCATCTGAAAATTTCAAAATACATACCTCTACAACAACAGTACATAAATCTTGTCATCAAACATTATCTGGGAACGATGTTTTTCTTCAGAGCGCTTCATAGCGTGAACCGCCGGCTTGTTAAATGGATCGGTTTGCTATAGCGCCGTACTGTAGCGGGGCACTGCACTTCTCGTATTCAGCTTGGTTTAGCAAAGTCTATTTTGCACCCCAGGAGGTCTAATATAGTTAGTCAAATGAAGAGTTATGCTCTTGGCAGACTTCTTATTGGACATGCCTATCTAGGCGAGGCCCAACGTGAACTGTAGAGGGCCTTGAGCTCACAGGAATCAAGAGAAAAATGTTTTTAAGTGGGCGTATTTGTGATAGATGACTTGCATGAAATGATAAATGTCAAGGTGGATCTACTAAATCTAGTAGATTACATGCCGATTGCCACACCGATTTGAATGCTTTGGATCGATCTTTGACAAGCTCATATGCGGGCTGCAAGGGACCCACACGATGATCATACAGTACTGTATGCACTAGTATGCTACGTGAAATTTTAAAAATTGACTTGATATTAATTACTCTACTTATTTCTGACTATAAATCACCGAGCGACAGCCACTTTTGAGCATCTCTCCTTTGCATCGAACCGTGCAGAATTCCCACACGGAACAATGTTCGCAAAGATGCTCCAGGAATTGTCTGCCAAAGTAAGATTTGTTAGTTCGCCAGCTAGCCATATTGTCATATCTGATGGATATAGGATTCAATTATTCTCTGTGCTATTGGTTTAGTTACCTATGTCACGCTAGGCGTGATATACCGCATTTACCTACACCCCATTTCCCACTTCCCGGGACCGAAATTAGCAGCAGCAACTCATTTGTATGAGTTCTGGTTCAATCGACGAGGGGATTTTCTATGGGAGATCAAACGACTACACGGGCAGTACGGTGAGTCACGTTGAACCATTTGGTAATTAACGTATATAACGCTGACAATCATGGAAAAGGTCCTATTGTACGAATTACACCCGAAGAGGTGCATATCCAGGATGCCTCCTATTATGATGAGATTTATGCAGGGGGTACTAGAATTCGTGACAAAGATCCAAGATTTGTCCAGATATTTTCCGCTCCACATGCGATGGTTTCCATTGTCGATCATGCCCACCACAAGCAGCGCCGGGGCCTGCTTGGAGAATTTTTCTCTAAGAGATCTGTTGTGGCTATGGAGGGCATCATCAACGAGAAGATCAAGAAACTTATTGCTCGTTTGACAGAGTTGAAAGGGACTGGCAATGTTGTGAATATGGAAGCCGCTTTCGCAGCAGTCACAGCAGATATAATCACGCAGCATGCCTATGGGCAAAGTTGTAATCATCTCGAGGACCCCGATTTTAACAAGAAGTGGAAGGATGCTGTGCTAGAGACCATGGGTAGTCGAGTGTCCATCAAACACTTCCCCATCCTGTTAAGTTTCTTGAGGGTTATTCCTTTGGGAATTATGCTGCTAATTAACTCTGGAATTGCTGAAATTTTACGAATTGAGGCTCTCATTCGGAAACTGTCTCACCAAAAAATACAAAACAGCAAAGTCGGTCCGAAAGAGGGTAAAATGACTATCTTTGACGCCATGAATGACGAAATTGTTCCTGCTGAGCAACGAACTCCGGAATATTTGGTCGACGAGGGTCATATCCTGCTGCTTGCGGGAACAGAGACTACTGCAAAGACCTTGACAACATGCATGTTCTATCTTCTTGAAACCCCATCTGCCTTGAGCAAATTGCGAACAGAGATTAAGGAAATCCAACGGAGCACGTCGAAACCACCCTCTTGGGACTCACTTCAGCAACTACCATACTTAGTAATGCCACTCCAGTTTCCTTGGCCGTGATGAATGGTTTAGAATATTTCTAACTTTCATCTTCAATAGACTGCAGTTGTGAATGAGTCACTTCGCCTATCTTATGGATTAAGCTGTCGCCTTCCACGAGTCGCACCGAACGAAGCCTTGCAATACAAGCAATGGAAGATTCCTCCGGGTGTAAGTTACCTTGATCACCGAGACAGATAAGCTCAAAATACTCGCATTCTAAACAACCTATTAGACGCCAGTCAGTCAGTCTTCGTACTTTGTCCACATGGACCCAGAGCTATTCCCAAATCCAGATAGATTCGATCCAGATAGATGGCTTCAAGCCGCGAAGGACGGCTTACGATTGGACAGATATATCGTGGCATTCTCCCGCGGGAGCCGTCAATGTATTGGCATCAAGTTAGTACTTCGTACCACGTTCGTCAAGAATGACACCTAACTTTGAGTGATTTTAGCATGGCGTATGCTGAAATTTACCTCACATTGGCTCAACTTATTACGAAGCTAGACTTTGAACTTTATGAGACCTCGGTGGACGACGTCCGGCTTATCCGTGATCTATTCTTTGGACGTCCGAGTGATCAATCTTTGGGCGTGAGAGTGATTGTTAAGGACTGACTTGAATAAGCTCTTGCTGCTTTTGTCCTTTCGGTCCCTCTTTGTAATTGCGCCGTGAACTAGCTGCATATAGTCCACTACGGTACTTAGCCACCCTTCTTATATAGCATTTTTCTGCAAAGTCGCCCTAGAGGTCGCTGCTGCAAAGATTGCAAATATATGAACAGTTTGACCGTTCCTGCCCTAACGCTAGTTTTTGTCTCAATATTGCGGCTCGGCATAAATCTACTGTGATCCCTGCTATCACTATCTGAAGCTTTAGATTCAAAAGCCTTCCATAAATTGAGAGGTTGGGGATAAGAGTCATTGATGCTCTGACACCGTTGATGGCTGAATTATATCTTGATCGAGATTTCCTGATGGTAGATGGGTTCCTTGTCTGTTGCTCTTGAACACTTCCCAAGGACGGTGGACACACAGTCGATCAAAGGAATATCTTGTAGTGTACAATCAGCAAGTAAGAATAATGTGCGCATCAGATGCGGGAGAGTACGAGGGCTACCCAGGCCACTAGCCCATAACTCCAAAGGAGAGGAATAATACGCTAACATCGTGAAACGCAAATTTGATTTCTGTAAAGAATAGTGGAGAGCGATACATAATGAGTAATAAGCTCCCCTCATGAATCACGCAGAAATATAAATTATAGGTTCTATTCGGGACTGTTGCGCGACAACCCCTTGCGTCGGGCCCACGATATTCTGTGCTGGACACCGCACAAAACTATCACTTGGATATCCCCTCTCTCCGTAACGGTTTCTTCCCGCCCACCACGAAACCCCTCGTGTATGTACCACGTATCCTCCTGTATAGCTATATTTCCTCCAAGAATACACAGAGTGCCATAGGCCCGCCTGCAGCCCTCTTAGCGCTGTAGCCCTCCGTCAACGAGGCCTACATCGCCAGTGTTCTGTGGGCCCAAAAATCTCATTTGTCTCCATTTGTGCCAGTGTAGCAATGGTTGGAATAGTACCCATATATTTCAGTGGACATATGCTGTATGTAGGAAAGTTTCCGACTTATTAGCCAAAAGTGGGGCGATATCCATTTTTTTCAGCCGTACATGTCAGCCACAATTCAATATTTTCTGTTTAAAGTTCGAGCTCGACTAGCTACCCATGATGCGATGCTTTCAATAGAAGGATACAAGCTCACCGTTCATTCTTGGCTCAGGTCAGTTGTTAGTTTTGGATCAGAAAAGCAAGTTTTTTCTGTGGAGACATGGCGGTGAGGCCATTCGTTAATGTAATCGGGAAGATCCGTGCGAATTTGCTATACGAAATTATTGATACTTGATACAGTGATCTTACCTATTAAGGCACTGTCTCATTGTAATAGATGAATAAGAAATATAAAGCTCTCTATCTTCCCGTGCCAATAGCAACAAACATTTGAAGAACACCTAACATTGGAACCTACAACATACGATATATTTCACGCTATACCTCCCGTCAATCATTCACTGCTTCAAGATGCATCCCCCAAGCGAAATAGTCAATGTTTCTGATGCACCAGACACTTCCTGGACCTTTCTTGAACGTTTTAATGAAATTGTTGAAAAGCATCCAAATGCGTTAGCCATTGCATGTCCACAACAGCCAGCAAATTTGTACGGCTTTGCTTCAATTCCCGTCAAACATGGGAGCCCCACATATCTGAGATGGTCATATAATACCCTCATGCAAGCCTCTCAATGCCTCCTGGCAGGCTTGTCTTCCCGCGGGGTTCTACCTGACACACCGCTGGTGGTTTTCTGTCGCAACCAAGCTGAATATGTCCTTTCAATGCTGGTTGCGAACAGAATGGGGCTTTTTTTCATTCCACTGAGTCCTGATGGCCTGGCCCAATCGAGTGATTTGCAAATAATGCTCAACAAAGTCGTTGAGTACTGTAACGCCAGCGACATTGTCATCCTTGGCGATGATGCAGATATCTTGAGAAGGGCCTTTGAGTTAAGCCAGGGCAATGATGAATTGCAAACCTATCTCTCTCAATCATGCATCAAGTGTTGGTTGTTCAGCGATGTCATCATGCTTGAACAGAGCATGAATGCTTCAAACAAAAGCTCAAGTAACCATCCAGAAAAAGTTGTGCTTTTCACAAGTGGCACTGCTTCTGTTCCCAAGGGATGCTGTCTCAATCCTAGTGCCTTGCTTAGAGGGATAGAGTCGCTGGTCGGGTTGGGTGCCATGACGCCAGATGACCGAGCCATCGTGACTGGCCCAGGCCACCACATTTATGGTTTTCTGGTTACATCCATGACGCTTATCAGGGGTGCGGGTGTCATCTACGCCGCTTCGAAGTACTCGCCCGACTCTGTACTTCGAGCCGCTTCAGACGAGGGATGCACTATGCTTTCACTGGTTCCATCCATGATTCACAGTCTTCTCGGGATGCTCGAGGAACAAGAAACAGCTCTTAAAGTCAAAGGAATCCTCGTGGCTGGGATGGCGGCAGCACCCAGTCTACTAGAGAATATCCAGCAGAGACTCAACCATCCATGGGTGGAAAATGTGTATGGGATGACCGAGGGTGTCCTTGCAACTGCCGGGAAGTCTAACAACTTGAAGAACATCTTGGGCGATGGCTACATAAGTGCCGGGAAGCCAACGATAGGGTCAAGGATTCGCATATGCCATCCCGATACTGGAGAGATTGTTTCTCAGGGCACTCCTGGGCAACTTGTGTTCTCAGGACCGGCGGTCATTGACGGATACATTTGTCAGTCGGAGACAGATGTGATTTTTGAACGCGATGGTCATCGGTGGTTCAACACTGGCGATGAAGCACTCATTGGAAAGAACGGAATGATTTATATCCTTGGCCGATATAAAGACATCATTGTGCGAGGCGGAGAAAACATCAGTATGGCAAAACTGGAAATGCTTTTGGCCGAGATGCCTGAAATTAGCGTCCTTCAGCCTCAGGTTGTTGCTGCGACAGACATCGTTGCTGGAGAAGTCCCTGTATTGGTCACCAAAACAAAGATCAATCAGAATACTGTCCAACAGCTCAAAGATGTGATCAGGGCCCGGCTGGGCTCTCTCTTTGTTCCTAGGGACTTTGTCTATCTAGATAATTTAGGGCTGAGTACCTATCCCCTGACAACGTCTGGAAAGACCCACAAGCGCCAGTTGGCGCAAAAAGTGAGAGAGTATTTTGAATCCCAAGAAAAAAAAGAGGAGGATTTCGACACGGCTTTACAAGCACCAGCCTTGGCGACAGCAGTCGTTGCGGTTTGGGCGAGAGTCCTTGGTGCAGAGGCTGCACGGCTAAATATCAAGACTCCAGTGTCACAATTAGCTGACAGTATGCTTATGGTATCGGCTCGTGATCGCATCAGGAAAATCACAGGCCGCAGTGTCGCTCTGTCAGATTGGATGGCTGCTGTGACGATTGATGACCAGATCAAGATGCTAGAGGCCAGTACCTCAGAAATTCAAGCCAGTCACTTTAATGTTACATCCCAAGAGAAGCAAAGAGGCCCTCTTCAAGCTTCAGAAATGGTGCATCTTGCTGGCGAGGACAGTGGCTTTCAGAGCACCAAACGGGAGGTTGAAAACTTGATAGGGGAAAATGGCTTTGGATGGGATGATGTTCAAGATATTTTTCCCTGTACGGACTGGATCCAACTTCTCTCCCATTCAGGAGTCATTGAGTCTTGGAATATCCGCGCATCGGTCGTTTCGGAGGAATCAAGTTTGATGGAAATGAGAAACGCTCTTGAAGTTACTCTGTCAAACCACCCTTTGATGACCTCGTATCTGTTACCAAGTACAGGCCTCGAAGAGAACTTGGGCCTCCACATTGTTATGCGTCAGAACAAAATTATGCTTGATCTGTGCATCACCGACTATGGAACGGTTCGTACTGTGTCGGATTTGAAGCGTCTGACAAAGAATTACCCGTACAAACATCATCCAACCCTTAAGGGTCCGCTTTTTCATGCCCTGATGCTATTTGTTGAAGAAACAAGTTCGGCAGCAGTTATTTTGAATGGTAAGTGCATGGATCAACCCATTCATCCCCAGATATTGAGCACTGACCAGGAACAACAGCGTCCCACGCAATTGTGGACGCAACTTCTTTTGGTCTCTTCACGGAAGACCTGGACCATGCTCTCTTGGGTCAATTGGCGCCCCATGTACCCTACCAAGTGTGGGCAGAGTCTTACTACACACTGCGGAAATCCCCAAAAGCGAAAGCAGCAGTCCGGTACCACACCAAACAGCTGATTGATTTGCGTGAGCATTACAACGTACTCTGGCCGAAACCAACACAAGAACTTGTCGTGTCGCCCGAACGTGCCCCTCATGATGGACACATGATATCCTTTTCCGCACCCTCATTTATTGCCCTACAACAGAAGTACAGCAAGATCACACCCCCAATCATACTCCAATCGGCACTAGCTTTAGTGGCGATGGCGCACACTGACTACTCTCATGCCCTTTTTATCAGCATCCAAGCTGCGAGATCTCGTTTCCCTTTCCTTCCCAATTTGGACTCATCCATTCAATCCTTTGAAGCTGCAGATGTAACAGGACCAACATTCAACGCTGCTTTAAAATTAATTACTCTGCATCCCGGAGAAACAGCCCTGCAATATCTTCAGCGCATGCAAGTCGCTCAGATGGAGCTCACAAAGTACCCCAGTGCTCCATTGCACGAGGTGTTTAGACATCTTGGCCTTTCATCTGCTCAGATCGTACCTGCTATCGCGAATTCGTTGTTATTTAATTGGGTGCCCGGTTTGGCAGCACAGGTCTTTGGCAGCAATCCCTTCCAGCACACTACAATACAGCCACACCTGCGAACGAGAGTCGGCCTGCTCGCAAACGCAGGTTCGGGCGGAGCAGATGGAAGCCAAATTGTCATATGGTTACATGGTGCCATCGCAAATACATCCACGGCATTGGCAGAGTCTGTGGCTGAAATTTGGAAGCAGGCATCCCTGTGGCTCGTAAATGAGGAGAATTGGGACAAACCTGCTGTTGAACTTATCGGGCTTCTGAAGTGAAAAGATAATCTGTGGAAAGTGTAGGACTATGTGGCCTACACTTCACATCAGTGTGTTTGCCTGAAAAGAGAGGGCTTAACATTTCACTCCCTCTCGTTTCGCGTTCGGGGGTACACACAAATACAGACCATTCTTTTTTAGAGCTACTTCCGGTTCTACGTAGAAACAGTAGTACTAGACCCTCTCCGAGGACACCCCTTAATACAATCAGATCTAGTGAGGCCAATTAATCGAGTTTTACGCTAAGAGAACAAAGTATACTCAGCACACCCACGTGACACGATGGATTACAGAAGACCAGATATACAAGGACAGTCATTATCACGCATGTGTTTAGTCTTCACCTTCAATCTTATATTGATACTTGGAACCCAAGAGTTCATTCAATTATCATTTTTCCACAAGAAAACCCATCCAACTGGGAGAGGTATACTTAGTTCATAAGTATAAATTGACTAGGCGAACCTACCTGGCGAATCCTATTGAGTATATCCTTTAGAAACGGTACGGTTGCCGATCAACAACTCAAGGGTCGAACATCCCTCTGGTAAGCATAATCCCTAACGAGCGATACTCACTGTGACCAGTTAGCGTTGCGTAACATCTTTGCCATATCTAGCTCAAACATGACCTCAACTTGGTCTAGGGCGATCAACTGGGGTTTCTCAGACTGGCTGTGGAGCTTTATTATGAACCAGGGCTAAAATCCGTATAGCCAGACATGTTTCTCAGTCTTAATTAGATTAACAGAGTGAAAAGTGGTCCTTTTTATTAAAATATAGGTATTATATAACCCTACTCTATGTACTCCTATCCCTATTCTATGTACTCCTATCCCTATTCTATGTACTCCTATCCCTATTCTACAATAGGAAGAGACTGTATAACTCAGCTTAATCTATGAAATGGCATGTAGATTCCACATTAACTCGTACGAATAGTCGCTGGTTGAGTTGAGAATGAGATCGAGAAAAACGTATTATGCTCAATCATTAGCCGTAATTAAGGGCCGGCAACGGCCAGAACGGCCCTACACACTGCAGTAATAAATGTCCCTTTCTGATCCATTCTTCCAACTGTTCCATACTCAAATACAACCCTGCCATCTCAAAATCCCCATTTCCATGATGTTGCCAAAGTGTCGCTAATTCTCTGATTCCACGCTCATCCTTGCCGAAGCGTGTCCCCCAACCCCGTGAACAACACCAAGTACTGTTAGGCAATACTGAAGAACACTGTTGTCCGACGGGGCGCTTATCCCGTCTTCTTGGAAACCTGCAAGAAAGGAGCAAAGAGACCCAAGTGTCTTCGTTAAAAAACTTGCGCTGCCTGAAGGATGAAGGAACGTGTCGAAGAGTACAATGAAGTATAATAGAGGATTGTTGGGATTGCTGTCAAAGATTGCTATCGCAGAGTGTCGCAGAAATATGATGCGTTGAAAAGGGAAATGTCATATATGATGGATCAAATGCACAGAATACAAGAACAATTACTTTATCTCTGAAAGTAAGAACTCTCGCAAATATCGGATGTCCAGGGTACCTAGGAGCACACCTTGTTTCGTAAAGGAAAGAATTTTCTCATGCCTCTATATACTGCCTATGTTTTGCACGGCCTTCAATAGATTTTCATCTACCGTTACACACACACACACACACACACAATTCATTAACGCCCGGCGGCTGAGCCGAAAGGGCAACTATCGCTAATCTACTATACATGTCATAATATATACAGTACTGTGTCTCATTGGAGCCCATGCATAAAACCTTGCCGTATGTGTCTTTTCAGCACGAAGTGTCGGTGCGCAGTCCACTTCCGACATCGAAAAAGGAAGTGCTCCACGGTCTCTTTGGCTTGTCCGCATGCACAATGATCTGTCTCTGCCGCGTTGATCCGATACAGATATCCATTTAGTCTTGCCATGCCAGTCCGGAGCTGGGCCAGCACGCTCGCTTCTTTCCACGACAAGCGATCATACAGCAGTCGAGTGTGCTTTCCTGGGAGTGCTGCATCTGCTCGTTTGGCGTGTTTTCCGACGTCCACTGGCAGGCCATTTCTAGGGACTGCTTGGGACCGTGCGTTGTTCAATGTGGTCGACTTCATCCTCGGGACGCGCTCTTGCGTGAGAGCATCTTCTTGTGTCGCGGCTCTGGCCTGTTCTTTAGCCAGACCTAAGAGTTTGTTGTCTTTGCTTGTGGGGATCCAGACAAATTTGATCCGGTTTCCATTTCTCTGCAATCTTCTCATCAACTTGTACATCCGACAGATAAAATTTTGGCCAGATTGTTGCCGAGGATTTCTTAGCGTGAGAACCGCCGCTTTGTTGCTTGTGAGCAGCGTGATCCTGTAGTCTTGCAGTCCCACGACCATGCCAAGCTGCCGGCCAGCTCCGCCGAGAATGGATTTTGCTCTGCTCTTGCACCCAAGGTGATGGAAAGGGGTTTCTGTTTCAATTTTCGATTTCGAGGTGGCTGCTTCTCGATAGCTACTCCAAACCCTACCAGCTCGTTCCGTGCCGAGCTGCTGACCGCGATCTGTATGCACCCGCCCGCTTGGGGTTGAGGCTCTTTCTGTTCATCAATATCGGTCTGCATGCGTTCCTCCCACGGGGCCAACGTGAATGGGTTAATCGTTTCCAGGCTTTCCATGTCGACGTGCTTGAGGGCGTCCGCTACGTGGTATAACGGCGAGCGGTGGTATCGTCTGAACTTCCTGATGCGATCTGTGCTTCTGCGGAGAGGATTGGTTTCCGGTAGCGTGTGTATGTCCGTCCACATCTTCACAGCTCGTCTCCAGAATCGATGCTGTGCAGTGGCAATGTGGGCCTCCGCCTCTGCTACACTAGTCGCGACCGTGAGAAATGTCCCCACAATGGCTTGCGCTCCTACCCTTTGGACTCGGTTGATCGGCCCCAAGGCCTTATTCTTACACGCGTGCATCCACACATTGGAGGCGTAGTCCACGACCGGCGACACCGTCGATGAGAATAGCTGCCGCGCTGTTGCTGGAGATAGACCCCGAAGTCGTCGAAGCTCCATCGCGGCCTCCAAGCCCTTAGATGCGGCCCTCGCAATATGTTCCTTGTACTTGAGTCGTGTGTCCATTAAGACGCCTAGATACTTAACGTGGTCCATGGGTACGACTGTCTGTCCCTTGATGGTGAACGGCTCATGGTCCGATTTACCCGTCTTGGGGGCAAACTGTATGACAGCCGTCTTTTCCGCTTCAAAAGTCGCTCCACTTCGACTTTCCCAGTCGAGCGCCTCTTTGATAATTGCCTCGATTCCTTCCCGGTTACTCTGCGCGGTTGTTCCGGTCACCCATGCGGTAAAATCATCTACGAAAGCGACTGCTCCTCCATGGCTGTCGATCTGTCTTTGCACGAGGATATTTCTCATACTGTATAAAGGCCAGGCCAAGCCAAGATCTTCTACACGCGGTGAAAATCACCAAAATTATTCTATAAAAGGCCAAGAAGGTCTTGAAATAGGAATATATCCCGGTTCCCAGTGTGAAAAGACGGCTCTGGCCGTGTGTTCAGCATTCCAAAACAGCCTAAACTCACATTCATCATCTTTTTCAGCAGTCAAATAAGAGCCCCGATAACCATATTCACAAAACGCGATGAATGTGTCTTCCTCGATGTCATCTAAAACAGCCTCTCGTGATAGCGATTCTCCCATATGGCCATTATTGATTAAAGCATATAAAGGACGAGATAAGTTTTGAACTAAGCCGGCGTGAATCGTCAGCGTACGGCGCTCATTTCCAACTAGGAAGTGGAATTCCGGCGACCTAATGAGGGCCACTTTCGGCACGCGGGCCTGAAGATCGAAGAAACCCAAGAAAATTGCTAGGTAGACTCTCGCTCAGAATGAATTCCCCTTTATCTTCTTGTACAGGACGGATGCGAATCAGTTTCACCACTTTTACATAGGTTCTTTATCAAATCCTCTTTCAAAACGCGTTGTTCCTATATCAGTTTTTCTACCCCCAAACCATTTTCCTGGCAGTATTCCAGTACAGTTGTAAATAACAGCGTAAAATAACTTTCCTTATGCTTATATTGCCTTTTGCGCTTATGATGTTGAACCTGCAAACAAGGTAAACAGAAAATTACTTTGAGAGACTAAATCTTGGCGCCATATTGCGAAAATGAGTCTAGACATGGACGGACAGCTTTGGCAGGGACGATGATTGGACACCGAAGGGAAACAGTGGTGAAATGATTTTGGGCCAAACATCCGGGGGATGCTAGGTATTGCAAATTCACGTGACTTGGCAGTTTTGTCGGAACACGTAATCAAGGTCGGAAATCATGGACCAATGGTGATCTAGCTCATATGTAGCAGCCTGGTTATTTTCTATCTCTTGGCGTCCCCTTTTATGTGGGAACCTTACAAAGGGTTAGGTCCTATCTAAATACAGCATCCACTATTGCGATCGGACTCCTAGTTGCTAAACGTGGGGGCCATCACGAAGCTGCGAACCTCAAAGGCTGGTTACAGGCTGGAAAACCATGCTTTGTTTCGCTACAGAAGGAACAGAAAATGATCTCGAATTTTACGTTCTTGCACTTAATCTGGGAGTTTGGGCTCGGGTCGATTCAGTTCCTAAGAAGGTAGCAATCCTCCTCACGCAGGACCAATTCACTGCTCGGCGTGGGCAGCCTGCCGATGTAGTGTCCTACCTTAGCGCCGCGTAGTCACCTGATGGTGAGGCTTATGACGTGTGTCCCTCCTCCAGCTAAGACCCAGAAAATGTTCCTTCACATAGATACAGCAAACACATCTCATCATGGCGTCGACATCATTCCTTAGTAGCAAACATAGGATACAGGTCGGATTTAACCATGGCTCAATCAAGCCAGAGTTCCATCTTCCTCCGGGTAAGTTTGAGGAAACACGACAAGCTCATTGCTATGACTAATTGAGTCGTCCTAGTGCGAGCAAAAACCCCACCCACCCCTTTATCGGCTATCCCATTCGCGTGCGATC